TATCTTGACCATCCACCAATATTCACGCTGCTGTTATCTTCGTCTGGTTTAGAGCTATTTGAACAAAACTTTCGAGAATATACAACTACATCAATAAACTATCTTTTTATATTATACCTTGTATGCTACATTTTCTTGTTTACTATTGAATAGAATAAATAAAATAAAGATAGAATAGAGAAGTATAGAATAGACAAAGATATCGTTGTCTTGTCGGTTTGGACAAAAAAAAAAGGTGAACTTTTTTAAAATTTATTTTACATCTCAGACGACCATCAATTCTGGTCCCTTCGACCTTTTGTAGTGCTTGAATCTTGCTGACTTTGAGAAAAAAATATTTCAAAAACTCTTTGAAACAAAACACTCATGTATAATATTTCATGTAGTGAATCACTCGTGATATGACTATTTAATATTATTAAATCTTTTTAATTTATTTCATTATATTTAACAAGTGTTGCTATTGAATATAGATAGTATAAAAAAAATAAATAAAAAAAATAATAGTATTACATGTGCTATTAATAAGTAGTTACTTATTAATAGCACATGTTGTCGCAAGTATCGCTTTCTTACTTATTTAGTACCAAACGAAGGCATCTTCCACATGACCCGAAACCCCGAAACAATTAAAATCAATTTGCTTGATTTATCACCATGCACAAGTTCGGTGAACCATTGCACACGTGGCTCGCAAAAGATTCGAGCAATTGATCTAAATAATTTTAATTTTTTTCAATCACACTCCCTTCCGATTCTATTTAAAGTTATCAAAAAAATTTTAAGGTATATCTATATATCTATCTATCTATCTATCTATCTATCTATCTATCTATCTATCTATCTATCTATCTATCTATCTATCTATCTATCTATCTATCTATCTATCTATCTATCTATCTTCTATCTTCTATCTATCTTCTATCTATCTCTATCTATCTATTATCTTAAAGTTTAACGAATGAGTAGTAATAATAATCAAGATTCAATGCAGATTGAATCTTCAACAACTACCAACAATAATAATAATAATAATAATAATAATAATAATAATAATAATAATAATAATAATAATAATAATAATAATAATAATAATAATAATAATAATAATAATAATAATAATAATAATACCACCTCTACAAATTTAAAATTGTTCATCCCTCGAGAGAAATTAGGTTGTAATAATAATAATAATAATAATAATAATAATAATAATAATAATAATAATAATAATAATAATAATAATAATAATAATAATAATAATAATAATAGTAATAAGAATAACATCTTCGAGGGTCTTTACGACCCCGAAGATAACACAACACAACCCGATCAACCTGAAAAAACACCATCCAACAAAAAGAAGCCTCCCAAGAGGAAAAAAATAGAATTCGATCAACCACCACCACCACCAAAACCAAAGGAGAAGAAGAAACCAGTAAAAAGAGTCAAAAAGGACGACTCGACCACTTTTACATCTACCACTCCAATGGATCCTGATGATGATGATCAAACCATCTCTACAACTACAACCTCCTCCTCCTCCTCCTCCTCCTCCTCCTCCTCCTCCTCCTCCTCCTCCTCCTCAGTTGACCCACCGGTTTCCAAACCAAAGTCAAAGCCTGCTGGAAAGAACAAGGCTCCAACGTCAAAGGCTGGGAAGCCTGCTGGAAAGAACAAGGCTTCAAACGCCAATCGACCATCAATCATCTTCAAAGAGGGTGAATCGTTACCAGACTCTCAATTATCATACACTTCATACGTAATGAAGTATCCAACAATTGTGAGTAACAAAACTCAAAAGAAAAAGAAGAAGAAAAAGAAATCAAACTCTTCATCATCATCATATTGGACGTTCAAATCTATGGACATTACAGATGACCAATCATCATCATCATCATCATCATCATCATCGTCATCGTCATCGTCAACAACGTCCAACAATATGGACACTACAGATGACCAATCAACAACAACAACAACAACAACAACAACAATATCACCAGTACCAACAAACGACGAACTAATTCAGAGCATTAGAAAGTTGGCCAATTTTATTGGAAATCAAACCACAACTTTTCTCAATCTAATAGCCACCAACAACAAGTGCTTTGAGTCAAATGGAACACCTGTTCCATTTGTTGTTAAGTTTTTTCAAACTCAATGCAAGCTTACTGAAAGTAAGTCAAGAAAAAGAAAAAGAAAAAAAAAGATAATGAATCAATCAAAAACTAACTCTTTTTTTTTCTTTAGATCAACTAAAAGAAAATCTCACCACTTTTAGATTTGACAGAACGTCGATTGAATGGATGATAAGATACTTTGCTCTTGGAGGAGACGCTATTTTTTCAGCAATGGGTAAACATCCGGTACCTCGTATTGACACCGTGGAGGATCTATCCAATGATTCAATTTACTCATTGTAAGATTTTAATTTATTTTAATTACCATAGTAGAGGTGGTTAGTAGTGTCTAAATTGGTGACTAATTTAATTTAATTTAATTTATTTTAATTTATTTCTTTGTAGATGCTTTTTCATGAAACATGTTGCTCCATTTTTGGAAAAAGAGATGCAAAAGAGACCCAAAATGCTTCAAATGCTTCAAAAGTTGAGACAGTTCCGTTGTAACAACTCAAAAAACTGGGTTAATGTGATCGTGATCAACATTAAAAATAATATCATGGTTTCAACTTGTATGTCATATAAATATATAAATATAGTTTTATGATCATTTATATTTTCCCTATTATTAATTCTTTTTTCTTTTTCTTTTTCTTCTTATTCTAGATAACCATTTAAAACAGTTGTTAAACACCTACAAGGATAGGAAGATAAAGGATCTTGGAAAGAACCAAGAAGAAATTAAAAAGGTTAAAAAGTTGGTTCGTGATACTATTTATAATTTTTCTAATACGAGATTAAAAAGAGCTGAGAAAGACCAACAACCAGTTCAAGAAGAAGGTGAAGAAGATGAAGAAGGTGAAGAAGATGAAGAAGGTGAAGAAGAAGAAGATGAAGAAAAGAAAGCAGACCGTGTTGTCACATATGATCTATCAGATGGTGTCTACAAAACCATAGAAATCCTTGGTGGTAAGCAAAAAAAAAAACAAACCTATTTAATATAATATTCATATATTAATTTATTTTCAATCTTTTTTATTTATTTATTTATTTATAGGTTATAACCAACAAGTTATTGATGAGTATAACAACTTATCAGATGACAAGAAGAAGAAAAAGGAAGCAAAATATGACAATCGGGTGAGCAGAAGAAAAAATATTATCAAAAAGAAAAAGGAAGATGCTCACAAAAGAAGGGAAGCTATCATAAAGGAAAGAAGAGAAGCTTCTATCAAGTTGCAAAAGTCCCCAAATACATCTTTGACAGTTGATGATTTGACAAACTCACCATCTTCATCACCCAACACATCTTCACCACGCAACCCAAAAGGTAAATTCAATCAAAGAATGAAACATGACAGCATTCGAATCCGCGAGTTGGATGAACTGAAGAAGATCACAATAGAGGCAGAAAAAAGAAATGCTGATCTCCAACAGATTAGCGATACCCGAACACCAACCGTGTTTATTCCCGGGCTCATCAATATTTCATCCATTATACCATCTCTTGGGTAGGTTAAATATATTTATATATTTATGTATCTATTAATTATAAATCAATGTATTAACTTTTATTATTATTCCTATTATTTATTCATTTTAATAGATTTGATATCCAATTCATGTTTACAAGAGAACATGCTAAAAACCTTTTGAAATGTTTGGGTTTAAAAAAGGCCAATGTCGAAAAAGATCACGAGGGTAACCCAAGCTATGCCATCGCCACTCTCTTCCCAGGCTTGTACAAATACGATCCAAGGCTTTTCACAAACACCAAGAGGGTGTATCTTCCGGCCACCCCTCCCACTGATGTTGAAAAACAAAAGGATGAGGAAAGGAGGAAAACAAACAATGACAATAGATTTGCAAGCGTAAGTATTTCAATATTTATTACATTCACAAATTATTATTTCAATTACTAATTTTCTTTCTTTAGGCATTAAAGAAATATAAAGGTAATGAAGATGTGGCAAGGGTAGCTGCTACTTTGCAAACTGGAGAAAAGGCAAAGAATGCAATTGAACAACACAACAAATTGCATGGTTTTAAAAAAGGATCTCATGATAAAAATCGAGCACTTCTTGCAAAAGGCACAATAACTTTTTCGAAAGAAGAAATGTTTCAAGAGATAGTAAACAAAGGAGTAAAGTATGAAAATACCTCAACTACCACTACACCATCTACTTCTTCATCTTCATCATCTTTACCATATGTCACAGTAACATTCGACAAGAAGGTGTCTGTCACCACCAATGGTGCATCAGCCACCGTGACTTTTAGAACAATCAAGTACAAGCCTGGGAACAAACCCAACAAGCTGTACAACAAGCAAGTTGCAATGGAGAAAGAATTTGCTGGAAAGTCTTTGAAGGATGTCATTGCCATTGGTATCGATCCCAACACGTGCTCAATTACTGTCGTTAACAATCACGATGACAAGGTTCTGGACATGAGAATGGATACTCTTATGGTTAAAAGAAACACCAAGTTTCTTTTAGAGAAAATCTCTTGTCATATGGGAAAGGCCATCAAAAGTTTTGAATCCTGTTTACCATCTCTCAAGTGTATGTATACATTTTATAATATTTGTTTGTTTTATTTTAATTATTAAATAATTATTAATTCATTATTTTTTTATTTATATATTTATATATAGTCAATGTCCTTAACCCTCAAACATTCCAATCTAGGCTGGACTATTATGAAAAGTATTGTGATTATTTCGATATCTATTTCGAAGCCATCAATGATCCAATCGTACTATCTTGGAAGAGGAACTTTGCTTTCAAAAAGCAAAAGTTGAACAAAGAGTTTTACCAACAATTTGACAACTACATTCTTGATCTCTTTAAAGATCATTTCCCAACCAAGTATTCAAGTATGAACGATTCTGAAAGGAATCAGTACATTCAAGACAATACAATCATATGTATGTATTTATAAATCATTTTCAAAAAGAATATTAATGTATTAAAAAGTGTATATATATTAATATGTATTTTTTTTTCCTTTTTTCCTTTTCCTTTTTTTTTTTAAAATAGTTTTTGGAAATGCCAAATTTGGACACAACACTCGTGGCAAGGTAACAACATTTGCAGCCAAGACTGTTGCCAACAAGTTAAAGTCCAAACAATATTCCGTTGTCTATATTAATGAATACAACACGTCAAGAGTAAGTTTCTTAATTAAAATTATCATTTTATTTAAACATTTAATTAAATTTATTAATTCTCTTTAAACTTTTTAGCAACATTTTGATTGTTTTTTCCACCAAGAGGAGGAAAACTTGATCCATCATGACCTCAACGAACCTCATGAGGATCCAAAGGATGGTTTTCATCTGGAGAAATGCCATCTCAAGCTTGGTAAAGAAAAGGATGGAGGCCAACCGACCAATGTCCAACAGTGCTCACCTATCAGCGAAGCATGTCAATCCGCTGCTAAAGGTAATAGTTTCCTTCGATGCAGTGACCACCGGCATCGTTTAGCACTCGTCAAGCAAGACACCCATTCAAAAGAATACAAAGAGTCGTTGGGGTTCCTCAAATCCATCGATGATTTGGACAAGAAACTCCAATCACACAATCTTTTGAATGTGGCAGGTCAATGTCGAACAAGGAAGGTGACACCGTCAGATGTTGCCGGTTCGGAGACTGAATCGCGTCAGGACTCTCAAAAAGTTGCCTCGACCCAATCGTCTTCGTCATCAACAAAAAAGTTCGACTATCGACACGGACAGAATAAATATGGTCCAGAGATTAGAAAAGCAAGTAAGTCCCTACACAACAAGCACAGAATGGCTGTGTCCTGGAAACGTGTTTTGTGCACTGGTTGTGGAAAAAGTTTCAACCGGGATGTTAATGCAGCACGTAATATGCTGCTACTTGGTATTTTTAAAGTTTGGAAAAATGGTCACCGTCCGTCAAGATATGGAAAGACAAATTAATTGCCAGGGTAAAAACCGAGGCATCAACACAATTTGGGCTCTCAAAGGTATGATTATATTTATTTCATTTTTTGAGTCATACTAACTCTCTTTTTTTTTTTTCAAATCTCTTTTGTAAAAATTTTCAATTTTTTCTCCTCATTTTGAAATAAAGGCTCAAATGGCACTATTAAAAATAATAATGAAACTATTAAAGTAATAATGATAGAATGATTCAAATGTTGAAGGTTGACAACCCTTCAATATGCTATTTCGAATACTCATTCTCTTCCTCTTCCCCATCCTCGATCTTGTGTATCTTATGAATCTAAACAACTAGATACGAATGAATGACAAAAGTATTATATCTGTGTTGTTATTTATATAATTAAATTATCCCATTAATTGTGCGTATATATATCTCTCCCTCTTTTGTAGTATCTATCTCCCTGTCAATAAACCCCAAGAAAAAATTAAAAAATTGAAAAATATTTAGAAAAAATCGAATTTCAATAAACAATATTTGCTATCGATGAAGGCAGTATTAATTTTAATTAATTGTTGGTTTTTATTAAAATTCTCCTCTCTCGTATTTTAAGGTCTGATCCTTTCTACGTCCAACAAACAATACACTCAGAACAATAAAATGTGTATTATCTTGGATAATATCGGAGCTAACATGGGTGGCAATTCTATCCATTTGGATGGGAATAAAAATGTCTTCAGGAGGTGGAAGAGCGATCCAGTTGTTCCATTCACCAGAACCCAACCATTCACGGTGAAAAGAATGAACCCTGCCTAAATTATTATTTGTTGAATATATAGTTAAAGTTTTAGTATTTCTTCATGTCCATGAAGTTCATCTTCCTCTTCTGATCATTGAAACAACACAAAATTAATTTAATTTATAGATGTTGAGGACAACAAGCACTCCCCTTTTAAAAGTAGTCAGACCACACTCTTTTATTTCTTTTTTAACCAACAACATCAAGTCTTCTAGTACTACTACTACTACCTATAAATACAATAATAGTAATAGTTATCTAGAAAGTAATAACAATAACAAATACACAACTATTACATTTAATAGTACAAACAAATATATTGTTAGCAATCATCATCAATATTATAATAGATCATATTCAACCAATAATACAACAACAACAAAACCAACAATGTCAGCTGCACTTGATATCGATCTTGCATTATTAAACAGTCACTTTGTACCAGTTGAAGTACCAATCTACAAATTAGATGTAACAAGCTCTTTTCAAAAGTTAACCAATGATGAAAAGTTGTATGCTCATCACTATTCCCAAGGTAAGTAAATCTAATAATAATACATTGTTACTTTATTGTATATGTATACTTATTATCTTTTCTTCTTTAGCTTCATGGCATGGTAGTCTTATTTGTTTAGGTCAAACTTCAAAGGAATCAATTCCCATCTTTGAAATGTTGACTAGAATGTTTACTTTGAAGAATGCAACCGAGTTAAAGGCTAAAGTAGTTCCATCGCTCGTCACAGAGGCTGATTACAAGGCTCTCTTAAACTATGCCACTCAATTCTATGGTAACATGGGTAACTATTTATCATTTGGTGATTCAAAGTTTGTTGTAAGTAGATACTATTATCATTATCATATCAATTGGTAACTGACCTTTTTTAATCATTCTTCTTTTCATTTATTTTTTATAGCCAAGAATTAAAAAGGAACAATTAAAGTCTATTGTTTCAAGCTTTGATGATTCCCAATTGAATGAATTATGGGGCAAGTGTGGTGATTTAATCTATAGCTTGGGTGTTAGAGAGAGAGAATTGGGTTTTGAACCAAATGGTATCTCTACCTATTACTCTGATGACATTACAAAGGCCGAGATTGACAAGGTACAAACTTTTATGGATGAAAAGGGTATCTCTGCTTACAACACTCGTCTCTTTAAAAAGGATGGTCGTTATCAATTATTAATTGCTTCTGTTGATAAAAAACCAATTCAATCATTTAAATTTAATGGTAAACAAAAGAGAAAGAAAGAGAGAAAAAAGAAAAAAGAACAAATTTATTTATTTAATTTAATTTTCCTTCCTTTTTTTTTTAGATTATGATATTGATATTGTTTATGGTGATTGGAATCAATATCTTTCAAAGGTAGTTTATCATTTGACAGAGGCACTTAAATATTGTGCAAATGATAACCAAAGAAAGATGACTCAAAAGTATGTTGACCATTTCCAAGGAGGCAATGTAGACGACCACAAGGATTCTCAGAGATTCTGGATCAGAGATATCTCACCAGTTGTAGAGACCAACATTGGTTTCATTGAATCCTACAGAGACCCATCTGGTGTCAGAGGTGAATTTGAAGGTTTTGTATCTATTGTCAACAAGGAAATGAGTCTCAAGCTCGGACAACTCATCAACCAAGCTGAAAAGTTCATTCCACTCTTACCATGGACCAAAGAATTTGAAAAGGATGTATTTAGAAAACCAGATTTCACTAGTTTGGAAGTTTTAACTTTTGCTTCAACTGGTGTTCCATCTGGAATGTATGTAATCAAAATGAGAGAAAGAGAGAGAGCGAGAGAGAGTTGATAACGAAATATATATATACAAATACATAGTTAACTAATCTTTTTATTCTATTTTTTTTTTAGTAATATTCCAAATTATGATGATATTAGACAAAATGAAGGATTTAAGAATGTTAGTTTGGGCAACGTAATCTCTGCTCGCAAGGAAGAGAAGGTAACATTTATCGTCGATCAAGACCAAGCCATCTTTAACAAATTGATGGTTACAGCATTTGAAGTTCAAGTTGGTATTCATGAATCGTTGGGACATGGTAGTGGAAAGTTGTTTGTTCGTGACGCCAATGGAGAGTGCAACTTTGACAAGAACACTATCAATCCATTGACTGGTAAACCCGTCAACCCAGAGACTGAAGCATACCAAGGAAATGAAACCTATGACTCCAAGTTTAAGAGTCTTGGTTCTGCCTTTGAAGAGTGTCGTGCTGAATGTGCCGGTATCTATCTCTGTGTCAACCGTGACATGCTCTCTATCTTTGGACATCACGATCAAGAAGCTTTGGATATTTTCTATGTCAATTGGTTGATTATGTCTCGTTCCGGTCTCTGTGCCCTCGAATTCTACACACCCGAGACTTCCAAGTGGCGTCAAGCTCACATGCAAGCCAGATATGCTATCCTCCAAGTATTGTTACGTGCCGGACAAGGTCTTTTGACCATTGAAAAGAGTCACGACGATGTATTGGTCAAACTTGACAGAACCAAGATTGAAAGCGTCGGTATCCCTGCCATTGGTAAGTTCCTCAACGACCTCATGGTCATCAAGGCCACCGGTGACGCTCAACGTGGTAACAAGCTCTTTGACGACTACACTGCCGTCCCAAGCGACTTCCTCGCCATCAGAGACATTGTCTTGGCCAAGAAGAAACCAAGAAGAGTATTTGTTCAATCACACACCATTGCCAATGGCAACAATGTCACTCTTCAAGATTTTGATGATACCCCTGAAGGTGTCATTGAATCAATGGTCACTAGATTCAAGTAAAACCCTTTAAATAAATCACACTGAAATTGTATGTGGTTGTTATACATATATATAATATATATTATCATGTGATAACGGTTTGTGGTTGTTTGTGTGCAGGAGAGGGAGGAGGAGGGATGGTTTGATGCATAGACGACTATAGTCAAGTCATCGGGAGTGTCGGGTAATTTTTTAGGGATAGCGCGACTTGACTATGACCATTGCTATGCGATCACCTTTTTAAGGTTGATCATCACACCACCAACCAGCAAGTCCGAAAAATGTAATTTAAAAAATTTTACTCTGGTCAACTTCAAACCTCTGATATTGTTGTCCCCTTTACTTTTTAATTAATCTTACTTCTTGTTATTATTATTATTATTATTACTATTTAATTATTACTTTAAATCAAGTAATATCTATATATTACTATCGTATATATCAACAATTCTAGAATGAGTAAATTATTAGAATATGCAAATCATTGCTTAGAATCATATCAACCAACTACAATTGTAGCTGCTACTGCAGGTATTACTGCTGCCTCTGTTTTACTTTTTAACAGTATTTCTGATCAAGGTAATATAATATAAAATTATAACATCTATAACATTTATAAATATATATATATAGATGTATATTTTGATTGATTGATCAAATCTAATCTTTTTTTTTTATGTTTTTTCTATTTATTTATTTTTTTCTAATAGATTTTAGAAAACAAATGAGAAATAAAGTATTTAGTACATTAAGAAGTGCACCAGGTGTAAAGGAAAAAGTAAAGGAAGAGAGAAAGAAAATCAAAGATCATCTAAAGGAACAATTCCAAACCAATCCAAAGCACTCTCACTACACTTTGCCATTGAATGGTATCAAGCATGATGACATTCTCGAATTTATGGACGAGTTGATGAAAATAGATGAGAGCAAGTGGAAAGACAGCAAGGTCAGTGGTTGTGTCTATCTCGGTGAACAAGAACACTCGAACCTTTTGAACAAGACCTATGGCATGTTCTCACTCACCAATCCATTGCATCCAGACGTATTCCCCTCTATCAGAAAATTCGAAACTGAATCCATCGCCATGGTTGCCAACATGGTTAATGCTCATCCAAAGGTGGTTGGTGCAATGACTAGTGGTGGAACTGAAAGTATTTTCATGGCTGTTAAAGCTTATCGTGATTTCTATAAAGATAAAACTTCAAATCCTGAAATGTATGTAAAAACTATAATGTTAAACAAACAAAACAATCAATCAAATAAATTAATTATTAATACATTTATTTATTTATTTTCCTTTTCTTTTTAGAGTTGTACCAATAACAATTCATGCAGCATTTGATAAAGCATGTTCATATTTAAATATAAAGATTAGACATATTGAAGTTGGAGATGATTTCAAGGTTGATTTGAACAAGGTTCGTGCAGCCATTACTAAAAACACTATTATGATTGCAGGATCTGCTGTCAATTTCCCACACGGTATCATTGATGATATCCAAGGACTCTCAAAGATTGCCAAGGAACACAAGATTGGCTTGCACGTTGACGGATGTCTTGGTGGATTTGTATTGCCATTTGCCGAAGAGTTGGGATACGACATTCCAGTGTTTGACTTTAGATTGGATGGTGTCACTTCCATGTCGGTCGATACTCACAAGTATGGTTACGCTTCCAAAGGTACCTCTGTCGTTCTCTTTGGCAACAAGAAGCTTCGTCGTGCCATGTACTTTACCGCACCCAACTGGCCAGGTGGTATCTACGCCTCACCAACCATGCCAGGTAGCAGACCAGGTGGTCTAGTTGCTGCTTGTTGGGCCTCCCTCGTTGCTCAAGGTAGAGATGGTTTTAGAAACAAAGTTAAAGAAATTATGATTACTACCAAAAATATTATTAATGGGTAAAAAAAAAAAAAAAAAATAGAAAAGAAGAAGAAATAATATTTATATAGTAATCTATTAATCTTTGATTTATTTTAGATTAAAACAAATAGAAGGAGTATCAATTATTGGTGATCCAAAAGCCATGGTAGTAGCATTTACAGCAGATAAGATATTCTTTATAAACGATCTGATGAGTAAGAAGGGATGGCATTTGAACACACTTCAAAAGCCAGACAGTTTACATCTTTGTGTGACTGCCAAGCACATTGGAATGGACAAACAATTCCTTCTCGACCTCAAGGACAGTATCGATGAATTAAAGAATATGAAAACTCTTCCAACCGATGGTATGGCTCCCATCTATGGTACTGCCCATTCCATTCCAGATCGTGAAATGGTTGGTGTCATCCTCTCTGATTTCATCGATACTCTTATTACTTCTGATGTTAAACCAAATCAATCAACTTAAACAAAAAACAAAACAAAACACAATAACAAGTAAATGTCATTTTTAAATAATAATAATAATCCATAAACAAATAACTACAAATAAATAAATAAAGGTAAAACTAAGGTTTTTTTTTTGCACATACAATCACTCTCCTCGTTAAAACGAAGTTCAAAAAAAAATATTTTTGTCGTCGATTTTTTTCTTGTTTTTTTGCTCAATGCACACACAGAGGGAACTCATTCACATCTCTTTAAAGAGCTCTCTCTCTAATCTAGTACTCAATCAACTCTCCCCTTTCATTCAACCCTCCACCCACACCTTGCATCAACATTCTATTGTTATTCTCAAGGTTAATAGTAACATTCACAAAACGGTTGATATCACCACATACCAACGTAGTAATAATAATATAATCATAACAAGTAGTAGTCGTTTGTTCTAGTAGTTATAGAGAGGAATCGAAAAGATAGATAGATAAGATCAAAAATGCCACCAAAAGAATCAAAAAAGGCAGTAGAAAAGGATAAACAAAAAAAGGTTGAAGACAAGACCTTTGGTCTCAAGAATAAGAATAAATCTAAAAAGGTTCAACAATTTGTAAAGACTGTTGAACAACAAGCAACTGCCAATGCAAACCAAAAGAAGGTAAGAAGAAGAATAGAAAAAGGAAAAGGATAAAGATAATGATAAAGATAAGGAAACAAGAAATAGTTAATTAATATCTTGTTTTTTAGGTCAATCACAAGGCCGAAATGGCAAAGAAGGAAAAGGAGTTAAAGGAAAAGGCCAAGCAAGATATGGCTGCCTTCCTTCAACCAACCATTATTCAAGCCAAGGTACCATTGGGTGTCGATCCAAAATCAATTGTTTGCGAGTTCTTTAAGGCTGGTTCATGTGCAAAGGGTAACAAGTGTAAATTTGCTCATGATTTGAATGTTGCTAGAAAGGATGCCAAGATTGATATTTACACTGATCGTCGTAATGGTGAAGATAAGGGTAACTATAACTTTAACTATCATTATAATTATATCATTATATAATCATCATTTATGTCTTTTGATTTTAATTTAACCTTATTATTATTTATTTTATAGAAAAAGATTTAATGGAAACTTGGGATGATGATAAACTCAAGAGTGTCGTTTCAACCAAACAAACTCAAACAAATAAGAATCTCAAGACTGCTATTGTATGTAAATTTTTCCTTGAAGCCATTGAATCTGCCAAATATGGTTGGTTCTGGGAATGTCCAAATGGTGCATCATGCATGTATCAACATTGTCTTCCACCAGGATTCGTCCTTCAAAAGAAAAAGACAAAGGAAGATGAAGTAGAAGAAATCCCAATTGAAGAACTTATTGAAGAAGAGGTAAGAATAGAAAAGAAAAGAAAAAGAAGATTGATTGAAAATTTGGTAATGAATTCATTAGATATCTAATACTTTTATTGTTTTTCTTTTCCTTTTATTTTTTGTAGAGAGCCAAATTAACAAAGTCAACACCAGTAACATTAGAAACCTTTACCAAATGGAAAGCAGAAAAGAAAATTCAAAAAGAAAAGGCAGCCAAGGATGCAGAAGAAAAGAGAATGGCAGATATCAAGGCTGGCAAGACCTCTATGAGTGGAAGAGAAATGTTTGTTTTCAACCCAGACTTGTTTGTTGATGATGACTTTGCTATCGATGTCACATCCAAAGAATTTGAAGTTGATCCAAATGATGTCACATCTATTGCTTCCACTGTCGACAAGAGCTTATTTATTGAAGATGACGATATTCCAGACATGTCAGATGATGATGAAGATGAAGATGATGATGAGGATGACGGTGAAGATCAAGAGGAAGATGAAGAAGACGACGAATAAAAAAAAATGGAAAATATATATTATACACAAAACAAAAAGAGATGGAATAATAACATGATCGTTTATGAAAATCTACCTGATCATCAGGTTTTAATATGTATCATAATAATAACGAACGACGTTTATTTAAACTGAGATGTTCTTCAAAGTTTACAGATGCTTCATTGCTTGTCTTAGTACTGGATGATACCCTATCACAAAATATCGATTCTTAAGAATTGCGTACTCCGATGACAATGCTCGGTTTTTGACAATAATATGATACTCATTTTGTTGAGAAATATTCCTACATTTTTGTATTGATAACTATTGGAATTTGATCAACTGTTATTTATCTTTTGAATTTAATTATAAATGGGTTGGGGATGTATGATGACAAATTGAGCAGTATAGCAATCGATCATGTTAAACAGAGGATCTCTACCAGCTCACCCTATTGTTATCATTCAGTCTACTCGAGTTCTTCAACGCAACTTTCATCGCTACGTTTCTTCCACGTATGGAACAGTAGCCTCTAGTTGCGTACGACGTTTATTTAAACTGAGATTTCTTCTGGCTATCACAACTCAAAAGTTGGTGCATGTATAAAAAACTTTTCAAAACTGAGATGATGGGAACGAATTCGTTTACCATTTAGCTTTATCTTTTTTTTTTCTGTCAGGCAAAAACCGAGTTGCAGAAGACACAATATATATAATATTCGGTCGAGTCATTTACACACATGTGCCTACACTGATCGTTTCTCAGGTGCAGATATAAGACAATACAGGCATAGAGTAACTATATTCTTTACAAAACATCACTATGGGGGTAATTTATTCAAAGAATGTCTTAAAGGGTATCGTGGTCATGAGTAGGTACACAAGGACAGTCAAGCATACTCAAAATAGAAAGCATTTATTTTCCTCCAAAGGGGAGAATTGGTCATGATTTTGTATACCTGACAAGTAGTAGGCAACATCAATCGGTGTGGTGTGTCTTTTATCTGCACTACTCTAAAAGCAACAAAATAAATCAATGAAGCATTATTTGTAACTGACCTAATCATACGGATCACCTGATGAGAGATGTGTTGAGGTGACCCGTTGCAACGAGTCGACTGAAGGGGGAAGTTTGAATCACTAAAGTAGTATTCTACTTGTTTCATAATTTTGTGAGAGTGAAGCATCGTCTTTGGCTTGGGCAGCAACAGCGATGATAAAGAAGAATTCATTGGCCAAGATGAAGAGGAGTTCATCGACTTTTATAATGATGATGAAGAGGAGGACATCGACGCAGATGTAGAGGAACACAATGATAATGTGGATATCAATTGATGAAGCTTTCTAAACTACCAAACCAATCGACACTGATGACAAAGTTAACGCCGTCAAAACTCCAACATCTTAAACAACTCCAACAAATCCAACAACCACAACAACAACAATTGATAGTCGTTTAGGTTCGACTCTATCCAATATTTATTGATGATGGACATCTAGTTATGTATTTAAATGCTCAAAGAAATAAAATATTCATATGTATTATTATTGTTATTATTCTTTTTTATTCGTTTATTCGTTGGACTCTATCCAATATATTTATAATTCTTTAATTATCCATGGACAAAAATTACTCAGAGGCCAAATCCAAGAGTGTTTTGGATATTAGTTTGCAAATAGCAAGAAGAAAGAATCTCTTATCGGTCATTTAATTTCAAACTGTCATTGCGTATGGATAAATTACCCTTAGTGTTGTTTTAATTTTACTACAATGTTGAAGTCTATATGATACTTAACTTTATCATTTATGGATAGGCATGGATGTATTGTTTGATTAAATATTGAACTATAAAGCTGTAAGGGATAAATAAAAAGAGGAAAAGAAATATGAGTAGAATCAATAGAGCTACCATTACTCTTGTCTCAATCACAATGTTTCTCATTCTAAAAAAAAAACCAATATATAGATAATAAATATTAGTATCCAGATAATTTTGACTAAGAACCAAAATCTTTTATAAATATATAATATAAATTAAAGTAAGACTATAAACTACCATGAAATATTATATACATCACTAACCATTATTCTATTGTTTAAAGACAATAGAAATAAACCTCTTTTTTAAAATTATAGATTACACTTGTGGTAATATTATTATTATTATTTTAAAAAGACACTACAACTCCTTTTGGTTGGTGGGAGGATGTTCTAGTCTCTGCCAAATGGTCACATATATCTTCTGAGGGTAGGTTGCTGACTTTGAGAAAAAATAAACGCTCACAACACTTCAAATATTCATAACACATTTTAAAGTATTATTTTGAATTTGATTTAAAAATCATAAGGTTTATTTCTTTTATCTTTCTTCATTATCACTTATTTATTTTTAAGTTCCCTCCCCTCACTTCATTGTTGTACAACACACCAAATATCTATCTATCTATTACCGTCTTTTATTCTATACATCTTTTAATCTATATAAACATGTCCACAAATAATCTTGTTGAATGTCCCATATGCCAAAATATGTATCCATTTTTGGATTTAGGGACTTACGGAGATCAACAACATCCAATCGATAGTAATAATAATAAACAAGATGCTACAATGCAGGGTGATCTATTGAGAGCGAGAGAGAAATCCAACAACAACAACAATAATAATAATAAAAATAATAATAATAAGTGAAAAGTCAAAATCATCGAACTGAGAGAATTGTGCGGGGCTCATACAAGTGTGTATGACAGACTCTGAGTTTTTCAGCTAGTTTGTTTTGACTTTGCACATAATAATAATAATAATAATAATAATAATACTACAACAATTAGTATCAAATTGTGGGATCCAAACAATTACAAGAGATGCATGCAATGTGGTACCCAAATAAATTTGTCATTTTGGGATTTCCACCAATCACAGTGCCTTGACATATTAGCAAAAGGTGTCAAGGTGGATGGTCAAAATAATTGGTGGTCAAGATGAAATCAAGGACAACAAAGATCCCCAAATGAAACCATTATTAGATGACGAACTAATGGATGAAAAAGTTGGGGTTGACGTCCAAATGGAACCTCTTTCTGGTGGTCAAGATGATGATGATGGCGACGATGACCATCATGCATTTACAGATTTCCAAGATGAGGAAAAGTTAAAAATTTAACAGACAAGGATTTATCAATTGCACTTGATTCTATCCCCACTCTTTGTCAAGGTATGACATTAAATCATTTATTAATATCATACATTTATCTATAAATCATTTAATCTAACATTTTTTTGTTTTTTTTGATTATTATCTTTAGATTTCAATAATCGAGTGACAATCGAATTCAAGAAAAAAGTTGAAGCAAAAGCTGCGTCAAAGAGTCAACCCTCAAACGCGCGTATCAACAAGTCTCAATTACAAACTCTGGGCCAGGTCATATGTGGTGAGGGTCTAATTGTGCATTGCCAAAGAAACGAACGAAAAAAACTTATTTTTCATCCAAGACTCGAAATATGCATCTATCTCCAATTAATTATTCTCTATTATTATAACATAGAACAGTTGGACCACATATGACCTGGCCCAGAGTTTGTAATTGAGACTTGTTGATACGCGCGTTATATAGATAACTTTAAAATACACAATTTATTTATTTATTTATACATTTACATTTACTTGTTTAAATCATTAATAGCAAATAGAATTCTTTTTGATTCACCCATTGTTAGAGATAGACGATTGAGGTCATATTCAGAGAGTTGGGTGAGAATGTCCATTGTGATGGATTGGTCTTCAAACGTTTTGATCAGGTGAGGAAGTTTGGAGAGACTTTAGAAGTGTTCTTACACCACCAACCTTGTAGATTTCGTTTTTGATGGTTTGGTAGAGTGTCTCGGCTTGGTCGGGTGGTGCCAAGGCTAAACACTTGCGTAGAGTTTCCTCGGTGTAATTGAGGAGATCCAAACCGTTGGTGTTGAGACGGTCAAACTCATCGGCAACGGCCGGGGCGTTATGACGGAGTAAAAAGTAACTGTACACGTGACGGTCTGTAAATTTGTTAATGTACAATGGGATAGAGGCAATTTCACTGAGAGGATCTGGACGGTATTGAATGTTTGGATCAGAGTAGACGATCGAGATGGGTACCTTGGTGATGAGATCGACACAGTTTGGAATATCGAGAATTGCATGCAACACGTATTCAACCTTGATTGCCTTTGGATAATAGGTAGAGGTTGGCAAGTCGTGTGGCAACTCGAAAACAAACGAGTGAGTACCTTGTGACCCCTTGTTAATCTTTGGCAAAAAGTATTTCTTGCTTGATGCAACCTTTACAATGGACTTTGGTTGATCGTGACGATCCTCGTTTCTGTAGAGATCAAAATCAATCTTTTTAATTGTCTTTTTGCTGTTGTTGTTTACAGTCACCTCCATTTCAATATCTTCACCTCTAACATAGGAATTCTTGGCAGATTTAATTGTCATTTCAATTGATCCTCCTGATAATGGTGATTTTGATGCCTACAGAAACAAAATAAAAGATATTAATTTAAAAATGAATGAATAAACTTGATTCATTATTGATTTATACTACATACTGTCACATTTAATGGAATGTTTGTAATTTTAAAGATGGTATCTTCAATGTTTACAACATTGACTGTAGCGTTGAGAGCTTGGTCTGGGAGATTGACGACATCAGCAGTTGCAAAGAGAGAGTATTCCACCTTGAAATCATTGATGTGGGTACTTGATTGACACTCTTTTGGAATAAAGAATTGGAATGGGAAGATGTGCTTTCCACACTCGAGACGAACCTTTTTATCGGGTACTAGTTGGAGTAGGTTACGAGAGTCGTAAAATAGACTACGAATGGTCTTTCCACGATACGAGATCTTACCCTTGAATTGTACACGCAACGAACGAATAACAATAAATGGTTGTGACACTGAGTACAAAAGAGACATGTCTAGTGGTTGACCGGTAATGTAGGTACGTGCAGTGTAGATCTCTCCATATGGTGAAAAGGATAGCTTGGTTTCAAGTGGATAACAACTGACGTATTGTGGTGCAAAGTAGACTGGTGGTGGTAATCCAAAGCCTTGTAGAGCATTGACAGTCTGTTGTACTGCAGCCAATTGTGGACTGGCTTGAATGACTTGAGGAGCAACACCTCCAACAGTAGTATAGGGTGGATTAAAATCAAAAGATACTCTTACAAAACCTTTCTTGGTGAGACTTAACCATTGGTCTCTACTACCTTGTAATACATTGTTTTTCAACAATGATACTGGTACTTGAACAGATCCCAATACTTTATCGGCTCCAAATCTCTCCTTGTCATAAATTTCAATTTCAATCAATGTTTGATCATCAACTGATTGTCTAAGAAGTAAATAAATAAATAAATAAATAAATAAATAAATAAATAAATAAATATTAATATCATATGATATATAGTCTAAAGTATATAAAACAACATACAATTCAACGATATGATTCCAAACAGGAGCCAAAGATTTCTTGATAACTTCAGTTTTATAAGTTTGACCTAAACATTTTACAACTGTATAGGGATCAGATGAATCTATAGATAGATAGATTAAATTAGTATCATATATCTATCACGTGAGTCTCTATCTCTATAAATACATACTTCCATCATTTGCTTTCAACTCTTTTGCTTCAACAATAACTAATCTAAGATTTCTTCTTTCCATTTTAGATATCTCGAGATTTATCTAATGTATTATTACAACTATTATTAAAAAAATACAATGAGTGATTGTGAGTTGTAGTGAGACTACAACAAGCTGATAAAGTTTAAAAAATATCCGTTGCCCAATTAAATCAAAAAATTCTAAAAATATCTTTGTGTATTTGGGATAGGCATCACCACTTGGTGGCTTGGCTAGGACACGATATAATGTTGACCTCTAGTCTTTGATGGGTAAGACTCGATATCCACAGAGATCTGATCTTTTCTTTAGATTTCATTATGATTCTGGTCAAATAATACTTTACCTTGCTTGATTTGCAAGGTTGCCTAGATTAATATTATTCTAATGAGAGAGTTTTGAAAAAAGATGGTTAAAAGTTAGAGAGATGAAATAAAGAAAATATAAATACTCATGATAACTATTATTACAAAGGCTATGTTTCAATTTGTATATACATATACATTTTCTAGAAAAAAAAAAAAAGAAATGAATAAATTAGTGGTATTAGTTTTATGTCTATCTACATTTATAATTGGATCAGTTGTTGCCAATGAACAAGAAGATGTAATTCCAAAGATGATTGTTATCAGTTCTTCAAGAATGCCAAATGTAATCTTTGACTTGAGAGAAACGAACGGCCAATGGAATATTAGTACTCGAGTCGTTATACTTTAGAATCTTGATGGCACTCTTTGAAGAGTTTAGAGATATTCCAGATGGTGCAGACTATCGTTCAAAAGAACCAATCTTTGGTGGAGAGTATCATGCCATAACACGTTCACCCAACAAGCGATTCAGTTGGAATCATGCTGCCTCTACCAAACCAAAACTATGTATTCTTTTAGAAGAACTAGTTGAACGTCTCATACTATCAGTTGAAAGTCCAAAGTAGTAAATAGAAATATAAATAAATAAGTCAGATTTATACACAGACTTGAAATAATAATATTTCATCTCATCTTTGCAAAGACTAAAATATATTTTTTTTCTTGGAAATTGTTAAAAATCGACCAAGTCAAACAACTCTGAACCAATAATTTTTAATTTCACACAAGCAACTAACTAAAGTTACAGAGTTTAGTAAAACATATTTATAGATAGAGATAAATAATCATGGCATCAAGACAAAGAAGACAAATAGAAGAGGAAGAAGAGGAAGAGGAAGTTGATGTACAACAACAATCAGAAGGAGAGGAAGCAGCCGCTGAAGCAGCAGAGGAAGAAGACGAGGCATTCATTCCAATCAGTAGATTGCAAGATGTAAATGGTATTACAGCTGCCGATATCAAAAAGCTTCAAGAAGCTGGTTTGAATACAGTACAGTCGATTGTTCATAGCACCAAAAAGATGTTGTGTGCCATCAAGAATATCTCTGAAACCAAGGCAGACAAGCTTATTGCCGAGGCAATGAAGATCTTCAAGACTGGTTTTACATCGGCATCTTTGGTCAACCAAGCGCGTAAACAAATCATTCATCTTACCACTGGTAGCAAGGAACTCGATAACTTGTTGGATGGTGGTTTCGAAGCTGGTTCAATCACCGAGTTGTTTGGTGAGTTTAGAACGGGAAAGACTCAAATCTGTCATACCCTCTGCGTTACTTGTCAATTATCAATCAATCAAGGTGGTGGTGAAGGTCGTGCTCTCTATATAGACACTGAAGGTACTTTTAGACCTGAACGTCTATTAGAAATTGCTGAAAGATTTGGTTTAGATGGTGAATCTGTTCTAAGTATGTAGAAATAATAATATTAAAAATATATATATATACTTTTATTTTCTATTCTAACTCTTTCTTTTCTTTCTTTTTTTTTAGATAATGTTGCATATGCAAGAGCATATAATACAGATCATCAATTACAATTATTAGTTCAAGCATCAGCTATGATGTCTGAATCTAGATACAGTTTGTTGATTGTTGATAGTGCAACAGCACTCTATCGTACCGATTACAGTGGTCGTAGTGAGTTGTCTGATCGTCAAAGACATTTGGCACGATTCCTACGTGGACTCCAACGTTTGGCCGATGAGTTTGGCATTGTCGTCATCATCACCAATCAAGTCGTCGCAACTGTCGATGGCAGCGTATTCAATGCCAACCCAATCAAACCAATTGGTGGTCACATCATCGCTCACGCCTCTACCACTCGTCTCTCTCTCAGAAAGGGTAAGGGTGAGAATCGTATCTGCAAGGTATATGATTCACCTTCACTTCCAGAAGAGGAAAAACAATTTGCCATTTATGGTTATGGTATTGGTGATATTAAAGATGAATAAGAAAAATAATAATAATAATAATAATAATAATAATAACTGGTGGGAATATTTGGGGACAATCATTATAATAATAAACAACACAACAACCTTGTAAATTTATCAACAAACAAGTGATGACAATCAATTATTTATTACATTGATGATCATAGCAGATTATTACTTGAAGAACCAAACAAATATTTATTTAATCAGATTGACCAATCTTCCAATTCTGACTAGGAGGGGTGGATTGAATTGCACACACATAAAGATTGGTTGACCTCCATGCATAGATCATTTTGTTTAATTTTTCCGAAATCATCCAACAAAAGATGAATAGTGATGATCGATATTCAATCATTATTCTACTTTTGGTGGTAATATTATTTATTAGTGTTTTGTTGAATGTGTATCAGTGTGTCAAAAGATCAAGACGTCTGACCGAATAATGTCCAGCTGAACATTATTATCTATTAGCTCCACAACCCACTCTTAAATCTCCTACCTCCAACGCACTGATAACAATGATATCCATGCCAACAATATGCCACCGATCCAATATTACCATCACACCTATCTCTTGTGATTGAAACCTCAATCCTTTTCCAACAACAAACACACAACACACAATTATTATTATTAATTGATTTTCAGATATTAATTAATCATTTAAAACAACTCACAATGTAAGTCCCTTCCCTAGCTATTCATCTTACACACACTATGATCTTGATTTATCTGTTCGGTTGTATTGTTGTTGGTGACCCTTTTTTATCGACAACCTCCTGTTTTGGGGTTATTTCCTTTTTTACGAGTGAGACTATATTTAGCTTGGTTGTGACACATTGTGTGTTGTTGTTTTCTTCTTGTTGTTGTGATGCGAAGCGATGAATAAATCCAACTATGCACAGAATGTTGTTATGTTTTAAACTTGCAACATCATGTAATATTATTAATAATAATAATAATAATAATAATAATAACACCATTGATTACATCAACAATAAACACAAATAGTAACAACATCCCATCCATACACCCCTCCTCCTCCTCGCATCGGACAAGCAACCGACCACATCACTTCACCTGATTTCTCTCTCTCTCTTTTATATTCTTCATTTCTTTCTTTGTTCGTTTACTTAACTGTGTAACGAATCATCATCATTATAATTCATCATAATTCATTATAATTAGTCAAACAGTAGAGAGAAGAAGAAGAAGAAGACTATTTATTATTATTAATAATAATATATAATATAAACAAAATATAGATAGATAGATAAATCATGGTATATCAATTAATACAATCAACATTTAAAAAGAAAAAGAAAGCAGTAATATTACCACATTTGGTAGAGAATGAAATCATAAGGATATTGATGAATGATAGATGGTTGCTTCCATTTAGGTGGCGTATTTCATTGTCGTTGGTGTGTTGGCGATGGTTTAAACAAGTGTCTATACAATTACAACACATGTCGATTGTCGGAACACGAAGACACTACCGTTCACTACTCAATCATATCAATCAGCCAACCTGCTTGATTCGTTCACACAATATCACATCGGTACACTTTAACGATGATGGCATCGAGTTGGGTGAATTTGGAGGATACCTTCCTTGTCTTTTAAACGATCAAGATTATGATTCAAGTGAAGAGGAATTGGAATTGGATGTATTTGGTGTATTGGTTGGCGGTGATCATTTTAATGATGACTATCAACAACATCAACAACATCAATTTCAACACCAATTGACAGTTAGCGAGAAAAGATCAAAGAGATTAGCAAAACATCCACTGAGATATGTACATGAAAGACATGCACAGCTACTTAGAGCTCTTTATTTCCCACACGATCATTTGGTATCGTTAGAGTTGGTTTGGACAAATAGTGGATTATTGGCACCTCTACTCAAAGGTCTCTCCTTTCCAGCACTCAAACATTTTAAATTCACGTACAACAAATACCCACCTTTACACAACTTTAATCCTTGTGAATTGTTATCCAACTCTCCCTACCTCGAATCACTTCATTTACATTTACTCTCATTTGATCATCTTGCAGAACTATCAACTATTGTTAAAAAGCAGATCAATATCTTTCGTAAACTATCTATTGTCACCCATCAACCCAACGCCAATCATTCATCACATCAAATATGTTGGAATCTAATTGATATATTAAATAATAACAATAATCATCATCCTAATAATCAACAATCACCTGTATATATACATAATAATAATCAACAACTGATGATTCCAATCAAATCATCAATTGCACCACAATTAACGTTAATAACCTATTTTAAATTATCGGTATTGCCAACACGAGATCACAACATACCAACACTTTTCCAACTACTTTCAAGAATGCCAAATCTAAAGACACTATTACTCCAAATTTTTGATTTGAATGTATACCAACACACCAACAAGTTTAACGGCGACCTATTACGTTACTTGGTATTGTGTGATCAAGAACACAGACAATTACGTCGTCTATCATCTTCACTCGATATTGACAGTAACCATATGCTGTCTGCACTAAAGTCTTCGACGACACTCCAACGAATATCAATCAACTTTTCCAAATACTCTCTACCCAACCAATGCCTCCGACTCAACCATTCATTTAAACCACAACTCTATCGATTGGATCTATTTAAACTTCCACAACACGAATTACTCGTCTACGATCTACTCAACAGCAACCCACATTTGCGATGCTTCACCGTACGTAATTGCAATACCATGACCGACACGATGGCACAAGTTATCCATAAACACATTGCACGACCAGACACTCAACTTGCCTACTTTAAGTTGAAATCCGTTCCCTATATGAAATGGTCACTTGTCCAAATGCACAAATCACTAAAGACATCGAAATCAATAAGAGAAGTCAAGATACAAATATTTTTCCCCCATTCTACTCCTACTCTCCAGATGAGACAAGAGTTATTCAAACCAGCAGACCTATTCACCAAAAAACAATTACCCAACATTGATATTTTAATTCAATCTTCATCCGATTACCATGAACTTCAAAATATCTTTCAACAACAATCAACTTTTATTTATTAACACTAAAAAAAACAATATAATATAAATTAGAAATGAAAGGAATAGGGAAAGAAATAATAATAATAATTATTATTATTTCTTTTTTTTTTTTAAAAACATACAAAAAATATTCGTTACTATTAAAAGTTATTTATTATTTATTTGTTATAAAGTGAAGTGATAAGTAAACAGGAGATTGTTTTCGTCGCTTTATCAAGTGGCCCCACAAATAGTTTAAATCTATGTTTTTGGATAATGCCAAGATGATTCATTGAAAAGACGACGTTGAGGAGACTCTCCGTCGATTTTTTCAATTTTTTGTTTTTTTCTTGAATCTATCAATGTTGTTGGGTGATGGGTTAATCACTCTGAGAGAATATCTTATCTACAACTATTGTTATTTATCTCTATTATATATATTTATTTATTTGTGTATTATTATTATTATTATTTAAAAGAAGAAAGAGGATAGTTTGTTGTATTATTATTAGATTTTTTATATATTATTATTATTATTATTATTATTCCCTTTTTTCTTTTCTTGTTATAATACCATATATCTATAATATCAATCATGTTAAATTTTATTAAAGGAAAAGATAAAGATCATAAAAAGGATAAAAAAGATAAAGATGGCAAATCATCATCATCATCAGCATCATCTGGATCTGGAGCAACATCACCTGCTTCAACAACTACATCACCAACATTGCCATCACAACCATCAGGTGAAGATCTGTCACAACAATTTGTACAACTGTTGGAAGAATTGGGAGTACCAGATTCTAAAAAGTCAGAGATGAAGGCATGGAGTAATGACAAAAAGTGGATGCTCATCGCACAACACAAAGACAAGATGCGTGATAATGAAGAAAAAATGAAGCAAAAGGGTGGTCTCTATGAAACACCTCAATACTTTTTATCGGTGCTTCGTGAAAATGCAATGACTCAAAAGACAATCTCTGACCTTCGTGTCTGTCTTGCCTCCAACACCATGTCTTGGATTAATTCATTCCTTCAACTTAATGGTTTTGTTGAAATGCTTAAAATATTTCAAACTTTTCAATTAAAAGCAGAGTATGTCCATATATTTATATATACATAATAATAATATCTATATCTGTATCCTATGATCAAATTAACTTATATTACTCTATCCCTATTTAAAAAGTAAAACAAAAGAAGATTATGGAATTATGACAGATTGTGTAGTTTGTATAAAATCATTACTTAATAGTCAAGTAGGTTTGAAATGGGTCATGTCAACATCACATACATTCAAACTATTGGTTCTATGTTTGGATTTAAATTATCCACCTGAACTCCGATCACTCATTCTTTCACTGACTGCTGCACTCGCATTGGTTCCCCAAATCGGTCACAACTTTTTATTAGAGGCAATCGAAAACTTTAAACAACATACTAGAGAAAAATGTCGTTTCTGGACTTTGGTTCAAGGTGCCAAACAAGTTTCAAAATCTCAATTACAATATGAATATTTTGTATGTAAAACAAAAATGAAATAGATAGATAGATTTGTATATTCTAATTTATATTCTCTTTTTAGACATCATTTATAACATTTGTAAATTCAGTTGTTAATAGTCCAACAGATTTACAAACACGTATTGCGTTGAGAGCAGAATTTACAAGTTTGGAATTACTTGAATTGATTAGACCTGCAAGAGGCAAACATGAAGAGTTGGATGTTCAATTGGATGTATTCTTTGATTGTATGGAGGAGGACAGCCAAGAGGTGGACTCGCAATACACAGATGTAAATATTAGATCGCCGGTCGAGGTATCGGGCAAGTTGGATGCGCTACTCCAGCAGACACCGGCTCTTCATCACCGTTTTATGAACATTATGAAGTGTCTCTATACGTTGACGTCGACACAACCCGATCTTGGAGGAAAGACCTGGAACTTGCTCGATGAGACGGTCGGATCGATTTTGGCCGACCCCACAAAGAGCACGTTTGACGAGCAGATCTATAAGCTCAATCAGGAAAACAAAAAGTTGTTGGAGCAGATTGACGGCATCTCCAAGCGAAGATCGCAGATTATCACACCTGCACAAATCGAAAAGCAGTTGGCTGCTGCCACCATACAAGCTGAAACCCCACCAAGAGGAAACTCATCGGCCGAACTTGACGACATTGATTTGTCAGTCTACACTGACAAGATCAAGACACTCGAGACACAGTTAAAATCACGTGTCGATCAAGAAGAGAGATTAAAAGATACTCAAGATAAAATCCAACAACTCAACAAGGAGCGTTCGGATCAATTGGAAAAGATTCGTCAATTGGAATTAAAATTGGATCAAGCTGTTGCAAATGCTGCTAATCAACCTGCTGTTGCTGTTAGTGCTGCTGCTGCTGTTGCGGGACAAGAGGAACCTGCTGCTGCTGCTGCTGGAGGACCTCCACCACCTCCCCCTCCACCTCCACCAGGTCCACCACCCCCTCCACCTCCACCAGGCGGTGCTGCTGGTGGGCCACCACCTCCACCTCCTCCTCCAGGCGGCCCACCACCCCCACCACCTCCACCAGGTAGCAAGGGTGCCCCAGGAGCTCCAGCAGCTCCAGCAGGGCCAAATCTTCCAGCTCTCAAGAAGCAACCAACTCCAACCACCAAGATGGTCGGTCTCCAATGGAAAAAGGTACAAAACAATGCCATTGAAAACTCAATCTGGATGAATGCCAAAGACTTTAACATCAAGGATCAACTCAAAGGATTAGAGGATTTGTTTGCCGCCAAAAAGCCAGCTCCAGCTGCTGCTCCATCTTCAGGTGGTGCTGCTCCATCCTCTGCCGCTGCAGGAAAACTAGGAGAAAGCTCAAAACAACCTGCCATCTCTATTCTAGACACTAAACGTTCACAAGCCATTTCAATCATGTTGAGTAGATTCAAAATGCCATTTGGTGATTTGGCCAAGATGATCAACAATCTCGACGCCAAGATTACACTCGAGGACGCCAAGTCACTTGTCAAGTTTGCTCCAACACCAGAGGAAATTGAAATACTCCGTGAACATGATGTTCATTCTCTTGGCAAACCCGAACAATTCCTCTATGAAATGTCAAAGGTCAACAGATACACTGAAAAGTTGGAATGTTTGATATTCAAGCAAAAGATGGGTGACCAAATCGAAGAGTTGACACCAGAGATTGATGTGTTGCAACGTGCCAGCGAGCAATTAAAGACGAGCAAGTCATTCCACAAGCTTCTCGAGTTGGTATTGTCGTTGGGTAACTTTATCAATGGTGGTACACCACGTGGTGACCTTTATGGTTTCAAGCTCGACTCGCTTTCATCGCTGTCCGAGATGAGATCGACCACCGACAACAAGACCACTCTTCTCAGCTGGATTGTTCAATACGTCACTGACAAGCAACCTGAAATTGCACCATGGATAGAGTCGATTGCCGCCGTTGAAGAGGCCAAGCGTATCTCGCTGCAAAACATAAAGTCAGAGGTTGGCAGTCTCAAAAAGGGTGTCAATTTGCTCAAAAACGAAGAAGAGTCGAGTGAAGGTGCTGCCAAGGCCATCATCCAATCGTTTATGAAACAAGCCAACGACGCTGTCGCCACGATCGATAAAAAGGCTACTGCAGCATCCGAATCATTTGCACAGTGTGTTGCCTTTTACGGTGACGACAAGTCTGCCACTCCAGAAGACTTTTTCGCCAATGTCAGTAAATTCAGATCAGATTACAAGCGTACTATTGAACAGATCCAACGTGAAAAGGAGAGTGCCAACAAATTAGCTGCCAAAAAGAGTATCAGTGCCGGTAGTGGCCCAAATGCCAACAAACCAGGCGTACCAATGCCAGGTATGGGTGGCAAACCACCTGCCTTTAAACCACAAGCACAAGCAACTAATCCAATATCTAGCAACGCATTCCCAACCATCATGGCTCCCGTTGGCGATGACAATGATGACAAACCAGGTCAAGGAAAGTTTATGGATTCTCTAATGTCTTCAATGAAGGGTGGAAAAGCTATCTTCCTATCGAGAAGAGCAAGTCATTATATTGGTGATGATAAAGGTGATCATTTAGGTGCTTTAAATAATGCTCTAAGTAGTAAACATAATTAAAAAAAATAAAACAAATATTTATTTATTCCAAAAAAGAAAGAGAAAAGAAGATTTCTATCTTCTATTTATTTATTATTTTAATTTAGGAATAGTACTACTTGGTAATTGAAAATCAAAATTAACATTTACTTGACAAATGTTTTGTTGTGTTTTATATTGTTTCATGGTTGGGGTTGTCCAACCATTAAAAGGAACAAAATCTTGGAAACTAGTGTCACCATCATCTTGTGAGTAATAAAGTGGGTATGATGAACCGGCAGTGTATTGCGGTCCCATGATTTCCTGCCAAGCAGACATGGTGGTAAAGATGCCAACAGGGAAGCCACCCTTGACATTGATGATATTAACAAATTGAGTAAAGTAGTTATTGTTGGCTTGTTGATCGTTTTGAGCCCATTGACCAGGTTGACTCATATCGATCCATGCTATAAAGTTGGGATTTAAAAGAGGTAATCTAGTTTGAAGGAAAACAACCAGTGCATTGGCTTGAAAGAATGCTTCACCACAATGATAACATATTTTGATTGAAAGATCAACCAATGTAATATTATTAGTCATTGCCAATTTGATATTTGGTGGGCATGATGGGTTTCCAAATCCATGTTCATTCCAACACTAAAACGAAAAGAAAAGTAAAAAAATGAATGAGCATCGATATCGACTAGTTTGATCAAACATCTTGTGTATACATACATTGACAACCATATAATCTATATTGTTTTGTTGATTTAAACATTGTATTGATTCTTTGGGTATTGTAGTGTTTACATCTACTCCCAATACTGGGTCGGTATTAGTATTATATCTGTTATTTATATTGTATCTATTATATATATTATTATAATTATTGTTATTTATTCTTATTCTATTATTACTATTACTGTTACTGTTACTATTACTATTACTATTACTACTACTATCAACCAATTGAATACAAAAAATACTATTTACAAAAGAAAACAAGAGGAGGGTTAAGGTGATTAATATATATATTGATTTCATTTCTTATCTATCTATCTTTATGATCGATATTTTAACATAGTTTTATTTATATATATAAGTTATGATGATGATAATGATGTCAGCAACAATGTCACAACATGTTGAAGAGGAGATCTTCTTCTTTCACTGGGAAAAATAAAAATCAATAAACAAAAAATCGTGAGAAAACTCGTGATCCAAACCTCTTTTTTGGAAAGATATCTTGGGAAACTTGAATAAAAACTAGATAAAGGAGTCAAAGATGTTTTAATTTCTTGATCCCCTCTCCTCTATTTTTTATTTATATATTAAAACTACTAAATGTACAAAAAAAAGAGTAATCGATTAAATTCATTAACTTAATTTGATACTCCATCTAAAATTGTTTTTTTCTTTTTAAGTGGATTCACTTGTTCTTCTGGTTGACTACTGTTATTATTATTATTATTATTATTGTTATAGTCATCATCATCTTGGTCAATATGAGATCGCTTATGTTGAGATTGTTGAGTTATCCAAGGATGATTTAAAGCATCTTTTACAGTGATTCTTTGTTGTGGATTTACAGTTAATAATTTCTTTACCAAATCTCTTCCAGTGACACTGATGTCTGCCCAAATCTCCTCTGGAAATCCATAACTACCAGTACAAATTTGTTCAAATATTTGTGGTGTAGATGTAAATTCATCTCCTGTATCATCAAAAAATGGTGGTTCTCCACTCAACCTATATTAAAATAAATAGATAATTAAATAAATTAATATTATTTCTACTTTTTTTTTCTTTTTTTTTTGTTTTCTTACAAAATATATAAAATAGCACCTAAAGACCAAGCATCACAACTAAAACCATAACCTTGAGCAGATAAACTTTGATGTAAATCCTTATTTTTAGATTTTGAAACAATGACCTCTGGTGCTACGTATAAAGGTGTTCCACATAGGGTACGTGCCAATTCATTTTCTCCAATCACCCTGGCCAATCCAAAATCGGCAAGTTTAATTTTGTTTGGTTCGTTAGAGTCAAAGAGAATGTTTTCGGGTTTGAGATCACGATGAGCTATACCACGAACATGTAAATAGTTGACAGCGTCCAATAATTGGTTGAATATAAGACGGGCATCATCTTCGCAAAACGACCCGTCATTGGCCAGTTTTTCATACAACTCCCCGCCCGTTGCCAACTCCATGACAATGTATAGATGAAGATCCGATTGAAAGATATCATAGATTGATATGATGTTGGGGTGGTTGGTAGCTTTTAAAATCTCTACTTCACGCTCCAACTGTAAAAGGTAGCGTGGGTTTCTTTGGTATTTGGCAAGGTCGATATCTTTGACGGCGACTTTGACGGCACGAGACTTGTTGACACCAAGATAGACCGTGCTAAAGTTACCTCTTCCCAATTCACCAATGAGATCGTATTCCTTGAATATCTCCTTTTTGGCAAGACTGTCCCATATCGATTGCTTGTTTTGTTGGCCATTTCCACCTGATTGATTAGACTTGAGATCTTTAAAAATGTATGAGAGTTGATTCTCTTGTGATGCACCTGCCAAACTGATACGATCACCATTCTTGATCAACTCGAGGTTACCACGTCCGATTGGCTTTCCATTCAGATAGGTCCCATTAGTACTAAGGTCTTGAATGAATATAGAGTCGTTGTTTCGGAACAACCGACAATGCTTTGCACTGACCACCAACTCTGCTATTTGTACATTACACGATTTCAATCGACCCAATACCAACGACTCGTCTTTAAGTGACACCGACTGCAACTTCTCTCCCAAACTGAGTAGTTCACCCCAGTACAGGTCGTCTTGTTCCTTTTGTTTCTTTCTCTTTTCCACTTCCTCTGCTAGTTGTTGTTGAAGGTCGTTTCCGCCTGTTGTATGCTGCTCGGGTGTTGTTGTTTGTGATGATGATAATTGTGTGTTTGGGAATGACATATCATCTTGTTGACTCGTACTATCGATATCTTGTTGACTTGCATTATTATTGTCTGGTTGTTGTGATTGTTTGGTTGGAGTTGATGCAAAAGGATCTGAATTGGTGAATTTAGTATTATTTACAATCATTCCTCACTCTCCTCTTCTCTTTCTCTTTATCTATTCTTGAATGAAACTGATGGTTGGCGACCAAATTTGATAACATTTACAACTTTGGTAAAAATAATTATACTAAGAATTTTTGAATTTTGGCGCCAACCATTGACCTCTGCACATTACATATTTTATCAAATAACAAGCCCATTTTCAAGATTAAACAACACGGCAACAATCTCTGCCAAGTTAAACCATTTTACTAACTCCTCTTTTATTTTTAGAGATACCATAGTTTCCATCATCCTCTTCACAAACAACCAAATAATTTTTAAAATTTAATAAATTAGTTCACATCTAAATTCAGGGAGCCTTTTATTTATTCGATGGGGGAGTATTGTTGAGTATGAAAGTTTGGATCCTATGATAAATTGGATCATGTAAAGGAGAATAATAAACATATTAAAAATTTTGAAAAAATCCAATAGTAGGGGTGTTCTCTCAAAAACCCATATTCACAATTCATATTTAAACAATTTATCTATCATCAATCACTGTCATCATAATAATTGTTCGTTCAGAGTAGTTGTGTGTGAATAATAATACTTGCTAGATTGTGAATAGAAGGAAAGAGAGAGATGGGCAAGCACAATCAAGGTAGTGAAGAGGAGGACGGAGAAGACATGGAGGACGGAGAGTTGGACACGCCCGTGCAAGAGAGTTACAGCAAGAGACCAAACCCCTCCTATGTCTATCGCAGAGGATCATACTTTCCAAACTTTGGAGGAGGTGTCAATCGAATCAACCACCAACCACCTCCTCCTCCACCTACCATCACAATGTCGCGAGGCGGACTCGTCGTCATCCCAGGAGGATATAATGGACAACCAGCAGCAGCACCACCTCAACCACCACTCTCACCTACATCATCATCCTCTACAAATATATCGTCTACTACTGCAACTACTACTACTTCTACTGCAACAAGAGCAGCAACGACGATGGGGTCACCACAACCTAATAACAATACAACAACAACAGACTTGGTAGGAAGAGGTGCTCCACCCCCACCACCACCACCACCACCACCACCAACTACAACATCACCACCATCTTCTAGATATAGGTCACCGACACGATCATCTTCGAGGTCTAGGTCGCGATCGCGGTCATACTCTTCGTCGAGATCGCCGTCGCCGCGATACAGCAGACAGAGATCATCGCGTAGACGATCATCGTCGAGATCGCGATCAAACAGTCGGTCAAGAGACAGAAGATACAGAAGAGATCGAGACCGATCACGCTCGCGTGACAGAGGACACCGATCCTCGCGTCGAGACAGTCGACAATCCGACAGAGACAGAGATAGAGATAGAGATAGAGACCGAGACAGACACCGTGACAGGGACAGAGACAATAGATACTCTAAACGAACATCGTCACGAAGAAACAGCTCACCATCTCCACCTCCACCTCCTCCACCACATTCTCCACCACCCCCACCACCTCCACCAATGCACTCTGATGGAGGAAACGGAACGTCACAAAGCAATACCCCTCCATTCCAATCAAAGATATCGATTGCATTTGGCAGTAGTAGTAATAATAATAGTAAACCTTCATCATCTAAAAACAGTAAAACAACATCACCATTACTTACATCACAATCACCTCCACTACCACCTCAAACCTTTATGGAAATTGTCAATGGAGAGAATCAAATATCAAGACTCAAAGACTCTTTGAAACAACCTAAATTCTCAAACGAACCCAATCAACCTTCATTCCCCATCCGTGCCAAGGGTGGAGACTGGAAGATAACCAATGATAGCAAGCTGACAGCTTCAATCTCTGCGAGTGAGGAGTTGGATGATCCTGCCAAACAACAATTGATTCAATCTCAAATACAACAAAGTATACGTCAGTATAGAATCAATGGGTTTTGTGATCCAACAGATACTATCGATGTCATTCTTAGTGGATTTGGTGATCCTCGTCCATCATCTATCAATCATTCCTCTTATTTCCTTAAATCAATTGATTTGGCTGTACCTAATTTTATTGTAAGTATTCAAGTTATCGATATCATATTCATTGTTCTTACTTTTTCTTTTCTCTCTTGTAGAATGATAAAAATAGTCAGATTACACAACAACCAAGAACTATTTGTTTATCGAATCTACCAACAAGTGTAGATGAATCATTGTTGACAGAGATATTTGAAAAATATGGAGAGATTGATAGAGCTTCAATATATACACACCCACTTAAAGGAAATAGTACTGGCATTGCGACCATTAAATTCTATGAAAGTTCACATGCCATCAATGCATTTAAACAATTTACAGAGAACCCTTTTATTCCAGGTACTAGCAGCAGCAGTAGTAATAATCGTATCAAAATCAATATGGATCCAAATGGAAATTTATCACAATGGTTATTTGAATTTATTGCTCCAGATACAAAAGTATGATAACAGAAATAGAAGAAAAAGAGGATGATTAAATATTTATTTATGTATCTATTTATTTTTAGAAATTAACTACGAGTAGATTAATAAGAGATTTGGAAATATCAGAATATGGTGGAATGACATTGGATCCAACATCTTCAAATCAACAGACAAATGCAGGTGATTGGATGGCACAATTTGGTATATCAAAATCTGCAGTATCATCAATCAAAGAAGAAACTACTACATTGAAAAACAATGACCATTTTGGAAATGAAGATTCATTTTCAATTGTAGAGTATTCTGGAAACAATAACAACAATAATAATAACAACAATAATAATAATAATAATAATAATCATAAACAACAACAATCATATCATTATTCACCAGACAGCAACTATGATCCATATAAACCATTAGACTCTTTTAATTCACCTCATCCATATTCAGAGTCAATCTCTGAATATGATCCATTTTATCCAACCGATTCTATATATTCCCCACGCGAAGAAGATTATCCTCAATATTTTAAGAGTATGAAATAAGAATAATATAATAGCCCTCAAGATAATACTGATTTCTAACCACCATCTTTTTGTAAATTTAGATTATAATTTTAAACAACAAAAAAATACACATCAAATCCCTTTTACTGTACAGATACCTTTTTACTCAGCCATTTACAAGGATAAAAAGAACAGAGACAAATTATATCGACACTTTAGAATCTATGATCCAGTCAATGTATATTATGATGATTTCAATTGGTTTATTGATTTCAAGACAATGGAAATTAGAGACAAGGCAATTCAACATTTAAATGGATCTTATATTGGTGATTGGAAACTAATTGTACAAAAGGCAAAATCATCAGAAAACATATCATCAAATGACAATGATTATGATTATGATCGCCACCACCACCATCAACACCACCAACACGACTCTATCAATGATCATTTTGACCAAAATGGAAACGATATGAATGACATTAATGAAAACAAACAACTATCAAATATTAATTCACCACCTTTAACTCCCAAAGATCAAAAGGGTTCAAACAACACTTTACCACAAACTAAAAAGGAACATGAAGGATCGAAATCAGCCACTCCATTGATGGCTCCTTCTACACCATCCTCCTCCTCCTCCTCGGCGACAATAGTTGACAAGAAGAAATTGTTGTCTGAAAACTCTTCACTTTTACAAGAGATGTGTGAAAGATTGGTTTGTAAAGAACTACTGTCGATTGCTGAAAAGGACTCACAAAAGAATATTGTAGAGTTTGAAATATCACAGGCCATCAAATCAATAGAGTCGGCATTAAAAACAACCGACCTCAATGCACCATCTTCGTCATCTCTTACCACTGCCACTGACAAGGACCAAATGGATCTTGTCAGTGCAACCTCGGCAACATCCACCACATCACCCATATCTACATCGAGTGGTGGCAAGATGATTGACTTTTCATCGTTGCCATCATTTAAAATATACAGTGAAAAGGAAAAAGAAGAAAAGGAACGAAAAGAGAGAAAGAAACTCGAGAAAAAGGACAAGTCAAAAAAGAAACTCAGAAAACAATCAAACAGAAGAACAAGAGGAGGCAGAGGAGGAAGAGGAGATGGATCAAGCGACGATGACGACGATGATGAAGAAGAAGTCAGCGACGTTGAATCTAGTGATGAAGAGTACAACAACAAAAAGCAACGATCAAAATCAAGAAAGGATCATGGAGATGAACCAATGGAAGAGGGATCGAGCGACGAAGCATTGTCAGAGAGCGATTTGAACGATTGGGAAAAACTCGAAGAAATGAGAAGAAAGAGAAACAAGCACAAAAAGGAACAAGAAAAGCAAAAGAAATTGATGCAGGAAAAGAAAAAGTCGCGAAAGACCAAGAGAGGATCGGCATCAACAACCAACACACCACTATTGCCAGAGGGTTTTGGTCCCGACGACGAGGACGCCTACTATATGAACTATGTCATGAAGGAGAGTATGGGAGAGATGAACCTCGACCAGCTACCAGGGGCACCCGCTCCTCTGGCAGCGCACAAGATTCCCGACGAACTCGAGCTTCCCGTCAACCCATCGGGATGTGCGCGTTCCGAACCATACAAGCGAATGGATCTCGACAAAAAGATTGCAATGCGGTTGGCGACGACCAAGGTGCGAGGCACGTCTGGAGACGGTGTCGACTCGCATATTGGCAAGTCGTCGGGTCGTTCATCTCGCTATGAGAGCAGACTCGGCCAAGACGTTGTCATGACATCGCGCAAGAAAAAGATCAAGTTTGAGCGATCACTCATCCACGACTGGGGTCTCTTTGCCTTGGAACCAATCTATGCAAGGGACATGGTCATCGAGTATATTGGTGAGGTCATCAGACAAAAGGTGGCAGACGAACGTGAGAAACGTTACACCAAGCAGGGTATTGGTAGTAGTTATCTGTTCCGTATCGATGATGATACCATCATTGATGCAACGTTTAAAGGAAACCAGGCACGTTTTATCAATCATTGTTGCGACCCCAATTGCATGGCCAAGGTGATCACCATGGGTGGTCAGAAAAAGATCATCATCTATGCCAAACGAGATATCAATGTTGGCGAAGAACTCACCTATGACTACAAATTCCCAATCGAGGATGTCAAGATTCCCTGTTTATGTAAATCTGCAAAATGTAGAGGAACTCTCAATTAACACAAATCAAAAAAAAGGAAACAAATAAAAATAAAATCAAAAAAAATATTTTAAAAAAATTAAAATTAATTTCGTCATCACACCGGACCGAACCGAATGACTCTAAACAAAACACCCGACAAGGCTCGTCAGAGTTGTCCAGGGCAAAACAACCTTAAGATGAGATCTTTATAGATTTTCAGAAAAAATTGGAGATGAACGAATGACCATTCATTATTTTAATAATAATAATTTTAAAATAAATATCTCCATATAGACCAGTCTACAAACACATGTCACTAGATGTTTGGGTTCATTCATTATTCATCACATCAATCAAAAAGAAGTAAAGATAAAGATAAATGCAATCCTATACTCCAACAACAAGCGGTAGACGCAAAAATACAGTTACCTTTCAAAAACCTACTACATCATTGGCTCCAGGTGTAGATTTTCCAAAAACATCATTTGTAAGTTTACCATTTGCAATCAATACATGTACCAACTATCAAATATAGTCTAACTCTTTATTATAATAGTATTTTTAGATAATAGGGAATCAATTTTTCATCCGAGGATAGATAGTAATTCTCTACTTTTAAAGTAATCAAAATATGTAATTTATTAATTGCATCAATCATTTCCTAAAAATAAAAGACAAACACCCAAATATTTTAGATCTTTTTACAAATATTTTAATTTTTTTCATTATATAAATATCTTTAGCGAAACCATTGTACAACACAACCTATTTTCAACACCGACAAAGTTTTCAATTGTTATTATCATTAAATTACAACATATCAAGAAAGAAAGAAATGTCCCTTCGCCCAGACAAATATTCAGGTGGTATGCAACCAACAGTTTAGCAATACAAGTGACAACAGTTGATAGACATGATGATCAATTGAATATTAAGTTTTTTTTTCATCAGGATTTACCAAACCGAGACCCGCCTTTGCTGGTGCCAAGCCTGCAGCTCCTACCCTCATCCAACTGCCCACTGATCGTAACAACTTTGTATGTGTTATTAAACAGACTCAATGCATGACGTAAAGTGACACTCTCTAACCTTTTTTTCCCATCAATAGTTTGGAGATAGATAAAAATATCTTTGTTTCCCTTTCAATTGAATAAATATTAAATATGTGGTTCACTCCATCATCATCCCAACCATCTCGATTTCATTCTTTTACTTTTCCTATAGTTTGGTAAATAATAATAATCCTTTTTTAGTTTAGACAAACTCCTACCAGACTAGGATTAATATTATTTTATGTATTAATATATGACACTATAAACAAGAAAAACCTACCTTTTTAAAAAAAAAACACGAAACAAATATCTTTTGGTAAAATGATATGAATTATCTGACGAGCTCGTCTGGGATTTCCTTTCGCTATCATATGTTTTGTTGACCAGAGAGTTCTCTTGTCTTGTTGTCGGGTGGTGAACCATTGAGTATTTAATGAACGAACCTTGATCAGATTCATTATTTTATTCTATATTGTTCTTTTATAAAAATGGTATTAAAAACTAGAGGCGGTCCAAAACCAAACAACCAATCAAATCAATCCCCAACATTCAAACCACCAGGAATCAGAAACACATTTGTAAATATTTACAAGATGATCAAAAAAAAATAAGAAAAGTATAACTTAAACAATGACTGATTAAATATAAATAATTTGTTTCAAATAGTTCTCAATGTAATAATCAGATCATCTGATAGATTGGTAGATAGAATCTTCTATTTCTGGTATCTCTTCAAAGAATAAAGAAAAAAAACACAAGATTTCTTTGCTGCACGAAATATGATTTTTTCGGAAGATCTTTCCACCAGAACATCCCTCCGACTATTCTGTCAGTTTCTTCTTTCTTTTTTGTTCTTAAAATATACACATAAATAAATATTTTAATTAATTATCTTTTTTTCAGTAGTATGGCCAATAAATCTTTTGCTGATGATTTTGGCGGTGAAGGAGGTAATGTTAAACCAGCAACCCTCATCAAACCACCCACAAAACCAAACCCCAAACCCAAAAACTCAACATCATTCGTATGTATTCCATATATATATATATGACATATAGAGTATCTTCCTTTACCCTCCTTACTAATATCTACTTGTCTCACCCTCTCTCATAGTTTGATTCTTAAACAACAATAATAATAATAAAGTGTACTTACTATAGTACTCCCCGATCACCATGTATGGCTTTAACCTTTAATCATGCATCAATCTATATAATTCAATCCAAGAAAACGATACATGGTATAATGGAACAACAACACAATGTGCTTAGTTAGTTCTTTTATTTCTGTTGTAGAGTATAATATGTGTGAAGTTCATTCGGGTTTTTTACTGTTTAACACACCCGTTATTGACCAATCATTAAATCGATGATCATACATGATGAATTTGGCAACAATTGCGATAACTAATCGAATCTAGAAAATTGTATCTCATGGTCCAAGACAATTTCCCAAAGGTCAAACCGACGTTTCTATATAAGTACTAGCTCTTCGTGATGATGACTTTTTTTTATTTTTTTTTTGTACGAACAATGAAGATTTTTAACTCTCACGTCAACCACCCGTCTCTCTCACAGCAGCAGTCGAAAAACTACACATCTTTATCTATTTGAAGTTTAGTTATCCATATATATCTTCTATCTTTTATATCTTTTCTCTCTCCCACTCTCCCCCGTTCTTTTAAATTGTATCGTGTGTTTGTATTCATTCAATACAAGCATCGCTAAAGAGACACACAGGGACAACAGTTAGTAGTATTAATACGACTTGTAACACATATAGAGGTAAGACAATAATGATATAGACAGACAGACAGACAGATAGATAGATAGATAGATAGATAGATAGAATAAATAAGAGAAAATCTAATATTCATTTACGTCACATTATTATTATTGTAATATTTATAATATTTGTAGAAAATAGTATAGAAAAGAGAGAGAGATGGTGATTCCAGAATTCTTCAAAGGAAAGAATCTATTGATTACTGGAACAACAGGTTTTGTTGGAAAGGTGTTGTTGGAGAAGCTTGTTCGTGATATTCCAGACATTGGTTTTATCTATATAGTGATTCGTGGAGCAAATGCAAAGGAAAGATTCGAAGATGATATCATGACGTCGCGTATTTGGGACGTTTTACGTGAACGTATGGGACAAGAGGCTGCAGATCGTCACATTCGTGAACACGTGATTCCATTGTCTGGTGATTTGTCAAAGGACAACTTGGCATTGTCACCCGAAGACTACCGTATGGTGATCGAGCGTTGCAACATCATTTTACATTGCGCCGCCTCGATTGATTTTAGAGAACGTTTGGACAAGGCCATCGAATCCAATCTCTATGGTTCGTTGCGTATGTTGGAGCTTGCCAAGCAGCTCAAGAACCTCGTCGCCATGGTTCATTGCTCGACCGCCTATGTCAACTCGAATCGTGAGGGTTGGTTGGACGAAGAGTTGCCCGTACTCGACTTTAACCCCGAAGAGATGGTCGAGTTGATCATGAAGCAGGACGTACAGACCATCGAAAAGATCACACCCAACCTTTTGGGCGCCTACCCCAACACCTACACCTTTACCAAGGCCATCACCGAGCGTATTCTCGCTCTCCGTCGTGGTGACGTTCCATTGTGCTTTGTCCGTCCAACCATTGTTGGAGGTTCGCTCAAAGAGCCCGTTCCAGGTTGGGTCGACTCTGTCGCCGCCGTCGGTGCCGTCATGCTCTACTGTGGTGTCGGTCTCGTCAAGTTTATGAAGGGTGAAGGCCGTATGGTCGCCGATATCGTCCCAGTCGACTATGTCGCCAATGCCATGATCTCTGTCGTTCCATCTATTGCCAATCAAAATGTTCTTCAAATTTATCAAGTATGAAATATTACAAAACATACTCTTTTTTTCAAAAATAATAATAATAATCCTAACTATTATCTTTTTTTCTTTTTTTTTCTTTTAGATTGGTACAAGTCACAGAAATCCAGTTTCATGGAATAGTGCAGCTCATTGGGTATCTGAATACTGGCGTAATCATACACCCAAGAAAGCTATTGCTCGTAGCAGTTTCTCATTCCACAACAATGTGATGTATGAAGCACACTTTTTCATGAAATACGGTATTCCATCGTTCCTTTTACAGATGATGGCGTTCTTTACTGGAAAGGAGGACACCAAGAACAAGGCAGAGTCATTTAAAAAGGTGGTCAAGGCCGCCCGTCTCATCACCGACACGTTCCAACATTTCACAGCCCACGAGTGGGTATTTTCCGTGTCGACCCTCGAAAAGGTGTTTGTCGATGTTTTGAACGCCGACGACCGCCAACGCTTCAACTGCGACGCAGCCAACATCAACTGGCAGTCATACCTTTGCTATTTCTGCTACGGTCTCCACAAGTTTGTACTCAAGGAGGAAGGTGTGCGTCCACCAACCGAGCTACTCAACACGAGTCTTATCACCAAGTCGGACCTCAACGCTACGTCGGGCGGTGTCTTGCAATGGATCTTTGCCGATGTGTCGTGGGCTTACACTAGCTTCCGTCACGTCACCCAAACACCATTGCCACCCCGTGCACCCGCCGAGATCCGTTCGCTCGTCATGAACAGCCCGCGTGTCCAAATGGCCATGGAAAAGGTGTCGCGCGAGGAAGGCGTCCTCGTCAGCGAGATTGAACGTCGTGCCTCCCAAGTCATGGACCGTATGCAGTCCAACCTCAACGTCATGGTCGTGCGTGTGCTCGGCTGGTTCCTCAAAAAGGTGTGGCGTAAGATCTACCAAGGCATCCATGTCGACGAGAAGGGTATTGAAGCCATCCGTGCCGCCATCCAAAAGGCACCCGTTGTGCTCATCCCCACACACCGTTCCTACATTGATTTCCTCATCATCTCGTACATCTTTTTCGAGTACAACCTGCCAATGCCCCACATTGCCGCAGGAGAGGATTTCCTTGGCATCATCCTCGTCAACTGGTTCCTCCGTAACGCCGGCGCCTTCTTTTTGCGTCGTTCCTTCCACGGAGACCCACTGTACTGGGCCATCTTTAGCGAGTACGTCCAACGTCTCGTCATTGACAACCAACCGGTCGAGTTCTTTATCGAGGGCAAGCGTTCGCGTACCGGCAAGAGCTTGCACCCCAAGCTCGGCCTCTTGGCCATGGTCGCCAACCCATACTTTGAGGGTCGCGTCCAAGACGTCCAAGTCGCACCCATCGGCATCTCCTACGAAAAGGTGTTGGAGGGAGAACTCTACTCAAACGAAATGATGGGCGAGAACAAGACCAAGGAGAGCTTAAACGGCCTCTTCCGTGCCACCAAGATTCTCCAAATGAACTGGGGTCGCATCAACGTTGTCTTTGCCCCACCCATCTCGATGAAGGCCTATGCCGAGGACATGACCGCTTCCGTCTCTGCCTCGCGTCGTCTCAACCCACCCCCAACAGTGCCCGCCCCCTCTGCACACGCCAACCCCGCCACCGCATCGCCTGCCCCCACCACCCCCGCCAACATCTCTGAAGGTGACTTTGAGCAGATTTCGTCGACCCACGGCAACACCCGCGCACCCGGCTCGATTTTCGACCCGTACAACAACACTGACGACCGTCGTATGCTCATCCAAGACCTCGGATACCGTATCGTCAACGACCTCAACAAGTCGGCCATCATCACCACCACTGCCACCGTCGCCACCATCTTGCTCACCTTCCGTCGTGGTATCAGCCGTGAAGAGCTCATCAGTCGTGTCGAATGGTTGCGTGACGAGATCCTCCTCCGCGGCGGCGACGTTGCCTTTGAGGGTCCATCGGACGCTCTCGTCGACCACTCGCTCAAGCTCCTCAGCAACCTCATCTCTAAGCGTCGTAACATGTACGAACCAGCAGGATCGCAACAAAACAACAACAACAACTACAAGCGCAATATCCTCGTCCTCTCGTTCTACCGTAACCAATTGCTCCATCACTTCCTCTGGGATGGTCTCATCTCTTGTGCATTGTTAAGTGCTATCAATAGACAAAAACCAACTAGTTCTTCATCCAGCTACAATAGTAATCTAAAGATTAAAGAGAGTGAATTGATTGGCGATGTCAAGTTCTTGTTTGAGATCATGTCGGTAGAGTTTGTAAACAAACCAGGTACCGATAGCGAACACAACATTTTAGAGCATATCAACCGTATGGTTCAACGTGGTTATTTGGCCAAGTCTGCTCAAGGTGAATACAGCATCAACTCGTCGGGAGAAAGTGCAGTCACCTTTTTTGCCAACCTCTTTTGTCCAATCGTCGAGGGTTACATGGTAGCCATGTTGACCTTGTTCTCGATCCAACCAGATATCTCTGTCAAAAAGAACGTCTTCCTCCAACGTGTCGGATGGTTCTCTGAAAAGATGTACGAAGAGGGCAGTCTCAACTATTACGAGTCTTGCTCTATGGAAATGTTGGCCAACTCTGTCCATCTCTTTACCCAACTCAAGATCATCACCAAGAAGAAGCACACCGAGGTTGTCGGCAAGAGAACCACTCGTCAAAGCACCAAAAAGGAGAAAAAGCCAACCCGTCGTCAACAACAACAAGAAGCCGAAGAATACATCCAACTCTTGGCTCCATACAAAGAAAAGGATGGCAAGTTGAGAGAATTGGCTGAAAAATTATCCTCTTATCGTAAGACTTTACCTGCTCGTCATCAAGTTAGCGATTTGCGTAAAACTGTTGTAGAAGATTTCTCAATGTTATCAAAATTAATAAAAAAAAAAACAAAACAAAACATAATTAATAAATAATTAATAAATAAAATACACATACCTTTTTGAAAAAAAACGAACGAAAGTTGAAAATAACATTGTGCTAAAGTGTTTTTTGATTAAAGTAGAAGATATAGATACAGATATAAATCAAATGGGAAAGAAACAACAACAAACTAAACCAACAACAACAACAACAACAACTAATAATACAACAAACACTACTATTAATAGTCCACAAGTAGACTATTGGAAATCTAAGCTACTTGTAGATTTTAATCATAATGTTGATGAAGAAATAACAGTAGCTGTAGCAGTAGCAGATAAAGAAAAAGATCTAATTGAATCAACTACAACTACTACAACTACTACAGATAATAATGAAATAGTTTTAACAACAACAACAATTAATTCTTCAGCTAAATTAATTAAAGAATTATATACAAATTATTTGGATAGATGTAAAGAGGATAAAGAAGATACTGTATACTTTTCACAAAACTATTGTGAAATTGCTAAAGGTATATTTAGTGAGACACTCACTACTTTGACTGAACTCATCTTGGAGAGAGACTTGGGAGGTGTTCAATATCAATTACAATCAGAGTTGAAGAGAAATGCTGACTTTTTCACAGACCTTACATCTACCATTAAAAAGAAGGATAGAAATGGTAGAATATTGGTCAATGTTCAACAACAATGTCAAATCAACAAGTTGTCTCTTCTCTTTGCCGTCGCGACAAATGATATTAAAATCGTTGATTTGATGCTCAAAAATGGTGCCACTGCTATTATCAATGTTGGAGATACTGTCACCAAGATTACTCCACTTCACATGTCATTCATTATGGGTAACACTGCCATTGCAAAGTTGTTATTGGAGAATGGTGCCAATTACGATTTGATGGATGGATTCCGTGCTCGTCCACTCGACTATGCTCGTTTAAGAAAGATGACCTCCATGTCAATTCCACCACGCCCACAAACCGTATCGATCTACAACTACAAGAATAGTGCAACTGTTGAAAGTTGGACACTCGACCGATTCGAACGTGAACTTTCCATTCACTATGATGCATCGATTACAGCATCACTAGAATACCTCATTGAACTTTGTTTTAGTTCCTTTCAAATCAATGCCGATCAAACATTTAGAGACAAGTATCTCAAGATGATTGAGAGATCGGGTGGCGAGGAGAACGTTATTGTCGGTTGGATATCGGATCAGGTGGGATGGGGTCTCTATGCCAACAAGGATTTCCAAAAGGGCGAGTATATAGTTAGATATGGAGGTCGTATCAACTCGGCTGAAAACATGGTCACCCATTGCTACAACATGATGTCGTCAATGGACGGTTTCGGTCTCGACGCCTACCGACATCGATCGATGGGTGGCATGATCAACCACTCTGCCAAGCACAAGAACGCCGAGTCGGAATGTATATTTGAATATGGTGCTGAACAAGCAATCATCACGGCCACCAAATTTATCGGACGTGGTCAACAAATATTTATAGATTATTCAAACAGCTACTGGAATCCCGATCAAGATGACAACGATGATGATAATGGTAATAGTAAATTGATAACAGACAGCATGGAAGAAATGGGTGGAAAGGATTCTTATCCTTCCTATATTCCTTCTATTTATATTAAAAGATCTTAAGGAATAAATAATAATAAATTAATTAATAATATTATTCTTTTTTTTTCGTTTTTTTTTTCAATTTTTTTTTTTAATGATGATCTCTAACAAGCTTCAACATTCTTAAATATACTGTTATTGTGCGAAATGTGTCATGTGACTCGAATGAATGAATAGCACAATAGTATTACATTTACCTTTAAAGACATATTAATTTACCTTTTTTAAAATCTTTCCAAAACATCATCGCAGTCCTGGAAAACCTCCTCCAACTTTTGCGAGTGTATTCAACCATATGACGAGAAAAAGAAAATCTGACCACGAATCTTAATATTCAACAAACACCCAAAAAAAGAAACTACAGGAAAGGAAGCCAAAAAGCAATGGGTAAATGCATTTAAAGAGCAGTCCATGTATACTTATTGTAAATCAGATTTAATTAAAGAATAGAATAATAGCAGATCTTTGTTAGACAGTAGAGATTATACTGCGGTGTAACTCAAAGATGTAAACAGGAATGAGACAAAATTCAAGATGTATCTACGGTTTTCTCAATTATAGGGTTTTTATTTGTGAACATTGGCTGCTAACGTTAAAACATCAAGGAGCCACTACCATCCAATCAATATGCTACGAAAGGGATTGAAGGGAACCAAAGCCTTTTAAATACATATTTTGATCTCTTTTTTTCTTTTTCTTTCAAAAAAAAAAACGAACGAATGTAAGATGACCCTTTGAAACACTTTTGTGTATTGACAGTTCATTATTCTCCTCTTTACACATTACACAAATATAGCAACAAATCTTGGGAATGTCAAATAAATGCGTAATCGAAGAGATTGTACCAAGACAACAAAAAGGAGTTGAACGACTACAGGTATACTTGGCAGCTAAAAAGTTTACTCTCAAAGGACAAGATAAACCAGTCACTCTAAACAAAACGAGTATCGTCAAACTCATCACTCAAGGACAGATATCAATCAACGATAAAGTTGTTCAAGAAAAGAATGCAAAGATTAGAGCAAATGATCGAATATTGATAACCTTGCCTACTTCTACTACCTCTACTACATCCTCTTCAAACAACAGTGAAAGTGGTCAACAATCAACTACTACTACAGTCATTGGAAAAGAGATTAATTTAGTAGCAACTAAAATAGATTTGAATATACTATTTGAAGATGAGTATATTGTTGTTATTAATAAGCCGGCTGGTATGATTGTTCATCCACCTCCACCATCACCAAATCATCCATTGAATGAAGAGAATCAAACGAGAACACTTGTCAATGCATTGTTGTATCGATACGGTGCAAAGGGATTATCGATTGTTGGTGGTGTCGATAGACCGGGTATCGTACATCGTCTCGACAAGGATACTGCAGGTATACTGATCGTTGCAAAGAATGATTCAGTTCATGAAATGGTCAAAAAGATGTTACAGGATCACACATCAACGACGATTAAAGGATCGATGAGTGCCAAGGCCAACAACAACAACAACAAACCAACCACCATTCAAAAAACATATTATTGTTTGGTGACTGGTAAACCAAAGGAATCACATGGAATCATCAACAAGGCCATTTCAAGACATCCAATGGACAGAAACAAAATGGTTATCGATGAATCAAAAGGAAAGGAATCAATCACAGAATACAAAGTAATCAAAAGTTGGGATAAAATCGATTTGGAAATCATCAAACCAAAGAAGAGTAATGAAGCAAAGGATTATGATAATAGTGAATATGATATAATATCAAAGAAAATTAATAATAACAAAAAGAAACCAACCAATAATAATAAGAATCAAAATAATAGTAAATTTATAATAGATAGTGATAGTGACGAGAATGAAGATGATTCCGAGGAAGAAGATGAATCTGAAGAAGAAGAAGAAGAAGTACCAGTTAAATCAACTAAAAAACAACAACCAAAAAGTAAATTTATTATTATCGATAGTGATGAAGATGAGGACGAAGATGAAGATGAAGATGATGACGATGATGAAGAAGAGGAATCAGAGGAAGACGATTCAGATAATTCAGATGATTCAGACGATTCAGATGAAGAAACAAAATATGTTGGTAAAAAGATTGGAGCAAGAAATTATACATTGATGGAGATTACTTTACATACTGGTAGACAACATCAAATTAGAGTTCATATGACCAGTGAAGGTCTACCTATTGTTGGTGACCCAATCTATTCTGGAAAATCAAATCAATTTATGGTTCCTTATTTATTATTGGCATCTGTAGCATTACGATTCCAACATCCAATCACCAAACAACAAATGGAATTTACAATTCCAAATCCACCTCATTTACAATCATTTATCGATCAACTTGATAAAGAACAATTAAAACAATATCCAAATATCCAAAAAAATAATAATATTAATAGTTTTGTAAATAATAATAATAATAATGATAATGGACAAAAATCAACACCTACAATTACCAAACAACAATTAACAAAAAAAGAAGAAGAAGAGTTGGCCTTGGATATGGAATTTTTGTATTATAACAACAAAAATAATACAAACAAAAAGAAAGGAAGAAAATAAATGGATTGAAGGGTACCAAATCTCACCCCCCTAGCACTAGCAATAGCTCTCACTCGAGGTTTCAAAATCGATGTACGTAGAATGAAAAGAAACACAATCAATTTGAATATATAATCCTTTGACATCGATTAATATGAATGTGAATCGAGATGATTCAGATGCATATATTAAGTATATTTCAATGCCTATCTACCCTACCTACACCTGTCACCCCTACCTTACATTGACCAAGAAAAAAAACAGTGTGGGTGTGTATGGTTTAAAACACTTTTAAACTTTAAAAGTTTAAGGGTTTTGATCATGATCACCCAAACACACTCACTCTACACTTCACAAAGAAGCAGAGTAGCACCCCCCATTTTTTATAACATTCCTTCCTGAACTGGTATACTGCTCTCATTGCAAAGGTTGACACTACAGGCAATGTGCATTAACTTTAACATTATCAACACACCATTATCGATCACATCAACATTATTTTTGTTATGGGTTGTACACCCTAACGTCTATACACTATCCACCTCCTTTTGGCATGCATATTGATAGATAGATTGGGATGGATGGATGTTCCTCCTCCAACTTGTTTGTGACTGATACCAGTTTTAATGGTTGGTCTAAAGTATAAAGAATCGCTCAATTCAATCAATCAATCAAATGCTTTGAAAAAGAGTTTGAAACCCCATATCGAGTGAGGTGGATAAAGAGGATAAGGAAATATTTCCATTTTAATTTTACATTAATTGAATTGTGTAATCACTATCAACTATTCATCAAGAAGAAGCTTCTTGACTCGATTAATTTTTAAAATATTTATTCTACATTTATTTGTTTATTCTATTTTTATTTTATTTATTTGTACAATATATTTTTTTTTTAAAAAAGTACCCTCCATCCTTCCTTCCTCCTCCTCCTCCCCCTCCTTCATACACATCTTTAATATTATCAATTAAGATAGTTCTATTTCCATCAATTCAATGTTGTGGACACTATCGTTGCAACGATCTTGATCATCCACACATCCAGATTTATTATTTTAAAAAAAAATGTAATTGATTAAACAGCCTATCTATCTGTTGCTTGCCTGGGTGTTGATCAATCCACAATTAGATAATTGACCTGTTTTACTTTCACGATTATTTAACACCCCCTACCACAACATCATAACAACAACTATCAAAAATAACACTCGATTGAATTATTTTTGGTACAATCCAATCACAACAATAACAATGGTCAAATTTATCTCTCTTGTCAACAATAGATTTGTAGATTTGTTGATAACAATATCCGAACGGATTAACTCAAAGAAAAGAGAATGTACGACATTATGATGATGATGATGTTCAAAACCAACAATCATCCCCACAACCTCTCTAAAATTAACCAAATTTTTGACCAAAGGTTAAAAGATGTTGGAAATCCTTCCCAACTACAATTGTTGGACAGGTTTAATAACCGCATTCACAACTCACTCAAGACAGACAGACAGATAGATAATATTTGAATGAATCATTGTTGAATTGTTAATCATTTACCGTTATTATTTTTATTTAAAATCCTGTTTATAATTAAAATTCATTGTAAGAATCACCCATAATAATATTGACATCCCAAACACTAGTATCTCTTCAACATCCTTACCGCACATGCCAATGACAAATAATAATAATAATAATAATAATATTATAAATATTTATAATCTTTTGATCGGTATTCGACAACAGACACGCACTAGCACCACTTTCAAAACCACTTGGTCAACATCGTTTGATTGGTGTGTGAGTGGTTTTCAATGATGTCTAAAACCCAACCCACCACCATACCACGTTTGATACATCTACCAACCGGTATGGTGGTATAGTACCACCCACTCCTCCCTATTTTTTTTGTGAGGGGGATTGTCCTATTGTTGTTGGCGGACATCACATTAAAGACAAACAACAACAACAAACATCATTCAGCAACATCGACGACATACTCACAATATGCATCATCACCAACAACAACAACAACAACAGCAACACCTGTAACATCACATTTGTTGGTTATTCACCATCATCCATCATCATCAGTTTACTTTAATTTTTTAATATTTTAAAAATTAACAATAATATTATTGTTGTTGAACAACAAACAAAACAAATATACCAACAACAAATAATCAGAAGAAAATTACACCTAGTTTCTATAGAAAATAGTACAACAATCGTGGTAAATTTTTCTCACTCATATTGTATTCCACCCACCCACTGTTTGATTGATCGCACATACTCTCTCACCATCCAACACTGCCAGCTTGCTTCCTACTACTATTTTATGCAATTATTTCCATATTTATCCAACTCATTGTGGTTGGTTTATTTAATGATTAAAATCATCACCATCACTATAGTGACAGTCATTTGGTGTGTCTGCTCGATCTAATTATTTACCCTGAATGGGGATGATGACACATCACCAAATCCTGTTCTGTTCACTCACCACCACATTTACTTTTCACTGTATACTAAATTCGAATATTACCTGTTCATTTCTCTAGAAACACCGTCATCAAGGGGTGGGTTGGTGTGTCTATGAGTGACAAAGTGTGCGAACGTGGGTTATAGAGGGAAAGAGAAAAATTGACAAGAATAAAAAAAAAAAAGAGAATAACAACCATTACATCATCGCACAAAGCGGAACATCAGACATAAAATAGGTGGATACATACAACTGGTTCCAGTAGCACCAGCAGCAGTAGCAAGTTGAACACAAACTAGTGGAACCAACCTTTCCTTCCATCTATAGTAATAGTTTTATTTAACATTTTGGATTTTTATACATTTTGACAACCATCCATCCATCCATCCATCCTTGACTTGATCAAACCACCAAACACCATCAATCCATTTTCATCATCATCATCATCACCAACAACCAACAACCAACGATTAGAAAAAAAAAGAAGTTTCAAGTACTACTTTATTAGTTTGTGTTTGGCCAAATCGAAATAGTTTAATCACGATCACAGATATCGAAAAGTATTGTTATTGTTTGACTCAACTGTCACATCATCAATTTCACACAAGTAAGTGTGCAATCACTACTGTCACCATAGTCAGTCAAATCAATCTTAAAGAATACTCGTTGTTCCGTTGGTGGTGTTATTTGTTTGTTTGTTCTGTGCGTTGTGTTGTGTTGTTATTGTCAACAGATGTTTTTGGTAAATACCGTTAGTTGGTGTATTATTATTATTTGTTTGTTTGTTTTTTTAATCCCCTCCCAATATTGACAGCTGGGTATTATATTTTCAATAATTATTCACCAACTAATCATAAATACCGTCGGTCCATTTCTTAAAAGATTTTATTACTATTCGAACTTTAATTATTATATTCATTTCCAACAATTTCCAAACTTTTGCTATTCTTGTTTTCCAATTTTATACTATTCATACAATCTCTAATCAACATTTATCAACATCATTGACATCATTATTAACATCATCAAAAAACTAACTAAAATTAATTTCCAACAGTCACATAAATTTAAATTCTCAAACAGAAAAAGTAGTAGCAAGCAAGAAAGCAAGCAAGTTCATCATCATTTTAATAGATAAAAGATTTAATTAAATTAATTATCAATCGAAACAAACAATCATATATAATCTATACTTTAATTAATTAATTAAATAATCATCAACCAAATACAATATCTTTTTAAAAAAAAAAAAACCAATCAAAAATGGGTGGAGTTAGTTCAAGAGTATTAAAACTATTTAAACAAAGAGATACTAAAATTTTATGTCTCGGATTAGATGGAGCTGGAAAAGTATGTATATTTTTAAATTAAACAAATCAATCAAAGTTTATTATTTATTTACTTACTTTATTTTTTTAGACAACATTATTATATAAATTAATATTAAATGAAGTCGTTGAAACCATTCCAACATTGGGATACAATGTAGAAACTGTACAACATAAAAATTTAACCTTTTCAGTTTGGGATTTGGCAGGTCAAGAAAGAATCCGTGCCACTTTCTGGACACCATTCTTTGCCAAGACATCTGCCATTATATTTGTAGTCGATAGTAGTGATCGTAGTAGAATCGAAGAGGCATCAACTGAATTGAATAAATTGATGAAAGAAGATGAACTCAAAAACATACCGGTCCTAGTATATGCCACAAAACAAGATTGCGTCGATCCAATGGATGTACCAGAGCTCACCGATTGCTTAAACCTTCACCAAGTCAAAGATAGAAAATGGTATATCCAACCAGCCAGAACTATCGAAGGTATTGGTATCTATGAAGGTTTGGATTGGTTGGCAAATCTACTCACCGACAAGAAAAAACATCAAAAGAAATCATCAACTGCATCTGACACCAAATCACCAAATGCAACATCCCCTGTAACCTCTCCTAAATTCCCATCATTTAATTTTAATAGTAAAAAAACAACTCCAATTAAAACTTAAAAAATAACAAGAATGGTAGAATAATAATAATATATAATATATAATAATAATGTAAATAATAATAATAATAATAATAATTAATTAAACCAAAAAATTGAACCATGTAGGATCATATTTTTTTTCTCTCTCTCTCTTTGGGACATTCATTAATAATAACCTAAACCAATCACAACTAGCAACCTATTTAATTGTAATCAATAATTGGAATAAATAAAAAAGAAAACATGTAAATCACAAAAAAGAGTAGTAATTCCACTTTACACAAAGATCTTTGTATTGATTAATAAATTATTTATTTGGTTGGGGGGTTTTTAACAATCTTCATATTGACATGGCATCTTGGACTTGACGACCTATGAAACCTGAGCAGGGAAGTTTACAACAGATCCATTAATGTGCATAGTGAAAGAAATTGGGTTGTCAAAAGAAGCGCGGAATGGAACAAAGGAAACAAAAGAGTTGTCGGTCCAATAACGAGCAAAGAGACCAGTCATGGTCTTGTTTTGAGAATCAGCAGTAACACTAGAAACAAATGGAGCAACTTGACCATTGTTCAAAAAGAGGCCAGAGTAGGTACCGTTGTTTTTCATGGTCATGTTGAATTGAGTATAATAACATGAAAGAGATGACTTGGCATTGAAATATATTGACCTTCAATTTCAGTTTGGACTATTATTGATGAGACAGTATTTTAAAAATAAAAATGAACGGGGTTAGGCTTTGGAAAAGATAAAGTATTGATTGTATTGTCTCTACCTACGACTGTATGCCAATACAAAGGAGCAAAGTAAAACAATGGATACTCTGAACCAGCTCCAGGATGGAATGGTGCTGAATTTGGGTCAACTTACTGCTTGCCAATAAATCACTATACACACAACCCGCCCCCCCCTCCCTTTAAATTATTTAACATCTAAATATAATATTAATTAATTAACAATAATAAATTAAAACCGAAAAAATGTTCTATGAGAGGTGATCATCGCATTCATTGAGCCAAAATATTTTTAATCATAGTCACCATCTCTTTTTCTTTCTCTCCCTCTCTCTCTCTCTATTTATATATTTATTTATATTCAATAACTTGTTGCTGTAGATTGTTAGTCATGATGGAAGCTAGAGCACCACCCTCTAAAGTACTCTTTATTAGAGACATACCTGCTGGTATGACAAATGACGAGTTTGATCTTCTTTTCTCAAACCTACCCGGTTTTGTTTCAATCAGAAGAGTATGTAAATAGATAGATAGATAGATCTATAGTCAACAAGAGTTGACTTGTAGAGAACTCCTTAAAAGGGTTGTATCATATGAACTAACCATACTCCTTTGCTTCAATTTTAGAAACCAAACTTTGCATTTGTCGAGTTCAAAGATAGAGGGTTTGCAACTAGTGCCATGAGAAGATATTCAGGTTATAGACATCATCCAACAGATAGACCACTCTCAATCGATTTCGATAGAGTAAATAATCAATTCCAATTAATAATAGTAGTTAGTAGTATTAGTATTAGTATAGTATAATTATTATATATATAACTAGTAGTAGTAGTAGTAGTAGTAGTAGAAGCAGTGAAGAAAAGAAACATTGATAGATTCAACAGAATTATATATATATATTTGAATAGAAAGATCTAGAAGAAAAAGAGCAGAGAGAGAGAATATTGAAAAGGATAGAAAAAAGAGAAAACAGAATCAACATAGTCATCATCTATTTTTATCTATCTATATATATATACTGTTGTTTCATTCATATAGCTTTTGAATTTATTATAACTTTAGAAAAAAGAGAATAGTCTAGACTAAGTTAATCTTCTTAATTCATCACCATCATCATCATCATCAAGGATCCCAGATCAAGAGACGATTATCCACCACAAGTATTAGATACCCAACCACCACCATCCCACTACACTGATGAAGGAAGAGGAGGAGACAGATACGAGAGTAATAGAGATAGTTACACTGAAGATGAAGATAGATCAGAAAAGCATAGAAAGTACTCTGATCCAAGTAGTAGTGCAATCACAAAGACAGATCCATCATCAGTAGACGAAAAGAAGCGTAGTAGATCAGATTATGACAGATTCGAAAAAGATAGATCAAAGTATAGAGATAGTTATTTTGAAAGAGATGAATATCCTTCAAGAGGAAGAGAATTTGATTCTGTAAGTAGAATATATATTGATACACATAGATTATATATGTCTTAACTCTCTCTTGCTTTTTCTTTTGTTTTAGCCACCAATTCCAGGTTATGAACATATGATGTTCCCAACTGCTAGAGTTCCACCACCTCCAGGTCAATTTAAAGATCCACAATCAACATTATTTGTTTCAAATTTACCAAAGGATGTAACTGAAAGAGTAAGCAACCAAACACAAATATACTGCAATCATATATATTAATTAATTAATATTTTATTTTAGGAATTATCAATTCTATTTAGATTTATGAGAGGATTTATTAGTTGTAGATTGGTAATTAGAGAAGGTAAATATCCAATTTGTTTTTGTGATTTTAGAGATATTCCATCTGCAATAATGGCAATGGAAATACTTCAAGGTTATAGAATGGATCCAAATGATGTCTCTAGCAGTATCTCTATCGAATTTGATAGATCAAGAAACAATCCACCAAAATTCAAATAATTAAATAAATAAATCAACCCCAAACAAACAAACAAATTCTTAAAAATATATATTCTCTTTTTTTTTTTGGATTTATCTTATCTATTATTTTCTACCCTTACTTAATTTATTTTTTATTCTTTTGAATGTTTACACAATTATCAAAAGCATGAGAGGTAACACTAAATATTTCACAAGCCATAGAATATTGACAATCGGCGTCACATGGTTTGAGTGGATTTGGTGAACTAGACAAGTGAGAGTAGTACTTGTTAAAAACGGTAGAGTCTGTCTTCATTTGGGTGGCAACTTGGAACCACGATTGTGGAGACATGTCAGAGAGGCCATACATTTCCTTGGCTTGGTAGGTGAGAGAAAAAGTGAGGTTGCCTGTAAGGTTGGCCTCGGTGATATTACAATGGTATTGGTAGTAGTCGGTGATTTGGTTAGTGTCATAGTCAAACTCATAGATACGGAAGCCTGGCTCGTGGTTTTGGTAGGTGGTGAGTGATGGTGCAATGAATTGGACACCAGTTGGCTTGGTGTAGGTCTCCATGTCGGTGAGGATAGCCAATTGATCGTCGTGAGTGTGACCGTAGATCTGGCCGACAATAGTGCCAGAGTACTGTTCGACAAGACGTTGATAGATGGAGCACCAGACATCGTTGACAGCAGCCTTGAGCGTGCATGGGATATGTCCAATGATAATGACCTTTTCAGAGTTGCTGGCCGATTGAGCGAGCATGTTGGAGAGCCACTCGGTTTGGTTGTTGGGCTTGTTCATGTTGCTTTCGTTCATGAGGTTGTAGAAATTGATCAAATCGGCGTCCTGAGTGTTGAGCGAGATGATACGTAGACCTTGTTGAATCAACAGAGTGTAGTAACCTTGTTGTTGGACAGTGTCGAGTTGTTCACCACCGAGGAATGGTGCCCAAAAGGTGGAGAGGTCGTTCAAAAGCCATTGCTTGTCTGGTAGGATAAACTGGTCGGCTGGGTACGACTCGTGGTTGCCAATGGCTGGGAAAACGATCGTGTCTGGGAAGAAGAGGTGGACAAGCTCGGTGAGTGTCTGTGTGGCGGTGGTCTGCTTCTCCTCGGTCTGCATCCACACATCGTGTGGGGGCGAGTCGCCCGTCCAGAGGATGAGATCGATGGGGAGTGTCTGAGTGAGTTCTACAATACGCTCAAACATGGTCTTGACAGTGACCAATGGAATGTCGCATTGGTAGTGACCATAAAAGCCAGCGTCACCAGTGCCGTCGCGGCAACAGAGTGGCTTGCCACAATTTGGATTGGATCCTTCAAGATAGTAGGCGTCGAAATGGATGTCGGCCAACTGCAAAAAGTAACCCTTGCCCTTGAATGTTGTGTTGCCCTCTCGAATGGGCTTTTGGGCAGAAATGTCTGGGTACGTATGGACAGGCTTCTCTTCCAACGTCTTGACGAGATCTAAATTTGAAAATGTGTTCATATTGTTATTGTTGTTGTTGTGGAATTGGTTATGTTGTTCAGTGGCAGTGCTATTTGGTTGACATATTCTGAAAAGTTCGCACAATGTCATTGGATTGATATTGTCTGTAACAATTACATCCCAAATAATTGGTACAAATGTATTCATTACTCCATGACACTATAAACAAATAAAAGTAAAAGTGTCAATAATTTTGATATATCAATGATTCCAAAGTAGGTAGGTATACTTACGACATCTGGTAATTCAATCTTGAAAGCAATACACAAATCAATGGTTGTATTGACAACTATGGTAGTTGATGCATTTTTCTATAGAGAGAGAAAATGAAATGGAGTAAGTAAAGGGTGGGTAAAATTGAAAGTGTTGTGTGTGGGAGTGTTGTTGTGTTTAAAACACATTGTTTTAAGATGCAAATAAAAAAAGAGAAGAGAAAGTGAGTGAGTGATCAATGAGCAGCATACATTTACTCAATGAAATGAATAGTACTATATAGGATAATACTATAGCTCATTCTCTCAACTTGAGTACTGTTGATCATTTCCCTCTCTCTTTCTCTTTCTCTTTCTCTCTTTTCATTGTATTTCAATGTGTTTTTGAATTCCCGATTCGAATCGTCGTTGACAAGACTACGTACTTGTAAAAGATCGCTTAATATATCGGCACCAACAGTGCAGAGAGCACATGATATTGGGATAGCTTTTAATCTCTCTAAATAATGAGGATAGTCTGGATTCTGAGCTATCTTTTCAGCATGACTGTCATAATGTGCATAGGTGGTAGCAATGAAGAGAATTGCAAGTAGCAATATAGTCTGACTCCAGTTCTTCATTGTATTAAGATTATTCTATAATAGTCTAATTGACTCTCTCTAAACTATTCCTTCTTTTGTTGTTATTCTAGTATCAGAGTATATAATATAAATAAATAAATAAGAAATTGAAAATAATACAACTAAGAGAAGAAGGATAAACTAGTTGTTGTGTTTTTGTTGTTGTATTTCTAGATTAGATTTGTGTGTGTGTGTGTATATATATGAATGTAAGATTGTGTGTGTTGTGTGAGAATGGTTGCAGAGGTCTACTTTTGTTGTTGTTGTAGATAAAAAGGATAAAATACAATAAATAAAAAAGTAAAGTAAAAAAGAGTTTTTTTAGTTTTTCCCGGAGTGAGCTCGGCGTTTCTTGCAAACAGTTCTTTCGAAAAGTTATGCGCATCTCCGCCCTATATCCCACCCCGACCCGACGACGATAAGGAATGATCATTGGAGGCCGGTGCACAAGCAAGCGACTGTTCAACTTAATCTTTGCAGCATTTTGCAAACGTTTGATTTTCGATCACTGTCGGTGGCAGCTCTTTGATTTTGAAACACCACAAAGAATAGAAAGTATAAAGTAGAAAGTATCTATCCTACCTACCATATCCAAAAAATGTATTGATGATCATTGTGGATTTAGATATAAAATTATTATATTATTTAGGAACTATATAACTTTAAAAAAAAATATATTTTTTTTATTATTATTTTCTATTTATTCTTTTTTCCAAATAGTGGTCAATGACATACATTATTACATTTTTTTAGTAACTCTTTTTTATTAGTACTACTCCAAGAGAACTCTTAAGGGATGCAAAAACAATTACTATGTAAAGTGATATTTAACGTTTACTTGAAGGATCTGATCTTTGTAGAGGTCAATTTGATCAACATTCAAGTGAGTGGATCATCAGTCAAAGACAGTCAGATACATTCACTATTGGATTGTATAAAGTATAGACAGACTGACTTATTCATCAAACACTACAAGACTATCTTTTCAAAGGTCATTTTACAAAAGACAAACGTAAGTTCTAAAGAAATTATATGTTTACAGCATTCAAGAATTTAGATTTCTAATATTTATTTACTATTTATTAGGGAACACCATTTATAAAGATATTCGATTTAGCTCTAAGAACGGGTAATCATCAATGTTTAATATTAATGATTGAAACTGCAAGAGATAGTGGATATAAACACTTGATTGAACAATGGTCTGTCTTGATTTATTCAAACATCAATCAACAATGTTTGGATGTGGTGCTAGAGTATTATCAATTGTTGACAAGGGCAAACTATGCACAGTTGATTGGTTTTATGGTGTTGAATGGAAGATCCGATCAAGCAATTACATTGCTAGGTACGTTGGAAATGAGGCCGATTAGTGCCCCTGGTCTAACCAATCTAACATTGACCAATGATGGTCAAGAAGAAAATAGATCTGTTCATTTGATCGATTTGGCAAAGATGCTAATTAGAAAGAGGGGATCTAGTGATCTATCATTTATCATTCAATTATGCGGACAGAATGAAATAGATGATTTACTAGAACTTATTGCCACCCAAGTAACAACTTTGAGCCTCAAGAGAGTAGGTGGATGGGGTATTGAAAGATACTTTGGTTACAAGTATTTAGAAAGATTCGAGACAATGGTTGGTGATAGATATCTATCAAATGAATCATTGCTTTTTGGTGCTGGTAATATTGGTTTCTTGCGATACTATGTAGACAGAAAACTTTGGACAAAGTTTGAGAGTATCAAAGATGCCCAAGTACTCGAATATGCCATACAACATGAAAATGGTGAGGAGTGTGTTCGATACATTTTGGAGCATCTTCCCAACCCCAAGTTATTTTTACGTTACAATGTATTTGCCATCCGTCCATCTACAGTCTCACTCTTGTTTGTCCAATTCATTTGCCTTCATCCACACGTCCACCTAGAACCAGACGACTTTATAAGAGATATTGCATTCTCCAAGAAATACGATGCTTTGCAATGGATTCTTTCACCGACCAGCATTCGTTTGTTTGACGACAAAACAGTAAACCTCGGCGCTGCCTTTTCAGAAGCAGTCTACTATGACGACATTACAGCACTGGAAATATTATCAACAGCCTTGATACAACAAAACCAAAAGGTAGGCGTGCACTTGTCACAGTTTCACCAAATGTCAAAAGAAAACCAAAAGAGAGCCGCCTCTATTATTCCACCAGGACTGTTGGATATCTACATTGAAGAAGATCTAGCAGCAATGCGAGAAACTCTTCTTCTACTCGTCCAACATGGACACGTGTCTTCTGGTGGTAGCATAGGTTACCCATTTGATGCATTTGGGATGTTGACCGACACCTACATCCAAAAATATCATGGACAAGGCATGGAAGGTGACCCGTTCTTCCTCTCACTGGCCAGTATCGATACACTAGAATTTGTATCTCGCAACACTGATCAAAATCTTGATCGACTTGCCTATTACAGTGGTAGAACAGACATGTATGATATTTTGGTGTTTATCCATCGGATATACAGAAAGAGTAGTGGTGGATTTACAGCCAATGATTGGCAAGAATGTGATTCAATACACTGCTGCAAAGCACTACAGTTCATGTGGGAAAATTCACCAGACTCTGTTAGATCCAATCACTACTCAATGTCACTCTTTCTTAACAATCACATTGTCGACACGTCTGATCGAGGAATCAAGGTTACCCTACACTTTGTACGTCTCTACCAACACTTTGCGACCCAACCAACAAAAATCAATCGATGCCACCCTCTTTTAACGCATAGCCACCTAGTGTATCAAATAATTCAACTTTTCCAACAGCAATCTACCAACAACAGTACGTTTACCACTTGTAACTCTGAGCTTTTAGACTTGTTGGCGTTTCACGACGGTTTGATCAACTAAACCAACGATTTCATAAAAGAAAGGTTTTTTTTTGTATTTCGTTGAATTTGAACGGATCGGGCTGATCACGCAGAAAATCGATATTTATTTTTAATTTTTTTTTGTTTTTCTGTGACCATCGAGACAAGGTCCTAGCCCAAGTGATTAAAACAGTGTGTAAGATCTATATAGTTTATTAATAATAATAATAATAATAATGTACAGACAAATAATTGTTTTGCTCGTTTTGGCAGTTTGCGTTTCTGCCCAACCACAGGGTTGTGCTGACGACTCTAGCATGCAATGCGCAGATAAGGGAATGTATTGTGATGCAGACTTTTACCAAAGAATTGGTGATGGTGATATCGCTTGTAAATTAGGTAAATATTTATATAAAGAGAGCAAATAGAGAAAAAAAAACCTGCGATATCGCAATAACTGACTCCTCTCTTTAGGTTTTTATTGTGCACCAAACCCATACTCTTCCAGTGGATTTCAATCAATTTTAGCAGACATTGGAGCTTCTTCTTTTGAGCCAACCCCTTCATCTGTTTGCACTCCAATCGGTAAGATTGGTGATGCTTGTGATGGATCTACTGCTTCATGTGATACCGGACTCCTATGTAGAACAGCACCACAAGGTGAAGCGCCATCTTGCCAACCAGCCTCGTACGCCACCTTGGGTGAATCATGCAACAGTTTCCTTGACTGTATCAATTATTTGGAATGTATGTATTATAGGTCTATGGTACCATCAACCCTGATCCTTTCAAATGTGACTAATCCATTTATTTATATTTATTTATTTAGGTGATGCATTTGAAAAGAAATGTGTTCCAAAAATTTCAGATCCAACCATTCAATGCTCTGTTGCTCAACAATGCAAATTTGGTTACTACTGCAACACCACCGATAGCGTTTATCGTTGTGTCCCACGTGGTGATGTTGGGACCAATTGTAGCAGCGCAGTACAATGCAATGAAAACTTGGTTTGTGAGGACAACAATGAAGGCCAAGAAGTGTGCACTGCTCTCTACACGAAAAAGGAAGGTGACACTTGCTCAACCAACACACAAGCCTTGTACGGAACCTATGGTCTATACACCTCGACTTGTGACCTTGGCTCTGGCGTTGTATGCGACAACAACAATGACGTTTGTATCAAGATTCCAGAATTGACCCCTGGAAATTGCACTGAAAGTCCATGTCAAGGTGGTAGTTCTTTTGAAAGATGTATCTGTAATGGAGCCAACAGCACCACTGGTACCTGCGTATCCAGTATCGTCAGAGGTGCACAAATCAACACCTGTGTTTCTGCCTTCCAAGCTTTTACCCAGTGTAAAATGGAAAACAAGTGTCAAGACTTTGTCATAGGCACTTCCTATCCACAAACTATCATGCCAAACAGTTGTATTGGCAGAAACTGTCAACACCTATTGTGTGACGTCCAAAAACAATGTGCCTACGTCCCTGAAAATAGTCCCATCGCTATATGTGGTGGTGACTTTTTGGCCGAATTTTCAGTCTGCTCTTCATTGACCAGTGACTCATCATCAACCATCTCATCAATGGTTTTCGTCATGATCGCTGTTGTATTTGCTTCAATCCTCTTTTAAAAAACAAACTAAATGATGATATTTAAAATAAATCGAATATATATATATATATTAATTAAAATCTAATCAAGCTCATTATGAAATCCAAAGTTTAAGACCTATATAATTTCTTCCTTTGTATTTATATTTTTACATAAACTTAATAACGTACCGTACGATATTCTTTTTGTTCTTTTATTCTTGTTTATTTTTTTGACGATTGTAAATTGTTGTTGTTTAGTTCTTACCCAAAATTGGCATATGAGTAGAAACACCAGTTGAAATATCGTCGTCTCTCCAGTTGGAGGTGATAGTCTTAATTTGGGTGTAGAATTGGACACCAGTCTTGCCATAGAAATGGTTGGAACCGACAAATGAACGACGGGAACCGGTGAAAGAGAAGAATGGGAGTGGGACTGGGATTGGGAGATTGATACCGACTTGACCGACATCGATTTCGTGTTGGTATTTACGGGCAGCAGCACCAGATGAGGTAAAGATGGCAGTTCCGTTACCGTATGGGTTGTTGTTGATGAGCTTGATGGCTTCGTCGAGGGTGTCGGCCTTGAGACAGACGAGGACTGGGCCAAAGATTTCTTCAGTGTAACACTTCATGTTTGGAGTGACTTCGGTCAAGATGGTTGGACCGACAAAGTTACCCTTCTTGAATTGTTCTGGGACTTGGACGTTACGACCATCCAAGACACACTTGGCACCTTCGTCGATACCGGTTTGGATGAGGGCGTGGATACGCTCCTTGGCAGCTGGTGAGATGACTGGACCGAGGTCAGAGTCTGGTTGGGCACCACAGGTGACCTTGAGCTTCTTGGCACGTTCGACGAGCTCTGGAATCCAGTTTTGGGATTCACCGACAAAGACGGCGGCAGACAAGGCCATACAACGTTGACCAGAGGCGCCAAAGGCAGCTCCGGTGAGGGCATCGAGGGTACGATCCTTGGAGGCATCTGGCATGATGGTGGCGTGGTTCTTGGCGGCCATGTTGGATTGGACACGCTTGCCATTCTTGGTGCCACGGTCGTGGATGTGCTTACCGGCAGCTTCACCTCCGACAAAGGAGATGGCACGGATAGCGGGGTCGTCGCAGATAAAGTTGACAGCGTCCTTGGCGCCGTGGATGATGTTCAAGACACCGGCGGGGACACCAGCCTCGATGGCCAATTCTGCGAGGTACATAGAGGCACCTGGGACACGCTCAGATGGCTTCAAGACATAGGTGTTACCACAGGCAATGGCCAATGGGAACATCCAGAGTGGAATCATAGCTGGGAAGTTGAATGGAGTGATACCAGCACAGACACCTAATGGTTGGTTGTACGAGTAAATGTCGACGTTCTTGGAGACGTTTTCGACAGTCTCTCCCATCATCAACGAGGCAACGTTGCAAGCGTGTTCGACGACTTCCAATCCTCTAAAGACGTCTCCCTTGGCGTCTGGGAGGGTCTTGCCTTGCTCTTGGGTGATGATGGCGGCAACCTTGTCCATGTTCTTTTGAATGAGAGCTCTGTAGTTGGAAATGATACGAGCACGGTTAGAGACTGATGTATCTCTCCAGGCTGGGAATGCAGCTTGGGCAGCAGCAACTGCAGCATTCATTTCTTCCAAAGTTGCAACTGGTACTTTAGTAACAACTTCTTGAGTTGCCTAATTAAAGAAATGTTAAAAAATCTTATATGAGAGAGAGAGAAAGAAAACTAAACTAAAACAACTTACTGGGTTGGTGACGTCTAACCATTCCTTTGACTTTGATTCAACAAACTTTCCATTAATCAATAACTTGGTGGTCTATAAATATAATAATAATAATAATAATAATAATAATAATAATAATAATAATAATAATTGATATGATTAATAACTTTTAAACTAAAGTTGTTGTTCTTGATTTCTCGATTTGATTGATCATCAAATTTGATCAATCAAACTTTGTGATGAAGATAATTTACATTAGCTAATGAAGCAGAGGTAGAGTGGAAGAATCTAATATTCTTCAAATTGTTTGAAACAAGCTTGGCAGACAACATTTTCTAAATTATCTCTTTCTAAAACAAGAAACTAAACAGACGTTTCAAAGAGACATTATCATTCTTTGGGGTGAAGATTCCTTCACACAAAAAAAAATAAAAAAAATTGAAAATATCCCGTCAAATGGTGATAAGAGGGGAAATTCAGACATCGTTTGACAATTCAATTTCGTTCGTCATTAATTAATGATTAACAATAAATAATATATAATTTATTAGGATGTTTTGTTTTTATTTATTTAAAAACCATCGGTAAACATTGTAAATGCTCTTTCCATTTCCTCCAATTTAATTGCTGATATGAATAGATTCAATTGTAATTTTTCTGCAACTCCAAATAGAGTATAGACATCACTTTCGCTTGGTAAATTTAAATCTGATTTTAATTTCTTTGCAAAATTGATACCTAAACATTCACTAAAAATAAATAAAGAAAAAGAAAAAGAAAAGGTGTCAGATTAGTAAAATGAAAATATGAATCATTTTTCCAATTGATCATTTGTTCGTACTTGGATTGAGAATAGGCGACTACAAAACTAGCCTTTCGAAGTAATAATTTCATATAGTGAATTAAATAAATTTCTCTCATTTCCATTGGTAAACTATATACTTCTGTAACCATCTTTTGAATATAAATAGATGGATCTTTAAATCTATTTAAACTTTTATCATCTGATCTCCTAAATATAAATAAATAAGTAAATATTAATTTTTGGTTCCAACCAATATTATATTATTATTATATTTTGTTCTACTCTACATACGTTTGAGATTGTAATAAAATATTTTTTAAAATGTCTTCACGATAACTTGTATAACGATATTGAATGTGAGTTTGGAATATTTCCATTTTGTCGAGATCAACCACTGTGACTGGTTTGAGTGATAAATAAATATTCTCTTCGATTTGTTTGAGTGAGACATCGATCAATCCCTGTATCACAAGATCGGGAATGTACTCTTTGTTGGTTAATATTCTAGTAGAGAGTGCCTTTTCGTTTGGCGTTAAAAATAATGACAATGTATCCAACCATTTAAGTACTTGAGCTTGTTGTGTACCAAATACAACTGTCGATCCATTTGTTTGAAGATGTGAAGTTATGACTCTATGGAAAATAAAATAAAAAAGATTAAATATAAATATATATAAGTTTCTAAAGATTCTATTTCTTTGACTACAACATACTTTACAAAAAAATCATTGTCTTGAGGTTTAGCATCCATTAAAAAGGTAGATAGAATATCTACATGAGGATAATTGGATGAATATAAGTGTTCTAAATTAATACAAACTAAAACCAATTCTTTGGTAAAAGATATTTGATCGGCAATCTAAATGTGTAACGAAAATGAATTAATAACGATTAATTGATAAATACATTGTTATTATTATTATTATTATTATTATTATTATTATTATTATTATTATTATTTCGCTTACATTATTACAATAATTTCTTAATATAAAAGAAGCCAACATTGATAATCTATCGGCAATAATATCATGAATATGTTGATAGATTGACAATTTAGAAAGATCCATATACAATGACAATGCAAACTTTGTGATCTTGTCATTGTATCTAGCATTGAAAATGATAGATGATGACATGATTGAGTGTTCTGGATAGATGTTGAATCTCATCTCTTCCGATGTGATTTTAGTATCGAGACCACAAAGTGTTTGTCGAGCCATGAATGATTGAAATTCACTTGGTAGATTGTATTCAGGTGTCGTCCATAACTGTTCGACGACAGGTCCTGCCGTATCATGCCAAACTGATAATTGACATCCTATTATATAATTTGGGTTATAATTATCACTTGCCAAGTTTATGGGTGGTGTTGATTGTCTTCCTAATTAAATTATAATGTCAGCAAATGAGTAAATATTAAGAGATTACAGATCTGAGATATGTTTGTTACATACTTTTCTTTAAAGGATTATTTGAAACTGATTGAGAGTAGGTTGAAAGTATGTCTTCATACACCTTTGAGAATATATTTGTCGTCTTTTTAAAGTCACTCTTTACATAGATACCTCCTCCTCCTGCTCCTCCTCCAGCACCACCACCAACAGCATTACTACTACCATTTGCAGTGTTGATACTACCATTCAATCCAAAGTGACCAACTCCATCCATCTCTCTCTCTCCTCACTCCTCTATATTTATAGTCTTTATTTTGATAGATTATAAGTATTTAGATTGCTATTTACATCAGAATAAACATAACAATCTGTTAACAATGAGGGAGTAGAGATAAATAAATACAGATATAACAGGTAATAAAAAGTAACATTCAAAATGAGGTGGACTCTTGCTTTGCGATATTTTTTAATTTTTTTTTTGCTCATCGTCATTTGAGCTCGGGTTGCCTGTTAAATTGCATTACATTTACACTTTACTTTAGTCTATCTCTTTCACATATACATCTAGTTCAACTATGGAGTACGAAACATACACAAGCACAGTCGAAGGTTTTGCAATTGACTATCCAAAGAAATGGATGTGTGTCAAGAATTCAGGTTACAGCAGTGTCATGTTCACTCCATCACCAAACCAAGCAAACTTTAACCTTAATGTTTGTGTTCAAGATTTAAGAGGTATGTCAGCATCAACAACAACAACAACAAGAGTAGAAAGAGAAATATGATGTTAATAGCAACATGTACTTTTATATCTACTTTACTTTTCTCTACTTTTATAGCTGCAACAAGAGGACAAATCCCAACACCACAAGAATTCTTGCAAGTATCAATTGATCAAGTAAAAGAGATGGGAGCAAAGGGATTAGAGTATGGATCGGTCAAGATTGGTGTTGATAATATCGATGGATACTATATGAACTATGGTTTGGAGAACCCACAAGGCAGCGTTGCCATTCGTCAAGGATTCTTCCAACGCGAAAACTTCACCTTTGTCATTACACTTTCAGTGCCAACACCACTCAACACCCCCGATTTGGTAAAGGTACACCAAACTGCCATCCGTTCATTCCGTCTCTTTACTGCCCGTGGTTACAAGGTTTGTCTCATGTCTCCAAACATTGGAGAATGCCAAATTGGAAACAACCACCGTTTTGCCATCTATTCTCCAAAGCAATGGAAAACCATAAAGACTTCACAAACCAACCAATACCATTGGAAATCAGACAAACAAGATAACCTTCACATGCAATCATCGGTCGACAAATTGCAAGCCCCAATCGACACTGCTTTGAAATTTAATCATTGGATCAAAGAGGAAATGCAAAAAAAGGCTATCGATGGAAAGGTTCAAGTATCTTCACAAAGTGAAATTGAACATTTTATTGATCTCTCTGGTTTGGAAAATGTTAAATATAGTGCAATTAAATTATTGTAAGCAGTAAAAAGAAAAGATAAGAAAAAGAAACAATTATAATTAATTATTTTATTTTATATTCCTATAGTTTCTCATCAAATACAATGGAAATTAAGGGAGATTATGAAATGGTTTATCTTATTGTAGAAGATACTGTATTTACATTCACATTGATCACTGGATTAGGAGAAAACAAGGATTGGAGCGTATTGTTGGAATCATCGGTTGGAGCTTTAAAGTTGATTGAAGAGAGTGCAGACAATAGCAACAAAAAGACACCAGCCATTCCAAAGGATAGTATCCTTACCTACAACTTGTTTGTCAATATTGTTGGTGGATACCGTGTACTCATTCCAAAGCACTTTGAAGTATTTGAAATGAATACCAACTACTATGAAACCGTCATGTTTTACAGCACTTTGCTCAAGCAAGCCAATATCCCAGTCTTTTCTATCAATGTCGAAGACTTGGGTGTCTCTGTCATCCTCCCACAATACAAGGGTGTGATTGCACAAATGATGGGCGAGTCACTCGATAACGCCCGTGTCTTGAGCGACAAGCCATCAAGATTGGACAACTACCAAGCCTCTATTACCGAAATCCACGGCTTTGACTCTACCATTTCAAGCGGTATCGTTGTTGCTCTCTTCAAGTGTGCCGTCATCAAGCGTCGTGTCGGTGTTCTCATTTCCCTTCGTACCGCTCAAACTGAATATGAAGCTCTCTATAAATCATCCATCTTTGCTTTTGATACTTTTAAAATCCTTGGAAAACAAAACAAGTAAAAAAATAAATCAAATAAATAAATAATTATAGTAGTAAAACAAGTAGTAGTCGTAGTAATAGAATTAGTAAATAGAATAATATTTTTTAATAATTAAAAATAAATGTGTAAAAAAAAAAAAGAAATAAATAAATTATTATTATTATTATTTAATTTCTTCAATTAATATCTATATAAATAAAAAAAGATATAAACAATAATTAATTAACATACATATTGTTAGTTTTTGTTAAAATTATTATTTTTGATTTACATACATGTTGATTATCAACTAGATTTAAATTAATAATTTTTTCAGATGGATCAATGAATTGACATTGTTTTTGATAACCATAATAATCCCAAAGTCGGACATGGTTATTATTTAGTCCGAACCGTGTACAGATATAGTTTTGAATAACTTGAACCTTTTCTTCAATTCTAAATCTAACTTTAATCTCTCGAGACAGATCTGATGATTTCAAAAAATTTAGTACAATCGATACCTTTAGATCAAGTTTTACCCCACCACCAAGATTCGAGCTATCGGCTATGTATCGTCTTGCAATTTCTGGTCCACCGCCATAGTGTGCAATGGTGAATCTCCAAACATTGTCTGGTACCACCGCAAAGTGAAAGTTTTCACAGAGATTAGGTAGTAGTTCGATGTCGTTGAGTGTTTCAATGTATTTGCCTGATGAAGCTTCAGAATGGTTGGAACTGCTGCTGCTGATGGTTGGAATGACCGATGACGACGCTGGAAAAACAATGGACGAATTGTCTATCATTCCTAGATCTGGCTGACCAATACCTCCTTTTATCCATCGATTGAACCAATTGATACTAATGACATACCATGTTTCACCAACACATGGTTTACGAGTTGCGCATTCTATCTTTAAATTATTCTCAATATTATTTTTAATCATTTCAACTTTGTTATTTTCTTCTCCTCTTCTTATTATACTACTACTATTATTAATACTGTTATTATTACCAATCAAGTGATTATCGTCATCGTCATCATCATCATCATCGTCATCGTCATCGTCGTCATCATCATCGTCATCATCGTCGTCATCGTCACAATCTTTATATTCTTCTTCTTTAGCATATTCATAGTCTTTAATTATATTATTGATTTGATTGTTGTTACTACTACTACTTTTCAAAGATGGTGAAGATGAACTTGTTGTATCTTCAACATTCCATAAATAATTTGGTAGGAAATTACCATTGTCTTTGAGTTCATGATATTCATAGTTGAAAAGTCTTTCATTGATTGGTGTAGTGAGAGTGTTCTCTGGTACCTTTTGATCCTCCTCTTCCTCCTCTTGACTATAATCATCAAAATAATTGCCTCTTCTTCCAAATAAAACAGATATGGTTGGTGTATCTTGATGATGCAGAGTTTCTTGTTTGTTGTCAGCAGCACAGGTATAATTATTATCATCATCCTCATCCTCATTTCCTTTTGGATGACTATTCACAATGATTGAATGAATACTTCTTGATATCTTTCCAATGATTGGTGTACCAATTATTTGTTGTTGATTCTTTTCTTTTATATTATTATTATTATTAATCATTTCAATATCTTTTTAATAATAAATGAATATAGTTATTAGTAATAAAGATACTACAATAATTTTCTTTGGAAAAGTAAATTAAATAATTTATGCATACTCTCAAATTGATCTTCATCTAAATGATATGATGGTGTAGGTGGTGTAGATGTATCACTTTCTTCATCACTATTATTATTGTTATGATTGTTATTATCTATACTGTTATTATCATTATTATTTACAATTATACATTTTGCTTGTAGATGGTCTATGAGTTCAAATGGACTAGTTGAAAGCCCAAAAGAATCATCTTCATCCCATCCCACCTTCTTTATGATATCTATCCCTCCACTTATTCGTTCATTGTTGTTGTTGTTGTTGTTGTTGTTGTTGCTATTGTTTATTATGTTATTTGTATTCATGATCTACTATTTGTTTGAATACAAAGTAGAATAAAAAACAACAAGTATACTTCATGGTTTTTTTTCCATTTATTTCATCCCTCTTCACCCATCCATTCTTTCCTCACACACCCAACCTAATATTTAATTATTTTTTGGTTGGTATTACTATTATTATTTATTTTTTAATCAAAAAAGAAAAGAAATATCTTTATTTACTGTGATTATATGTATTAGTTGGGAAAATAGAAACAGAGGGTGGGGGGTTGTCTATGTATGAATAAATAGATATAGTTTGATTGATTGAACGCACCAATCCAAAGACAAAATATTACATAAGTGAACAATACCATTGTTGGTGTTTAGTGTTGTTGTTGGTAGAGTCATTGTAATCATCATCAATAGAATCATTGAATGATGGTGCTTTGGATGGTGGAGTCACATTGACTGTTGATTGTGAAAGGGTTGGTTTGTTACGCATAATGAAGCTACCAAGACTCTTGGTCAAGAGGGCTGTGGTAGCTCTGAGATTATTGCTGGGTGGTGAGTCTAGACAATTATCTGGAAGGTTGGATAAAACACACCAATGATCCATACAATTTTCATCGTCAAAGTTTGGATTGAGGATGGAGTGTGGGGATGGTGGATAAGTGGTATCTTCAGGTTTTGCAGTTGCCAACCATTCCTGAGAGGTTGAGTCTAATTCTTGAATAATCTCATCAAATGATGGACGATCCTTTGGATAATATGAAGCACATTTGAGCGCCAATTTCCATAATCTTTCTGGACAATCAGCTGGAACCATAGATGACAATAAATCAACATCCACATCAAAATTGTTTTGTGGTAATCTTTGTTCCAATCTATACTGTGTAATTAATTCAACCAATACCATACCATAACTATAAATATCACTTGAATAACTATATGGCATACCTAATATTACCTCCTAAATAAATATTTTTAATTAGTTTTTTTCAGATTCTATCTTTTTTTCTTTTCTTTTCTTCATTTTCAATTCCCACTTACTGGTGACATCCATTCATCAGTTCCACAAATAGTTGTTGTTAAAGTTTGTGGTGTAATTATTTTTGCAAATCCAAAATCACATACTAGAAACAAATAAAAAATAAAAAGGTTAAATATTATTATTTATAAATGTGACTTTTATATATATATTTATATATATTTACTTTTAATTTCCCAGTTTTCACCAACCAATAAATTATTTGATTTTAAATCACGATGCATAATATTTTTAAAGTGTAAGAATTTCATTCCTTCAGCAATACCTCTTGCCATATGTAATTTTAAATTCCAAGGAATTTGAATACTGTCATCTCTAAGTATTGCACCCAAGTCACCTCCATTAACCAATTCTGTAACCAAAAATAATAATTTCTCTTTTTCACCAACTCCAATAAATTCTACTATATTTTTATGTCTCATCAAAATTAAATCTCTACAATTTAATTTAGACAAATAGATTAGTTAGTGGTTTAAATTCAATCAAATAACTTATTATTATTATTATTATTATTATTATTATTATTATTATTATTATTATTATTATTATTATTATTATTATTATTATTATTATTATTTTACATACTTTAATATATCAATCTCTCTATTTATAAAAACCAATAGATCAGGATCTACATTATCTTTCTTGATCACTTTTACACATACTGGTCTGTTTGGGTAATATCCCTTGTACACTTTAGAAAATGATCCTTGTGAAAATTCAAATTCTTCTATCTTTAATTTTCTACAATCAATAAAGTTTTCTTGTTTCTTGTTGTTATCGTTACTCATTTTTTGAGTTTGTAACTTCTATTCAAATCTAATTATTGATTATTTTTTTTTAATTATTATTATTTTTTAATCTATTTCTCTATCTCTTTTTTAAATATTATATAAATTATTATTATTTGCAAATTATAATGATAAATAAAAAAAAACAATGGTGAATAACTGTCGACTTATGTTGTTATTAAATATTTTTTGCAATTAATTGTAAAACTACCACCATGAGTGAATGATATTACTCGTTCATGTAAGGGGTTGTTGGGGTTGTTGTGTTTATTGTGTTGTGGTGTGCTGTTGTGTTTTCGAAATTCTCTTTTCTCTCCAAGAAAAAAGAGAGGTAAAAATTATTATTATTATTACATCTCCTACAGATAGTTTTAAAGTTTGTGTGAGTTTGATGATTAATAATCTAAATCTAGATTAATCTATATTTCAAATAATCAAAAATTATTTTTAAAAAAAATAATTCTTATTATTACTTTAACAGGTTAACAATAATAATAATAAGTATACATGTCTATGTAGACAATGAATATTAATATTCTGTGTATACAAAAATTTTATATCTAGTAATAATAATAATAATGATAATATATTCACAAGACACAAATGTTTATGTACTTCCAATTGGGATCATAGAATATATAATCCTTATGGCATATACGTATGCCGATTATTCAAACCTTTTAGACAAAGTTTTGTTTAGGTTATTTAAAAGCCTTCTTCGTAGCAACCTATCAATGGTATCTAAAAGAATGTTTATGTTGATATCATCGGAATGCACAACATTGAAATTCTTAATAGCATATCACAGACCATCATTTGTCAAACAACATTTGGAAACCAACTTGAATCTATATTCTGATAATCTAAAGAACATTAGAACCAGTAGAAAATATGTATTGAATGAAATACCGACCAAGTTAAAACATCAAATGGAACGAGTATCATTTACTCATTTAAAGTTGAAAGAGTTTGAACATGAATTACAAGGTTTTAGAAATTTGAAACAAATAATATTTGAAAGATGTGAATTCAATTTGGGTGATTTACTTGGTTGTCTATCTACACTATGTCCAATTTTAGAATACTTGGATATGTCTGATAATCCAAAAGTTCAATGTGATTCAGTTTGCAATATTTCATTACAATTGTCCTCATCATCATATGCATCTCTATTATATCTTTTTCTTCCAAGGAAAATAGATCTTGGTTTGTTAGCATACAATGATTTCCCACCATCTCCGAGCATCAAGCATTTATCTTTCAAATATACAAATTTCTTTCACATCTATCATGACAATGTTATTTTCCAATCCCGTTTGACGAGTAGTAGTCTAGAATCAATTCAAATCTTTAGCTTTAAAAAAAAAGAATTACAAGGATTTCATCAATTTGTTCTTATCAATCATTCCATAAAAAGTTTCATCATTGATGTTGACCTTGTAGAAAAAGTTATGCAAGTGTTGGAACATTGGCAACTAGAAGAATTAGTTATAGGATATGATCAATTTCGATCAGAAATCAAATTAAAATGGATTTTAAGTTTACTTTCCAAAACTAGTATCAAAATAATTACCATTCAAACCAAATGCCTAAATACTAAACTTGAACCTGGTGAAAATGTTCCATTTTTCTTTTTTGAAAGTTCATGTGATCTTCTTTATGGTCCAACTCAATATCGTTATAGTTTCAAAAGAAAATAAACCAAACCATGAACAAATCACCTTTTTGTTTCGAGAGGAAACAACTGAAATTAGTTGCGTGTTGAAATTTTATATAGTTCCATCCATCTTTTTTAAAATGTTATGGTGTTCTTGGATTCTTGATTCTATTTTACCCAATCGATTATCAACTCTTTCTTCCAATATTTCAAATCTATCAGAAAGATTTGATATTGCTGTACTAATATTAAAAAGAATTGTTGCTATATATTCTGTACCATTTCTTTGTTGTTTTTGTTGTTGTTGATGTTCTTGTTCATGTTCTTGTTGTGGTTGTGGTGGCTGTTGTTGTTGTTGTCGTTCTTGTTCCTCTTGTTCTATGTGTTGTTCTTCCTGTTCTTTCTCTTGTTCTGGTTGTTGTTCTGGTTGGTGTTCTTGTTCTAATTGTTGTTCTTGCTCTTGTACTAGTTCTTGTACTCGTCCCTGTTCTAATTGTTGTTCTTGTTCTTGTACTAATTCTTGCTCATGTTCTTTTTCTTGTTCTTGATCTTGAAAATTTTCAATCGTATCGTTGATTTCATTGACAATGTCTATTTCTATCGGAGAAGGATTGTCGTGTGCATCATCATTTAAAGGGTTATTATTATTATTATTATTATTATTATTATTATTATTATTTACATTTTTCGTTTCCTCTAATGGTGGTGATGGAATGTGAATTTGTTGTTCATAGTATCTCATGAAGGCGCCATGAATTGATTCTTTGAGTTTCAATAGTTCCACTTCTTCTCTTTCAAAAAAGTGTGTTCTCTATAATATAAGGTGAATGGGTGGTGACTATTAATACATGTATTGTGGTTGGATAGATATAAACAACAATTGTTTACTTACTTTAAATATTTTTGTTCCATGATTTTGGTATAATTGACATGATCGAAACAAAGTCCGAATGAGATAAGTTGGTATAACAAGAACAGATCCCAAATGCCTTGATATTTTGTTCATTTTAAAACTTGTACAAGTTGATGGATAAAATAAAATGTCGAATATTCTCTTTGCATCTATATCAACTTCTGCCAAGAATGGTTCAACAAGGTTATCGGGTAGTTTCATATTTTTTACAGCCTTGTAGCTTAGAGGTTGTTTTAATTTTTTCAAAGGTGTGTCTGTATGTTGATGATGATGATGGTCATCACCATTGTCCAAATCACAAGAGTTGGATGATTCATCTGGCCCATCTAATTCTATTATAAGTCTATTTGGGCAAATTGGTCTTTTTCTCTTATTATTATTACTGTTATCTATCTTATTATTATTATTATTTACAGGAGGAGGAGTAGGAGGAGGAGTAGGAGAAGGAGGAGGAAGAGGATTTTGATTGGATTTTTCATTGTTGATCATCTCTTGTCTTATAACCAAAAAATTGTTTCGCATTGATCCAATCTCTGTTTTGATGTCTTCATCCAATTGTTGTTTTGAAAATTCAATAAGGAATGATGTTGTTAATCTCGAGTGTACTCCAAGTGGATCAAATTTGGTTGCGTTCATAGCCATCGTTACCAAATAGGACATTATCAAAAGAGGTGATGTATTTGCTTTGTTTAAAACAAAATTTCTAATGATATTGATGCTAATTGGGTTCTTTGTAGAGTCATAGTATTGTTTCATCTTTGTTTTATCGTTTCCAAAATATGCTATATTGGGGAGATACTCGAAAATTCTTAAGAATGGTTCTCCCATACTTTTAATAGTTGCCTCCAAACTTGTTAGCTGACTCGATCTATCATTTTTGAAATCACATTTAATCTGCAAGTCTTGTAGAGATACCAGTATAGTCTCTATCGATTGACAATCAACTACAACTCGAGGATGACATGCTTCACATTCATCAAATGTCTCTATATCCTTTTCCATTGAAGGCCAATAATATCCATCTAAAAAGAGAGAGAGATAGTCAATATTAATATTATGATCGCAAAGAGGTAAGCATAAATAAATATTCATATTTACCTTGAATTAAAGTAGATTTCATAGTGATAGAATCTGGATGATCATTAGTTGAATGATACTCCCATATTATCTTGTTTGATGTAGTATGTTGAATCTTGATCATTGTTGCTGAAAACAATTACAAATAGTTTAGATTAGAATAGATGAATCAAAAGAGGGGAGATGATTTATGATACGAACCATTTTTAGGTTTGTAATAGAGTTGATCCAACTCTACAACATAATTTGTTTGTCTGAATATCTGATCATACAATGGTGATATTACATGCTTCATGAGGATTTTCTTCTTTGTTTCAAAAGCGCAAGAGGTATTGTAAAAGACGATGAGATCATTGTAAAGTGACACCTCCATTGACCTCATTGTATTGGTATTCTTCATCTCGCTTGTTCTAATCTAATCTAATCTAGATACCTATACATTTATTTGTCTATCTATCTATCTATCCTAACCTCCCTTTCTTTATTGCAATATATATATATTTTCAATGAATGAATGAAAGAGAGGTTGCTGAGAGACATCAAACCAACTTTTAAAATATTTATTATCATTTTTTTTTTTGCACAAGCATACCCAAATTTTAACAAAAGGAAAGGTTATTCTTTACAAAGTACATAACTTATCTAATTATCTTTATAAAAATGGTTATCTCTTATTCACCAGATACAAATAAATATTCTCTTCCAATTAGTATTATAGAATTTATAATCATCATGTCATATTCCTATTCGGATTATTCTTCCAAAATCCCGAAATCACTACTTCGCAAACACTTTAGCATAGTATCAAGAAGAATATTTGTAGTCTTATCAACATTGTGCACTTCTATTCATTTTTCAAAGAGAGAACCTTCTCAAGTAACAGAACATTTGTCAAACCAATTCAATTTATATTCATCACACCTTGATCAAATTAAAACAGCCAGTCGCTATGTTATCTCTGACATTCCAGATGATTTAAAATATGGAATGGAAACTTTAACATTTTCTAGTTTATTTGGAAATGGAGAATTTCCAATGCTCTGTGGTTATAACAATTTGTCAGTGATAATCTTGGAAAAATGTTCTTTTAGTATCCAACATTTATTCTCCAATTTAAAACATCATTGCTCAAATCTTCAACTTTTGGATATTTCAAATAATCCTAGAGCTTACAACATGTCAGACAGTGACATACCTCCAACACTCAAACATCTATTCTTGCCTCGATCTATAAATGTGAATCCCAATGAATTTACCATTATCATGATATTGTATAAATCCATCCTACACTTATCGTTTCGTTGTGACAGCTTTTTTAACAAGGTGACGATCGCCAAGATTTATGAAGATCCTTTTCAAATGGTGACAAAGAAACTTTTCCAGTACATACCCCCATCACTAGAATCGATTCAGTTATTCTCTTTTTCAAAAAAAGAATTGGAAGAGTTTCAAGGATTTTCATTATCAAACAAATCGATTAAAAGATTTAAAATTGACATTCATCTGTTGGATACAGTAATAGATGTACTCGAAGTTTGGGAGTTGGAAGAATTGGTTATTTACGATCGTGATATGAAATCTGGGCATTGTTCTATTTTGAATAGATTTTCTGGAAGTTGTAGTATCAAAATCATCACAATCGAGTCAAGACAACTGATTGAAAATCCAGAAACAGATTCATCTAGTAAATTTTTCTTTTACAAAAGATCATCCAATCGACTCTATTCTCCAATTCTATCCCTATATTGTTATAAAAGAAAGGTTTCAAATATTATTGTTGTGGATAGAGACACAACCCATGAAATTAAAGAATAATTTAAATTATATATTTTGTGTTATGTTTTAAATAAATACCAACATGGTACCTATAGGATTTTAATAGTTTCTATTTTGATAGATCTTTAATTCTTGATTCCATAGAATTAAGTCTTTGCTCCAATATATCAAATTTATCGGATAGATTTGATATTGCTGTACCCATATTAAAAAGAATGGTTGCTATATATTCTGTGCCATTTCTTTTTGGTTGTTGTTGTTGTTGTTGTGAGTTTTCAACCTTTGGGCTGTTTTCAATATTATTGGTGTAGCAATCTTGACCAATCTCCATATTTTCATGATTGTTTTGTTTAATCTCCATATTATTATCTTGGTGGCCATTCTCTAAATTATTATTGCAATCATCATTTCCAACATCTTCATTATTAGTGTCTTGACTAATCTCCATATTATTATTGGTTTCATTATCGTTGCTATTATTAGTGTCTTGACCAATCTCCATATTATTATTGGTTTCATTATGATCATCATCATCATCATCATTATTATTAGTGTTACAATTGATCTCTATATTATAATCGTGGTGGCCATTCTGAGTATTGTTATTGTTATCATTTATAACATCTATATCATTATTAATCTCCATACTATTAGTTCCAATATCATCATCTTCATTATCATCGTTACTATTATTATTATTATTATTGTCTTGACTATTCTCTATTTTATTAGTTTCATTATCATCATCTTCATTATCATTATTATGATTAGTGCCTTGGCTACTCTCTATATTATTATTAGTTTCATTATCATCTTCTTCATCATCATTATAAATATTATTGTTATTGTCTTGACTATTCTCGAGATTATTATTAGTTTCATTATCATCATCGTCTTCATCATGATTAGTGTCTTGGCTACTCTCTATATTATTATTATTTTCATTATCATCATCTTCAACATCATTATAAATATTATTTTGATTAATATCTATACTATTATTAATGGAATTGTCATTTAAAAGTTCGGTTGTTTTGGATTTCAATTGTGGAGAAAAATGAAGGAGATGGTTATCAAATGAATTGTTTTTGCCAAAAACAATGGTTTTATATTGGTTGTTGAGAGAATCACTACTACTACTATTGCTTTGATTTAAATTGTTATTATTATTTACATTGTACGAGTTGTGGGTTGGGCTACTGTAAAATTGAGCATTATTATTATTATTATTGGCATATTGATAATTGATCTTTTCATTACTCTGATTCAAGTCTTGAAATGGTGATTTGAAGAAATGAAGATTAATTGGATTATCTTGTGGGCTGATGGTTGGACTAGGACTATTATGATTATTCTCTACACTATTATCTTCACTATTTCTTTCCAAGTCTGACGATCTAATGGAATCTTCAATAATCTGGGTACTACTATCATAGTAACGCATAAAAATGTTGTGAACCTTTGCTTTGAGTGAAACTAGCTCTTGTTGATCTTCTTCTTTGTTAAGGGTTCTCTATATATTATATGAAGGACCATCAATATTAATACACCACTTTTTCATGTAAAACATGATGATTTGTTTACATACAAAATATAGATTTGTTACATTCTTTCGGTACCAACTACATGATTGAAATAAAGCCCGAGCGAGATATACAGGTATTACGATTAAAAAGCCCAAATTCCTTGTAATAGTATTAATTTTTCTGTGTGGAGCCAATCTAGATGGAGTATAGAGAAGAATCAGAATCCTTTGAACCAAAGAACCGACCTCATCCAAGAATGGTTGGACAAGGCTCTCATGCAACATCATTTCCTTTACCGCTTTGAATCGCAGTGGTCGTTTAAAGGATGAATATTCATTTGAATATTCCGTACCATTCATGGAATCCAAATGATGATATTCGTCTTGATCTTCTGATTTTCTCTTCTTATTGTAATTATTTTCTGAATTATTATTTACATTATTAATATAATTATTATTATTATTATTATCATCTATATCATTATTATTATTTTTAACTTGATTGATCATTTTTTGTCTAAAATCTTTGAAATGCTTTAGTATAGTGGCAACGGTAGTTTTGACGTGATCATTACGAAGGTTATCATCGTCATGGTTTGCATAATGTTCGAGAATGGTTGCAGCGTTTTGGGAGTGTTGATCAAGTGGATTAAATCTCGTAGCGTTCATAGCCATCGTCACCAAATAACCCATTATATCGGTCACTGTCATCATTGGTCTCTTGGACACATGATTTCTAATGACATTGATACTAATAGGGTTCTTTGTTGTGTCATAGTATTCCTTCATATTTTCTAAACCATTGCCAAAGTAATCGCGGATGGGTAGATTTTTGAAAGCCTCAGTGACAGACACATGTAGTTTGGCAATGGCTCCATCTAAATCTCTCAACTCCCATGGGTCGTCCCATTCACACAATGGTTGAACATGATTGATGTGCACATCAATACCATTTGTATCAGCCATACTATATAGAGAAAATAAAATAGAGTTAACCGATTGGTTATTCACTTTAACCTCGGGCCAATGTTTCATACAATATTCACATTCAAATTCCTCTAAATCCCTATCCATTGATAACCAAAAATATCCCTCTATATATCAAAAAGTTGGAGAACATTGGTTAATATAACTACATTACACATTACATTAAATTATATTATTTGAATCCATCACACCTACGTTCTAATAAATGTTGTTTCATTACATAAAAATGTGGATGTGATAGTATAGTATGTGTAGCTCCTAGTATCTGTTTTGATGTCAAACTCACAACTGTACGTAATACTCCTACACAAAAAGCAACAATGTATCAATTAAGTATATTTAGACACTTATACAGTTTAATTACTAACCTTCTTCAGTAACATAACAGAGTGTTCCTTTAACCATTTTATATACACGACCAACAACCCATCTAGTCACAACCGATCCAATATACTTGTTTATGATGCTATTTTTTCTTTTCTTACTATTCTCTGTGAAATACTGGCACAGATCATCGTATAGAGACTCCTCCATTGGTGTTGTCCCTTTCTTATCCATGTTGACAACAATTCTTCTTTAATATTCTATTATTACTATTATTATTCATGAATTGATCTCTATCTACTGATATGTATCTCTCTACTCTCTCTCTCTCTCTTTATTATTTAATGCATCTTCTTCTACAACTGTGTAGAGATTAACCTCTCCTTTTGGTGGATATTATCTTCATCATGAAAAATACGAACTTCTTTTACCACACACCCCCACGATAATTATTCAATATATTTTTAATCATTTTTTTCTTCAATAGGTTAAAACATAAATACAACTTTATGGTTATAATTTTAATAGTAAAAATATACCACATACAAACAATAAGTATTCATTTAAAGTACTTGTAAAGTAGTTTTAGGTCAGTCAGATACTAAAGGTGAATGAATGAATGAAATAGTTGAGAACAACTAATAAATCTTATTTCCTAGCTCAATTGATGGTTTTCCAAGCTTGAATAGTCAATACCACAATCAAACTCATACAAGATTGAAAACGAAAAGCTTCCATGGAACGAATCAAGATATTTTAGGACCTGATTTTTATTCCATCATAAAAAGTGATGTCACTCGCAGATTTGAATCAACAATCAGTCGGCTAGTATTTAAACGACTACAGCGACGCTTTTCATTATCATTTTAAAACAGATAAACACAAACAACAAACATACATATATATATTCATATTTTTCAAGAAAGAAAGAAAAGATGAAGAATTCACAATTATTATTAAGCATCATTGTAGCTATTACTCAAGTATCAATTATTCTAGCAGAACCAGGTCTATATGGTTTGGGTGTACCCTCTGTGAACTGGAGTAACCCATCTGACACTTATTTTGGTGTTTTCAATGTATGTTGAAACACACTATAGTCATTTCATTTCATTTCATTTCTTTTCTTTGTCATTTACTTACTCTTATCTCTTCTCCTTTCTCTTTTCTCTTTTCTAGAACGGATCATTTAATCAAATACTTGATTTATCAAATGGAGAATATAATGGTTTTGCTAATGGATCTGATCCATCTTGTTCAGTAAACAATATGTTTTACGTGTTTGTTATGCAAGGCTACGGTATCAATGAATTGATTCAAATCGATACTGATAAGGTGACCTACTCTCAAGTTGCATCAAACGTTTTGAGCGAACAAACCATCGAATCTCTATACTGTGTCGGTAGTGGTCCATCTTCATCTGCTCTACCATTGTTTATCGCTGTCCAAAGCCCACCAAATAGCAATACCGGTATCTTGATCTCTTCCAACAATGCTGGAACTGGAGGTGACAAGGTTCTCTACAAGTCCAATCCAAACAGACAATTATTGGCATCTGCCTATGACTCTACAGCTGGTATTGTCTACATTTTCTATAACAACACTGCCACCAATACCAATGGTGTCACTGTCTACTCTATGGTCGCTGGTCAATCTCAAGACTCTGTTATGCCAAGACTCCCAGCCAACTTTGTTATCCTCGATACCGTCTATTCACCATTTGACAACAATATCTACGGTATTGCATCGATCGACGCTGCTCAACAAACCTACCGTTTCTTTGTCTTTAATCCACAAGGAGGTATCGGTATCAATATCATCAAGGCATCCTACACACTTCCACAAGTCGGTTCCCTCGGTACTCCAAACATCAAACTCGACGTATCAGGACCAAACGTTTATGCTGCCCTCACTCTTACTCTTTCCGGTCTCAGATACGATACTATTATTTTAGATTTTGATCTTGAAACTTATCAGATCACTGATTCATCCAATTCTTACAACATCTGTGCTTTTTCTGCAGTTAATGCTTAAAACAAAAGTGTTTATAAACAAACAAACAAACAAACAACACATTTTAATTGTAAATAAATATATATCCAAATTGATATCAATATATATACAATGATATCAAATATAACAACAAACTAAACTAAAAATATTTAATTAATAATTTATTGAGAGATTGACGACATCCTTAATTGCATTATTTTGTTACTCTTTTTAAATAGAATGTTTTTACGTATTAATATGATTGAACCAACAGCCAATGCAATGGCACCAATTCCACCAACTACTACACCAACTATAATTCTCCATGTATTTGATTGGTTTTCATTGTCACATGACGATTCATCAGTGTCATTGACAATGAGAAGTGGTGTAAAGTCTGGATCTAAAATACATTCTTGACATTGTGATAGAATCACTCCAATCACTACTGTCGATGTTGTATCATTATTAGAGGTGATTGAGAGTACTTGAGTTTTTGAATAAGTTTCTCTTCCATCAGACAATGAATAATCTATAAATCTACCATTCAATTGAATATTATCTTTGATTATTCGAAGATATTGTAAATCTGATCCAAGAGGGTCATATGATAATGAATCAACAGTGTGTTCTTTACAATCCAATGAAAATGATTGATTATTATTGATTGAGGTCTTGAATAATACTCTAAGATATGATAGATTGGAATCATAATCCCAACCACTAACATTGACTGATAACTTTATAGAGTTTGGATCAATATAAAGTTGTTGGCTACCAAACATAACGGTTCTAGCATTACTAGAGAATGTAAGGGTAGTTGTAACATTCAAATTTGGATTACTATCTAAATTGGTTTGATTGGTTATATTGAGAGCATAAATAGCAGTTGTTAATTCATCTGTTATTGTAATATTTGATGACCATATATCAGTTGGTAATTCCTTTATAATTAAATCATCAAGATTTAATTCTTGAATTGATATAATTTCAAATTTAAATTCAACCCCATCAAATGATGCTGATGGTTCATTTGGATCAATATTTGGTTTAGTTGAATTTGTAACTAATAAAATAAAATAAAATAAATTAATTAGTTGATATTAATTTAATTAATTAGTTTTCTACATACATTGATTACTACAATTATCAATTGGATTATAATTTTGATCACATTGACATTTTCCTTGATCATTACATTCACCATGACCAAAACAATTATCTGTTAATTGTTGGCATTGATCTTTTGGTGATAATCCAGATGATGAAGATGAAGAGGATGAGGATGAGGATGATGAATTATTATTATTATTATTTTTAAAATAAAAAACATTTGGTCTTGATAAAAAGTATGAATCAATTGTCATGTAGATTGAAGCAGGACCATTATTTGGAATCTTTTCTAATCTACATTGAACAATAGCTTGAGACTTTTGGGTGATTCGACAATTAATGGTATTATTAATGATGACTGTCAAATTATTTTGACCATATGCTCCAAAGAATCCATAGATTGTTAGGTTTTGAATATCTGTTTGATCGATTTCATATGAATTACCAATTGGATACTCTACCGTGTATAATACATTTGCAGTGATACTATTGTATTCATTTCTAATAGAGATGACACGATATCCAGGAATGACACTTGAAACATTGGCTGCACATTGTAATTGTGTAGATGTATTGGTAGTCACAATACATGGAATATTTCCATCAATCCAAATGGTATGTTCAATATATGGATTAATTAACAAGAAGTTGACCTCTAGCTGAATCGAATCTGACAATTGTTTAAAGAATGGTCTGACCACCTCTGAACTATTGTTAATCTCTAAACCAGCCTCTACAAATGTAAATGGATATGAAATACCTTGCATTGTATTTAAATTGATTTGAATCGATTGTTTGGTTCCATAAAAGAGTGATGGATCAATGAGTGTGAATTCAATTTGCTTGTTTGGAATGATAGCATTGAATTGGTAGGTAGAACTACCAGAGCTACCCCATCCAATGTTTTTACCAGTTACTATTGTACTATGATTAAACAATACCAAGTCTTGTGTATCAAATGTAATATCTAAAAAATAATAATAACAATAATAATAATAATAATAATAATAATAATAATAATAATAATAATAATAATAATAATAATAATAATAATTTAATGTCAGTTAATGGTATATGATAAATAAAAATTAATCAATATTAATGATTGATTTAACATACTACAAACAAAAGTGGATGGTTTAACAATTGATGTTTTAAGAATATTTGTATCTTTACTATAACACCAAAACAATCTAAATATTAAAAATAAAATAATTAATATGCAAAGTTATTTTTAAATCTTTTTTTTTTTTTTTTTTTTTTTTAACATACCTGGAATAGAAGTTATTTTTGAAGTTGGATCTAAATTTAATTTGTTTCTACAAATGGAATCTGGAATTGTACCAACAATGGAGGGTGATTTTTCTATTTGAAGTGTAGCAAAGGTGGTTCCAAATATTTCCCAAGGAACAGTTGTGACTTGAGAGTTTTTAAAGTTAAATGATGATAACTTTGTTGGCAATGGGGTGTAGACTGATTGATTTGAATCTTGAAGATTGATTCTAATCAAGTTATCGGGATAAAATGGTATTGTGTAATTTGGTAAATTTTCAAACTGTATATTTGTAAATGTCAATTCTTTTAATTGTGCCGATGCAAGATTCACAGGATTAAATAAATTTAGTTCACTACTTGTTCTAAAATAAAAAATGTAAAAATGTTTAGTTTGACTTGATTTGTTTTGATTGATTAAGAGAGTGATCACATACAATAGATTTATAGATGCACTTGGTTGAAACTTGATATTGAATTTGGCAGGGTAGATAGCACTGAGAGTTCTTTTTTTTTTTTTAGATTAAAATGAATATATAGAGGTTAGTTTCTTTCTTGTCGACAATATTTGTTTAATAACTTTTTTTTTTTTTTTTTTTATATAGTTACAATTGATCTATTACATTGGCAAATGATATATCAATGGTTGCATTACCAATGTTTGTGTATACACTGATATTTGGTGTCGATGGAAAAGACTCTTGAGCAAAGTCAAGTGTATAGTTTGATGAAACACCAGCATTAAAAGTCAGCATACATGAGATGAGACTGGGGAGACGCCAAGTATTGTCTATCCTCATTTCTAGTAAGGTTCTTCCTCCATTGATAGTTAAATCTTTTAGACCAGGAAGACTCAATCCAGTACCAGTAATAGAGTTCAAGTTTACAAGGTTTGATAGAATTACTTGGTTTACCAATGGAAGATTATATGTTAACATGTCTGGAATATATGTAACAGAAGAATCATATAATATACTATAATAGAGAGAGGAAAAGGATGTTAATTAGATTGTGTTTTACAAGTTGTGTGTGTGTGTGAACAAACATACGCTAGAGTTTGAAGTTGAGGTAAATTATTAATCAATGTCATTACATTGATTGATTGATTAGATACCTTTGAAGTACCAAAAATAGAGAATTTAGTCAGTTGTGATAATCTCAATGATCTAAATGTAGGATCAGGCATTTCTGTAAACGTAACATATCCTGCTATTGATCTAGATTAAAAAAGAAAGAAAAAAGAAAAAAAGAGATATTAGCAAATTTACAACTCAGTTTGTTTGTACTATAGCTTACATTCCAGTAACATGATATAGTCCATCAACCATTTGACATTCTATACGATGAGAAGATGATGATACATTGTTACAGAATTTTGAAGGATCACCTTCAACCAATGGCATACCATATTGTCTTATAAGAAATGTAACTGAATCAACTATTATTCAAAACAAACACATTTAAAAAACAAAAAAAAAAAAAAAAAATATAAGTTTGATGATTTTTGTTGAGGTTTTTTGTTCAATAAACTCTAAAACATACTTTCATCTAGTAATAATGGTTGAGAATTGCAACAGGTAGAAAGATAAATGATCAACACTATTACAGATGATATCCATAAACTTTGTGATTGATTCATTATAAAGAGTGATAAATATAAATATTTGTAAATACACAAATAAAAATTTATCTTGTATTCAAAGAGACCCGACAACTTTGAGAATGACCCCGATTTCGTTGGAAAGTTTCCCAACTCAGATTCTTTATTCAATTTTTTATTGTTGTTTGGTTCAATTGCCGATTGAGATCTAGCCCCGATACCGACCAAAGATTCAGTTAGTGGTCGTAAATGTGCTTTGGGATTTTTGAAAAAAACGAACCCAAATTAATTTTTTTTAAAAGAGAGAGATATTTGTACAAAGGTGTATTCTTATTTATTATTATTTATTATTTATTATTTATTATTTATTATTTATTATTTATTAAACTATTATTTTAGATTTTTTAACTTGTAATCTTTTATCATTTTTAGATTCCCAAACTGGATAACGATTACGATTACAATTATAAAACCAAGGGAGGATAGCAACACGATCTCTAAATTCTTGATCCATCGTTGAAATATCACGAATTCTGTTTTTGAAATCATCTGGTGGTTGCAAAAGTTTGAGTTCCAACTGTGAAATGTTACCCGTTTCGAGGTCATCGGCAAAGATTGATAGTTGTGGCATTGACTTTATACCACATTCTGTACATGACAATTTCTTGATGATTTGGTATGGCAGATAGCCATAGTGAGTCATATGCATACCTCCTAAAAGAAAGTGGCCAGATTGACCACGGTTTCTGCTTGGTGCCTCTTCCTTTTTAGCTTCACCCACTACATAAAAGGTTGGGTCTCCCAAAGCATAATTATTACCAGGTACGTGCCAGTATGGATTAAATACTTGGTTGATTGGTCCGTATGGGAACCAAATACCAATGTCTATCTTTTTTACATTGTCTTGTAGTTGGCAGTGTTTGAGCAAGTGGACATTGAGACGTCGGGTAATCTCGTCAGTGTCGCCAAACCCGATAATATCACTGTCACCGTACAGATTGCCCTTGTGTGCATTCCACTCTACAAACTTTTGCCACCGACGTTTCTCTTGGTGTGCCTCGGCCGAAAACAACTCGTTACCTACTGTCAAGTCGGCATCGTCTAGTGCAAAGTGCACCACCTTGTCACTAAACTTTGCAAATCGGTCTTGTAGCTTGACGTGCTCCCACATGAGTGGTTTCTTGAGCTTGTGAAAGTGAGTGCTGGTCGATTCAATGATGAAAAAGTCGTCCACCATATCGTGCAACTCGTTTAAATGAATCTCTAGTACGTCAATATCGAACCCAATCTGCACCATGTGTCCAATACGTGCTGGTTTGTCTCGCAGCTTGCCAGTAAATACATTGGGATAGACAGCACAATCCAAATGCTCTGGTGTAGGTAGTGGTTCGGGGGTACAACTATCATTGATGGGAGTACGTGGAGATTGCAATATATAAGGTACCAATTTAGTGATAAGCATCTGTGAAAAATCATCAGTCTCGTCTACTCGACCTTCTTGTACAGCACTTCTAAACTCTTGCCATGGGAATGTCTCCATATCCTTTTTAAAGTTGAGTGGTTTGTTTGAAAATCCTGATACTCTACGTGATGGTGATGGTTGTGGTTGTATATTCACTCCAGACTCTACAACAATGGTCGTACGACTATTTGTTGGTGTTGTAAACATATAAACTCCAAAGGTAATCAATATACCTATACATATTATCTTTAATCTTGTTATTTTCATTTTCGAGTCAGAATTATTAATATTAGATAATATATATATATATAGATACAGATAGAAAGACTACTTAGTTGGACACCCATGATATAGGACTGATTCACTTGGTGTAAGATTTAATTGGTAAACACCAATTAATAATGTATTCTGACCTCACATAACGACGATTAAAAAGGTGACACAAAAAAACTTTTTCGTGTTGTAGAGTTCCAAACTCTCTTTTTCAAATATACTCTTTATGATAAAAGAAATTAATATTTAAAATTAAATAGAACAAAATAAAGAGTTTAGATAGGAGACTTGGAAAGATAATAAGAAAATATTAGCATCTATATATTATATATCGATATTAATTAACTATTTGAGGACAACTAAAATATCTTTATAATAATTAAATATGAAAACAAACAATGACGAATAAAACTAAAAGACGACCTGCAGCAGCAGCAGTGCAAGTAAACTAGATTGTTATTATTGTTTTTTTTGAAAGGAGAGATAGGATGAATCATATTATATCATCAATTGATTTTAGTAGATTGATTGAATCTAGATTAGTACAGGGATTCTTAGATTTGACAAAAAAGGATCAGATTGCTTGTCTATCAATTGCAACAATCTCTTTATTGTATTCAAGTATGTGTTTTACAATTTGTATAATGATTGATGATAACAAAAGAATTGACCAATCCTTTTCTCTTTCTCTTTTCTTAATCTTTAGTAAAATATAATGGAGGATCAATTAGTACATGGGTATATGATAAGAACTTTAAAAGATATATAAGAGATTATTATATAAGATATACAACTGCTGATCACATTGAAAACTATGGATTCGACTTTAGACAAGCCAATACACGAATGATTAAAGATTTGGCATGGTCTGTAGAGCATTGCAATCGAATTGTTGCAACAAACTATAATTTCAACTTGATTCAAAGATTGTCTACTTGTGTCATGGCCGTAGTCACTATCAATTTGGGACAATTCCTTGAACGCTATGGTGCTCTATCACACCAACAGAAACAAAAAGAAACATCTTTGACTGTGCACTGTCAATTTTTCCATGCACTCAACAGGGATCCATTATATATTGGTCTCAAATCAATCTTGTTTCAAATATTACTTGAAGATTTTTGTATGTAAAAAGAAAAAGAAAAGAAAGAATAATATATAATTGATAAATATATATTTATTTATTTATTTTCTTTTTTTTTCTATAGGTTATGCAAAACAAAAACAATTCCAAAAAGCAAACTTTTTCTATTCAATGACACCAGCAGAGATTGGTATTACACAAGTATTGTGTGATTTAATCATTGAGATTAGTAGAAAGAATCCAAAGATTCTAAAAGATTTTGTACCATTGTTACCAATCTTTATCTCACTTATTGAACATAATCGTGGTATCAATGATAGAATGGTTGGTTTAAACAAGATGGCCTATGTAGCTCACCTTTTAAAAATGGAAAACAAAAAGTTGAAGGAATCTCCATTGCCTTTGGAAATAATCAAACAACTTCGACATTTGGATTCCTACCCTCTATCGGTACCATTTGGATTATACTCTAATAAAGAGAGTATTGCTTTACAACTTGGATTAATTGGTGCCATAACATTTATTGGTCAAAGAGGTATAAAAAATCTACCATCTCTTGTCATGCAAGCATCGGCAGCTGCAGCTGTATGGACGATTCCATCCATCTTTAAATATGGATATAGAAAATCTAGTCACATCGTCGCATCACTCTATGCAGGTAGTTTTTCACTTGCAGTCATGGTACCAACCTATTACTATGGTCTACGTCATTTACCAAATAACACCACAGTCCTCTATTTGGCTGCATTCACTGGTCTATCCTATACAATCTCTAAAACTTCTAAATTCCTTTCTAATAGAATTCAAAATAATATGATTGGTTACTTTAATCAATATAATCAAGAAAAAGAAGAAGAAGAAGAAGAAGAAGAAAAAGAAGAAAAAGAATAAGAGGTTAAAAAAAAATAAAAAGGTTTTATTTAAAATAAAATAGATAATACAATAGTTATTGATAATAATAATAATGGTTGATAATTATTATTTTTGATTGCATCACTTGAATCATCATTTGAAGAACCAGTTAAACTTTCCTCTGAAAATAATGGAATTTGATCCAATGTTGTTCTTGTAGCATTATTCTTTGGTGCTTTTGGTGCTTTTGTAGTTGTAGTAGTAGTAGTTGTGGTTTTTTCATCTGAGGTTATTGATTCAGATGATGATTCAATTGGATCTGATTTTCCAGTTGTTGAAGAAGTAGTCGTTGTAGAGGTCGATGGTGGTTTAATTGCTCCAGTGGTAGAAGAGGTAGTAGATGATTTGGTTGGAGGAATAGTTACAGTTGGTGGAATAGTTGGTGGAGTAGTTGGTGGTTTGGTAACTACTGGAGGAGTAGTTGGTTGTGGAGTAGTTGAAGCAAATAAAGTAGAAGCACCAGTACCTGGAGTATAACAACTTGAAACTCCCTTTTTAGCATAATTTCCACCTTTTACAGATAGATCACAAACTGAATCTTGGAAACATTCACTACAATGATTGTAACAAAACAATTGACAATCGTCATTGGTTTGACATGGTTGATTGAATTTACAGAATTGACTTGTAGAGTAGTATGCCATTTTAGGATTCATTGGACAATCTTGAGTAGCATTCCACGATGATACTGCTGATTCAAATGTACTTGAACTAAATGCGATAGAGGCATCGATTGAACTAGCCGAAAATGAACATATCTTTTTGGGCAATGATCCACATAGATCACTCTTTCCAACCAATGATACACATACTGGTGATGAATTGGTCAATGAAACTAAAACTATCGAAAAGATTATAAATAAATATAATTTAAACATGTTGATTGTAGGAGAGATAATTAAATGTTTATAATATTATATTTTAAAGTCATTGTTTATATATTTATATTTGATTGTAATTGTTTCATTTATCATCAATACATCTATACTATTTATGAATAATTCTCCTACCTCTTTTTTATTGATTGATTCATCATTCCATATATTTCTATTTTAGTCATTGTTTTCACTATAGAGGAAGAGTCATTATTACTATTATCTAAAGTGATTGAAAAAACAATGTGATGTTTAAAAAAAATTGATGAAAGGTTTTAAACTTTTCTTTCACACACTACTGATAAAAAAAATAAATAATATTATTATATTTTAATATTAATTGTTGTTGTTATTATTATTATTACATTTTGTTTGTGTTTTTTTTTTTTTATCTATGATGATCCTCTTCTTCTTCATCATCTTCTTCTCCTCCATTATTTGTTGATCTAATTAATGGTACAAAATAAGATTTGATTGTAGTTTTTGTAATGAGGATACCAATACCAAAAGCAATGACACCAGCACCTAGGATGACACCGACAATGATTCCAGCCAATTGACCTTTGGTAAGGGCTTGTTTTTCTTTAATGTATGGTTCACCACACATTGAAATGAATGGATCCATACCAGTAAAATTACAATAAGTGTATGGTGGATCAATGCCACAGTAAATGTTGAAACTGTTGGGGATGATTTCACCTGGTCCACTGGGTTCATCCGAGGCCGAGTCTGATCCAATATCTACATTGTCATAAATCTCTACGTTTTCATAGAAATCAATCTTGGAGGCACTGCAATAGACTGCTCCACCATTTTGAGCACTAGAGTTTGTAATGACTGCATTGGCAATGGAAAAGATACCAAACTCTGTAAAGATGGCACCACCATCATCATAGGCATTGCAGTCGATAAATTGTGTGTTGTTGATCTTGCCATTCGAGTGGCTAAACGAGATACAGGCACCTTCATTGGCCGTGTTGGATTGAAAGAGAGTAGAGTCGTGAATGTAAAACTCGCAGTCGCCTTCGATACGCACTGCTCCACCCTTGCCGTCGACACAATTGTTTTTGGTAAAGTTGGATTGGACACTTTCAAAGTATCCCATGTTGCTCACTGACACTGCACCACCCGACACCATGGCATTGTTGAGGTTGAATAATGATAATGTCACATTGACGTATGCGTTGGTAGCAGCAAGAGCACCACCAAAACCAGCTTGGTTGGTGGAAAAGTTGCTCGTTGCGACTTGACTGGTCGTCTCGTACTCTGAGTTTAGTGAGATGGCACCACCATACATGATGGCGCGATTGTCGACAAAGTTGGAGTTTGAAACAAACGCGCTGTCGGCAATGATGAAAATGGCACCTCCACTGCCATTGCTGGCATGGTTGCGTGAGAATGCGCCGTTGGTAACGGTTGTGACGGCCGATTCAACGTGTACAGCTCCACCACTCACTGTAGCCGAGTTGTCAGTAAACACGCAGTTTAGTAGCGCCAAGCTTGCATTGCTGGGAGCTTGGTAGGGCACACCCGAACCAGTACGCAAAGCACCACCATGGCCAGCCGACGTGGACCGAGCCGAGTTGTTGTGGAATGTACATGTATCAAACACAACGTTGGCACCAGTATTATTGACATACATCATAAATGCACCACCTCCACCGACATTGCGATCAGCACCGCTCGCATAGGATAGAGTTGTATTTGACACTTGACCATTTGTAAAGGTGATACCACGGAATGACACTGTCGTGACGGTCGTATTGGTGTAGGGTACGGGTAATGCAGTAGGCTCAACCAACTTGAATGGACGACCTTGTACTTGTGCATCAAATATGACACCCAAAGAAGAAGAAGAAGAAGTACTAATAAATGTAATGTTGGCATACCCAAATAGATTATTGTCTAGATTACCAGTACCATTGTATGTGCCGGGAACTAACGCTACCTCGAACCACACCTTGGTTCTATCGGTACCGTTGATACCCAAAGCAAGATCAAATGATCTGATGACACTTGCAACATCGATGCATGGCGTATCTACACTTGATCCACATGTCGTCGCATTTGTTCCATTCTCCCAATCAACAGTATATCTAAATGTTGGTGGGTCTTGTGATTGAACCATCCCTACTAGCACTAGTACAAATAGGCTTAAATGAAGAATGCAAAGCTTCATTCTTTTCTTATTGTATGTTAGGTTAAAGAAGCTATTAATCTCTCTCTTGTTTGTACTATTCCGACTACTACTACTATTATCTTTAATTATTCTTGTGTAAAGAATATAGAATAATCATTATTGTTCTTTTAAACATTTGTAAAGAAAGTATCAGATAGACGGGCACCTCCACTTTTGGACATGTGGTTTTTCTTTTAAAAAGTTGGCTTTTTAAAAAAACCCAATATATCAGTCGGGGTTTGAGTGCACTCAAGGATCTAGATTTCATATTGATAGATTGGTAGAAACGTTCGTTATAAAATAAAATATATGTCATCAATATATATATATTTGGAAATCAATGAAACTGTATTAATGTAGCCTCTGGTGAGTGATTAATGAAAATCAATGAAAATTGGATATAAATATGGGTAATGCCAAAAAAAACTACTTCTGGGCCCGGAAAAAAATCAACTTTTTGTTTTAATAGGTTTTTATGATGAGGATTCAAGGGAAATCGATGAAAATTGGATATAAATGTAGCCACCGGTGCGGAGAACATGGAAATGGCAAAAAAACTACTTCAGGGCCGAAAAGAATCAAAAGGTTTTCGACATCTGCAGGGTTCGAACCTGCGCCTCCGAAGAGAATTGATTTCTAGTCAATCGGCTTAGACCACTCACCCAAGATGCCCAGTTGAAAGTTTTTTTTGTGACTATGCTTTTTATATGCAAAAATCATCATCTTTATTTTTAGAACAAGCAACACATCCAAAACAATCCAACATGGTTGGCACTATACAATAAGATACATGATCAACGTCCATAAACATGTATCATAGACAAACTCCCAGAACAAATTAACTTTAATTCTTCTCGAGATAATCTTTATTTCTTTCTGGTCAATGAAAAAGTATAATTAATAAAACTTTGTATCTTCTGAGTACTACTCTTCCCGATAGGAGAGAACAAGAAAAGAATTACTTTAAAAAAAAATGTATTCTTCATCTTTTCGCCACCTTGGTATCACCCACCCAAGTCCATCGTCCTTGGTTTATCAACCCTCATCCACCTTGGTCCTTGGTCTGTCATCCCCCAACCACCTTGGTTCTTGGTCTATCATCCCCAAACACCCTAGTCCCTGGTCTGTAATAACTATATAGATACTTGGTAAATATATAATTAGTTTGAGAGGTTTATAATAATAATATATATATATATGAATATATAGATAGTAATAATGACTTTAGATTAGATTGTAAATGATTATTAATTATAGTAATAAAAGAGGAATATAATATAGAATATAGAATGTCTCTTTATTGGATTATTCTAATCCTTTTTATAATTGTTGATCCAGACGACTAACTGACGATGGTTAGTCGTTAGTATTTTATCCACAATATTTTACATATTTGACTTGTCCTAACCAGGATTGAGTATATTGAGTTCAATGAGATATGATGAATTAATTTTAAATTCGTCAGAAAAATAATATTGATTTGGCGGGTAAAAGAATTAATAAATAAATAAATAATAAATAAAAAAGGGAGGGAAAAAGAGAGAAAAGAGAGAAAGAAAGAAATAGAAAAATATAGTTTTGGTTGTTTAGACCATGGGAACAGTCCAAAAAAAAAAAAAAAGCCCCCAATGCGATGAAACTCGACTTACATGGGGCTTACGCACACGAAACGACGGAATGGATGGACGATGATGGACTGGACATGGGACGGACACGGGACAATGGCAACGGGAAATGTATAAAAAGAATAGAGTAGGAAGAGAGGGAAACCACTTGGGCAAAAGTAATTGAATATCTTTTTTTTTAAAAAAGAAGAAGAAGAGGATTGTAATTGATTGTTGTTGTTATATTATTAGTTAATTGTTGTTGGCAGTAATTATTATTATTATTATTTGTGTTGTTGGTTGTTGAAATAATTATTAATATTATTATTACTATTGTTGTTGTATTATTATTAGTTATTGTATTATTAAGATGATGTTATTACCAAAAGAGTTGAAGAGAATAATGATGAGTGTACCTATAAAAAGAAAAAAAAGAGTCAGTAAATTAATATTAAATTATAAACTTTTGATACGGCGTTAATTGTGTTGATCTACGAATGGTGATTTTTGCTTGGAAACTGGTACTCTTGATCACTGGATTTGGGACGGGCGACTAGCGGATTGGTGATGAATGAAAGATTGATTGGTGAATGAGGATTGTGGATTGGAGTGAATGGTAAAGATTGTAATATTATGATTATTCTTAGTTGTAATTGTAATGTTAATATTTGTTGGTGAACAATGAGGGGGTTGCATGTAAATTGAAGAGGTAAAAAAGGAGGAGGAAGAGTTGGATTGTGACATAAATAATATATTGTTGTTGTTATTATTATTTAAATTGTTATTATCAAATGTATTCTTGTTATTATTATTTTTTAAGTTATTATTTGTATTTTTGTTTGAATTATTATGATTGTTATTGTTGTTTGTATTATTATTATTGTTTGTTTGATTACTGTTTGTATGATTATTGTTTGTTGGATTATTGTTTGTATTATTATTATTGTTTGCAGATTGTTGAGTGATTTGTGATTGAAGATTGTGGATGGATTGGAGATGAATATATGATTGATGGGTGGTGAGTGGATTGATTGGTGAATATGGATTGTACATCACTTGAATTAAATGGAATGTACATGTAAAATGAGTGAATAAGTGAGGATGATTCATTGGTATTATTTTTGTTGAGGATGGTGGAATGACTTGGGAATGTGGATTGTGAGTTGATTTTTGAATGTGGATTGTGGTGAGGATTGTATCATGATTGATTGGTGATGATGATTGTTGTTGTTGTTGTTGTGTTGTTGTATGATTTAAATGATTGGTTCCGAAACAGTTGTTGAGAGAATCAAAATAATTGTTGTCAACTTTGGTATCTATAAAAATAAAAGATGAGGAATCAGTTATAGGTTTAAATTTTCAGAGCTTGTTACCGCGATGTTGTTTTCTATTCTTGAGATGTTGCTAGAGTATCTTGAAAATGGTCTAGTCTTTGATCTTGTTGAATTGATAGTATTTGATAATAAATATAATGTTGATGATGATGTGGAAGTGTTTGAAGAGTTAAAATTATCAGATGAAAATGGAATAGTTGAAATCAATGATGTTAAATGAATTAATGAAAAATAGTTATTATTATTTGGAATTGATTGATGTTTAACATGTTAATGAATGTGTGCTGTTGTTGTTCAATTGAACAAACTCCTCATCCTCTACAAGAATGTGGTTGTTGGTTGAATGAGTAAAAAAATCACTAGATTTAAAACATGGAATCGATGATTGATGGTCATTACAATATGAAACTGAGATTGTATTGCTGCTGTTTAATTGAACAGACTCCTCCTCCTCCTCCTCCTCCTCCTCTAAAATATTATGGTTTTTGGTTGAATAATTTGAGATAAACAAAACATGGCTTGAGTTAAATTGAATATTGTGTGAAAAGGATGGAACACTACTAAGTGGCAATGGATAGTTGATGGAAATTAATTGATGTTCAACATGGTTGAAACATGAGATTGTGTTGTTCAACTGAAAAAAACCCTCCTCCCTCCTCCTCCTCCTCCTCTATGTTGGTTGTTGAAAGGTTTGAAAATAATGGTGATTGACAAAGAGTTAAAATATCACTTGAATTAAAACATGGAATAGATGATTGATGGTCATTTAAGAATGTTGTTGATTGATTTAATGGTATCTGTAAATGAGATTGAGACAAAACAAATGAATTAAAAGGAATTGGCATGGATAAATAATTATTATTATTATGGTCGTTGTTGATTGGAATAAATGTATGATTTGATGATGGTAAATGACATTGAGAAACAATATGGTCTGAATTAAATTGTTGAGTAGTTTGTGAAATAGATGGATAGATATTGTTATTTTTATTGTTTTTGTTGTTTTTGTTGTTGTTGTTGAAAAGGATGAATGGAAGATCAAAATGGTTAAAAGATGAGGACAAAGAAATGGATGATTGATGGATCATAGACAAAGAAATATTTTTATTATAGATGACATTTGATTGTTCAACCTGGTTGAACAATGAAAAGGATGATGACAATGAGTTGGTGTCGTAAACAAAGACATAGTGGTAATTGCAATTGGCAAAAACAGATGATGTAAGGATGCACAAAATAAAGATGATAATTAATGGGTTCATAATTGAATTGAATGAATGTAAAATAAGATTTGATTGTTGATTGTAGATAGGTAGTAGTAATAATTGTGTTGTTGTAAGACTTTTGATAGATTATGGTAGTAGAAATGTAAAAAAAAAAAAAAAAGAGAGAAATGGTTAATATAAAGTTAAAAGAGTGAATTACGAAAGGAAAATAAAATTAATTAAATCAAAAGTGTGGGTAGTGTGGGGGTTTATATATCTGTTGATGATAAAAACTCATTGCTTTAATATACGAGTGTGTGAACGAGTCTGCTAAAAAAGGAAAACTCAACCATACTTGAGTTGGCGCCAAAAATTCAATCGCAATCCAATCCTAGCTATTAAATTTGATTTGATTTATTGACATGTTAATTTTTTTTTTAATCTTGGAATTTAGTGTAAAAAGCAAATTGTTGAAGACCAGCACATTCACCTACACAGAGTGGTTGGATTCTTTTCCAAACATGATTGTATTTTGTATCGAAATCCTCGACATTGTCAAATTCTATAAATTCCATTTGATCCATGATCTGCATCTTGATGAGGTCAACCAAAGGTGGGTGAATGTATTTGTTGACACCCATCTGGAAGGCCAAAAGTGTTATCATCAACACGGCTCTTCTCATCTCCTCTGCCCATTGCTGGTGTACCTTCCAATAGGGCAGTGCCATCTTGCCTAGCTTATCAATTGCCATCTCCAAACTCTCTGCTTGTTTCATGATTTTTATCCATTGTTTCTTGGGAAATTTCGCACGATTGTTTTGTACAATGTGTATGGCCATGGTCAGTTTGCTGAGCAAACCGAGACGGCTGACAGTTTGCTCTGTTTGAGGGTACCGGGTTCTGGTGTATTTACAGATACTGTTGGTCATGAGATAAGTTGTCATGGCATCCTTGTCCCATACAATATTTAATTGTTCGTCTACATGGACACGATAGCTTTGATTGGTGTTGAGCAACATGCCTGTCAAGTAGGGATTGATACGTGGTATAGTCGTGTCTCTGTCCACTTTGATGAGCATATCTTTGATAATGTCGGCGGTATGTTTTCCAGGTGCAAAATCGGTTTTTCCAAATGTTTGGGCCGAGCAGACAAGCACCAACAAAATGGTGCTGTACTATGGTGCCAATAAATAACGAACCGTTTCGAAAAGGTCACACAGTATTGCAAAATTGGTCACAAAGTCTTTACTCGTATCTCCAGAAATAATAAAGATTCTCTTGTTTGTCAATTGACCAAGATTCTCTTTGAAAATGAGTATAGATGTTTAAAGTCTGACTAGCACCCAAATTGGACAAAGCCCGATCTTCAAAAAAAAAAGAATAAACTATAAATCCCTCGTCTACTGAATTTTTTGAATAAATAATTTTTATTATACCATTGGGTAAATTACAAGATTGGTGTTGGGTTATGTACAATCCTACTATAGGTTATCGTAGTTTTGTATTATTATTATTGTTATTATTATTATTGTTATTATTATTATGTGGCCTGTGGTGGTGGAGTTTGAGGTAATGGTCTACCCCTGTTGGTTGTTGTTGTTGTGGGAGCAGCTATTGGAGTTGGTGGTAATTCTCTACCACCTGCTGCTACTGATGGAATTGATTGAGGAAGTGGTAATGGTCTACCTCTATTTGGATTAGAGTTTGGAATCGTTGTTTTGAGATTGTTATTGTTATTGTCATTATTATTATTATTATTATTATCTACATTGGTGTTATCATTATTATTATTAGTATTGTTTGTTGGTTTGGATGGTGTTGGCGGTGTTGGTAATGGTACAGTATCTTCGGTTCTTGTGGTGCGAGGAGGTAATGGTTTCTTTGATGGTTCGGTTGCACCGTTTACTCCTCCTCCACTATTTCTCTTTACCACTTGTTGATCTGGTTGTTGAGCTGAAGAGATTGATTCAACCTGGATTGCTTGTCCTCCTGGTTGTTGGTGTTGTTGTCCAGTTCCACTATTTCTTTTTTCAATCGCAGTGTTGTTTGTTGTTGCCAAGTCTTGGGATTGAGCTACAGATGATATGGGTGGTTTAGGTGCAATAACCATCTTTTTTAAAACTATAGTCGATGGTTGTGGTGGCAATAGAGGCATTTTTGGTGGTGTATTTGTTGTTGTTGGTTGTTCAGTTTTGGTATTATAATGTACATTGAGATTGGAAACTGAATCTTTACGTGGTGGAGGTGCAGGTTTGGAAACAGGTTGTTTAGTGACAACTGGTTGTTGTTGTTGTTCAGTGGTGTTGATGATATTTGGGAGTGGTGGTTGTGATCCTGCTCTAGAGTTTCTTCTTGGTGGAGGTGGTGGTGGTGGTTGGTCATCTACTACAATTGTATTGTTAGGGTTACTGCTTCCCGATACAATAGTATTTGATCTAGTGGGAGCTGGTGGAGTAGGTGTGAGTACAATATCACTATTTCTTTCCCTCTTGGCTGTTGTTGATGCCATTGGAGGTGGTGCAACATTGATACTACCTGTACTCGCACTATGACCATGCTTTACATTCATCATCATTGGTAATGGAATTCGTGTAGTATTATTTACATTATTATTATTATTAGTATTATTAGTTGAACCATTATGATTGGGAGGTGAGATATTATTATTACTACCGCTATTGCTATTGGTTGGTTTTAATAAATATGGTGGAAGAGTTTGAGAAGAACCAGCAGCCAAAGAAGGTAATGTAACACCTCCTTTTGCCTTGTGAACAAGGAATGGTTCAGATTGAGTTCTTGAATAATCGTGTACACCACCATTGTTCTTGCTGTCCTTTTCTTTTTCTTTTTCTTTTTCCTTTTCCTTTTTCATTGTTTTATATTGGTCTGATGGTTTGATGGCCAATTTCAAACGACGTAAAGTACCTCCAAATGATTGATGGTTGGATGGTGATCCTCCTCCTCCTCCACCTTCACTCGGCGCAGTCGAATCTTCAACATGTCTATGTTGCATAGAATTGTCTGGAGATGTTGGAACTAGAGTGGCTGAAGAGTTTGATCTCTTTTTGTTTAGATCAAGTATTGAAATACCAAATTTAGTTTGATTCTTTGCCATTTGTGGTGAGGAGGAGGAATGACTAGAAGATAAAGGATGACCCATCACCATTGAGAATGGGATGCCACCAGACCCACTAGATACCGATGAACTTCGCTCCTTTTCCTTTTCACCCAAAGCAATATAATCAAAACAAAAGAGACATACTCTGACAGGCTTACTCTTCTTGACATGTTGTATCAACTTTTTACCAGGACTACAACTTCCACAAACCACCTTACCACAATTTCTACAATGATGTCTACGATTGATAATTGTAAATTGGTCATTACAAAACATACATCTCGATGCTTCTTTATCTGGTACCCAAACTGCTACCTCTGATCCTTCTAAATCATGTGATACATTTTCATCAACTAAATTAAAAGAATGAAAGAATAATTAATATTAATATTCTTATTATCCTTATTATCATATTATTCATTTTGCATACTAATTTTTAAAGATAATAATTTAAAATCTTGAAACCAATTTGTTTTCTCTTTTTGAGTTTCAGAATAAACTGTAAATGATTTCTCTGTTGAACTAATGATTTGAAAGGCATTCTTTTGGGAATCCTTGTCTTTGAGATCTTTGATTTTGACGTCGTTGAGTAACATCATTCTGTGAAAGGTGTAGGATGTACCAGATGGAGTATTGACAGCTGCATAGGCTGGATTTGGTTGTTGTGCATTGACATTGGTGGTGGTTGCATAAATCAGCGCATCAGAGAATAAAAAAAACCATCTTGGTTTTGGTACCTTTCTACATACTTTCATCATTTGTCCTTCTCTTACAAAATATCTAGATTCTGATACAATCTAAAAAACAAATAATAATAATAAGAAAGAAAGGTTAAAAAGACAGAACAAAATTTTGTCAATAATTATACTTTTGTTTGTCTCTACATACTCTTGCAGGAGCACCAATTAAACTATTTTGAATCTTTTCCACTTTTAATTTGTTTTCTTGTTTTCTAATTTCTTCATTTACACATTTAGTGATTGATGCAATCATATTTAATGCATTAAAGATATCCGAGTAATCTGGATGATCCTTTTCGGTCACTTCCAACAGTTCATTTAATAATAATTTATATCTTGGCATTCTTTGTATTGGTGTAATCTAAATATAAATAGAATATATTAATATTAATCACAAACAACTATAAATATATATCTCCATATTTATCATACCAAATAAGATTGTAAATCCAATCTATTTCCTTTTTGAGTTTCTCTAACTTGAGCGATAAATGTTACAAAACTTGGTTTCTTTTCCAATAGTTTAGAGATGAGTTCCAATGCATCACCGTGATTCTTTCCATATTCAATGTAGAGATCATTGATTCGATCTCTTTTACTGAGGAATGGTAGTGCTACATTTTCAGAACCAGTCTCTGTTATCTCCAACATCTCTGTTACCATTTGTTCAGTTAGATCTTTAATCTTTTCAATGCATGAGAATATCATTGATGAGTATTCAGATTCCAATACTGCTGGTCTATTATTCTTTAATGGTTCCAAATATAACTATATATTATATTAAAAAAAAAGAGTTGTCAGACACATTTGTGAATAGGTAGGGTTAGGGTTAGGGTTAGTGTATACATACAGAGATAGCAGAAGAGAGATGCTCAAGATAAGATCGTTCAGTAGCTACAATCTCTCTAACCAACTTATTTCTATGTGTCAATGCTACTCCATTAACAGTGAATTCACTACTATTACCTATACTACTGCCACCGTAGAGTGCATCATCAGATGTACCAACACTACTAACATCAACACTATTATCGTAACTATTGGTATTTAATTCATCCAATTCATCTATTGGTTGTTGTTCTTGTTGTTGTTGTTGTTGTTGTTCTACTTCTCCTTCTCCTTCTACTTCTTGTTGTTGATATGATTCATCATCCTCTACATATTCATATTCTTGATTCTCCTCTAGTTGTTGTTGGTCATATTCATATTGTTGTTGTTCCTGTTGTTGTTCTTCTACTACATCCATATCTATCTAATTGTCGACAAATTTGAATCAATTGATTGTTGTACTATTATTATTATTACTACTACTACTACTACTACTTCTACTACTATTACTTCTACTACTATTACTATTATTACTACTGACTACTACTACTACTACTACTACTATCTAAACACAACCAACCAATTTAATTCTAATTATAATAATATCCGATTTTATATAATTTATAAAAAATGTGCACAATGGTAACTGCTTGCTATTCCTTCGGATTCCAACCCTCACTCACTCTTCTTCTTCTTTCTTCTATATGACTCTATCTATCTTTCTTTCTTTCTTCCTTTCTTTCTTTCTTTCTTTCTTTCTTTCTTTCTATTAATAGTACAACAAATAAATATATAGTAGTAGAAAAATAAATGATGTCAGTCTAATATAATTTAAACTCTACTACTAATGAGTTAACGATAAATAAATTAAATGAATGTTTACTTTTTTAAAAACAAAAAGAAAAACAATGAATAACAATGGGGGAATATAATTTATATCTATTTAAAAAAATCTAAGCTACCCCTCGACGATTGTGTGAGTGTGAGTGTGGTTAAAGTTGGGTTGTTTCTACTTGCATTGTCTTTTTCTTCTCTAATCTAAGTAAAGTTGTTATTTAACTATAGATAGAGGCAAAATATAAATAATTATATTTAAATAAATTGGGATAGATACCAAATTTTGATGATGGTATCTAGATATCCCAATGACATATATCTTTTGAAAAATCAATTTATTTGTGAACTTTGCCCCATAGATATTTGTTTTCATGATGTCAACAAAAATAATATTTGTTGTTGTTTATTTATTTGATTTATTGATAAACTTCCATAATATTATGATATAAATGGCAAATGTACCAATATTCCCTATTTGATTGATTATTCGATTACTATTATTATTATTATTATTTATGATCTTTTTTCTTTGGAAGAGTTGCAAGATATTTTTGAATTAAACCTTGACAGTCACAGTCATCTTCGAGTACCCATGAAGCATCTTTAACATCCCAACCTTCCCATTTACAAAGATATTCTACTTTTCCATCCTTTGTTGGTCTTTTATCAATGATTGCCTCGACTTCGTAGTCTTCAGATTCCGAATCGGAACCATCATCCTCTTTTGTAGGTTTTGGTGTCGATGATGATGATGACGACGATGAAGAATGTGATCGAGGAGATGATGGAAGTGATGTTTTCTTGTGTGACGATGATGATGATGATGAATGAGAGTTGGAATGAGATGAAGAATGAGAGTTGGAAGAGGAGGAAGAGGAAGAATCTGATGGGCCAGTTTTAGTTTTCTTTAATTCTCTATCTCTATCGATATGATGATCTCTTTCATCTCTTGATTTTCTCTTGTCATTACCATCATCTTTTCTAATCTTCTTTTTGTTTCTATCATCCAAGTCTTGAGTACCATCCTTTCTTTTAGTTTTATCTCTTTCTCGTTGTCTATCTCTCTCTCTCTCCCTTCTCTTTCTCTTTCTCTATCTCTATCCTTTTCTCTTTCTCTTTCTCTTTCTCGCTCACGTTCTCTTTCTCTTTCTCTTTCCTTTTTTTTCTTTTCTCTCTCTCATTCTCTTTCTCTTTCTCGTTCGCGTTCTCTTTGTCTTTCTCCATCTCTTTCTCTTTCACGTTCTCTTTCTCTTTCACGATCTTTTCTTTCCTTGTTTTCGCAATCACGGTCTCTTTGTCTTTCTCTCTCCTTTTCAACATCTCTTTCTTTTTGTTTTTCTTCTTTTTCTTTCTCTTTCCGCTTGATCGTCGGTAGAGTTGCCAGAAGAAGAAGAAGAAGAAGAAGGAGTAGCAGATGTCGAAGAAGAAGATGATGATGCGGAAGAGGTAGAAGTAGGAGTATCCTTTTTCCTTTTAAGTAGAGGTGGCATCAATGCCAATATGATGGTAGGTTTTTTATCCAACTTTTGTGACAATAATTTCTTTCTTCCCAATTCATTAAATTCATCCCATGCTTCTTTGATTCTTGCCCAATTTCTCTTTCTAATGTCAGACAATTCTTTTTCCAATTTTTGTTCTTCTGTCAATGGTTCAGGATCAGGGTGACTAAATGTTGATGCTGCAGATGGATGATTGATAGGTTTGGGTATATTATTCATAAATGAGTTTTGATCTTGTTTTTCAGTGTTGACTGACTGTTTTGGTTCTTGTTTTGATTGTTGTTGTTGAGGTGGTTGTTGTTGTTGTTCTTTAAGTTTTTGGGCTGCTTCTGCTGCTGCTGCTGCCTGTTGTTCCTTTAATTGTTGCTCCTTTAATTGTTGTTCTTTTAATTGTTGTTGTTGTTGTTCCCTTAGTAGTTGTCGTTCCAATTGTTGTCTTTTTTCCTCTATATAACTTTTAAGAGTTTCATTGTGTGCCTTTTCTCTTTCCTTTCTTTCCTCTTCATCCTTTTTAGCTTGTTCTTTTTCTAATTGTTCTCTTTTCTCTTTTTCCATTCTTTCAAATTCTTTTAGTTGTTGTTCCTTTTGTTGTTGCTCTTTTTGTTGTTGTTCCCTTTGTTGCTGCTCTTTTTGTTGATTTGGATTTAAAGGAACATGAACATTGCTTGCAGTTGGAATATTGTTTGGATTAGGATGTAATGCAGCCAAGATGGGAGTAGTAGTTGTTTTTCTTTGTACAGCGACTGGTTCAGTCGGATCCTTGCCAGGAAATTGAGGTTTATATTGATAGGACTTGTTTTGATGAATCTGTTGTTGTTGTTGTTGTTGTTGCTGTAGCTGTTGTTCTTTAAGTTTTTTTGCAGCCAGTGCTTGTGCCTGTGCCATTTCTTGCTGTTGTTTCTCTCTGGCTCTCTGAGCAGCTAGTTTGAGTGCTTCTTGCTGTTGTTGCTGTGCCTGTTGTTCTTTGAGTCGCTGAGCAGCAGCAGCCTGTTGCTGATCCTTGAGTCGCTGGGCAGCAGCTTGATGTTGCATCTGTTTGATGTGTTGCTCCTGCATCTGACGCGACCTGAGTTCTTCGGCTTGCTGTAGCTTGATATACTCTTGCTGTCTAAACAACTCTTGTTGGCGCAGCAACTCTTGTTTTTGTCTATTCAACAACTCCTCCTGCTGTTGTTGCTTTAACTTGGCGGCCGATGATTTAGCAGCAGCCTTGGACACCTTGGGTTGCGCTACAAACTGTGAAGAGTTGTGGTGGTTGTAGGGTGGAAGAGGTTGGTGATGATGATGTTGTTGCTGCTGCTGTACAGGCGGCACTATTGTTTTGGTGTATACAAATGGCTTTTTACATACTCCACAATTCAAAGTGGTCGAGCTGTCCGACACAACAATATGTGCCGCTTTGCACTGTTCGTCTCGACAACTCGAATAAATAAACCTAGACTTACAATTGTGACACGATGCCATTTGATTCGTATCCAAGAATGGTTTAATCTTATCGACTGCTATAAAGCAAGACTTTAAACATTTAGGACAAGGAAATTGATGCTAAATAAATAAAGAAATATAAAAAAAAAAGGGGGAAGAAAGAAGTGGAGTGTTAGACAAAGTAAACAATGATAATAAACATGATGATTGGGATAATACAAACATTAACCAACTCTGTGTGTTGTCTTTTTTTATCTTCTGTATCTATTTTAGACTAAAATAATAATAATAGATGGATGAGTTAGGTTATCAATCAATCTATCAATCATTCCTTTTTAATGTACATACATATAAATGTTGAAGTAGAATAAAACTATCATGAGAGGCAAGTCCTGAACGATCAGGATGTAATAGGAATCTGAGACGCTTATATGCAGCAGCAACAGTCTTTTGCTGACAGAGTGATGATAGATTAAAGAACTCGAAACAATTGACAGCATCTTTGTTGGGTATTGCTGTCAATCTCTCTATAGTCTGTCTTTCGTGAGGAGTGAGTGGTCTTGTCTTTGACAATATAGATTCTTGATCTAAACAAACATTGATAGGTTGAGTTATATTATTCACATTTTGTTGTTGTGTTGTTTGTTGTTGTTGTTGTTGTTGTCCATAGTACATATTGTTGTTACTCCTCTCTATCTCTCTTTTGATGAGACTACTATCTGTGGGTGTAATCTAAACCAACCAAATGTACCTGTCCTATCTATCAATCTATAGCTATCTATCTTATTTTGAGTAATGTGAGGGGGGGGGGGGGGGGGGGTTAGGTTACTAATACACTATACAAACTAACCCTTCTCACTCCCTCTCTTATATAGCTTATCTATTTATGTATCTATCTGTGTTGAATACAATAAACTAAATCTCAGCAATGAATGCAACCCCTCGCTAAAGTTGAGTTTTTCACGGAAACGACATCCATTCTTTGGACATAACCTTTTAAAATCGTAATATAATCAAAAATGACTTTTCATCAATACTCTAATTTTTAGAAAGTAGTATTATTAATATATAAATGATAGATATAAAGTTTATTTTCTTCCCCAATCACCGCCACTTGTATTTAAAGAGGAGATGGCAGTTGCATCAAAACTACAACTACGTCTTTTGACATTGGGACTTCCTTGATGACTACCAGTGGTTCCACCATTATTATTACTATTACTATTATTATTATTGGTGTTACTAGGACTATTTGTTCCATTATTACTATTACTTATAAATCCTCTTGATCTTATACCCATTGATGATGTTCCAATAGTTGGTGATTTTGAATAGAATCCCTAAAAATAAATAAATATTAATATTAATAATTATAATTGTTGTTGATTTAATTGAATATTAATTATTATTATTATTATTATATTTACCAATTTCAAACCATTATAAGCAGCACCAAAAGTATTTGTTTTTCTTCTAAAATCCTTTTCAAAGATAAAAGATTGACCAATGGGAAGAGCAGTAAGAGTAGATGAAGAGTATCCCAAGAGATTCGAAAAACATTCTTTGATGGTCTCTCCCATTTCAGTGACAAGATCCTTTCCAAAATCGATTGATTCTCCTTCGGGAATTGGTACAATATAGGTTTGATAGGATAGATCCTTTAACTCTGCCATATCAACCTCTGGTTGTTGTTGTTTTGTTGGTGTTTCAATTGAACTATTACTACTAGTTAGAGATATTTGGCTACCATTTCCATTTCCATTTGAGAGAGGTGATGTTGTTGATGGTGGTGGTGGTGATGTAGAATAACCAATAGTATTGTGTCTTGCATTTGTTGATTGCGGGATTTTAATACCACTTGATGATGATGTCATTGATGTTGGTCTATCTGTATTACCACCATTAGTGGTACCACCATTACTACCATTACCATTATTACTACTACTACTACTTGGAGCACTTGATTTCTTTATCATTGATTTATTATTATCATAATATATTCTCATACCATATGATAATTTTTTACCATCACTTGATAGAATGAACCCCTTTTGTATCTTTTTAAGAGTTGATAGGTGTACTTGTTTATAATGAACAATCTTGTTTTCATTGAAATTATATTTACATCTAACCATATGTGTTGGTGTCAATAAAAATATTCTTTCTTGTTCTTGATTTCTCCTACAAAAAAATAAAACAAGAATATTAATATCATGGACGACTCACCTCTTTCACTTTTTACTTTTTTTTTTTTTGTTTCCTCCTCCTCCTCCTCTACTTACTTGTTAATACTAATAACAATCCAAGCATTAATAAAACCACTTTGATCATCTTTTTCATATTGAAGAAAATGGTCAACACAATTATTGATTGCTTTCATTCTTGATTCACCCCAATCACAATCCTTTTGACTGGCCATAACCTTCATGGTATTTGCTTCGATGGTGTTGATACCTAAAAGGAGGTCGATCGAGATTTGACGTAGTTTATCTTGAAAGGTATTGATATAGTAACGAGTGAGAGAATTGACACCATCTTTGAATACACCTTTTGTATTTCTCTTGCCAGTTCTTGTAAAGTCACCTTTGAGTGCACTTGTACCTGCATATTGTCGGCTGATGGCATCACCATTGTTGGCCCAACTAAGTTTGATCTGTTTGAGTACATGTGCAGCATTGGAGGTGGTGGCATCTCTTTGGAGATTGGATCGCCAGTCTACACCGACCTTTTGGAATTGACTCTCTAGTACCTTGAGACCAATCATACTCTGCACCAAATTGGTACGATCCAAACAATCCAAACAATTTGTACGAATCGATCCGTTTTGATAGGATTGGTATCCAGTTGGGTCTCTCTCCAAATAGCCAATCTTGTCAATCACCTCTTCCAAATTGTCAATGAGAATCTCGACACGATCAAAACGACCGCCTTGACAGAAATGGTGGAAATCAAAACCAAAAAAGTCAACCTCGTTGGTTTGATAATCGGTTTGTTTCAATGTTTGTTTATATAAATCTCCCAATTCTGATTCACTTCCTTTTTGATCTAATAATGTTACAATGGTTTGAGGTCCATAAAAACTAATTTGTTGATTAAAATGTGATTTAAATACTTGTATCTAAAATATTTAAATAAATAATAGTATTAATATTCATATCTCCATCCTATATTTGATTGATTGATTATCTATTATCACTCTTACATTTAAATTTTGATCATTATTAATTTTAATGACTGGTTTAATTTTATAACCTGATTGTTCCCATAAAAGTGGAATTGAGCCTCTAATTTGAATTAATGAAAATGTTTTCGGTGTTGTTGTTGTTGATGATGTCGATATATTCATGTTGTTATTATTATTTTGATTATTATTATTATTATTGTTATTGTTATTTTGTTGATTACTAATAGTACAATTTAAAATTTGTTCAGTTTCTACATAATTGGCTACACTACCATTTTGATCTGAACCACGTGTATTGTAACGAGTACCAGCACGTACCTTGCTTCTACGTGATATAATACCAAACTCAAAACTACAACCATCTAAAAAGAAATTGTAAACTTCTACGTGACCTCTAATGATTGGTAGGATCCAACTGTGCATCTTTTGGTCGATTAGTTGTTGTTGAAGGTATCTATTCCAATAGAAACGGTCTTCAAACTTTTCAAACAAGTGGTTTACCTTGTCGTACTGGTTGAGTACACTGGTACGTTGCAACGAGTTGGAGAGATCAAACTGATAGGAAAAGTAAAAGTCAGAGTTGAGTAGTGACTTTAGAGACTTTTTATGTGTTGATTCCAGTCGTTTCTCGTGCTCTCCCAACTCTATATTTGTGGCAATTGGTAAAAAGTGACATTGGTCAATCTCATAGACTGACTTGCCACCCATATTACCAACCAACTTTTTCTCTGTAATCAGTATTAAATGTGGTCCAGATATCAACTTGATCACACCAATGATACCATAGGCAACGATAAATTGTGTATTACCAATAATACCACTACCATTATTACTTGTTGTTCCATCTCTACCACTACTATTATTATTATTATTGTTATAGTTGAAACTATTGTGTGGTGATGTTGAAGGGGATGTTGATGGTGACCCAGTTGATAATAATATATTGGCATTGATTGATCCCCCCATCAATGATGATGACAATGAATTGTTTGTTATATTTTGAGGTGATGATGATCTTGATGGTGCATTTGTATTTGTATTTGTATTTGAATTGACTATCAATTCTGTGAATGTTGTTGTTGTCGTTGTTGTTTCAGATTCGTTCATCGTATCATTATTACTATTATTATTAATATTATTATTTGGAGAAACAAGAGTAATATCAAAAGTATTTCTATCAATGATTATATATTCTTGTTGTAATAGTTGAGCTGGTGAAATGAAACCATCCTTGTCTCTTGCATTGTCTGGTATTCTAGGTCTAATGATAATCTTGTCTTTGGTGGTTGATACGGTCATTTCTTGTACCAATTCATGATAGGTTGGTTCAAACTCGATAAAGTTGTTATTGTCCAAAGAGTCTGACCGATTTCGTTGTTGTTCCTCTTCTTGTTGTATATCTCCAAACTCGGTATCTGGTGACATTGTTTCGTTGTTGTTGTTGTTGTCGTCGTCGTCTTCTAAACTCGTCAAGAAATCGATAACCGGTGTTTCAAGAGTCATTGAATTTGTAAACTCTCCTCCTTTTGTTCTAACGCTCTTGTGTACTACTTGATCAAACTCTTCTTCCTCTCCTTCCCCTTTTCGTTCAATCTCCCCTTCTTCTTCGTCGTTGTCGTCGTCTAGTGGTTGGGTTTGAGGTTGGGGTGATGGTGTATCTCCAAATTCATCCTCGTCTTGGTCGTTACTTTGATCAAGTGTACTGACATTATGTGCATAGAAAGCGTAATCTTCCATAATTAAACCATCAACCGTCAAACTATTGAATCGATCTGACAATATTTCTATTCTGCCACTATGACCAATATCTACAATATTATTACTAATATTATTATTACTATCTGGTGATAAAGGTGTTGTACTGTTGTTGTTATTATTGTTGTTATTATTACTGTTACTATTGTTATCAGATCTATTTCTCTGTCCTATCGTAAGATGAGTAGAGGCAGGATGGGAATGACCATGTCCCTGTGGTTTGACAAATGCACTCATTCCACTCCTTATCATCCTACCTACAATTCGATAATTGTATTACTTATTATTATTATGACACCTCTTCTTTTATAAACAAGTGTAGTTGTTTATTCTATTTCTATTAATACTATAATTATCTGTATTAATACATATATCTAATGTAATGTAACCTTGGTGTGTGTTTGTATGTTTGTATTCTCTTTGCTTGTGTTTTTGCACATTGCCAAGGAGATTTTTTTTTTTAAAGGCTTCTTGAAAAAGAAGTGGTTTCACTGGGGTTTCCCGACTTAGCATTGCCAATGCTATGGGGTAGCTTTAGAGCTACACCAACAATCATCTCATCAACCAAGATATTTGTTATAAATCTTTTTTTTTTTATAAACAATTTTTGTTTATTTAATGATATAATTTTAAGAATAAATTGGTAATCTAATCAATACCGTTAAAAATATCTATAACCTTGGGATAAAAGACGAACGAAAGTTTGACAAAGCAATAAACATTAATTGGATTATTGGGCATCTCAAGTTCCCATCCCAAGTGGACTCTTTTAAAAGGGTTTAAAGAATAATCAAATAGTAATTTTATTTATCAGCATTGCTCATTAATCCTATTAAAAGAGCAGCCTCTGTATAATTTCTATGGTGATCACTATTATTATTATTATTTTGATTATTATTTCTATTATTATTGTTGTTTGAAATGATTTCAGGTTGTACTAAAAATGATAAATTGCCTCTATCGTCATTTGATTTGGTACGATTATTATTATTATTATTATTATTATTACTACTGTTCATAGGTGGTAATGATATTTTGTTGGTATTGTTATTATTATTGTTGTTTGAAATAATTTCTTCTTCATCGTTTTCTGCAAAATGGTTGTCTCTACTACGTTTCAATGGATTGTTTTGTTGAGAACTGAGATGTCTGTTAATGACAGAATCTACCATTTGAGCAGATAGTGAAATGGATGGGATTTTAGGTGGAACAGGTGAAGAAGTTGGTGTGGATGGTGCGGATGGTGATGATGATGAAGTTGGTGATTGTTGAGATTGTTGTTGAGAATCAGCAGAAGCAGTGGCAGCAGGAGCAGCAGAACCACCGTTGATTTGAGAATTGAGCATATTGGTGAATTGTTGTAAATGATCAGGTCCCAATTGTTTAAGATGTTTACGGAAAAGGTCATGATTCAAGTCTGGATGACTAAGTAAACTAGTAAACAAGTTTTTGGAAATATTCATACCATTATTGTTTCCACCACCATTTTGTTGTGGAACCAACAATGATGTTAAAATCTTGGAACTAATATTATTATTACTATTGTTATTGTTGTTATTGTTATTGTTGTTGTTATTAGTAAATGAGTTGATATTGTTGTTTGTGTTGTTGTTATGATTTACAATGTGTGATAGGGAATGGTTATGATTGTTGGAAGTGTTTGTATTGGATGATGGTGATGATGAATTAGAACTAGAACTGGAATGATGGTGATGATGACTATGATGGTTGGCACCATTGATGGTATTGACGATTGGTGACTTTTGTGGGATGGGTGTTTGCATCATAATGTATGAATATTCTGGGTGTTTGAGCTTGATGTGCATCTTTAGTGCGTTTTCAGAACCATATACCTTTTGACAATTGGCCATGGAACAACGGTAACTACGGTTAATCTCAATGGCTTTTCTTCTCTTTCTCTTCTTTCTCTCTTCATCATCTTCATCAACAACTGATGTGGATGGAGCAGTGGTTGACAATTTGTTCATGTTGTTGTTGGGGTTGGACAACTCTTTTTGCTTGATTTCCAAGATATAAGTATTATCATCATTTTCTTGGGGTGATGATGACTGTGGTTGTTGTAAAAGCAAACTATCAATACTATTGGTCAATGACATTGGTGGTAAAGGGGATGAAGAGGTTGGAGAGGAAAGTGATTGTGGTGAAGAGTTGCTAGTGGTGCGGTTGCTGTCTGTGGGTGATGAAGAATTGGCATCTTCAAGAATTGGTGATTCCAAGAGTTGGTGTGATTGTAATTTGATGGATCCTTTTGATTCTTCTGCCATTTCATTTTGTTGTTGTTGTCTGTTTGTATTATTATTAATATTATTAATGATATTGTTGGCATTTGGTAATGGTTGAACAAAAAGATTAAACTTGGCACCAAATGGAAGTGTACTGGCAATAGCTACGACATCGTCATCTTCATCTTTTAAAAAGAGACGACAGTCACTTGGGAGATCAAACACGGTTCGGATGGCATCTTCGATTGTCTTGGAAGGTGTTGATGTTCCGTACCAGCAAACGGCTTGTTCTTGTTCTTTAAAGTTGACAAAGATTCTTGTCTTTTTGGACGACGATGATGTTGATGGGATGGTTGATATCTCTTCCATGTTTTTTTTTTGTTTTTTTTTGGTTTTAAAATAATTATTCGGAATTTGTAATTTAATTAAAGAAATTGATCTTGTCTATTGAAATAAATAAAAATATTAATATTAATAATAAATAAATAATTAAATATTATAAATTAAATATAAAATGTGAAACAAATAAGAGGTATGTATGTATGATGGATGGTATATGGTGGGGGTGAATGGAGGCTAATTCAAGTAGGTCAGTACAGCCAAACAATCAATCATGTATCAATCTTGAATATGATTTGTGAAATATATGTTTTTAAAACAAATAATAATAATAATAACAATAACAAAAATATTGAGATTTGGAATAATAATAATAATAATTATAATTATAGGCAAAGATGGGATGGAAGGAGGTAATTCGTTTTTTAAACGAATGATGTTAAAAATAACAGTGATGTTGATTATTAATTAATTGGTTTTTTTTTTTTGTTTTAGTTTAGGTTAGGTGTGATGATGATGATGATAATATTATATTATTACGGTTGTTATTGGCAACAAGAGTAGTATTTTGATTGATTTTATTATATTTTGAATAAAAACAACATTGTGATATTCAAAATAAAATAAAATATTTTATTGTTTTTAAAAGTGGAAAAGGTAGTAGAGTAGAGTAGAGTCGTGTGTGGTAGGGGGTGGTAGGTAGAGAAACAAGAACGATGATAATGATGATGTTGGGTGTTGGGTTTGCATTCACCTTTTAAAAACAATAAATTCAAACAGATAAAAGACAGATAGATTGCAATCCAAACAAACAAAACCAAATCAATCAATCAAACAAACAAACAAACAATTTATATAATGATGATAATAATTTAAAAATTATGTTGGAAAATTGAAAATCAGGAATCTAATAATTCCACTCTTCTTTATCAATAAATTCATTTTGATCAAATTGTGTGTTTGTTTGTTTATATGTGTTTAGTGTGGGTGTGTGTGTTTGAGTTTGTGTGTGGATTGGGATAAAATGGGGATTCGTGCATAGTGTATATACTAAAAACTGCCGTACCCAACAACTTGACTAATTATCTGGATGGAATACATATTACACCCGTCTGCTAATCAACTCTTGTTGTTCACTCGCGATAATATACAACTGCACTAGTTTAGGCAATTGTAGTGTCTAAAGAATAAACTGCACTTGCTCATTTTGGTCAACCCAATATTTGGTTGGATGTGATTGTCTTTTTGTTTTTATCCGCCATCAATATTATATCTAATATCCCTTACTCTACCAACAACAGATCACCTATTATTAAAATAAAAATTATAAAATGTAGGATCGTTGCAAAGCAAGAGAGAAAGAGATAGAGAGTTGGTTGATGATGATAATAGATATGTTATTCAATAAATGGCGGGTAGCTGACATATAATAATTATTATTATTTATGATTTTGATGATAACAACAATATTAACCGTACATATGAAATTTAAAAGAGAATGGAAAGGAAATGATGATTTTTTTTTTCAATTTTCTGGATTTACATTTTAAAGATGGATGGATGGAAAAAAAAACATATATGGAAAAGATTGGATTTGTTTGGTACAATAGTGGTTATAACTATATACAAAAATAAATTATTAAATTATTATTATTATTATTATTATTATTGTGTTGATGATATTTTTCTTGGGATATTATTATTTTAATATTTCTTGTTCCTATGAAAAATAAGTATGGTAATTTTTGTAAAATGGTGAATTTTCCTTTCCTTACTAACGTTTGTTGTTATTGTTAGGTGCTTTGCTTGCTTATTTCACTTTTAATACTATTTAATTGTTTTTTTAAAATTTTATACAAATATTTTATGCAGCAACACCCCCCAACCAACAACAGCTACACATTAATCAAACAAACACACACAATTGCTGGCAATCAGAAAAATCAAAATGGTAACTACTACTAGTAGGTAGGAGGAGGAGTAGGAGTAATATATGTCCTCCTCTTACCACAGCAAGAGATATATGATCAAATGTGTTTGCCCTCTTGAATTTTAAAAATAATATAATTGTGAATTTGAAGTGGAGTTGTAAATAGTAAATGTGTTTTTGTAAAGTCATGGCAGTGGGTGGGTAGGTACGGCAAAGCATATCCCATGCCAGTCAGTCACAATCGCCATCACCATATTTTTAAAAAAGAGAGTGGTGGTAGTAAATCCCATTTTTTGAACAAAGAAAAAGGATACAGCTGCCAGCCATATGCTGATATTTGTAAATCATACAATATATGGTGGATGGATGGCTGGTTGGCACCCAGTGAGTGATTTTACACTTTATAAAGAACAAAGGGAAAGAGTGGGTGGGGTTGGTTGGATTCTTCACACAATGATGAAAAAAACAATGATGAAGAATCGATTTTTGGATGAATATGAAATGTATGTGTGTGCAGTGTGAGAACTTAAGCAATGCGATAAAGAGGAGGGAGGGAGATTATTATTATCATTATACGATCGTACTCTATATGATTTAAAAACATTAAAAGTGTGTGTTGATCGGTTGATTGATTGCTTTTAAAATCCATTGCAGTTACTTTTATATTTTGTTGTCGATATTGTTTGTTGATCATATGATTGATTATAATATAATATAATATAGATAGATTAGATGTTACCTTTTTTGATCGTTGTGTATCTCTGTATATATATATATATTAAAATATTTATATATATATATATGTCGTTACTAAGGGGGTTTATGAAGATAATGTGTACAAGTGAAGAAGCTGTTAACCATCACACTTATGTGGTGATGTTGATACTATATTGAGGGGTTGGGAGGGAAGAGGAAAAGGGTACTATTATTACAATGATTATTATTACTACTACTACTATAACTATAACTAAATAGATAGATAGATACTATATAATAATAATAATAATAATAAGTTGAATAAAATAGAGAGCTGAGAGTTGAGAGGGAGAGGATGGAGGAAGGCTGATTGGGGGCTTCTGTTGTTTTATAAAGAATCCTCGGATAAAATTTTAATAATAAAAGAAGGGGGGTTTGGGAATACGATGGTTTGGATATTATAATTTATCTAAATAAATTTTTGTTTTTTTTTTAAAAGGTTTGTTGGAAAGAGATCGATTTCTTTAAACTAAACTGTTGTTGTTGTTGATGATTATTATCTTTTTTCTCTTTGTTGTTGGTGGTGTAGCTATTTATGAAAGAAGGAATAAAATGAATGGAAAGGGAAGGAAGGAGCCAACGACGAGGAAGCTGATGCGCACCAAGATAGATAGATTAAAAAATCTTCTTCTTTTAAAATGGAGAAAGATGTGCGAGAGAGAGAAAGAAGGAAGCCAAGTCGTCACATCAGAGAGGGCTACTCACCTCCCTCCAACCGTGGCTTTGATTTTTATTTTTTTATTGAATTTTTTATAATTTTTAAAATAATTTTTATGTTTCCCTTTTTTCGAGAACGAGAGGTGCACAGAAAAAGCAAAGTCGATGAAGGGCAATGGTTTGTGTGCGACTTTTAAAACAAGCTCGAAAAAAGTATTAAAAAAGTTGATATTTATGGTGTCGTCAACAGATATTTTTAACCAAAAGTCCCTGGGTGATGGTCGGAATTCATACTTCTCTCTCTTTGCCTTGAACAACAATCAAGTAATCGGGTTTTCCCGGAAATCCTACACAATCGATATTTAAATCAAATCAAATCGCGGTGATATATATATTATCGAAAACAAGTTACTTGATACAATTAATTGATGTGGTGTGATTTATTATTATTATTATACGATTATTGTTGTTTGAGAGAATTCAATTTAGATTCTAAAGATGATAATCTATATTGCCAATAATTACGGTGAATCTGGTCAATGTTGTTCATGAGGGAGGTACAAATCTTTACAGCCTCTGTCAATGACTCGGGTTTGTTTTGTTCAACGTAAATGTCAATCAACAATGAAAGGACATGAGCACATCCAATGTACTTGCCCTTCATCTCTACCAATAATTTTATCAAATCTTCATCATTTAATGATGTTCCATTATATAATCTAAATAAAGGAAAGAAAGAAGAGTATTAGAGTATTATATTTAATTGGAATTATTCCTGTTGTTTGTTTGTTTGCTTTCCATACCCTCTTAAATAACTCCAAGGACTTTCATTATTTGGACTATATTTAATAAAGCTGACAGCATAATCAACCTCTTTTTTAATAACATCTTGTGGTAATGAAGTGGCAGAGGGAGTGGAGGAGAGATATTGTTGAGCAATGACAAAGTATCTTTGATTCCAAGCAGAGTTGTTACGATGATCAGTCTTTAGCATCTTGTCTACAAATGCCAATTCATCGGTTAAAGATAGTTTAAAGTGTGTTAGAACCCATTGACGTTGTCCCCATGCATGATAGTTCTTTCCATCCTCTTGAAGACGTTCAGCAATAAACTCTAATTCACGAGAGTTGTCATTGTAAGTCTCTACCAACCAACGACGATGATTCCAAATCTGATAGTTCTTTGGATCAGATTCTCCCATGGCACCGACGTAATCAAACTCTTCTTGTAGATCAAAGTCAATCACCTTTAATATCTCTCTTCTATAGTACCATACTGTATAGTTTGATGGACAATCTTGAATGATTGAATCGGTCAACTCTAATGCTCTACTACTCTTTTCATTTGATTTAATGATTGCTCTGAAATAATTTAACTTTTCTTTAACTATTTGAATAGACATTTAGATATATTATGATTAGTATACATGCTATATATATATATATATATCTATCTATCCATCTATCTATATAGTATGCATACAATCATCTTTATAAGCAATTGGACAGATTGGGTTTGGTCCATCATCTTGTTCGATTGGTACAACATCTGCCCAATCAGGTCTCTTTGAGAATGGTACTTCATCTAATTCATCGTCACTCATCTTATTATTATTTGTTATTATTTGTTATTATTATTAATATATATAAATAATGATTTTGCAAAGTTAACAGTAAGCGGGGAAAGAGAAAATAATGAACATACTATTTTTAAATTTCAAGATGGATACAAATAACAATACGACGATAAAGAGAAAACAATCAATTTATAAATTTACATTATTATGTGAGTTTATGAAGAATCTTGGTAATATCAATGTGACTATACAAGCAACTTGTACAAATAGTAATGGCAACGACACGACAAACGATAAGATACTCTATTCATTCCCTGCATCGTTGCAAGAAAGGGGTAGATTAAGGGTTATCATTGCATCGTCTACATTGGTATTTAGACCTTTTACAAAGGAAATTGATCTTCCAAGTAAACATTTGGTGGTGGCTGTTCGTGATGCTCGTTGTATTGCTCAGAACCAATCGATTGCATCATTCAACATTCCCTATCAATTTACAAATCAAGATACAAAGTTGAATCATCTTATGGAACGAGATGATAGTACAGCTGCTACAAATGAACATCAAGTAGCAATTCTAAGACGTAAACTATTACAAGAAAAGATTAAAGACAATGACGAAAGTGTTGGTGGTGGTTCAGGTCGACCAGGTGGACTAGAGATTACTTGCAAGACATGTAAATCGATTCTAACAAATGATGTAAGCATTGTAAAATGTTTACCTTCATCAAATTGGACAGAGATTATGGATGTTTGGTTGTGTGGATGTACTGGAGTATATGAATTTGCAAATCTACCAAATGCAACTCAAGATATTCAATCAATGACTAATCACTGTTTGGTTGGTGATCAATACTTATTAATTCATAATGATAATATAATTTCAGATTCAATTGTAAAAGATAATATAGATTCAAATAATAATAATCAACATCATAAACATCATGGTCACAGTCATAATGAATCAACAACAGATACTACTACAACAACAATCGATTTAAATTCATTATTAAAATCATTGGATTTATGGAAACCATTTGAATGTTCATTTTGTCAACAAGATCTTGGTGTTTACTATCAAAATAATTATAGATTATATAAACATTCAATTTCTTCTATATTTAATCATAACAGCAATAATAATAATAATGATATTTTAGAAAATAAGAATATTTTTGAAAAACATACAATAGAAACATTATTTTCAACATATCTTTTATCACAATCACAATCATCTACAATTTATAAATTCCTTTTACAATCATCTACGACCAATCAAATTTTCGCACAAATAACTTTATTAAGTTGGGATAGTTTATTATTATTGGATGATTTTAATAACAAACAATTTGATACATTTGATAAACATAATTGTAAGTTACAACTAGTTATACATTTTTAAATACAACATGCATATTAACCTTTTTGTTCCCCTTTTTTTTGTTTATAGATCAACCAATTATTAAGGTTTTTTATAAATTATTTACAAAAGAATCACCATCAAACAAAGAATCAAATATGGAAGAGTTTGCAAAATGTAAATTGTTGACTCTATCAGACAAGGAATGTTTTGCTATACTTGGACAATTAGAATATTCAAATCAAACTCTACCATTCTTTACCAAAACAATCAATGATAATAAAATTGGAATTCTTAATTGTTTATAATAGAAAATAGAGAAAAAAAAAAAGATTGACCATTAAATAATAATAATATTATTATCGATCCAAATTTGTTATTTGTTTTAGTATTGTTATTCAAACGAGTTTATTATTATTATTATTATTATTTACCCCTTGTATTATTAATTAATTATTATTATTATTATTATTATTGTTTTAATCCATAGAACGAAAAAAAAAGTGGAGGTTTACAAATTTGGGAAGAGTTGTTGTTGATGATGGTAATGATGATATTAGTTTGTTGTGTTGTTGTGTTGTTGTTGATTATTTTTGTTTTGTTTAGTTTAGTTGTTTAGTTGATTATATAATAACAGGTAAGTTTTAAATTCTACTGATTAATTCTTAATAAGTTGAAAATGTTGGGTTGGTTGGTTGTGGTTGGTTGGTTGGATGATGTGAGTGATAGATAGATAGATAAAGGTTGTTGTAATAAAAATAAAAAAAAGGATTAATTACAACATTTGGACTTTGTTTTAGTGGTGCTCCCATTGGTGGGATTTATGCCTCCTCCAGCTCTACCCTGAGAAATGCCTCCCATTGGAGCTCTATGTATATCGTTTGCAATTGTCATAAAAATCTGTTCAACATTAAATCCAGTCTTTGCACTAGTTTCGATAAATGGTATACCCTGTGAATCTGCATATTCCTATATAAACACAAAATATATATGTGTGTGTCAGTCAACTCGCTCTTGTCTTGTCTATCGTCTATTATTGCTGTGATTGATTCAATCTCAATCAATAGTTTCTCACACACTTTACACACACGCTATATGTGTGTGATTGTCTTGTATGTACATACTTTGGCAGCTGTTGTGGAGACTACTTTTCTATCATCAAGATCAAACTTATTACCAACCAAAACTTTGCTGACACCAATAGCAGAATATCTCTTTATCTCTTCCAACCATAATTTTACATTGTTAAATGATGTTTGATCGGTCATATCGTACACTATTAAAACACCATGAGCTCCTCTATAAAATGAGGATGTAATGGTTCTAAATCTTTCTTGACCTGCAGTATCCCACTAATATATTGAATAAATAAGAAGAATTAGAAAAGAAGAAGAATATTAATATTGTTCTTATTGTTGGGTCTTGTCAAGTCTATTCTTCTTTGATTCTCTTTACAATTTGTAATCCTATTTGCTTTCCATCGATGGTTATATTCTTATGTTTCTGTGTGTGTTTTGGTAAATATAATCATTAGTAAAACTAGTTCTCTCATTACCATGGTTGGTTGGTTTCTTGTTGTTTTAAACTTACATTATCAACTGATGTCATATTGACAGATGTTTCTTGAAATGTGCCATCCTATATGTATAATAATAATAGTAATTATAAGAAGAAATCATATGTTAACATTTAAACTATGATCACTAATTGTTCTTCTCTTTTCCCCTCTGTCATATAAATATGAATAATCTATTTCTACTCTCTCTCTCTCTCTCTCTCTCTATCTATCTATCATCTAAACATACAGCAAATCTTAATAAAAGAGAGGTCTTTCCAACGCTTGAATCACCAATTAATAATAATTTATACAAATCGCTAAGTAAATATAAAGTAAAGTAAAGTAAAGTAGGTGAGAGAGAAAGTATGTTAGTCATCAATTCCAACAGACAATCATCTTCGTTCTTTGGCTCTAGACATTTATCCAATCATCATCATCATATATATATCTTCTCTCTTCTCTCTCTCATTTTCTTTACTATCATCAATCATGATTTGAATATGATGGTTTAACTCTTTTGTTGTTTCTGCTGTTGTTGGTTTCTACTGATGTTGTTGTGTCTAGTCTCCAACGATGATGATTCATTCATGTCTCTTAAACGTATACTTACGTATTATCCATGTTATTTTTTGTTATATATCTATTTTTATTGTTTAAAAAGTGCGATCAAGATATAAATAATATATTATTTAATGAACTCCAGTTACAAGCAATCTTTTTTTTTTTTTTTTTTTTTTTTTTTTTTTTTTATTTTGGACAGCAAGGGATGTGGGTTTTTTATTCTTGATTGTTATTGTTATTGTTTTCTGACTAGATCGGAAAATAGAGCATTGGTTTGAGAATTTAGATAATTGATACATTGATCAACCAAAGAAATGAATCTGTGGTTGTTATGTTGTTGTTGATGTTGTTGTTGATGTTGTTGTTGTTGGTGTCTACTTTTAATACGATATAATCTTTGTTTCCAACTATCCAAACATAATGAAAAATTATTTCTACCATAAATATGATTTTCATTATTATTTTGATTATTTTGATTATTATAGTTGAAATGATAATGATACAATTTAATAAAGCCACAAATTACTTGTAATAGACTATATAATACTTGAATACCAAGTACCATATTATTTAAGAATCCTTGTGAATCTACTAATGTTTGTTGTTTCTGGATACTACCACCGTGATCTTGTTTTTTATCTTGATCATCATTACAATCATACATAAAAGTAAAACAACGATCAAATATATTATTCCAACATCCTTCCAAGGATACACAACTAAGTAAATCCTCTTGGAGTAGTAATATAAAGATCCAATTGTAACAATGTAACCATGACAATGATAGTATTTTAGGTTCACTGGTCGGTGTTGGTTGGTCAGTGCTGGTGGTTGAACCAGTTGTTTGTTGGTAGGTGGTGGAATCGGACATATTTTGATGATTATTAAATTGAATGGCCAATGAAAAGATTCTATTGATTGATAACAATCTACTTGGAATCAATTCAACAAAATCAGATTGAATCTTTACTATTCTCTTGAGTAACTTTATAAAGTTGGTTATCAATGTCAGAGCCTGACTATTGTTGATTGGCAAATCATTGATTATATTATTGTTATTATTATTATTGAGTAACATGATTTGACTTGAATCACCTGTTGTAAATGTATTATTACTGTCCAAGTAATTAGAGGATGATGGAGTAGATGTAGTGGTCGGTTGAGCAAGATGTTGTTGAAGTAATTGATCCATTTCATTGTTGAATACATAGTTTTCCATAATTAATAAATCTGATAATATTGTAACCACCAACTTGAATAATGATGGTAAAGAATTCTTTATATGTGGTTCATAAACAACTTGGACAGATGGAGTCATAGTCGTAGGAGTCATAGTATTATTTGAAGAGTCACCATCTGTTGTTACCAATGTTTGTTGTTGTTCCTTTTGTTCCTTTTCCTTTTCCTTTTCCTTTTCTCTATCCAATAAAACAATTGATTTTATAATAATAGATTCAACATCTTTGATTATCTTTGATCTTTCAATAGAGAGAGATGATAAAACGATGGCATAGTCATCGGATGAATCAGAGCTGTTGAATAGTGGTGCAACGTGAGCACATTGTTTCTCCAATTCAGCACAGATCGTTCGAATATCAGAGATCTCTTCCAACTTGCTTAGATGATTACTTGTGATGGATGCCAGTGAAAAGGGTTGACTGTTTAGAGCAATCACTTCGTTTAGTGAGAGATTCAACAATTGGATGCTTGGTTTGGACAATGAGATGGTTTGTTTCTTGGCAATGATTTCAATAGACAGAATACGTACTTTCTGGAGCACCTGTGACATGCACGACAATTCGATACGACGTGACAGTTGACGGGTGATAATCGAAGTGGCAACCGAGAGAACCGATTCATCAATACCAGTTGGAACAAGCATCATAACCAATGTTTTAATATTCATCTTGCAATACTGGTCAACTCGTTGTTGAGACTCTTTTTTGAGTTGACTTTGAATGCTTTGGAGTAGTTCTTGGAGTTTTACACTGTCCATTAAAGGGTCATTGGCCATTGTTAGCACCAATTCAACCGTGGCAGCAGCTGTGCCATTTGGAGTGGTTGGTTTGTTCATCTTTGATCGATATTCATCCAAATATTGATTTGAGAATTTAATGACAATCGGGATTGCCAAATTAAAGATAATCTCTGAAAAGAAGGGTAACAATGTCTCTGAAAGCATATTTGATATTCTTGCAATCGACGGATGGTTCCAAAAAAACCACCATTCCAACTGATTTTGCATAGGTGTATCAAATCGTGTTTCATCGCCACTGCTAATCATCGATGTGTTTTTCATTGGTTGTACTCTCTTTTTGATAAGGTTGGTGCTAGGTGAACTTGATGCATTTGGTGTATTTGAAGTTGATGGAGTTGATGGTGATGGTGGTGGTACTGGTACTGCCAATGAATCCTTTTCCTTTTCCTTTTCTCTTTCTTTTTGTTGTTGTCTAGGGACAATAACAAGTGATTGTTTTATACTATTACACAACTCTTCAATCCAAATAGAAGATGAATGAGCATTCCACAATAAACTATAACCAGTCTTTGCATTTCCATCAATTGTATTTGATAAAGTTGGTATTTGTTTTTTAGTTGGTGTTGGTGATTGTTGTTCACTAACATTTGTTGGTTGTTGATGCGATTGTTTATCAGTTGTTGTTGGAGTATTTGGTTGTTGTTGTTGTGGTAATTTTGAAGAAGATAAAGTAAGAGGAGGTTTATATGGTGATTGAGGTGGAGTATTTAATGTACTATTATTATTACTATTTTTGTTATTACTATTGTTATTTTGATTATTACTTCCAGGAGTAGTAGTTGGTGAAGCAGATGAATGACTTGGGAATGGTAATGAAATATGATTGTATTGATGTGGAGAATGATTGATTTGTTGGAACAATTGCTCCAATTCGAGAATGATAAACAATGAAGTGGTGGTAAAGTTTTGAAGAGGCGTTGGAATAATGTTGGGAGCATTGTAGATATTCTTGAGTATATTTACAGCCTCTGCATAATGAGAACCTTCACGAACAACAGAGTCGGCCATCTTTAGAAACTCTGCTATCGATGGAATAGTAATGGCAAGTGATTCATTTTGAATCGATTGAAACAACAACTGTTTGAGATCGATGGGAGGAGGAATCATATTGGATCGGTTGGAAATCTCTGAAAAGGTGGGTGTAATGATACTGGCAGAGTGTGGTGCAGTTGGTCTGTGGTAGGTTTCAGTGGGAAGAAGATGAATAAATGATAGTAGTCGATACAGTGATTTTAGATTGGACAATCTTTCATTGTAATCTGAATGGTTGTGACTTGGATTACTACATTGACACGTTTGAAGTATCGATATTTTCTCCAATAAACTAGCTGTCAAATGATGATTAAATTGGAAATTATCATGATGTATAATCATATTTACAAAAAATTGTTCCTTTAAATTAAAAAATGATATTAACCTATTTTGTCCACTGTTTGGAATGATAGTCGTTGATGTTTGATTGATTTGTTGTTGAGGTTGAATATTTTGTTGTTGCTGTTGTTGTTGTTGTTGTTGTTGAGGTGGTTTATATGGTGATGATAAATGATCATTTTGTTGTTGTTGTTGCTGTTGATGATTACTAGGTTGTTGTCTATTTGTAGAAGGAGTAGCCTTTTTTGTAGTTTTGAATTCAATTTTAAAATTTGGTGTAAAGTTTAGAGCGTTACTATTCAATGTTGACGTTGTTGTTGTTGTTGTCGTTGTCGGAGTTGAGGTAGAGCTATTATTATTGTTATTTAAAGTTGATGCCAAACTATTTCCTTCCATTCTTTTTTGTAATAATATCATTTTTTCGGGATCCGCTCCCCATTGCGATGTTGGTTTGGTTGTGGCCTGAGGTGTCGTAGTAGTGGTAGTAGTGGTAGGAGTAGCAGTCGCAGTTAAATTACCCTTTGTTGTTGTTGTTGTAGCAGTCGTAGGATTAACAGAGGGTGACTGAGGTTGAGGATTAGATGACTGTTCAGGGGGAGGAGGGGAAGGAGATGGAGAAGGTACAGTTATTACATTTTTACATTGTTGATATTGATCTATAAATAAATCACAAAACCACCAAAGATTATTCTTACTTAGTGCCGCAAAAAAGTCTTTGGTTTTGTATTGGAATAATACTTGTTGGGATTGTTGTTGTTGAAGTGTCGTTGCTGATGATTGATGCTGTGTAGTAGTATTACCACTACCACTATTATTACTACCATGACTAAGAATGATATTATTTGTAATTGGATTATTAGATTGTTTTGGATTATTTTGGAATTGACGCATTAAATCATAAAAGAGATCCAAACTCTTTTCACGATTACTGCTTGTTTGATTGTCCTCTTGTTTGCGTAGTCTTTTGTGTAGAGGATCAGACATCTCTAGCATTGGTCTAAAAGGAGATGATATTGATTTGGATGCCATCACTGTTTGTTGTTTCAATGATTTCAACTCTTCAATTGCACGGTCAGCATTCTCTTGTAACATTTTACATAATGATTCGTCATATGATTGTAATCTATAGATATTGTGTGAGTGAAGATGATGAGTATACTATTACAGAGAGAGAGTGTCATATGGTGGTGGACTACATTACATTTTCAAACTTGATAATGCCGTTAATAGTTTGGGATGAAGTGCAAGTAATAGAGGTTGAATGATTGACAATGTCTTTAAACAAAACTCAACAGCCCAATAGATGGATGAAAAGAACATAATCGATTGCTTTTGTTGTTGTTGTTGTTGTTGTTGAAAGACATCAACCAAACTACTATGATGATTCAATTCAAACTGACAGATGGTTAATATCTTTACCAAGAATGTAATCTCACTTGTAATCGATTGGTTGTATAATCTACTACCAAGAATAGCACTATATATCTCTGCCGACATGTTGATAGTATCTAATACATCTTTGTTTAGTAGGTTTGTCAATATAGGATATCCAGCACTATTCATCAAAGGTGTCGATGTTGGTTTACTTGTTTGATTTGTTGATGAAGATGATGATGATAATGGTGGAAAGTCATCTTTCTTTTGTTGTTGTTGTTGTTGTTGAGTAGGAGTATTCTTATGATGTTGATTAGAATGACCATATTGTTGAGACTTATTGATGAGTGATTGAAAACTTGATCTTATAGTATCAATGAAATAGATTGCAAATGATTGTGGTGACTTGTTATTTAGTTCTCTAAACTATAGTAGTAGTAGTAGGTAGATATGAAAGTGAGTGATAATGTAAATCATAGTGGTTCAATCAATAAGCTTTATTGTTATTGTTGTGTGTAGACATACATCACCCAATGCAAAAGAGTATTTTGATAGTTTTGTTGATTGCAGCCAAGCAACAACAATCGATACACTAATGGTTCGATTCTGAAAGATGGATGAAAACAATACATCCAAATCAGAATCTTCCATATCTCTCTCTGTATCTCTCTCTGTATCTCTCTCTGTATCTATCTATAAATTAAAAATGAACAAACATTGATCCTACTTTTTTAGATATGACTTAGGAAAAATGAAATTAAATCAGTAAAATTCGAATGGGACACACATGTTGTATCAAGAACCCTTATGATCATCAACATGGACAATTGGAACTATTTCAAACTATGATCTAAATATATATAAAGTGACTATTTATTATTACTATAATAATAATTATTTGATTTTTAATTTAAAAATTCAATGATATCATCTGGAACTTGATCTGATTTGGTTACTGAACCTTTGGCAAAAGTGATTTCATTTGGTAGTTGGTCGAATTGGAATTCTGATCCTTCGAGACCAATGTAAACTTCACGTGATTCATTTGAATCACCGCTGTGTTCTGATAGTGAAGATCCTCTTGTCTTTCTAAGAGCATCCAATTCACTCTCTAATACGTTCTTGACTTGTGTCTCATCGATTGAAGATGCTTCCAAATCACTCTTGTTACAGAATACCAATATTGGTACTCTATTATTATGAACGTTACTATTTGTTAAGATATCATATAATGTTCTAATAGAAAATAAGAATGATTAGTGATTCCATCCATCCATCCATCTCATTCATCTATTATTATTATTACATACTGAGCCTCTGCGACAGAATTATCAATGAAATGTGAACAATCGACAAGATATATAATACAATTGGCTGAAGCTAAATATTGTCCCATTGATACTCTCATCTTTTCGTGACCTGGAACATCAATCAATCCAAGTGTCTTTTTAGATGTCTAAATATATAATTGTTGGGTTAGTAGTTTATCATCTGATCAATATCATCATCATGATGATTTACATACTTTGAATTGACCCTTGTTTGGGGTAAGTGAAGCATAGGTAGTAAGTTTGTCATTGTTGGTCATCTTGAGGAAAAGTGTAGTCTTTCCAGATCCACTTAATCCAGACAAAACAATAGAATCTCCCTTCTTTGCCTTTACAGGTGCACTAGTAGATGAAGATGATGAAGATGATTTTGAAGATGATCCAGCATGTCCTCCTCTACGACCACCCTTCTTATTACCTCCAAATACTATAAACAAACAAGATGATGATTAGTATTATGTCATTGTAATCATATGTTTCAGTGAAACATTGATATGTATATCAACTCAATCAAACATACATAGAGAAATGAGAAAGATGATAAAGAGAGCACTAATCGCATAGAATATTATTTCTCCACTGACAGGTAGGTTATATTGCTTTGCAAGATCGTCTAGTTTCTGAATTGCAGTAACCGAATAATCGATTAATATCTCTTTTAATTGGAATTTCTCCATTATTATTATGTTCTATATGTATGTATGTATGTATGTCTTAATAAATAAAAAGTGAGGAATGAATAATAATAATAATAATAATAATAACTATATTTAAACGAATGAAGTGAAAGGTGTAATATATAAATTTTAAAAAGTCAAACTCAGGTCAAGTTGATGATGAAAATTGCTTTCATTATTATTTTATTTTTATCTTTGTTAGAGATAGATAATAGGTTTAAGTTTAAAGATCATTTACTCATTCATTTAGTCTCTTTTATTCTCAACTTTTTCAATAACAATCTTTTAGTAGTAGTATTAGATGCTTTCAAGTTCAGTTCAAGAAATTAAATAGATAATGTGCACTATTAGTTTGACTCTCGAATAAATGTCCTTCTCTTTTCTCAAGTATACGAGCGGGTCATTGGAGAAAAGTAAAGAAATTTCCATCCGATGGAACTGACTACTCTCTCGAACACCGATGATCATGTTGGATTCCATGGCGTGGCAACCCAGCCGGGGCATAGGGAAATCGAATAAGTTCTGTTTGGATATTTTGGTTAAAATCAAAAACAAAGATATTTTGGTTTGTTTTATTTTAATTTGATTCTGCAGGAACCATCAAGCATCTTCTCTCTTCCATAGGAGTATTTTTATCTCCATTATAAATACTCTTCCAACAACAACATCATCTTTGACATAAATATTTGTAAATAATCAACAAACCCAACAACAAACAAACAAACACAACATATACAAATCTATTCTATTATTATGAAGATTTATAATATTATACTTTTACTATTGTGTACAATTGTACTAACAGTAGTTTCACAACAACAACCAAACGTAATACAATGGGATAGTAGTGTAGATTGTAATACTTTCCATTGTGAATTTAACGATCCAGCAAATTGGGTGGGAGGTCTCATTCCATCGACAGATGATATTGCGTCGATCCAACTCACCAATGCACAATCAGCACAGACCATCTTTGCACATGACAATGTCAAAATCTCTGGACTTGTTCTCAACGGCTCTTTTGCCGGTTTAGAGTTTGCAGCTTTTGCCAATTTTCAAGTTATTGGTAATGTGGCCGTAGGTAACTTTACCACATTCTATATGAGCAACTATACCTATTTCGCTGCAACTGGTAATCTTTCCGTCGACAATGATGGTTCATTTATTGCACTCGAGTGTGCTGGCGTCATGGTACAAGGAACTGCCTTTTTTGACAGTGGTGCCGTCTATAACCAAGGTATTAATGGTACTTTTGTAGTCTACAAGGGTAGCTCGTTCAATGGTAATGCTTCACTCGCTGCCTTTACCACGGTCAGACTCGGTGGGTTTGTTTCGGTCTCTGGTTGGACTCCATTCACTGCTTTGGGTGATGTCATTGTAGAGAATCTAAATATCAACGAAGCATCCACCGTCAACATTGGAGGCAACCTTTTAGCCACATCCATCCTCCTCGAAACCGAGGCAACACTGACCGTAGACTTTTCAGTAAGCATTCGTATCCTCAACCTCGATCTCAACGCACAGTTTATCCAAAACCCAGACCAACTCTCCACCTATGATGGCTCGCCTATTACTGTCCTCATTGACATTATCGACTCGAAAACCATCTCGACCGTCATCTTTGGCAAGGCCGACTCTGTTGACGTGCCTTCAATCTACATGGCCCAAGGTTACGTCGTCAGCACTGACTTGGTGAGCAGTCTCAACTTGGGTAGCGATAATGTCGAATGGTCGTACCTTTTCATCTTGCAGTTCACCCTCGGATACCCACACGCCAACGTCGGTGTGTTCTCGGCCAACTTGACCAACATTGGCGTCAACCACATTTGGGATACCAAGCTCAACACCTCTCCCAACACAACCCTCACCTTTAACTCGCATGCCAGTTGGGCATCCACCACATTTGCGCTCAACAATGCTATTGTCAGCGTTCAAAGCAACACTCTTCTCAACTTGACCAACTCTCAACTTGAACTTGTTGGCAACTCGACTGTCGATCTCTTACCCTACTCTTCACTCCTCGTCAAGGACAGTACTGTCCAAACCAGCAGTGTCAATGTCGCCTTTGACTCTAATGCATCTTTTATCGCCACCAACTATACCGGTGACGTCACTGTCTCCAAGGGCAACGTCACTGTCCAAAACTCTACCATTAGTGGTACAGTCACTACCCAAACCTCACAAGTATTCATTTCCTCACCCGTCGCTATCGGTAGTCTCCATCTCCTCGGTGAATCCATCCTCACCATCGACATTACAAACCCACTTTCCACCTTTGTCTCTGGTGTACCAATCATCATCGAAGAAGCATTCTCGTTTGATCTTGGTGCAGTGACAGTCACCATCCAAAATCCAAGTATTCTCCAAGCCGGTCAATCTTACTACGTTGCAGTCAGTCCCTCTCTTCGTGTCAAAATAGATAAAATCCATCTTGCCACCCCATTACCCAATTTCACATCTAGTTTTGATATTATCACCACTAATAATTTAGATTATCTTATTTTACTTATTTTTAGTAAATAACACTAATAATAATACTAATTTAGATTAATCTACTTATTAATAAATAGTAAAGAAAATAAATAAATTAAATAAATAAATTAAATAAATTTATAAATAAATATAAATTTAATATAAATCATCATTTATATCACCAATATTATTATTATTAATATCAATATATATCTATATATATATCTATATAATATTATTATTAATTAGTTAATTTATTAAAAAAAATAGTTGATTTGCAAGTGCAACCAATATGTCGTCGATAGATGATGATGATGTTGTTTGTTGATCCCCCCAAAATATTGATAAGTAGTATTAAAGTAGGTATGTATAAATGTATGTATGTATGTTATTATTATTATTATTAGTAAAATGTCTTGATTCGAAACCATATATAAAGAGGTTTGGTTTGGTTTGGTTTGATTTGGTTTGATTAGTTGGTTTGTTGGTTGGTTTTCATTATAATGGAATAATGATAGATTTTAATAGACATGTACAACCTTTAATACGACAACCATGATGATAACCAATAAAACGATACATAAACAACCAAGAATAAGCATTTTCTTTCTTGATCTCGATTTATAAACGTATGCTTGTTCCAACTCTATGACTGCGTCTTCAACTTGAATATCAGCATCCTCTGCATTTGTATTTGCTTGTTGTAACTTTTCACCATCTAAAATATCATCAAATAAGAAAGAGTAATTAGTCAATCAGTTCTGTTGAAAGAGACAAAGAGGGTATGTCAATCACAAAAGGACACAATTGCAGGCGTGTGGTTGACATTGTATTTGAATGATTATTATTACCTTCTTGAACGATTTGTCTGATTTCATTCATAGCATCTTGTAATTGAGACATATCATCGACGAGTTGTTTAACTTCTCTGTTTCTTTCGACGATAATATTCTCTTCATATTCGTATGCATTATCTTCTTGAAGAAGTGGTTGATATGATTGATTGTTGTTATACATCTTGTTACTTCTTCTTCTTCTTCTTTTCTTTTTCTATTTACAAATTTATATATATAACTAACCAACAATGAATTGTATTACAATTAACAAACAAAGAACAGTTCGAGTGTTTTTTCAAGTGGGAAGTCTCAAAAGATATTTTTTCTGACGTCACGTGGACCTTGAAAAAAAAGGGGAAATATTCGTTCCAACAAAAAGATAAATTAAATTTTATTCAATCATATTAAATTGACAACCAGTTCTTATTGTTGTGATTGCTGATCATCATTGGGGATAATCGATTTTAACCAATCAACAACTTTATCTCTACTGTGCGAGTATGCCATATGAAGCCATTTGTTAGTGGCATTTGGTGCCATGAGATTTGGTAGACCGATACCGACGACATTTGGTGGAACGAGATTTGGTAGACCAAGACTGTAATAAGAATTTGGTGCGATACCGACATTTGGTATACCAAGACCCAGATAAGTTGGTAGGAAATAAGGATTTGGTGGAATGAGACTGATATTAGTACTGCTGCCCATGCTGCTAAGACTGCTACTACTACTGCTGTTTTCAACAGACCAACTGACTTTTTTTAAATTTGTATAGAATTCTTCTCGATTATCATCGTGATCGTCGTTTGTCTCATTTACCAATTGAGCAAAATAATAGTCAGGTCGAATATAATAAAATCTGGTGGTCCCATTGGTAACAAAGGGAGTAGAGTTGTTGTTTTGCATTTTAACCAACCCCAAGCCATTCAAACTTTGTAAGAGGTTGAATCTTGCACAGATGATTGCCAATCCAAATACGAGGTTATAGTCAATGAGGACCGATGACATTTGATGATAATTTAGAGGAGGTGGAGAGTTGCTGGTTTCCTCGTCACGATCAGCAAGATGATGATAATAAACAAAACTCTTCCAAAACTTTGGTTCATTGTACTTTATCAATCCTTCGGTAAATGATATTAGAGCACTATTAAAACAATGTGGTTTCTCTTCTTTTGATCGTAGTAATAGGCCATAGTTTCCATACATTCCCATACGATAAAAGGTGAAAAGAGAAAGAGAGTCTGATGGATTGTTTAATTTCTTTCCCAATATATCCACAAAGATTGGATCAATGTTGAAGCAAATGGCCATATTATAATAGTGAGAATAAACATGAACGTTAAAGTAGGTTGGTAGTTCTGGTGCCAGATCCATCAAAAACTCAAAACATTCAAGGTTTTGAGTAAGCAAAGAGTGTTTGATTTGATCTAACAAACCAATATGTTGATCCCAAGTCCCTAGGGTATTTGCTTTCATTATTTTGAGAACTTGTACATCATCGATATGTCCAATGATACGAGCCAACGATAAATGAGAGTTTCTTGTTTTGTACATGACCGACAATAGTTTTGCCGTTAATGGAGAGGTCATGGCTCCAGGTATTTCTGAAAAGAATATATTGACTGCTGGATAACATTCAAATAACCATATTGCCAATTCATCTCTTTTGCTTGCTGAATCACATTTCTCCAAAATAAACACCAATACCTGATACATTTCTTTTGGATCTTCCACAGAATATAGAATACATCTCTTTATCGTTTCTACATCTTGACAATAGAGAGTGATATATTTGACCAAATTAATTGCAATTTTTGAAAGACCCGATAAAAGGGTCAACAAAAATGCGGTTGATCCCAAATAGATTGCATCTCTTATCAATCCCTCCATAGATTCCATTTCAAATTGTGATAACTTTGTATAAATTTTAAATAATTTAAATATTTTTTCCAATTCTTCTTGATTATTATTATTATTATTTTTTAAATCATCAATTTCCATATTATTATCTATATTATTATTATTATTATTTATATTTATATTATTAATATTATTTTGATTATTTAAAGTAATTAATTTTTTTGAATAAATTTCTTTAAATGATTTACCTAATAATCTTAGGTTGATATTATTATCAGAGGTGTAAGTTATGTTACAATATCTATATTGAAGGATTAAAGAAATAATGTTGTATTGTTTGTTGAAATCTAGATGTTTATAATATTTATAGTTTTCTATAAATTCCAATACCAATTGACAATTGTTTTTACAATCTGATGGTATCTTTTCTATTCTCTTTTGTTTCTCCATGACCAAGAGAAGCTTTTGTATGGTTGTAATGTCACCAAAAAAGACATGCCAAGAGTTTGGCTCTTTGAAATAGGCTGCAATCCAATCGGGATGTGCAGAACATAGGAACCTATAGAGATGTGGTTCCGAGTGAATGAGTGCCTGACGAACAGCTCGATGTTGAAACTCTTTGTCTTGTGCTTCGTCCATATCAAAGAATGGGTCGAAACCACCAGTATTGTAAAGAGTGTCCAACAAGTATTCCAACACATCAACGTATCCATAGTCAAGTACTTGATGAAATATTTTAGAAAATATATCTCTGTATATATTATCGCTTGCTGCGTCTTGTTGTCCCTCCTCTGGAGATTCTGTAAAAATGGCTTTCCACAATGATTGAGGATGATCGGATGGTTGATTGTGTATTTTGAGTGACTCGATCAGTGGTGGCAATATAGTCTTGATGAATCGAACATCACCTTTTGAAGAATGGATAGAGGTTTCTAAAAGATAAGTGACATAGGTTGGATCCATCTTATCAGTGACCAATACTGTCATACCATCCAACTTTTCCAAAAACAAACTATACAATGGCCAATCTGACATTAAAACCTTGCAACCTCGTTTCTTATCGTCAAATGATCTCCAATCTGATGGTTTCCATTCCAATCTATCCTCTTCTTTTTGTTGTTGACTATTATTCATATTCGGGTCATATCGTTTGAGTTTATCAGCCAACAGTCTAATGTTATTGTATAAAATCATTTCATTTACATTTATCCAGGTTCTGGCCGGTCGACAGATGTAATAGTAGTAATAATCATTATCTTTTGCCGAGTTACGGTCGCCGTAGAGGTTGTTGAAATTGTTTGGATAAGGTGATACCAGATACTCGTTTCGTCGATCGCAATAGTAGCTGTCAAAAAACGTATTGTATATTACATCTTTTCTTACTGTTTGCGTTCTCTCCAAGTGTAATAGTTTTGGCAATAGAGGTATTTGATTGAGTATCTGTCTTTGTATATATTTATTCTTGAATACTCTATCAAATACTGATCTTTCAAATGTTGATTTGATTGTTGTTGATGTTGCTTCTGATATAGTTGTCATCTTTTTATAATGTTATAAATGTATATATATATATATATATATATATATAACAATCAACTAACTAAAAGATATTCAAGACATCTCTCTAGACAAGATTGTTCATCTATTACATGACAGTGTTGAAAAGTCGTTAATGCTAGCAACTTTGGTGCCTCATCCTTTTTCTTTCTTCTTTTTAGAAAAACAACAAAAATATTAATTTTAAATTCTTTAAAATCCTCACTCATCTTTGCAACAACAACAAAACCAATTGTTGTAATAGTTGATCGATACGATGGTATAATATATATATATATATTTCATTTAAACTTTCTTTTGATTTCTCCAATTGGTGAGTATTTAAAGCAATTGGATCCAGAGTTTTCAATTCATTTCCAACAACAATATATTATTAAGATAACAATAACAACAACAACAACAAAACTTAAATAACACAATTCTACACTAGAACTACCTGTGGTTTGGCCATGGATAAATGTATGTGGGAGCCAATCGAGAGCACTTGTATCTCCAAACCAATCATCATTGACTTTGAACAAGATCAAAAAATTGGCAAGCCATGTGGATTTTACAATAGACCAGCCAAGTGCCGTACTCAAAGTTTCAGATGTATGTGGGAACAAGGTGCATGCATCATCATGCCCCAATTCTAAACAATCTAAATAAATTAACCCTCAAAAGAGGTTCTAATAATTCTTTGTGCGTGTGCAAAATCAATAATATTATTGATTGCCAAAGAATCAACCATCATAAAGAAAAAAAAAACTGTTTAAACAGTTAACGGTTAAATATTTAATATAATTGAAACTTGCATTTCGATGTAGTACTTTAGGTGGTTTTATATAAATTAAAATATAATTGTGTGGTATAGAGTGTGGATGGATAGTTTTGGAAAACTATAATATATATATAAACAAAAGGGTAGTTGACTATCCTATTCAATTCTATCCATTTGTTGATATTATTCTGTTGTTGTAAATGAGGTCCAATGTGATTTGATAAATTGCTGCAAGCATGGCCCCGCCATAATTATTATCTTGGATGAAAAAAAAATATTGTTTGTTGCAGTATATTTGCTTGATGTTATTTTTTGATTACATATATATATATAGATAGATAAAGTTGCTTTCTTATTATGATTATTATTATTATTATTAATTTTACATTGTGTCACCACATTCAGATGGACCAAATAAAGGTTCACCAATTCTAACCAATCCAATCTTATGATCACCCGATGCTGTGACAACATCTTATAATATGTTAAAAAAAGTTAGTAAGAAAGATTCTTAACTATTTTGTTGCCTTTTTTAAATATTTATATTTACATTCATCATTTTTAGAGATTGCACAATCTTGAATATCTCTACCGTGTCTAAAGACAACACCCTTATTTTCATATTTTCTATACATTGTTCTATGGTACATTCTGAGGTGTCCGTCATTGGTAGCGACAAACAATTTATCGCCAGCATGAGTATACTTTAGTCGATATATTGCTTTGGTACATGGTAATTGTGTGCTCAAAAGAGAATCTGATCCATGCAAGGCTGGATATATATTCAATTTGTCTCCACCAATCGCTATCGATCCAATATTACCTCCGCGCAATGACGAAGGTGTTGATGATGGCGAAGAGGTGCTTGTTGAAGTTGGTTGTTCTATATCTGGTGTATGTGCAATTGAATATACATGAGATTTCATTTCAAACTTTTTAAATACTTGTTTTTGTGAATCTATAATCTAAAAAATAAAAAGAAATTAATTAAATTATTAAATAAATATTGTTGATTGTTTAACATTATTCTATATTCTATCTATATTTACTTTTGCAGTTGTATCCATTGATGAAGTTAAAACAATTGGTTCATTTGAACGACTGACATTGAATGCTCTTGCCCACGATGGTTCGAGTATTTCAATATCGGTGATATGGTTGTCATGTATGTCGTCCAATGTTCTAACAACTCCATTTTGTCTCAAATCTACTTGAGTGATTCCTCTTCCAGATCCATTTGGAACCATAAACATATTACAATTATTTGAATCTACTGCTATTGGAATTCTAGTTTGTGTTGATGTTAAAACACCTAGAAAAAAAGAGAAGATAAGAAGAGTTTTAATAATTGATGGTTATAGTTGACCACGATGCATGACCTGCATTGTACAAAATTGACTTACATCTTTGTTCAATCGACTGAACCAATGATCCTCTATGAATATCATATATTAATATTCGACCAGATCCAGTTGTTAATATCACTTTCCTAGAATCAATAAATCGTACTACACACAACGACCAACATCAAGAAGAAAGATTAATTAATTATTTGATCCTTGATTTCATTTCAATTTCAATGAATGTTTACTACTTACAACCAGTAAATGAATTTGAACCCATATGAGAAACGACAGAACTATTTAATAGTTTGGCATGTCTTGCATTATAAGTGTTGAGTAGACCATCGAGAGAAGCCGAACAAAAGACATGGTCATCTTGAGGTGAAAAGTCTACTGCTTTGACGGCTCTAGTGTGACCGTCGAGAAAGACAGCATCGCCAAAGATACCTTTTGTCTGAGTGGCCGATGCAAATTGTGGTGTTGCCGATTGTTGTTGTGGATAGTTGAATACAGAGTTGCTGAGTAGGTCAGACAAATCGTTATTGTCCATCGAGTTGATTAACAAGTCTCTAAAGTTTGCCACTCCACTCAGTCTTATTAGTTGTAGTAATGCACCTGGTTGTCTTGATAGGTTTGGATCTCTACCTGCTATTCCTCCTCCTCCTGCTATTGTTCCTCCTCCTCCTACTCCTATACCTCCTCCTCCTAGACCTCCAATTTGTTGTTGTTCTATTGGTTGTTGTAGTGGTGGTGGTGATAAACTATTACTATTACTATTATTACTATTATTATTGGTTGAAGTTCCTGATACTCGACTCATACTATTATGATAACTACTACTCCTATTACTATTATCCATATAATAATAATATTACAAATACTACTATTCTTACCTTACTTATTCCTCTTTCAATTAATTAATTGGTGTAACAAAGAATGAATAAATATAAATTGCTAGTTGGAAAAAAATATCTTTTCGATACACTCATCTCTTCTTGTTCACAACGTGATGCAGTACTTTTCAAAAATGTAATAATAATAATTTATTAATTTTTTAATTCATATTTTCAATAAAATATTACCCTTTCCTACTTTGGTTTGAAATAGTTATTATTTGGTTTCTTCAAAGTATGATCAAACATACATAGTTTGTTTTATGACAAAGATATCTTTGTATTTATACTTTGCATTCCTTTTCATTTATTATTATTATTTTTAAAAAAAAAGAGGAGGGAACCGTCTCATTTGGCAAATTAAAGAGATCTTAATGATTGAAGCACATATCAATGATCATTACTTGTTGTAAGAATAGTAGTAGTAGTAGTAGTAGTAGTAGAAAGATATGATCAATACTAGTAGTAATGTTATTGCAAATAGTCATATAGGTGTAAAAGAGATACTATTGAATTCGATTCAACACCTATCGACAAGAGGACTGCTGAACAGTTCAAAGTGGTCGTGTGAACAGTTAAAAGGATTGGTGCAAGGAACCGTCGCCAATCAACTACCAAGCTACTACAAAGAATCAATCATCAACCAGACATCTAGTCACGAGTATGGCAGTCAAGAGCACATCGACTATCTACTGGCAAAGAACTATTTCGACTTGAAAGAGTATCAGCGATGTGCAGATCATTTGAAAGAGACGAGCGCTATCCACCCAGTCAACCAATTCCTCTACTATTACTCAACCTATCTATCGAGTGAGAAGAGATTTGCACAGAAATCAATCGAACTACAAAATCAATATCAACTAGAACAACAGCAACAACAGCATCAACAACAAGGAGGAAATAATAATAATGCACCCAATCATGAAGATGATCCAACTAAACCAACCAACAATAGTAATAATAATAATAATCCAAACAGTCAATTTGGTGATGGAAAGATGGTTGCATCTGCTACACACTTTAAATCAACAAGTAAGGAATTACAACAACTATGTTTTGAACTAGATAAACTTTACAACAACAATAACAATAATAATAATAATAACAATAGAAGTATTGATGATGATGATACTAGTGATGATCAAGATACTAGTCAGAGTGGTAGTAGAAATGTAAATTTTAAAAAGGATGCATTTCTATTATACATGTATTCAATGGTATTAAAGAGAAAGGGTGATCAAATCAAAGCAAGGCAAATACTATTGGAATCATTACATTTGTATCCATGTAATTGGTCAGCATGGTTGGATTTGGCAAGTCTATGTACAGATATTCAACAAGTTTCACAACTATCGTTGCCACCAAGTGACCACTTTATGAAAGACTTTTTCCTTGCGCATCTCCTTCTCCAACTTCACCAAACCTCTGAATCACTTCAAGTTTATAATCGTCTCTTGTCCACTTTTCCAAATTCAACTTATATCTTGGCTCAAATTGCAATTTGTAATTTTAATCAAAGAGGTAAAAAAATTATATTAATTATATTATTATTTGTTTACGATATATTGTATATTAATTATTAATATCTTTATTTATTTATTTTTTATTTAGCATATGATGTAGGAGAAGAATTATTTGAAAAATTATTAATTAAAGAACCACATAGATTGGAGAATATAGATATTTATAGTAATATACTATATGTTCGAGATAAAAAGGCTAGTTTGAGTATGTTGGCACATCGAGCAATGGAGACTGAAAAGTATTGTCCAGAGACTTGTTGTATTGTAGGCAATTACTATAGTTTGAAATCAGAGCATGACAAGGCCATTGTATATTTCCAAAGAGCACTTCGACTCAATGAAAATTATCTCGAAGCTTGGACATTGATAGGACAAGAGTTTTTGGAAACTAAAAATGTTAGTATGGCAATCAATGCTTATCGTCGTGCTGTTGATATTAATTCAAAAGATTATAGAGCTTGGTATGGTTTAGGTATGTAAAGAAAGAACAAATAACAATTTACTACTACTATTAATCCAATTGAAATATTTTATTAATCTTTCAAATATTTTTTGTACTCTTAGGACAAACATATCAATTATTAAATTTACCATTATATTCATTATATTATTTTAAAAAGGCAACAACATTGAGACCATACGATCCAAGAATGTGGTGTGCGGTTGGAGGATGTTATGAAACTCTACAAAGAATACAAGACGCAATCAGATGTTATGAGCGGGCAGAAGAGAATTTTGACCGTGAGAATGTCGCATTGTCCAAGTTGGCTAAACTATACCAAGAGATGCAAAATCACGAAAAGGCAGCATACTATTATAAAAAGAATCTTTTACGACTCGATCATGAAAAGGTTGATAGCAAAGAGATTATAAACGCCCTTCTTTTCCTAGCCAACTACCACAAGAATATTAAACAATACGATGAATGTGAAAAGTATTGTCTTCGTCTATTGGATTATGCAGGTCCAGAAAAAGAAGAAGCTAAATCATTATTAAAAGATCTTAAAAAAATGTAACCAGAAATAAAAAGAAATAAAATAAATTGTTGTAGTATTTTGGATGGATTAATAATTTATTTATTTATTTTTAAAAATGTATGGTATATTGTGTAATATAGTATTATAGTATTATCATTATAGTCTCGAGTTTTATAGTTTTTTTCTTTCTTTCTCCTACTCTTCATTTTGATTCTCTTTTTCTTCCTTTTCATCTTCTTTGGGAGGTTCTATTTTAGGAGCATCAGTTTTGGCTGGAGCAGCAGTGACTGGTTTATCATAACATATATGATTCCAGAGAGATTGATGCCCACCAGGACTTATAGTACCGTCGAGGTTTTGAAGTTCATGTACAAAGTAGACGGTAAAAGAGTACAACGTCTTATTGCCGTGACGCGCAGAATTGAATTGACGACAAATGTAACGACCAACTTCAAGACGGAGAGCATCGGCGCCATAGGCATTGTAACCATTCTCCCAAAACTTGAACCAACGATGGTTACCATAGGTACGGTCGAATGGAACGGGCTTGTCAAAGTCGACTTGATAGTTGATGGGACCGGCCAGATTGTGGAACGTCTCGTTTTTGAACAACTCGATGGGTGTGTCGTCGTCGAGCTTGCCGTGGATCGTGTGCCACCAATGGGTCTTTGGTGGGGAGGGCGAGAACATGTTCCAGCCCTGATCCCAACGAAAGAGGAATGCCATTTGGGTGTACTCGTTCTTCCAGCCGACTCTGTAGTGGAATGTGTTCAAGTTGTACATCAAGATGATGTAGCAGACCCATGCCAACCAGATTTGGTTGAGAATGACCCATGCCTTGTGTGGTTGAGCACGTGGATACTTGCGACGTTGGTATGTAGACAGCTCGCGAGAAAGAGTTTGTGATTCTTGTGACTTGGTGTGTACAAACAACATGATGCGAGCAACAATGTTGGACACTCCCATGGGTGTGTAGCTGGCCATCCAAGAGAACAAAAAGAGGATTGGTGACTTGGAAGCAAGGTGGTTAAGTGCCATAAGATTACGACGACGTACTCCATACCCGTCAATTGTAACAAACCAATCATCTCCCAATAAGGTTCTACGTGACATGCTACTTGAAGAACTATTATTGGTCTTGCTAGTCTTGTCATAATCATCATCTGAACGATCGACATCATCGTGATTAGTATCATTACTATTACTATTATTGTTGTTTTCAGAAGAAGCAGAGATAATGTCACCTCCACCCATTTGGTTACTGTCTTTGATCATTTGTTCGAGTGGAGCATAAGTGGCACAAGATGGAATGATAAAGAATGTCTTCATGATCAACGTGGTGTATTGAGAGAGTGGGCTGGAAGTGTTGTAGTAGACACGGATTGAACGTTGACCCTTCATCAACTTTGTTTCAAACCAATCAAATGTGTACTCCCAAAAGAATGGTGGAAGATTAGCAGTCTGAGCCAAGGCAGTCACCCAAAAGAACAGACCCAAACGAAGACACAAAACAAATCCTAAATGCATTGCCATGAATCCAATAGCTCCAAATAATCTACAATAATCTGTATAGATTGGAGAAAACAAAAAGAATGCTCCCCATAATTCCCATTTTGCTACTGCAATTGTTAAGATTCTAAAAAAAAGAAAAAAAAAGAAAAAGAAAATTAATTATTGTGTCACATATGATTTGATTTGATTTGAAAAGAATTGATTTACCTAATAGTAGTTCTAAATTGAACAATGAATTTAGCAAAATCAGTTGCAAAGTAATCCAAGGTGATGGCGTAAAAGGTGGCTTCACCATTCTTCCATTCCTCACCACTCTTGTGGAAAAACGAGGAGATGTACATGAGAGACATTTGGAGGATGATGGCAAGTGTAGAGAATCCAATGAAACGGTAGGCATCAGTATTGTAACCGGGACGCTTTGAATAGGTGGCACGTGTAGAGGGAGAGTTGGCTGATCCGCCAGCACCCACGTCAATACCAATCTGTTCGCCGTTGCTGTTACCACCGCTGTTGCTAGCAGTACCGTCTGAATGCAATAATGATTGTTGATCGTCACGGAGTATGTTTCCATGTTGTTTCTTGTCCTTGTCTTCAAAGTACCAACTGTCGACAGCAAAACATTCGGCCGATGGAATAAAGATGGCAAAGAACAACATCATACGGAAAAAGACGTCACCACCGTGTCCGACAATACCGACGTATGCCTGCAACGAGATGGTAAGGAACCATGTAAGGAACGATGTCAACTTGGTACGGTATCCAATCGCCATCATAAAAGCGATGCAAAAGTGGACGGTAAAGAGAAAGGCCTGGAAGGTGAAGCTAGTGTTGATGAGATGCACTGGCAAAAAGTAGTTGCTGCTGTATTTGGTGACGATCAACGATCGAGGGATCATACCCTGCTCCGTGTAGATGACAAACAAGTCACCTGAACGCTCGACAATGTCGCCCATTACACAAGCGGCCATAAAGAAACGAAAGGCTGCCATCGAACGATAGTCCATTCCAATCATACACGTCAACTTGTGTTTGAGATAGTTGTAACTATCTACCGAGAATATATTTCCAATCGATACATCCTGTCTTTTAAATCTTAATTTACCCATTTTCTTCTTCTACAAATTTGTTAGAATAGAGTGAGTAAAGAAAGAAATATGAGTATATTATATATAAAATTGATTGTTGTGATTCTTCTTCTTTCTAAACTATCCTTTCTCTTCTTCTTTTAACTTTTGTCGTGTGGGGGTGAGGTGAGTAAGTTGAAAAAAGAGTAATAGATAGATAGGGAAGAGATAATAATAACAATATAGTACAACAAAATATTGAGTGTAAGTTGAACTGCTCCTTCTCCAGCTCCTCTTTTTCAAATTAAAAATCGTTCGATTTTTAAAATGAATTAGCAAAGTTCCTTTGAAAGAGGAAGCTCCTCCTATCCAATTATCTTAAAAACCATATGGAAGGAGGGAGGGTGTCCAATAATGATGATAAAACAGATATTTTAAAAAGTAAAACGAAAAAAGAGTATCGTGCATGCCTACCTCCATCATTATGATATTATATACATATAACCAGGTGCAATAACTGGTTGGTTGGGTGTTTGATGATTCACTCCTCTTGTTTGATAGATAAATAATAATAATAATAATAGAGACAGATAAATATATGTTTAAAAGAGAGAGAGAGAGAGATAGAGAATAGAAATGAATGATTGTACAACCCTCACTACTATTTCGGATTGAGATTATCATTCATAATCAAACAAGAGGAAAGTGGAGATGGTATTTTCAAAAAAAAGTATCTGACGGAAATGACGTATAGGTCAAGATCTTAGAGATGTATGAAGTGTTGTGGATGTCCAATGCGAGATCTATTGGATCTGTTTGTTTATAAATAAATATAGACAACATCTGTTCATAACACATAATAATAATAATAATCATTGCACAATACCATTATATTGAGCATTCACACTTCATTTGATTGATTGATTGATTCTTCTAGTTATTCTTACCTTTCTTTTTCCAACTACTAGTAGCTACTCCGAGATGGAATAGTAGATTCTTTTATAGATAGATCACTATATATATATATATATATATATATATTATATATTATTGGTATTGAGTTTTCATTCAATAAAGAATGAAGAGTAAAATAGAAAAGATAGAAATTGATTGATTGATATAGATGGAATAAAAGGAGAGGATTAGCTATAGATAGTTAAATTATATCAATATAAGAGAGAAATTATTTAAAAATATTGGTAATCAACCTACAAAAAATATTATACTACAAATATATTTTTAACACTCTCTTCTTTCTCTCTCTCTCTCTCTATATGTATTGCAATCACTATGGCAATGTATACAACATTAATAATAACATTGCAACTACGACAACAATCTGCAGTGAGAGTAGTGGAGGAGGAGGAGGAGGATTGAGTGTGTGTCTACAAAAAGAAATAAATTAATTTAAATAAATTACTCTCATGGTAAAGAAGTGGGGGTGTAGGCGTGTGTATTTTTGATGGGGTGTGATCCAGTAGTTGGCCAATGCCATCAAACAACCAGCTTATAAGTTATGGTGGAGTGGAGCCATCCATCAACACTCACAAGTAATAAGAACAGTTTGTAAAAGGGGGTTCAACATTTTAAAGCTGAGAGGGAAGGGAAGGATAAGATAATATAAATGATTTCTTTTTTATTTTTATTATTATTATTATTGAATCAAAGTAAAGAAGTATAGAATATATCATCAAATCAAATCATATGATTTGACTTACTTATTTTTATTTATTCCAAAAAAGCAAAAATAAAAAATAAATTTAAACCAAATCCTCCTTTTTTGGGACACAACTTTGAAGAGTGTGTAATCAGTTCACCACGCCTTATATTATTTCTTATTATTATATTATTCTTTCTTTCAAAGATACACAGTATTATCATTATCAACAACATCATTATCATTATCATTATTATTATAGATAGAAGGGAACATATTGATTTAACATATAGTAAATAAACCATGGGTCACGACGTTAAAGGTATGTGTACATCATCATCGTCATTATCAGAGACTTGCATATACTTACTAGCAATCAATCTATTATCTTTCTTTCCTTTATCTCTCTCTCTCTCTCTCTCTCTCTACATCAAATGATAATAGTGTAAGTTGGTTATATTTACATACATAAAGAAAGAAGAGATATAGTGATGATTGTTATTAACAATAAGTTGATGTTTATTTTAGAATCATAGGGTTTTCATGTGCATTTGCAGTAGGTTTATTATTAAATATATTAGCATGCGTTGTATCTAAAACAGGATGGCCTATTATAGTTGGTATGCATTAAAAACAACAACGAAAACAATCCTAACATAACATAACAGTAGACACATGTTATGTCGCAACTTTTAGCAACATTTTATATTCATACCTACTTTTTATCTTTCTTTTGGTTAGTTGTATCATATTTCTTGGCACCATTCCCCAATATGGTGTGTAAGAACAGAGACCAGTTTTCATCAGACTCTGGTTCAATGACCGACCTTGGTCTCTTTATTACAGGATTTTTAATTGCCAGTGGATTTGGCATTCCAGCTGTATTGGCTCATTCAAACATTGTAAGTCAAAGAGGATTCCTTTATCTTATCTTTTTATCGCCTTGTTGGATTTAATAGTGTCCTAATATATTATTATTATTATTATTTTCATTTCAACAGATCAGTTATAAGGCATTGGGTTTCGCCTTGGGTGGAGGTATTACAGTTTACGCTACTCTTATTTCATTTATGGCCTATTTCAATAGACATCATGATGATGACGATGGATGGGGAAATTACTAAATCAATAACAACAACAACAAAAGAATCATAAAATTATGTATATATTATAATATTATCAAAACAACCAACAAAACAAACCAAATATAAACCACAACAACAAACGCAAAAGATTGGATTGTGAATGGAATTTAAGGATTGTAGATTTAGATAAACAACAAACAATAATTCAACCAACCTCTTTCCAATCATAGCTAACTATTTATCATTCATCAAATCCATCGTAAAGATGTGAGTTGTTTTCTCTCCTTTTTTTTTCCACAACAAATAATTAATTTAAACCAAAAGATCTACTATACATTTACAATATTATTAATAATAAATAGTGTAGAATAAAACACACAACAATCACTAGAGTATACTTTTTAAAAATCAGATAGGTGTTTTATTTTCTTTTTTTCCATTAATAATAAAAGATTTAACATCAAAATATAGTTATGGCCGTTGTGGAGTAGTACCTTTGGACATCCCAATGACTTGAGTTGTTGGACTTTTTCTAGAAAGTTGAGGTTGATCACAAGGAAAAAAGAAATTTGTATTCTTGATAGTAGAATAGTATTTTTGATTATTGAATTAAAGAACACCGAATAGAGAGGGTATGGTGGTTGTCATTGACTATAGAGAGAGAGAGGTTTAAATGAAGTTAATAATAGTACTAGTTATATTAACACAATATCGATAGGGTGCATGTGGAAATATTAATTACCAAATAATCTCAACTTGTTCAAAGAATGATTGGTTTCCAATGCATCATAAATTGGTTGATATTTTTGAATATCCCCATCACAAATGATCATTTGTAGAAGCTTGATCTTTTTATTTGTTAAACATCCTGCTAAACAATCCACCATTTGTTTTGTAATGACTCCATATTCGTTTGAAGAGATTTTGAGTTTCTTTAGGTTTGGTAAACTTGAGATTAAACTACAAAAAGCTTTAGAGTTGATACCTCTTGTTGTAAATTCATTCAATTTTACTTTTTTTGAATTTATCTGATCCACTTAATGCTTCACATGATTTTATAATATCTTTACCATTTCCAACTTTTTAAATAAAAGATTAATTAATTTAAATTGGTTGATATTTCTAAGAAAACTTACCGAATCTATCCCTTATCTCTTACTCTTTAATATTATCAACCATAGTAGGAGTAACGATTGAACCATATTCAGTATCAGAAAGGAAATACAAGGCATTTTGTTTTTCAGACAAGAAATCAGTTGGAAGTACTACTTTGGATCCAGAAAAGAATCGGTATTTAATAAATGATTTGTTTTCTTTAATGTCTTGATACAACTGTTCAAAATCTTCTTTTACTTTTAATAAAAAAAGAAAAGAAAAGAGAATTAGAGAATATTTCTAAAAAGTATCAATGATTAATTTCTTACATTTTTGAAAAGCAACCATACCATAAGATAGAGTGATATCCAAAAATTTTGAATTAGATACTCTTATATATCTTTTGTCGTTTCACTTTGTTTTGAAAGAAAATTTCGATTTGATTACTAATTTCTTTATAACCAAATAATGATTATAATTTAAAAATTCAATTTTGATTGGAACAAAATTACTGGAATATCGATCGATCCTAATTTTGGACAAATGAACCCGATTCATTTGATCAACTAATCTTTCAATCATTCTATGAATTATATAGATCATTTGAATTTTTTAAATCTTTAATATTACCATCGGTTTGAAAATAAAGATGTACCTGCTTGGCCACACAGTTAAAGAAAATGGGAATTGATCAAGGAGACCATCCAAAATTGGTTAAATTAAACGAACCATTAATGGTTGGTATTGGATGATGATGATGAACACTGGATAGATATCCCAGGGCATTTACATTCTTGGTTTTTTTTCAAATATCCGAACCCTGAAATATGGGTGGTTTCAAACTTCCACCCGAAGACATTATTAAAAAATTGTGTGTAAAAGATATAAAATATTTATAATATATTAAATAATGGATAATATAATAGATAAAGAAGAAGAAGAAGATGAAGGTATTATTTTAGGAATATCAACATGTATTGTAACAGCAAAAATAGATGGAGTTACAATGAATGAATGTGTTCGTGTTGGGAGTAAAAGGTTATTGGGTGAAGTAGTAGCAATCAAAGATGACAAGGCATTCATTCAAATGTACGAACCATGTCACGGACTAGAGAATGGTGGTCCTGTGATACGAACATATTCACCGTTGATGGTTGAATTGGGTCCTGGTCTACTATCAAGCGTATTCGATGGTATTCAACGACCACTCAGTAAACTATCAAAGAATTACTTGGATGCATTGTATAGACCTGACAAGATCAATCAAGCAGAAGAAACTCTTGTTGATCAACAACAACAACAGTCTTATTCCTCTTCTATTCACGTACCATTGGGAGAGACATTGTCACCACTCGATCGAAACAAACTCTGGCACTTTGAACCTGTATATGAATATGTTATTGGAACACCGGTCACTGCTGGTGATATTATTGGTCGAGTACAAGAAACACCACTCTTTGTTCATTGGATTATGGTACCACCCAATGTTATCGGTGGAAGAATCATTGATATTGCATCAGAAGGTGATTACAATATTGAACATCCACTAGCAATGATAGAGATTGAAACATATGATTCGTCAACCTCTACCACCTCTACATCTATCATACCAGTCACCATGCTTCAAAAGTGGCCAGCTAGAAAACAACGACCATTTGTAGATAGACTCGTACCCAATGAACCACATCTATCTGGATATCGTGTATTGGATTCATTCTTTCCATGCGCCAAAGGTGGAAGTGCCGTCATATCAGGATACGCCGGTTTAGGCAAGTCAATGATATCCTATCAATTATCTACATTTTGTCAAACTGATGTCGTCGTACATAGTATGTGTGGTCGATCAACTGATGTTGCTGAATTAATGTATGTAAACAAATCTAAATACAATATTCTAAATTAATAGTTGATATTTATTTATTTATTTATTTATTTATTTATTTATTTATTTATTTATTTCTGTAGAATGGAATATGCAGAAGTAACATCAAAAGATCCACAAAAATTAATTGATTCACAAGCACCTTATTATAAACGAAAGTATGATTATTTAATTGATAAGACTGTTTTGATTGGAGATACACCAGTGTCATCTGCTGGCATTAGAGAAGCTAGTATATTGGTGGCTGTAACCATCAGTGAATACTTTAGAGATATGGGATATGACGTCACTACGATTGTGGATTCACTGTCGAGATGGGGTGATGCTTTGAAAGAGATATCACAATGTTTGGGTGAGATGGCCGGTCCCCAAGGATACCCTCTCTATCTCGGGTCGAGACTGGCATCGTTTTATGCTCGTGCCGGTAAAGTATCATGTCTTGGTCGAAAAGAAAGAGAAGGGTCAGTATCACTATTTACCATGGTCTCTCCACCCGCGTCGAATGGTGGTTATTGGGGAGACCATCTTTCCGTTACATGTTTGGACACTGCCAATGTATTCTGGGCTTTAGATCCAGCACTCATTAGAAAGAGACAATACCCAGCCATACACTGGCTGCACTCTTACTCTAAAGATATCAAACTACTACAAGACTATTATACCGAAAGAGGAGGTGAAGACTTTTTACCCAATATCACCACGGTCAAAGCAATCTTGGCAAAAGAAGAGGAATTGCAAGATGCCATTATCACAATTGGTAAATCTTCGCTACCCCACCAAGATAATATTGTATTGGACGTAGCACAGATGGTTCGAGAATACTTCCTTGCACAAAACTTGTTTGCACCCTATGATCTTTACTCCACCATTGAGAAATCCAGTTATCTCATTCGTAGTATTACACTCTTTTACAAGAGATTTATTCAATGGTACAACCAACACAAAAAAGAATTAGTCAACAAAGATTATCTCCAAGACATCCACAGAAACCGTCAATTACAATCACTAACCTACAAAATGACAACAATGAAATTTAAAAATGAATTTGAAGAACAAAAGGAAATGTTTAGATCATACAAAGAAATAATTCAATCCATTGATACTTTTTTTGATGATTTTAAACTAATATAAATTAAAATGTAATAATAATATTTGTACAGAATAATAATAAATGTTTGTCTCTAAAAAAAATACCTATTATTGTTATTGTTGTTATATTTATTATTTTATTTGGTTACATAAAAGATTGAGAGTATTCTTTTCCTTTTCTTTTCTATTTTAAGCTTGTGGACTCATATTGCCATTAACCAAATCAATAAATGGTTGGAAAATATTACCATTGACGAAATTATTATCGACGACGTTGATCAAGTAGTAGTTGTCGATCATTTCATCCAAGACCTTACGGCTGGTAGAGTTTTCGTCATAGAGAGAACTCCAACGAGATTGCCAGAGAGCAAAGGCTTCATCCTTCCAGACGAGGAAAGAAGAGTGATCGACGACGGTTGGTTGCACGACCTCCTTGCCTGGGAAGATACCCCATGTGACTGCATTGGTGCCCTTGGTGTTGGTATGTGAATCACCCTTACGGTTCAAAGCGTGGAAGGTGATCGATGGACACTTTTTAAAGATCTCGATGAGGAGGTGCATGTTTTCTGGCGAGGCAAAGAGCTCGATATAGGCCTTTTGGTAGACATAACCGTTCTTGCCACCCCAACCATGGGTCTTGTCGGTGGATGGAACGCCATTGACGGCAGGTTGACTGTTGATAGTGAGAAATCCGTGGCTGTTCAAAAAGACCAATTGCTCCTTGATAGCCTCAGACTCGACCGACAATGGGAGATCGTTCCATGGCAACTTCTTGACCTTGTCACCCTTGCAATAGTTGGCAAAGACTTCATAGACGTCTTGACGGGATTGGACGTCGCCATAGACGTTGGTGGCGCTGGTGGCGTTTGGATCAAACTGGTGCGACGAGAGATGGTAGTCGGACAAATCGCCAAAGGCCGGCGAACGGTAATCACCCCAACGACCATTGGGGAACTCGTCCCACGAACCAGTACGCGAGATATAACTACGAGGACGATTCTTCCAAAAGATGGGACGAACCTCTTCCTTGAGACGGTTGGTGCTGGCGCATTGAGCCCATGGCAAGTATCTATGTAATTGGTCGGGACGGATCATCTCTAATCCCTTGAGAACCTTTCTCACACTTCTCTCCAAATTCAATGTATAAAAGTGCAAACCATCAACTCCGGCTGCTACCATTTGTTTACACATCTCTATACATAAATTTACACCATACTTTTTAACTTCTTCATCGTTATCCTATAAATTCAAAAAAGAAATGAATGAATGTTAATATTAATATTTTTTTGGAATGTTTTTTTTTTGTTTGTTTTTTTGTTGATTTACTTTAATTGGTTCAAGGGCATCTAAAATATGTTGTGGTACAACAGTCTTTGAAAGAGTGGTCATACGCTTGAAACCTGCATAGGTGTGGATTGGCATGATACCTGGGATGATTGGAACGTTGATACCGATGGCACGACACTTGCCAACAAACTCGACAAACATATCGACGTCGTAGAAAAGTTGGGTGATGATGAGATCGGCACCCATGTCGACCTTGGTCTTGAGGTGTTGGAGATCGTCTTCCAAACTGGTGGCATCAGAGTGTCCCTCTGGATAACCGGCAACGGCAATACCAAAATAGTCACCATAGTGTTGACGAATATAACGAACCAAATCAGAGGCGTGGGCAAAGCCACCCTCGATCTTTTTCCATTCCTCACCACGAGGTGGGTCACCACGCAATGCCAATATATTACGAACACCAGATTCCTTGGCTTTGGCCAAGGCAAAGTCAATCTGGGAGACTTGCATGTTGGTACAGGTCAAATGCATCATCGTCTCCAAACCACAGATGTTTTGGGCAGTGTCGGCAATCTCGAGTGTCAACTCGCTGGTGCTGCCACCGGCACCCCATGTAATGTCGACAAACAATGGCTCGAGCAGCAACATACGACCAAGACGATCATAGAGGTTTTGGACACCCTCCATTGTCTTGGGTGGAAAGTATTCGAACGAGTAAAAAGGTGTTGTTGCACCATTCTCCTCCTTGTGTTTTTTGATCTTATCAATAATTTTCATTTTGTTTCCTTTCTTATTAAAGTTATAATGTATTTATATATATATTATATTTAACACCTGTAGTAATAGTAGTTGTAAATAGAATAGAAAGTTTGAATTAATTAATAAATGTATCACCAAAAGAGAGTGTAATTTAAATTAAATGGTCAATGAGAATAAATTAGATTTAGAGGACAACAAATGAAAAGAAACAAGACGAAATGAGCAATTCTTGTGGTTGGAATATATGTGATATCTAGTTTAGATCTGCGTCGTAGTGTGGTGGTGTTTACGAGGTTGTTGTAATTATTTTTTTGTATGTTGTATGTTACTCTACTCTCTTTAATTATTACAAATAAGATAGGATAGCTATCAAATGGTGCTCTTTCTATTTCTCCTCTCTTTGTTGAGCTAAATCTTTGTTTGGTCATGATCAAACAAAAAGCCATAGAAAGGAAGGAAAGTGTGTGGAATTGTGTGGAATTGTGTGTGAGTGTGAGTGAGTGAATGCTTTTAAAAGGGAGGGAGGGTGTCAATTGTAACACAATTTTAAAAGAATGATCACCCACCACTACACACAGAGAGACTAGACTCTCTAGCTCTCTCTCTCTCTCTCTCTCTCTCTCTTTGGAGATATATAAATAATTCGATTACTTTTGTGTGTCATGTGATCACATCGAGAATTTTGTTGTTTGATGTGTTGAGATGTTGTTTGTTTACTGTACTGTACACATACAAATAATAGCTGCTGATTAATTGATTGATATTACAATAGTTGGTGATGGTAGTCAACTTTTTCTTTTATCTCTTCTACTCTCTACTTGTTGTTCTTCTTTTTTTGAAAACTACTCTTTTTTTATACGCTGCCCATGCAAGAACATCATTGACCATGAAGCTCGAGCCCATCAAAAAAAAATAAAAAAAAGAAAAGAAAAAAAGGATGAGTCATAGGTTCACCGATTTCTTTCAAACCTCATTGATCCAAGTGGTGGTGGTAACCAAAATAGAAATATCTTTTGTAACCATGTGTTATGAAATTCTGGCATAATCAAAACTTCTGGTATTAATTGCTTTACAAAGAATGGTAAATAATCTAGTGTCATAGTAAATATTTGAATAATCATGTGAATACTATAGTATGGAGAAGGCAATCATTTCAAACACAACCAGCTAAGCTAGGAGTTATTGTTGTTGGATTGGTGAACATCACTGATTGCTTATTTTGGCATAAATGATTTGCCGAGTGATTCAAAAATGAAAAGGTGAACTGATGTTCCTTGTAACTTGATGACTCACTATGATTATAGTCTCTTTCTATAAGTGTTTAAAGAGGTGTCTTTGAAGAAAGAGTTCAATCAAATTCATTACTTTACTCTTGTAAACTTTTATAAAATAAGAAAAAATATTAATTATATTAATATTTATATTAATAGCTTAATTTAAATTAATTTGGATAGTGGCCATAGACACTAAAAATCCATGACAACCAGATATTTGATTTGAAAGGGCTCTCCCTTCCTGGTACATTTAGAAAAAAAAAATATTTTAATTAAATTAATTGCCTCTCTCAGTTTCACAGCCTCTTTAATCATTGTTTTTTGAAACACTCTATTGTCTATTGTTGTTGTTACTAATATCATTGATGAGAAGAAAAAGAGAAAGAAACATAAAAAGAATTAGTCTAAAAGAAAGAATCTCGAAAAAACCGACAAACCCAATCCATCCAACAACCAACGACAAAAATAAACTCTCAAAAAAGGTTGTGCACCAAGAAAAAAGAAGAATCATTATACTATTGTCAAACCAAAAGCAAAGATATCAACTTATTATCCGTCCGCAGGCAGCCATCACCACCCACCACCACGATCAATGATGTTTGAACATCACAGCCGTATGGCCGATGCCGCCGCTGTTGTTGATGCGGAACAACAACATCAGCAGCATCATAATCAAAAGAGCCTCGGTGATACAGAGATACACAACTTTTCTTCTACATCTTCCACATCTTTATCTCTAGATAATAGTAACAGCAACAACAACAACTACGCCGATATAAACAATAACAACAGTAATCATTCACATTATTATCATCAAAACACCAATATTGATAATACAAATCATTATTACAACAATAATTATAGAAATAATAATAATCAATATATATATAACAACAACAATATACACCAACAAGAAGAACAAATTGAAATAGTTATTGATAATCCAGATTTATATTGGGATATAATGGTATGTAATATCACTCAATCAATCAATCTATCTATCTTTTTTTTTTTTTTAGAATGATATGTGTGGGGGTGTACATCTAAGGTGTATTGATCTAACTTGTTGTATATCTCTTTCTTATTCCATTTCTTTTTTTTTTCTTTATAGAAAATCAAAGAAGAAGAAGAACATATAACATGGTTGGAATCTTTAAACAAACAAATAAGGATTCACAAGGATGAAATCATTGCTAGTCAAAATTCGGTGGCTCAGGTGTACAAACAATATGTAAATAGTCACCAATATGATCATCAATTATTATGTAGTATATTTCTCTCCAAACTATCCTATGCCAACAATGAAAAGGAATTGGTTTGTCTTTTATCAAGAGATGATATTAGACTTTTATTAAATGATGTACAAAAGAATAACAATGGCACCAATAATAATAATAGTAGTAATAATAATCAACAATATATTAATAGATTTAAAAAGTTTTATCTATTCAAACCAAAGAATATGAGAGCAAAAGTAATAGTTGCTTTTGATCGTTTCCAAACCATGTTTGTGGCATTTACGGGATCGGTAACAGTTGAAGATGTTGTATTGGATGTAGCATGTGGTTTTCAAGAAAAGATATCAGTAGAACGTAAACATCTAAATTATATGGCCATTGGTAGATTGACCTGGGTCATTGACTCGATTCCACAACTCATCCAAATTGCCCGTCTTGCCAATTGCAAGGCACTTGTATTTACTGGTCATTCAATGGGTGGTACATCTGCAACTACTGCAACTCTACGTGCCATGGAATTAGTCTACAAAAAATCAAATATCAATAGTAGTAGCAATGATCATAGCAGCAGTAGTAGCAATAATAATAATATAGAAAATAATAACGACGATACAACTACCAACACCACAAACCACAACAATAATGTAAATAATGAAAATAATAATAATATAGATTCACAACAACAACAACAACAAGAGGAAGTGGAAGAAAATAATGTACATAAGAATAATAATACTATCACTACTCTTGGACAAAATAATAGATTGGAATTAAAATGTTTTAGTTTTGGAGCTGCTAGTTATTTGGATGAAGGAACTAGAAAGCATATTTCCAATATCGAACATTTGTCAGATTCACCTATCTTTGCAACCTATGTCAACGAGTATGATACCGTTCCAATGATGTCACATCATCCATTGATCGTACTCGATATTTTGTATATCTTTTTAGTGGCATTTATGCTTGTCTACTCTTTTATGTACCCACGATTACATATGGATCGATGGGTGTGGCTACTCTATGTCATAGCTGTCAAATTGCCACTTCCCTACCTTTTAATCCGTCTTCTCGACCTTGCCATTGCTCGTGTCTACTCTGTTGGCCTCTTGGCCACCAACACATATACTTTTTGCGAGCGCAGAGGTCACTATGTCGAGACAGACTCTCATGTCATACAAAACCGATACCGGTCTCTACTAGACCATCTCTTTAAGCTGTACAACTTCCGTCTCATGTTTGCAGCCGACCACTCTATCGATCTCTACTACCAACGTGTCATGCGTCAGACGCGACCCAACCACAAGATCAATATTATCCACTTTAACACTTGCAACAAGTGTCTCACTGACAATAGCGGGCTACCCATCAACAATCCAAACAACCACCAGTCCCACCAAAACAACAGCCAGCGTGACACCCATCGTTGTAACAATCGAAACAATCTTTTCCGAATCCAAGATATCCATATTTTGTCAAACTCTATCAACAACACCGAACTATTTGAAGAGGAACAAATCACTCTTTTAAAAAAACGTATAGTTTTCAAAGGCATGGCTTTAATCTTGACTACTTATGCCATTTGGTTCCTTTCATTTTTAATTATTATTTATATTTAATTATATATATAATAATAATATCTAATCAAATCCAAACAACAAGAATATTAATAATAATAATAATATAATAAAACAAACGGAAAATATATAATATATAGGATAAATATTTTTATTTATTTAAGTTAATTATTGTTCGATTACTTTCAAGTCCAAATGGAATCTCTTTTTCCAAAGTCTCTTGATTGTGGAGACAACCTTTCTATTTTCGGTTACGTGCGAGGTGGTCAATTGCCATTGTTGCTTGGATTCACCTTCTACATCAAATATGATGGTCAATTCCAATGATTTAGAACGGTTAATATTAATACTTGATACGTCTGTTGTTTTGTAACTCTTGACAACTGTGAATTGTGGTGAAGAGGTCTTGAGGTAATTATTTAACAATGGATATTGAACAAAGTTTTCTTGACAAAGATAAATCTTTTCCTTTGTAATAATTAAACTACGAGGTAAGTCTAAAAAATAAAAATAAAATAAAAAGTATTAGGTCTTTGTTTCATTTTTTTTCTTTCTTTGTTTCATTTTTTTGATACAAACTCTTTGATGAAACTTTTTGATGAAGCATAATATATAATTCAAAATCTTCTTTCTTTTCACGAAGTAATTGATTAATATTATTTAGAGTATCCATGGATTTGAAGTATGGTTCCAAAGGAATAGATTCCTTCTTGGCAGCTTCAAAGAATAGGTCAAGGAATTTATGTACAGCGTCATGTGATCTCTTTAAAAAGACATAGCAGACATCTTCCAATTCGAATCTAAAGAATTGGTACAATAATCCAACACTGACACGACGAATTTCCTTGATAGAGTATGATTCTACCAATGTAAATCCTGGGTCAATGCTACTGGCACTGAGACTGCTCGATAATTTGCTTCCAATGGTTGATGATCTCTTCAATAAATAGACTCGCATCGAAGTGAGAAGAATATAGATTGATCTTTCCTCTTCTTGAGTATTGTATCTAATGTAGTTGCTTTGCATCATATAGATATAGGTTTCCTTACTTCCACCTTGTAACAAATTCATTCTAAAGTATAATTGAAGATTTTGATCATTTACCATTCTAAAATTAAAATCATCATCTGATTCTCTTGACCTAATAGAAAATAGAAAAAAGTTGGTAAATTCTCTATCTACTTGTTTCTTTTTTTGTTACTTTTGTTTGTTTACATACATATCAGATGAAATAAAAGTTGGAGTTGAAGATAAACTACCAATAGTTGGAGTAGATACTTCGACAGGAGTTGAAGATACAATGGTTGATTGTGGAACGAAAAAGAGGAATCTTGAATGACATTTGACACATTGAGTAAATTCAAATTCTTGGCGACAGGTGTATCGTTCAGTACAATCCATACAACTCATTGTGTATTCCTTGAGTAATGGTCTCAATACTGATAATAATAAATCTGCTTGTTCTAAATTTTCCATAATATAAACCTCTTTGGTAAATTCAACTGGTACTCCATCTTTAAATTCTTTTCCAAAAGTAATTTCTACCAATTCACTTGGTGCTCCTAATAAATATAAATATAAATAAAAATATTAGTTCATAATAATATTCTTTTTTTTTTAAGCTATCTATTTTTTACATACTTGTAAACTTTCTAATAAATACTACAGAAGTAATTAAATGACTGTGTAATGAATTACCAGTGGTTGGATGAGTTTCACTGATGACATCTGATTTAATTTCCAATAATAAATCTTGATTGGAAGAATATTTTACAACAAAGAATGGTTCACATAACAACTTGACATTGGATTGTGCGGCCAAACTCAAACTCTCTTTTAAAGTTCCCTTTCTGGGTGCCATTGTATCTTGTTTTTGTTCAGACAATTGTTGTTTGAATGAATTGTGAACAGTGGTATTTGAAAAGTGAGTAGTCTTTGGTCTAAACTTTGATGGGGTGGTGTCTTCACCTCCAACTGGTGCACTGGTAGTAGTCGAGGTGTTGTTGGAAGATTGTGATGAAAAATGATTAGAGACTGTGCTATTGGTGTACATGGTAGATTTTGGCCGAGAGTTGGTTGTAGTTCTAGAGGTTGATGACAATGCTTCCAATTCTTCCTTTTCCTCTTTAGAGACGGTTGGAGTGGTGGCTGGTGATGAGGAGGTTGGTGTTACAGTGTTGATGGGTGGGGTAGTGCTGTTGGTCGATGGCGATTGAGAGAGGAGCGATTGTTTTGGTGGTTGATGTGGTTGTGGTGATGCTTGTTGTTGTGGCGATGGGACGGCAGGCGACGAAACAATACCATCTTGTGAATTGGGTGTTGATGATCCAGAACCCGACTTTTTAATCTTTTTGATTTGCTTCTTTTTAACAATCACTGTTTTCTTGGGTGTAGTATTACCGACAGCTGGTGAGGTGGTGACTAGTGCTGGCGATGTGTTGGACGATGACGATGACGACTGATTCACTAAAAATTCATTGGTTGTGGACAAGACGGCGGGCTTGTCATATTTTTGGTTTTGTTGTTCTTGCATTTCATTTAGAATCTTGAGCCAGGCATTGCCACCCTCGGCTCTCAACTTGTCAATCTTTTCCTTCAAGTCCTTTTCAGTGACAAACTTGTCTTCTGGCTTTTTATGGAAGCCACTATTATCCAACTCGTCCTCAAATGCTTCGACATCTGGGTGTTGGAAATCGACCACTCTTTGGAATGGAATTTGGACGCTACCAACAACCGAGTGTACATTGTTGTTGCTAGTACTAGTATTGGCACCAGCAATTGTCTTGGATGGTGTTGTAGCATCAGACGACTGCTTGGTGATACGGGCAGTAGGAGCAATCAAAAGTGATGGCGAAGAATCGTCTTTGCTCATTGGTTTGATCTTGGTCGATCTTCTACTTGGTGAAGATGACACTCCAAATGAACTCATCGATGCATGTTTTGCGCCACTATACTTTCTAACAAATTCAACATCTGCCATTGTAATATCAATATTATCCAAATAAAATTCAATTGTTTCTATTCTTGCTACATGCTAAAAATAATAAATAATTAAAAAGTATTAGTATATAGTATACCTGGTTTTAGAATATTTATATATATTTCTTACCTCTTCAAAAAATGAACAAAGAATTAAACCTCTATATAATTTAATTTCACATAATGGATTACCCTCGACAATCAAACATTTAATATGAGGTAGAGTACGAAGTTTGAATATTTCCTCGACTTCTTGGATTTTGTTACGTCCAACATCGAGATACTCCAAACCATACAACTTGTTTAATCCATCAACAGTTGTCAAAAGATTGCCATTCAAAGAGAGATGGCTTACACAACCCAAAGTTTCAAAGATTGTTTCAGTTGTTGAAATACGGTTGAATGAAAGATTAAGCATTCGTAGTGAAATACATTCTTGTAAATTCTCAATCTTTGAAATTAAATTACCTTCCAAGTTTAATTTTTCCAAATTACTAAGAGAAAACTAATAATAGGAGTAAAAAAAAAAGAATCAAAGTAAGTATGAGTTGTGAGGGAAGAGAGTTTGTTTTTTTTTTTTTTTTTTATCTACATACAGCAGAAGTATCAATTTTTGGAATATAATTAAATGAACAATCCAATACTTTAAGTAAAGACCAAATACCATTACGTTGGTAGATTTCTTGAAACCTACGATTCTGGATTTCTGTCGCATCGGAAAGATCATAGTTTTTTCTTGACATTTCTGCAAAGCCTGGTAACTTTTCCTCATCTTCAACAATCACCATTTCATCCAATGAATATAATGATTCGTGAACAATAATCTTTGTCAGTGTCTTTGAAATATCCAATAAATTAATAATTAATGCTGGTTTTACATATGTTAACTTTGATAGATAGTGAGAGAATAATAGTAATTGAAATGAATCGAGTAAGTTCATAATTCATTTGAAAGAAGCTTCTTTCTTCTTCTTCTTCTTCTTGTTGTTGTTGGGTAATAATACAAACTTCCAAAACTCTTAAACATTTAAATATAGCTAAATTCATTTCTTTATACTTTTCCAATACCTCTGGTCTATTTGAATCAATCTATGATGAAATATAATGACAATGATTAGTTTAGTTTAGTGTAGTTTATCTCTTCTATTTAATAAACATACTTTTAAATGAACAACCAAAGACAACAAGTATGATAAATCCAATAAATCACTCTTTGATACTCTAAACGATACTCTTTTTCCACTGATAAACATACTCAATGATTCCAAACATGCTGGATTAAGAAACAATGTTTCTGTTCCATCCTTTAATCCTTTTTCTAAATATATATATATATATATATGTAGAAGTAGTAGAAGTACATATATATATGTGTGTTAATGATATGAACCAATCAATCAATCAAAGGGGGTTATAGTTTAATTACCATTCTTTTTAACAAAAGTATTGAGTGAAGATAAGAAATCATCATTATCAGAGAACTGTGATAGGGGAGCATTGTTGTTACTCTTATTTTGTTGTTGTTGTGGTTGTTGTTGTTTTGATGGTGAAGTAGTTGCCATTCTTATAGTTCTTCTTCTTCTTCTTTAAACAAACCAACACATGTAGTTGCTCCTCGATTTATATTCTGTCTGTCTGTTGTGATTGTGTCTTGATACTTTGTATAATAGTGATGATACTTGTTGTTATAATATATACTATATAAAATGAGATAATAATACAACAAACAACGAAGATGACGTCAAAACACAAGAACTAGAATGAATGAAACAAAGCAAAGTGGTTCAACTTTTAAAATATCTTTTTTTTTCACTAAAGTTGACTTGGGTTTGATGGATGCAATCTCAACCACTAACACAAATAATAATAATCAAACTCTAAATAATATAATTATTAAAATGATTAATATCAATATATAAATCTATTTATTTATCTATTTATTTATTTATTATTATTTATTTCAGTTAAAGAGTTAAATTAAAGAACTTGTATTACAATGTAATATATGACCATGCGTAAATTCAGTTGCAAATCCAAATCCACCATAATGATATTTAACAACGTTTTCTGCTGGTTTTCTACGAGGTGTATAGTTCCAATCTTCTGGTCCACCAATATTTGGATCTAACAATAAATAAGTATTAATAGAGTTGGTTAGGATATGTTTGTTGGTTGGTTTGTTGTTTGTTGGTTGGTTTGATGAATGATAATGAATTGATTAATTTAAATTTACCTGGTACCCAATGCCAAATGAATGCACCATAGAACCAATCTTGTAGAAGGAATACTCTAAAAAATGCTTTGAATGAAGCATCTTGGAACTGAAGATCGATCGATTGATTTAGACATTTCCTACCTTGTTGTAAACCAGAACAGAATCCAATCTCTGTGAACAATATAGGTTTATTGTATTTATTTTTTAGATCAAATAGACTTTTGGTCATATAACATCCAGGTTCAAACGATCGTCCCACATAAACTATATTATTCCAAAATTTTATCTGGTTGTCTACGAATTTATAATCCCTATAAGAATCATGTCCATATCTCGGTATATTATAGTGTGCATTGACACCAATAAAATCGACTGCATCCCACCATGTAATATTAGATTCTTCTCCACACGAATTGGCAGAGTATGTCAATGACCATCTTGGGTATTTATCCCTTGCCTTTTTTGTCAAATTCCTCCATTCAGCATCTCGCCACGATGTTGCCTCTAATCCACTTCCAAGAGATACGAGTATTGGTACATCACCCAACATTGAAGCATAGTGAAATACCATTTGACTATAGTTACCAAACCAGTCGACCCAATCAGCCTCTCTGAAAAATGTACCGATTTCTTCGGGTGTTCTTCCAGGGTCATCTTCCAATTCGAGTCGTGGTGATATCATAATACCCAAATCTCTCATACCAGCATATGAAATAGCTGATATAAACTCGTCATCAGTATCTGTATCATTGGTTGGGTAAATGAATGTTGAACTTGAAACAAAATATAGATAAATATCATATAATTAACAATATAATCAGTCTATATTGTGGTTATAATACTCTCACTCTCTCTCTCTCTCTCTCTCTCTCTCTCTTTGTCTCTCTCAACATACTTTATATTTTTTTGGTATTGAGTGACAACAAGTTGGATCCAGTTGGCACCAGTAAAGACAATGGTATCGATGGCATTGTGAGCAGTCATATGAGTGAGGGGGATATTGTTGCACAACTTACCTCCAACATAGGCAATTCCGTTCATTGTCCAATGGGACGTTGGACTCTCTTCATATTCGATTGGGTCAATATTATATGATGCACACAATGAATTAGTCGACCAAATGACAGATACTATTACTAAAAGCAGACAACAACTGTTGATTGCCATGAATAAAAAAAAAAAAAAAAGATAATTATAATTGATTGTTGATAATGATGGATGTTTATAATATTGTTGTTGTTGTTGTTGTTGTTGATGGTTACATCATCTCATCTGAATCAATGATGACAATATATAATAAAATTTAGATATTGCAAATTAAATAAGCATGGATAGGGCCTTACTACCCTCCGTTCATCATTCCCACATGTTGAACAATGAAATGATGATGAGACACAATCAGTTTTAAACAATCGCAGTCCACACACACACTAGTACTATCGCATACACCCTCTCCAGTAGTGAGGGGTGATAAAAGAATGAACCTGTTCGTACTCTTTTCATCGCCTCATATTTTTTTTTCGAATTAAATCAAAGAGAGAGAGAAAGCAACAGCATCATTATCAGAGACAGATAATGGAATAATGATACCTGGTCACAACTAGTTGATAATTAGTGATTGTAGAATGATACGACAGCACCACTTTCAAATTGTAGATTATTAATGGGGGTGGTAGTACTGCAACTACAAGTTAATATCAATACTATAGTACTACTATGCAATCACAACAACAAGATATTCTATAATATGGATGGATGGATGGATGGATGGATGGATGGTTGGTTGGTTGGTGTGGTTACCCAGGATGATTGTAGGGGGTATGTGTGTGTGTGTAGTTTATTTGTTTTCACACATATATATCACTGCATCTCTCCTATATGTACATATAAAGGTTATTATTAGTATTCGTTATATATCTCTACTAAGATATTGTTGTATTACTACCTACCCACCATACACAATGCAAGCAATATTGCATAACAGTCATTCATACATCTAAAAATACTGTTGATACAATCACGCAATCTCACACACCCTACCCAATTGGAAATGCTTGAACATGTGTTGAATTGCTTTTTTTGGTATTAATTGATTCAAGCAATGTGTTGATGGATTCATATTCATACCTCAACTTATCTTAACGACAACAACAACAACAACAACCAGAATACAATTACCTATATTTATATATGAATGCATTATTAATTCTATAAATCATCCATCACTGTCATATTTAAATAATATTTAGAATTCTCAAATACAACAAGAGCAAAAAGAGAGAGGATACAGAAAGAGAGGAAAGAAAAGAATTACAAGAACGTGTAGATTATAGTTGTTTGAATTTGGCAACACTTTCAGAGTACTCTTGCAACAACAACAACAATAACAACGCGACAAGACACCAAAAACCATACACCGCCAAGTATTCTTGTCGCAAATCAAAACCGAGATTGGTCTTTTCCTTTTTTGAGCTTTTCCCATTTTTGGTTTGGAAAACACTGCATTTTTATTTGTGAAAAGGAGGACAGTCGTCTGGCAGTTGCATCGCAAACAAAGATACAACAAACTAGGATATTTATTTTTTATTACGACGGTTATTTATCATTTTAAAGATTTACTTTTGAGTAATCTTTTTATTCATCCCTTCTTCTTTTCCTGCCAATCCGCAACCACCATTCATCATTTATTATTATATCATTCATTCACCTTTTTTATTTATTCATTCATTCATATATTTATATATCTTCTTTCTTTTTATTCTCTCTCTCTAATATTATTATTCACACAACACAACTATATAAAACTAAAAAAGTTATATAGATATTTTCTTCTTTTTCATTTTACGAAACAAATATAATATTATTTTTGTTTATTATTATTTATTTATTTATTTAATTTAATCCATCCTATCCTCACATATATATATAATATATAAACACAAGAATTAACTGTTAGTTTAAAAAAAAACTTTTAATAATAATAATAATAATATTAATACCCAAATACAATATGATTACTTGCGATAGTATTTCAATTTGTATCGAATCATTAAAGGATGGACCGACCGATATTTGTCCAACTCACAAAGTCAACTACAAGAAATGGTATATAGACTCGATTTATAATGGTCAGCAAAAGCCAAAGCCACAACATCACCACCAAAAATATCTCAACATCCAACAATTCACCAATTCACCAATCCTCAACAACCACAACAAGAAATATACATACACATCCGCCGAGTACTCCAAGGGTGACAAAAAAGATTCGAATAAGATTTATAGTCAAATGTCTCAACAATCGTCACCATCGCAAGACAGACATCACTTTAATCATCACCAGACCATTGTTCAACAAGAAACACTTTCTCGTGTCAATTCCAATGGTACTCTTAATCAACTATCACCCATGTCACCTATTCTCAGTTCAACGACTATTGTACCACCATCATCAACCAATATAACTCTCGACCCTTTATCCCCATCCTCTGTCATTGCATCCTCTCCAAAACCTCTTCAACATATTTATTGTATTCATGGTTATTTGGGAAATGCATCAGAGTTTGACACGATTGCACAGGAATTGTTGAAAAACGACCCGTACCGTGTCATCATATGTCCCGATCTTCCAGGTCGAAAGGGTAGCGATCGATTCGAATCGACCAGTCACTATTCCTGGAAGACCTATGCTCATGTGATCGAGTCAATCATTTCAGAAGAGTCTAGATGTGTTGCCTATGTCGATGTATTGGCCACTTCTGTCAGTGTTAATGTACCTCTTTACATGGTGTCACAAAACAACCGTCGTATCCGATCGATCATTAGCAATGGAGGTGGCTCCCAAATTTCACGTCAAACCGCCTGTAACCTCATCTCGTCGTTCCAAGCCATCTTTGGACCACATCAATCCTACGAAGATGCATGTAGAGTCTATCGAATGATTCATTCACACAATTATTATTTTGGTGATCTCTCTTCTACCGAATGGAACCGTTTCTATGAAACTAATATCATTAAAACTCCTACTGGTCAATATACAATTGATTTGGATCCAAGACTTCTTCATCTTGATATGGTAAATATTGTATATTTAATTTATTAGTAATAGTTTTTTCATTTTATATTTACACCAATCAATCAATCAAATTATAAATATAGGGAAAAGAATTTAGTTCATGGGATTTATTTAACAAAGCTATATCATCAGATTGTAAGATGTTGGTTTTAAGAGGAGAAAGTTCAAAATCATATTCACAACAAGACTATGAGGCTATGAAACTAAGAATGGCACACACTATCGAATTCCAAACACTCAAAGGTACTGGTGTATCTCCACTCTTAAAAATGGATCATATCAAACCGATCATTACATTTTTGAGTTGTCCTGATTCTCCTTCTTCTTCTTTTTTCTCATCGACCAACTTGAGTGGTTGTTGTGCACAAAAGAAGAACAGTGCTAGTAATAATAGTAGTAGTATTAGTCCACCTCATAAAATCATTCCATCACTTCGAGAGAATAAAATATAAACAATTATAAATATATACACAATATCACTACTTTATAGAACTTCATTGTTTTTTAGGTTAATATTAAATAAACATTCACACAATTTAAAATAAATGGATCTCTACTTTGTCCACCATATTTGGGAAATAATAGAAATATTTTTTTTTCGCTTGAATGACGACGAGGTGCACAAGACCTTCGTTCAGAAAACAGAGTGTTGAAGGAGGAGTACTTTATCTGTATTAGGGTGGTACCAAAATGGAAATACCTAGTTTAAATCTTAAAGGAAGTCCAATTGAAATCAAATATACAGAAAATGAAGGACGATATGTAGTGGCAAGTAGAGATCTAGAGGCTGGTGAAACGATCTTGTTGGCTCGATCGTACGTGTCAATCGCAAGCGACAATGTTAAAAAGAACGTTTGCAATCATTGTCTTCAGTATAGTCCGTCGACTCTGGTGGAACGATGTAGTGGATGTCGACAAGTCTATTGGTGTGACACGTATTGTTACCTCTCGAATCGTGATATACACAAACACTATGAATGCAAATACTTTAAAAACTTTAACAAGGATTATTTGAATCAACAATCAACTGCAACAACTTCTGCCACTTCGCAGTCTTCATCATCTACTTCATCATCTACTTCTTCTTCTCAACCACCTCTTGCATATAAATTCGATGATGATGATTGGACTGAAATTAGAATGTTGGTTGCTATTCTATCGAGATTTATAGCGATCAAGTATTTGGGTGTCGGTGAACTAAAGGCTGAAATGCCAACTATACAAGGCATGACACTCAACTTTGCAGACAGTACACTTCAAGACGTACTCAGTCTCGTCGAAAACAAGATCACAGAATCAAACAATAAGGCAGCATGCAAATTGATCAATTTGATTGAACGATATGTAACCCTTTTAATCAAAGATGTACATCAACCACAAGATCACACCAACAAGAAAAAAAGACAACAACAACAAGAGGAAAGTCAAGTACAACTACAACAACCCAAACTAAATGAACAACAACTTGATGAAATAATATCAATGATTAGACCAATAACGTGTAAGATTAGATGTAATCAATTTGGTATATGGTCAAAAAAGGATAAATGCTTGGGAGTGTCGGTCACACCTATCGCTAGTTATTTCAATCACTCTTGTTGTCCCAATATCGTTGATGTTCGTGGAACGACATTGTTGGAATTCAAAGCACTTCATTTCATTCCCAAAGGAAGTCAATTGTGTATAAGTTATTTGGATTTGGATCAAACTACTGATTCCAGACAAGACTATTTAATTTATTCATATTATTTCAAATGCGGGTATGTTAGCGACGTCGTTAATATTTCAACAACAATAATTATTATTCCTCACTTTACTCATCCTTTTTTTTATATATACAGATGTAAAAGATGTAATGATAAAGGAGATTCAATAGATAATTGGATTTCTCAATTCTATTGTCAAGGTACAAAAAAATGCTCTGGAACTTATTTCTTAGAGGATGAAGAAAGACAATTACATAAAGATATTTTGACAAAATCAAATGATAACACCTCTGCAACCACCACCGCTACTACTAACCAAACAAACAAAGTAAATCTTACCTGCAGTTATTGTTGGAAGAAACGACCATTTAAATTGGAAACATTATTAAATCCACCATCCAACCTTATTTAAATAAAATAGATTGGGCACCCACCCCTCCACTACAACACGTGTATAATGTCATCGATTGATTGTAAGATGATTCCAGTCATTCATCCGAATGATAATGTTATTATTAATTTTAATCAGTTTTATTTTTAATTTCAAAGGATATATTGTATGTAGGTATGAGTATGTATGAGTATGATAGTATTGTATGTTTTAAAGTGGTAATTCGATTGGCTTATCCTCTTGTTCTGAAGAGTTGGATGATGCCAATGGATCAGATCCGAAAAGTGAGATGAAATCTTGTTTTGGTTTGTCGGTAGATGATGGAGTAGATGGCTTGGCGGCAAATGAATCACCAAAGAGTGAGTCACTGTCAAATGAAGTCTTTTTGGCTGGTGTTGTAGAGGTGCCAAATGAGCTATCGGCAAACAAAGAGTCATAACCACCACCGGTGGTAGTAGTGGCGGAAGGTGAGGAGGTTGATGATGTACCAAAGACGTCGTCACTGAAAAAGTCCTTCTTTGGGGTGGAGGTGGAGGGAGTGGAAGCAGATGGCTCATCGGCTGCGAATACAGTGTTGTCTTCAAAATCAAAGAAGCTGGTCTTCTTGGCTGGCTTCTTTTCTTCTTCTGGTTTTGGTGCTGGTGATGCAACTGGGAAGGAACGGGTGATTTCAATGTGATCGACTTGACGTGACATGACACTCTTGGTTGGGAGTGACACTGACGAATCGTCAGCATCTTCTGGGGCAATCTCTTCCTCCTCTTCAGAGGATTGATCCTCTGGGGTTGGGATTGGGATCTTTTCAAAAGAGTTGTCTGATAAATCATCAGATGACTTGTCTTGGCTATTGGCAGTCTCTTCCAATGATGGAGTGGCAATGACAACTGGTTCGTCATCTTCTGGAATTGGTGGTGGGTTGGATGGAGTTTCTTCTTCATCGTCTTCAATTTCTGGGACGGTGACTTCTACCTCATCAACTTGTGGTACGACAACCTTTTCTTCTTCCTCTTCAACCTTGGCTACTTCTTCAACTTGTTCAACTTCGACCTTGGCAACTTCTTCAACTTGTTCAACCTTGGCTTGTTCAACTTGTTCTTCTTCTTCAGCCTTGGCTTCATCAACTGGTGGTACGACAACCTTTTCTTCTTCTTCTTCTTCTTCCTCTTGGTCATCTTCACCAACTGGTGGCACTACAACCTTTTCTTCTTCTTCCTCTTCAACTTGTTCAACCTTGACTGGTTCTGGCTCAGGAACATTATCATCTTGAGTTTCAGTCTTTTCTTGAGATACAGAGAATGATTTGGTTTCTTCGTCGGCAGCAACTTCCTTTACTTCCTCTTCTTCAACCTTGGTTGATGGAGTTGGTTCTTGTTCGATTTCTGGAACAGCAACAGTTTCCTTTTCTTCGTCACTTTCGAGTAAATCGTCAACATCGACATCATCGACATTGATATCGTCCAAATCTACATCACCATCCAAATCGATTTCATCTTCATCTTGTTCCTTTTCCTCTTGAACTGGTGTTGGAACAACAATCTCTTCCTTGACCTTTTCTTCCTCTTGGACTGGTTCTTCAACCTTTTTGATCTCTTCAACAACGACAACTGGTTCTTCAACCTTGTTTTCTTCTTCTTCCTCCTTTTCCAATTGTTCAAGTTCGGCGTTGATTTCCTTGTTTAACTCTTCATCATCAAAGTCAACATCGTCATCATCATCGTCGTCATCTTGGTCATCATTATCAACCTTGGTTGATGATGATAATGGATCGAAAGCAGCAACAACTGGTTCAACCTTTTTTGACAACAACTGGTTCTTCAACTTGAGCTGGAGTTTCAACCTTGGTTTCAGCAACAGTTTCTTCTTCAACTTCTTCCTCTTCTTCTTCGACCTCTTCTTCTTCTTCAACTTCTTCTTCTTCTTCTTCATCATCATTTTCCTTTTCTTCTTGTTTTGATTGAATGAATTCCATTGTAACACGTTTGATTACACCCTTGAAAGTTGACATGATATCATCGGTAGAGTAAGTTTCCTCTTCTTCAAATTCATCAGCAATACCAACGAAAACATCTTGCATCAAAGACTTGACTTCCTTGGTCATATCTACATTGTTGACAACCTGTTTGACAATGGTGGTGGTGGTGGCAGCTGGAGCAGCTTGAGCAACAACAACAGTTTCCTTTGCAATCTTTAATTGTTCTTCCAAAGATTTAATTTGTTGTTGAGAAGAGTTGACCTTGTCTTGAGCAGCGGTCTTGTCTTGTTCGGTTTCCTTGAGTTGTTCGACTAAGACCTCCTTTTCTTCAATGACTTGCTTCAACTTGGCGCCAGTTTCCTTGCTGCTTTCAACCAAACCACGTTCATAGGCCTTGACAACGTTGGTCTTTTCCAACTCGACCTCCTTGCTAAGAGTGTCGGCACGTTGTTGCAATTGTTCGACATCACGTTCGAGCAATGACTTGGCGGTGGCAGATTGACGCTTTTCAGTGTCGACTTGGAGACGAATCTCGGTGATATCGTCGTCCTTTTTGGCGAGCAAGAGGTTAAACTTGGTCTCTACGTCTTGCTTGGCTTGTTCGATCAAGGCGGCGAGGTTGCCCATCTCTTGACGTTCCTTTTCCAAAGTCTCCTTGGCTTGGGCGACTTCGAGGTTGAGAGCGGCGATCTTGTCGTCGTAACGCTTCTTGAGCTTGAGCAAGTCGATCTTGTGCTTCTTGGTGGCCTCCTCTTGAGCCTTTTCTTGTTGAGCTTGTTGGTCTTGGGCGTCCTTGAGCTCGTCCTCGAGGGTGCTGATTCTGTCGGCATCGGTCTTTCTAGAGGCACGTTCGCTGAGCAACATCTTGTTGAGGGCACGTACCTTGGCAGACTGTTCCTTTTCGGCTTGACGAGCAGTATCTTGGTCTTGGATCATCTTGGTGATCTCATCACGAGCACTGGCCAACTCTTCGTTGATGGTGTTGCTTTCACGCTTGGAGGCGTTGATTTGTGAGAGTGCACGAGTCAATGCGATTTGCTTGTCGGCCAACTCTTCCTCAATCTGTGACTTTTCCTTTTGCAATTGGATCACTTGTTTGCGAGCCTGTGCGACATTGTCGGAAAAGGCGTCGTTACGTGTCTCCAACATCTTGGTGTTTTCCTCTAAGAATACTTCATTCTTTTTGTGCAATTGGGCAATAGTCTCTTTCATGGTGGTGAGACGTTGATCCTTTTCAACATTGTCCTTGAGCAACTTTTCATTGTCATCGACAATCTTGTGTAATGTTTGTACCAACATGACACCGCTAATTGGAATATCACCTTGAATGATTGGGGTCTTGAGAGCTTCAAACTTGTTTGAAACTTCGTCCAACTTGGTGTTAAAAGTGACCAAGCTTGATTTGATTTCCTTTTTGAATTGACGTTCCTCTACTAATAATTGAACAGTCTCTGCGGTTGATGGACCGGCTGGAGCTGCAACTGGAGCTGGAGCTGGAGCTACGACTGGAGCAGGGGCTGGGGGTGGAGCTGGTTGTTGAACAATGATTGGTGGTGATGCAGCCATTGGAACAATAGCACCTGGGTTGTATGCACCTTGAAGTGCCAACATGTTGGTAGTTTGTGGACTCAAACCAAAAGCAGCAGCTGGAGTTGGCGAGTATGGTGATCCAAATTGATTAAATGGTGGTTGTTGTTGAACTCCACCAAATTGATTATTAAATCCATTATTACCATAATTGGCATTAAATGGTGTATTATTATTAAATTGACCATTATTAAAGTTACCATTATTATTATTGAATTGACCATTATTATTGAAACCATTATTGTTATTGTTGTTGTTAAATCCATTATTATTACCATTGTTGTTATTGTTGAAACCATTGTTATTATTGTTGTTACCATTGTTATTGTTGTTATAACCATTGTTGTTGTTATTGTTGTTATTGTTTTGGTTATTGTTATTGTTATTATTTTGGTTATTGTTTTGATTGTTGTTGTTTTGGTTATTATTTTGATTGTTGTTATTGTTGTTGTTGTTGTTGTTGTTGTTTTGATTGTTATTCTGATTACTATTGCTGCTCTTGCTATTATTATCAGAATAAGATTCAGAATCAGATGGAGAAGGTGAAGTTAGACCAGTAGCTCTACCCAACTTGGCCATACGTTGGATGACGGCAGCCTTGTCGTCCTTGACAGGTGATGGAGAACCTTCAAACAGAGTATTTGGAAGGTTTTGAGATGGTGGGATGCCAGACGAGCCAGACAATGATGGAAGTTGCGAGGCGGTGGTGGCAGATGGTTGGGCAGCACCAGCGGGAGCATCGGCCTTTTTGACACCGATAACCTCAACCTCAAAGATGAGGTTAGAGTTTGGTGGAATGGAAGAGTGTTGAGTCTTGCCATAGGCCAATTCAGATGGCACTACAATGACACGCTTGACACCCTTTTTCATATTCTGGACACCAACGTCCCAACCTTTGATGACTTTACCTTCACCTAGGACAAAACGAAAGGCAGCATCTGATGTAGTGTTGGTGTCAAACATGGATCCAACACGTTGGTTCGAGTCTAACCAACCGGTATATTTAATAGAGACACGGTCGCCGTTTCCAACTCCCTTGCCCTTGCCAGCAGCGGCCAAGTCTAGAGCAACGACCGATTGATAGTTGCCTGCAGCACACTTGGCAATAGCAATATGTGTAGCAAACTTGATAGATTCCTCTTTGCTATTGAATGACATTGACCAGTTGGTGCCTTGGTCTGTGAAATTACCATATAATTCATTGACCTAAAAGAAACAAAATAATAATAATAATAATATAGAGAGTCAATAACCATCATTCATTATTTCCATCTTCTCCAAATCAATGATTGAATCTATCTATCTATCTATCTTACAGAATAGTTAAAAGTCGATGTAACAGTGGCAGTTACAATTGAATTTCTGGTGGCGTCATAGATAAGTAATTGGAACTTTCCATTTGGACGGTATGTAACAAGGGCTGCTGAAAAACTACCAACCGTGACATACTTGTCTGCTGGTTGGTCGCTAATTATAAAAGAAAATAAAAGTAAGTAAAGAGTAAAACATTTTGAAAATATCTTCTTTTTTTTTTTTTCTCTTTCTCTATCTCTTTTCTTTGTGGTTTAAGAGACGCTGATAGATCTTTGAATATTCATAGATCTTCATTTATTATATTAATATATTTTCAACTTACTATTTATATAAATGAATGGGAGCACCCAAGATAATGTCTTGTTTGGTTGATGAGGACATTTGTTTGTTATTGCTATATGTCAATGATTGATTTCCTGCTAATTGGTTTGAATCTTTAAAGAGGGATCCGAGTTTCTGACTACTAGCGTTGTTTTTGTTGCTGTATTCGTCGTCGTCAGTTAACATAACTATACTACTACTGTTGTTGTTGTTGTTCTATCTGTGTGTACGTGTGGTATGTAAGATACTACTACTACTACTACTAACACTCCAATACAGATACTACTATATTATTATTATTATTATTATTACTGATTAAAATATATAATATTGAATGAATGAGTGTATATAATAATAATAACACTCTTCTTCTTCTTCTATTTGATAATACAAAAAAACTTTTAAATCTACAACAATATAAAACCCTGTCTAAAGAGAAAAGAGGAATAACTAAACTAACTAACTAACTAATTGTCCAACTACTTTGCAAAGAAGAAGATTTTAAGCAAAAAACTGTGTGTTTTGAAAAAATAAAAATAAAAAAAATGTTTTTAAAACAATCTATTGATATTCTATCCTTTTGATTCTAAGGAACAGAGAGAGAGACACAGTGTTGTCTTAAGATATATTTATATAAAAAAAAAAAACAATGTGAGAAAACATTGCTATGAAGAATATATATATATATTCTCTATTCACTAAAATGAAGATAAATTTTTCTTTAATAAATAAGTTCCACCAGGAACATTCAAACGAAAAGTGTGATTCCTCAGAGCTCTGTCCTGACGCAAAAAATCTCTGTCCTTTGAAGAAACTCACTTTTTCGGCATCTCTGACAAACATTTTTTTTGATGTCCTCAACTCTGGATGGGATATTCCAATTAGATTAGGTTGGTATTGTTGTTTAAAAAAGATTGATTTCCTCATAACTTTATGAGGTAAGTTTTATTATATATTGTAGAGTCGACACTTTGGTGAGTGTAAAGAGGGGGTGGGTCGTTGTTCTTGTTGCGTGGTGGATCCCTGGGAATCTTTTGTTTTTTGGTTTTAGTATTTTGTTGGTTGGTTTGGTTGGTTTGGTAATCATGATCCTGGAAAATGGTAATATATTATATTGTGGTATTAATGAACTGTATCTATATATATTCCAATTGGATGGATAGAGCGGTGGGATATAGTAAAGGATAGATAGATGGGATAGGTTCTTTGTGGTTTTTTTTTTTTAATCAGGATCCTATGATGATTTGGTAGGTGTAGTAGGTAGAATGAATAAATTTATCAATCAATCAATATGATCACATTCCAATCGAGAAAAGGGGATAGAAAATAGGAAAAAGGTAGAAAGGTAGAAAGGAGATATCGATCGACCGGCAGATATAAAGAAAGAAAGAGTATGGGAAATAATAATAATGAATGATATATACTTGATAAATAATTAAAAGATAGATTAAAAGAAAATCACATACCATCGTCGTCTACAAGAGTGGTGGAATGATTGATTGATTGATTGATCGATACATTTGAAAATGTATTATTTATATATGGATATGAGTGGAAGAAGAATGTATTAGTTACTTGTCTTTTCAATCTTGATTATAACTCTTATCTTACCATCAGAAATGATAGCGAAACTACTGAGTTTAAACATTGCCGAACTTATATTAATCTTGCTAGTGATGGTTGGTACACCAGAGGATGGCGATGATTGGCATGAGGTTGAAGAGGCAGTTGAAATGGATGGCATAGATGTCGAAGATGAGTTGTTCAAAAATGCAGATGATGATGCAGTATATATGTTGGGTGTTGAAGTGGTGGTGGAGGAAGAAGAAGAAGAAGAAGAAGATGATACAGAAAACTTATTATACAATGAAGAAGAGGATAAAGATGCAATCCTACTGCTGCTACTATTTATGCTATTTTTCATACTGCTACGTGCCATGTTGACACATGAGCTAATCGATCTATTCATCATCTTGTTGAAGTGACTCTTTGTTAAACTATTTAACAACTAAAATGATCAAAACTATAAACCAAAGTAATAAGTAATGAAATCTGCAAGGGTGATCAACAAGCGAAACAACAAAAAAAAACGAAAAAAAAAAAACAAAAAATTGGTCTTTGTACTATTAAATAAGTAATATTTACAAAATATTAATATTGATAAAATCCATTTGATCTAAAGGTTAACTTTATTAATAATGGACATTATTGTTGTCCAACATCTAAAAAAATAAGAAAAAATTAATTTACTTACCAGAGTTAGACTAGTTTGCAGTCGGATTGGCCAAAGCAACTTTGTAATTTTGGATCTATCTACAGTATTGATGATGAGAATTACAACCAAAAGAAATAGATAAAGGTGACCTATTTTTGATATTATTTGTATACAAGTCTATACTTGAGGACCCAATATTGACGTGTAACTCTTCTTGTTGTATAGTCTTTGAAACATCTTCCTGTGTGTTGGGATCGATCATCTTCTTTGAATGTAACACTGAGGATGATGTGACATTATTCAATACTTTATCAAATTGCCAAGTTTGATATTAATATTAAGTTCGATGTTAAACTTGTCTAATTGATGTCTATAATGTAGAATGAAAAAAATAAAAAAAATCAAGTAAATATTGCAGAGTGTGAACATACTCCATCTTTTGTTGTCGACACGCAACTTTAATTTAATTTCATTTCTTTTCTTTTCTTTGTTTATTTATTTATTTATTTGTTTATCGTTAACGAGCAGCAGTAGCAGTAGTAGTAGTATTAGTATATTGGATCATTATTATCGTTGATTGATGACAATGAGAAGATGGGAGATACTATAAAAGATGAAGAAAACACACCAATGAGGGAAGGTTCAAATAGCCCACCAAACAACAACAATAATAATAATAACAAGAGAGATGAATCACCAAATAGAAGTTTAAGTAGAGGAAGGGGAGACACTGCTGCTAGTGGTAGATCACCTAGTCGAAGCAGAAGTCCCCGTGGAGGAGGTAGATCACCAAGTCGCACTCCAAGTCCCCGACGTAATAGATCACCTTCTCCATCACCACTTGGACGTGGTGGCAACAGACCAAGAAGCAACAGCAGAAGTAGAAGTCCATTATACAAGCGACGAAATAGATCACCATCTCCCATGTCACGAGGAGGAGGAGGAGGTGGTGGAAGAGGTGGTAGAGGTAGATCACCATCACCAATGCGAAGAGGTGGAAGAGGTAGATCACCATCACCAATGAGAAGATCGCCAGTTCGTGGTAGAGGAAATAGATCACCTTCACCAATGCGTGGATATAGAGGATTCAGAGGTGGATCTCCACCAAGAGGTGGAAATGGAGGTGGTGGTAGAGGTAGATCCCCTCCAAGAGGTGGAAATGGAGGTGGTAGAGGTAGATCTCCATCACCAAGAGGAGGTGGATATAGAGGTGGAAATGGAGGTGGAGGAGGTAGATCTCCATCACCTAGAGGTGGATATAGAAGAGGTGGAGGATCACCTCCAAGAGGTGGAAGAGGAGGAGGAGGAGGAGCTAGATCACCATCACCAATGCGTAGATCACCTATTCGTGGACCTCCAAGAGGTGGTAGATCACCTTCACCAATGTCACGTGGACGTTCACCAATTAGAAATCGATCACCATCACCATCAGGAGCAAGAAATGGAGAAAATAGTAATGGGCAAGCGATGGATAAATCAAGATCTCGATCAAGAGAGTTTAGTTTATCACCTTTAAGAGTCGATCGATTGACACCCAACGTTTCAAAGGAGAATCTAATAGAGATATTTTCAACATTTGGAAAGGTCAAAGACGTGGAAATTATGTACGATCGAAAGAGCAACCAACCCACTGGCATTGCCTATGTAACATTTTTCATCAAAGACGAAAGAAATCGTGCTAAAAAGTATTTAGACGGTGGAGAAATTGATGGCACCGTCGTAGGTGTTAGATTCTTGAAACATTTTAGTAATAATAATTATAGAGGAGGTAGAGGAGGTGGTGGAAAAATGGATAATTATAATAGAGGTGGAGGTAGAAATAGAAGACCATATTCACCTCCAAGAGGTGCAAGGTATGATATCAAACAGAATATTATTTATTTATTTATTTATTAATTATTATTTATTTTTATTGTAGACGTTATTCATCACCACAAAGAGGTGGAGATCATAGAAGAAGAAGATCTCCAAGTAGATAAATTAAAAACAAACTTTACAAAAACAAAAACAAAACAAAAAGCAAAACAAATAATATAAATTAAAATTCGAATTAAAGGATAATAATAATAATCATCATCTTTAAAACAATCATCATCAAACAACAATACCTGCCTACCATTATTAATAATCATTTAAAAAATACAAAATTGTATTCAATATCCAAATAAACAATAATCAATCTTTTCATTTTTTGTTTACTCAAAATATATATATAATAATAATTATTTATTTATTTATGTTGGTTTTTGAAAGTGGATATCACTTTTAAAAAAAAAAGAGAGATATTTCATTGTCATTTAATGAAAGAGATGAACAAAGAATTACCAATATTATTACAATCTAAAATTATAAACTTGTTTGTAAAAGGAATAAATCAAGATGAGGAGGAAGAAGAAGATGTGTTGGCAGATATTGTACTAGTATCAAAGAAATGGATGGAGATTGTTAAAAAGATCAATAATGTATTGACAGCATTCGAACCATTTGTACATAGATTGAAGGAGATTAAAGAGATTATGGATAATCCTTTTCTATTAAACAATAGATTCCCTCTTTACGAAACTACCTATTGTAATGATACAATGTCAGAACAAGAAATGGATCAAGAGAATGTAGATTATGCTCAAAACAACAAAGAATGGTTTATATCTGTCTTTTGCAAACAGATCGAGGAGATTCGATTGGGATCGAGTCAATTCAAGTTTGACGAGTTGTTGGTCAAGCAGAGTCTACCCAATCTACGTATCATACGTGTCGAGAGTTATCTGACAGAGTTGCCTCTACCACTATTGACTCAACTTGACAAACTCAGAATCTCATTCAAAGGACATACACTGTACATGATTACTCAAACATTTGGTGCATGTAAACAACTAAAGAAACTATCAACCAAGATTGCCTATGACAATATAGATTTGAAAAGATTATTCTCAAGTTTTCCAAAGACACTTGATAATCTTAGATTGGATATTGTACCAGAGTTTGGTATAGTTGATAATGGCAGTGGTGGAGGTGGCGGTGGTGATTACTATCCTTTTGAATTGTTACCAAGTAGTTTGAAAACACTCAATATTGTTCATAGGGAGCCATTACACAGTCAACCATTTATAGAGTATCTTGCAAAGAGTAATGTAGAGTATATCAAACACTCTTTTCAAGTTGGCAGGTATCCATCAGTTTTGAAGGATCTTTCTAGAACCAAGTTGAAAAGGGTTAGTCTTATGCTAAGTGGTAAAAGAGTACCTGTTCAGTACACTGGTGCTGGTTCCAGTCAAAGACCAATCATACCACCAACAGTAACAGAGTTGTATGTAAGAGAAGATTTTACAGCTGATTGGTTTAATAGTATTTTTGTCAATAGTCAAATGCCAAATTTAAAGACACTTGCCTTTATACCATACCCTTCACATCAACCACAACAAGACGTAGATGGTTATAACGAAGAGGAAGAAGATGAGGGATTGGTATTATTTACAATACTGATGACATTCCTCAACCAAAACAAGACAATAGAGAAAATTACATTTGATTTCCGACATGCTTGGGAATATTTAAATGATCAAATCAAATCCAACGAATCACAATTATTACAGTACATGGCATCGAGTCTATCCATTAAACAAATCATATTTGATAATGTTGGTACAAAATATAAACCATTTAGTGGGAAATTGGTACATCCATGGATTGCTACAAATGGATTCAATGGATTGGTATTTATCAATACAAATAATTATCATTGTGATCCATCACTACAAAATTTAATAAATGATTATTAACATAGACTTGATATAAAAGAGTGAGAGAGTGGTTTTTCACCACCCCCCCAAATAAATATATATTTGTTGTATTATAAGATGACTATTAATTATTATTATTATTATTATTATTAAATCCTAATTCAAAAGGTTTTATACAAGCTAATTTGTTATGCATAACAGGTTGGTCAATCAATTTTTGTTTTTGGAAAATGATTGGTTGAAGTTTGTTTAGTTAGGACCTGGTGGTGGAGCATATGGTTGGGGTGGGACATAACCTGGAGGTGGATAGTTTGGATCATATGCTTGGGGAGGGTATCCTCCTTGTGGTGGTGGGGCATATCCTTGTGGAGGTGGAGCATATCCTTGTGGTGGTGGGGCATATCCTTGTGGTGGATATCCTTGTGGAGGGTATCCTTGTGGTGGTGGTGCGGCATAGCCTTGTTGTGGAGAAACAACGACTACTGATGGAGCACCTCCTTGAACAATGACAGTTGGCTTATTTCGCGCCTCGAACTTAGTGTTCCAATCGTCTACCATACCCTATGAAAAAAAGGTTGGATTGTATAAATAAGCATTATATTTTTATATTTATGAATATAGAAGTATTATTGTTACTTACAGGGATAAGACAGATATCCACTAACCAACCAATTCCAAATATACCTAGTTAGATTGGAACCAATGAATGGGATGGAAAAAAAATTAGTTTTAGCTAAGAAGTAAAAAAATCATGATATTTTTTAATCATTGATCCATATCTACCGAATGTAAAGAGATATAGTATACCCATGCATATACTATCCAAATAAAATCTGTGCACCCCAAGGAATCCTAGGAAGAACCAAAGAACATAAGCAACTCCTACACTTTTCATCTTCTACTTTATAGGGTATCGATATTAAACTACTTTTTGTTTTTTTTCAGCTGAACCTAATAAAAAGTTATTTTTAAACAAATAATAGAGTGAAGCTAAATAAATGAATGAAAGAATGAACAACTGAGGATGGTAAGAGGAGTTGAAAAAAATAACCAAAACCACCATCTATTTAATATTAAAAAGCAATGAATAAAATCACACTCACAGATACCCCCCACACCATCACTTCCACCCTTATATCTCACGTGGTGTTAGATTTATTGGAATCCAATGAATGGGCGCGAAAAAGAAATCAAAGGAAAGCGGCCACGTCTGCATCGAAACAAAAAATATCTATGCCCGACATACAGACAGATACTGGTTCCGAATGTAAAGAGATATAGTATATAAAATCTTTGACCCCATCGGAATCCTAGGAAGAACCAAAGAACATAAGCAATGGCAACTCCTACACTTCGTTTATCTTTCAATACTTTTAAAGTATTGAATTACAAATAACCTAAGACTCGATTGGTAATCAAAGGCTATACTATAATATTATTGTAGTATTCACAGATCTGTGATCAAGCGAATCATCATTTTCAATCTTGTTTCAATAAAATCAAAAGATATACCTGTGGTTCATTCATTGCAATGAATAAATATCCAGAGTCATTGTATTAGCTTTGAAAACAACTATCAAAAGAATGACATGGTTTTATCCCAAACCAGCCTTTCCCAAAAGTTTTAAAAAATTAAAAAAATCTCCTCAAAAAAAAAAAAAAAAAAAGATCGAAGTCATATTATTATTACTCATACAATCAAGAAGAAGTACTTATAAAGTGTATATTACAGCAAACTAAAACACAAAGAAAGAGAGTAGTGTGAGATAGAGAAGGAGAGAGAGAGAGTGTGTGTATATATAGAGGATCAATTAATCAAATCATCATCATGGAGGATAGTTTTATTAAGAAGGTAATTATGATAGTAGTAAAAAGGATACAGAGATACGAGTAGACATTCTGTCTGTCATACTACTCTCTACCTTACAAGATCTAATATTCCTATTGTTCTTTGTCCTTTTTCTTCTTTTCTTTTTCTTTTCCTTATCTTTTTTAGATCCCTGGTGAAGAGATTGAAAGGAAAGCTTATACAAGTAAGCATTCAGATGAAGGACCGGTAACAGGTCATTTCTATATAACAAACTATCGCATATCGTTTAATCCACAACAAACTAAAAGAGTAGAGGAGATTGTACACTTGCCATTGGCTACAGTACACAAATTTGAAAGAATATCAACCAAAAAAGACAAGATTATAGAGATATCGTGCAAAGATGCAAGACAATACAAGTTCTACTTTAGTAGCGATGACTTGGCCGAAGAGTTTGAAAAGAACTTTACTCGATTCTATCCCCTCACCAATGAAAAGTGTTTTGCATTCTTTAATCAACAAAGATTCCTTGATACAAAAGGTTGGAAGATTTATGATCCTATTCAAGTATGTTAAAAAATATATAAAGAGCAATGGAGGGTGGAAGGGTAGATTCGAAATTCCCTTCGTTTCTTCCTTCTTCCATTCTCTCTCCTCTCTCCTCTTTTTGACCTAATAATTTTACATAGATATTAATTTTTGATATCTCTTTCTTTTTTTTTTCTTTTCTTACTCGTTTTACTCGTTTTTTTTACTTTAGGAATTTAAAAGATTAGGTATAATACAAATTAATAATCAACAACCACAACAAAATATTAAAACCAATCAATGGACAGTAACAATGATCAATTCAGATTATGAATTGTGTGAAACTTATCCAAAGATATTGGCGGTACCATATGGATCAAATGAAATATTGACAAAGGTTGCCAACTTTAGAACGAGTTGTCGATTGCCTGTACTCAGTTGGAGACACAAGACTAAAAACTCGGTCATTGTAAGATCGTCGCAACCAAAAGTTGGAGTGTCACGAATGAATTGTCCAGAGGACGAGAAGTTGATCAAGATGATCATCGAGTGCAGTGGAAATCGGTCATTGGTGGTGATGGATGCGAGACCCAAGGTCAATGCCGTGGCAAATCACGCCAAGGGTGCTGGCTATGAAAATATACATCGCTACGAAAACACTGGTCTCGAGTTTTTGGGTATTGGCAATATTCACACAATGCGCGATTCATATAAAAAGTTGCGAGACAGTTTGATTGACACGAGCGACCATATACACCTACACTCCAACATTGAAAGCTCGCGGTGGCTTGACCACATCTTGTTGTTGATCGAATCGTCGGTGCGTATCGCCGAGCTGATCGATTTGAATCGGTCGGTACTGGTACACTGCTCGGATGGCTGGGACCGCACGAGTCAGCTGACCGCTCTGAGCATGTTGTTGCTCGACCCATACTACCGCAGCTTTGAAGGGTTCATGGTACTCATTGAAAAGGAGTGGTTGAGCTTTGGTCACATGTTTTGGAAGCGTAATCATGGCAAAGCGTCCGACGAACGATCACCCATCTTTACACAGTTTCTCGATTGTGTTTGGCAGATTACCAACCAGTTCCCACGACACTTTGAGTTTAATGAAATGTTTCTACTAGATATTGTAGACGCGTTGCACAGCTGCCAGTTTGGCACGTTCCTCTTTGACTATGAAAAGGAGCGTCATGCCAAGGCTGCCCCTCAAACACCCTCATTTTGGTCGTATGCCGAGGTCAACCGTCTCCAATACATCAACCCATTCTACGTGCCCGAAGACCAATCCCTCTACCCTGTCACAGACATTCGTCTCATTCGGCTGTGGGAGGGGTTCTTTTGTCGTGGCGCCAGCGGCAGTCTCATTAGCAACGAGCGAAACGAAGCTGTCGTCGAGTACCACCTTCGCAACCAAAAGGCCATAAAGTCGCTCTCCAACGACCTCAAAAAACTATCAGAGGAAAAGATCATATCCGATCAACGAAACTCTGATCACCTCAAAGAGATGGAGCGTATTCACAAAACCATCGAAGATTTAAATCATCGCATCGAAATTAAAACACATATTTGTGATTCTCGGGAATTGGAACTTTTACAATTAAGAAAAGAAAAGGATAAATTATTGGATCAAATTGAAAAATCAAAACATAGAAAAGAAAATGGACAAGATGGACAAGATGAAAAATATGGAGAAGATTTAAATCTTGAAAGTAATGATGATGATAAAAATATAATAGATTATAGTTTAAAATCTATGCAAAAAAAGATTACTGGATTAGAATATGAACAATCGATTTTAAAACATTCACAAAATAATCTAAAGAGTGATAATGATAAATTACAACAAACCATTATCGAACTAGAGTACAAGTTGCGTGACAAGGACCGAGTGATTAGTGACTTGAATATAATGGCCCAACACAAAAGAGAAAAGAGTAAAGATCAGAAAAGAATGTTGGATGAAAAACAAAAATACATTCAAGAACAGGAAAAGGTTACACTTGTCATTAGAGAACAAAGAGATAAATTGGAAACATCATTACAAGAATTAAAATTAACCATCTCTAATAATAGTGGTAGCAATAGTGGTAGTAATAGTAATAATAGTAGTAATAATAATTCAGGTAGTAATATAGGTATTAATCAGCTACCAACGACAACAACAACGACAACAACAGCAATAACAATTTCACAAACTATGAGTCAAAACAATAGTCCAACAAATACTTTGAATGGAGATCCATCAAGTTTGGATCAAGACAATAATAACAACAATAGTAATAGTAATAGTAATAGTAATAATAGTAAAAGTTCAATCTTAAACTTTATTAAAGATTTTGCCAACAATCCATATAGTAGAACCACCAATAACACCAATAACAACAATAATAACAATAACAATAACAACAACACTGTAAATAATAATCAAAGCAACAACAACAACAACAATAATCAAAATAGTAATAATAATTTAAATAGTACTAAAAAGGTTAAAGATCAACATCCAAAACATTCAAACAAGCCACATCACAATCATCATCAATCACCACCCACTAGCCAAGATAACCCAATTTTCAAAATTCGTGGACTTGCTTTGGGAGGAAGAGATATATCAGATGTTTCAACCATTATTAGACAAAGATCACTTAGAACATCTGGAACTCAAAACGATAGTTTTGATGATAGTAATAATTTCAAAGCAATCGAGATTATCGATGATTATACTTCTGATAAAAGACAACAACAACAACCACAAGTGGCTCAACAAACCAAACCAATCATTTCACCACCATCATCATCTTCTTTGGACTCAATTGCATTGCAATGTAGTGGATGTGCCAAGACATTGACTAAAAATGAACCACATTTCAAAAGAAAGAATGACAAGGTTCATTGTGATGCTTGTGAAAAGGAGTATCAATCGCTAAAGATGAGAAACCGGAAATGTACAAGTTGTGAAAAAATACTCGAACAAAACGGAACACGAGTCATTTGTGGACAATTGTATTGTCCAACTTGTATTAGTAAAATTATTCAAGGTATTGATGATCTTGGTTTTTAAAACAAAATTAATCATAACATTAAAAATATTTTTAATCATTCCACTCCTTTTTTTTTCTATATATATTATTTAAATAATAATTTAATTCTATTCGGTAAATAAATAAAATTGTTATTATTACTATTTAAAAAAATACAGCAATCTCATTGAATACATCCTAAGAATTGATACACCCTAAATCAAAAACTGGTAAAAGGAAAAATCTCAATGTAACCGAGACTCTCTCCTTGACTAAAAAAAGTAAAGGGGAGAATTTTCGATCAAGTTTTTTCCTTTGTCCGTGAGACTAACGGGGTGGTGAGCCCATAGCAAAGGGTCATGTTCGCTTCTTCCATCATATTTATATAAATTCATACTACTTATTTTAAATTCTCTTAAAATTTTATACCCCCAACACACATCATCATCAAAGTTGTGTGATCACACTCATACCCTAACCCTATTTTACTTTATTCATTCATTATTAGTAGATGTAATAACCCCGTATATTGTGTAGCATAAACAACAAATACAAAGAATCAATAGAGACAAAAAACAACATCAAAACACATTCTTTATATCTATATCTATATATATATCCTTTTTTCATCTACATTACATTCATACATATAATATAATATAAATATAATATAAATATAAATATAATGTCATTATTATCAGATATAGATTTAGAAAATACGCATTATGGTAACAAAGATGATAAAGATAATGTACCACTTTTAAGAAGTCAAGATAATTCAGGTACAGCGGGCTATGGATCACTTCCTCGTTCACCGTCATCGGGTTATTACAAACGACCCCCACTCACAATGGGGCAAAAGTTGTCGTATGGGCTCGGCGAAGGTGGCCTCTCTATCTTTCAAGTCATCAAGGGGTTCTTTTTGAACTCATTTTTATTGTCGGTGGCTCAATTGCCTCCCATGTACACGGCACTCATTCTATTCACAAGCAAAGGTGTAGACGCCTTTTCAGATATCTTTGTTGGTAGTCTCTCTGATAAAACTGTTAGTCGTTGGGGAAGAAGAAGAGTTTGGATTCTATTTGGTGCCCTACCACTTTCAATACTTTATTGTGCTTTATGGTAAATAGAATAGAAAATAATAATATCTTAAAATTATAATTATATTATTAGACGGGAGTATTAATCCTTTTCTTTTCTTTTTTCTTTTTTTTTTTTTGATTTAGGTATGTTCCAAATACAGAAGAAACATGGGCAAAAGTATTATATTATCAAGTGGTAGTCATCTTTTTAAGTATAGCATATACATGTGTTGCCATTCCATACAGTGCAATGAATGCAGAGATATCAGATGATTATGATGAAAGAACTTCATTGGCTGGTGTAATTATCAAAACACACAAAGATTCTATAGGATCAAAACAAAAAACTAACATTACCAATTTATATATCTATAGATGAGAATGATATCATTAATGTTGGGTGGAGTTATATCATCATTTGCACATTCACTTTTAATTAAATCATTCAAGAAAGATGTTGGTGGACAAGAAGTGATTGAATATCAAAAAGGTTATTTACTAAGTGGTGGTATTTGGGGATTTATCATGATGATCCCATTGGCAATCACCTTTTTCGGTACAAGAAACATTAGACAACAAACTACAAAGTCAGAGAGTCACGTACCATTTTTCAAAGGTTTGGTGGTTATGCTTTCAAATAGAGCTTTTGTTACTGTTACTTTATTATATTTCTTTTGTCAAGTATGAAACAAAACACAAAACAAAAGTTTATTTAAACAAAATATTAATCTTTTCTTTTTAGATTGCAGTACAATTTGTTCAAAATAATTTATTATTATATTGTACCTATGTTGGAGATGCCGAAGATGAATTTCCTTATATATTGGGAACACTCCAAGTATCAGTGGCCGTATTCATTGTCATTTGGGGCAAGATTTCTACAAAGATTGGTAAAAAGACTGTATACTATATTGGTGGTGCCTTTTTGATGGCTGCATTTATATCACTCTATTTTATTCCAAAAGGATCAAAGTATGCTTTGTGGGGTGTTGCTGCATTTGGAGGAATCGGTGTGGCTGTCGCCTTTCTCATCCCAATGTCCATGTTGCCCGATGTCGTAGAGTTGGACGAATTAAAGACTGGAGAGCGTCGTGAAGGTATCTTTTACAGTCTCTTCCTCTTTTTTCAAAAGATGGGGTTGTCGGTTGGCTTGGCTGGATCTAATTTAATCCTCAATTTCTCTGGCTATGAGGCACCCGAAGAGATTAGCAAGGATGGTCTCAGCACTGAAATCATAGACAACAACTATGAAAGTGATAGTGTCATCTTGGCCCTTAGATTGTTGGTCAGTGCCGTCCCAGCAGTCATTGTATTGTTTAGTTTTGTCGCAATCTTTTTCTATCCAATCACAAAAGAATCACACAACGAAACAAGAGAACTTTTGAAACGAAAACGTGAAGGTGCTTCTGTTATTGTCGAGTAATCAAATAATAATAATTATAATAATTATAATAGTTGCCTTTTGTATCAATCTTCTAATTTTTTTTTTAGATAAAAAAAAATAATTAAATCTTTTCATTTATATAAATAATATATATTTCTTTTTTTAAATATAATATATATTGAAAGAAATATTATTGCCTTCTCTCATCATATTAAATTAATAGAATTGCAAAGGTAATCGAAAATACTAATAAAATGGATTGTTCAATTATGTTGGCTTGACTTGGATTTGGTCTTCCAGTGGTGGTGGTGGTTGTAGTAGTAGTTGATGTATCTGATGTTGTAGTAGTAGTTGATGTAGTTGTAGTATCCACTATAAAATTAGGAAATTAATTTAGAGTTCATTTTAATCAATTTTTCAAACATACCTTGGTCAATTTTAATAAATGTAGAATTGGTCATGGATAGATTATCATTATAAACAATGATTGTAACATTGTAGGTGTTTGGTAGTGCAAGTTCAATAACATTAAAAGTATCTGTAGTATTTTGGACCAAGATTTGTTGGTTGACGACAATAGAATAGGTAGAATCATTTGGTCTACCTCCAGTGGCACCATAGCTGATGTTATAATGAGTTGAATCAATTTTTGTTGTACTTATGAATGGCGAGCCAATTCCAATATCTGTTTTCATTTCAAAGTCAAATGTGGCAATTGTATCTACACATTTAATTTGCAATGTATAGGTTCGTGTAGTGTTGGGGACTAGGCCAGAGCAAATTGCACCAGTTCCATCGAATTTACATGAGATGCCTGCAACATCTAGTGAGGATTGTGATTGAATATCACTACATGTTGATTGATAGTCAAAAGTAGAACTGGTAGAGTATGAAATAATATTGTCAACATTCAATGTAGGATCTTTTAAAAAAAATAAAAAAAATAAATTAGAAATACATCTAAACAATCTAGAAATATTTCTACTCCTCTATCTTTTTATCTTACTTGCAAGAGTTTTTATAGTTGATCTCCCACTAATTTCAAAAGCAGGATAAAAGATACTAGTGTCTTCTAATGAAGAAACTGTCAAGGTATAAGAAGTAGAGGCTTGGAGATAAGGTATGGTACATGTGTCTGGCTGGCCATTACACATGTTAAGTGTGTAGTTTGTATCAGTTGCAGAAACTTGAAAGGAAATAACCAAGTAATTGTGGAAAAAAGGTTCAAATTGGAGAGATACTGAATTAACTCCAATTGAAATGTTGAAGGTGAATGGTGGGATAGCTATCAATGATCGGACATAGTTATACCCAGAAGTGCATGGTGTAACATTAATTGTAGATTGGGACGCACTTTGGCATGATAGTGATCTCGTAGATGGGTTAATGTTGATCGAATTAGAGACTGATGCATTAGAGAATGACATCATGTTTCGAATCATGGTTGTTGATGACAAACCAGATAAATCAGCCAAAGTACATGTATCTGGTTTTATCAATACTCTTTGGTTTGTTGTATCAATATAACATCCATGGCTAGAAATGGAAAATGAGTAAAGATTAAAAGAGATGAACGTTGAATGGATTAAACTGATATAGTCTTTTAAAAACATACATAGATGTATATCTTTCATAGTAGTGGTATCCAGGAATTGGAATAATGTGATAAGGTGATTCATAGCCTTTAAATGATCCAAAAATGGTGACCACACAGGTGCCAGCTTGGAAAACGATTAAATTATTTTCACTATAGTCTGGACCTTGGCAAGCAGTTATAGTATGTCCAGTAATCGCATAGTACCCTGAACCTAGTTGACGTACCCTATAGGCTACATATGTCATATTGGCCGATTGGATTAAAATTTCGGTTGCAGGGTAGGGGTAGCATTGATCTACATCATAGGAAGATATTTTGATTGCTTCACCTGAACAATCTGTTGAAGAATATTGTGCAAAGTAGACATAACCCAATCCAATATTAAAAAAACTGAATAGAATAAAGATAAAAAGGTACTTTGACATTTCTCTCTTTTTTAATTGGGCTAACTTTTATAAAATCAAAGGTTAAAAGGCTATTGAACATAAAAATAACCTCGTTTTGAACATCACAAAAAAAAAAAAAAAATAAAATCAATTTGCCACATCAACAAAGTTGGATCGAGATTTAAAGTTTAGTTTTTGATAAAATTGAGATAATCAACATTTTTTAATAATAATATTTTTTTCTCTTCCAATTTTACTATTATTTCCTTCTACTATTGTTCTTATCCATTTGTTGAGTTTGCAATGATGGCCAATTGACAGTTGGTTGTTGTGTATTTTCGTAGTAGTCGAAAAGTTCCATCATTCTTTCCATTCCTTCTCTTGATGGTTTGGTTTCATTAAAAGAGTAAATTGGTTGGACAGTTGAAACGATTGGATCCAGACTCCATAATATCCTAAATTAAATCAATAATGTTAAAATATGAATCGATGGATATCTTCCTGTCCTATTAATAATGTCATAATTACATACCATAAGCAATATTGGCTAATCTAATCGATTCTATTCTTTTTAAATATATCTAGATTTAATAGTAGTAATAAACCAGGAGATAATGAATGAACGATAACTATCATATATCATTTATCAATCCATTTCTGTATCAAATAAACATTTTTTGTCTTCATTTAAGATATCAAAATTATCATAATTTTTATTTAATTATTATAATTTTGATATATTTTTAGTTGAATATATATTGATTCATGATAAATAAATAATTTTTTAGTATAGAATAATGTATCCCACGTGGATAAAATTAGCCTTTTGTTATTTCCTCTCTCGCAAAAGATCGCTCATAAAAATTGGAAATGGGACAAGAAAATTCATTGATTTGCCTTTGAGAATGCATCAAGTCTCATAAACATTCAATCAATCAATATACAATATATTAATATTACAAAGATTTGAGTCAAATATATATATATATATAGATAGAGGAAGGAGAAAACTTATAGCTATCGAATAGAATGAATGTATTAGATATTAAACTTAAAAAGTTAGACAAGATCTATGTTTTAAATGTAATGATTTATGATAATGATGAATATAACATCACTACAATACTTCTCACGTGTTTGGATCATCTTGTATCTTATACTAACTAGTTTCTTTTTATTTTTGTATAGAGCACAGTATCAGGAAATGTAGTTATAAATACACCAAAAGAGTTATCACACTCTGGTATAACACTTACGGTCGATGGATCGGTACAACTACAACTATCATCAAAGAGTGTTGGCATGTTTGAAGCCTTTTACAACTCACTCAAACCAATTACAATGCTTCACTATACCTTTAATGTTGCATCGAGTGGCAAGTTTGCTGCTGGTACCACTGAAATACCATTTGAATTTAAATTGGAACCATTGCCTGGTCAAACACTATACGATACCTATCATGGTGTATTTGTAAACATTCAATACACTATCAAATGTGATATGATTAGAGGTATTCTTTCAAAGGATATTCAAAAGACTATAGAATTTGTTGTTGAAACTCCTGTATGTTGAAACATGATAACACCTATATTATATTATAATGGATATACTAACTATACATATTTTTATTTAATTAAATTTAGTCACCACCAGCAATGATTAAATCAGATACAGCACCAGTAAACTTTTTAATTACACCAGATTCATTATCCAACTTTAAGAAAATAACCAAATCAGATGTACCAAACTTTAGAGTATCTGGTATATTGAATAATGCTATATGTAATATTAATGATGCTTTCCAAGGTTATTTGGTCATTGAATCTGCAGATGCTGTCGTTAAATCTGTCGAATTACAATTGGTTAGAGTAGAGACTTGTGGTTGTGCTGATGGTTTTGCTAAAGAATGTAAGAAGAATCATCTTAAAAACCAAACACCGAATCCATCCCATTGAATATCTACTTACTTTTACTTTTTACCCTTTAGTGACCGAAATTCAAAATATACAAATTGGAGAAGGAGATGTTTGTAGAGGTCTACAAATTCCAATTTGGATGGTATTCCCAAGACTTTTCACATGTATAACAACAGCTTCACGTACATTCAAGATTGAATTTGAAATTAATTTGGTCATCATGTTAAAAGATGGTCATTTAATCACTGAAAACTTCCCAATTAAATTAATTCGATCCTAAATCATATTTAAATACTATCTACTATATTTACAAAACCAAATAAACACAATGGTAAAAACCAATTTTCTAACTTATTTTTTCATCCAAAAATAATAATAATTAAATTCTATTTTACTTGATTTGATTTGTTTTGTTTTGTTTATATATATATTTTAAATTTATTTATTTATTTATATTTATTATATTTATTTTATTATCAATTTTTAATTCTTGTTTGGTGAAGTTGATGGATTAATACAATGTTTTTTAATTTTTTCCAAGTCGATCTTCTTGTCGCTTGCCTTTGGAACCTTGCCCTTTCTAAAGAAAAAGTCTTCAGTGTCCTCGACATAGAAGAGTCTAAAGGTTTGTGTACAGATACGACACTCCAATCCAGTTTCGTTGATGGTGTTGTCCATGGCCTGGTCAACCGAAATGTCCTTGGGGATGTTACGGAGCAAAAACACCTTGTATTGGCGTGGGTCAATGGTCGAGTCCAAGTGCTTAAAGTCATTGACATATTGTTTGGCACGATCCATATAAGAGTCGGCTTGTTGGACAAGCTTCTCGTTCTCGGCGATGGTGTCTTCGGCGTTTTTGAGCATGGTTGGACTGGTTGGCTCCAACAATTCAATGGTGAATGCACCCATTGAAGATCCCTTGGTCTCAAATTCAAACAAAAAGATTCTATCCTCTTTTAATACTTCAATCACCTTGGAATGATATAATTCATCCTTCCATCCCGATGGTTGTTTAACTTCCAATGTAAATAGATACAACAACTTTAAACAATTTTCACTTGATAATAATGATTGCAACTAAATAGTAAAAGAAAAAGGTAATTAGTATTTTTCTTTTCTTTTTCTTTTTCTTTTTTCTTTTTCTTTTTTTACATACTTGTCTAGTTAATTGATTAATTAATTTATCAAGAGTAAATACAATATATGAACTAATACCAAGATATGAACGACAACTATCTTCATAAGCTGATTGATCGATATTACCAGCAATCAATTCCATAAGACACTTGAGGAATCTGTCGTATCTCTCTTGTTCGCTGAGTTCAGATTCCGAAGTGTTTGATTCTTCTACACCATCCATTGACTCGTTGTTTTGATCGGACGAGTTTTGTTGCATATTTCTAAAGAATCTTGTTACGTTTGGCTTGGATGTCCAATGTGCTTCCTTGGCAGTCTCTGCCAAATCAAATACCTTGAATAATCTTTCATAGAGAATTTGATACAATCTCAAAAAGATATAAAAAGTATTATTACCGAAAAATACTCTAGTATCCTTTTCCGATACCAACTTTGGTAAGATCAAATTAAATGTTGATTGATGCTTATCATTGTTGTTGTTGTTTGAAGAGGACGATGATGAAGCTCCTGTTGTAGAGGTGGTTGTTGTTGATTGTTCTGAATCCTTCATTTCTACATCTCCAGATGTTGATTCCTTTTCTTTTTCCTTTTCATCACCTTCCTTTTCTTTTTCCTTTTCTTCACCTTCTTTTTCTTTTTCTTTTTCCTTTTCTTGATCCTTTTCATCAACTGTAGTTTCTTGAAGAGAAGGAGTTTCAAAGGTAGAAGAACGTTGTTGTTGGTATTTCTCGTCCTTGAGGAAAAAGAATGATAGCAAGAAGAAATTCAAAAAGTTTTCAATCTTTTCAATGTCTTGTTTGTTCTGGACCATCTTTTCAGCAGCAAATATAATTAAATTTGAAATATCCGAGCAAACCTTGTAGTTTATCATGCTATACAATAAATGGTATGGAGGTGATTGAGCAATTTGGTTCTTTCCTCTTCTCTTTGATGCGTTTGATATAATTTCCTCCTTTTCCTTTAACTTTTCAGTAAACTTTTGTCTAATCTCTGCCAATAACACTAAATAATAAAAAAAAAATAAAAAAAAATAAAGGTTAATATGTTTAGTCCATAGTATTAAAGTACCTCGTTGACATTTCATACTCTTGGGAGTTAAATTCTTCTTTTCAGATTGCTTGAAATAGGTTGATTGATAATCCAAAGATCTATAATAATTCTTTTCAGTGGTTTCCTTCCAAACCTTGTTCCATTCACGTTTGGCCTTGGTCCACTCTTGATCCTTTTGTTTTAGACGTTTAATAATAATTGGAAGTGCACCAAATGGATTTTGATACATCATTGTTACCATTTCAACACCTCTATTACCATATAATCTTTCAATGCTTCTATGATGCAATACTAATAAAAATAAAAATAAAAATAAAAGTTAGGAATACTCTTTTTTTGTTTTTTTTTTCTAATCTACTTACCATCAAGTGTTGGAATTCTAAAATGATGTCTATCATTTTCATTTAATTCTGAAAGAGTTTGATATATTGGATCTAGGATTTTAATTGTTGAAGCATTTAATTCAATAACCAAATCCAATTCAAATCTTTCATCTTCACATTTGAAAAGAATTTCTTCAAATTGATTCTTTCGCTGACTCTTGAATCCAAAATCTTCACTACCAGTTGGGAAAGATACCCAAACATCATTTAATACTGATGCACTTAATTCTGTTCTACCTGTACATTTTGGTTGTGGATACTAAAAATAATAAAAAATAATTAATATAAATATATTTATCTCTTTCTTTTTCTTTTTCTATTTCTTTGTTTTTTACATTTTTTGGTAAAGCTCTATAACTTGGACCAAGTCTTTTACAAGTTGAGAAATCAACTTCTGACCAAGCATTTTGTTTACTTGGAGAAAGAGCTTGTTCTTGTCTTTCAAGGATTTCAAGTGATTGTTCATCAACACCAATAAATGATTTGAACCAATCATACAAGAGTGGTTGACGTGGGAGGAGGATATCCTTTACCAAGAGTACCAATTCTGTTCTAGAGATGATTTCCTGACTAAAGAGATTGAGACATTTGAGAAACTCGTGGTAAAACTTTGGACTGGCAACACCTTGACGGACCTTTGTAAAGAAATCAATCTCTTCGTACGATGGTTGGTTAACAACTGGTTGTTCATAGTGAGCCATATCAATATCTCCAGGCTTTCTATTTCTCTTTCTTCTATCACCACCACTAATCATATGTTGCTGTTGTTGTTGTTGCTGAGCTTGAAGATGAGGTGGCAATATTTGTTGGTTATGCATATGCAGCTGTTGTTGTTGGATATGTTGTTGTTGTTGCAACTGTTGTTGTTGAATCTGTTGTTGCATTTGTTGTTGTTGAATCGATAGACCGCGTGGTTCCATTCTTTCCATTCCCTCCATCATTTGTTGTTTTCCTGCGCCAGGATAATTGGCATTATTGTTGGCACGACCACCACGTTGTTTGGCTTGGGGTGGTTGTTGTTGTTGCTGTTGTCGTTGTTGCATGACAACTGGTTGTGTAGTCATTTGCTGTGCCATCATTTGTTGTTGTTGCATGGTTGGTGGAGGGGTGGGTTGGTTGGACACTTGGTCGGGAAGGAACTGTCTAAACTCGATCAACAAATCACCGTGTTGCTTGAACAGCTCAGCAACCTGTTCGTAGACCTCGTGGATCGGTTGTTGCTCGCGTTGGTAGTTGTGCAACACCTCCAAGAACTGCTTGTAAATGTAGGGTTGATGGACAAAGCGGTCCTTGATCTTTTTGACATAGTTTCGGGCGTGGTCCAACTCCATCTGCTTCTTTTGGTTATTAGGGTTTTGTTGTTGCTGTTGTTGCTGCTGCAAAAGGAGTTGTTGTTGTTGCTGTTGTTGGGCAGCGGCAGCTTGTTGTTGCAAAAGGAGTTGTTGTTGTTGCTGTTGTTGTTGGAGCAAGACCTGTTGCTGTTGTTGCTGTTGTTGCTGTTGCTGCTTTTGTTGTTGTTGTTGCAATTTCTGTTGTTGTTGTTGTTGCTGCTGTTGCTGTTGTTGCTGTTGCAACAGATGTTGTTGTTGCTGCTGTTGTTGGAGTAACTGCTGCTGAGCCAGTTTCTGTTGTTGTTGCTGCTGCTGTTGTTGCTGTTGCTGTTGAGCGGCGGCAGCAGCAGCGGCTTGTTGTTGCAGTTGTTGCTGTGCGACCTGTTGTTGCTGCTGTTGTTGTTGCTGTTGGTATTGAGAGGTTGGCGATGGCACCGAGAATCTCTCCTCGTCCAATGGCAAGTCGATGCGATACTCGGTTGGCAAAAACGTATTAAATCCCAAAATCAAATGTCTATGTCCCTTGAACAACTCTTTTACTCTTGCAATCACTCCCGGTGTATCAATACTATAAAAATCAATCAATCAATCAATATTAATAAATCAATCAATTTCTTCTTTCTCTCTTTTCTTTCTTTCTTTCTTTCTTTCTTTCTACTTACTTGTGAGCCTTTAAATCCTTCATAATATCAAGGAATTGATTGTAAATCTGAGGTTCTTTGGCAAATTGTAATTTTACTTGCTCGAGGAAATTGAATGCATTGTCAAATTGAGCTTGTCTTTGTGGGGTTTGCGACGAGCCAGTTTGTTGTTGAGGTTGAGGTTGTTGGGCTGCAGTGCCGGTAGGAGACTGGGATTGAGGTGGGACGGGTGAAATAGACTCTCTACCAATTGGAGGGTAGCCTGTTGTACTACCTGGTCGTGGTTGTGACTCTCTTTGTTGTGGTTGTGGAGTAGTTGGTTGTTGTGGCTGTTGAGGTTGTTGTGGCTGTTGTTGGGGTTGAGGTGATTCGCGTTGGATCATATGTGCGGGTCCATAATTAAAGGATGGTCCCAACATTTGGGAAATACGTTGAGCTTGTCCTGTGATTGAAAAGGATGGGAGTGTCTGGTGAGGAGGTGACGAGTTTCCTCCACCTGCACCTGGAGGTGATCCGAGGTGATGATGTAATCCTTGATGTGCCATTGATGGGAGTTGTCCACGCTCACCACCTTCAAATGGTGATGGTAGACGTGGTTGTACCATATCTCTTTCTCCTCCAACACCTCTTTCTCCCCCACGTTCTCTTTCTCTGTCACGGTCGCGTGTCTCTCTTTCTCTGTCTCGTTCTCTCTCTCTTTCACGTTCACGTTCTTTATCACGTTCTCTGTCTCTTTCACGTTCGCTACCTGATTGTTGTTGTTGTTGTTGTGGCGATGACGTGGTAGTAGTTGTTGTAGTTGTAGTTGTCGCAGGTGCAGCGGCAGGTGGTGATATGCTTGCAGAGGCAGCCGAAGGTGGTGGTAATGAGAACATTTGATTCATCTTGGGCAGCTGGTTTGACGGTGAGGTAAGCTGAGAGATAGATGTTGGTGATGTTGTCTGCTGTTGCTTTGATTGTTGTTGTTGCTGTGAAGGTGATAGCGGGCCACCAGTAGTCTCTTCACCCTCTTCACCACCTGAATTGTCATCACGATTTCTCTTCATATTGATTGATCGTGATGTTGTGTTGTTGTTATACAACTATATATTTGATTCTATCTATCTATCTGTATATATAAATATATTTATGAGGAAGGGGTGTATATATATAAAGTGAGTGTTTACTCTATCTATTGTAGATCAATCAAAATATATAAAGATATTTATTATCTATCTCTGTTCTATATCTCTTTTTGATTGTATGCAATCACTATTGAAATGATATGTAGAATATATGTATGTATAATATATATATTTAAAATATAAAGATGATACAGCAGACCAAGAAGTTTGTGAAGATAACAACCGTGAAGTGAGGTGGGTTAATTGTTTTTATTTTTTTGAATTTTTTGTCTGTTGGGAGATCGATCTTTGACCACACTTCCGACACCTGGTTTTTAACTAAAACTTGTTTGATAAAAAGGGAGGGAATTGAAAAACAAAAAAAAAAAAGTTTGAGACAATCACTACATAAGTAGATATAGATATATAAATTATGATTTATTTGATGTGGCTTGAAAGGGGTGACAACTATTAGATCTCTAATAGATAGATAGATAGATAGATGGATCTATCCATGATGAATTCCAAAGTGACCACAACCACAAACAAAATTAAACTTTGTTGGCTTGAAACTATGACATTTACATTGGCGACACTAAAAAATAGAAAATATTATTATTATTATTATTATTATTAATAATCAATCAAAATTAATAAATATAAATGTAAATACTTACACCAACATCTAAAGATTCATCATCACTACGTAGTATCTTTGATGGCGTATTGTTGCTATTATTATTATTATTATTAGTAGAAGGTGAGGGTGATGAAATATTATTGTTGTTATTTTTCTTTGGTACATTTAATCGACTTGGTGATGATAATGGCGTTATTAAAGGTTGAGTATAAACATGTTGAGATGATGATGATTGTCTCTTTCTGACATCTTCATAAGATGGTGTATTGGTTATTCTCGTATGTGTTGTCGATGTTGAGTTATTGTTGTTGTTAGTAGTATTTGGTAAAGATGTTGAAGTGGCTGCACCAGCAAGAATCCCTGATAAATTATTGTTGCTATGAGATTGTGAAATTTTGGTTGGACCAGCTGTTGAAGCAGAGTTGGAGGTTGATGATGATGATGATGGAGGTGATATTGGGAAAAAGGTTGAATTGATTTTATGGTGTTGTTGTTGGTGTTGTTGGTGATGATTTTTATCTACAATTTGTTGTCTTTCTTTTTGGTATTCCAAGTCTCTTATCTTACTTCTTTCAATCTCACGTTCCAAGTATGGTGATATGAATTGATTTGGTGATGTTGGTCTTTGGGGTGTCGAGTTGGTTGTCGCGTTGTTGGTAGTAGCCGACACATTCATATTGGAATTAGAGACAGATGCTGGTACTGGTACTGGTACTGGTGCTGATGCAGTTGTTGTTGTTGTTGTTGTTGTTGGAATAGCCAAAGTTGGAATGGTTATAGTACTATTTGTCAAAGTAGTGGTTGTGGTTGAAGGAGATGTAATATTGTTGTTGTTATTATTTGTAGAAACAGTTGGAGTCGATGATGCCGACGAGGAAGATGATACAACTGAAGCAGATGTAGCAGGTGATGAGAATGGCATACTCTTTCCAGCAGCACCCGATGCCGATGATGCAGCACCAGTAGTAGTAGTGGTGGTAGCACCATTAGTTTTAGGCATTCTCATGCGCTCGATTCTCTTTTCATTCTTTTTTCGTTTATACAATTCCTCTTCATACTTGTTCTTCCATTGATTCGACTCTTCAGTGAGTTGGCGCTCAATCTGTTGCAGCATTGTGATACTTTGTATCTGTTGATGTATGACACTCTGCTTTTCTTGTAGTTGTTGAGATGTCTGTACAAATGTCTCTTGCAATGTCTCTACTGCTTCATTGCTCTTGTCTAGTTTGTACTGTAACAATGTATTCTCTTGATACAACGCTTCAATAAAGTCTAATGAGAATTCTAAATAGGTTCAATTAATTAATATTAGTATAGATATAGATGTCAGATGATACAATATATACATACTTGAATTCTTGATCAAACAACATAGATGAGAATCACCTATGGTGAGAAACTCGAGTTGTTCGACGGGGATACCCAACGATGCACATGTTCCACTAATAACCTCATCAGGTGATAGATTCGAGGGAAATGACAATGAAGGTGTCAAAATATCAACCAAGATCGATGGTGATGACACCTTACTCATTTTTTATATATCTTTTCTTTTCTACAAAGTAGATGTAACACTACACAGCAATCAATCTATTTATCTTTTTATCTATCTATTTCTTTTATATATCTTTTGATTTTTGTTGTTTGTGTTGTTTTAAAGTAGAGTAGGGAGAAGGAATAATAATAATAATAATAATACAATAATTTAATAATATAACAATAGATTAGATTAGGTGAGGTGAGGTGGCAATGTATGTATGTATGTATGAATGAATGATGAAATAGGAGTAGTAGGAGGAGTAGATTTCTTATATAATCAAATTTCTCTACTTCGTATCTGTAACTTTTTTTTTCTTGGTTGTTGTTGTTGTTGTTGTGATGGTGATGAGTTTGTTGTGTGATTTTAACTAGGTAGAATGGTGTGTTTGTGTTTATAATAACAGTTTAGTTTAGTAGTGGTGTTGAAAACAATGAGACTTGGGTGTGTGTGTTTTTAAAATCACTCACAAACACCACAAACATAAAAACATCTATTTTTGGCTCTCGTGCCGTCGGTGTGGCTCCCACAAAAAAAAAAAAGATTCCCTTCAACAAACATCTGTGTGTTCCGATATATATCCATCACATGTGATGGAAGGCTGACTGACCACCAATTAAGGAAACAATAATCAAATCAACATCCTATCCTTGGATAGCTAGCTGGCCATCCCCTAATGATCAAACAGGGTACTATAAGTAGAATATTCTAGACTCTTTATAAGTGAAAGAAGGAGGAACAATGTTTATAATTTTTAGAGAAATAATATTTATGTTATTTTTTATTTGTTTTTTATTTTTAAAGAGTTGACCAACCAGTACCATCAAGATAAGTACCATCTGAACCAAGTAATACCATTTCTGGCATTGCTGGTAAAAGTAAGAAAGTAATACCTTGGTTGACAGCATTTTGACCAAAGACGAGGATATCATACTCACCATTGGCACAGTTATTGGCAGCATTTGAATAGATGACTTGGAATTGATGAGATGTAGTCCATCCCTTTCTGCATCTTACTTTACCGGCTGGTGATGTGTGAAAGACAACACCTGTTAGTGTGTTTGTGAGAGTGAATGCACTTGGAGCGCTGTAAACATCCAAGAATCTAGTGGTCATTCTATCGGGTGCGTCGTTGGGATAGGTGGCATAGTTGGTGTACTTGTTGGACGATTGGAAAGCTCCCCACAAGACAGATCCGGTGGCTGAACGATAGACGATAGCATTGTCAGTGGCCTCGACAGAACCTGGTGATGGAATGTGTAAATATTTGAGTCCAGCAAAACTTGGTGCAATAAGGCCATCACAATTGAAATCAAAGATTTTGGCACTGTGGCATGTACTGAGCGAGAATGAGCCAATTGGAGCACCGGCATACATTACATTACCACCGTCGGTGATCTCCAAATAATTGAGGAGGGAGAAACCTTGTTGAACTGGGAAATCTATTTGCCATCTAACGGTGGGAGTAGACAGAGGGTTGTTGGTGGTAAACTTGACCACAAAAGTATAGCCGTCGGCAGAGGTTTTGGCATACAAGTAGTCTCTACCATTGGTGATGAATTGATCGGGGCCGAGAAGAGAACGGTCACCTGCACCAGCTTCAAGATAACTACCAGGGATAAGAGCGATCTTGTAGCTTGTTGGGTATCCTTGCTGCGACCATACCATTCTACCACTTGGATTGGTGAGCATCATGGCAAAGTTCAAACCATAGGCGTTGGGTGTAAGCAGGTTGAGGATGGTTCCACCAAGCCCTTGGGTCATGGCACAATACGTCGCACCTCCGAGTGTCGACGACACACAGATATTGCCGTCAGTTTGGATGGTAGCGTGGAATGGGCCCTTGTCAGGCTTGATTGACCCTGCTTGCCACACATTGGCACCGTTCAAGGAAAGAGTGAGAAGACCAGAGGCGAGTGAGAGCGACAAGCCACCATTTGAAATGGACTGTCCATCCAAAAGAGACGATGGTCCAAACACCTCATTGACATCAAGACATCCACCGAGATGTGTACCAATCTTGTCTTTGGTATAGGTTGGTTGACTGGCTGGCGAACTCCACAACTGCTTGACGTCGGACGAGTCACATGCAACATACGAGAGTTTGGGTGATGATTCCAAAGTACCACATGCACTTGGATGAGACATGGAACATGTGTAGGTCAACGCTGGTGATTCATGACATTTAAAAGGAGTCGACGTGCTGGCCGAGGAACATGTCAAGTTGAGTTTAAAGGTTCTGACATCGCTAGTGTATTGGAGTACAATACCTTGACCTAGACCAGCAGCTGACTGAGTGACGGTTGTCTGTGAGGCAAATGTTCCAGTTTTGTAGATTGCTTGGTTGGTTGTTGATTGTTGGCACGATTGAAGAGCACTGTTGCCACAAGTAGCAGGAGAAGCGTTGCAAACACTGAACAACATGGTATAGATTGACGTGTCGAGTTGGACGTTGTAAGAACTGGACGACAGCGCTGAAAGGTCATAGATATACCCATTAGAGTCGGCATAAGTACATGTACTTGGCATTGAAAGACATTTTCCATACGATCCCTTGATCATGTATTGTTGATTGGTGTTGCCAGCTGGATAAACCAATGTAGTGCCAAAGCTGTTGACAAAGGAGGCGAGGTATGCATCTACATAGGGAGCGGTTGCTGTGTTTTGAGAGATAATCAACTTGCTACCAGTGTTGACCAACTGACTGCCAAATTGGAAGTTTGGTTTGAAATTCCAGATTTGGTCGGCAGCTGCTTGGCAAGCTCTGAGCTTTGGCTTGTTGGTGGTCGAGTCGGCTGTCAAACAAAGATTGTTGGACGCACTTTGGATTTGTCTGTAGACAGGGTCTGGACCTGCAAGCGTAGTGGTGACGGTGGGGACAATCGAGGTGGTGTCGGCAGCCCAGGCATAGGCAGTGTAACTCCAGCCAGCAATAAATGTCTCGGTGGTGTAGACCTTGAAGTTGTTGCCGTCGAGAGAGGTGAAAATGGAAACAGCAGTGCGTCCAGCACCCAGACCAGAGTACACGTTGAACACTGGATAGTCATAGATGTAGCCTGGGAGGTCAATATCGCCATTGGCTTCATAGGTGTAACGCTTTCTACCATCGACAGAGATGGTATGGTATTGATGGATGGTGACGGTGGTAGTGTCTTGGAAGTTGGGTGTGAATGCTCCAAAGGCAATTCCTTCGAGCGACCAACCTGGCACGACAAGATTGTTGTGAATGCTCAACATGTATGAAAGTCCATTGACAGAGTCTATTTCACGATAACGATAGACGGGAGCCTTTGCAAACGGCTTGGATACAACTGGCACGGTCGAAAAGAGATAGTACAGTACATTGATGGTTCGACTTTCATAGATACATGCATAGGTTCCGAAAACAGTCTTGATGTAGCTTACATAGTATCTTGCAACACATGCACCGGTGAGATGGTACCCATTACCAAAGGTTTTAACGTCTGTATTACCTCCAACTTCGGCGTCTCCAATCGATGGAGAACTGGTATTGTCACGAAGACCAAACTTGATACGATCAATGTAATTGCCATACTCGGTGGTGACAGTTGTGATATGATTGGGCTTGGTTAATTCAACCCAGCCGGCACTTTCCAATGTGTCATAGGACAATCCAAACCCAGTCAAAGTTTCAGCGTGTGGAGAATGTTGAATAAAGTTGATGCCACCAATTCCATGAACCGATGTGGAACATATATCCGATTGAACATTATTGAAGACCATTGCTTTGTTTGTAAAAACTGGAGTTGTGCAAGGTGAAGTATTGGCAGTCTTTGGATTTGGATAAAACTCTTCATTTCTAACCCATGTGTCTCCTTCTACATAAAATCAAAAAAAATAAATAAATAAAATAAAGGTAATTAATACTTTGAAAATGATAAGATTCTTCTTTAGATTATATATATATATATATAGTTCTAGTTACCTCTAATATCTTGGGAAATGATAGCTGGATCTTGATGTTGACCAACCATTTGAGTGTACATGGTTGTTACTGGTCTTGGTGGAGCACCAAATGGATAGACAAATGGATCCATATATTTCCAGTAGTAGACGTGGTCCATGACACCGGTTTGGAGCATGTTGATGGTTTTGGCAGCATCGTTGAATTGGTCGGCCGTCAAACTACCGTCGGGAAGTGTAGCAATGTATCTCGTGTAAATGTCTTGAGCATAGGCAATGGACTCACTGGCAAATGTATTGAGGTCGGCAAGGAGCAGTTGCTTGTCTTCAGGACTCCAGGTGAGGCTGTTGACGTTGAGAACTTGGTCTCGGACCGACGCCATGTAGATATTGGCGTACTGAGCAAAGACGGGCAACGTGGCGGCCTTGACACTTAACGACTTGACGTCATCACTGACTCCATAATAAAAGAATGGTCTTTGAGCATAAAGATGTTGGCGAAAGTTGGTAAAAGAAAAGGTTCTGTTGCCGTTGGTGCACTCGAATTGGACGGTACTCTCCGAAGCGTACATGCAATCGACGTTGTTATCAGCTGATAAATAGGCCGATTGAAGTTGGAGTTGCATGTTGTTGAGGTCATTGCACTCGATGGCAAATGTAACAGTGTCTTGCACAAACTTGGCCAAATACTCGGACGAGTCAATCTTGAAGGTTCCCACGATTTGTTTGGCGATGGCTCCAAGGGCAGATCCAACTCCGGGTACTGGAATGGCACCAAGTATCGAACCAAGAGTTAATCCAACGGTAGTTACAAGTGTATTGTATTTTCTAAAATTAAAAAAAAAAAAATAAGATACAAAAAAAAAAGAATAATAATTAATAAACGAACGTTTGTTATTTTAACGAGTCATGTAATGCAATATTTTTTGTTTGTAAACTTACACGGCAGCATCATAAGCATTTAAATTTACGATAGCATCACATCCAGTTGCTTGTTCATCAGAAATGGCTACAGAGATGAGTAACAAACCAATGAATAAAGTTGAAAATAATAATTCCAACCTCATTTTTTAATTTTGACAATTATTAATATTATTACTATTATTACTATTTGTTTGGTTTGATTATTATTATTACTATGTGTTGGAAAATAAATAAAGAAAAAAGTTGGAGTTTAAATAACTTTGGTGGTGCGCATAGTTGCGAGTTCTTCTTTCCATTATTAATAATTTCGAGTATTATTGACTTTTGGGCAATAAAATCTCTCTATCTTTGCCATCCTTCTTTCGATGATTGAAGGAGTTGTTGGAGATTGAAAAGTCATCATGTGCAACCTCGATGGTTTTATAATAGGATGGCAAGGCCAGCTAGCTTGTAGTTTATAGGTGATAAATGATGATTCTCATCATTCTCATTATCTGGTGATGACCATCCATTGATTCTCGCTGCCAACGTGGTCAACCCTGCTTTCATTACATTACTGTTGGTTGAACAAAAAAGGAATTGGCCAAGCAGCGTTGAATGCCACGCTGGCAAGTTTTGTGTTAGGACTTCTTTTTTAACTTTGTGTTAGGACTTGCCAAGCAGCGTTGGATGCCACGCTGGCAAGTTTTGTGTAAAGACCTCTTAACTAAGTGAGACTTTTAGATTAAAATAGAATAATGACAATAGGTGGGTCGGCTCTTTGAAAACCCTCGGTGTAGGGTCCCAATATTAAGATGGTCTAGTGGTAGTAGCTCGAGTGCGCTCTCGTAGCATAGATTACTTTTTGAATATTCTAAAAGTCTAAAAGCCCAAAAGGTTCGTAAAAAGACAGCCATCGGCCGCGCGCGAATATCGACATTGTCTGATATTCGAGTCGACTCGAAAGTCTTGGAATGAATGAATGAATGAATGAATGAGTGCTAATGATAATTATTATAAAAGAAATAAACTTCTTATTAATACTTTATTTGAGTTGATGATGAGAAAGAAGAAAAAGTCTTTCATTATTCTTCTTCATTTATTTTGTTCAATAACATGTTCTAGTTGATGAAGATATACATACCACCGTTGCTAATATAAATATAAATATAAATATAAATATAAATATAAATATAAATATAAATATAAATATAATATAATGTTGACGATGATGATGATGATGATAGATGTTATGCTTAGCGATAAGGAAGGGAGGGAAATGATATATATGTGACTTTCAAACAAGATAAAGATCGAATACTATCACTAGTGTTACCTCTAAAAAAAGTTGAAAAAGAAATTAATATTATTATTATGATTGATTGTTCACCTAACCAAGGATGTCCAAACACAAAAAAAAGAGATAACAATCAAACCTGCTTTCAAGTTTGGGTTTTTTTAATTTTTTTTTTTTTAGAGTGAGTGATCAATATCAAAGATAGAAGAATTATCTTTAAAACGACAGAGAAGCAACAACAAACAACAACTATATAAAATGGATGGTGATATTGAAAAGATATATGAATTTAGACACGAACTCGGAAGGTAAATAACAACAAAAGACATTGACAAAAACAACTAGTTAGTAGTAGTAGAGATCAATCTCTGGCAATAGAGTGATGATGATGATCATCATCAAGAATGAAAGAAAGCAAACAACAACATGAGAACAAACAAATCATTTGACTCTCTTTATATTCAGCAAAAGAGAGAGAGATAGATAGATATAGATAGATATAGATATAATAATAATCACAAAAGAACAGTCTTTATTAATATTTACACTCAATATATATTAGAGGAGCATTTTCAGTTGTATATCTTGGTGTAAATAGAACAAATGGACAACACTATGCCATTAAAGTAATCAACAAGAATGATTTGGGTAAGGATTATGAAAAGAATTTAAAGATGGAAGTTGATATATTGAAGCGTGTTCAACATCCAAATATCATTGCACTCAAGGAGTTGTTTGATACTCCAGGTAAATTATATCTTGTCATGGAATTGTAATGTATATCCTAATCAACAATCAATCAATCAATCAATATATATATATATATATAAACTTCACTCTAATACAAATACATTTTTTACATTTACTTTATAGAGTTACTGGTGGTGAATTGTTTGACAAGATCGTTGAAAAGGGTTCATATACAGAAGCCGATGCCGTATCATTGGTTAGAAAGATTGTATCTGCCGTTGATTATCTCCACTCTAGCGGCATTGTTCACAGAGATTTAAAGCCAGAGAATCTTTTACTCAAGACTGCCAACAATGACCTTGAGGTTGCCATTGCCGATTTTGGTTTGTCAAAGATTGTTGGTCAACAAATGATGATGCAAACTGCTTGTGGTACTCCATCTTATGTTGGTAAGATTAGATCTAGATAGATAGATAGATATATAGATACATACATAATCAATTATTAATTAATTTATTATTATTTGTTTATTTAATTTAAAATTTTTTAGCTCCAGAAGTATTAAATGCAACTGGTTATGACAAGGAAGTTGATATGTGGAGTGTTGGTGTAATTACATATATCCTATTATGCGGTTTCCCACCATTCTATGGTGACACTATTCCAGAGATTTTCGAGTTTATCATGGAAGCCAATTTCGATTATCCAGCCGACTATTGGGATCACATTTCAAAGGAAGCCAAGGATTTCATCAACCATCTCTTGGTTGTCGACGTTACCAAGCGTTTATCTGCTACTGATGCCCTCAAGCATCCATGGTTAAACAACAATGCTGCCTCTACTACTGCTCTACCAGTCACCAAGATGAAGGAATATGTCCAAGAAAGACAAAAGACCTTACAAAAACTTCTCTAAAAAAGCGGTAAAAAAAGTAAACAAACAAACAAAACAAAACAAAAAAAATTATTTGTAAAGATAAAAGATCAACTCAACAACATCAACAACAACAAACAACAACAACAACAACAACAATCACATTTATAATTATAATAAACAATTATACTTCTATCAAATTTGTAATAGTAATAATATTTAAAAAAAAAAAATCAAAAAAAATCAAAAAAAAAATCAAAAAAAAATAAAAAACAAATCAAAAACAAAATCATATTTTTTCTTTAGGGTTATTATTGATTAAATTATATATTTATACGTATATATATTATATTATAAAAGATTTATTTTAATTTAAATTACCTTGTCAGTTCTACAAAGAATTAACCATAAAATGGCAGCTGAAAAATAGAGACCTGCAGAAATTTCAAAGATGGGAGCCCAGGAGTCAGTCTTGCTGAGGATGACACCGGCAATGAGTGGACCAATGATTCCTGGTATGGTGGCAAAAGTATTGGCAAGACCCATGAGCATGGATGCATATTCTGGGGCAAGATCAAATGTATTAACGTTGGCACCACTCGAACCAAAACCTGTGGTGGCAATGGCAAAGACCATGGTGACAATCTCGAGTGAAATGGTCATTGGAACAAATGTGAGAATGAGTAGAAGAGCACCTGGGAAGAACGATCCGATAAAACCAAACATTCTTCTGGCATTAATCTTTCTCAATATATGTCTTGAAATAACGTAATCCGATATCATACCTGCTGTATTTGAGAATACAAATGCTCCAATATATGGTAAAACTGTATATAATGCCAATGTTGATCCTGATTCTAATCCTGTTGTTTTTGATACCCAACTAAAAGAAAAAAATATTAATATTAATGTTTGTTTGTTTGGTAGTTTTTAAAAAAGAGTTCATAACATACGTTGGATACCACATTAATAATAAATAATAACCAAATGAAGTTGAAATATTAAAATAGATGACACCATAGATACCTGGTGATTTGAAGAGTGCAGCTAAAACGGTAAAATATTGTAACTCTTTTTGTTGTGGCTGGTTGATGGCTACTTCGTGTTGGTTGACGTTTGGATTGTTGAGCAAGAGATGAGTGGATTCGTCGACATTGTTGATATTGATGGTACCGTCGTCGGTTGATTTGATAAGGGCAATTTCAGATGGATGGATACCCCAAGAGTCGGCGGGGTCATCAGTGATAAAGATCATCCAGAGGATGGTCCACACAAAGGTGAGTGCTCCAAATACGTAGAAACTGACAGTCCAAGAGTAGTACTCGAGCATCTTGGGAACTGCAAAATCAGCAATGATCGTGCCAATGTAGGCACCAGACCATACAGCAGCAGCAGTGGCAGTACGTTGCTTGACAGACGACCATCTTTTAATGAGCCAATTCATAGTTGGAAAAGCACAGGCTTGGAAAAAACCTGTTAGAATTCTGAGGGCGACCAATGCCCCTGGGCTGTGTGCAGCTGGTGGCAGAATGACTGTACAGATGGTAGACATGGTCAAACCAACCAACAATACCTTTTTCCCACCAAATTTATCACACAATATAGATGATGGAATTTGTAATATAATATAACCCATGAAAAATCCTGCTAATAATACACCTTTAAAACTATTTGTCCATCCTAGTTCCTAATCAAAAGAAAATAAAATAAATATGATTAATATTTGAGATATAATGATTTTTGTTGTTTGTGTGTGTCTATCTCATACTTTTTGCATTGGAATGGAAGCAACTGAAATGGTAACACGTAGAATATAACAACATGTGATACCAAGGAAACCGAGAGCAATTAAAATGAAACGACGTGGAATATAATATTTGGGAGGTGAGCCTGCAAATCGACTGTATGATCCACTTCCTGGACGATCAGAGTATACCAATGATCCACCACCCAAATTCAATGGTGTAACAATATCTGCTCCGTCATAGGACGATGGTCCAAGTGATGGCTCAAAAGAGGCGCTATATCGCTTATTCATGTATGGGTCGGATGCACCGCCGCCGCCGCCGCCAGGTGCACTGTAATCATAGCTTCCAAAACTACTACTATAACTACCAAAACTATTATTATTTATACTACTATTCCTAAAAGATGACATTATGCAAGAAAGATGTTTCTATATTTGTATAATGTCATAAAAAAAAAAAAAAAAAAAAAAAAAAAAAAACCAGTGATTAGATGTGGTGGTGTAAAACAGCAGCAGTTTGAGATGTGTGTTTGTTTCATTCACATGACAAGTCAACGGCATTCTCGAACGAGAATTTTCTACATACATTTATATTTATATATTATATTTCTTGATCGATTTTGATAGGCTACTGTATAGAAAACAGTGTGTGTGGATGTGTGTGTGTGTTTGTTTTTGATCAAACTCTCTGGTATATATTTTATAAATAGTACACAACCAGGTTTATATAAAAATGATTATAATCGATCGATGTGTGGGGGGTTTGATTGCTTGTCAATTTGAATTAATTTGAATTATTTGGTTGGTTAGGTCGATAAGAGAGGGAGAGCTCGGTAACTCTTTGGAACTTGGATTGATAATAGTGGAAGTTGGAAGTAGAAACTTTTGTTGTGGAGGGAGTTGTCTGTCAAGTTGATGGATCTAAAGGAAGAGAAATAATAACTCTTCTTGTTCTATTTCTATGTTTTTATTCTGCAAAGTTTAGAGAGGCACTGAAGGATTAATAAATCGTGGTGCGGTTGGATTCAATTGCAATGATTGTTGTTTAGAAACAGTTTATCACCCGTTGGATCTATGGTGGAACAGGGCTCTGCATTCGAAGTTTTCTTGTTCCTTTCGACCTGGGACTCGACAGCGAAACGCCCAGAGACCATCGTACGCTAAAAAAAACGAAAACTTTTTCGAGATATCTCGTTTTTTGGGTGGCTCCCGGGAGAAGCAACAGGCATATTCGAATAATTATTCTGTTTTGGCGATCGGGACTTTTTTTTTTTCTTGTTCAATTTCAATCGCCATCAAAAAAAAAAAATAAAACAGAGTATTTAATTTATTCTATTTCTCCATTAAAAGTAAAGGGGAGCAACAATCTATGCTGATGTTTTGGGTTATCAATATAAGATGGAGATGATGTTAAATGAAATAATTGGTCTAATCCATTATTAAAATAATTTGATTGATTATTATTATTATTATTATTATTTTCTATTTTTAATTGATGCAATGTTTGTTTATAAATTCTTTGGAATTCTGGTGTATTTCCATATAGGTATGGAAAGTTGTATCTATCTGTATTTTCAAGTGAGTTGAAGAGTAGTTCTTGACCATACTTTTGATCTAACATTTCAATTAGATCATATCTCTTATTATTTAACCAACAAGTAAAAGCAAATCGATAAAGGAATTCCAATTCTGGTGGACCAATGAATGGTAACTTGTCAAAGTAGAGTAGTGTCTGTTCATTGGTAGGACAATATTCTAACCATTTAATTAAAAACACAACACCCAAATCAAAGTTCTTCGATGTGTTGATATTAATAGCCAACCATTCCAGTGTTGTCATATATCCATTTCTAGCGGCAAGATCCAATGCCTTTGATAACTTGAATAAAGTATCAGTTTCTAGAATAAAATAGGTCCCATATCGTTTAATATAGAATGGAGGGGGATCAGGGTCACCATATACATTTGTAGGGACGATAAATGGTATTGCCCTGACATTCGTCCCATATCTTATCATGTTGATTACTAATCTTTGTATTGGGACTCCAATGTGATGGAGGAGATGACCCAAGAATAGAGATGCTTCTTTTTTGTTCTTGATTAAATCAATGACTGTACCAACCGATATCGATCTATAATTTTGAGTTGGGTATCTAAAAGACTCATATTCATTCGGTTCCAAATGCTCCTTAAAGAGTTTAAATGAAAAGTGAGGATGTGTTGTAATAAATTCCAAGTCGAGGAAACCAATGAGTAATCCTTTTCTAAAGGCAACTTCCATTGTATCTTCATCCAAAATACGATCACTAATAAACTTTGATGAACAATTGAAATGGAGAACTCGTTTCTTCAAATTGAATGACATGTAATCAATCTCTGGATTGATGGTATGAATGATATCTCTAATGACACTTGGTGTAAAAATAAAAGAATATTGTTCCAATTTGATACAACTGTATATCATTGTCAACAATGCATTAAACGAATAGCACTGATCATCTTTAGCATTTAAATATTTTCTATGTATTGTTTTTACCCATCCAAACAACTCTTTTACTAAAAACTTGTGTTGAATGATTACTAATTTAATTACTTTATAAAGTTGTTGTTGTTGTTGTTGATTATTATCTTGCATATTTAAACTATGTGTGTATTTATGTTACATTTTGAATGTAATTATAAACATCATCAATAATACTAACAATTTGAGAACCAAAAGAAGAAACAAGAGATGGTAAACAAAAAAATAAATTAAAAATAAAATATTACTATTTTTTTTGGATTTTTACTATAATAATAAAGAATTAAAGAATCTAGTATTTAAATATTTAAATAGGTTTTATTATACTATAGGAATTTAATATAAATGTTATTTTGACAGCCATGAAGAATACTTGATAAATTTATTATACTTAGTTCCACTGGGTTCCAGGAGTGTAATGAACACAGACTCTATCCACCTCTAACCATGTGCATCTTGGTTCTTGAGTATCACAAGCTTTTTGACTTTTGTACCATCCACAATATTTAGTGGCTGCGGCATCTTGGGTGGGATGTTGCATTGAAGCTGCTGTACAGCCAACTAAAATTATTGATAGAAATAATATAAATAATAATGATTTATTCATTGTTGTATTAAATGGAAAGAATGGAAACTAAATCTGGATACCATTGGGCAAAGGTAGTTTATATATATTGGGATTTAATCGAGAGAGAAAAATTCTGGTGGTCTTTGAAATTTTCCGTTCCGCGTCGCTTGTTCTATTGTTCGACGATGGAATAACATACTATAGAGATTATCACTCTTACGAGCTCGACAATTAATCGTTCAACGTTCATTCATCTAATATCATTTTAGTGACAGAGAATATAATCGAATCATCATCATGTGTTGAATAGAAGAGAAGAGAATTGAAACAAACTTTTCCGAATCCGATGATCGTATCAGCTATAGATCAGATGACTAGTCCTATTAACTGATATATCATAGGTCGTAAGTAAGAAACCGAGCTTCCTTTCCTTGGTTCCAAAGAACTGGAAACTAGTAAGTTTAGTTGTTTATTATACACGTATTTGATTATAATATTAATATGAATGTTTATTTACATGTTATAGAGAGTCAAACTTGTTGCTGCTCTTGTGATTGATGATAGACTGGTATAGTCTAGTCTAATCTATTTACTTGTTTACAGATGCAAGATAGGCAAGAGCACCAGTAAAACCAGCTTGATAATCAAGTGCTACTTCATTCTTGATATAGTCGTGTCTGTCATCGACATATGAATCGTCTTGACCTGGACCACCTACGAGAGCACCTAACAAGAGATAGGTGTTGTTGACAGGACTATCAATATTGAATGTCAAAGAATGGTGACTTGCACGATGATGAGGATTGATTGGATGGTTGGGTCCATATCCGACGATAAACGAACGTTTCTGAGGATTGTCACCCATGATGTATGCCATTTGGTTGTTGGTAAAGTCGGTGTACTTGCCACCATACATTGAAGCCAAAAATGCAGTGGTTGCACTGTATCGGGCTGGTGCCCACATTCTAATCCATGCAAGACCTCCTGGAGTGTATGGAACACCTCCACCTGGCATCCACCAAGACAAGTACTCTTCAATGTCTCTAGCATAGGTCTCATTTTGTGGGAACATTTGAGAGAGCAATAGAGAGGTGCCTGGAGCCTTGAGATCCCAGTCGTGAGAGTCTTTTTGGCCCATTTGACCTACACCATACTCGGTGTACTCGCCAATTGCCTTGACCAAGAGGTTCTTGTCGCCGGTGGCCTTGTACAACCATAGTCTACCCCAGACCAGCTCGTCGTGGTATCCCGACCATGACTTGTAGTATGCTTGGACATCGGGGATACTGTCAGAGTAGACGCCACGGTAGTTGTCGCCAAAGTCGTGCAATTGCTTGGCGTGACCGAGACATTTGGTCGAGTAGGCTGGGTTGGTCTCGTTAAAGAGGATGGAACAGATGGACAGAGCAGCAGCACACTCCATAGCCAACTCGGTACCTGGAGCTTGTTCATTGATGATGTAGGTCGGACGATCCATAGTCATGTTTTCAGGTGGACCCCAGTACGCATGATCGGCCTCTGCATTGCATACTTGACCTGCAAAAGAGTTGGTTTGATAGTGAGCAGCCATGATCCAATCATATCCCCACATCAAATCCTCTTCCCAGAGTTCTGTCACTCCGCACTTGTCAGCTGCAGCTTTGTACTCTAACAATCCCCATCCTAGCATTGTCATGGACGAACAGAGGGGGAAGGCAAACTTGCAATGGTCACCAGCATCAAAATAGCCTTTTGACAAATCCCCATCCCCATTGGCATCGGGTTGACTCCCAGGAGTAGCATCCTTGAGTGCTGCATTGCCACGCCAAGGTACTTGGTTGTCAGGCAGTCTGCCAGCACGGTTATATTTGTAAAACATCAAAGAATTTTGAAGCATTTCACATTGATCACTATTCTTTATAATATCTGGAATAGTACCTCCTAACCATCTAGCATTCAATAGACCATCATCTCCACGAGACTCTTGGCCACGACCATGATGATTCTTATGATAGTGTCCTAAATAAATTTAGAAAAAAAAAAAGAACAAATTAATTAGTATTAATGGAGGGAATGGATATTCTTTTTTAATTAATTAATAATTATTTGTTTATACAATACCATTAACAAAGACTACAAATACAATAGATAAAAATAGGATTAAATGAAATCTCATATTTTCTAATTTATTTGTACCTGAACAAATAAAAGTTTTTGAGATTAATGAATGGATATATATATATTTAAAATTACAAATAGATAATTAATTAGTTATAATGTTACAAAAAAACTAAGTTGATGAAAATGAATCAAGTAAAAAAAGCAATGAAAGACTACAACAACTATCATCCAAAGTGGAATAATATTATAATATAAATTAATATAAAGATATTTTAAAGTGTGGAGGGCTAGTGTTTAAAATGGATGGTTCAATCAAAGATGGTTTTAGTTTGGAAAATTGAATTTGGTTGGTTGGATTTTTTTTTGTTTTTTTTTTTTGGTGGTTGTCGGTCGTTTGGGGTTCTACTACAAAAACCACTGATTGACACGATGTTTAAAATATAATTAGAGGTTCCTCTTTAAATGAGAAAATATTAAATTTGATATATATTATTATTATTATTTACTAAATTTATTTTTTTTATTTTGAACTTTCTTCAACATATTTAATAGCCAATTGTTTTACATTGTTGACAGATGATTCATCACCATGATCCTTTTCATAGGATAGATAACGTTTAAAGAATTGTTTGATATTACGATCTGAAGTCTTGAGTGAAATGCAACGGTCAAAGAGACGTCTAATATTTTTGGCATTATTTTCTTGTTTGAGTTCTTGGTCAATGTAGACGTTCCAGAGATCGGTACGTGAAGGGTTGGAGCTGATCAAACTTTCAAAGACGGTACGTCCACGCTCTGGGTTTCCATGTTTGAATTCCAATTGACCAATCTTGCTAGTGATCATGATGAGTTTCTTTTTTTTGAGTTGTTCGACACGTGGCAAACGGGAAAGGGTCTCTGAGAGCTTGTCGAGTTGTTGGGTCTTGGCGAGGTACTCGGCGTAACGGATCCAGGCCTTGGAAGAGTGACGGTATTTTTTGAAAAACATGGCAAAGTAGGGATCGACACGATCCAACTTTTCAGTGTGTTCGAGGATTTGAATGATGGCAAAATACATTCTCTTTGGGTCTTGGTAGAGGATGGCACGCTTGAATAGCGTCATGAGCGTGTCTTCACCGCCATACATATTCTCCATGTTTAAAAGGGCAACCCAGACGTTACGTTGTTCGACAACTTCGCTACTGAGAATCTTTTTGAGTGCACGTTCACCAATATCACGTGCCTTTTGGATTTCACTCATACCCAAGTAAAACGACATGTATTGAATCCAAATATAAGAGCTGTTTGGCGAACCCAACAACACACGTTCAAAATCACCCGAGCTTTCTGGCACAGAGTTTTGATCCAACAATGTCTCTTCACGTTCGCTAATCACTCGTTCATGTTCCAACTTTCCTAATTTCTTTTGTATTTTTTGTTTCTTGGTGTTTACAATCTCTTCTTCTTCAACTATATCTTCTTCTGCTGTTTTAAGCTCTTCTTTATCCTCTCTATCCTTTCTCTTTGTTAATAATAGTGATGGTTTCTCTTCAACTTTCATTGATTCCAATTTGTTCAAATTCCATTCGGCTGCTAATGTCTCCTTTTCTTCTTTTTCTTCTTTTTCTTCTGATTTCTTTGTTTCAATATCTTTTAATAATTGATCGATTGATTTGTATTTGATTGGGATGCATTTTTCGGGTTGATCTTTTTTGAGGTATGGAATGTTGAGAACATCGTAGATTTGGTTCTCGCCAACGATCGATGGGTCGAGTGTAACAAATGTCTTGTCGTCTTGGATCGATGTGATCTTGGCCAAGAACAAGCTGCCGACGGCAACATCGTCGCCAGACGACTGCTTGGCATAGTAGACACGCTCTCTCTTGCCTGATTTGAGGACAACCTCGGTCTTGCCAACCGACTGCACAGTCAACTCAACACCCTCGCCGACAACGTCAGTGATCGATGGCTTGGTATTCGAGACAGAGTTGCCGGCCTTGTCGAGACGGATGATGGTGCCGATCGAGTTGACGTGCTCGAGCAAGTCTGCGTCGGCAACCTTGACAACCTTGTTGGCGACGGTGCTGATCTGCACGGTCACTCTAGGATGGTTGGTATCGACACCGACGACATATCCGTAGATGGGCTTGCCAGCCTCGTTGATACGGTTGTAGGCTGGTGCATGCTCAAACTGTGGGTTCGAGGCAGAGGTGGTCTCGCCGAGCAACGAACGCTTCAACGAGAGGTATGCAGTCTTTGCCTTGACGTCAATGGCCACAATCACAGCCGACACGTATGCATTGACTGCGTAAATATCAAATGGACGTGTACGAGCAACATCGCATACATCGATCATCTTGATGTACCCCTTTCCATAACACGTTCTGACGACCATTGCATCGGTCATCTTTTCCTCAATCTTGGCGAGTACAACCAACCCAACCGACGGTGTGGTTGGCTTGGGGTTAGACTTTGCAGCATCGTCAATCACCTTGAGTGAAATACTCTCGCTGCCCTTATTGATCGATTCGACGGCACATGCAATACCGCGGGTTGGATGAGAGATAAAGTTGTCAAGTGCCAACTTGGTCTTAAAGTTGTTGAGAATGTCAATTGTCGCTACTCGACCCGGTGCAACGTGTACCGACACACTATCTCCATTTGTCTGACCGATAGGGTATGCAGTCACCAATGTACCTGCTTGAGCAGTCAGTGTGACAATCGTCGATGTCTGTTGCTTTGAACACTCTGCATGTGCAAGTTGCAACGATGCGTTGCTCTCATCGATCGACACTACTCTGCATTCAACATGATCTCCCTTTTTAAGTTGATCCATCTTGTTGGCAGACCAACTGACATGCACAGTCCCCTTGTACTGCTTACCACCAACACCACTAATATATTTGCATTCCAAAAACAATCTTTCTTTCTTTATAATCTCTACTTTAATATTATTATTAATCTCTAATTTATCTGAAGAAGAACTAGTTGTAGTTGTAGTTGTAGCTATCTTGGTTGATTGTTTTGAACCTACTGAACTAGCAGTAGTGGGTGTTGTTGTTGGTTTTCTTTGTGTTTGTGATTTTTGTGACATGATTAAAAATAAAAGAAAGTAAACAAACAAACAAGAACAAAGAACAAACAAACTAATGAAGAGATAATGAATGGGAATATACTTTGTAATTTAAAAAAAAAAAAAAAAAAAAAAACGAACGAAAGTTGACATGTCGAACGAAAAGACAAGAATAGATTGTTTGTCTTTATTATGATTCTTTATTATCATTATCAATTAGATAAGGTTTACAAATATTACATAGATTAGATAATGGAGTAATGACACCATTACATTGTTTAACTTTACAAAGATACTTGTCCAAGAATTGTTTGTGTGATGGTGCATTTTTACAACCTGGACATTGACAATTGAAAAAGTAGCTTTCCTTTAATTTCTTGATTCTTGCTTCACCAGACATTGATATTTGTATATAGTTGTAAAATAGTTCTTCACCTTGCTCTATATCTCTTAATGCAACCATCACCAATTCACCTCCAGGTGTTTGATTCACTTTAAATATATTTGGTTGACATGAATGATTAAAATAACTACATTGATCATATAATCCAGATCCAATGGATTTATAATTATATGTTATTTTAATCTCTTCTTTTTGTACTTGTTTCACAGTAGACGTAGTAGTAGTAGTAGTAGTAGTCTCTTGAATTGACATTGACTCTAATTGTGTTGATAAAGATGATGACGATGAATATTTTTCTTTAATTGTTGGAATAGTAAATGCCAACTCATGAGTATTACATTCCAAGATACACATTATATTGATTAATTTTTGTTGATCGAATCCATTCATCAACTCTTTTTTAGTAGATATCAATCCTTTTTCTATAAACTTTGCAATCTTTGATAGACCCAATAATCTTTGTGTTGGAAATTGTGATCTATTACCTTCCAATTCTAGAATAGTTTTAATGTTGAAACTATCTATAGATGTTGTTGTTGTTGTTGTTGTTGATTCAACACCTTGTTGTTGTTGTTGTTGTTGTTGTTGTTTTAAATGATTATATACTATTATCTTGATCAACATTTTCATCATTGTTTTACAATCATTGTCAAATAGATTGGTACTATGTAATCTTGAATAGGAAGGACACTCCAATTCATGTTGATCAGCATCCTTGGATGCACAATCTCTGTTACAATACCATACCAACTTGCACTTTGAACAATGTAGTAGTGGTGATGAATGTTGTTGATGTTGATGATGATAGGTCAAACACTGATGACAAAATGCATTCTGAAGAGGATCCATATAGTTGACGGTTTGAATGATTGGCAACTCTCTGACAATCACTGTACCAGCCTTGATTGGTACACTAGCTACAAAACATCTTCCTCTATCTTTGTATTGATTGATTGTTATCATTATCTACACCAATCGACTAGGGTACAAATAATACTCGTAGTTTCATTCGTTCGCTCTACCTCTTTGGAAAAAAAAAAAAACAAACCCCTTTTGTAGGTCGATTGTCCATCATTATATATCTTCATATATACTAGTATTCCAACATAGATGTATATCTATAAAAGTTTTAAATGATAGTATACTAAAAGGTTAACCTCATCAACCTTGCAAAGGAGGAGAACTAGTTAACTGAGTGATTAATTGAATTGGGTCTTCTCTTTTGTCGTGTCTGTTCACAAAGGTGTCAACCAACACACGGACACAAACAAATAGACACCCAGGGTGATAATGGGTTGTTGTTGTTTTCATCCCGAATGAAGCCCTGCTCTTTCAAGTCAGTCATCATCCATCCAACCATACATCCACTACGATGAGCGGAATTAAAATATCTTTAAAAATTTCATGCGAAACTTTCTTTGCCTTGTCTTTTTTATGTTTGTTTTTTAACTAGTTTATATATTCAAACAAACAAACAAAGAGGCACACATACACATACATATTTCTTATTTATACTACATATAGACTCTTAATCTTCATCCTCCTCCTCCTCCTCATCCCTTGAAAAGTGTTTATTTAAATCAAATTCACTTTCAAAATAGAGACAGCTGCAAAGAAGAAGAATAACTCTCTCATCTCACCAAATAATAGAACAACAGACAGTGACTCTACTACTACTACTACTATAAAAAGAAAGAGTACAACAGTTATACTTGTCCCACCCATCCATTAAAGATACTGTACATTCATTATCTTGTCAACTTCATGGACTACAGTAAACATTAATATCAAGATTTTAATTGATAAAATACAATATCAGCATCATCTCTGATTAATAACTTAAAACTTATAACACAACAACAACAACAACATAGATTGTTTTTTTCTCTTTTAGCAACAACAACAACAACAACTATTTATTTATTTACAACATAGACACATTATTACAATTTAATCATGTTGGGTCAGTCGTTTTCGGATGTTACCTTGGCACTATTTCTTCTATATGTATCGATAACATTGGTAGTAACCTTTCAAATATGTAGAATTATATATAACAAGTAAGTCAACATACAACCAAAAACGGTGCGAGAGCGAAAAAACAAAAGTAATACCAATTTGATATTAACGGATCCAATTTCATTCGATCAACTTTCAATTACCTCTCTTCTACTATAGACATAGAAAGGTAGCATTTAGGTTTGGATTTCTTTTATTAGGATTTTTTTGGGGATTGATAAGAGCTATATTTTGGGGAACCTTTTATCGTTGGGAGGGCAATTTAACATCCTCTATACTTTATTGGATTCCTGTAAACATTCAATTTGCAACATATGCCTTGTTGGTACTTTTCTATGCACATGTTGTCCATAGAAACTCTTGGGAAAGAATAACCAAGAAACGATTCACTATTGCCTATGCTGCTGTTAATATTATACTCTTAATACTACAGTGTAGTATGTATTAAAAATGAAAAGACAAAGAGAGAAAGAGAGAGAGAAAAAGAAATATATCTACATTTATTAACCACTATCTATCTCTATTTAGTTTGGATTGGTATCGATTATAGATATATAGAGAATCCAAATTTAAATCAACCTGCTTGGATAAATCAAATCCAATTTGTTTTGACTGGTATTGTATTTTTAATATTAGTTTCTATATTGGCATTCTATGGATGGAAACTTAGTCATGAAATTAAATCAACAAAGAATGCTGTATGTAATATATAAATATATCATCTGACTCAGTCTCTCTCATCACATGACAATTTATTTATTTATTTATTTATTCTAATATTCTCTTTATTTATTTTTTTAGTTACAATCACAATTACCATTATCAATTATACCTATAACCTTTGTTATATTTTTATGTTTCACTTCTCGATGTATCTATAATTTTGTTTCTGCTTTTGGAAATGTTTCAATCGATTTGGATAGTAAATCGGGCAAGGACATTTCAATCATCTTGCTCAGCTATTTAATGTGGGAGATTCTCCCATATATCCTCATTTTGGTTTTGTTTTGGCGTATCCCATCGACACAGATCGGTGGACTTAATCGTAGACAGAAACAACAGAACCAACTCATCTACCCTGCCCTTGCTGGCCAATCTCAGGTCAGAGGCAACGTCCCGGCCATCAACCAAAGCCACCAACCACCTGGTGCATTGGCTCGATTATTCTTGGATCCCCAACGTTACGACAGCGATGATGAGACTACCAATCTTCTCTACAAGGGTAGTCCCAGCATGTACAATGGTACAAGAAACTCTCCCTACAGTACCACTCCAATCATGGAAGATCCACATCACCAATCCCATCAACACAACCAACAACAAAAAGATAAAGATATATCACCATCTTATTATCAACCATAAATCGTTGGGATATAATTGAGATATAAAACAACAACAACAATAATAATAATGATGGCGACCAAGATATTGAAACTATTATAATACACCTTACCTATTTAATAAAAATATTAATCATATTTTTTTTTTAAAAAAACTTTGTACTCAAAGGACAGGGAGTCCTTTTGTCTTTTTTCTTATAAAAAAAAAAATTAAATAATTTATTTATTATATTAATATATATATGTTGTTTTATATTTATTATTATTGACCAAAAACCTTTCTTCTATTATTACCAGGCAAAGAATGATTAATTGTATCATCTTCAGTTTCTTTTCCCAAAAGCTCGTGAGGAGGGATAAACTTGTGTAACTTTTTCGATCTTGAATCCTTTCTGACGGGTTCACCATTGTTATTGTTGGTGGCAACAGGTGGAGGTGCAAAAGTAGATGATTGTAGAGGTGTGCCAACCATGAATGAACCGGCGTCGTGATGGTGGTGGTTGAGAGACATGCCAACCAATCCATTTCCTTTGATGTTGGCCACACTGGCTCCCTTGTAAAAAGTATCGTCATCACCATCGTCATTGTGTGGATCAATGTCAGACTCGTCGTCTGAATCGTCAATTTTAGAGAATGGTATGGGAATGGGGATGGGTGCAGAGGCAGACACTTGTTGGTCCTTTTGCGGCGTGGCAATGGTGATATTCAACGAGGTTAGATATTTCATCTTGAGCGAGGTATAACTTTCGTCTTCTCTTGTGGCTGGATGATCGTTTACGTAATCACCCCCATGGTCACTGGCACCACCACCACTGTTCAAATAGTCGGGTCTAGTACCTCCTATAATGGTAGCACCTCTTCTTCTATTTGCACTATTGGTCGGATCCATCTTGTAGTCTGGTGACTTGAGAGGTGGCATGGTTGCTGCCTGATTGGCATAGTGTTGATGTGACCCCTTTCCTCCTTGGTTTTGGTTATATTCTTCCAATGCTGCTTTCATCATTTTCTCGTCGTTTCGATATTATATATATATATAGTGTTATATATATATAATTATAATGAATGTGTGCAAAGGGTATAGTATGAAATGAGTAAAGTTAAAAGATAAAAATGAATAAATTTGTACAGGTGTAATGAAGAAATAAGAAGAAGAAGAGGAAAAAGGTGATGAAGATAAAGGTTTGAATGGATGATTAAAAAGTATATAAAAGAAATGAAATGTTGAATTTAAAGATTGATTAATTGATTGATTGATTGATTGTTGATTGATGATATTATTAGTGTGTTGTGATGAGTGTTGTGTGTGTGGTAAATAGTGTTGATGTTGACTATAGTACTCTTTCTCTTTCTATGTGATTGATTGGTTGATTGCCTTTTTTTTAAAAAAATATTATTATTATAAATGTGTTGTAGTAGTTGTTTGGAAAACCTTGAAAAAACGTTGATTCTATCTAGTTCTATTGTTGATATTTGTAGGACTTTTTAACTAACTATGCTTCTGATATGTTATTATTATTATTATTATTATATTACAGGATTATGTATTGATTGATGAAATAAACAAATAAGGATTGTTGACTATGGTCTAACGCCAAAATTTTGATGTAAAGTTGTTTAGTATACTATAATTATTGTTTGATTTCGAGTGTAGTAGCATGGTAAGTCAGGAAAGTAGGACTAGTTGATTTGGGTTTGGGTTTTATAAAATGATTGTGTTGTGATTAATGCTTTCTTTTAAATAGTCTGCACTTGTCTTATTATTATTATTGCTTATTAATTGATGATGTTATAAAGAAGAAGAGTATTGAGGAGGAGAAGTAATAAAGTATGCTATTGCTACTAAATAATACTACTGCTGTTGAAAGTGGAGTGATTTTGATATGTTGTTTTTTGAGAAGGGTGTTGGCGATAAAAGCTTGATGATCTGTTGCTATTGCTAAGTGTGCTTGTTTGCTTGTTTGCTTGTTTGATGATGACTTGTTGCAAACTATTTAAAATTTATTAATCATACTATAAAACCTATTGAAGAGAGGAAGATATCTATAAAGAGAAATGATTAGTTGTGTTTCAGCAGCTGAGAGACAGAGGGTGTTGCGTGTTGGGTTGTGTTTCGCGAGAAGAGAGACAAAAGACAAAAAAAAAAAAATTAAATTTTCAAAAATGAACGATTCAAAGAAGAATAGAAGTTTCGTGTGAACTATTATATGTATCACTCTGTTGTTGTTGCTTGTTTGTGATAATGAACGAATGACGCTGCTGATGCTGTTCTACACAAATTATAATATTATAATATTTGATGTTTAATGATCCCGAATTGGAGAATCAAATAATAATAAAATATATAATATATAATATAATAATAATAATAATAATAAAACAACAATATAAATTTAGGTCTGCGACAGAGAGAGAAGAGAGAGTGGAGCTATTTTACTACTTTACAGTTATGATAATAATAAAAAAAAATGATTTGTCAGGTGTACCAACTAGTAGTTATTATTATTATTATTATTCTTAACGACTCTCTTATATTATTATTATTATTTATTATCCTATATAGAATGGCTACACCCTATCCAACATATATATAATGTATTGGATTTGGGATTGAATATTGGTTCAGTCAATTAAATAAATAAACAACCAACCACACGATAATGTAGAGGTAGAGATAGAGATGGTGTGGGAGTATATAACCATGAAAGGTCAAAAAAAGGAAGGAAGAAGGATACAGTAATAATAATAAACGAGATAAGATAGCACGAGCTGTAACGATTTATGAGCGATATGTAGGTGTGGGTGTGGTGGGTATAAGTCAGTCACATCTTTCTTACTTTTGTAGAGATAATTTTGAATGTGTATATCTTATTTGTGTTGTGTGTACAGAGAGTGAACAATTCATGTGAAGGAAATTTCAAAACGTAATATCTTTGCACTGCGCTCTTTTGATGGAAATTGAATTTAATTTAATTTACAAAGCCACAAAAGGGTTGCACAGAAATCAGATTTTTTGATTCATACCTTTTTCCCACCTTGGTATTAATGATAGCCAATCCAATTACAGCAATGTAATGCATCATAATCGATGGAAAGAGGAGGGGTAGTATGATATTATATATGATATGATAAATTACTTTTATTGATTAATTGATGTTGTTGTTATATAATGACATTTGTTGGTTTGTTTGTGTGTTAATTTGCAAAAATGGAATGAATATCTTTAAATGATTTATAACCATTTAAATTGACAGGCAATGGTATTGAAGTGATAGAGGAAGAATCAATTGAAAGTGCCTTTTGAATTTCTTTGTCAAAAAGTAAAGAAGAGTGTGAAGATGGTGTGATATTGGCAATAGAAGTGGAGGATGAAGAGGCAGAATCAATTGTCGTAGTAGTACTGGTTGTTGGTAAAGTGATCGATCCAATTCTATGATTTCTAATATTACTTTTAACTCTGGTCGATACAAAAGAATCGGCAAGTTTGCCAAATTGGTGATGGTGATGGTGATGGTGAGAGGTTGGCGATGCAGCTGGTGGAATGGACGAGTTGATCGATTGGTTGATGAGCGAGGTCATCTTGTTCTCCAACTGCTTGACTTGGACAAACTTGTGACGTAGACTTTGTTTCTTGACTTCAATCTCTTCCAAAAGTTGTAAATTGTTTTTAGAGCCCTTGGCAAGATCGATCACCTTGGGTGCAACGATCGTCTCGAGCAACTCACCAATGCAACTGTCGACTTGTTTGCTATAGTCTACAATTTCATTAAACTTGATGTGTTTTCCAGTTGTCAATGACATTGATTTGTTTCCTCCTTCCTTTCCCCCATCCGTTTCGTTCATTTGGACATTATTTTGATTCAAAAGAGTTGTTGGTTTCAGAGGGTCATAGATACCCAAACGAGACAATTCTTGAAGTGATCTGAGACCTTTGAGTCGTTGGTTTTCATTGCGCAAGTGACGGATTGCCTTTCTCAGACAAATGGTTTCAATGTTGTCCTGACGAATTTCAATACCCGACAATTGGGCAGCAGCGGCTGCAGCAGACGACGATTGTGATATCTTTTTGGATGATTCCTTTTCGAGTGTGATGTATCTGATTTGGAGCTGCTTTAACTCATTCTCAAAGTTGGAACGGTCCTTTTGCAGTTTGACGATGGCTTGTTTGTAGGTGGTTTCAGTCTCGGCACGTTGTTGTGTCTCCTTGGCCAGACTCTCGGTCAAGTCGTTTTCGTTCTTGAGAAGTGTCTTGATACGCTTGTCTAGTGCTTCTTCCTTTCTCTTTTCTTCGAGTAGGTCTGCTTCACGAGCACGCAGCTGCTTGACAAACTCGAGCATCTCGGCGTCTTTGCCCGAGAGCGAGTCACGCAATTGACCAACTTCGTTGAGTGCCTGTTTGAGTTGGGCGGCACGGATAGTCCATGGATGTGGGGCAGCCAACACGTCTGACTTTTCCTTGTCCGACAATTGCAAATCACCTGCGAGAATGGTCTCGACAATGTCGCCGAGCTGCTTGTCCATACGGTTGAACACCTTTTCAACGGCAGTCATCGAACCCTCTTCTTGAGAGTCGCTAAAGTCGTCGATGCCAATAGCATTGTTGGCAGCGGCAGCATCTCCATCGGCAACCAATTGACGAGCACGTTGGTCGATACCGGCAATGATACCCTGCAAATGAGATGGGTCGTCCTTGACCGACACCAATCCATTGTTGAGTTGGACAAACATGGTGGACAATGTTTCCTGACTCTGACGCATAACGTCGTGTACAATCGAGGATGTACGCAAAAGTGGTTGACACATCAAGTTTTTGATCACCTTTCTGCAGACATGTACGACCGATGTCATACGTGCGTGTGGGAGGAAGGTTGTAGCAGATGATGAGCCAGCACCCATGATGATATCAGTCAACATGAGTTGATTCATATAATACTGAATGTTGAGCATGAATTGGAGTAGAATAGACCATTCACTCTTGTAGATCTTGTCACCAAATACATTGTTGAGTAGTGTCTCGAGTTTGGTAATGATACGTTCCAAGTCAGTTGATGGATATGATGCACCATACTGTTCACTCTTGATCAATTGTAACAACGCGTCAATGACACGTTCTTGTTGTTCCAAGTCGCGAATTGAACGACCAGCACGCATCCATGCGTCGACTGAGCATCTCTGCATTGTCTCTTGCAACCAGGTGGTTGTGATGGACAACTTGTCCAACAAATGGATGATGGCAAGTGAGTGCTTGACCAGGGTAATGTGCTTTTGTTTGTCGTCTTGACTGACATCTTCTTGTTGCTGAAGGTTGAGTATTTCCTCGACCTTGTATGTCTTGTACAAGTATCCTTGGATCAACTCGCTCTTGAGAATGATACGCTTTAAAAGCAATAATAAACGGATGGCATCATTGTCGGCAGAGAATGATTCCATTGGAAGGAATTCTGACACTATCAATAGATGTGACTCTGCTTCCTTTCCACGCGACTTTTCAAGTTGGTGATCAATCTCCATCGACGTTGCCTTGGTGACTTGGTGTTGCAACTTGATATTCTTGCTCTCCATCTCTCTCTGAATCATTGTCCACAAGTTGCTTTGTTCGGCGTGTTCTTCTTCCTTGCGACGCATTTCCTCGAGACGGTTCTGCAAACGTCCGACCAACTCTCTAAACTGTGTGATGGTGCGGTCACCCTCTTGGGTCTTGAGCTGGCTGTTGGCAAGCTGTCCATTCATGTTGAGACACTCTACCTCCTTGAGATGCAGTTCTGAACGCAACGCCTTTTCTACGGCAGCCTGGTTCTCTTCGAGTTCCGATGCCAAGTCACGCATATCTTCGAGATCGGCAATCGTCGTGGTCAACTCTACCACCTTTTCATTCAACTCTATATTCTTTTCAGAGAGATCAGCAACCAAGTCATCGGATATCTGTGCATCGTCGAGAGCTTGCTTGAGCTCCTCAACCTCTTCGCTACGTTGAGCAAGGACTGATTCCAACTTGTTGGCCTTTTCAATAGTGGTTGATAATTGTCTGCTCATTGCCTCCATCTCTTTGAATTTCTTTGCATTTTCATGTTTCTCATTGACAGTCACATCACGCAACTTGACCAATGTTTCTTTGAGTTTCTCGATTTGTGCTTTGAGAACGGCAGCACTTTCACTTGTTAACGCATCACCACTGTCTGTGCTTTCCAAAGCAGCCGATCTTTCCAATTCTTGTGCTTCCACTTGACTCTTTAATAATTCCAATTCCTCTTTAACCACTTCCAATTCACCTTCGGCCAGTTCAACCTTTTCCTCGGCAAATTCCTTATCCAATGTTAACATTTCAACATTTTCATTAATGGTTGAGATTTGTTCCAATAATTCCTTCTTTTCCTTTTCCCATTCAACTTGAACTCTTGATAATTGTTTTTCAATTGATTCCTAAATAAAAAAGATTAGAGTCAAAAAAGATTCCTCTTCTTTTAAAATGTTTTTTGATCAAATACACATACATCATGTTTTTGTTGATGTTTGACAGATGATTCATATTCCTTTTCTTTATCCTTTAATGTCTTTTCAATTTGTTGAATTTGTTTTTCATATTCTCTAATTGCTTTTTCCTTTTCAGATTTTAATTCCTTAATTGTATTTTGAGCTTCTGATATTTGTTCTGTTAAAATTAAATAAAATATATATATATTAGTATTTTTGAAAATAATAAATAATTGTACAAGAAATATATACCTTGAGCTTTAGTTTTATATTCTGTTAATTCATTGATAGCTAGCATCATCTTTTCGACATTTTCATTGATTTGTTGTTGTTGTTGTTGTTGTTGGACACTTTGTTTTGGTGGAGATAGAGGTGTTGCAATAACTGGAGCTGCTACTTCATCACCGCTATCTTCGTCATCATCTTCTCCTTGTACAACCTTTTGTACCTTTTTATCTGATGATGGTGATAATGGGGATTGATCTTCTTTTGGTGTAGGAGCAGCAGCGGTAGGTGTTGTAGTTATAACTGGTTTTGGTTTTTCTACCTCTGTTACAACGGGAGTTGGAGTTGGAGTTGTAGTTGTTGTTGGTGGTTTCAATCCAGATGGTCTTGCAATCTTTGATTCTTTGGTTGTAGCAGCTGCTGGTGCTGGTGTTGTAGTTGTAGTTGTGGTTGTAGTAACAGGTGATACCTCCTTTTCAGCTACCACTGGTGTTGGAGCAGGAGTAGGAGTAGCTGGTACAGCGGGAGCGGGTGCAACAACAGCAGCAGTAACAGGTGGAACTGGTGATGTTGATGTAGCTGGTGGAGAAGTACTAGCTGGTGATGATGACGATGGTTTGGAGGAGACTGAAGTTGGTTTCTTTAATCCAGAGTCTGTTGCAGTTGTAGTAGTAGTAGTTGCAGTTGTATTTGTTGTAGTTGGAGTAACAGAAGGTCTCTTTCCAAGTGAAGATGGTGGTCTGATTCCACTACCAGCAGCAGCTGATGAAGCTCCGGTAGTAGTAGTGGTTGTTGGAGTAATAGATGGTCTCTTTCCAAGCGATGATGGTGGTCTTATACCAGACGGTTTACTTGTAGAAGTAGAGGGGAGACCTGTTGAAGAAGATAGGGGAGATGTACTCGATGGAGGTAACATGCTTGATGGTGTTGAAGATGATGGTGGAGGCATCGATGACGACAGATCACTGATAGTAAGTGGAATGTCATCTGATAATGAGGAAGAGGAAGAAGAAGGAGTCTCTATGACAATGACCATATTTGGTTTGACAAAGATACCATGTGCTGCACGACAATCAAAGTACTTTTCACCTTGTACAGTACCGTCGTTTCTTCCAACCGAGGTATCCAATTCGATACCGACCCATCTACCTGTTTGAAACTTTGCCATACCGACATACTTGATTGTACCGGTACCAAGCTCAGGCTTGTCTTTAATTTGTACACGGCTACCAACGGGTAAAGCCCTACCCTCATCCATTATTGTTTATATATATATTACTAGTATATCTACTACTACTATCTATCTATCTATCTATCTACTTGTTATTCTTCTTTGTTGTCTTGCTGATCAGCAATAGCTATCGTCCTAGCGAAGTAGTGTATTATTAACAATAAAGATCTTCACCCTTTAAACAAACATTGAATTTTTGTATTTTTTTTAATTATTTATTTTGCTTCAGGTAATGAAGAGAGCGAGAGTTAACTTAATCTATTTTTTAATTATAATATACATCGTATTGTTAATTAGTGTTCCAATTCTCTGCTTATACAGTCACATTTAATGAATGACATGCCTTAGAATGTACTTGTTTCATAAGCAATCACCAAGTGATAGGGCTCCAAATACCATGGGTATTTCAAAGTAATTACTCTCTGCTTGGTTGTGGTGTTTATAATGTACAACATCGTGATCAGCTGTGAATGAACATACCAACCGGTACTCTATTTCTCGTCTAGAACATACTGAGTGCTACATGCATGCACTAAATGCATAATGGTCTTGTATGTATTGAAGAGACACCGTCCGAGTGCGCGCGCGACAAGTTATAGTTCAAGCACCATCTCAAATAATATGGAACGAAAAGTTGGTTTATAAATGTGATCATCCTTCAACGACGAGATCAATACGTATACCAATTAATTATTCTAGAAAAGACTTTCTTTGAATATTTGTCCTATTTATTCATTATTATTGATTGTGTTGTGAACATGAGAGAGTACATGTGTGATGCAATGATGTGATAATTATTTTTTTGGAGAGAGGAGATGGGTTGATATCTTGTCTGTCTTGTCTACTCTTTGACTGTCGAGGCAGTAGCAGTAGTAGTAGTAGTATTTGGTGAACGATGAATGATTGGACGTCGAATATCGGTGTTATGCAAAAAGATGGAGCATTCTGGATGCAGAGATACATTGTGACATTGACATCGATGAGTGGCTGGGATGGCAAGATCGTCTTTTTGGGTTGCAAATCTTCTGAGGCAAAAGGATAATGAGCACTCGGATGCATCGCAGAGATGCAGTGGAACGACTTTGGAGGGTGGTGGAGGAAGAGCGAGGAATACCTCATTAGCTCGAGCACCCATTGGATCCATTAGAGGAGCATCAGCACCGTTTTTTGATCTTTCTAGACCGGTATTTGTCACGATTCTATTGAACACTTCGATGTATGTTGGTGTGAATAACGGTAGATTGCCACAGAGACTATCGATAGCACCGAGACTGTTGTTTTCAGTATTTCGTCCTGTGGAAGTGATGATGTGATCTGGGGTCATAAAATCCATCGCTCTGCCGGAATAGCAAGTTGCAATGTAGACAACCACGTGGACTCCAATGTTGATGATTTCATTCACTTGATCGGCAATCGGTCCAAACTCTACCAAATCGGGTTTGTAGTTGGCTAAATCCAATTCGCCACTTGGGACGAGCTGCACGCTGTATTGTTCTGGTCCCGTTTGTCCAGTCGGCGATTGATCTATTCCATGAGTCCAGAGGAATAGGAAAAACAAATCACCAGGCACAAGTTTTGTCTTCCATCCTACTCCCTTTAGTTTTTGCAAAGTACTTACCACCCGATTCAATGTTGGGTATTGGCTGGGTACTCGCACTACATCCTGACTAGATTCGATCATGGCTGCGTGAGTATGAAGATATTTCTCTCCTTGGTACATGGATGTGAGATAATTGCTGATTACTGTGTGGAAGGCTGCACCAGAGTCACCAGCATAGTGCATGGGATTGCCCGAATTTTTTGATGTGGAAGCGATCACCAAAGATTTGATTCGGACTTTGGGATCTTCGTCGCTGGTAAAGACAGTTTTTGTGTGGGATTGCATCATTCCAACGATGATATTAGTGTTATAGTCCATTGGAACATAGGTTGGATTCCACGTCCTTAGCATATCCCACAACATAGGAGATATTGAATAGCTGAAATAGGATACACCAAATATTTGAGCATACAACACAGAGTAATCGTGGTACTCTTCGGTTTTGAGCAAAACTGGGTCGCTCAGCTCAACCGATCCCATCCCAATCGTTGAGTTGCCCTCGGAATACAGTTCCATGGCTGATCCAGGAGAACATCCTTTTCTGCCAATGATTGTGTAGACGGGCGAGGGGTTGTTGGTTACTGCCAAGTCATATTTACTTCCTCCAATCATTTGCAATGCTAGCTTTTGACTGTCGTTTGGTGTAGTTGTTGTTTGACAAATGACAACCCTTCCGTTTGGCATTGATTTGATAAAATCATATAGTGTCTGTCCTGCAACAATGTTTTGACCTAATAGGGGAAAGAGTAAAGGTTAAGTTAGTATTTGTGTCTGTTTATTGTTTAATTAATTAATTAAAAATCAATCTTATTTTTTTTTTTCTTCCTTTCTTTTCTTTTCTTTTGATCGATTGTTGTTACATACCAATTGCATAGACTATGATACCACTAGTAGTAGTTGATTGAACAGTTGTACCGTTTACTTTTATATCTGTGCCACTGACTAGAATTGAGTTGTAGCTCACTGCTGGCGTGATTTCACTCATCAGCGACAGACAGGGGAGTCTAATCGATGACACTGCCGGGTAGGTACCAGCCAACAAAAACGATTGGACCGGTGCAATCGAGGCACCAACCTTTCCAATGATGGAATAGGATGACCCATTTTGTGCCACTGTTCCATACTTGACTCCTCCAAGCATGGTGGTGATTAGGTCTCTGGCTTCATCTCCAAGACCGGCTGTCCAGTTGCCTTTTGTAGCGAGTGCAACGAAATATCCCGTTGGAATAGTTTTGAGATAAGCAACAAATGAGTCTGGATCACCGCTACTTGAGGTTGTATCATAAGAGGTTACAGATAAGGGTTCGCCATCTGTATCAACCACCATCATATTGAGCGATTGACTATTTGAATATGTAATTTCTTGACAATTAATGTAAAACTTGGCATCATTACCAGCCTATAAATAAATAGAAATAAATAGAAATAAATAAATATATGATTTGTATTATTTGTACATTATTATTATTTATTATTATTATTATTATTATTATTATTATTATTATTATTATTATTATTATTATTATTATTATTATTATTATACATACGGCACTTCCAATTGCTTTGATTTCAAATGTAGGGTTTACACAGAGCATTTTACTTGACAAGCATGCAGACAATGATACATAACCATAGTTTTTGATCTGTTCTGGAACAGAGCCAGGAGAACTACCTTTTCTTCCAATCAAAGTATACGATGTGTGATAACCTATTTGACTTGTCAAATTGGCACCCAAGGTTTTCAGCGCTGCCAATAGGGCTGGTGGATAGTCTGTATTACCGTTTAATTGTTGTTGTATTGACACAATGACCACGTTGCCAATGGGAATCGAGTTTTGGATAAAGTTGGCAACATCTGATAGAGCAATTTCGGATGGGTTGTGGACTCGGTCGTCTAACATGACTCGATAGTGTGTGAAAGAGTTTGAGGTATCGGAGAGTACGGTCATTGAAAAATCATATTTGTGAGGCTCAACTACTGCTCTGCCACCAATGTACGTGGAATATCCTGTTGATATCCGCAAATCAGAGTTGATTCCAGATTGATTGGCGTGGTAGGTGGCAGTGACCGGCTCGTCAGATGATATATACTCGCAGGCAGCTACACCGTCAACCGAAACAATAATCCATTTTTTGTACAAGGATATTTTATCGATACGGTTACTGCCGAATCGGTCCTTGAATAATTGGAGGCATTCCTTAGATAGGCCTATATTCTCGAGGCCGTACATCATAGTAATAGAGATGGCAATCACATTCGATTTGCTTTGCTGTTTGAGGAGCGCGATAAGCCTGGCATTCATGGTGGCTACGTCTGGTCGAAAATTGTAAAAGCTGACAGAGTTCAATAGGGTCAAGTCTGGTGAGAAGACCATTACATGGACGCCGCCCTCTGGCAAAATTTGAGAGACCGGTCTGTTGTTGATTGTGAGTGAGGTGGAGTAGTCGTCCGCTTGGGTAAGTGTGATACTGGGAGAGTTGGACATGACGCTGTACGCTTTGAACAGATGCGACTGTTGACCTGCACCTTCGGTGGCTGTTCCCATTGCTTGACCCTTGTATCCAATGATTGACAGCGATGAACCTGTGGTACGAGTATTGATGTCGACACTACCAATCGATGAACATGCTCTGATGATCGAGTCAGTCTTGACAGACATGCTTGAGCTGATCGATACCATGACGAATTGTCCAATGAGAAGCGATTCCATCTTGGCGACGAATGCTATCTCACCAGCATCTCCAGCCGTTTGAATATTAAAGGAATCTATACTAAATGGAGGCTCTGATTCTGGTTGGTGTGTGAATACATTGACGTTTTTTGAGGTACCATCGAAATAAAACTCTACCCCATAAATCTTGACGAAATAGATTGAAGAGTTGAGTATTATCTGGTCCATATCTTTAAAATTATTATTATTATTATTATTATTATTATTATTATTATTATTATTATTATTATTATTATTATTATTATTATTATTTTGACCTGAAAATATTATTATTATTTTGACCGAAAATATTATTATTATTTTCAACTACAACATAACAAACAAAGTAAGACACAGAATAATATGCTATATAATTTAACTTTGTTGTTAGGTGGACAGTTTTTTGTTGGGTTGTATGAGAAAGATAACAAACTAATGCTCTTGTTTGACAAACTTTGCAACTCGTGCCTTGCTGGCTTCTACCACGTCTACACTTGCACTCTTCTCTTTACTTGACAACCATCATTGCACAATGACCTCTTTTTCTACTTAGCTTTCTTTCTGTTTGCTTGCATCCTTGTGATGATCATTGCGCGCCTAGCTGAAGATCATTACCACGTCGGCACCTTCATCGTCGGTTGCTCGCTAGTTTGTGAAACTGTTTCTTTGTTTTCAAATGCATGGTGAAAGGTGTCTTGTCGTTTGTCTTGATCAGCATCTTCAGTTTTTTTTTTTTTTTTTTTCCACCAACACGAATAATAAATTAATTAGTGATAAACCAAAATACTACAAAAGAGAGAGATAATAATAATAATAATATAAATATAATAATAATAATATAAATAATAATAATAAATGGTATTTCTAATATCAAGAGGTCAGAGTGACTCTGAATTCAATTTGTTTGGAAATAATTATATCCGTGCTGGTGGTGTCAACATTACATCAGGAATCAATCTATGGATGTACGAGCCAGAAAACCTATTCTACCGAGAGAGTGCGTTTCCATTCTCCTACTCCAACTATTCAACCCAAGATTCGGAGCAGATGGATTTGTTTGTCGCCAAGATAGCATCGCTTTATCCAGGAACTAGAGTAGCCATCCTGTCATACACTGGCCTACCCAATCCCGTGCCAGACAATGTGGCTCGTGCCTTTAATTTACTAGGATCTATCAGCATCGATAGAGTGGGGACCAATCCAAACTTTTGTATGATTGGTGTCAAGGGTGGTAGTTCGGCCGAGTCGTTTGGAAACAATGCGACCACACCAAACAAAATCAAAGCTGAAATACCATACGATACATTCAAACTCGCATCAACCAATACAGTAGCAAGCTCTCTAAAGATTGAATACGACACTGGTGGCAAGCCAACCATCCACAATACCAACACTCTTCTCGACAACTATCAATTGAAAGCACTCAACCTGTTTGTCTTTACCGATTCCAATCCAACTCTACAAACATTCGACTATGCCAATTCAGATGACAAGTCAAAAGTCCAATATATTCTAGAGGGTCTACCATATGGCACCAAGTTTGCACTCTTTACCAACGGGTTCAACCGGTTCGAATTCAACGATGATACTGTCAACTTTTTAAGAAACCATTGTGGTAGTGTGGCCATTGACGTCTTTGTAAATGACTCGACCCTTTTCATTTGGTACATGGTATCCAAAGTTGGTGCCACTCGATCGTTTACCGAAGATGTGGCATCTGGTGAATGCAACTTCTTGTACACTCGAACCGAAGATACCTCTCTCAGAACACAAGAACAAATCAACGAACCTATTGAGACTGATATTTCAGTTTACTCAAATACCTACAACGGGGTGTGTGACATTTCCGTCAATGGTTTGACCTCTATCCAATTCAATGGATTTGCAATGTGTGCAATCAATGAAGTCACTGGCCAAATTTATTACACTCGAAACTATGACATCTCTGTTTGTGATCCCACTCAGAGTGCCAATATGATTCAAGATATCCTCGATCTTTCAGTTGGAACCGTCGTTGCAATTGGACTGGCAGAACCAAGCGTTGCCTTTCAATATGGATTCACAGATCAATTACAATTTGCCCTCGAATCTGTTGGTGCCTCACGTGCCAACGAGATAACTCAATCCCTCAACTACACTCTCATCGGCAGAAAGGGATCAAGACCAGGATCGGCCTACGAAAATTTAGGTCAATCTCCATCACGACTCTATTCAAGTTTTATACCAAGACAAGTCAAACCATTTATTGAAATTGAAGCCATTTCAGAAGCTGTATGTTTATTATTTATATCATAATATTTAGAATTATGTGATTATTAATTAACATTGTTTATTATTATTATTATTATTATTATTATTATTAGTTTTATTCATACCAAACTGAAACTGATTATGGATACTCTAGTTTTAAAATCAATGGTACTTATGTCACTGGATACCAAGGAAATAATTTGATTGGTCTCAATGTGATGATAGTCAACCCTACAACTGGAATTGTTCAAGAGTTGTTAAACTATGACACCCAAAAGAACAGCAGTTCTGCTCAAGCTTTTGCCGATAAATTGGCAACATTGGAAGTTGGTACCATTGTCGCCATTTCTGTCGTTGGAGGTGCCTCTAAAAAAATCGATTTTGCCCTTTCAGCTATTACCGATTACCTTGGAAGCAAACTGATTGTTGATTTTGCATTCCCAGAATCTCTTTGCATCATTGCTACTGTCAACAATAAAATATTGACACCTGCCAACCAAAAAGTACTCAGTGAGTGCAAGTCGATTGGAAAAACATCTTGCTCCACAAGGTTCCCCCTCAAATCATTGTTTAGCAACCAGGTATTGGGTGTAAACATGTGTGCCAGATCAAAGGGCAGAGCAAATGGAAGTTGCCAAATAATGGTAAATGGAGAGGTGCAAGCACTTGGGGATGCACAAGGACTCAATGTTGTCTTTGTCGACAACAAAACATTGGTCAAAACCATCAAACTTTACTACACCATTGCAAGTTGGGAGACTTTCCTTTTGGATGTTCAAACCCTTGAGGATGGAGTCTTTGTGTTGGTAGCCATCAACAAAAGCATGCCATCCAGTGGACCATCAAACATATCGGCTGCAAAGAGAATGGTATTCTCTCTTATTGGTGCGTGCAAGTTTCTCTTAGTTCCAGACGATGGATCGTATTCAGTCATTGGAATCAAAGCATCTTCACCTGGGTCTGCTATTGAACAATATTGTTCAAATGGTGATAATCAAATTTGTGTTGCATCATGGGAACCAATTTCTACTACTACAACAACAACTTCTTCATCAGATGTTGATTCAACTCTATCAATATCAAACTACACCTATGGGCAGTCACAAGCCAATCAAACAATTTATTCAGTTCCATTGTTTGACAACTACTATGATATGTGTTCACCAGTCGCCCAGTTGAACAAACAATTCGCAATTGGAAACATTTATTCAAATGAACCAGCGACCAACTGGGAAAATCCAAGACTTCCAACAAGTGGCAGACGGGTAAAGGCACTATTAATTGGACTCGAGTACAAAAAGGGAACTGGCACACCACTGCCCAACTCGACCAACGATATCAATGAGCATGCTGCCGCTCTTGTCAATTGGGGATATGTCCAAAAGGAGAACATTCATATCCTAACAGAGAACCTTACCCAAGTCCAAGTCACACCTACTACCCCCGGCTCGACAAAAACCACTGTTTGTGGACCAACCAAAAATTGTATCCTAGATGAAATTAACGATTGGTTGGTTCCCAATTTTATTCAAGGAGACACGTTCTATGTTGCCATTGTTGGAAGAGGTTTCAAAAAGTCTGCCTTTGGTGGAAACGATATCAATTCAGGTCTTGTAGTCCTTGACGAAACATTGACCTATTCCGATTACTCGCTCACCTGGGAGAGTCTCCTCGCGCCATTTGCCGGTATACCAGCTGGAGTCAATGTTACTTTTGTGCTCGACTGTGACAACACCCTAGGTTTTTTGCCTTATCTAGCCGTCCAAACAATCTACCAGGATTCTGTTGTTCTTTTTTCTTCAAAGGAAGGACTTGCTGCTCCACTTGCAGCAAACACCATTGGTTTCCTTCCATTCATCACCAAGATTCTGACATCGTCCGATCGTACAGATCTGCCAGTGACCTACCAATCGTTGATTACTCAAATAAATACAAGCGACCAATACAAATCGGATGCATCCTTGTCGGTCTATGGAAATTCAGTTGGAGACTATCCATTCCTCTCCTCTGGAGATACGTCAAAGATTACCATCTACGAGTATACAATGTCTGTTCCAGGTACCAACAAATTGAGTTATTTCTACTCAAGATTCACTAACTTAGTCGGTATGACATTGGTTGGAGCTGTTTGGAAAGCATTTGCACCAGATGATTCACAAGGATCTCCCGTATACCAATACTCGATTCTTACTCGTCCCGTCATCAATGATGTTGAAACATACAACTATGACTATTCTCTCGACAATACTCACGAGGTTGATCCAGTCACCCAATACCTCGAATGGTATCCAATGGGTTCAGTTTGGAGAGCATCTTCTGTTGGTGGAGAAGATCTCATACCTGTCTATCGTTGTTACTTTGATGGGGTAACCAGAAGATACAGATACTCAAAGACAGATGTTGTTGCTGATTGGAACATCGAAGGTGTTGCATTCTATGTTTATAATCTTTAATGAAAAAAAAAAAACAATAAAATATATAAGTAATTTAAATTAATAGTATCTATATATGAAGTTTTATATTATATAATTCTAAAGAAATAATTAAATATACTACTAAACAACTTGGTGATATCAATTAATTAAATTGTTGTTTATTTTATTGTTTTTTTTATTTAATGTTTTGTAATAATTGTCTTTGTTGTACAATGAATTGAATATCATCGTCGGTCAAGGAATCAAATCCATTTCTCATTCTTTGAATAATAGAAGCTCTTCTTTCATCTTTTTCTTGACCATCATCATCATCTGGTTGTGGAGTAGGTGTATCACCAACAATACTGTTATCATCGTAGTCGGGATTGGGCGTATCTTGGCCTGGGAGCAATGACGATGATGAGTTTTGGTTGTTACTTGGCATTTGGTCACTTGGCATTGGAGATGATTCGATGGCAGGTAAAATCCAATCATTGTCTTTTTCTTCTTCTTCTACTAGTTGTTGTTTGGGAGATACAGATACTCTTTGATTGGTGAGACACATTTTGATGTAGATCGGTGCACCCGAGTATAAACCATTAAACTCATCAATGCAATCAACTCCGCAAACAGTTGCACCCAATACACCACTGCAACTAAACTTGACGGTGGTGTTGAGGAGGGTTGCCAACTTTTGGACTAGTGGATAATAGGATGGATCCAACCACAAGCCAACCTTTCCTCCAGGCACCAACAACCGACTAATTTCCGATACCATAAAGTCGGTCAAGTTGAAACTTTGAAGTGTGATATAGTTGATGGTTGCATCCTTGAGCGGTATTTTTTTGGTCCAATCTTGGAGGATAATATTGTAGGGGATGGGACGTGTGCCATACGAGCCGTCTGCACCCACTACTTGGTAGGTCGTGTTCGCGTGTATGTTGACATTGATCGAATCAGAGAATCCACTATTTGTATTGAATCCCTCACCACCAATATCGAGATGCAGATTGTAGTCATCATTGATTGCCATTGATCTACGATCCATGAATAGAGACATGTCTGTGGTGGCACGGCTCACCGTCTTGCCATCAATCGTTACCTGTACTGCGACTTTGCCCCAAATGAGTGCAAACAATTTATCGAGTACAGGATTGGTGCCACCCGTTACAAGGACTGCTAGTTCGGTTGAATCGGTGGTGACTGTTATTTCGTCGAGACTGTCTACAAATTCTTTGGCAAGCCCAATATCAATTGCGAGTGCGTAAGCAACACCATACTGGCCGACGATGGGAAGTTCTGGTTGGAGAACCAAGAGAACCCCTGTTACGATGGTCATGCCGACCAATGCCACGGCAAGCAATACCGATTTTAGAAAACCACCAACAAGTCTAATTCGACCTCCTAGAACAGGAGCATCCAGAATATCTCCAGTGCTCTCATCAAACTTGTATATTGGAATAAGAGATAGTTGCATTGTCGGTATGATATCCTTGCTTGGGATGGTGCTGAGACAAAGATGGAATGGAATGTTTAATGGAGCAGTGATAGTTGTCGTCCAATCGCCCGGAGCTGGATTCTTGATAACCATCTGATAGATTGAGCTTCCGACAACTGACACGTAGGTGGTTGGTGTGTTTTGGGGCCCCGAGTAGATGTTGCCCGCTGGATCTCTAACGGTAAGGATGCATCCTATAGGGAACGTCGTGATTGTCATTGAAGAGAGACCAATCACCAAAGTGGGAGCACCATTCGAGACCGTGATAACTTGGGTACGTGAGGCAGTTGCAGTATCGCCTGCTTTGGACGAGGTGGCTTGATTGGTAACCGAAACAAAACTGTACAGGTTACTGGCACCTTGAACGTACTTTGCATTGAATATTGGCACAAACTTTGTAATGAACCCTCCAGCACCATTGCATCCGGTTGCAGACTTGTCGGTGAGGTTATAGTCTAGTGGCCAGTATCCAACCAACCCAGGTTCATTTCCTTCGACCATATTAAACATTGTGTTGGTGATCGATGTCTGTGTCAAGGCAACGTTCCAAATGGTTATGTCCTCCATCTCTCCAATAAACTGTGACGGAACTTGATCGTTGTTTCCAAATGTGATTTGATAGGGTGTCGCAAGTCTCCCGACATTGACAGGTATCGAACTGGCGGTTTGGGTAGCAGTCACCGTTTGTTTGACACCATCAAACCAAATTTCCAAATCAATCCCTCTTCTGATGGCTGCAACGTGATGCCATTGTCCGTTTAGTGCCTTGGTAGCTGCCGTTGAAACGTACAAGTATCCTTGGCCATTGTCTGTCAAAAATTTAAACACTCCGTTGGCCAAAAGAACCAAAGTCCATCCAGGCATACCACCGGCAGGTTTACGACACACCAATGATCCAACTGCCGATGTTCTAAAGAGGGTGGTCACTGAAAAATCTTCAAAACCAAACGAGTAGGCAACATTTGCTCGACACACAATTTTTTCACCGTCGTTGAGTTTGAGAGCATAGTTTGGAAGGGTGGGCGGTTGTCTTGGGTAAGTGTAAAACGCCACGGAATCCTTGACCCAAGAAGTTGATGGTAGAATGTTGGGATCCTCAGTGTAGAGGTATCTTGCTGGCGTTCCACAGTGATACTGGTAAATTGGGATGGTTCCCGTCACTTGAGTAGTGTACGCATCGAAAATTACATCCATCTTGGTCCAAGGGCTAGCCAAGTTTGCATCGGTCGTCAGAATATATCGATCGGCCCCGCCGGTGAAATAGGGGGCAGAGTACTGGTAGATAGGTACACCTACTCCACTGCCTGGAGACAAGGTACGAAATTGAACCGTTTGTGTGTCTCTTGTCCATCCACTAATGACTGCAGAGGCGTCAACAGAGTAACGGTAATTATATCCTGCAGTATTGATTACTACGTATGTCCAAACATTTACAATTGCAACTCCCATTATTCTTATTATTATTAGGTAATCTATATTATTATTATTATTATTATTCTCTGGAGTTGGCTATATAGTTGTATGAGTAAAATGTGTGAAGTTACTAGTAAGGGTTATTTTGGTGATAAAACAAGGGTACTATGATGAGCCATCATTCACAGTAGCAACTGTCGTTTTCTTTTTATTAAGGCCTTTCACCTCTTCTGTTGCCTGATCTGAGATATACCACGTCGAGGGTCCTCATATGATGAATGAAAGCGAGTAAGGCTGTTGGTGTTGTTTGAAAAGGGAGGAGGAAGAGGTCGAAGCTTGACAACTGCTGTTAGTTGCAAACCATCATTATTAGTTCCTTTAGACAACAAGGTTTGAGAGATGCCACGTCGACTCTCATTGAATGAAAGCGAGGCAATGGTGCTTGTTTGTTTGGTGAAGCTCTAAACGACTGTGGCTGCTCCCAAATTAGGAATAATTTTTTTTCAGTGCCAGCGTTGCAGCAAACAAAGAAACATTAAAAAAAGCAATACTTTTTGAAAATAAATTACCACAATGTGTGATTATAACCATACATTTAATAATTATTTATTTATTAATTTAAATTAATTTATTTTCTTGATGATTGAGTAATATATTCAATGTCTTTTGGTGATAATGATTCAAATAATTTCTTCATTTGCTCGAGTAAGGGATCGACCTTTACTTGATTTGATTCTTCTTTTTCCTTTTCTCCTTGGACCATGACAAAGTCTGATTCTGGTTCTGCGATTGGCTCCTCTGCGATTGGCTGAACAAATGGTGGCGACTTGAATGCAGAGATTCTTTGGTTGGTGAGACACATTTTGGTATAGATTGGGAAACCAGAATAGTTTCCATCAAACTCATCAACACAGTCGACACTGCAGATCGAAGGATTGGTACCTCCAGAACAACTGTACTTGATGGTGGTGTTGAGGTTGGTTGCCAATGTTTGGACCTTTGGCAAGTAGGTTGGGCTGATCCATAGCCCAACCTTTCCAGCGGGGGCAATCAAACGAGAGATCTCTGTTACGATAAAGTCTGTCAGTGCGGCTCCTTGCATTGTGATATAGTTGACAGAGCCGTCTTTGAGTGGGATGGGACTGGTCCAACTTTGCAAAACGATATTGTTTGGAATGTCAAGATAGGTGTACAATCCATCTCCTCCAATCTCTTGATATGTGCTCTTGACAATAGTGTTGACGTTGATTGCATCAATGAAACCACAACGATTCAATATACTGCGACCTTGTCCACCGATATCAAGTTGAAGCTGGTGGTCGTCGGCAAGCGCCATTTGAACTCTGTCAAGGAACAACGATGTGTCGGTGGTGGCACGGTAAACAGTCTGGCCGTTGACTGTGACTGCGACCTTGACATTATCCCAAACCAGTTTGAAAAGAGATTGGATGTTTGGGTTGCCAGAGCCTTCAACATCGATGGCGGTTCTCTTTGACGCCTCCATTGGACTGAGACCGGAAATAGCATTGACAAAGCTTTTCGACGTGCCCATGGCCGCCGACAAGGCTTGTGGCGCAGTGACGGTCGATGTGGTTGGCATGTCTGGTTGGGTGACTGATAAAACAGCCGACATTACACTCAGTCCATTGGTAGAGTATCCAAGATAGGCTGATTTTTTGAGTACTGATTTGAAACCAAGACGACGACCTTCAAATGGAGAGTCCATAATGTCACCGGTCATTGGATCGACCTTGTACAGCGGCATCAACGAGGTTTGGATGGTCGGAACAATGTTTCGACTGGGCACGGTGCTGAGACAGAGATGGAATGGGATGTCGACTGGACCGGTGACTGTGGCCACCCAATCTCCAACCTTTGGTTGTCGAACCACCATCTGGTAGACCGAACTTCCAACCATCGACACATACACTGTTGCCGTGTTTTGTACAGTGTTGTAAACGGTTCCAGTTGGATCGGTCATTGATAGTGTGAACCCTGCTGGGAATGTGTGGAATGACATTGCACAAAGACTGACTGCCAGGATCGGTGCCCCACTAACCACGGTGATAACCTGAGTACGAGCGATAGTGGCTGGGTCATCTGGTCTCTTTGAGTTTGCGTGATTGACTACCGATACAAAAGAGTATTGGTTTGTACCTCCTTGAACAAATTTGGTGTTAAAATTTGGCAAATACGACATGCCACCAAAGCCCATTCCATTGGCACCGGTAATTGATTTGTCGGTGAGGTCATAGTCCATGGGCCAGTATCCAACCAATCCAGTCTCGTTTCCATCGACAATATTAAACATGGTGCTTGCAAGTTGAGTCTTGTTAATAGCCACATTCCAGATGGTCACGTCTTCCAACTCGCCAACAAATTGAAGAGGGACTTGGTCATTGTCGCCAAAGGTGACTGGATATCCATTCGTTCCGACATCTAATGGAGGTGTTGCTGTCTGGTTGGCTATAGTAACTGTTTGTTTGACACCATCCAGCCAAATCTCCAACGATGCACCGATTCTGATGGCTGCAACGTGATGCCATTGTCCGTTTAGCGCCTTGGTGTTGCCAGTCTTTGCACGACTGAATCCTGTGCCATTGTCAGTGAGGAATGTAAACACTCCGTTGGCAGCAACCGTCAAAGTCCACCCTCCATTACCTTCACGACCTTCTGCCGACTTTCTGGTGACCAAAGAGCCAGCGACAGTAGTACGGAATAATGTAGTGACCGAGAAATTTGATACTCCAAACGAATAGGCAGTGTTTGATGGAACGACAACCTTGCCAGTGCTCAACTTGAGGACATAATCTGGTAGTACAACTTGAGGCAATGGCAGACAGTGAAAGGCAACCGTCTCTATCACCCAATCGGTTGATTTGGGGATGTTTTTGTTGGTACTATACATGTATCTTGGCCCGGCATCGCTATTTGAAATCGAGTATCGATAGATTGGAACGGTTCCATCGACGGCCGAAGCAGTAGCAAAACCATTAAAGACAGGTCCATCCTTGATCCAGCCTTGTCCATAGTTGGCATTGGTCGAGTACATGTAACGATCACCATAGACATAGGCAGAGTGGTACTGATAGATTGGTATACCTACTCCACTGTCTAGAGCTGGAGCTCTCCATGCAATCGCTTGATCAAGAGTATAATGAACAAGTTGTAGATTGGGATCAATTGCATATCTATAGTTGTAGCCTGCAAACGACTTGCTAGAGTATGATCTAACATCAATAATAGATACACCCATGATATGATATTGATTAAAGGATAATAATAATTGAAAGAGATGTGTTAATGAATATGATGAATGCGATGATGATAAGTATCAGGTGAAAGATGAATCATTCAATCATACATACCTCCTAATCACATGTGATGCAGCAGAGGAGGAGGTTGGTTGATTCGAAACATCTACGTTTAGACAAGGAAACTAAACTAAACTAAACTAAAAACAGGTTTGATGCAACGTGGTTTATGTTGATGTGGTTTTTATTTTTTTGCATAGATGATCTTCAAACGAGAAGAGCTTTGCAAACAGAAAGACAAAACTAAAGAAATAAAGACCTTGCCTTGCTGGCACTCCCTTTTTTTCCTTCTCTCCCTCTCTCTTTCTCTCTACCAACTAAATGGGTACTCCAGAAAGGGGGAGGTGAAAGCTCACAAAAAATTATAGAACCAGACAGACAGACAGACAGATAGATAAATCGAAAATAGAATAATGCACAAATTATTTGTATTGTTATTTGTTTACTTGGTGTCTACCACCACCACCAACAGATGTAATGCTCAGACAGTCTACCATCTATTAAATCCAGTTACATTATTTTGTATGAAAGGTTTGACGACGTCAGTTTCAGATGTCGATGCAGTCAATTGTGTTGGAAGTGCACAGAACCAGAAATGGACCTATGCTGCCAATGGTCAGTTGATCAACGTTGCAACCAACTTGTGTTTAGATTTCAGTACCAATACCGTTGTCTCTGTTACCTGCAACAGTGCCAATCCAAACCAAATGTGGAACATTGCCACTGTCCCATCGTATCCTGACACGTTCCAATTGGTCAGTAGAAGTACTGGAAAGTGTCTACAAGTCTATCAAGATACCAAGTATCATGGAATGATGCAAACATGTGGTTCAACAACCGATATGGGTACCAGATACCAACTATTTAGAAAATATTCTAGTATGTAGTCCATTATTATTACTCTTATTCGACATGTCCAGTCGACTTAATATTAATAATAATAATATTTTATAATCTTTTTTTTTTTTAAACAAAATAGGTATAACAGTAGAACCAACTTACAATAGAATTGCAATTGGTTTAACACCTGGAGCAAATGTTTATTCGGATGGAGCTATTTTGAGTCCTGGTTTTACTCTATCGGTCAATGATTATAGTTTGGTGCTCGACTATACAGGCCAATTTATTTTGTACTCTCCCACGAGAACTGTCTTGTGGTCGATGAGCGGTCCAACACCAGTACTTACGACTATGCCATATGGCAAGTTTACCTATGACGGAAACCTTTGTAGCTATAAAGGAAGTACAGCTGAATTTTGTACAGAGACAAACACTCTTGGAGGGGTCTACTTGAATATGGTTCCACCTGGCTCATACGATCGTCCTTGGGGCATAGTCATCCAAAACTCATCAGGAAGGATGGTATGGGGAAGATTCGGTACAAGTACCACTGTATCTGGGTTCTACTCGTTGATCCCAGGCAGTTTCCTCGATGCCCTCACAACCACAAACAACAAACTTGGCCCCGGTGAATTTATCACAAACGGTCGTGACTATCTGACTTTGACCAGTACCGGTCAAACCCAATTTTGGGTTAGTATGTATCTCGAAATAGGAAACGAACAGGTACTACTCTTCCAAAATCGATTTTAACAACTCTTTTTTTTTTTTGATTGAATTTATTTATTTATTAATTTATTTAGGAAATCCATATCATAATGGACAGTTGAAATGGGAAATGTCAAACCCAAATGGAATTGAAGGACCATTCACAACAACCATTCAAAGCAACGGTAATATTTGTACTCAAAACAAAAATGGACAAAGGGTATGGTGTGCTGCAGAGAAATCAATCGATTACTCTCGCTACCTATATGTTCCACCCAATGATGGCAACGATGTAAATTGGGGATTCATTACACACGATGGATCAAATTTTGCCGGCTGGGGTCAGTTTAATATCCCCGTTTCAACTTGGAGCAATTACGTCATGCAAGGAACAAGTTGGACAAACAGCTTGAACAATGGAGTGATCAAGGTTGAGAAAAGTTCCACTTTTTTGACAACGTTGACCTATCTCGTTCCAAATGGCCCAGTAGTGACTCTGGTTCCAGAGTACTCTGGAACATGGTCAAAGGTAAATGCTTGGAGTAGTTCAGGCAGATATGCATTCATAGCTACCAACACGGCCAATTGTGTCCAAATGTTCACCACCGTACAGTGGAAACAAGAGTTTCTAGCAGCCCAACCAAACTACTTGGTTGCCATTCCGGCCATTCCGGAATTTGTTTTACTAAACTCAAATGGACAACTCATTTGGAGTGGCATTCGTGATGGTTTCTGGAACTCTTCATCATCACAATGTAATTGGTAAATTTAAATATAATATTGGAGTGATAAATAAATACTATAAAATATAATATAATGAACAACAAGTGGATCTTGGGATCAATTTTTTTTTCTTTATAAATAGATTTTTTAATGTTTATTTGAAGATGTTGGATCCTTGTTGTACATCTGATGAACTCGGAGATGATCCTTCCACATCAAAGATTGATGCTCTTTTGTACAAAAATAGGTAGCATATCCATTCTTTGCGCAGGTGTAACACTCCAAAATAGATTCGTCGCCGCAGTAGCAGCAGGATCTCTGTGGTGGAGCGGTATGTTTGTACTTTTCTAAAACAAGTTCTCTGACCTTTTGCTTCTCTTTTTCAAATTGTTCTTGCGCTTGGCCCTGACTTAGTAATTGGTGTTGGATTAAAAGTTGTTGTTGAATGTGAGGTGATACAAAATTGTTGGTAGTAGTATTGTTGTTTGGATTGCCTGGTGTTGTGCCATTTGTTGAAGAAAAAGAGAATGCATTATTGTTGTTTTGATTATTATTACTTAGATTATAATGGTTATATCCAGTATATAAATTATTACTTGAAAAATCTTGTTGTTGTTGTTGGTGTTGATGTTGTTGTTGTTGTTGATTTCTTGAACTATAATGAGTAATATCAGGTGCAAATAATGATGAAACGCTATTGACAGAAGAGGTGGGTGGTTGATTAGCCTGTGATGTTAGATAACTATTATTTGAGAACCAAAGTTGATTCTCTTGACCATTGCTGTTGTTATTGTTGTTGTTGTTGTTGTTATTGTTATTGGTAGTAGCTGCGTTGTTATTTTTACTCAAAAAGCTATTGTTATTGTCCCATCCTCCAAAACTAGTATTGTTTGAAAATATACTATAGTATGGCGACGATGTCGACGACGATCCAGGAACAGTAGAGGATTGTGTCGGTGAGGATAAATTCGTCGATGGAGTTGTTCCCAAAAAGTTTGAATTATTATTATTATTGTTGTAAAGTATATGACTGTTGTTGTTGTTTAAAGAATTTCCATTCATTGCTCCATTTCCATTCATTACTCCATTTCCGTTGGTTGTTGAAGCTGCTTGTTGGAGTTTAGATAAAAGTGATCCGTTTGGTGTTGTAATGGGTGCAGAGTATAATGGTTGTTGTTGTTGTTGTTGGTGGTGGTGGTTGTGGTGATGTTGTTGTTGTTGGTTGGTTGATGAGTTATTGTTGGTTGGTAATTTGGATTTCGACGGTGACTGGATGACAGTTGAACCAATGTTGATGTTGGTGTGACTAATAATATGATTAGATGATGGTGAAGGTGGTGGTGAGTTGGTATTGTTGTTGGCGGAAGTAGGGTGTAATGGTGAGTTGGTGGCTGATTTTTTAGGTTTGGGACCTTTGGAGTTACTGGCTACCAAGAGCGATGGATACTCTTCTTCGTATTGTTCATTGTTGAGAACCACTGGTGGTTGGACAGGTGGTTGAACGACGCTATACGAAGGGGCTGCACCATTTAATAAACTTGAGCCAAATGGAACGGCCGTTTGAGAAACATTGTTGTTGTTGGACAATCCACCAAGAGTTGGTGAAACAGTCGTTGGTGAAATAATGGCTGGTTGTTGTTGTTGTATCAAATTATTTGGTAATGAAATTGGTGTTGTAGTTGTTGTTGTTGGTATATTTGTAAATGTTGATGTTGGTGGTAAAACTGTTGTATTTGTATTGGTTGGTATAGTTGTTGGGGTAACTATGGTAGGTGGTGTTGAAATGGTTGTTGTATTTGTATTTGAATTGGTTGTTGTTGTTGGAGTAACTATAGTAAGTTTTGGATCTGGTTTGGAAACATCTGCTTTTTTCTTTTCCTCTTTTTTGTTATTATTGTGAGTTGGTGCTTCTTGTTGTTGAACTGGTTGAATTGCTGGTTGAATTGGTTGGGGAGCAGGTTCAACCTTTTTGTAACTAGTTTGAATGTTTAATTTTTTCGATTTCTTTTGACCTGGTGTACTCCACTCGCCGTCGTTGGACAATTGTTGAGAGGGAGTGTCGCAGATGGCACAATTTTTAAAGTCGTCTGTGTTTATATAGGTACAAGCAAGACATCTCCATTGGTTTGGCTTGAGAACAACTGCTTCGTCGGGATCGATTGGGTCGCTCTTGATGCTCGCATTGTGGTACTCGTCAAAATATGCATCAGACAAGGGTGCACCATACTCGCTCAACGTGTCGCCAAGTGCCTCGATCTTTGGCAAGATGCGGTTGAGTTGGTTTAAAAGCTTGTCTCTGCTGTGTTCGCTAATGACTGGTTTCTGATCGCTCGAGCTCAATGCGTCTGGTCCGACAGCTGCACCCCTGGTCAACGATAATTTTTCTGTTTGTGATACAAATGGTATGTCTGATATATATTCAATCGCCTCGACTACCTGTTGATGAAAACGCATCACTGACTTTTGTGCTGCCGTCAACCTACTCGCAACTTTTTCATCCAAAAATGATGATGGATCCGTTATATTTCGTTTTGATGGAATTTTTAAATCTTTTAATTCATGAATACCTATAGTAGTAGAGTTGTAATGTAATATGTTATTATACAGGTATATAATATATTATGATTCTGTTGTTTGTTGTTTGTTGTTTGACATACTAGTTTTTAATTTTGATAATCTATCCTTGACATGTCTTAATTTGCAATGTTTTTCTAAAAGATTAAAAGTTTGTTCGTCTGTAATCGATTCATCCTCTTTTGGTATTAATTGTGTCCATTCTGTCCAAATGCAATTGGCGACTTCGTCAATCTAAAGAAATAGAGAGAGAGAGAGAAAGATATATATCATCAATACACCTGATTCGTTGTTGTCGTTGTAAATGTTGTTACTTACTTCCATTTCTACAAGTTTTCCTCTTCTCTTTGCTTGACAAGATTTATTTTTTAAATTTCTATCACCTAAAACAACCAAACAATCTGCTTTTGAACTAGTTATAATCTCTGCTAAATTTTCTGTTTTTATACCTATAATAATATATAATATATAATGAGTATACTTGTCATTATCATTATATCTCTCTCTTGATTTGCTTACTTTGATTATTTTCTTCAGTTTTTAAATGAACATCAATGCCACCTTCAAGAAAACTATTTTGTACTTCTTTGGCAAAACGCATGACTCTTGGATCGGTAGCATACAAAACAACCAATTGCAAGAATGGACGACGTCCAACCATTCTAGAAGGATTCGAACGACACGACATTGATATAAACTCCTCTTCATTTTCAGATAATGATAATCCATTCAATGAAGAGTTTAAAGAACTATTACCAGACAATGGAGGACTATTTGATGATGTAGAACCTCCCATACTATTATTATTGTTTGGTTGTTGTTGTTGTTGTGGTTGTTGATTGTTGTTGTTGTTGGTCGAATTTGAATTAGCTTGTAAAGCAGCTGCCAAGAATGGTGATAAATGACTAGATGGTTGTTGTTGTTGTTGTTGTTGTGTACCAGATGCATCTTTTTTGTTATCTTTCATTGTCGATGTGTTGTTTGCATAGTTGTTGTTGTTATTGTTGTTATTGGACGATCCTTTCTTTCCACCACTATTGTTGTTACTATTATCAAGTGACAATGATGGTGGTTGTTGTGACGCATTTGCTTGTAGAGCAGGTGACGAAGGTGACGATGACGCACCACCATAGCTATGCGAAAACCGACAGCTGTCGCCCAATTTACAAGTACCAGATTTAAAATATTTACATACGATGGCATATCTAGACGAGGAGGAGGAGGATGAAGAGGATGAAGACGATGATGGAGGGGCGGTCGATGATGACGACGCGGTGTTTGCGCCGCTCCACTCCTTGCTGCCACTGCTGCTGCTGCTTGTTCCTCCGCTATTTAGGGAATGATTATGTTGATGTTTTATATTCATCCCCCGCTATTTTAAATATGCTCTATATTAATATAGATATATATATATAGATAGATAAGGTAGGTTGTTATTGAGTTTTAAAATAAAATAAAAAGAAAATGATGAATGAAGCAATAGTTGTGCTTTCAATCCTTTTCTGTTTCCTAAAATAATAAATATATAAATATAAATATATGATGATGAAAGATGAATGATGATGAAGATAGATCAATAAAAAAAAAGTAAAGAAGAAGGTTAATAACGACTCTAATTTGAAATGATGCTGCTGAAACAGAGATCGACAAGAATGAAATAATTATTATTATCCCCAAAAAATTGAAATTTAGGCTGTTTAGTCGACTGAGAGAAGAAGTGTACCAACAACCAACGACAATCGTCACCTGGGGGTGTTACGTTATTCAATCAATCTTTCTTTGTTGTGATCTCTGTCAAGAAGTTCGACCCTATTATATATATATCTAATATATAACGAATCGACTCTACTCTACTACAACTTCGTCTGCTTTGTTTTTTTTTTTTTAAATGTATCATATATCTCGTATCATCTCGACCGATTCGTTTGTATCGCGATACTATTATTGTTGTTATAATCTTTGAATAGCTATTTGTATGTCGGCAGCGTTAAACAAAGTCACAAATTGTATTTAGACTCTATCTCTCTTTCTCTTTCTCTCTCTTTGAACACGCATGCACTATGCTTTGCACTGTGTTGTTGTTGTTGTGTTACTATTCTTAAACTACTTCACTAATAATATGTATTTGAGTTGTTCATAGATAGATAATTACCCTTTCTTCTTCTGTCTTGTAGAGATTACTATAATTATTATATATTGGTTGTTGTTGTTGTTGTTGTCGAATCGTTTAGAATGAATTCATTCGAAAAATTGAAGTAAAAAAAGAAAAAAAAAAAAAACAAAAAAACGAATATATTGTTAAAGATGGAAGAAATACAAGGTACAAACAAATACAAATTTGTGGAATGAAATATATTTATTTATATAGTATGCTCAACCAATTTAATTTAAAGAAAGATAAAGGAGGTCATAGAGAACCGACAGAATGCATAGCTATATATTCCAATGGGGATGGATTGGGTTGGAAAGAGATATCCCATTTCCATTTCCACTTCCACTTCATTGTCAGCCATCCACCACTCTCTCTAGAGTTGGTATGTATGTGTATGCGTGTGTTGTGTGTCAAGTGGAATAAGTGTTGGCACAAACCACGACTCATTGACCACACGATCATATCATTGACACACCCCAATAGGTTTGGACCATGCCAACTGACAGACGACATCTTCAAATTTTGATCGAAATCCTTTCAAAAATCATACTTGTTTGTCATGCTAGAAAAGGAAGGAATTAAACCGCAACTTGGCATCATGTGATGACAAACCTTCTAAATTCTACACAATCACCACTTTCAAGAAAGAAAGAGATCTCTGTATAGTCAAGGAGGTTAAGTTATTATTATTCTTCTTTTAGTACCATAGTATCCATTCTATCTATCTATCTATCCTCTTATCTATTCCAAACAAATAATATTTGGGTACCACCCACCACCGCAACAACAACAACAACAACAACAACAATAAAACACACTACTTTTTAAAAGCAGATACAATGACCTTTTATTGTTAATCGACGGTCTCATCTACCCCACCCACCTACCCCCCCCCCCCCCCCCTCCCTCTCTCTCTCTCTCTCTTAGCTACCTCAGAAATAAGAGAGAGAATCTTGATCAGAAATAAAATATTATATTAGAAAGAAAGAACAGTATAATAGATAATAGATAACAATCAATAATAATAATAATAAACAACAATAGATATATAATAATAGAATGGTTGAAAGAAATAATAGTCGTAGTTGTACTAGTAATGATGATGATAAAGGACGATCAACTATAGTAAGAGTCGGAGTTGGCGGCGGCGGCGGACTACGAGGTATCGGTCATCATCTCGTAGTAATACTACTCTTTTTTCTTATCTTTTGTACCAATGTAATATATTCAGCACGAGAAGGTATGATATATGATATGATGAATCGCGATGGATAGGATGTGATCACACCCAACAATCTATTGAAACTAACCATTTACTCTTATTATTCTCTTTTAGAATGGCAATTTGTACCTATGATTCATAATAATTCAAGGTACGGTCATTGTTTGGTTTCAATCATAACACTATTCAATACGACTACGGGAGCTGTCATCTCTTACAATGAGAGCAGTGAAGCGAGCACAAGTGGTTCACAGAGCCAAGACATTACACACAACAATACGCTATGGGTATTTGGAGGCTACAACTCATCCTTTCAACTCTACGACGACATGATATTTATAGATGATCTAAACTTGACTCTCTATCAATCCATTCAATTATCAAAAAACAATTCAAACGATAATAATAGCACAACCATTCCACTTAGATGGGGTCATTCTTGTAGTCAAGTTGGAAAAGATTTGATACTTATATTTGGCGGATCATCAAATGCTTCAGAGAGTTACTCTAATAATTCGACTCTTGGTGATTTATGGTCTTTTAATGTTAGTATGTATATTGACGGGACGGGATATATAACATATTACATAACATCTCTAAATTAAATATCTTTTTTTTAATCTCTCATTTTAGCATCAAACAAATTTAATTTATTATCAAGTTGGTCGATTTTAAATAGTTCAATAGAGATCAATACTACATCAATTGTAAATCATACAACTACATCATTTATATTACCAGAGCCGAGGACAAGACATTCTTCATCGGCAAACGCAACTCATCTCTTTTTGTATGGTGGTATCAATTCCAATGGAACGGTATTGGGTGATTTCTGGATATATAATATAATCGAATCAAAATGGACTTTAATATCAAACTCTACCGTTGAACCACCTCCAAATGGTGATCAAGATTCAAACTCTACTACCACCTCGACTACGACAACGACAACATCTGAACCATCACAAAGATCTTTAATGTTTGTGGAACAACAACAAGAAACGAATAATCTTAACATTCCATCTGCGAGATGGAGACATTCATCGATATTTGCAAGAGGAAAATTGTGGATATTTGGTGGTAAGAGTCAGGCAGGGTCTGCATTACCTGATCTTTGGATGTATGATGTGGTAGAGATGAAATGGACAGAATCACCTACTATTGGGGCCGATGAATCAGATCTAGCGAGATTTGATCATCTGATGGATGTTGACAAAAAGAGTGACAGAGGTTTTTTGGTGTATGGAGGATTTTCAACCTCACAACTTCAAGATACCTGGGTATACGAGTTTGATGAGTTAACGTGGGAGAGATTAGATGTTTCTTCCACCTATGATACTTCATCCTATGCCTCTTCATCATCAATGGTCTATAGTAGCGAACTCAACTCTTTTGTAGTATTTGGTCAAAGTGATAGTGTCACAAGTGGTGTTTGGCTTTATAGCCTCGATTGTGACTGTAATAACAAGGGTGGATGCTTTTATGGTTTGTGTTCTTGTTTTAATGGTTATTTTGGTGACTATTGTCAATATTCAAGTATGTTTAAAGATAAAAAGAAGGTTATTATTTTTACAAATCAACTATTAATATTTTATTATTATTTTAACTAGTTGACGGACCAATATTCCTTGGTTTGGGTATTGCCATTAGTGTACCTATTTTATGTTTTGGATGGTGTGTTTTAAGATGTATACCATTACCAACAAGACTCAAAATATTGACAACTTTATTATTTGTAAGAAGAGAACAATTAATTAATTAATTAATTAATTATAATAAGAGAAACTTATTCATATTTATCTCTCTTTTTTTTTTATTATTCAGACTATATCATGTTCACTATTTATTTCTGCACCAAGTTGTCTTTTATGTTGGTTACCAATATCAATTGTTGGAGTAGTTTCAAGTTTGGTTGGATTATATGCAATCTTAAAATCAAAAGGTCCAAATATTTTATGTGTTGTTTGTATCTCCAAAAATGACCATCATCATCATTTCTTTTTTGGATTGAAAAAAAAACTAATTTTTTTCTCTCTCTATATAGTTTATAGTAGGAGTATTTATTTCAATTGGTTGCTGTATTTATGGATTAGGAGCATTTTTACCTTCTTGTATGTTGGGTAGTTGTAAAAACGAGTATGTATTTTTTTTTTTTTGATCTATTAGATTTGGTTTCCAACCAACTTTAATATTTCAACCTTTAATATTATTTCCTTTCATTTATTAATGATATATTTTGAAATAATTTAGAACACCTGATAAATCATGGTTACCAAAGTTTGCCATTATTATGGACTTTGTAGAAGGTAGTTTATTAGTATTACTTTTACCACTTTGTATAAAATTGTATAGACACCGAAAGCTTATTAGAAATCTTCACAACAATCCAATGAACAGTAACTTGTATAGCGCAAACATGACAGGCTTGCCCCCTCTCATCAAAAAAATGGAAACACAAGACTCGTCAAAAGGTCGAACAGAGTCTACGGAAAAGGCAGCTTTAAATTATTTACAAAAAGAACATTATTTAAAATTAGAATTAACCAGTATAAGATTTTCAAAATTAACAGAGTAAATATCAAACTTACTATCAAAAAACTATATATACTAAAACTAATAATATATATTTATTTATCATTTAGGGACTTGAGAATTAAAATTAATAGAGATAAAGTTTTTGAAGATACATATGAACAATTATCGAAATTATCAACCAATCAACTTTTACAGAATACATTTGTTAAATTTATCGATGAGGAAGGTGTAGATATGGGAGGATTGAAAAAGGAATGGTATTCATTATTGTTTAGATCAATATTCGATGCATCAACAGGTCTTTTTATTCTAAATCCCAACTATACGCTTTCTATCAACCCGCAGTCGGCCAATCTTCCCGATCATCTATCATTGTTTTACTTTGTTGGTAAAATGACAGCAAAGTCGGTCTTGGAAGGTGTCCACCTCGACCACACATTCTCTCGCATCATCTATAAACTCATTCTAAACAGAGACATGTCTTTGGACGATCTAGTCAATGTTGATGCACAATTTCATCAGTCGCTTGTATGGATCCTCGAAAACTCTGTCAATGAAATGGAGGAATTGACATTTAGCACAACCACAACCGCACCCGACGCACTCACTGGCAATCTCATACCAATCACCATCGATCTAAAGACTGACGGCAGAGACATTGTAGTAACCGATGACAACAAGGAAGAGTTTGTACAACTCATGACAGATTTTAGACTGAGACGAGATATCACCGATCAGTCACACCAATTTGTAATAGGATTCAGAGAGATGATACCTATCGAATTGTTGGCATCTTTTGATGAATGCGAATTGGAATTGTTTGTCTGTGGTCTTGTAGAGATTGATGTTGGTGATTGGAAGGCAAATACTTACTATCGTGGATATAGCGCAACTTCACCTGTCATTGAATGGTTTTGGATCATAGTCGAAGAGATGACTATGGAAGATAGGATCAGACTACTCCAATTTGTCACTGGTAATACTCGTCTCCCACCTAGTGGTTTCCAGGGTCTTGTATCGACTGAGGGAAACACAAAATTCCAAATTCACAAGAGTTGGGCACCCTCTAATCAACTTCCCATTGCTCGTACCTGTTTTAATAGAATCGATCTTCCCAACTATGACTCTATCGATCTTCTTCGTAAAGCATTACAAATTGCTGTAACTGAAGGTCTTCATGGTTTTGGAATTGCCTAAATTAAAAGATTTAATAAATCCATAAAACGACGACTCTATCGATTCCATCTTTTTTTTTTCTAGAAAAGAGTTGAATAAAAGAGAACTAGACTATCTCTCTCTTATTTAGAATTAATTTTATTATTATTATTGATCACTGTAGAGAAAAAACAAATAACTAATTTGTTTTCATTTATGATGTTTAAATGTGTTTGATTAGATTCTATTTTCTTTTTTTTTCGGATTGTACTTGTTTGATGTAATTTTTTTATGATCTAATACCAGCCATATTAATTGATGAATCATCCAAAGATGGTGACGATAATTTAGTACCACAATTAAAACAGAATGGTGTCTTTCCATTGACTTGACCACATGTAGTACACATTGTACAATGATTTGAAAGTGATTTTGTTGGGGAGGAGGAGGAGGAGGATGAAGAAGAGTCGTCTTCATTTACGATATTTCTATGTGACAAGAGTGGATCTATTTCATGGTGTGATCGACCAGATTCACCATTGATAGAACGGTGCCAGGCGTTACCAACCCTGACACGTTTTCCACTTGCCACTTCGTTGCACACATCGATTGCGTCGACACGTCTACGAAGCTTGCTGATTGAAAACTGTTGAATGACAATCATGAGGAGTGCCAATACATTGAGACCACCCATGATACCAAAGGCGACATAGTTGAGTAGAGGAGACTCGAGTTTTTGGACGTTCAACGTCACTGGGATGTTGTTGTTGCCGTCGATACTGAGTGTAAGCGGGATGGTTGAGTTTTCGGGATGCAATTCAATGCCCATTGGGATGGAAGCTGCAGAGATTGAAATGTTGTATGTCATATTGTGTGATACAAACTCCAAGGGGAAGTTTGTCATTGGCGAGTACATATGTACATCAGAGATGTTTAGGTTTTGAGCAACCATTGATAGTGGAACGCTGACTGTCGAGTTTTCAAAGTCAAACGTAAAGTTGAGAGGAACTCCCTCTCCAAAGATACCCTTTACCAAACTATCAAGTTTTGGGTGCATTGGTGGTATCATCTCTGCGAGAGGAGTAATGCTACTCTCCCCTCCTCCCCCTACACTGAGGGGAAGTCTACTCGCCCCGGCCGGCCCGTCGCCATAGTCTTCTTGTGTGAGTTGGTTGTTGTTGGGTGGGAATGAGATGGTTGGGATAGTTTCTTGTTGTTGTTGTTCGTGTTGTTGCTTGGCATGTGTACCTTGTGCCAATTGTTCAATTTGACTGTGAATCGAAGCTGCAAGGTCTGCAAAGAATTGTTTCTCCTTATCGAAATGTTCTTGATGTGCTGGACATCTTAATACTAATAATGTTACTAAATAGAAAAGAAAATGATAAAGTAAAGAAGAGGGAAGGAAGAATAAGAAAAGTGTTGTTCAAATAATATAATTTAATACATATATCCAATTTGAATATGTACATACAAATTTCTACAAATAGAATATAGTAGACACCTATGCTAAATAGTGTCTTTTGTTTTCTAGTAGCCATAAATGATTTAATTACTCTTGTGGTAACAAAGATTATTTGTTTAAAAGTACTTGTATTAATATCACTATGAAATCGAAATGAATGATTTTTTAAAAAGGTAAATTGAAGTGGTATTGTGTGTGTTATCAAAGAGAGAGATGTACCGAAAAAAAGACCTCTTTAAAAGCTAACTATTCTTGCTCGTAAACGATTGCAAAGATTTGCGACTCATGGAGTAATGATGACATACACCGCAATAACGCGAAAAGAAATCTGCAAAAAAAAAAAATCACTTGAAGATCTGATCGATGAAGCCAATTTTTATCGGTATCCGATAACATACATATATTAATGACGTAGCATTAATTAATAGTGATGATGATGTCACTTGATGTTTATCTATTTGACAAATTAATTTATTGTTGTTGTTGGTCCTGGTTGTTGTTGCTATTGTTTTGTGGTTGATTATTGTCGTAATCAGATGATGATGATGGTGGTGGAGGTGGCGGAGCTGCATATGGTTCTGTAACATTGTTGTTATTATTATTATTGTCATTGCTGTTATTATTATTATTGTTATTGTTATTATTATTGTTGTTATTATTGTTATCCTCAGTAGTTGCCCATTGAATGGAATGAGATTGATTATTGTTGTTGAATTCACCACCATGTTGATTGTTATTGTTATTGTTGTTATTATGATCCAAAGTTTCATTTCCAACTTCTGTTGGTTTCATCTTTTTCTCTTGTTGTTGTAAAACTGGATCGATTGGTTGCTGTGGTTGGTCACCATTGTTATTTCTACCAGATGGAGAACCAGATCTAGATCTCTTGTAACCTGTTTCTCTGTCATTTGGTGGGTATCCATCACGACCACCTCTGTAGTGATCTCTATTATCTCTATTGTCTCTGTTGTCTCTATCGCCATAGTAGTCGTCTCTTCTATAGTCTCTGTCTCCTCTGTCTCGATAGTCACGTCTATCGCTTCCTCTGTAATCACCTCTACCACCTCTATGGTATCCTCCACGTCCTCCACGACCTCCACCTCTGTAAAAGTCACCTCCACCTCTATGGAATCCATCATCACCTCTTTGGTATCCGCCGTCTCCTCCGCCACCGCCACCTCTTCCTGGGCTTGGACTACGTCTATCACCAAACAACTTGATACTCAATGGCTTGGATGGTAAATGTAAATGCATAAAATTACAATAACCTCCTCTATCACATGTTCCCATATCAAATTGACGACATCTACTCTCATTAAAATCGGTAACTGGTGAAAATTCAGCTACAATTGGTCTTCCTAAAAGTATTATAATAGTTAGTATTTGAGTTATTTCTTATTTCTTTCAATGTTTTGACATACCATCATAAAATCTTCCTCTTAGACCTTCTACAGCAGCACCAGCAGCTTCTTCAGTGTCATATTTTACATAGACATTACCAATGAGATGGTCACCCAAGTTGGCGCAAACATGCATCAACTCGACACGACCATACTTTGAGAGACCTTCATGGAGATCCTCATAGAATTCATCAAAGTGTTTTTGAATCTCTTCCTGGGTGGCTTGGACTGGAGGTTGGTTTTGTCCACGACGAAGATATGGACTTTGATAAAGATTTGGTAAAATAACGGTATGACTAACAATTGGTTTATTGTGTAATCTTGAACATCTGTCACCATGTCTATAGAAAATAGTAGAAAATGTTGTTTAGTATTGAGAATATATATATATATATTTTACTTTTGTATAGTTCTACTACTTACCTGCATGCTCCAATTTTAAGGTAGAAAGGACAATTTTGTCTGATTGAAAGAAAGAAGAGGAAGAAAGAGTAGATAGAGAAAATGTGATTAGTACTTAATAAAACAAAGGGGGGGTGTTGTCTCTAGAGATTTGATTTGCAAGAAAGAAATTGATCACTCATTTATTTCAGATGATTATCAAGGTAGTATTGTTTGTTTTTTTAAATGCTACAGCTATAGCTAAAGAAATAGAGAAAGAAAGAAAGGAAGAAAGAAAGGATATATGACTAACAATTTTGTTGGGAACAATAACAAACTACCCTACTTTGAGATGATCTAAACTAAACTAAACTACTATGACAAGATAAAATAATCATGACATGGTGCACCTGTGTCTGTATATGATTATATAGATATATTATATGCTAGAGCTGTATGCTAAAAAAATAAGATAGATAGGACATTGTTTAAAACTATAATTGTGCTATATGTATGTTATGCTATGCTATGCTGTGCTGTGCTGTGCTGCTGTCATGTGTCTGAGCTTTGCTGTGCTGTGCTGTGCTATGAGAATGGTTTCAAGATAGAAAGAATATAGAAATATATGTATATGTATGATAGGAGGAAAGGAATAATGATAATATCAGTTGGTCATCCCAAATCTACTTACTGGTCCTTTTCAGTACCAAACATAGCTGCTCTACGATCTGCCATTTTGTGCTCTCTTCTTCTTCTTCTCTACGATAAATAATATTAAATCGATGACTTTGATTATTACTATTGTTATATATATATATATATTTATAATAAGATGAGTTGACAAATAAATAGTTTTACTCTCAAAGCAGTACTCTCAAAGAGACATGTTTGCGAAAATCTTTTTTTTTTTAATTTTTTTTTTTCGATTATCATCATAGTACCAACAAGCTGGTAGCTCTTTATCTATCTATCTCTACTTTAATATATAAACTTCATAGGTGAAGATACCACAACTCTAGAATAAGATGTTTAGTAGATCAATTGTAAGAATCAACAGACAACCCACCAACCAACCAATCATCACAGATAAGATAGATAGATATCTGTGATGAATGACAAAACGAATGACGATGAATTGAATGCAACCACCATGAATCAATCAATCAATCAATGTCTATTACTACAAACATAGCAATATGGAGAATATGATTACTAACAATACACAACTTAACATGTTTAGCTTAAATATAATAATGCAATTCAAAATGGATGCAAAAGAATGATTGGATACAATACAATGCAAGTTGGTGCAAGTGCGTCATCAACATTGGTTAGATCATTTTCAACTGCTTCTACTACAACTACAACAGCTACTAAAGCAGAACAAGATGCCTATCAAGCACGTGTTATTGCACCATCACCTCAACGTGGTCGTCGTCCAAACAAACAACGTCCAACCAAATTCCCACAATACTCTAACATTCCACGTATCAACACAGAGGGTTTCCATCGTCTTGCCAACATGGGCTTTGATTTCTACTTTTTGGATGTTCGTGATGAAGCCTCTTACAAGGAATCTCATATTCAAGGATCTACCAACCATCCAATTGCCACTCTTGAAAAGACTAGCGAAGAGCTCCACAAGAATGTCATGACTTTTGTGTTTGGACCAAAGGACAAGGGTTTCCCAGTTGGTTGTGAGGCTGCAACCATTTTAAATGCAAAGGGTTTCAAGAGTGTAGTGGTTCTCGAAAGTAGTGTACAAGAGTTGGCAGATATCGGTTTCTTCTATAACTCTGAAAAGGATTTAATGTAAAAACAATATAGAAAATAAGAAATAGAATAATATAATATCAACTTAATTAATTAATAATAATAAATAATAATAGTATTATTTATAATAATAACTGTGGTCGAAGTAAATAATTTATTTATTTATTTAATTTCCTTGATTGGGAAAAAAAAACATATTTTCAAAGATATCAATCCTACAAATTATCCTCTAAAGAATGAGAAGATTGATGGTGACTGGAGATATATTATTATTATTATTATTATTGTTATCATGATGATAGATAAATTAAATTATAATAATAATAATTATAATGATTTCTTATTTAGGAAAGGAAATATAAAAGGTAAACCAAAAAAGAGGTAGGATCCTTGAATGAAATAAGGGGGGGTTTGATTATTACGGGTTACCAATAGATAGATAGATAGATAGATAGATAGATAGATAGATAGATAGATAGATAATAATAAAAATATATCTAGCTTGTGCGAATTCAGGAAGAAGAAGAAGAACCTAGTGGTCAATCATGGGGCGGGCACCTTCTTGTGAGTCACACCTTAAGTTGAATAAGGGGGGGATTCACATTATTATTAATATTATTCACATAATCAAAGTAGACTTTGGTGAGGATGTTGTTGATGTTTGTTTGGTAATCTGCCATTAAGAATGAGGCAAGAGTTTTTCAAAGACAGGGCCACCTCCTTTTCCTTTTTTATTCAAAAAACACTTTTAATTTAATTTATTAAAAATAATATTTTCTTGCAGAAGTGGAGATTTATCAAAAGCTACACCACTTCACAACATCGGTCCATTGTTTGTTGTTTGTTTATCCTCCTCTGCCCTCTCATCTTAATTGATCAGACCTTCTTATCATATATCTTCTATTTATATATATATATATATTTTTATACAAACAAATAGTACTAGTTTTAAAAAGAGATAGAAAGATAGATTTAATCCAACTCACAATTAGAAATCCACCTTTGGTAAGTTTGACTTTAATTAATTAATTAATTATCCTATCTATCTATCTCTATCTATACATCCATTCCCATTCCTTTCTTCATTTATTTAATTAATTTATTGTAATAATTTATATATATATATATATATTAATATACTTATCACCTCCTCCTCCTCGTTTGTTTTTTAATAAACCATTCCACATCTCCGTAGTCACTTCACGATTCAGTCTTTGTCAATGCACCCCCCACTATTTTCATTCACATTCACACACTTGTTTATGATTTTTATTGACACAACACCTACACAAAAAAACATGTTGTTATAATAATCGATACAACATCTAAGCATTATCATAATGAATAATAACAACATGTAACAACAATACTAATATTAGTTATCTATCTCCGTATTTTTCCTTTTCTTTCTCCTTCTCCTTCTTAACCCTTCCTACTCTCCTCTACTCCGTTTTGATATTCCTTTTATATCCATTTATACATTCAACAACAAACAACAAATATTAATTTGATTGATCATCAATCATCACAGTTGATTCATCACTCTTTTAAAATTGAAGCAACCAACAACAACAATCAAAAAGTAAATAACAATAATAACAACAACAATTATATGGGTATTGTTTTAGTATTATCATCACACTATTCACACAAAACACGTCGAGTTGGAAGAACTTATCTTTAAAAGACAGTGTCTTCAAATTGCATTCCAGTAAGAAAGAAAGAAAGAAAAGAAATATCTGATAAATCAACAAATTCTTAAGAGAATCATCCAAAGTGATTAATCCATCCATAAAACAATAATTTATAGAACTGCAAAGACTACAGACAGACAAGCCAGGACAGGACGACTACTAAAATGGACGCACTATTACCAAAGAAAATTGGAGGAAGGTTAATTGTAGTTCATAGCACCTTACCACTTTCTCTAAAGAAACAAAAACTTGGAAGTATGTCTTATAATCTCAAACAATCAAACAATCAATATTCTCAACTGACCAACTCTTTATTTATTATTATTAGTGTGGACATTTCATGATAGAAACCTAAGTGCATTGGTATCATCAATTACATCTTTAAAAGAAAAAAAGAGTATGTTTTAATTAATTTGAGAGAATGCTCTTGGATTTTGTTTTATTAACCTTGTTATTTTTAGTTATCGATGGACATTTATGGGTTGGATGTCCAACAACAATGGAAGGTTCATTGATGGTAGGTGAAACAATTCAAGACAGAGAGGCACTCAACATTTTATTAAAGGAAAATAGTTGTGTATCGGTTGACAAGGTATCACCACAACTCTACGATGAGGCATGTGTGCAATTCTCTAAAAACTTTTTAAAACCTCTGTTTCACTATGACATTTCAAATAGTACATTCCACAATCCACATTGGAAAGCATACAAAGAATTTAATAGAATCTTTGCTAGAAAAATAGCTCATATCTATAGACCAGGTGATACTATTTGGGTTCATGGGTAAGAAGAAAATATAAACAAACAAACAAATAATTTATTGAATTATTAATTAACCATTTCTATATTTTTTAGAAAAGAATTATTTTTATTACCAATGTATCTTAGAACTTTAATACCAAATAGTTTGGTTGGATTTTATCTTCATTGTCCATTTCCAGCGGTAGAAGTTTATAGATGTTTATCGAGAAGAAAGAAAATATTACAAGGATTGTTGGGTGCTGATTTGGTTGCATTTCAATCATACACCTATCTCAGATATTTTGTTCAATCTTGTACAAGAATTCTCGGTGCTCCAGCAGGCTATGATGGAGTGAGATATAGAAATGAAAAGATTGGAAAGGATCATCTTTCTCATGTAGCAGTCTACCCAGAGGGTATTGATCCAACAGAAGCTCAAAAAATATTACTTTTCCCAGATGTTCAACAAAGAATTTCTGAATTAAAAGAAACCTTTAAAGGTAAAAAGATTTTATTTGCAAAGTATGTTAAATCAATAGAACAATAATAATAATGTTGATTATAATGTTTAATTAATATTTAATTTTTTTTTTATTAATTTATTTTAAAGAGACCAAGCAGAAGCAATTGAAGCAACAAAGATGAAATTATTGGCATTTGAAAGGTTTCTTAGAGCTAATCCAGAATGGATTGGAAATGTTGTATTTTTATTGGTATGCGAACCTACAAAAGGTGATGGCAAGGTAATGTCGATCATTAACGAGACTGTTGCTAGAATCAATGGTGAATTTAGTCGTGTTGGATTTATTCCAATCGAATACATGTCTAGACACATGGACTATGAAGATATATGTGCATTTTATTACATCTCTGATGTCTTTGTATCCACTCCTCTCAGAGAAGGAATGAATCTTGATACTCATGACTTTGTATCATGTCGTAGTGATAACCCAGGTGTATTAATTCTTTCAGAATTTGATGGTGCCTCTAGATGTTTTGGTGGAGCTATCAGTGTTAATCCGTATGTATACAAAATAATAATAATTTTATATATTTTTTTTTCTAACTTTTTTTTTTTTAAACTATATAATATTTAGATGGAGTTTATCACAAGTTTCAAAATCAATTCATGATGCATTGACATTATCATCTGAAGAAATAACAATCAAACATGAATACAATCTCAACTATGTACTTACCAACACCAGTTTATTTTGGGGTAATGCCTTTATCCATGATTTGTTTTCATCAAGCAATCAATTCCTATTTAATAATGATCCAAGATTATTAGATGTTCAAGTTTTAGATCAATCCTATAGATTGGCTTCAAAAAGAGTAAGAAAATCATAATATTAATAATAGTATATATCACACAAATATTAATTCATTTATTTATTCACCTTTAGTTATTAGTATTTGATTATGAAGGAACATTTTCAGCAATCTCTACAAAGAGTGAAAAGTTAAGATCAAGATTCTCATTGATTTTAAAGAGATTGGCATCAGATCCAAAGAATACTATTTATATGGTGACTAGTCGTGACTCTGTAACGATGGAGACTATATTGCAGGACATCCCAGAGATTGGGTTGGCCAGTGAACATGGTAACTTTTTAAAGTCATCGACTGGTATCCCAGCACCTGGACAATCGGGACTGGACGTATCGGCTGAATGGAAATGCCTCTCTGAAGGAGCCGACCTCAGTTGGATACCCATTGTCCAACCGATTCTCGAATTTTTTGCCGAGCGTACACCAGGCTCGGTACTCGATGTCAGACAAGTGACACTCAGTTGGAACTATCAGCAATGTACCAACGATCACTCTGACAATCAGGCTCAAGAACTACTGAGCCAGCTCATGGACATGTCTTGCAAGATCCCCATCGACATTATCCACTCTAACAAGATCATTGAAATCAAGCCATCGGGCTTTGGCAATGGCCAGGCCATGCAAATGATCATGCAAGAAAACTCGGACCTCGATTTCATTCTCTGTGTCGGTGACGAACGTACCGACAGCAAGATGTTTGAGCAGCTTGACCGCGAAAACTCTAGCCATTTCCCAATCACCATTGGCAAGAGTGACAGTGCTGCCAAGTACTATGTTAACAGTCAAAGTCAAGCCATTCGTGTAATGGACCACATCTCCTCTCCACTCAACAACAACAACGTATCGCCTATCCCCATGGCACCCGTCCAGATCAACATAGTGTCGCCTACCAACAGCAATACTCCAACCACAACTGCAACTGTTTTGATCCAAAATCCTATTGGTCATTAGAATCATAGATCAAATAAATACACTCCTTTTGCATTGTGTTTTTTATTTATTTTAAAAAAGTTTTATAGGTTTACAAAAAATATTTTATTTTATATTTGTTTTTTAACTTGGTGGTAGGTACTAGTACAAAATATATTGATCGTATAAAGTAGAAGAAAAGTAGAAGAAAGTTATAACTGGATTGGGTTCTAGATAGTATAGTTGAGTGAATTTTGGAATGTATATATTATTATTGGGATATTAGTAAATTATTATTATTATTATTATTTTGATTGATTGATTGATTTTGGGGTTTTATATTATTATTTCGTTATTTATTATTATTATTAGATCTCTCTCTATTGTATTTCATTCTTGGCATTTAATCTACTATATCGTAAAAGGGTCAAGAAAAATACAATTGGTTCAGGGACATCACCTTCGACCAAAAAGTAGCTTCCACCTTCGGCCTTTAGAGTTAAAAAGTGTCTTGTCCATTTCCAATCAATCATTGGGTCCTTGTTTATATATTCACGTTCCATTTCCTCCCAGTAGTATTCGTGTAGTTTGACACCTCTTTCTCCGAGTTCGCCCAACAACCATTCGAATATGAACCCATTAAATTTACCCCAACCCAATGAATGCGATCCATTTTGAGGCACCAAATGTTGTCCATCCCACAAGTAGGTCATACTGCTTGCTCCTCCACTATCTGCACACCATGCTGCTTCTGTGCATTGTAAAATACCGTCGCTACTATATGTCCATTCTTCCTCAAATGATGATTTAATAATTCCTCCTTTATAATTTTCTTTATATACATATATTAATAATAATTTCTTAAGAAAAAGAAAGAGAGTAAGGTTAATATTTGAATAACTAGTAATAGGGAATTAATTGGAAAAGAGTAATAGATAGATAGATAAAAATAATATGATAGAATAGTAGCAGTAGTAGTAGATAATTGTTGGCATCTCCTTTAGTCTTTTTAATATAATATCTTTTAATATTAGACCCTATTGAACACAATGCCTAAATTTAATGTTGGAAGTTCGTATCGATATAATATTGAATCTTTGATTATTATACCCTCTTTGGTCTTCCGATAATAGAATAGATAATAATATAGGATAGATAGGATAGGATAGATAGGATATTATTATTATTTCCTTACCTTTGTGAATTGATTAATACAAGAATCAAAAAATTTAAACTTTAATCCATCGATAGCAAGTGCCCATTTGGCCATTGATACCTTATCCTCTGCTGCAAAAATAGTCTTGATGTTATCTTTTGATGTAATGGAAATACAATATTGATATCCTGGTAATTCATCAATAGAAATTGAATCAATATCTTTTAATGAAATCTCTCCTTGAATTTGTTCATATTCCTAATAAAAACAATTAATTAGATTATAAATACTTTGTTTCTCAGTTTTCAGATATTTTGACATACCTCTTCAGATTGACACATTTTAATTTTAATACCATCTAGGATGATCCAACATTTTCTCCAGCCTTTTAATTTTCCATAATTTTTGAAAAGATAACCTTGTTTGTATACCTTTTCGTTTGATGTTCTGATTTTTCCAAATTGTTGTTGTTGTTCGACCATTGTCTTTACATCTTCCATATTTTGTTCAGCTGCAATTTGATAAGCTGCTTCAAATGCTTGTTCATCTACACCATGTTCCAATAAAATCTTTACAACATTTTTATATCCAGCTCTAATTGCAAATGTTAAACATGTTTCTCCATTACTAAATAGTAGTAATAGTAGTAGTAGTAGTAGTGGTTAATATATTATATTATAAATTATAAATGTTAAATGTTATATCTCTTTTTCTTTTTTTTTTTCTTTTTTTTCTTACATTGATCTTCTGTTTACATCAGCTTTATGAGATAATAAAAATTGAATGCTACCTTCACAATTCTTTAGACAGGCATGATGAAGTGGTGTTTCTAAATTGTTGGCTGTTAGATTTACAATGGTTGGATCATGCTTTACAATGGCCGACAATATTTTTGGTGAAATGTTTGCATCCCATTTTCTGACCAAATAATGGAATGCACTTGTACCATGATTATCACATACCAATGCCAACGATGGATCCTTTTGAATTAAATATTCACATGATTTGAAATTCCCATTACTAATAAATAAAAAGTTAATACAAATCAACCAATAATAATAATAAATAATAATTAATCATTTAGTTGATTGATATATACCTTGCAGAACAATGAAGTGGAGTCCAACCATGTTTATCTTTCATGTCAGCCTTTGCACCACGTTTGAGTAAAACGCTAACTATATCACTATTACTTTCGGTACATGCAACATGCAATGGTGTCTGATCAAAACTATCCTTTAAAAAAAGTATCTCTCTTGAATTTTCCTTTAAAAGCTTGTTGACATCATCCTTGTGACCTTCTTTAATAAATTGGAATATGGATGACATTCTTTCTTTTTTATGTGTGTGTGTGTGTGTGTATTGTTTACACTTTCTAAAAGTTATATGTTATATATTTATATACTACAATAAATAATTAATAAAAAATAAGTATTGAATTAATTAACGAATAATAAACTATGACGATGATGATGATGATCCATAGTAATAATAGTGGGATGAGGAGGATGTGGGATGAGGAATAAGAAGAAGAAGAGGAAGAGGAAGTGATGGTGATCGATTATTTTAAAATAGTGAACTAAAACACAAAAAGGTTGCCAGGTCTGCCCTCCTCTCGTTATTATAAACAAAAAAACGGGCGGAAATGGAATGGCAAGATCTGACAAACAGCAACACCCACCACGCCAACAGTTGTTGTTGAAAGAGAGATGGAAACCTAAAAGATTGCAAGAAGGTTATTTTTAACACCAAATCACGAACCACGATGGTGTTGGTCATGGTCACGGTCGTCATCATATCATTTGTTTAATGCAAACCATCTTATCGTGGAGGGAGATGATGGTATTGGGATCCGCCCCCTCTATCTACTGCTACTGATCGATCCAATCATTTATCTGGTCAAAATCACCCGATCGATCATTCCTTCCCATTTCATTGCTTCTCCTTTCGATTCTAAATTAATTTCAATGTAGAGTTTACATACATGTTGGTTTGTATATATAAATCTAAAAACTTTTATGTTGAAATACAATGAATAATAATGATTGATGATGATGATGAAAAAGGTAGTGTGACGGTGATGTTATTATTATTATTGTCATTGTCAACAACTCTCCCGCGTTCGGTACATATTATATATGTATATGTATATATAAATTCGACGAATACTTTGAACTCATTGCAATGAATTAATTTAATTTAAACACACTAGTATGTATGATTTTAAAATTGGTTTGTGTGTGTGTTGAATGGGTATAGATAGAGATATAGCCGTTGTTCTTTTTTTTGAATTTGTATCTCTCCTTTTTTTTTTCTGTACGTGGTGCACTACATCTATATTTGTAAAAGAAGGAGGTGAAGGGGTCAACTTACTCTTGACAATGTGCGTTGATCGTCTCGTCGACTACTACTATCTCTTCTCTCTTCTCTCTTCTCTCTCTCTTTTGTAACTCGATATAATAATGATTTTAGTATGGGGGGAAGAGGTGCCAATCAAAAGAAAGAAGAAACTCGAATCAAAGAGGAGAGAGAAGAAAAAAACTCTTGACCAAAATAAAATAAAAAAAAGATCAGATTTATAGATCTTGTTGTCGTCGATTTTTTGTGGTTCGACGACAGACGTTTGCCCATAATGATGGTCTGCCCTTTTTTATCTACTGACCCGATAAATAATAATTTGATAAAAAAAATAAAAATAAAATAAAATCAATAATCATTAAGTTAATAAACCATAAAAAAAAAAAGAAGAGGATGGGGACTATTATTTAGTATTCTAATTAATAAAGTAATAAAGTTATTTTTATTTTTTTTCGAAAGATATATTTAACCAAACCAACCTGACCAACCACTTTACTTTCAAAGAGAGAAAGAGAGAGAGAGAGAGAGATGAACTATTATGGTAAAGAGGTAGGATTGACAGCTGATAGTGTAGAGTTTCATCCTATCGAGAATGATTGGTTTGCATGTTCAACGTATCAGATTGATCAACAACACGATCTGCAATACAAAGAACGTCGTAGTGGTATATTGTACTTGTTTAAAATAGAGCGTGATCAAGAGACAACGGGTGCATTCAACTTTGTGATGAAATGTCAGGTACAGTTTGACAGCGGTATTCTCGATGCCAAATGGTCGCGTTCACAAGCCGTCATGCAACGACAAAAAGAGAGTGTCTTGGCAGTTGTATTGTCTCGTGGTGATATTCGTTACTTTAAACTGCTTGAGGACAATACAGCAGAAGGAGAATACAAACTCGATGAAGTACCTCTTATCACCAACTCTCAATACAGAATATCAAAAGGTGATGATATCTTGGCACTCTCTATTGATTGGAATAACAAAGATAATGACACAACAAACAATGACAATGACAATAACAATAACAAGATAGTATCAAGTTTTAGTGATGGAAGTTTGGCAGTACTAAAGAATGGTAATCAAATGGTACATAGATGGAAAGCACATGGTTACGAAGCTTGGATTGCAGCTTATAACTATCATGACAGTAATTTTGTCATGTCGGGTGGTGACGACTGTTTATTTAAATCATGGGATCTTAGAATGATCAATCAGGTCGATCCAGAGGACGACGAGATTGAAGAGGGTGTGACAGCAATCTCTCAAAAACGTTGTGAAATGGGTGTCACCTCTATTCATTGTCATCCGAGCAAAGAGCATATTGTGGCACAGGGATCATACGATGAGAAACTCAGAATATGGGATCTTCGGTCCATGAGAGCACCACTCTCAATCACTGATAGTCTTGGAGGAGGTGTATGGCGTGTCAAGTGGCATCCAACCGATTCTAATCGTTTAGTGACTGCTTGCATGTCGGGTGGTTTCCACATTGTCCACTATGAAAACGACGACTACTCCTCACCAACAGTTCAACACAGTTACAATGGTGATCATAAATCAATAGCCTATGGAGTTGATTGGTCATCTCTTATTGATGATCAATATATTGGTTGTTGTTCATTTTATGATAAATATCTATCAATTTGGAAACCATTTTAGAAAAAAAAGAAAATAAATACTCAACAAATCGACTATATCCAAAGTTTTTCTCTATAGATCACCGAATTCCGTGCACTTTCACCCATTCTTTTTTTTTGGTCGATCCAGATTTCAAACAACCGATCACTCTCCCCCAATGCCACCCATTTGGTTGCATTTCCATGAACTACTGAAAGTTTTACTCAACTGCAACGTAGGAACATTGTTAGTTTGTTGCTAATTGAAACAACGGAGTAAGTAGACCGATGGAGATGGTAAAACTTTTTAGAGCCCATGTCAGCTAGTGGTTAAGCTAAGAAAATGCACATAAAAAATACTTCACTTTGCGCAATCTCTCTTTTTGCAAGTTGAAACAATATAGCTTCAAATATTTATTATTATTAGTAGTTATGTTATTATCATTTTTAAAAAGAATTTTTAAACATATATTCAAATTAATTTATATTGACTATCACATGATTTCTTTGTCGGAAAATAAAGGCCGTGATCAAAATAGTGAAATAAGCTCATATTCACCATTTTGATTATTAGATATGATTTCATCATCGGTCATTCAAAGTGTTGTTGGCCGTTTGAGTCAACGAGTCATCATAAGCAATAGTAACAATCATATTATTAAAAGAGGTGGAGCATGGTTATCATCATTAGCATCAACAAATCACGTCAGCACTAGATTACAATCTAAATATCTGTGTACGATCAATAACAATAGTTTCTTCATTGGTCAATGTAGAGAATACTCATCATCATCATCATCAGCATCGAGTAGTAGTCGCAATGGTGGCATTGATAAAAGGGGATCACTAGTTCAAGAAAACTATAATGTAATGACATTATTTTCTTTCAAGACTGATCAAATCGTCAAACAAGCCGACGCACATTATCGTAATCGTCAATACCAAGATGCTGTCACTTATGTATGATATTATTGATCAACATAGATGTGGTTGTTCTTGCTTATATGTTTGTTAACACTTTTAATTTCAATTTATACTTTAGTATGAAAAAGCAATATCAAGTACCAACGACCCAATTGAATGTTCATTATTACAATCTAGAATAGCGAGTGCTAAATTTAGAGGTGGATTGTTGAGTGAAGCAATGAATCATTTTCACACTGCCACCAAATCGATTCCATACTCTCACGAAGAGACCTACAAGATATTGGCACAAGGTGCATTCATGTTGGAGTTTGATTTTGATCTACAAGTAAACAAGGAATCTAAAGAGTCTCAGACAATGTTGGCACGTGCATCAACTGCTTGGGATGCAGTCATTGATTGTGCACCAAACAAACCAGATGGATATGTTGGCAAAGGAAGATGTATATTGAAAATGAGCAAACCTCAATTGGTAGATGCCATGAGATACTCTCAAAAAGCAATCTCATTGGATCATAATTATCCACCTGTTCAATCTTTTGCTTCTGAAATGTTGGTTATTGAAAGTAAATATAATATTAATAATACCACATGACAAATCATTCATTCATTCATTATTTATCTTAATATTAATATTATTATTATTTTGTAATATATTTAGATAAAGAATTATTAGCATTACAATTATTAAATAAGTTTTTTAAAAACTATAAACAATTTTATGAAGATTCTTTTATTTATAGTATGTAGTATAATACATACATACATATAATATAATATACAATAATTTATTTATTTGTTTATTAATTTCCTTTTATTTTTTAGAAATTGATAATTCAACGATTGGAGATAATTATTTTAGAAGAGGATTATGTTATTTACATGAACAACAACCAGATAAAGCAGTATTAGATTTTACAGAGGCATTAAATTATTTACAAGAAGAGGAACATCCATCGGTCAAATTTTTCAGAGGTCGATGTTATTATGCCATCCAAAAATACAGAGCTGCATTGGAGGATTTCAATACTTTTATCAAATACAATCCAAAACATATTGCTGCCTATGAGGAGAGAAGAGACGTCTACTCGATGCTAGGTATGCATGAACACGCTGAAAAGGATCAAAAAATAGTACAAAAGGATCGTGAAAAGAAACATGACCAACGTTTGGAATCCATCCAAATGTACAATGAAGAGAGATTGGAAAGAATCAAACGTAGAAATGAAGATATCGCAGAGAAAAAGAGAATTATAAGAATGAAACAAAATGAAATTGAAGTTGCAGATTATAAAGAAAAGAAATAAATTAAAAGATTAAGAAATCTAATAACAATATGTCGTGAAGATCACTTTTCATTTGCTGATCGATTCCAAGACCAATTAGATCTTTTACTCATCATTCTGATCATCATTTGAGACCATAATAATAAACCTCGATATGACATTGAAAAACATGAATTATGCAGAAATCGATGGATTCTAGCTAAATTAGATATACTTTGAAGACCAAACATTAATATGAAGTGAAGTACTTCAGTGATTCTTCTAATTTTAACATAAACACCAACACCAACAATCAAACCACATAAATAGTACCAGTCTATGAGACATAATGTTCAACAAGCGATTAACATTAACAACATTACAAGTTTTAAATACAAATAAACCTTGTCATCATTATCGTAGTTTTAATAATCTTTGCACAATATCATATAATAATCAACGATTCAGTAGTAGTAGCAATAACAACAACAAATATTCATTCATGACAAATACAACAGAATCATCAACTGCCACGATGCAAGATGAAATATCTACCAATCAAGCAGCTGCAGTAGAAAACAACAACAACAAGAAATCATCATGGTTTACAGAATTGGGAGAAAGAATGAAAGTATATGAAAAGGAGATGACACTTTCAAATCTAACACCTAATACTGCATTCATGATAAGATTAGATGGTCATGGATTTTCAAAGTTTACTAAAAAGTTTACTAAACCATGGGATATAAGAGGTATGAAATATGAAAGAACTTTAGAAGTAATGAAACTATTATTTATTTATTTATTGATTAATATTATTTATTAAATTATATTTAGTACATAATGCAATGTATCAAGTTGCATGTGGATTAATGAAAGAATATCATCCAACTATGGTCTATACATTTAGTGATGAGATAACATTATGTTTCCCATCACTGCCAGATGAAGAGTTTAATGAAAAGGTGGCGTCTTTCCAAGACCCCAAAAGCACACTTCCATACACTGGCAAAATACAAAAACTTGTATCTCTGTCATCTGGTTTGGCATCTACACTCTTTTACAAGGCAATGTTGGAAGAAACTCAAGGTTCTCCACAACACCAATTTGTAGTTGATTCAACTCCACATTTTGATGCTAGAATATTTACTGTACCTTCAAATGATGAAATAATAGTATGTGAAACATATAAATATATATATATGATTTTGGAAGATAAAAACATGATCAGAAATTAATTAATAATCTTATTTTTTTTTTTAAAGGCAAATTTAACATGGAGATCAGCAGTTGATTGTGGTAGAAACAGTATATCTGGTATGGCACAAGCACACTTTCCACACAAATTACTTTCTGGTAAAGGTGGAGGTGAACTTAAAAAGATGTTGTTGGAATCCAAAGGTATAAATTATGACGACGAACCTGCTTGGTATAGATATGGTGTCTATTTAAAGAAACAATACTATTTATTGGATGCAACCACTCCAAAAGGTGACAAGGTCACTGCTACACGTACCAAAATAGTTCGTGAAAGTTTTGATATACGTAGATGTCCAGATTCCCTTGGCTTTTTAACGACCAAAGTACTTCCAATAGATTTTAAACTAGAGGTACCTGATAAACCTAAATCTAAATCTAAATCTACAACCACCACCACCGTTGTCGATGATCAATAAAACCAAACCTTCTTTTCTGCGCGCTCCCCTAATCCCCAACCCAAGAATCATTTCATTCAATTGTTTCATAATTCTCTTCATTTCAACATTATTGATTGATATTTCATAGAGTTCATTTTTGATTTGGTTGTTGTTATTTGTAGTACAAAATTCTGTTTTTTTTTATAAATAAAAGTAATGAGGAAGAGGGATGTTAGAATTTCCAAAAGAAGAAATAAATATTAATTAATAAACTTACCTTCGTCACTTAGTGGGTATCTACCAACCAATAGAACCTTGGTGTCCTTTAGTACCTTTTGGAGACAAGCTCCATGATAATCGCGTCCGTCCTTGGTTTGTCTTTCGGCAGACCTAATTAGAGCAATGATTGGTTAGAAGGATTGTAAATCAAAACAGAGTCCCATGTCGACATGATCAATAAACAATACCTTCCTTTCTGCGCGCTCCCCTAATCATTTCATTCAATTGTTTTTGTTTCATATTTCTTTTAATTTCAAAATTGATTGATTGATAATTCATAGAGTTCATTTTTGAAATTGATTGATTGTTGTTATTTGTAGTACAAAATTCTGTTTGATTTATTTGGATATTTGGAGACAGGGGTAATAAATAAAAGTAATTTACAATGGATTGCGCATGTTTGGATTTATTGCTTGTTAATCTTTAATTGGGAAGCAATACGGTCTATTATGAGAGAGGATGAGGTTAGTGAACAATTTCCAAAAGAAGAATTTATAAATAATTTCATAAACTTACCTTCATCACCTGGGTATCTGCCAACCAATGGAACCTTGGTGTCCTTTAGTACCTTTTGGAGACAAGCTCCATGATAATCGCGTCCGTCCTTGGTTTGTCTTTCGGCAAAATACACCTAATTAGAGCAATGATTGGTTAGAAGGAAGGTAGGTTAGGGTTAGAAGGAATAAAAGGAGAGGAGGAAGTATCCCTCACCGCCGGTGTTGAAATTGATCATCATCCGCATGAGTGAGGGATGGTGCCCCCTATAATGTCTATAACTCTTACAGTCTTGGAGCAATGTGGGCACTTGGATGACATTTTATAGTTTAATTAATAGATTATAGTAGAGTAGAGTTGAAAGGTAGTAATGTTTGAAAGTGGAGTATGATGATGATTGATGTCAAAGGTGTGACTTTGACATCGCATGATGTTTTTTAAAATTTTGAAAAACATTGTTTTTCAACCAACCCAATTGTTCAAAGAATAACAAACGAGTTGGGGGTGGTTTTCATGAATGAATGAATAATCTCGATTGGATGTAATAGATGTACTCATCACATAGTTTATCATCTAAGAGGATGGGATATTCCCAAACTATAAGATGAATGGATTCATGTATCAATGAGAGAAGTTTTTTTAGTGTCTGTTTTATATTTGGATGATTGCTATCATCCATCATAATGGATGATATTTGTAGTATAAATCTTTTGGTCAATACCATTTTATATGATTGGGACAATGACCAACTTAATCATTGATTTGAAGGCTAGGCGAATGAAAAAAAATAATTGAAATTAATTTATAGACGAACGAGTCGGTCGTTTTATGACAATTCTTCTTTTATCATATATATTTAGATATATATTCTTCTTCTTAAAAATAGTCAACACAGATAGAGATGGATACTTACAAGAGCAATAGAGGAGGTGGAGGTAGAGGAGGTTCCCGAGGAGGAGGAGGAAGAGGAGGCAGTAGCTTTGGTGGAGGCAGAGGTGGAGGCGGCGGTAGCTTCAGAGGAGGAAGAGACAACTTTGGTGGAGGTGGTAGAGGTGGCAGCAGCTATGGTGGCGGCAGCAGCAGAGGCGGCAGCAGTTATGGTGGTGGCAGCAGCTTTGGTGGTGGTAGAGGTGGAGGCAGAGGCGGCAGCAGCTATGGTGGAGATGGTGGCAGCAGAGGCAACTTTAGAGGAGGAAGAGGTGGCAGCAGCAGAGGCGGTAGCAGTTTTGGTGGTGGAGGTAGCAGAGGAGGTAGAAGAGACTATAACAATGACTACAACAATAGCTACAACAACAACAACAACTATGAAGGAGGAGATGATTATAACCAAAAGCAACATGATGGTGAATCAACAGCAACCTTTTACCAAGACAGAAATGGAAATAGTGGTCGTGGAGGTAGAGGAGGTTATAACAACAATAACAACAGATTCAACAACAACAAATCATATGAAGATAGTTACCAAGATAACAACTCTACTTCAGCACCTGAAAACAAACAAAATGATGATGACGAAGAATACTACAAACCAATCCCATCATCTAAAAAGGATGATAAGAATAGTGTAGAAGCCGATCCATCAACAAGACAATACTTTGAAAGAATTAAAAATATTTTAAAAGAGACTGAAGATGAAGAGGGTTTGTATTACATACACTACTATATTACTATTAGATAGATTCATTTTTGTTGTGATTACTAATATTTATTGATACATTTTTATTTATTATATATTTATTTAATTTAGAGAGATCAATTATAATTGATAATGCATTAAAAGAATTGGGTAGTAATGCACATATTACACTGTGTGATAAATCATGTTCATTGGTATTTGAATTCTTGATCAAATCATTCTCTAATGTGCAAAGAGCCAATTTGTTAAAGTCAATGGAAACCGACTTTATGATGGTCGTCACCAACTGCAATGGTAGCAGACTTATCGAGACTGTCCTCAACTACACACCGACCATTTTAAATGACACTGACTCTGACAATATCCAATTGCTCTCTGACACTATCTTTAAGTTGTTTGACGTATTGGTCGAAAACATTAAAACCGTATCACAAGACAAATATGCTACCTATGTATTCTCAACTGTCATTTCTTTATTAACTGGTAAAGTAAAGGAAAAGAAAGAATCTACTAAATATCAAAAGGTACGAAATATATAACATTTAAACCAAATATTTAAATTAATAGTTATTAATTATTATCTCTTTAATTCTTTTAGTCAAATGATATTGAAACAGAAGAAAGTCAAACTATCATTTATGATGTACCAAATTCATTTGGAGAGAAATTCAAGACTGGTTTACAATCTGTATTTGACAAGTTAAAGGATGAGATGGGTATGATGGTATTTGATAGTAGTTATACTTTAAATATTCTCAAGACCTTGTTTACTGTGTCCAAAGACAATACATCCTACTTTACTAAATTGACCAACAAGATTCTTTCACCTTCCGAACAAGGTCAAACTGAAGAAGAGAAATTAATTAGTTTATCAAATAATCAATTTGGTTCTATTCTTTTAGAAACTATTATTCAAGTATGTCTAGAGACAGATATATATATATATATATTTACCATTACTAATCTATTTATTTCTAGAACTCACCAAATTCAATTTACCAAAAATTATTTGCAATGTTTAAAAATAATTTATTAACATTGGCAGAACATGGATTTGGTAATCATGTCATTCAAAAGTTGGTTGAAAATATCAGAGAAGCTGCACAAATCAAATCAATGGTACAGGTAATCAAGGAGGATGATACTGTTAAAAAGTTGTTTGACAGTGGAAAAGCATACATTGTTCAAAAGGTTGTCGAAGGTTGTGTTAAATTTGATACCCAACAAAAGGATACTCTCAAGGTTCTCATTGCAACTGTCGTTCCAAAAGATCAAGAAAATTATCCTCAATTTATCAATAATCTATTAGTATTGGAAAAAAATATTTCAAGAAGACATAATGTAAGAGAGAAAAGAATTTAGTTTTAAAAAAGGATTGTTCTAACATATTTATGTAATTTTCTTTAGTTTTCAACAAGTGGAGCATTAATTATTCAAAGTATATTTAATTTTAATGCTAGTTTTAATGGAGCTGTAGTTGATGGATTTTTGAAATTGGATTCTACCAAGATGAATACATTGATCAAGGATTTGGTTGGTAGTAGAGTGGTTGATGGATTCTTGAATTCATCTATTCCAATGGTCAAGAAACAACAATTGATCAAATCACTTGCTGGTAACTTTGTCGATATTGCCATGGACAAGTATGGATCCTATGTCATTGAAAAGATCTACAACATCTCTGACATGACCATTCGTGAATCGATTTGTGAGGAACTTGCAGCTCAAGAGGAAAAGGTATTCTCTAAACCATGTGGTCGTTATGTATTGTTGGTTTGCAAGGTCAATGTCTACAAAAAGAAGAAATCATCTTGGTCTCAACAACAATCAATTCAAGATAAAAAGAGAAAAATGTTTGATGAAATTATTAATGATGATGGTCAACTAAATACAAAAAATCAAAATCAAAAACAACAAAATAATTATAGTGATACTTATATTAGCAATAATAATAATAATAACAATTATAATAATAATAATAGTTATAAAAACAACAATAACAACTTTAATAAGAGTATGAATAATTATAACAATAATAATAATAATAATAATAATAATAATAATAATAATAATAATAATAATAATTTCAACAAAAAGGATGATAGTAGTAGTCATACACTAAAGAAACAAAAAACCAAGAAACAAGTAGAAGAAGAAGAACCAACAATTAATAATAATAATGGAGGAGATGATTTTGATGAGATTGATGAAATCTTTTCAAAAAAGAAATAAAACCTTTTCTTGTTAATCGCGAATAGAAATAAAATATCAATTAATTTACCTTAGTAATATATTTTGACTTACGTGTACAATGTAATGTGATTATTCTATGGTCTACACCTGCCTGCCACCACCATCACAATTGTGCCAATAGTATTGATGCAATCAAATAAAAGAGATCATTCATTCAATTGGCACAATTGTGATGGCAGCATGAGTAACATCTTTGTATGTGGATTAAATTGGTGATTCACCAATTTGGGTGCTCTCTGTGCTTTGGACAAAGTATTTTCTAGCTCTAAAAAAAAAAGGTATTAATAACAGTAGATATATAAATTATAATTATTAAAGTGGCCTTTGGTTTCTTGAAAGGGTTGTACTAATTGCTTTTTTGTCGAGTCAAAACAAAAAAAAAAAAACAAAAAAAAAGGAGGGTAATTTAAATTTTCTCCGAAGACATTGAAAATGAACCTAACTCGACATAGAAAATTAATTCAATATTTAGATAGATAAGATTACCAAATGAAATGAAAGAATTTATTATACCAGTAGATTATGATCAATTAGCAACACCTTCAGATATATTCTTTAGTGTTAGATCAAAGGTTGAAGATGTCACTAAACTTAATCCAACTACTCAATTATCAAAATTAGATGGTATAGTGTTATCATTGTCTTAACTGTACAGTAACTCATTATAGAGTTTAGTATTAACTTTTCACATTCACATAATATATCTATTTATTTATAGACATTCAAGAAAGAATTAAAAAGGATTCATTAGAAATATTAAATAATAGTAATTTTGATTTGTTATATGCATTTATAGGGTAACTATTCAATAATCAATATATATATATATATAAATATATACCTCGATTAATCATCATTTCATTAACAATTAATCTTAATCTTCTTTCTATATTCTTTAGAAAATGTTTAAAAACAAACAAAGATATTAGAAATATAGTACTTAAAATAATACAAGGAGGTTTACAAGGATTATCAATTGCCATTCAAAAGGTTATATCAATTACACCACAACAACAAACAGATGATCATGACCGTTACAACAATCAATTGTTACAGGTTAGAAGTGCATTAAAGATCTATGTCTACTTTTTACACATTCTTGTAAAGACTCAATTGGAGAGAAGTCCACCAGAGGCTGCGGACGGTGCACAATCATCATCACAAACCCCTGCCAAACAAGGTGCAAAGAGAAAGAAAAAGGGGTCATCGGCAGCAGAAGAAGAGTTGTGGGATTCTGATCAGAATCGTGAACGTCTCATACAATACTTGTACGAGGCATTTGAAAAGGATTTGACAAGATTATGGCCAATGACACGTCCTGATGAAGAGATGCTTTCATTGGTACAAAGAGTGTTGTTTAGCATGTTGGAGAAACAAGAGAATATCAAGACTGCGTCGATTAGAATATCAATCTATTCATTTATTGTATTATTGGTCAAAAACTATGAGTTTCACATGACAACAGACGTGATTAGTGCACTCTGTCGTCAACCACTCCTCGCCAACCATCTTCCCGATCTCTATGCAGATATTGTCGAAAAGGTGCCACTCCGAACCAATCTTGTCAATCTCATCCTCACAGAGGTTGGCAGACAGGTCGAGACTGAAACCAAGGAACTCAAGAGTTTGTTAGAGTTTGTTCCAAAGTTGGCCGAGAAAATACCAAAGTACATTGTTCCACAATGGAGTGTTCTGATGATGTATCTCAACAACCAAAACTACTCTGTCAGAAATTGTGTCATTGAATCACTCGACTTTATGATTGCCGAAGGATTCGATACGAGAAAGGGCAATGGTAGCATGAAGAGAAACAAGACAAGAGATGACCTCTTTGACGCACTCATTCAAAGACATCTCGATATCAATGGGTACTGTCGTTCAAAGGCACTGCAATCGTTGACCAGTCTTGTCACCAAGCACAAGATGCCCATAAGAATGACCAATGACATTGTAGAGGTTGCCATCGATCGTATCAAAGACAGTTCATCAAATGTTCGTAGTAGTGCCCTCAAACTACTCACATGTATCATTTACGAGAGTCCATATGCTCCCAATATCACCAAAAAAAGATTCGTCAATCTCATCAATATTTTGGCAGAAATCTCTGACGATCTACAAAAACAAAACAAAGATAGATTGGCAACTTTGGATATCGAAGAAAATGAATTTGAAAATTCTCAAGATGGTGTTAGAAAAGAGGAAAAAGAAAAAGAGGATAAAGATGATGATGACGAAGAAGAGGATGAAGATGAAGATGGAAAGAAAAAGAAGAAGAAAAAAGACAAACAAGATGATGAAGAAATGGATATAGACCAAGATGATGACGATGTTGAAAAGAAGAAAAAGAAAAAAAAGGATGATGATGATGATAGTGATGATGGTTATGATGAAAATGGGAAATTGAAAAAAGAAGATATTGGTCTTGATAAAACTCTAAAAAAGCAAAAACAAAGTATTATTTTTAATTTTACACAAACTTCTGAATCTTTACAAGTATGTATAAAAAAAAAAAATCAAAAAGAAATAGAAAAAAAACCAACTAATCATTTATTTCTTTTTCTTCTAGTTACCAATGGAAAAGGTAAAACTATTTTTAAAGGAATTTTTAAGCACAAGTGGAGCTGAACTCGAAGAATTATTAAAGAAATCAAAATTACAAATTTTGAGTTGGTTGGATCAAGGAAAACAATGGTGTTTTGGTGCTGTTAGATGTATAGAACTAGTCGAATCTTCAATGGAAACGATTTCAGAGTTATTGGGAAGTACAACCATCAAAGATATTGAAGAGGCTGTCAACTTTTTCCAAGTTGGTTATGTCGCTGGTTTAGAATGTCTTAGAACTGAAGGTCTATCCAAAATGCTCCTTTTGATTCAACACGAAAATCCAGCCATCAAGAATTGTGTTTCCAATTGTTTTGGTCAACTATTGCTTCATCCACCATCCGAGAATGAACCTACCCAGGCCGCTAGAGTACCCTATGAAATTGCTAAAAATCTCATAGACATTTCAATCAACAAAACTTTGGGTGAATTAACTTCCTTGGAGGATATTCTCTTTGAATTGGTCAGAGAAAGGACCAAGGAGACAAAAGAAAATGGCAAAGTGGTAGTTGATAAAATTAAACATTTTATTCATGATAATGTTGTTAAATCACTTTGGGATATTTTTGGTATGAAGAGAAAAAGAAAAGGAAAATAATAATAATATTAATATCAAGATTTTATTTTATTTTAGAGGGAAAAGTTACATTATATAGAAGTACTTTAGATAAAAGAGGAGCTATTTTAGTTTTATCAATGATTGGTAAAGAACGTAATACAATTTTTGGTGATAAAATTAAAATATTGATTTCAAAAGGATTAGATTCTGTAAGTATAGATAGAGACAACCAACTAAATAAGTTATATTAATATTTTTAATTTATTTTTTAGGGAGATATGTTTTGTTTAAAATATTCATGTATTTGTTTACAAAAAATGAGAAAAAATACAATCACTGATCCAAGATTGGATAACCAAAATACGCTTTACAAGGAATTATTCACAAAATTGACCAATTTGGTTCTAGCCGAACCAAAGAATCAAAATGGATGGGTCATGTTTGCAGAACAAGCAATCAATGCAATCTATTCACTCAGTAGTTTGCCCGATGAATACATGATGACTATTTTAACAAAAATGTCAGATGCAGTCACCAAAGACTCAACCGTTTCATTGGCTTCAAGATTCTTTTTTGTCATTGGTCATATTACCATCAAACATTTGGTCTATATTGATGAAGTCATATCAAGAGTAACACTCGAACGTATACAGAAAAAGGAAAAGGAAAAGGCTGCAAAGAGCGAAAAGAGTGAAATGGATAAGGAATTGGAAAATATTCAAGGTGGTGATACAGATGATGGTGATGAATTCCTTCAACCAAGAGCTCAAAAAGAATTAATTTCTCAAAGTACTTTAATTGGTGCACTGAGTGAAATTATTGTTACCATTTGTAGATCTTTTGATGATTTGGTATGACAAGAGATTGATAATCAAAGAGTTTAAAAAAAAAAAAACTAATAGTTGTATTTATTTTTTATAGGATGATGATGAAGATTTACGTTGTTCTGCAGTATTGGCTTTTTGTAAAATAATGTTGGTCGATGAAGACTTTTGTAGAAATCATCTTCCAACGTTGATTGATATCTTGGAGAAATGTAAATCACATCGACTTCGATCGAATATTGTCATCTGTTTGGGTGATATGACTATTCGTTTCCCAAATTTACTTGGAGAATATACAACAAAGATCTATGGACAATTGGACAATGTTGATCCACTGTCAAGAAAGGACGCCCTCATGGTTTTAATGCATCTTATCCTCGCAAATATGTTAAAGTTTAAGGCACAAGCATCAAATATCGCAATTTGTACGCAAGATCCTGATCCGGTCATTAGAAATTATGCTTCATCCTTTTTCCGTAAAATTGATCCAGATGGTAAAGTATCTCTGAAATTTTAAAAGAAAAGAAAATAACTATATTTATTGTATCATTAACCATTTTTCTCTCTCTTTTTTTTTTTATGATTATTATAGTTATATACAATCATTTACCAGAAATTATATCAAATCTAAATGATAATGTAAAATTAAAACCAAAACAAATTAGATCCATTTTTGAATACCTGTTATCATTTATAGAAAAAGAAAAAAAGAATGAAAATATTGTAGAGAAACTTTGTATTAGATTTAAAGATTCCAAAAGTATGTCAAACAAAAAAAAAATATTAAATGAAGAGTTTCACTAACTGGATTCTGTTCTTTTTTTTTTTTAGCAACTGGAGAATCACAAAATATTGCATTTTGTTTACAATTATTAAAGTATAATGAAAAATCGTTACGTACTTTATTAGACAAGTACAAAATCTATCAAGACAAATTGGCAGATGACGAGACTTATGGTTTTATGATTGCCATTATAGCAAAGGTAAAGAGAGCTCATCCACAAAGATCGGGTGAAATGAAACAGTTGCTCTATGAATTGGAACAAAAGTTTAATATCAAATCCAATGAAGACGAAGATGGAAACCCAATCGATCGTGAACAAAATGTTTCTCCCACTAAACCAAAACCTGGCAAACCAAAAGCAGCTGCAAGAAAGAAAGGTGCAGCCTCTAAAAAGAAAAAAGATGCGTCTAGCGATGAAGAAGAGGACAATGACAATGATAGCGATGATGGAATGGATGTGGACACTCCCAAAAAACCAGCTAGAACACCGAGAAAGGCCGCTGCCACGAAAAAGGTCATTGACGACGACTCTGACGATTCAGATTCAGATTCACCATCACCATCAGACTCTGGCTCTGGATCAGAAAGCTCAGACGAGTCTATGGAAGACCTATCCCCAAAAAAACCAGCTCCTGCAAAGTCTAAAAAGAAACCAGCAGCCAAACCAGCCTCAAAACCCACCAGCAAAAAAAGAGCAGCCAGTAAAAAAGTAGCCGAGTCTAGTAGCGATGAAAGTGAATCCGATGACAACTCTGATTAGCCTATTAATAAAATAAAATCGCGAACGTTTTTTTTTGTTTTGAAAAAATATCGGTGCCCGAGCTCCTTTGCAATGGGGAGGTAAAAGACTTTGATTTTTAACAAAATCGAGCGTCCCTGAGTGTCGTTTCGATTTTGTTAAAGCTCGAGCTTAAATTCAGCCTTTAACCTTAGGATTTCGAATAATCCGTGTTGAATTGAGTGAGCACTTGAAGCCATTGCTCTCTCTCTCTTATTGTTTCTTTCTCTTCCTTTAAAACGATTAAAAAAAAAAAGAAGAAGAATCTTTATCATTCTTCTTTTAAAGTATTGTGGTCCTCATTTGATCAACTTCATCATCTTTTATTCTCTTTACAATCCCCAATCACTATCAGATACACAGTGTTTTATCTTTTTTTTTTTTTTTTTGAATAATCACCCAACAAAAAAACAGAACCATAAAGATGAATACACTATTTCACTATTATTTATAATCATTGCTATATGTGTAGTACCATCATATCAACAATTTGCAACTCACACTTGGTCAGGCAACGCTGGTGACAACAATTTTATGAATGGTGCTAATTGGATTCCTATAACAGCAGCACCGAATGCAAACTTTAACATTATCATCGGTTTTGGTACGTCAATCTATCTTGACGGTAATGTACAAGTCAACTCGCTCACAATCTCACAGGCCTCTAGTAATACACCTGTAAACTTTGAAATCCGTGGAGGTTCAAAACTGACGACACAACAGGTCAATGTCATAGCTGGAACTCTCACTGTCAACGGAGCAACAGTTGTTTCAAACGACTTTTATGCCAGCAGCACTGGAAATACTGTTCTCCTTGGACAAGCTTCTCTTGTAATCCCCAATATTTGGGCCAACGGCACCTCTGTTGTAACGACAGCCGGACAAGCTAGCATCAATACCACCTTGGCCACTTTTTCACAGAGTGCAACCTTTAATGCTTCCTCGTCTACCCAATTCAACGGTGATTTAAAGATGACTCAAACCAGTCTGTTCAAGGTTGTAGGTCCAGGTGCAACATTTACTGCTCCATCACTCGTTACCTATGACTCTGCAGTGGTGACCACTCAGGAATCTGCCATTTTGTTAAACAAATTCGATGCCTACTCTACCCAAACCTCTGTATTCAACCAATCCATTGTTACTATCGATGGAGACATGTCAGTAAGCTCCCAGTCATCACTCACATTCCAAAGCCAATCCATCTTTACCATCATGAATGCAGATGCATTGACAACTTCCATTTCAGGTCCAGTCAAATTCCTCCAATCCCGATTCGATATTGCCAACACATCTTATGTCCCAGTATTGGCTGCAAACATTACCGGTGTTGCCTCTGAAATCAATATCTGGGGTACCATTAAAATTGCAACCAATGTTAGATTCGATTGCGCAAGTTGCAACATTACAACCAATGATGAAGGATATATCAGATTTGAAATGAATTCACGTACCAATTGGACAAACACTCAATTTATTAATAATGCTAAAGTTTTCGTTGCTGCCAAGGTAATTATAAAATATTTATCTATATCTTTGAAAATATTAACTTTATTTATTTATTTATTTATTTATTTTTAGATGCTAATGCCATTTGGAAATAATATTTTAAATACAGGATATCTTGATTATTGTGCCGATATTTTTATTGATTCTGTCAATAATACCGTCGCTGATACCAACACTTCACACATTATTACCAATACAGGACAATGGATTTGTTACACACCAATGCACAATATCATGAGTGCTCCATTCCTCAATCAAGGTGAAATCAAGATGACACGTGGAAATGTGACATTTAACAAGTTGAGACAAGAATCTGGAAGTATCGGTCTACTCAACGGTATGCTCTTTTCAAACAATACTATTGAAATCTTGGATGGTCTTTTGTATGGATCAGGTAGAATTTATGGTAATGTCAGCAACTCTGGTCAAATCTTTAATATCACAGATATCAATAATCCAGTTTCATCTATTATTCTTACTGGTTCATTGAATCATACTGGTTCAATTGGTATTATTATTACCAATACTACAAACTTTTCATCTTGTATGTAAATTAATTTAATTACAAAGGTATATTTATTTATTTATAAATAATTAATTTAAATGTAGTAAATATTACACAAAATTTAATTGTATCAAATGGAACATTAACAATCAAGATTAATCAAGATGTTGCAAATGGAACTGAAATTAATTTGATGCAATACAGTCAAATGGAGGGAAGCTTTTCAAAGATTAATATTGTTACCTATGACCCAGCAACTGGACAAGAAAAAGAAGCAGACGAATGTAAATATACTACTAAGGATAATGGTCCATCCTTTTCTTTGCTTATTGGCAATGACGAATGTTCAGATATAGGTGATGACAAAAAAGTTCCAAAAGCATTGATTATCGGTTTGGTTGTTGGTATTGTAGGTGCTGCCTTATTGGTTGCCCTACTAGTTGCCAATCGTACTAGAATTAGATTATTTTCAAAGAAAACCTATAATATTCGTATGGGTTCTAAAAAATAAATCAAACAATATTCAATTATTATTATTATTATTTTAAATTATATATAAGTATTATTATTCTCTGTGTCAATTATTATTTATTATTATTATTTTCTGTGGCCTATCTTTTCATTATTATTATTTGTTTTTTTTTTTAGAGCTTTGAAATGACAGCATCAGTAAAGTCCTTGGTACCAGAGTTACCTCCCAAATCCTTGGTGGTAGCCTTACCTTCGGCGATGGTGGTAAGGATGGCAGATTCGATACGTTGAGCATGTTCGTTGAAACCGAGATGACGCAACATCATAATACCAGAGAGCAAGAGGGCAGTTGGGTTAGCCTTTCCTTGACCGGCAATATCTGGGGCGGTACCGTGGACGGCTTCAAAGATGGCAGCGCCATTCTCACCGATATTTCCAGATGGGGTCAAACCCAAACCACCAATCAAACCAGCACACAAATCACTGACAATATCACCATAGAGATTTGGTAAAACCATAACGTCGAGCTTTGATGGGTTGAGAACCAACTACGAAAAATGGGAAGGAAACAAATTTGATTAGTTAACTATGTCATATTCTTCTTTTACCTTTCTATCTATCTATCTATCTATTGTACATACTTGCATACAGTTGTTATCAACAACCATTTCTTCATATTTAATAGTTGGGTAACGAGTTGAAACTTCACGACAGGTCTTGACAAACAAACCATCAGATTGCTTCATAATGTTAGCCTTGTGAACACAGGTAACCTTTTGACGGTTATTGGCCAAAGCATATTGGAAAGCATAGTTGGCAACTCTTGCGGAAGCTTCCTTGGTAATGACCTTGATACTTTGGGCTACACCCTTGACTGGCTAAAAATAGGAATTAAAAAAAAAATATTAATACTAGTCCCAAGTTTGTTGTAGGTTTTCATATCGTTCCTGTCTGTACATACCATATTTTCGATACCTGAATATTCACCTTCAGTGTTTTCTCTAATGACAACAGTGTTTACGTCATCATAACGAGTCTTGAAACCTGGAATAGAAAGACATGGACGAACGTTGGCGTAGAGGTTGAAAGTCTTTCTGAGGGCAAGGTTGAGAGATTGATGACCAGTTCCAATTGGAGTACCCAATGGACCCTTCAAACCAACCTTATTTCTGTGAATCGATGCAATGACTTCGTCAGAAACACCAGTTTGGGCATTGACGTTAACGGTTTCCCATTCAATTGGTGCCTTGGCAGCTGCAAAGATAATCTTGACAGCATCTGAAATCTCTGGACCAATACCATCACCTGGAATTAAAGTAACCTTTACCTTCTATATAAATTATATATTATAAATGTTAAAATATATTGATTAATCATTATATGTTTTGTATGATATGATGTTCTATATGTGGTCATATTGTATTGTTGGTTGTGCCATGATGATGAGTAAGTTATGTCTCTTTGTATAATGATCGAAAAAGTGCTGTATACTATCTAAATCTACAATGACATCTTGTTGCTGTCCTTGTTTCATTCATTCGTTCATCAACCAACTAATTACACCACTATATATGATCGATCATAAATGTTTTCTCTTTCTCTCTCTCTAATTTACATTTGCGGTGGAGTATTGTCTAATAGAGATATTAGATAATGATCTGACAGCTGATTTGAACATCTTTGACTATTCTATATTGAGATAATATATAATCGAAAAGGGGTGTATAATGTTTGAAATTAACGACACGAATGAATGAGTGATCAAAAACGAAAAAAAAAAAAAAAAAAAAAAAAAGAAAAAGCTTTGCAAGTAAATTAATTTATTGTCAGTTTCTTTGCAACAAGATCTTGCTATTGAATCTCTTTTAATTCTATAGACGGGTTTCTGTTTTCGGTCATCGATGGTGAATTATTACTATTATTATTACTATTCTTATTCTTTCCATTGCTACCATTGCTACCACCACTACTACCAACTCCAACAACATTATTATTATTACTGTTGTTACCAAAAGATAAAGCAGATGATATGGATGAAGAGATGATGGCTTTTGATTTTTCCCATGGAGAAAGATTGTAGGCATAGAGAATACCAAGTGCAGGTATAATCTCTGTTATTACCAATCCGACAAATGAAAAGGTAATGTCTGACAACTCGGTGGCCACCAATATGAGAACAAAGAAACAATGCAAGACAAACCCTATCGAAGAGGTAATCGTAACGACATAGATCTTGCGTTGTGTGTCGCTTACAGCATCCGAGGAATTCTTGTTTCCCTTGGTTTGGTGGTCCCTAAACACTTTCATCATGTTAAAAATGTTGATACCGAGATAAAAGAATGCACCACCAATAATGAGCGAGATCACTGCCTGAAAGACTGCATAGACAATGGATACAATCTTTTGAGGTGGTGTTGTTTGGAGAGTGTGGAGATACCGTCCACCACAATTGTTGGTGGGTACTTCTGCCACTGTGAAATGGAATACCAAGACAATGATGATGAATAGGATGTAGAGCACTACATTGACGCTACCAATCATGAGTGATATACGCCTACGGAAATTAGATCTTCTCGTATTACCATTAATGATAATATACCAGAGTACAATGATAATGGTAAATGATGAAAAGTAGATAAAAGTAGGCAACACGACGAGAATATAGTCTGCAACGGCCGAGTTTTGGAGGGTACCAGATGGTAACACGAAAAAGTAGACCGCCCGAATAATGATAAACGTTGTGACAGTCAAGACCAACAAATGAACGAGCTTGAATGATTTGGCGAGTACCAGTCGATCACGCAACGCTCCAATACCAAGCTGGAATACTCCCCACACTCCACACAACAAGAAAAGCACGGCCAATGCGTAGACCAGTTTTGTGGCATTCTTGTCAAATGGTTTGTAGGTTTCACTCTTGTAATTATCCACACGCACAATGGCAAAGTAAGTGTCATGAGCACTAACATTTTCAAATCTTGCACAAATCATCTTTACTCCATTTCTTTGTGTATCAGATATAATTTGGGTAATCATTTCTAATGGAACCAATATATTATTATTATTATTATTATTATTATTATTATTATTATTATTATTATTATTATTGTCTTTAATGAATGCAAAATCGTATATGGGATACATATCTAAATCTACAAACCCATCTTCTTCTTCATCTTGTTCACTAATATCATCAAGACAGACTATAAATGATTGAGCACCATTTGAATTGATTTTGATACCATCTGATATGATTGTACCGACAACAGCTCCATTTTGATTATAAATGGCAAATTCTGGTGGTTTGGTATATGATACAAAGTTGGAGGAGAGTGTTTGAACGGTTGTAGATTTGTATAGTTGATGACTGACCATACTGACGAGTACACTTGCACAAAAGTAGGGAACTGACTCTATTGTGAAATTAATTCGACCATAACTAAATTCAAATGCAGATTCTTCCAATGCGCATGGGTTGCTCTCACCTAGCAACAATGAAGAAGATGAAAAACAAGAATCACCTCTCTTTTCATTACTGCAACTACATGCTATTGATTCGAGGTTGTCTTGAATACGTTCGACTCTGCACAATGACGATGATCTAAGTGCTTCGGATATACCAAATTGATGAGAGATGAGTATTTTGGAGGCAAAGTTTTCAAAAGAGAGGACTGGACGCATGGCAGAGGGTGTTATAAATTGTGGTGATGATTTCCAACCAGTGACCGAGACATACTTTCCCGGGATCCAATGGGCATTGGTCCATTTAAATTTGTTGGTCCATTGGTTGAGAGTCGATTTACATGAATCACATTGTTGACGTGTCATTTGATTGAATCGATAATTCAATCCTATAAAGGTTATATATTCAGTGACGATTTTACATCCCATCTGTGATGTACATTGTTGTGCCGATTGAGATGGTGTCCACCATTGATAGACAACCGAACCATTTGATAATTGTTCGCATTGTTGTCGTGTTGTTATGTTGGGTGTAGATAGGTAACACCCATTTGGTGAATCATTTTCAGTTAAAATATCACATGATGGAAGATATGATAACGGATTGAGAGCACGTTGATTACGAACACACTTTCCTCTATAGTCTAGGTAGTTTTTGTTTCCAGTTTGACTTTGTTGAAAGAAATAATTGTCTGAACATTCACCTCCATTGTTTAGACAATCTTGTTTGTTGGCACAAGGTATTTCTTGAATGGTACATATGTTGTTGATGGATGGGTTGGTGCCATACGGACTGTAACATTCCGATATGTCATATTGTTGACATGTCACCCATACATCTGTGCAAGTTGATTGATTTGCATTCAATTGAACTTGACAATATCCAATCTCTTGGTTCCAAACTTGACCAATAGTACTTGTACAAATAGATTCCAGAGTGATTGTTGGGTTGATACAAATACCATCACCAAGATGTGTAACACATTTCATACCACATGACTGATCACATATTCCCAAAAGATTTTCACAATCTTGTTGTGACACACCATATCTATACTCTCCATTGGCCAATATACAGATAAACTGATCGATAGTACAATTACTTTGATCCAATTCCTTGATGTTGTAACATTCCTGTTGGTCTTGACAATACGAACAGAATCCTCCAAATGCTTGGCAATCTACTTGTGAGAGTGGACCTTGCACCGTGCAGTACTGTCCATTTAGAGTACAGTTGGAGTGATAGTCAAATTTACTATAACGATATGAATTTTGTGCTTGGAATCGATAGTCCATTGCTACATCGTGAATCGTTAGACACGCTTGATCATAGCAATCTGGCATTGGATAGGATTTATCGAAAATGATCTTTGATTCACCTTGAAGATTGACACCATGCAACAAATGGAAATGGCGAAAAGACAAACCATTATCAGATACCAAATCGAGTGCACAATCATTTAATTTGAAAAGGTCGTAGAGGGGATTGATAAATTCAATCGACAATGGGTCTTGACCTGGCAAATCGAATTCAACCTTTAGGAAATACGATGAAGTGACTGGTGATTGATCCAATACACATGCAATATAATCCATATCTTGATATTCTATTGGTAATTCACAATGTCTTGAGAATTGATTGCAATTACCAATAGCTGTTGTTATATTATTGTTGTCAAGACGTAGATACTTTAGCAAGCAATCTGAATCCTCTGAACAAACAGTTGGAGAAGAGTAAATTTCTTGTTTACAGTTGGCAAGAGCATTTGAAATATTGAATTTAAATTGTTTGATTTCATGGTATGGTAGTTGACATGCGCCATTGTCTACATCTTGAATGGATTGAAAGTAATCAGAGAGAATGGATTGTGTGCACTGTGGCGAGTGACACTGATCTGATACCTTGTCACTGTTTGCATTTGTAAATATGGTACGAGTATGTTCGACTGGATGTGGCTCACAACATTGGAAAAATAACAGAGCAGCATTGCAACAAGGGTCTAGAAGAACCCTTGGATCAGACTCGTTGTAGGGATAGCTCACCACCTGAACAGAAACCTTTTGATTGGTGGTTTCTGCCATCTGGTAGGCTTGGTTTGAACAACCTGTCCAACCATCACGAAATGTCAACACATCAATCTGGTATCGTAACGAAGCAACCTCTATAAAATCTTTGGTTTGATACATTTGTTGTTGTGTTGTGTCTATGAGATTGGTAACCGCGAGGAATTCTGTATAGTCACATGTTGGTGTCTTAATATCAAACTTGTATGTACCTGTTAAAGGGGTTCCACTAGCATCGACCAATACATTGGTAAACTCTAATATAGCGTTGCTTGCAATCGTATCAAAACTATAGTATTCATAGGTATGTTGCCACGACGATGAAAGTGCAATGTTGATTTGATAGGCTGCCGATTTAAATGGATTGTTTGTTTCATTGAGATTGATGACTCCATAGAACCCGTAATTAGACATTTCATCGACGAAAAAGTTGGGGATGGGCCAGACAGGGTTACTGTATTGTCGGGGATAGTTCATAAAGAACATACTAGAGCTTGACCAGGTTGCAGACTCGAGTGGATAGGTACTACTACTGAGAAAGATACGACTTGTCCCTTGTATTTCGTATGTACCAGCAAGAGGGTTGGTCGATGAGAAGTTGAATAACGCGAGGTTGGTATGGTGACGTGTGACGGTACAGAGAAAGCCTGATGATTCATAGGCATTGATCTCAATGTACAAAGAGGTTGGTTGGTTAAATGTGGCGACAATATAATCGTCGCTCGATTGATACCCTTTCCACTTGTAACTTGTTGGTGGGTATACATCTGACATGTAGATATCCATGTCACCATCGATTGCTGGACATGCTACTGTCACAGTTTGTGGTTGGTCTACAACATAACTATAAAATGAACTTGTACCAGCCGACAAATATCCAAACAAAGAATCACCAGAATTGGTGCATTGATATCCACTTGTAATATTTGTACATGCTGGTGGTTGGATAGAAGAGGGTTCAGGTACTTGTCCAGAATAAATGATTATATTGAATTGAATAAACTTGGAAACAGGTTCAATGGTGATAAAGTATGTATTGTTGGTCCAGCTTGTAGTACTGACAAATGGAGGTATATTATCGGTTGGACATATATTGATTCTTGTATTAAACCGTACTCCTTCTGTCACGATTCTACGTGGTACTGCAGTTGGGTCGATTCGAGAATACACTCTGTACTCTCCCATCTCTGGCATTGCATAGATTAGTATACCCTGACAAATCAATGCATCTGCCTTTAATCTTAGCTCCAAACTACCATCATTCAAATCTCTTGAAAATGTGTACCATTGATTAGTTTGAATCTCTTCCCAAGTATTTGTTGTTGATGACGGTGGACAATAGAGATATTGTGTAGTAGTATTTGTTTCAATGTCAAACGTTGAATAGGTGGATGGACAAACAACACCAGGACAATTAGTTGCACCACCAACAGGTTGACCACAACCAATCTTTGATGCATAGTCACATGTACAATCGACAGTTGCAATGGGACAAGTAAAATTAGGACATGCCACTGAATGATAGGTGTAAAGATCCTGGTCAAATTCAAAGTCACCTACTGCAAATTCAAAATCTACTCCAATAACATTGGTTTTCTTGTAAATGATATCTTTTTTTAATATATTTATAGATATTGTTATTAAAACTAAACAAGATAAAATCTAAAGAAAGAGATATAAAAAAAGATTAATAAAAGGGTTCTTATTCTTTAGGATAGATGTAAATGTACATACAAATAATATAGATTTATAATTTGAAATCATTATTACAATGAGGAGATTCTATTCTTTATCAAATCTCCTCTTTTCTTTTCTTTTTGTATATCTTTCTCTCGAGTTAAATGATAGGCAAGGTTTAACTTTGTATGATCTTCAGAAGCCGTCTATGACCGAGTTTGTTGTCTTGACATTGTTCATGAAGAAGAACCTATCATCAGCAGTGCATTAAGTCGGCCTACCATCTTTTGTTGAACCACCAGATCTGGTGTCTATGAAGATTGTTCTAAGGTGTGCAAACAGCACAAACAAACGAAGTGGAACATGAAAGGACACTAAATATCTATAAATAACAGCAAACCTTCATCTTCTTATTTGTATTATCTATGGATAACTTGTATGAATGATGATTGAAAAGTTGTGGGTTGCAAGTGACTTATCTTTTTTTTTTTATTATATTTTATTTTCTACTTTGGTTTGACTTCCCGCTTCTTTCAGAGTTCGGGACAAACGCAAACCGAAGTGGCATAGTTCGCCAACAAGATCAAAAAATTTAATTAATTTAATTTTTCGTATTTAGCGAAGGAATGCATAATTATGAACACACCAAAATATTTTGTATCACATAGAAGAACAACAAACAAAACAACCTTTACAGATAGATAGATAGATAGATATTTTTTGTTGGTTGTTGTATAAGTTGGATAGTTTGTTATATTAAGATAATAGTCAACAATACAACAAGTTAGCAGGTGTGAGGTTATTATTGGTTTTTGGTAGAATACATCTCCTCCGACAATAAAATACTAGATAGATAGATAAAATAAAATAATCAAATCAACAACACACACAACGTAGTTGCACTTCCTTCTTCCTTCTTCCTTCTTCCTCTTCTTCTCCTTCTTCTTCTTTTCTGTTGTTCTGGTTTTGTTGCAACAACACCATTATTAGCAATACGCACAGTTAACAGATAGATACACGATATATACACCCGAGGTGGTTTTCAACAACACGCACACACATCAACAAAAACACAACTGACACCATCAGCATTCTGGTATAAAAAAAAGTAAATAGTCCCTACCCACCCCACCCTCACTGTTTATACTTCTGTTTATTATTATTATTATTTTATCATTACCCATGATTGAAATGATATCAGTTATTATTTATATTTTATTATCTATGTTGTGTATCACATGTGATGATACATATATATCAGGCATACATACACATACATAGACATAGAGATAGATAGATACATAGTCAGTTACATCATTTATATATATTTGGGTCACTTGTTCTATCTATCAATTTATCTATTTTATGAACTCATATATTTTATAAACTAACTAAAATAATAATTCAATTTATTAATCATCTTTCCTTTCTTTTCCTTTATTTAAATTTTTTTTTTTTTTTATAATCTAATCTATAAATCTATTTATCTATCTTTCAATCCAATCAAGTGAAAAAGGAAATGAGAAATCTTCAACACATTCAATTGAAAGAGATTGATGATGATGATGAAGATTTCGAGCGTGATGGAGACGACATTAAACCAAGAAAAAAGACATACAAGTTGAATGAAGATGTCGACGATGAAGACCGTTATGTCCGTGGTGGTGGCTCTGGTAAAATGCATATTGGCAAGCTATCATCGCTATGGCACACAATGACTGCCACTAATTTTAGAAAATCTGTCCTTCTTTTGTTTTCTATCCTTTGTATTTTGGCTGTTACCATTACCTTGTCATTTACTACAAGACATTCTGGTATGAAAAAGAAATCAAAAAAAAATATTTATTTCTGGAACGTTAATTATTTATTTTAATTTTATCCATTTTAGATTTAAAGATTCCAAGTATTGCACTTTATTCCGATATTAGATTGCCAACATGGATTAAACCAATTCATTATTTGGTTTATATGAAGGCTGATATTCAAAATTTAATTTCATCTGTATGTAAAATATAATTATAATTTATTCTAAACTATTTCTAACTGTATATTCGATTTGATATATTTTTTAGGGAACGGTTGTAGCAACTTTAAATATAAGTCAAAGTCATAATTTTATAGTTGTTCATGGAGAAGATTTAAATTTAACAAGTGCTCATATCAATGCTATTGACTCTGTAGATACATCTTATCCAACATCTTATAATTATCCATCTTCATCATTACAATCTACATCGATTACCTATGATGCAAATAATACCTATTATATTATTGAATTTAGTGATGAATTATCAAAAAATATCAAGGTACTTGTTACTCTAATTAATCATAATTTGGTGATATTTCTAACATTCTATTTGTTTTTTTTTTAATTTAGGGAGGAAATCAATTTTTTAATTTATATTTATCATTTAATTCAACACTAAGTGATAACAAATTATCTGGGCTTTATTTATCAAAGTATACTGATCCAGATGGAAAAGAAAGATTAGTAGCCAATACACAATTTGAGCCAAGTGATGCTCGTGAAGCTTTCCCATGTTTTGACGAACCAATCATGAAAGCAAATTGGACTATTTGGTTGGATGGTGATTCGGGATATCAAACTCTATCCAATATGCCCATGAAATCTGCAGAACCAGTTTCCGGTAGTGACAGAAATCTATTCAAATTTGATACATCACCTCCAATGTCTACCTATTTGGTTGCTATGATTTTCCATCAATTTGAAAAGGTTGAAAACACTGTACTAGTCAATGGAAGAAATGTTACCGTTCGTGTTTGGGCTCAAAGTGCATTGATGGATTCAACAGCCTATCCATTACAAATTGCATCAGACTCGTTAACTTATTATACCAAATATTTTAATATTGATTATCCAATTTCAAAAATGGATTTAGTTGGTATTCCAGAGTATGTAAAACAAATCACTTTATATTACTTTGTATTGATTTATTTTATTTTATTTTTTAATTTATTTAGTTTTGCTGCAGGAGCAATGGAATTATGGGGATGTATTACATTTAGAGAAGTTGATTTATTCTATAATCCAAAAACTTCAACTATGGATAATAAGCAAAGAGTCGTAAGTTTAAAAAGAATATATTATTTATTTTTATTCATGTTGATTGATTAATTTTAATTTTTAATTTAATTTCAAGTCTGAAGTTATTGCACATGAAATTGCTCATCAATGGTTTGGTGATTTAGTTACAATGGCATGGTGGAATGATCTTTGGTTAAATGAAGGGTTTGCAACTTTTATGTCTTATAAATGTTTGGCCGCAATTTGTCCAGAATTTGATGTAAGTTTAAAATATCAAAATATACCAACCATTTCTTTACCTTACTTATTTAATTTAATTTTTAGAGTAAAAATGATTATTTAACATTAATTAAACAAGAAGGTTTGGAAATGGATTCAAAATTATCAACACATGCCATTTCAAACAATTTTACAAAGGTTATAGATATTGAAGCATCATTTGACTCTGTCACCTATAACAAGGGATCGAGTGTTTTATTCATGTTGGAATCAATTCTTCAAGATGGTGACACTGATTACTTCCAAAAGGGTATTCAACAATACTTGACCAAGTTTAGTTACTCGAATGCACAAACATTTGATCTATGGGCTTCTCTTTATCATGCCTTGCCAGATGATATACAAAAAACCATCAATGTCTCAAAGATTATGGAAAAATGGGTAAAGACACCAGGTTATCCATACCTAAAGGTTGGAAATGCCTCTCCAACTCAATTGCAAGTGTCTCAACATAGATTCCTTGATGATCTCACTTCCAATGTCTCTACCACTCAACTTTGGGATATCCCAATTTCAATTCAAGATGGTTGTTCAATCTCAAATTCATTTAAAATCTTTTCATCTGTAAGTTAAATAAGAAAAACAAAGAGAGAAACAATGACGTTAATATTTTTTATCTTTTAATTTTTAGAAAAATGAAATTATAGATTATAATCCAAATTGTAATTTTACTATATTTAATTATAATGGTACTATTTTCAATCGTATTCTTTATGATGAACCATTATTTAAAAATATTACCAATCAATTAAATTCTCAAGACAATGAAATCAATCAACAAGCCATGATCACATTCTTTGATGATTCATTTAGTTTTATTAAAAATGGTTTATTAAATACAAGCAAAGTATGTAGTAGTAAATTAATAGTCCTACTGTAAATTATTAATTCAATTTACCTTTTTATTTTTTAGACATTGGAGATTGCAAGAATTCTTAGTGATAGAAATATTACAAATCCAACCATGTGGAAAACTGTAATGGGTGGATTGGACTTTATTAATCATAGAATGCGTCTTCAAGAATGTTATCCATTTTTTGTTAAATTTGGAGGTGACTTGTTAAACAATGCTCTCGCAGTTGTTGATGTATACAATATTCCAGCGAATGAAACTTATATGCAAACCATTACAAGAAAAACTTTAATTCGTTATGGAAATTCCTACAGCAAGGATGATGTTATTGAATATCTAAGAAATTATTGGTTAGAGAATAGTATGAATTAAAACAAAAATGTCAAGGCATATTGATTGTTTATTAACCCTTTTTTTTTTTGTAGAATCCCAACCAGAAAATATTGATCCAAATATTAGAGCTACTCTTTATGCATCAATTATATCTCATGGTGGTAATAATATATTGGATCAAGAGTATAAATGGGTACTTTCAAGATACTTGGATCCAAATACTAAAATGAATGAAAGAATTGATGCTATGGGTGCTTTGGCATCTGCCAGACAACCTTATTTAATTCAAAAAACTTTAAATTTATTATATAATGTAAGAAGATAGATAGAAAGATGAAAAAAAATATTTTTACCTATATATTTATTAATTAATTTTTTTTCAACAGAAACAATTTAGAACACAAGATATTGGTAGTATATTTAGACAATTATCAATTAATCAATATGCCTACCTTACAACATGGGAATGGATGAAGAATAATTATGATTTCCTCTTGAATGATTTAAAGGTTCAACCATCAACCTTGGCTAGTTATTACAAGTTCTTCTCAGAGTTTTTCGATCAAGTTTCAGACTATGAAGATTTTGAAAAGTTCATGTCTGACAAGAAAGATGTTTTCCCAGTTAGAACTATTCAACTTGCTCTTGATCAAATTCAAGTATGTATAAAATCAAAAATAACTTATTTTCCACATTTTATTAACTTTTTTTTTCTATTACTTTAAAGAATAATATTGATTGGATTGAATCAAATTCTCAAGATATTTGTTATTGGCTTTATCAAAATGTTCAAGTTCAACAAGATGGTATTGTAATATCTGGAAAGATTGGTATTTAAAAAACAAAAATAGAATAAAACAAAACAAAATAAAATAAAAGATTAATCTTAAAACAAAATTAAATTAAACCACAGTCAATTCTTCATGGTCAATGCAACGGCAGCCTCCATCGAAACGACATTGACGGCTGTGTAAAATGTTAACAATTTAATTTATTAATTAATTTATTTGTGAGGAACAAATAAAGTAAATAAATTGACCATTGGCTTCTCAATGGTTAAATGTATGGTAAAAGCAGATGCAATGGCAACTACCAAATTTCCAATAAATGAATATGTATATTCAGTCCAAGAATAATGGAATACCAATGTTGAACTAAATACACGAACCATAATAACAATTGGATGTACAAGATAAATTGAATAGGTTAATTTAGAGAAACTCTTCCAAATAGGAATTTCTAATATCCATTTCAAAAATCCACCATGACCATAAAATGTTGCCAAAATGAAACCTGAAAATGCCATTGTAAAAGATGTTCTAGAGAAACCACCATAGAAACCATTACCCACATTTGACCATGGATTCAAGAAATAGAAATAAGGAAGATAGGATAGGAAAAATGTGGTAATAAATGAAACAATGTAAATTGAATATCTAAACCATTTCTTTTCATACAAGGTAGCAGTCTTTGGTTCTAAATATAAAAATGCTACTCCCATACCAACTAAATATGGTCCATATCTATTCCATGGTTTTTGATAAACATCTAAAAATAGAAAAAAAATAGAAATATATAAATATTATTATTATTTCTTCCTCCTTTTTGTTTCATCTTACCTGTAATAAAACTACCAGATTCTAAAAATCCATTTGTAAATAAGAATAAAGGTTCAAGATTATTGTCAATGGAAACCCAAGTGGTGAAAATTAAAGTAAAGGCAAGAAGGATGAAAATGATTGACCAAGCCAATACTTTACTCTTTCGATAGGCAATGACAATAAATGGTGCGAATAAATAGAATTGCATATCATTTGCCAAGTACCACGCCCAAGAAAAACACTCGCCAGACATTGTACTTGTAAGATTGTTGATGTACAATAGGTTGGTCCACCATCTCTGCTGACACATTGGATTGACGACCGAGTTGTAGAGATAGTAGGCAGGTCCATAACCAAGGAGCGGTCCAACATGCCAGAAAAAGAAGATGAGGAAAAAGTAGATTGGAGAAAGACGAACCACACGATGTATCATGTACATGGCCCACAATCCAGGGCTTCCATATGTACCCATCGTCTCTTTTCCAGCCTGTCTATATTTGTTGAGTTGATTAATGAGTGAATAGCAAACAAGGAATCCAGAGAGTGTAAAGAAAATGTCAACCGCATACTCTCCAGAAGGTATTGCTTGGAATGCAAAGCCTTGTTTGATAGTATCAACCAAATAGCCAGCGTTATCATATCCAATCGATGCATTGAATAGAATAGTGTGTCCTAGAATAACCCACATGGTAGAGAATGTACGTACACCATCCAAAGCATCGAAATACTTTTTCGTACTTGACCCACCAACAAATGAATTGTAATTCTTTTTCAACGAAAAGCATAATAATGCTTTCATTGCCATTGGTGGTCTATCAAACATATTGTTTATACTTCTTTCATTGTTTAGTAGTGATTGGTATGGGTTATTGTTGTTGTCATCGTCGTAGTTGATAGAGTTGAGTACAGTTTTCTTGGTTTCTGCTTGTCGTATGTGAATGTAGTGGTCTAAAAGACTGGCAATCAAACAAGTAGCAGCAATTATACACGATAGTACAATCATGACATATGATCCAGTAGTGTATTCTCGAACGGTGCGATCATCCTGTGTATAACAATGAACCACTGCAACACCTTGTTGCACCGACAATGAATAGGATGGTACCAAATTGGCAACATCCTCTTCCGAACAAGATGCAGGATAACATACACCAATAAAGTATGTCAATCCCATATACTCATTTTGATATAAACAATAGGTTGATACATTCATTGGCAACTCTAAACATTCTTGATAGTTTCCAAAATCCCACATTGATTTACCTGTAAATGATAATACTAATAAAAAGAAACAAGTATGTTAATATATATTTTATTAATTATAATGTAGTATATTAATTCGACTTACAAGCAGTTGCATTTGGGTATGATAATCCCAATATAGAGGTCATATCACTTTGACATTGTGTAGAGATGTTTGATGAAGCTGTCAAACCAATGATTGATTTAGATTCTAGTGATCGTTGGAATATATTAACATCTTGTGCTTGTATATTATTGTATAGGTCTGATGGATGATTCTTGTTGTTTAAATATTTGATTTGATTATTTAATAGATGATTGTTTTGTGTAAACGACACTGATACAAAACAAACAATGAACAAAAGTAACACAACCACTTGTGTTTGTTTCATTTTTTTTTTTTGTTGATACAAATAATATATAAAACACAGATATATAAAATAGTATAATAACTATGGTATGTAGTGTATCGTCAATCAAAGTACCATCATTACCTTGAGAGCCATCGCTCGTCTTTCGGGTCGACAAAGAAATCAAAGATATTTGAAAAATCAATGTTGTGATCATCTACTCAAAGGTCAGCATAGACAATGTCGACAACAACAAACACATCATCTTTGTATTCTTCTTTAATTAAAACAATTATATTATATTTCTTTTTATTTAGAATACATCTATATTTTTAAGAAGAGAACACTAAAACGATATGTTTAACCAAATTTGGAAACAATATGATGGTGGTTGATAATATCCAATAAATAACATGTTGTTGATAGACTAGACTAGACCAGACTATACTTGACTCTATAGAGAATAGAACAATGAAACAACAAGGAGAACTAGATTGAGGAAGACAAATGGATTGGTGGCTCTTGCATCACCAGTGGTAGAAGTGGTGGTGGTGCTAGTGGTTTGGGAGGTTGTCGATGCAGCAGTGGTAGAGCTGTTGGTACCCTTATGTCCGGTAGTGCTACCAGTGGTTGTGGTGGTAGTAGCAGCAGCGGTAGTTGGACGTGAAGTGGTGGTGGCACCATTGGTGAATGGACTAGCAGTAGTAGAGGTTTGGACGTTGGTAGTCGATGGAGTAGCTGGAACAAAGACAAGTGGTCCAGAGAAGGTCTTGGTAGAATCACGAGCACTCAATGTGAAATGATCGGTCGAGCCATTCTTCATGGTCGATGCAACAGCGGCTTCCATCGAGGCGACATTGACGGCTGTGCTTGGAACTTGGAAGACTCTGAAGTTGGGGAGAGCTGGTGTCTCAAATCCAACAATACCACCAAAAGTCAAAGGAAAGCCTGTCTTTGGAGTGGCAGAGCCTTGGCCTGGAACAAAGTCAACGATCACAGTGATATCATTTTCAATACCAGAAGTCAAGGTCATTCTAATGTCAGACGAGATGGAATAAGAGCCAGCAGTGCTACCCTTGGCAATAATAATTCTACCACCGTCACCATTGTTATTGAAACCACCTTGATAGGTGTATTGGCCAACACAATTGCCAATAATAGCAACCAATAATGTAAAGATAATGGTAAACGATGATTGATTCATTGTATTGGTATAGATATAATTATCAATTAAATTATTAAATTATTTAGTATAGGTAGGTAGATAGATAATTAATTATTGTTATTTGTTATTTGTTTGTTTGATGATATTATTCTTACCTTTTTACCTCTTATTTATAGTTGTTTGTTGGGACGATAAATTATATTAAAGTATTAATTACCCAGGTATGATATCATATGATGGATGACATGCTAATAATACTGTCACTACTTTAATTATTCACCAATCAACTATGATGGGTGTTCATTCACACCTCTCTCTCTCCCTCAACCCACTTGCAAGATAGATTATTGTCAAAAAAGTAGAAAAAGACAAAACTAAAAAAGTATTATGTGGGTTGTCCCTAGAAAAGAAAAGTACTTGGAGAAAAAAAAATAAAAAATACAATCAAACAACTAATAATAATAATCATAATAATAATAATAATATAATGAGAGAATGGGAATCTAAAATTACTCTTCTAAAAGAGGTATGTTACTTTATAGTATTCTAGGAATGTAGTTTAAGGTAAAACTAATAATACACTTTTGTTTGTTAATAATATTATAGATTCATTTAAATTCAAATAGAAGAGATGATGATGAAAGTGATAGGGTGGAAATTGAACCACCATACATCATTGCAAAAGGTGTAACGATGAAGAAGTTTTTAGAGAGACGAGAGAGGGATTTACTTGGACATCTAAAGAACACTAAACTAGCATTTGTCAATGGTGATGTATTAGTTTATGAATTGGAAAACTCTGAAGCTAGGGCAATACTAACTGGTTGGTTTTCAGGATGGATAACTAAAAGTCACGTAGACCCATTTATCCAAATCACTGGAAGTACTGATATAATTATTTCACCCAATATTGTAAGACAACCAGACAACTCTTTTAGACCTAGAGGAGGAAAAGAAGGTCCCTTTCCAAGGTCCAGCACAATGGTAGTCGAAGTTGGTTATTTACAATCACTACAATCACTTCAAGATAAAGCCATCCAATATCTCGGTGTAGCTACAGAAATTCAAATTGTTTTATGTATATCACTTTGGCCAAGAAAAGAAGAAAAAGAGATCGCCAACTTAACAACAATAACACCTATCAAATGGTAGCACTCCTCTATGATAGATCACATTCTGTCAATCACCCACAAACTGTTATTTCTTTTGGTACCTCTCCTCTTAATTACACCAATCAAAATATTATTAATAGTTGGTACAACCCTCCAACAACAACACCAACACCATCACCATCACCATCACAATCAACAAATGACAATACATGTATACTTGAAATCCCAACATCATCTTTATTCCATGGAGTAGTTCATCAACTAGAAGGTATTCCAGTCACCATCCCATTAAATCTGTTGCAACTTAGAAGTGAATTGAATGATATTCAATTTTAAAAAGAAAGAAAATAAAATAAAAAAAGGTGTTTATTCTTATTCTTATTCATTCTTGTTCTTTTTTTTAGAGCTGCAGTTTGAAGAATCATTACCGAAATACGGTGATGATATTTTTCGATGATATTTTTCAAATTGCAACAACTGAAACGATCATGACAAAAACGCAACAATACGTCATTCAATTCGATACAAAGTTTGATTACTTGTAGTTAGTAGTAGTAACAGAGAGAGAGAGAGAACAAACAGTAGAGATAATCATGATAAATAATGAAGTTTTAGTGTCTACCATCAAGACTGCACCAAAGGTAGTGTTGGAAATGTTGACAAAGTTGTCGTTTAGTCAAAAGGTATTAATGGGTGCTACTACTGCCACTTTTGTCAGTGTTGGAGGTATGTAAAAGTAGTAGTAAAAGTTATTATTTAGTAGTTAGTAGTTAGTAGTACAGTTATTTATTATTTAAACACTCTTTACTTGTATATATATATTTAAATATTTTAGTTGCATCTGAAATATTAAGTCCACTTGGTAGAAAGATTGAAAGTGTAGATGATTATAAACAAATTTTAGATGAGACCAACTATAGATTGTCCAATCTTCAATCATCTGAAGAGTTGAATGACCTCGACTTTGAAACATTGGAAGATTTGTCCAATACAATGGCAAACAGCAAGTACTTTACACTTGCCATGGAAGACAAGATCGACACCATCTGTTCGATCCTTCTCAGATTCTTGTTGGTCGTATTTCAAATTACCCAACAAGTCGAAGCTGCCACTCAAGAAGAAGCACAACAAATCCATTACGATTACTTAAACTCTATCACTGAACATCCATTTATATTAAGTATTCGTAGTATGATTGATTCTATCATTAAATTTTGTATGTACCAAAAAATATTTAAAACACATGTCATATGATAATAGTCTCCTAACTTTCTTTTCTTTTCTTTCTTTTTTTACTTTTTAGCATCAAGAGATACATTATTTAGTGAAATTATAGATTATGTTGGTAATATTTCATTACTTCATATCCGATTCATCTATATCGATATGATTGCAAAGGGTGTCGTTATAAAAGGAGCTAAAAACTTGGTCGATCCACTCAGAGTATTAGAATTCTTGTCGGTGACTGGTTCGCTTGGCACCCATTTCCTCGGATTCGATCATATCAGACACGCCGTTAATATGGTGGCCAACGTTGTCTATGACATGGGACACATTGTCAAATCCAACGGTGACTTGGTACAAATCCCAGAAGAGGTAATGGAAGCAACCAAGCAAATGTCAGGCATGAGATATCGCAAGTACATTCCATCAAGACTATACAGAAACAAAGAGTCGGTCGTCACTGATATACTCGTTTCATCACTCGTCCTCTGTACCGGTGCTGCACCTCTAAAGTCGGTTTTAATCTCTAGCTTTTTGTTGACTAGCAAGAATTCCGTCTGCGAAGACACCTATGAAAAGTTAAATAATCCAGTTGGCAGAGTATTCTTTATGGCCTTTTTACCCGCCGCTCTCATGTGTTCACTTGTTGTAACCACCAAGAGCATCAAGAGTGCGTTGGCAGCTGCCTCTATTGCTGTTTCTGTCTTTGGTGTCGAATGGTTGGCCTATAAATACGGTCCAAAGAAATTCTTTTCACTGTGTATGATGGATCTTTACTCTTATGATCTTGCTCGTATATCAAGAGCTTCTCAAATGGATGCTGAACAACAAGCTCAAGATGATGAAGTTGAACAAGATGAAGTCGCTCAAGTTAGCAGAGAAAAGGGTCAAGCCAAGATTGTTGAAATTATTCAAGAAGAAGATGAACAAGAAAATGAACAAGAACAACAAGTTGAACAAGATAGAGAACAAGTTGAACAAAAGGAATAAATTAAATAAATAAATAAATAAATAAATTAATAAAGAACAAATAATTAAATAGAATACGTAAAAACAAAAATGTTGACGAGCTTAGCACCTGACGACTTTGAATCATAAGTCAATGATGAGAGATAAGATATTTTATCTCCAGCTACAACTTGCAATGAAATATATATATATATATATATACACACATACACTTAACTTTTCTTTCTTTTATTCTCTTGTTGTTTGGTTCATCTTAAACTTAAACTTAAAAAAAAGAGATAAATAGTCTAAAGGAATGATAAAAAGAGATACTATTTCAAGTATGATGAATGGTGCACCAAAGGTTGTAATTGATATCTTTGACAAGATGTCAATGACTCAAAAGATTGCAATGGGTGTATTTGCAACTCATTTTGCTTGTTATGGATGTATGTATATATATAAACTTTGATAGATAGATTCATTAAACCATTAAACATTCATTTTTCTATTTACTTTTTTAGTACCATCAGAAATTGTAGATCCAGTCAAATCAAAGATTAATCGTGTTGAGTATTATGTTAGATTCTTGGATGAAACGTTAAAAAGAGTTACTACTCTTGATGGATTCGATGAGTTGGATAATATAGACTTTGGTACATGGGAGAATTTGGCATTGTCAATGGCCAACAATAAAACCCTCGCCATTGCACTAGAGAACAAGATCAATCTCATTACTCAAATCCTATTCAATTTCTTGGTACTAATGTGTGAATATTCAAAGTATATGGCTACCATCCAAGATGCTGCAGATGCACGTCAAGCATATTTCCATACTCTCTTAAAACATCCATTCATTCGTAATGCTCGTATCATGATTGATTCAATTATTACATTTTGTAAGTAAAAGAATTAATTATTATTATTATTATTATTTTAAACCCAAACTATTATTAATTATATATTTTAATTGTATTAATTTATTTATGTTTAGCTGAAAAAGATGTAGAATCATTAATATCAAGAGGAGTGAATAGAATTGTATTTGATCATGTTCGATATGTATTTGTTGATATGGTTGCAAAAGGAGTTTGTAGAAAGGGTGCTGATAATTTAGTTGATCCACTTCAAGTATTGGAATTATTGACTGTTCCTATCTCTACCACTCCCGTGCCGTTGATTGGATGTAATTATACTAAACGTGCAATCAATTTAATTGTAAACAGATTACATGACCAAGCCAATGACGGCAAACAAATCAATGTACCACAGGATATATTGGATTCTACCAAACCATTGACAGGCAAGAGATATCGTAAATACCTTCCAAGTATTTTATATACACAAAGATTAGAATTGATGACTGAAGTAATTCGTTCATCTCTTACAATCTATTTTTGGCAAGCTACCATACCATCAACTATATTGGCCAATCTTGCTCTATCTGATTCATTCAACATTGTAGATTACCTCTTCAAGAGAACAGATAGTATGGTTGGAAGAGTATTTATTCATAATGTAGTTCCATCAATTACAGCTTGTGCATTGATTGGTTCTTCCAAGAGTCTCAAAGCCACCATGGCAATCATCTGGGTACCAATCCTATCATGGGGTGTTAAATCATTGGTTGAATATTCAGTCTCAAGATCATATGCCAAATCTCTCGCTGATCTATATGATATTGACAGACAAAGAATGCCTCCCCAATCACAATAAAATTTATCAAAGTTAAATTTTAATTACAAATCAAAGGAAAGGGTGGAATCAAATGTGAATAAATTAGGGTATCAATGGAACTATAAAGGGACTATCACTAATTATAATCAATGATGTATCTTGGGTTTACAATGTTGATTGGTAAGTATTCTTTAAATTTCCCAAGATGATGATATTTAAAAAGATATTTAATTAAAAAATTAATTTACTTGTTGTTCCAAAAAAAATCTTGTTTTAAAGATGTGTGGTTAAATACCCTGTACACGATCATTGCAATCTTACACAACATGTATAATAATAGTAATATATATATTTAAGGTATAGTTTGTTCGTTATAATCATCAATCATGACTGAACAAATTAAAAAGATAGTTCAAGTATTAGGAAATGTATCTGGAGAGTTCATAGCAAATCTTACAACAACTGACAAGGTTGTGATGGGAACTACAGCTATTGGATTAACAACAATGATGTGTATGTAATATCTCTCTCTATTTAAATAGAGATATAACTTGTACTTGTGTGTACTAATATATAATACGTTTAGACATAAAACATTATATCAATCAATCATTTGAAGTTAATAGATCAAAGGTACCAGAATATAAAGAGACTATTGCTATAGCACTCAACTTGGTACGTCAAGCTAAAACAATCAATGAATACGAATGTGTAGACACTTATGGATTAAAAGTAATTGCACATGCAATGTCGGTCAACAAGTCGGTGACACTTGCCATGACAGATGAGTTTGTCAATATTGCCGGTATTCTAGTCAACTCTATGCTCTTTTCATATGACTCTTGTCATTTGGCAACTACAACTAGACCTGATCTCGTAGACAATATCATAACAAGCTATTCTCAACTTCCAAGATTAGATCCTATCGTTATCACTACTTCATCAATGATTCGTTCCCTTTTACGTCATGGTATGTAACTAACTAATAATAATTAATATTTATTCATAAATATTATGAATATACAAGTATAACTAAACTTTTATTTACTTTACTTTACTATATATATATATATAGCACCACAATCAAATGAATTTGCAATGGTTTTAACATCATATGCAGGAGGATGTCAATTATTACAAGTTAAATTTATAGTGGCAGAGTTGTTGGCAGATTATGTGGCCGAGTCTAATGACCCAAATATAAATAATCTACCAGTACTCATATTTTTATTGTCAGTGTATAGTCCACAGTTTGATGTAGTCTATAATCACATGGATCATGCAATCAACAAATTGACCAACAATTTCTTAAAGAATCCTCCTCCCAACGTAGACATTACCGATGTGAAAAAATTGGTCGAACCATACGCTGGTTACACCTATCGTAGATACTGTCCAAACAGTATACTTAAATACAGAGAGTTTATAGCTATTGTCCTTAATGGTTCCGCAATCGCTATTGGTAAACATTATGTTTCACCAGCACTTCAATTGTTAGTATCTGCATTTTGGTTACTCAATGGTACAACTCTGGCAAGTCAATTTGAAAACAAAATTGATTCTTCTATTTGGGCAAGAATAATATTAAAAAGTCTTTATTTGACTCTACCAATTTGTATCATCTATCCTCAATTCAGTTTCAAGTCCATATTAGTCGCTTCGATCCCTTCAATCATTGGTAAATTATTTGATGTATTTGCCAAGAATTATATCATCAAAAAGATGGATACTGCATTATTTATACGTTGTAGAAAGGATATTCAAGATTTTGATATTTATTCTAAAAAAGAAAAAGATGCTTTAGAAAGAAGAAATTTAAAACAACAACAATAGTTGGTTAGTAAATAAATATATTAATATATTTTCAAACCACAACCTGGGAGGAGATCTGATACATAAATATATATTTATGTCGCGTGATCTGATACATAAATATTGTACAGTGAGTGACTAATATATATGCTGCATTGCATATGCAAACATATTCATAGAAATTTTGTAGTAAAAATATCAGAGTTGGACGTTATGAAAATTTTTTAAGAATGATTGCAATCAGTCGTCATATGCCACGCAGCGCTTTACGTCATGTGATCCCCTGCTGTAGTCATTTAACAAGATATCTATATATATACAAACAGCAACACACACATTCAAAGATAAGATATCTGTTTGAAACAATCAATCATGTCAACAAATGTATTCAATTCATTGGTAGCATTCAACAAACTATCGATTAAAGATATCTCAAAGAATGTATCGTATTCACTCTTGAATACAGTTAAACATCTTTCGTCAAAGGAAAAGATTATTATTGCATCTGCATCTACTGCATGGTTGGGTTTTGCTTGTAAGTAAAACAAACTTTATATATATATATATATATATTTATTATCTTGCTTGTTATGTGTGAAAGGGTAAACTAATCAACACCTCTCACTCTCTTTCTTTCTCTTTTTCTCTCACTCTAGACTATACAGAAACAACGTCTACAATTACAGATCAATCAGTGGATCAATTTATAGAAATACTTGAACGTATGATGGATCTTGCCTATTCGATTGAGGGTATCAATGAACTGTACGATATGGACTATTCATTGATGGAAAATATTGCAGCTTGGTTGGAATACAATGACGCTGCAATGACTAAATTAGAACCTCAATTGGGACGTATCCTTGTTATTCTCGCTCGTTTTCTACACAACATGATTTTTGTATTGATTAATTCTGAAGAAGGTGGCAATCCTCTTCCTGTCCTAGCCGATCGTTTCGATGGTTTTCGTTCTCATCCCATCGCTGAAAATCTAACTCAAATTTGGAGAACTATGTTATTAAAATGTATGACCGAAATATATATATATATATATATATACATTTAATTGTACAAATAGTAACTAATATATGATCATTTATTTCCCCTTCTTATTTTAATTACTCTACTCAAACGTTTGTTTGTAGCACCAAAAAAAAAAGTCATCTATTTTAATTTTCTTAATGTACTCGAAGATAATTTAGAGAATGAAAGTACTAGATTCATAGTACTTTCACTCTTGTCAGAGTCATCACATGGTGTACCATTGGAAACATTTCCAACCAAGAATATTCTATCCTTTTATCATCAATTGAAACCCCTTTATAATGGAGGTTGGACCTACGACTCTATCGATCAAACACTCAACCGTCTGGCCAATATTTTAGTGTCGAGATATGATGACGGTGATATTGAAGAGCCACTCGAGAAAATAGAGTCTTTTGCAGGATACCGTTACCGTCGTTATATTCCTCATTGGATTCTTTCAACCAAGGAAACAATACTTCTCACTGCACTGGGATCGTCCCTTGCCGTTGGCTCTAAAGTGGTGTCTATTCCAATGCAACTTAACTCGTTGTCCATTTTGGCTGATGGAGAAACCCTAATGGGGTTCCTGGGTTTATTTGAATATGTGACAGCTCTCGTGCCACACATATCTATCTATATCATGGGTAGAAACAACTATAAAGCAATAGGAGTTGCTCTTGCTGCCATCTATGTTCCATTGATGTTTAAACATTTCTATATCAAGAAAATAGAGAAGTCTCGCCAAACCGACATTTACAAACAAAAGACAATCGTTGATTTGCGTCATCATATGTCTGCTGTAGAATTCAGAGAACAACAACAACCACAAGTTCAACAAATACAAGAACAAGATGAAGAAATTGAAGCACAACAAGAAGTTCAAGTACAAGAAGTGGAACAAGAAGAAGTTCAAGAAACTCAAGTCCAAAATGCCAAGGAGATAGGAGGAGGAGAAATCGAAAACCCAACAACAAGTCAAATAGGTGTCAACCAAGAATGATGTCACAAATAAATATTAATTAATTAAAATAATAGATATAATAATTAGAAAATGGTCGTCTGACCTCAAAGTTTAGATAGTTTCTTCCTTTTTACTTGGGTTTGTTTTAGATATTTATTTTAAAATTCCTAAAGGAAGGTGTTTTCCACATAAATCTATGCAAATTTAAAGCCAAAGATACAATATCTGTGATGTAAGGACCAAGTCATATTCAACAGTTCATTCATTCAAATTCATTTAGTTTTGTTTATTTAATACTTATCAATAGATAGATATATATACAAGAAAGATGATAAACATTAAAGAGACAGCTTTAGGAGTAGTTAAAGAACTATCATCAAACTTTAACTTTAACTTTAAATTAACCAATACTGACAAGATTGTTGTTGGTTCATTATCAGCTGTATGGGGTGTTTTAGCAGGTATGTGTTGTGTTATATATATAATGATTATTATTATTGTTCTTTATATTTGTATCTAATCATCATCTTGATCACTTTTGTATCCACTTCTTTATATAATATATATATATAGCATATAAAATAAAATGTACAAACAAACCAACACAAGAACTTGCACAAAAGTATAGTAATCAATTACAAGAGATGATGGAAATTATGACTAAAAGCAATGGTGGATTTGCAGCATTCTTGGATGATCCACAGGGTAGATTATCTCGTATGCTTTTCCAGATTTCCACTGACATGAAAGCAAGCAGGACACTCACTAGAATGATGTCTTCACAAATTGAAACAGTCGTCATGATTTACCAAGTATTCCTACTCCAATGCTTTCAATCATACGAACATTTAATTAAAACTCATCCAAAAGATGCAGTCTTACTACGAGATGAATATATCTCTATTCTAGTTGGTCTTATCCCTGCCAATCTACTTTCCATGTTACATTCTTTTCTTATATATTGTATGTATACATATACATATGCATATACATATACATATACATATATCGCCGGCGATATGGGAAATAATGTAATAATAATAATAATAATAATAATCATATTAACGATTTTGTTTTGTGTTAACATTTTAGGGGATGATAATCATGTACTTTTAACAAGAACTGCATTATACGTTAGATCATTGCAACTCAGACATAGTAAGATGCAATTGATACATTTCCTAGCCAGTTATATTGTAGAGTTACCAAGATCAAAGCAACCAATGTCTCAAGAACTCATGCTTGCATTGTTTGATATTTTATTGGCTGTTCAAAAAGAGCAAGGTGAATTGAGTATCTTTGACACGGTCAACCAAATCGACGAAGCTCTCAGTGTCTTGGCCAACAAGTTGTTGGCGAGTTTGACACCGACCGACGAATTGAGAGACCAGATTATCAACCTTGTCACTCCACATCGTGGCCTTTTCCAAACGTATCTCCCTCGAGCCATCTATCAAAACAAGGAGAGTAGTGTATTCTCACTGATTGGTTCAGGTCTTGCAGTTTACAATTTCGGGTGGTTTGCAGCTCCATTGTACACCCAATTGACTGAAATCCTATTATACAACGGGTTGGTCAACACTGATGAATATATATCGTCTATTGACAACAAGGCCGCTTTGTTCTTGGCTAATCTCAATCCAGCCATATTAATGTCTGCCACCTATCTATTGGCCCGAAATAACTGGAAACATTTCCTAGTCTGGAATGGATTAGTGGCTGCCGGATTAACCATTCAATACAAACTATTAGTATCCAACTTTACAACGTTGGTCACTATCTATCGAGGTTGTGTTGAAGATGATTCACAACATCAAAATGCAATGATTAAACAATATCTCGAAGAACATGGTGAAGATCAACAACCAACAACAACAAACCCCATTTCACCTGAATTATCACAATAAACTAATAAATAATCATACTAAAAATATATTTGTGTTTCTCGATCAGCGACTGCCAGGGTCGATTCATTTGAAAAAGATACAAGTAAGATCTTTTCTAATAGTTAGAAAAAAACATGGTGACGAAAATAATCATCATCGGTCATTAATTCGAATGCATTGTTGTTCTTGAATGAATTGATTTGAAAGGATATAGATAGATAGATAGATAGATATATGTATATGTAAATAATGGATCTAAAACATCAACAAGAATACTTGCATAGAGCTATTAAATCATTACCAAAGTTTGTTGGTGATCAATTCAATCAATTATCGACAACTCACAAGTTGATCATTGGTTCTGCAGCATTGGGATGGTCATTTTATTCAGCATGTAAGGAAATGAAATGAAGAGAAAGAAAGAAAGAAAGAAAGAAAGATAATATTGACTATATGATCTTACTCTATCTTTTTCAATCTTTAGCTAAATTAGTTGAAACAGAAGGGTTTGAAGGACCTTTAGATGATGTAGTATCAGAGTTTATAGAAACATTAAAAAAATTAGACAAAGAAACAAGAGATGATTTCGATCTAAGTAAAATGTTAAACCCCAATCAATACAGTGAACAAATTCCTTGGATGGCCGGTATGATGAAGAGAGATAAACGTCTATGTCAAGCAATGAATGATCAGTTTGATATGATCTGTACATTATTCATCCTACTTCAAGGTCGTATCTACGAAGTCTACCAATTCGCTATCAATGGTGAACCATTGGAAGCTGAAAATATCGAATATTCCTATACCAATCTTGGATTAAGTTCTCCAATACTTCAAGGTTTATTTTTAATTTTAGAATCTCTTCTTGAATTTGGTATTTATCAACTTATGAATATATATATATCATTGCTAAATATTAATATTAATTTATGTCTCTTTTCTATTTTCTATTTTCTATTTTTTTAGATGAAACAAATTTTTGTAAATTTGCAGAAAGAGGATCAAATATTGGAGTATATCATATGGCCTATACATTTGCAGATTTAATAGCAAAGATGTTAATACTTTGGCCAAACCGTACATACAATTTGGAATGTATGCTTAATATATTTGCTATTTTGGTATCGATTAAAGTCAATTCAGCTAGTACCGATATCATTGATTTGGTTCTGTTAAAAGTATCAAATCAACTGGTCGGTCTATTGGAATTTGATCCAGAATATAAATCATTGATGAATCATATCAAACCATTTTCTGGGTTCCACATCACTAAAATCATTCCCATCCCATTTTACCTACAAAAGACAAGAAAGGTATTTGGTGCTCTGTCTGCATCGCTGTTGTGTTACTATGGATGGTTGACACCTGCATACTATATTGTAAATGAAACATTCTTGTATACTATACTTTCGAGTATATTCCCTAGTAGAAAAGTCAGTCACAAGAATAGATTCCTCAAATTCTTGACCGACTTGACTCCAATCATTCCATTTATTCCATTGTACATAATGACCAAAAAGAATTGGAAATGTTTGGTTGCTTCAATTGGCATATTTGTAGGTGGAACGATTATAAATATTATCGAAAGTAAATCAAGTCTCTACAAGGTATTTGTCTGTGTTGACAAACTAAGAAGAAAAGATTCTACAACCTTCCAAACAGTCATCAAACAAAAAATAGATGAATATAACAAAAAAATGGCATCTCCAGATCTTGACAATATTGAAGAAACAGGAGGAGTAGAGGAGAAGAAGTAGTAGTAGCTTAATAAACAAACCAAAATATTAATTAATTTATTTATTTAAAAATATCTATCTTTCTCAAAAATATCTTATTTATTATTTTGTTTTTTTTTTGGGTCATAGTTCGTCATCATTATGAATTAAATCGTATGATCGTTATTATTATTATGTATTTACATCATCAACGTCTATGATCTCTGTTTATAATCAGGCTTTGTTGATTGATAATCTAGAGATATGAATAGTATTAAAGAATCGATTATTAAAAGAGCACTTGTAGATCTACCTCTTTTAGCATCAAATAGTGTAGATCACTTTAATCAACTTGGTTTAATACCAAGAGTTGCAATAGGTGCTGTTATATGTCGTTGGGGTGTATCTGGATGTATGTATCATCAATGATCATCATAATCAAATATTGTTATTCTTTCTCTTTATTTACAACTTTTCATTTATTATTATTTATTAGTCTCTGAAGCATACAAATTCAATAAAATAACAAATGAAAGAGTCATTCAATATAAAGAATGGTTGGCAGCAATCTATGAAGATGATTTTGGAAAAGATCAAACCAATGCTGGATTGAAAATGACAGAGATTGCAAGAGAAATGAAAAAGAGTGAGGAATTGACCATTAGAATGCTCGATCAACTACCATTAGTCATAATGATTGCATGCAAGTTTGTTTTCGAAATATTTGGAAAATACCAAGATACAGCAATTGCACTAAAAGAAGATCAAAGAATGGCAGTCCATTCAGCTTATTTAAAGCAAAGATCCAATCCCCTATTTTATAAATGTTTTGTAATATTGGGTACCTTTTTAGCAATTGGTAAGAATCAAATGATTGATCTATAGAGTCGAGTCACTACTGTTACTAACCAAAAACAAATAATAATAATGATTGATTGAATGAATATTATATTATATTATTTTATATTATATTTATTTATTTAGGAGATAAAAAATTAAGGATGATAGCATTGGGAGAAGCAATTGATTTGGCTTATGGTACGTCTGGTTTACATCTTAGATTCTCCCTTCTCTATGAGATTTGTAAAAGTATTGGGGATCATTCAATTGACGATATTCCAATGGACAGATATTTAAAGTTGGCTTCACTCTTGTCAACATCGACTGTACCCCAAAAGGATACAATTAGAATGATGAGCAATGCAATTGATTTTGCCAAAGCTCAATTACTCATTGCCATTACCAAGAATCTATCTTCCATAAAATTCCTATTCGAAAAGGAAAAAGAAGAGTTGTTAATGTTATATGTTGCTAGTCACCGACAAAATGCCAATCCATTTTTTGGATACCCATTGGTTAAATGGCTACCAGAATTCATTGTTTATAAAAAAGAGTATTACCTTGTCAAGGGTGCACTTTTATCTATTGGTCTTTGTACTGGTTTCACCAGCATTGGTATTCAAGCTGGTGTTGACGCGTTCTACAGATCTCTTAAACTCGATTCACGTCAGGCCAAAAAGACAGAGAGTAGACTTGCAAGATCTCTTTTAGCTTTTGCTCCTGCCATTCCATTTGGTGGTCTCTGTCTCTTTGCATCGACAACAAACAATTGGAAGGCTGTTGGATTATCATTTATGATATCGTTGGCAGCCAATATCGTACAAGAATTGGTCATCAGCGAACTAGCAAAGAGAAGGTACGATGAATACGTCGTTCTCTATTGTGCAGATGTTAAAAATTATCCAGAAAGAAAGAAAAAACAACAAGAAATTGAAAAGGAAGAAGCAATTAAATTAAATCAGCAAACTGTTCCTGCGTCACAAGATGAACAAGAACAAGCTGTAGAACAACGATCTAATAAGGAAAAGGATGGTGAGAAAAAAGAAGAGGAAAAAGAAAAACAAATTAGATCAACAACAACCATCTGAAAATAGACAAGAAGTTCAAGAAGAATTAAACAACATTGGACAAGAAGAAAAAGAAGAAGAAGGAATTAACAACCAACAACAACAATAAGTAATCTAATTTATTTCAAATTGTACAATTAATTATTTTATAAAGTTGCCCAAACAAATCTACTCCTAACACTATCTATCACCATCATTTATTATTGACCATCCATATTATTCCATTGAGGAGCAATCATTGATACACCAATAAATTGATATGAATTGGATTTGTTTGATGAAATTGTATTTCCATTGGTGAAACTGTGAATGTATTCTAGAGGTTCGATATTTATCATTGGGAATACTTTGAATCCATTATCAAATGTTCCTGTTAATTTAAAATCTGTTATATCATTGACTGGTGACTTTTCAATAGAAATATTAATGGTTAATATTAATAAAATTTTAAAATAATGATATAAAAACATACTTTAAAATGAAGTTTAGTACATTCTACAACATCCATATTCTCGCACACCACTACACTACATAATTGTACTTGAAAATAGCCAATGAAATCACCATGATATGAAATTAAGATTGCCATCCTTTCATTGTTATCACTAAATATTGAATAAAATTAATTATTAATATTAAAGATTAAATTGTCATTGTTTTTGATGATTTTACTTGTTAGAAGAAGAAGAAAATGTAAATTTACAAGTTAGACCATTGTTTGAGTTTTCAATTACTTGATTCTTTCCTTTAATGTTAAAAGGTGTGACAGTTTGTTTAAAATTTATAGTTGAATAATCAAAGTTTGATTTATCTAAATAATACAAGGTGAGGGTGAGTTTTAGTTTGTTGTTAGATTTCAAAGTTTGAATTGATATAACAAACCTATTAAATCTGGACGATCAAAATAGATGACCTTTGATTCTTTGGAAAACTTTTTAGATAATTTAGAATTGGGAATCTTGGGTACTTTGGAAATCATCAAAATGTCAATTGGTCGGTCTGTTGGATTGACATGACTAACTATAACCTCACCGGCTGAATAAATACCACTACCAGATGCAAGTTTATTTTCACCATTGTTTGATGCTAAAATAGTCAATCCAGTTAGAGCAGACCAACTCTGTTGCATTTGTCTTGCTGTCATTGATTGAAAATTAACCTTTTTTAAAATTATTATTAATATTATTAAATTATTATTAATATTATTTTTGAATTATATAATTTAATATTTTAAATACTTACCCATTCAGTTGAAAATAACAAAGTTTGAATACCATGCTTTTCAATTAAATCAGTTTGAGGTTGTTTCCACATTAGATCAAAACAAATAAATGTTCCAAATCTAACACCAAAATCTGAATCAAAGAATTTGGCATGATATTTAACTGGTTTGTTCATACTATCTTCAAAAATAGTATGAGCCTTGTGAAACTTTAGCAACAGTCTACCAATTGGTGAGAAAACAATTACAGTATTAAATTGATAACGACCGTCATTTGGACAATCTTTATCGATCGACTTGTCACATGGTTGAAGGTCACCATAATCAGCAACTAAATAAATGTTATTTTTCTTTGCCATACAACTTAATCTTTTTAATATTGGTCTATCTTTGAATATATCCTCATCACATGGAATAATCTATATAGATTAATAAAAAGTTAATATATTGAAATATAATAATACTTGTGAATAGTCATACAGAAGAATTATGAGTATCAGGGTCAGGTATTATCTCTAAGAATAAATTCATTTGGTCTCTTGATTTTAATTCAGACCATGATCCTATGATTCCATATTCAGGAAATACAATGATTTGTGCTTCATATTTTACTGCTTCTATTAAATATTTCTTGAATGAAATTATTATTAATTGTTGCAGGAAAAAAAGTATGATCTTTTAAAATATAGTAATTTACTTCATAAGCATCCAAATTTGAATTCATATATTTGATAGCATTCTCTTTATTTGAACTGTAGTTGAATCTTGGTATACTATACTCTAAAACAGCTCCGATATAATATTCGTCTTTTGAATCATCAAAGAAAACTAAACTATTGTTATTTTGCAATACTCCTAAAAGTAAAGCTACAACTATAATCGATATAATACCTATTAACTTCATGATAAATTAAACATAGTTAAACAATGGTGTGTTATATAAACGAAATGTTTAATGATAAAACATTGCAATTGTGGTGTGTTAATACCATTGTTGAAGACAAAGTTACATATCTTTGAAGTTATTAATGATATAATACATATGAGTATTTATTATTTGATTGGTGGAGTTGTTTGTTTATGTTTCATTGTGTATCTCTTTAAAGTGGTAAGAAAAACAATTTAATCTTTTCCTTTGGAATTTCATAATTCTTGAATAAAAAAAAAAGATTAATATTAATATATTGAATGAAATCGAGTATACTTACACATGGTGAATCATTTTCGATTGTTGATCCATCTGTATTGTTGACATAACATCTCATTTGTTGACAATTTAATTTATCGTTGGGATCATCTGCAAAGATGTAAATGAGATTATAGTATACTACAATGGTGAAAATAAATAGAAATGTTAAAAATACTAATCCCATTTTATTATTATTATTATTATTATTCTGTCTGTTTGAAATTTAATTAATTAATTAGAAGAATTGTTTGTTTCCAATCATCCTTTAAATATTCTAAATATTACTCAAACTAATTCCAAACCAAAATTCGGATAGTCATAAAACCACACTTGGAAAGGAAACTTTTATGTTTGTTTATGTTTAGTTTTTCTAAAACAAAAAAAAACTAATATATGCGTGAATTGGTTATTTATTACTACTATTATTTTACTAATACTATTATTATATAATTTCCAAATTAATAATCTGGAACTTTAATTTCCTCGACGATAGGAGATGGTGAAACGATTGATTCATTGATAAATCCACTATCGCTATTTATAACAGTTTCGTTGTTTTTGTGAATGTCTGGTGATTGAAGACTTTGGTATCCAGTATGTCTATTTTTGTAAAGTAGATAATGTTGAATCATAAACAATATATCAAATGCTATACTAAACATTGATAATCCAAATTTAACTGGATCACCAATAAATACTTTCCAATTATCTAAAATCAAAATCAAAATGTTAATAATTTAATTCATTCATTCATTTCCAAATAAATGAAAGTAATTTCATCCATGTCTGAAACATACTAGAATCTATAGAATCCAAACACATTTGAACCAATGATAATATACCACCAGAGAAATCTAATAATACATTTCCAATACTCCATCCAACCGTACTCTTTCGTTTGTAATTAATGTAGGCCTGTGGAACGTATTTGATAAATGTGATGAATAATTTTACATAGCTTAGATAGTTGATCACCCACAACCAAGTGATAGTGTTTGCAGATCCAAGACCAATCACTACTATAATCGACGCCCAAATCGCAATTCCAATACCTATCGAATAGATTGAATTCTTTTGGTCTCCACGTTCATACATAAAACATTGTACTACTGTCACCACTGTAAGTATAAGTCCATGAATTGCAAATGCTCTACGAGGAAAGGAAAGAGGGATGAATAAATAAAAGTGAAACTCGTTTTTAAGACAACACATGTACTTACATATCATTTGGTTGAACAGGGATTGGTGGTGAATACTTTGCAAGGTATTCATCCTGAACAACAGGACTGAAATATAAAACACTATTAAACACTGAATAACATATATAACCTGTAATATTAAAGAGTAAGAAATCAAATGATAACCCTAATACTCTGTGATTGAATTGAATTGAATTTAATTAAACAATTGTTAGTTCCAACTAGACATTGGGATGTTATTGTGTTCACTACTCTAACGTTCATACGATTTCCTTTTATAATTGAGTACAACTTGTGGATAGAATGATAAACTCCAACAAGCAAAGTATGTCCAACCTATTATAGCTGATAATATTGAAAGTGCACTCATCTTACTTCTCCTTCTCCTACTCCTACTCTCTCTATTTTAAAACTCTGTGTATGTGAAATGGGTTGTTGTTGTTGTTGTTGTTGTTGTTGTGTTGACTGGTACTAATAGTGTATCATATGTTAATTGCTATATCTCTAGAAAAACTATATACATATGTTTGTGAAATAAATATGGTTCGACAATTGTGTCTTGTTGACATCAACCCAGGACAAAAATCTTTTGGGTTGTTGTCAACCTTTTTTAGACAAGAGTCTCTTTGCGTCATCCAATTGAATTGATTGAAGATCTCCAACTAGATCACGTTATCATAATAAATAGAATAGAACTCTTAAAAGACCTCACCTCCACATCCGATGTAAGGCTAAATGTCTCTTTTTGAGATGTTTTGTTTTATTGATTATCATTATTTATATATCATTAATTATTATTATTATTATTATTAATTAATATAAAAGATAGTAAAGAGTGTGGTGTGGATGTTATTTGTACAATTAGAATCGAGGTGATATAATAACAGGTTATATACAGAGTGGATGGTGGATAAGATTATTGATGTTGTTTAAGAAGTTGTAGACCATTGGTATACTGATTTAAAGAGAGAGGTGTGTGTGTGTGAAAGTGTAAGTATTAATTAATTAATTAATAATATGATTAATAATCTTAATAATATTAATATTAATAATATTATTATTTCAATCTTAACTAAAACCAAATTTCTTTTACATTTGTTGTGGTGGTTGTTGTTGTTGAACTGGTTGCTGTTGTTGAACTGGTTGCTGTTGTACTGGTTGCTGGAATGCAGTATAAACTGGCTGTTGGTTTGAGTATTGGTATGATTGGTATGGTACACCATAGTTGGCTGGTTGATGTTGATGTTGTTGATGAGCAGAATAAAGTTGAACATTTGGAACTACAGCAGTGTAGTATGGATTGTACATGGCAGCAGTCATATTGGAAGAATAGAAACCAGCATTTAAACTGTTAAGAGCAAGTTGCTCGGATGGTGTTAAACGACTGTATGCATCATCTTCAGAGATGATTGGTATTTGATTTTGGTGGTATACATTTGGTTGTTGTTGTTGTTGTTGTACCATTGGATGTTGGTAATGATATACTTGTTGGTATTCTTGTTGTTGTAGTTGTTGTGGTTGAACAGATTGTTGTTGTTGTTGTTGTTGTTGTTGTTCGACCAATAATGGTTGTTGAACAAGAGATTGTTGTTGATGTGATTGTTGTACAAGAGTACCAACAACTTCTTCCTCCTCTTCCTCTTCCTCTTCATCTTCGCTGAACTCTTCATCATCATCCTCCTCTTCATACTCACTTTCATCTTGTTCTTCTTCAGAACCTTCTTCATCTTCATCATCTTCCAAGTCGACTTGGATTGGCATTCCCATACCTGGAATTGGAGTCATTTCCAATAGATTGGATGCAGCAGCAGTAGTAGTAGTAGTGGTAGAAGTAGAATCAATGGCACCAACCTTTGATTTCTTTGTTGGACCTTGTTTCGAGTTGACCTTAGCTTTCTTGATCGTAGTTTCACGAATCTTGGTACCATTCCAATTACCCTTGTTATACTTTGTGTTTTGAGTAAACAACTTTTTGATTCCTCTGTCTGATAACTTGGCCTGTATAAATTCAAACGAACAAACGAACAAAATGTATTAGAATATCTATACCTATATATTTATATTATTATTACTATTATTATTATTTATTCATATATTTATATACTTTACATACTCTAAGTACTTCATTAGCCTCTCTAAATTCCATAATCACATTCCACATTACTTGTAATTGACCTTCGAAAGCCATTGGATATTGAGACATTGTGGAGACAAAGGCACCAAGATTACCATGACATAGTTTGAATACCTTTTCACGCTTGATAAACAAGTCATTTGCTTCAAGTCTTTTAACAATATCACGACTGATTACAGGATCCAAACAATCAAGTTTCCATGATTGTAACTAAATAGTTTTAAAATTAAGAATGTAAAACAAGTAATGTATTAATATAATTCTAAAAGATAGATTGTAAATTTAAATATTTAAATATATATATATATATTGAATTTAACAATTAACTTACAAGTTTAATCTTTTCTAATGGGTATAGTTGGTTAAGAGTTTGAAGTGAAACATATGGTACAACAAATGTTAATGTCATTGTGTTAATAGTTATTTAAATAGTAAAGTAATAATGATAATAATATAGTATTATTGTTGGTAAATGGTATGTAATAAGTGAATGTATGAAATGGATGGTTGGTTGGTTGGAGAATGGTATAAAAGTATTGTTGTTGTTTAAGCCTCTAATTTTCAATTCTTAAATAGGAACAACCAGCTAGCAAAGGTACTAGCTTTCGGTGGTTTAAAGATGAGGAAGAGGGTGGGAGGAGGAGGGAAGAGCAACAACACAAATCATAAGATTTTTTACAAGAGAGAGGACAGGACAGGACACTAAAACTACCACCTCCTCCCACTCTCTTCTCCTAATTGCCAGGTGGCACATTGAAATAGTACTGGTGATCAATGTATCCTTTGACCAAACAAAGGGGTACTACAACAGAGAGAGAAGGAGGGGGATGTAAACCCAAAAAGTCAACGATTTTAGAGTAAACCCTGATCGCTTCTATTAGAATTTTTGGGCGCGAAAACTCACTAATTGCCTTTTGTGGAAGAATGACGGTACCACCCCAAACACCCTACCCCCAAAAATACTCTTACATTCCTACCTCTCTGATTCATCCCGAAATCGAATATCAATACGACGATCGTGATTGTCCCCAATACAACTACCAACAATTTGATCAATCACCTACATGCATTCTCATCGGACGAGGTTCGGGGTTGTTCAAAATACACAAACAACGATACAGCTTTTGTTTGATTTGAACAACTCGAGGAATGGGGACATATCCTATTTAGGGAACATTGGAATCCGTACCCATCTTTGACTTTGTTTGACGTTGTGTATCCATTCTCGTGCCTCGGCGCACTAGGTTTCGATCACCCTAACTCGCGAACTGGAAACTCAAAATTATTATTTTTTTATTTCTTTCTTTCAGCAAAAAACAATAAGGGGAGGGTATCACCATGGTAGAGGTTTAAGGGGGAAGGACTCATTGCTTCCAATAATACCCACTAGAACGTCCACACACACACTATTAAACATTAGTAATTAAAAAAAGAAAAAGGGAAAGAAAAAGAGTATCCATCAACTTTGATATATAGATTTGAAAGAAAAGGTAAAAAATATTATAATATTAGGATAAATTATATAATATTATATTATATTTAATGTTCTAATAAAAATAATTAGAATAGATAGTTAGATAGATAGATAGATAGATAATAATTTATAATAATAATACCTAAAAAGATATATATTTATAAATATATCGATAGGGATTCACCAAATCCAAAGAAAGAACAAATCAACAAAAGTATTTAGAGAGAAAAGGAAGGAAGGAAGGAAGGAAGAGAGTTGGAATGGAAATTGTATTCGTGTTGATTGGTATAAGACTACTACCACCTAATTGTTGTTGTTGTTGTTGTTGTTGATGATGGTAGCTTGGATGGTGGCACCATAGGCAATGACCTGGTCTGGGTCGATTGACTTGTAGATAGGAATGCCACAGAAAAGGTGTTGGAGGAGTGATTGGATCTTTGGAATACGGGTGGAACCACCTACGAGGATGATTTCGTGGATGGATTGCTTGTCGAGTTTAGCATCACTGAGAGCCTTTGCGACTAGGTCGAGTCAACAATGAAAGAGGTCGTCGTTGAGTTGTTCGAATCGTGTACGGGTGATAGAGGTGTAAAAGTCTATACCTCCCATGATCGAGACGATTTCAATTGACGCTTGGGTAGACGACGAAAGAGTACGTTTGGCACGTTCACAAGATGAACGTAGACGATTGATGGCACGATGGTTAGTTGTCAATTCCTTTTTGTACTTGTCCTTAAACTCTTTGATGAAATAAGAGACCATACGATTATCGAAATCCACACCACCCAAATGTAAGTCACCAGCACTGGCCTTTATCTCAAATACACCACCATCTTTGACAGAGAGTATTGAAACATCAAAAGTACAACCTCCAAGATTGAATATTAGGATGGTCTTTTCAATAACCAACTTGTTTTTCTTTTCAAGACCGTAGGCAATGATGGCAGCAGTTGGTTCATTGATAATACATTGGACATTCAACTTGGCAATGACGGCAGCGTCTTTGGTGGCTTGACGTTGAGCGTCGTTGAAATAAGCTGGAACGGTGATGACAGCGTCGGTGACAGTTGACTTTCAGCAATTCCCTTCATTTTGAGGAGAATCATAGATGAAATCTCTTCTGGTGAGAATGTCTTGGTTTCACCGTTGTACTCTACTTGGATGTATGGTTTGTCACCTTGCTTTTGGACAACTTTAAATGGCCAATACTTTATATTTGATTGGACAATAGAGTCGGAAAACTTGCGACCAATGAGACGTTTGACATCGAAAATGGTATTGGTTGGATTCAAAGTTGCTTGGATCTTGGCATTTTCACCAACAACAATAGAGTCATTGAAAGCAACATATGATGGAGTGGTCCTATTACCTTGGTCGTTGGGAATGATTTCAACTCTATCTTTTTGCCATACACTAACACAAGAGTATGTTGTACCTAAATCAATTCCAATAGATATCATTAAAAAATATTTTATTTCTTCTTTAATAATAATAATAATATGTATATGGGAAATTATATATATATATATATATATATAAGTAAGTATTAAATGTATGTATGTACCAAGACTTGAAAAGTTGCGATAGATTTAAATTCCCAAAATATAGCTTTTAAAAAGAGAGAGAGAGAGAGAAAGAAAGAGAGAGTGTGGGTGGGTGTGCTTTGTGTTTGTTCTCACGATATAAATATATTATACTATGTTTAATTAAAAATAAATACCTTTGATTTTGTCCATGACAACTAATCGGCCAATTTGTAGTCTAAATTTATCCTAGATCTGAATAAATATTTATCGCCATTATTAATCTTATAGAATACACCTAATGGTCATTACGTTGTTGAGTAGGTAGAAGAATGTTCATTTCTCTTAACTTAACTATCCATCGCATCATTAGTATGATTATTCGAAAATGATCAAACAAATAATTTAATTTAATTTAAAAATTTGAATTTTTCACATTATTTTTTTCCCTCCAAAATTTAATGGGTTTGTTCATACCTTTCTTGTCCTCCATTCATTCAATACTTTTTTACATTACTCAAAGAAAAAAAAGGAGAAATAGGATTATCAATTCCATTTTCTATATAGAAACTATTCGTACATCTACAACAACAAAAACAACAACAACATACAATTAGATCTAGTTAGTTAGTTAGTCAGTAGTAGTGATTAAATAAGATAAAATTAATTTTGTTATCTTGACTCTACCTCTCTATCTGTCTCTATCTCTATCTCTATCTACAATTTGTTAAACATCATACAGCTACAACTATTTGTGCACAATAACAAATAACAACAATAATAATAATCATCATCTCACAAGAATCATTTAAGTATTTTTCTAATCATCATTTTTAATTATTTTTATCAACATTTTATATTTTATTTTTATTAAATTAGGATAATTTAAGTATTACCTAATTCATCATCATCTTCTTCTTCTTTCATCTATTACATCTATCTATTATCTATATATAAATAAATAAATACATACATATAAATATGACTTCTTACATTCAACAAGTAGGATCTAAACATAAGATCACAATCGATCCAAAGAAAAGATTTGAATTTGGAAGGTAAGAAAGCATTCATCATTGTCATATGATAACTCAAATCATATAATACTCATATTACCTTTTTTTAAATATATATATATAGTAACTCAGAGAACGATGTTAGAATTTATACTGCAGGTGTATCCTCAAAACATACTTTAATTGAATATGACAAATCTGGAAAAGTATGTACTACTACTACTCATATTTCAAAATACTTGTGTTTAATCATGGATGATTCTAATTCAATTTATTATTTATTTATTTAGCCAATTATTAAGAATTTAAGTAAAATCAATCAAACCATGGTCAATGGTAAACCAGTCAAAGAAGCAACCTTGTTAAGAGATGGCGATCTTGTTGAGATTATTGACAAAAAGTTCCATTTCCACACCTCTACTTTGCCATCCACACCTAAAACTCCAAAATTATCAAAGGCTCCAATGAGTGAAAGAGTATGTAGATTCAATCAATCAATTGATTGATTGGTTTATAATGATTTTATATTGATGTATTAATAATTATTTATTATTTTTGATTTATCACAGAAAAAGGTTCCACTTCAATCGGTTGAAAATATTATATCAAATACTACAAATACTCCTTCTTCAAAGAACAAAAAGAAATCAACAAACAACAATAATAATATAATTGCACCAACTACCGTTGCCAAGATCAATGTTTCAAGTGCTTCGACATCATCGATTGCCAATAGAAAGAAACCAATCAAGATGAACTTGTCAAATGTTGAGGAGGAAGAGGGTGAATATGAACAAGACAGTAGCAGTAACAACAGTATTGCTGAATCATATGATGATGAGCAATCACAATCATCGTCATCTTTTATAGAGTCAGTTGTCAGCGGTGGCAGCGGCAACAGCAGTGCCAACACTAGCTTCAACTCTAGTTTTGGTATTGACCCCAACTCAACTCCAATTACCCCACAAACACCATCGCAGTCGGGTTCCAGTCCTCCATCAACCCCATACTCTGCCTATTCCAACAATTCGTCCTTTTCAGCTGCAAAGTTTGCAACTCCCATCCCCATGTCATCGGCGACCATGGTCTCAAGACAACAAACACCCGCACCCTCAAATAACAACAACAACAATTTGTTTGGTAGTGTTTATGGATCGGCAGTGACACCCATTTCCAAGCCATTAAAGGGAATTTTAAAGACTCCAAAGCCATTTGTAGAGTTTGCCACTCCGTCACCCAAGACGAGCAAGTCACGTGCATTTGTTGAGAGCTTTGACGAGCAACAAGACCAAGAGATGGCCGATATTGCCGCTCCTCCTAAACGTGAATCCACCCTCAAGTTCAAGACACCGGTCAAGGGTACCCAGACACCATCACAAAAGATTCTCGCCAAAACACCCATCCCCAACAAGAGAGCTGACCTCGACTCGTCCATCGAAGGTACTCCCTCCAACACACCCATCAAGATGGTTGCCAAAACACCACTTTCCGTTAAAAAGGCTGTCATCTCTAGTCCAAACAACCAGACATTAGAGTTTGAAAAGACAGAGGCCATCATCCAAGCACCTCTCTTTGTCGAGGAGGACGACGAACAAGAACCACACTTTGACGAGGAAGAAGAGGTTGAAGTATCTGCATCTCAACTCTCTAGTCTTGTCGCAGACAAGAAAAAGAAGAGAAGAAAGAGAGTCGTTGTTGCCAAACCATTGGTCGTAGTCCCAACTCACACTCCAGATGTCAAGAAAAATGTTAAAAAGACAAATTTGTTTGAAAGAAAAAAGGAACAACAACAGCAACAACAACAACAACCAAAGAAACAAACAACCGTTGTCACTCCAGCTCCAATTGTTCCAGTTGTTGCCGCCCCCACTGCTGCCAATGCTGGTACCAAGAAACAAAAGAGAACTGTTTTGGAACAAGTTCAACAACAGAGTGATATTGTCACATTTGATGAGTCATTTTCTACTGCAACTCCATCATCTGTCCGCTCAAATGCTAGTCGTGTAAATATCTCGGTTGATGAATCACCATTCCACACTCCAGTACACTCAAATAGTCAAAACTCTTCCGTTGTTTTATCATCACCATCCAACTCTGCTGTAAAGAGCCTCTTTGCCTCTGTAAACAAGACTCCACTTTCAAATAACACTAGCGTTTTTTCATCTACCCCAGTATCTGTTGCAAAGACCCCAGTATCGGTTGCCAATACTCCAGTAGCCAAGACTCCAGTATCTGTTGTAAAGACTCCAAAGTCAACCAATGTTGCCACTACACCATTGACTGGTGTCAAGGAACTCTTAAAGACTCCAAAGTCTGCCACTCCAGTATCTGTTTCAAAGACCCCAGTATCCAAGACTCCAGTATCTGTTGCAAAGACTCCAGTATCTGTCGCCAAGACTCCAGTATCCAAGACTCCAGTATCTGTTGTAAAGACTCCAAAATCATCCAATGTTGCCTCTGTTGCCACTACACCATTGACTGGTGTCAAGGAGCTCTTAAAGACTCCAAAGTCTGCCACTCCAGTATCTGTTTCAAAGACTCCAGTATCTGTCTTTAAGACTCCAGCACCCCAAGAAGATGTTGACGAAGAAATGCAAGAAGAAGACTTTGACGAAGAAATGGAGGAAGAAGACTTTGACGAAGAAGAGGAAGAAGAGTTTGCCCAAGAAGAACAACTTGTTGAAGAAGTTGAATTTGAAGAGGAACAAGAAGAGGAAGAAGAAGAATTGGCAGACGACGAGGAAATTGATTATGGAGAAGAAGGATTGGAATATGTCGACGATGAAGAAATAGTCGAAGAACTAGAAGACGACCAACTTGTCCAAGAGGAGGATGATGACGAATACGACTGTGAAATCGTTGACGACGAGGAAGAATTGGTTGATGAAGAAGCCATTGATCAAGAAATAGTTGCCGACAATGAGGAAATCGTTGACGACGAGGAAGAATTGGTTGATGAAGAAGCCATCGACCAAGAACAAATCGTTCAAGACGAAGAAATTGAGGACCAACTTCAAGATGAAATCGTTGACCAAGAAGAAGAATTGGTTGATGAAGAAGAGCTCGTTGAACAAGAAGTTGCCGATGATGAGGAACTCGTTGACGATGAAGAACAATTGGTTGATGAAGAAGCCATAGATCAAGAAGAATTTGTTCAAGATGGCGAAGAAATGGAAGACGACGACCAATATGAAATCGTAGACGGAGAAGAAGAATTGGTTGATGAAGAAGAGCTCGTTGAAGACGAAGAAGCCATTGACCAAGAAGTAGTTGCTGATGACGATGAAGACGAAGAATTGGTTGAAGAAGCTGTTGACCAAGAAGTAGTTGCTGATGACGATGAAGAAACTATTGACGAAGAAGTAGTTGCTGATGACGATGAAGAAGTCGTAGGTGAATTGGTCAATGAGGAAGAAGAACTCGTTGAAGACGAAGAAATGGCCAATGGTGATTTCGATGAATCTGACCAAATTGCCAAGTTATCAGAAGATATTGAACCATACATAGAAGAAGAAATCAAGGTCGAAGTAGATACTTCCAAGCCATCAACTCCAAAGAAAATCATGGAAGAGATTGACGAATCCGCCGCCTCCATGTCTGCCAAAAAGAGACGCTCCTCTATCAGAAAATCCATCTCTAATCCATTCCAAGCCGACAGAGGTCAAGACATTATTGCTGCCCCTGTACAAATCTCTACTCCAAAGAGAGCTTCCATCCTTCCAGACACCACTGTCTCGTCTCCAGAATCCGAAGAGGAAAAGATCGAACAAGTAGAGGAGGAGGAGGAGGTTGTAGTTGAAGAACCAGAAGAACTCCCACCTTTGACCAAGAGAGGAAGACGTTCAACCAAAAAGTTACCTGAACCAAAGGTTGAAGAGGAAGAGGTAAAGGAAGAGATCAAGCCAACAAAGCGTTCATCCAAAAAGGAACAAAAGAAAGAGGAAGAACAAGAAGAGGAAGAAGAGGTGGTTGAGGTCAAACCAACCAAATCCAAACGCTCATCTAAAAAGGTTAAAGAAGAAGAAGAAGAAGAAGCAGAGGTCAAACCAAAGGCCAGACGCTCATCCAAAAAGGTGGAGAAAGTTGAAGAAAAGGAGGAGGAAGAAGTGGAAGAGATCAAGCCAACAAGATCAACAAGAGGAAGACGTTCAACCAAAAAGGTGGAGGAAGAACCAGAGGAAGAGGTGGTTGAGGTCAAACCAACCAAATCCAAATCATCTAAACGTTCATCCAAAAAGGTGGAGGAAGAACCAGAGGAAGAGGTAGTTGAACAAGTCAAGCCCAAGAGAGGCAGACCTTCAACTAAAAAGGTGGTGGTAGTGGAAGAACCAGAGGAAGAAGAGGAACAAGAAGAGGAAGAGATTAAACCAACCAAATCAAAGCGTTCCTCATCCAAAAAGGTGGTCGAAGAGAAAAAGTCCACTGCCAAGAAGAGATCCAAGAAGGAATCGGACGAGGAAGAAGAGGAACAAGAAGAAGAAACTCAAGTTAAATCCTCAAGAAAGAGAACAAAGAAGGAGGAAGAGACCCCACCACCAACCAAGAAATCTACAAAGAGATCCTCAAAGCAACAAGAAGAAGAGGTCGAAGAGGAGGAAGAAGAAGTCACTGAAAAGAAGAGAAAGAGTGACAAGGATGCCAAGAACAAGAGAGGCATTAAAAAATCAAAAAAGGAACAAGAGGATGAAGAGGAAGAGGAAGAAGAAGAAGTCAAACCAGTCAAAAAGACTTCATCCAGAAGAACCTCCAAGAAAGTTGTCCAAGAATCTGATCAAGAGGAAGAAGAGGAACAAGTTAAGCCAAAGTCCTCAAGAGGTAGAAAACCAAAGAAAGTAGAATCAGATGAAGAGCAAGAAGAACAAGAGGAAGAGGAAAAACCAAAGACCAGAAGAACATCCTCAAGATCAAAAAAATCAACTAGATAATCCAATCATCTCTAAACAAATGATTTAGTAATTTTTAATTAATTATATATTTTTAATAAATACACCATTAATTTATTCTATAAATATTTTCCTTTGTTAGGGTTGAGGTTTACAAACCATGGTAGACTTCCAATTTGGGTTGAGTCATTATTTTCAAGTTAAAGTAACAACGAGTCTATTACAACAAACTGTCAATCAAACCCCCCCATACAATCGGTAATTTTGGCTTCACCAAAATAAAACCCTCAGTTTCCATGGTTTGTGTTGATAAGATCTGGTGTATTTGTAAATTGTCAATTCTAGAGAAGCATATTTTGCCAAGGTGGAATTCATATTCACCCATCTCATCCATTCGTTTAAACAATGAAAACATTAATTATTATCTCTTCCATTCTTTTATTACTTTGTTTAGTCAGTTGCATCCAAGGAGAGGTATGTCAAACAAAATATTGACCAATACAATAACAAATGTTTATCTTATTTTATCTTTTTAGGAAGCATATTTTTCATTCAAAACCCAGGGCTCTATCCATGATTTTGTATTCAAGCTGACAGATCCCAAATTGATTAACCATGCTAGAAAATTGATTAGTGGACAAATCGACTCTCAACCTCATATCATGGGAAAGATCAAAAAGCTATCCAAACCATACAATCCACATTATGAATTCCACATGGATCCAGATCAAATTTCTTTCTTTGACTTTGCAATCGAAGTATGTGACGCTTCTCTCCCCTATCTTGAGGATAATTTGAAAGACGCTTGTGGGGCATTCCTCCCAGGATGCATGTTTTGTCCATGGAGTTCTCAACTTGTCGAAGAAGTTCATCCAAAGGTTGACAAAAAATAAAAAATATAAATATTAATTTAAAAAAAAACATATTAGTATTAAAAATCGATTTATTATCATCATTTTATATTTATTCATTTATTGGGATAGTTATGGAGTTTATAAATACTAATAATAATACAAATAATCAGATCATTGATGATGAAACAAAACGAATAGGAGTATTAAATGAAATATTCCAAAGTGAAGAAACATATTGTGCATCTCTTGATCGATTGATTAACGTATGATCTATAGATCAACAACAACAACTAGAAAGATAGGGAGGGATGGATGTTAACATTTAATTGATATTCTTTGTTTTATCTAGAATTACTTGGAACCTGCAATCAATGAAAACATAGTAAAGAAGGAAGACATATGGATTCTATTTAGCAACAGCTTGGCGATAAGAGAGCAAAGTAAAAGATTCGTTACTGCTATGCGACTTGAAATAGAGAGGGGATCTTTAAACTATGCTCAATCTTTTATGGATACAATATCATATCCTCCCTACCTTGTCTACGTTGTAGACTATCAACAATCTCTACAAAGACTGGAGAAACTAAAGACACAGTCCACAACGTTTAAAGAGTTCCTACAAAGACGAAAGAATGTGGCTATACAACAAGGTGAAGCATTTGCTTTGGATCTAGAGTCATACTTGATTATGCCAGTTAGTCGATACCCTCGATACCTCCTTTTAATCAATGACCTTCTTCGATACTCTCCTCTTCCTCATCCTCACCATCAACACATTAAACAAGCATCGGATCAAATTAAATATGATTTAAAAGTAATGAATGACCAATTAAAAGAAATGACTGATGATAACAAGTTAACGTCCAACAGTCAAAACAATTGTACTATAATGTAAACAAACAAATGATATATATATATATAAATTAAACCTATTTTTATTCGACCAACAACAACCAATATATGATGATGATAGTTGGATTGGTCAGAGTGACAGATTATTAAAACATAATAAATCTACTTGTTCACAATGATATAGGTTGGATAGATGATAAATTTGGTTATACACTGCAGGAGATATATGCTTGATCGTTTTCTCTGCCATCCTTGTTATAGATTGTTTAATATGTTTACAAATAATACTATTTTCAAATCCTAGAATAGTATTTCTATCCAATTGCAATGGTTGTTGGTGTTGATGTTTTACGGGTTGAGGAAATTGATTTAAATGTTTAACTAGAAATCTTTGTCTATTTAAAATGGATTCCCATGTACCAAGAATGGATTGAATGATTTCCTTGTCCCCAACGCGATCTGGATGCAATAATCTATCCATGACAAAATCTGAAATAAATAATAGTAGTTTGGGATAATTGGTAATAATGTAAAAGTGTTGATCTCCATTGATTAATTTGGTCATAAAATACAGTTGTAAAATGATTAATTGTCTTGTTGTATAATCAATCAAAAGGTTGGGATTTGAGGCATTTGAAATGATCATTTTATCAAAGGTTGGTAAAAGTTGATCTAGAAATTGGTAATCTAACCGATCGATATTAATTAACATGTCTACATGTTTTGAGTTACTTTCCATCATTATACCCAAACTTTCAAAACATCTTAAAAGTATTGATTGATTCTCCAAACCAATATTATTATTATTATTATTATAATTATTATTATTTACATCGGTCATTTTTTGCAAAGAAGAATGTCTCATTGCAGTATTAATAATTGCTTTGATTATTAAAATGGTTTGAATTTCACTATTACTATTATTATTATTATTATTAATTTCTATTTGATTATTATTCATTTTCCAAATTGATATGAATAAATCCAATGTTTCCAAATCTAACAACATTGTACATTGTTTACAAAGTAGTTGGAATATGTTGTTTTCATTGGCCAATAATACAGTACTAATTGATTGTGAAAGTTGATGAATACCATTGTGATTGTACAGTGTCGTCAATGAATGATAGTGTTTTAATAGTCTGGCCAATGATCTTTTGGACTCTGTTCGAACACCCAAATGCTGACTCGACAAGAACCCCTTGACCACTCTTATGACATTGATGAAATGTGCTCCATTGCTTCCACCTTGTCGATAATAATATTCTTCTATATTGTACAATGTTGAAATAAATTTTAGACTACAAGATGTTACATGTGGAGGAGAAGGAGAAGGAGAAGAAGGAGAAGATCCACCACCACCACCACTACCAACCTCTTCTTGTACCATTCGATTTAATAAATAATCAATCACTTTGGTGACATGATACGATCCTCCAGACTCTCCAATCACCAACAAACAATCGATCACTTGACTTGTGAATCTCTGTTGGTGTGTCTTTGAATCGATTTCCAATAGATATTGTAGTGTTTGAATGATCTTGCAATTGACCAATTCACTGCATGCAGAACTTGATATATGTGATATAGCACAAAGACAATTCAAAGCAACTTGAAATGAATAAGTTGCTCCTCCTTCACCACCACCCAAGTTGATCAATTGGTCAACTTCCTCCACCAAATAGTAATTCAAAACTTGTACCAAATAATCAATATACCTATCAGCCACCAAATCATTGATCGATGAATTCCTCTCTGTTTAACAAAATGTTAATCAACATCTACTCTTTATTTATAGTTTATATTTATCTACCTCTCTTACCTTTTGTTTTAATGATTGATTCTATTCTGTTGAGTTTACCAACATCTATATAAAATGTTGATGCTATCATCGTGATAGTAGGTTATTTTGTTGTTGTTGTTGTGTCCACCTGTAGTCGTAGTAGTAGTTGTGAATATTTAAGAGTTGATGAATACAACCAATGTGAAAGGAGGAAGACTAAAGAGAGAAAGAGAGAGATAAATTATTATATATGTATATATGTCATACTACTTATTTGTTGGCAAAATAAAAAGAGTAGACAAACAAACAAACAAACAAACAAACCCAAACCAATAACGTCAGTTTTGATGACGATTTAAAGATTTAAAATTTCAAGTGACAAATGAACAAACTTGTTTAATACTAGTATATTATAAAATGTAACATTAAATAAGAATAATTTAAATAATAAACCAGTTAACTATTCATTAATTTTAGTATTAGTATAACCTTAACTAACTTTAGTTCTTACTTTAAGATCCCCACCCAGATATTTTGCCCCATCTCAATTCCACACTTTTTCAAAACGCGTGTGTATAGAGATCGAGATCCCCTCCTCACGACTGTCATTTTTTTTCTTCTTGTTTAGCGATCAAGATCAAAGACTAAAGACTTGTCCTTGACGTCCGTTGTATTGTATTGAAAACTACTGTACTACTATTAAAAAATATATATATATATATATATATATAATATATTGTACTTTATTATCACTTTAGCTATATAAGAAAAGAAAGATAGAAAAGAAGTAGAAGAAGAAGAGGAAGTTCAAAAAAAAAAAAAAAGGTAATATTATATTGAATCGATCTTCACCAACACACTATCACACACCCTAGGTGAAAATACACCACCACCCCCCAACATGTTGAATGCCCCACCAGTCATATGGAAGATGGGGGGTAGAGGTGTCAGATGATCAGCAATACAAAATTTTTATTTTATCTATCTAGTGGTAGTAGTAACTCGAATTATCATTAAATAATCGAGTGTGCACTACTCGTATAGATTTATAAATAAATAAATAAATGAGGAGGAAGAGGAGTGGTAATAGGGAAGAGGAGTGAGTAAGTTCTTTTTCTTCTCTTCTCATCATCATACAAAATAATAGATAATATTATTTTTGATAAACAACATATAGATAGAGAGAGAGATATACTTTCTCTGTCTCTTGTGTCATATCATATATAGTCAACAACAACAACAACAACAACAACAGGTTTAATTGTTTGTTTCATTTTGATTGATATTTAAGAAGAGAAGAAGCGTCAGCCAAGTTAATTAGTACCATCATTTCCAATCATTATTATTAACATCACCAATAATAATAATAATAATAATAATAATAATAACAACATAATAATAATAATAATTATAATCTAACTATCTAAAGAATCGAAAAAGAATTAGTAATACTCATTCATCTATCCAATCCTTTTAAAATTATTAAATAATTTATAGAACTTATCGTAGAAAGAATTGTAAAATAATAGAATTAGAATAGGAATAATAATAATAAGAATAATTAAATAATTAAATAATAGTAGTAGTGGAAATTGACAATGTCAGTACCTTTGTATACATGGCATCAGAATAATAGTACGGTGGTCATAAAGTTTGACGTACCAGCCGCCGTCACTAAACAAGATATTTTGTCAGAGATCACGGGATCGTCGATTAAGTTTGGGGTCAAAGGGTTTGCCCCGCACTTGGATGGTCAATTGGCAAATGCAATCAAGGGATCGAGATGGACACTCAAAGAGGACGTAGGTCAGATACAGATATTGTTGGACAAATCGACACAGTCGATACCATGGAACAACCTTATCACCTCCTTTTCCTCTTCGTCTCCCTTTGTGTCGCGCGCTCGTGTCATGTATGAATACAGCGCAACCAATGAAGAAGAACTGTCATTATTGCCATACGAGGTGATTGGTATTTTCGCAAGCGACGATAGTGGGTGGCTCGAGGGTGAGAGACTAGGCGTCAAGGGTGCAATCCCCTCCAATTTTGTTGAAATCTTTCAAAATGATTATCAACCTTTAGAAGGTACGATTAATTTGTTTAAAAAAAACATATATCTATATTTCCTCTTTGTTCTGTATATATCTCTTTTATCTCTATCTCTGTCTCTCTCTCTTTGCGACATTACTTTAAAATCAAACCAACAAAGGGCCGCAAACCTTACCTCTGGATTAAAACAAAAAAAAAAAAAAACAAAAAAGTGGACATCACCATCACTTGGTTGTTCACATAAATATCTGATAAAAGCACAACAACTTCAAGAAAAAGAATATACACTCTAGCAACCCAACTACCACATCTATCGATCTATTCTCTATTTTTCACACTCCAGTGTTATTCAGTGTTTTAATCGACCACATCTAAAGAGTTATATTTATAAGTACTAATCTAACCTCCTCCTTTTGTACTTTTACTCTTTAATTTAGATGTTGAAGCATCAGCAGAGTTTGCAAAGACAGAAGACAATAAACCAGGTAAGAATAATAATGAATCTATAAAACATCATCATCATCATCATCATCATTGTTATAGTTTAGAATTTTAACAGTAGCAGCAGACAATGACAACAGAATAGAAAAGAACGATTGATCAATCAATACCTGGTTATTGGTTGGCAAGGGAAAAGAGAAGGGGAGTGGTGACAGTGTTTGGTTGGAATAATATTCACACACATATTATTACCCCTTTCTGTGATATCCCCCCCTCCTTTACCTGACCACCAATCCATATGGATATCTACCGCAGTTAAACAGCAATAGGGATTGATGATAAGCAATCAACCACAAACTTGGTCAATCATCCAATCGATTTGTATCATCATTAAAAAAGTTAACGCGCACGTTCATATATAGAGTTGTGATCGAATCGAAAAGACAAGGATAGAAACAGAACAAGGTGACAAATGGGTTTTGATAAAAGAGAGAAGTAATCGCTTTTAAATATGCTCATATTACTCTCATCATCATCAAACAAAACATACAACCTTGCACCATCAACCATAACCATCAATATAAGATTCAGTAATCCTCCTCCTCCTCCTCCATCCAGTTCTCACTCTCTTACTCTCTCTCTTTGATTGTTTCTGCAATTTATTGTTATTCAATCAAATCAAATCAAATCAAAACATCACATTGTACAATAACTTGAGTACTAGCTACTATAGTGTTTATATATTTATATTGTCGCTAGTGTCATACTCTGTCACCACTCATATACAATCTGACGGTTTCGATCGACTGTATTGTGAACATCATCATCATCTTTATCACGCTCTCTTCCTCATCATCATCATCATCACAACATTGTATCTGTTATATATAGTGTAGACAAGTGTCGCATTTTAAACCATGGCAACCAAAATTTTAAACCTTTTTACTAACAAATCCTCTTCTTCTCCAAACAAAAACAATTCTTCAAATAATACACCTACTAAAACCAACAACAATTCAAATACACCTTCTTCTCCTTCATCTCCAATTCCATCTGAAAATACAACAACTATTATCGAATCAAATCCTCCAAACTCTGAAACTATAACTATTGTTGAAAACATTGATGTTGTTGAACCACAACCTCCACCTCCTCTTGCTACACCTAAAACAGGAATAAGAAAACCAGGAGGATTAAATTTTATGGTTGATGAATTAAAAGGAAAGTTATCAAATAGAAAAACAACATCATTCTCACCAAAAGAAGTAGAGACTGCATTATCATCACCATCGGGAACACAAGAAGAGCCAATTAAATCCACATCCTTGTCATCTTCATCATCATCTTCGGTTCCACCTCCACAACCATCATCATTTGTAACTGCAAAGATATCAAGCAAACCAGCACCAGCTGCTAGAAATCCACTAAATCGTAGTCAATCGCAATCAACTTCACAAGATACTCCATTATCATATAATCCATTCCAACCTTTACAACCTAAACAAACTCCACCTCCTCCAACTCCAGTTGAAAGACAACAACAACAACAAGCTCAGCAACAACAACAACAACAACCACCTCAACCACAACCACCTCAACAACAATCGCAACCTCAACCACCATCACAAACATCATCTTTAAATTCATCTTCAAATTCAATTCAAAAAGAAATGTCACCAAATCCAAAAGGAAAAGATCAAAATGCCAGTGGTGAGGGTGCAGGAAGTAGAATTACATCATTGTTTAAGAAACCACTCAAAAAGATTACTGCCATTACAGGATTGACTCAAGGATCAGATAGTCACGACAAACATGCTGGCAAGCCAAGAGCACAAGTACTCTATGACTTTGATACCGATCAACAAGGAGAGTTGGCACTAAAGACTGGTGAAATCATTGTCATCAACCAAAAAGATCCATCTGGATGGTGGCAAGGAACCAATCCAAATACTGGAGCACAAGGTTGGTTTTCAAATACTTTTGTTGAGGAATTACCTCAATCATCTACCTCTTCTACAATGTCTCCATCAAAGGAATCATCAAAAGACAACAAATCATCATCTAAACCATCAGCTCCACCTCCATCGTCATCATCAGGACCACAATATGGAACTGTAGAATTAAAGTTACAAGCAATTAAACCAGAAACTCCAAAACTTGAACACAAGAGAAAACCTGGTGCTGCTCGTGGTAGAAAGTTGCCATCACGTGCTCGTGCTTCTTATTTGTTGGATCCAAACGAACGTGCTGAAAGAGACAAGTTGCGTGCTGGTTTCTACTCTGTATCTCCTCTTAGAAAGGAAGATTTCCCAGATGAAGATGATGACTCTTATGAAGATAGCAGCAGCAATGGTGGAAGCAGTTTGAATACAAGTGTTGGCAATAGCTCACCTACATTGACAGGATCTCGTTCATTTATTACTTCTAGTGCAGGTAATACAATCGAACAAGAAGAGGAAGTGGCAGTTGTATCTTCTACTCCCACACCAACTAGTCCTCCAATAGCAGCAGCAGATAAACCCAAACCACCTCCACCAAAACGTAATATTGCACCACTTCAACTCTCTTCCGACAATGTACCACCAGAAACCCAAACCACCGAATCAACTGAAAATAGCAACAACACATCAACTACTAGCCCCTTGTCATCATCATCGGGTACCATTTCACCTCCACCTCCACAACCTGCAAAGGTCATGAAACTCAAACCAAAACCTTCTGCACCACCAAGAAACCCAGAGATGAAATTATCATCCGATACCACTGTAACATCACCAACACCATCATCACCTCCTCCACCTCTTGCCAATGTAGAAGAAGAAAAGGAAAAGGAAAAAGAAAAAGAAAAGGAAGTTGTAGCCGAAAAGACATCATCATCGGTAGCTGCTCCACCACCACAAAATCAACCAAAACCACCTGCTCCAGGTATGGTTAAATTAAAACCAATGGTAAAGGTGGCTGCCAAACCACCTCCAGCTGCTGCAGGATCTCAACCACCAACACCAGGAGAACCATCAGATGCACCAAAAAAGATACTAGTTCCATTAAAGAGAACTACTACATTTGATGGAGATAGTATGACACCAAAGAATGAAGATAAACCATCTGAACCAATCAAACCACTTTTGAAGCCAGTTGTCAAGCCAAGAGTGGAAGGTGACTCTGGTGGCTCGACTGTTGCAGCTGCACCAGCTCAAGCTGCATCTGCACCTCCACCAATGAAACCAAAGGTTGCACCAAGAAAGGAACCTTCTTCTCCTCCAACTACCTCTGCTGGTGCATCTGCCTCTGCTCCAGCACCACAACACAATAGAGTACCATCTTCCTCTTCTTCCAATCCCACAACGCCAGTTACCTCCTCGCCACCCGCTGCATCACCAGTGTCTTCGTCACCACCACAAAACAGTGCTTCTGGTCCACCACCACCCGCTCTTAAAAAGATCTCTCCAACCGTACCAAGAAGAGCTCTCACAACCTCTTCTGAAGAGCAAGCCTCTGGAACACCTGCAGACAAGGCACCAACAGGAGGAGAAAAAGAATCAAAAGAATCATTATACAATAGAATTACATCGATTCTACCAGACATTTGCAAACAAGTTGAATCAATGTCTACACCACTATCAACCTTTCAACACCAACTTCCTCCACTTTCTCAAAGCTTTTTTAGTGCTCGAGCCTATTCTGTTCTAGGGTCTGACAAGGACTTTTCCTATGGATCTCAAGAGAGACCAAGAATTCCATTGTTCCAATCGGTTTGGCCATTTATATTTACATTGTTGTGCGAGGATTTGGGAAGTGATGAAATTGACAAGTCGATTGGTAGCAATCTCCCAGAGAATGACACTATCCCATACAATGAAAACAAAAAGGCACACAATCCATTCTGTACTGGTGGTGCCTTGGTAGAATCGAATCTCTACTCTTCTAAATACCCATCACCAGCCTATAGAATCTCACAGGTGCTTTCAACCATTGATAAAATCATCAAAGGTGGAGTATCTTGTGATATGGGTTCATATCTCTCTCAAAAGAATGAAACTTCTGATGAAGTTGCCACTGCTCATCTATTAAAGAGTGTTGGTCTTTTGAAATCACCCGAAGATATCTTGGACTTTTACTATCAATTAAATTCGATTCATTTAGATGTCTCTCAAATCTCTCAATTAACAACTACTCTTGCATCACTTGGTATTAGTCCAATTAATCAATCGTATGTCTTAAACAAACAAACAAATATATAATCTAGAAAGAGAGTATTTATTAATCTTTTTTTTTTTTTGTTTTAGAAAATTTGCAAATCAATCAAATGTTAAGAAATGTTTAGAAGTATTAAAGAATTGTGATACGATTATGAATGAATTGGATGGAAATCAATGTAATAATGGAGTGGAAATGATAACACTTGGTAGCAAGAGTGGAGTTTTAATGGTTATCATTCCTCAAGTCATGGGTATTACTTTATGTACTCATGGAAACAATGACCGAAACGAAAAACATATACAATTTTGTAAACTTTTAAAACAACAAATCAATTCACTCTAACCATAATTATATAATATATAACGATTAATAATAAAATAATAATTTCTCAAATTAAAAAAGAAAGAAGGAAAGCAAGTAATGTGTATTTTGATATACTCTAAAAAAAAAGTATGGATAGAGTATTTAAACTTTATATATTATTATATATTTGGGATAATTATTTAAATTGAATAGGTTGGTTGTTCGATTTGACAAAAAATTATATATAAATATTTACAAGTTGTTGTTGGATATTAGTGTACATTTTGTGTGATGATTGATTAGATATATATGACGTATTTTTTTATGGTTGATTTGGGTTGTTGAATATGCGTGTTGAATTATTTATCAATTGATTTCTTGTCAAGTTTGTTATTGTTTTGGTTGAGTTGATCGAAATAGGCAATTGGACTTGATAAAAAGCTACCAGCATCACTTGGACAGACATAGAGATGTGCTCCTTGGAGTGCCTTGGCTTTGATCTTGGCCATTTCAAGTTCGAGAAGACATGGGAACTTGGTGTACAACTCACCAAGCATTTCTTGAGCCTTTCTTTGGGCATCGGCAGCGATGAGGAGTGCATCGGCATCTCTTTGTGAAGAAAGGAGTTTAGCTTGAGCTTCAGAGACAATAGCTTGATTTCTTTGAGTAAGAGCAATGTTATCAGTCTCGGCCTTGAGCTTGGCTTCAGTGGTCTTGATATCATATTCCTTGACAAGGGTGGCTTGTTTGGTGGTATACTCGGCAGAGGTGATTGATTGACCTGCCAACTTTTTGGCAATGTCAGCATCGATAACCTTGATGGTTTCAATTTGGAGACGACATAATTCAATACCATATTCGAGGAGATCGTTGGCAAGGTTACCCTTTACACGATCTTGAATGGTTTGGATGGCTTCTTCGTGGCTGTTTTCGGTTTTCTTTGAGGGCTTTGTATTGTGGAAGTACATGACCTCTTGAAGGGTGGACAATTGGATAGCTTTACCCATATCGGCAAACGATACATTTTCAATATGGTTAATGATACCTTCCTTACCGAGCTTGGTGATGGCGAGTTCTGGATCAATAATCTTGAATGCAACAACCAAGACAACACCGACACGGAGTGAGTCACGAGTTTGGAAGATCTTGAGATTGATTTCATCAGAGGTGGCACCCTTGTATTCAGAGGCAGCTTGAGCCTTGGTCTCCTTTGATGGGAAAAGACAAGTTTGAAGAGAGGTTGGGATGAATGCCTCAAACATATGGGTGGCAGAGTTGATGATGATTGGATGGCTATCCTTTGGTGGTTGGATGATTTGGAGGATACCATTGTTGTAGGTGATAGCTACCTCACCAGTGTGTGGGATAATACGTTTGATGGAACCATGTTCGATATAAGAATCGGTAGCATTGTAAAAGAGATTGGTTTTACGGGCGCCCTCCGGAGATACAAGACGGAATTGTGGGTCAACAAAGACATATGGTTCACGACGCGACTCGATGATGAATGGTTGAGTTCCAATCCAAACCTTGGCAATCTTACCAGCTGGTACACGTAAGATGTGAATGGTTGAGTGTTGGATGTATGGTTCTTGTTGGTTGACAAATCCAATACCCTCGTTAAAGACAAAGGTTGGATCAATGATGACATGTGGACCTTCACCATACATAACTGGTCTGTTCTTACTGGTAGCCAAAGCATAATGACCGGCTGGTACTTGAAGGACATATTTACCATGAGCACCAAAGAAGTTATCAGTCTTTTGAACGGAACCGATGAATTTAATGGTGGTAGTTGGATCAGCAGTGTAGACGATACCAAAACGAGCACCACGTGGATCAAACAATTCAGCAACTTGATTACGATGACCAAGAGCCCAATATTGAACGTCCAAACGAGAAAGGGCACGACCAAGTACTGGAGAGTCTGTGAAAGCAGTACCCTTTACATTCTTGTTGAAACGTTCAAGGATTTGGGTTGATTGTTGTTCAGCATCGAGGTCATTGAATTCAGAACGGACAACAATACTTCCAACTCTTAATTCTTCCAATTGGCTCATTTCACTGAGATCTTCTTCGGTGTTACTTCTTGATATCATGGGCTTCAACGTATTGTTTGGTGAAGTATTGTTTGGTGTATTTGAAATCACTTTTTTAAAAAAAAGTGTCAATAGCCATACGCCTCGTGCATTGACTTGCTGGCCATTGTTATTTGTATTAACATACTTTTTATCGTCTAGGTCTAGGGGGTTTAGGTTTAGTTGTGATGAATGATAAAGATATATTCAAAAAGAGATAAACAAACTGAGAGATGAATTGGTAGAAGGGTTAGGGTTGGCAGGCAAGGCAATCGAATAAGAATTAATTATTTGTAAAGTGAAGTGTAGATTAATAGATGTATGTAACAGATAGATATTATTATCTGTATAAAAGTTATTTATATTTAGGTGTTGATAATGTTAAACAAAGCAGTTGGTTGTTGTTTGATTTGTATCAAATCATCGACCGTTATGAAAAATATATATAATTTCAAATTAATTCGGCTGACTTGAGAAATATCAGCAGCTTGCTTCTGATCTTGACCAAAAATATTTTTTATATCTGTCAAAATGGCTCGAACGAGCTACTTTCGGACCTGGTGTAGGGGCTGTTCCACAACACAACCCCTTAAACTCAAAGACTGCGAAACTTGATTCCCCTTTTAGGTGAGAGGTATGAGGTGTCATATTTGATCAGTAGCCTGGGTAACAATCACCATTATTGTCATCCCCCTTGTTCACCATCCCTCCCCAAGTTGAGTGGTTTCTCAGTTACACAAGAGCGGGGAAGATCACCCTGTTTTCACACTGATCGGTTGAGTACTCAAAGTATATTTTTGGTTGTTTGTTTGCATTCCTAACATTTTCTTATGAGATATTTTTCAAAACTTGTTGTTGCTGTCAGAGCAATTCATTGAAGAGTTTGCTTTGAACGAAAGTGGTGTTGGCAAGAACAGCGAGTGATCAATCTTCGACAAGAACAGCCCCTATATAAAATAAAATTAATTAATTTTTCACACACTACGCCGTTGGTTTTTTTTCCAAACTGTCGATTGATAAAAATCAGCGGTGCCTGTTTCTGCCAACTTGCAAACAAACATAAAACAGAGCACTTAACCAAAATAACTTTTATTGTTATATCTGTTTATCAATCTATTAACAACAAATATTATTATTATTATTAAATACACAATCATTCTTTACTTTATATCATTATCTTTTGAATAGATCAAAACTATCAAATTTTAAAAAGTATGTCATTCATATGATGATGATGATCATTAACTTTCAACAACCAACAAAGAAGTAAAAAGAATACAATGTATAGTTATTAACCTTTTTTTTTAATTAACCAAGTGATTTCAAATACACCAAACAATACTTCACCAAACAATACTTTGAAGCATATGCCATCAAGTAGCAACACTGAAGAAGATCTCAGTGAGATGAGTCAATTGGAAGAGTTGAGAGTTGGAAGTATTGTTGTCCGTTCTGAATTCAATGACCTCAATGCTGAAGAACAGTCTATTCAAATCCTTGAACGTTTCAACAAGAATGTAAAGCATACTGCTTTCACAGACTCTCCAGTACTTGGTCGTGCTCTTTCTCGTTTGGACGTCCAATATTGGGCTCTTGGTCATCGTAATCAAGTTGCTGAATTGTTTGATCCACGTGGTGCTCGTTTTGGTATCGTCTACACTGCTGATCCAACCACAACCATCAAGTTTATTGGTTCTGTTCAAAAGACTGATAACTTCTTTGGTGCTCATGGTAAATATGTCCTCCAAGTACCTGCTGGCCATTATGCCCTTGCCACAAGCAAGAATAGACCAGTTATGTATGGTGAAGGTCCACATGTCATCATTGATCCAACCTTTGTCTTTAACGAGGGTATTGGATTTGTCAACCAACAAGAACCATACATCCAACATTCAACCATTCACATCTTACGTGTACCAGCTGGTAAGATCGCCAAGGTTTGGATTGGAACCCAACCATTCATCATCGAGTCGCGTCGTGAACCATATGTCTTTGTTGACCCACAATTCCGTCTTGTATCTCCGGAAGGCGCCCGTAAGAATAACCTCTTTTACAATGCTACCGATTCCTTTGTAGAGCATGGTTCCATCAAACGTATTATCCCACACACTGGTGAGGTAGCTATCACCTACAACAATGGTATCCTCCAAATCATCCAACCACCAAAGGATAGCCATCCAATCATCATCAACTCTGCCACTCACATGTTTGAGGCATTCATCCCAACCTCTCTTCAAACTTGTCTCTTCCCATCAAAGGAGACCAAGGCTCAAGCTGCCTCTGAATACAAGAATGCCACCTCTGATGAAATCAATCTCAAGATTTTCCAAACTCGTGATTCACTCCGTGTCGGTGTTGTCTTGGTTGTTGCATTCAAGATTATTGATCCAGAACTCGCCATCACCAAGCTCGGTAAGGAAGGTATCATTAACCATATTGAAAATGTATCTTTTGCCGATATGGGTAAAGCTATCCAATTGTCCACCCTCCAAGAGGTCATGTACTTCCACAACACAAAGCCCTCAAAGAACCAAAGCGAAAACTCACGTGATGAAGCCATTCAAACTATTCAAGATCGTGTAAAGGGTAACCTTGCCAACGATCTCCACGAGTATGGTATTGAATTATGTCGTCTCCAAATTGAAACCATCAAGGTTATCGATGCTGACATTGCTAAACAATTGGCCGGTCAATCAATCACCTCTGCCGAATACACCACCAAACAAGCCACCCTTGTCAAGGAATATGATATCAAGACCACTGAAGCCAAGCTCAAGGCCGAAACCGATAACATTGCTCTTACTCAAAGAAATCAAGCTATTGTCTCTGAAGCTCAAGCCAAACTCCTTTCTTCGCAAAGAGATGCTGATGCACTCCTCATCGCCGCCGATGCCCAAAGAAGAGCTCAAGAAATGCTTGGTGAACTCTACACCAAGTACCCATGTCTCTTGGAACTCGAAATGGCCAAGATCAAAGCCAAGGCACTCCAAGGAGCACATCTCTATGTTTGTCCAAGTGATGCTGGTAGCTTTTTATCAAGTCCAATTGCCTATTTCGATCAACTCAATCAAAACAACAACAAACTTGACAAGAAATAAGTTATTGATAAATAATTCAATAACAACAATTAATTAATTAATTAACAAATTCCCAAACAATCACTATTTTTTATCTATAAAAAATACATCATATAATATAATCCAATCTCAATCACAAAAATGTACACTAATACTATCCAATTGTTATTTATCGATACTTATCAATTTCTAAGATCTCAAAGATCTCATCCGCTCAACCATAAAATAAAGTTTAAAATACTCTATCCATACTTTTTAGGGTATTAAAAACAAAAATAACTTGTTTATTAATCAATTAATCTTCCTTAAATGTTATCAAATTCATGAGTAAAATAAAAGTAAATTATTATCTGGTAATTAGGTTAACTTTATTATTATATTTCTAGGGTTAGGTTTGTTGTGTGTTAAAAAAAAAGAGTTTGTTCGATTTGACAAAAGTTCTTGATAAATAAATAACACATAAGAATGGGATATTATTAGTGTACATTTTGTGGCTGGATTGGGATTGGATTTATATGATGTATTTTTTATCTAGATAAAAATTAGTGATTGTTTGGGGGAATTGGGGACTGTAGGGGTTGTTTGTGTTGAATTATTTATCAATTGATTTCTTGTCAAGTTTGTTGTTGTTTTGATTGAGTTGATCAAAGTAGGCAATTGGACTAGCCAAAAAGTTACCAGCATCACTTGGACAGACATAGAGATGTGCTCCTTGGAGTGCCTTGGCTTTGATCTTGGCCATTTCAAGTTCGAGGAGACATGGGAACTTGACATAGAGTTCACCAAGCATTTCTTGAGCTCTTTTTTGGGCATCGGCGGCGATGAGGAGTGCATCGGCATCTCTTTGGGCAGAGAGGAGTTTAGCTTGAGCTTCAGAGACAATAGCTTGATTTCTTTGAGTAAGAGCAATGTTATCAGTCTCGGCCTTGAGCTTGGCTTCAGTGGTCTTGATATCATATTCCTTGACAAGGGTGGCTTGTTTGGTGGTATACTCGGCAGAGGTGATTGATTGACCTGCCAACTTTTTGGCAATGTCAGCATCGATAACCTTGATGGTTTCAATTTGGAGACGACATAATTCAATACCATATTCGAGGAGATCGTTGGCAAGGTTACCCTTTACACGATCTTGAATGGTTTGGATGGCTTCTTCGTGGCTGTTTTCGGTTTTCTTTGAGGGCTTTGTATTGTGGAAGTACATGACCTCTTGAAGGGTGGACAATTGGATAGCTTTACCCATATCGGCAAACGATACATTTTCAATATGGTTAATGATACCTTCCTTACCGAGCTTGGTGATGGCGAGTTCTGGATCAATAATCTTGAATGCAACAACCAAGACAACACCGACACGGAGTGAGTCACGAGTTTGGAAGATCTTGAGATTGATTTCATCAGAGGTGGCACCCTTGTATTCAGAGGCAGCTTGAGCCTTGGTCTCCTTTGATGGGAAAAGACAAGTTTGAAGAGAGGTTGGGATGAATGCCTCAAACATATGGGTGGCAGAGTTGATGATGATTGGATGGCTATCCTTTGGTGGTTGGATGATTTGGAGGATACCATTGTTGTAGGTGATAGCTACCTCACCAGTGTGTGGGATAATACGTTTGATGGAACCATGTTCGATATAAGAATCGGTAGCATTGTAAAAGAGATTGTTTTTACGGGCGCCCTCCGGAGATACAAGACGGAATTGTGGGTCAACAAAGACATATGGTTCCCGTCGCGACTCGATGATGAATGGTTGAGTTCCAATCCAAACCTTGGCAATCTTACCAGCTGGTACACGTAAAATGTGAATGGTTGAGTGTTGGATGTATGGCTCTTGTTGGTTGACAAATCCGTTGGTTTCATTGAAGACAAATGTTGGATCAATGATGACATGTGGACCTTCACCATACATAACTGGTCTGTTCTTACTGGTAGCCAAAGCATAATGACCAGCTGGTACTTGGAGGACATATTTACCATGAGCACCAAAGAAGTTATCAGTCTTTTGAACGGAACCAATGAATTTAATGGTGGTAGTTGGATCAGCAGTGTAAACGATACCAAAACGAGCACCACGTGGATCAAACAATTCAGCGACTTGATTACGATGACCAAGAGCCCAATATTGAACGTCCAAACGAGAAAGAGCACGACCAAGTACTGGAGAGTCGGTAAAAGCAGTACCCTTTACATTCTTGTTGAAACGTTCAAGGATTTGAATAGACTGTTCTTCAGCATTGAGGTCATTGAATTCAGAACGGACAACAATACTTCCAACTCTCAACTCTTCCAATTGGCTCATTTCACTGAGATCTTCTTCGGTACTACTTGATGGCATATGCTTCAAAGTATTGTTTGGTGAAGTATTTTTTGGTGTATTTGAAATCACTTGATTAATTATAAAAAAAAAAAAAAAGGTTAATGAGCCATTCATTCTTATTCTTTTGTGAATTCAGTCAACCAAAGAGCATCAAAGAGAGAGAGAGAGAGAGAGAGAGAGCTCTATATATTGACTTTAAATAAAGTATACATACTCTTGTTTTAGGGATAAAGGATATCTTCTTCTTTCTTGAAAGACAAATAAATTAAATGAATAGAGACAAATAAAGAGATAATGTAATAATTAAATATTAATTATTAATATAGGTAACAGATAGATATTATTATATGTATAAAAGTTATTTATATACTATATAATATATATTAAAGTGAGGTGTAGGGAGTTGCTGTTGTGTCAGTTATGATGATTTATGCTCAATCGACGGTTGAGCAGAAAAATACAGCTTTATTCAAAAATTTGAGAAATATCTGCTCTTCAGTCAGAAATGCCCACCGAACAAGTTTCGGAGCGCCTGGTGTAGGGCTGCAAGGCGGTGATAAAAGACTTTGAGGCACTCAAGATGCAAGGATTTGCCTTTATTGGGTGATCTAATCTTTTGTCTCTGAGCTGTCATATTTGGATCAGCCTGGTAAACACGAATTATAGATGATAGGGTGATCCCCCCTTTGTTCACCATCTTCCCCAATTTGAGTGGTTTCTCAGTTACACAAGAGCGTGTGATGAGATGTATGAGTGGAGAGGATCGCTTGTTTATCTCTCACATGATGAACACAACATGACTACTTTGAAAAAACTATATTACATTGTTGTAAAGGAAAGGAAAGGAATTCTTTCCTTGCATCTTCTCATATCTATTTCATATGATCGTCCATACAGATACTACCTACTACTAACAAACACTCATAGTTGCTCTCTCTCTCTCTCCTCTAGTAAAATGTATGATTAGACAGTCTCTATAATAAATAAATAAATAAATTATTACTTTCACAATATTCGGTTTGTGATCTTTTGTGTGTTGTTGTTTGTGATGGTTTTCAAACCAACTCTTTTCATGAAAAAAAAATTGGAAAGGATAATTTTTTTTTAGAAAGAGTTTGCACAAGTTTTATGAGTGAGCCATTCCTCTCATTTTCAATCACAAACAAAAGACTTTATTAGATTAACCCACCGCTTCACTTCTTCTTTCCCTCGACACAGTAGTAGTACATATACATATACATATATAACATACATAAATAGATAGAAATAGAATAAAAGTAGATAGATATAGATAGAAAAGAGAAAAAGAGAAATGGCAACAGGAATTAAAAAGACAGTCAAAGTAGTCGTTGTTGGTGATGGTGCTGTTGGAAAGACATCACTATTGATCTTGTACACTACAAAGGCATTCCCAAAGGACTATGTACCAACTGTATTTGATAACTTTAATTGTCTTGAGATGTACGATAACAAACCTGTAAATTTAGTACTCTGGGATACTGCTGGTATGTCACAAACAACAAACAGAATAACATTGACAATTCAATCTAGATATATACATCTCTTTTTGAAAGGGTGATATATAGAAAGATAGATATGACATGATGACATGTGATCAATCATCTCCACTCACTTGACTTACTAACCTCTATATATATATATATCTGTTCAACAATAATAATAATAATAATAATATACGACTACTATAGGTCAAGAGGATTACGATAACCTTAGACCATTGTCATACCCACAAACAGATGTATTTTTAATATGTTATTCTACAGTTAAAAGAGATTCATTAGATAATATTAAATATAAGGTATGATATATCATATATGATTTGAGATAAGAGGATTAGTAGACTAATACTTTATATATTTATGTATAGTGGCTCAAAGAGATTAATCAAAGTAATGCGGGTACACCTATAATATTGGTTGCAACAAAGACCGATCTTCGAGAAGACAAAAAGGTACTTGCTCAATTACAAGAGGCCAAGCAAGAACCCATCTCTCGTGAAGAAGGTGTTGCACTTGCAAAAGAGATTGGTGCTGTACAATTTTTTGAATGTTCTGCACTCACTGGCAACGGTGTAAACGATATCTTTTCAGCCTCGATCAAGGCTGCCTTTAACAAGACTCCAGCCACCACCTCATCATCCAAGAAACCATCTTCTTCATCTTCATCAAAGAAATCTTCCTCTTCCTCTTCATCATCATCGTCATCAACCTCTACAACTTCAACTTCATCTACATCGACTAGCAGCACTCCCAAACCAGTCGAAAAGAAGATGAGTTGGGGATTATTTAGAAAGAAAGATCCAAAGACTAAATAATTCAATCAATCTCTAACAATAGCAACATAACTCAACAACAACAACAACAAAACTTTACCTACCCAAGAGAGAAAGAGATATGATAATTCGAATTAAATCATTGTATTACAAAATATTTCACAAATTCAAACAAACAAACAAATCAACAATCATCACGACGAAAAACGGTTAATTAATTATCAATTTACAACTACAACTACAAACAACAACAACAATAATATTTATTTTACAACATTTGCCCTTATTTAAAACTTTTGGCAATTCAAAACAAAACAACATGTTCATTATTCAACCAACCAACAACAACAATAATAATATATTTTTATAAAAAACAAAAAAATACAAAAAACAAAAACATAATAAAAAGTTAAATATATACGTATAACATTATAGATAAAAGATTATTATTAATATTAATATTTAAGAGATTGGAAAACAATCTCCCCAATTTCTTTATATTTTGTGTTAGGTTTTTAATTCTGTGAATTTATTTTTATTGCGCTGTGATGATCACACACAAGCACCTGAAACCTTTTTAGATTCATTTTCAAGTTTACAATACCTCCTTTGATAGTAATATAAAATATAATATATAATACAAATACAGCTGACTAGTCTGAGAGTAGATAAGATAATGTCTATTCAAAGTCAAGAAGATTATATAAGATTTGAAGGGTTATGTCAAGATTCCTTTCAAAAGCCCGATGAAGCCATCAGAATCGAAGAGATACTTCAAAACTATTTCCTCAATCCCAACTTTCTTATAGACTATAAAAAGTTGTTACAGTACTCCAAGAATAGCTATGTCATTGCACAAGTTGCCAGAGGTTTACTTCGTTGCATCACTCAGTATTGGAATTCAATTCCTTCACCTCAAAGACAAGAGATTAGTATGTTCAGAGAGAGAGAGAGAGAGAGAGATTAAATGACCAACATAACATACTCATCATCCCTTTTTCTATTTCTTTTTTATAGAATCAAATGTTTGGTTGTATATTGAATCATTACCAACGATTGAAACATTTGCATTGATATCAATCATCAAGTTGTATTCAAGAATATTAAAGTTTACATGGAATGAAGATAATGTTAGAAATCAATTTATGGAGTCTTTACAAGCAATGTTAAAGGTATGTAATAATAGTATTAACTTTTATAACCTTGGATCAAGGTTTATTAATCATCTTTCTTTATCTCTCTATCTCTTTCTAGTTATCACCAGATCATCATTCAATTGGATTGAAAATGTTAAAAGATATTATTGTAGAATTTAGTGATCAAAGTGGAGATCATTTACAATCGGCTCAACACCGTAATCTCTCCATATCACTACGTGATCATGTTTTAATGAAATTCTATTCAACTTCATTGGATTCTTTAAAAACAATTCTTGGTATTGCAAATATTAAACTTGATAAAGGTAAAAGAAAAGAAAAAAAGAAAGAAGAAAAGATTTAAAACAACTCACTCACACTCTCTTTATTTATTGATTATTTTAGTTCATGAAAAGATTAGAGATAATGCATTAGAATTAAGTTTTGCATGTTTATCTGTTGATTTTATAAAGACAAGTTCGTATGATACATCAGAGGAAATATTGACAGTTCAAATACCACTTCCATGGAAACCTTTATTTGATGATCCCAATACTACACAATTATATTTCAAGATCTATCGTCAATGGCATTGCACCAAGGCATTGGAATGTCTTACTCAAGTTGCATCGATTCGTAGATCATTATTTATGACCGAGGATGAAAGAACTAAATTCCTCACCAACATTTTCAGAGGTATCCTTGAGATTCTCCAAACCAACACTGGTTTGAATAATGATAACAATCATTTGGCATTTTGTCGTGTCTTGGAAAGAATCAAAACAAATTATCATTTCAATCAATTGGTTGTAATTGAAGGTTACCAAGAATGGATTTCATTATTATCTCAATTTACTACTCAAACTTTAAATAATCCAAATGTAAAAAAAAAACAAAAAAAACAAACCAATCAACTCTAATCAATCGCTAATCTTTTTCTTTTTCTTTAGTTTTCTCCAAACAGTGTTTATTGTTTACTTTCATTATGGGCAAAGTTTGTTGCATCATTGATATATGTTAAAGGTGATCCAAACAAGACTTGTTTAGATAAATATACTCCTGCTGTAAATTATCAATCTTAAATGTTATATATATATATATATATAGATTCTAACCCTTTCTTTTATTTTTTTTTCCTTTTCTATTTTAGATTATGGAAACATTTATTAAAAGTAAAGTAGAAGCATCAGTTGAAGAGGAAGAAGATGAAAATTTAGTAGATTATGAAAAAATGATTGGATTATTAGAACATATTCCATTCCTTGGTAGATTAGCCTATAAAACAACTTGTAGTCAAATCCTCCAAATATTTGATACAATATTACAAAGATTTTCTGTTTGTTATCAAAAATTAAAAGAAAAAAAGAATTGGTTTATTAATCTATTATTAATTTTAGTATGAAAATAATATAAATAATTTAATGATACTTGAAAGACAATCAGCATGGTTAATATATATTATTGGTAGTTTGGTGACTGGTAGAACTGGTGTAAATGCATCTGAAGAGTATGACTTTTTAGATGGAGATTTAGCGGCACGTGTATTTAAAATGGTCGATCTTTGTGATAAAAGAGTTCAACATGATCCTGGATACAAAACAAGACAGAGTAGAATAGCTCTAGAGTTGTCAATCATCTATTTTATGCAAAACTATAGAAAGGTTTATATTGGTGATAATTCATTATCAACTTCAAAGATTTATAGTAGATTATCTGAATTATTAGGTCAAACAGATCATAATACTATTTTAATTTCAATTATGAGAAAAATGTAAATATTGGAAAAAAGAAGAGAAAATCAAAAATAATACTTATTATAAAACTAATAACCTTTCTATTTTATTTGTAGTGGATTTAATTTTAAATATTGGGGAGAAGTAGAAGATGTAATTAAAAGAAGTTTAGATATATTTTGGGATAGTGTAAATGGTTTGAATACGGCAAAGATTATTGTAAATACACCTATTACATCAGAGATTCTTAAAAATCATGGACCAGAGATGTTCCCATTTATGGAAAACAACTCTAATAGTAGACATCGCACAACACTCTACAAAGCGATTGGTAAGCTACTCTTTTCAGACGACAATATCCAATACTTTGATGAATTTGTTGCACCATTTGACGACACTTTTGCAAAGCTTTCAAGTATAGCTACCATCGAAGGATTCAGAACTGCAGAGGTTCAGAAACGAATCACTGGCATATTTAGAGATCTTCGAGGTATTGCCTGCTCTGCTCTCACAAAGAAACATTTTGCAGTCTTTTACGATTGGGTGTCACCAAAGCTCACCGATTTGGTGTTAAAGATCTTTAAGAGTTTGGCAGATTGTCCAGAGGTTACTGGACCAGTTTTAAAATTCTATTCAGAATTTTTATTCAATAGACAATCACGTCTAAACTTTGAAGCTTCATCACCTGCCGGCTATATACTATTTAGAGAAACTAGCAAAATCTTAACTTGCTATGGTAATTATCAAGAGAAAACAACAAATAACAACATCAACATCAAAACAACAAATGACTCTATCAAGTTTATAAAAGATTTAATTGAAATGATTCAATATGATGATAGCACTCTACTTCAAGAAGATAAAGAAAATATATTAAAGACATTTGGTTGAAATTTTATATTCTTTTTTTTTGAATAGAGGAGGACGACCAAGATCTATGATATTAACATCTTTTTTTTTTTTCTTTTTATTTAGGATCATTAATATTAACATTAAATTGTAGTAAAGAGAATTTATACAAATACAAATTAAAAGGTATCAATACTGTAATGCTTATATTTGTTAGAAGTTTGGTTGGTAATTTCTGCAATTTTGGAGTGTTTGAATTGTTTGGTGACAAGTCATTCTCTAGTCTTTTGGATGTAATATTCCAACTTTTACTCTCAATTACATTGGATGAATTGATGAGTTTCCCAAAGGTCTCCAAAACCTACATGATACTAGTCGAAACTCTTGCCAATAATCATACTCAAATTTTAATAGATATGAATACAAAATATTTTGTTCAAATTATGTATTCTATTTTAAAATCTGTTGATAGTCAAGGTAAATCAAAAAAAACAAAACAAACAAACAAAAAAAAACAAATAATAACTAACATGTATTTATATATTTATTATTTTTATTATTATTTTTTTTAGATACACAATTTTCAAATCAAGCATGTATTGCATTGGATAAAATTATATCACTATGTCATCAATATTCAATTAGAAAAAAGGATGTTGTATTATTCAATAATTGTAAACAACATTTTATTGAACATCCCAATCTTTTGCCTCAAATCATCGATAAACTATTCTATGGAATCATTTATGAAGATAATTTGAATCAATGGTCCATTTCAAAACCTTTATTAGGATGTGTTATATTTTCACCAGATGTATGTTGGACTATATATAGAATAGAAATAATCTTGTTTAAATATTAATAATAGATCTATTTACAGAGTTTTAATTCGATTAAATTAAAATACATACAAATGAATCCAAATCATCAAGAAAAAATTGAAGAAATATTTACAAGTTTGATGCATGATATTCTTAATAATTTAGAGTCAAAGAATAGAGACAAATTTACTCAAAATATTGCCATATTTAGAAGAGAAATGAGACAACTTGGTACACATGGTCCAACAACCATATTAACTCGGTCAATTTAAACAACTACAATTAAAAACAGTCAAACCAAATCAACCATATCTCATTACCTTTTTTTATTTACAATAATAATACCATCATTTATTTTTATTAATTTAAATAATAAATAAATAATTTATACCAATTAAAAAATTTAGAGAGATGATTTATATTATTCATCATTATCATTCTCGAAATATTCATCATTACCATCTTGATCTACATTGTTATTGTTGTTGGTTTCAGTTGATATTGTTGGTTTTGGAGGTGGAATATAGGTAAATTTGATATTACCACCAAGTAATGTTCTTGCGTGCTCTAATTTTGCACCAGACCCACAACCCTCTTTAATTCTTTTAATTAAACTTTTGTTGACTAATGATAAATGTTGGTCTACTGTATGGTCTGCTTGAATGTCATTATAAAAGGCATAGGAGAATCCCAACAGTTGAGGTGAAAAGAGTGGGTGTGGGGAGGATAAGGTTTGTAACCGACCTCTTGGTATTTGATCAACCTTTGATTTGATAATGAATTCAATCATGATACGAGCACACTCTTCGATACGTCCAATCAGTACACTTGAAAACTCTTTGATTTTGACCAATTTCTCAGAGAGTGGTTTGGTCGATGATGCAATCATTGCCAATGTATCATCCATTGACCCAGACAAAACCAATGACCATACATCCTTTTCATTCTTTACAACCTTTGGTGACTGGAGTGACAATCTACTTAGATCTATATACCATTCACTCTTGATCTTGTACATTCTACCATCGTTGACACGTAAAACAAATCCTTCTACATTTTTCATCTTTTTTACAATATTTACCAATTCATTTGTTGTTATAGAATTGGGATCGAGGTCTGGATCCAATAATGATTCCAATTTGATTCTTTCAACTACTGGAACACCATATTCTTGCCCAGACTTTAAAATCTCATCGTATTGTAAATAATTGCCAGTGGTACGGTCTCTGATGGCCAATAGTCTCATTCTCTCTTCTTGATAGAATAGAATGATTTGTTGTTTATCGGAACTATACTCAAAGACTGGTGTGTAACCCCGATCCAACCAATATTGAGCAAAATCATTGTATCTAATAGAATCATTGTTGTTTACAAAATCATCTATTCTCTTTCCAAATGCTGTCATACCTTGTTTGCTTCCCCATGATATAGATCCATTTACTATAAATGGTGCAATCAATGAACCATCAATCTTTTCAGTCAATGTAAATGGTTCTTTTAATGATACATTTTCAGCTCTACATTCTTGATATTCATTAATCTAAACGAAAATTAAATAATAAATAAATTAAATAAATAAATTAAATAAATATAAGGGTAATAATAATTAAATGTTATCTTTAGATAGTATAACAACATACATTAAAGAATTTGTGTAATTTTCTACAAATTAATTGTTGATTTGATTCATCAAAGATGATACCTCTACATTCTCTAAAAATTATCAAATTAAATAAAAAGGTTGTTAGTATCATCATTATCGTAGTTGAGTATATAGTATAGTATAGTCCAAGTATAGGTACCTTCTCATCTTATAAAGGAATGATGTCTTAGCATCAGTTGCTTTCATTGGATCGGGAAATGCTATGAGAGGAATGGAAAGAAAGGACAAGGTTAGTATTAGTAAGAATAGAGTGTGATTGATATTGTAACATACATTCATCAGACAACATATCATAGGTAAAACATATTGTACCTTCAAGAGCAACTTCACGGAACCCAACTACTCCTTTGATAGCATAACGACAATCTTGTATAGTTATATTGGTTGGAAAATATGTTTTGTTTCTTTCTTTATAATCATCATCATTATTGGCTTTGACCTCTTCTTTGTGTTGTTCTGATACTATATTTGCAGAAGAATCCATCTTTTTCCTTTTACTTTTTCTTCTTGTTCCTCAAAGTCATGTAAAATATGGTTGTATATATATAATAATAGTGACATCACATGATCGTCGATTCGGTTCATATTTTAAAAGAGTTTTCTATGTGCGGAAAACAACGAAACACATCTGGTGAAAATATCAAGAATAGTATCTGTCTCGGTTTCACGATAATGAATCCAACCAGTTTGACTTCTTGTTTCTTGTTTTTTAGTTTACACGAAAATGGAAAAAAACAAGGACACCGATAGAGATGATTTCTCTCTAGAAAAGTAAAGGTGTGTCTTGTTAACAATAATATCCAAAAATTGTGTATGATGATATCATCAAATCTTTGAATTGCTTTTTGATTGTACGTATGTAATCAATACGTGACACACATTGCAAACACTCTGTGGTATAAGTTAAAGTTTTTAGGTCGAAACCCTAAACTATAAATAAATAGATTTTACAATCGAGAGATTCAATTCATTCATTCGTTCGATTTTTCTTTACAACAATTAATTAAATAACGTTAAAGATACTCATACATATATACAACATACAAACACAAACAAAATGAGCGGAGCTGATAAAAAAGTATTATTAAACGATAAAGTCTGTATTATCACAGGCTCTAATGATGGTATCGGTAAAGAGACTGCTAAAGAGATGGCTTCTTACATGATGAGAGTCATCCTCGCCTGCAGAAATATGGAGAAATGCAAGATTGCTGCCGAAGAGATCAAGCAAGCTTCCAACAACCAAAATGTCCATTGTATGCAATTAGACTTGTCTTCTCAAAAAGTATGTAAACATATAGATATGTTAATGGTGGTGTTCAAAGAGTAGTAAACTAACCTTTCATTTGTTTGTTTGTCTCTTATCTATCTAGTCAATCAGAACATTTGTTGAAGATTTCAAACAATTGAACGTCCCACTTGACTATTTAATTAATAATGGTAAGAGAGATAGATAGATTGATATATAGTGTCATGTGACCTTTGTACTTACTTTTTTTTTTACTCTCTTTTTTTTTGTTATGTTTTGTAGCTGGTATTTTCGGTACACCATTCGCAGTAACTGAAGATGGATATGAATCACAAGTAGCAACCAACCATATGGGTCCATTCTTATTGACCAACTTGTTGTTACCACATATGAGTCCCAATGGAAGAATCGTAGTGTTGGCATCACGTTCACACGAACGTCAGATCATTCCAGATTTCAACAAGCTCAACACCATCCAAAAAGATTATAAACCACTCGTTGTTTATGGACAGTCAAAGCTCTGCAACGTCATGTATGCCTATGAACTCCAAAAGAGACTCATTGAGAAGGGATCCAATATCGTTGTCAACAGTCTCCATCCAGGTGTCGTCTTTACCAACCTCTTTAACAGTTTCGGTGGTATGCCAGCCAGAGCCATTTTCACACTCGCCTCTCCATTCCTCACCAAGGCTACCGAAAGTGCCAAGGCATCTACTGCCCTCGCACTCGGTGTTGCACCAGACCTCCAAGGTGTCAAAGGTCAATACTTTTCCGTGAACAAGCGTATCCCCTCCTCTCCCTTTTCACGTGACCCAGCCAACTGGGCCAAGCTTTGGACTCTCAGCGCCGAGTATTGCAAGATCCCAGAAGATATCCAATTAAACAAGGAGTAAATTTTTAATTAATCAATTTAACCAATTATAATTAATAATAGTCACCAACAAAGTAAAAGAAATCACCCAAAGAATTAATAGATAATCAATTCGACGACGCGCGATGTAAATAAATAAATTAAAACCATAATATAATCCTATTTTTTTTTAAAGAACAAACATATATATACATTACATCTTCCACATAATGGTCGTTTAAAGACAACCTAATTTTAATCAACTATAATAATAATCATCATCTCATCAACAAAGAAAATTATATTAATTCTATTTTTTTAAGAACAAACAAACCTATACAATACATATACCACACATGTATTATTACTATTATTATTTATTACAGGGTTATTTATTAAATAATTCAACTGGTCAAAGAAGAAGAGGAGGAGACAGAAAAAAATAAAAAATTCGAATTCAAAGGTTGTGTGAATGAATATCTCTTCGCGTTTTGGCTTGTCTGTCTTTTATCTTTTAAAAACCTTATAGCTATCTTCTTACTATTACTACTACTATTACTATTACTATTACATAATAACTGTCTGTTTCGTTTTGTTTTGTTTGTTCTTCTTTTCTAAAAAAAGAACAAGATAACTAATCACAAACAATCATAAGAAGGAGAAGAAGATAGAAGAATCAGCAGCTAGCTAGCTACTACACTCTACTATTGTAGCAATAACAATAACAACAACAACAACAACAACAACAAAGAATAGAGAGTAGAGGAAGAATTAAGATTGAATAGTAATAGTAACAGCAGCTAGCAACTAAAAGATAAGATAAAACTTGTATATAAATACTATATCACTATAGTGTGTATTATTATTTAACTTACAATAAACAAACAACAAACAAACAAACAAACCAAAAAAAAAATCGTATAATAACAACAATAACAACAATAACAATATTTGTATAGAATATATATATAAAAAAAAGTACATAGTAACAATAGTAATAGTAGTAATAATAGTAAATAACAACTTGTTAGATCAAATAATAATAATAAATAATAATAATAATGAAAATATGAGTAGCAGTAGTAATTTTATAAATGGGAATAAAGCAAATCAAAATGGTACTAATCATATGAATGGTGGGAATACATTGGGTACAAGTATAGGTACTCGATCAGCTCAAAATAATCAAAATAATAATAACAACAATAATAATAATAATAACAATAATAATAACAATAACAATAATAACAACTCTTCAAATCATCAATATATTAAAAGAAAGGATTATCCAAAGAACAAATCATTCTTTATTGAAGAGAGACATAAAGAAAATGCAACACCAGACGTACAACGAACTAAAATTGAAAAGTGGAGAATGAGAGAAAGGGTATGTGATCAAAAGTTAAAAGATAGATAGATAGGAAGAAGAAGATCTATTACCAAAATATCTATCCAAAACTACTACTACTACTAACACACATTTTGATTTTTCGAAAAATACTCTATCTCTCTATCTCTAGATGAAAACGGTTAGTGTAGCATTAGTTTTATGTTTAAATATTGGAGTTGATCCTCCAGATGTCATTAAAACTTATCCATGTGCAAGAATGGAATGTTGGATTGGTATGTACAGATGATGATGAAAAGAGAGAAACTTGATTGGAATATTTACCTTTTCCTCTTATTTATTCGTAGACCCAGCAGGATCACAACCACCACAAAAAGCATTAGATTTAATTGGAAAGACATTACAAGAACAATATGAGAAATGGCAAAGTAAAGCCAGATATAAACAAAGTCTTGATCCTACGGTGGAAGAGGTTAAAAAGTTATGTTTGTCATTGCGAAGAAATGCCAAGGACGAGCGTGTATTGTTTCATTATAATGGACACGGTGTACCCAAGCCAACGACAAATGGTGAGATATGGGTGTTTAATCGCACCTTTACGCAGTATATCCCCCTATCAATCTATGAACTGCAAACGTGGATGGGAACACCTTCAATCTATGTGTTTGATTGCTCGGCCGCCGGTCTCATCGTCAACTGGTTCAATCAATTTGCCGAACAGAGAGACCGCGAAATGGAACGATTTATGAATCAAAACAACAATCAACAACCTGGACAAGGAGGACAACAAACTGGACCACAAACATCCTCTTCATCATCCAACAACACCTCCCAAGCATCCTCTTCTTCCTCGTCGTCATCCTCCAACAATAACAACAACAATTCTTCACAACAACCCCAATCACATCTAAAGGATTGCATTCTTTTGGCAGCTTGTAGTGCCAACGAAATTTTACCAATGAACCCTGATTTCCCAGCCGATATGTTTACAGCATGTCTCACGACACCTATTCGTATCGCGCTGCGTTGGTTCTGTTCACATTCGATTCTGATTGGTATCACACCCGATATGCTCGACCGCATCCCGGGCAACTTGAGCAGCCGTCGCACACCACTCGGCGAGCTCAACTGGATATTTACGGCAGTGACCGACACGATTGCCTGGAACGTGCTGCCACGTCCACTCTTTCAGAAACTATTTAGACAGGATCTGTTGGTAGCCAGTTTGTTTAGAAATTATTTGTTGGCAGAGCGCATCATGCGGTCGGCCAACTGCACACCCATATCCTGTCCCAAGCTACCACCAACCTACCAACATCCAATGTGGCAGGCATGGGATCTCGCCGCCGACCTCGTCATCTCGCAGCTCCCCACCTTGCTAGCCGACCCAACCGCCGAGTTCAAGTCGAGCCCCTTTTTCACAGAGCAATTGACTGCCTTTGAGGTGTGGCTAGAGTTTGGTAATGAAAAGAAAGCTCCTCCTGCACAACTACCAATCGTTCTCCAAGTGTTACTTTCACAAGCTCACAGATTACGTGCACTTGTCTTACTAGGTCGTTTCCTCGATCTCGGACCATGGGCCGTTAACCTCGCATTGCAGGTTGGTATCTTTCCCTATGTACTCAAGTTGCTTCAGTCGCCCGCCGGCGATCTCCGTCATATTCTCGTATTTATCTGGGCAAAGATCCTGGCACTTGACAAGTCATGTCAACTCGATCTCGTCAAGGAGAATGGTCATTCCTACTTTATCAGTGTCTTGTCTTCACCAAACGTACCGGCTGACCAACGCACCATGTCTGCCTTTGTACTGAGTACCATATGCAATAACTGCCGTCCAGGTCAAAACGCATGTCTTATTGGTAATCTCTTGCCCATCTGTTTGTCACAGATCAACGATCCAGACCCCATGGTACGTCGCTGGATGATCTTGTGTATGGCCAAGATGTGGGAGAACTTTGAAGAGGCCAAATGGGCTGCCATCAAGGAGAATGCACACGAGAAACTGTGTCTCTTGTTGACCGATATTTCACCCGAAGTCAGAAGCGCCACCGTCTATGCGTTGGGCGAGCTGATTGGCGGTGCTGAGGGTTCCGACCAGCGCACATACATTGAGCTTAATCTCGGCCTGACCTTCCCCGTCGTCACAGCCGATTGCTCTCCCATGGTGCGTAAAGAGCTCGTCATCTCACTATCTCGTATCGTCAGCTCGTATGAAAGCAATTTCGTACAGGTTGCCCAGGAAATCGCACGCGAAGAGCGTACTCGTATCCAAATCGAGCAGCGTCGTCTTGAGGAACAAAAGAAATCAAAGCGTCGTCAGTCTTCCAAGATGGGTGAGAGTGTCGATGAGTCTAGTCTAGGTAATGGCCAGCCTGGCTCAGGTCCAAGCGACTTTTCCAACAATGCATCACAGTCTACCGTCTATGGATGTCTGTGGAAGATCATACTCAACCTATGCACCGATCCATACGATCAAGTATGCAACCGTGCCGCTTCAATCGTCCGTCGCATCACTAGCAAGTTTACTCAAGAAGATTTACTATCGACATTGTACAACCCTGCACTATCCAAGAGTTTGGGTAACCTCTTGAATCCAAGTGGTCCCAACTCACCCATGGCATCGTCCATTCCATCGTCATTATCGGCATCGACGTCATCTGCTACCACTACACTCAAAAACTTTGTCAATATCTCTCGTATCACTAGTAGCAAGGACAATAGATCGCCACAAAAGTCCAAGCTTGGACAACAACGCACACCTCCTCTTTCTGCGTCGAATGGTACCGTGCCTTTGGGCGGTCCATTCTCATTGAGCCAGCAACAACAAAATGGTGGATCTGGCGGTGCTGCACAAAGCGTGTCACAGCAACAAAAGCTAAACAATAGTCAGGCTGCTTCAGCCGATGGAATGCTCTTTGAAGAGGACGAGTTGTACTCTGATTTCTATGAATGGAGTTGTTCGCACTTTTCAAAGCCAATGATGCAACCAACCGAGGATTCGGAATCACCAGAAAATGTCGAAAAGAAATGGCGTCACCAACGAAACGAAACCATTATCCAAGAGTCAAAAGACTTGGTACAAAACATTGTCAATCAACAGACCAAGTCGTTCCCTCAGATTGGTATCTTTAGTGAGAATAATGGACAACCAGTGTCGCTACTCAATTTCCATCCATTTGAGAATTGGTTGATCACATCGGACGGTGTTGACACTGTCAGCGTTTGGAATTGGGAAGAGAGTCAAAAGATTAATGTCTTTTCCAATGGAAATATGCCGGGTACTCGGTTGACAGCACTCAAGCTACTCAACGACTTTGACTCGCATATGGCCATGACAGCGTCCAACGATGGTGTGGTGCGTCTGTGGCGTGGATACGACCACCCCGACAACCTCAAGATGGTGTCGAGTTGGCGTGCATTCCCCGAGTTTGCGACGACGGGTAATGACCCGATCGGACGTCTCGTGCTCGACTGGAAGCCCGACAGTGGGTTGGCACTCGTTTCGGGAGAGACTCCCGACTATCCCAAGATCCGTATCTGGGACGTTGAGCGCGAGCTCTGCGTGCAGGACGTGATGATGGGCACCACTAGCAACGTGACTGCCCTCACCAACGAGAAGGGTGGTCCTCTCTTTGCCGCCGGCTTTGACGACGGCCAGGTCAAGCTCTTTGACTACCGTGTACAAAATAAATATAGCTGTGTCGCGACACTCACCGAACACAAGTCCTACATCATCAACATTGCCATGCCGTCGAGCCACGAACGGACTGTGGTCAGCTGCGCAACCTCTGGTGAAATCAAGTTTTGGCAACAGGGCTGCGAGAGCTCCTCCAACACTATCCTCAACACTGACTTTGGCACCATCTCCTCTTTTGCCGTCCACGACTCGGCTCCACTCATTGCCTGCGGTTCACTCTCTCAAAAGATCCGTATCCTCAATTTCGTCGGTGAAGATATCAGTGTCATCCGTTATCACGAGGGTTTCCTCGGTCAAAGAATTGGCCCAGTCTCTGCTTTGGCTTTTCATCCCCACAATGTAGTCTTGGGTGCATCTGGTCAAGATTCTATTATTTCGATCTATTCATCAAATTAATTTAATAAATTATTATTTTTTTTCCCCTAACCCCAAACATCAATCATATGTTATATAAGTTTTTTTACAATTAGTTTTATTATTTCTCTATTTACAAATGATTATTTTTAAGTTGTTGTGTGAATAAATATATATTTATATATATGATATATAATGTAATTAAAAAGATTAATTAATTAATGAACCTTTTCTTTGATTTCTTCAACTATTGGAAGATTAGAGGTGTTTCTTCTTGGAGGAGTTGTTCCAGTTAATTTTTGAACCAATTTCTTAAATAGTAAGGAACCCCAATTTAAGTTTAGGGCGATTGTAATGACTGCTTCCAACATTAAAACAATATTTTTGTCGATTGGAATCTCTTGATATCTTGTCAATGATTGATAACACATTCTTAGTGTTACCCAAATACCCCATACATCTCTGACGAGCAGGAATGAAATGGCAAATGCCAATAAACTCCAGTCATAGTATTTGGATTTAGAGTTGACAACTTGAATGAATGACTTTAGATTCAATGGTATAGTACTTAATTCATAAATCAACATCTTGGCACAAAATGATTTATACACAGGTGATCCATGAGTTAACTAAAAATAAATAGTAAAGTAAATTAATAATCTTTCACTCTATCTACTCAAACAATTCTAAAACCTACATTAACATAATTTATAGCAACAAAACCAGCAATAGCATGAAGAATCATAGTTTTACCAGATATATGTGGCTTTGAAATTGATTCATATAAATCCCACATAAAATATCCTCCTCCAATGACTAAAGTATAGTGTACCAAAGGATCCATATACATTAATTCATCTTGCTAAAAAAACAATAATGATATATAAATTAGTATTATTATTAATATTATAGAGTAACTATATATATATAATTTATATTTACACCATATGATTTATAAGCAATTTTAAAAGCAAGGGGAGTGACAAGGAGAGCATGTAACATACTAACAGTTCTTTGATCCCATTCTATTTTTGCCTTTTCTGTTAGTTTATCATAGAATGTTTCACAGTTAAAGAACTTTGCAATCTTTCTAGAATTGTGGTAGGTAAAGAAGAAGATAAAGGAGAATAGCATGCATTGCGATACATAAGAGTAATCGATATAGTCTAGTAGGAACATCATTCTATTCTATTCTATCTATTTTATTCTCTATATGATTGTTTGTTTTTTATTGAGTTCAATAATCTAATCTATATTAATTAATTAATTACTGTTGTAATAGTAGTCGTAGTAGAGGTAATTAATATATTTATATTGGTAGCAAAAATATTTATATAGACTGGTCTTGTTTTGAATTACCCCCTTAATTTGACACAAAAAAACGTTGGGGAAATCGATATTGTGACCAAATTTGGGTTTTTCGAAAAGTATCCCACGAGCAAAACGAATGTGGTACTCCAAAAAGGTGAACTATGACCATGTGATTGGGATTTAGTGATGGTTCATTGAAATTCAAAAGATGTTATTAAACTTGGAATAACAAGTTAAAGTTGATGATGACGATGATGTTCATTAAACCATAAGATTCCCATATGGAGAGGAAGGATAGGATCAAAATAAATAAATAAATAAATAAATAAATAAATAAATATTATTTATTTTGGGACTTGAGAATGTACAAAATGGGTAATTTTAAAACTTGGTTGATGCAATTATATAGTATTGGAATTATTATTATTAATACTCGAGATTATTATTATTATTATTATTATTATTATTATTATTATTATTATTATTATTATTGGGATTATGGATTAAATTATTATTATTGCTATTATTATTTTGATTATTTTGATTATTATTGTTTTCAATAGCAAGAGTTGAAACTACTTGAATTTCCAACTCGCTATAAGGAGATGAAAGAGTTGAGGTAAAAGTTAGATTTGGTGAATCTATTATGGTTGTTGATGATGATGACGTATTTGGAGGAGGAGGAGGAGAATCTATTATTGTGATTGAATCGATTCCACTGCTGCTGGTAGTAGTTGTGGTAGTGGTGGTGGTCGTAGTGATTGGTGAATTACTTCTACTTGTAGTATTGTCAGTGTGATATTCATCTATACTACTACCACCACTACTGATATTACTGTCCAGTTTGATGGAAGAGAACATTTTCTTGGAGGCAACACTTTCGAGACAGTTGAAAACCGATGCTTGGTGCATTACATTGACTTCGTCGTCGGTGAGCGAGGTAAAAGCCCGCTTGAACATGACAAATGGCATAAAAGAGCCGAGTGAGATGGTGAGCATGACCGCTGACATTTGGGAGATTTCGACCACCATGGCAATCGAGTCGCCAATGGCCACACCGGCAAAGCTATCTTCAATGACGAGCCCAAAGATGATGGACCGCGACAATGCAACCACCGTGATGATACCGAGCACCTTGACAAGCGAGCTTGTCTTGCGAAACGAGACGGCGATGATTTTAGGCGGTTTGGAGTGACGCTGCATATCGCGCTTGAGTGCACGGGTGAGTATGTAGCCGTGATAGGTGAATCCACAGCCAATCAACAGCACTGCCAACAGATAGATGGCGTTGTAGACGAGACTGGTGAGATTGGCTTTGGCGGGAATAGCGATGGTCAGTATAATGACAACCCCCACCCACACGGTCAACGTCACCACAGTCGATCGCACCAACACCTTGATTCGATAGGTCACCTTTTGCACACGGTCTCCTCTCGAGCCAAAGTAGACGTAAAAGGTCGACATCCAAAACGCTCCGATTGCAATCCACTGTATAAGAACCGAGTATGTGCCAACGATGATAAGAACGTCGTAGGCAATATCAAACTGCAGTTGATTCACCTTGGTGCTCTCATAGTCGGGAGACACTTGCTTATAGGTCTTCATGATAAAGGCGGCGGCTCGTGTCAACGACATGAGTGCGCACATGAGATACACGGTTTGACGTGTAAACGATCTCGTCAATTTAGGCGATGCCACCTCGTACACATATTGCACAGAGTTGATAATACCAAAGTACAGAAAGAGTATGATTCTAATGGTTGAAAATGCTATATAAAAGTATTGCCATTCCTCCGCTACGTCGTCATAATCTTTCGGATATATGATCATACTCTACTACCTGCCTGTTATAGCTAGAAGAAGAAGAAGAGGAGGAATAGTAACTTTTTAGATAAAGTTATCTATCTATAGCTATATAGAGTAGGTAGGTAGGTAGGTAGGTAGTAGTAGCTAGTAGACTATAGTTTTATATATATATATATATATAAATGTATAAATAAATAAATATAAATATAGATCTATTTTCTCTCTCTTTTTTCTAAGAGATGGTTTTGGTCAAAAAAGAAAACAACACCAAAAGTTTAATTTTTATGGGGGGTTTCGATTTTGGGGTGAAGTAATATCTTTTTTTTTTTTTTTATTACTTCACCTTTGTTTGAAGATCATGATACTTTTAAGTTGTTGTTGATAACATTACATTAAATTTAATGGAAATGATATTTTTAAAAGTATCAAGTAGTGGTTTTAGTATTCAACTTATTCTTTTATTGGTTTGTTAGTATATTATATTATATATCTATCGAATGTAAGTTTAATTATTTTTGGGGGCCAGTACGTACACTCACTCCATGTGACCTGGGTTCGTTCGTGTCTCGAGAATTAAATCCTCTCAACGAGGTGTCGGGATTCACGTCCTCAAACCATGGTGCAAAAGTCCGATGATGAATAAAAAAAATTTTTTATAATGAATGCAGGGTTGAACTACAACAACAACAACCACTTCATCATTATTGTTGTTTATTTATTTATTTGTTTGTTTGTTTGGGTATCTCTATTCTTTTTATTTATTTAACATATATAACTTTGTAATAATGTACACAACAAGATCAATTATTAATGCATCTGGTAGAGCATTGAATAAGCGTCAGGCTACCTCTTCTGCCTTGAAATCACTCAACAACAAATCATATTCTACTATTAGCTTTTCAAATGTTACAAGTATTCCATCACAAGTATGTAGTTTTAGGTTTTGAAACTTATGAGAGAGAAACAGTCTCTTCTCTAACATATCAGTGTATTAATTATTTTATTATTATTAATATTATTTATATTTTAGGTAAATGAAATTGAAGGAAAGATTAATAAAGAACCATTGATTGAAAGAATAGTTACATCAAATTCATCATTGTCATTTGGACAAACTAAAAAGTATGAAAAGAGTATCAAACTATCAGAGAACAAGTCGATTGTATTGGTCAAGATTGGAGGTGGTGTCATTGAGAATGACATGAATGCATTGATTCAATCACTCAACTTTTTGAAAAAGATTGGATTGTTTCCAATTGTTGTGCACGGTGGTGGTCCACAACTCAACGTAGAGTTGGCTGCTGCCAATCTTCCAGCCGAGTATGTCGAGGGTTTGCGTGTGACACCACCTGCAGTGTTGGCAGTTGCTCAACGTGTCTTTGCACGTGAGAATCTCAAGATTGTCGATGCACTCGAAGCTAGTGGTACACGTGCACGTCCCATTACCCAGGGCGTCTACCAAGCATCGCCACTCGACCCCAAGACCTACGGGTTTGTCGGTGCTGTCGACAAGATTCTCACTGACGCATTGGCCAATTGCATTGCCGGCGACTATGTGCCAGTTGTCAGTAGTTTGGCCATGACCGAGCACGGACAGGTACTCAATATCAATGCCGATGTTGCTGCACTCGAGTTGGCCAAGGCTGTGCGTCCATTAAAGATTGTGTTTGTCAATACGACCGCCGGTATGAAGGATGGTGACGGACGTGTCATGCCACACATTGTTCTCGACGAGCAATACGACGAGTTGATGAAGCAATCGTGGGTCAAACACGGTACCAAACTCAAACTCAAGGAATTTAAGAGTTGTTTGGACAATCTTCCTCTGTCGACTAGTATCACCATTACTTCACCACTCTTGTTGCGTACCGAGTTGTTTTCGCGTAACGGTAGTGGAACCACCGTGGAAAAGGGTAACAGTTTGTTGGACAGTTCACAATCACAGTTTTGCTACAGAACGTTTGGCGCCATGATTGGCACACGCGACCATCCTGCCAACATTAAAAAGGTGGTGCAAGATGCCAAGGTTGAGATCTTTGTCAATAGCTCCTATTCGACCGGTCTCGCCATCAAGGACAGCTCGTCAGGCAGCGCTGTCAAGATTGTCGACAAGTTCTTTATCAGCAAGGACAACATTACAGACGAGTCGGCCGACTCGGTGTTCCGCTCCACCTTGGCCAAGCACCCCAGGTTGATCTGGACCACCGCCACTGCCGAACAAGGCAAGGAGGCCGAGTTGGTTCAAACCTGGTTCAAAAAGGTGGCGACTGGATTCATCTCGGTCAAGGGTGTCACAACCTACTGGACCAACATGGAGATTGACGAGGTGCAAAAGCACATCACCCAATCGGCCACCAACAAGAGTGCACTCGACAAGTTGGGCAACGAGTCGACATTGAACGTTGCCTCTGAGAAAAAGGACAAGTACCGTATCGGTTTGTTGGGAGCTAGAGGATTCACTGGCGGCCATCTCGTCAGACTCATCAGTCAACACGCCGGTCTCGAGCTCGCTCTCGCTGCATCGTCCACCAACTATGGCAAGCCCATCACCACCGAGTTCCCCACTCTCAAATCGTCGCTCCTCTTTTCTCAAGTCACCCCGGATAATATCGCCAAGTACACTGTCGACAATGGTATTGACGGTTGGTTCATGGCCCTCCCCGACAAGATCTCGTCACCATATGTTGCAGCTCTCGACGTTCTCGAAAAGCAACCAACACTCGTCGACTTATCGTCTGACCATCGTTTCGATAACTCATGGGTCTATGGTAGTCCAGAGACCAACCGTGCTGCTATCCGCAAGGGTCGTCGTATTGCCAACCCAGGTTGTTATGCTACCGGTATGTACCTCTCTTTGAAACCATTGGTCAAGGCCGGTCTCCTCAACGGCACACCATCCTGTTTTGGTATCTCAGGGTACAGCGGTGCTGGTAGCAAGCCATCGGACAAAAACGACACCAAGCGTCTCGCCGACAACATCATCCCCTACAAGTTGGTTGACCACACCCACGAACGTGAAGTGTCCCATCAACTCGGCCACCCAATCTACTTTATGCCACATGTCGGACAATTCTTCCAAGGTATCACCCTCACCATCTCTACCAAACTCAACCGTTCTGTCACGGTCGAGGAAATCACCGAACTCTACAAGAAATCATATGCCGATGAACCATTGGTAAAGATAGATGCTGGCATCATTCCAGAGGTCAAGACCAACCAAAACAAGCATACCCTCACCATTGGTGGTTTCACCATCAAGGACAACCATCTCGTCATTGTCACCACCTTGGACAACTTGCTCAAGGGTGCCGCCACTCAAGCACTTCAAAATATGAATCTTTCCTTAAATTTGAATGAATTGGATGGTATTAAATCAGAACTTTAAAAAAAAAAAAAAGTCTAAATATATATATAAATGTGTAAAAAAATAAATAAATAAATCAAGAACATACAAATAATAATAATAATAATAATAATAATAATAATAATAATAATAATAATAATAATTTGTAATTTGTAATTAAACTAAAATATTTATTGATAAAGGATAAAAAATATATCTACTAGTTCTTGAAGAAATACATACTTTTGGCTATAGTTTCAACAACTATATCTTTTAAAACAACAGACCAAGTAAATACCGATTAATTATTCATTTAGTTTCATCAATCTTTTCAACCAATGACCAAACGTTGAAATAATAATTAATCGATATCTACTTGTCTTTTTGGGATCCTACATCCAAAGTTATTCAATGGAGAATCGGATTGTGCGTTTTTGATTGGAAAAGTGGCCTGGGCCCAAACCACTTTTCCAATCGACAGGAAGAGACGATTGACCAAATCGAGGACATCTGGACCATGATAAATCATTTGTTTTGTTTGATGGTTGCCCCACCCTCTAACTTTTACACACAAGAATTTGAAGATGACTACAAGAAAAAAGCAAATATATTTTGTTCATTATCAGTAAGGTCCATAACATACGTTCACATTACAATCAGCCATATTGGAAAACGTATGGTATACCATTTGATGCTATTATAATTAATATAAAGAAATGATTAATATATAAATATATTTAACTCTAACTCTTAAATATATTTAATACTTGTACAAGCTAAATAAATCTGTCACTAACATTCATAAAACGAAAATTCAAATAGTTGGCGCCAAAATTTTGAATTTCAAAAAGACAACTGTTTTAAAGTTCAGACAGAGTTTATTTGTATTTATTTATCTATATATATATCATTTATTTATTAAGTAGTATAGTAGTTGGAATGAAAATCATCATTTATTAAATTTGAAAAGACAACCAACAATAAGACAACAAAAAAGAGAGAATGAGCCTACCAACAGCAACGTCATCTTCAACAGATGACAATAACATATTTGTTGCTATTAGGTATGTACAAACATACATACATACATACATACATACATACATACATACATACATACATACATACATACATACATACATACATACATACATACATACATACATACATACATAAATACAATTCGTGGAAATGATAACTGATTGATATTATTATTAAAAAGAGTAAGACCAGAATCAAAAAATGAAATCAATGACAAGAATCATAAATCAATTATAAGGGTGCTCGATGAAAATGTGATCGTCTTGGATTCGGTATCGAGTACGAATCCAACCAGTGCAAATAGAATGAACAAGGTGTCGTTGAGAACACAGGAACAAAAGTTTATGTTTGACCGTGTGTTTGATCAGTACGCAACACAACAAGAGGTGTTTGAAGGCACTACAAAAGGAATCATAGAGTATGTCCTCAACGGATACAACTCGACCATCTTTGCCTATGGAAGTACTGGATCTGGAAAGACATTTACAATGATTGGAAATGCACAGGGCGGCGCAGGCATCATGGTGTTGATGATGCGTGATCTCTTTGAGACTGTGCAAAACCAACAAAATAGTGGTGCTGGAAAATATAGAATTACAATGTCCTACCTTGAAGTGTACAATGAATCGATTCGCGACTTGTTTATCGAAAATTCAAAGGCATTGGATTTGCGGGAGGATGGCAATCGAAATGTTGTAGTTGCCGACTTGACCGAACAAACTCCTTCATCGGCCACCGAAGTATTTCAATTGTTGGAAATGGGTAATGCCAATCGCAAACAATCACCAACCAACATGAACCTTACATCATCTCGATCACACGCAGTTCTTCAAATCTATGTTCGTCGCACTGACGATCAGGGACACGACAAGGTTGGCAAACTGTCGTTGATTGATTTGGCTGGGTCTGAGCGTGCCGCCAAAACACTCAACACTGGAATGCGTCTCGTCGAAGGTGCCAACATCAACAAGAGTCTGCTGGCACTTGGAAATTGCATCAATGCACTAGGCGATCGAAACTACAAGCCTGGCAAATACATTCCCTATCGTGACTCCAAGTTGACACGTCTTCTCAAAGACTCGCTTGGCGGTAATTGCAAGACCATCATGATTGCCAACGTCTCTCCCAACAGTGCGTCCTATGAGGATTCTCACAACACCCTTAAATACGCCGACCGTGCACGTTCCATCAAAACAAAGATCCACAAGAATATCCTCAATGTAAATACACATCTCAGTCAATACACTCAACTCATCAAAGAACTTCGAGAGGAAAATAGAATATTAAAATTAAAACTTTTGGAACAACAACAACAATTGGAATCAACTGGTTATTTTAATGATTTTGATCAAATCCAAAGACAACCTTCTGAACAACAACATCAACATCAACAACAATTATCTGTTTCCAATCCAACTGGAGCAGTATCTCCAACAAAAAAAGAAATGGTATCATCTTCATCATCATCATCGTCAACTTCATCATCAATTCCATTTACAATTCAAAATAATTCAGATCCAATTAGTAATGATAAATTTAACAAGGTAAATGACAAGATAACTAATAATCTTCAAGAAACATTGGCAATCAAAAAGAATTTAAATAATCTATTTGATAAAATGGAAGAACTTGAACTGTTATTATTTGAGAATCAACAGAAAATCAATACTACAACAGAAGACAATCAACAGAATAGTGGTAGTAGTAGTACTAGTACGACGATTAGTATTCAACAATTAAAATTAAATCAAATGCAATATAATAATCAAATAAGAGATTTAAAGACTAGTCAAACAATGTTATTGGATCATTTAGATAGAAATGATAAATGGAGAAGAAAATTAACTACCAAACTTACATCATCCAACAACAACTTGATCAATAATCTATCAACAAACCAAAAATTATTAATTCAACAAGCAAGAGCTGCAAGTTTAGAATTGGATCGTTGGGATTTGAATGAAAAGATTGTAAAGGAAAGATCAAATTATGCTCTTCAATCTCAACAAATTGAACAATTGGAAATTGATGCCACAGAATATAAATCATCTATTCAATCAATGTTTAATATTTTATCTGATAATTTTAATGTTTTAAAAGGTATGATTAAAAACTAAAATATTATATATATATAATTACTATTTACTAACTTATTTATTAATATTAATATTTTCTATTTCTACTCTTACTCTTAAGATAATAATTTACTAAGTGATGAATTTTTAAAAGAATTTGTAAAGTGTGGAGGAATCATTGAAAAAGTAAAGAATGCTGGAAATATAATTATAAAGAAACCAAAGAAAAGAAAATCATTGTCAACTCTTATTAGTAATTTATCTTCTTCATCTTCTTCATCATCGTCATCGTCGTCATCTTCTTCTTCCTCAAAACAATCTCAGTCGCAGTCATCATATGCCAATCTTGTATCTGTTAATCCTCAAAAAAGATCCGATTCCTCTTTGAATCATTCAATTGATCAATCAGAAATGATGAATACATCTTTAGATTTGAAGATTCCAGTTGCCAAGAAATTATTAAAACCAATATTAAAAAAGACAACATCTTCCAATTCCACCACCACATCCACTACTCTACAACAAAATATTAATATTTCAAATACTACCTCCTCATCCTCTACTTCACCTACATCATCTTCATTGAACAAGAAAAGATTAATTACCGATACTGTAAATAATACTAATAATAGTTCCCAACAACAACAACAACAATCTCAACAACAACAACAACAACTTCCACAACAACCAAGATTAAAAAGATTAATGACCAACAACTCTAATAATACATCGATAGATGGAATAACTACACTTCCAAAATCAGTTACTTCTCTGACTATTCCAGCTGCATCAGTCTCTAGTCCCACCAACACCACCAACAACAACCATTTGGCACCAACTATAAAGAGTATGTTGGCAACCAAACCAATGCAATTATCATCACTTCGAGTCAAACAACAACAAGGTACTACAACTCCAACTTTAACTGCTGCTGTCCAAGGTACTAGTAGTAATAATAGTACAAGTAGTAGTTCTACCTTAAAGGTAAAAAGAGTACCAGCCTTGAAAACAATGTAACAAAACAATAAACTCGAGTGTATTATATTATAAATATATTATTGTCGGAATAATTAAAATTTAATTTTATTATTTTGGTATATATATGTAATATTAATATTAATGGTAGTAGTAGTAAGGTAATATTTTAAAGTGATAGTATACAGGCACCCTTGGATGGATTGGTACAGAATAAATAACTTGAACGGTCTTGTGGTAACTTGTCAGATGGAATCTTGGAGTAATAGTCACGTTCGAGGGTGGCCATAAACTCTTCGGCTCTGTCACTTGGGACAAGGGAGATGACACAACCACCCCATCCAGCACCTGTTAATCTTGAACCATAGGCACCAGCCTTTCTACAAATATCGGTCAAACGATCCAACTCTGGACAACTACATTCAAACGATTGAGAGCAACTAAAGTGACTTGAATCCATTAATTTACCCAATTCGTGAACGACACTAGAAGATGGTGAGACTTGGTGATCAGCAGCAGAGGCAGCTCCATCAACCTTTTTACCACCGTTTGAAGATTCTTGACACTTGCTTTGGAAATCATAGACACGAGATGTTTCACTGTAGACATGACTAGCACGACGATGCAATTGGAAGGATTCGGCGGTAACACCCGATGGGAAATACGACTTGACCAATTGTTCAACAGTGACGCCTAAAATATTGGCAACTTCTTGACGAGTATATGCTTCTTGGTGGAGGTGCGAGTCAACCATTTCCAGTAATTGTTGTAGTGAGAGATTGGATAACTTTTGAACATCATTCAATTTTCTAACTTGCTCCCATTGTAAACCCATCTTGTTGGCCAATACAACAGCTGCCAATCGACATTCAGTTACTCTCAAATTATAATAAAATGCTCCTGTAACTACTTTGTTTGATTCTACTAAACTATTGGAAATTACAAATGATACACTAAATAGAGAAATAGAAAAAAAAAAATTGGATATATTAATATTTGTAAATTTTCCTTTTTTGGTAGAATTTTTTTTTATATTATTATTATTAGTTATACATACCCTTTTGGTAATACTACGTTATTGGTTCTAAGAGGATTGAATTCAATCAATTTGGCAGTGTTTTCTTCGGCAAGATAAGAGATGGCTTGATCCATACCTCCACCTTCAACACCAACATATCTTTCACACTTGACAGAGATATTTGCCAATTCATCCTTTGTAAACACAAGATTATGAGTATATGAAATAGTTAATGTTGATACACAAACCAATGCAGATGAACTTGATACACCAGATCCCTAAATAACAATGAATAATTATTAATTCAACTTGTAATAATAATAATAATTTAATTTAAAATCTACTTACAGCTGGAACATTTCCAGAAAATAATAAATTCATTCCTTTGAGTTTGGTTGATGGTGATGCATCTTGAACACCTTTGATAGCAGCCAAAACATAATTGGTCCAGTGATGATTAGATGGGTCGATGACGATTGGTTGATCGACGTTGATTGACTTGGGTGTATACTTGTCGACACAATTTCTAATATTAATACTATTTTGTTTAGAGTTAAAGTTACATGCTACAATGACATCTTGTTGTAATGCAAATGGCTAGAAAAGTAATCAAACAAAAAAATGAATAATAATTATTAGTAAATGAAATGGAATCAATTGATATATTGATTGTTTTTTTGAATAAGTATACATACAAGTACTGGATATCCACTATAGTCAACATGTTCACCGATGAGGTTTACACGACCAGGAGCACGGAAATAAAACATTGGTTTGTCACCATCAAAAGATTGTTGGAATTGATTTGAAAGTTCATTGTATCTAGCTTCATTGTCTTGTCTGTTGAAATAGACATCATCAATTGATGAAAAGACAGCTGGTACATGGGGATTGAAAATATCCATTGTTTAAAGAAAGATAAGGTTTGTATAGAGTAATATAAAAAGACTATAGAGTTGTCTTTTCTTTTTTCAAATAAGGAGTAGTTGTAGTAGTAGTTGCTGTCTATAACAAGTAACTACGAATAAATTGCGAAAGTGTGTATATATGAGTGTGTTTGTGTGTGTCTTGTGGTAGACGACGACGGTTCTTGATGATATTTCAGTATTAGGGGTATATATATATATAGAGTGTGTAAAAACAAATATCTAATAGAGTTTGTTGATAATTATATTTAGATATATGTATAAATAGATTTATATCTCAATGCAATTTAGCAATGAATGTGTAATGTAATGTTATAATTGAATTGCTTAGTTTTAAAATGAAGCCGATGCAATTGTTTGGTTTGAAATTTCTGACAGAAAAAAAGATCTTTCAAATCAAAATTTGTAATAAATAAATAATTTATAAATAGGTATAATAATAGAAGGTAGTTGTAAATTAATACATAAAATGGTTTTAAATAAATAAGTAAATAAATAAATAGATTATATTTGAGTTTAAATTGAATTTATATTAATAGTATTTTGGTTTATATCTTTAACAACCAAATTCAGCAGTTTAAATAGTTGATAGTTTGTACAGACAAGTGATATCAGATTCTATTGCTTTTTACAAAAAAAGAAATGTAGGTTGGAATGGATGGATGGATATTTCCCCCCTCACAATCTGTAATTTCATTGCTCGGTTGTTGATAAAAATATCTGGTATGTGTGAATATGTGGTATCTCAAACTCAACGGGATCTACTGTGAAATTTTGAAATTCAAAAACCTTGGAGATATTAGATTTACTATCGAAGTTCCATTGTTTATTTTATTGTCTCAACACCCTCTATCCAACATTTGTGTAGAGAATACATAATAATATGAAAATAACCAAAGATGTATAGAATTAATTGTATAGATCTCTTTAATGTTTGGTACTATATTATGTGTATTCTAGGGGTGGTTGGTTATCTACACTTTTGTAAAGAGTATGGAAGGTTGTTAACAATTTGAAACTAATTATATCTTGAAATAAACAAATGAATGAAAGAAATGTCTTATGTCTATGGTACTAAAAAATATTTAGGAGAGATCTACCACCATATAATCTCATATGAAAATAATAATAATTAAAATTAAATATTATTTTAATAATGATACTTTATAGATTAATCTATTTAATTTTAAAGATAAGATGACCACAATAATGAGACAGATAGGATTCATGATTTTTTTTATAGATCGAGAGAAAAGATGTGTATAAAATTTTGTAAAGTATGCTTTCTTGAAATCCAACTCCAATATAAACTATTTGAGAACCCTCACTGAGAGTATGGATGGTTTAAAGGAATTCAAATTTTCTTGATAATATATCGATAAACAATTGTCTCAAGAAAAATTGTAGGATTTTACACCCGTAGACATGGAAAAGGATTGTTAATCTATCATGTGAACATCATATACGACTATATAATATAGATAGGTATAGCTAGGATGGGATATCATCCTCTCACAATCGATCCCTATTCTGGATGCCAGGACTATATGAAAATGGTGATTTGTAGAAAGATACTAGTATCAAACAATAGGAAGCTGTTCAAGCATGGGAAAATGCAATGCTTGATCAAGTAAAAAATATTAAATTGGTTTAGAAAAGTTTCCTCATCCAAACGAACTAGTACAATACCTAAATAGATAATTCAACAAAGAAGAAACAAAAGTATACCTAAATTATTGAATTCAATTCTTTTATGGAAAACTATATTTAAATAGATAATAAATTCAAATATAATTAAAAATAATAATAATGATTCATTTATGTTCTAAATCTTAATTTTCTTTTGTACTCTAATTTCCCCTTTATTAATTTTTAAATATTTAATTTAATTTTATTTTGTTGCTACCCATTTATAGAATGAGTTGACCTTCAACCTTTTCCCATCATAGTTTGTAATGGTGTCATTTATAATTCATTAATGAAGAGACACTATCAGTTCGAACCTTGATAACGAACAAACATTCATTCCCTGTTCTACTGAAATTTATTTATCCATTTTCCCAAGAACCATACACCATGACAGAGAGATAAAGAGCCAAGAGGTTTTTTTTTTATTGTTGTGCTAGTGTTGTTGACCACCTATGTCCCGCTAGAGACCACCAAAAGACAATGACGAATTTGTGTACATGTTGAAAATTCGAAGTTTTTTATTTTATTGAACAGGTCTTCCCAAATTTGGGTACTCAAGTATACTTTTCAACGTTGGTACCTTTAAAAAATATCTACTCGAGTTTTTGAAACAACCCTAGATAGGAAGGGCATCATTGAGGTGAGAGGAGGTCACCTTTAAAAAAAACAAAAACAAAACGGGTTGCACGATGGCATCGTTATCATCACGACACTTTTTCGGCAGACTGGGGGAGCAAAAGGAGTGTTGCAAAGGGGAGGCTTCTCCCAAGATCCACAGATGGAGGAAATTTGAGGGGATGCACCTCAACAACACACTTTTGACCATTGCATCAACAACATCATCTCAGCTCAATATCTTTTTCACAACATAAAGCTTTATCTCTAGTAGTCTTCTCTGACACGATAGTAGCGCATCATATTAATAATAATAATAATAATAACCTCTCACCCCTATCTCTCAACTCTAATAATAATCTACTCACACACCCGTTTTCAGTGCATTAACCCTCACCACACACATTCATCATACTTGCATCATTTTTTAAAAGTAGAAGGAATACCCTAACTCAAGATACACACAGAATAGACATACAGACATTCTCCTCTCATCGTAATAGAATAGAATCAGTCAAACATCATCATCATCATCAATAATATTATTAGTACTATATGTTTAAATTAAAAGAATAATAATAATTCAATCCTATTAGTAGACAATTCGATTATGTTGTTCATCATTCAACAAGTTCAAGATACCAACAACAACAACAAACAAACAACCCTACAACAAGCATATTATTATTCTCACCTCCTCATAGACATCCAAGAGACACCCAACCCTTAGAACCTCTTAAAAATTGTAATCATTCTAATTTCACAACAGCAACAACGACAAATAATACTATTTTATAACAAGAGTAAATATCTTAATATAATAACAACTCCAACATAACAACATAACAACAATCGTTGTTGTTGTTGTTATTATTGTTTGTGGAAACGATATCATGTTTGAAAGAGAACTATTGTTATCACAAGATATAGATAGATAGATATTAACTGTTTTACCTTTTTTTTTATTTATTTGTTTTATTACTTTTCATTTCTAGAATAGTAGTTGTTCATATATATTTTTGTATATTTATTTCTATTTATTTATTTATTTATTTCAATTGACCCGTCAAACAAATCTGGTCTGGTCAGTCGATTCAATTCTCAATACCAATTCAAATTTATTATATATTCTCATCAATTCGAATACCAAGTAGTATATCATGGTTGAATACTACATCAACAACAAGTGTAATTGTATCATCGATAATAATCAAACAAACGAATTTCACGACCAAGTCATGTGCAAAAAGGAATTACATCATGGGTCATCTTCAAATCCAACTGTTTTCAACAAAGAAGATATTCCTTGTACATCAACATCCAATACATCACCAATACATTCACCTACTCTTTCAACTACAACCACCTCCAACAATAACAACAACAATGTAATTTCTCCAACTTCACCTGATCAACGTTTATCTTTATCTTTTATAACAAATAATAATAATCAAAATAATAATCAAAATAATAATAATCAAAATAATAATAACCAAAAAAATAATAATAATACTCAAAATAATAATAATAACCAAAAAAATAATAATAATAACCAAAATAATATTTGTAGAAATGTTTCAACTAATTGTATAAATTTTAAAGTAATTGATCAATTATCAACTCCACCATGTATACCATCAAAAAATAACTCAACTACTACTACCACCACCACCACCACCGACGCCACTACTATCATCAATGATAATACCGATATAATATCATCGTCATCATCGACGACGACTTCAACTTTGACTCCAACATTTCAATCATATAGACAAGTGGATCAAAATTTTAGTATTAATCAATTACCAACATTGGTAATCAAGAATATATTGGATTATGTACATGGAGGTAAATTCCCAGGTTATCATGCGGTCGTTGCCAAGTCTGTATGTAAATTGTGGTGGGATTTGACGTTGAGCACTATCAAATCATTTATTTTGGTAGAAATGTGGATGGAATGTAGGGACACTGAAATTGCCAATTGGTGCAATCAAGTGTCTCGGTTTTTGGATAGGGCCTATGGCCACAGTAGCGAAGAGATGAAATTCAAACGAAGATGTTGTGTCGATTTTATTCAACTCAAGATGGGGGTGACATCGCCCATGATCGAACCTGTCCTCTTGAGGATCAAAGATTACTTTGGTGTGGTTGATTTGGATTTGTCGTTTAATCGAATCGACGACAATGGTGCAGAGCAGATTGCCACGTTGTTGATGGGCCAGTTAAAGGGCTTGAATTTGGCGCGCAACCGTATCAACGATCGTGGCGCATGTGCTATTGCCAAGGAGCTGGCCAACAACACGACGCTGGTCAAGCTGAACCTGTCGGGCAACTTTTTTGGCCGGCCCATGATCGGCCGTCTCTTTCGCATCATTCAAGACTCAAACGACACGTTGCGCGACCTCGACATCTCGGGCGCGCTGGTCGCCGAGGCCATGGAGTGTCTCGAGCCGACACCCAAGTTTAGCAACGGGCCGTCGCTGACCAAGCTCACGCGTCTCAACATTGCGTCGACTGCATCCGGCCGACACATTGACTTTTTATTCAACTGTCGACAGATTGCCAACCTGCTCGTCCATCTCAACATCTCGGACAACAATATCCAGCCGTCGGCATGCAAAATCATCGCCGATGCGCTCATTCGCAAAGAGTGTCGTCTCGAGATACTCATCATCGACGACAATAGTATCGGCGACATTGGCCTGTACGAGCTGTGCAAGATGATCCCTCATAACCGGTCACTGCGTATCCTATCGCTGGGCAACAACAACATCTCGTTTAGCGGTGTCTCTCATCTCTGTCATGCACTCTCCAACCCCGGAGTCAAGCTCCAGGAACTCGATCTCTCCAACAACAGTCTCAAATCCATCTCTATACCGTACCTCTCTTTTTTGTTTGGAGCACATTCTAGAAACCGTCACTTGCACACTATCAAGTTGCGGTACTGCCAACTCGAGGATGAAGGTGCCGATATGATGTCCCGATCCCTTTTCAACAACACCTACATCAAGTCTATTGACATTAACGGCAACAATATCCAGAGCAAGGGGTGCGACTCGCTTGCCAAGCTCATTCAACAGAACCGCGTCATCGAAACACTCTGTCTTGGAAACAACTCGATCGACAATGTCGGAGCTGCCATCCTAGCCAACGCCATCAAACAAAACACGACACTCAAAATGCTCGATCTCGAAAACAACAACATCAACTATTTCGGTGCATTTCCTCTACTCGAGGCACTCAAAGTCAATACTACACTCCGCGATCTCAATCTTTATATTGTCAATATCCCAACCCGCAATTTACGTTTCTTTTTAAATGGTACCATTGGTTAGATAAACCAAAAAAGGTAGTCACCAACTCAAACCCAAACCCAAGACGTGTCCTGTTCTTGGACGTCGTTCACAAAACTCGGAATAAAACAAATAAATCCATCCCGTCTTTTTTTTTAATAGGTCATATAGGAGACTCTAAACAAAGATTGATTGAACGTAGGCAAACATATGAAATTGTGAGCAGAACGATCAGTCACGTGGATCACCAATTTTTCTCGAAAAAATATTTTCCCCAATAGTCTTGCGACCTTGAGATCGGTCTTGACACGGAAAGCGTTAATGACGTCAATCGCTACTTTTTGTCAAGATTTTTTGTAAAAATGGAGGTAGGGATAGAAAAAACAGTTTTCTTCGACGGGCAGCCTAAGAATCGTCTCCTATTCTTTCATCATCACTCATTCACTTTTCACCAACATTCCCTCCTTGTTTATTTATTTTCAGTGCCCAGCTCCCAAACACACACAACAACAACCATCAGTATTTATTTTTAGTAGTATTAATACTTGACAGAGTATGTAACAAATTATCAAATACAAATCAAATTATCAAATCAAATACAAATCAAACAAGAATAATGAAGATAAAGAAAGAAGAAGAAGAAGAATAAGAAAAAGGAAGAAGTAGAAGAAGAAGAAGTAAAAGAAATGAACAAGCAGCAGAAAAGAAGAGAAATAGAATTAAGCATGCTTTTCTATTAGTAAGGAGTCTAGAAATGTTTAAACATGGTGGTTTTAAATCGATCGATAGATAAGATAGATAGATAGATAGATAGATATCTACATTGTGTGTTTTGGAACGATCTTATTATTTGGGGGGGGGTAGGGGTTGAATCACCGATACTTTTACTTTTTTTATTTTTTATTTTTTTATATACATATGTGTTTGTAGGGTGTTTAAAATGATTAGTAGATTCCATCCCCCACCCTTCTTTGTTGTTGCATCAATCAAATCACTACTACCCTGTCACTGTCTCATTTTAAACAAACAAAACACTTTTTTATTAACATTTGTTTCATTATGTATGTTGTACTATTTAGGGATTTTTTTTTTTTTTCTAAATTAAAACGATCAATCATAACCGTTTTAGATTGTACTATTTACAGGTCAACGTTCAATTATACTCTTTTTACAACAACATAATAATAATAACCTTAATAATTTGTAATAACTATTCAACAAAAGTAGTAGTATAGAACATGGTCAAGAACGAATACAGTGCCATTTCATTAAATGATGAGTAAGTGTATAATTTAAAAATTACTACTATTCTGTCCGTCCCCACAAAAAGTACCTAATATCTTTTTGTTTTCTTTTATTTATTTAGTATTGGAGAAGAAGAAAATGATATATTAATACCAAAAGTAACGATTACAAAGAAAAAGGAGGGAATCGAATGGGACAAAAAGACATTGTCATTGCTCATTATTGGTGTGTTGACCGTTCTGTATGTCATTGCAGAGTTGGGTTCGGCATTGTATACTGGTTCGTTGGCATTGTTGTCTGATGGTTTCCATAATCTTACTGATGCCGTATCGCTCTATGTTGCTTGGTGGGCTCTCAAGGCCAAGAAGCAAGGTAATGACCGTGCTGAGATATTGGGTGGTCTGTTGAACGGATCTTTCCTCGTCAGTATGAGTCTTTACGTTGCTTTGGAAGCTATTCCTCGTTTGGTGCATCCAGAGCCTATCGAAGGTGGCACTATCTTTATGAGTGTTGCCGGTGCCGGTTTGGCAATCAACACTATCGGTACCATTGTATTTGCTTGCACTGGTATGGAACATGCTCATAGTCACGGTCCAGGTGGTGGTCACAGCCACGGCGGAGAAAAGAAGGAAAAGAAAAAGGAAAAGCATGGTCACTCTCACGGCGGCGATGGTGAAAAGAAGGAAAAGAAGGAAAAGCACGGTCACTCACATGGTGATGGCGAAAAGAAGGAAAAGAAGGAAAAGCATGGACACTCGCACGGCGGCGACCACGGTCACGCTCATAACGACGGAAATGGTGCCAATGCCGACCACGACCATCACGATCATAGCGACGAACACCACGGTCACAGCCACGGTGGTGAAAAGAAGAAGGAAAAGCACGGACACTCTCACGGCGAAGGTGAAAAGAAGGAAAAGCATGGACACTCACACGGTGGTGAAAAGAAAAAGGAAAAGAAGGGAGGTCACGGTCACGGAGGTGAATCAAAGACCTGTATGGGTATGGATTTGAACATGTTTGGTGTTTTCATTCACTTTTTGGGTGATGCTATCAGCTCGCTCTTTGTTTTGGTCACTGGTGCCATCCTCCACTTTTTCCAAGGTCATCACTGGACTCTTTATGTCGATCCACTCTCTTCCTTGATCATCGTTGCCATGACACTTGCCAGTGCCATCCCACTTGTTATCAAGTGTTCCAAGGTTCTCCTCGAACCCACTCCAACAACCGACTCTCACGACGATCATGACTCTCATGATCACGATTCACATCCATAAATTATAATTATATATATAATAGTCTTCCTGTAGAATTCTATTGTGGTTCACAATCATCACACACACATCAACAACAATAATATTTAATATTTTTTACCCAATCATCATAAAATCTAACCAACCCAAACCAACAACCAACCCTCCCTCCTATCCTCCTCATCCAATCTATTTGCTAATAGGTGATTATTATATACAACAAAATATAATCAATCACAACAATACAATAGATTCCTCCGAACAACAAACAAATCATTTTGTAATTAATTGAAAAAGGAAATAATGTCCTTCTTTTTTTTTCTCACAGTTGGATATATATACCAATTAATTATTATCCTCTCCCACCCACATATAATAAATAAATAATATATTTTGTAATACCAAACAAACAAAAGTATAAAATAATATATTTATTATTCTTTAATAATTCCAACTCCAAACAAAAAAAGATATATCTATCCCCCAAGCTTGGGCAAATTCATTGAAAATATTTGATTGATCAGAATTGAACGCAAAGGATTTTGAAAAATTTATTTATACATACTTGCCTATTTACTTACCTTTTCAAATTCTACAAATACAAATGTCTACCAATGAAACTACATCAACTTCTACAACAGATACTACAACTACAACTTCAACAACAAATATAAAGAAAAATGAACAACAAGATAAACCATTTATACCGACATGTGTATTTATAAGTTTGGTTTATGTTAAATATCATAATCGATATTTACTAGTTCAAGAGGTTAATACTAGATATTTCATTCCTGCTGGTAAATTGGAAATTGGAGAATCTTTTGCTCAAGGTGCTTTAAGAGAAACACTTGAAGGTAAGAGACAAACAAATCTTTGCAATCTTTCTTCTTTTCATTAATCTTTCTTTCTTTCTTTCATTTTAAAGAATCTGGAGTAAAGGTTGAATTGAAGGGAATATTAAGAATAGATCATTCACCTGGGTTTAGAGGATACCCATCTCGTATGTTGGCGTACTTTTTGGCAGAACCTATTATTGACCAAACCATTGAAATGATAGAGATTGACAATTTAGAATATCCTAAACCAAAAGCATCACCAGATCATCATTCATTGTGTGCCAAATGGTTTACAATTGATCAAATTAAACAATTGTCTGTAGAAGCAAATCTTCGTTCAGACTCTATACCAAATGTGATTGCATACATTGAATCAAATCAACCAGTATACCCTCTATCAATGTTGGCATTGGAAGGATCGAAATGGACCATTCCTAATAGTGATGGCACTGAATCCCCACCAACCAAAGAAAAAGGTTTCTTGAGAAAATTGTTAAGATAACAAACAAGTCAGACAAAGAGTAGAGTTTAATATTAATAATAATAATGTACATAATAAAATACAATTAGAAAAAGTTAGGTAACTTTATTATTATTATTGTTGTTGTTGTTTTGGAATATTATTGATGGTTGGAGCTTTGGTATAATAGTTTACATTGTATTTACTATGAACGACGAAACAAGTGTTATCAAACATTGATAAAAGGGTAGCTGCAATCCATGCAGTTGTGAGTGGTTTCAAAATGATTTTGGCAACTAGATAGGCTGGATAGATTGAATAGACCAACAATACATCTTTCCAATTGGGTTGTGTTTGTCCTGGTACTCTGGGTGTTTTATCAAATGCATACTTTCTACTTGCTTCCTCGATTGCTGTTGGTAATACGATACCACCAATCACACCAGTAAATATACCTCCACTAAAACTCATCATCTTGAGAGTACCATAAATGAGCCCGACAAAGAAGTCACTTTGGTATGCCAACATGGAATTAGTTGAAATCCAACGACCTTGAAACAAGTCAGTCTTTGGGTTGTCGTTATTGTACTTGGTCATGATTTGGAATTCTTGTTCGACAACATTGGATTGATTCAAAAACTTTCGATTGGCCAACCCCGATCTACTGAGCAGACGACATGCATGTTTATAGTCTCTATTGTATCGGCTTGGAAACGATGCCATAAACTCTAGCAATGGGATGGCACCGGCATTGACCAAACGTATCTTGACCACTGCGTCTCCTTTGGTGGCCAATTCCACAATACTGTGAATGATGTAGGTTCTGACGGCGAATGGTATTTGAGGGGCACTTGCCAAACGAACCATCTTGTCAATCGGCATTTTAGAGTATTCTTTTGGGTTGATGAGTTTCTTGGCGACAATATGTGAACACATTGCAGTTACACCCAACAACCCATACTCTGTGACGTTTTGATCCATCTTTGGGTTTTGTTGAACAAATGCCAATTCAATCCTCTTTACTGTAGCGAGATGATTCACTACCAAACTCTCTATAATATCCAAAATAGTTCCATAGTTTGTTGTCATTGTTGTTCGTTGTACTGTAGGTGGTGGTGATAAAAACACATCCTTTAATAATATAGTTAATGGGAGCACATCAAGTGATAGTTTCCCAGAACTGAGTGCATCACTTTTGATTAATCCAAGTAGATAACCAATAACACCCGACACTACTTCCAGGTCAATTTCTAAATAGAATAGAATAGAATAGAATAGAATAGAATAGAATAGAATAGAATATTAGTAACAATCATTTAAATGTACACGTTGGACCAACATCCATTATCAACAAAACCACAAACACATACTAGCAATTTCATAGGCAACATAGAGAAATAGGATATGTCTAAAAGGATTGAATGATTCCATGATTGTCTTTTTTTGATCCATAATCTTTTCACGTTTCTGTTTAGCATTATTGTATTGTCTTTCTTGTTGATAATTATGTTGTCTATTATTATTATTGTTTTGTTTTGATGTTGTTTGTTCATTTGTTGTTCTTGTTAAAGTTGCTCTTTTCAAAGCTTCAAAGTTTAACCATTTTGCTTGAGCAGTACGTTTTGTACTTGTTGGTTCTTCCGATGACGATGAAGATGTATAATATCTTATTGATGATGATGATGATGATGATGATGGAGGGGAAATAATCGTAGTAGACGACCTATGTGAATTTAATTTAAATGATGATAATGAAAATGAAGCAGAGAGTGCCAACGACCTCTTTACAGAGTTCATTCCACTCATCATCATCATCATTTAGTCTCTATTTAATATTTAATTAATTTAAAAAGGGTAGATAGATAGATAGATATCTTATAACATCCTATTATAATCTATCTCTTGAATCTGGAACTTTACTAAAATTGAACAACTAATGATTAGCAAGGTTTTTTGTACATACCTCTGGGCTCAATTTCGCTTTGAGTTTGCAGATTAACTTTAGCTCATTCATTGTCTTAAACAAACGACACAAGTACTTGATCATTTATAAACAAAAAGGATGATACTTGGTAGAAGTAGTAAAAGGTTGTTGACAACAATCAATTTAAATAATGGAAATATCATCAACAATCAACGGTTAAGCAATGTAGCTGCTGTTGCTGGTCAAAGATTCATCACTACTAGCAATAATAGACATTCATCTCAGTCATCATCATTGCCATTATCATTATTCTCAAATAATAGATCAAACAACAACAATAGTTTGATTACATTCTCATCACCAACTTTAAAACCATCTTCATCTTCTTTATTTACAAATAAAAGATTCTATACAACATCTGAACAAAAACAAGATGAAAAGAAACAAGAAGAACAACAACAACAAGAAGAAGAAGAAACAGTTAAACAAGATGATATTGGAAAAAAAAGAGTTGCAAGATGGTTACTGTTTAGTGCTGGTTTGGTAGGTGCTATGGTTGTTGTTGGTGGTATCACTCGTTTGACAGAATCTGGGTTATCAATGGTTGAATGGAAACCAATTGTAGGCGCCGTACCACCAATCACTCAAGAACAATGGGAACAAGAGTTTGAAAAATATAAACAATTCCCAGAGTATCAAAAGTACTTTGCTTAGAAAAATATATATCTATTTATTATTATTAACACTTCTTTTATATTTATCATTTAGATTAAATAAAGGAATGACATTGGAAGAATTTAAACAAATCTTTTTCTGGGAATATAGTCATAGATTGATGGGAAGAATGATTGGAGTAGCATTCTTTTTCCCATTTGTTCATTACTGGCGTAAAGGTTATATCGATAGATCGTTGGCCAAGAAATTGAGTGCCATCTTTTTGTTGGGTGGTGCTCAGGGTGCGTTGGGCTGGTACATGGTCAAGAGTGGATTGGATGAAAAGTTGATTATTGGAGAGGTGCCACGTGTCAGTCAGTACCGTTTGGCTGCTCATCTGGGATCTGCTTTTGTCATTTACAGTGCGTTGCTTTGGATTGGTCTCGATTTGGCGTCACCTGCCAAACTGACTGAATCTGCTCGTCAACGTCTCTCACAATACAGTCATCAATTGACTGCTCTTCGTCGATTCACTCCGATCACTGCCAGTCTTATTTTTGTCACGGCCATGTCTGGTGCATTTGTTGCTGGTTTGGATGCCGGTCTCGTTCACAATACCTTCCCCACCATGAACAATGGTCAATGGATTCCAGATGATTTGATCGATCCCAAGATCCAACCAAAGTGGCTCAACATGTTTGAACACGACGTTATGGCCCAGTTTGACCATCGTCTACTCGCTACCACCACCTATGTCAGTGTCCTCACTCTCGCCGCCCTCGCATCGCGTGGTCGTGGCGGTCTTACCCGTCGCGCCCGTCTCGCCTTTAATTCACTCGCTGTCATGGCCACCGTCCAAGTTGGTCTAGGTATTGCTACCCTTCTCACCTTTGTACCAGTCTCTCTAGGTGCCAGTCATCAAGCTGGTTCCCTCTCCCTCTTATCCATTGCCATTTGGTGTGTTCATGAAATGAAAAAGTTACCAAAATAAATTAGAGTAGAACAAAAGTAATAATAATAATAATAATATTAAGATTTATAGAATTTTAGATGATTGATTTATTTTTCATCCAAAGATAGATAAACATAACGATATTTACTAATTAATTGTGGAATACTAGATATTACTGATCCATATCGTTGTTGATTATTATAAAGTTCGAAAAGAGGAACGGCTATTAATTTTAGATTTTGGGGAACTGCAAATGTACATTTTTCTGGAAGTGTTACAACATATAATTTTTTACATTCTTTTGGTTTTGAAATATGTGGAGGTATATATGGATACTAAATAAAGAAATAAAGAAAATAATTTAAATTAAATTTGGAATATAATTATAAATATAAATAGTATTTTTATATGGTTGGTTGTTTGTGTACATACAAATGTGTGTTGTTCAAAACTTGGTCTCCACCAAGTTGATACCAATTCTCCAATTTCCCAAGGTGAATCATCTGGTGCAGTTCCAATTGGTGAAAGTTTCTTTGTTAATTTTCTTATTAAACCATCAACTTCATTTTCTCCAGGTTTTAATTTACCTCCTGGTCTAGAAAGAAGAGAGATGAAAGTAATGATATTGTCAATAAATGATCTTAAAGAGATATAATGATCATCATATCTGTAGTTTGGTAGATAGTTACAATTTAAAATAAGAATTTGACATTTGTAACAATAGTATATGAGGATGGTTGTGTTCATGAACAATGATGATCGATTCGACAGTCTTTCTAGTACCTTCTTTATCAAATGTTTCTTTCATTCTTGTTAATCTCTGTGCTACGGTTGCATCCTTTTCAGCAACAGGTTCTTTAATACCAAATGAATAACTTGTATTAAAGTTATATAGAGTCAATGTTTTCATCATCTTTTGAAAGAGAGTTTGTGTGCGTGAGTTAAAGCAAAGTGTCGTCCTATATAAATTATATATATGTTGATAAAGTATCTGTCTTTCTATTCCTATTCCTATTCTATTTCTATCTTCATTATGATCACAACCAAACTAGTTATCACTCTCTTTCAATACTTGCAGATGCTGATGATCACCAGCACTTCCCTAAAAACAAAAATTGCAGGTGAACCCACCAACGAAATTCTTTTCTTATTCTATTTTAGAAACAAAAGATAGATAGATAGATTAAGATTACATATGTAGTCTTGACGTTAGATGAGAGGACACTGTAGATGCTCAGATATTGTGGAGATATCTATTCTCCTGATACTCGAATTAATGAGATGATCAAAAGGCATATATAGTACTACTACAAGGCCCAACTAATTGTAATGGCTATCAATCATCCACTTCAAATCGTTCAGGTAGAAACAAACAAAGAAAAGGGAAAAGAAATAAGAGATATGACAACACCTATTACACTAGAAGGTACCAGGTTCATACTTTTATAAACTAGTCGCTTCATCCATTGTTAGTGTAAACCAAGAAAATACTTTCATTGATAGGTATGTATGATGATGCAATTAAAATTAAAAATTGATTGATTGATTGATTTATTATTATTCAACAACAATGATTAATATTTCTTTCCAATATTTATTTATAATATCATTAGAGATGGAACACACTTTGGACTCATCCTAAACTATATCAGAGATGGAGACATATCGATATTCCCAAAGAATATAATGAATGTGGTTGAAAGGGAACTAATCTTTTATGGATTACCAACACCATCACCTTCTTCATTATTAACCTCTGAACAGGTTTCAATTATCAATGGTTGGATCGGTCGGTCCTTAAAAATCGGCTCTCTTTTGCATAAAGTAAGTACTTATCAATATTGCAATCAATTTGCATAAAGAAAGAAATAAGCACAACCAATTTTAAATATTCATATTGTTTATTTTTATTTAGGAACCAAAGATGGATTTGAAGCAGAAACCATTCATAAAAACATTGATGGTAAAGGAGCAACCGTTCTCTGGATCAAAACAAATGACGGCAACATATTTGGAGGATTCAACAACCAATCTTGGGATTCAAGTGATAAATATGGTGGTGATATGAATTGTTTCATCTTCTCGATTGTCAACAAACAAGGACTACCTCCAACCAAATACCTTCCAAAAGGTGATGGACAGATTGTTTATGGATCATTACAAGCTGGTCCAACATTAGGGCGTGGTCATGATTTTAAAATTAATGATCAATGTAACACCAACTTTTTGAGTTACCAGAAATTCCCTTCCTCTTATATCGATACAACTGGTAAAGGACTCTACATTGACACCAACTACAAATTTTAAAGTTGAAGAAATAGAAATATTCTAATGAGGAACAACTTAAACTTTTAAAAATAAAAAAAAGTAAAGATAAATTAATTAAAAATTTTTTTTATAGTATTGTTTCCCATCCCATGGGCGACATGACGAATGGTTCATGACTAAATTAGGAAAGAAGAGAGAGATGTCGAGATAAATTTTATGGAGACACAGATTTTTTGTAAAAAGCAATCAAGGCGCTTTGGCCTTTTTTTTTTTACATTTTTTTAATCGAATTAAAGTGGGTCGCGTTTGATTACTTTGGAACCTTTAGTTCGGCTTTTTATTGTTATTGTTTTGATGAGAAGTCACAGCAAGCAGCAAGAGTAGTAGATAAGATATACAACAACAACAATGGAGTACATCACACCAATTACTCAGATGATTGATAACTTTACATGGGATAGCAACACCCCATTATCATCATGGGTATTCCCAGCTTCAACCTCTGTTACCTATTTGGTTGTTGTCTTTCTTCTTAAAGTATGTCACCACACACATTGTTTTGTGTGCAGCAGCAGCATCATTTTTTTAAGAAAAAGATAGATCTATCTATCTAACAACACAAACGAGAGACTAACACACAAATTAAATTATATTATCTTTTTTATTTTCATTTTGATCTATCTATTGTAGCAATTTATGAAGAATAGAAAACCAATGTCATTAAAGGGAGTATCAATCATTCACAATTTCAATTTAATTTTATTGTCATTTGCAATGATGGCAGGTGTTTTAGAGGCAGCTTACAGACAAGCTTTGGAAGAGGGACCATTCTCGTTGATTTGCGAGCGTACCCCATTTGCTGTCCAAGGACGTATTGGATTCTGGATCTATGTTTTCTACCTCTCCAAATATTATGAGTTGTTTGACACTGTATTGTTGGCACTCAAAAAGAAGCCATTGATCTTTTTGCACGTTTTCCATCATATGGCCATGGTTCCAATCACCTGGCAATGGCTCAATGACCAATGGTTGGTTGGTAGTTGGTGGTGCACCTTTGTTAACTCGTTCATCCACACCATCATGTACTACTATTACCTACAAACTTCACTTGGCAACGACTGCTGGTTCAAGAAATACATTACCACTGCTCAAATCGTCCAATTTTTGACTGGAACCGCCATGGTCGGCTACTGGTTCACCATCCGTAACAAGGAAAACTGTCAAGGTGGTCTTGCCCCTGCCATCGTTTCCTTTACCGTCAACTCTGTCTTTATTCTCCTCTTTATCAAGTTTTACATTAACTCTTACAAGAAAGGTCCTGCCGCTTCAAGACCAAAGAAAGAATAAACTTAAAAAATTAAATAAATTAAATTAAATTAAAAACTAATCCATCCATCCATCCATCCATACGTATAATTAATTAATTAATATTTATACACCTAATTTTATTTATTTACAATTATTGATTTAATTTAAGAAATCAATAATATCAATACCACCTAAAGATGATGTTGGACATTTAAGATTATTATTATTTTTAAAATTGAATAGTGTAAATCTTATTAGATCGATACTATTGATTTTGGTTGCATAATCGAGTAGTCTTGGTATTTGGTTGTTGGAATGATTGTTTGACAATTTAATAATTAAATCCAACAAGTTGATATAATCATCTGGTGTGGATGGTGGTGCAGAAAATGCTAAACAAGACTCTAGAGTCAATGGTGAAAAGTTGATTGTATCAAAGTATTCAAATACTTGTCTATGTTTGGGGTCATATACTTTGATCAATCCAAAACTAGAGTTTGCATAATTGATCTTTCTAAAATCTACTTGGTTTGGTTGTTTCTTTTCCAACTTTAGATACAAATCGATAAGGTATTTGATGGTATCTGGAGATTTGATGGGATGAAATTCTATTTTGGTTAAAATGGACGATTGACTAGTCTCATCCAATTGTTCTAAAAAGAATTTGACCACCAAGTGAGAATCATAAAGTTTCATCGACTGTACTATAATGTCTCTTGATATAATTGCCTTTTTTAAATCTTGTTGTTCGTCTGATGTTGTTGTTGTTGTTTTATCAACACTCGCTGAGAGACGATTATATAATTGCCAATAGACATAAGATATTAGAGAAGGGTCATTTGAGAGACAGACTGCACCATGTAACATGACTTTAGCATCCAATGGGTTTTTAGGTGGACATCTATTCTCCAATAACCATTTTACCATGTCTACATTATTTTGTCTAAACATGTTGGTCAATATGAGGTTGTATGCAAGAGTAGCACCCAACGATTCGGCATAAAGAATACTATGAATGTCGGTTGGATACACAACCTGACTTTTAATAGTGTCTCTGTCAAATATTTGAGAGATTAACAATTCTACAACCTTTTGGTCCTTCTTTTGAAAGGCTAGGTTTAAAAGAGAAGGTTGAAACTCTAATTGTGGTACCACTTTGATAATGTCTGGTTCATTTTGGTATTTTTGCAAGAGCAGTGTTATTTGATCGACTAGGTAGAGTAGATTGTCTGCATGTTGGTAAGAGTCTATCCTAAGTGTTGATGGCATTATCTTTCGGTGATAATAGTTGGCCAGTCTCTCCTCCAAATCAACCAAAATAACCTTTAACACTTGTAGTTCTTGGTAGGCCAGTGGAGACTTGATGTCATAAAAGTATTTTGAAAAGAGGTGTGATGCAAGATAGTGTTTAAGAGTATTTGGACATCTCTTAAAGTTGAATTCTAAAATGTCACCACGACCATCTTGCAGTGCCAAGATGTTAATATCTACAACGATTAGATCTACAATATCACCATTCAAAGAGTCAATCTTTTTCAAAATAGACTGATACTCTTGACAAGTTATCTTTTCAATATTAAACTTTAAATATCCCAATAATAACTTTTTTAAACTTTTTCCATCCCATTTATGATTTAAAATATGATCACAAATATAAAATACTATATCAAATGATCTATATTCATAAATTATTTGATTATTATTTAAATCTATTATTTGATTATTATTATTATTAATATTATTGTTTGTTGGTTGATGATCTATTTGTTGTTGATGTTTATAAATATTAAAACAAAATAAATAAATGTCTTGATCAATGATACTATATTTATCACTGATTGTTCTTATGTAGGTGTTGTTTGGATGAAGATTATAGATATATTTAAATATTATAAAAGGTCCATGTATGAGTGATGCCTTGTATATATAATAAATCACCTCTGGTTGATTCTTGTTGTATCTATTGTAGAAATACTCTACAATCTCTAATCTCCTTCCAATACATGCTTCATTTATAAACCATTCCAAGTTTGGTATGAACCTTTCTCTTTGTTCTCCTCCTCCTCTGTTTGCATCGGTTGATCTCCACTGAAATGGTTCATATTTTGATTCCAAACATTCAATGTATTGAACCAAGTATGATTTAAATCCGAATCTAATTAAAAGGTATACATTATCTTTAATGTGTTGTTGCCATCGATAGAATTGTTGTTGTTGTTGTTTCTTGTGGTGTGGTGCTATTCTTTTGTTGTTGTTGGTCAAGTGTTGACTAGTTGATCTATATTTCAACAATGAGAGATCTCTATTCAACCCATATATATGTTGAAATATGGTTTGTCTAATGACTAAACTATGAAATACACTAGCAAATAATGTATAAATAGAATGATCCATGGATGATAATTATGAAAGTGTTTAAAATTATTTGAAAAATAAATGGGTTCTCCTCCAACTTGATTTTTTTTTTTTCTTTGTGACAAAGATATCTTAACTCTCCTCATCAGAAAACAATTTTATTCTTACCCTAAAACTATAATTTCATACCTATCATAATGGTAATGACGAATAACTATAAAGATAGGTTCACTTACAGTTACTAACCATTATGTCTGTCTCTATCATTATAACAGTCAGACGAAAAATCACAATTAATCGAAGCTTTCTATAACTTTGACCATGACTATGATGGTTTTGTAAGCGTTGAAGAGTTCCGTGGTATTTTAAGAGATGGTCTTCCAATGCCAGAACCAGAGGTAAGAGAGAGAGAGAGAGAGAGGGAGAGAGAGAGATAGAGAAAGAGAAAGAAGGAAGAGAAAAGAGAGAACAAATGCATCAATCAATCAAAAAGTAAAAGTAGTTGTACTAATCCTAATATCTTCCATCTATCTACTATACAGATTCAAGAATTTTTAGCAGCAGCTGATCCAAACAATACAGGTTTCATTGATTACAAGGCATTCGCTGCCATGTTATACTCTGTCGATGAATCCTAAGACATTCACCAAATCACATTATTTATTTAATATAGCATCACAACTAGATAGATGATGATATGTTTCAATTTTGTAATAATAATAAACACTCACTGCCAAAATAATATATATATAATACGTACATAGCATAGCAATCAAACAAACTCGATCTCTCTCTACCTTTGACATACAGATACACATACGATACGAAGATAGAGAGTATGGTTTCGTAGTCTGTCTATCATACAAACCTATCTTACTCGTTGTAGTGGTTAGTGTGGTGTATGGTGGTTTTTAATATAATTGGTTTGTGAAAAAAATAGTGGAAGAAAATGGAAATACTACAAACCTGTTTTTAATACTTTTATTAATAATTTATTATTTTGCCAATGAAATGGTAAATAGATCCGACTACACTACACTACATTACCCTATGGTTGATGGGGGATAGCCAGCTTGTTGTTTGTGTACACTGCACACACACACACACAGCTATAGCTAGCCAGCTGATTGATTGTGATGATTAGACTGATTTATATTTTATTCCCTTTTTTTTTATTCTTACGATAATAATAATATAATATAATATATATTTCTACTACTTCTCTATACTCTAGTCACCATCATCATCATCATCATCATATATACATACATTTATATATATTAAAAAAGAGATAGGATAGAAATAATAGATGATTAATTAAAAAAAAAGAAAAAAAGAGATGATATTTAAAATATTAAAAAGAAATATAGTTAGTGTTTTAATTATATTTTCATTGTTGTTACAAGTATTTGTTATATTTAAATATTCATCTATATCATTTTCATCGTCTGCTGATGGACGTAATCATCATAATGGACAACACCCAAAGGTTGTAACGATGGGTAATGATTGGGAGGTTACTCAGATGGATCAGGTAGCAGGGTTACACCCCGAATCGATTCTAAAGAGTAGAAAGGAGTTTTTTGGATACAGTAAAGTGTCGCTGCCAGATGCCAATCTACCACCGTTGTGTCGTCAACCACCCAACATTCAAGAATGTGAAGGCAAGCATCACTACACACCCGTCGTCACACCGTCACCTGTGCTAGATCCCGAAAAGATGAATTATACGCTTTTGCCAAGCTCACCTCTACGTGCAGTCTATGGATATAGACCCGATCCCAATGACGACGAAGAACCACTCGTCTCTATTCTCACGGCCTTTTACAATATCGGGCCAATCATTCACGAGACTGCCAAGTGTGTCTTGTCACAGTCGCTTCAACGATTCCAATGGATCATCATCAACGATGGGTCCCCCAACAAAACTCTTGTCCATGAATCACTCGATCGGTACAGAGAGATGGCTCAAAACGACTCTCGTATCCTCGTCGTCGATCTAGTTCAAAATGCCGGTCTCCCAGGTGCTCGTAACGAAGGTCTTCGCTTTGCCAAAGGTAAATACGTACTGTCACTCGATCCCGATGATATGATCGAGTCAACATACCTTGAAAAGGCTGTATGGTTCTTGGAAACAAATCCTCAATACACTCTTATGAATGCATGGTCTGTTGGGTTTGGCCATAAAGAATATATGTGGACAAAGGGTTTTCAACATGGTGATATTAATTTAAAAGAAAATTATATTACTGTTGCTACTGTTATGAAAGTAAGTAAAAAAAAGGAAAAGAAAATAGAAAAAAAGATATAAAACATTTAATATTTATTTAATATTTATTTTCTGTTTAGACAAAAGTATTAAAAGAAATTGGAGGATTTGATTCAAATTTAAGAACGGGTATGGAAGATTGGGATTTATGGATGAGAATGGCAAATAATGGACATTGGGGAAAGACAATGGAGGAGTTTCATTTTTGGTATAGAGTCAGTCCCCCAGGTAAATGGGCATCGATTTACAATGAAACAAAGTTTAATGAATTCCATTCAAATCAAAAGAAAAAGTATGCAACTGCATTTAGTCAAGGTGTACCAAAACTAAAAGTTGAACCACAGGATAAAATGGAGTCTGTCGTTGACGTTATACCATTCCGTAACAAATTGACAAAATGTAGACGTCGTATTCTATTGATCATACCATATATGGAGGTTGGTGGTGCCGATCAATTTAATTATAATATGGCTCAAGGTTTGGCATTGGATGGTTGGGAGGTATCGATTGCAGCCAACAAGGAAGCTGCCAACAAATGGTTACCTGAATTTACACGTGTCACTCCAGATATCTTTATCATGCCTCGTTTTATTCGTACGACTGATCAAACAAGATTCCTTACCTATCTCATCAAATCTCGTGATTTCGATGTAGTTTTTCTTTCCAATTCAGAGGGTGCCTATCATTATCTGTCATATCTACGTGCAAATGCTCCTGGTCCTGCCTATGTCGACTATACTCACTCTGAGACACCCAAGTGGAAGAATGGAGGGTATGCAAGATACAGTGCTGGTTCGGAACCAATGTTGGATCGTTCCATCTACGCCAGTGAGAACCTACGTCAGTCGTGTATTTCAATTGGACACAACCACAACAAGACAGCAACCGTATTGATTGGTATCGACTCTGAAAAGTACATTCCACATCCAGAAAACAAGGCAGCGGTCAGAAAGGAGTTTGGATTCCCCGATGACGTACTTTTGATCGTCTATGTATCACGTTTGGAGCACGAGAAACAACCAGAAGTGTTTGCAGAGGTGTTGCGTAGACTCGATGCTGAAGGACACGATTTCCGTGCCATATCAATTGGTGGCGGACAATTGTTTGATCAACTCAACGACACTCTACATCAAAACAATCTACAAGACAAGGTTAGGTTATTGGGAACTATTACAAACAATCGTGTATCCTATTATGTATCTGGATCCGATCTATTCTTCCTGCCAAGTAAAATCGAAGGTATTTCATTGGCCATTTATGAAGCCATGTCACAAGGAGTGATGGCTGTATCGGCCAAAGTTGGTGGACAAGCAGAACTGGTGACACCCGATGTAGGATACCTTGTCAAGCCAGGAACACCAACTGAAGTCGATGAATACACTGCCATCTTGACTGAATTGGCAGACAATAGAGAAAAGGTACTTGAAATGGGTCGATTGTCACGTGCCAAGATTCTCAATGGTTTCAGTGTACACGATACCATTCTCAAGTTGGAAAAAGAGTTTTGTTACGCTTCTATTGCCAGTCGATTCACTACACCACTTTACAACAACACGTTGATATCAAGATTGGCCAATGAAGTATCTGTACTGGGATACGAGTATGAAAGAGAGATTGAAGCTGGTTTGCCAGTATGGAACGAGTTACAAGCGACAATCAAACGATGCACACCACCTCCTCCACCAAAGATGGAAAGTGTCAAGCGTATCTCACCCTATCCCGACCATACTCCAGATGATGTTCTCTTTGGTATGCAACTTACCAAGCTTCGTCCAGTCTATGACATTTTCGAAGAGAAAAAGGTTGATAGAAAGTTAAAGATTGTTCTCAAGGATTTCCAAGAGCAACATGTACGTCGTAACCCTCGGTTTGCCGATGACAAGTTTAACCACAATGACTTTCTCCATCCACTCAATCACGAAGTTGATAATTGGGACGATGACATACCCTACCCATTCACACAACAAGAGTATCTAGTCTATTTGGACAATGTATTTATTGGTAGTGGTGAGTCTGGTACTATATTTGATTATGAACGTGTGTTTACATTACGTAATAGAAACAATCAAATATTTACTCTCCCCTCTGAAGAGTACAAGAGTTGTGAGATACACAGCTACAAATCAGTCATTCATCTTTTACAGAGATATTTCTCGTTTGGTAACTTTATTTTTGACCAATTGCCAAAGCTTCATTTGGCATGGGACGAACTCAATGAAAACAACTATACTCGTGTTATGGTTCCAAACACCCCTTTTGCTCGTGCAACCATGGAACAATTACTCAGACTCCCCTCTGAAAAGATCATCTATTATAATCCAGGTGAAGGATGGAATCCATGTAAAATCTATTTTGTCGAACAACTATTACTACCAACTCCCATTCCACCAGGACACCCACCCAAAGAGATGATCCAAGGTCTTCGTAATATCATCTACCGAGTCAATGATATTCCACAAGATAGAGTAGATCCTGATCGAAAGTTCCTTCTCTATTGTAGTCGTATCAACTCTGCCAACAATCAACGTCGTGTAGAAAATGAATATGATGTTTTGGATACAATCAAAAACACACTTCCAGACTATGAAATACTCTTTTGGGATGGACAAGAAACACTCAACCAAACAATGGCACATTGGGCATCCATCTCATCGGTCATTGTCGGTATGACTGGTAGCAATTTAGCACCCATTCTAGCAGCACGTCCCAACACAAAGGTAATTGAATTTATGCACGAGAATCCATGGCTCTCTTACTGGGCTGCCTCTGAATCACTTGGACTTGAACATTGGATGTTACCAGTCAAAGGTTTCACTCATGAATCTCCTACCGTCACCATTCAATTGGATGATTTATCAAAATTATTAAAGAAATCGATAGCAGAAAATTAAAAAGTAATAAAATAAAAGTTAATATTTAATATTTATATTTATTTATTTCTTTTTTCTATTTTATATTTGATCCCAAGATTTAAATAATAAATTATTATTTAGTTGAATTGTAAATTTATCGATTAAAGGTTGATTGATTTCTAATATTAAATTTACTTCTTTAAATACATTGACTTGACCTCTTTGTTGGAACCCTATTCTTTTGAATAATTCGATTGATGCTTGATTTGATTCACCAATCTTGACGATAAACATTTTGGTGAGATGTGATAGACTAGTCATTGCATAGTACATCATGATATCAATAGCTTCTCTTCCCATTCCCTTTCGACGACACGATGATTCAGCAATCATAATCTCCAATTCTGCAGTTCCTTCATCTTCAAAATCATTATAAAATATATTGATATCACCAATCATTGCTTCTATCGATCGTTCTTTTATATTATCATATTCATCGGCTTTTATCTTTGATTTATCAAGTATAATAAATGTACATTCTAAACAACAAAAAATTAATAAATTTAGTAATCAATCAAACCAAGTACGACTATCTAACATACTCTTTGGATCAGTATACCAACTATCTTGATTTTCATATTCCTCTTCAAGTGTTAATAAATCACTTGCAGTCAAGTCTCTAATCTCTTCGCTTTGCATCCATTGATGATATCTTTCAACATGTATTGATTTATATGGTACTAGTATAACTTTGTCACCGACCTATCGTAACCAATAATAAATGATTAGCTTTTCTGAAAAGTGAGGAGGAGGAGGAACCTCTTTGTTAACAAACAACAACATACAATGACAGTATTTGAATTGATCTTCATTTTTGGTTTAATTTAATTTTAATTAACAAACAAAGAATGACAGGCTAAAATCATGATCGTAACACGCTAATCTTCATTTTTTTGCATTCGATGAACAAAGATATCTCCATCTTAACCAATCAAAAAAATCAAGTACGAGGATATCATGACTACACGACCAAAAATGAAGCTACAACCACTACTAAAGTAGCAACAACCTTTAAAGTAATAACATTAACACTTAAATATTCAAGACCTCTAGAGTAGAGAGAGAGAGAGAGTTCATAATTATTATGTACACAACTAACATTAAATATACATACACCCTACATCATAGTTTGTTATAAATATAAAAGAGTATGAAAAGAAATTGTTTCATTGCATGGATAGCTATATTGGTGGCCATTGTGCTTGGTTTATTGTACATTCTACTATCAAGATTCTTGCCGATGGATTATGTATCGATAGAGGTGATACCTGCATCAATGTTGAATGGACAAGTAGAGGGTAACTTTAAAGCACACCTATCACCAGACCGTGGTGTGTTTAATAGGATATTCTTTCGGTACGATTGGGCATTCTCTGACACTGACACGGTGCGTGATGGTTCATCACAACAACTACACAACTTTAACGGTACGACATGGCACAATGCAACGGTTACTGTTAGTCGTCGTATCCCAGGTAATAGTGTAAACTCCTCCATCACTCTATCATGGTATACTCTTGGTAACAATACTGTTATCATCCCTGCCAACTCTATACAATCTATGAGTAATCTTACCTCTCTGACTACTACACTCATTTGGCCAGATAATATGATTACACCTCCGTCACCCGGTATGATTATAGCCGGAAATGATAATGGTGGTTTCGTAAACACCATCACCCAAGTTGTATCCTACTCAAATGTATCAAGAGTTGCCACAATCATTACAGGTAATGCATCTATCGCAGATGTCTTCTCTGATGCATTTCTTGCCGGTAACCCACAGTTTGCTCCCGTCAATATTTCAGGTGAATCAAATTCGTCGTCGTCGTCGTTCCAAAGAGCATCATTTGTCAACCAACAACAGTCATCGTCATCATTGTCATCAGCAGCAAGTACAGCATGGTCTAATATCCTCAAGTTTTTGTGGAAGGATCATTCCTTTACAATTGATGGATCTGCATCGGCATCGATTGATTTTGATCCGACACTATCATTCTCTCCCAACTTGTATCATCGTATTGTTATCTCGGGACATACCTTTCAAGAAGTTACATTGGTTGCAGAGGGTGAACTAACTGTAGGGTTCATGTTGTATGTGCAGACTGCTGGATCACTCACCATCACACCTTGGTCGTACGAATATAGTCCTCCAAATATACTTGGTATCATCACACTACCAGTACTCAACATTCCACTTGTCGTCAATTGGCACGTCACATTTGGTGTCTCACTATCAGTGTCTATGCAAGAGAGCTTTAGTATGGGTGCAACCGATACATTCAATGCTGTGCTAGGTGCATCGTATACAAAGACCGATGGATTCAACTCGATCAGTTCATTCCAGAGTAATCCAATCCTAACACCTTTAAATAGTCATGCCAACTCTTGTTCGGCAGCTGTTGCAACTACTGTCGGTGCAGGCATCACTTTTACAATGTTTGGTATTACTCCACAATTGGCTATTGATTTACAAGCAGGTCTACAATTATCACGTACCTTTAATGCACAGTATTCAATGTGTCCGTGTGTATCTGCATTTGGAAACAAACAAATAGCGAATCAACTTAGTTTTGTTTGGGGACCGACAGTGTCACTCACACTACTCATCTTTTCCAAGTCATGGGATATATATCCACAATCAAATACTCTTGTTAGTACATGTGATGACGCAATCGCCGACACATGTGGAAGTTGCTATTGTCAAAGTTTATGGAAGTGTTGTCCATGGGCATATTGTCCAATTTGGCTGAAATATCAGTGTCTATGTATGCTTAGATACGATGGCAAGGGTGTATGTGCCCAAAATGATTACTGTCCGAATTATACGTGTCGTACCGATTCAGATTGTCCCAGTGACTACACTTGTATCATCTCTCAAAACTGTAATCCAAAGAATCAATGTGTACAAAAGTGTGGTCAGGTACAAGACAGTACTAGTATGACAGCTAATTTTATTGCAATAGAAGGTGGTGGTGGAAATACATCCCGTGTTTTAATTTATAATGATGAATGATAAATGTGCACATATTAAATAAATAATAAATAATAAGTATAAAACAAAGCAAGAATTTCAAAAAGACGAGTAAAAGATAAAAAGACGAAAGAATGATCATTTTCGAGTACAGTAGTTTTTTTTCAGATTAGAAAGAGAGATATTATCTATCTTGATTGTTTGTGATTATCTTTTCTTATGAGATATATCTACGATCAGTTTGATTGTTTGAAATCTCTCTAGAGATTAAAAATAATTTGATTTGTTCTTTTTCTAAAAGTGTCTTTTGTCCGATAAGAATGCATCTATCGTCACTTCATCCTTGTTTCAGCCATCACCCAATTCATTTAGAGAAAATGAATAACTTGCGAACCGCTCAAGCGAGAAGGCAAGGGTTCATAATGGCTGTCTTCAGTACGATTAATATTTGTTTTCGCTTTTCGTTGGTCAAAGGTCCTTTCTCCACCCACATTTTATGAAAGCTTTCAAGTAATCATAATGAAGCCAGCCCTACATACATATCCAATACAATGGGAATGAGAATGAGAGAAAATAACTACTTGTTCAAGAATTCATTCAAGCTCTAGATTTGATCGAAACTGGGATATTATTAATATCGACGTTCTTGTTGTTGTGTAAAACAAACCTCTTTAAACAACGAAAAAAAACATTACCTTTTTAATTAATAAAGAGAGATCTAGAATGATGACGTTACCTTACTTCATCCCCCAGAGATAAAAATATCTTGATAGATCTAAAGAAAGTGACATCACATCAATTGTGTGTTCTTAATTTGTACATTGTTGATCTATTTCTTGTCTGTTGGTGTGTTGGTTGGAATGTCCCGATGACACAATATCAACTAAATATATTAATTAATTGACCCTAAGAATACCCATCACCCATTAATAAACAACAGTACAACCCAAAAATAAATCCTGTACAACAAAACACTCGACTTTTGAAAAGTCATCCACAACTATGCAATCGAAAAAAACATGGCAGTTGCGGAGGCAGAAGCCCCTCAAAACGAGTTAAAAAACAGTTGGATTTGGCCATCCCCTTCTGAGTTTTTTTGGAATGCGTGATGGTGTAGGCTGCGCACGATCCCCTCTTCTGCATTTTGCACCTATTCTGCTTTGCAGAGCTTTTATTTTTATCTTTCGGTTAAGGTCCTGTCCGCGGCATATAGTGTCGCTTTATAAACACTCATGCGTCCATTCATTTTGGTAGTGATACATAGGTAAACATATTTATATATATACAACAGAAGAAACAACATATAACGAGAACAACAACAACAACAACGACGAAGACACAGACAGAGACATATATCTTCGGTCCGTTTAAGAACCATTGTTGATTATTCTTTATTCTTTTTTTGTTGTTCTTAAGAAGGGGTTCAATTCCCGCATATCCATATCACACAACACACAATCAAATCTATTATTATTATCAACGTTTTTTTACTTTTTTAGACATCGCTGTTGCGAAGATCTCCAAACCAACCAAACAAACAAACAAACAATACCCACACTTTTTCGTGTGCCACCACCAACTCCATCTTCATCTTATCGTTCATTGTCATTGTCCAATACCCAGACAAACAAACAACAAATCTACAATAACAATTATTATAATTATAATAATCAAACAATCATTGTCCAACAACAACAAACAAGGTAGGTTCGTTTGTTCATTCATTGTATTCAATCAAGCAAGAGTAGACAACGACGGTAAGACAAGACAACAACACCAATTATTATTAGTACTACTTGGCGATGATGGACACGGACACCATCCCCGTAAAAAAAAAAGGAGAGGAGGGGCTCGCAACGAGAAAATGATCACTACTGTTGCGTATTGGGTACATGTACAAAAAAACAAAAAACTTGTGGTGGTTCACGTGTTTTGAGAACAAAACGCAACAGGGTCTGTGCGCTCCCTTTTTGTTGGATGACGATATCAAATTAATTAATCAAACTGGCTGGATTAATTTATATATCTCCGCGTTATCCGTTTCGCAGGGCGTTTCTTCTTCTTGTGTTTTGTTGTGTTGTTCATATTCTCACAATCATTTTTCATACATCCTGCAAAGCAACAGCAAACCTTCTTCCTCTACACAAAGATGCCGGTGGTACCTTCGCTTTGAATTCGCTGTTATTCATCAACCCACTTCTCCTCCACCCAACTTCTATTTTCTATTTAAACTACTTGTCCATTTTATATTTTATATGATTGATTAGTTGGTACTACTATTTATATAAATAACAACAACAATACATACATTGAAAAAGTCAACCTTCCTTCAACCCAAGTTACAAACCTTCAACACAACCAACAACCAACATCCCGATATCATTCGACACCCACTTTTACAAAAAGACTTTGGTTTTTGCATTGGGAAGTAGGAAGGAAGTAGTCAGTAGGTGTTTGATACTAGTGGTCGTATACAAAGAGATCGAATCGATTCACCATTCATTCATTCATTCATTCATATTCTTCAACGAAACATCAACATCAACAAAACATCTAAAAGTAGTATTTTATATATCACATACATATTCTCTCTATTTTTGTGCACACTGTGTCGACTACTTCTACTAGAACCTTGTTTGTTTACTGTTCGATCACAGTATTCATCAGATGTATAGTGCTGCTCGATAACTTTTTTTGTTTTCTCGACTGTTCAATCAAACAGACAGAACAGATCTGGGTTGTGGTTGGCCCACACCACAAAACACAACTTCAAGAAGGGGTGATTCGAGGTGCTGGGTTTTTTAGAATGCGGAACACCCCCAGCACCTCCTGGCCTGATGTTAATGGTTTGGTTGGGGGTGTTCTGATGGTACCAGTACCCAACTTTATGCATTCATTTGTGCACCATAAACAAACCTTTATAAAAACCTCCACATTTCTTTAAATAACAACAACACACACAGAGATAGTGTTTATTTTTAATTAATCAATACTGTCGTTGATAGCCTCTACTTCTTTTTTTATATAATATATATATAATATATACAACTCTCACATCGTGGCATTATACAATTCTATTGTAACCAACATCATCAACACCATCATTCATACAGGGAATCAAACCAATCTTTTGTATAACCCACAACACAACAACCACAATAGTATTGTTTCCCCTTTGTACACTTTCTTTTAATCTTATTCCATTTCATTGGTGTTGTTGTTGTTGTTGTTGATACACCCCACACAAAATCTACTATTTATTTATATATATTGACTCTTTTGTAATTTAATTTTCCAACTCAACAAATATAGATTTTTTTTAAAAAATGGAAGAAGATAATAATATCGATTCCAATCCTATAACTCCAGCTGGAACTGGAGCTCGTTCAACACCAACAACCCCACGCGGTCAAATATCAAGTCCAAGTGACATAGGATCACCAAATCCATTCAGTGGCGATGAAGATGACAATACTTCAGTATCATCTTCAGAGAGTGAAACTCTTGGAGTTGTCATTCCAACCAAATCAAAACAAGATTTAGTATGTATAAATTGAATATTTATATTTATATTTTAATTTTGGAAAAACAAATTATTTATATATTTATTATTATTTTTGATAGAGTTTAAAAATAGATGAAATTAGAAGATCAAAAGATAATTTCCCATTGGCAGAAGGAGAAAAGAGTGTTAGACTACGTCCAAGAAGTTCAAGTGTAAATGGAGGACAACAAGAAAAAGAAAAAGATACCAACAACAACAACAATAATAATAATAATAATACAAGTAATCAAAATATAGAAGAAATCATTACGGTTAGTGGTGGATCAAGAACACCAAGAAATCCAATGGTTGATTTAACATCGACGATTAAAAAGAGTGATAGTGATTCATCGATTGAAGTCGATGAAGATGATGAAGATGAAGAGGATTATGACGAGAATGATGATGATGCCGACAATGACACGATCAAAAATGAAAAGGGACATACTGAAATGCACGAATTGTCCGAAGACAAGATCAAAGGTCAAAAGGAAAGAGATGAAGCCAAAAAGATTAATAACCGTCGTCTTCAATTGCACTGGGCCACTCATCTTGCCGAAGTGTCATTGGAATATGGAAAGGTTACGATTGTAGCGTTGGTAGCATGCATCATTATGATTATCTTGGCATATGGTTTTTCAACACAGTCTTGGATCAAACGTGGTAATGGAACAACCGACTATTTCTACAAAAACAGTGTGACGGTGTTGACATCGACCTTTTTCATCATTGGTCTTGCCATCTTTACCGGTATCCAGTTTTGGGCGGTCTTTGGTATGAAACGTATGCTACAAACCAAGTTTTACTTGTGGGTGGTGGCAGCGATTGGGTTGTTCCTCGTCGTACCATGGGGTATGAATGCAGGAGACCAATCGTACTGGTACTGGCTCGGTGACGTCTTGTTGTTGATTATTGGATACACTGGATTGTGCTTTGTCATGGGATACGTCGGAAAGAGCTATCAAACCAACCCCGAACGTATCAAAAACGGGTTCGCCTTTCTCGGCACCGAGTTGCTCGTATCTGCCTGTGCTCTTGCATACGGTATGTTTTTGATCCAACTCTACTCCAACTTTTCCAATGTCTCCAAGATTGCATGGCGTCTTTTGGTGCATCCAATCTACTTTGAAATATTCATGATGATTCCAGTACGTCTGCTAGTCACCAAGCAAATGGAACGCAAGGGTGTCAATATTATGCACAGTCTTGCCGTCGTCCATGCACAGGCTCATATCTCCACCCTCGGACGTATGATGATTTCAACTATCAACCAGACCGAGTTTACCATCGTGTCTGTCCTGCTCCTCAATATCGGCAAGCTCGTGTTCCGTTCGTCTGTCCAACTGCGTGACCGTCTCGCCTCCAACATGATCTCCAAGATCACACATCACGAACACAAAGAATCCAAAAAGTTTGTTAGAGCCGTCGGCATGTACACCGAAATGATTATGGAGAACTCGTCCATCCCAGCCTCTGCCTTTACCATGTGGGTATTCTACGATAACCGTGGTCTCTTTTTCTTCCCATACCCCGATGGAGGTACTTTTACCCTCGGCGAGGCTGCTCTCAACTCGTTCATCCAATTGATCGGTGCCTTTGTATTTGATATCATCACTCTATGGATCAACGAGCGTTACTTTGGTCTACCACTCGAACGTGCCTGGAAAAAGATGCGTGAGAATTGGGCTCCCTTCTTTGGCTTCCTCATCTATGGTATTGCCACCATGGGTATGGGTGGTATCATTTGGATGGCTTGCAAACTCCCTCGTTTCGTCACTTGTTCAAGTCACGACGTTTGCAGTTGTAAATTTGTTGAAGATTGTCAAGAATTTATTGATACTCGTTTATCTTAAACAACAACAAAGTATAAACAAACAATCAATCATTATATAACTTTTTTATTTATTTCCAAAAAATTTTCCCCAATATACAACATACATACATACATACATACATACATACATACATACATACATACATACATACATACATACATACATACATATATATTATATATTAATAACCATTAATAATAAGAATCAAAAACCAAACTCAACCAAACAACCAACTATATGATCCAGAATGTAATTTTTCAAAAAGTACCAGAATATATATTTAACAATAATCTCTCAACTTATGGAACAACATACAAACCCAACAACAACCATTTATTGTATTGTTCTATGACAAACACAAACAAAACATTTTACATTTTTTCTATCTTGTGACAGAAAAAGAAACAACCACTTCCTTATCTTCATTATTATGGTTATTATTAATAAAGAGGCATAATAAAATTATTTTTTTCCCCCCCTAAATATATATAATATTTATAATATTATATTCTATTGTCTATATATTTATATTTATAATCATTATTATTACTATTGTGATTGTTGGAAACAAAAGGATGGATGACTTTTTAAAAAATAATTTTTTTTTTTTTTGGTGAATTAATTTTTGAGAGTGTGATGATGTTCAAGCTTCGCAATTTATTTTACTATCTGCTGTAATTTAGAACAAATAATAATAATAATATAATATAGAAATAATAAGAGAATAGAATGGTGAATAAAGAAGATATCGAAGATGATATGATTAATGAAGTCGCACCAAAGGCTTTAGATGAAGGTGATATTGCTTTATTAAAGTCTTATGTAAGTTGTTTTGAAAGAATAGAATAGAATAGAATATAGAACAACTCTCTCTCTCTGCTGAGATGATTATAATAATAATAATAATCATCAGAGAGATCAGATGTTCTTAGATATATATAAATTGTAGTAATAAGAAGAGGAAGAAAGATTACTTACTTGTATTATGATATACTCTTATATTTATATATTTATTTAGGGTGTTGGACCATACACAAAATCAATAAAAGATTTGGAAGATGATATTAAAAAGATGACTGCAAAAGTTAATGAGATTTGTGGTATTAAAGAATCAGATACAGGTATTGCACCACCAAGTCAATGGGATTTAGTTGTAGATAAGACTTCAATCAATGAAGAACCACCTTTGCAAGTATGTGATCACAGATAACAATAGTAGTAGTAGTAGTAGTGATAGTTGTTGTTGTTTACAATATTAATAACTATTATCATCTTATTATTTAGGTTGCAAGATGTACAAAAATTATTAATCCAGGAACACAAAATGCTAAATATATTATTACAGTTAAACAAATTGCAAAGTTTGTTGTAGCTTTGGGTGATAAACTTTCTCCAACTGATGTTGAAGAAGGTATTAGAGTTGGGTAAATATATATAAAGACAAATACAAATAATAGATAGATAAAAAAATGTTATATTAACTCTTTTATATTCTACTTTTTTTTACTTTTTCTATCTATATATATTTTTAGTGTTGATAGAAATAAATATCAAATTCAAATACCATTACCACCAAAGATTGATGCATCAGTAACAATGATGCAAGTAGAAGAGAAACCAGATATTACATACAAAGATGTTGGTGGATGTAAAGAACAAATCGAAAAGTTGAGAGAAGTCGTAGAAATGCCATTGTTGCATCCAGAAAAGTTTGTCAATCTCGGTATCGATCCACCAAAGGGTGTTTGATGTACGGTCCACCAGGTACCGGAAAGACATTGTGTGCTCGTGCCGTTGCCAACCGTACCGACGCTGCATTTGTACGTGTCATTGGTAGTGAATTGGTGCAAAAGTATGTTGGTGAAGGTGCACGTATGGTACGTGATCTCTTCCAAATGGCTCGTTCCAAAAAGGCTTGTATTATCTTTTTCGATGAAGTCGATGCTATCGGTGGTGCCCGTTTCGATGATGGTGCCGGTGGTGACAATGAAGTACAACGTACAATGCTCGAGTTGATCAATCAATTGGATGGTTTTGATCCACGTGGTAACATCAAGGTTCTCATGGCCACCAATCGTCCAGATACCCTCGATCCTGCCCTTCTCCGTCCAGGTCGTCTCGATAGAAAGGTAGAGTTTGGTTTGCCAGACCTCGAAGGTCGTGCTCACATTTTCACCATCCACGCAAAGACAATGAGCTGTTCTCGTGATATTCGTTTCGAACTTTTGGCTCGTCTCTGTCCAAACTCTACAGGTGCCGATATTCGTTCCGTTTGTACAGAAGCCGGTATGTTTGCCATTCGTGCTCGTAGAAAGATCGTCACTGAAAAGGATTTCCTCGAAGCTATCGACAAGGTTATTAAATCTTATGCTAAATTCTCTGCTACTCCAAAGTATATGGTTTACAACTAAAAACAAAAAAACAAAATAATAATAATCATTATTTTAAATTGTTTAATAATCAATTTAATGTATACAATAATAATAATATAATATAAAAAAAAAACCAATACCTTATTCTTTTTAATAAATTCATTAATCTAAAATCAATCAAATAATTAGGAATAATTGGTACGAGTATTAATTATGTACAAAAATGATGGATAATGAAATACAGATAATTCCATCATTTATTTATTTCGATCGGTCGTTTGTTGTCGTTGTAGATGTAGTGATATCTTTCTCTATATATTCTTCTTCTTCTTCCTCATCATTTCCATTGTTGTTCTTTTGTTTTTTAATTGATTGAGGAATGGTATCATCATCATCATTATTATTATTTCCATCATTTCCAAGTTCCAATTCCTCTTCTTGGTCATTATCTTCCAATTGTCTCTTTTTTAATAATCTTTTTAATTCCTTTTTCTTTTTCTTTATATTTGTATAATGTAATAGTTTTGAACATGGATAACATAACATTACTTTAACCAATGCACTCTTTTCAACTTTTGATTCAATGTATGTAAATGGTACCTATAATCATCAATATTGATTAATTAATCAAAAGGGTTATAAGAGAGAGTTTTGGTTTGTTTACATACCTCATAACTATTTAATGAATCATCATTACAAGTACACTTTACATTTGCACACATAAACTGTCCTTTACCACTAATAACCTCTGCTTCTACTCTCCATCGTAGACCTATTTGACCTGTTTTGTATTGTGAGAGATCAATGATGGCATACTCTTTAAACAGTCGATCATAGTACTTTTTAGCCAACTGTTTCTCCCAATTCTCTTGATCGTTGGCATCCTCTTCATCGTCACGTATAAATTGATGATTGTCTCGTAGTACTTGATGATCGGATCGGTATCCTCTATAGTCATACTTTTGTTTCTGTTCTGGTGTCCCATGAAAGTAAAGATAATTACTGATAAACCTTTTATGTTTATCAAGTGATACAGTACTCTTATCACTACTACTACTACTACTACTACTACCTTTCTTTTCTATTTGTTCTTTAGATGTCATTTTGTATACAAATCAAATAATGATGATTGTTCACATTCATTAATCACATCTCTCCAGATGAAAAGTATTTAAAAGAATTCAACAGAATGAAATAATAAGTTTAAGTTAATTGTGATATATAATATATAATATCTATAATTAATTAATGTGTTTGTTTGTTGACAACAAGCTAAGCTCGTAACACGAGATCTACTAATATAAATATCATGGATTAATCAATGGCAATGGGCAATCAACTCGAGTTACGAAAAGGTTTACGACTCTTTCTCCACCTCCACATCTTACCTCGCTATTATTTGATCGTTAGCTAAACCGGTTTGATGCTAAATCCCAAACGGGGTCGTCAGTTGGATCTCTCTAGAGCCAAAAGACTTTACTCGCATGCCTCGCCTTGTTTGGCATCGTAATCGATTACGACAACTACAACAAGCATTTTATTTGAAGAGTGGTTCGAATGAAACCGAGTAAAATATCTGGTCTATGTCACTGTCAATTTAGGTTGATCAGGTGCCATCATCTACTTTTGTAATTTTGTTTAAACAAACACACACGGAACAGATAGACAGATAGGCAGAGAAAGATACAAAATAGTTTAATTAGACAACAGACAGACTTTTAGAATCATCATTTTGAACTCAATCTCTGACTACTATCTGCTTCCAAGGATTATTTATTTATATACTTTATTTATTTTTATATACATTATTTATATACTTTATGTATTTATAGCCTTAGTTTCTCACAACTAGGTTCTCTATTTATTATTTATTTATTTATTTTCATAAATACCCAACCAACCAACTAAAAGATAGTCAAGTTCCTTCCTGGTTAATTTTAAAGAGGTAAGAAGATTTGGATGGAAAATTCCTTCCTTTCTTAAAGATGTTGGTGTTGGCTTGGCCACTTGGTTGGTGTATACACAAATCGATTGTTGCCACCAATCGATGGAATCACCCAACACCACCCGCCCGACATAGGGATCACTATTTTTTTCAGCTCCACAAAATTCTGATCAGAGCGGCGGTCGAGTGATGTTGGGATATTTCCCCATATATAAGATTTTTTATCAAACTGGCTATTACTACTACTGCTACCCTCCCCTCCAATAACTTTATTAATCACATATACGAAATCCATCATCTATCCATCTTCAAGTGAATATTATATTATATTATATTGTACCCTCATTATTCTAAATTACTTTGAACTAGAGAAGAATTGTAAAGTAGTAGTAGAAAGGTTGGTATCAACATCAGTAGCAGTCAATATTATCACAAAGAGAAAAAAAAGAGATAATTTAACTTCCAACGTCTCACCCCCTTAAAGTCGGTGGGGGGTGAGTGGTATAGGAAATGAATCACCCGTACATTGACCCCATGGTTGGAGAGATAAAGATGGATGGAAAGAATTTTCCAATTTTGATCAATTATTAGTCTTTATCAAACAACACCGATCGATCCCATCTCCTCCCTCCTTCCCTCCCTCCCTCCCTCGATCATGTCTCTATTCATCAAAATTCCCTTAACCTTCCACCCACTCACTCCCACCACGCTTCATGAACTTGATGATGCTGGTGACTAGATAAGATATAAAGTAGGGAGGGGGTATGGTAGAAACCATCATTAATGAATGATGTGTTTGTTGTCTTTTTCATAACTGCTGTTCAATCATTTTCAATTAATTTATTTTCTTTTAAAACCTACATGCTGTAACTTTTCAAAAAAAAAAAACTCTATATCTCGATAATATTCAATCATAACTGCCCTCTCTCTCTAGTAACAGCATCACATCGTCAACATTGGTTGGAGGGAATCAATCTATAATATAATAATAAACCCAACAGACAAGACATCACCTGACCAACCAACCAAACAACCAAAAAGAGGATCTTTAAATTATATAGTTATCATCATCAACATCAACCATATCATATCATACAATACACTTACTTGTACTACTATTATTATATTACTACTACTACATATATATATAATTAATCAATCAATTCTAATATTATTATCATCCATCATAATTACAACAGTTTTAAACAAGAGACAGAGATAAAAAGATATACTATTAGAGATATAAATCTATACACAATTGAATCAAAACGTGGGTCGATTTTAATATTCAACATTTCATTTATCTACTACGTACCCGTGACATTGTTGTTATTGTCTCATCAATAGCTATTAATACCATGGTGGTAATAGTTGAGCCCTCAAACATGTCACCAATGTCTTGTTCTTCTTCTTCCTTGTCGTCAGAGTCATCTTCGACTTCTTCTTCTTCTTCCTCTTGTCAACAAGAAGAGAGTAGAGTTGGCAAGGCAAGAGGACAAGGCTCTGGAGATCAGACATCTGGTCCATCATCTTTGGTTACTTCACCAACCTCATCTCCCCCTCTACCTCAATCCTCAGTCAATGATGATGAACAAATGAATGATTTAATCATGATGGATAAAAAGGAGGAGCAAGAGGAAGGGGATTCTTCATCATCAACCTCCAACACTCCACCTACCATTACTATAACCTTACCATCATCATCAACTACTGTTGTAGATCAAGAACTACAAAATCAAACACCTCCAACTCTTTTATCACCATTTAATGTACCATCCCCTTCGAATTCATCCTCCTCATCCTCTTCTTCATCTTCTTCCTCTTCAATGACATCTACGCCACAATCATTATCACCTCCTTTAACATTTTCAACTACTTTGAACAACAACAACAACATTAACATTAACAATACGACTGACGATTCCAACAACAACACCAACAATAATACTGTACATAACTCTACTACTACTACTACTACCACTATACCATCAAACACTACCACCACGACAACATTATCAATCAATTGTATGATTGGACAAACTCTATCACCTTCATCGTCAGTCACCACACCCACTTCATCGTCAGCGTCTACATCTCCCTGCTCGATAGTACCAAACTTTATATCACTATCTTCGTCTGGTCCATCCATTCAACTGTTTAACAGTCTATGTGGAACCGTCTCCACCAGCAATATCAACAGCAATAACAGTGGTATTAACAACTTTGGAGGCAATGGGATCACACGCCCCAAATATATAAAATTGCACATTGTATCACAAGAGTATAGATTCACCGTCAATGTACCATGGACCATCAAGATTTCAGATCTCAAGCGAAAGCTTGCCTGCGAATTCAAAGGTCTCTTTATACCAACTGGCATCACAACATCTACTCCTATTACCATACTCAACAACCCCCTCTCCCCGAATCACTTTGAATCTAGTCGATTGCAAGATCAATTTGGGAACGATCTCTCTGTTTGTCAAAGCGTTGGCGAATTGTTGGCCGACAATGATGTTGTTGTTGCCAATACTCCCAAACTACTCCTCTACAATATATTTCCAACTTTATCATCTTTAATTGATGATGATGATACAAGATTAAAGAAAAGTAAGAAAAATAGAAATATAGAAAAGAAAAGAAAAAAGAAAAGAAAAACATAGATCATTTTTAAATTAATTCTCTTTTTTTTTTTTTTTGTTTGTCTCTCTATAGAAATTAAAACAGATGATAATTCTTCTTGTTCTTCTTCTTTAATTACACCACCAGCAACTCCATTTTCAGACACACCATTATTTTCTTCACCACCTCTAACACCTGCTTCACCATCATCTGTAAATCAACATCTTCTTAATTTGTCGTCGTCTGCAACCACTCTGACCATTCCAACCATTCCTACTACTATTACTACCACTGCGGCGACGACCAACAACATCTCATCACCAACCAAACAAAACAAAAATGGTGAGCCTATGAGATACCAGTGCCATCCATACTGTGAATTGGCTGACCCATTGGATCGTGCCAGTGAATGTCCAAAATGCCATGAAATGAGACCTCATCCGCTCGTCATGGAATTAAACGAAACCACCCAATCCAACATCTGCACAAAGTGGTGTATCTCTAACCAACAACGAAAGATCAAGGTCATCAACTATGAGTTTTGTTCCATCTGTGTCTCGAGACACCGAACTCAAAAATATCCAGTCAAGCAACAACACCAATGTGCAACTTGTCAAAGACCTTGGATGATCATTGTTCAAGATGGTAAATGTAGAAGATGTGTAAAAGATTTTGAAAGAGTAAGTCAATTAGAATAACACAAATATATCCTTGGATTGTGTTTATATTAATCCCTATTTTTTTTTTCCAGAAACAAGCTCAACAATCAAAATTATTTCAACAACAAATGCAACAACAACAACAACAACAACAAGCAGCACAATTACAACAACAACAAATTCAACAACAATTACAACAACAACAATTATTACAACAACAACAACAAATTCAACAACAACAACAATTACAATTACAAAATACTAACAATAATAATAATAATTTATTACCAATCACTTCACCAACCACTACAACAGCTCCAACTACACCAATTCTAACATCACAACCTCTTTCTTCGACATTAACTTTAACACAGTCTAGTACAGGACTGGCAAATCCATTGGATTTTGCACAAAAGTTGGCCGACCAACGCAATGCATTATTAAACTCTACAAATGCACAACTACTACCAAGTAATAAACATATCATATAGCAGTCACCTACTATATTATGATTAATCCAAAAAAACATAATCTTTTTCTTTTTTTAGATTAAACAATACATCTTGTTGTTTTCTTGTTATTTCTTTCTTTGGTTTTATCTGTTGTGTTTATTAATTTATACTTTTTTTTAAGCTTTAGTTTCAGCTTTAGTTTCGGAAGAGTTATCGGGAGAAGTTGAAGAGGAGGCATCGGCAGCAGCGGGTTTGGCATTTGGATCAGTTTCCTTTAATTTCTGATCGAGGTTTTCCTTGGTCTTTTGTTCGTATTCTCTGACTTGATCCATGGACCAGCCAAACCATTCGTCCAACCAACAATATACTTGACGATGGAATTTGGTAAAGAGATCCTTTTCAATCTTCATCATAAAGTTTTCAACCTTGGTTTGGAAACCAAACATCTTGAATTCTACTGTTACAAGTTTATAGGCACACATAACTGGGAAGTCTTTGGATTGCATCCAAGTGCCATGAGCCAATGGACCACGGTTGGCCTTTTCTGAGCGTACAAGTGTTGGATCTTCTTCTGCTTTGTATTCCTTCTTTTCAACTTGATCTGTAATATCAATAATCTCAATATCTCTATTCTTTAAATCCTTTTCAGAAAGGTTGTGAATCTACAATAAATTTCAAAAAAAACAATATTTTTTTTTTTTAGATTAGTCATCAAATCCACAAAGTTCATCATCGTATGTAATTGATTGATTGATTTACATTATTTTGGGAACCATTATCCAAAGCATGACGAGATTCAATGATAAAGGTGAATCTTTCACCCAAGAATGGACTCTTGAGAACAGTCTTGCAGTATGGGTAAGCATTCCAAGCCTTCTCTTCTAATTTCAAAGCACTTGATGGAATGAGAGCTCTAACCCATCCTGGTAAACGACTGCATGCAAATATAATATATAAATCATATATGTTAATTATCTTCATCTTATTCTTCTTTGTTCTTCTTCTTCTTCTTCTTCTTCTTCTTCTTAACATACGATCCCAAATGATAAATCTTTTCAGTATATTGACCTTCACTATCTTCATTCTTGTATGGTTCATTTTTCAAAACTTCAACACCTTCACCATTAGATGTTTCTTGTGAACTTGTCTTGGCGACAGAGAATAATTGTCCGACACGATATTCATCGACGGTAAATGGAAGTACTACACGAAACTCTTTAATCAACATTTTCTTTCTTCTTTTTTACTGTTACTACTATATATATAATGTTTACTATTACAATATTGATACTATTATTATTATTATTACTCTCTTCTTCTTTTCTACTACTTTGTTGAAATGATTGTAAAAAAGACGATAAACAAACAATAAACACCAAAAATCCGTTTAATAATAAATTAATAAATAATAATTAGGGAAAGGTGGAAGTGGGTTGTGTGAATCGCTGACAGAGTTGATGTTGCAAAAAAAAATGATAAACAAAAAATTAAAAAAAAAAAAAGAGCTACTTGTGACAACCCAATTAAAGCTACACCTGCACCATCAATGGCGAATGACCTTTCATTCGAACCTTTTCCTAATGTTGCACCGAACTATGATCAATTACACTAACTTGTTTTTATCCAACCCTTACATTATTGTTATCTTAAATTAAGTTATTTTAATGAATCAATAAGTCAAAGTAACTCGTTTAATCATATAATAAATGTATATCTCACCAAAAGGTTGCAAAGCTAGCTATAAATTTTAAGGACATAAACTAGTAGTTATGATTTGCAGACTTTTAGGACGAAGACGCAAAAATGATGTGGTTAAAGATAAAAAGAATAAAATATCCCTGTCTCATTATTTTTTTTTGTCAAAAGGGGCTCATTGGTTTGTGTGCACAACCAACATGATCAACACTCTTTTAAAACGTACAAATAATAACAATCTTTTATCTGTATCTGTTGGCATTATTCGTAATCAAAGTACTACTAGTAATCAAGGACAAAGCTTTAAATATAATCAGATACACCGTCAACATAATCCATCATCTAATTGGTACAAGAGTTATACTCCAATCTTTCAAGCAAATAAATTTCAACAACAACAACAACAACAAGGTATGAGAGAAAAGAAAACAAGAAGAATGTTTATGTTCACACCAAACATACAAACTTTAAATTATGAAATGATTAGATTTTGATTTGTTCTTTTGATACATAGTTATTGCGCACAAAATATTATTATTATTACAACCCCCCACTACGTATATATATCTATCTATATATCTATTTGTTTAAATCTATCATGAAGTAGAAATGAAAACTGAAACATTATTAATTGTAGGTCTATCAGCTGCTATTGCAACAGTCGTTGTAAAATGGTTCTTGTATCAAAGTGCTGCTGCCTTTTCTACAACTTCTCCTAATCAAAAAAAGGCAATCAATGAACAAAAAACTGCTGCTTCTTCAAATGATAACACAACAAGTGTAGCTCCCGATGTTAATAATAATAATAACAACAACAACAATCAAGCCACCACTTCAACTACCTCTGCTACTACTACTACTACTACTAGTAAGGTAGAAGAAAAGAAACAACCATCATTTGAGATTGGTGATATTGAAGATATGAATAAGAAATGTGGATTCTGTCGTCCAGAGATGGTAGCACCTGATAAATCACCAGTGGCCCACTCTATCCACGAGTATGGTCGTCACTACTTTATTTGTGCTGGTTTCCCAGCCGTCGATTTCCCAGCCAAATTTTTCACTGCATCAGAAGCTTTGGAACAAATCGGAGCTGCCATCAAGAGCCACGATCGTGACCAATTGGTTCCATCCATTTTCAATGGTTGTGATGCTTCCTCTTCCTCTTCCTCTGATACTGGTATCGACCTTTTGGTGTTCCCAGAAAACATTAGATTGGTTGGAATGAATCAAGATCGTCTTGAACGTGTCTTGGATTTCTTCTCAAAGAACAAGGCTATCAATGATCAATTCCCACAAGATGTTAAAATTGAATCTTTCAATGTAAGCAAAATAATACTAAATATTTATACAAAATGATTAACAATATCTTTTTGTTTGTTTGTTTGTTTGTTTAGGAAAAATTCATTTTTGTTTGTGCACACAAGTTAAAAGATGAGAGATGTGGATATTGTGGACCCATTTTGGTTGACCAATTAAAGGAAGAGATCAAAGAGAGAGGATTGTCCAAGGAGATTCAAGTCTATGGAACCAGTCATGTTGGTGGACACAAGTTTGCAGGAAATGTATTGGTATTCCCACCAGGTCATTGGTATGGTTATGTTACTCCATCTGATGTATCTGAAATCATCGACAGTGCTGTTGCATCTACCAGAGTCAGTCGTTTATTACGTGGAACTATGGGTGAACCAGTATTAAAGGAAAAGAAAAAGGAAAGACACTAAACTTTTGAGTGATCGATTGATTATATCCTTAAAATTTTGATTGATTAGATCAAACAAATCACATATGAAATAAAGAATGAATTTTCACAAACCAACCAATCTCTTATCTATTTTGTTAGATCTGTGTTATCTACTGCTACTACTTATACCATAATGGTTATCACATTCATTCATTGTTTGTGATCACCATAAAGTAAGTTTATCGAGAGAGTTTGATAGTATATCGATGACTTCTTCTTTGATCATACTATACATAAAGAACTATCTTCTAGTTTAGTTGTTTTCGTTATTATTATTAATATCCATTTATTCTATCTTTTACATGTCGTTTTATATATATCTATTCTATATTCCTTTTAATAAGTATCAGCGTGATAAATAGTTTCTAAATGATTAAATAAAGAAGTGAGTATATCAACTACAGTATGTATTGTAGTGTATCTTGTTTTGCTGTTATAAACCTACGTGGATCCTTTCTTGGCTTTCTATCAGCAAACTTTTCTCTTAATGGGAGAGCAATTGGTGGGATAGCAAGGACTGTAGTGATGATAATGATAATGATAATGATGATCATAAGAGAAGTAATCGTTAGTAAGTACGAGAGATCATCATCGTCCTCGTTTTATGTTAAAACTTACAAAGTACAGAAAAGGCAACTGAAGCAAAGTATGCTGGTTCCATTCTCATCCATCTCTTACAACTCTCTTGAGCTAATTTGAACATTTTATTATTGTTATTGTTTATATTAATACTACTCTTTTGAGTACTGATCATCGTCTCAAAATCATAGTGCATGTGCTCTCATAAAAAAAAAAAAATCAAAAAATCAATATTTACCAATAATAACTTGGAATTTCATTATTCTTTGAAGAAGTATTAGTATTATTTGGACAATAATATTAATATTAATGATGACGATAGTTTTTTTAACAACCCAAGTCTGACAATAGATATTTTTGATGGCTTGAAATATTATTCTTTTATTTTCCTTTTTTAAAACAGATAAAATATTGTACCAATTTAAATTATTTTTAGGTTTCGTGATTTAATCACCAATGTAGATTATTTGGACGACCAATGAGACAACCCGATACTATAGGACTATCTCTCTGTTTAAAATATTCGGGGTGGGTTTGGTGTTTTGTTTGGATTCCAATTTAAAGTATGTGGATGGGTTTGGGTTAGGGTTGAATGGTTTGGTGGTGGGTGGTTGAGTTGGAGTTGGAGTTGGGTCACCAAGATAATATAATGGTGGAATGATCTTAGTGATGTTAGTAGTGGTAGTGGTCACGAATGGATAAAAGATACACGAGAAAAACAAGAATCATCTAGTTTTTTTTTTAATTGGAACAATGTAGATTGAAACTGTTCCAATTAAAAGAGAGTATGAACCGACCGTTAAATTTAATTGTTGTACTAAACTTTAGATTGGTTACTATTGTTGGATCAATCGCTAAATTGTCTAATTTGAGATCGTGGTGGTGTTACTACTACTACTACTATTTCTAATTTCCCACACACCATCCATCAGATGGTTTGAAAATTGAATTTTCCTGTGATTGAACTTTTGGCAATCCACCAATCAATTGTCTCGATTGGGAAATGGATCAAAATAATCTGTGCTGTTTGTTTTGTGTTTCCCCTCTACCCTGGCACCGACGTATAGTCTTTGGACAAACCAAAAGAAGGGGTGTAGGTAGACAGATGGATGTAAAGACAGGGTTTAAGTGCCTTTCACCCACCCTGATCATCATCATCACCAACAAAAAATAATAATAACAATAATAATAATAATAATATTAATAATAAACAATCAATGATATACCTTTTATTGTTCTTGTTCAACAAAGTCATCGAAACCATTTAGTTTTTTCAATTCTAATTATAAAACACTATCACAATCACATTCATAATACAAATATTTATTATTATTTATTATTATTCTACTTCTTCAAGAACACACATACTTCATACGCACACACCCACACAAATAAATTGTGTAGAATCAAATAAATAAATATAGAGAGAGAAGAAAAAGAAGGAAGGTCAAAAAGGAACAACAACCAATTAAACCAATAAATTAATTTAAATTCGATAGGTAGGTGCAACAATACAACAGTGGGTTAGTCGAGTCGAAACAATCAATCTATCCATTCATTCAATTTTCCATCCATCCAAAACTCAGGGTAAGAGAGAGAAAGAGTTAAATTTGGGTGTGATCATCTTATCTATCACTCACCCTATAGCTGTGTCTGTGACGGATGGTCGACGGGTGAGTAAATCCAAACAATTTAACCTAGCATTGGAGTGTGTGTGAGTGTATGTGTGTTTGAAGTTAGTGTTTATTGTGGGGGGTGGTTGATCCAACCAAAACACCAAAAAATCACCATATGTTGTGACCTTAAAATCACAGCCCGATTTATCAATTGTGGGTAGTTGTAAGTTTAATTATCCATTGTCATAAATCATTCATTCATACATACATAACATTATTATTATCATTTTATTATTATTAGCCACCCCTATTATTATTATTATTATTACCACCACTACCAAATCAACATTGCATTGTTCTTCCAATGTAGTTGTTGTTGTGTTGATCGTAGCCACATTCTGTTCAACTTCCAAAATAACTATTCCAACTACATGTTGTTTTGTTCTTTTGTTGTTGTTGTTGTTTTATTATCCACCTTGGAAAAAGAGTTGCTTTAAAATATTTTGTTGTTTCGTTATTACCATCCTTCCATCGTAATCGTTAATCCAAACCAATCAAGTTTGATTTCATTCCATTTTACCTTGTTTTGTCCTCCAAACATCTTTACCACTACCAACACCACCATTCCCAACACCATTGATTTCATATCATCAACTACAATTTCTGTCTTTTTAAAACTTGATCCATTCTTTCATCAAGATTATTATTATTAATTTTTGTAAATTATTTATTTATACTTTTTTATTTAAAAAAGTCTATTAAAAAGAATCAAATAGTTAATCTAATCTAATATTATTTATCCAAAACTAGAATATTTATATATATATATACACATATCTTTATTTATCAATATTTTAATTTTTTTAAAAAAAAATGGTGGAAATGAAACCAGAATATTTTGCAGATGCTGATTATACTGTTCAAGCAGTATTTATGGTATTTGGAGTGATTAGAGTATTGGTTTACTTTTATTATGCCATTCTTTGTATGGCACAAGTATATCATGAAGCAGTAAAAATATTTATAGAAAAAAAGAGAAAAGGAACGTCGAGAACGATGACTAGAAGAATCATCTACATCTTCCTCTCGTTATTCCTTTTACTCAGAACAGCATCATTTGCCATTAAATTGGCCAAGACCACTAATATGGATATTAGTGCCAATCATGCGGTCCATATAGCATACGATGTTCTCATTGTCGTTGGTACATGGGCTATCATCATTGTGTGGTTTGAAATTGGGTGGTTCTGGGTACTCACATTCTACCTCTTTTACGGTCGTTCCGGAGAGATGACTATTATGGACCCAACCGCCAAAGATAGAGTCAACCGGTTCCTAGTGGTTGGAACTATAGTCATGACCATCACCTACATCTCTATCGCCATCGGGTTGGCTGCATCCTACCAGAACAAAACAACTATTATGACAGTCTATATAGTTGCATTTTTACTCACAGTCATAGTGGCCGGTGGATTCTTCTTTTACCATGGATACGTTCTTGCTCGTGCACTCAAGAATGATATGAAAAAGACAATTGTGTGTTCTGGAAACAACAAGAATGCAGCCGTCGCTCTATCTATCACCAAGACGACCAACCTTGTTAAATGTCTAGGTGTCATTATCATCGTTAGTATCATTCGATCGATTATCTTTGATAGTGGTGTAGTGATCAAGTCTGGATCATTTGCTGCCGAATCACTTGGTGACTTCTTTGCTATTCTATTAGAGATTGGCCAATGCACCATTGTCATGATTACCATTAGTTCCAGTTTCCTGCCACTCCTCAGAATGGCCAAGATCCAATCGATGCATTCCAAGACACAAGACACCTCAGACATCTCATTACCAGAATCCAAAGCAGTTGGAGCAGACTCTGCAGAATCTACCAATAGACAATCTGATCAAATCGATAATGGTTATAGTTATGACAACACCAAACAAGATACACCTCCACATGTAAATTTAAATATTAAAAATGAAAATAGTAGTAATTCAAATAGTCCCGATAGTACATCTGAAAATAGTAATAATAATAATGGTGGTGGTGGTATTCAAATTGGATCCTCTTCAGTTTAAAATATTATCAACAACATTAAAATAATAATAGCTCGTAATAATAATATTTCCCAAAAAACACAAAACAACAATATTATTATTTTGTATAAAATTAATCCCCTTGGTCGACTAGTATCTATTTATCCTTACACTCACATATATATATAAACCAAACCAAACCAAACAATATTTACTAATAAAATATCATTATTTTTTAAATCCCTTTAAGCTATTGATTTGTAAACACATGTATGTTGTTACAATTTTTGGTATAAAAAAAAAAGTATCTTGTGAGTGAGTGATATTTTATTTAATTTGCCTGAATTCAAGTTCAGTAGAAGAAGCTTCCATTCCATTCGCAAATTCATTACATTATTCTGTATATCTATCTATCTTTTTTAGTTTAACTTACTTTAGAGAGACTAATTAATGTTCAAAGTTGCAATTAATCATATAGTTAAAACTCAATCATTAAAGATCAGTCAATCATCTGTATCATCTTTAGCATCTTTATCTCAATCATCATCATCTGTTTTATTTAAATACAATCAACAACAACAATCTTCATCATCATCATCATCATCATCTACTTCATCAATTATATTTGTTAGATATTATAGTAATAGTAAGAATAAAATGACAACAAATCAATTATTTGTTACACCAACATGGTTAAATGATAATTTGGACAAAGTAAAGGTATTGGATGCAAGTTGGTATATGCCACATGAGAAACGTGACATTAGAAAGGATTTTGAGGAAGCTCATATCCCATCGTCACATCTCTTTAATATCGACGAGTATTGTGACAAGACAGTCGCACTGCCACACAACCTTCCAAGCAGTGCCGAGTTTGAACATGCTGCCGGTCAATTACTTGGTATCTCTGACAAGGATCACGTCGTCATTTATGATACTCGTGGCACCTATGTTGCATCGGCACGTGTATGGTGGACCTTTGCCCACTTTGGTCATCCCATGTCCAAGATTTCAATTCTCCAAGGTGGTCTACCAGCATGGCAACGTGAGGGTAAAAAGACAGAGGCTGGTAAGATCCAAACCACCTCTACTCCATCCACCTACACTGCCAAGCCCGCCCAAGACACACCACTCCTCAAAAACAAACAACATCTCATTGACAATTTGCAATCCAAGCAGTACCAAGTAGTCGATGCACGTGTTGCCGATCGTTTCTATGGTCGTGTCGATGAACCACGTCCAGGTTTGCACCGTGGCCATATTCCAGGCTCATTCAACGTTCCATGGGTTGAAGTTGTCAACGCCAAAGAAGGTGGATACATTCCAAAGGATGATTTCCTCAAACTCTTCAAGGAACGTGGTGTCGATGTCAACGCACCAATCTTGACCACCTGTGGTTCGGGTACCACCGCTGCCGTTCTCACTCTTGGTCTCTACCATTATGGTTATCCAATTGCTCCAGTCTATGATGGTTCATGGTCAGAATGGGGTCAACCTGCTCAAAATTTACCACATGAAACTGAAAAGAAATAAAGAATGGAATATAGAAAATAAAGAAAGAGTTCCTCTCTTGGTATATATAGATCCTATTTGTATTTCTATTTATTTTGTAATACTTGAGGTTGATCAATCTCTTTATAAAATATAAATGTTGTATACAAGTCTTGTAAAAAATAAAAAGAACAGAATAAATAAGTAAATAATAATAATAATAATAATAATAATTGGATAATATTATAATATAATATTTATACATACTTATAAGTTCTAATTGAGGAGGTTCAATTTTACCTTTACTACTTAGTACACCAGATTGTTTTAATTTTGCTTCATAATTCTTTTTGTTATCTTCATAGAAATCTGATAAATTAGAAGCTTCAATAAATAATAAATTATTTTGTTTACATAGACTACAAAGAGACAAAGAGAGAGAGAGAGATATTGTTAATTATCATCATGTGATTTCCATTTGTTTTGTTTTGTTTGTATCTTCTTTGCATACTTTATAAAAGTTGGAAAATGAATTAAATTTTCATTTACATTTGTACCATCTTTCATGTTTAGATTATATTTTGTTCCGTAAAAGGTAAAATTATCACTATCAAATTCAATGTTGAATAGTGATGATTTGATGGCTGGAAGACCAGTCAATACCTTTTGTGATTTGTACCAAATGGCAGAGGAATCTGGAATGATTCCAAAAAAGTATCCACCATTCTTTAATCGTGAGCTAACGTTTTGAATAAAGGTTGTGGCATGTTCCACTGAATCAAAAGCACTTTGTAATCCATCAAAACAACTTACAACACCAAATATTTCTTTAACGCCGCTGCTTCCATCTCCCATTTTTATATCTTCTCCAATTGGAGTCGTTGATCCAATTATCGTAGGATCTATCGATTCCTCTATTAGATTGACTTGTTTAAATTCTGCTTCATAAGGACACTTTTTATGTTTCCATTTGATTTCTGCTTCTGCTAGATTTTCTCTTGATGGGTCTAAAGAGAGAGAGTAGTAGCCATCAATGATCACATGTGATGGATGATCCACACAAGAAGAATGATGATTGGTTTTAGTTTGACATCTATGCTTTTTTTGATTGATTGAATGATTGTGATACATACCATAACCTACATATTTACCTATCTTTGCTCTCTCCCATTTACCTGTATCCAAACCTGTACCACAGAACATTTCAGCTACTACTTCATCATTCTCTACCAACTCTGATATCATTATAGTCTTTACCCAATTTTGACATGCTTTGAATTGCCATACAGGTGTCTTTTGCATCGTGTTTGTTTTAAAGTATATATATATATATTTAAGAGGTGAATAGAGAGGTACAGATAACAAATGATTAATAGTACAGGGACAAAGAGCAAAGAGTGATAAAGTACAAAAAAGTAAATTAAAAATGGTTTCTTCAAAAAAAATCTCTCATTGTGCTTCGGAATGCAGTGCACCTCCAATTCATTCAATTCAATTTATTAATATATTTGTATTTCGATTATATATTATTACTTTGTTGTACTTTTACTACTACCTTTAAAATCTATATATATCTCTATATCATTTAAATGGAATCAAAGGTAATTAGCTTAACAATATAACAGACACATACACATTGCTATATACACAAATGACAGTACAAATAAAAGAAGAAGAAGAAGATCAAGAAAATATATAGAGATCAGAACATGTGTCATCTCGATATCACATCATGATCTATATGATACATCATGAATAGAAAAAAAAAAACAAAAGGACTGTCATCATTAATACGTAGATCAATTAAAGTAGGACAAGTTTGAGAAAAGAAAGAAAAATTATAAGAGTATTACTACAATATACCATATTATTATTATTACTACTGTTATATAAAAGATAATAGATAAATCAACAACTAGTTCAGACAAAATGATGAATAGACTAACAAATATAATATCAACCATATCAAAGAAACCAGGTGTTGTTTTTGTGTTGGGTGGTCCTGGAAGTGGCAAGGGTACTCAATGTGCCAAGATTGTTCAAGAGTTTGGATATGTTCACTTGTCGGCTGGTGACTTGTTGCGTGAAGAACAAGCATCTGGTTCAAAGAATGGTGATATGATTGCCACTATGATCAAGAATGGTGAAATCGTACCATCTGTCGTCACTGTCAATCTTCTCAAAGATAGAATCCTCAGAGATCCATCCAAGAATTACCTTGTTGATGGTTTCCCAAGAAATGAAGAAAATAATAATTCTTGGACTGATAATGTAAGTAATATAAAGGTTACTGTAGTGATAATTATTGATTGATTGATTGATTGATTATTTGTTTTTTTTTCTTTTAGATGAAAGATATTGTTGATACCAAGTTTGTATTATTCTTTGATTGCCCAGAACAAGTTATGACCGAAAGATTACTTGGTAGAGGTGTAAGCAGTGGTAGAACAGATGATAACTTGGAATCGATTAAAAAGAGATTTGTCACCTTTAACAACCAAACTAAATTGGTTGTCGATTATTATGGAAAGCAATCACGTGTCAAGATTGTCGATTCAAACAGACATGTTGATCAAGTATTTGATGATGTCAAGAAAATCTTTTCATCTCTTTAAAAAAATAACCAACAAACAACAACAACAAAACATTAAAACAAAACAAATACAATTAATTTGACAAAAATCTAACAAGACTGGAATTGGGAATCAAGTACTTGATCATTATGGTAAAAGGAAAAATGAATTTCTTTTAATAATATATATATGGTTGTCTATCTATCTAATCTAATCTAAGATGATTTGGATTGAATGATTAATATCATAATTTTTAAATTACAATCCACTAATTTTGCATCTACGGCCTTGTTGATATCCATTTGAATCAATTCATCAAAATCTGTAAAATCTTGTAACAATCTCTTCCAATCATATTGTTGTTGTTGATTTGAATGATAGTCTGTTGATAGAATTGATTGTAACCAATGATTGCAAAGGGTTGTGTAGAGTTCTAGAGCTCTTGATGTACGACTGGTTGGATAGATGGGGAGACACCTCAAAAAGTATTTTGAAAGTCTTTCCATTGCATCTGCACTCTGTGCTTTGCTCTCATAGGCTCTACCCATTGTCTTGTTGACAGAGTCATGAAGGAACTGTTCCATTAGCTTATTTTTAACTGGACCATTCTCCAATACCTGTATAAACATTATTTTTCTTTCATCGCTTAATATAGTCTTAAACTTTTGTGAAAGTGTAGGTGATACTTGTGATTTTTGTAATGGATCCATTACATTATAAATCTAAAAGAAGAAATAAAAGATAATTAATACATATTATATCATTATCATATTTGTTTGTTTGTTTGTTTGTTTGTACATACAACTACAATTAATTTAACAATATTTTGAAATGTATCATTTTCACATTTGTTCAATGTTGACATGATACAACTAAAGAATAATTCAGTTCTACCACGATCCAATATAGATTTGATTGGATGATCATCTCTCTTTTCAATGATTAAATATTCAAATGAATAAGACATATAGTTTAATAATGAAATTGCATTGTAAATTGGTATCTTTGCAAACTAAATGGATCAGTTGGTAAGTAAAAGTAAAAGTATCATACTGTCAAAGATAATAAGAGAGAGAGAGAGAGAGAACAATCAAACTTACCCTTTGAGTATCAATATTAGAATCATAATGATGACCAATTGAAAACAAGATTGAACACATTAGTTCAAAGTTAATGTCTATTGTAAAGTGATGTTGATCCAACAACTGATGAAAGATCTTTGCAATTTCATTTATCAATGTCTCACTCGATGTCTTTTGAATGATTGCCAACATTGTATCTGTCGTTTCATGTGGTGGCATATAATTCATATTTGAAAGATATGTTACCATCTTGCAAGCTCCTTCTTGTAATAAATCTAAAGATAAACAAGAGTCAGTTTGTTGTCTCTTTATGATTTGTTACAAATGTAAATACATACAATCTTCATCTTCCAATAATGAATTAATGGTATTACTTAACCCAATGGCATAGTATGTTGTTTCTTTTTCCATTATATATGACGTATCTATATATATGTATGTATATAAATACTAATACTAATACTAATACTATATTAATATCTCTCGATGGACGCATTAATTTTGAAAAAAGAAACCTCTTTTTGATGTGCATATTAACTATATTTAAATTTATTTAAAATTCTTATTAAATAATAAATTGATCTTGTTATTTTGTTGCAATTCATTATATATTATATATATATATATTACATGATTGATGCAACCATCATGAGATATGATGATCAAGAGATATAAATATCATTAAAATGAGTCATTTTTGAAAACCCACAAACTTCAACTTCAAACTTCGTGTCATTCTTTGTTTGACTTTCTTTCTATCTTTCTTGTCCTCACTTTTCATTCTATCAACATATATATATATATATTACAACACAGTATTAATATAAAATTAAAGAAAGAAGAAAGAAAGAGTCAGAAGAGAGGAGAGATTAAACAATCAAAGAGATAGTATTATTATTATTGTGAATTGTAGAGTCAGTCATAATAATAATAATAATGAACTTTGATCCAATACATACCATTCAAGGTGAAATATATGGACTCTTGTCACACTTGAAACTCAATACGAGATGGTCGTCCAATCAATATCATCCAATCATCCCAGCAAATACTATTCTTATTGGTTTAAAGAATCTATCTAATCAATTACATAAAGAAACAGGTAGATATAGATATGGACAGACAGACATAGATGTTTAACACAACATTTACTAATACATATTATGATATCTAGATTTCAAAACATTAGATACAGTATCATATTTAGACCCATTTCTACTTGTCATTCGATCACAAGAAACAAGTGGTCCAATAACAGGAACTGCTTTAACTTCTGTAAACAAGTTTTTAAATCTATTTATTAGTATGAAGAATAAGAATAATAGGAATAGGAATAGGAATATAGAATCAATATACTAATTGTTTGTTTGTTTGTTTGTTTGTTTTGATTTAGATGCTGACTCAAATAATATTCAATCAGCAATCAAGAGTATAGCAGAGAGTGCAGCACATTGTAAATTTGAAGCAACTGATTCTAGAAGTGATGAGGTTGTTTTAATGAAGATTCTACAAGTGTTGCTGTCGTGTGTAAAGAATCCTGCAGGTATCTATTTAAGCGATGATTTGGTATACGAGATTGTTCAGACATGCTACTTGATGATCGATCAGTCACGGTCAAGTGAATTGTTGAAAAAGACGGCAGAGGTTACAATCCAAGAGATTGTCACTATCATCTTTCAACGTTACAACTCTATCCCAAGACCACCACCAACTCCACCACCATGTCCACCTCCATCCATCATGATTTCAACTCCCATCATTAGAGAAGGTGATGAAACAACAACAACATCAGCTGCTGTCACCATGGTTGATCCAATTACATCATTGATTTTGGAAGATCAACAACAATTTTCACCAAATGCTGATCTATTTTTTAGTAACCTTCCACAAAAAAAGGATGATGATAATAATAATAATAATCATAAGAATACTTCTCATTCTCAACCAAGTTCTCCTATTCCATCACATTCTCAAAATGTTCCATCAAATTCATCTTCATCAAATTCATCAAATTCATCATCAGTCAATCAAAGTAGAATTATAAATGATTATGGTAAGTCAAGAAGAAATAGAAATAGAAATATTGAATCGATCGATCAATCAATCAAACTAACATTTTATTGTTTTTTTTTTAAATTTTTAGATAAATGTTATGATGAATCAGTATTAATTAGAATATTTAAATTCTTTTCATCAAATGTTCGTCCATCAACTCATGATTCAGAAATGACAAGATTACTTTGTTTAAATTTAATCAATATCATTATTCAAAATAGAGGTGAATTATTGGAAGATATTCCGGATATAATGGATATTGTTAAAGATGATTTATTTAAATCTTTATTATTGGTAAGAAAAGAGAGAGAGAGAGAGAGATCTAATATATATATTAATATTGTTGTTATTTTTTATTTTCTTTTAGAATTTACAATCAAAATCAATACCAATATTTTCATTAACAATGAGAATATTTTTCAATTTATTTGTATCTCTGAGAAAAACATTAAAAGCACAATTTGAAGAATTCTTTAATGTATTGTTACGAACTATTATTGATAAATCATCACAAGAATATGTTAGAAACATGACGGAATTGTACGAGTTGGCATTGGAAGGATTAAGAGATTTTTGTAAATTGCCATTGGCAATGGCCGATCTTTTCATAAACTATGATTGCGAACTCTATTGCACCAACATTTTTGAAACTCTATGCAAGATACTCTACAAAAACAGTTTCCCATTGGGATCTGGCAATCTCACCTCTCTGCATATTCTTTCACTCGAAAATCTATTGGCCATCATTCAATCAATCGATGACCGTACCCGATATCCAAAATATATTCCACACTCTCAAGTGGCCACCATCAACTCTTTGACACTTCAATATAATCAAAAACGTGAATTCAAAAGATTAATGGGTATTGCTGCAGATCATTTTAATGCTAGAAGTCCAAAAGATGCTTTTGATTATCTTATAGGTAAAAAAAAAAAAACAAATCAAATCAAATCAAATATTATATATTATTGTTGTTAATTCTATTTATTTTTTATTTTTTATTTTTTTAGATAATAAGATTTATCAAGAAATGAATCCAAGTTCAATATCAAAATTTTTAATTGAAACACCAAAATTAAACAAACACAAAGTTGGAGAATACTTGGCAAAGAGAAATCCATTAAATTCTCAAGTTTTGGCAATCTATGTTGGTCATTTTGTCAAGGTTCATTCAGACAATTACATCTTGGCCTATAGAAACTTTTTAGAAAGTTTTTGGATTCCTGGTGAAGCTGGTGTAGTCGATAGAATATTTGAACCATTATCTGAACAAATATTTTCTACTCTTACTGCCAAAGGTGAATTACCTGCTTCATTTACAAATCCAGATAAAATTTTCGTCTATCTTTATTCTGGTTTAATGTTACATACAAGTTCTTTTAATCCAAAAGTTACAGTATGTAAAAAGAAATTAGAAAAAAAAAGAAAAAGAAAAAGAAAAATATTAATAATTTATTTATTTTAGGCAAAAGATAGATTTACATATCAATCATTTAAACAATTACTTGTACCAAGTGATATATCAGAAGATTTAATTAAAGCAATGTATGAAGAAATGACAGCAAATGAATTATGTGTTGATGAAGAACCTGCTAATCCTGGTGTAGTTTCTTATTCAACTTGGAAAAATATTATGAAAAAGTAAATATCAAATTTAAATACTATAATTAATATATTTATATTGTTATTTAATATTTTGTTTCTATTTAGATCAAAAAAAGTAGAATACTTTGAAACTGTTACATCAAATGAATATGATAAAGATATATTCCCAATTATTTTAAATGTTGCCATTCCAGCCATATCAAATGTATTTGAAAAGATTGACAATGATGCACTTAGTCAAAGAATATTGGATGGATTCCATTTGTGTGCCCAAGTGTCGGCCAATTATAACATTAATGAATCGATTGATACATTGATGAACTCGCTGTGTAGTAATACAACCTTGATTGATAAGGAAGGTACTGCTGTAGATCCTCAACAACCAAGTTTCTACGATGACAACAAAGCACAATTGGTTACCATTACAACATTTGAAATTGCAATCAAATATGCTGGTCATTTAAGAGAATCATGGAAAAGTGTAAGTTAAACACAAAATAACAAAAGTTAACTAATTATCAAAACAAAATCAATCATTCTAATTGATTATTTTTCTTTCTTTCTTTAGGTTATTGGAGTTGTATGTAAATTAAACAAATTAGGATTATTACCAAATATCTTTGAAGAGATTGATTTTCCAATTGAAAGTAAAAAACAAGACAAGACACAAACAGACAAACAACAAACCAGCACTCAAAAACAAAATAGTTTGTTGAAATGGTTTGTTTCAGAATCAGAGTTTGTTGGTGATAATGAAACTAACAAATATGAACAAAAGGCAAAAACATGTGTTGATAATTGTAATATTAAAGATTTATTTTTAGAAACAAGGTAATTAGATCAAAGTAAATGTATATCCATTGATCAATGTTGTTAATATTAATCTTTCTTTTTTATTTTTATAGAACAATACCATTACAGTCATTGGAACATTTATTACAAGATTTATATTTATTGACAACACCAAAGAATAACATTTTCACTTTTAATCAAAAACAAGCATTATTTTGTTTTGATTTAATCACTCATATTATTTTATTTAATAGAGAAAGATTACATTTAATTTGGTAAATATAAAAAAAAACAAACAAAAAAGAAAAAACAAACAAATATATTAATCCTATCTTTTTTTTGTTTAGGGGACAATTTTATAAACATATTGAAAATATTATAATAACATGGGATCAATCACCAAAATTATCAGCATTTATTGAAAAGACAGTATTATCAACAATGTATTTGTTGATTAGATTATTGGATGCAAAGGAGGTATCTGCAACTTTGGAACCACTTGTTTCATTGATTGTCAAGGTAAAGACTGTTGTAGACTCTGTTGCAGAGAAAATGTCGATTGGTTTGGTTCAATTGGTACAACAGAATCTTTCCTATTTGACATCGGATCAGACCATTTGGGAACCAATCAATGCTATTATTGTTTTGTTGTCTGGTAATCCAAAATCATCGGCTAGAGCATGCGAAGCATTGGCCACTACCATTGGAGCGGTTGGATTGACACCCAAGACTTGCAAGGATTGTCTTGAAACGATTCAATGCTTTTTCACGTCTGACACTATTCCTCATACTGTCACTAGTAAGGCTATGGAACTCATGTTTGTAGTATTCGAGGCTGTTAATGGTGTGTTGCAGATTGATATTCCAATGGCTGTTGCTGCTGCCAGTAGCTCGGCATCTGCTGCATCAGTCACTGATCGTATCAAGTTTCGTAGTATCGATCGTCGTGTCACGGATGCTTGGGAGCAGTATTGGTCTTGCATCTTGGAATCACTACGTAAACTGTGTCTTCACAAGACCCCCAATATTCGTAACAATGCCATGACCTATCTTCAAAAGTGTATGCTCTCACCAAACCTTTCAGTATTGTCTGCACAAAAGTGGATGACATGCTTTGTCGATGTTGTCTTTCCACTGTTGACCGATCTCAAGGTCAACGCCAATGTTCCCAATTATGAAGATATGCGTGTTCGTGCAGCAGCGCTCCTCTCTAAGGTCTTTTTGCAGCATCTCACCACTATCAACACACTAGACACCTTTTTGGCCTTGTGGACCGAGATTTTAGTCTTTTACAGACAATACATGGGACTCTCTGAATTGCTCTCAGAGTCTGTCCCAGAATCACTAAAAAATATGCTCTTGGTCATGAACAACAGTCGTGTATTCAAGGATCCATCAGATGCCGACTCTAATGACAAATCTCGTGCCCTCTGGGAATTGACATGGAAGAATATTAATGAATTTTGTCCAAAAATTAAAGATGATGTATTACCAAGAGTTTCTCCTCAACCTCTACCTCAACAACAACAGGTTGAAAATAATAATATTCAATCTCCACCATCTTCAACAACAACAACAATAACTCAACAAAGTGATCCAACTGTTGCACCAGTACCATCATCATTAAATGTTTAATAATGTTTTAATGAATAAATAAATGAATGAGTGAATGAAATCAATTATATAATAATAATAATATAATATTTATACATATTTTTAGATTGATTATTATTATTATTGTTTAAGGATATTTTTAAAGAAATTTACATATTGACAACTTGTATGAGCATCAGAGTATTTTGATGTCAATACTTGGTATTGACTAAAATCATATGATGTCTGTATCTGTTCAGTTTGTTGTTGTTGTTGTTGTTGAGGTGATACACCTACTCCTTGTGCCATGGTAGGTGACATGAGTGTTGGTGTATTGGATGAAGATAGATTATTGAGTAGATTGTTATTGATAAATTCTGATAGTAATTTTGAGGAATTAAAAGGAGATGCAGTCGTAACCAATGATGCACAATATTCAACTTCCACCAATATACCTCTTGTCTCTGCTCTCAATGTAATAGGTCCAAACTTTACAGTGAAATCACCAATTTCATATTTAACTCCCTAGAACAAACATCAAATTGACAATATTTTAGTTTAATGACACTAATATAGTACTATATTGTTTTTTGTACATACATAAACCTCTGTTACTTGTCTCTTTTTATAGCTATTTGTTTTTTCAAGTATTGATACAATGTCTCGATCAACCTCTGATACATTGTTTTGAGTGACTATATAACTTTTCTTTTGTTCTTCATCAAATGACAATAGATAAAATTCACGTGCTTGTACTTGTGTTCCTTCTGGTATTCTCTCTAGATACAGTGCACATGATATCATCCAATTTGATGATACTTTAATACCACCTAAAAACTCTATCCTCTTTGTAATCTCTGGTATAGTACCTTTAAATTGAAATATACTATAGCGATAGTGATAGTGATAGTTATCAACAATATATGTTAATATAAATCTATATTTAGAAGAAGATGACTTACCATTTATATCCCATGATCAACTTTAAAATGATGAAATTGAATCGATTCGTTTGTTCATTTTCATCAAGTTGAGACTTTGCAGATTAATTAAATTGATATTTTAATTTATTAATATTCTGGTGTATATATATATTCTTTTCAACTAGGTTATGTACATTTATATTTATATTTATATTTATATTTATAGTGATATTTATTGAGGGGTCGTTTAAGAGATATTTAATGGTCTTGTGTTGTGAACAAACAATCTATTGTCGACGTCGTTCTCTCATTGAATAATTGACTCTTCTATTACTCTTTTTAATACCATATGCATGTACATACATACATTACATTACATTATATATGCAACCTATCATCCATACCCAAAGCTAATTTAAATGCATTTATCTCATTTTCCCAGGTGCGATAAAAATTCAAAAAAATAATTGCAAGTACTTTAAATTGTTTCTTTTTACTTGTTTTCATAAACTTTATCTGTCCCTCCCTCCCTCATCCCAACAACAAATACAATACAATATATTATTCTTTGTATTATTATAAAGGTGTGACACAAAAGACAATAATTATATTATAGACATATAGAAGAAGAGAAGAAGAATCAAATAGAAATCAGATTTAAATCAACCAACAAACTTAACAACAATGAGTGTACCATATGAAGAAGCATTAAATTCATTGCAATCAATGTTCTCTTCATTTGATAGAGAGTTGATTGGAGCAGTGTTACAACAAAACAAAGGACATATGGAAAAGACTATCGATGCACTCTTGGAAATGAGTGGAGAGACTCCTATCAATCAAAATACAGATTCTGATGCTTCACTTGCTCAGTTGCAACAAGATGAAATGATGGCCCGCATGTTACAGAATGACTTGTTTGTCAATGAACTGCGAAATGATGAAGACTTTGCTCGTTTATTTCAACAAAGAGAAAGTCAAGCATATATGCAACAACAAAGAAGACTTCGACAACAACAACAACAACAACAGCAACCACAGCAACAACAACAATCACCAACATCACGACCAGTTTCTCATGATCATGAGGATGGTGTATCACCATTGACACTGTTTGAAGAGGATTTTGGAGATATTAAAGAAAAATTAAATAACTTGGGTGAAGGTAAGAGAAAGAAAAGATATGATATGATACGATATGATTCATTCATTATAAATTATACCACACCAAAAACTAACTAAAGATCTCTTTCTTTCTTTCTTTTGTATAGCTGCAAAGACCAAATTTAGAGAATTGGCAGACTTTTTCATGAAAAAGGAAGAGAGTCAATACAAGTATGTTTGATGGATTTACATTATTATTATTATTATTCTTGGATCACTAAATAACCTTTTTCCCAATTTTATTTTTTAGTGCTGTAAGAACTACAGATGATGATGAAGAAGCTTCAATTCTACCTAAAAGCAATAGTGGTAGTATTAATGGTGGTGGCGGAGGTCGTCGTCATGACGAAGATGAAGTTGTAGTATTTGATAGAAGTAATAGAAACAACTTTACTGTAAATAGTAATAATAATAGTAATAATAATCATAGCAACTATAGTATCAATGATGATGATTCAGGATCATATGATTCATTTGTTTTGGAAGATAGATCAAAAGAAAATAGAAGTATGGGAAGTGTAAAATTAAGATCATTAAAGGATTCAAAAAAAGATGATGATTAATTTAATTAATAATAATAGATAGTAATAATAATAATATAAATATTATTTTATATAATATAAAATAATAATAATAATGAGGAATATGAATAATAATAATAATAATATATAGGAATATAAATAATATTAGATAATTTAAGATTTAGGATGGTAAATAAAATCCACACACACAATATTGTACAGTTTGTTTTATCAAATGATTTAACATTGATTAATTTATGTAGGGACAATGCTAACTCTTTTTGTTATCAATGAAAAAAAACATTTATCATTTAAATCAGATAAAACAGAAATAATAATGAAGCCATCAGACTTTACCCCTTGCAATAGGCATAAAGATTTATACTGCTCAGGTGATACAATTGGATTTAGACAATCAATCGTAACATTTGACTTTACTTTATTAAATGGTTGTAACTTGGCTTGCAGAGAAATCCTTACAGAGGCATACAAAAAAGTTATTGGAGAGGTTCAATCAGAGTTGGATTATCAGTTATCAAGAGTTCCAAATAGTAATGGTTACTTTAAAGATCCACACGAACAAGAAGGCTAATCTTAATCCACTTATATATTGGGAGAATAGTTGGTTATTTAATAAACTAATAACTATAGTTGGTTGAAATTAATTAAATTTATTTATTTAATAATGATTCTTTTCTTTAAATTCTTGATATGATTCACCTTTCCATTGAGTGGTCTTTAAGAAAGTTGACCAGGTAAGTGCATCTGGTTGTATTTTAGTGATAAAGGTGGTTGGGTCATGTGATGGATCATAATATCTTTGAGTGATGGTTGATTCCCAAACCTGGAAAATTCTATTGCCAATGAGTTCAGTGACTGGGTTACCGTTGAATCCATTCCATTCAAGGTATTCCTTTCTGGAGAGTTGTACTGGACGAGACTTGATACCAGTGATGTTTTCAAAGGTTTCAACGACTTGACGGTAGGTCAACCATTCACTGACGAGTGGGATGGGATTACGATTGTAAAGCTTGGGATTCTCGAGGAATGCTAGTACGGTTGGACCAGTGGCAGTGTACGTGTCAATGTATGGTTGAACAGAATCGATAGAGTATGGGAATGGGAATACAAACTCGGTGACACCTGTGGTGGCATTGACCTCTTGTTTAGGTGGGATAAACTCGACAGTGTTGCTGTGAAAGTAGGCCAACAAGAATACACTGACATAGGGGAAGGCAAGTTTCTCAATGTAGGCTTGTACCTTTGGTCTACAGGTAAGGATATCAAAACCAGGTTCGATAGCCTCTGGATGTGGAAGAGTATCGACTGACGAAAAGATGACATGTTGTACTTTGGCTTTGAGAGCTTCGTCGGCTTGCAATGTGACAAAGGCAATCTCTTTGGCTGGAAGGTCTGGATCGGCATAGTCAATGTTTGGTGTCATCAAAAAGGCTGCATCTGCTCCATCAAACAGTCCCGAGACATCCTTGGTGACGTCCCTTTGTACAAATTCAATGTTGACATTGTTTTTGGCAGCCTTTTCCTTCCATTCATTGGCCAAAGCAATGGTAGATGAATCTCTAGAACTAACACCTCTGATGTTCCACTTTCCATCTTGAATCAATGAATTAATGATTGAAATACCTTGTTTACTATAACTATTAATAACTACAAATAGTTTTTTGTTATTATTATTATTGGTTGACATGATTTAAATTTTAGATTTGTAAGGTGTAATATAAATATAATTTGTTTGTTTGTTTGTATGAATGAATTATTTGATTTGTGTTTGAAAATGAACTCAAGTGGTTACTATAAATACTTTTCGGGTATTGACCAGAGAGAGAAGGTAAGGTCCCTTCTCCAACACACACCATGTTCGAAGGTTACAGTGTCATTCCATATTCATTTTGTATACATCGCCTATATAGAGAGATATTATTTCAACGTTGATGCGACCTTGATTCTCAAGAGAACCATTATATCCTTTAATGGGGTTGTATCTTTACTATTATTATCTTTGATCATCCAACTAATCTTTACTAAAATATTAATGACTTGTCAATAAAAGAGAAGCATTTCTCAGCGGCCATGCTCATGGTCGAAAAGGAAGAGAGCGGGATGGGATGACAAAATTTTGAAAGAAAATGAAATAATTTAATGTAACAATAACTCAGTAATAATCAATTAAATTGTTTTCTTCGAATCTTCATCGAGTTCTCCATTGACCGCAAAATGCTTCTCAGCATTCTCAGTAGAATAGTGTAACGAGACTACCACTACTCACCGTATACGAAACGACAACAAAAAGAAGAATGGAACGAAGAAGAAAGCAAACAACAACAACAACGTTATCAACATACTTGAAAAAGAACAAGATGAGATTAGTAGTAGTAGTAGTAGTTTTGGAGTAGGTCACCGTCAACAACAACAAGCACACCAAGTAGATGACAACGACGATGATAGAAACAATGCAGACGTAGATTATTTTGGTAATGCTACTCAGGTCTCTTCAGCTGATGATAATAATCAATCTGATGAGGATGAGGAGGAGGAAGATGAAGATGAAGATTATTACTATGAATCTAAATTAAAGAATCAACAAAGAAGAAATAGTAATAGAAAATTAGAGAGGAGTATCAATGATGAAGGGTACAGTAGTGGGAAACATTTCCCAGTAAAGTGAATGAAATTTATTTGTCTATTTGATTCTGGTAAAGGTCATTGGTTGAGTGGAGTTGATGCTGTATGCAAAATCCAGAGATGCTCCCTTTGGAATGAAGGCAGTCCAACTACCAGCTGGTGAGAGACGCCAGTTGATGGTGCCATTCACAGTCGTTGGTGTTAGGCCAAACATGCCAATGGGGATGGTGTTGGGATTCGATACAAACACTGGATCCAGAATATCAACAGGTCCACTGTTATTGAACCTACCAACTACGTTGATGTAAGTTAACCAATTAGAAGTGATATTTTGAGAGATGATGGGGAATTGGAACGGATTGGGGGTAGGGGAAGGAGTCACTGTGACATTTGGAGTGGCCGATGGTGTTGGTGTTGGTGTCTCGGTGACTGTCGGTGTGGAAGTGTAGTTTTGAGGGTTGGGTGGACATTGATCAATGACAGGAACCCAGGCATCACAAAATGTCTCCAAGTCATATCCCATGTATCGACGATGTTCCCAGAGGGTTTCATTGATGTGTTCGACGTTGTATACCAATGAACAGATATTGACACTGCGACTGCAATTTGGATCTTCAGTAGTGGGGCACGTAACATTTTGCCATGGAGATTCAGGGTTGTCCATCCAAACCTCCTCATTGACGTGGACATACTCGAGGCCGAAATGGGGGTAAGAGTATGGATAGTGAGGAATTGTGTCGTTGTAGTTGACAAATCTCAAACTGTTGATTCCAGCATTCTCATATTTACTTTGGAATGCACAATTACCAACCCGAGGTGACCCAAATGTCATCACATTGATATCCCAAAAGTTTTGGGTTCCAATTTCATATGCAAAGTCATATGCAGCCAATGCTAAAGTATATTACATTTACAATAAGAATAAATAAATATGAATAAATTATTATCATAAATATTTGAATACTGTCTACATACTTGCAATGGCTCCTCCAAGACTGTGTCCAAGGATTACAAGATTACATGATGATCTTTCTACGCATCCAGAGTCTCTGAGACTAGCAACGACATGTTGTTTGACATCGAGCCAAGCATCTTTGAATCCAAGTCCAACCTTTTCGGGATCATTTGAAGATGGATAATGTTCAGGAATCAGGGATGCCAAATCAGTCAACCAGTTTACCTTATCATCTGACCCTCTAAATACAAGATAAACTTAAAATAACTATTAGAAACATTGCCCCTTTTTCAGGCATCACAGTGATCATTGTGTTGATACATACATGTTCCAGTGTCTGTTTGATTAGCCACGAAATATTGCAATCCTCCTTTGAAAGAGAAACCAGTTGGATCTGCAGGACTGACCACTTCTTTAACTTCTAGAGTTTCAAAGAATGGGTTTCCACCACATATTGAATCAGGACAAGTCCAGGGATACAGAGATGACCAGCAACAGTAGGAAGAATAGCACATGATGATGCTGTTATTGACTAATTCCCAATCAATATTGGCAGTATTGGTCTGAGTTGATGGGGGACAAGTTGGAATATGATCGGCATCGGCTGGAGGACATAGTGGCAAACTCTCCGAGGTTGAAAGTCCAAGTAGTTGGACAAGGATACAACAACAAATAACTAGTAATAATCTATACAACATTATATAATATTATGAGTGATATGGTTGTTGAACAATCATCTGAGGACCCATGAGTCTATTTATTGGCGGGATATCATCGGCAATATCTTTGTGTATACACATGGATATTATTATTTCCACAAAAATATTGCCTACGTATACACAAATGGGGCGCCCCACAAATCAATATCTCGGCTTGTCCCACCAAAAGATTTATTATGAACTTTCACACAACACTCCATCAATCACTTGACTTGCTGAAGTCGATCAATCAATCACTAATAATTAATCAGAATGTCAACGATTATCTCTATAGTATTGTTGGTGGTGGTTGCGACTAGTGTAGTGGTGGCCACACAACAATCACCATCGATGATGAATAGTTTTCTCATGGGAGGTTACTTCTCATCGTTTGATATGTACACAGGACAATCATTTGGCAACTATTTCATCAATGTTCCCAAAGGTCTTAGTGTAAACACTCTGTTCCAATGCAATGGAGACGAATACATAGTCTTGATATCAGGCACCGATCTAATTCAACACAACCACTATAATATATCTTTATTTAATAATGCCGTAAGTTGTGAATGTGCATGGACTGTGATGATGACTCACTATCTTATTCTCTATCTATCTACTATATAGACCAATACTGTAACTACGATAGCTCAGTTCAATTATGCCTTTAATAATCTTCTTACATTTCAATACAACTCTATCGACTTGTCAAGCGGCCTTGCATTCAGCACCTACTGCGGAGCTTCATCAAACCTTGTCATATTTGATTTTAATAACGAGACTGTGTATGTTTACATCCAACAACAACAATGGTAATTAAAACAAACAGTAGTACGCGTACTAACACACTATCAATATATTGTAGTGAAGGAATACCATTCAAGAGTTCGGCATGCTCATTGTACACGATTGGAGCATATGATAATATGACACAAACTTATTATTTGATTGGTGATTTGGAAGGAAGCGTATTGTCATCACTCACATTTGGTGTGTACTCTATGATCACCAAAGACATTACATACGTAGAGATACCCTACCATATGGACAGTAATGCCAATCTCCAACAGGTATTTGTCTATGACTCTGTCGTCTACGCATGCGTCTTCCAAAGTTCATTTACCGAGGTTATTGCCATTGATTTCGCCACGAGATCAACTAAAAGCATCTTCCGTGTCTCAAGCATTATGCCAGAGGGCCAGTTTGCCTTTGACACTCGAGGATACATCACAGGATTTATAGACGAGGATACTAAATTGTACAATGCCTACATCATCAATCTAAAGACACTGGATGTGATCCACAACGAGATTCCATATCCAAGTGACTCATTTGTTGGTAACTATAACTCTAATTTGTTCTGTTCAGTTTAAATAAAATAGTTTGTTGAACGTTGTTCCACCAACAAACATTCCTATTTGTATATTTCAAAACTTGATGCAAAATAGATCTTTAACTCTAACTCGTTCCAGCCATCGCCCGGGAGGCAGCCAAAAGGAAAAGATAGGTCCGTGAAAGAAAATGAAATTAATTTACAATTGTTTTCTTCGAATCTTCATCGAGTTCTCCATTGACTGCAAAATGCTTCTCAGCATTCTCAATCGAGAACATTAATATATTGTATAGCGTAACAAGACAACTACTACCTAACCCGTATACGAAACGACAAGAGAAGAATGGAATGAAGAAGAAAGGAAACAACAACAACAACAACAACGTTATCAACATACTTGAAAAAGAACAAGATGAGATTAGTAGTAGTTTTGGAGTAGGTCGCCGTCAACAACAACAAGCACACCAAGTAGATGACAACGACGATGATAGGAACAACGCAGACGTAGATTATTTTGGTAATGCTACTCAGGTCTCTTCAGCTGATGATAATAATCAATCTGATGAGGACGAGGATGAGGAAGATGAAGATAAAGAACAAGATGAAGATGAAGACTATTACTATAAATCAAAATTAAAGAATAGACAAAGAAGAAATAGTAATAGAAAATTAAAGAGGAGTATACTGCAACTTGAAGAAGAAGATGAACATGAACAACCTCAAATAATATCATCATCTGATGAGGATCCTCTTTCAACTCAGGCTGCACTAGAGTCTGCATTGGTCATGTCAAAAGATACAGCTGCTGGTGTTTTGAGTGAATGGTTTAAGCCAGTACCCGTTCTTTCTGCAACTCAATTGGAACAACAATTAAAACAAAAGAAACAACAACAACAACAACAAAAGAATGCTACTACGATGTCCCCTTCACAAACAAAACGAATCAAAGTATTAAACATTGACAAGGTTAATGATATCGAAAATTTAAATGATAACATTCTTTCAAGTATTTTGGAAAGAAAGAAAAATAATAATAATCTTGTAAAGGGTACTATATTATCATCTTTAACTAAAAGTGGTGTAATCAATAATCAAAGTAATAATGGTTCTAAACAATCATCATCATCATCATCGACATCTACATCATCGACAAAACAACCTATTAAATCACCTGCACCAACACCACCACCACTAAACAACAAATCCAATAGTAATAATAGTAGTAGTCCAAAACCAACACCAACAGCACAAAACAAACCCAATGGTAGTCCTAAACCTATGACTCCAAACAAAACTAATAGTAAAACCAACAGCAGCAGTATTAATGGTAGTCCTAAACAGACACCAACTAAACTAATATTTACATCACCAAGTACTCCTACTCCATCAACCATTTCTACAACAAATAATAATAATAATCAAAATAATCATACACAATTTAATAATGATGGTACACCAATTTTTACGTTACCACCACCATGTTCACCATTTAAACTTGTTACACAACAAGATACACCATTATCAACATGTAAATCCAATAATAGTGAAGATTCATTTGAATTTGATCTTTCACCCTATTCTATCCCATCTACTCCTTTATATGCATCACCATTTAAACCAATTGGAATTTTCGATCCACAAACTGCAGCCGAACAACCTTCACAAGACTCTTTTTCATTTAGTTTTGATAGTCAACATAATAATAATAATAATAATAATAATAATAATAATAATAATAATAATAATAATAATAATAATAATAATAATAATTATAATAGTAATAATTTATTCAATTTATTTTCTCAACAACAAAATCAAACCGCTCCATTGTCGGGTCCAACTCATCATAATAGATATGAAAGATTAATAGCATTACATATAAATTATGAAATAGTAGATCATCGACCATTTAACATTCACAAAAAGACAATTAGAGGATTAGATGAAAAGCGTCAAATCGAGAGAACCGTCATTTTATTTGGAGAATGGATTTATACACCCATTCAAGCAGGTGATATTTTCAATGTTATAGGAGAGTTTGTAAACAATCAAATAGAAATTACGAATCAAAAAAACCTTTTGGTTTTGCATCCAGATATTTTAATCACTGGTACCGAATTGGGTGGTAGTTTTTCATGTTCACGTCGGTCACTGTTAAAGAATCAATTCTCTGGTGAATATTCATTGGTACCATTGTATGGAAACATTGTACATGAAATCTATCAAAAATGTCTTGCCAGCAATCGATTCACAATCGATGCAATCAATATCTACAAGAATGAGGTTCTACTCGATCCCAACTATTCACTCAAACTTTCATCGTTGGGTGTGACACATCAAGAAGCACATCAACATGTTGGTCAGTGGGTTGATGTGATTGCCAGTTGGGGCAGTTTGTTCATGTCATCTCAAAACAGTAAGCGGAATATCATGGAGATTGATGGTAAAAATTATCACGTTCAAATAACCAGGGTATTGGATATAGAAGAAAATATTTGGTCTCCCATGTATGGTCTCAAGGGTAAAATAGATTCGAGTGTCGAAGTTAAATTGACTCCTCCCTATGATCCAAACAATGCCAAAAAAGGAAAATTTCAACCTCCAACAGAAAAACCAATCTATTTAAACGTTCCACTAGAAATTAAAACTGGTAAACCTTATCAAGTTCCATTTATTTCTCATGTTTCTCAAGTTTTAATTTATATTTTAATGATGAATGATAGATATAGTAAGAAAAAATTAAAATCAAAAAAAATATAATTTAATAATTCTAACTTTTTCTTTTTTTAGATCAAAATACAACTTTAGGATTATTATATTATTTAAAAAACAAAAATGAAAAGGTTGGAAAAAATTATGGTATTATGCATCCAATCTTACCAAATGTTAATGTTCTTCGTTCATTAAATGTTGCAAGAAATATTTATGTAAATTATTTAAATCAAAATGCAAGACCAGTTCTCGTCCCCAATCCAGTTTTACCAAATATGCTCAAAAATCCACACTCTTGTTCAAAATGTTTCTTTTCCGATTGTTGCCTAATCTATCACAAATCAATTGAAAATGGAACCCCAGAATCAAGTGGTGTTCCTGATTTATTTAAATTTAAAACTTCTCATTTAAAACAAACTCATATAGATTTTTTAAAGAAATGGAACAAGTAAGAAAGAAAGAAAAGTTAAAATATTTTATTTTATTAATTTTTAATTAATTAAATCCTTTTCTTTCTCTTTCAGATTAATTACATTAGAATCAGAATCAAATAAGAATCCACTTATTCATCAAACTTGGAATTATCCACCAATTGTAAAAGAAGAAAAAGGATTGTAAGTAATCAAATGGAATCATAATATTATTTTATTTTTAATTGTTCTCTTTAGTTGTATAGGATCATGTGAACTTTTAGATGAAAAAGTTGTTAGTGGAGGAGTGATTTATAATTTTTTTATTAAATCAAATGCTACCAATATATCATTTTTCCAAGGTGATTATGTTACAATGAGTATAGAAAACTTATATTATGGAATGGGTTTTGGACAAGTTCAAGAAATGAAAGGAAATGAAATATCAATTGTTTGTCGTGAAAAGATATCAGAACCACCAACTATAATAGAACAATCACATGACCAAAAATCAAACAGTAGAGTAAAATCATTGATTGAAGTTGAATATGAAGATGATTATTCTCAAAGTACCCAAAGAAAATATTTTTCAAAAAGAGACATTTTAAATAGAAAGCAAGGTACAAATAATCAATACACTTGGAGAATTGACAAGGATGAAAGTTCATCTAGTACATCGATTATTAAAAATAATCTGTTTCAACTCTTTATGCCACCAACTATCAACGACGAAAGAGAAAGACATATGGCAAGATTAAGAGAATTATTGGTTGATCTTGTTGAACCTCAATTTGATCCAAATCATTTAAATAATATTGATCAAAATTTATTCAAGTAAGAGAGATAGTAATTCTTCTTTTGGAATTTAATGTTAAATTAATTATTTTTATTTATTTTTAGTAATTTAAATAATGATCAAAGATTAGCAATTAAAAAAGTATTATCAGCAAAAGATTATGCTTTGATATTGGGAATGCCAGGTACAGGAAAATCAACAACGTTATCACAATTGGTAAAGATTTTGTCTTCACAAAAAAAGACAATGTTGATTACATCGTATTCACACGTTTCTTTAGACAACCTTTTAATTAAGTTTGTCGAAGCTGGCGTGGAAAACTTTCTTCGCCTTTCATCAAATATCAACCAAGTTAACCCTGCCATTCAAAAATATACAATTGATGGATACCAAAAACAATTGGTGACAACCGACATTATTGGCGAAATGAAATCATTCCTCGAGAATCAAACCATTGTGGCTACTACATGTCTTGGTATCAATCATCCTTATTTTAATCCAACCCGTGTATTTGATTATTGTCTCATTGATGAAGCATCTCAAATTACTCAACCAATTTGTTGGGGTTTATTTAGATATTGTAAAAAGTTTATTTTATTTGGTGATCATTATCAAGTAAATATTAAAAAAAAAAAGAAATAATAATTATTAAGTTCTTTTTTATTAACTTTCTATTTTTTAGTTGCCACCATTAGTAAATAATGGACAATCAAAAAAATTAGGAATGGATGAAAGTTTATTTAAACATTTAAATTCAGCTCATCCAAATTCTGTTAGTTTTCTTTATTATCAGTATAGAATGAATAATGAAATTATGTCAATATCGAATCATTTAATTTATAATAATCGATTAAAATGTGGTGACGAGAGAGTTGCCAAGGGTATTATGAACCAATTGGATGCTGACAAGATAAGACAATCCAAACAAGAGGATTGGGTCATTCAATGTTGTTTACCCGAGAATAAGGTTTTATTTGTAGATATTGATCAATTGCCAAATTCAAAAGAGGAATCTATTGGTGATTTGTATTACAACCAAACAGAAGCAAAGATGATTGGGCAATGTGTACGTTTACTCATAGATGCTGGAGCGAGTCAATCGTCGATTGGAATCATATCACCAAACAGAATTCAACTTAAATATCTCAAACAAGAAATGGACGCCAATACATTGGTCGATATTTTTACAATTGATAGATACCAAGGAAAGGACAAGGACTGTATCATCATCAGTATGGTCAGAAATAACGATAAATCATTAATTGGTGATCTTTTAAAGGATTGGAAAAGATTAAATGTATCAGTGACAAGAGCTAAAAAGAAATTATTAATATTTGGTAGTCGTTCCACTTTAACTACTGATCCTCTCTACCAAGATTTAATTGATCATTTTAAAAAACATAATTGGATTCTAACAATAAACTAAAGAAACTAAAGTGAGTCTTTTTTTTTATTCCTTGATAGTACTAGATTTTCTTTTGAATCTAAATCTATAATGAATTGGAGCATATTGAAGCTTTGTTGATCTTTTGTAAAAGAAAAATGTATTGTCTTTGGTCAATTCAAGATTTTTTATGAGTCTTTTGGTTTGAATTGTAATAGTTTGGATATTTGATTTTGAAAATAACTCTAGGGTGGTTTCTAGGGAATTTTGAGAATTGAAATTATCATCAATAATGACCAACTCCTCGAGTAACCAAAGTTTCAACACATCCAAGAACTCTGGTATTTCAAGTAAACGAATAATGAATCTTGTAATTGAAAAATTATATTTGATTAATTGGTATTGTTTCTCTGGGTCACCATTAGAGAAATTGTAGACTTGAAAAGAATTCAATTATGGTAAATCACCGATTTGAGTATAGTGAAAAAGTGATACATGTTTGAGAGAGTGCTTGGAATCTGGAAAAATCCACACAACTCCCAATTTACTGGGGCAAAATAGTTGTTTCAAATTGGTTGATATTTTGAGATTACAAATAGGATTATAAAATTACATTTGGGTTATCTGAAATGTCCAATGTCTCCAAATTTGGGCAGAGAGTTGATACAATCAGCATGAAATCCAACAAATCGAAATCACATCTTTCTACAATGATTGTTTTAACATTTTGATAACCATCTAGTTGAAGTCTTAAATCCTCAGACTTTAGTTTTAATCTTGTAAAGGATAATGATTTAATTGTCATTTTTAATCCAGGAGGGATTTGTTGTAGAATACCTCCTCTAGAGACCCTGATGCTCTCGAGATTGTTGGAATACAAATTGAAATGAGACTCTAGGTGGTTGTAAAGATCTACAGGCCTTTTAACCCTGATTAAAAATTTCATCGACGTACATAACGAGGCAACCAGTACAAACATCCTTTTAGAAACAAGACTAAAATTGCTGCGAATTTCTGGTTTTCTTATCCTATAAAAAAATGAGTGGTCTGATATTGAAAAATCAGAATATGAATATGACATGATGAATATATATTCAATAATCCGAATAGGGAGTGAATAAACATTTGTATCTGGTGAATAAGTAATAGACATTCGAAAAGTTGTTTTAAATTAAAGTATAGTACTATTTCTAAAATAATTGAAATGGTATAAATACAAAAGGTTCAAGTCAAGTTTCTTTTTTTGGAAAAATATTTTTTTTTACATACATTATGTGAATTAGATTTAGTTTAAGCTTAAGCAACTAATAACCATCGATTATTTGAATGAGATTTAGTTTAGGCAACCAATAACAATCAATTATGACATTAATTTCTTTTTTTTTTTTTTAAAGTCTATTTAATTCGACCAATTTTTTTTGATTAATATTTCTTTTTCCAAATAAGCCACGTTTGTACATCATAACCGAAGCAGTAGCAAGGATGATTGCACCAGAGACACCAACTACAATACCAATAATCATTTTGGTTGAATTATTCTCTTCTTCTTTGATTTTCGGTTGTTCCTCATTATCACTAGAGTTTGATGAAGATGGTTGATGACAAATGGCTGGCTTGAATACTGTCAAATCAAATTCTGGGTCAATCATTAATGATTTAATAGATTGACTTTGTAGATTTGCAAGCGGAACTATAGAGGATACTTTAATAGTCTTTGAATTGATATCATTTTCAACAAAACTATCAATCTTTGTTGGCAAGGTTAAAAGATTGACTCTATTTACAAATCTGCCTGTCAATGTTGCAGAGGTAGAAGAGGAGGAGGATGAAGAGTTGTTTCCAAAACTAAAAGTAAAATACTTTGCAATTTGGTGAGAGTCTTGATTTTGATTAAAAACAATATTTGTTAATGAATCTGAACATGATTGTAGTTGTGGGTATGATATGGTTGAATTTACTGCCAAATATACCGCTTCAGTACTACTAATTTGGAGATTGGTAAAACTAATTGAATACTTGATTTGGTTCAAGTTGAGAAGAATAGTATGTCCTGCGAAAATAATTTCAGCAGATGTGGAAGATGGTAAAGGTGATTGCGATTGTGATTGTAATTGAATAAATTCTATTACTATTTGACCGTTGGATGAAGTGTATTTCCAAGATTTAATGACAAGATTGTTGTTGTTGTTGTCATTTAATGGCTGTGAAAATGGACCTTGAAGAGACCAAGTCAATCGATCAAGATTGATAGGTTGAGAAACCAACTTGTTGTTGGTATCCATCTCTACAACTGAATCCAATTGGAGACTATAGGTATATGAAGAACCAATAGTGACTTGGACAGTTGGATTAGTTTGGTCCAAAGCGATAGTGGTTGTATTTTGAATGGGAACTTGTGTCATTTCACAATATATTCCAGAGAATCCATCAAAACAACGACACATAGCATCAACACAATGACCATTACCACTACATTGCACCGATGTACCCGAGGAAATGGTACAGAGTGAAGATGTAGAGTTTACAAGTGTTGTCAATGTTTTAAATACATCCGACACTACAGTGTATCCAGAGTTTTGGGTGGTCACCTTGAATTGATAGGTTGTATTTTGAACTAAATTGTCAAATAAACAACTTTGTTGCTTTGTCTCTTGACATTTATCAAACCATTCTACTCCATCATAAGAAATGGATGGAGTATAAACAGTTTCACCTACAATACCACCATTACTTGATGTCCAATGTAAATTAATTGTATTTAAATCATTATCTGATATAATTTCTACTTTTTTTGGTTCTAAAAAGAAAAAAAGAAAATAAATTAATTAATTAAATATTATTAATATCTATATATATGATTTACATACCATCCAAAGTTAAATAGAATTTTGTTAAACTTTGAATAAAACCTTCACAATTAAATACAATGGTTAGATTATAATTGGTTGATGGATTTAGATTGGTTAATAAAGTTGATGTTTTTGAATCCAATGTTGGAACGAGTACACCATTGATAAACAATGATCTGGTTGTTAAACTATCAATTCCATTACTAATATTAAAATTTAATTCAATAGTTGTAATCAATGGTTTACCATTTAATATTGGATCACTAATAGCTAAAAAAAAAAAAAAGGAATAAATAAATTAGTAAAATGAAAGATTAAACTGATCAATATATATATATTTATAGTTACATTTAAAAGTAGTAATAGATTGAGTGGTTGTTTGATCAAAGTTATCATTGTTGGCAACTACTTTGATGACATATTGAGTGTTTGGTAGGATATTGTTACTAATTAAACAAGATGATGCACCGACCAATGTTGGATAACAATTTGGTTCAGGTTGACCATTAAAGGTGACAGAGTAGACGGTGGCATTTGGTATACCATTGGCAACAGAGAAACTAACCAATATGGTCTTGGTGGTAGCTACCAATTGAACACTTGGTGATGTAATTCTTTGATAGAGTTGGACTTGTTTCGATCGGAGGGCAGATGATTTGATACCACCATTGCTTACATAGACATTGATCTTGTAGTTTGCATTGGCTTGGAGACCAGTGACGGTATACGTGGTAGAGGTAGTTGGAGGTTGATTGACAGGTGTAGTTGTATCATTATCAATTGATACAATATCAAATGAATATGATGTTGTACTAGTTGGTATACCTCCAATAGATGAATAATTAAATGTTATAGTTGAAGTTGTAAAACTAATAATATTAATTTCTGATACGATTGGTGCTAAAAGAAATGAAAAAAAATAAAAAAAAAGAATTTGTCAGTTGTGCTTGAACAACTCTCATCATTCATTCTTTCTTTCATTCACGTTCATACCAGAAGGCATAGTAAAGTAATCAGATTCGATTGGGTCCATTGAATCACCAAGTACGGACTGTGGATTTAAATAGGTTGCTCTAAACTTGATAGATTGACTTGGCGAGAGATTGTTGATGGTACAAGCAGTGCCACTGTTGATCGAAGCACATACAACAGAGTATTGGAGTGTACCTGATACATCGGTGGTAGCTTCGACCTTGATTGGAACAATAGGACCGGATGGAACAAAGTCGACTAGAATTGTAGCTTGCATGTAGGTGACTGGAACGAATTGGGTGATAGACAACTTCCAATTGGACAAGTAATATGCATTGAAAATGCTATAGGCATTGGGTACAGAACAACTTCTTTGTGGCATTACTTGTAGAGTTGTGTTGGCACAACCTCCATGCATCTCTAACATGACCGATGTAGAAGCCTGATTGACAACATTTAATATATCACCATTTGGTTGCAAGTTTATATCAAATCCAGCACTACATCTATTTGGTAATGTAACAAATGTTGCTGTTGATGGTCCATCTTGGCATACTCTAGAAAAAAAAGAAAAAGAAAAAAAGAAAACAAATAATTAATTAATTAGATCTATAGGTTTGATTTCTTTTACATACCCTCCATAAGAATATCTTTGGAAATAGACAATATTATTGGCAGGGTAAATTGAATTGGTAGTGGTAAGAGACCAACGGAATTGACCTAGAAAACAAGTACCAACAATATAGGGATTAGCCGATGAAGTACCTTGACAATTGGGATTGGTGTATCTCTGGTATTCAACTTGTGTTGCACTAATCTTTTTGACAATCACCGAAGCGGCACTATCTACTTGATAACAGGCACCAGTTACATAACTTGCATAACCGTAGGGTTGATTTGCACCACACCCAAATTGTACCAATGCATATTGAGCATTGACAGTGGTACTTGAAATATTTAATAACAATATTAAAATAGTAAAGAAAAAATATTTTATCATCTGTGATCACATGATCCCATGATAATTTGTTAGAAGAACAACAAAATGAAGATATTATTTATCTACATACAAAAAGTATACATACTTACTTTTTTTTTTTTTTTTTAACTCTATCTCTACTATCTCTAACTTGTCTATCTGTGTATGTATAAAAGAAAGAAAATAATAAGAGAATAGAGCCTTGATCGCGATCATTTAGAGAGAAGGAAAAAAGGAGATCATGTGAACTGGAAACTCAAGTTCCACTCGATCGAGTTTGCGCTCTACCCAAATATCTCCATGTTTTTGATCCTTTGAAACTCGTGCGCTCCCTCATAATGACCACTCGATTGTATGTATGTTCAAACACACGATGATCGTTCTTCTTTTAAGATATATCAATGTACCAATACTTGTTATAAATAAAACTACAACCTTGTTTATTATTATTTTTATGTGTTTAAAAAATTACAAGGATTGTTTGAAAATTGTGTGAAGGGGTATTATTGTATTATTATTATTGTATTATTATACTTATTATATTATTAATCGTTTATCATTTATCGTTAAAAAGAGCCGCATATCTATCTATCTATCTATCTATTATATTATTATTATTATTATTATGTGTTATTCTATTCATGTCCACCCATGAAATGATCCATTACTACACCAAACATTGCAAAACCTATACATCCACCAACTGCAGCTTTTGGACCAGCTGCAATCAATCAAAGAGAGAATTTAATGATTAGAAAGTGGATAAACAAACAAACTATATCTATATATTTCTTATATCTACATACCTTTACCAGCCAAGACAGCACCAGTAGCACAACCAGCATAAACCGAGTTTAATCTATCAGATCTACCTCTAGCCTTTTCTACAACACATTCAACACCTGTATACATGAGAGTGATGACAGCCATAGCCTTTGCACTTCTAACACCACTCTTTCCTTGTTCTTTGAAACCTTCGATGACTTGCTTCCACAATGGAGTAGGTTGACCGAGTGGTGGCTCGACCCAACCCGAGTTGGCAGAGAACAATGCACCAAACATGAAACCCATTGCACCACCCATGACACCTCCTCTAACTGAATGAGTGACACAGCTATTCATGATCAAGTCTTGCATTTCATTGACCGGTGCTATTTGTTTGATAAAAGGGATCACTGCAAACTTGTTCTTGTCTCTATCTAGAAACATCTCCATTCTAATCTTGTTTACTTGATCTCTAACCTCTTCAGCTGACATATTACTCATATCTTGATTTGGATCCATCTCTATATATCTCTCTTTCTCTCTCGATATATGTATATAAATATGAAATGATTATTATGTAATATATATTGTACAATCTGATATGATTAATAATAATCTTTTCGATGTGTAAAATTATTTTTTTTGCATTCGTCTGAATCGGTTACTGTGATGTCACATACATCATTATTATGCCCTGAAGTCAAAAGAGAGATAGATAGATAGAGAGGTTTATTTAAGAAAACATGTTTAAATGAAAATGTATTCAAATTATATTATATGTTTATCTAAAAAAGAAAGAAAGAAAGATATAGTATATGATCGATCATATAGTAATCTAATCTGAAACATGTTCAGCATCATATATCTTCTGATGTGTCTCTCCCTATGTTAATGTTATTTTCTATTAATAATGATTTATTAAATTTTAATAACAATCTCGTCGTTCAATTAATTGATATATAAATAAATGTTAAATGGATAAGATGGGTCTCACTTCACTTGGGAAAAATCCATCGAAAAAAAAGAGCACACAAAAAATTAAAAAATCTAGGTGTAGGGAACTCGACCATTTATGTAACACATTTATTCATCCACAAGCAACAAGTATATTTATATTTAGAAACAAAAGAAAGAGAGAAAGAGAGAGAGAGAGAGAGAGAGAGAGAGAGAGAAGTTCTATTATTTAGAAGTAGATTTGTTATTGATTGTTGGATTATTGATTCTCAAACAATGAATCCATTAATCAGTTCCAATTCACCCATCTCTACTTTGATATCGGCATCTTCACAGTTGGAGAGTCTACCTCTACTCATTCGTAGACTACCAATTGCTTTGTTATCAAATTTACAAGCAGCTGCCATATCTGATAATGTTGTCACTACTCTATTTGCTTGCATCAAACAACTTGAACTTGATGATGAAAAGAAGAACAAGTTGGCCATTACATATGTACCTACAGGCACTAGTTTATTTAGTGGTAAAGATTATGACTATCATAGTAGTAATGATAGTAATGGTTTAGAATCAACCATTGATATAATTAAATCAGCTACCACATCATCCTCTTCTTCTTCCCTATCATCATCCACTTCATCCCTTTTATCGTCGACGTCATATCAAGAATTAGAATTACCAAAACAAATATCAAGTCTAGTAGATATTGACAGATCATCATTACAATGGATTAGAGTTCAACCATCTGATAGTGTTTGTTCAACCGTTTCATTGTATTCAACCGAGAATGAATTATTACATTCCCTACCTGCACTATTGGCTTTTACCAATCATAGTAATAATCTAAACATTGTAACCATATTTAAAAAGTCGACAACAACCTCTACATCCCCAACTTCATCATTAAACCAACAACAAGAAAATATAAAGAAATTGGGATCACCTTTATGTATTATATATAATAATCAATTACAACAACATCAACAATCAATTGTTGGAAAAGAAGAAAGAATTGTTAATCAAATTAATAATAATAATCAATTGATTATTAATTCAATATCATTTGATATTAATCAATTATTATCTATTTTTAAAATTGATACAAGTATGTATAAAAAAAAAAGAAAGCTAAACAAAAGTAATAATTTTAACATTCTATCTTTTTTGTAGATGAATCAAAAAACATTGAAATTATAGAAAATGATAAAAAGATTATACTTTTAATAGAGGATTCAATTGTTGGAGTGATTGGAGTTAAACAATTAGATTGTAATTCCATTGTATTATATGCCGAAAGAAAGTTTACCATTTCAAAATACCAAAAACTAGTACCTGAACAAAGATTAATTAAAATGGTTGATAAATGGATATTCACACTTGACAAGGAAAATTCAATCATTTCTATTTTTAGTGTATCTGGTAGGCAAAGAGCTTTAATCAATTTAAAAGATTATTTAATTCAAAATAATAATAATATTGATTTAAATGGTAAATTAAGAAAAAAGAAAAAAAAAAGAAATAGAAGAAAAGAAAATTAAATTTTACTTTTTTAATCTCACTCTCTCTCTCTCTTTTAGATATTAAATTTAATGATTTTTCAATATCAAGTGATAAATCAACACTTGTTATTAAAGATGAAAATGATAGAATTTATATGATCATGTTGGATTATTATTTCCAAACTACAAGTCAACCTATATTCTCTTCAAGTCATATGGTGGAATTTAAAGATAAATCAACAACAAACCAAGAAGAAGAGGAACAAGAAGAAGAAGAGGAGGAAGAAGAAGAGGAAAGTTAGATTATGATGATCAAGAAGACCAAGAAGAATCATCTGAATCTTTATCAGATTCTGAAGATTCTATTATTTCATCAGATTTGGATGATTCATCAGATGATGATTTATTTTTAATGCATTGGTTTGAAACCAAAGGTAGTGGACGTTTACTAAAAGATACTCAAAAGGAATTTGATAGTGTTATATCATGGTTACCAAATCGTTCAATCAACTATCCAACCAATGGTTTTAAAGTAAACAAGAACCAAACTAAAACAATGTCTAGAGAAAACTCTTTTAATTCAATGATTAGATCTTCATCTTTTGCTGATCTTTTACAACAACAACAGCAACAACAATTTAATAATGAAGATGGTCAACTTCAACAACAACAACAACAATTAAATCAATCACAATCAATTCAATCTTCTACTTCTTTATTTAACTATAAATCAAATAGAGAAGATCAATTAAAACTTTGGGGTACAACGATAGATTATCAAATTGAAAAGAGATTGGATATTTTATCAAGTAACTTTTTGATTACACCACGTGTAATTATTTATCAAAGAAGTTTAAAGGAAAAGAGTGAAATTTATCTTTTCGATAGAAATGATCCAGTAAAGAAACAATTTTACCATTCCATCCCAGAAAAGATTACACGTGTATTTTATGGAAAAGATCAAAATTTATTCTATCTCTGCTCGTCTGGATTGAATATACTTTTGGTTGATCAAAATCAACAACAACTTTTAAACAATCTCATCATGTTTGAAGGAAGTAATAGTGCCAATCATTTGTGTGATTTGAATGGATGGAACAAGAGAGATTTAAAGATTCATGCACTTCACCTCGGTCTAAAGTATCGTCAATTGGAAGTGGTAGAACCAGCACTCAAATCATTGGACCACGATCAACAATTGGCAGGATCTCGATTATTGGTACATACTATATTGGAAAACACTGCAGTATCTTCCAATGCCAACGTTCACAATGAATCTTTTACAACCGAACTACTTCACATTGGTATGAATTTTATTGGTTTAATTATAAAGGATCGTGCCTCTAAATTGGATGATCAAAAGAATCAAGGAGGTATTTCAACTTTTAATTGGACTGAAACATTGACTACACCACTTTTACCAGCAACTGCAGTTAATGCTTCATCTACACCAAATACCAACATTCTTCTTTCCATCTTGTCACCTTCACAACAACCTACTTTACTTGCTTTGCAAGATGAAAATTCAAAAAATTCTCCTATTCACGATCTCTTACATTTTACAACTATATTGGAAGCATTTAGAATGTTTCAATGGCAACAACAAGTTGATAAATCTCAAGATAATCTTTATCAACAACAATATCAACAACAACAACAACAACAAACAGTACAACTTTATGATTCAGTTAATGATCAAATTACAGATTTGGAAATTGGTAATTTATTTTTCAAAGATGTTAAAGATCGTTGGTCAAAGATGGAAGAACTTCAAATTATCAAGGAATCTTTAAATAATAATACAATTACAACTGCTCTATCTTTTATTAATTGGAAACGTGAAAAAAACAAACAACAAGAAATAACAAATAATCAACAAGATGATGAAGATGATGATATTATATCATTAAAGGGAAAGATGTTTACATTGGAAGATTTTAAAAGAATAGCAGTTTGTTTTATTTATCAAACTATTAGTCAAGAAGAAATGGATATGACTATAAAATTGTTAAATAACCTTGGATTATCGGTGATTGAAAATTTAAAACAAATTACTTTGACCACCTCGAGAAGAAATATTCGTAAACTTGGTTTGGATACACTTGGACAGAGCGGTGGTAATCGATTCTATGATAGAGATTTGATTGAATTTTCAAATCTTTTAGAAAGATTATATCCAAATCCATCCTATTTTAGAGAATATTCAAAATTATCATTTAAATGGAGACCAATGATGGAAACTCGTCAACCATTATTATTTAATCAATTGTTAAATTATCAAAATAATAATAATATTTTGATTGAAGAGGAAAGATTAAAATCAACATGTCAAGAAGTTGATGATCTTTTAGCCAAGACTCAAGATTTGTATGGATTTCAAATTCTAAATCATAATATAAATAATAGTAATAATGCAACATTGAATATTTATAATTCTGGTCTATTGGGATCGATGCCAACCGTTGGAAATAATAATAATCTATTAAATAATATTAATAATAGTAATAATAATGATCGTATTATTATTAATCCACCAAATATTCAACAACAAATGGTAAATGATCATCATTCAATGTCATATGATGGATATAGTCATTTTACATTGGAATGGTTAAAGAAATGGTCAAATATTACAAGAGAAAGAATTTTATTGGAAAAGAATCATCAGTTGAATGAAAGAGACGTTGTAGCTCAATTCCTCTACTTTGCAAGTCACGTCAAGATTGAACCATTATTACAACTTATTGATCATCTTGAAGGTGATCAATTACAACAAATCATCAAAGTATTGAAACAAATGATTAAATTGTTACCAAACTTTTTAAGAGAAATCATTTTATCAAGATTCCTCATTAGACATCACATTGTTTTGGTAGAATGTGAATCTAGTGGACTCTTTTATCTAGAATCAAAACATCAAGACAAGGAAAATAATTTACGTATCCTTTATCGTTTGGCAACTACAAATCAATTATTTAATCGCGACCTAAGAGGTGATATAATGGTTAAATTTCATCCATTTTTTATTCAATTTTGTATTGAAAATAATCTGACTCTATTATTATCAAGTTATTTGGAATTTTATGATTTGGAAAAAAATCAAAAAAATAGATCAGAACAAGATCGATTATTAAAATTGCCATTACCAATTCAATTACTTTTCCTACTTCGAAGTCATCGTATCGAAGATTTGGTAGAATCAAATTTAATCAACAATTCAATGGTACTTGGTAAAAATCTTGGTTTGGTTAGAGATTTGGATCAATTTACATTGATGATTAATCATTCAATTGATCAAAATCGTCCATTATTGGCTTTATCATCAATTCTTTATTCCCCAATTCAATTTAAAAATCTAAATCACCTAAATCAAAGATTATTTAATCAATTGGAAATTGATTATCCTTTTTTAAAAACTTCATTATCACCTAAAAATCCCAATAATAATAATAATATGAATAGAAGAGATATAATATCAAATCAAAATGATATTTCATTATTTGAATTGATAAATAACAATTCATTATTTAATATTCAGAATCTATTGAATAATAGTAAATTGGAATTATTATCAAATCAATCATTTAGAGAAGGTTATATTGACAAGATTGATATATTTTATTATCTTGATCATGGTAGACCTTTTACTGCTTTTAAAGTTTTCAATCAACAAAAGCAAAAACAAAAAGATCTTGGAGAATATTCAAATATTCTAATTGGTTGGTTAATTAGACAATTTATCATTTCTCAAAAATTACAAAATCAAAAAACAATTGTCGCAAGTTTGGAATTTTTGGATTTATTGGGTTTATCAAGATTCTCTACCATTTTACGTTGTGACTTAAATATCCTTCAACAACTCCAATCATCAAATGAATTGATTGAATTATTTTTATCAATTTATCAATATCCAAGTTCAATGATCAACAACAATTTTAATTCAATTGCGATTCAAAAAATAATTCAATTGTTTTTTGAAACTTTATCAATGGATGAACCATTGATAGTTGGTGAAACATTACAATGGCAATTGTTGTCCAAGTTTTGTGATGCTCATGGTGTAGAAAAACAAACGAAACATTTGGAATATTTGGCTTTTAAAAATAATTGGATTCGTTTTATTTTTGAAATTCAATCTCAATCATTTGAATTACAACAAGTCGAGAAAATCATTCAATTATTTGGCAATGATGATATTAGAAATCATTTAATTATTATTTTCCAACAAATTCAAAAAACTAGAGACAATAATGAATTGAAAAGTCAAGATGATTCTATATTTAATTATTTAATAGAATCTATCGATAGTAATAGTGGTAAAGAATATTTATTAAATCAATCAATTAATGATAATAGACCTTTATTATCAATTTTGGCAAATTCTATTGATAGTAATGAAAATATTTCAACTATTCAATGTTTTATCATTTGGTTAAACAGAGAAATTAATAATATTAATAACAATAATAATAATAATGATTATTCAATTGTATGTATAGAAATATAATATAATAATAATAACAAAGTATTAATACTTTTTTTTTTTTTTTTTTTTTTTTAGGATTCATTAATTAATTTAATAATTGAATTGAAAAAATCAAGGAAAACATTATAATTTTACAAGGATTTAAAATATTTTATCCAAATTGTATATTATTTAATTTCTTGACATTTATATTACAATTTCAACAATATAGATTTGAAGAATCAGAGCAAAGTCTATTATTATTTATTCGAGATTTGGAAAATGATCAAATTCAATCCAATTTTCCAATAGAAAAGTCTTTGGTTAAAAAACAATCAATTCATATTTGTGAAAAAATCCTAGATGTACTATCAATTTATGAAAGAGAACATTTTTTGGAAATACTATCAAGATCAAATCTGGATGAAAACTTTTCAACATTATTTTCAACCTTTTCATTATTGAAACGTAATCAACAACAACAATCATTTGAATTTAATGTAAATCCAAAATTAATTGTTGAACAATTATTGACCAAATCAATGTTTGAAGAAGCAAGACAATATAGTATGGAAAATCATTTGGACAAGGATGTGGTTACCATTGCAGAAGTGGAATCTTTGGTCAATCATTACAAACAAGGTTGTTTATGGGAGATTGAACAAGAACGTATTAATCTTTGGAAAAAATGTCAACATTATTTTACATTGTATCAAACTGAACCACAAGTTGCAGGAAACTTTTATTATAGTCATGCTATTAAACTTTTCAATTCAAATGAAAAGGTTTATCTGTTATCTCTGACTATAGAATGGTTTGAAAAAATGAATATTCAAAATGATCAAGAATTTAAATTATTATTGGAAGATTTGAAAAAACAAATCTTATTAATTTCTGTTGGTCTATCTTTGGAAAATGATAAAAAACAGAACAGTAGTAATAATAATAATAATAATGGTAATTTATTATATTCAAATTCAAATTCAAATTCAAATTCAGTTTCACCACTTTCTTCACCATTTAAACCACCAAATGGAACAAGTACATTAAACTATAGTACAAATAATTATTTCCGTTCTCCATCTTCTTCTCTTTCTTCTTCTCCAACTGAATCTTTTAATTTTAATAATTTTTCTTCTCCTTTTAAACCAAGAAATATAAATAATATTAATAATAATAATAATAATAATAGAGAAGAATCAATTATAGAAAATAATTATTTATCATCACATCCATTAAATAATTTAAAAGAAGAAAAGGATAATAATTTTTCAAATCCAAAAGGATTAGATAATGTATTGGCAAAATTATTAAATAATGGAAATTACTCGCAAGCAATGGAAATATCAAAACAATTTAATTTTAAATCTATAGATTATGAAATTATATTTTTCATGTTGTCTGTAGCCAGTAAAAAAATTGCACCTTTACCAACTTTTATACCATCAAATATTTTAACCATTGTACAACAAAATTTTAATGGTATTAAATGGTTAAATGAACTTCAACAACAACAACAACAACAACAACTGTCAATGTCCCAAAACCTTTCAGATAATAGTTTAATTTTAAATCTTTTGGATATATTATGTAGTTGTTGTCAAACTACAACTTCGGCAGCAAAAACGATTATAACAAAATTCAATGTTTGTCAAACATTGTTTATGGATTTTAATGATCCTCAATTGGATAATCATTATGATATTTTAAATTTATTATTACTTTCAGGTGGTAAAGATAGTTTTAGATTGGTAAAACAATTTATCATTTTAAATCATTTAAATTTTTCAATAGTCAATCAACAATTGGTAGATTTATTTTTAAAATCTCTTAATCAAAATAACAATCAAAGTAATTGGTCATTATCTTCTTCATCCAACTCCAACTCTTTTGATTCAAAGATTGATATAAATTGGACATCTGAAGAATTTCATGAATATATTAGATTAGGTAAAGATCCTTTTACCTTTGGTATGAAATTATTGGAATCTTTAGATATCGATGTTGAAAAGTATCAATCAACCAATTCACCAATCATTTCTGGTGAAAATTCCTCTTCCTCTTCATCCTCTTCAGATGCAATTTCAGTAGAAATATTTATTAGAGCTCATTTTTGTTTTGTAATTGGATGTAGTGTAGATGGAACGATAATGGTATTAAATATTGTAAAGAGTCGTATACAATATTATGCTAGCAAGGGAGAATATAAATTATTGGTTCGTTTGGTTACTGGTATGCAATCTTATAATGAATTGCAAGGTATTTTGGATATCCTATTACAACATGATCAATTTGAATTGTTGTTGCGTAAAAAGATTCATCAACATGAAGATCATAATGGACTTAAATTGGCATTACATAGTTATTTACTCAAAAAACAACCACTCTATCAAGAGAAATTGGAAATGCTCTTTTTACGTTTTAAAATGTATCGTGAAATTGCAGCCTCTCATGAACACAAGGCAAAACAATTATTGGAAAGTCTCAATATTCCTCCTAGTAAGGAACTGTCAAAACCATCATCTCCTATTGCTCAACAATATATTAAAGATCTTTTAAATATAATGAGAGAATTTATGGATGCTTCAGACAATTATGCAAAAGAACGTAGTAACAAGACATCACAGGTATGCGTGTCGATGGGTATTTTGGTTGCTGCTCAAATTAAAAATTTGGATATTCGTATACTCAATTTAAAACAATCAGATGCTCGTCTATTAATGCAATCTCGTGGAAACTTTAGAGATGGCCTAATCATTGCAAATGCCTATAATTTAAATAATTATACAGAATGGTTAAATGTTATTTTTAATCAATTTTTGGTTCTCGCAAATTTTAATTATCTTTCAGATTATTTAAATAATTTCTCAAGTAACATTAATTTATATCATGATTTAATTAAAAAGGTAAAAAATAGAAAAAGAAAAAAAAAAAAAAAAGAAAAAATAGAAAAAAAGAAAAAAGTTCTAATTTATTTATTTTTTATTATCTCTAGTATAAATCAAATTCACCAGAAAATCAAATATTGATAAAATCTGTAAAAGTTTTAAATGTTAAACATTTATTAAATCATTTTGTTTTGGATCGTACTATGCGTTATGAATTGGCTATGATTTGTCAATTTGATGATATCGTTCAGTCAAATAAATCTCTAGTTAAATAAATAAAATTAAATTAACACATTAATAACATTTACCACACCGTCACAAATTTGATCCCAGTACTCCCAACCGTTAACAACCCCCATTGTATACGAGACTTTTAGCCGTTTTTAGGTTTTTTGTCTAAAACTTTTTTCATACTCTCAGGTTTTTCAAATAAAAAAACAACTGAATTTCATACACACTACTAAGGAGCTCCACCACTGTTTCATCAGATTCTAATAAAACATCAGTTGATCAATTTAAATTAATTATAGAATAATTTTAAAATAAATATTATTCTTTGATCCAAAGGTTAGGTTACCACCATAGAGCATTTATAAGCAGAATTGAATTTGTGTTTCATTCATATCCTTTTTACTCTCTCGTTTAAATAATAATAATTTTCTAGATTTCTCTCTCTTTCTTTCCTTCTTTCTTAAAAAATGCATAAACCAAATTTACTTGTACTTATTTTAATTGGAATTGCATGGGTAATGCTCATTATCTCATTTAGTAGTTATTGGTATTACGCTGGATCAAAATCTTCATCTGATAACTATTCTTTTTCTTATTTCAAGGTACCTTAAATCAAAACTATTTGATAAAAATATATTTTCTAATTAAAATATTCTGTTTTTTCTATCTCTATTTATTTTTCTATTTATATTTAGCATGATGGAGTTAGAACAGAATGGAAATTTGGTGATAATAGTGGTTCATCATTTAGTTCTTATTCAAGTGCCCAAAAGGATGCTGCTAAAAATGAACTCTCTCTTTATAGAGCATCACTCAGTTTTACTGTTATCGCTTGGATTGTTTTATCGGCCACTATCCTTTTCGTAGTACTTTCATTGTTTGGTATCCTCTCCAAGATTCCATTGCTTCCAACCATCACTAAATTATTGCCAATTGCAGGTTTTGTTTTGTGTTGTTTGGCTCTTTTCATCTTTGTCGGTCTTCCTGATGCTAGAAGTAAGTGATAATATAATATTCAATACAATCTATTTAAATGATGATGTATACTAATAATTTTTTTTATATTTTTCTATAATTTAATCTAGAGAGAGATTGTAAGAGAAATGGAAGTGATTCTTTCTGTGACAGTCAAGCCGATGATCACAAATTTGACTTTGTCTATCACAATGATAACTATAGACAATCTCCATGGTTGTCGTGGGCCACTATTGTTGTTGCCTCTGCTTTTTGTCTTGGTGGTGCTATAGTTGGTGTCATTTCGGGAAGTTATTAAACAAATAATAATGTTTATTTATTTATTTTTATTTATTACTATACGCGATTTGAATTCAAAATAACAAATCATTTAAACCGATCAATCAATCAATCGTCAATATATAAATGTATTGACGACGATGATTTGATTGGGATATAATATTATTCTTTAATAAAGATACTTGTACTTTATTTTTAAAAGAGTGTGGAAACAAACACTCAGGGACTATTATTATAGCCAGAGTCAAGGTTCCGATAATCGCGTTGTCTCTCAGAGTTATCCAAAATAGGCAATTCAAATTCTCATCATCTCTAAGAGGTATTCCCACTTTCATGCTGTTCACTCTCCCTCGCTACGGCCATACACACCATCTGATTAGATTTGAACTCAACACACAATTGTATAAACACCACCTCTTATTTTTTTTTGCTAAAACACAAAAAATAATATTTTAAAACAGTATCCATTTTAAGTTTGGGTGTATTTTATTACAACAACGAACCATTGATTGTTTTTTTTACCATTTGTATTTATCATATGGTGGAATAGATTGTCGCTATCACTTGATTGATCGCCAAAGTTGTTGATGACAATTTAAAGTAGCAGGATCATTATGCACCAGTTGATCAGTAGATCATCAAACAAACTGAATCATTCTATCATTGGTATAATCAATCAACTACAGATATGGATATCATTCCATTTTTAAACAAAAGGAAAGTTGTTGATTAAAAAGGTAATGCCCCTCTATCATTCTCTTCTTTATCAGAAGTAGTTTAAAAATGGTAATCATTGGAATATTATCATTTACCAAAGCGAGTAGATGCTTTAAAATGGTAATCATTGGAATGTTATCATTACCCAAAACTAGAACATGTTTAAAAATGGTAATTATCAACTATCAGTTCACCAATATTGATTATTGGCGCTCATCCTCTTCATGCAACCGTTTAGTATAAATAGAGCAACTTTCGATTCATTATTTAAATCACAAATCAAAACAATCAACAGTTTAACAACTAATTAAATTCACAACAACTACCATACACACTAATAATAATAATAATATTAAAAAATGGCAATTGAAATCATCAACTTTAACCAACTCATCCAAAGACAATCTTTGGATAGATTCCCAACCACTCTATTCCCAACCAACTATTTCTACATTGCTTTTTGTATCATTGTTTTCTTATATACCATCCAAAAGCGTGACAAGAAGTCATCAAGTCGCTTTATGGAAATACTCTCATCCAATCAATCAATCAGTATTTTAGAAATCAACTTTAACAATCGTATTGTTAAATCCAACAATAGTTCAGTATCACTCGAACAATTCTGCCAATCATACCTCATCGACTCAATCACCCTCCAAAATAATATCATCTCATCAATGAATCAATTTTCTCCAAGTGACGTTCAAATCAAGAGCAAGAGCTGCTCTTCCTATTACCGTCTCACTGGAAAGTATGATGCTGCCACCAGTGTCTTCCAAGGAATCATGATTGACAACAGCCAAGAAAAACAACAACTCAAGAAGCTCAAGAACACCTTGACTCACGATGCACTCACCGGTCTCCAAAATAGATACCACCTCAACAACAAGATTCAAAAGTTATGTGCCAAGTTTTCATCAGACCAATGCTCAATCTATTTCATCGACCTCATCAAATTCAAACAAATCAACGATACTCATGGACACGACAATGGTGATGTTGTCCTCAGATCAGTTGCCGATCGTTTCCAACAATTCGCCGACGAATCAGTTCTCCCAGTCCGCCTTTCTGGCGATGAATTCCTCATTGTCAAACGCAATGTAGAATCAAACACACAAGCTGATCAATTCATTTCCAGCTACCTCTCACGTGTCCAATGCGACACTGTCCAACTCAACAACTCAAACTTCAATTCAAAGTAACTCTTTCCCTTTGGAGGTGTTGTATTCAACAAATCACAATCAACTCAAACCGACAAGTTGATTAAATGTGCCGATGAAAGAATGTACCAAATGAAGAAGAACCTTTTACCAAACGGCAATGCTTCCGTTACCTTTACCGATATTTAAATTAATAAATATTAATTAACTAAAAAAAAAGTAGTGTACTTTTTTTTTTCTAAACACCTAATATACTTGTCTTGTCTTCTTCTTCTTCTTCTTAATAATAATTGTCTTCTTTATTCTTTTTATATAAATATAAAAGTGCCAACAACAAAGTGATTATTAAAAATAAAAGTTAAAAATCATTTAAGATAACTTTTGAAAAAACTAGTATCCATAGTTGATCATCTCTCTCTCTCTCTCTAGTTAGTTAGTTCTGATTAAACTAGTGTACACAATTCTCATGGTTGGACCATTGAGCTAAAGAGTTGATGCACACTCATCTCCTCTCCTCTTCTTAATCAAGCAATCAATCAATCAATCAATCATGACAGCACCCACATAGTTTAAGTGAACTTGCAACACACTCTGCAGCTGCTGCTTAGTGCACTCTTTTGTTAGAGTGTGTGTCAGTGTGTGACAGACAGCCAATGAACATCAAATTTAATTGGGTGCGTTCATTGCATTCCTTTTTTAGTCAAACTCGTTTAAGACGACAGACTGTGAGACAGCACCCCCCCACCCACCAAGTCATCATCATCATCCAGCAATGAAAATTAATTATGCGCATCAGATATATAATTATAAACCCCCACTACCCACACAAACTAACAAATATTAATAATATTTAAATAATTACCGAGTGTTTCTTGGTATCCCCTAACCAACCTTCTCACTCTCTCTCATACTCTATATTATCCACTGATCATCCATTTTATTTCTTTTATGAAACTTGTTTCAAAAATCGTATGATATACAGATAATAATAGTGTCCTACTATTATCTCTCTCTCTCTCTCTCTTTTACCTTCTCTATACTCAAACTCTTAAACTTTAATTAACCATTTAACAAATTTCTCTTATTTTTATTTTTTTCTTTTCTACTTACCTTCCATCTAACTATAGTCTTACAGCAACACAATCATTACTACTACTACCTATCAACAATTAAAAATCAATCATTTATTTTACATTCATTATCCAATCATGAACCCATTAATTATTATCTTTATTTTGTGTATCCTTGTATCATCTGTTTTTGCCAATTTGTCTTGCAACAACCAATATGTCTTTGTCAACGACACCAACTCATTGTCATCATCTTTTTCATTGTTCAACCATGTTGAACAACAATCAAATATCATCCAAAATAAAAATATTTCTTTGTCTATGATGATGCAGCCATCATCCGTTTCATTGGCATCTTTTAATCATTTTGAACATCCAATCATTCTTAACAAAAAAAAAAACAACAAAAACAACATCAACTACAATAATAATATTAACAGTAATAATAATAACGATATCCATTCATCTATTTCACAAACCCAATTTGATTCAAATCATATTGTTTCTCAATGTCATTTACCATCAAACCATACTTTTATTCCTGTCTATAACAATAACAAAAACAACAACAAAAATAATAATAATAATAATTTATCTTTTAATCCATCAATTTCAATTCCTTTTAATGTTTTGTCCCAATCCCATTTCCAGTTACCCTTTAATCACTCAACCAACAACCATATTATTTTCTATGACGACCAAGAGGAAGAGGAAGAGTATGTTCAATTGAACAGCAACAGCAGCAACAACACCACAATCTCATGTTTCAACCATGTTGAACATCAATTAATTTCCATCAAATATCCATTGCCAATTAGCAGTTTTCCATCGTTTTCACACAATATTCACTTTAACTCAAGCCATGTTTTGTTTATCTCAAATCATTCAACACCCAAAAACCATATTATTTTAGAGGAGGAGGAGGACTTCAACAACAGTCCAATTTCAATTTGGTGTTTCAATGTTAACCATCAATCAAATCTCATCTTAGAGGAGGAGGAGTCTGTTCAATTGAACAGCAACAGCAATACAATCTCATTTTCATATTTCAACCAATCAATTCCCATAGATAATAATAATAATAATAATAATATCTCATTCTTCAATGACCATCAATCATCGATTCCATGTTTTAAATCTAGTGATATTTTAACTCATTCAACAACCAACAACCACATTTTTTTAGACAAGGAGGAGGAGTTTGTTCAATTGAACAACAGCAGCAAAAGCACACATGCATTAACATGTTTAGACCCATGTTAAACATCAATCAATTCCAATTAGTAATCAATCAAATAATAATAATAATAATAATAACTATTTTTCATTAATTCATTCATCATTATTATTGATTTCACCTATTCCATTTTCATCTGATTATTTTAACTCTTCAAACAAATCCACATCATCATCAACATTATATATATTATCAAATACAATCAATTCAACAATATCAAAGACAAGCCCATTTTCAAGATACTCCAGCAACATCTCAAGAATAGTTGATAATTTATTATAAATTTACTGACTCTTTTTCTTTTTATTTTATAGGTACACTAATCATTATTCTCTTCAACTCTTTTGGTAATAACAACGTCTTAATAATACAACAATAATAATATTAATAATAATAATAAAATAATAAAACAACAACAACAATAATAATAATAATAATAATAATAATACAACAATAATAACAACAATAATAATAATAATTTCAACAACCAACAACACTCACTAATAATAATAATAATAATTACAACAATAACTAATAATTATAATATTAATAATAATTACAACAACAAGCAATTACAATCCTCTTCTTTTCTAAAAAAAGATATTCAATTACTTTTACCCAAGTGGTTTCCCTCTCTTCCTACTCTTTTCTTTTTATACATTTTCCGTTGTCCAGTCCATCCATGTTCCACGTTTCCCTAGGCTTTTATACCCAAAAAAGATATTCAATTACTTTTACCCAAGTGGTTTCCTTTACAAAAAGATATTCAATTACTTCACCCAGAGGGTTTCCCAGGTTCGCCCCCGTGTAAGTCGATTTTCTTCGCATTGGGAGGCTTTTTTTTTTTTTGGACTGTTCCCATGGTCTAAACAACCATGGGAACAACCAAAACTATATTTTTCTATTTCTTTCTTTCTCTTTTTTCCCTCTCTTTTTTTATTTCTTATTTTTTATTTATTATTTATTTATTAATTCTTTTTACCCGCCAAATCAATATTATTTTTCTGATGAATTTAAAATTAATTCATCAGAATTTGTAATAATTATTTGTAACAAATATTTGTGACACTACAACTATAGCAATATGTGTCTTTATAAAGGTGTGCATCCAAAGATGGTTTATGGGTTTGTAACTTTAATTTATTAAAATTAAAACTTTTAAAATACAAATAAAAAAGCAACCACACCACTTCACCAACTCTGACTTTATCATTTATTATTTTATTTTTCTTGTATTTATAATTATTCATCACTTGTTACTCACAACCATATCAATATATATTCATACATATATATATATCTATATATTATCTACAGATAGAGATATCTAGTTGAGTACTCGAGGTGGATAGAAATCTATGATGATATTTTAGAGTATCAGCAATGTACTATTGTCGATAAATGATAGATTATGGTGGATGATAGTTACTATTAGATCCTCTGTCATCCTCTATCCACCATCTACCATCCACCATCAATCATCCACCCTCTATTCACTGGTTGATTATCGTCAGCCATCCGTCTTCTCCAATCCAGCCACCATTGCGCATATTCAACCATCGTCCATTGTACGAAACACCGCCAAAAAGTGGAAAATCAAGAATGGTTCATGTTTTATTGGGATCGATGGGTTCGTGAATGTTCATTTGAATGATGGACCAATGAAAAAATAGAATCACCAAAGTCCAACTTTGTATATCGTATTATTATTTTATTGACAACTAGTTGGGGGTTTGATTATAATGATTGTTCAAAGAAACCAAAAAAATTAAATATCTTTTAAAATATAATTAAATCTAAGACTTATTTCTATCTCATTCAATTCACCTCTATACATCCACCAACCATCCATTTTCCCAATCCACTATCCTCTATCCATCCTCTATCCACCATTCATCCATCCTCTACCCTCTATCCATCCATCCATCCATCCATCCATCCATCCTCTATCCATCTGTCCATCCTCTATCCTCTATCCTCTATCCATCCATCCATTCTCTATCCATCCATCCATCCATCATCTATCCATCCTCTATCCATCCACCATGCATCCTCTTTAATAGAGCCAACAATAATTAATAATTAAAAAATATATCATAACTCTTTTCTTTGGAGGTGTTGTATTCAACAAAGATAGAGTGTCACAAATTAGTCTAGCATAGAACTGGGAGTTGCATTGAAATATTAGATGTTCCATAGTAACAAAAATCAGGGACGTCAAATTTAATGATTCGATGTGTTGAAGTATTGATCATCAGGAATGGGCGAATTTAATTCATTTCAACTACCCAATTCATTCGATTATTGTTACCATCAATCAACTACAGATATGGATATCATTTCATTCTCAAAAATAATCGACAGTTCCATGTTTTATCAGGAAGAAGTACCGTTACCTTTACCGATATTTAAATTAATAAATATTAACTAACTAAAAAAAAAAAAAAGTAGTGCAAAACAAAAAAATTAGTATTTTTATATTTTGACTGTGAACATACACAAACTATTCTATTAATAATGACTACAACAATAATTACATTTCAATCTATATATAGAATGAAATACATTAGACAATTGATATTCAATCATATCAATGATATATCAAATCAATTGTACAAAGGCAGTATTTTTGATGGTAGGGAGCGATCATCAAAAGGAAGAGATATCATCAAGTTAACATTACCTCGTCTTGAAATGGTATCAAGGTTTGCAATGCCATGGAGCTATATTCGTCATTATCTACCAACAGATGTTGATCAAATAACATTCAAACAAAGAAAAAGAGCGATTACTCAATACTGTCAACATCATAATGCAACATTGGATACACTCCATCATCTATTGGAATGGTCTCCAGTCGTTCAAATTGAATGGCAGTACTTGAAAAGCAATGGTTGTGATATAAGAAATAAAGAGATATTGGAATATCTCATCAAGAGGTGTGGAGATTCGTCGAATGACTTTCTTGTTTGGGCAATGAACAGCGCGATAAATAATGGATATCTCTCGACCGTCAAATTGATAGGCTCTTACGATGGTTTAAAACTAGATAAAACAACAATGGACAGAGCTGCTAGAGTATCAATTGAAATTGTAAAGTATTTACACGAGAATAGAACTGAAGAGTTGTAGTCATTATGCCATGGTAAGAATTAATTGAAAAAAAAAAAAAGAAAGAAAGAAATTACTAATTATAAATCTTTTTCTAATATTATTTAATGATTGATGTAGGACAATGCCGCAAGTAATGGTCGTTTGGATATTGTAAAGGTTAGTCTCATGAGATACATTAATATACAATTTAAAGAAATGTTTCAATATTAACAACATCATTTTTTAAAAAATAATAGTTTCTTCATTTTAATAGAACTGAAGGTTGTTCAAAGAATGCTATGGATAATGCAGCTACGAATGGCCATTTAGAGATTGTCAAAGTATGTATTTTAACATCAAAATCAACCAACCAATTAATCAATCAATCATCATAAATAATAACACAATAAATTTTCTTTCTTTATCAAAGTTCTTACATGAACATCGTCAAGAAGGATGCAACAAAGTGGCTATGGATCATGCCTCAAGAAAAGGCCACTTGAATGTGGTCAGATATCTTCATGAGCATCGTAGTGAAGGTGCAACGAGCAGTGCTATGGATTGGGCAGCTTGCAATAAACACATTGAAGTTGTCAAAGTAAGTATTCCAAAGACTGACAAATAATTTTATTTATTTATTTGGTTCCTTATTATATAGTTTTTACACTTTAATCGAAGTGAAAGTTGCCCGAAAAGGACTATTCGAAATGCTTGTCGTAGTGGGCTGCTTGAAATAGCATCTTTTCTCATCAATGTTAGAAAAGAGAAATGTGATGTAAAGGTACTTATGGCCGCATCAACTAGTGGGCTCTATGATATTGTCAAATCGATTCTCGAGCAGTATGGCGATCAAATAGGAATAGAATCAATTGAAAATGTCATTCAACAAATGATTACTAGTACTAGTACGAGTCCTCATTCCGAAATCATTCAATTACTCGAAATTCATTTGAAGCAGCAGCAGAGAGATCATCAATAATAATTATAGGCCACAAACCATTGCTTTTGATTTTATCAAGATAGTCTTTATCAATACCAACCCGTATATCTGGTATGTACCATTTTACCGAGTGAGATAGGGGACAAGTTGGCAATCACATATAATAGTAGCGTTTCTGTTTATTCCTAAATAAGCAATTTAGATTAATTATTCCACCCCCCTCATACTTGCTCCCTCCCTCTCTTTTGCACACATCCACCGATTTTTGAACTTACCACAATTTCAATAGTATTAACACCAATCCCCCTCTTTTTTTTTTGCTAAAACTAAAACAGTTTCCATTTTAAGTTTGGGTGTATTTTAAAACAACAACGAATCATTCATTGTTTTAAAAATCTGTATTGCTAAGTATATCGATCGACGCCTTGATCAATAGTTTTTTTCTCCCAATCAAATGGTGGATGGGAAGGATACATTGTAATTATCGCCTGAAAGATCTGTGCCAATTGTAGTTGATGACAGTTTTGGAGTAGAATAATCAATCATCATCAGGCATTGGAGATCATTTCAACTACACAATTCATCAATCATTGTTATCATCAAAGTAGGATGAAAATGGTAATCATTGGAATATTATCATTTACCAAAGCGAGTAGATGCTTTAAAATGGTAATCATTGGAATATTATCATTACCCAAAACTAGTAGATGTTTAAAAATGGTAATTATAATCAAGTTCGCTATTATAATTGAATTAAATATTAATTTGCTCATCCTTCCTTTTATAGTGCAACCGTTTAGTATAAATAGAGCAACTTTCGATTCATTATTTAAATCACAAATCAAAACAAATCACAGCTTAAACACTAATTAAATTCACCACACTACCATACACACTAATAATAATATTAAAAAATGGCAATTGAAATCATCAACTTTAACCAACTCATCCAAAGACAATCTTTGGATAGATTCCCAACCACTCTATTCCAACCAACTATTTCTACATTGCTTTTTGTATCATTGTTTTCTTATATACCATCCAAAAGCGTGACAAGAAATCATCAAGTCGCTTTATGGAAATACTCTCATCCAATCAATCAATCAGTATTTTAGAAATCAACTTTAACAATCGTATTGTTAAATCCAACAATAGCTCAGTATCACTCGAACAATTCTGTCAATCATACCTCATCGACTCAATCACCCTCCAAAATAATATCATCTCATCAATGAATCAATTCTCTCCAAGTGACGTTCAAATCAAGAGCAAGAGCTGCTCTTCCTATTACCGTCTCACTGGAAAGTATGATGCCTCGACCAGTGTCTTCCAAGGAATCATGATTGACAACAGCCAAGAAAAACAACAACTCAAGAAGCTCAAGAACACCTTGACTCACGATGCACTCACCGGTCTCCAAAATAGATACCACCTCAACAACAAGATTCAAAAGTTTTGTGCCAAGTCTTCATCAGACCAATGCTCAATCTATTTCATCGACCTCAACAAATTCAAACAAATCAACGATACTCATGGACACGACAATGGTGATGTTGTCCTCAGATCAGTTGCCGATCGTTTCCAACAATTCGCCGACGAATCAGTTCTCCCAATCCGCCTTTCTGGCGACGAATTCCTCATTGTCAAACGCAATGTAGAATCAAACACACAAGCTGACCAATTCATTTCCAGCTACCTCTCAAGTGTCCAATGCGACACTGTCCAACTCAACAACTCAACCTCAATCAAAGTAACTCTTTCCTTTGGAGGTGTTGTATTCAACAAATCACAATCAACTCAAACCGACAAGTTGATTAAATGTGCCGATGAAAGAATGTACCAAATGAAAAAGAACCTTTTACCAAACGGCAATGCTACCGTTACCTTTACTGCTTAAATTAATAAATATTAATTAACAAAAAAAAAAAGTAGTGTACTTTTTTTTTAACAACCCTAAAACCTCTTATAGTTTGTTGTGAATATAAATATAATTAAAAGATTTATATTTGATAACAATAATCCAGTCTTATAATTATTTTAGTTATAATGCAATAAAGGAGGTTGTTAAAATTGGTTTACCGGAGACTTAAAGTGTAAAAATTCTCTTCTGGTTCTCTTAAACTTTTGTGAAAATACTGGAGACTTTAGAGTTTGTCTTTCACCATTGACCAACTTGATGACAAGGAATTCCTTGAGTTCAGATGGGTGTAAAGGAATGATACTTGGGGAAAGATGGATCAAAGTCGATGAACTTATCGCGACAAGACACTGAGAAAAGGTCGAGGATTTGCGGGTGGCGATAACGTCTTGTCATACTCGAGGCAAAGATGTGGTTAAAGTTTGATTTACAGATGAAAGGGTCAAATGGAGTCGATCACTCTTTGAATACTATCATGACAATGTCATTGCCAAGATGACGTTTACGGTCGATTTGTTGCTCCTTGTATGGAATCTTGGCAGAGGTGTGAAATATGAGCTCATAGTCTCGCCAACAACGATAGATTGGGTGTGAACCAGTCATATTGTCACGAATGTCGAGACCACCTCTGACAACAAAGACTAGAAGGTGAATCCACTTCACCTGCTTTTTCCTCAAAACCACTATTATCTTGAATGTAATCATGGGTTTCTTGAGTATTGTTGAGGAATTCAACTCTTCATCAAATTACTTTCACTAAAACAAGAACCATCGTGTAATTGGCATCACTAGAGTATAAGAGCAAAATAAGTCAGAGAACACTTGTAACACCTATCTGTAACGTACATTGATCATCGGTATTCATCTTGTATTGCCATAGCTCTTTTAATGTCTTTTAATACATAAATAAAAGTTGTTGCCAAAAAAAAAAAAAAAAAAAGTGAACCAACAAAAGATTAATTAAAACCAATGTAATTTATTTAGTATTAAATAGATAAAAATATTAATTCATTACCACGACAACTGAATTTGTTGAAGGGAGGTCAGCAACAACCTGATTATTATTTATAAAAGAATAAAATAAAAAAATAGGTTTGTTTTTTTTGGTTTTTTAACCTTTGCCAATATGAATCAAGTTTATTTCACCTCTATGTATTAAGCTTATATCGACCATCTATAAAACTTATCTGTAAGTTTGTTCTTTATGGAACCCGACAAGGAGCTGTTTTTTATGCCCTCAATACCATTCTTTTTGCTTCATTTTGGCACTTCCTTTTGTTCTTTTTCTTGAGGGGTATTGAGTCATTATGACTTGCAGTTGGTGATTGATTATTTTCGCAATGGTAAAAAAAAAAAGGATTGGTGGTTGTGGTGGTGTAGTATTTTTCCTCACAAAACTTCCACCTTTTATTTATTTTTTGGTCAGATTGATCATTTTATACTCTGGTTCTGTCCAAAATCAATGGGAGTTGGATAAATCGATAGCGGCAACCGAGATGGTTGCAATGGTGCCAAAATGAAGCAATAAGAATGGTATTGAGGGTATAAAAAACAGCTCCTTGTCGGGTTCGAACCGGCGACTTTTTCCTTACGAGGGAAACATCATAACCACTAGATCAAAGGAGCCTAGAATTTTCTTGAAATTCTGCTGGTTTACACCAATATGGTCCAAATGAGCTTGTAATCGTTACCAAATTAAACAAATGTAATATCAATTTTGACAACAAAAAATAAATAAAGGTGGGGGAGGGGTTGTTTTTTCCCTCAGTGTTGGTGCTTTATTTCTCTAAATTTGGACACGCAATAAACTTCAAATCTGAAAAAACAAAAAACACTACAAACAAAACACAAGTATCTGTTCCATGTAAATCAATTGATTAACATCTACGCACTTCTTGAGGTGTATCTTTAACTCTTGTTCTGGTTAAATAAAACATTTTCATCTCCGAGTGAGCAGTTCCCTTCCAGATGGGAGGATGCCACCAAAAGTGATACTAGCTAAAACGATTTTTTATCAATCCATTGGAGAAGTATCATCAATGAGTTGAATTGTTCATCACGTAAATGAGGACGAAGAAGATTTTACGAGATTGAGCAGTTTACCTCCAAAAAAAGAGAATCTTTTGATTCATATCCAGAAATGTTTCTTGATAGAGTTTGAGGCAATCCAACCAATCTTCCATACCCACTGAGGACAAAGAAGGGGGATAACTTTGCTACTACTTTAATCAATTTGGTTTGGTACCGTACCACCTTCCATAGCGTATTGATAAAGTAATCGACGATTTAAACCTAAACGCAACAATAACTAAGAGGTAAATTAGCTTTATTCTCGGAACGTATGAGCTGTCAAAATTAAATGATTTCACGCACCTTGAATCACCCAGTCACTAGGCAATCACCAGATAGGAAAAGGTTATTGATTGGTTCAAGTACCACCCATCCAGAGAGTAAAAAGAACCATATCCAAGAAACGCTCAATCGGGAGTAGCCTTTAACAATTCATCTCCACGTGATTACTTTTCTGGTACTGCCAATGATTTTAAGAAATCATCAACTATCTTATATCATTCTCCTTCAATTGTCTAAACAAAAAGAATGAAAAAGTGAATAAACATGATGATGTATTATTTGTATATTTATGTATATATTTATCTACATACAGCAGTTACAAACTTATCAAATGCTTCCTTTTGACGTTTTAAAATGGTTAGACTCTTTTCTTCTTCCATTAAAGTGGTTCCACCAATAGAAGAGTTGATGCAAGTGCTCATTTGCATATCTATTTGAAACTAAAATAATTAAAAAGTAAAGAAAAGTATAAGTACTTTTTCTCTTTCTATTCTATTCTATATCTTGCTTACAAGTTCTGGTAGCTTCCCCTTGTAACAGGTTTCTTGATCTGTTAAACATTCTTTCTTTAGAAGGAGTAAAACCATGGACCAACTCAACCATGACTGAGCGAATGATACCTTCATTTCTTGACCTCGTGGACAAACTCAACCATACAAACCAAACGACTTCCTGCGTCATCTGCCGCAGTGAGTGGAGAAGATGACTCAACCAGAGGCAGCGAGTCTGTAATAAACGAAAAATGGAACAACGTATGTATGACCCATCCCCAATGGCCAAAAGATTCTAGCAACCGACAACCGAGTATATCCAATGAATGCGTTAGCTGCGCTCACCACGATCGTGCTACCAAAAGGGACGAGATTTGGTTTGGAGGTATGTAACCATGTCTCCCGGGAGCGCTCGTCAGGTGTGACCCAGTCGCTTCCATTTGTGTATCGTGTGGTCAAAGAATCGTCCAAGCATCTATTATTTCAATGTAAAAGAGACTGCGCTACCGTCAGTGAAGATATTGAAAGAAGTTGCTACTGCCAACAATATTACACCACCAGATCGGGACACGCTCCTCAACCTCAAACAATCGATATCTCCAACCAATTAATTGGTTGCTGCTACACTCGAACGGTTCCGACGTAACTAACGATCTATGTCACCAGAGAGAGATGAACAATTGCGAGTTAGACGATTAAATGACATGCGTCATACGATAAAAGAATCTATGAAAAGACATTAGAAAAGTGTGATCGTTGGCATCTGATGAACACAGTCAAAGAAAACGAAATACATGTATTTGTATACAATAACTGAACGTATTCAAACAAACATCCTTCGATTCTCATCCAACTTTAATCATCCTACAGTCCACTACCTAGTCCAGATCTGGAGAGATACAAGTCTGCGTATCCTTCATCTATAGTATTAATATAATAATTAACTAAATAATAACAAAATTATATCACAGTATTTGGTAAAAACTAAAAAAAACTAAAAAAAGGTAACAGGATCTTTTTTAATTTTTTTTGAAACAATAAACCTTTGTTTATTACTTGCAGGTCAATTAAAGGTTTAATTAATTAAAACGTCGTCGTCGTCGTAACTCGTTACTAGTACTACTCTTCCCGATACTGATTGAGAGAACAGGAAAAGAATTTCGTTCGAACTGGCGACTTTTTCCTTACGAGGGAAACATCATAACCACTAGATCAAAGGAGCCTAGAATTTTCTTGAAATTTTGCTCCAACACACCGACATGGATCCAAATGAGCTTGTAATCGTTACCAAATTAAACAAATGTAATATTACATTAAATTTCGTTGAACCAACGTCAGCAAACACCATTACCAGAGGTGACCCAGTCACCACTACAATAAAAATAAACATATGTTTAGTGTCATATATTCGAAATATTCCATAATGTTACTATACAAAAAGAGCAACAATAAAGAAGGTATCTCTCCATCTCTATCTATCTATATTCTTTATTATATTCATTTCATTCATTCCTCCAATATTGACCACTACAACAATCACCAGAACTACAATCTCTTGAGACTACTCTTTTTAGCTTTGGCAGCATCTGGTTTATCGACTGTCTTTTTCTTTGCAGCTGCTGTCACTGATGACGACGACGATGTTTCAGTTGACAAATTATTATTATTATTATTAGCACCATCATTTGAATCAATGGTAGTAGTAGGAGCAAGTGATTTTGAAGCATGAATAGAAGTAAACATCTTTGCATGTTTACAATAGTCATCATAGTTTTCCAACAACAATCTACTAGCATCTTCATTTAAAGATGATTCTGCATTTGGAACGATTAAAAGACATTTAATAGTCTAAACGCGGAAAATATAAAAAAGAAATGTTATTAATAATCCAACTTTTTCTTTCTTTCTTTTCTCTTTTCCTCATACCAAAAGAATATGTTTAATACCCAAATCCTCAGACCAATCCTTTTTAAGAGTGTTTACACAAATCTCACCCTTTTTAGAGACATTGGGATGAAAGATCTTTGTAATAAAGTTTGCCTTTGGTGGTGATCTTGGAAAGTCTGAACTCAATGTTAATCTAGCTTTAAAATGTCCTCCTTCATATGGTGTTCCTCCTATAGAGAGAGAGAGAGAGAGAGAGAGAGAGAGAGAGAGAGAGAGAGAGAGAGTTGGGTTAGTACTTACGTATTACTATGACTAATATCTACTATCTATCAATTATCATTATATTTACCAGGACCATGAATAATAGCATCAATATTTGATAAATCTTCTTCACAAGGTACCAAAGAGATTCCTTCCATTGGAGAGTTTGAAAGTTCTTTCAATTCTCGTAGAATTCTTTTAATAACATCTGGAGGTAGGTTTTCACTAGACATGATTTATAATTTAATACACAAATATATAAATATAAATGTAGATAAGTAATGTAGATATGTAGATAGGTAGATAGATCAAGTATGATTATGAAGATGAAAGAAAACAAAAAAAGAAGAAAGGCGCCAAAATTCAAATTCAAAAAAAAAAGCTCGATTTACTCACAAATACGAATTCCAACACACATTTTTATCAACTTTTATAGAATTAACATTGTCTATGAAATATAACTCTATCTTTTCTTTCAAAATGTTTATTTATATAAAATAGAGAATAATAATTAATAATAATAATAATAATAATAATAATAATAATAATAATAATAATAATAATAATAATAATAAAAAACATTAGTTTTGGTTAATTTATTTAAAAAAAAAATTACCAATTTTGGAAAACAAGAAATGAGATTTATAGATTATTCATCTCCATTTTAAAACCAAAAGAGTAAAAAAGAGATCCATTTTAGTTTTTTCTTCTTCTTCTTCTTCCTTCTTTACGAATTTAGACCAAAAAACACAAAACTTTATTGATTGATTTAAATACTAAAATTTATTTATTCAAAGAGATAGAAAGAAAAAAAAGATGTTGATTAAAGAATAGTATGTAAAAATAATAATAATATCCTTTAATTTTAAATATATTAAATTTAATTAATTATTTTTTGTTTTAGCCGATTATTCTTACCAATGACATTGGAAGAATATCATATAGGACAATTATACATGGTAGCAAAAAAGAGTAAAGAATCAATGACAAGAGGAGAAGGAGTTGAAATTCTAGTCAATGAACCCTATGAAAATGAATATGGCAAGGGTCAATATACACACAAAATATTTCATCTAAAACAATCCCTACCCAAATTTGCATCTGCTCTTTTACCAAAGAGTGCATTACAAATTGAAGAAAAATCTTGGAATGGTTTTCCTTATTGTAAAACTATTTATACTGCAAGTAGATAAAATTTATATATATCTTTTTTTCAAAATACTAATATTTATTTTTTCTATTTTATGTAGTGCCCATTTTTTGGAGAAAACTTTTCAATTAGTATAGAATCTATACATAAAGATGGAAATGTAATCAATGAAAATGTATTTAATTGTCAACAAGATGTATTGATTTCAAGATCAGTTGAATATATAGATATTGCAAATGATAATGTTGAACCAAAAGATTATAGAAAAGATGAAGATCCAACTTTATTCATTTCAAAAAAAACTAATAGAGGTCCTTTAATTTCAAAAGATTGGGCTGTAAGCATAGAAATTTTAAAAAATATATATATATTTATAAATATTTTAATATTAAATTCTTTTCTTTTTATTTTAGAAAACCCATTCACCAATAATGACATGTTATAAATTAGCCAAAGTTAATTTTAATTATTGGGGATTTCAAAAAAGAATAGAAAGTTTTATACACAAGGTTGGTATTCACGATGTAATGTTGAAAGCACATAGAGCTCTATTTTGTTGGATGGATGAATGGATTGATTTATCAATGCAAGATATTAGAGAAATTGAAACAAATATGATGACTCCAAATATTAAAAGAGATAATTATCATCATCATCATCATCAACATGAAGGAAAGAAATCAATTCCATCAAATTTGATTCATTCTGCGTCTTGTATTGATACTAATAATAATAATAATGAAAATAATAATCAACATCCAATACTTGCAACTGGATCGCCATCCTTGATTGACAAGAATATGAATCTTGTCTAATTAAAAAATAAACAAATCAAGATCTTCATTGGTCTGAAATAATAGCAAAAAAATATCTTTTTCTTTTTACGCGGTTTCGTGTTTTATAGAACCAATTTGTGTAATCCTTTAACCAAAGAAAACAAGACATAATGTAGAACACCTCATATATATAGATAAAGAAAGAGAAAGAAAGAGAAGAAGAAAAGAAAGCAATACCTTTTCTTTTATTTTTAAATCAAAATATGACAATCGCTGAACAAGATGATACTACAATTGGTGAATTACCACCATCAGTACCAATAGAACATCAACATCAACAATATCATCAACCTCTTCCTCCTCCTCCACATCCACTATATTATGAACAACCACCACAACCACAACCATTACATCCTCTTTCACCACAAGGATACCCAAGTTACAGTATAGATAATACTACTACTACTATACAACAACCTACTCCTACACCATATTATATTGCACCACCACCACCAACATTTGAAAGACCAAAATGTATGTTGGAAGAATGTCCAGTACCAGCATCAAGTGGTCAACCCTATTGTGTATTACATGTAGGTGGTACAGCTCCACCAGCCATGGTCATGGCTATCAATGACTATGACGACAAGAAAAAGAAAACAAAAAGAACAAAAACACAGATATTGATTATGTTGGTAATGGTTGTTGTAATGGATGTTGTTGGTTTTGGTGTTGTTGTGACAATAACAACAATAATTACAATAACGATAATTCCGGTTGCTGTGCCAGTGGTGACGGAGATTCTAGTTGTTGTGGAGATGGTTGTTGTGGAGACGGTTGTTGCAGTTGTTGTGATAATTGCGATTGTAATTGTGATTGTAATTGTGACTGTAATTAATAAATAATAAAAGATTTAGGATATTTTTCAAAACGAAAAAAAACAAAAAAAAACAAATAATTTGTGGTAATTATTAGTACACAAAAAAACAGATAAGATAAATTACAAGTACACGAATTAATTAATATTCAATTAATCTATAAAATATAAATAGATAAAAAAAATGAAAAGAACAAAATAATATTAATTAATTAAAAATATTTTATTTAAAATGGAACCAGAAAAATTATTTGACAGTATGATACTGTTATTTGTAGCTCATTGGGTACCAAAGTCAATCAAATCAATTATTGAATTAAAAATTGCACAACAATTGGAAGATGGACCAAAGACGACTGACCAAATTGCTCAAGCCGTTCAATGTGATAGTGCCTATCTTTACCGTTTAATGAGAGCCTTGTCAAGTGTTGGAGTATTTAGACAAGATGAAATGGATCAAAAATTATTTCATCAAACCATTTTATCTGCTTGTTTGGCAGGTGAAGGAAATGATAATCAAGAAAATTGGATCAATTTCTTTAAATTTGTACATGAACCATTCTTGGCAGAATGTTGGGACATGATCTCTGAAAGTGTTATTATGGGTAAAAGTGCATTCAATGTAAAACATGGTTATCCAGATGGTATTTGGGATATTGTTAAAACAAAACCAGAGGTATTCAAAGTGTTCCATCATGGCATGACTACAATGACTCATCATTTTACTCGTAAAATCTTACAAGATTTGGATTTTAATCAATTCAATTGTGTTGTTGATCTTGGTGGATCAGAAGGGTATTTGGTTCAAAAAATTCTTGAAAAGAATCCCTATGTTAAAACTGGTATTTGTTTGGATTTGGAAAATGTCATCATTGGAAATGGAAAATTGGATCGTTCAACGATTCCATCTCATGTAATGGATCGTTATAAAGAACAAGCTGGTTCAGTATTTGGTTCCATTCCAAAGGCTGATTGTTATACAATGAAAAGTGTACTTCATGGATACAATGATGATGAAGTTTCAACCATCCTATTAAATCTCTCATCACAAATGCCAATTGGATCAAAACTCTTAATTATTGAACCAATCATTGGTACAAAAAATCAATTAAATTTTCCAGTTTGGTTAGATCTTTTAATGGCACTCATTACAAATGGTAAAGAAAGAAGTGAAACTGATTGGAAAAATTTAATTCAAAATGTTTCTGGTTTCTCTATTGAATCAATTTCAAATGATCCTTTATCTACTCTTGGTGTTATCACAATAGTAAAACAATAAATAAAACAGATAGATAGATATCTGTTTATTTTGAAAACCAAGTAAAAGGATTGAAAAATGAAAATGTAGATGTTGATTGATTTGGTCTATCAATATGCATCCAATATAAATTTTCATCTTGTTCCATTGGTATCTTTATATCCTTATTATTTAATTCCTACAATATATAAAGTTTTTATTTTATTATTTATTTATTTATATTATTATTATTATTTACAATTTTTTACACTTTTGTTGATTGTTGTTGTTTTTAATTTCTTTTTTTTAATTTAACTTACAACAATAACAAGATTAGCAGATGGATAAAGATTTAATTCACCAATGGTACAATCCAAATCATTTACTGAAAATGGAGCAGGATTGGTTTCACTAATGATTGCATAAGGACCTCTTCCATCGGTTCTAAATTGATTAATATATCTTTGAATCTCTCTAAAGGTATCGTTTTTACTAAATTTCTTTTTCAACATTTCTCCATTGGTCAATAGAATATTAATTTCACAAACTGATGCTTCTTGATTTGTTTTATATGATTCTTGTTGTCTTGCTCTAACTGCTCTTAATTCTTCTTGTTGTTTTCTTTGTTGTGTTAAATAATCTGATTCAATTTTTTTGGTCGTAGTAGTTTTAGTTGTATTAGTTGTATTGGTCTTGAATAAAGATGGTGATGTATTATTATTAGATTTTATATCATGTGAACATTTATGTCCAGTTGGGAATCGATGTCTAAAAATAAATAAAAAGATTAGTTTAATATTTTCTTTTTCTTTTTCTATTTTCTATTTTCTTTTTCTTTCTATATATATTTACTTTAAACAAAAATTTTGTTTACATTTATCACAAATAACTTGAACAAATTCTTTTCCTTTACATCCTTGTAGAGTACATGGAAAACTCTTTGGTTTTGGTGGTTGTTTTGAAGAGTTTGGACCTTGACATTCACTATATAAATGTCTTGCCAATACTTCATCTAAATGTTGATTCTCCAATACCAGTATCATCTCGTTACACTCTGGACATGGTTCAACTCTTCTATCTCTACTTTCATATTTTGTACATCTATGTTGTTTACAATCTTTATGTTCTGCACAAAACTTTAATTTACAAAATTCACATTCAAATGGTAAATAATCTATTAGAAAAAAAAAAAGATATAAAGAAAGAGAGAGATACTAATATTAGTATATAGTTTTGTTTGATTTGATTTGTTAAAGTATGTATACATGCATACCCAATTGTTTACAATATTGTACATTGCAGTGTGCTCCTAAATGTGGAAACTCCATCTTTTCTCTCTCTCTCTAAACTCTCTCTTGTAGTTGTACAAATTAATTAATAATAAAATATGCGAATGAATGAATGATTAAAAAAATAGGTTGTTTTATTATGACAAAAATGCGCAACAGCAGAAGAGGAAGAAGCGAGGAGGTTGAGAGAATTAAAAATAAATTAAATTAAAAAATTGAAATTTCAATCAAAACTCCTACCGATTTTCTATGTCTCACGATTGCACCCACCTCCAACAAATCATTTGTTTTTGAGAGAGTCACAGTGATTCATTCTAGACTGACTTGTTGTTTAATCTTTTTTTTTTTTATACTAGTAAATAGTTTGAATTAAATGCACTCGTTCATTTGAGCTTTTATTTTTATTATAGTTATAATTAATTGAATTGGTGATGATCTCTCTCTCTCAACCCCAACATGCTAAACCTGATGTCGATCTGAACAAGCCCAAATTTTTAAAAGAATGATGGGTTGGTTCAAAAAAAAAATGTTTTTTCAAACAATTTTGAACTCTACCCTTACCTCACTGTCAGACCAAGTGTCACATCACCCATCATCATTTCTTCTTTTTCTTTTTTAGTTTCTTACTATTATATTTATATAATTCTCTACTACTACCCTATTAAAAAATGTCTTACAACTTTGGATTAGATGCTGATTTGGCTGCAAAGCGTGATGCTCTCTATGACCCAGCTCTCGAAAGAGAACTTAGAGCTTGGATGGAAGGTCTTGTTGGAGAATCACTTTCAGGTGATTTTGCTGTCTCTCTCAAGAATGGTCAATACCTTTGCAAGTATGTTCAAAATGAATACGTTTTAGAGTACTTTGTTGATTATATTAACCTCCTCAATTATTACTATTACCTACCTACCTACCTTACCTATTTATTTATTTATAGTTTAGCAAACAAGATTAAACCAGGATCATGCAAGATTCAAAAGGCTGCAGCTCCATTTGTTCAAATGGAAAACATCAACTCTTTCCTTAACTTTTGCAAGAGTTTGGGTGTTGCCACCACCGATCTCTTCATGACTGTCGATCTCTTTGAAAATAAGAACATGAATCAAGTTCTTCAAACATTATCATCTGTAAAGAGAATCATCAGCGGTTCCAAGGGTAGCACTCCAGTCAGATCGTAAAGTGTCACAAATATAGAAATCAACCAAATCAAATCAAATCAATCAAGTATATCAAATTACCCACCACCAACAAAACAAAAATCTCAAGACCAAACCCTTACCTCTCACCACTCTAAACACTTTCTCTCTCATCTCCTATCTATTTATTTATTTGTATTTATAAATTTAAAACGGAAATTGATATCAAAAAAAAGATTGATTGTTCACAAAACATTATAATGACTAACCACCAAAACCTTTTTTTTTCTATTTTAATTTTAGATCCCCAGCTCCAGCTGCTGCTACTTCTGGTGCCTCTTTCTGCTCACAATGTGGTACAAAAGGTGCTGGTGGTAAGTTCTGCGGAAACTGTGGAAACATCTTGTAAACAATAAAAAAAAACTTATATATACATACTCTAAAAAAATATCAGATTATTATTATTATTATTATTATTACAAACTACTTTCACCCAACCATCTTTTCTTTGACCAATCCTGTAGGTATGGATTCCAACAAGGAACTGGTATAATGTTTTAAAGAGCATATGTATACATATGTACTAAAAATATCTTGCCAGAGTACCAGTACCTCAGTGACCTTTGCTCAAGAGTAAAAATTTTTTCTATCGACTTTTTACTCTTGAAAATAAATTAAATGATTAGTTCGTCGACTAATTATCAAAAGTCTACGACTGTCTTGGCGGTCTCAGAACCTGTCCCACCCCTTTTTTTATTTTTATTTTTATTATCTTCTACGCACAACACAATTAACACAATCAAATCAATCACACTCACTTTGATCATCAGTAGTGGTTCAAAACTTTGCATTCATTATCATCTGAAAGAATCATCATCACAGTGACAAGAAAGAAAGATAGATAGATAGATAGATAAAAAAAAAGAAGGGAAAACAAAGATTAGATCAAGTTTATAAATATATATATAGTAGTTTGTAAATTGAATAAAGATAAAGATAGTTAGAGAGAGAGAGGACCGACCTCACCCTTGTACTGGGTCATCCTTTTAGAAACAAAAATGATAGCTACTTTATTTGTTAGTGTTGCATATCCATTCTCTTTATTGTGTGGTATGTCTAACTAAACCTAAACTATAAATGAATCGACCCATCGATTATTAATTTCTTTTCTTTTACATTTAGCGAGTGTAATAAGAGCAAGTGTAGTATCATTTGTATACTTTATATTATTTTTAGTTACAGTATTATTCTCACCTCATAGAACTTTATCTATTCAAAGTAAGATATATATATATATTATAAATTTATAAATCTATAAATCTATGATTCTTTATTTATTGACTCTTCTTTTCTATTTCTTAGATATAATATCAAAAACATCATCAATTACAACATTAGTATTAGCAGTAATTAATTTATTAGTAATAACATTGGTAAATGTTATACCATCATTGGCTGTCAATGAAACATGTCAGTCATTGGGATATATAAAATATCAAGATTCATGGGATTCTTTTCTAAATACAATTCCAGATGTTTTGGTTGTCATCACTTCAATCATTTCAATGATCCTATGGCAAAGAGATTTAATTTCAAAAGATGATTATAGAAAAAAAGCTCGTAGACGTCGTCCTATTCCAAAACGTATGTAAAGTTTGTTTTGGATTTTTGAAAAACCAACAACTTATGTTTTGCTGTTTTTTTTTCAAGATTTAACTCGTAGTAATTCTCTTTTAATTAATTCAGATGAAGAAGATGGTAATCATCATCAAAATCAAAATGATGAAGCAAACTTGGATGAAAAACCACCACAATTGGAAAAGAATTATGATCATAAAATACATGGACCACCATCAAGAAAATTAACTGGATTTACATTTATTATGCTTTCATTATCTGCCATTTCATTCCCATCTCTAATCAATGCATTTTATTTTATTCATGTAATTGCTTTTATTCTTTGTTTATCTGGTAAACTTTCAATTCATAAATTAATGTTACGGTAAAGTAATCAAATAATATAACCTTCATTTCCATTTTTATTAATTCTTTTCTATTTTTTAGATTATATCCATTTTTTATTATAGTATCATTTTTTCATTTAGTATTTATCTATTTATTCCAAATACCAATATTTTATGAAAATTATTCATTTTATATCAATGATATGTATGGAATTAGAAATTTTCATCATTGGGATGAAACCATTTGGCCACTTGTAATTGGTTATATTACAGTCTTGTTGACATTTGTATCGGCTAGTGTCATTCAAAGAAAATATATCCTTTATAATCGTACAAAACCAAGATATAGATCAATGATTAAATTACAAAGTGAAAGAGATCAATCAAACAAACAAAAAGCTACTAGATTTACTCAACTTGCTTTATTATTTAGTCGTCATGGTTGGAGTGTAAGAAAAAAAACAAAAAACAAAAAAGAAAATAATAATATTTATTAACTTTTTTTTTCTTTAGATTTGTTGTATTGAAATTATAATTGTTTGTTTCTTTTTACAACCAAGTATATATACATCAGTATTATTATTTTTTGGTTTAATTTGTACATTGTTACCAACAAAAATATTTAAAATGTTATCAAAAGCAATTCTTGGTTATCAATTAGTTTTTATAATTTCACAATATGCTTTTAATATTCCTTCTGGTATTATTACTCCTGTATGTAAACAACAAGATAGAAAAAATATTTAAATATTAGTATTTAAATATTAATATTTATTTTTCGTTTTTAATTTTTTTAGACATTTACAACAGAAATTATAGGATTAATAATTTGGAATGGAACAGTTTGGTTAAATATTGGAGTACAATTAATACTTTCATTTACTTTTGGTTTATATTGTTTTTATAGTGATATAAAACCAGAAGATTATATAATTGAAAAGGAAAAGGAAAAGGAAAAAGAAAAAGAAAAAGAAAAACAAGATGATAAAAAACAACAACAATTAATTAGTATTAGTGATTCTGAAGAACCAGAAAAAAAGGAACCTACCTCACATCAAAGAAGAAAACCAAAACTTCAATCACAAGAAAGTCAAACAGATTTATTATCAGATACATCAACAACATCAAAAAAGAGAGTAGTAATCAAGACGGTACCAAAGAAACCATTACCACCAGTACCACCATTTTCAAAAAAATTACCACCTCTACCGCTACCAAAAACACCATCAGTTTCACATTTGCATCAACAAGCAGTTTCAGCATCAGCACTTTCATCACCAAGACAAGAATCCTCCTCCTTACCACCCATACCAGAATTTAATATTAATTTGCCAACTTCAATCATTTCAGATAGTTGGAATGCAACATGGGATAATTTCCAACAATCCTATGGTGATACTATAGAACAAGTGAAACAAGTATTAAAAACAACTGTCGAAGTTTGTTTTCTTGCAATCATTGGACAATCTTATCGTATTGCATTGGTAGGACTCTTTTTCTGTGGGTTGGCAACGGTCAACTTGTTAAATGCCGGTTACATGTTTTTCTTTATCTTTTTTACAATGTCTCAAACATTGGCTAAAAAGTTGTGGATGGTATTGATATTGTACGCTCAAATGGTTTTATTGTTACTTTATATTTGGCAAATGGGATTTACTGGACAGTACGAGAATTGGATTACAGATTTGGTTGGAGTAACACATTACTCTGGTCAACCACTTTGGATTAATCTTATTTGGCATTTAATCATTATTACCTTTACATTGACTCAATGGAATGTAAACAAACTTTATAATACCAAAAAAGAAGATGATGATGAATCAAAAAGAAATGTACCACAAATCATAAAGTTACTTGGATTGGTAGCATCAACAGTAGCACAAACTTATATTGCCTTGCCCATTTGTTATTTGGTTATTATATTGGTTAGTGTTTTTGCAAAGATATCAATCATTTCAATGATTTACATGGCAACTGTCTTTTTATGTTTGGTCATCCACAACCGATCACCAAATGGTGCTGCCCATATCCGTCGTTTCTGGGCAATCGTTGTCTTTTCACAAGCTGCCATTCTCATTGCTCGGTACATGTATCAATTTGATCCAGTCTACAATTGGCTCAATCAAATCTATCCTACCAATGATTATATATCGCTCGATGATATTGGCCTCCAAAAGTATAGTACCGATGTCCTTAGATTCAGCGAATTGATTGGAAACGTTGCCATCTTTATCATTTGCGTTTTCCAACTTTCTTGTTTCTTTACAACCGTTGACCAAGAAGAATCAGATGCACTCTACAAACAATTAGACAAATTCCCCATCCTAGAAAAAACAATCAATTTTATTGGAAGTATGTCTCATCAACATGGACCAAAGATTGTACTATGGACAGTCTTTTTAATTTCAATCAATAATCTCAGTTTCTTTAATCTCGTCTATTTGGTGATGATTGTCATTTCAATGTCATTTAGAAAGGGAACTTATCGTATTGGATTCTATATATTGGCATACTCTCAACTATTGGTTCTAACTCAAATGGCTGCTCTCTTTCCAAAAGCTACATCAATTGGTCATACCTATCAATTAAATTGGGTTGGTCTTGGTCAAATTGGTCAAAATCAATTTCATCTAATCAAATTGAATCTTGTTATTATTTTAATAATTAGTCTTCAACAAGTTTCTTATTGGTGGAACAAAAAAAGAGAACGAGGAAATGAAATGATCAATGATAGAGGTCAAAAAGAAAAATTATTATCATCTGATAATATTTCGGGTTCATCAAATTTTTCTCGAATAGTATGGTATTTAAATCATTTTTATGAATTATATGGATTGGAAATTGTATTTGTAGTTATTAGTATATCACTATGTTGGAGAGTTAATATATTGGGAGTCATTTATCTATTGGTCATTGCAGTTGGATTAAATGTAAAAAGTGAAAATAGACATCGCTTTATTTATATTTCTGGTTTGATGATTCCCATCATACTGGTTCAATACATCTTTTTACTTGGAACACCAATTGAAACAAATGCATTCCCTTGGTTATTATCAAATGACCTACTCAACAATTTACTCATCCTATCATCACCAAGTCAGTACATTTTGGTCTTGGACTTTTGCATTTTATTCTTTTCAATGCTCTACTTTAAACAACCTCGTGATGTTAAACCAAAATACCCAAGAAATTTCCTTGCAGTCGATGGTGAAAATGTAAACTTTACATTAGAACCACGTCCATGGTATTCAGAAATACGTTACATCATTGTTAGATATTCATCTCAACTAACGTTGATCGTTATCTTTATTGCTGGCACTTCTGAATGCGATCTAGTGTCATCTGGTTACGTACTATTCTCACTCTATGTATTGTTTGCTGGAAATACTCATGCTAGAAGATGGAGTGGATTATGGCGTTCAATGATGATTTACAATTGGTGTATCTTGCTCATGCAAATACTCTTCCAAGCGGTATTTGTCATTTGGGGAGAGAATAGTGGTAGTACAACCACCATCTTGGCTGACATTTTGGGTTTCTCTGTTGTAAAGTCTACTAGTTTCAACACTGCAAGAGAAACCATTAGTGATGCCATCATCCTCATCCTCCTCACCTATCAAAAGACTATTTTCCAAAGTGATGATTTCCAAATGCTCGAAGAACATGTCAAAAACAAGAGTGAAAGTGCCTATGAAACAGCTCTAGAGTTTTATCGTGAACGTCGTCTACAACGTATCGATCAACTAGACAATATCAGAAATGTCCTCGAACAACGAAGAGCAAGATTACAACAACTCAAAAAACGTACCACCAACAAAAGATTATCAGTCTATCAAGATTTTCAATCTCATCCTTCTGGTTCTTTATCCTCCTCAAATATTCATCCTTCAACTATAAATCAAACAGAATTAAATCAACAACAAGAAAAAGAAAAAGAAAAAGTTCAGGTAGAACTAGATCCAAATAATAATAATAATAGTTTAGGGGAAATTAAACAAAAAGGTGTTAGATTTAATGATGAAACTGTTGAAATTAAAGAAGAAATGGAAAAGGAAAAAGAAGAAATGGAAGAGGAACAATCAACTTCTTCCTCTTCTTCTCTACGAAAGAGATCAGTGATTAAAAGATTTTTTATGAAGATATTGGCATACTTAGATCCATTACCAGTTCAAAAATCAATTGTCGATCAAGATGAAGATGAAGAAGGATCTTCTTCATTGTCTGGTCCAGAAATCCAATCATTATCTCATATGCAATTAAATAATCGTAATAGTGTATTTATAGATCCAGAAGAATTAAAGGAGGCAATGAAAAATTACTCTCGTGATGACAAGCCAAGTTCAAGTTCTCGTTCAAATATAATCAAGGAACCTGCCAAAATACATGAAGATGATGTACTCAAGAGAATTGTAAGAGGAGTATCAAGAATTGCAAGAGATGAAAGTAAATGGATAGCATTTATGGCATGTCTTGCAAATGGTGTATTCAATGCAAACATTATATCGTTGGTTTACTTGTTTGGAGTATTTTTGTTTGGACGTCTATTCGAGAGTCCAAGACCATCAAAAGCTTTTTGGAGATTCTTGATTGGTTTTAGTGCTTTGGTACTCTGCGTCAAATATCTATTCCAAATACCAATCTTTTGTCTTCAAAACAATACCACAGTCACCTATGAAATGTTTAGCAAGTGTTGGAGTAATCAACCAAGTCCTTTTATTCCAGAAAATTTGGTACTCTTGTCCACTCCCTACAAACTTGGTATCTACAAGATCGACGGTCACTTTTTGGCTGGTGCATTTTGGGATCTAGCTGTATTCCTCTCTTGTCTCTGGCATCGTCATGTCTATAGATCCAAAGGTCTTTGGAAATTTGAAGAAAAGGATTTCCAAGAAGCTGGTTTCGATTTTACCTATATCGAAGCTGAAGAAGAAGTAGTCTATGAAGAGGAAATCAGTGACAACGAAGAAGATATTGAACCCGACGATCAATTCATCGATGATAAAGATTTAGATTTGGTTGAAGATAAAATTGATCAAGTTGATCATCTTATACAACAACAACAACAACCATTAATTATTGATCAAAATAATAATAATAATGTGATTATTTCAACAACTTCAACAACTTCAACTATTTCAACTTTAAAGAAAAAAGAAGACAAAAAACCATTATTATTAATTGATATTCCAGAAGAACCATCAGATTCAGATTCATCAGATTCAGAACAAGGTCCATCAGGTAATAATGGACTACCTCAACATGATAGTCAAGAGTATACATTTACATTGACATCACCAACAGGATCATCACCAAAACTTAGTAGAAGTATTCTTTGGGTTCTAGTCTATAAAATTCGTAATATGATCATTTCATTTATTCATTTCCTTTGGTTGGTAACAAATACTTCAGAAAAAACTGGTAGAGATTATTATATCCCAATTTTCTTTACAGGTACGTAATACAAATAGAAAACAAAACAAAACAAAAACTTTTATTAATATTTTAATTTTTCTTTTAGATTTTATATGTTTAGTATTTTTAATTGTATTTCCACAAAATTTTACAGCTATACCATCATCAGATATTACACAATTTTTAGAACAAAATGTAATACCAAGACAATATATAGCAATATTATTGGCTCAATTTGGTATTATTATTTTGGATCGTATCATTTATTTGTACAAATCTGTAAAAGCCAAGTTTGCATTACAAATTGTTTTGACAGTACTCTATCACGTATTCCTATTCTTTTACTTTCCACAACTCATTGTCAAACCATTTGATTTCACCTATTCTTGGACATTGGTTGCATTCTACATTCTCAAGTGTCTCTATCTCTACTACTCGGCACTCCAAATTTGTTATGGTTATCCAATCTTGACAGAAGGACGTTTCCTCATGGATGGTTATTCCGATTTCCATAATATTGGTTTTGCAATTTATCGTGCCATTCCATTTATTTTTGAAATGCGTACCCTATTGGATTGGATTGCTACCGACACTACACTGCTCTTTTACGATTGGCTAAAGTTTGAGGATCTCTATGCTCAAGTCTTTTCGGTACACTGTCGTCAGGAATGGATCAAACGCCAAGGTCGCAAGTATGGTCACAAACAACCCATCTTTGAAAAGTTTGTTACAGGTGTCACCTTTTTCGTTGGTTTGGTCGTCATTTTATGGTTCCCTCTTATTATCCTTAGTTCTGGGTTGCCCGGTAGTAACATCATGCCAGTTACATCGGTTCAAATGCAATTGTCAATCACAGGTTGGAATCCACTCGTCTATATCAACCAAGAACTGTCACTTGAAGGTATCAATGGTACTGGAGGTGTATCTAGTACCTTTTTAACTGGATCAGAGTTTAGTCAACTACGTACCAACCATACATTTATCATGCCAGATGAACAAAGTGGAACGCAAATAATCAATATCAATTCATTCTCTGAACAGTCTTGGGATATGACTCCACCAGCTCGCTCACAATTACTTGACTTTTTAACTACAAGTAAATTGTCAATCACTGCCACTTATACCATTTCACGTTCCGGTACTATAAATATGGATATTCCAGGTACCAACTCTGTCCCTCTTACCCCAGGTCAACAATCTGATCTCTACAATATCATCAATGGTACTCAAACATCATTCAATGTGACTGGACTATTATACAAATTTATTCGTCTTCCAGGTGTTAGTGGTAATCTTCTCTATCCTTCAAACTCGGGTAGTCAACCCGAATATTTGGATGTCCTATTTACTCTATTCAACGGTAGTTCACAAATCAATTCGGGTGGATATAGTGATGGACCATACTGGCAAGCTACCGATCTTTCAGGTGGCCAATTATACTTTTACACCATCTCTTCCAAACTACCAAATGGACTTGCCAGTACACTCGTATCTGCCGGTATCATTGGTCTATACGTTGGTGTTGTCTTGTCTGTCGGTAGATTCCTTCGTATGTATGTCACTGGTATGGCTCTTCGTATCACCCTCGAAAATATTGGCAACTGCGAAGAAATTGAAAAGATGATTGACGATGTATTCATTGCTAGACAATACGGTGATCTAGAATTAGAAGAAGATCTATACTATGAATTAATTCAAGTATTTAGACAATCAAATGTACTTTATGATTTAACTAAAACTAATCATAAAGATAGATAAAAAAACAAACAAACAAAATAATAATAATAATAATAAAAAATAATAATAATTAATATTCCCCTAAACAAGCATGTTTTTTTGATTGGTTGATTTTAAATCAATTTGTGTGTGAAATTTCACCCTACAGACCACCATTGTGATTAAAATTTTAATTTAAAAAACATTCACTCATATCATCAATAAAATCCTCTTATCAAGATAAATAAATATTTTGGGTATAAGAGACACAAATAGATATAAGATTAAAAAAAAGAGAAAAAGAGAGATGTATTCAATGACAAATACAATAGAAACATTACCTACACCATCAGTAGTAATCTATGAAGATGTAGTAAAGAGAAATTGTAAATTAATGCATGATAGAGCAATATCATTGGGTGTTGATATTAGACCTCATATGAAGACTCATAAAACAATGTATGAATGAGGTCAACAACAAGACAACAAGAGATTACTTACTCTTATATTTTGATTACTTACTCTTTAATTTTGATTTTAGAGAGATTGGTAAATTTCAAACAGAAACAATTAATATTAAAAAGATTATTGTTTCAACATTGTCAGAAGCAAGATTCTTTGCATTGAGTGGACAATTTAAAGATATTTTGTATACAGTACCTATAGTACCGACCAAGTTGGCAGCAGCTGCTCATATTCATTCAAGTATTGATGTGTTGCACTTGATGGTAGATCATCCAGACCATATCAAGGCAATGGTAGAGTATCGCAATCAACATTTAGGAGCATTGGGCAATAAAAAATGGTCAGTCTTTTTAAAGATTGATTGTGGTTATCATAGAGCTGGTGCAGATCCCGAATTACCATCGACCATTAAATTGGTTGAACAACTGACCAAATCACTCTCGGATCATTTTGTATTTCAAGGTATCTATACTCATTCAGGTCACTCTTACAAACAAACCTCGCCAGATGGTATTGCCAAGATTGCAACAAGTGAAGCAACTGTAGCAGGAAACTTTGCCAAAAAGATTCGGTCGCTAGGATACCCATGTCCAATCGTTAGTATTGGTAGTACACCCGTCTGTTGTCACCTACCCAACAATCTAAAGGATCTAGGTGTCACAGAGATACATCCAGGCAACTATGTATTCTACGATTTGATGCAAGTCGAACTTGGCAATTGCAAAGTCGACGATGTAGGCGTACATGTCGTCTCTCGTGTCATCTCTGTCTACCCCGAACGCAATGAAATGCTTGTAGATGCCGGCTCGTTGGCTCTGTCCTCTGATCCAGGCTGCACACATCTACCAGACCGTGCACCAGGCTTTGGTATCATTGTCGGAGACAACAACCTTCGTATCGTCGGAGTGACACAAGAGATTGGTAAAGTCAGCAGTGTCAATGGCTCTCCAATCGATTTCAACAAGTATACCATCGGTTCGATTGTCCGTATCGTCCCCAATCACAGTTGTCTCACAGCTGCAATGTTTTCTAATTTTAATGTACTCTCAACAGAGTCAACTACTCAAGTTAAAGAAACTTGGATACCAAATAAACATTGGTAGAATAGAAAAGAAGAAGAAGAGATAATGAAAATAGTAATAAAAATAATGAATAAAAAAAATGGTTTTCGAAGAAGATGATCATTATCTTTTTTTTTTTTTTCAAAGGAGACCAACCATTTGATAATATCTTATCTTTTATTTGTATTATTTATTTGTTTTTATATATATTTATACATATGATGGTAGAATCATCACAAGATTTAGACAAGACAACAGGAGATATATCAGTTGATAATACTGATGTTGATAGTTTGGCATGGGCACGATTGATGTCTTTGAACCCAGAGTTTCCTCACATTTCACTTGAAGATGATGAATGTTCATTTGGTAGAGGTTCTCAACACAAAGTAGTCATTCAAGATAAAAAGATATCTCTTAATCATTGTAAAATATATAGAAAACAAGTTGATGGTGATTTTAAAATATTTTTAGAAGATTATAGGTATGTAACAAAAGAAGTAGAAAGAGTAGATCTATATATATTGTTGTTTGTTTGTTTGTTATTAACTCTTTCTTCTTCTTTTTGATTTCTTTTTCTTTTCTTCTATTTAGTTCAAATGGTACATTTGTAAATAGTAAAAGAGTAGGAAAAGGAAATACAATTACATTGGTTCATGGTAATGAAATATCATTGACTTCGATAGTAGATTTGAACAATCAAAGTAGAATTGTTTATGTTTTACATGATTTGGAAAAGTTGAGACGTGATGCAGAGGAGGAAAGAGCTCGACTTGAAAGAGAAGAAGAGGAAAGAAGAAAGGTGGAAGATCAAGAGGAAGGTCATACTCAAATCATTGATGATATTTCAATGAGTGACTTGCCAGTTACTCCAATCAAATCAAATAGTAATATTAATACAGTGACTACACCAGTTACTCCTCTTGTAAAAGATTCAACTACTTTGGTAACAAGTGGTAGTAATCTAATGTCAATCAAGAAATCAAGCAGTAAAGGATCTTTTAAGCAACAACAACAATTAAATACTTCAACTTCTTCTGCAACAGACAATTCTGTTGATAAAACTCCAGTATCTACACCAACCAAAAGACAATCAAGTGGAAATATCGTCTCTTCCCCTTCTACTAGTACTACAAGTACATCAACTACTACAACTACTGCTGCTCCAGATTCAAAAAGAAAAAGAGATGATGAAATGGATGATACATCTACATCTACATCAACATCAACAACTAGTACAACAAATACTTCAGTAGTAATTGATCAAGTTAAAAAGGCACAAAAAATAGATCATGATACAATGGAAGATAATTTAATGTGTGGAATTTGTCAAGAAATCATTCATAAATGTATTACTCTTATTCCATGCATGCATAATTTCTGTGCCTGTTGTTATGGTGATTGGAGAGCAAACTCTTCAGATTGTCCACAATGTAGAACTCCTGTCAAATCTGGTCAAAAGAATCATGCCATTAATAATCTTATCGAATCTTATCTTCAAAAGAATACAGAAAAAAGACGTGATCCAGAAGAACTTAAAGATATGGATCAAAGATCTAAAATTACTGATGAAATGGTAAGAAAAGAAAAAGAAAATTCATCTAAAAGTTTACTTTACTTACTTTTTATTTATTATTTTTTTAGTTAACAAAAGGTGTATTAAACAAATCAAATGGAAAATATTATAATGATGATGAAGATGAAGATGATGAATATGATGAAGAGGAGGATGAAGAGGAAGATGATAAGTGTGTAAATTGTACAACTCCTGCAAGTGATGGATTTAAATGCCCTCCAAATGCAATGCATAGAACTTGTTCAGCTTGTTATGAATTATTCCCAAGTAGAACTCCAAATATTTATCCTGATCAATGTAAATCAAATATTAAAATATTTATTTATATATTTATATATAACTAATTTTTTCTTCTTTTTCTATTTTTGTTTAGGTGAATTTTGTATGAGACATTTTTGTCAAAAATGTTATAATAATGGACATCTTAGAAGATTGGCAGATATTAATGCAGGTGGAGTTGTACCTAGAAATACATTCTCTGGCAATCAATTTGAAATCAAGATTCTTACCGATTATTTACAAGAAAAAAACAAAATGGTTCAACAATTATACACAGAGGTTATCACTCAAATCGATCAAGGAATCATTAAAAATGCAGACATTCAACCATTAGCACCAGGAAGACCAGAGATCAAAGGAGAACGTATCACTTGTGATCATTGTGCCAAGAATATTTTTGCTCAAGCTCTCTTTGCCTATCGTAAAAACCTTCCTAAGGATCAACTACCAGCATACGCTCATGCCAGAGATAAATGTTACTATGGAAAAAATTGTAGAACTCAATTTAACAAATTTGATCACGCTAAAAAGTTTGATCATATTTGTGATCAAACTAAATTCTAAACAATTAAAAAGAAAAAAGAATTAAATGTTAACATATATTACTAAAACCAAATTTTAGATAGAAAAAAAGAGATTTATTTTTGATTTATTTAAATTGTGTTGAATTACCATTATAATAACTATTTTTGCCATCATCTTGAGCTTTATCTTCTTCATCATGATTTAATTGATGTATAGATGATTTTTTACCTCTTTTCTTTAGACTAGATTTTTCTTCATCTTCCTTTTCCTTTTTACTCTTTTTAGTTGATGATGATCCACCAGTAGAAGTGGTTGAAGTGCTACCCAAAGAATGAACATTACCAGTATTTCTTGTAGTTGATGATGATGAAGAAGAGGAAGATTTGTTTTCACCAGTTACTTCACCTGGAGCTGGATACCAAAATGGGCTAAATACTTTTGATGCATAACTCTTGATTGATGAAAAGTATCCACCTTCTTTTTCTTCTTCTTCTGTGGTTGCCTTTCCAGTACTAGCAGTATAACTGGGCGTAGAAGAGGAGGATGGAGCAGCAGTTTCAGATACTGGTGCGGGTTTTGGTTTTACATTACTATCCAACGAAACAAGAATAATGGTTGCAGACGGTATTAAATCCAATTGTCTAAGTGTAGAGTCCATATCTGAATCAAAAAATATACGTTTTGGGAATGGTACCATAATATAATATGCATGTTTTCCATCATTTCTATGCTAAAGGAAATAAATGGTAAATATAAAAAGAAACGAAATTTCGATATTTGATTATCTTTTTGTTTTCGTACCTTGTCAATGAATCTTTTAAGATCACTTAATTTATCATTTGGTGAAAATGTTTCTTTTAATGCAAATCCATTTGTTAATTTACAATTAATAATTGTAGATGTAATTGGTGCTGGTGGTGATGTTGGAAGCTTATTTGTAGTAGGAGTTGGCTTTGGTGAGGTAGTTTTTGGAACTACTTTAACTGGTTCTGTTGGTTTTTTCACAACTGGAGTAGTAGAAGTAGTACTAGTTTTTGGAACTGTTTTAATTGGTTCTGTTGGTTTTTTTACATTTGTATTTGTTGTTGGTGTTGTTGTAGTTGGTTTGGATATATTATTATTATTATTATTATTATTATTATTAGTAGTTGGCGAAGTTGTTCTATTATTATTATTAATTTGATTATTATTATTATTTTGATTATTTGATTGAGATGCACTAAATGCTTGTAGATAAATTGCCATTAATTGTTGTTGTTGTTTTTTAATATTATTATTAATTGCTTCCAACATTAGATTCTTATCAATGACTTGTTCCAATGTACCTTCAAGCTTTTGATGAAGAACACCATTTAACCCAATAAACAATAATGTAGGTACTTTATCAACGGCATCTAGAAATAACTATACATTAGAGAATAATTTATGCTACTGTTTGTCTATTCTATACGTACAAAATTGTTGTAAAAGGTTTGATTCTTCTTGAGCAATATCAAGTTTTAAAACAACAGAAGTAAGTTCAAGTGATTTAAATAAATCTTGGTCAGTAGACAAGAGATTTAAAACATCTTTTGAAGCATCGTCATCTGAATGAACCACTACAATAAACAATAAACTCTTTTGTTTAGCATAGTTTACTGCATCATTTGCTGTACCTTTAAAAAAGATTGACTTTTCCTCTTCTACTTCTTTTGTTGTTGTTGTTGTTTTATCTTCTTCACTCATCTTTTCTCTTTCTGTTTTATCTCTATAATATATTATTAATATTTGTTTAAAATCACTCTATGCCACCTCACCTTTTATTTCATTTGAATTTAATTAAAGTTTGACTTGAAGTTCAATTTTGTTAAAAATTATTCGGTTATTGTTTTATATTTATTTAATTATTTTATTTATTTTTAAAAATACAATGGAGATACATAATGGGAATTTGGATTGGTATTCTTTTCTTTTTTGATTTGGAAAAATGATCTGGTTGGTTTATCTTCTTTTCTTCTTTGTTTCTTTCTTTGTTCTATTTTATTTATTCGCCTAATAAAACTTTAATCTTATCCAATTCATCACGTAATTTGGAATCTGAAGGTTCCAAACGAATAGCTTGAACAATACATCTTTTAGCCGATTCAAATTGTCTATTGAGAGAGTAAGCTTGTGACATTCTAAAATAGAATTTGGCACTGCTGCCACCAAGTTCTAGTATTTTTTCGCAATTGGTCAATGCTCTCTTTCCATCCATCAATTTTATGTTACATGTTGCCAAATTTAAATATAATACAATCAATGCGTCTCTTTGAATCTTTGTTTGATCTTCATTTAATATTAATGTATAATTTGGATCTCCTAATATCCATATTCCCTAAAAAAAAAACAAATAAATATTAATATTATTAATATTTCATTCCCTCATCAAATCCATTATTATTCTTACTTTAATATAATATTTCATTGCCAATTTAAATTTCTGTTGATTAAAATAATTATTACCTCTATCTTTTTCTTTTAATGATTTTGAAATTAATCCTTGGAATGAATTATAATCCTAAATAATATTAATAAAAAGAATGGTGATTAGTTATCGAGGTACTTTATCATTTCTTGTTTTAGGTTTCATTCATACATGTAAAGTATCAAGTTTAAAAGAAATTAATTGAATTTTATAAATGACAGAAGTATTGGGAGGTATAAAGGGAGGTAGACCATGTTTACCAAAAGCATAACGTTGAGTTGATACAATCTCTGCCTCTTCACCTACACGCATTGATTTGACAGCCAATTCAACAGCATCAATTGATGCATGTGTTCCCAATTGAAAGGTGAATGGGGTACCTTTGAGTTGAACGTTTGAATCGAATAAATGTCCATTTGAAAGATATGCTTCATATAGAATGCTTACTATAGCATTCGATGGTACTTGATCACCACTTCCATCTTTAAGTACTCTTTTAATCAAACATCCATCATTATCTAAATGTATTCCTAACTTTTTTTGTGGTGATGTCATAACTATCTAAATATTTATATATATATCTCTTATCTCTTCTCTTATCTATCCTCTCTCTCTATATATTATATTATATTCTTCTTTTTATTGAATGATCTCTCGTTTCTCTCTAACACGTGTGTTCTAATTTAACTTCAAAGAATCTTTTCTTTTGCTCAAGATCACACATGGCAGCTCTGACAAACAAAAAATAATGATAATTATTAAAATCAAATGTTTTTTTGTAGAGTCCACATTCCACATCTTGTAAATCTATTTTTAAATCAATCAATAATAATAATAAATCTATGTTTTGATGATATATATAATATCTTCTTGTTTTGAAAATTACAATTAATTTATTACATTCTAATATAGTTTTTAGTATTAATTTGAAGTATATTGGAGTAAGTATTGAGTAACTTCTTGGTATACATCGAGGTAGGCATTTTCACCCCAAACGAAATCGAGATGAGAGTAACCTTGGATATACTTGTTGTAGAGGAGTGTTGGGAGTTGTGGAATGAGCCATTGGACATCGACTGGATCGGCGAGATAATCGTTGGAACCGTAAAAGATGATGACTGGAGCATTAAAGGCAGAGATGTTGTATTGTGGTGGTGTGGCTTGACCATAGTGTGCCAAGTTACCCTTGGTACCATAATCAAACTTTTGGTAGCCAGTCTTGACGGCTTGGCTCCAATGGAGAACGTTTTGGACCGAGGTACCTCCTGGTTCGTGGCTCATGTATACTGGGAGACGGGTGCTGTTGATGTTGGCGGTATCCCAACCCATGATGAGAGCCAATGAGTTTTGACAGATCGATGGGTCAAAGGTACAGATGATTTGGAGGAACTTTTGCATACCCGGTGTTTGGATGAGGAATGATTTGTCACCCAACAAAACAAACAAATCGGCAACATCATACTTGGCCAACAAGTTGAGGAAGGTGCTCTTGCAATGAGTGACACGTACCACTGGAGCCAAAGCAACAAACAAGTCAATCTTGGAGGCAAGAGTTTCATTGGCAAATCCAATGAATCCCATTGTAGTACCTTGGGAATGTCCAACATATGATATCTTACTGTTACCAGTAACTCTCAATACATAGTTCATTGCTGTTGGTAAATCATATTCTGCCATTTCATCAAATGAAAATTGCCAGTACTAAAGAAAGAAAAAGAAAAAGAAAAATAGATAGATTAGAAAACTTGAGAAAGAGATATATAGATATATATATAATATTATCTTTATATTTACTTCAACTTGATCACTAGTATAATAAATATTTGTGTTACTAAGGTAGGTACCACGAACATTGTTAATCCAAACATCAAAACCAGCGTCGGCCAAAATAAAGCCTAAACTTTGGTAGACGTTTTCTTGATTGACCCAACTGACACCAATATCCTCTACACCATGTTGAAGAAGTACTGCTGGCTTTCCATTGGAACGGTTTGGATTTGGATTTGGTTGATATCGTCCTGCTGGAATTCTTTGAATTGAAAGCTTAATCAAATAAATAAATAAATAAATAGTTAGTTACCAAGTTCTATTGTATTAAATATTATATTATATAATGGGGTTAACATACGATGTATCCATCTGGAGTTACAGCAACATGTTGTTCAACAGGGTAACCTCTTGCTTCAATCAATTCTGAAATAGAAAATGGAATGAAATCAAATGAATATTAGATATCAATATGATGATTGCTTGTTTTTTTTTAGTTGATTGATTCTATGATACGTACGAGTAATGTTTCTATTTAAATCGGGATTTGAGCCTCCAAGTTGTGAAAGTATTAAATCATATAGTCTTGGATCGATAGCCTTGACTGATTCTATGATTGATGTTGATGATACAATCGATACAATTACAACAAATAATAGTAAAAGTGATTGTACAAACTTCATTTTTTTTTTTATTAAATCTAAGTAAAGAAAATACTACTTATTTCTATCTCTCTACTCTCTCTCTTTATATATCTTATCTTTTAAACGTGAAATTACAATGATTAAAAAAAAAACAGTTAGGGGGACAAAGAGGGTGCGAAAAAGTTAACTGATTTTTGTTGATTGAATTGTTGTTTGATCTCAGTCGTTCTGTATTTATACTGTAAAAGAGTAGAAAGTGAATAGTTATTGTATATTTTCGATGCTGACTTTCATTTCGGTATTGCTACTCAATCATTACATGTACTCAGTCAGACTTGTATTTACGCCTTTATTTCTTGATTCAACCATGCTAAAACAAAATATCTAGTCAACATTCAACGAAACCCTATGGTGTCATGCCCGTGAAAACAGAGTCGTTGGACAAATAAGATATTCTTACAAATTTTCGACGGTCGATGATGAAAGATCTTTCAAGTTTGGCAATAAACAGTAACTGAGCGTGAAACCAAGAACTTTGTAAGAAATAAGCAACAGAGTAATCGATCGTAGCTGATAACTTTAAAGAAAGATATTTTTCATTCTACAAACGATGGAATTTATTTATTAATAGAATAGAGTGCAGAACAAAGAATAGATAACACTCGCTCGATGATCAAATGATGATGTAACAAATTATTTATTGGTTTATTGAGGAAGTGATCCCTCTACAAACATATTGCTGTTGTCATCGTAAAAGACAGTTTTCGAGGTATCAGATGTATAGGTAAGGGTGAGAGCTTGGCTAGAGATATCAGAGATGACAGAACCATTGTCAAACTCGGCAAAGGTAAAGACGGACAAGGTGACCAATGGAGTGAATTCAGCGGTTTGGTTGGTCAATACGGTGGCGGCGTTGATTTCACCTTCTACTACGGCTCCGTTGACAGTGGCAAGTTGGGTGAGACCAAAAGTTAAGGGATCACCATAATTGTTGACAGTTCCATAGTCTGTGATAGAGACACCGTTGGGAGTATCGAAATAACCAGCTGCATTGAATGGGTATTGATGACCTTTACTGGCATACTTGACTGAACTTAATCTAGATATTTTGGCACCGTTCTGGATATTGGTACTACTAGCATAAATTCCATAATTTTCTTGCCATTGAACTTCGTTGGTTTCAAATGGTTTAAAGGTAACCCAAAGAACATTTCCAACAGTACCAGAAACAGATTTAACTATAAAGATTTTTTAAAAAAAAAATTAAGATTGACATTTTTTTGATTAGGATTATTTATTCTTTGTATAGATTTGATTGGATTGATTTTTAGGTTGAAAGACTACTACTTACCTATACAAACTTTTTCTTGAGCATTTGCTAATGCTGCCAAACCAGCTTGTGAGAATTGAAAGTCTAAAGTATAAGTTGTCATTATTTTAATTTGTGTGTATGTGATATGTTTATCTATTAGATATAATATGTGTTTGTGAATGTAGATGATTGATGGTTATGAATTTTTTTAAATCCCTTTAATGAATTCATTGGAAGAAGTTGAGTTGATGATATTTTCATTATTAAATAATTATATTTCTCAATCAACGATTCATTCGCTAAACGGATACACATACTGTACCAACCACCCATCATGGGGCAAAGTGAACACGTGTGTTGATTGAGGAGCCAATCGAACCGACTCATCGAAAAACCATTTTGTCAAGCAAATCGAATCGGTGATCACCCAACACTGATCCCATTTTGGTTTTTAGCCAGCGTCACATGCCGATCATGTACACGATACCATCATCCATCGTTGTGTAATATTTGCCAACACAGGTGGCCTCACTCACACACTGTACACAATCAGGCAAAATCAATACGACGACTAGAGTGACGATTGATAGGTAGATAGTCATTTTCGATCGTCGTTTACCAAAAAGATGATGATGGTTTAATATCAAGGAAGAAGTAGAAGTTCTTCCAATCTTATTGGTTAAACAAAATGATATTTTTTTTATTTTGATTTCTGTTGATTCATTAAATATATTATTTACATTTACATTTTTGATTGTGTGATTGATATCATTTTTTTTTTTGATAGGTACAGTTTGGTTTTGTCTTTTTTCTTTTTTTTTTTTAATGTTTTATAAATTATTAAAATAATTCTAAAACTTTAATATTTCCTTGACTATTTGCAGCCAATAAAATGTTGGAATCTTTTTTCCAACAAACAGAACTAACAAATTGAGTTCCATCTTCGTCGGTTTCTTCACCACTGCCAGAATTGGCACCAAATCTGTGAGTGACGATTGGTTTTGACAATGCTTTGTAATATGTATATACACCATTATTTTCACTTCCACAACAAATATAATCTCCATTGACCGCCAAACCAACAAAATTCTTTTCATTTGAATGTCCACTATAAGTTCTAACACATGATTCACTTGCATTTACATTCCAAAGTTTTAATGTACTATCAGTTGATCTAAATTAAAAACAAAAAATAATTTAATTAATAAATGAATAAAGTATATCTTCCAAACTTTTCTATATTTACGCTGAAATAATTTCATCCTTGTTCATAAATTTAACATAACTAACAGCTTTTCTATGACCTTTAAATACTGAAACTGCTGTAGTTGGTTGTCTAAGGTCATAATAATGAATATGATGATCTAAAAATTAAATGAATAGTATTAATATTATTTCTTTCTTTTTGTTTTTTGTTTTAATTTTAATTTTTTTTACCAGCAGAACCAAAAGCAATTAAATGAGAAAAAGAAGGATTAAATTTAACACAACAAATATTAGCTTTACTTTCAATAGTTGTTAAAGCCTTTTTTTGAGTGGTTGACCATAATTTTACTTTAGTGTCATCGGATCCTGATGCAAATTGAGTTGGATCAGTTCTAGAAAAATCGACACTCCAAACTCTTTTTTCGTGTTCTTCCATCATTGCCATTTCTTGACCAGTGTTTACATCCCACAATGTAATGATACCTTCATAGTCTGATGAAGCAATTTGATTTTTAAAATAAGTGTTCCAACTGAGACAACTGATTTTCGAACGACAAACCATTTCCTTGACCGGTGCATGAACATCTACATCTTTCATTGTCACTTGAGAAAATTCAAAAACCTTGATCTTTTTAGTGACACCAGCCGTTGCAAAGAATTCATCGTCCTTGTCAAATTCAATTGAACTAACTATTGAACTTGTATTGAATAAATCTCCATACTTTAATGTTGATATTACTTTGAATTCATTGTATCTTGTAAATCTTGAAAGGTTCTTTGAAAATGTTAATAACCCTCTACTATTATTCATTTTTCTATTCATTTGATCTTCCATTAATAATAAATCATTTGATAATGATGATGAAGATGAAGTAGATGATGAAGATGATGTATTATTATTATTGTTGCCATTGGATTTTGAATTATTATTATTATTTTCAATTTCTAAATATAAATGGAAAAGAGATATTAATATTTAATTGAATAGTTTAAACTCATTTCAATCTTACCATTATAAGTTGAAAAATAACAATTTTGTAAATCCTCCAAATGAGTATCAATTTTTCTTTTCTTATTTTCAAGTTTTTGATTTTCTTTACTACTATCCTTTGTTTGTACATTGTTAACTGCCGTCGTAGTTGAAGATGAAGATGAAGATGAAGAGGAAGAAGTAGTGGTCGTAGTAGTAGAAGAAGAAGGATTTGAGTCTGACGTCAATTGTTGTTGATTTGAAGTTTCATTTTCTATTCTTGAAATGTCTTGTTCCAACAATACGATTTGTTTCTTTAATTGTTTATATGCCTCCATCTTTTGTCCCTTTGTTTTTGTTAAAAAATCCAATAATATTTCATACTCTACTTGTTGGTCTTGCAACTCTAACAATTTTTTCTTTTCCATCAATGTTGCCATAATATTGTTAATGTCAGTGATCGATATATTTTCATGTGTAATCGTATTTTGAAGTTGTTTAATTGGTGGAGTCGTTGCAAGATGACTATGTGAAAACTTTTCAACCATTGTATTTACTTAAAGTAAGTAAAAAAGAATAAAAGTAAGTAAGAAGATGTACATTATGATGATTGATGAATTGTCAAAACACATACAAGCAAAGTTTGGAAAGATTTGATCTCTTGTTAAATAATGTAAACATATTGGACAAGATGTTTTATCTGTAATTTGTGTAAGAATACATTGATAACTTTTGGAAATGAAAAAAAGAGAAGAAGAAATGAAAATACATTAATAAATATTCATATTTAATCATCATGTGACATGTCACATGTGAGATAAATGTTTGATTCAATCAATAAGACATACCAAAAAGAATGACCACATCTTGTAATAAATGGTTCTTTAATGATTTGGAGACATATAGGACATGACAGTGTATCATCAATATCCTTTGGAGTGGCAGCTGCACCATTTGAATTTTTGGAATGTTTGTTTGGTTGAACTATTGCTCCATTACTACTGCCTTGTGAAGATGATGACGACGACGATGTATTATTGTTATTATATGAAGATATAGTCAATGGTCTCTTGTTGTTTGAATTCTTTACTCCATTTGCTGTAGTACTATTACTATTGTTATTGTTATTGTTATTATCGCTTGTTACAGTTGTCGGTTCAGATGTTGATGAATCTCCACTGCTACTGCTGCTATTGGTTGGAGACTCTGAAATGGTAATAGGTGAAGTACTAGTTGTTGTATTGTTGTTATTGTTGCTGTTAGCTGTTGTACTAGAGGAGGAAGAGGAGGAAGTGGAGGGTGTTGTACTACTAGTAGTGGTCTCCATAACCGAAATGATAAAAGAAAGAAAGATTAATCTCTTAATCTAATCTAATCCAATCTAATCTAATCTAATCTAAGAGGTGTGTGATAATACTGTAATAATATAATAGTATAATAATAAGTATCTTCTTCTTTTGGTTTTGTATATTATTCGTGAATTAATGCAAACACATTTCAAACAACCAAGCAAAGAAGAAGAAGAAGTTGTTTTATCTGTTTGACAAAATTTCAAAAATAAATTAAAATTAATATTTTGAACTTGAATGATGTTAACTTGGAATCTGGGTTGTCGTCTGTTCACACATACGCTTAAATATCTATAATTTAAATATCTATCAATCTATATATATATATCAGATCGGGTAATTATTTAATGAAATGATTGATATTAATTAATACTACAATGTAAACAAAACTAACTTTAAATGACTATTTATTAGATAGATGACTGACAATATAGATACTATTAAAAAATGTTGTGGGTGCACTCCTCCTTCAGGTGATCAACAACAACAAACTCAATCGATTGATCTTTCTGTACACTCTCACCATGGTATATTGTTTAAATGGATTGAACAATTCAAATTCTCTTATGGAGTCATTGATCTAAGAGATACTATACAATACCAATCCAAACATATCAAACATACTACTTCTATACCTTTTAATGAACTACCTATTAGAATATTTGAATTACCTCCAAGAGTATGTTAGATATAATCAACCCCCCCTTCTTTCTATTAAAGTCACTTCTAATCATCTTCTTCTTCTTCTTTCTTTTTCTCTCTCTAAAAAAGGGACATGGTATAGGATTTATTTATTCAAAATCTATTAAAGTTAAGGGACAAGAAGAAGAATATATTGTAACAAAAGAATCATTACAACAAGTAATGAATGATTTAGCATTTAGATCTGGATATATTATACACTTTGTCATTAATTTAGAGGATGATAGTCATTTATGGCAAAAATTAACAAAACTAGATTTAGTACAAAGTGGCAGTCAATCTAGACTATTATGGCAAGCTTGTAGCTTTTTAACAGATTCAATTCAAGAAGTTGAAGATTCCTTAAGAAAAGAAAAAGAAAAATCAAGTATGACTACTACTAAAGAGTCTATTGAGACTATTATTACAGCATTGGATTTGGGATGTGGATCTGGTAGAGATTGTTTATATTTGGCTCAACGTGGTGGATGGACGGCAGTTGGAGTAGATAATAGTGATACTTTGCTCTCTAAAATGACAGAGGCTGCTAATCGATATAATCTCAGCGATAGAATTCAATCATACAACATTGACTTGGAACCTGTACAATCAGATGAACCATACCATGATACAGACTATAGTAACCGACAACTCAAATCAACAACTAAAGAAGATTTGGAAAAACTCCAACATCTTGAAGCCACCCTTTTAAATCTATCACCCGGTCAAGAGGGATATGAATTGGTCAATGTAGCAAGATATTTGTATCGACCTCTACTACCAATCATAGCATCGATAGTCAAACCTGGTGGATTTGTTTTATACCATACTTTTATGGTCCCATCGAATGGTAAACCTAAACGTCCTCGATTCCTACTAAACTATAATGAATTAAAAGAAAGATTCCTATCATCGAAATTTGAAATTATTAAATATCAAGAAACTAAATTATTAGAAGATGGTAGACCCGTACAATTCCTTTTAGCAAGAAAACCTATCAATTAGTAGTAGAGTATTATTACTGCTACTATCTCAATAAATAATAATTAATAATTATTTATTTTTTTCCCTATCCCTATTCTTTTTTGTTTAAATATTTTTTTTGTTTTATTTATTTTTTTTTTTGTTAACAGTACACCAAATTAGTTTAAAGAGTCAAATATGATCAACCAAAACTAGAGTCGGATTGATTGATCAAATAATGTGTCTCGCTCAACTGTATGACTTGGGGTATAGTTTTTATCTTGATTGCCAGTAGAATGGCTTGATCTGAGTATTCTTGGCATTATCGATAACTTGAAGTAAGTTCTTTACACTGCTTCTCCAGGCACCAACACGTAATCCTAATTGAGCCCATTGAGCCTTATTGAAAACTCTTTGAGTTGAAGTACTATAATAATAAATAATAAATAATAAAATGACTAATTAGTTTTCGTTCCTATATTCTTATTTTTCTCTTTTGTTTTCTCTTTTGACATACTTGACATGAACAACACGATTTAATTGATCCAATTTAGCATCGATTAATTCACCAGCAATAGCATTAATAACCCAAGTTTCAACGTCATTTTCATCGATTTGAAGACTCTTTGAGATGGTAGCGTATGGAACCTTGCTGTCTTCAGAGGTGAGGGTGGCAAGGGATAAGAGACGGATCTTTTGGAGACTGTCCTCTGACTTTAGGCCAATGGCAGCCAAAAAGCTTGGGTTACGTTGTTGGAAGGCCATAAAGGTGTCCAATTGCTCGGTGGCAAAGATCTTCATCAACTCGTATGTTAACTTGTGTTGTTGGTTGCTTGAAGTCTCCAAGAAACGAATGGCTTCCAAATCTAATAAATAATCGGATTGATATAATTCTTGGAGTGAGATTGACTCTATACAGGCACGAACCGACTCTTCTTGAGCTTCCTCGGCATCATTTTTGGTAAAAGTTTGTAAATATTTAACTAAATAACTATGTGATGTCATACTAAATAATATATATATATAAATAAGGAATTAAATATTAATATCTATATACATGTCCATATTCTTTGTTTGTTGTATATATATGTTTACCTATTCTTTTCCTTGAAAATGGTTGATAATAATTTATAAATCTTTCTCTTTTGTTCAGTGGTGGCAGACCAATCTTCCATCAAAGTTTCGAGGTTTGATAATTGTGATTTAATGAATTCAATGTTACCAGATTCGCTAGCAAGCTTGAGTAATGAATAGAATACTTCAAAACGTTGTGGTGACTTTGGTGGGAATGAATTGAACAAGTTAACCAACCTAAATAATAGACAAACAATGGTTATATTAATATCTACAATAATGATCACAATATTATGATATGTTGATTCATATCATATCATATCATTCGTTTCGATTCGATTCGATTCATACAATTTAATCTTTAATTGACTCTTTTCGTTTGCATTTGAAGTAAGAACATCTCTGATCTTTTGTGCAATGATATTGACGGCTTCCGTCTCTAATCTGTGAACAACTGTTAAAACGATATTAAAGAATGATTCGATATCTGTGCGATTTTGTAAAGAAAGGAATTGATTGATTGATTGATTGATTGATTGATTGATTAGTATTTGATGATGATCTCCGACTTGAGTCGACTTGATGATATGATATTGATATTGATATTGATATATATTATTGTACCTTTATCAGTTTCCTTGAACAATAAATCGGATTCAGAGGTGATGAGCTTTGAAAGGAATTCAGCAGCACGTTGTTCACCCAACATTCTTTGGTATTCAGCTGGATTAAAGTCGATTGATTTCTTCTTCTTGATGGAAGCTACTTGGTTGATGAGATCCATGTAGAGCTCTTCTGGGCTTGATAAATCGATATAAGTAGCCATTCTAACTCTAACTGTGTACTGTCTGATGTTGCTGATGTCTGAATGAACAATCTTCAAAGCAGTCCCTATAATAATATAATTAGAGAGAGAGAGCCGTGAGCACAGGCAGAGCTCAGCAAGGATGATGATCAAAACGCTCGATTGTCAAAAAAAAAATTAAAAAAATTCAAAAAAGACAAGAGGAGGAAGGAGAGAAGAATCGTGTTATAACAACGACCAAGCTATACTTTAGTTATTTAACACAATTATCTTTTATTTCCATTTGAAATAAATAAGATAGTTGATGAACGACATGCATAGAGTATATGAGATGATATTTATTGAACTGAATCAAAAAGACATGTGTTTGTTGAAAAGACGAGACAGACAGACCACTGGTTAGCACGAAAACCTGTTTGCGCCCCTTTTTGAACTTTTTTTTTTGTGAGTTTGAGGTCACCAACCTATTGCAACAAGAATCCTCAAAAAGGATGCTTGAGAAAAAGAGATTGATACATACGAATAACATTCCATTTAATTCTTCTTCAATACATACATCACAATTCATTGTATTACAACTTTATATATCTATAAACGAGCAATATAAAGATAGATATTAGATAGGATAGAGAGAGCTGGAAAAGGTTTAGCAGAGAGAAACGACATATGGTACAACAAAGATTAACACTTTCAATACTACTGTTGCTAGTAGTAGTAACGACGATCATCTGTTCTGTCTTTATGTTTGACATTGTCGATGCAACAACAAGTTATCAAGATTTTGAAGGCAGTATTACATTCCAAGACGATATTATTGATGATGATGATGATTCCTCATTTCAAGATTATGATGGTGATTCCTTATCACCATTTTCGTCATCATCATCTATATTCGATGACAGCGATGATACAAATGGATCGTCTGGTGGTGGCAATACATACAATTGTAATGTAGATTCTACCATTCCAAGTAATTGTACTAGTTTTGTTAAAGATTCAAATATTAAAACAGAGTATGTAAAACATAACAAGATAAAGAGATCGTTCATATAACATTAATTAATCATTCTTGATCGTTCTTTAGTGCATTGATTAATTGTACATATATCTCTGATTGTATAGCAGTTGTACAAAATATGTCATTGACCAAAACCGATACACTTAATATCAATTTGGCTGACCCACTTTACAATGGATCTGGCAATTGTAACCTATATTTTGATACACCGGCACAGATCTTTATCTCACCGATGGGAACACCTGTGATTGTCGATTGTATAGGTCAGGCATCATTTATTACACACGCTCGTGCCAATCTTGTACTGAGCAATGTTTACATCAAGAATGCATATTCGTCTTGCGTCACCATTCAACAGAATCCAACCAGTTTCACTGTGTTTGTTTACAACTCGGTCTTTGAAAATTGTACATCACCCGGAAATGGTGGAGGTATCCAAGCAAGTTATCCAAATTCAATCATTGTTCATGATTCAACTTTTTCAAATAATCATGCTATTCAAGGTATGTTGTTGGAAATATTAATAGTATATATAGTAATTATAATGATTTAATTATTTATTTATTTTTTAGGAGGAGCAATTTCAGGATTTACAGTATTTCTTTATAATTCAATGTTTGTTGGAAACTCTGCTACCAAAGGAGGAGCTGTTTATACAGATTCAACAATGACATCTGCTTTTATTAGATCTGAAAATTGTACTTTTAAATCTAATAATGCTCATTGTAAGTGGCGACAATAGTATACTCTAGTCAAAATCTAACAAATTATCATTTTTTTACTATTTAGTGGGAGGAGCAGCATTTGTTTATGATTTAAAATCAATCAATTCTATTTATTCAAATAATTTTGCACAGATGGGAGGTGCAGTCTTTACACAATCGATCGATACTACTCAATCGAGATTCCTTCAAAACTCTGCAGTGAATGGAGGTGCTATTGCACTTGCCGGTTCACCGTCGAAAAACTCAATCTCTCTCTCTTTTATCTATAACAACACTGCTCTAGAAGATGGAGGTGCAATGTATATAATTTCTCCAACAGCACCGGGCAATCTCAATTTACAACACTCGAAAATATTCAATAACCAAGCCAGCGGATGTGGTGGTGCTGTATACTTTAATCAAACTAACTCTAGTTATCTACTTGGTGGATTCTTTAGTGATAATTATTCTCCTGATAATGAGTAAGCAAATATATATATATATATAGATAGTCAAAACTAAAAAAAAAAATGATTCATAACATATTAATATTAATCTATTATTTTATTATAATTTTAGGGAAATTGCATGTGATGATTCAAGTCAACCATATAATTGTAATCCATGTCAAGCTAATCAATGTGAAGATTGTTTACAAATGGCAGGAGCTATCTGTATTACACAAGATTTTACATCCTATTGTTATATTGCCACGGAATCTTGTATTTTTGGAAATTGTAGTATTGGAAACAGCTCCAATGTCTCGTGTGACTGCTCGAGCGGATACCAAGGAGACACTTGTGCCACTCCCATCACTCCACCTCCTCATCATGGTGGAGGACACAACTCTGCCTTGGCATTTGAAATCTCAATGCCAATCGTTTTTGGATCACTTGTTATTTTATTCCTAATAGTCATTTTCATTATGATTAAAAAGAGAAATAATGAAAATAGTTATCAACCTTTGGTTAATAGTTAAAATAATCAATAATCAATAGATAATACCAAATTTAATTTAATTAAACTCCCCACTATCCCCCTCGATAATAATAATAATAATTCCCCAAATATATTAATAATAATAATAATAATTTTAACTCCCAACCATATTCTTCTTACTTTTAAAATAAATAAATCATATTTTTTTTTATGTAAACGCATTTGATCTTCTTTTTGTTTGTTGCTTGTAATATTGATCAAGATATTAATAGCGGATGAAAAAATATCATTATTTTATTCTTTCGATTTTCCCGTTCTCTCGAACGAGTACCCTCTTTAAAAATACTTTTATCCCGTATTTGCATGACCCTCAAACCCGAACAGACATCATTCGTTCATTCGTTCATCATTAAAGTACTTTATTTGTATTTGTTATTTGTTTAAATCCCGAATTCGAATGTAATACTACTACATCACTTACACACTCACCACTCACCTTTCATTGTCATAATCAACACAACACATTATACATTATAAAACTTTAGTAATAGTACTATAATACAAGAGAATGGGAACTACAGTAAAGAGATATTTAAAGGAAAACTTTGTAGATAGCTTCAAGTTGGTAGATAGAAGATTAATCAAGAAAAAGATCAATGGATTGTTATTGGGACAATTCATTTCATTGTTGATTGCAGGAACTGCTATTTTCAGTCAGCTGTTGGTCATCAAATATGGTGTTAATATGCCTACGGCACAGAGTTTGCTCAACTATATCTTGTTGATGTTTTACTCGATCGTTTTGATACGTCGTGGCACTTTTTGGAAAACGATAAAGACCAAGTCACTCATGATGATCCCATTGGCATTTATCGATGTCGAAGCTAATTATGTGGTTGTTAAAGCATACCAATATGGTAGTATCACATCTATCATGCTCTTGGATTGTTTCACTATCCCTGTCGTCGTAGTATTGTCACGTATCTTTTTAAAGACACGTTACACACTTGTCCATCTGCTCGCCGTCACACTCTCTATTGTTGGTATGGTCGTCTTGTTTGTATCCGATCTTGTACAAGGTGAGGATGCCGGTGGCGGAACCAACCCACTTCTCGGTGACTTCCTCTGTCTCATCTCTTCCACGCTTTACGCCATCTCCAACGTCGGTCAAGAATTCACTGTCAAAAAATATGATCGTATCACCTATCTTGCATTGATTGGTATCTATGGTTCAATCATCTCTGGTGTTCAATTGTTTGTATCCAAAAAAATATAAATTAATCATTAATAATTAATAATATTATTATTTATTAACTTTTCTTTTTTTTTTTTCTTTTTAGAGCAATATTTGAAAGAAATGAATTAGCAACGATGGATTGGAATAGTGGAGCAACTGGATATATGGTTGGATTTGCATTATGTTTGTTTATAATGTACTCGGCTACACCATTTATGATGGAGATTGCTGGTGCCACGCTGATGAATCTTTCACTTTTGACATCTGATATCTTTGGTATTGTGGCTGCCATCCTTTTGTTTGACAGACAATTATCGTGGTTATACTTTTTGTCGTTTGTCATTATTGTAAGTGCACTGGCCATCTACAATCTTTCACAACCGCATATTAAATCTTCCGAGATTAAAAACCTCATGGACGATGCCAACAAGGCCGGAGACATCCAAATCAACGAATCACAAGACGGTGCCAATACCGATCACATCAAAGACTCTATTATTATCAACAACGACCAAGAACAAAATGTCACACAATCACCATCTACCTCTGATCTTCTTACTCTTCAAAATTCTTCAACTTCTTTAATTCATCAAACATCCGATCTATCATCATCTCAACCTCAACAACAACAAGATGATGATAATATTCCAGTTTAATTATGTATATATTTTTCCATTCCATCCTCTCTCTCTTTTTTGTTCAAATATATTTAAATATCATTATTTAAATATATATATCCTTAAAATTAAAACATGTTTGCCTCTATCTCTACAAGTGCCAGGCAAACAATTCACATACACAAAATAGTATAGTATATCGCTATCTATATTGTTGTTGTTGTTGTGATTAATCACCACTCTAAAATCTATTATTATTATTATTATTATTATTATTATCATTATCTTTATCTTTTTATTATTATTCTTCCTATAATGTCTTATTTGATTTATGTTACAATTGTATGTACATTAGATTAGATTAAGATAATTGATTTACTCGGCAGTAACATAAGCAGCACATAGACCACCATCAACCAAGAAATCAGTACCAGTTACATATGATGACTAACGTTTAGAGGAAATGAAATTTGGTTAATACATGACTATCTCTATCTGTTTTGTTTTGTTTTGTTTTCATACATCATCACTAGCAAGGAAAAGAGCACCTTTGGCAATTTCAGAAGCTTGACCGAATCTACCCATTGGCAAATGAACGAGACGTCTATTTCTCTTTTCCGGGGTGTTTAAGAATTTGTCGAGTAATTCGGTTCTGAGTGGACCTGGACACAAGGCATTGACTCTGATGTTTTGTTTGGCATGGATGATGGCCAACTCTCTGGTCATGGCCAAGACACCACCCTTGCTGGCAGTGTAGGCAATTTGTGGAGTGGCAGCACCCATCAAGGCAACAAAACTGGCAGTGTTGATGATACTACCTCCACCGTTTCTCAATAGTGCTGGAATACCAAACTTGCAGCCAAGGAATACACCCTTGAGATTGACGTTCATTGTCTTTTCCCATACCTCTTCAGTAGTACTAATAGCATCGTCATCCTCTGAAATCATAATACCTGCATTATTAAAAAGGATATCTAATTTGCCAAAGTTTTTCTCTGCTACATCAATCATTTCTTTTACTTGATTTGCTTTGCTTACATCTAGATATATAAATAAATTAAAACAATAAACAAATAAATAAAAAAGAGTTAGTAATCTTACTGTAAAAGATTAAATAAATAGTTCTATTTTTGATATCTCTTACCAGCAGTAAAAAAGTAAGCATTTCCACCATTATCTTTGATTTGAGTGACGATACTCTTTCCCTTTGCAGCGTCGATATCTACAACCAATACCTTTGCACCTTCCTTTGCAAACAAGAGTGATGTCTCCTTGCCAACACCATCACCGCCACCCGTCACAATAGCTACCTTTCCATTGAGTCTTCCACTTCCTCCAACTGGTGTTGATTTAACAGTAGTGGTTGTGGAAAATGATCTAATAATATATTGTTGTGTAGATGGTTTAGATAAGATTGATTTTAACATTATTTGTATCTCTTTGTATGTATGTGTATGTGTGATAAATATGATGATGTTCAAAATAAAAACATCCAGGGCAAAAAGCTTGAAACAGGTAGATTAAAAATTTAATTAGGCAATAGAATGGGTCAAGAAGAAGGATTTTACATAAAATCAGTGAGCTCTTTGTCACGCCATTGATGTTCAATTTGAGATAGCCGAGGTTTAATAATAATCTGATGATAATCGGGTAATAAAAATAAATATATATAGTAAACTCTCACTATTTAAATTTAAAAAATTAATTTAATAACATTTAATGATCGACAGTTAAAATAGTTAATTATATGATCAGACAAGACAGAATATTCATCAATGGAAGTTCATTTTCAAATTTTTTTTAAATTTTCTTAATTTTTTTTTTTGGGGTCGACGATTTTTTTTTTTTTTTTCTTGCGCAGAAGAAAGAGAGAGACCTACAATAACTGTTAAGTCATTTCAAAGCTTCTCTAAATAGAAGAACAAGTTTAAATAAGTAAATGTCAGAAGTACCACCAACTACCACCACCGAGGAAAAGAAGGAAGCTACCCCCATTTTCGGTAGCTCTTTGACTAGCAACTCTTCCTTTGGTAGCATCGTTGCCAACAACCTTACCAATCCTTCCACACCCTCAACCACTGAAGGAGGAGAAGAGGAACACGCTCCAGATCACGAACCAAACGTCGAATTCACACCAAAATTGAACTTGCAAGTAGTCGAAGTCAAGACCAACGAAGAAGAGGAAGACATTCTCTTTGAAATTAGAGCCAAATTGTACAGATTCGTCACCGATCCACAACCACAATGGAACGAAAGAGGTGTTGGTATCGTCAAGTTCTTGAAGCATCAAACTACCAATAAGATTAGAATCTCAATGAGAAGAGAAAAGATCCTCAAAGTTTGTTTAAATCATTACAGTAGGTAGTCACAAATATAGAATATACAGACAAAAGAGAGAGAGAGAACCTATCTCCCTCATATGGTTATGTGGATGTGTTCATCATTGAACACAAAACGTGATGGTTGTCACATGTGCTACACCTCAGAGAGAACCTTTTTTATCATTATATATATATTAACCATTATTATTATTTTAGTTTCACCATTCTTTAAGTTGGAACCAAACGCTGATAGATCATGGGTTTGGAAGTGTCCAAAGGATTACTCTGACACTGATGAGCATCCCGAAGGAACTGAAGAATTATTTGCCATTCGTTTCAATACTCCAGAAGGTAAGTCGACATTACTTTTGATTGAACCAACCAACCAATCAATTGGATTATTTTATTAATCAATCGTTTTTATTTATTTATTTTTAGCCGCACAATCATTCAAGACTGTATTCGAACAATCTCAAAAGGATATGGCTGAATTAGCAGCTGGAAATAAAGTAGAAAAGAAAGAAGAAGAGGAAAAGAAGGAGGAAGAAAAGAAAGAAGAAAAGAAGGAAGAAGAGGAAAAGAAGGAAAACTAAACTAAACTTTAAAATTACACAATACGAATAATAGTAATATAATAATAATTTACTGTTCCTTTTTTTCTTAACAAACAAAAAAGGAGATAACAGGAATATATAAATATTATTAATAATAATAATAATAATAATAATAAATAAAAAAATAGTCAACTTTCTTTTTTTGTACAATACTTTTTGATCTTAAAACATTGATTTGGTATTAAATAAAAAGTCGACTTGAGTGTCAGTAGTTTTTTTTTCATTATTAAAACGCGTTCCTCCTTTTAGTGTTTTCATTCATTTTCCTTTTTAACATATCATTAATCATATCATTTATATATCTATATATCTCAATCATTTATAATATTCAATAAGTAGATAGATAGATAGGAGGATATATATATTTATATATACAAAACATGTTTAACAGACTATTAAAGAGTTCTTGTACTGGTAATACAGCAAAGATATTACTTGCAAGACAATCACAACAACAACTAAAGTTTAGATCATACTCTACTAAAGGTGGTGATAAAAATAACAACAATGAAGATATTGTAGAGGCAACTGACAACAACAGCAACGACAATAGTGACAATGTCTTTGATAGTAATATCGATGAAAACCAACAAAAGATCAATCAAATATTAAAGGATCTCGATCAACGTGAAAGTAAAATAGAATTGGATGCTGCTGCTGCTGCTGCTGCTACCTCTGAAGAGATACCACCTGATCAAACTATCATAGATGAACCAATTACAACCACAACGACCACAACGACTACAACTACAACAACAAATGGTAAAAAGAATTCTAGATTAAACTCTGATGAAGGAAATGTATCGTCATCATCATCATCATCAAACAATCAAACACAAACACAAAGTAAATCATTTGAAAACATTGTATTCAAGATGAAGTCACCAGAGGTAAGACCAAGATACTCGATTACTGATGAATTGATGGGTGATGACAAGTTGACACCCAAGGAGATTGTCAGCGAGTTGGACAAGTATATCATTGGACAAGCCGAGGCAAAGCGAGCCGTATCGATTGCATTGCGTAATAGATGGCGTAGAAAACGTCTTGATGCATCGATCAAGCAAGACGTCTTTCCAAAGAATATTTTGATGATTGGTCCAACCGGTGTTGGCAAGACAGAGATTGCTAGAAGACTGGCCAACATTGTCAATGCCCCATTCATCAAGGTCGAGGCTACAAAATACACAGAGGTTGGTTTCCATGGCCCAGATGTCGACTCTATCATTAGAGATCTCATCGAAGTGTCAATACACAACATCAAACAAAAGATTGCAAACCTTCACAAGGAAACTATCGACATGGAAATTGAAAAGGAAATTATCTCTTCTCTTGTTGGTCCTGATTTTTTAAATAGATCCTATGAAGATTTAGTAAAGTAAGTAAATGAAAAAGAAAAGATTAAAAAGAATGAGAAATTGGATATTAATCTATTTATTTATTTTATTTATTTTATAGACTTTATAGAGAAAAGGCATTAGAAAATATTCAAATTGAATTGGATGTACCATCTTCAACTGATACAAAGTTACAATTGGATGATGAGAACTTAATTCCATTTGCAGTATCAAAATTATTTAATGTTCAAGTTGATAAATCAAATCAAATTAAAAAGAGAATAGTAACTGTATCAGAAGCAAGAACTATTTTAGAAAAAATGTAACATTACATACAAACATACATTAATATATTAAATATACATAATATTAATATCTCTTTTTTTTTTTTATTTTAGACAAAAAGAAAAACTAATTGTTCAACAAGATGTTACAAAATTGGCAATTCAATCAGCTGAACAAAATGGAATTGTTTTCCTTGATGAAATCGATAAGATTTGTACACCAAAGGAAAATACGCATAGAGGAGGTGATGCCAGTACCGATGGTGTCCAAAGAGATCTTTTGCCAATCATTGAAGGTTGTAATGTAAATACAAAGTATGGTATGATTGATACCTCTAGAATTCTTTTCATTGCCTCTGGTGCTTTCCATTCAAGCAAACCTTCAGATTTAATTAGTGGTAAGTGAGAGAAAACAAACAAAACAAAATAATATTATTATATGTTTGTAAATATATACTTAAGATTTTATCTTTATTTTTCTTTTCATTTCTATTCTAGAATTACAAGGTCGTTTACCAATTAGAGTAGAATTAAAACCATTGGATCAAAATGATTTTTACCGTATTTTGACTGAACCAAAGAATAACCAAATCGAACAACAAAAGGCATTATTACAAACAGAAGACATTACTCTAGAGTTTACAATCGATTCACTCAGGGAGGTTTCAAGAATAGCATTTGATGCAAATGCACAAGTACAGAATATTGGTGCCAGAAGACTGCATGGTATCATTGAAAAGATTGTCGAAGAGTACAGTTTCAATTGCGATGATCACAAGGGCAAGACTGTTACCATCACTGAAGACAGTGTCAAGAAACATCTCAGTCAATTATTATTCAAGACTGATTTGTCTAAATATATCATCTAAACCCCCCTCTTCTTTGACAAATATAATCAATAAATCATTCGATATGATAATGATCCTTTATCTAAATTACCATATATATATTTTGGAGACCAACCAATCCTACAATGAAAAAAATGCCCAAATGATTTTACATCGCGGAAGGACGACCCATTTTCTTTTAAAAAAAAACATATTCTCATAATTATCATTCAATCGCCAACTCCCTTTTTTGATCAAACAAAAGCCATAACCCTCATCACAACACGAACAATAATTGTTGTTTCACACACTCACACAATTTATTATTATCATTATTTATTTATATCTTTAGTTTTTTGATTAAACTGTTAGATTAATTATTTTATAAAGATAAAGATAGAGTTGGTTTGTATTTAAAAGTAGTAATATAGAGAATCTCTCAATGGATATCAGTAATATACAAAACCTTGTAGTAAAGAATAAAGAGACAACATTAGTGATAACGATTTCGTGTTTTATGGCTGGTTATACAAGCACTGTAATCTATTCGGTTTTATTCCTTTTATCGGTAGTTGCCTATGTCTCTTTGACAAATCGAGGTAACAGTAACGATGTTGATCAACAACAAGAAGGAGAACAAAAGAAAAAGAACCCAATTGTAGTAAAAAAGTCAACAAGTGCAGTCACTGTTGAAAAGAAGATTGCATCACCAGTTAAAGTTCTTCCTCAAACTCCTCCACCAAAACAACAACAACAACAAGTCAACTCAGCACCTTCAACACCTACTCCACCACCACCTATTCCACCAAGACCAAAGAATGAATCATCATCATCATCGACATCATCGACACCCAATGGAACACCAACCAAACAAAATGTAGTTGGTGGACAATTATCTAATAGTTTTGGATCGCCTGCCTCTTCACCATCAGTCAATCCATCACCACTTGCTAGAAAGAATACAACCCAATCTGATTTATCTTACACTCCACCATCATCACCGTCGCCATCATCGTCTGTTGGTTATGGTAGTAAATCAGCTCCATCATCACCTGCAACTGGAACAACAGGATATGGATCTCCATCTGGATCATCATCATCAGCATCAAACACTCCAACTTTAAAAAAGATTTCTATAAACAAGGATAACAACATTGACACTACTTCTAATAATAAGGAAAATGATAAAAAGGATAAAAAGGTTGGAATGTCAACATTGAGAGGATTGATTGGAGGTGTAGTTGGAAAAAAGACATCATCATCGACTCCATCGAGTCCATCACTTACACCAGAGGAAAAGGAAAAGAATGATACAAAACGTAAACAAATTTCAGAGGAAATTCTTTCAACCGAGAGAGCCTATGTTGGGAAACTAAAGATCATCTCTGAAGTATTCTACATTCCATTGAAAACTGCTGCCACTGCCAACCCTCATCCACCACTCTCACTCGATCAAGTTCATACCGTTTTTTCTGAAATCCTTACCATTTACAATTACAACTCCCATTTCCTAACAGCTCTAGAAGATAAAATGAAATCTTCTTCAAATTTATTAATTGGTGATACATTTATTGAAATTGTAAGAGATAAGAGAGAGAAGAGAAAACAACAACAAACAAACAAAAAATATTAATTTTTTCATTTATTTTTATAACTTTTTTTAGACTGCATACCTTAAAACTTATACTGTATATATTAATAATTATTCAAAGGCTGTTGCAACTTTGGAAAAGTAAATATTAATAATATAAATAATATAATAATTATTATTATTTAAAGTTTGGTTTATTAATTTTTTGTTTATTTTTTCTTTTTTTGTAGAGCAAGAAAGAATCAAAACTTTGATTTATTATTACAAAAGTTTACACATGAAACACCTGCATGTGATGGATTAGATTTAACGTCGTTGTTGATTATGCCAGTACAAAGAATTCCAAGATATATTTTATTGTTGCAAGAATTGCTAAAAGTGACAGACAAGAAGGAAAAAGAATACGCATCTCTCAACACTGCATTGACCAAGATGAAAGAGTTGGCAAGTGATATGAACGAAAATAGAAGACAAGCCGAATTATTAAACAGCATGTACGATTTACAAAATAGACTCGATGGTTTCAAGGGCGATTTTATCGTTCCAGCCAGAAAGTTGTTGATGGAAGGAGATTTTCAAGAAAAGGTATTTAGTACCACCTCCAACTCTGCCGTTACCACCTCTTCTCGTCGTTATATTCTATGCTCTGACATTTTACTTAGAACCAAGGTAAAAGGAAAGAAACTCATTGTCAAAGAGGTTGTCGATGTGTCTGGTATTCAATTCAAGGATCTTGCCGGAGAACCACTCGCCATCCACCCTCAAGATTCAAATGAAATATATGCCCTCAAAGCAATCTCTCCCGATGAATCATCAAACAACCTTGAAGATAAATGGAAAGAAGCAATCATTCATCAACAAAAAGTACTAAAAGATAATGAACATCAAAGAAGACAATCAATTGGTAAAACCAATTAAACCCACAAAATCTATATATATAGGACTAGTATTTATCTTTTTTGATATGTTATGTTGTATTATTAATAAATAATTAATTATTTAAAAAACTCTGATGATAACTTGATTTCATTCAATTTATTATATTAACTATTATTATTATTATATTTACAATTTGGTTGGGATATCCCCATTCTATTCTATCTCTATTCTAATAAACTCCATAAATGATTAACATTTTCAAAATGAGAATTTGAATCATAATCGAGTTGGAAATGAACCATTTTCTCTTTATCTGGTTTTGAAATGATTCCACTTATTATATTTGAATTATTATTATTATTATTATTATTATTGTTACTATTATCTTTCATTTCAATATCATCATCTTTTTGACTATCATCATTTGATTCTTTTCCAGTACTATTTGAAATATTCCATTTAATCAAACTTATACATAAATAAAGTGTAAATAATTCCCTAAATTTTAATTAATTAATTAAATTGATTAATAAAATAAATCATTTCTACCAAACAAATGTGTGTATATGGTTTAAAATTTACCTTTTATAAGGTATTAATTGATTCTTTTGTTTCTCTAATTGTATCTCTTTTTCACGTAGTTGTTGTATATCTTGTTTTGTTAATGCCAATGATTTTTTCATTTCTCTATATAATCAATCAATCAATCAATCAATATAATGTTAGTATATATATTTTATAAAGTACTTTATAATCTAGGAAACAAACATTATATCATGCTCCAATTTATCGATATTAATTTGAATTGATCTTTTTTGTTCTTGATAGTGATTCAATTTTTTAGTATGTACTTCATCAGAGTCTTCTCGTTTCATCTCTTTTTCAAAGCCTATTAATCGCTGTGTCATATCTTTGACTACTATATCCAACTGACTTTGTTGTGCATTGAACAAAGCTGTAATGTCATTGTGCATTGATTGTGCAGTCGTTACATTTGGAATCTCTAAATTGTTTAGAAATGATGTCTTTACTTCATCAACAACTAATAATAAATCTTCTGTATCTACTTCCATATTGAAATTGTATCTATCTATATCGATATCTTTCAAAAGTATGAGATGTTTAATGATACAACACTAAACGAATGAATGAAAGATACAAAAGTTAATTAAAAAAAAAAGGAGGGAAATTTTTTGAATTTCACAACCAAGGTTATTTATTTATTTAGTAATTGCCATTACCATTGACATTGAAGTTGATAAATCAATGATTTCACCACTATTACTATTATTTAAAATTGATTTAATATTTGGTAATAAAACTGGATGATCAAATGAACATCTCTTTTCATGTGTTAATTGATAATCAAAATTTGATCCCCAACCATAGAATTCATCACCGTCATATGCAATTACGTATTTATGTTTTGCCCAAAATCTCTTGATTCCTTTAACCTCTTTAATATGATTAAATATACCATTTTTATATTCTTTTCCAACTCCAAGCTAAAATAATAATAAATTAATTATTATCATTCATTTGACTCTATATTTTTTATTCCTTTTACTTACTTGACCTTGATCATTTGAACCAAATGAATACATTGTACCTGAACTAGTTAGAATATAATTTGAGAAACTTGCACATTGAATTTGAATGATGGTTGCATTGGATGCTAGATCGTCTGGTGTGTAAAATAGATTCTTGTCAAGTTCCATTATTCTACTATAACTTCCTTTAGAGACCATTCCTTCTTCGATTGGATGACATTGAGATTCTTGATTTCTACCCCATACAAACAATCTATTGTCACGGGACAATGCCATCGAATGAGAAAAGCCACAACTAATATCGATAATGGGTGATTGACTTAGAAGAGGATTATCGATTCGAGTAGGAACACGTTCATTGAATTCATTGTCATGTCCCAACTCGTTGAATACCGATGATCCAAATGAATAGACGTCTCCACTGTCAGTAAGAGCCAATGTAAAGGTTGATCCACACTCTATCTTGATTGTACCAATCTCTTTCAACATTGTATTGTTGTATGGTTCAAATTGAAGACGACGGTAGACCGGCGATCCAATCTGTCCACTATTGCCAATACCCCAAAGAAATGTAGTTCCATCGTCAAAGATACATGCATTGTGGTAGGTTCCCGATGACAGATGGCGAATCTTTCTCCCCTTTACCGTATCATCGCGACTAAATGCATCACATTTCAATCTTTCAATCTCTTCCAACACTGGTTGTTTACCATTGCCAACGATCAATTGTGCCGATCCATTATCTCCAACACCATAAAACTCTATTGGTTCCGATCTTGCAAACAATGAATAGGTAGTACCACAACTAACCCGATCAACATTACAATTGTCTAATTTCTCTATTCTCTTTGGTTGAATGATTTGTGTTGTATCTATTCCATGACCAACTAAATAGTAGAAATGATTAAAGAAGGAGGAGAGAAGAGGAGAGGAGAGGAGGAAGAAGAGTGTTGGTTGTTTTATAAATCATTTTACAAGTCTCTAGTAAACTTTAAACTTACGTTTTCCCTTTGTTCCTGATCCCCAACTATACACTATTAAAGAAAGATGATAAGTATATATATATAATCAGCTGGCTCTAGACTGTTCACATGGTACAATACATACCCTTTGTACTATAATATCTAAAGTGATTTGTCATCATCATCGTCGTAGTCATATGACTACTACTACTATAGACACCACCACCACTAACTATCAATCTATTCAACATGGTTCATTGATCTAATATATCTAATCTATATTCATTCATTGCACAAACAAGAACTTCATCTGCCAACCACCAACACAAATTATTTAATTTTCTTTTGTTTTTTTTTTGATCGTCATACAACCCATCAAAAAGGAGCTCCTTGTCTCATGAAACGTTTCGTTCTCTGGTCAACAACAGAGTCGATTTCGATCGTCGTCGTCGGTTTGTTGAAATTGAAATTGAACAACACACGAAATTGAATCAACAAATATGATAAATTTTATAATAAAATTTGTTGGTGCACGGAAAAAGGGTAGATAGTATTACGAGTTGAAGAGATAATTTAAAATTTTATAGGCAAGAATCGGCAAATTAATTAATTTTTTAACGTGTGCTCATAAATTTTAGCATCTGCGCCTCGGAGAACCTCGAAAACCAATTGTCTACTCGAGAACAACGTTCGTTTTTTTCCAGGGCAGAGAAGGGAAGTGGGGTGGCGGTTGGCGATGGTAGCCAAAAAAAAAAATATAAAAAACAAAAGTTTTGGAGGACCCTTCCCTTCTCTCAATATTTATGATTTTTATCAGCCTCCCACCCGAGTGCAACCAGGCGCAGTAACAAGTAGGGCTGTGATGACGATTTTGCCTTCGTCATTTGATTCATGTGACAACAAACTAGAGTATTATCAATTTTTTTAGGTCATTGTCATCGTTATTTCCCAATTGGATTCAAGTCATTAGGTGTCATTAATAATAATAATTATTAAGAAAGAGACAAAAAAGAGAGACACAGAGAAAAGAAAGAAACAGAGACAAGACAGATAAAATTAAAAGTAATCTACCCCTCCCTCACCATCATCACCATCATCATCATTGCAAATAATAAGTAGGTCAAAAAATTTAATCTTTAACCGCTTAGTTAGATTGCAACTCACATCTCCAGATCTCCCCTACTTGGATAATAATAATAAATTTATTGTTCTTTTTGTCTCGAGACACCTCATCATCGTCATCATCCATCAATCCCTCCTTGTTTGCAAAGAAAGATAAAATTTTTGAGGGGTGTCGTGACGTGTAAGCAACAACACCAGAAAACAAAGTCATCACGCAAATCGAAGCAGAACTTATCCAACCCCAACTCGAAAGTTACACTTTAATTTTTATACTGTATCCTAGATCTAGGTCATACTTACAAGGATCGCCAACCTTCATCATCATCGTCACCACCAAGTCCACACACAACACACAGTTTCATTCCTCTTCTTCTTTGATTGTAAGTTTAATTAATTTTTGTTTATATATTAACTATCTATCATCTACCATTATCTCTCACATCATAATAACATTCAATAAGAAGAATCAGCTAAACACAATTCAAAAGAATAGTCATTGTATTTTAAAAAAAAGCTTTTCGAGCTCCTATCGAGATAATTAAACTTTAATCGTCATAGTGAAAAGATTCGCATCCCCTCATCACCATCATCATTTTTTTTGTACACACACGAATGTGGAGAGATGAAGTGATCTTATTGTTTGTTTGTCGCCATACACCCACATGATTTGTTTTGTTTTTAAGATCAAAACTTCGGGAAGCCCCTTACCCTTGCACAATTGTGTGAAAGCCTTTTTCCCTTACCAATTCCACTCCGACACTTTGTGCTTTTTCTCTTTGCTTATGAGCATTTTTTACGTCATACAATATCCGTCAAATAATCTGAGATATTCGGACTTGGGAATTTTATTTGTGTTAAATTCTCTCTTACACGTGTTAAAAGCCCAAGTCCCAGGAAAAGAAGCCGCACCGCATCACCTCCACCCAACAAGGTTTCTTTTTTTTTTAAATCAATCGCCTTTGTCCATTCTCATAATAATAATAATAAGTAATAAGTAATAAGTAAAAAGTTATTTATTTATTTATTAAAAAGGATACAAAATGTAAATAATAATAATAATAATAATAACATAAGTGTGCACAGATAGAAAGAGAGTGTGTAATACTCTAGATACACATCCAATAATATTAGCAATGATGTGTCAACCATCATACCCAACCCTACCCATCACACAACATGGGCTCATGTTTAATTTGTCAAAAGAGTGTGTGGTGATTTCTAACCAGACATTTTACTAAGTTTTGGGAAATCAAATTGGGTGGTGGTGAGATTACTCATATTTTTGGTGGTCCTTCCTTGTTTTGATAAACATGCCACCCCCAATAATAACTGACGTCAGTGGAGATCATGATCGACGTGTATCACCCCCCCCACTCTAAACAACATTGTTATTGTTGTTGTTGATGATGATGATGCAGTCAATATTGATCATAATATTTGTTATTCTTCTTGTTGTTGATGATGATAAAGGATGATGACGATTTATGATAAATCATCATTGTTATTGTGTCAACGCGCATCAAAGAAAGAAAGAAACCATCAACATCTGTTACTTGCTTGTTCAACCAAACCATCAATTAATTAATCAATTAATTTGAAACCTCTCCTCCTCACCCCATCCATCCATCCATTCCATTCCATTCCAATCCACATCAGTTCAGTTGTTGTACAATTTAATATTAATTCTTTTTTTTTTTTTTTTTTTCTAAAAAAGTTAAATAATCATGTATAGTCCAGAATTATCCCAACCTCTATCACCTGGTTCACAATCTGATTTCGATGTACTTTCTCCATTGTCAAGTGATGGCATGGAATTTAATGTAAGTTTTCTCTTTTTTAGTTTTTTTTTTTTTTTCCAAACTAACAAATATATACATCAACAATAGATCGGAACCAATAGTGGAGACAAAACTAAAAAGAGACAAGTTAGATTGTTAAAGAATCGGCAATCGGCAGCCTTGTCCAGAACAAGAAAGAAAGAATACATCCAAAACTTGGAAGGAAGAGCACAAGAATTACAAATTTCAACCAATGACCTAAAGAATAACATCACTGGTTTGAGCGCCGACAACCAATATTCACTTCTTCGCCTTGAACTTTTACAAAAACAACTTCAATCAGTTGTCAATGATAACAAGGTTCTTCGATCCAAATTAAATGTTGATGATATTAGTAATAATAATAATAATGATATGGATACAACAATGATGGTTGAGAATAATAATAATAATAATAATAATAATAATAATAATAATAATAATACAAATAATAATAATAATAATAATATTCACAAGAGTCATCATATATCATTAAGAGTACCATCATCATTAATTCGTGAAAATGAAATTATTATTGGCATGAACAAGATGATGAACAAACCACCATCCATTTCATCAATGGATACCGAATCCAATAACAATAATAATAATAATAATAATAATAATAACTGTAATATTTCAACAACTCCAACAAACCCAACTTTAACCAATCTTTTATCACAACCACAATCACCATTCCTCAGTGTATCAAATCCAAATGTCAATTCTCAACCATCCTATTTATCTCGTGCTAGAGCAGCTTCGTATCATCCAACCAATGAAATCTACAAGCCATCTTCCATCAACCAACAACCAACAATTTCCAACATTACCAATTTATCAGAGCAATCCAACAACAATAATAATAATAATAATACTTTTTCGCCTGTATTGCCCTCACTCCACCAACTTACCAAGGCAATTACTCCAACCTTGGGATCATCACCACCAGCCAGAAAGAATCTATTGGGATATTACCATTTCAACCAACAACAACAACAATCACAACAATAATGATCGTCGTCATACCAAACTTTATTTTTATATTTATATAAAATGTATCTATCATAAACCAAGTAGGTTTAAATTTATTCATTTTTAAAACAAATTGTAATTGTTTTTTTCCAAAAATTGTTAACTATATCCAAATAAATAATAATAATTCTCCATCTCACCTCACCATCCTCACCTCATCATCACCATCCTCCCCTTTACTCATTTTGAATTTTAATAATTCAACAATCTATTTATATCAAATCACAACATTATCACCATCCATCCATCCATCCATCCATCATATCATACACACAAAACTTTAAAACTTGTCATTCTCTCTCTATATACAAAATATACTTGTGTTTTTATATTATTAATATTTTTTTATGAAAGAGAACCAAGTAATTTTAAATTATTAATTAAATCAACCCATCGTTTCGAATCTTGTGTAACTGTATCATTAAAATGTCTTGTTCTTCCTCTCTTGAAATAGGAGATGAGGCGGTTTTATGAAAAAAAGAAATACAAATAAAATGAATAATTATAAAAAATATCAACCTTTTTCTCCTTTTCTTTACTTTTGTACATACAGAAGTAATAGTAAAATGTTTGTTTGATTTAATAGATGCTAAAAGTGTAAGATCTACATGTATTTCACCTTTGATTATCATTTTGGAAGAGTCTACCCAAAAGATTCTAGGACTATCTGTAATGATAAGATGTCTTTGTTTTGAGATGAGACCAGTCTTTTTTACTATTGGTGTCATGCCAAGGATAATTTCGTCGTTTGGTAATAACAGTTTGTTCCAAACCAAAGTTGATTGTTCTTGTAATAGTTGGATCATTTTAGGTTTACCTTGTAACAATAGTTCGGTTGGTGTAATGTATATAGTTGGTTGATATGATTTTGGTAATTCACTTGTTTTGTTATTTGATGATTGTTGTGGTGGAGATGATATTAATGGTAGAGGTGATAATGGACTACTCGTAGTAACATTTGGTCCTCGAGACATTGGACTTTGTTGTACAGAACTAGTAGTGGTTGATCTTTCCCTCTGTAGAATAGATGATATCGCTGTACCACTACCACCACCACTTGGTTGTTGAGTTGGTAACAGTTCTTGTTGTTGCTGTTGTTGATTTGTCTGTCCTTGTACTAGTTTTAGTTGATTGATGATATTTGGTGAACCTACAGATTTTGATCTTTGACGATCTTCTTGAGGTGAGATTGGTTCAAATACGGTGACTTGAGGTGGAGTTTGATCATTGAGTGATTGCCATACTACTCCTTTAAAGAATGGGTGTGCTTTAATTTCATTAAATGAAGGTCTGTCATTTGGATCAAGACAAAGTATCCTATCGACCAAAGACCTGGCAACACCGTCAAATGATTCGGGAAACGTCAACTCTCTTTTTATGATCAATTGAAAGGTCTGGTATTCGTTGAATCCTTTGAATGGTAGTTTTCCACAAATCAACTGGTACAACAAACATCCATACGACCAAATATCTGCACTTTTGCCAGCCATCTTTTCAACCAATAACTCTGGACATACATATTCTGCCGTTCCACAAAATGATCCTGATCTTTCATTGTGGATGACCTTGGCAGTTCCAAAGTCACTCAATTTGGTATGCATCGACTTTGACAATAGTATATTTTCAGGTTTGATATCTCTATGACATATACCTCGACTATGTAGATACTCTATAGTCAATAATATCTCTGCAGAGTAGAATCTAACTACATCCAATTGAAAACAATTTCCACTCCTTTTTAATAAATCCAATAAATCTCCATTTGGACAATATTCAATTATAAAATCTAAGAATAAATAAATAAAAAAAGAATAGAATTAATAATAATAATATTAAATGATTTTTATGGTATGTTTAAAATACATACACAAATTACTTTCATCTTGAAAAGTATAGAAAAGTTTTATAATATTTGGATGATCTAGTGAATCTAGAATTGTCTTTTCGCTATTGACATATTTTGATTTCTTTTCCTTTAGTATTAATTGTTTATTCAATATCTTGGCTGCATAAAGATATCCAGTACTATTTTCAATAACCAATTTTACCTTTGTAAAAAAAAAGTATAAATTAATAAAGTATTATTTATTTTTCATTCTATAAATATAATACTATCTATACCTTTCCATAAGAACCTTTACCAATAGTTCTTATAAAGTTGAAATCTTCTTTATTCTTTTTATTACTACTGAGTTGTTGCTTTGATTGTTGATTCAAATGATGTTCGATCATTTCCTCAGAATTGAAATCCTTTTCTTTGATTAATGTTACTTTGGTTGTTGTAGTCGTTGTCGTTGTCGAATCTTCTAGGTTGTCTATTATGGTTTTACTATCTACATTATTGATTGATGATTTATCTTTGATGGATAACTTGTCCATCAACTTTTGGTCAATCTCTTCTTCTTCTTCTCCTCCTCCCTCTTCTGCAATACAAGTATTTGTCTTTGTAGTATTATCAGAGGAAGAATTTATCATTATTTATTATTCTATATATATATATATATAATATTTAAAATGAGTTTCATTCATTCAAGAAGAACTAGAAGACTTTTTCTCTCAACCCCAACACCAACACACCTTCCCCATTTCAAGAGTGTGTCCAATACCAATAATTAAATTTAATTTAATCTTAATCTATCATCTAAAAATTTAAATCATTAGGTTATATATTTATAATTTATATTATACTTGGATATATATCTAACGATTAAAACTAGTTAGAATTAATCAGAATCTAAAAGTCTATTCCCACAAAATGTAAATTAAAATAAAATTACCTTTGTTTCAAGCTCCGAGCAGCATTTATAACCCACTAATCGTGCTATTTTTGCCTTAAAATTCTGGAGATAGAGATAGAAAGAGAGACAGAGAGAGAGAGAGAAGGAAGGAAGGAAGCAAACTATTCATCATTTAGGTAAACACAACACTTAACAAAATAACAAACAAACAATAAGATAAGATATTGGCAAAAGAACAAAGACAATTATTAGAAGAAGTAATAGTAGTACGACACTCTCTCATTATCATCTCATACTCATAACATCATCATCATACTATAAAGTTAGTTGGTCACGACAAGATAAATAGAATTTGTAAGTAAGATCATAGTATAGTAGTAGTAGTACTAAGTAGTAGTAGTAGAATCAACACCAACCAACATAGGAGTAACCGACAGGAGACATGATAATCAATCAACCAATCTATAATAATCTATAAAAAGAGTGGAAAATGTGTAGAGAGAGAGAGAGAGAGACACCCATGCAACAAACCAACCACCTACTTTAAAGTAAAGGCTCTCCCTATTACTTGATTTAGATCGGGTATGTGTGGAGAGGGGATGGTTGAGAGATTAATCTATTGATTGATTGATCCCCTATTTGAATCGGTGCATATATGATGTGATTGCTTTGCTTATTCTTTAACCCATTACCCCCCACCACATTTAAGAAGGAATGAATGTCTTTTGACACCGAATCGATGTTTGTGTGTGTGTGTGGTGGGTTGATGGGTTTAAAGGAGACCAACACCATTGCATCCAATCGGAATGAAGAGAGCAAACAAAAAGGAATAAGTGAGCCATCTATATAGTATACCAGTTCAGGGAAGGAAGCTGTATCTTGCAACACTAGATTCAACCCACCCTCTCCTCCCTTTGATGGTTCATTTAAAATAGAGCCCGTCAATATTTGGAAATAGTATAGTGGGGCTCCTCTACATGTATTCTATTATTGTGCGATACAACACTCTTTTATCTATTATCTTTTTTCATCTATCACAAAGAAGGAAGGAAAGGAAGGAAGGTTCAACAACACACAAGTCAATCAATAATCATTATACAACACAATAATAATATATTAATTACACAATCAACTTTTGACTCAATCAAATACAACTTTTTATCTCCCCAACCATTCCATTTCCATTTTACTCCTTTATAATCACCAAACTCGTCATTAATGGAGATCATGACAGAAAGAATTTCAGTCATCCACAGTGTTGTAGTAGGATGTTTTAGTTTACCATACAGTAATAATGCATCATCACTTTTAAATCACTTCCAAATGAGCAGCAAAAACGAAATCAATACTAATAACCAATCCCATCATCGCAGTTGTAGTGGTTCAGAACAGTCATCAACATCATCGAAAAGTACCCAACGTCACCAACGTCGTCATAGTTATACATCTAAAAGGTAAGGGAATGAAAGGAAAAAGGAAAGGATGGAAAGCAGGAATCATTCTAAAAACTGTGTTTTTCATTTGCTGTCTGGTGGAGTTCCAACTTGGCAATGTTGTCTCTTGTTTTGTTGTTGTGTTGTCCCTCAAGATCAATCCGACAATGGTTGATAGGTTCTGATGTGTTTAACCTATATTTACATCTGTCACACAACACTACCACGACCACCACCACCACCATCCCACTATCACCACAATTGTGTTGTGTTTGTTTTTTATGTTGATTGATTTTGTTTGTTTAAATTTTCCCTCTTCTCTGCTCTCTCTACCTCTTCAAGATATATATCTATTCACTAAACAAGAATAACTACTTTCTGCTTGCCGGCCAAACAATTTATTTGTACATTTAACACTCCCACCCTTTTTGCAAGCACTTTACCAGAGTGTAGCACCCCAACGATTACAACAAGAAAAACAACAACAACAACAGCAACAACAACAACAACAACAACATAATATCAACACATATTAGTACCAATCTATCTTTTTAAACAGCAACAACAACAACAGAAACAAACTGTTTTTTGCATGATTTAAATTGATCGATTGATTTTTTTGATTATACTTGCTACAAGTTTATACAATAACAAGCAAAGAGAGAGAAGAAGAAAGAAGAACAAGAAAGAACAAGAAAAAGAAACAACAGGTAGAAACAAAAACAAAAAAAAAAAAACAAAGAGTTAACTACACAACATTGATGATGAGTAATAATGAAATGCATGATGATGACAAAGTAAAAAGTGGATTGACACAAAGTGTGTAGTGTGTAGAGTAGATTATAGATAAAATACACTATACTATTGATAATTAATCAAACTATCAAAATATTTTTGTTGATGTATTATTATTGTTGTTGTTGTTGTATCATCAACTATTATCAACAACATCATCAACATCATCACACATATAATTAATTAATTATATTTTACGAAATATTTAATATTAACATCCTATCTTGTTGTTCCTATCTTTCTTTTTTTTTTTTCTATCCTCTTTTTTCCCTCTTCTTCCTCTTCCATTTTCCAATCAAAAAAATATTAATATTTTTTGATTTATAAATCAACAAACACTTATTAATCATCATGTCTCAAACAATATCTAGAGTATTTGGTTTAAGCAGTTATAGTAATTCGGTTGTCTCTAAAAGTCAATTTTTTCCAACAAAGACTTTTAGTAGTAAAACAATGAACAGATCCGATGTCAAGATCAATGTTATTGATGTAAGGAAACAAAAAAAAGGAAGATAATATAATATTTATTTATTTATTTATTTATTAATTCCTTGCTCCTTTTTTTTTAGACTGTAACAAATTCAAAATTATCTGGATTACAAGTGGAAGACGAGGATAAAAAAGCAGAGGATTTTCAAAAGATTTTATTAGATACCATTCCAATTATTATTCGTGGAACTGAATTGATTGAAGATGAAATTGAAACCATTACATCTGCCGATACTTTGGTAGAAAAACGTTTACCTTGCCAAGTTTTAATTGATGTTTCAAAGGTAAAAATATAATTATAATATAATTTATTGTTTATTCCTTCCTTGTTTTATTTATCCCTTTATTTTTATTATTTTTTAATTTTAGATATTAAGAGATTACCCAAGAGGAATGGGATTTAAATGTAAAGGAATACCACCAATGTTACATGGAAAACCAAAATTGATTGGATTTAGAAATAATATGGATCAATTGGGATGGGAGATTATTAGTAAATTATCGATACTTCGTGAATTTGTAGAGAATACAATGGAGATTCATAAACTTTATGTGATTGCACTCAGCATTCGTGATTGCAAGAATGCATTTATAACCAACAAGAGCGACAATTACCTCAGATCGGCAGAGAGCCTCTTGAATCCACAGACAGAGAATGGCAGTGTTGGCAGCGGACCATCTTCACCTCGAAGAACAGCCAAACACGTCCCCATAGTCATGTCTCGTGCACCCAAACAGGTAATAGAGTCGACTCGCGATTTGGTAGATAGCGCAATCACAAGAAAGGCTTTGGCATTGTCCAAAGACGACAACTCGCACATGTTTAGAGAAATGATATCGGAGCGTTTCAACCTGCTCAATGGCAACCCCAAGGGATATGGAATGAATCTTTTACAGCAACGAAAGACTCGCATGATTGGCAACAGCGCCGAGGCGACACTGCTGTCTGGTGACGATTCTGCAATTGGATTAAAGAATTCACCCGACAGTCACGGACGCACACATCACAGCAACTCGATCGATATTGGGTACGCCGCCCTGTTTACACCACCAACGGCCAAGGAAAAGGCCGAGTTTAGTCCACCACGGTCACCACCAACGTCGCCCGAGATGATCAGCAAGTCGCCGACTGGCGCGTCGTCAAAGAGATTCGCAGACCTCATGATGTCGCCTCGTTCCAGCGACCGTGTGCTCAAGCACTACAAGTTGCTTTCGTCATCGCCTTCATCGTCGGCATCCAACGTAGCATCGTATGCTGCTGCGCAGCAGACACAGCAACAACAAAACCAACAACAACACCTCCAACAACAACTGCAGATAGCAGCCGACAAGCAAGACGTAGAGTGGGAAAAGTTGGACGAAACCATCAAGGCAGGATGGAACACGATGGTGTCTCAACCGCGTGGATTCAAGTGCGACTTTGGGTCGAGCTTGCAAAAAGAGTTCCAGCCGTGCTCTGCCTACCCTGTATTATACGACGAAGACGACGAATATTTGTATAGAGACGATTTTTATGACAAGGAGCATTTCAACTACCTGGGACAGAGCAAGGGCAATGGAGAAAAGAATTTGGTTTCCATCTCGGCCGTGTCGGTCCCTCTCTCGACTGGCGAGGTCGAATTGTTGTACATTATTAGAACACCCGACAGAGACGAGCGTGTCCGTATCGTTGCCTCGAACAAGCGTGACTCCAAAGACATGATCAAGATGATCAAAAAGTCGAGACAGCAACTCCAAAACTACAAGTTTAAAGAGGTCAAGGAAAAGGCGTTCACCAACGACCTGCTCGACTTTGAAAAGAAGAATACCGTGCACAGAAACTTTAAGTTTGGTGTCCTCTATTGTCGCGACGGTCAAACCGAAGAGAACGACATGTATGCCAACCACGAGCCACATCTCTCGGAACGTTATCTCCAGTTTGTCGAGCTTTTGGGTGAGCGTGTCGAACTCAAGGGATGGCCACACTACAGAGGCGGTCTTGACATTCGTGACAATATGACTGGTTCACACGCAATCTACCGTCGTTGGCGAGACTATGAGCTCATGTTCCACATCTCTACCATGATTCCATACAAGGAGGATGAGCAACAAATCGACCGTAAGCGTCATCTTGGCAATGACATTGTAATGATAGTATTCAAAGAGGGCTCGACTCCATTCGACCCTTCCATCTGTAAATCAAACTTTAACCACATCTTTGCGGTCGTCGAGTATGACGAGACGTTATCGACACCCGAAAATCCTCTCTACCGTTTCTCAGTGTCTTGTCGCGATGAAGTCATCGACTTTGGTCCATCTTTCCCCAAGTATCATTCCTTTACACCATCTGAACTCAAGGAATTCCTTGTCATCAAGTTGGTCAATGGTGAAAGACAAACTCTAAAGTCTCCAGTATTTTCACAAAAGTTTAAGAGAACAAGAAGAGAATTTTTACAATCCTATTTTGATCAATATTTATCGGAATAACAAATTAATGAAAACGACCAGAAGAAGAAGAAAGAACAATATGAATATTATTTATAGTATAATTTTAAACAACCCAACAACAAAACACAGTAAAATAAACCAATTTTAACAACCTCTCCTTTATTGTACAATTATAACTAAAATATTTTCAAAAATTGAAATGAGTATAGACAATCTTGTGAAGACTATATCGTGTATGGAATAATTCATATAAATTATAAACTTCTTTACTACAAAAACATATTTCATCATCGATTACTCTACTAAATTCCATTATAAAAGCCTGGATTATTGTTATCAAATGTAAATCTTTTAATTATATTTATACTCACAACAAAATTTAAGACTGTTTTAAATTAAAAGACTAATAATTGTTTTAGGGTTGTTAGAAAAAAAAAAGTACACCACTTTTTTTTTTTGTTAATTAATATTTATTAATTTAAGCAGTAAAGGTAACGGTAGAGTTGCCGTTTGGTAAAAGGTTCTTCTTCATTTGGTACATTCTGTTCGTCGGCACACTTGATCAACTTGTCGATTTGAGTTGATTGTGATTTGTTGAATACAACACCTCCAAAGGAAAGAGTTACTTTGATTGAGGTTGAGTTGTTGAGTTGGACAGTGTCGCATTGGACACTTGAGAGGTAGCTGGAAATGAATTGATCAGCTTGTGTGTTTGATTCTACATTGCGTTTGACAATGAGGAATTCATCGCCAGAAAGGCGGACTGGGAGAACTGATTCGTCGGCGAATTGTTGGAAACGATCGGCAACTGATCTGAGGACAACATCACCATTGTCGTGTCCGTGGGTATCGTTGATTTGTTTGAATTTGTTGAGATCGATGAAATAGATTGAACATTGGTCTGATGAAGACTTGGCTACAAAACTTTTGAATCTTGTTGTTGAGGTGGTATCTATTTTGGAGACCGGTGAGTGCATCGTGAGTCAAGGTGTTCTTGAGCTTCTTGAGTTGTTGTTTTTCTTGACTGTTGTCAATCATGATTCCTTGGAAGACACTGGTGGCAGCATCATACTTTCCAGTGAGACGGTAGTATGAAGAGCAGCTCTTGCTCTTGATTTGAACGTCACTTGGAGAAAATTGATTCATTGATGAGATGATATTATTTTGGAGGGTGATTGAGTCGATGAGGTATGATTGGCAGAATTGTTCGAGTGATACTGAACTATTGTTGGATTTAACAATACGATTGTTAAAGTTGATTTCTAAAATACTGATTGATTGATTGGATGAGAGTATTTCCATAAAGCGACTTGATGACTTCTTGTCACGCTTTTGGATGGTATATAAGAAAACAATGATACAAAAAGCAATATAGAAATAGTTGGTTGGGAATAGAGTGGTTGGGAATCTATCCAAAGATTGTCTTTGGATGAGTTGGTTAAAGTTGATGATTTCAATTGCCATTTTTTAATATTATTATTAGTGTGTATGTATGGTAGTTGTTGTGAATTTAATTAGTTGTTAAACTGTTGATTGTTTTGATTTGTGATTTAAATAATGAATCGAAAGTTGCTCTATTTATACTAAACGGTTGAATAACAGCTCAATTTATACTAAATGGTTGCACTGTAAAAGGAAAGAATGAGCAAATTAATATTTAATTCAATTATTGAACTTGATGATCATTACCATTTTTAAACATCTACTAGTTTTGGGTAATGATAATATTCCAATGATTACCATTTTAAAGCATCTACTCGCTTTGGTAAATGATAATATTCCAATGATTACCATTTTCATCCTACTTTGATGATAACAATGATTGATGAATTGTGTAGTTGAAATGATCTCCAATGCCTGATGATGATTGATTATTCTACTCCAAAACTGTCATCAACTACAATTTGATTGGCACAGATCATTCAGAATGTACTTAGCAATACAGATTTTTAAAACAATGAATGATTCGTTGTTGTTTTAAAATACACCCAAACTTAAAATGGAAACTGTTATAGTTTTAGCAAAAAGAGGGGGGTTGGTGTTAATACTATCGAAATTGTGGTAAGTTCAAAAATCGGTGGATGTGTGCGTGGTTGCAAGAGAGAGAGAGGGAGCAAGTATGAGGGGTGGAATAATTAATCTAAATTGTTTATTTAGGAATAAATAGAAATACTACTATTATATGTGATTGCCAACTTGTCCCCTAGCTCACTCGGTTGGGTGTTTAAAAAAATGGTACATACCAGATATACGGGTTGGTATTGATAAAGACTATCTTGATAAAATCAAAAGCGGTGGTTTGTTGTGGCCTATAATTATTCTTGATGATCTCTCTGCTGCTGCTGCTTCAAATAAGATTCGAGTAATTGAATGATCTCGGATTGAGGACTCGTACTAGTACTCATTTGTTGAATGACATTTTCAATTGATTCTATTCCTATTTGATGGCCATATTGCTCAAGAATGGATTTGACAATATCATAGAGCCCACTAGTTGATGCGGCCATAAGTACCTTTACATCACATTTCTCTTTTCTAACATTGATGAGAAAAGATGCTATTTCAAGCAGCCCACTACGACAAGCATTTCGAATAGTCCTTTTCGGGCAACCTTCACTTCGATTAAAGTGTAAAAACTATATAATAAGGAAACAAATAAATAAATAAAATTATTTGTCAGTCTTTGGAATACTTACTTTGACTACTTCAATGTGTTTATTGCAAGCAGCCCAATCCATAGCACTGCTTGTTGCACCTTCACTACGATGCTCATGAAGATATCTGACCACATTCAAGTGGCCTTTTCTTGAGGCATGATCCATAGCCACTTTGTTGCATCCTTCTTGACGATGTTCATGTAAGAACTTTGATAAAGAAAGTTATGATGATTGATTAATTGGTTGGTTGATTTTGATGTTAAAATACATACTTTGACAATCTCTAAATGGCCATTCGTAGCTGCATTATCCATAGCATTCTTTGAACAACCTTCAGTTCTATTAAAATGAAGAAACTATTATTATTTTTTAAAAAATGATGTTGTTAATATTGAAACATTTCTTTCACAATTTAAATTGTATATTGTATCTAATGAGACTAACCTTTACAATATCTAAACGACCATTACTTGCAGCATTGTCCTACATCAATCATTACATAATATTAGAAAAAGATTTATAATTAGTAATCTCTTTCTTTTTTTTTTGGCAATAATTAATTCTTACCATGGCATAATGACTACAACCTTCAGTTCTATTCTCGTGTAAATACTTTACAATTTCAATTGATACTCTAGCAGCTCTGTTCATTGTTGTTTTATCTAGTTTTAAACCATCGATAGAGCCTATCAATTTGACAGTCGAGAGATATCCATTATTGATAGCGCTGTTCATTGCCCAAACAAGAAAGTCATTCGACGAATCTCCACACCTCTTGATGAGATATTCCAATATCTCTTTATTTCCTATATCACGACCATTGCTTTTCAAGTACTGCCATTCAATTTGAACGACTGGAGACCATTCCAATAGATGTACGAGTGTATCCAATGTTGCATTATGATGTTGACAGTATTGAGTAATCGCTCTTTTTCTTTGTTTGAAATGTTATTTGATCAACATTTGTTGGTAGATAATGACAAATATAGTTCCATGGCATTGCAAACCTTGATACCATTTCAAGTCGAGGTAATGTTAACTTGATGATATCTCTTCCTTTTGATGATCGCTCCCTACCATCAAAAATACTACCTTTGTACAATTGATTTGATATATCATTAATATGATTGAATATCAATTGTCTAATGTATTTCATTCTATATATAGATTGAAATGTAATTATTGTTGTAGCCATTATATTAATAGAATAGTTTGAGTATGTTCACAATCAAAAAATACAAATAAAAAAAAAGACCAATTTATTTTAGGGTTGTTAAAAAAATGTAGTATAAATGGTTGCACTGTAAAGGAAAATTTAATTCAATTTATTCTATGACCTGTTTTGGTAATGATAATATTCCAATGATTACCATTTTAAAGCATCTACTAGCTTTGGTAAATGATAATACTCCAATGATTACCATTTTTAAACTACTTCTATGTTTGATCAGGAAGAAGAGAGCAAGCTCGAGCATTGTAACAAGTCATCAGGGATTTCCCAAAAGTTAACCACAAATCAAACAGATGGAAATTTAACTAATCTTTTCAGATATTTTAGTGGAGATTCGCAACCACCTATGCAATAAGAGTTTGTAGAAACTTTTTCAGGAAAACTCATTGTGAAGACCCAAGACAAGTTCAAAATTGATAGCACCCATTTTGATCATTTTCTAATCTTTTTGCATTACATTTTAATTAGAAACAGAATATTCTAATTCCATTTACTTTGCAATGAGAGACATGTTTGTGTGTTTACAGTGCTACTATGGCTGCAGGTATATCAATAGTAGTATGTATTGTTATGCTCCCTCCCAACTTTATACTGGTGTCTTACTACAATCGTCACCTGGTGATGACTTTCTAATCATTTAAGGTAATATTACTGATGTTGGTAGATCTTATATTCCAATCATTTGGTCATATAATGTACAGACCAACATTCTTATTCAAAAGTCATTCATCGATATCAAGTTTCCTCAAGTCGATTACTCATGGGGTATTCATTAAATTAGATGTCCCTGATATTTGTTACTATGGAACATCTATGTTTCAATATAACTCCCAGTTCTTTGCTGGACTAAATTCTGACCAGGCACCTTGTGGAGGTTACATTTTTCACGTGGATCCTGTCAAAAACACTTCGACAATGTTGGCAACTGTCTCATTCGACAGTGAAAATATCAACTATTTTACAAGTTTTGTATTCGATAATATCAATGGCTATCTGGCCTTAATTTCTACCAACGTAACAAATTATAACAATCTTGAAATTTGTATGGTCAATCTCAACACCTATGAGGTTAACCAATATGCTATACCCAACAAAGTGGAATCGATCATTACTTTATTGACCATAGGAGGATATTATTATTATTTAAAATTGATGGGGAGAAAGGATTAGTAAAAGTATGTTGGAAATCTGGACAAAATATATCCAAATTATAAAGAAAATATTGGATCTTTGATCTTTAATATTCATTGTGTTTAACAATTATTTATTAAATTCAAGGATGAATGTCGTAAGCAGTGAAAAGAGATTATAGATCTACATTTTCAACTACCCTTATAAAGGAGGTAAATGAAGTGGATTTGGCAATGAATGTGGTAATAATCCAATTCTTAAGTTTCTACATAATGTCGAAAATTGGTCAATAACTATAAGTTTTGATTGATGATTTCTAATATTCGAATCCAAAGTTATAAGCTATTATTAATTATTATTATTATTATTTCTAAACATTGATTATTAGGGAAAAATTACAAATATACACAGTGGAAAAAAACAGGGATAATACTGGTAATACTATTCTTGTTATTATTATTATTAATACTACTATTAATATTATTAATATTATTATTATTATTATTATTATTATTAAGCTATTTATATTATTATTACTGTTGAACTTTTACACAAAATACAACTATATAATGTATAGATGGTGGAAAAGGAATGAAGAAAGGAAGGATTGTTTGAAGTGAATAGACCTGTCTGTACATTTAAAAATGTGTGAAAATATATTTTGAATATGATATGGTGCCTCTTTTTAAAACTTTTCAAAAAGATCAGCTTTTCTCTTCTTTTGGTTGGCATCGTTCGAGTCATACGTTGAATCATTATCATCGTCCAACGTGTTGCTTTCATCGCTATAATTGATGGCGGTTGGTTGAGCGTGTTGATACAATGGTCCATAGTGTCCAACAAAGGATGGTAGTTTGTCCCATTGGACATCTTTAAAGAATGGATGATTCTTGATATCGCCGACACCACCCTCCATACATCCGATTCTCTTCTCGACAGATATTGTGACGAGCCGTGAGATGAGGTCTCTGGCATCGGGTTGTATATAGGGAGGGATGAGGTCGGCGATACTTGCCTCCCGAACCTTTTTAAAGATATCATTGTTTTGATCGGCCATGAATGGTGGGACACCTGTGAGCATTTCATAGATCAGAATACCCAGTGACCACCAATCGACAGATCTTCCATGTCCATTGCCCTCCAAAATCTCTGGTGCAATATATTCAGGTGTTCCACACATACTCTTTGTATCTTGTAATATACGTTTGGCAAATCCAAAATCTGTTAATTTAATATGTCCATCCTTATCAATTAATAAATTCTCTGGTTTTAAATCCCTACAAAAAAAATAAAATAAAAATATGAATACAAATTACTTTTGAAAATGAATAGATTACTCTCTCTTTCTTTCAATCTTACCTATAAATAATATTTAAATTATGTAAATATTCCAAAGCTGAAATGATTTCAGCTGCATAGAGTCTTGTTACTTCAGGACTCAACCGTTTTTGTGTTCGAATGTGATCAAATAATTCTCCACCTGGAACATATTCTTGTAGTAAATATAATGAATTTTCGTCTTTAAATGTTGCATATCTTCAAATCATAAAAAAAACAAAAAGGTTAGTCATCCTTTGGTAATATTATTGATATTATATTATAACTTGTCTTGTTTCTACATACAATTTAACAATAAATTTATGATCAATACTCATTAAAACTTCCTTTTCACTACAGACATGAGCCTCTTGACGTAAACGAACTATTTTGTTTTGATTGAGGATTTTCATACAAAATAGACGACCTGTGGATTTGTGTTCGACCAACTTTACACATGCAAATGATCCACTACCAAGAAGATTGTGAACCCTGAAATCTGCCAATGTACAGGAACTAAAATCGATTGGTTTCTTTGTAATATCTTCTCGCAAGTGATCGCGTACAAATGATTTGAATCTTTCCTTTTTGATGTCCAATTCGCTTTTTGATGGAAAATCGTTGGTCGACTGATCGTTTGTAGTTGGAACAAGTTTTTGGTAATACTCTAATTGATTGTAAAATTGATTTAAATCCTTTGGATCCAATTGTTGATTACTTGAAACATTATTATTTTTAGCTAATAAATTTTGTGCAATTTGTTGGTTAGTATTATTATTATTTTGATTATTTTGATTATTAGTATTATTTGTACTATATTGAATATTATTTTGGTTATTATTATTATTGTTTTGGTAAACGGTTGGATTATTATTTTGATTATTATTTTGATTATTTGGATCGAGTGGATTGATAGGTAAACTCTGACTGGCATGAGTTGGAGGTTGAGGTTGTGGTTGGGCATGCGCCCAAGATTGTAACGAATTGTTTAATGTATTGTGTAGTCTTAGTATTATATCACTTGCCACAGGTATTTGGCTTTGTGTAAATAATGCCCTTGTTCCATCATTTGAATTAACTAAAAACTAAATATATGTACAATTATTGTAAGTATAAATTATTGTTGTTCGGACCATCAATGAATCGAATCACCTGATGTTTGAACATACATCTGTTAATTGTTGAAATCTATGTGTCAGGGAAAGTGTAATATCTAATATATATTTAATATGAATAGGATGTAAACTAATTTGTGATGAATTATTTTGTTGTTGTTGTTGTTGTAAAATTTGTTGTTGCTGTTGTTGTTGTTGTAACGCCTGTTGTTGTTGTTGCTGCAATGCTTGTTGTTGCTGTTGCTGTTGTTGTTGTTGTTGCAAAGCATGTTGTTGTCGTTGTTCTATTTGTTGTTGTTGATGTTGATGTTGTTGTTGAATAGTGATCTTTTGTTGCTCGGTTTGTTGTTGTTGTATGATTGAATCAATATTTTGTTTTTGTCGTTGTTCTATTTGTTGTTGTTGCTGTTGTTGCTTTTGCATGTGTAACAGCTGTTGTTGGATGTGGTGCTGTTGTTGCAGCTGCTGTTGAAGGTTAGAGTCTTTCAAGAGGTTATTCTTGTTGTCGTCCTTGACAAACTTTTGGTAGTATTTGAGAGGATTTTTACGGCTTTCATCTTCCTCGTCGTCTTCGTCATCTTCATAGAGATGTTTGCTATAATATCCAGTTGTATTTTGTAGGGCCGACCGAATCGCCTGTGGTCGCATGCTATTGCTATCGTCATATAAATTGGGCACGGCACCGCACTGAGAAATGGCACCACCATTGTTGTTGGTGTCTCTTCCATTGGATTGTTGATGTAAAGCTTGTTGTTGTTGTTGTTGTTGTTGTTGTTGTTGTTGTTGGTGTAAACCATTGTGAAAAGATGGGTCATCAACCTTTTGTACCTTTTTTGGATGTTGTTGTTCAATCGCCGTATCAGGTTGGTTCGACACAACAGGTAAAGACAAACAACTACTATTGTTATTATTACTATTATTATTATTATTGTTAGGATGACTATTACGAGGTGATTGCTTTTGATTCAAAAATGTCGGCTCACTACCACGCAGGTCGCGTGATGGATCTGCAGGTAGTTCCGACCCATACATCTGTAAATGATGGTTTGGATTATGATGATTGTTGTTGTTGTGATTGAAAATGATGTTGTTGTTATTATTATTATTGCAATGATGGTGTAGAGAAGATATGGATGAAGTCGGAGATGTATATGTTGATGAGATATCCAAGAGGTTATCCATATTAATGTCCACGTGATCTAATCTATCAAGAAATGATATGATGATTTGATACTATAAACCAAACCTGTGTCAGAAACGAGGTAGTGCACTACCTCTACTCTTGTTGTTGTTGTTGTTATCGCAGGCTGTTTGTTCGCGCGCGTCAAGACTCCACCAACTACTACGATCGTCAACTTTGAGAAACGCCAGAAACTCTCTTCTCTCTATCTAATCTACTCTACAACTATAGTTAAACGCTATAATAATAATATATTAATTAAAACAATAATTAATATTTTAAATTAATTAATGTACGATTGATGATGATGATGATGATGATGATGAATGGATTGGAGTGTTGTTTGTTGGTTGGTTGGTGGGTGGGTGTTTGTTGGTAGGTAGGTTTGATGGGTGATTGGTTGGTTGGACAACCCAAGATAGTAGTCGTACTTTAGTGGGAGGAGGGTAGTTGTATGATATTGAATGATAATAATGTGGTTGGGATCAATATCTCTTTGCTCTCTTGTCTGTTATCCTTAAATGCCTATATCGCAGTGAGCCTCGATGATATTATAATATATATATATATATATATACTGTTGTTTATCTAGTGGTTCGAAGAGGAGGGGATAGTGGTGCAAGCTTGCATGCAGACAAGTATAACAGGGAAAAGATAGATAGATTCTTGTCCTCCTCAAACCAAAAAGTTAAAAACATGTGCACCTTTTAATAAAATTAACTTTTTTTGTTTTTGCTCCCCCCCTCCTTTTGAGGTTTGCGGTTGGAGGTTTGTGCAAAAGTTATCTAAGTTTTTGTTTGTTGTTTGTTTGTTTGGTTCGTTTGTTCATTCATTCATATTCATTCATCGATCAATGAAGATATGGCTAGGTGAGGTGATTCCAACCCAACCCAACCCAACCCATTGATAGACTACTAAATGCTACTGTTGCTGTTGCTGTGTCACTTTAGTTTGACTTTTGTAGAGTAGTGTTAAACTTAACTCCCTCCTCCTCCTCCTCTTCATACACTACTCTACTACTCTACTACTACTTTTAGATTTCTGCTGCAAAGAAAGAAAGAAAGAAAGAAAGAGAGATAATGTTTTTTAAAACAACTTACCAAGCTTAAAATTAGAATAATAATAGTGATGATGGCTGTGGGTGTTGATGTCATAGAGAGAATGAATGGAATACAAGTAATTACTATTCCTTTAAACCTAGCTAGAGAGAGAGAGGACGAGAGAAAAAAAAAAAGGAGGATGTAATAATAATAATAATAATTTATTTAATATGATTGTTGTGTCAACATCATCATCATCAACAAAAAGCGAGGAGTACAAAATCAATTTCCATGCATGCGTGTGCACTACTGTAGGATATGCGGAGAAGGAGCCTTTTAGCAGCCAGCATTATATAAATACCAACATCCTCAGAATAATCAACACATCACCACAGACAGCAACCAAACAACCAAACAAACAAACAGCAGAAGAGGAGAAGAAAGAAGAAGAAGAAGAAGAAGAGGAGGAGAGGATGAAAAAGAAACAACAATACGATTTACCTAATTGATTAATTTAATTTAATTGATTGATTGATAATCAGCATAGATGGTGAATGGGTGGATGCGTGGGTAACGAGTGTCAGCCAGACTGTTACCAAAATTTCCCTTTCCCCCCCCTAACCCTTACACCCCCTCACCCTAACCCGACTGAACTGAACTGACTGATCAGTGTTATCATCGAATGATAATTTTAGAGTGGGTCGATTGATTAATGAATAGAATGAATGTGGATTGATATTAGAGAGAAGTTTCTTACACGCGTCTGAAAGACTTTTATATAAACAGGAATATTAATGTATCACGAATAAACTATACTCTATTATTATTATTATTATTATTTATTATCTATCTTGTTTCTAATGGAAATCAGATGACTTGTTCCAAGTTCCCCAAGTTTCCAGTTTTTTGAGGAGACTCTCTCACTCTTTCGGAACTGGGCTCAAGCTCGAAAGTGAAAAAAAAAAAAGATGAATCTTTCGCAAGAGATTTCTCTCATCTCACTGCTGCTTTTGATACTGTAATATCCAAAAGTGACCTTTCATTATACATATTGTAGTTTTCATCTTCTCTCTATTATCTCTTTCATTTATTTTAATTTCAACCTAAAGAGTCGTAGTTAGTAGTTAGTAGGAGTAAACAAACAAACAAAGATGGTTAAAGATTTCTTAGCAGAGGGAAGTCAAGCAGGTCAAACTTTGCTTAGACTTGTCAGTCGTGGTAATGCCATCATAGCAGAGTTGTTGCGTTTGAGTGCTCACATCCCATCGGTATTCAAACTCGACGATAGAAATGAAGCAAGAAAGTATCAAGACATTCTCATGGACTTTAAATATCTCTCCAATCCAGATTACTTTGAAGCAAAGATTGAAGATAATAGAGTATGTCTTACACAGACACACAACATATCACTGAATAGCTAGTTAGCTAGTGTATATACTTATATATATATATCTCTACACTCTTATTTAGGAATTAGTTGATTTAGAAGCAGAATTTAGAGAGAATCATATTGATATATTGGTTAGATTCTATCATTTATTCGAAAGTGTCTACAAGTACATTAAAGATTTAGAGAAATATCTTATCGATGTTGAAAAAGGTTTCTATATTCATCTTACTGTTGAAGTATGTATACAAATAATATATATGACATAGACAACATGTGCATAGACTTATTTAATAATCATTGATTTTAGGGAATTTTAATGAATGGAGATGGAAAACAATTAGTATCCGAAGCTATTTATTTATATGGTGTCATGTTGATATTGATGGATAATCTTATTGAAGGACCTGTTCGTGAACGTATGCTTATTTCATATATGCGTAACAAGGGTCCAGTTGATTTACCATTCATCGATGATGTATGCAAACTTTTCAAGAGCACTGGGTATCTCCCCACCAACCCAAAGAGACCAGCCAACTATCCAGAAGAGTACTTTGCTCGTATTCCCATCCCACAAACCGTTTTATCAATGGTTGTCGGTCGTTTAACATCCGATGATATCTACAATGGTACACAATCATTCCCATTGCCAGATCATCGTAGTGTTGCTCTATCAACCCAAGCTTGTATGCTCTATGTTATTCTTTATTTTACTCCTGATGTTTTACAAAACAAAATGGTATGTAAACTTGAAGCATTAACATGTTAATGATCATCAACCTAACCTCTTCTTTCTTTCTACTATATAGTCAACAATGAGAGAAATTGTAGATAAATATTTCCCAGACAATTGGGTGATTGCATACTTTTTAGGGTTTACAGTTGATTTATCGGTTGTATGGGAACCATACAGAGCAGCCAAGACTGCTTTGGCCAACACGACCACTCCCCAAAACATTACCTATCAACAACAAAAGTTTTGGAAGGATGTTGATATTTTAAATAGACAAGTTCAATCACTTCTTGTCGAGGGTTTATTGGTTGAAGAATATATTATGGATAACATTTCAAAGATTATTGGTACAATTCGTTCTTGTAATGTTACAATTAGATGGTTAATGTTACGTATGTATTTAAAAAAAAAAAAAACAATATATTATATATTTGTATTTATTTATTTATTTTTCCTTTTTTTTTTAGATACTAATGCAAGTACAAAGAAATTAAGAGATTTAGTATCAAATGGATCACAAGATGAAGTTTTACAATTATTATTAAATACAGCACAATTGGAATTTGTTTTCAAGAATATATTCCAGTCGTTGCTCGACACTAAACAAACTAGATGGGAAGAGAATAAGAAATTGGCAAGCGAGAGTATGAACGAATTGGCAGAGTATTTCTCTGGTGAAAAGGCATTGACCCGTGTCAAAAAGAATGAAAATCTACAGAAATGGTTTGGTGAAATCTCGGCCAAAGTCAACTCTCTCGACTATGAAGACAACACTAGTACTGGTAGAAAGATTCAACAACTCAGTCTTGCACTCGAAGAGGTTGAACAATTCCAAGAAATCGATTCATCCATCCAAGTACGTCAGTTCCTCGTCGAAACCCGTTCCTTTTTGACAAAGATGATCAAGATTGTCAACATCAAGGAAGAAGTGTTGGTCAACCTCTCGGTTTGTGCCGATATTTCATATGCATGGGACATTATCAACAACTATGTCGAGCAGATGCAAAGAGGTATCAAGTCGGATCCAAAGTGTGTGCTCAAGCTCCGTGCCACTTTCCTAAAGTTGGTATCGATTCTCGATCTTCCACTTGTTCGTATCTCCCAATGTGCCTCACCAGATCTTCTATCCGTCTCAGAATACTACTCAAGTGAATTGGTTGGTTATGTAAGAAAGGTATTGGAAATTGTTCCAAAATCAATGTTTATCATCTTGAAACAAATCATTGATATGCAAACAAATTCAATTCAAGAATTACCAACTAAAGTTGAAAAAGAAAGATTAAGAGAGTAAGTTGAAAACAAAAACAAAAAAGAAAAAAAAGAAAAAAGAAAACAAAAATTAATTACTTTCTTTTATTTTATTTTATTTTATAGTTTTGCACAATTAGATCAAAGATATGAATTAGCAAAAGCAACCAATTCAGTTTCAGTATTTACAGAAGGTATTTTAGCAATGGAAACCACTTTGGTAGGTGTGATTGAAGTTGATCCCAAACAATTGTTGGAAGATGGTATTCGTAAAGAGTTGGTATTACAAATTTCAATGGCAATGGACAAGACATTGGTATTTAGAAATCAAAAGAATTCAAACGATGAGTTACAATTGAGACTCAAGGAATTGGCCAACATTTTAGATGGTTTCCGTAGATCCTTCCAATACATTCAAGACTATGTCAACATTCCAGGTCTTCGTATTTGGCAAGAGGAATTCTCACGTATCGTAAACTACTATGTCGAACAGGAATGTAATCAATTCCTCAAGAAAAAGGTATATGACTGGCAATCCAACTATCAATCTGTTGCCATTCCAATCCCACGTTTCCCAACCGTCGATGCAGCATCAGTCACCATGATTGGTAGATTGGCTCGTGAACTTTTAAATCAAACCTCTTGTCGTACCACTTTGTACCTCAACCAAATCGGTTGGTTCGAACCTCAAACCAGCAAGGAGTTGGTTGGTATCAACACTTGGTCACTCTTGCAACAATCGGTTGGTATCTTTGGTTTGACCGGTCTCGACAAACTCTATTGTTTCATGATGGTCAAGGATCTCCAAGTATTTGTCAATCAAATCCGTCAATTGGTTGAAAAGAGTCTTAAAGGATTCATTGCTGAATTTGAAGAATCTCTTCGTCCAACTACCTCTATACCTGATAATATTCAACGTTATCAAACTGCTCTTGATAAAACAAAGGGATTATGTCCAATTTTCATTGGTATGAAAAAAAACAAAAAGAAACCAAAAACAAATGAATACTTAATAATTCTTTTTTATTTTATTTTATAGATGTATTAACAAAAATTGGACAAGTACAATTACTTAGAAGACAAATTTCAAATCAATTAAATTTCCATTGTAAAATAGATAGTAATATGCTTTTCTGTGCATTGGATGTCATGAACACATCGTTGATTAATGATATTCAAGCACATTTCCAAAGACCCGATGTTGCACCATACCCAGGCGAGGACAATACTCTTTTGTTTGATTTGGCTCAATACTTGGATACTGCTGGTATCAATGACCCATACACCAAGATCTATATCACTACTCTGCCACTGGAAGCATTCCCATGTCTATTGTTCTTGTTTGTTTTGTCACAGGTCACTCAATTCACCTACAACAGCAAGTTGTGTGTCATGATGGCCAAGAAACAAAAGAACAGCTACGATTGGACACCATTCATCGTTGGTGTCATCACCATCCTCAAACAATTCCACTCACTTCACACTCAAAAGTTTTTATCGTTTGTCGGACAATACATCCGTTGCCAACTCAATACCGCCCTCGCCAACCCCAAGGACGGCAAGGACGAAGACTACCCAGAAGATGTCATTGGTCTCCTTCGTTTCCTTGACGATTTTTGCAAATATAGTAGTACTCCAAGAAAAATAGTTGAAGGTTATGTTCCTTCTTACATTTTCGATTATTATAACCAATAAAAACTACTCCATACAAATAAATAAAAACTAATAAATTATAATTGAATAAACAAAATTCTATTATTATTTCCAAATCATTGAATTCATCAATTTTGATTTATTTATTTATTTAATTATTTTATCTATTTATCTACTTTTTCTCTTTATATCTTCAATTGATTGTTCATTCTTTAGACGATATACAGTCATTTCCTTTTCCAAAGCAACAATTTTTTGGTCACACATGGAACGGTCATTATGTCTTTTTTTTTCACAATCGATAATCGTTTGTTGATTCATCATATAGTACTCTTTTATTTCCTTTTCCAACTTTTCAATCATATCTTCATACTTTTGACGATCCTTTTTCTTTTCCAATTCCAAAGCATCGATTCTTTTTTGGTAGATCAAATGGTCCTCTTCACCTTCCTTTTCTGTCTTTTCAATAATTTCTTCATAGATTAGAGTGTTCTTTTTCATTTCGTTTCCAAAGCATCGATTCTTTGTTGGTGGATCAAATGGTCCTTTTTCTTTTCCAATTCCAAAGCGATAACCTTTTGTTCATACATTTGACTGTTTTCCTTTTCCTTGCCAAAAGCAAGAAACCATTTTTGGCCCAAAAGAATGTCATCTCCCATTTCCTCTTCCAATTCTACAATCTTTTTTTCAACTTGGCTCTGAGGAACTTGAAAAAAAGATTGTTGTTTGTTCCAAGTTGTTTTTTTATATCTTTGAGTTGCTGATTGATTGCTATAAGTAGTTGAGACTGTTGTTGTATAAATGTTTCATCTCATTGTTGTCTTGTTGTAATCTAATAATCTGTTCTGTATGTTGTTGTTGTCGCTCTTGGTCGTTGATGCCATGAAAAGTGTGCGACACGTCTTGTTGTTGTTGTTGGCTACCAATATAATTACTTGTTCTACCCTCTAAAAGAATAGATATCGCAATGATCAACAATGCAGATACAAACAATCTTTCAACTTTCATCATCGTGTATCTCTATTTGATTGAGTGAATGAATTGGTCATCATTGTAACAGATCTATATTCTTTATTTGGCTGTTTCATTTTAAAAGTTGTACTCAAATTTTGGGTTGGAAAAGATCTTATCATAATAATAATAATAAATTATATTAATAATAGACAATGCTCCTCAACCTCCATCCAAGCTCAATCAATTTGGAATAATAATAAATTATTATTACAACCATGGTGCTATTATGATCATGGACGTCCAAATAAAGAATAGAAACAAAATTACTTTAATTAATTTTGTCGTCACTAAGTAGACAAGCTTCGAAAGCATTGAGAGCCAAGACGAGATTTCTAGTATAAGCGGAAAAATGAATAATTCTATTTTTAATAGATCTGTCGTGTATGTATAAAAGGAAATATTACCTTCCTTCTCATTAATATCAAACAAATAACAAACAAACAAATACAAACAAATACATTCAATTATATATTATATTTAACAAAGACAACAAAAAAGATGAAGCAAATAGTTATCACTAAAAACGGATCATATGATGTATTAAAGGTAAAGGAATCGGCTGACCCAGTAACAGGTGAGGGTCAAATCAAGATACAAGTAAAAGCTGCTGGTTTAAACTTTGCTGAAATTATGGCTAGACAAGGACTGTAAGTTGATTTGTAGTATTGGATCATATATATATTTTGTTACTGACTCTAAAGTATTGCGTTGCATTTCATTTTAGATACCCAGATGCACCACCACTTCCATGTGTAGTTGGATATGAAGCAGCTGGTATTGTAACAGAGGTTGGACAAGGTGTTGATAGTGTTAAAGTTGGTGATAGAGTTATTGCTCTTAGTAAATTTGGTGCACACTCTGACACCATGATCATCCCACACTATATGGCTGTTCCAATGCCAGAACATATGTCGTTTGCTGAAGGTGCTTCGATTCCAGTTAACTTTATCACTGCCTATCATATGTTGTTCAAGGTGGCTCGTGTTCAACCAGGTGATAGTGTACTCATTCATATGGCAGCTGGTGGAGTTGGTGTTGCTGCCATCCAACTTTGCAAGACCATCAAAAACGTAACCGTCTATGGAACTGCCTCTGCTAGCAAACACGACTTTATCAGAGAATTGGGTTGTCATCATCCCATCGATTATAATACCAAAGACTATGTCAAAGAGATTTATGAAATCAATAAGGATTTACCAGAGGGTAGAAGAGGGATTGATATCATCCTGGACCCACTAGGTGACTCCAAGAAGAGTTATTCACTTTTAAACCCTGCTGTTGGCAGACTTGTCACATTTGGAGCTTCAAATTTCCTTTCTGGTTCTACAAGATCCATTTTTAATGTTTTAAAGAATTATTTTAAGGTACTGTAAACCAAAACAATACAAAACAAGACAAAATATTAAACTATATATTATTAATCAATTATTTTCTTTTTTATTTTAGATTGCATCATTTAGTCCATTATCATTAATGAGTGATAACAAGATGGTTGCTGGTGTTAATATTGGACACATGTTCCAGCCAGAATCATTATTACATATGTTACAAGAAGAAATGAAAGATATAATGCAGTTGTGGGTAGATGGTAAAGTTAAAGCTATTGTCTCAAAAGAATTTACATTTGATGATGCAGGTGAAGCTCATCGTTATATGGAAGAAAGAAAGAATATTGGTAAAATTATTTTGGTTCCAACAACTGCTGATCTTACTCCCACATCATCTCAATAAATAAGAAATATTATTATGTATATTAAATATATAAAACAATAATATTATTGTAGTACAGTGGGACGTGATTTATTAATATTAATCTTTTGATTAAGAGAAAAAGGCAATCTTTTGTTCAATAGTTTCACCCTTTTTAATTTGTTTGATGGAATCGTAAGTCTTTCCATCGACACTTTCAACGGCAAAGATGGGTGGAGCAAGTCTGAGATTGTAATGTGAATAGGAAGAGTAGAAATAGGCACCAGAGTCGTGGACCATGACATAGTCACCCTTGTTGATGGTTGGAAGGAGACGTTCCTTGACGAGGAGATCAGCAGCAAAACAACATGGGCCAGCAAGATCCATGACCGAAGCACCGTCCTTGCCGTCTTGGTAGACACCAGTCGAGTCAAATACGGTGACACGGAGCTTCCAGAGTGGGTGTTGGTAGATGGTACGGATGTAGAGGTTGGCACCGGCATGAACGACGGCAATATCACGACCGCCAGACTTTTTGGCATATTCCACTTGTGAAATAACGACACCGCACTTGGCCCAATATGAACGACCAAATTCAGAGATCAATGTAAAGGAACCGTCAAAGAGCTCTGGAATACGTTCCTTGAGATGAGTGGAATAGTCGGTAAAGGTTGGCTTGTCTTGTTCAGTGTCAAAGTTGACCGAGAGACCTCCTCCGACGTTGACGTGTGTGATTTGATTGTTGGTGAGACCGTTGATCTCCTTGACCAACGACATCACCTTGACGACGGCGTCACTGGTTTGGTACATTTCAAAACCTTGTGAACCGACGTGCAAGTGGACACCACGCATCCAGTTGTATTGTGTATAGTAAGAGATGATTCTTTCACGACTGTCATCCAAACCAATACCAAACTTGGAGGTTGGGACACCAGTGCTCAAATCTGCATATTTGCCAGCTTGTACTTGTGGATTGACACGAATACCAATCACCAAAGTTGATTTCTTCTTTTCATCCAACTTTTCAACGATCTCTACAACTCGATCCATCTCTTGAAAGTTATCAACATTGATTACAACTCCCAAATTAATGGCATATTCTAATTCTTGAATGGTTTTAATTGGTGAATCATAAATTATTTTCTATTAAACAAAAAAGGAGGTTGATCAATTAATTAATTAGCGCGATAGTCAGTTGACTTGTTTAATATTTATACTTACATCTGGTGTAAAACCAGCCAATTCTGCAATCTTTAATTCTCCAAATGAAGCAACTTCAGCACCTAATCCACTCTTTATAGCTTCCTTTAATAAACTCTAAAATAATTAAATGTTATGTTATGTTATGTTAGTGACATGATTATTAATGTTTATGATTGTATTGAATAGGTACCATAACAGGGTTTGATTTAACAGCCATTGTTTGAATACCATTGAATCTATCGTTTGATTCCTTTGCCAAAGCTCTAAAGTGATCCAAGTTGTATACCATGATGAGTGGTTCATCACCAAAGATATTATTCTTGATTGCAAGATTCATTGCATCCTTTTTCCATTGTTTACAATCAACTGATTCTGAATAGGTTGTATCCATTTCTATATCTCTCTCTATTTATTTATATATTTATCTACTTTTTATAGATATACAATTGTTAAACCAAAACAAACAAAGAAAGAATCAACACACCCTCTCACCTGACCTGATATTTCTCAAAAGTAATTGTAGGGAATTTCGATAAAAAAATTAAATTCGAATACCGACGCGGGTCCCGAGACAGTGATCCCCAGGCAAGCTTTGATCGAAAGGTCATGACTGAAGCGAAAAACATTGTGTCAACCCGAGATTGAAAATATCTTGGTATCATAGATACGTAAGTATTTGTTTGAAAGGTTTTTAAAAAAAAGTATCAACAATAACTATTGATGTACCTTTTTTTATTTTTATTTGTTGTTGTTAAATATTACAATTTTAATGATCGTGTTTTGGATCAATGATTAAACATTTGGGTGGGAGGTGAGGAGGCAACTATTATAATAATACGATGACAATATATATATTGGAACGATGATTAAAAAAAAAAATAGAGAGAATTTAAAATATATAGGGGGTGCCCGACGGAGGCTCTCTTTTTCTTTTTCTCTCTCTCTCTGTTGTTGTGTTGTTGTTGTTGTTTTTAGTTGGTTATTATATTTGTTTGTTATTTGTTGTTTGTTTTTCTTTTCTCTCTTTCTCTATCTCCATTGTTTTAGTTTGTTTTTGATTTAACCCAATCGACATATTCATCTAAAAGGACTGGCCAAGCTCCATTCTCATCATAGTTTGAAGTATCTGGTGCAATAACCTTTGCAAATTCAAATACTGAAAGCCATTGATCCATATTTAATCCTCTATATGTTGTTTGCTAAAAAAATATAATAACAACCATTAGTATTGATTATTTGTTTGATATTTGTGATTGATTCACTTACATGATTTAATAAATAATCTACAAGTTTATCAGCATGTGGATATTTAAGTGTCAATATAAGTGACATCATACTGCAAGCACTCTCAATTTCCAGAATTTTGTTTTGTGGATTCTCTTTGGCAAACAAGAATGCAAATCTATAAATCTCTTTAAAGTTATTTTGATCTTCCAAATCCTTTTTAAAGTTTGGTAAGTATGTTTGTAACTTTTGTAATGAATCGATTCTAAAAAATAATATATATATATTAGTAATCAAAATGATTATAACCATTTCCTTTCTTTTTCTTTTTTTAAATTAAATTACCCTAATTTTAATAAACCGGTTGTAAATTCCTTTTTAGAAAAGAAACCCATACTTTGAGCATTAAGGTGCCACGCCAATACTAATACAATAACATCTTCAGGTTCAACACCCAAATCTTTACACAATCTTTCAATACCCTCTGGTCCAATATTTGTTGGATCTTCTGGGTCTGCATACTGATCATAAAATTCTTCTATTCTCTTATTTTTATCTCCTCCATCCTATCAAAAATTAAATTAAAAAAAAAAAAAAAACAGTTAATATTAATCCTTTAGTAATGTTTAAATTTTATAGCTTCTCGTTGTCGTCGTTGTCGGATTGCTATAAATAGAATCTATTCTATTGTCTATTTCTATTAGTATGCATACAGTATTCTTTTGTACCTTTTCATTTGATGACTTTGGTGATGTAGCATTGGTGTTTGATGTGTTTGGCTTTGATACAGGGTTTGCAGCAGCTGCAGTTGCAGGTGTGGAGGTATATGCAGAGGAAGGTGATGTCGTACTGTCTTTTGTATTGTTATTTTTATAAGATGATGATTCTATTGTTACAGTATCTTGACGATGTGATGTTGTTGTCGATGGTGTACTATTTGTTGCTGGTGTTTCGTCTAGTAGTAGTAGTAGTTATCAACAATAAAAAAAGGTTAGTAATCGAGATTAAAGTTCCTTTCAACTAAAGGTGTTATTGACCATCTCTGTCTATCCGTCTTCCTCCTATTCCTCTTCCTATTTGTGACGCAACTCAAACTCTTTTCTATAATCTGGAGAATGAGTAATGTGTATTCAATAACTACCTTTAGTTTTACTAGCTTTACCTTTACCATTTTTCTTTTGTGATTTCGACTTTGATTGTCCTCCTCCCATTTTATCTTCTTCTTCTTCTTCTCTATTAGATAGACTATATATATATCGGTATAAGTTGTTTGTTGTTGTTGTTGTTACTCCGAAAGTGTAATAGTAAATATTTATTATCCTATTTGATGATGATGAATCTTTAAACTGCTTCTATTGTCGATTATGCGCACTACTACCTATCCTCTTCAGTGTAACTGTTATTGTTGTTATTGTTGTTGTGAATGAATGCTAGTTTATCCCTTGCACTGATATTACCAATTCTACGATTGATTGTTGTTGTTGATGGTTACCCAAAAAATAATTTTAGTGAATAATTTTCAATGATTGGTTACACCAATAATAACTCTCATTATAGTATCACGATTAATAATAATAATAATAATAATAATAATATCATATGTACGACGACGATAAATAAGCAGCTGATGATTGATTGATATCATATTTGTCAAATTTATTAATTGAATGAATTGAAGATGATCGATAACATTGCATAGATTGAAAAAGTCAGTCTTAAACAACAAGATAGACAACACTCATCATTCACTGTTGACTGTTTTACTGCCTATAGACAAGTGTCTCATTGAGTATTCATTATTCGCTATTCTGTTTTACTACTAGTGTTTTGTTATTCAAGAAGAGGAGAGTTTTAAACACATGTTAACTTTTTAAGAGAAGAGGATGAGGAGGACATTGTCATCGCAATCTAGATTCATTTCATTGGTGAAGGTTGTGTTGAATTTATTTATATATGGTGAATGGATGAAGAACTAACTGAATTAATTTAATCATTCTTGATTGAACTCTTCTTTCCAGTCTTTTGAATAGATACAAGTAATTCATCGGCATTGAATTTGGTAGAGTTACAGGTGACAACCTTGGTAGTAAGATCAGCATTAATATCTGAAACACCCTCTATTGATATGAGATATGATATGTATTTATGTATAAATGATGTTAGTATCGATCTAATTCAATCGAATCAATCACACCTATCCTATGTTATAACATACCAAGCTTTGACAAGATGGCAGTAACAGCCTTTGAGCAACCTCCGCAGGTCATATCAACGTTGAATTTGTACTATTGTATCATATGATAGGAAGAAGGATTAAATTAATATCGTAGTCATTTTAATAATCTTTGTTTGTTTGTTTATTTGTTTGTTTCTTACAGTAGTCATTTTATTTATTTATTTTGTTTGTTGTAGTATTAATATTGAAATGAATCGATTTCCTTTGTTGTTGAAAAGGTGTCCATCAAAAAAAAAAAGTTTTTTAATTGAATTGCAGTAATTAAATGATTCTCTCTCCTAACAACAGTTGTTCCAACCAACTTTAAAGTTTAACTTCTACTTCTAAATGTAGTAGTGACAAGAATATTTTATTTTATTTTAATAAAGAGAGATTCTCAAAATTTCAAGTGCCCCCTATTTTTGATTGTATAGAGGCAGCGTTGTTTGAACCTACCTATCTGCCGTGTGCAGCTTGCACATTTTATTATTTTATTTAATTTTATTATTGTCATGATTAATTAATACTTAAACTCACTCAACAACACTCTCCTATTATTATTTTTATTATTATTATTTTTATGTGTATACTAGTTATTAAAGTTATGTATTTGTATTTATTTAGATTCTGGTGACATATATATTTATAATTATGACGTGATCATCATAGATAGAGTATTATTATATTATATTTTATATTTTAAATTATTATCAAAAAAATGAAGTGCGAAGTGACAACTTCCACACATAATAATCTGTTGTGTTTGAATACAGATTCACCTCTTTATTGCTGTGGATGCAATATATTTATTTGCAAGAATCATTTTGATTCCGAGTGCCTTAGTATTGGTCACCAATGCCTTGACTACAAAGAAATAGGTCCGATACAACAGTTCTTATTACCAGCACACCAACAACTACTCGAAAGTGATGATTCAACTCGTCGTGAGGTGAATGCACTTGAGAAACAGAAGTCTGTAAGTGTTTCACCTGGTGGAGGTAAAGAGGTGTCCTGCACTGAGAAGGGACGTACAAGAATGGTCAAGATTGGAGTCATCGGGCCATCAGGCGCTGGCAAAAGCAATTTCATCCACACAGTATACAAGATCCTACGGGATGATGGATGGACAACCTCCGACAGACCACCCATTGTCAAGAGATCTCACACATCATCACTATCAACCACAAGCGATATCATATGTTACGAGTTGGAACTAAGTCACATGAATGGAGATGTAAATACCCCTATCTATTTAAATATAAACATTACATTGGTCAATGATTAACTTGGTATACTTTTTTTTTTTTATTATAGCATAGATATATTTCTATTTTCGATACAGAAGGAACTGATGGTACCGATTCGAATCTACTATTCAGTACAATGACACAAGCCGATCCCAATAACCCAGATTGGGCCAAGTCCATCAAAGATAGGAAGGTTTTTGTCGATCAGTGGTTCTCAAAACTTATTTACCTCGGCAGTAGCGTTGTTGTGTATGTTTTTGACAACCCGAGAGAGCTAGAGACACTGTTCTCAGCATTGGCAAGCATTGTATGCCCACTTGAATCAAGAGCAATCAACAACCCATATAAACCACATCTAGTTATATTATTCAACAACCAATGTAGCCTTGTCAAAGGGGATTACTTTAAAAGTGTTGATTACCTCGAAAAAGCAAGTGATAACATTAAAAAGGTTGCCTCATTTTTCATGACCTGCCAGTCCTTTTCCTTACCAAATGTTAAAATGGATCCCAAAAGCTATATCGACACTATGAAGGAGGTAACAAAATGTTTAATCAGCAAACAACTGGTCGACATGGACTTGTATATTGAACACAAGTTAGCCGAGTTCGTTGGTATGATCAATCAAGACCCACAACGCACCATCCTTGACCACTTTTCTATAATGAAAACAAAACCAACGGCCATCTTTCAATACTTTGAATACTTGGTTCGTTGTCTTGAAAAGGAACAGTCTCTTAGGTTGAATTTGCACCAGTCAACAGAAAAGCCACAGTGGGTTGAAGTGTACGAACATGCCCTCGACCATATCAAAGATTGTTTGGACTTTGAGGACCCAAAAATAAGACAAGATTTGGTTTGGACTGATTTCCTTATTTTCCAAAAGATTACTTGTTGTGCAAAGAATCCAGACGACGGTTATTCCTGCGAACTGTCTCTCCCCCAACATGGTCGTAGTCACATTAACTTCAAAACAAGTTGGGAAGGAAATTTTGAATTTCCATGTAATTGGGAGAGGGTTGCTCTTCTCACAAATCATTATGACTCATATCATCTACAACAACAACAACAGCAACAACAACAACAGCAACAACAAATTTTACAACAACAACAACATACAGAGGATATAAATTCTTTGCCTGTCTACAATAATTCACCCAACATAAAAACAATTGAAAAAGAACTTCATTACATCATCATAATCGAACTCCCAGGGGTGGACATTAAAGATATTTTGGTGGTCAAAAGGGGTAGCAAGTTATCTATATCTGGTACCTCGAGAATCGACCTTCTTTTACTTGGGGACATCCAATTGGATTTATCTTCATACCCCCAAACAATATATAAAAAGGAGATCCAGTTGCCCAGATTTGTGGGCAAGGAATACCAAACCAAACTCCAAGATGGATTGTTCTACCTCTTATTCCCAAAAGCCCACTCGTCTGTCCCCCTTGAAACCTTTGTTTCAACCTCGAAGAAGGACTTTGTCGACTACCCAATTTGTACTCTGGTGTGCGCATCTTGCATTTGGAGAAGGCCAATCGACATGAGAGCGTGCGGACATTCTTTTTGCGATGATTGTTTCAAGCGCTCAAAAGACTCGGAATGTTTAATGTGTAGCTCTTCCAACGATTGGATCTATCATTCAGTGTCTCCGTTTTACTACAGCAAAAGCAAGGGACTAGTCCCAAAGAAGGATTTCAAATTTGTAGAGTCAATAGAGATGAGTCTAAGAAAGGAATGTAAAAAACCGATCAAAGCCTACCATTTCTTTGACTACTTTGAGCTCGAATTTCGAGAATATCCTCTCCATACAATCTTATCAATAGCATTGGCTTTTGGTCAAACAGATGGAGTCATTTCCTATGTAAAAAATAAAGTGCCGTGGGATATGGGCCACAAAGATGTGGTCGATTCACTCATTAAGATCATACCCGACCAACCTTTGTGTAACGCCAAAAAGCCTTTGTTGTTCCTACAAGCTGATGGTCATGGTCACAGGCTCTACTTGGATGGTTTTAAAAACATTTCTGTTCTTTCAAACAGTCGAGATGTTGTTCGAGAATTATTTACCCAAGATTTGTTTGACAGAATTAAAACCAAGAGCGAGGTGAAAACCTTGCTCAGTGGTCAGATACAACATCACCATCCAATGTCCCTCATGTTTTACTTTAACATTGAAGAAATATACTTGGATCATATTAATACTAGCATAGAGAATACTCCTATTAAGGTTTCTTTTGCAAGGTCAATTCAATCGGTCGTCAAAAAATGGTTCAAAAAGAAAAGCAAACAAAATCATCGTAAATTCAATCACTTAATCAGTGATGATAATATTATTAGCAGTAATAATAATGATAATAATAATAATAATAATAATAATAATAATAATGATAATAATAATAATAATAATAATAATAATAATAATAATAATAATAATAATAATAATAATAGCATTATTAATAATGATGAAAATAATAATAATTTGAAATATCCCATTATTACGATTAGGAGTAAAATACCATTTTCAGATCTCCCCAAACATATAATTTGCAACATGATCAACTTTTTACCAACATTTGGATTATACAACCACAGGAAAAGGGAATTTGAGGCCACATCAATTCACGAGCTTGTTCCCTCCTCGAATGGCCAAATCGTCCAAAAATTGCGACTTCACAATATCAGATCGTATGATTACGAATCCTTAACAGTGACTCCAATCAGCAAGCACAATAACAAACCAGAATCTTTATTTATTGGAGCAAAGCAGTTCCAAAATATTCATTAAAGAAAGTAGTGAGCTAAGCATTTTAATCCTAAATATAATTAATAATATATTTCATTTTTATAATTTATTTGAGTACATGCTCAACTCACCCTTAAATTAATCCCAATTTCCATTTGGAACTCCCATACCTTACGATATTGAAAGCTTTCTTTTAGATAGCTTTCTGAGATTCCACCGTTGGGAGATTTCAATTCCTTTAAAAGTTGTGAGTAGAAATCCTCTTCCTCCATATCAACCAAAACTACCATTTGCAACTGGTTTAATGGATTGATAAACCATCTTGAAACTTGAAAAGCTTGGAATGCATCCAAAACAAAATCCTCAATTACGTTTCCATCAAACAAAAACATGTTGTTTGGTCCTTCTTTTTAGTGTTTGAAGAGAATAAAACTATGATTGATTTGCTGGACCAGCTCTATGATTTCGATTCTATCTTTTTTTGGAATAAATGTTCCTTGATAGGGATCCGAAAGTAAATCTATAAACTTGTATACTATATTTATGTCTTGATTGGATTCATATTGTTTGGTTGATCTAAGGACACGTAATAGGGAGTCCTTTCTTTCTTTGGGTGCATATGCACTATCGATGAATGATTGTGAGAATCTTGATACTCTTCCTAAAGAATTTCTAATCTTTTGGATATTTCTAGTTTGGGCTGAAAGTAAAAAATGAGCATATTATAGCTATATTGAGCTCAATATTCTGATGGAATGGTCAACTTACCTTTTAACCGTTCGAGATCTTTAGATTGGTCTCCTTTTTCAGAGCTTGTCTGTGACATAGAATATATGTTTAATTAGATTTATAGACTATAGTCTAGATGATTTCTCTCTTTATCTTATCTTTCGACTTTTCTAAAAAAATAATATATTAAAATGCGCTAGTGAATTTAATAATTATAATAAAAATATAAATATTTATAAATTAAAAAACAATTCATCCTTCATTCTGAGAGTGACTACCGTTCCAGTTTATTATTGGTTATTTGATATTTGTTGTTGTTGTCTATTTTTAACGATACCTTGTTTTGTATATTCATACATCATAATTGAACCACTGACATGAACATTCAATGAACGAAGTACACCCAGTTGTGGGATTTCAATGCATTTGTCTAAAAGGTTGATATATTCTGTGGGAATACCTTCCTTTTCCTTGCCAAGCAATAATACACACTTGTTGGGGAACTGGAACTCGGTGATACAGTTGGATGTAGAGGTTTGTTCAATACCAAGTAATGAGTAACCTTCTGATTTCTTGGACATCAAGTAGTCCGTAAGGTTCTCTTCGCTAACCTCTTCAATTGGCAACCAACGCTCGGCACTTACTGAAATCTGTTGGAACATTACTTCCTTCATGATTCTTCGGTTGGAAACAACCAATGATTCAATGTTGAAAATTTCACCAGTACGTGCAATACCTGCCAAGTTTGGAATCTTATCGACAAAAGTGGCAACGATAATGATACTCTGTCTAGAACGTTGATCCATCAAGTTGTGACGAGTTTCTTCTTCAATATCAGCCCATGGTAAAATCTTCTTTTGGTATCCAGTTGGTTGACTCTCTATGAAATCATCGGCATCTACATCCGACTTGTTATCCTCTTCTGTTTCTTCTGCCTTGTCAACTTCAAGAGCCTCTCTAATTGCATCTGAAATCTCTGGCATCTTTGATTTCTCAAACAAGTATTCACGTAATTGTGCTGTCAATGGTGATTTTCTCATTACATCATCAACTAAATATTCAAATATTCCCTAAAAAAGAAATCAAATATTAATACAAGTATTATTGTGATTATTATTTTTTCTATAACATACAGGAGCACAAACTTCATTATGATTTAATTTTTCAATTAATGGAATATCATAATACAAATTCTTATAGTCACAGGCAGTTTTAAGGTCTTCAGCTTCATCAGTAGTAGATGTGGAGATTGAAAGGGCAGATGCAAGTCTTGACAATGACTTTGAGGTTTGTGTATTGTGGGTGATATACCATTCGAAATAATTGAGGTATTCCATAAGAGGAGCATCAATTTTTTCGGCCAAATGCTTTGAACCACGTAATCTGAGAACTAAACTGATCGATGCACCTCTGACAGACATGTGATTGGAACAACACAATGCCATAATCTTTTTAAATATCTTATTACATTGTTCCTTGTCATCTAGATATAAAATCATTGTACCTGCTGTAATAACTACACTTGTTACAATATCACCTCTTAAATTAATTTCATCCAATAATCTAAAGATAAATAAAATAAAAAAAGAATGTTAAATGATGTAAAGAAAGATTTGATTCAACTTGACATACGGTAAAAAGTGAGATTGAATAGTTTGAGGATATCTTGTAATGAAACGGATAATGAAAATATTGATATAACGTCTGGTAGATGGTAAATTAAACAAACACATAACATCAACCAATTTTTGAGCAAATTCAGTAACCTCTTGTTCATTTGCTGGTGTTACATAAGGAGATAATAATGCCAATGCTTGCCATAATCTAATCTATTAAAATTGGAAAAAAGGAAATAAATTAATATAATTAATAAAATTAATGAATGTTTTAAAATTGTTTGACCTACTCTTCTTCTATGTGGAATAGTATTAATTAAATGACGATCTGATCTTTGGAATTCTTTGGAGAAAGCATATTCCAATAACTCAAGAATAAATGAATTGATAAATTCTTTGTATTGGCTTTGATTTGAAAGAGATGAATCCAATGCCTTTGCTCCCATTGATTTTAAGAATGTACCAACCACAGCTCTTGAGAAAACATCCTTTAATGGAATACTACCAACACCAAATTTAGCCTCATCTCTATCATTTTCATATGATGAATCAATTGAAAAATCAAATACAAAACTATTAAATGTTCTGTTGAAAGAAATAGAAAAAAAAATAGTTTAATATATATACTTTTTGTTTACTTTTTTTTTTTTAATCTACATACACAATTGGATCATAAAATGATTGATCAGATTGTTCCCAATCATCATCCTTTCTAATTGGACCATAAAGAATTGATTGTAAGATTTCATCTTTGTAATGTGAGGCAATGGTTGGCATTTCATTCCAAACAAGAGTTGTTTTCATTGTCAAGAGATTCATCAAACCGACGGCACCATCAGATTTACCCAATAAAATGCTATAATAATGTTTCAATAGGGTGTGATGATTTAATGATTCGTCGTCCCATGAGGATGGCTCGACGGAAAGAAGATTTGGTGAGAATGCAAATTGAACAAATGCAGTCATTGATGTGACGTTGGTGTCGTTGGCAGCAGCCCAAGCACTCTCCATCAAATTAGAAAGAACATCGACACGATAGTCTCCTTTTTTGTTAAACTCTTGTCTGACAAATGGTAACAACATATGTGCACTGTTGAGAATTGGCTTGATGAAATAGACATTGGCACCACCTACTGCGTCAATAAGTGATTCAATGATTTCATTGGCCTCATCTTGATCCTTTGCAATTGATACAATGCCATCAACTTGTTCCAACATTGATAAAATATTACGAACCAATCTCCACTTGTTCTTCATAAAATATTGTTGAACTGCTCCCCATGATCGGCTAAAAAAGAATAATTAATATTTGTTATTTTTCTTTGTCCCTCATCTCTTCTTTACATACGAAGTAATATCATTTGAAGTTTCAATATCATTTGGACGAGTACAAGTTAAACTATAAATTGATTTAAAGAGTGATTGTAATTGATCCTTTTGAACGACTTGATTTCTAAATTTGAATACTCCATAGAATGATTGTAAAACATTGATACGTTGGATCTGACTCTTGAGTGTACGTGATGATCTACCAACACTGTCCAAACGTGCAGTTAATACTTGAATATATTGGTCAATCTTTGGTGCAACATCCTTGTCAGTGTTGAATGCATCAACAATAAATGCAACCAATGAAATCAAAGAATCTCCAAGTTCCAATTTAACAATATGATTTTCAATTGTCTCCAAAATATCATTCTTTATCAAATATTCAATAAATTGATTCTTGAATGAAATAAATTCATTTGTAATAATTGTCTTTTGTTCTAAATAGAAAATAAAAAATAAAAAATAAATGATTTAGTACCAAATGAAATGTTTTAATCTATTCATTGTCTTTTTTGTTTTGTTTTTTTTTTGTTTACTTACCAAATGAAATTGAAAAAGATAATATAGAAGATAAAAGAATAATAGTTGAAATTGAATTTGGTAAATCCAAAGATGATGATAAAGATTGAATTAATTGTTTAGAGATTGGTTCCAACTTTTTGTGAATTAATTTTTGGAACTCACTGTCTTGCAAATAGGTGGATTGTCTTGCCATCATGTAAAAGGAAGTTTTGAGTGTGATATAGGCGTCGCCATTATCAGTCAATGCAGCATACGACGATGAATTGATGAGTTGGTCTGTATGTGTGTCGATATTATTCATCAACCATTGATCACCAAATGAACTCAACCATTGCTTGATCAAGTTTGCGTATTTTGGCAACACATGAATTTGAACTGGAAGTTGATATAAAATCTTACTAACATTGATAAAATCCATATCCTTTTTATCTGTCAATTTTGTAATAATTTTAATAATATATTTTAACATTCTAAATCTTGTTGTTTGATTTCTATAAAAAATAAACAAAAAATATATATATATATTAATAAATGATTATTCCTCTATTTTCTTCTATCTATTCTCTTGTATCTATTTCTATTCTCTTACAATCTACGACAATGATCAAATAAATGATTAACTTTATCCATAAAAGAATTATTGATAAATTCAATACCAGGAGTTGAAGAGATGGAATGAACGAAATCCAAAATACAAAGAGTAAACTCTTTGAAACGTTCCTCTTTGGCCAAAAAGGTGAGAAGAGTGCTGACAAAGTCACTCTTGGCCTTGGTAGAGGTTAAAGAGTTAAAGTAGGTGGTGAAAAAGTTCATAATAGCTTGATGGATGGCACTCTCGGTGATACCACGATAAAGAATGGGTGTGACAATAGCATTGATCAATGTACCAAAGATAAAAGATTGTGGTAAACATGCAATGTATGGTGAGTTCATAATACCAATACATTGAGCCTTGATGACAGCTGGATTCTCGTGATTGATAGTTCTTTGAAAGAGAATGTCCAACCATTCAAATGCCAATGCCTTTTTGTTACCTTTGTGTGATTCAATGACCAATGCATCGATTTCCTTCCAAACGGGAAGAATCAAATGAAGAGTAAATTCACCCAATGTTTCATAGATGAGAAAGTATAAATCCCAATACTTTTGTAACTCTTTACTATCACTCTTACTCCAATTGAAATATCTAGTCCATTCTAAATGATCATCTAAACCTTCTCTTTCAATTGATAATTTAATAATACGTTTTAATATATATCCTGAACGTTTACGAATTAATCCATCATTATCAATAAATCCATTCTACAAATAAATTTGGTAAGTTAATTAATATCATCTAATCTCAATCGATTTATATATATTTATATATTATGACATACAATTAAATGTTTCCAGAAAATAGTATTTAAACGAAGATCCATTGATGGTTGAAAGAATACTTTAAATAATTTGGACAAGATTTTAAAGGCATCTGAACGAATGTTAAACTCTGGTTGAGTCATCATTAGATCGAGAATGGTGTCTCTAACCAATTGATGCTGTTGAGATGTAGACGATTGGATAATGGCAAGCAAGAGTGAAGTGATGACAGAGTGTCTCAACTCTGAGTTTCCAGACAATAAGATCTTGTTACAAGTATCAAACAATGCTGTATGGAATGGAGTACCAGACAATTGTTGTCCCTTTTCTACTGAATCTTCTAATAGTATAGATCCCAACATACATGCAACCATATGATTAATATATTGTTTTGTTGATGAAGTTGATGGAGTAGTGGTATTGGTGGTAGTGGTGGTAGCGGTAGAGGTTGATGGGATATTATTGGCAATCTCTAAATTGAATTGTAATGATTCCAATACTACTTGTTGAAGTTTTTCAATGTTTACATTCTCTTTGGTTTTAATTAAATCTTTGATATGTTGACATAATAATGTTACCAAGATTGACATGTCACTAGATGAAGATGAGTCATCTGATGATACTTGTTGTTGTTGTGGTAAATCATCATCACCAGACAAGAAAGATGTTGAAGATAAAGAAGAGATGTATAACAACTTGATGTAGATATTTTCAATTGAACGGTTGATAATAGAGACATCAACGATCTTGTTGTCAGATGTAGTAAGCAAATGATAAGCACCATGTACGAGTAGTTGAATGTACAATGGATCTGACTTTTGACTACTAGCTACTTGTTCACTGATAGCATGTTCGATATCAGTGAGCAGAGTAATAGGCGAGTCATTATAGAGTGCAAACGTAGATTGGATATAAGGTGTTTGGATGATATTGATAGTTGCAGAGTCAACTTTTTTAAGATTGTATTGAGTAGTTAAAGAATCTGCGAATTGCTTTAGCAATCCTAATATCTTGTTACTCATCTTTTAATCTATTCTATATATCTCTATATATCTCTATCTATTTAACTACTCTATAAATAAATAAAACGAATGATTTCTTACTCGTTCGTCTTTACTTTTTTTTTTTAATAATTTCCTTTTTGTTTTGATTTAAATAATAATATTAATATTATAATCCAATCAAATATTAACTTTAAACTATATGATTCATTGTTCTGATATATCGTAGTATGATATCTTCGAATTTGAGTAATACTAAAGAATCATGTGAATTTACCACTTTTGTTTCATCGTGTGTATATCTTCAAAAAAGAAACTGGCTGGACAATGAAACAAACGACGTCTAGTCTACTCTTTTTACTCATAATAATATGTGTGATGTGATGTGATGATCTAGATCAAAGTACGTAGAGTGAGATGCGACTGTTTTCTATAATTTATACTCTAAAACAGGTTGAGACTTTTTATTTAGTTGTTGGTTGGCTTGATTGGCTTTCCACCGATGGTCTTCATACCTGGTCTTTGTGGACGAGTACGGATCTTACGATCTTCGACTGAACGAACACGGACGATGTGAGAGTGAATAGCACAGGAGATACAGTATTGGGACTTGATGTAAGTTCTTGGGAACTTGTATCCCTTGGCAGTGAAGACACCGACATCAGAAATATCCTTGACAGCAGCGTTTTCAACGATTGGACGAATGTAGAATCTCTTTACAGCCTTGTCCTATAAGAGTTTAAGTAATAATGTGTATAGGTTGTAGTGGAGGAATATAGTCAGTATATAGTTCTATCTCTGTTTTGCTGTTTTCTATGCTGTTTCATCATTATTTCAATGTACCTTTGGAACACATCTAGCACAGTTGGTGCAACGGATGAATTGGACATGTCCACGTCCGTGCTTGGATCTACCGTGATTACGTCTCTTTTGAGTCATTTTTCTGTTGTTGAGTACCAAGTAATAATTGATGATTGTAGAGATTGAAGTTTGATAGATTGGATTGATTAGATTTGTATAGTATAAAGAAGAAGAGTTAGTTAGTATACTGTCACGTACTGTGTCTGCTTGTTGTGTCTTTCTCTTTCCTATATGCACATACAAATTCTCGTTGGTCACAAAAAGGAAGAAGCAGATTCAGGTGTATGCTTCATAAAGACAGACACAGAGGCAGAGACAGCTCACAGACTGCGCCTTGCTCAGACGGCATCATAGTGAAAAATTAAAAAAATTAATCGTTATTTGAGAAATGGATTTGAAATTTTTGCCCTTCACATCTTGTGCTAAAAAACATCAAAGTGTGTGATCATCGCTGCTTCTAATATATTAAAAGAGAGATAGGACAGAGAGGAGAGAGTAGATGGAGGATCGTATTAAAAATGCATTAACTAGTCTTGACAATGTTACATTGATACATACACCATTAAATACAAATAATGTAGATGATAATGCTACTCATCAGCATGCTAGTAGTAGTAGTAGTTCTACAGTCGACAAACAAGATTCGTCATCGTCATCATCAACATCTAATAATAATCAAATATTAGATGATTCATCAAGTATATTATTTAGACCTTGGGATAGTAATGATTACTATCGTAGAGTAAAATCATTTACCATCTCTAGATGGTTTGCTAAACCTGTCTTGGTAGATCCACTTCAATGTGCTCGATTTGGTTGGATTAATTGTGATGTTGATATGTTGGAATGTACAATGTGCAGTAAAAGATTATACTATAATATTGCTCCTTCTCTATCTGCTTGTCAAAGTATGTTGTTATTATTATTATTATTGTTGTTGTCGTTGAATGATAAATATAAAAGAGTAATATTGACATTCATTTTTGATTATTATCATTTTTTGAAGCACAAAAAAGAGTGATAGACTTTTCAAATCAAGTAAAGACAACTGGACATCGAGAGACTTGTCCATGGAGAGATAATGGAAGTCCATCGTTTTATGCTCGTTTAATCAATGTTCCTTCAAAAACATTGATTGAAAGTTATATGGCTCGTGTAAATAATATCTACAAGAATTTAAATAGGTTTCCAGACATTGATACAACATTTTGGGTATGCTATACACAACAACAACAACAAACATTAGACATTAGTTATTAATTATTAATTATTAATAATTAATATTTAGGGAATAGTTCAAAAAAAAGAAAATAATAATTTATTGACAATGATTATAAAAGAGGCTGGTATATTGACAGATAGTAATAATACAAAGGATATAAAATTAAAGGTTGCTTGTATCATTGCTCTATGTGGATGGGATTATTATAAAGGTGATGACCATAATAATAATAATAATGCATCATCATCATCGTCGACAACAAGAGAGGATAGTGTTTGTTGTTCATATTGTCAAAGAGTTTGTGGAATGTGGAATTTCACAGAGCTTTCAACAGACCCATTCAAAGATATATACCCCCATTTGTCAGATAAAACGATATCTGACAACAATTCAACAACAAGTAAATTCAAAAGAAATAGAAGTTTATTTGAACAAGAAGAAAGAGTTGAAACAACAATGTCAAGTGTCATTGATAGAATATTATCATTTAGTGGAAACAATAATAATAATAGTAATAATAATAATAATAATAGTGGGTTTAATGTTACAAATAGTGAAGGTGTTTATACTGGATTTAGTGATACAAAGAGAACAAAACCACCATCAGATTTGGGTTGGAGTTGGGGAACTTCCTTTTCACATCAATCAACATCTCTCAGCTCAACCATAGAGTTTAATCAAAAAAGATTAAAACCTTTTTCACCAATTAATGAACATCGTTGGTTTTGTCCATGGATCATATTTTCAAAAGAAGAAATTCAAGACGAACAACATCAACAACAACAACAACAACAAACTAATCAGTCATCAACTACCACGACAACTTTAACAAATAATAATAACAACAACAATTTAAATGAATCACAAGAATCGGAACAAAAAGAAAAAGAAATAACTAAAACTCAACCAGATGAAGAACCATGTGGATGGGAAAGTTTATTACAGTTATTGACAAAGAAACAATTACCTGGTCACACTGAAAGAAAAATACATGATATTGACGTTAGAGCAACATTAAAATTATGGCAATAAACTAATCTATCTATATATATATATATATATGGCAGAGCAGATTAATCAATAAGCTCCCAACCCATCACGGTGTCGTTTTACAAAAATCGGGGCACTCGATGCAAAAGACGAGGCTAGGTCGTTATTTATCCTTTTTTTTTTTTGGATTCCCGACGAGACTCATCGATGAGAGGACGATCACCTCCCCATGTTCACCTAGTTGGGGTTATGAGAACGGTGTATCATAGTTACGCGTCCTATAAATCGCATTTAATTTTATTTAAATATGTTTTTTCTAAAAGTCCCAAACTTCCCAAGCACGCCTACATAAGAGCTTGAGAGATCACTTTTTTTTTCTTTATCCTCTTCATCCTCTTCATCCTCCTCTTCATCCTCTTCATCCTCCTCTTCATCCTCCTCATCCTCCTCTTCTTCCATCCCATCCTCCTCCCCAAATCAATCATTTATAAATAATGAAATTTACTTTAATCTTTTTAATTGTTACTTTATTAGCTTTGGCTGTTACCAATTTCAAGGAGAAGTTTCTCAAGTAAACCATGGTAATCCACCAAGTGGTTCTGTAAACTTTTGTATTATGTATGACAACTCTACTCAATGTGCTCACGGAACAAAACACAACTGTGTCGACGTACCATTGGAAACCTGTACTGTCGTAACCAATACAAGCGACAATTCCACCTTTGGTGTATTAGTTCAACAAACCAACAATTCCATTGAAGCTACCACTTTCACAAATGGCAGCTGCACAGTGGCATTGGAAAATGTGAGCAACATTGAGTGTGGTGGATGTTCAACCAGTGGAAGTTATCAAGTACTCTGTTTTAATCAAGACAGTTCTGCTATGACTATTTCCATTCCATCTGTTTTAGTTTTAATGTCCATCATTGCATTGTTCATTTCATTACTTTAAACTAAAAATATGATTACATCACTCCTATCCCCCCTCCCACCATCCTCCCATTCTCCCATCCTCATCCATCCTCTTACATCTTCCTACTCAACATTTAAAATTAAGATTTAAATTTCTATATTTAATATTTATTTTTTCTTTTATCTAGATAATAATAATAAAAGTTTTTTTTTAAAATACAAACACATAATATTTAATAATTATTTATTAATATTTAATATGTTTACTTTGTTTTGATTTAAATGACTAATAATAGATCAACAAAATTATTAATTCTACATTTTATTTAAATATATTATAAATAATTGGTTTGCAAATGACTCTATTTTTGAAAAAGTATGTGTACTGTGTGTATCGTTGTTTTGTGATTTGGGAAAAAAAAATGGGCATAATTATTCGGAGGTTGGATTTGATTTTGATTTTGATTTGAATTTGATTGATTGATTATTATTTATAATGAATGAATAAACTAGTGGTAGGTTATAGTTGGTTTGGTTTGGTTTGGTTTGGGGAGGGGATTGATTATATGTTGATTATTATTATTATTATTATTATTATTATTATTATTATTATTAATGATTATTGTTATTGATTATTTAATAAAATTTTGAATAATATTTGCAATAAGGGAATTACTAATGGTATCATCGGTAGAGGAGAAATCAACATTATCATTGTAAATGACTTGGGCGTTATAGACGTCCATGAGACAATACAACAAAAAGAAGGTGTAGATGAATCTAGTGGTAAAATGAGAGATGGTTTCGTTTCTGCCTCTGTTGGAGATATCAATCTTCATGAATCGACGAGCAAAGAAACGAATGCCAAGATCGTATGCCATTTCAAAGCAGACGAGGTAGAGGTATCGGAAGAGGAGTTGGTGGAATGACTCGGTGTCTAGCTCCTCAAAGCTGGGGTAGTACGAGATCTTGTACTTTAGTGCACGGATCAGTGACAAAAAGACGACCATTGTGACAATGCTAGTGTACTCGGCCATCTTGTCATAGTAGTATTCGACGGACAACTTGCAGATATGTTGTTCGTAGGAAGGGTTGGGATCGTCGAGTGCGACACGCAACCATCTAAAGATGCGACTGGTGGTACCACGCTTCTCGAGGTAGATGGCCAGCTGCTGGTGACGGAAGATCCAGTAACGCTTGGTCATGTGCAGCGGATAGTAGGCAATGTCAAAGACAAAGAGTACGAGCGACACGAGCACCGTGATACCCCAACTATTGATATTGAGAAACAGGTTACGATAGTAGAGGAAAAACATGAGTGGGAATTGGAAAAAGGTAAAGTAGGTGAGTTCGCGGGGACTGAGCAGACGATTCAAAATGTTGCTGACACCCATCAACATGAGACGACTGGCGTGGAAAAGCACAATCGAGAGAAGCGCAAGGAACGGCGTCGAAAAGAGATCCTTTTCAATAACGAGTGTCGCAAAGTTGTGCAACCAAAACCAAGTTGCAACGACTGCAATCTGGTAGACTACAGTGCAAATGTAATTTCTAAATGATGTTTCGTATTTGGGCATGAGTTCATCCATTACAGATGGTGATATACGTAGTTGTCCAGTGTATTGTGTACGCGAACTAATGTCTCCTCCCGTCTCGCTAGCTCCCTTTTTCTTTTTGAAAAATTCAGTCTGTGCATCACGCTCTTGTGACGATGTCAGTGTAGACGACTGGTCCTTGATGGTAGCCATCTCAATGCCTCCACCTTCAAATGTCTTGAGCACGTGTTTCTCCTCTCGCGGAGCATACATAGAGTGTCTAAAAAAGTTTGGATCCGATGGGTTGCCGCTGGCCTCGGTCACATTGACCGAATTGTGGTGTGGCAGACTGGCATCACGTGCATTTGTGACGTCGGTCATAATGTCTCTTGCTATTTGGTTCTTTTGGTCGTCTTCATCCATATCGATGAGTTTGTAGTAGCACAGAATCTTGCTTAACCGCTTGGTCCATGGCTTGGAACGACGTTTGCGACGTTTGACACCACGCTCGTCCACTACAACATCGTCGACACCATAGACATACTGTTTCTTGAACTTGTGTATAATCACATGAATCAAATAACATACGGCACAAAAGGCAATGACAATGGCATCGATAAACGAATATGCCAATCGATTATCCTCCTTTTTAATCTTTGTCACTACACTCAACCATGCAATCGATACTCCAATATAACATAAGAAAAAGAATATAATTTGAATCTTTGAACATCCTAAAAAAAAATAAAAGAAAAAGAAATAGAAATAGATTATTAATCATCATATATATATATAATTATCTATCTATCTAAACATACCAGGTAGATTTAAATCATAGAAAGAGATCCAAGTGAAAAACATGACGATAAAGTATACCATGCTAGTCCCTGAAAAAGCCACGTACGTGTTAATAGGCAACAACAACCAAAGTAGGGTCAAAACGAATGGAATGAGAAGAAAGTTTGCATAGATGATAAAGCTTCTCGATGAGAAGAACTTGGGCATGGTTAGACGGACCATGGTTCTAGTACTACTACTGCTTTGTGAATGTGACTACTAGTGTGTTGGTCAGCTGAACTGTATTTTGTTGTTGTTGTTGTTGTTGTTGGGGGGAGACGAAAGGCGATCTTCACCAAAAGTCGATCTATTCTATCTATTCCTCGTGTCTTCTCTACTAATATAATTGCTTGCTACGTTGCTGTTGTTGTTGTTGTAACTAAGAAGATATCGTCTTTCCAGATTATTTCTAACCTAACTTAGCAAAGAAAGAGAGAGAGTTTTTATCCTTTTGAAACCAACAAAATCTCTGTGTCGTTTTGAAAAAATCTAAAAACTAATGCTCTAAAGTGGCTTGCGTAAGGGTAAGGTACTAATCCTTGAGAAAGTATGAAAAGAGAGGGAAAATAACAATAATAAATAACTCTAGAGGGAACCTAGGATATGTGTGTATGTTGTGCGTCAAGGTTAGGTCATAGGAGGAGGAAATTCACTTACACAGACAAAGTGTCCTTGAAAAAAATTTATAAAACGTTGTCAAAAAAAAAAAAAAAAAAACGATCGACATTGCGATCCTCTCATATCTGACTTGACAGGAATCGGGTGGCCCAAAAGGACAAAGTGCGTGTTTAATTGATGCCCCGACGTGCCAACATCCCTCATTTGCATTTACAAAAACTCTTGATTTTTTATTATGTTCATCGTTTTTTTTTATCATAATGAACGATAATGAGGACGAGGATAAAAGAAGAGAAGTGAGTGCAGAAGCTTTCTGAAGAAGCCTATGAGATGATGAGGTTCTTTTAATCTCTTGTCTTTTAACGAATTAATTAATTTGAGGTAAGGTTATTATTCATTATTATTTTATTATTTTTTGTGGGTGTGGATGATGATAAGATATGATATGCATATAGATTATTTATTGAGATGGAGTACCATGTTCAACATCAGGAGTTTGGACATTCTTATCTTTTTTATCTGATGCAGGTGGAGGTGGAATATTGGTAGCATATTTAGAGGCTAGTTGTTGGAGTGGTTCACAAATGGATGTCTTGTTGGATGCCAATTCATTCCAATAGATGTTTTTAATTTGTTTGTGTCCTTTGAAATGGAATACTGCTTCGTAGATGAATGCATCGGCTACTTGATGATCGGGTTCGTAAACACTGTGTTCTGGGAGGTCTTTGAATTCATCGGATTTGATGTTATCATTGAGACTATCCAATAGTTTTTTATCAATCTTTTTGCCAGTTGCTGTCTTTCCAGTCTTTAGGTCCAACGACACTGTCTTGTGTACTCCTGCAAATCCTCCTGTCTAATTATAAATATATAAATATATAAATAAATAAAGAATTGGACGAGTTAACAAACAAAATATTATAAAGGGTATAGAGAGTGATTCATGAATAGATCTTGGCTACATACCTGAGTAACAGTGACACCAGTTGGAGATGATGATTTAGGTGAATTAGCCAATGTCAATGCAACAATAGCCACCAAGAGAATTAATATAGTTGATAATAATTTCATTTAAGTTAAATAATTAATTAAATATTACTAGTTTAGTTTGACAAAAAAGTAAAAGAAGAAATATAAATAATGAATTGATGTTGATCTCTTCTTCTTCTTCTTCTATACTTAACTGCCTTTTTGCTTGTCTTCAATACATACACATTCCCAAATATTTAAATCAATCACCAATACAAGATGGGTGCATGAATGGATGGATGCATTGGTTGGGTTAGCCAATATAAACACACCACACAAACAACACGATAGTTGGAACCACATCAGCATCAAGAGGGTGCATCATCCAATAAGAAGGGGTCCTCCTACCCACCATATTCTTTTTTACAAAAAGAGAGAAAAGAAAGAGATGTGTAGTGATGTACACTACAACCCAAGTTCAAATCGGGTTAAATCATATCATCCAATACACATGTGTGATCTAATCTAGTACCTGATTTGACAAAGTTGTAACTTCACCAATGCGTAGTACTCTAGAAATACTAATATAATTACTACAAAGCTAGAAAGAAGTGATAACAACTTTACCTTGGTAGACTCATACAAGATTTAAAGATAGAATAATCTCAGCTCGTTGCCCAATATTTGATAATAAAAACTAATAGTTGCATAGATTTTTTTCTTTCGACCTGACTTTTGTCGATAGCTTGGTAATCACAAGACGTCACTTGCCCTACGATCCTCATTTTTTATTACCTCTCACCTTTTCTTTGTACAAATAACTTTACACATTACATTGTATACATCTTCTTTTCTTTTTAAAAACACACAAAAAATAACAAATACATTCTCGATCGAAATAGATTAGATATACTGCTGTATATATATTTTATTTATTGTACATACACTTCACAACAACCAATTCTTAGATAAATCTTTAAAAACAAAAACTTTGTTTGATGTTAGCATCACAACAACCATCAAATAATAATAATAATAGTAACAACAATAATAATAATAATAATAGTCAAAATGTAGCATCATCTTCCTTTTTACCAATTAATGGGCCAACAAGTAATAGTAGTAGTAGTATCTTATCATCACCCTTGACTAGTACTACTACAACAACAACAACATCAACAAGTTCAAATAATAATATTAGTAATTTATTAAACCCAACCAATTCAATATTTAATAATGGATTTAAAGATTATATTGATAGTAAGAGATTCTCTGATGTAAAGTTGATATATGGATCTAAAATGTACGATACACATCGTATCATCTTGGCGTACAGTTCAGAGTTTTTCAAGAGATTGTTGTCGTCAGAGTTTAGAGAGGCTAGTCAAGCAGTCATCACTCTTCGTCAGCCAGACCCATACAACATATTCCCTCAAGTACTCTCGTTTATGTATGATGGTCGTGTTTGGATGTCACCAGACAATGTCGTTCCTCTCTTGGCAATGGCCGATCACTATCTAATCCATGCACTTCAATCTCTATGCAACAAATATCTCGACACCAATCTAAACAGAGAAAGTGTAGTCTCTATCCTTCGTACTTCCATCTCTTTTCATTTTGACTTTATCATTGATAAATGTATTGGTATCATTGCAAAGAATTTTCCTTATATTTGTGAACAACAACAATTATTTAAATCAAACAATAATAATAATAATAATAACAGTAATAATAATAGTAATACAAATAATAATAGTCATAATAATAGTACAGAGAATCTAAATAATAATGATTTTGATTTAATGTTTTTACCATCATCAATATTTATAACTTTACTTAAACATCCTTATTTGGTTGTAAAGAATGAATATACATTATATCAAATAGTAATTAATTTTATTAAATATAAACAACAAGAACAACAACAACAAACCGACAACACTACCAACAATAATAATAATAATAATAATAATACACCAAACGAAACAAATAATAATAATAATTGTATAATAGATAATAATAATATTAATGAATTAATGTCACATATAAGATATATCTGGATGACATATGATCAATTAATAGAAATATCAAGCAATCCACTGGTACCAAGAGATATCCTAATTGAAACATTTATGGAACGTTTAAAGAAATACGAATCTTCTTCATCAACATCATCAACCATTTCAAATATCCCTTTACTATCAGTTACTAATACTATCAATAATAATAACAATCATACCGATCAACAACAAAATAATACCGATTCTACTAATAATAATAATAATAATAATAATTTTAACAAGTACCCTATCACTAATACTAGGTAATTAATCTTGGTCAATATAGTATTTATTAATTATTAAAAAAGAATATATTTACTAATTATATTTTCTTTTTTTTTTTTTTAGATTCTTACCCAGACCACCACAGTCAATACCTTTTGAATATAATCATGATTTTGATCAAAAGGGAATTTTATATTGGATTGCAACTAATTGTTATAGAGAGAAATGGGCAAACCCTCATACTTCTTTAAGAATTAAAGTAAATATAAATATTTTAAATAATCTCATTATATACTTACCCTTTTCTCTTTTTTTTTTTTTAGATTACATCATCTAGTATTGATAAAGGAAATTTACAAGATGTAGTTGAATTGGCACCATTTGAATTTTGGACAAAGGATGTACCAGCATCTTGGGTGACTATAGATTTGGGTCCAAATCGATCAGTCATTCCAATGTGTTATACAATTAGACATGGTCTCAGTTTTAAATCAGACAGTCTTAGAACATGGGATTTCCAAGGATCGACAAATGGTGAGCAATGGACTGTACTGAAACGTCACACAAACGACTCTTCACTTAATTTGAAATACGCTACTCATACATGGAACATTCCAAATGTCACTGCTGCCTATCGTTATTTCCGTATCCTTCAAACTGGAAAGAACTCAAACAATCGAAACTTTTTGGTGATTGGTGGTATCGAACTTTATGGTGAATTATTACAAAGTAATAATGTTATCAACAATGACAACACAACTACGACGAAAAGCCCGATCAAATGGATTCAAGAATAAACGAAAAAAAAAATACAAAAGAATCATATCAACAAACCAAACCAAACCCTTGGTATACAAATAATATTAATAATAATAATATGTTATAGATAAGTTTATTTCTAATAGAACAATACAACACTGTAGGTAGGTAAGTAAGTAATTAATTAGTTTAGGTTATAATGAATAATTTAATTGATTGGAATAATTAATGGTTGGTCTCAAAGTCGATGGAGTTGGTTGCATCATCATATTGTTGGCCATATTATTATAGTTAAAGCGCTGTTGTTGTTGGTTGCTATTATTATTATTATTATTCACTGGTAATGTGGCAACAGATAGATGATCATCCGATTGAATGGGTGAGGTGTTGGAAGAAGAGGATGGACCTCCTGTAGATTGCTCAATCTGGTGACTTGCAACTTGCTCCTTTAGCTTTTCAAGACTTCTACGTCTAAAATTAATGAACCAATTGGAAACTTGGGCAATGGATTGACCAGATTCTGCAGCCAATTGTCTTTTGACATCCATTGGTGGATATGGATCATCGAGATGATTGATAACCCATTGCAATAGAACAGACTTTGATGATTTGCTAAGAGCACCAGAAGTGGTTTTAGTCTTTGAACGGACGGATCCAGAGGTTGCAGGTTCGTACGACGACATCTTTAAAACAGCAATATAACGTCCAGAAAAGTGGTCTACCTCTGAAAAGAGCTGTTTGGTGAGTGCAGTGGTGGTGGCAAGTGCATGCATATACTTTTCCAAATACTGCTTAACAATGATGTTGTTGTCTGGCGAACCCATCATTTTAAGGAACAAACTTTTAAACAATGCATAGTCTGGTAGACTCTTTGCACTAAAATGCTTTGGATCAACAATAATCGAATCCCACAAAGTATTGAATAATCTTTCAATAATGTCATCTTGGTATTCATTTTGATTGATGTTTTGTTTTTTAACAGTTGGTATTGCCATTGGAGGTTGTTGTTGGAATGGAGATGATGATGGTGACGATGATGATGATTGGTAGTCTTGTTGCTGCTGCTGTTGTTGATAAAATGAAGAAGAACTGGTTGGTAATCTGGTTGATGCTAATACAGAAGAAGACATTTGAAATGGAATAGGTAATTGTGGATGTCCACTAGTACTACTGTTGGCTCCATTAGAAGAGAATACAAACATTGGAGGTTGATGTGAATTGGTGAATGGTAACGATGACTCTGTTTGAAGAATCGATGGTGTAGGAGGAGTCATTTGTGTAAAAGAGGATGACATAGGCACTGGTAGATGGATCTGGGAGAAGGGAATCAAAGGGGAATTACGAGTAGGAGTTGACGATGACGACGACGAAGGTAATGGCAAAAATGGACTATTACTATGAGTTGTAGTTGAAGTAGTAGAGGAAGTAGATTGTTGATTTTGTAATTGATATAAAATTGACTCCATTTTGACTAAAAATAATAATTTATCTCTATAAATAGATAAAGATAGAGATAGAGATAAAACAACACCTAATTATTTGTTTGGTTTATAACTAGAAAGGGATAGAATATTTATATTTTATATAATTAATTAAATATTGATAAGAGGAGGAGAGGAGAGAGGAGAGGAGGAAAGAATGATGGAATGATAGAGTGAGGGATGAGCATCTCTTTATAAACACATAGTATTCAGGGTGACTGACAGACTCGAGCCCTCACCATCCCCCAATATAAAAATATCTTTACTCTTTTTGGGGGGAGGGATACACATTTTTAAAAGAGTGAGTTTCTTTGTGCGATTGTGGTGGATCGATTAACCCTCTATCATCTCCTCCTTCCTTTTAAGGTGATTATAGTTTAACAAATGCTATCAATACATCTTTCAAAATAATGTGTATTTATAACTCAATAAACCCGACCAAGAGTTATTGAGATGAATTGAAATAATATTTATAATAACAAGTTCTCTTGAGATGTGAACTTCAAAGATTGACAGCAATCTAATAATCCCCAAAAATACAAAAAAACAAATGTAATTTCTCTATTCAACCTTCGCTATACTATACTTCATTCCCCTTCCTTTGAAGAGAGAAAGAGGTAGAATAGTATGATAAAGGGTTCCCAATTCTATTATATTATTATTATCATTATTATATAAAATCAAGATAATATATATAATAATAATAATTGTATTGTAAATCGAATCTTTATTATCATAATGACCTGAAAGTGGAATACATTAATGTAATTTATTTGTGTGTACATATACATATGTATGTGTATATGTTTTGGTTTTGACACCAATGTACACAACAGTTATCCCCCTCCCCCCACTCTACCCTCTTAGATAAAACAACAGTAGCAAGCAGCATTGGATAGGAGTGAGTGTTGGCGGATGAGGGGAGGGGGGTGAGGTGTGTCAATTGTCGACTCCCACCTACCTTACCTTACCTTCCCTTGTCTACAGACCGCTACTGCTACTACTATGTTGTTAACGGTGTAACAATAAACAACAATACTACTGTTTCCAATTGTTTATTTTATAAGATAGAAACAGTAAGGTGCACATTCAACAGATAGAGAGAGAGAGAGAAAGAGATAAAGAGACCAACTACTACTTCTACTATTATCAACAACAATTATTTTATATTACCCTTTTGATGATAACAATATCAACTACAATTCAAAAACAAAGAGAGAGCTTGTTCATAATTGAATAAATCCTCCTTTTTAATACCAAAGAATATATTTATATTCTTTTTTTGTATACAAATCCCTCCTCCCTTCTCTTTCCATCAACACTACCAACCAACCAACCAACCACCAAAAGTTAGTAAAGAACACCTTCTTCTTCTTCTTCTTTTGTGTTTACTCGCTCACTTTGGCTACAAAATTAACATTTACAACAAAACTTAAACCAAAAGACAAAGTCTATCCAACCAACAATCAAACCCACTATGACAATGAAATTAATAAGTAGAATTACAAAACCTTTTAAAAAAGATAAGTCATCAAGTAAATCAAATCAAAATAATAACAAGAATGGAGAACAAGAAGAATCTACCAATGGTCCATTGGAATTTGTTTATAAATTACAAGTATGTTTTAAAAAAATAATGATGAGAAATGAAATTAAATATGTATTAATTTTTATTAATAATAGTATAGAGTAGTTGATAAATCAAGTGGAGCATCAACGGAACATAAATTTGAAGATAGAACATTAAAAATTAACGAAGAAGGTGTATATTTAGGCGACAAGATGGGGAAATTAACATTTATTGATTTCATTTTGATTAAAGAGTTTTCTTTGGATCAAAATTGGATGGATTGGGCAATCATCATGAGAGATGGAAATTCACATCATTTCAGATCTTATGAAGTATGTATTTAAAACTAAAAAATGAAAAGGAATCATATCATGATCATCTCCACGCTCCAATATATTAACTTATTTATTATTATTATTATTATTATCAAGTCTTTACAAGTTCACTTAAAAGTGAATGAGGTTATTAAAAAATTGGTGAGGACTTCTTCATCATTGTAAATAATACTAACAAAACAATAATCAACAAACAATAATTAAAACTGAATCATAATAATTTATTAACACAAATCATTAAATCCAAATCATCTTATCCTAAATCAATATAAGATGAACAAACCAAAAAACCAATTAATAATAGTAATAATATTATTAAATCTTAAACCTAAACACCCAATTTATCTGTAAATTTGTAAATGAAGAATATTAATAAAAGGGTAAAAATATATCTACAAAAAGTTTGGCGAAAGAAAGAGATCTCTTTCTTTGCGAGACCATGTCTCTTTCTTTTTATAGTTTCAAACAAAAGTTAAAGAGATAATTGTATACATAATAGATATGGATATTGCTAGTTATGAAGATAGAGCTGTCAAGGCTGAGAATATGATTGAGATTCTTTCAAAGAAGATTGCTGCTTTGGAAGCATCTTCATCATCTTCCTCATCTAATTCTTTGGGTGTTTCTGCAGAAGAATTCAAAAAGGTATATAACACCTCCCGCACATACGAACAGATCGATCTTTTTGAATATCTTATCTTATTATTATTATTATAATTGTTCAATCTTAGGTTCAAGATCAAAACAAGGAATTACAAAAACAACTAGCTAGTAACACATATAGAATCAATCATTTGGTTAGACGTTTAAACGAAACACAACAAAAGCAATAAGTGTATATTTATATTATAAAACAACAAAAAGGTTTGAAAACAATACTATCAGAGTTTATATACTGGAATTTTGGTTTGGTTTGGTTTGGTTTATCGATAAATTATTATTATTATATTATATGGATATCTTATTATCATATAATTTTGTTGTTTTTTATAATATATATATGGTTGATTTAATTAAGGTAACCTTTACATCTTGTAGATTGACATAAACATTTAATCTTCATCTTTTCTCTAGGGAATTGATAGTCGTATGTGATTTCTTCATTTTTGGCTATATCTTTACTTGCTACTATAATGATCTTTTTAACTCCATCAATAGATATAATCTTGGTTTTTGCATTTGGCTATAAATATTGGAAAGAGAGAACACAACTTGGTTAGAATCAATCAATCAACTATCATCTTTCTTTTTTTTTTTTTTTTCTTTCATACCTCACAACTATGATTTGCAAATCTAGCTCTATTTCCTTTGAATGTTGCATCTACAATAACATCCTTTTCAATGGCAAACATAAAACAGTCTACACCATCGTTTTGATACTTTCTTTCTCTTTCATCTGCTATTTTCTGTCTAATGATTTCTCCGACATACTCTATTATAAACTCTCCAGCTACAATTGATTTCTTTGCAAATGCACCCAGAGAATGGATGGAAGATGGTTTGACGACAACCCGAGAATCTTCACCTTTTAATAACAAATACTGTGCATTGTCAGACAGCAAGTGGTTATGGATACCACTATTTGTTGAGAATCCCAGCACATCTTTTAGTCCTGGAATGCCAATTTGATTAATCTTTTCCATACTGTATACAGATTGTATTTTCTTTGTCAACAATGCAATGGTTCTTTCTCTAGTCTTGAATGATATAATCTCGGATTTTAATCTTTCTCGTTCTATCATTATCTTTCTTTCTCTTTCAGTGTCGGCTGGATTACCACTGGTTGTTTGTATTGGTGTTTTACGATTGAATACCGTAGTTCTTGCACATCCATCAAGTAAACTTTTACTCTTCAATACCAACTGTTCTACCAAATCTTTGGTATCCAAAATATGTTTTCTAGTGTACCATCTACACTTTATAGACTCTGGAATGCTTTCCAAACTCGATACTATACTTTTTTCATTGAATCCAAAAAATGTAGATACAGGCATCACGATTGATCTACGTGCATTCAAACGAACTTGATTGACTGCAGTAATAAATTGACTCCAAACATGAGTCAAAGATGTTCCATAAAAGAGGTATTTGGCTCTTTCTTTTTCATCTATCGAATTTGGACATTCAATAGGTACAATGATAAAGATTGGTACATTACCATGTTGTAACACTTCAACAAGGTAATCAATTCTAGAGTACTCGTCAAAAACACTCCAATATCTTCTAATTGCTTTGTATCCAGAAGGATAAATATGATCCACTGAATGAAATAATGGATTTTCATCTATAATTTCTCCTAAATTTAATAATAATAATGATCCAAATCTAAATAAATGAATTAGTAACTATCTCTATCTATCTCTATCTATCTATTTCTTTATCTTTTTTTTTTATATATTTACCTTAACATATCATTTGATGAATCAATATCAATAAATTTATCACCATGAGTACTATCAATAAAACTTTCCAAAAATATTTTCCTATTTTCAAATTGATTTAAACATTGCTTAATATCTTTGAATTGATTTGATTGTACTACTATTGCAGTAAATTCTTGGGACACTTGTTGTTGTTTTTCTTCTTCATCTTTTTCAACTTTAACTTTTTCAATCTTTACTTTTTGTTTGGGTTGTTTTTCTTGTTTTTCCAATTCTACAATATGTTTATGACATCTAAGAGTTCTATCGTCTGGATGTATTCTACCTTTGTTTTTGATTGCACACTCCAAATGATAAATATTTTCGCACGTTTGAACAATACATCCAATTGAGGCACCATTCTTGTTGCAAAGACTGCACTTCATTTTCTTTGCATATTGGATGATATTGTTAGAGTGAATGAGAATGGAATCCTCTGATACAAATATTCCACTACTCCAATATATACAATAAAGATGGACAAACTTGTCGAGTGTATGATCCAAAGGCAACAATCTTCCTTGGACACCCATATTTCCTTTGGTGTGACATAAAAGACAAGCAGCCAATTGGTCACGTGCAGGTACTGGTGGCTTTTGTGATTCCTTGGTTGGTCTAAGAAGCCATTTCTCCTTGACAGTTTCCACTTTGACATCTTGCTCATCACCATTGCTCTGGATCTTTGAACAAGATGGACAAACCCAATCGTCTTCCTCTGGCAGTGCATCTAGACCAGCACAATAAGTATGGAAACCTAGGTCACAACGGTCACAAATCAATAATAAATCTTCATTGTCCAAAGCCATGCAAACAGAACAACATTTACAATCGGCGCATTTCCATGTCAATCTATCAATGACACTGGCAACCTCTTCAGGCAGACCTATACAAAATGTATGAAACACTTCACCACAATCTACACAACATATCAAGGTTGATGGAACAAATGACTTTCCAACGACAGATGGAACGTCGCCACTTAAACAAACTTTACAAAGATCAATACGGCTCTAGTATAGTAGTAAAAAAAAACAATAAGTTAATTTTAAAAGGTCTCTCAAGCATACTGGTTCGTTCTATTAATAACCATCATCATTGTAATAAAATAAAAAAGTAACATCATTGATTTAATAAAATATTATTATCACCGTTTCAACAACAATAATGATAATAATTTGAAATTATTTATATAAATTAATATTCTCTTTGATTGGTTGGGGTTTGAGGAGTTTTTTGGAAAATGTATATATAAAGGTGTGTGGAGGGAGGTATGATTAATTGTGGATCATAATGTGATTACTGGCTATAGAAAAAAAGTTGGAAAAAGGTACCACTTGTTGTTTGATGTTGTTGTTGTTGTTGTTGTTATTGTCCTGATATTGAAAAAATATTACATAATATGATAATGTTATGCTTTTAATCCGCTTTGCATGATTAACTGTTTACTATAGTAATATAATAATAATAAATAATGGTGATATAATTGGTTGGTTAAAATATTCTAACCTAATTTTGATAGTAGTAGATAATTACATTATTTAAAAATGAGCTCGCTCCTTTTTTGTTTTAAAAAAGTTAAATAAATATAATAATACCCAAATCCTCCAATAAACACTTAATCATCATGATTAATTGAATCGTTGTTGTTGTTGTTGTTGTTGTTGTTATTACTGTATTATTGGTTATGCAATGAATGTGTGATGGGTGATGGTGAAAGTGATTGTGATGATGATGTTTGATGATGATGATGGTAGTAATGATAAATTATTTTTAATTCATATTTACTCTTACTGCATGATCATTGTAATATGGAAGGTTGATATCCACATGGTTTGGGGTTGGATATTTGCTGGCAGCACTAGTCTTTACATAATCATTTATACTAACTCTGGGTTGGTTGGCAGAAACGATTATGTGTCCTCCTTCGGGTGATTCCATAGTTTCGGTGTGATGATGGTGGCTGTGATGTTGGTGGTGTTGAGGGGGTGGTGGTGGCAATTGGTGTTGTTGATGATGGTGGCTGTGATGATGATTACTATTAACAATTGGTGAACTACTACTATCATTTTGGTATGGGATTTGGTGACTCTGCGTTGGAATAATATTTTGGTTTCCATAAAAGTTTTGTTGATGATCCGATGATGAAGTCAATTCTTCGGGTGATTTTGAAAATGACTGTTGTTGTTGTTGTGGATGATAATATTGGTGTTGTGGTGGTATTTGTTGATAACCATTATAATTATAATTCATTTCCATAGAATGAGTTTGAATATGATTATTATTATTATTATTATTATTATCAGAATCACTACTCTCTTCATCAATGTGTCTAGAAGAAGAGTATTCGTTGACCATTTGAATCTTGTCAACTGCTTCATCTGGAATGTTACTATTCTTTTGACGCTTTTTTGGGCTACCTATACCTCCTGCTGCGGACCTACCACCCTTTTTCTTTTCAGTCACCTCTACTACACTGCTATCCTTCTTTTTACCAATTGATTTCTTTCTCTTTGCACCTGGTTGAGCATCACCAGAGGGTGAATCTTCTACATGTTGTTGTTGTTGAAGATTTTGTTCTAGTAAATGAACGACATGGTTTTGCTTGGCCAGTTCTTGTTGGAGTAGTTGTTGGTGTTGTTGGAGATGTTGTTGGTGTTGCAAAAGGACTTGGGATTGTTGGTGTTGAGAGGATGGTGTAGTGTATGGATAGTAGAGGTATGATTTGTTGTTGTTGTTGTTGTACATTGGTGACTGTTGTTGTTGTTGTGGTGTTAGTGGTGGTTGTTGAGTCGGATGGCCGTGGTGTTGGGGTGGTGGAGGTAAAAGAGATGATTGATTGTTGGCAACAACTGGGATTTGATTCTCATCAATCATACTTTCAATGTGTTGAGGTGTAAGGTTGGGTAAACTGTACAAGGGACTTGGAAAGTAGGGGAGTTGGAGGGTTGGAGTGAATGGAGCCATTGGGGTCATAGAATTAGAGTCGATGTTGGAATTAAAGTGGCTATTAAAGTCGAGTTGTGAGAGGTGTGACTCTGCCGGTGAAAAGTGCGATGGTATTCCAGAATCAATTGGGTGATGGGCATGATGTGCGAGATAATGTGATGGATGGAAGTGTTGTGGCATTGGTTTTCTTGATTTGGGGAAATAAGAATGATGTTGATAAACTTGTTGTTGTGGTGGTTGTGGTGGTTGTGGTGGTTGTGGCATCGGTTGAATAGGTTGTTGATGTTGTGTTTGGTGTTGAATCTGTTGGTTATTGTTATGATGATGATGATGATTATTATGATGATGATGGTCGTCCTCGGTAGAATTATTATTATTATTATTATTATTATTTTGATTTGTTGGAGGTGTTGATGGTGGAGGTGAATTGTATTCGCTTGTTTGGTTATTGTTATTGTTATTGTTATTGTTGGGAGTTGGTGCGGCAGCACTGCTTTGGAATGGTAAAAGTGGGATTGGTGGTTGGGTAGGCGAAGGATTTACAGACGAGTAGTGTGGTGGTGAGGATGGGGTTTGGTGTGACGATGTAGACGAAGACGACGACGACGATCCTCCTTGGTATGAAGCAGACGCAGACGTCGAGTTTGACGACGAAGATGATGTAGTATGAGAGTAGGTCATTGGTGTGCCCTCCAATGAGGCGGGATAAGGTGCGTAGTGTTGATAGTGGGATGTTGGAAAAGGATTATGTGACAGTGAAAGGGGGAGTGGTATCAAAGTGGGGTTGGTCGAGATTTGGTTGATAAAGGAGGAATTGGGCGTTGATGGATATACAAGTGGTGATTGGGGTGCATGTGGGTAAACCTGTGAATAGTATTGTTGGTAGCTGGCAAAATGTGGTGAAGACGATTGGACTGAAGATGATCCACTTCCACCTCCACCATAGTATTGCTGTTGCTCTTGGTATTGGCCATACGGTGATTGAGTTGGTTGTTGTTGTTGCTGCAGTTGTTGTTGCTGGGCCAACAACTGTTGTCTCTTTTTCTTTTGCTTTTTGGCAAGTGCGGCTGCGGCGGCTGCTGCAGAGGACGAAGAAGAAGAAGAGGTAGTAGATGTAGTCGATGTACCATAATTATGAGCAGAGGCAACACTGGAAGAGTTTGGTGTAGGGTTGTCTGACAAACATGAAGATGGTGAAGCAGATGTAGATGAGGAAAGAACCTCTCGTGTCGTGTGGTTGGACTGCTGGCTTGGTGCGGGACCTTCAGTGTACCCTCCATCGTCAGAGTCTTCATCGGTGCTATTTGATTGGTTGTATTGTTGTTGTTGTTGCTGCTGCTGTTGCTTCTTGTTGGCCGAGTTTGCCGAGGAACGGATGGAACCATTGACACTCATCAAATACTCACGCTTGAGTTTGAGGAGCGGAATGTTGGTGTTGAACACCCGGACTGTGCCCCAGCCACTGCAATTGTTGCCCGATATGGTACGCGTCCAATGCGTCGGGTTCGTATAGACGGTACCATCGGTTGTATGGATCTCACCTTTTGGATGGATATACCCGAGGTGTTGGACACCACGGTAATTGTATCGCACTTGGGTATTGGGGGGCAACAATCCATGGTGTATCAAATTCAGTAGCGAAACATTATGTTCGCTAACCATTTATAAAAAAATTGTTTTATATATAGAAGATGGAAAAATGAATATGTGAATGCCTTTTTTTGATATTGATTGATGGTGTATATATATATATATGGATAAAAATATTATTAATAATATCCTTTTGTTTTTTTTTTTTTGTGTGTGTTGGAGATTATTTGGGGAAAGTTGGAAAAAAAAGTTTTATCGACAATGTTCTTTTAGAACATCAATAAATTAAAAGAGTATGTTGTTTTGATTGATTCCAGAGTTGGAATATATGATCATAATGTGTATTCAAAATAAATAAATAGATGGTGGTGGTGGCGATGGGTAAATAAATGACAAAAAAAAAAAGGTTCTAAACCTTTTGGTTAAAAATAAATAAAACGACAACAGTAGAGTAGGAGGTGCGGTAATGATGATGGAATTATTAATTATTATTTTGTTGAATGGAATGGAATGGTATATAAATATATATAAATATATTGTTTTTTCAAATAAATAAAGTGATCTATTTTAAATATATGGTGGTGGTGGTGAGATATTTAAATGTGATGATGAAGTTAAACTGTTTTCCAAGTTGAAGAATGTTAGCAAAGCGGATGTATTGAACCAATTCAACTGCGGCAGACGGTACTGTTTTTTTAAAATCTATCAATCTCTTTAATTTAAAAAGAAATATAAAAGTTAGTATTTGTTTTGGTATGAAATGTCATCACACATATAAATAAATTCAAATTAAAATATCATCATCGACAAGGAGGACAAGTAGTGTATATATAAATAAATAAACAAAAATAACCTTTATCAACAACCAAACAAACTGCATCGACAATTGAACAAGAGATGGATTATGACTACCACCAAATAGAATTAATTTGGTAAATGTTTTTTGTTAACAACAACAACATTAACAATATTCCAGGAGAGTACTGGAAATGGACTGGGCTGGACTGGACTTGACTACTACACAAATAATAATATTTTACTGTTTACTGTGTACAATAACAATAACCAACAACAACAACAACAACAGTAAGAAAGTAAAGTAGTACTATGAAATTTTGTACCTATTTCCAAGCCAAGTTTTTTTTTGGGAACTACTTTTTCCCTCCTCCCTCTGCTGCGTTGTGGTAGAGTCAATTGTTGCAACAATTAATTGAATTGGGTATCTATATACCCCTCAACCATCTATCATGCAACAATACCAACAACAGCAACAACAACAACAATCCCACAAACAACATGATGAATCAAAATTGGATATAAATATTCTACAACAATATCCACTTTGAATCTATTGATCTTGTTAATCTGTGCTAACTCTCTCTCTTGTTGTATTGACATGTTTGGCAATGAACATTTGAGCCAATTTTTAAAAAATGTTTGATTTGGAGAGTCATTTGACTGAGTGACCGAGAGTGTGTGGAGAGTGAGTGAGGGGTGTTTGGATAATTACATATGCAACAGTTACCAACCAAACACTCTTCTTCTTCTTCTTCTTCTTCTTCTTTCATCAGATCGGATGACATGTATTGTTTGTGTTGTTTGATGGTGGAAGCAATAATATAAATAAATAAATACACTGTTGCAAGTGTATCTGTGTGGTGATTCCCACCCCCAAGTGTGTGTGTGCTCAAGCTATGAGGAGAGGAGGAGGAGGAAGGTTTGATTTAAATTTGATGTTTAAAACACACACAAACAAACACACCAGTGTTTTGAAATAAATAAGGTAAAAGATCATTTTGAACTGACCCCAGTTTGTACAAGACAAAAAAATCTAAAGAGCATAGTTGTATGCATATGTGTGTGTCTATGTGTGTGTGTATATATCTATAGATTGCTATTATATGAACAACAACAATTCAATTCCTTTTGTGACCAAGTACCGTATCTGTTTGTCCTCTCTCTCTCTCTTTCTTTCTCTTTCTCTTTCTTTTTTGTACTATATGATGAATAGAATAGGCTTGACTATTCTTATTCTTATTCTTAATATTATTAAAATATTATAATAATGAGACGATGATAATTGATGAATGATGACCAATACTATTCTTCTTTGATAAATACTAACTTGTAATAGTTGTTGATTCTCTGTATCTGTTGGCTATTACTATGATGATTATTACTATTATTACACAAAAGATTCTTCTTTGCTTGTTTCGTAATCTTCTTGTTTGTTATGTTATATATATATGTGTGTGTTTTAAATAAAAGTATATCTATATCTATGTACTCCTTCTGCTGCTGCTCTATTGTGTAAGTAGATAGATAGATACTAGTAGTTGAAGGAATGACAAAAAAGCAAAGGTAAAGGACAAAAAAAAAGTACTGATCAATTGGGGAGTCGGGTAGCGTCAAACGGTTTGATTGAGAAAGTTTGAGCTTGGATTTTTTGAGACAGACGTTTTCAAAAAAATGAATAGTCATCTTGTCCTTTGCACCACCCTTTTTTCATTCAAAAAGACGAAAGATGGTGTGGAAACCAAACCCCCTTTGCATTGGATTTTCCTTTCTTTTTTTTTTTTTTTCTAAACTACAAATGCAATGAATGATGGTTAGATCTGCAAACTTACAATCTCTTTAAATATTATTATTTTAGATGTTTTCTATAATTTTATAAATAAATATGATAATAAATAATGGTAAGATAAATAATAATAATATTTAAAAGATAATTTGAATGTTAGAATAAATTAGAATGTAATTTTTTAAGAAGAAGAAATCTATAAACAATAATAACAATGAATGAATGAAAGGATGGAAGGGAGGGAAGGGAGGGAAGAAGGGTAGTAGTAGTAGTAGTAGCTAGATTGAATTTGGTAAATAACCTCTGATGAGTAAAAGGTCAATGTTGTATAAATAAATAATTTGTAATAAAGGTGGAAGAAGGAATTAAAATTGTGATGGATGGATGGAATCAGCAAACCAAGCAAATGGATGCTCCTCCTCCTCCTCCCTCCTCCGCTTTTCTCCCCCCTATCAGTAAATCATCAATCAATCAGTCAATAGGGTTTGTTTGTTTGAGAGAGTACACGGTAGCAGCAGTAGCTGAAATAGTAATAATTATATTTGTGCAACAACAATAGAGAGCATATGCGCACCAACGACAACAACAACCAACATACAGCAGTTGATGGTGGCAGTAGCAGAGGGTAAAAAGGGAAGAGTAAAGAGTAACATCAACGATTTGATTTTCTTATCATTGAAGGACTGGGATTGTTTAAGAATTTCACAACAACCAAAACATATAAATATATTATTATTATTCTGGTGATGATCTTCCACACCACCACCACCACAACTGCGCGGCACACACAGTTAACTTGGATATTTTGTGGTAGTAGTGCAAAGCATATGAACTAGAATTATTATTATTATTACTATTTCTTTGATCAACAAAATTAAAGTACAACATCACAACAACACCCAAAACAATATAGAATCTATGTTTTTATGCGTGTGTGTGTTTGTGTGTCTGTGGGTGTTTAGGATTGATGGTTGGATCGGGATGGCTGGATGGTTGGTGGATATTGAATTGAATTATAAACTCACACCAACAAACAATGTGATTGCACATTTCAGTTCACCCATACAAATATTACTTTTTTCTCTTTACTTTTGTTGTTTTAAAGAGGGTTGTTGTTGTTGGTTTGGCGGTAATGGTGGTGGTTGATTGGTTCTAAATTTGGCATCATCATCATAATAATATATCCCATGGGAATGAAATGATATAATATAATAACAAAGGATATTATATTATATTATATTATATATCATTCCACCGTCACAATGTGATGACGATTACATCAAAAAAGTGATTGTTGGATATGTGGGTATGTGGGTGGATTGTTCTCCAAGAGAGTAGCGGTGATCTTTCCCCTCTTCATATCCATTACCTTATTATTATTATTATTATTATTAAATCTTAGTACTACATGTGCATTCAGCATCGAATCTCTGTGCTGGCTGTATTTATGTATATATGTATATATGTTTATGTATCTGTTCTGTTTTTTGTTTAAACATAGATTGAACAAACAAACAAAATAATGGTGATGATAATTATTGATGGATGATGTTGTTGTTAACAAAATCAAATACTGATTCTTGTGCAAACGATGATGATGATGATCACTATCACCCAAGTTAATATATATGTATGTATGTAGACAGACCCTCACTGCTACTATCAACCAACCAACCAGCTAGCCAACCACCACCACTACCAATATAGATTAATTTTAAATCAACCTCTTTAAAGTTGTAGCAATCAGATGCAACAACAATATTGTGTGCGTTGTTTGTTTCACATATATATTTAAATATATGTCGACAGTTAGCTATCTGGTGGGGTTGGTGGGTGACAGGATGTGGAGTGCGTGGGTGTGTACACATGGGGGCTACATGCAAACAAACAAATACAACAAAAAGAGGAGGAGGGAGGGAGGGATCTGGCCATTCATTACTACAGCTAAAGAATATCAATGATGATCCCATCCTATCCTATCCTATCCAATTAATCCTTGGGTGTTTGTTGTTGGGTGGTAGAGGAGGTGGTTTGATCAAAGTTGGGTTGGGTTGGGTGTTGATATTATTATTATTAACCTGTTTGGTGATTATTAACCTGCCTGTTTTTCTATTTCTATTTGTATCTTTGCTTGATTATATATATATGATATGATAGTAGGTGTCGATGTCGATGATTATAATATATTTTGCAAAAGTGATTATAATCTCTTTTCTTTTTTTGGAGGTTTTCAAGTACTTCAAAATTATATTTTTTTCAAATAATCGAATTCTATTCTGTTCATCCCGAGGAACACCAATGATGAATGATCCAGGGGATATCAACATTGGTCACCACCATCTTCAATCTCTCTCTGGAACACAACCATTATCATCGTCGTCATCATACCGTTTCAGAGTATTGAACAAACAAAGTAAGGTCAAAAAAGAATACCTGGCCAGATCCCACCCCTATATCCGGATCTGTCAATTGTTGTGGGTATGAACAAAAAGTAGTAAACAAACAAAGGGTCTACCAAGACTAGACAAAATAGGTTCAACCTTACCTTTTTTAGTTTGTTGTTATGTTAAGTATTTTCTTAAAGAGTTGTTAAATGCCGATTGTGTTTGTGGATGTGATATATATATGGGTAAAAAGGACTGGATGGAGCTTTGTTGTTCTCTCTCTGTCTCTGTGTATTATTAAATTATATGAATAGGTTTGTAGGTTGAATGATAATTAATCGTAATGTTGTGTGGTTTGATTGACAGAGCCATCACACAAACAACAAACAAGCTCTCTCTCTCTCAAATGCAAATATCTTTTTTATTTTTTCTCTTCTCTTTAATTATGTAACGGCGATGGTGATGAACAAGGTTTGATGAAACCGAAACATAAGGGGGGCTAGGTTCTAGCCCCTATAGCCTTGCCTCTGGTCTAGAGGAATATCTTTGACGCGCGAATTGGCCCAATTTCCAAAACCTCCCACCATCAGATTAGTTTGGTTTAATCTCATTAATCTCCTCATGTTTTTTCTCAACCCCATTAATATCTCTCTCGTCTGCCAGTCTATCTATTTTTCGTTCGCATCGACTTTGGATTGATCCAAACCAGCCCATGAGTTTAACAAATGTTAGTGGGGGTCAGGGTTTTAAATGGATCTCATCTCACATCTTAAACAACAATTTGATTGTTTGGACAAACAAATACAACTCTACAATTACAAATAAATAAAGATATAATATAAATTATTTTTTTAATTTTTTAAGACTTTTTATTTTCTACTATAACGGGTTATTTAACAAGATTCTACTTTTAATTTAATCGAGATCTTCTTCTGGACGAGCAGAACGTGGGGCAGCACCACCAGCGGCGGCAGATGGATCGAAACCACCTGGCATACCACCAGCATCACCACCAGCAGCTTGGTACATCTTGGTCATGATTGGGTTGACGATGTTTTCGAGTTCCTTCATCTTGTGATCGAATTCCTCCTTTTCGGCTTGGGTGTTTCCTTCCAACCAGTTGATGGTCTCGTCAGAGGCCTTGGTGATGGAGTCCTTATCTTCTTGGGAGAGCTTAGAGGCGACCTTGTCGTCACGGACGGTGTTACGGATGGTGTAGGCGTAGTTTTCCAACTTGTTCTTGGCTTCGACCTTGTTCTTTTGTTCTTCGTCTTGAGCCTTGAATTGTTCGGCTTCACGGACCATACGTTCGATTTGTTCGGCAGAGAGACGTCCCTTGTCGTTGGTGATGGTGATCTTGTGCTTGTTACCGGTAGACTTGTCTTCGGCGGATACGTTCAAGATACCGTTGGCGTCGATATCGAAAGTGACTTCGATTTGTGGAACACCACGTGGTGCGGGTGGGATGCCAGAGAGTTCGAACTTACCGAGGAGGTTGTTGTCCTTGGTCATTGGACGTTCACCTTCGTAGACTTGGATCAAGACACCTGGTTGGTTGTCAGAGTAGGTGGAGAAGGTTTGGGTCTTCTTGCATGGGATGGTGGTGTTACGTGGGATGAGGACAGTCATGACACCGCCGGCGGTTTCGAGACCCATAGAGAGTGGGGCAACATCGAGCAAGAGGATGTCGGCAACCTTGGAACCACCTTCGTTGTTGAGGATGGCGGCTTGGACGGCAGCACCGTAGGCAACGGCTTCGTCTGGGTTGATGGACTTGTTGAGTTCCTTGCCGTTGAAAAAGTCTTGGAGGAGGGATTGGACCTTTGGAATACGGGTGGAACCACCGACGAGGACGATTTCGTGAATGGTCTTCTTGTCGAGCTTGGCGTCACGGAGAACCTTTTCGACTGGGTCGAGACAACCACGGAAGAGGTCGGCATTGAGTTCTTCGAAACGAGCACGGGTGATCGAGGTGTAGAAATCGATACCTTCCATGAGCGAGTCGATTTCGATCGAGGCTTGGGCAGATGAGGAGAGGGTACGCTTGGCACGCTCGCAAGAGGTACGGAGACGACGGAGGGCACGTTGGTTGGTCATGAGATCCTTCTTGTGCTTACGCTTGAACTCTTCGACGAAATGAGAGACCATACGATTGTCGAAATCTTCACCTCCCAAATGGGTGTCACCAGCGGTGGCCTTGACTTCAAAGACACCGTCTTCGATGGTGAGGAGAGAGACATCGAATGTACCTCCTCCGAGATCGAAAATGAGGATGTTCTTTTCGGTGGCAGACTTCTTTTCGAGACCGTAGGCGATGGCGGCGGCGGTTGGCTCGTTGATGATACGTTGAACGTTGAGCTTGGCAATGACACCAGCGTCCTTGGTGGCTTGACGTTGAGAGTCGTTGAAATAAGCTGGAACGGTGATGACAGCGTTGTTGACGGTCTTACCGAGGTAGGCTTCGGCAGTTTCCTTCATCTTGAGGAGAACCATGGATGAGACTTCTTCTGGGGAGAAGGTCTTAACGTCACCCTTGAATTCAACTTGGAGGTATGGCTTGTCACCTTCCTTTTGGACAACCTTGAATGGCCAGTGCTTCATGTCGGATTGGACGACGGCGTCAGAGAACTTACGACCAATGAGACGCTTGGCATCGAAAATGGTGTTGGTTGGGTTCATGGCGACTTGGTTCTTGGCGGCATCACCAATCAAACGTTCAGAGTCGTTAAAGGCAACATATGATGGGGTGGTTCTGTTACCTTGGTCGTTGGCAATGATTTCAACACGATCGTTTTGCCATACACCAACGCATGAGTATGTAGTACCTAAATCAATTCCAATAGCTGACATTTTTGATTTCTAAAAAAAGAAATAGTAATAAGATAGACGAGTAGAAAAGTAAGAGTAAGTAAAAGATATTTTTTTTTTTTTTAAAAGAGATAGATAGATAGAAAAAAAAAACGAGCGTTGTATTTGTGTGTTTGTCGAAGAAAACGTACAATTTATATTATTATTATTATATGTGTTATAAAAAAAGGGGAAAAGAGTATGTTTGTAGTTGTTGTGAAAGGGAGGGTTGTTGGGAAAAAAAGTTATTTGTTGTTGTTAAAACGAACGAAAACTTGAAAGTATATACAAAAAATATATAGTTTGTAAAAGAAAGAAAGAGTGTGTGGTTGTTGTGTTTAGATAGATATATATTTAATTAAAAATATATATATTTGAATGCGAGGAGAAGTAGATTATTATTATTGAATAATATTATAAATACCTTTAAGGGGGATCAAAGTATATAAAGCTTTTTGTCAGAGACGACTCTAATCATAGTAGGCAGTTCACGCTCAAGTTTTAAAAAAAAAATCAATAGAAAATCATTTGAAATTCAATTATTTTCGGCGAGTTTAACGAAATTTAAGAGAACTTTCGAATTTGTGCACGCTCTATTTGTTCTCGTTTTTTGCTGCTCCCTCTATCCTCGTTTTGGCCTATTTTTTTAATTATAATTATTGTTTTATACTCAACAGAAGATCTAGATTATCTATTACCAACCAACCAACCCAATTTATTAAGATTATAGAGTTGGTCACCCAACCTCACGTATAACTTGACTTTATTTTGATTTATTATTGATATTCAAAATACAAAGCAAAATATTATATTAGAGTATATATGGACGGTGCATGCATTTATTTTCATAATAATTTTCCGGGTCAAGATGAGTCATCTTGATACATATACTGGACTGGAATAGAGATATATGTCCTGTTGCTGCTGATTCATCATGTCTTGAGTCATTGAATTGATCTATTATATTCTAAATAGGTAGTTGAACATGTTGATTTGGACAAGTTTGAAATTTTTGGCTCAACGCATCGTCACACAGCAATGATAAAAATACACACCTGCTGTGATGATGTGAATGTTCACAATATTTAATTTAACAACAACATTCATTTCTAAAAACACAAGAGATAGAAGATAATCAATTAAAAGAGATGAGCAGATTAGCAAATACAATTGTTTTATTCGATGTTGATGGAACATTGACAAAACCAAGAAATAATATCACCGATACATTCAAAGAGTATCTACTTGCACTTAGAAAGAGAGTTTGTTTAGGTGTTGTTGGTGGTTCTGATCTTGCAAAGATCCTCGAACAACTCGGAGGTGAAAGTGCTATTACCAACTTTGACTACTTATTCTCAGAGAATGGTTTAAACTCTTTCAAGGATGGTAAACCAATTCATACTCAAGTATGTAATAGTAGTAGTAGTTAGTTGTATAACAACAATATCACTCACTTTTCTCTTTCTTTATTATTTAGTCAATTAAAGAATTCCTGGGAGAACAAAGATTAAAGGAATTTATCAACTTTGTATTACATTATATCGCCGATCTTGAAATACCAATCAAGAGAGGTACCTTTATCGAATTTAGAAATGGAATGATCAACGTTTCACCAATCGGTAGAAACTGCTCACAAGGTGAACGTGACGATTTTGAAAAATACGACAAGGAACACAAGATTAGAGAAACTATGATCGCTGCGCTCAAGGAAAAGTTCCCATCCATCGGTCTTCAATACTCGATTGGTGGCCAAATCTCATTTGATTGTTTCCCAATTGGATGGGACAAGACCTATTGCTTGAAACTTTTACCAGAATCTGAATATAAAACTATTTATTTCTTTGGTGATAAGACTTACAAGGTATATTAAATGAAAGATATATGGTTGGTTGGATATTAATATTAGTTTTAATTTAATATTTAATATTTTAGGGTGGTAATGATTATGAAATTAGTATTGATCCAAGACTTACCAAATCATTTACTGTTACATCACCAGAAGATACTTTAAAGTTCTTAAAGGAATTATTCCCATAAAAAAAAAAGAACAATCAAATGGACTAGACTAAAAAGTAGTCAACAACAAACAATACAAATACAAATATAAATAGTAATACGATGTCATTTTTTTATTAAATATATTAAATATATATATTTAATTGATTGGATGATTTATTTATTTATTTCAAGCACACAACATCAATTAATGATAAAAGTAATTAATTAGATTACTTTGTTTGAAAGAAATAGATAGATTGGAATTTATATCTGGATTTAATTCCACCAACCACCACGACGACCAGAATCAATATCAATATCAATGTCAATATCGATATCAATATCATTTCTCCAGCCACGACGACCACCACAACATCCTCTACGAGCAGTCATTGAGCCACCAGAAACATCAGAGAAACCAGTACTTGTTTGAATGGTTGAGTTTTGAACAGATCCAATTGATACTGGAGAGAGTTTGGAAAGATTTTCTGTACAGAAAGAAAGATAGAAAAGAGAGAAAGAGAAAAAGGAATTGGAGATTAGATTGGTTACATTATTATTATAATATTAAATTTTTTTAATGTACATACTGAATAACATTTTGGTAAAAAGAATTGAAAATTGTAAAGAAAAGTAATAATTGTTTGTTTTGAATATATGTTTGTTTGTTTGTTTGTTTGTTTGATTTGATGATTTGAATGAAGTTGCAACTTCACTATTTATAGATAATTGTTTGGTAAATTTGGTGAAAAAATCCTTCAATTATCCAACTCTATAGAGTACAACACTCCTCCTCCTCCTCCTCTACTCACATCAGAAATAGACTAAATAGGAAATAAAATGATTAATAATCATTGGTTTTAACAAATAAAATAAAAAAATATTGGTAGAGGGAGAGGGGGTATGAAACTAATACTTTTAGGAATTAAAATATTTTATTTAAATTATTTATTAATTTTGAAGATGATTTTAATATCCATCGAGTAGATATAGGTTTGAGTGTTTTCAGTATTACTAATTCTTTTAACATGTTTACCAGTTAGAGTATATTGATTGGCATCACCATATTCATCAACGGTACCGCCGTCTGTTAATAAATCACCACTAAATGTTGAAGTAGTTTCTAATTCAATAGATGATGATGGATGTTCTTCTTTTTCATTCTCTTTCTTTTCATTTCCTTTTTCATTTTCATTTTCTTCTTTAATATTTGTAATATTATAACCAAATAGATCTAATTTTTGTTGTTGATTTGAAAATATACCAGAATGAACTATTGCTTCAGTTCCTTCAAATTGTAACATTACTTTAATAGAGTCTCCCCATTTAATGATTTCACTGGTTGTTGGCACTAAAAAGTAAACAAACCAGTGTAAGTATAGAGAATAGAAAGGATGTTAAAAAAAAAAAAAGAGGTGAACATACTTGAACTAATATATTCAATATTTTTAGATAGTTTCTTTTGCATTTCCATTTGATTATTAAATTGTTCAATTGTTTTGTTGGCAATGGTGTCTTGAATGTTTAAACATTGCATGGTAGAGTTTTTATATTCAAATGATTCTAATGTATAATATGTCTTTGGTACATTATCAATGGTCTTGCTATCACTATGACTTGTCTTTTTTGACACAAGTTTGAGTGATGATTGATCGGTTGATAATCCAATTAATTTAGTATCATTTAATAATTTATACATTGAATGGTAATCAAATCTAGTTGGCATTATTGATTCATAATGCAATACATTCTACAATTAAAAAGAAATAAATAAATGATGATCAATTCTATATTTATGTATGTATGTATGTATCTATATATATACCATTATTGAAGGAAAGTTATTAACTAGTATATCACCCATAGTTCTTGCTTCATCCCATAGAGATAGATGACATGACAAACTAAATGCCAATACTAGTCTCATAAAGTGTTCATCAGGATCCAATCTATTGGTTTCAATCATATCGGATGTCAATAGAATAATTGGTATTGCTCTTTTCATCAACATTGGGTATTCAAGACAGAGTGATAGCTGTATAGTTACCATCTTTTCAATGGTACTCGTTTCAACTCCTCGTACACTCTCTTTACCAATATCCAATAATCTCCATGTTAAATCCATATCTTCATATTTTGGGTTCTAAATATTATTGTTGATCAAGAAGAAGGAGAAGAAGAAGAATTCAGTTAGTTTTCATTCATTCATTAATGGTATGTGATCACATACATTTAATCTTTCATTATTTGGTAGATGTTGATTATATTCTCTTGGTAAATTCCAAGACATTAGGAATTTAGCTGCATAGAATCTAATATCGATTGATGTATTGGTAATATTATCTTTTATCGATATAATGTCATTGTAAACTTTGTTCAATTTTTGAATATCATCATCTAATCGTTGTTGTTGGTCCGATGACGATGAAGAAGGTTGTTGTGATTTATTCAAAAAGTTGATAGATGATTTGATTGTATCAACTGTCAAAGTGGTCGAAGAAGAAGAGGATGACCTAGAATACATTCTCTTGTTGTTGAGAGTATACCCATTTCTTGTTGTAGTGTTTTCATCATTATTATTATTATTATTGTACATTAACCATTTCTTATTTGAATCATCTGAATTATTATGCAATGAACCGATTGAATGATTGCATTTGTAATTGAAGGATTGTAGAAGAAGTAAAGATTTGCTTTTTAAAACAACATCTCTTTTGATTATTGATATTGATGATGAAGTTGTTGTTGTTGTTGTTGTTGTTGTTGTTGTTGTTGGTATTAATCTTCTTAACAACATTTTGTTCTTTTAATTGAATTAAACTTGATCTTGCACAAAATTGTTTTTTGAGCAAGAAAACAATTATTTATTTATTTAATTTGTATTTGTATTAATTTAAATTAAACAATTACCATATAAAGTATTAAAATCAGATTTAGTGTATTGATAATCATGATCATCAACATATTGACCATTACCAATTAATAATAATTCCAATTCTGAAAAATCATTATCCACAACAGATAAAAGGTTGGTGATTTTCTCGAGTGTTGGTAGATTGGTCAGTTTAAATGTCCAATTTGTGTATGGTGATAGGAGTGGTTCACTTTGACCAAGTCTCTCTGCAGTGGCATTTAACGATATCATTTGATTATCCGATGAGAGACAGTATTTAAAAGTACACGGTTCATTTGACACTAGGTATAGATTATTGTCAAACTTGTAATATGAATCACCAGAATGTTTCAATGAGAATGATACTTTGGAACTTGACAATGACGATTGAATGGCTTTGGATAGTTGCGCATTTGATTTGTGAGAGATGACAAGTTGGACAGTTTTAAGTTTGGTCGATGAATATTGAGAGCGATCGATACTGGAGTACATATTGATAGGATCACCTTTGAAAAGATTGATCATTGACTCTTTAAAATGTGGATGAGTTTTATCCCAACGATAGTATGGGTCGTATACTGTGAATTGATGTTTTCTAATGTTATCGGTGATATTTGATCTGATTCTACTGACACCTTGTTTGATGAATGAATTGATAACATGAATATCACTTTCCAAACTTTTGATTATATTTGAACCACCAGATTTGTTGAGCAGTTGAAGCGACCCAACAATTTCAGACCCAAATGGGAACATACTCTGAATGAATCATTTGGTTCCTATGTGATACAGTTCTAGAACCATGTTGAGTCTAGTCTCTATTGATAAGAGTTGAATGTAAGAGTGTGATGAATTAACTTGGTCACTCGACGGGTTGATAACATTGGCCATGAAATTAACCATTTGAATATGATCCTTGTATTCTTCGGTTTTATCATTAATTTCCATCGAAATTCTGATATATTGTTTAATGTCTTGGAGGATGTTGATAAATGGTTCCAAGCCATTCTTGGATAATTTGATGATTTCGGAAACTTTGGATATTTCTTTCATGACTTTTTTGTAGTCATTTCCAATAGTGATGACTTGGTACTTTCTCTCAGCATGACTAATTTTGGCAAAAGTTTCCTGTTGGTTGGCCAAAGCAAGTAGATTTTTGTTGAGATAATCCCTCAATATGGGAAGTGATTGTTCGATTGATAGAGAAAGAGCCTCGTTGAGTTTTTGTAATGCCTCGATATCCTTTTGCTGCTCGTCCCATGTAGTCTTGGTCTGTTGAACGAGTGGAGCGATTTCTTTCAATGCTTGGTTGACTTTTTTAAAGTTTACCATTTCTTTTCCACTTTCATCATCATCATCATCATCTTTACCATCTTCTAGTTTTTTTTCTTCACCATCTTCTTTTCTTTTCGCGTATACCATGCCCATTGATTCCCACATCAAATTAAAAGTGGGGGCATCAGGTGTTTGAATAAAGCTGGCAATTTTTCTCAAGGCTCCAATTCCTAAACCACCATAAGGTATGGCCCAGGAACAGAATATGATAAACAACTCTAATCCAACACCACATAAACTGTTCTTGATCAAACCAGCTATAGATGTCATTTTAGCTGCTCCAATAATTTTAGTGTTTTTTGAGATCATTGATTTAAACTCCATTTCAATGTCATTAAAAGTTCTTTTGAGTGCAACATCACATGATTTGATATCTTTGTTGAGGTTGAATAGGATGGTGTCACTACGATTTACTTTTAATTTGATTTGTTGTTCATATTCATTTTTGTAGTAATAGACGAGTGATTGGTGCTCACCCTTCATCAATCTTTCAATGTCTGATGTAATCACTGAAAAATACTTTTCAATGTCATTGACAGGTGTCGAAGAGTTGGTCAGTTTCATAAGCATGTTGATTTTACTTAGAGTGATCGACAGCAGCAATGAAATGGTTGGATCCGAGTAGAGTGATAGTTTTTTTGTTTGAGCATACAAACATACCATATCATAGTACGATTTGTATGATTCAATGACCAAAGCTGGGTCACTATCTACCAAACAATACTGACCTATAAAGGTATATTGCTCGATCAATTGAGTGATGGTAAAGTGTTCCAAAACATCTTGATACAAAAATAGATTGTTGTTGAATTTTTGAGTTGTTGTTGGATTGTTTATATTGGTGATTGACTTTTTAGCTTCTCTACAATAATTTTGAATGTAAACCAACTTTTCCTCTGGTTTGAGTGTAGGCAGTTGTAATGTAAAACATGGTTTTTGATTCTTGTCTTGCGAAAAATTTGGATCGATTCGACAGTATATAGACTTGTCGTCGTCAGACATGTAGTACATTGAACCAATAGAGTTACTTTTGGTTTTGTGGTTTGGAGACATGATGATTAGATTGTTACAAGGAATGACAAAACCATCCAAATCAAAGTCGATGAGATTGAATGCAAATAGACACACTACATTGAATACTATTCCTTGATGGTCTTTTTGGAGGGTAGAGTGGACGGTCGACATTGACAAATTGTCATCACAAATGACCAAACAATTTTGCTCCTGAGAGCTAACATTTAATAGAGCCATCCCTTTTGCAAGTCTTTGTTGATTTCTGATGGTTGCATGAGAGCTTTTGGTGATTGGTTCAAGTGACCTTTGTTGTGATAAATGACCAGGGATGGTCATCTCGGCAAGAGTAGGCCATAATATCTGTGCACCAATGATTTCAAATGCACTGACCATAGCATTTGTATCGTATGATCCCGCAGGGTTCGAAAAGAATTTGTTGTTCATGCAAACACTTTGTGATGATGGGAACCCAATATCAGCCACTTCAACGTTGCTATCTAGCGCATTTGAAAATACGACAAACATATTATTGGCAATAAAGCTTGGTAGATTCTCTTTGACAAACTTTGCTACAACATCTTTTTGACTCTTTCCAACAAGAGTAGGGTTGATTACTACAATCACACCGTGGATATTAGACGCATAGGTAGAAGTGAGGCATTTTCTAATCTCCATTTTAACCTCTTCCTCTGTCATGTGACTTGATCCCCAACCCGGGAGTATCGACAAATGCAAAGTCACACTCTCCTAGTGGTACTCTAAATTGATAGAGAGCACATTGCTTTGTTGTTCTACCTGGTTCTCCAAGAGGTAGTGCTACCTCTGATGGTTTGACCTCTATCATCCGATTTTGAACGAGATGTTCATTTGGTATAGCTACCTTTAGTTCAGTGTCACTAGGTCCTCTATCGAAAAAGTTACAAAGTGTATTGATAAATGTTGATTTACCTAAAGTAGTTGTAGTTATAGTTATAGTTGATTATATATTTTAATATGTGTGTTAACATTGAATGAAAAGAAACCAAAATTGAAGTTGTGATGAGATGATAACACCAAATTTTATATTTATGTTAATTATTTTTTATTTATTTTTCTTTTTTTTTATAAAGCTAACTACCTTCACCATATCTACCAAGTACCAAGAATATTTTATTTGGTTTGTCCATTATTATTATTATTATTCTTTTATCTCTCTATTTATTTCTAGTCAGGTGGAATTGCTAAAGTTGAATATCTTCACAGCTGCTTCTATTTTGGCTGAGATTTAAAAAGTTCATTTTAAATTCAATGATTGTCAAACCACCTCAAATGCCCGGGAGATCTTCAAAGCACCAATCGGCAGTCGACGAGATCCCATTCTTTTTTAACTTTTCGACCTTGGTCCGTACCCCTAGGTCCTCACTGTTTGGCCTATCATTTTTTTTAAAAAAACAATGATCAAGTACCATGGTTGCCGAGGCGGTGGTCATTTATTTTAATTAATTAAATTTTAAAATCTTTTGATTCAATGATTGTCACAGTGCCGAGCCACACTGTGATGAAAGGTCTCAATGCGATCCTATTTTTTCACCTATTAACGTATCACTTTGTAATAGTAGCATCATGATATCATCTTTAACTTCTTCTGTAAACTTTAGAAAAAATAGAGAAACCCTCTTTGGTAAACCTGCTCATCATCGTATTTTAGTAATAGGAGAGACAGGGTCAGGTATGAACTACAACCGTTTCGAAACTAATTAAATCAAACTTTGTTTCTAAAACATTTTATTTATTTATTTTTAGGAAAATCAACATTTATCAATACAGTTGGAAACTATTTCACAAATGGGAAATGTTCTAATCCAAATGTGTTTATTCCAACTACTAATCTGCAACAAAATCAAATGATGAATATTAAACATACAGAGAACTTGGACTCTTGCTCAACTGAGAGCCAAACAACCAGATGTTCAACCTACACTTTTGAAAAAGGAAATTCATACTACTATTTTATAGATTCACCTGGATTCAACGACACGGCTGGAAAAGAAAAGGATCAAGAAAACATTATGCACATCCTCGCTACCATCATGGCCGAAGAAACTATAACATGCATTATTATTGTCATCAATGGCACTCAGATTAGAATGACTGAGCAACTAAGATACGTGATAGACTGCTTCAAGGGGAACCTGCCGGCCGACCTGTTTGACAATATTCTGGTGGTGTTTACAAAATGTGCAGAGGGAGAGTCTAGTTTTAGAATCTCTGAATTGGACATTCCGGGTGTAGAGGATGATGGCCGTTCCTATTGTATGAATAATTCTGGGTTTGGTCCTACATTGTATAATCAATGTAAGCCGGAGTATCAAAAAGCTCGATCCAATAGTTGGCACGATTCAATGAAGACGATCGATGATTTGATAGGAGTGATACACGCTCTCAATATCAAACCAGCAACATCATTCAAAAAGATTCACAAGAAACGAATGAGGATTACAGAGGATATCCATAACCTCGTTCTCAAAATGTTGTCTCTCAACGATATCAATGACAAATTGAAAAAATCAAGTCTATCTTTTAACGATGACCTAGATGTTCAAGTTGAAAGATATGAGTTTGAAGACAGTCCAAACCTTAATCTACTGTGTTCAACATGCAACAAATCATGCAAGGTGTGTTCATTCAATACTCCAATCATATCTCTATGCTCCAATATCAATCTCGTTTCTGGAACATGCAAGTCTTGTGCATGTTCTTCCAAAGTCCATTACCATTCACACAAGGAAATTGTTTTGGTCAAAAGAACGATTAGATATCTTTTGGAACACAGAGAAACCAATGAAATAGTCATCACCAAAAAGCTAACCAAGATCCTAAAACCAACAGAAGAAGCTGACAAAAAGATATCATCTGCATCAAACAAGAGTAAAGAAATCAATGACAAGAAAAGTTTGTTGGAGGCAAACATGCAAGAGAAGGCTACTCTGATTGATGATTTGGTTGCTATGATCACTAAATTTAAAAAGTTATGTCCTGGCTTGAACCATGTTAGGGAAATGCAAGAAATGGTAGATTTATTAGCTAAAAAGTATAATGAATCTGGTCATAAAACATATCAAGCTACTCCTTTGGAATTTGATACTGTCATTAGAGAAATTCAAGAAGATCTTATTGGTAAATTAAAAACATTGTAATTTATTATTAATGGATTTAAATAAATAGATAAATCAATAAGTAATTTGTTTGGAAAGGTTAGGGATCGCTCTTTATTGTCACCAATAAAAATAGTATCCTTAAGAGGAGGTGGTGGTGGTCATTTGATATTATAATATTTATTTATTTCTATTTGTATTTGATTAATAAATAAAACAATTTCCATATAATATATTAAAATAAGATTTAGTGTAGACCAGATCAACTATAAATAGGACCGTTTTTTATCATAAATCATTAATCTATAATCCACCTCTTTGTTTATTGTATTACATTTCTTGTTTTCTTTTTCAAATTTAATTATATGTCTGACCACAACAACAACAATCTCTTAGCTAGGGGATTCCCAAAATGCTGCTCCATCTACTCTACTACCAAGTGATCATTGTTGTGATAAATGACCAGGGATGGTCATCTCGGCAAGAGTAGGCCATAATATCTGTGCACCAATGATTTCAAATGCACTGACCATAGCATTTGTATCGTATGATCCCGCAGGATTCGAGAAGAATTTGTTGTTCATGCAAACACTTTGTGATGATGGGAACCCAATATCAGCAACTCCAACGTTGCTATCTAGCGCATTTGAAAATACGACAAACGTATTATTGGCAATAAAGCTTGGTAGATTCTCTTTGGCAAACTTTGCACATAGCATATCCTTTTGACTGTCTTGTCCAACAAGAGTAGGGTTGATTACTACAATCACACCGTGGATATTAGACGCATAGGTAGAAGTGAGGCATTTTCTAATCTCCATTTTAACCTCTTCCTCTGTCATGTGACTTGATCCCAACCCGGGAGTATCGACAAATGCAAAGTCACACTCTCCTAGTGGTACTCTAAATTGATAGAGAGCACATTGCTTCGTTGTTCTACCTCGTTCTCCAAGAGGTAATGCTACCTCTGATGGTTTGACCTCTATCATCCGATTTTGAACGAGATGTTCATTTGGTATAGCTACCTTTAGTTCAGTGTCACAAGGTCCTCCATCGAAAAAGTTACAAAGTGTATTGATAAATGTTGATTTACCTAAAGTAGTTGTAGTTATAGTTATAGTTGATTAAATATTTTAATATGTGTGTTTACATTATTGAATGAAAAGAAACCAAATTGACGTTGTGATGTATTTTATTTATATTTATTTTTTTTTAAAAGTTAACCTACCTTCACCATATCTACCAAGTACCAAGAATACTTTATTTGGTTTATCCATTATTATTATTATTATTTTATCTATGTCTCTAACTATCTATTTCTAGTTAGGTGGAATGGCCAACGATGAATATCTTCAGCCTTCTTGCTTCAAACTTGGCTTAGATTTGTAAGTTTCATTTTAAATTCAATGATTGTCAAACCACCTCAAAGCACCATTCCTTTTTTAACTTTTCGACCTTGGCCCGTGTGGCCAGGTCCTCGCCTCACTCACATTTATTTATTAAATTTTAAATCTTTTATTCACTGATTGTCAATGACATGTGTGAAGGTTATGATATATATATATATATATTTTATATTATAATTAAAACAATTAATATTAAGATTGAGATCATGCTTAATATTAATTGAAAACCACACTCCGGTCGGCCTAGACTCAAAACCAAAGCCAATGCAACAAAATATCGAAAAATATCCCATTTCACAGCGTCGTGTCTACCCAATCACAACACTCCTGTGGTTTTCATGAAACAAAATTTGTCGATTGGGTGAGGTATCACAACTCAAGTTCCCCCTAACTTAGCTCCTACAAAAACATTCTCATTATCTGTCGGCGAGACATCTATCTAAAAGTCTCTATTAATATTTATTTATTAGTTATACACTCTCTATCTCTCGACTAGTTAGTTTGTAATCAATCTATTTGTCTTATAAAAAGTAAGTATCATATGATTTGCATTACCACCCTAACCCTAAACACCCTAAACAAGCAAACCCTCTCTTCTCCTTTTTGTTTTAACAGATCTTTCTTTAACATAACTACCACCCCCCCTTCTCTACCTACCTCTATCCCCACCTTTTTGTTGTTGGATTTGATTTGTATAAATCACACATGATTTAATATTATTATTATCCCCTTTTAAACCTGCTCCCTGCACCTCCTCTACTTCTACTTCTTTATTTTTAGTTTTACTTTTAAAACAAATATTATTACTTTATTTGTTGTTGTTGTATTTTTTATTTAATTCTCCTTTATTTTGTTTTAATATTAATAATCTATCTATTCTTCCTCTTCTTTATAATTATAAAGTAGTTTAAGAGTTGGTATTTATAGGAGAAAATGAAATTATCAAATTCATTTTTGTTAACAATACTACTTGTAAGTTGTTATTGTTTAACATTGTCATCGGCAAAGAATGTAAAGCATACAACCTATGATGATCAATTACAAAGAATGGTGTATGACGATGCTCAATTCACAATCAACACCACTGCTACCTGTACCACATGTACTGGAAACCTCACCTATTGGTGTGCATCATCATCAAACTGTTTGACTGCACTCACCTCCAATATCACACTTGCAAGCTTCCCCCAATGTGGTGATGGTTGGTGTAGTGGATCTAGTTGCCAATGTGATGCTGTTTGCTTAAACTCCTTTTGGCCATGCAGTGGTACAGTCGGTGGAATGATATTATTAATGGCTATTTATGGTGCTATTTTAGGTATAAACAAATCACATATATATATATATATAAACTATACTACATTCAACTTACTTACTTACTTATTCTATTTATTATTTATTTTCCTTTTCCTTTTCCTTTTCCTCTTTTTAGCATTTGGAGCAAAGATTATTTCAGATGGATCTGAATTATTAATGGAAGTAATTGATGCAGGTATTATTGGTGGTTTGTTGTTACCATTGTTATCGGCATTCCCAGATGCTATGATTATTATTATGAGTGGTGCCTTTTCATCGGACCCACAAACACAGTTGGCCGTTGGTATTGGTACATTGGCCGGTTCGACCATTATGTTGTTGACTATTCCATGGTCGGCCAGTATGGTGTTGGCACGTTGCGACCTAAAGGACAATGGAAATGGTGCTGCGATTGACAACAAGTGTTCGTCATTCTCACTCACCAAGACGGGTGTCACTGTCGATGACGACACACCCACCAATGCCAAGATTATGATTCTTACATCCATCTCGTATCTCATTGTGCAAGGTGTCGCATTTGCCTACCTCAAGGACCCAGAGCGTGGACAAGGTGTTGAAAAGTGGTTTGCATTGGTTGGTTTTATCATTTGCTTTGCCTTGTTGATTCTCTATTCCGTCTATCAAGTCGTCTCACCCAAACTACAAGAGAAAAAGATTGCAGAGGCCAAGCGTCAATACCTCACCAAACAAACCATCCACCACTTTATCCACAATCTCAACATCATGTCTAGAAAACGTACAGAATCTAAATCACCATCTATCACAGGTAACAATAACACTGGTGAAAGTGACGAACACTCTCCACTTATTCAAGACGAGCATCAAAAGTTGCCAGTCGATGTCAAGGGTATGGGTTTGAAATGGAAGGCAAACGCCAAGAAAAAGGCACTTGCCAAGGAACAAGAAGCTGAAGCATCAACTTCGATCCAAGTCAAGGAAGAAGAACCAGTAGAAAAGGAAGAAGAAAAGCCAGCATCTGAAGAAGTTCACAACAAGAAAAAGACTATCATCCACGGTTCCATTCTCTTGGCAATTGGTTCGGTTATGGTTTCTGTCTTTTCCGATCCAATGGTCGACGTTATCACCGACTTTGGTACCAAGCTAGACATCAACCTCTTTTTCATCTCATTTATCGTCACTCCATTCTGCTCCAATGCCTCTGAACTCATCTCGTCACTCATCTTTGCCTCGAAAAAAAGAAAACAAAACAGCTCTCTCACCTACTCTGCCCTCTATGGTAGTGCCACCATGAATAATACCCTCTGTCTTGGTATCTTTTTTGCACTCGTCTACTTTAGAGATCTAACTTGGGAGTTCTCTGCTGAAACTGTTACCATTCTATTTGTAACTGTTTGTGTTGGTTTAATTGGTTCTTTAAAGAAAACAATGAGTATGTAAAAAAAAAAAAAAAAAAAAAAAAAAAATAATTATTATTATTATTATTTACTAATATTTATTTATTTATTTATTATTTATTTAGAACTTTACCTTGCTCCACTTGTTTTATCATTATATCCATTCTCACTTGTAATTGTATATCTTTTAGAAACATTTGCTCATTGGCAATAAGCAAAAAAAAAAAAGAAAAGGAAAGAAAAGAAAGAAAAGAAAAAAAAAAAAAAGAGATCGAATGGATCTTACAATAAACAATTATGGAACAAGCAGGCAGGTCTATTAGAACCCCCGCTCCCCTCCCTCCCACTTTACAACAGATTAATAATAATATTAATACACATAATCTTTTTACAACGTTGAAAATGAACACATCTTCATCAATTCATTCAACTGAATTGCGGCTGTTGTGACGTTTTATTGTTTATCAGATGCTAAATAGATTTCCATTGTCAAAAAGACATAAATATCCAAAAAGGTTATAAAACCATCCTATTCATAGTGATCCTCCACAAAAGATTAGTCTGTTTGTTGGATCACACTCACTAAATCAGATGATATCCACACTCGGTGTCTTGAACAACACAATACAATACAATCACACAAAGTATAGATTTACCCCCCAAATCTAGTTGAGCATCGATCGTTTGAATTTTTTGAAGGTGGTTTATAAACAAAAGGCTTGCCTACCCTTGCCTCTTTATTGTGTTGTATTATTGTGTTATTTTATTGATCACAATTTATCACAAAGAGCTCTATTATTACAATAATTTATCATCCCTCGCTTAACCCTCCCCTCATCCGTCCTCATGGTTCAACGACACGATTAATTAAATAATTAATAATAATAATATAAAGAAGGGGAATTATTAATCAATAAATAGATAGATAGATAGAATAGATAGAATAGATAGAAATAATTCATCGTTTAGTAATAGCAACCTATATTTATTATTATTATTTTTGAAAAAGAGTCTACGAACTACGACAACTAAAAAAAAGAGGGTCAACAACTAAATTCGAGTAACGGCCATTGCCCATATTAATTAATTAAAGAAAAAAAAAAAAAAAAAGGATTGTTGCGCAAATTCACGAGCTCCTCCATACAAAAAGTTTCTTGTAATAATATACTAGTACAGTACAAACAAACAGACTAGTAGTAGTAGAACTATACAAGCACTTTAACAAACAACAACAACAACAACAACAACAACAACACAGCTGACTTTTTGTCATAGTTAACAACAAGAAAGAAAGAAAGATTATATCACGATTACAATTACAGCTGTTACGATCAATACAATCAATAACATAACAAACAACATAATACAGTAGAGAGATTTAACATATCACCATCTTTTACAACCAACAAAAAAACAAACAACAATTATTTATTTATTTTATTGGTGATTAGATATCAATCAATCATCAATCAATCAACCAACAATAGATAGTTATTAATAAAATAATACTATTAATCTAGATTGCGATTGAACAGAGATCACTTTACTGCCATCATCCGTCAATCCCAACTCAACCCAACCACAACCCACCAATTAATTAATAGACACACACACACAAAGTAATACAAGTAGCATATAAACGAGAAGTCGTTTTAATTAATTAAGAACAACAAAGATGTGGTAAGTTTAAATCAATGTACACTCTATATTTTTTTTTTTTAACACCCTCACCTCTCTCTCTTTGCATCGTAGATTCTTTTTTTTTTCTATCTTTGTTTGTCCTTCCTTTATATATTAATACAAAACATGTTGTGATTAATATTATGTGTGATATATCTTTATAATTTTTTTTCTTTTTTTTTCTTTAATATCAATTGTGTCTGTCCGCAATAAGCTTCTTTTTTTCATGCTCCCTCCTACCTCTTCTGCTTCCACCTTACCACCATCTCTAGGCTGTACACTGCAGCAACAACAACAACAACAGAGATAACATCAACAAACAACAACAAGCTTAATTGGCACACAAAAAAAAGTCACAACAATTAATATATTCCGAATTTGTTGGAGTTGTAGTAGTAGTAGTTGTTGGCAAAGCGAATTTTAACAAGACGTCAACGACAACTAACTTGGTATTAGTAGTAAACACAACAACAACAACAACAACAACTATTAGAATAGAGTTGATATATAAATAATAATATATGATAGATCGACACCTTTTTTGTTTTTTATTTATTTGTTGGTTTATTTAAATATAAATATATTTTTTCCATATATTGTAATCATCCAGCACAGCACAGCAGTAGCAGCAGTATCAGTACAACTCAATTTCATCCATATCGCGATCCTCTTTTGTTTGATCACACAATCAGAGAATTTTGTGATCATCCTGTTATTTAACCATCACCACACTGCCATCATCATTATATGTGTGTGTTCATTGCTACGAGCCTCTGTTGAACAATCAATCAAAATAACCAAACCAAACAAAAAAAGGAGAGACGTTCAATTTAATTATAACAACCCTCTGCTTTGTTTGATTTGTTTTTTTTTAATTTTTTTTTTTATTAATTGGGTGGGTTGTGTAATTAATTAAACCACCCTCTCCTACTGCTTGCCATCCATCCAACCCACGTCCCACATTTTAACTAACCTCCTCTTCACACTGTACACAACAATTTATTTATTTATTTTTTTTTATACTATATATCTCTCCATCACACATAAATAACAATATATACACATATACATATAAAATACATATACATATATTTATTTATACTTTTACTTTTTTGATTTAATCTGTCTAGTCGTCATATAAGTAATAGAGATAGTATCTTTGGCCAACCAATTGTAGGATCAAGGGCCAAGATGAAGAGTAGCATCTACTCTTCTTCGAGTATAGAGTCGATTCTCAGTAGTCCAATTGACAAGGAGGAAAACATACTAAACAGCAGCGACGATAATAGCATAGACAGCGGTAGAATGTCGCCTTGTTGCAGCTCGTGCAAAGCAAATGGAAATCATCTCATTGGAAAGTGTAATTCACCACCATCTTCTCCGACCCCATCTCTTCCATCTTCTGCCTTGACTTCACCAAATCATACAACTACATTTTCCTTTAACTCTTCATCGTCGTCGTCGTCGTCGTCGGTCATGAGCTTAAACAGCAGTAGTGGTAGTAGCAGTAGCAGCAGTAGCAATAATAGTATGAACAACATCCTAAACCCATCAAATACAAACGCTCATCTACCACCAAATATGATTAGACCACGTAGCTCGAGCAACAGCAGTAGTGGCAGCGGCAGTGGTGGTTCAGGTTCAGTATCCAATATTATCAGCGCAGGTGGTGCAGTTGCCAATATTATCAATGGCAACAAACTACCATCCATCACATCGATCATGGTCAACAATAAGGATGTTGGTATCGTCCTGGAATCACCAAGACCCAACAGCAACAACAACATTGGTTGTACGACAAACAATACAGTTGGGTTCCACCCAAACAATTGGATTTCTCCCCAACCATCACCACCATCTACACCAAATGATACTAGTGTCAAGTTGAACGAACGTGGTAGTGGTAGTAGCGGTGGAGGCGGTAGTGGTGCTGGTCACTCTCCATACTCTTCTTCACCACGATCATCAGCTGCCAACAACATCTACCATTCATCGGATATGGTCGAACAGGCACCACACCAAACCTATGAACCATCCAAACGAACTTCAGTTGCTGGTTCATCATCTGGATCATCTATATCCTCTTTAAACAATGGATCTTCATTGTCTTCGTTAAATGGGTCATCGTCATTGTCTTCTATAACTGGGTCATCGTCGTTGTCTTCTATAAATGGATCGGCATTATCCTCTTTAAATGGGTCAACTCTGGCCTCATTATCTTCGCTCTCATCAAATTCCTCTGAAAGATCATTCAAATACGTAAAGACTGACCATCTAAATGTCTCGTCTCAGAATGGTTATGAGGCAACGACAACAAAAGAACAAAAGAAGGGAAATGGTATCGTCACACCATCTTCATCAACCTATTCTCTTTATGAACAACAATCGCAACAACAACAACAACAACAACAATACTATGATTTCCAACCAGAATCTCCGCCAAACCAACATATCATTAGCTCTAGCATGGTTTACCACCCAAGCAGCAGTAGTAGCAATAGAGATGATGATGATGATTATGAACCTGTACAGAATAACAACAACAACAACAATAACCCATATAACATATCACCATCTTCACATAGTTCACCAAATACACCACTCCAAACCACTGCCAAATTAATTACCTCTAACAAAAGAAATCACAACAATAACAACAATGGCGGTAACAATAACAACTGTAATAATAATAATAATTCACAACTGACAGATACATCTGATGACAGTAGTGATGACATTGCAAAGATTGAGCTTCAACAAAGCACCAACATTACTAATGGTCTATCCATTTTCAAGGTTGCCTTGGACCCAGAGAATGAACTCTTGGATGTATATAATAGATTTAAAGTACCTCAACAAAGAAACAAATTAATTACTAAAACTGGCAATTCAAGTATTATCAACAATAATACTTCTTCTTCTACACCTTCCAGCCGAAACGATATCAATTCAAATAATCAAACCAATTTTACAACTCTACATGGAAACAGTAGTAATACTTTTCAACAACAAAATGTTTTAAATCATTATCCATTGTCATCGTCGTCTTTCCATCATCAAGCACCACCAAGCCAATATTTTCATCCCTATCAACATCAACAACAAAGATTTAAACACGAAAATAATTATAGTTAAGAAATATTAAAAAAAAAAACAAATTATTATTATTTATTTTAACCAAAAACAAAAATAAGTCTTTTTTGTGTGTTCCTTTTTTATTTAAGAAACTAGAATTGAAGTATTTTCATAATCATCTGTTAGAGGATTATAAAATGAACTAATTTTAGTCTTTGCAAGGTCGTCCTTGGCATATTGTTTTAAGAATTCTCCTTGTTTATAAGATTTGACTGTGGAGGCTGTGAAATGTTCAGGTCTATATTGTTGATTTGTCTTTGTGTACATTTTATGCAATTCCTTCCAATTGGTTGGGAAGAAAATATCACAACTACCCAATGGTACTGTTATTTTTGGGTATTCCTTTGTTTCGTATTGGATAGAGCTTGGTGATTGGTAATTGGCAGATGTTGGGATTGGTAATTTCTCTTGAACGGTTGGAGCATTTTCACCTTTGCACAGTGAAGGAAGGAAATCAAAATCGGCAAGTACCAAATGATGTTTTGGGAAGTGGATGGAGAGGATTTGGAATAATTTCATACAGACGGTTGGAATAAATATGTTTCTATCTCCTTGAAAGAAATATTTTAAATTGTTTATCAATGATGATTTGACTGGTTGATATTGATCACTATTTCTATTATTTAATTGAGTCAACAGATCTTTATCCAATCCCAATTCATCTGAAAATAAATTTAAATATTCTTTTATAATTGGATCTCTAACAGATTGTTGTTGTTCAAAATGTACCAATTCTTTTCTATTCTTTTTGTTTTTTAGATTGTCAATTGTTGTTTCTTCTCCTTCCTTTTCTCCTTCTTGTTCTTGTTGATCAAAATGATTCATTGTTGAAAGATGAGTTTGAACAATAGTTTCAAATACTCCATTTCCATTTAAAACGATTTGATCATGTGGAAGATTATCAATCACTTCTGTCATGACTATAAAACATTCTTGATCCTCTCTTTTGTGAGTCCAATTAAAGATGCTAGAGTTGTAAACTTGTACCTTGATGTGAGGATGTTCACGTTTGATACGTTCCAATTGTTGAGTGGCAAGTAATCTAGAGATTTCAATGATCGTAAATTCCGTAATCTCGTATAAATCCTTGTGATGTTCTCTTAGATAGTTTAGCATACAAAGTGCATTTGTACCACTACCTGCTCCAATCTCGTATATTCTCAATGGTATACTTAAATCTTGATTCTTTTCAAGATACTTTTCAATTATATATCTTGTTATTGCATTTGAATAATATGGCTATAAAGTAGAAAAAGAAAGAAAGACAGAAAGTTTTAGTAAATGTAACATTCATTAAATAATTATTGTCCTACCTGAAATATTTCAACAGGAGTATACCATGAATGTTGATGTTGTTTATAGATATGTTGAAGATAATCGATATATTGATCTTTTGATTCAAGAGTATTTAATTGTTTGAAATGTGTCGGTGCAATCGATGTAATGACTGGTTTGGTTGCAAAATAGCCATACTTTGTATTATAGAGTGAATCTTGAATGAAATCTCTCATCAGTTGTACTTTGCTTTGAAATGCTGATGAATCATTTGTATTGTTGGTGTTATTATTATTATTTGATGATACATTTGGTTGTTGTTGTAATCTTGATCTTAATAAAGGATTGATATTAACTCTACCACTTGTTATAGTATCTTGAGTTTTTGATGATGAAGAAGAAGTAGTAGAGTATGATGATGATGATGAAACTGTTGATACTATTACTCTATGATTGTTTAATAGGATAGTATTTGTTCCTTTTTTTAATAGATTAAAACTAATCATTCTCTTTACATCTATTTAAAAAGATCACACAGACAAAGACGACTTAAAACGACATAGGTGGATCGTTTTTAAAATTATATATAATTATTTATTATTTATTTATTTATTTTCTTTAAATATCAACCAATAAACTATCAGTATTGGTATCAATGTTTTCAGATGAGGATTGGATGTTGATTGTTGATTTGGAAACGTTGAAAGAGTCAAAATCAAAGTCGTTGGTATTTAATGTATTTGATGGTTTGGTATTGTTGTTGGCTTGTTCACCAAAGATATCATCAAAGTCCTTGTTACCATTGGTTGTTGTTGGTTGTTGGTGGTGTTGTTCACTTGGTGCATCAAATGAAAAGTCATCCAATGATGTATCAATGTGATTGTTGGCAATATTTGATTCAAAGAAATCATTGTCTTGTTGCTCTTTAGTCTCCAAGACTTGGTCATCAATGATCAAATCTTCCTCTTGATTGAATGAAAATTCATTCTTTGATTCATCTCCAACAATATTTTCATCGTCTAAGATTTCTTCTTCTACATTTTCATCAATAGTTGGGATTATGATTTCTTCTTCATCTTCAATGATTTGGTCATCTTGGTGAACATCTTCCAAAATTAAATCCTCCTTTTTGATATCATCAAATTCGTCAAAGATTTCCTCCTCTTGTTGTTTTGGTTCTTCAGTGACAATTGGTCCTTCTACCTTTTCATCAATAGTTGGGATTATGATTTCCTCCTCGTCATCTTCAATGATTTGGTCATCATGGTGGACATCTTCCAAAATTAAATCTTCCTTTTTGATATCATCAAATTCGTCAAAGATTTCTTCCTCTTGTTGTTTTGGTTCTTCAAAAATAATTTCTTCTTGTTTTGGTTCAGTGACAATTGGTTCTTCTTTTGTTTCAATGATTTGTACCTCTTGTTGTTGTGGTTGGATGTCTTCCAAAACTATATCATCATTTTTGATATCATCAAATTCATTGACAACAGTTTCTTCTTCTTTTGGTTGTTCGGTCTTTAAATCGTCAATCAAGAGTTCATCTTGAAGAGAGGTATGTTGTTCTTGTTGTTGTTTGATTTCATTAATCTTTTCCTCTTCTTCTTGTTCCTCTTGTTGTACAATTTTGATATCTTCTTCTTCTTGTTTCTTTTCTTCCGATTTAGAGTTTAATTGGGCATTGGCCATCTCTTGGTCCAATTCTTGCATAAATTCTTCCAAGTCGTTCTCTTTTACAACTTCTTTGCTAGAATCTGCCTTTCTGATATCTTCAAGGATAGAGTCTCCTTCTTCGTCTGATACTTGTTCAATAACCAAAGTGCTTGACGTGGTTTGGGTCTTTAGGAGTTCAACCTCTGTTGGTTGTTCAACAGCTACAGGTGTTGGTACTACTACTGCAGCAGCTGCTGCTGGAGTAGCAGCAACTACAACTGGTACAGTTGCAACTGGCTTTGAGGCAGTAGTTGGTGATGGTTTAGATGGGGCAGCAGCTGCTGGCTTCTTGACAGCAGTTGTGGCAGCTGGTTTTATAATCTTTTCCTTTGATAGGGATGGTGAAAGTTTAGATGTTGTGGTTGATGGAGTTGGTTTGGCTGCAGTGGCTGCAGGCTTGACAGGTGCTGCCAATTTAGATGCTGGTTTGGCGGCGGCTGGTTTGACAGCACTAGCTGATGGCTTGACAGCAGAAGTAGCTGTAGCAGCTGTAGCAGAAGCGGTAGAAGCAGCAGAGGCAGCTGGCGCAATAGTTGGTTTGGTTGCGGTTTTGGTGGTGGTGGTGGTGGTGGTAGTAGTTGTCTTTGTGGCGGTTGGTTTTACAGTAGTGACTGTTGGTTTTGGAACTGCAACAACAGGCTTTGGAGATGAGGTAGTTGTGGTAGTGGTGGTAGTCTTTACAGTTGGAGAGGATGTAGTTGTTGTCTTTGTAGCAGGTGAAGACACCTTGGAGACAGTTGATGGTGAAGTGATTTTTGTTGGAGTTGTTGATGGAGATGATGTGGTAGTTGTCTTGGCTTGAGTCAATTGCTTGGATACCAATGGCGATGACTTTGGAGTGGTTGTAGCACTGGTAATTGGTTTCTTGTCTGGAGTGCTTGTACTTGAAGTGCTTGTGGTGGTTGGAAGCACTTTTTTGATTGGAGTTGGAGATGAAGCTCCATTCAAAGTACTAGTTGATTTAATAGTCTTGGCAGCTGGTGACGAGGTAGTAGTCGTAGTGGAAGTAGCAGTGGAAGTAGTACCCTTCTTTTTCAACTCTTCATATTTGACTTTAAGTTGGCTACTTTCACTCTCAACCTTGTTTAATGTTTCCGACAAGTTCTTGTTTTCAACCAAAGCGTCTGACAATTTCTTTTTGTATTCTTCTAGCTCCTTTTGAAGACTAGTAATATCAGCTGTTACCTCCATTCTATCTATTCTGTCGTTGTTTGTTTGTTTGTTTTGTTTATATATGGTACAGTGATATCCTTTATATGTATCTATCTAATTGTGATGATTATTAACAAATCAATAATGGATGTAGTTTAGTTAGTTTAGTTTAATAAACAAACAAATAACAAATATAAATCAATGTTGACTTACCTTACCTTTGTGTATCTAGTACCCTACAAGAGTATTAAATCAAATATGTGTGATGGATAATAAAGCTGAAACGACTAAAACAACAAGTCAAGATATCTTGTTAGCTATTATCTATCCTTGTCTATGATGATAATGATGAATGATGTGTGCGTGTGTGGATATTTTTATTGTCTCAACTGAAGTTGGTGATAAATGTTTATGAAAAAAAAAAGAAAATAATAGATCATCCAATCACATTTTTTCTTTGAAAATCAGTTGGGCAATGATAAGAGAGAGATACAACATAAACATAAAACAATGATCAATAATATAAACACTATTACTAGTGTTTAATTAACAATTGTTATAATCTTGTTGTTGGAACAATCATGTGAACATTGCAACAATCATGTGACCCTTCTCCTACTACTCCTATTCCTGGGGAATATGTAGTAGTACTCGATACCAATCAAGATATTTATCTATAACTTGAATATAATAATAATAATAAAGTAAGAGACACTTTCTAAAAGATATTCATTCTCGTTTTAGTAAACAACTTTAACTTTTAGTAAGAGTGAGACTGACTAGACTTTTCCGATACTAATTCTCTAGGTTGTCAAAAAATCGGGGTTGGGATCTCCTCATTCCCATCGTTTCTCTCCTCCTTTCGTTCAAACAACCTCTATCGCTCCCAACATTAGAAATGTCTCTCCATTATTATTGACACCGTCTTTTATCATTGTGTTACCAGGGAGTGAATAGTTTTAATCGTGATTTCCGACCACAAATAGAAAGATATTATCAACTATGAATATCTTTAGTTGTAGGAGACCTACGAAAAATCCTCGGAGCACCGACACTACCCAACCGCCAAGTGAGGTGTTTTTTTTAAATTTAAATTTCTTTTTTTCTTCAGCTGAACCCAACGGTGGCCATCACACTCATGGTCTCCTCGGTCTTCGAAAGCCTTTGATACTTATTTTGCATCGTCATTATCGTCATTATTATTAATATTTATCCCTTTCATTAACTACAAATACAAATATGTTCAAATCAACTATTCTTGGATTAGGTGTTTTAGCCGCCGCCCTTGGTTACGTCAATGCTGTGCGTATCATATCATTATTATTATTATCATCTCATCATGTGATCATGTGATTACCAACAACAAAATAACAATAATAACAAAATCAACAATAGCAACAACTCAAACTCCAACAAGCAACTTATTATTAGTTTAATATTTCTATTGCGCCCATGGTTTTTTTTTTTACGCCGCAGTGCTCGGGTCTTAGCACCATTGCAAAGTTATAGTTTATATACAATAGAGATAATCCCCTTTGGAAATAAATTAATATTAACAACATTTGATTCGATTACCTTTTACTATTTAGGACGATTACAATTGTGCTCAAATGCAACAATTGGCCGGTACAGTTTTTTCTGGTCAAACTGCCACCAACTTTATTTGTATCGCATACTATGAGTCTAGTTGGAATACCGATGCACAAAACCCATCTGGTGCTTCTGGTCTCTGGCAAATTTTGTAAGCTGTCAGCTTGTCCAGTGTAGTAGTGTTTGGTCATGAAGAAAATCAACCATATTAAATTTTTTTTTTTTTTCTTTTTTTTTTTTTTTTTTTGAATATATTATCTCTATTGCATATATAACTATAAAACTATAACTTTGCAACGGTGCTAAGACCCGAGCACTGCGGCGAGCTTTGTCCCCAGTGTACAACTCCAAGCGATTTGTTCAATCCAACCATCAACGCCCAATGTGCTCTTGCCGTTTACAATGCCCAAGGTTACAATGCCTGGACGACGTGGTCAAGTGGTCAGTTAACGCTAATACACTACACCTAAACCTAGATGTGTAGGCTACACATTTTAGGTCGCAAGGCGACGATGAATAATAACACTAATACACTTTTTTTTTCTTTTTTTTCAACATTAGGCGACTGCACCAACTGGAACAAGTGTGGATCTAGCTCATCCTCCTCAGGTGCTTCATCTGGTGCCTCTACCTCTGGTGCTTCAACATCTGGTGCCTCCACCTCTGGATCATCCGGATCTTCTGGTTCATCCGGTTCATCTGGATCTTCAGGTTCATCCGGTTCATCCGGTTCATCTGGTTCATCTGGTTCATCCGGTTCATCCGCATCATCAGGAACATCCTCATCCGGTTCATCCGGTTCATCAGGATCATCAGGATCATCAGGATCTACCTCAACTTCAGGTACCTCATCATCTGGTTCATCATCTGGTTCATCATCTGGCACTGGATCCTCATCAGGTACAGGTTCTGGAACTGGTTCAGGAAGCAACGGTCAAAAGTTACTCTAAATTATTTATTTACAAATCCGATAGAAATGTAAATGTCAATAATACCAAGAGACATAACACAAACCCAAAAATATTATATTATTTTATCCATTTTTTATAAATTGTATTTTGAATTGCAATACAACAACAACACAACAACACCAACAACAACAATAATAAATCAATTTATATTGAAATCCCTACACACAACATTAGTAGTATTATTATTATTATTATACATATTAATAATATATTATAGATACGTACGCATTCATTTTTTTTTTTTTTTCCTTTCCCATTGGACTGGTCGACGTGGTCAAGTGGTCAGTTAACGCTAATACACTACACCTAAACCTAGATGTGTAGGCTACACATTTTAGGTCGCAAGGTGACGATGAATAATAACACAATACACTTTTTTTTTCTTTTTTTTCAACATTAGGCGACTGCACCAACTGGAACAAGTGTGGATCTAGCTCATCCTCCTCAGGTGCTTCATCTGGTGCCTCTACCTCTGGATCATCCGGATCTTCAGGATCATCAGGTTCATCCGGTTCATCTGGATCTTCAGGATCATCCGGTTCATCAGGATCAACCTGAACTTCAGGTACCTCATCTGGTTCAGGAAGCAACGGTCAAAAGTTACTCTAAATTATTTATTTACAAATCCGATAGAAATGTAAATGTCAATAATAACATCAAGATTAAAAACTTTTTAGTCGACTATCTACAAACCAAAAAAATATATTATTATTATTATATTTTATCCATTTTTTATAAATTGTATATTGAATCGCTATAAATCAATTTATATTGAAATCCCTACACAACATTCCATTAGTATTATTATACATATTAATAATATATTTATGAATTTGTTTTTTTTTTTTGAAAAGTACCCAAGTCAGAGAAAATGAGACAATTTTCAATTGGGTTTGAAGTTAGATAGATATAGATTAGATAGATATACAATACAACTATGAGTAGCAAAAAAGATAATGTTACAGTAGTAAAGATACCAAACGATCAACATGTGTTGGTAGAAAAGGTTAGAACATTGCTTCTTGAAACACCGTCCAAACGAACCAAAGAAGAACAAAAGTCACACTTTAAGAATCTCTTTGATACTGCAAACGAGTTGCTGCGTCGTGACCCCAACCACAGTCACTACAAAGAGTTAAAGGCAGTGTCATTGTTTAGCTTTGTCGATCATTGTAGTGTCGCCGATCCCATTGCAATGGTCAAGTTACAAGAGGCCAATGATCTTGCTCCCAACATTAAATTCATTCGAGATCGTTTGATCAATCTATACATAAAGAATAATACTACTGTACCAAAGAAATTAATGGATCAATCAAGATTATATGATCATGGTAATAATAATAACAGTAATAATAATAATAATAATAACAGAAATACAAATATGAATATGAATATGAATATGGATCAATCAAGTCAAGACAAGATATTAGCATTAAAATTATATGCATCAGCAGTTGAATGTGAAATGAAAGGTGATTTACAATCTGCTTTTAGATTATTGTATGGTATGTATACACATGTATAAATGTAAACACATATATAGGGTAGATAGAGTAATTAACAATCATTTATATTTCTTTTACTTTTTTCTCTTTTCTAGCTGCACATGAAAAAGATAAAGAACATAGAGATATTAATTTACATATTGGAAGATTATATACAAAACAAGGAAAGATTACACAAGCAAACAAACATATAGATAATGCAATTAGAGGTAAACCTGTAATGTGGGAGGCACATATGGAAAAGGCAGGTCTCGAACAAAAGGAAGGTGAATCATCAAATGCAGTCCGTCGATTAGGATACATGGTAAAATCAACCGACACTACACCAGAAATGAAGAAACGTGCAATGCTATTAAAGATATTCTACATGAACTCTTTGGAAAATAGTGATAATGGAAAAGAGATTTATGATGAATCAATTTCTTATTTTAAATTATTAAATATTAAACCTTATCAATTGTAAGAAAGAAAAAAAAGAAAGAAAGAAAGATAAAAAGAAGAATACAATACAAATATATATTAATTTATTCATTTTTATTTATATTTTTTAGCTCAGAAGATCAAATTAAAGGATTTAAAAGACAATCACCAATTAAAATTGGATATCTAAGTTCACATTTTAAAGAACATCCAATTGCTTATTTTATGGATGGTATTTTAGAGTATCATAGATCTGAAATGTTTCAAGTACATATATTCCAAATTGGACAAGTTGAAGAGGATGCCTATACAGCTAGAATGAAGTCATACATTCATCCAGATAATTGGCATGTTCTTAGATCAGATTCATGTAAATTGTTGGCAGATATGATTCGATCACATAACATTGCCATTCTATCTTGTTTGGATGTACATACAGAACGTGATGGTGAGATTGCTTCTTATCGTCCTGCACCTATTATGGTAAACTATTTGGGCTATCCAAATACTAGTGGTATTGATACGATTCAATATCGTATCACTGATAGTTTTGCAGACCCCCAAGACACCAAACAACCATGGTCAGAGAAATTGATTCGTCTACCAAACTCTTTTCTAACATTTAGAGCATCACATCTTACGGTGCATCCAGTATCCGTTGCACCATGCGCTAAAAATGGGTATGTTACATTTGGATGTTACAATACTCTCTCCAAAGTACAAGATCCAACTTGGAAATGTTGGAAACAGATACTTGATCGTTTACCACAGGCAAGACTAATCATCAAGGCACCACTCTTTATTGAAGAGTCTGCAGCTCAACATTATAGAGACCGCCTACAAAAACTTGGTGTTGATACTAGTCGTGTGTCATTGCGTGCCTATTCAATGGACACTCAAAATCACTATGTCTCGTACGACGAGATGGATGTGTCACTTGACCCATTCCCATACAATGGTACCACCACATCGATGGATTCACTCTGGATGGGTGTACCCTTTGTCACCTATGCCGGTACCACTCATGTACATCGTGTAGGTGCCTCTATTCTCAATAATGTCGGTCTTGGTGATCTTGTTGGTTACTCGACCCAAGAATATGTAGACATTGCAGTCAAGCTTGGACAAGATCTCGATCGTATCAAATCCATTCGCTCTTCACTTCGTGACACTCTCTCCAAATCGATTCTATCCGATCCAAAATCATTTACCATTCAACTTGAAGATAAATATATTGAAATGTTTAATCAATCTTTAATTTAAAAAATAAAAAGTAAAAAAAGAAATAGGTGATAAGCCTGGATGAAATGAAGGAAATTTCCTTGGACAACAAAAATGTAAAATAATCCCGGTCAAATTCATTCGAATTTCGAGGACAAAGCAATTGTTTGTTATTATTAGTACTAGCTAGTTATAAAAGATCAATCACAATCAAAACAATGTATAAAATAGATGTATCAATATTATGTATTATAGTAGTTCAAAGTGTATTATTAGTATTATTAGTAGGAGCAGGAGATATTACGATATCGGGGATAAGTAGTGGTGGTTACATGGCAGTTCAATTTCATGTAGCATTCTCTTCAATAGTTTCTGGTGTTGGTGTTATAGCTGGTGGTCCTTATTATTGTAAGTATATAGATAAGAGAGTGTACAATCAAGGTTATTTTGTATCAACTAATTATTGTATCTATCTATGTTTAGGTGCAAAGGGTAATGTAGTAGATGCAACAACAGAATGCATGTCAACTCCAAGTTTAATATCAATTGATGAATTGATTGCAGCAACAAGTTATGCAGAGGATACATATACAATTGATCCAACATCGAATATGGCAAACTCTAAAGTTTGGTTGTTTTCTGGTACCAAGGATACAGTAGTACAACAAGGAGTCGTTAAAAAACTAGAGGAATATTATACCAATTATATAGATAGTAGTAGAATCAATACTACCTATGATATTCCAGCTGAACATTCATTTGTAACTGATAATTTTGGAAACGCTTGTGATTACTTGGGACCTGATTACATGAATAATTGTGGTTTCAATAGTGCCTATAATATCCTATCATATTTAATTGGTCCTTTAAATACTCCTTCTTCACAATCTCCAATTGATAATGTAACTAAATCTAAACTATATCTAATAATAATAATTAATTAATTAACAATTAATATTTTCTATTTTCTATTTTCTATTTTTAGATATTACAAATTGATCAAGCATCATTTATACCAATAATGACACCATTGGAAGCAGGATTATATGAATATGCTTATGCATACATTCCATCCAATTGTCAATACGAAAAAAATAAAGGAGGTAAGTACTTACAACCAACAACAAATATAAATATATTCAAGTATTAGTAATTAATCATTTCTTCTATTTTATAGTTTGCTCAGTACATGTAGCATATCATGGATGTGTTCAAACTATACCAGATATTAATAGTACATTCTATATGAATGCTGGATACAATGAAATAGCAGACAGCAATAATCTGATTGTACTCTATCCACAAGCACAAGCCAATGAATTGAATCCAAAGGGGTGCTTTGATTGGTGGGGATACTCTGGTGAAGACTATGCATCACAACTTGGTGTTCAAATGGTCACTGTCAAAAAAATGGTAGACTATCTCATCTCTGAATATATTTCATCAACCAACTAGAAGAATAAATTAAATTCAATTCTCAACGTTTTGTATAATTAAAATAGATTAAATTAATGAAAAAAAAGAATAGTCTCAAAAGTCTTGATTTTTTGATCATTACAACAACTCTCAGTAGTTATTACTTACTTCTAAAGTAACAAATAAGAAGAAGAAGAATGTTTAGTACTACAGAGATTAAAGGTATTGTATTGTATTAAATCATCATTCATTCATTCTAATTTACTAATTGTGTGTGTTTACCTCTTTTTGATTCTCAAAGATAATACAATAGTACCATTCCTTGGTTACACATATCCAATCAAGATTGTATCAAACTTGAATGAGGAGGAACAAACAAATACATCAGATGTAAATAGTAGATACAAATTTGTAAAGAATCAAAATTATAAAGCAATCGATAATACTGGTACCAGTACTTCTATTGTTGCTGGTGAAGTTATTTCATTTCAAAGTTTACAACATTCAGTTTGCTTTGCAAAGGGAGTATTACTACATTCCTTTTTAGAAAATGCTGAACGTATTCTATACAATAGATTGTCGAGAACACAACAATCTGTGGTCAAAGGGACTGAATCTTTGGGTTATGTTGAACCCGAGTTGATCCTTACACATCTCAAAAAATACAGACCATCATCCAGTCGCATTGAACAAGACTATTCAGAAACTGTCAATGGAGAACGTACAAAGAGTGACATTCATGTCCTTCACTTTTCACTCACCGATATCAAATCCTACAATGATTTACCCGCTCTTGTTACACTCAATTGGCAAGCTCTCGAGGATGTCATTGAAGTTAGTGGAAAGATACTAGACATTTCAATCATTAGATATGTAGATATATCATTTAGAATTAATATTAGAACTCATCATGTATTGGTTGATTTTATTCAACAATGTTATCAAGATAAAGAATAAATATATAAACAAACAAACAAACAAAATATCACATAAATGGTTCCCATTCAACAACAATATATAACAACATAGATAGGAGCAGTATATATATCTATATACCCCAATTACAATATATTATTGGCTAATTTATTTAATTTACATTTAGAATTCTAGTTCCTCTTTTAATTGGTGTCCAGGTTCTCTCTATCAATCCAAGAGAGTTTGAACCATAGAGCATGGTAACATCAATATCTGGATGAAGCTTTTTAATAAGATCATAATGGATTGGATGCCCATCCCAATTGATTCTCAATCATAATTTCCTTCCTCTATCCAAATATTTAAATTTTAAATATTTTTTAATTGAACATCTTCCCTCCTCGTTAACCTCTAAATCAATCAATCAATCAATCAATCAATCAATCAATCAATCAATCAATCAATCAATCAATCAATCAATCAATCAATCAATCAATCAATCAATCAATCATGACAGCACCACACACATACTTGAACTTGCAACGCACACTCTGCTGCGTCCAAGTTGTTAAACGAGTTTGTGACAGACAATGAACATCAAATTTAATTGGGTGCGTTCATTGCATTCTCTTTTTAGTCAAACTCGTTTAAGACGACAGACTGTGAGACATGTATGTTTACCCCCACCACCCACAAACTCATCATCATCCAGCAATGAAAATTAATTATGCTCATCAGATATAATTATAAACCCCCCACTACCCACACACAAACTAACAAATATTAAAAATATTTAAATAATTACCGAGTGTTTCTTGGTATTACCCTAACCAACCTTCTCACTCTCTCTCATACTCTATATTATCGACTGATCATCCACTTTATTTCTTTTATGAAACTTGTTTCAAAAATCGTATGATATACAGATAATAATAGTGTCCTACTATTATCTCTCTTTCTCTCTCTCTCTTTTACCTTCTCTATACTCAAACTCTTAAACTTTAATTAACCATCTAACTCTTTCTCTTATTTTTTATTTTTTTTCTTTCTTCCATCTATCTATAGTCTTACAAACACAATTATTACTACTACCTATCAACAATTAAAAATCAAATCATTTATTTTACATTCATTATCCAATCATGAACCCATTAATTATCATCTTTATTTTGTGTATCCTTGTATCATCTGTTTTTGCCAATTTGTCTTGCAACAACCAATATGTCTTTGTCAACGACACCAACTCATTGCCATCATCTTTTTCATTGTTTGACCATGTTGAACAACAACAATCAAATATCAACCAAAATAAAAATATTTCTTTGTCTATGATGATGCAGCCATTATCCGTTTCATTGTCATCTTTTGATCATTTTGAACATCCAATCATTCTTAACAAAAACAAAAACAACAAAAACAACATCATCAACAATAATAATAATAACGATATCCATTCATCTATTTCACAAACCCAATTTGATTCAAATCATATTTTTTCTCAATTTCTTTTAACATCAAACCATACTTTTATTCCTGTCTATAACAACAAAAATAATAATAATTTATCTTTTAATTCATCAATTTCAATTCCTTTGTCCCAATCCCATTTCCAGTTACCATTAAATCACTCAACCAACAACCATATTATTTTTTATGACGACAAAGAGGAGGAGGAAGAAGAAGAGTATGTTCAATTGAACAGTAACAGCAGCAACACCACAATCTCATGTTTCAACCATGTTGAACATCAATTCATTTCCATCAACTATCCATTACCAATTAGTAGTTTTCCATCGTTTTCACACAATATTCACTTTAACTCAAGCCATGTTTTGTTTATCTCAAATCATTCAACAACCAAAAACCATATTATTTTAGAGGAGGAGGACTTCAACAACAGTCCAATTTCAATCTCGTGTTTCAATGTTATCCATCAATCAAATCTCATCTTAGAGGATGAGGAGGAGGAGGAGTTTGTTCAATTGAACAACAGCAGCAAAAGCACACATTCATTAACATGTTTAGACAATGTTAAACATCAATCAATTCCAATTAACAATCAATCAAATAATAATAACTATTTTTCATTAATTCATTCATCATCATTGATTTCACCTATTCCATTTTCAAACACTTCCACATCATCATCATCATCATCAACATTATATTTATTATCAAATACAATTAATTCAACAAGATCAAAGACAAGCCCATTTTCAAGATACTCCAGCAACATCTCAAGAATAGAAAACAACAACGCTGGTAACAAGCTCTGACAATTTAAAGCATTTTACTGATACCTCTTCTTTTAATTTTATAGATACCAACAATTATTTTGATTCTCTCAACTGTTTCGGAACCAATCATTCAAATAATACAACAATACAACGACAATCATCATCATCACCAATCAATCATGATACAATCCTCAACACAATCCACATTCAAAAATCAACTCCACCATCTTCAAACAATAATAATAATAATAACATCAAAAATAATACCAATGAATCAGCCTCACTTATTCACTCATTAAACATGTACATTCCATTTAATTCAAGTGATGTTTCGACCAATTGTCGATCATCACCATTACTCTTTAATCATTCAACAACCAACCATTTTCTTTTAGCAGAAGAGGAGGAGCAGAAGGAGGTGTCATTTCAATTGAACACCAACAACAACAACAACAACACAATAACAATCTCATTGTCCAACCATGTTGAACATCATTCAATTCATAATAATAATAATAGTATTTCTTTCCATCAATCAACCATTTTATTTTATAATTCAAGTGATACTCAATGTCAATCAAATCATTCATTCATTCCTGACAATAATAATAATTTATTTTTAATTCATCCATGTCAATTCCTTTTAATTTTCAATTACCATTAAATCACTCAACAACCAACAACCACATTCTTTTATATGTTCAATCGAACAGAAACAAAACAACAAATTCAATCCCATTTTTCGATCATCAACCAATCATTTCCATCAATAACAACAACAACTCATCATCATCATCATTCTCATGTTTCAACCATGTTGAAACATTCATATCAAATAACAACAACAATAATAACAAAAATATAAAAACAATTAATAACATCAATAACACAAGACCAACAAATAATAATGATAGCATCACACCTCCAAAAAATCGACCATACAATAATAACAAAAACACTACCAAATCATCTTCATCATCATTCTCATGTTTCAACCATGTTGAAACATTCATCTCTGCCAACAAACAAACAAATAATAATAAGAATAATAATTCTTCATTAATTCATCCAACATCCAATCATTACACTACTCCAACCATTTCGACAACCAATCATTTTGTTCCAACTCCATCTTTGTTCAATTTCAACTCATCCACATTCACATTAAACAATCCAACAACAACAACAACAACAATCTCAATGTGTCAAATATCAAAGAGAAGTCCATTTTCAAGACACTCCAACGTTTCACGATTACAAAACAACTCGGTAACAAGCTCTGACAATTTAAGCCATTTTACTGATTCCTCTTCTTGCCAATCACCAAATCATTCAACAACCACCAACAATTTTAATTTAGATCAGGAAGAGTCTGTTCAATTGAACAGCAACAGCAATACAATCTCATTTTCATATTTCAATCAATCAATTCCCATAGATAATAATAATATTTCATTCTTCAACGACCATCAATCATCGATTCCATGTTTTAAACCTAGTGATATTTTAACTCATAGTCAATCACCACAATTAATATTAAACTATTCAACAACCAACAACCACATTCTTTTAGAGTTTGTTCAATTGAACAGCAACAGCAGTAGCAGCACAAATTCATTAACATGTTTAGACCATGTTAAAAACCAATCATTTCTTTTTAATAGTAATCAATCAAATAATAATAATTATTATTCATTAATTCATTCATCCATTTCTCCTAATCATTTCAACTCATTCACATCATATATATCAAATATAATCAATTCAACAAGATCAATTGCAAGCCCATTTAAATCAAGACACTCCAACATTTCAAGATTAAAAAACAACCCGGTAACAAATAACAATAATAATAATAATACCAACACCAAATTAAAAAATACAAATAACAACAATAACAACAACAACTCATCATCATCATCATCATTCTCATGTTCCAACTATGTTGAAACATTCATCTCAACCAACAATCAATCAAAAAATATTAATAACAACAATAACAATAATAAGAACAAAAATAATAACAAGAACAAAAATACAAAAACAAATAACAACATCAATAACAACATCAATAACACAAGAACAACAAACAATAATAATATTACAATCTTTGCCGATCACTTCAACGCATCCACAGTCCATATTCACCAATCCATCCACAATCGATATTCACCAATCAATCCACTCACCACCCATCAATCATATATTCATCTCCAATCAATCCACAATCTTCAATCACAAATCACTCAACAATCTGCAAACAATTAAAATACAAACAACGATAATCCAAACAATAATCAAACAACAAACAATAATAATACAAACAATATTCAAACAAACAATAATAATATAAACAGCAATAATAATAATAATTCAAACAATACAAAAAATAACATAAAAAATAATAATAACAACAATATATTATATATTTCACAATCCAACTCTTCCTCCTCCTTTTTTACCTCTTCAACGTCCATGCAACCCCCTCATTGTTCACCAACAAATAATAACCTTCCAATTACAACAAAGAATAATCATAATAATTTTACCAATCACTCCAATCCACAATCTTCATTCACCAATCAATCAATCATTCAATCATCAACAATCTGCTAGTCAGTTGCAAGTCCCAAATTCAGTGATCAAGAGTACCAGTTTCCAAGCAAAAATCACCACCATTCGTAGACCAACCTAATTAACTCTGTATCAAATGTTGATAATTAATTATAAATTTACTTACTCTTTTTCTTTTTATTTTATAGGTACACTAATCATTATTCTCTTCAACTCTTTTGGTAATAACAACATCTTAATACAACAATAACGAATAATAATAATAATAATAATAATAATAATAATAATAATAATAATAATAATTACAACAACCAATTACAATCCTCTTCTTTTCTAAAAAAAAGATATTTAATTACTTTTACCCAAGTGGTTTCCCTCTATACTCTTTTCTTTTTATACATTTTCCGTTGGCGTCGTCCGTGTCCGTTGTTTAGTCCATCATCGTCCGTCCATCCATGTTCCACGTCCCTAGGCTTTTATACCCAAAAAAGATATTCAATTACTTTTACCCAAGTGGTTTCCTTTACAAAAAGATATTAAATTACTTCACCCAGAGGGTTTCCCAGGTTCGCCCCCGTGTAAGTCGATTTTCTTCGCATTGGGGGGCTTTTTTTTTTTTTTGGACTGTTCCCATGGTCTAAACAACCATGGGAACAACCAAAACTATATTTTTCTATTTCTTTCTTTCTCTTTTTTCCCTCTCTTTTTTTATTTCTTATTTTTTATTTATTATTTATTTATTAATTCTTTCACCCGCCAAATCAATATTATTTTATTCTTATGAATTTAAAATTAATTCATCAGAATTTGTAATAATTATTTGTAACAAATATTTGTGACACTACAACTATAGCAATATGTGTCTATATAAAGGTGTGCATCCAAAGATGGTTTATGGGTTTGTAACTTTAATTTATTAAAATTAAAACTTTATAATAAAAATAAAATAAAAAAGCAACCACACCACTTCACCAACTCTGACTTTTTGATCAGACCATTTATTATTTTATTTTTCTTGTATTTATAAATATAATTAATGACTTGTTAATCACATTATATTCATACATATATGTATTCATTATCAATAGATAGAGATAGATACTAGCTGTAACAAGTGATAGAAAAGATTGTGATACTTAGGAATGTAAAGACATCTCTTTGTTTTAAGAGTATTATAATTATATTTATATTTCTTTTTAACTATTTTTCAATCATTGTTTAGCTCCATACTCCACCAACCATTCATATTACATCTTTGATCTTCCACCGGGCCACGATGGTTGGTGGAATAATCCATTCATAATCAATCGGGCAGAGCCAGCAGCCATCATCCGTTGTCCAATATCCATTGCCTCCCCAGTCATCATTGTCGATGATCAACTATCATCCACCAGGTGGAAGATCAAGGATGGAATATGCAATATCCGCCGATGAATGATTAAAAATCAGAATTGGAATCTGACATGACAAACAAAAAAAGGTAGATGATGTGGGGTTTATGATAATTGTATAATACAAGCAACCAATAAAATTTACTTTTTAATTAAAATTAAATATAAGACTTCAAATATGTTTAATATCTATTTAATTTCAATCTCATTATCCCATTTCATTCTTGGTATTACATCCATCCACCATCCACTATCCATCATCCATCCTCTATCCATCCATCCATCCTCCATCCGTCCTTCCTCTATCTATTCATCCATCCATCCCTCCTCTATCCCCCATCCATCCATCCATCCTATATCCATCCATCCTCTATCCACCATCCATCCATCCTCCATCCATCCATCCTCCATCTATTCATCCATCCATACTCTATCCACCATCCATATTCTTCCATCCTCTATCCATCCTCTATCCACCATCCATCATCTATCCATTATCCATCATCTATCCATCCATCATCTCTCCATCCATCCTCTATTCATCATCCTCTATCCACCATCCATCTTCCATCCATCCATCCACCATCCATCCTCTATCCGCCATCCATCCATCCATCCATCCATCCATCCATCCATCCATCCATCCATCCGTCCACCCATCCTCTATCTACCATCCTCTATCCTCTATTCTCAATCTACCATCCATATGTCCTCTATCCACCATCCACCGTCCATCTAAAATTAAGGATGGTCCATTAGGAGTAGATTTATTTGATTTATTTAATCAACAATAGCAAAACAGTTGCAGAAGAAGGGATAATACTTTGATTTGTTATTTAATTGATCAAAGTATTATCCCATTTTATAACAACAAAGATTGAAATGATATATGCGCGGTATATATATATATACACCAATAATAATATATTATTGGCTATTTATTTTTAATGTACAATTATTTTCTTTTTTTTTTTTTTAGAATTGATCTTTTTGATTTAATAAATCTCTTCTAATATCCTTTTCAACTTTTGGTAATGCATTGAGAATAGAGGTATGGAATTGATCAACTGCGTCGATATAACAATGATGACCACTCTTTTCAAGAATTACTACATCTTTGATATTTGATAGCTCCTCTTTTAATTTGTATCCAGGTTCTCTGTCAATCCAAGAGTTTGAACCATAGAGCATGGTAACATCAATATCTGGATGAAGTTTTTTAATACGATCATATAATGGATTGGATGCCCATCCCAATGGCAATGACAATAAACCAAAGAGGTACTCTCCAGTCGCGGGCGATTGTGCGTTACTATGATAAATATATTCAGCTACACGATTAACTACTGCTGGTGTTGATGTTACTGGTGCTGCAGCCGATCCTTCTCCTGCTCCTGCCGCTGCTGGTGGTGGTACTTGTTTTTTATCTACATCTATTGCAACTGTTGCAGCTGCAGTTCCATTGGCTACCAATTGTTGTTTTCTTGGTGGGACTGGATCAAGAGGATAGATATTTTCAAACTTTTGTAAAATGTCACCTCTAACCTTGTAGATAATGTCTGGGCCAAATGGACCGAGTGCACGTAATATACTGAGTGGGACGTCTGGTGTGATGATCTTGCTCAATATCTTGAGTGATGTTGGGAGGTGTTGATCATAGTCGACTGGTCTCTCGGGGATACCCCAACTGTCAGCCAACACCAAACGATTGACACGTTGTGGATACTTTAGAGTAAAACAGGCCGATAAATAGCCGCCAAGTGAATGTCCCAACAAATCAAACTTTTGTAATCCAACTACATCGGACCACTCATTAATCGAATTGATCCAAAACTCTTCAGCTTGATCACTAGTCTTTAATTCTTTTACATCTGGTCTTGAACTTCTTCCAAATCCCAATAAATCAATTGCATACTAAAAAAAGATTGAATAAATAAATAAGTAAATAGATTAAGAATCAATGTATGAATATTTTTTTTTGTTTACATACAACTGTATAATGTTTTGAAAGGAAATCAATGTTGGCACACCAGAAACCTAGTGCAGCACCATATCCATGAATCAATACGAGTGGTTCACCACTACCAGCTTTGACAGTGTTGATATAGTGGTCTCCAACCTTTACCATTTTCTGTTCATAAGGAACTTTGATATTCTCCATCATTCTCTTTTCGGCAAACTCGTGTTCATCGGGTGATGACTTTATCCATCTAAAATTCTTCCAATATGAACTCATTTCTATTAATTCTTCTATATTACTTTTAATATTATTATTATTATTATTACTATTATACAATCGGTTGAATGAATATCCTTTATTGTTGTTGTCGTTTGTTGTCTTTTTTTGTTGTTGTTGTTGATTATGTTGATTTAATTTATTTGATAGTACAGTTGATGCAGATACAATGATTGGTTTGATAGTCTTGTTGTTTAAACTAATACCCTTTTGAGCAAGGATACTGAGAATGTTTTTAGTTGCGGGATACAGGTTTTAAAACTTTAATGATAGTTTGAACTCTATCTCTCTCTTTCTTTAAAAAAAATATTATATTATAGTTTTGAAAATTTTATATAAATAACAATAATAATAAATAAATAAAAGGTAGATTTATAATAATAAAACAATAGGTTGAGATTTTACTTTTCTGCTCTTTGGAAATTATCGAATTTATTTATTTTATTTATTTCGATTTTTTATTTTTATACTGCTCCTAATGTTTGCGTCACAATAAAATAGCTTTTGATGATTCACGTCGGTGACAAGTTAATTATCTTTTGCAAGAAAGAAGAAGGATTGATGTCATCATCAGAGTCATACAATCATCATTCATTTCATTCATTGTCAACCCCTACAATAATTATATTTATATCTTTGCAATGATGGTGATGATGATCTTCAAGATCGATCGAGTGTTATTAATATTATTCTCTTGATAATTCGAGCTTTTACTCAAACACTACCTCTATCCTTGATTTTTCTCATATTTTCTACTCTTAGACTCTTCTCATCACCAGGCTTTTTCTACGAATGGGTGCAATATATTGTCAACCATTGCAACAATCAACATCAAAACTTACACTTTAAACTTTATTATTATTTATCTTTTAAAAAAGAGAGAGAGAAAGAGTTTAGTTTTATAAAATGGTCTCACCTGAATCATCATCATCGTCATCAACATTATTTAAAGGATTAGTATTTTGTATATTAGGCAAAACATCAGTTGCAAGTTATTTAATTGCAGATGATATCAAGAAACATGGAGGATCTCAATCCTACACTATTGGACTCTCCAACTATGTATTAACAAGTCGTGTAGACTCTTTACAATCATCGAAATTAAAACAAATTGTCGACGATAACATTGTCATCCTATCAGACACTTTTATCAATGATTGTATCAAATCAAAACAATTAAAGGATTTTAAACTGTATCAATTAGAATCAAAATCTTTTATTACTCAAGCAGCATCATCATCAACCTCTTTATCAAAATCAACTGATAATAGTACTACCAGCTCTAACAGTGCTGCCACTACTACTACTACTACACCAACGATTGAAATTGATCCAACCACTACACATATTTCTGGTATTTCAATTTATGGAGATACTGATAAACACCAACCAAAGTTTTCATCTTATTATGAAATTCTGTCAAGTCATTTATTACAAGTATGAATACAATATAGTATTATTAAAAGATTTTACATTTATTAACCTTTCTCTTTTTTTATATTTAGTGTTCATCGTTTGTAAAAAATAATAATGTTAATAAATTCTTTTATTTGGAATTACAAAAATGTAATTTGGATGATGGAAATATCAAGTATAGAATTTATACTCAATTTGGTGTATGTATAAACATTAAACTTTAACTTGGTTTTAACTAAATATTAATTATTATTTTTTGTTTAGAGAACAAATGAATTAAAATCATCAACAAAACAACATAGATATTTTTTTGATTATAAAGAATGTTGCGATGTTTATAGTTCAATTTATAACAACAAGACTAGTGAAGAAAATGGATACAAAAATGTATTGGTATCTCATTCTTTAATTGGTTCACCATTAAAGTTGTCGAAAAACACAAACACCAAAGACAATGACAATGCATCCAATTCCTTGTCACAGTATGCCAATATTGTTGATGAGGATGTTGAACGTGTCAAACAACGTACCTATGTCTCCAAAGAGGTATCGGATCTTGTTTCTTATGTGTTTGAAAAGTCTACAAGATCGTTAATTGGAAATTTCTCTGTTACCTTTAGTGATAAAGGTATAGAGACACCACTAGGTGTATTGTCATTGGACCAAGTCACCAAAGGAGAAACCATTCTCAAACAAATTTATTCTCTCATGTTGGATCAAGACCAACAAGACGACGATGAAGAGAATGAGCTCATTGGTAAATTAAGTTCTGAATTTTATTCAGTCATTCCAACAAAGATTGGACAAACTCAAAAGGAACGTGCTAGAGCTCAATTCAAAAGTTTGGCAGATGTTGATAATATGATGGAGAATGTACAGTTGATGAAGGATCTTGCTACTACCAGTGAAAGAAACAAGTCAAACTTGGTCACTGGTACATTGGTCGATATGAAGTACGAATCACTCGGTACAACAATCCATCATTGTCACCCTTCATCTTCAGACTATGGTATTGTAAATCGACTTTTACAAAAGGACTTGGATCCATCCTCCTCCTCCTCCACGTCCTCCATCACTTTGGTCAATGTCTATCGTCTAGCCAAAGAAGAAGAGGAAATCAATTTTAGAGAGGATATTGGCAATGTTAAACTTTTGTATCATGGAACAAAAAGTGAAAATATTGTTGGTATCTTGGTAAGAGGTCTATTAATGCCTCAAATTGTATTGAGCAAGGGTGGAAAAAGATCAGACTTTGGTCATCTCGGAGCAGGTATTTATTTTGGTGACAATATCTCTACCAGTTTAAAGTTTACCAAAGGCAGAAAAAAGGTTGACAGAACCATCGTCCAACAAAGAGCCTTTTTATTTGTTGCCATGGTAGCACTCGGTGATATCAGTGAACAATTTGCAGTACAACCACTCATCATGAACCCTCCAACAGGTCATCACAGTATTCAAGGTGTTAAATCTACTCCCTCCCAACCATCTTACTTTACACAAGATGAATTTGTCATTTATTCTACCGATCAACAAAAGTTATTATATCTTTTAGAATTGAAATATTAAGTACTAAATAACAGAAATTCTATTAAACTAGGACAAGAATAATAATAAATCTTTTAATAACTCAAGTCTGAACCCCAAAGAAGTAGTGACATCACACATAGACTAATTTCCGTCTTTTTCGTAGCATCGATTTTTTTCTTTATGCTTTCCGCTTTTAAAACCATGACCTTTAAAATATCTAGCTGACCTCAAAAAAATCCGATTTCTATTATTTTCTGTTTTAGATAGTTTAGTAAGACATTATATAAGATGACAACTGTTGTTTCATTGTTTACATCATTCAATAATAATAATAATATAACATTCACTATATATCTATATCTATATAAATATTTATAATATAATACAAAGATGACAATCTACGTTTACTTACCAATCGATAAAAATACAAAGTCACCAGACTACTTTTCACCAACCATTGAAAATACAAAGGACTCTTTGTTGGCTGCTATCAGTGTATTACCACCAGTTGCAGAAGATGAAGACAACAACAATCACTACTATGGTGGTGGTAACAACGATCCATTTGAAGGTGTATTAAAGGAAGTACACAAGGAATGGATTGAAGTCATGTCATATAGTCACAATGTTGCTAATCAATGTGACTCTGAAGCTGGTTCTGCTCACTTTGGTGAATTTGTATGTAAACAAGCAAATCTAACAACAAAGCATCGCATGACTAAATATAGATATATTAACACATTGTTCTTTTTCTTTCTTTTTCACTTTTTATCTATTTTTTTTGTAATTTTAGACAATGACCAAATTTATTTGTTCATTATCACCAGTATTAAATTATTTCTGTCTCAAAAACGAATTCATTCCAAAGGTTATCTTTAGAGCTCAAACCACCAAGAAGAAAGGTATCCTCAGTGTTTTGGAATATGAGTTTGAAGCAGTCGCCATTACCAACCAATCGGTGAGTGGAGGTGCCGGTGGAAAACCAGTCGAAACCATCTCATTGAAGCCAACCACTGTCATGCACAAGATGTATGAGATCGATCTTGCATCTGGCGAGTACATCACTCAAAGAAAGATGTCTTTCAACGTTTCAAGCAACTTGGGCAGCAGATCCATCGTCAACCAAGACAAGGTGATTGACGACATTGCCAAGGATCACGTATTGGACGACAATGAACCAGAAAAGGTCAAGCTCCTCAAGGAAATGGGTCTCGTCAGTGCTCACCAACACAAGTTTACCAACTCTTTCAACTATTACAGAATCCTCGCCTCTTTTGACCCACCACTCTACAAAAAGATTGCCATCCCATCACCAAAGACTCGTGCCGGTCTCATTGAAAACACTGCCAAGGCTATTGGCAAGAAAGCCTCAGACATTGAAGCAATCTATGATTCTGGTATCTTGGTTGAAATCGAATGTGATGAAGATTTGAAGGATTTGAATAGTTTAAGCAGTGTATTTGTAAAGGTTGATGGTAAATATATTGGTATTGAGAGTAAGCCAGAAGTTGCTCCAGAAGTTGCTCCTGTTGCTGCTGCTGAACCAGAAGTTGCCGCAAATTAAACTCTTAAATAAATAAATTGTTGTATAAATCTATTGATACCAAAGAAGCTTTTATTTATTTAAATACATTAATTAATTATCTTGTCTTTATATTTATCTTTATATTTATCTTAATTGATTTTGAAGATTAGAAATTGTTGATTGTAATTGAGCTTCAATATTATTGGCAATATTAATATTATTTGTAATGGTATTATTTAATTGTTGAATTTGAATTTGATATTGAGCAGTATTTGAATCAATGGTACTCTTCATTCTTGATTCCATTTCACTTTTTGATGCTTGCATTTGTTGAATTCTTTGTTGAAATATTTCTTGGTTTGTCTTTATGTTAATCTCTAAATCTTTTTGACGTTGAATCAATGAACTATTTTGTTGTCTCATTTGTTCACGATCAGCTTCACTCTTGGCCAATGATTCTTTAAATTGATTTGTACTCTTTAGATAGGATAGAAAAGTTTCTTTCTTTTGAGAAAATTCAATTAGATAATTGTCAAAGACTTGATCAGTCTTTGGACCCAATGCATGGACAAAGTATTCTCTTTCAACAAGTTGCTCTGCAGTTACAAGTGCCAAATGGGTTGTAGTTTCACTCTTTAGTACTGGGTTGATAATCTTTTCAACCAATGTTCTAATAACTTGATTATTATGATTAATAGATGCTTCATTATTCTTTAAATGAACTGAATATAAATATCCTCCAACCAATTGACCACTCTTATCAAATTTTGCACATTCATCCTAAATTAAAAAATTAAATAAATTAATATTATTATTATTTAATATTATTTATATTTTGTTTCATACATGATATCTATTTGAAAATTTTTGGAAATAATGTAAATCAGTATCCAAGTCTAGGATTTTTACAAATAATTGATCAGTTTTTTTAATTGCTTGTTGATAATGAGACATGAATTGTTGATAAGAGATTGGCATGGTATGAATAAATTGGTGAATCTCCTTTTGAAACAACATTACAGCTTCATTTGTAATCGATTCATAACCAAGTTTGAGTGTTTGTTCCCATGTAGATTCAACATTGATAGATTTACCATTTTTAATATCTTCCAAATATATTTCAATTTGTGATATTAATTCTAATAGAATAAATAAATATAATTAAACATTATTATTATTATTTTGTTAATATTAATATTATTATTTTTTTACATACGTTTACCATTTACTCTTGAACCAGGACTTTGACCTTTTTTAATTTGAAGAACATTTTTAAATGAAGAAATAAAGTTTGCTACATCTGTATGGAACTTTTGAGATGTAAACGGATTTTCAATATCTTCAATGTTGTATCGAAGTGCTTCGTGGCCAGGATGACTAATTGTAAATGCCATAAAAGATTTGAATACTGTCAAGAGAAATTTACGAATACCATTTCTATGTACGATACTCTTTAAATCAGGGGCATCAGGAGTTTCGGCTTCAAGTTTGAATGACTTTTCAAGCATGAATGTTGTCATTGAACACTCGTCGATACCATTCAAAGTAGGAGTGAGATGACAATCTCTAAACACCCAACTGAAATGACTAGGAAAGAAATGACAAAATTGTTCTAGATCTTGCTCGGTGTTTCTATTCTCTCCCTTTCTAACTACAATCGATTGAGATAGCTTTGTGATAAAGTAGAGCTTATCAAAATCACTCGATGTTGGAACAGAGACAGAGTTGTAGACTACATTGGACGACAGTAACATTGATAGTGAGAGGATTTGATTGTCGCACTCTACAGTGGTACTTTTACTGGTAGATCCTAATCCCTCGGTATCCAACAAGATGACAGTCACCTCTTCTTCGGTTCCATCTGGGTGGATAATTGGATGTTTAAATGGTGCACCCCACATCCACACACCCAATGTACAACTCTCCATTGTATGTCCAAGTGCAAATCCTCTAGATAGCTTCTTTGACATCATTCTATTTAATATATAACTTTTACCTGATCTATATGGTCCAATAACAGATACCTAAAAGAAAGAAAAAGAATAAATAAATAAATAAATAAAAGAACGCGTTATTTGTAAAGAGTATTGTTTTAAATTGCATACAATAGCTAATGGACCTTGAATTTGTTGAATGATTGATGCAGCACGAGGATTTAAAACTAGATGAGTTCTTTCTACATCTTTTATGATTGTTAGGTCGTTGGCATTGGATAGAGAACAATTGTTGGGATAGAGGAATGGGATGGGACCCCCATCGGATATCTTGTCATTATCATTGGCCAACTGACCGCTATCAATAATGTCATTATAGAATCGGTAGTCAGAATCTTCTAGCACCAGCTTTTTCTTGTATTCACTAAACATCTTTTCTTCGTCGAGTGGTTTGATCGATGAGTCTTGCAAGCGAACCATCAATTGTCTCATAAAGTTGTTGATGCTTATATCATTGGATGGTTGGTCTGCTAGTACATCGAGACCATTACCTCGAGGAGCATTAAAAAAGTTGTTTGTAAGTTTTAATCCACTTTTATTGAGTGCTTGTAATACATGTTGAATGATCTTGTATTCATTACTATCTTTTACTTTTACAATGTCCATGAAACAAACGAGGGAGAGAGAAAAAGTTAATTTTACAAAAATAAATATTGAACAATAATGATTCATTTTAAAATCCTATCTTTTAGAAATTCAAGTCTTTGAATGCCGACTTGAATTTCTAAAATTCATTGAGCCCAACCCAAATATTTAGTTCACGTCGTGAATGCCGAGAATCAACCACCCTATCAATATTGTTTAATTGTTATGATAATCTAAAAAAAAAAAAAAGAATTTAAAGAAACAGATCCCTAGGGTTTAGTTCATCATTGAAATTTGTTTGATTGCAGGAAGGGTGTCTTGATAATACTTTATTTCATCCAAATACATTTGTTGAGTGTCCACATATGAAATGAGAATTATGGGAAGTTACATTATCCATAGTTGAATTGTCTTTTGTATGATAGTGACAATTCGGTCAACATTCTCAAAGTTCCAACAAATAGAAAACCTATAAACATAAAAATAAAACTTGAGAAAGTTTTTAAAAACTATTATTATTATTATTATTTATTTATTTATTTTTTTTCTTATAGTTTATTGAGATGGAGTATCATGTTCAACATCAGGAGTTTGGACATCTTTATTTTTTTTCTTTTTATCTACTTTTGGTCCATCATCGGTTGTTGGAGGTGGAATATTGGTAGCATATTTTGAAGCTAGTTGTTGAAGTGGTTCACAAATCGGTGTCTTGTTGGATGCCAATTCATTCCAATAGATGTTTTTAATTTGTTTGTGTCCTTTGAAATGGAATACTGCTTCGTAGATGAATGCATCGGCTACTTCATGATCGGGTGTGTAAACACTGTGTTCTGGGAGCTCTTTGAATTCATCGGATTTGATGTGATCTTCAAGATGATTCAATAGTTTTTTATCAATCTTTTTGCCAGTTGCTGTCTTTCCAGACTTTAAGTCTAATGATACTGTCTTGTGTACTCCTGCAAATCCTCCTGTCTAATTTAAATAGAATTATAAATAAATAAGTATCATTAATAAAGGATAGATCTTGACTACATACCTGAGTAACAGTGACACCAGTTGGAGAAGATTTAGATGAATTCTCATTAGATAATTCACCTAATGTCAATGCAATGATAGCTACCAAGAGAATGAATATTGTCGATAATAATTTCATTATTTTTTAAACAAATAAATAGAGAGAGATAGATAAAAGTGAACAAATAAAGTAATAATGAATAGGTTTGATTGATGTACTATGGTGTACCTACCTAGCCTGCCCCTTATCATTATGAGAATCACCACCACACAACCAAGCAACCAACCAACCAACAACACTATTTTTGTCATTACAAATGACCTAACCCCAAAGGGAGGGGCACCAATGTCTCACTATCACCAATACAAGATGGATGGACAACCCTGATACCCACCACTCACTAGTGGCTCCACCCACACCATCATCATCACTCATGAGTAGTTGGTCATGTAATCGTAGTTCCGTTCACAAACTTACTCTACTACACTACATGTAAATTCTTTGTAAGAGTATATGAGATGTTCAAAAAAAATATAAAAGATATATACTAGAATATATATATATCGAAAGTCTACATATCTTTGATACAAAAGTCTCCCGTTCAAATAATTACTCAAAAACTATTGCCAAACACAAAATCAAATTAATAAAAAAAAAAAATTAAAAAACGCAAAGATGATTCTACCTCCACACACAGAATGGGTGTCATTATTGTACAATTCATTCATTATTGTTTTAGAGTATCCTTATTGCAACATCAATAACTTCTCATGTTCAGAATCACTCCCTTGGCTACTACTACAACTTCTACCATCTCTATCAACTAAACTATTATTAGAAATATAGTCAATTGGACTGCCAAAACTATACCAAAACAACAACAACAACAACAACAACAGACAACAAAACCCTTTGTACATAGAATACTGTAGATAGTTCACCATTCATTCCTTTTTTTTTGTATTATATTATATTCAATCGACTCGATTATTCATTCCATCCTTCCCTCTCCTTTACTTTTTACAATCCAATCAAAACAAACCTATTCTATCCTTTCGAACCTTTTTTTTTTTTGTGATAGTAATAATTATAATAATATAATAATATAGTAATAATGGATCCATTAGACCCAGAATATAGTTATAAATTTTTGACAGATGGAGCACCTTTAAAACTAGAAAAGTTATTAGATATCGAAGTCAAACCTGGAGCCTTTAAAACAGCTTCACTTATTGGAACGATTACAGTTGGTGTGGTGGCTGGTGCCGCAGCAGCCTATTATTGGTTAAATAGGCCAGAAGATGAAGAATCAGATGACGAAGGTGGCAGCGGTGGTAGCATCAATGACGAAGATGCTATCATCACTACAACCACTACGACGACTACTACAACCTCTTACTTTCCTCCTCCTCCTCCCATCATCAATGGCGGTCCACCCATCCAACGATCGATCCATACACCGCTTCCACCACGGTTGCACAGTCACGCTTGTCCCTCAAAACTTTTAAAAGACAATGGCGAACCACTACCAATTGAAGAACAAAACCGATTACTATTAAATGAAAATAGAACTCTAAGAAGAGATGTTGATAATTTAAATACTTTTGTAAGTAGTTTGATTAAAATCAATCAATCAAAAGAAAAGAAAAGACTTTATTTATTAAAGTTTTCTTTATTTTTCTTTTAGGTAACAGAAAAAATGGCATCAATTGAGAAAAAGTTAGAATCTTATGATAAAACGATAAGAGACTTGGAATCTGAATTGGACAAGGAAAGATTCTGTTTTATTTGTCAAGAGAATGAAAAGCAAGTGTGTTGGACTGGTTGTGGTCATCGACTCTGTGGTAGATGTGCGATTGTTATTAAAAGCAGTGGAGGTCAACCAGTTTGTCCAATGTGTCGCAAACCTGTTGATACTTTTGTACGTTGTTATAATTCTTAAATAAATAATCTAGGAAACAAATAACACCCCAAGGAAATATTTAAAAAATATTTTTTGTAAATTTAAAAAAAAAAAAAAAGAATGGATATTGAAAGAGAAACCATTATCCTTTTTTGTTTTATTTCTTTTTCTTTTTCTTTTTTTATAAATAGGGACTCCAACCAACATACATTTCAGATAGATTAACTGGATCTGTAGCTTCTTGAATCAGAGAATTTACTTGACCTTCAATGGAGAGTGGGAGACCCATGTTTCCACTACTATTAAAGTTTTTATAGTTTGAATAACCTTGTAGTTCATTGTTGACCTTGCTCATAATGTCTCTTGGTTCTTTTTGATTATTCTTTCCCCAAAGAGGATCGTGAACGACCGATTCAACGACACCGAGTAGAGCTTCTCTGTTTTCACGCATGACTCGGACTGCATTCTCGCAACAAATTCTAAATGGTCCTTCAACACCCAAGACACCAAGCATATCGAGTAGATTATTGGTCAATCTGAATGGAACTCTTTCGGGAACGTGGAATGTTTGACCTCTCCAAAAGATACAGTTGAGATCAATCAAATAGATTTCTCCATTCTTTAGGGAAAAGAGGAAATTGTCTGGATGACGATCACCAAGACCAATCATCGTGCCAATCATAGATGCCGTTGCCAATGACACAGTGTACAATGTTCTTGCTTCGAGGTAGCTAGTTGGATCTGGGAATTGTTTTTGGAACCATCGATAGAGTGTGGCTGGATAGGCAGGAAGCAGTACCTTGTTAAAGTTTTCCAATTTGTTTTGTCCATTTTCAAATAGTTTTTGAATGCGTGCATTGTCGAGAGCAGTGGTTGGTTTGAATTCCGAAGAGTTGCAAATCGATCTAAAGGTGATAGTGTTGGTGAGCCACTCGAGAATACCATTGTCGGCATTGATTGGGATGACACAATAGGTTTGGACGTGAAAGTGTCTCTTTCTAGTTTCCGGGTCTTTGGACCAGAGATAATTGACCATTGTCATAAATTCAGAGGTACGTGCATCCTTTCTTAGATCATCTGCTGGTTTGATGAGGAATGGGTAGATATTACCATCAGACGAGTGAAGGTTGATCTTTTTAGGTTTTTGCAACGATGAGAGAATATCAACGTGATCGCCAACCTTGATAATGGTTGGAATACTACTTGAAAAGTATTCGTGTTGCGTATCTCCAATTTCATTTGATTGTGGGAGTTTTGGAGACATGAATCTTTGCATTGGCAAAATGGTAGAGAGATGAACGAGCTTGGAAAGTGGGTCGAGTATCTTGTCTCTACTTTTAGAGATGAGCATACTTGAAGGCTTTTTAGTGGTTTGTGGAGCGGGGTCATACATGGCCAAATTAATCAACTGATTACATAGATTAAAACTATCTTCAAAGGTCTTTTTATCGCCATTTTGCTTGGCCAATGCAAGACACTTGTCGGCACGTGTCTTTCTCTCGGGGATGTTTGAAAAGAGTTGGATGGCAAATTGCCAAATCGATTGTTTGGGGTAATCTTTGAGCACCTTGACAATGATGGTTTGTAAAACTTCATAGGTATCCATATTCTTGTGAGCAATTCTAGAGGCAATCTGTGGAAAGAAGAGGAGCCACGCATGACTGGGTACGTCGAGTGCCACCTTTATCAGCTTTTCCTTCATTGTCTTGTAGGCATTGGCAAGAGATTTGTTTGGATTGTTGGCTTGATTGGTATTCTTGTACGACTTGCTTTCAAAATCGAGCATATGTTTAACATCACTTTCCTTTTCACACAGCGTTGTTCCATAGTCTGTGAGAATGGTAATAAATCTTGGTATGCTAGCATAGACATTTTGATTGCCCAACGTGCAAGACATTCCATACGACTCTAAAAGCTTTTGCATATGTTTGACATTTTGCTTTTCCAATTCCAACTTTTCCCTAACATGTTGTTCCGGACGATAGATGGCATTCTTTTTAAGAACCGTCTCAAAGAAATAGTCATAGTATTTTGCCAAATACAAAAATCCTTTTTCCCATTGGTACTTTGTCGATTGTTTATAGTGTTCGAGAATCTTGTCACTTTGTGTTGATCCACCTTCTTGTTTCCATTTTCCCAACAATAAATGTGTCTTTGCGCTGACCAATGTATTTTTATCGTGATCTTGATTCTTTTGTATTTCTGCTGTCAATATACTAATAGCTTCATTTGTTTGTCCTTTACAATAGGCAATCTTTGCCTTTTCAATGATATAGTTTCTATCTTCTATAATGCCAGGAGTCAACAAAGCATTGAGAGAATTTTCAAATTTCTTTTCACGACGAGAATATTTTGAAATTTGTAGCCAACATTGACTTGCTTCTTGTTTGAGATTGAATATTTCAAAGATGGATCTTCTAGCAGTTAAAAGTGGTTCTCTTGTATGAATGTTTGGTTGAACAATTAAAAACCGATTATTGATATTGTTGATGATCAATTTAATAGGTTTTCGGGTATATGGAGAATTGGTATTTTGATCTTGACTGGTGGCAGATGGCATACGAGTTGGTGGAATAAGTTGAGCAAGACTTTGACTCATTTCAATGTCTCTGAGAATATGAAGTTGAACCAAATAGGGATAACATCTGTCATAGGAATCCATAGAGGCAGATGAGAGTTGATGCACAACATCGGCACGAGCTTGATGTACATAGGTACTAAAATCCTTTTCATTTCTTTGATTGAGTGAAAGAAGAATCTTGCCAAGTGATACTTGGAATCCACCTTCAATGAGATCTGATTCATCGTGTACTAGTTTGTTAATTCTTTCCCATTTACCAAGACTCCAAGCTGATTGTAATGAAATAGCATTCAATTTAGATAATGCCATTTTAGTATCTAAAAACTTTTTAGATAAATCAATTGTACTTGTGTTGGATCGTCCTTCTTCTCTCATTGATTCATATTGTTCCAACTTGAAGAGTTCCATTTTAATACCATCAGACATTGTAATGACGGCATCATGTTGACCAAGATGAAAGAGTGATTTGAGTTGCCCGAGTTTGTAACCAATAAGAGGTTGATCATTCATTCTACATGCGTTGGAATAGTAGAGGAAAGCGTCATTCCACTTTCCGCTCATTTCAAGGTCAACCAATTTTTCGTCCAATGGAATGTCGTTGCCACGCAACACTGAAAGTCCTGCCAAACTATCGACATCGTTGAGACTGTGGTAGATTCGTTGAAGCAGTGGAATCTGCTCAGCAACAGCTTGATGTTTTGACATTTTTCCAGTGGCAATAATCTTTTTAATATAACTTTCCACGTGAATAAGTGATGTTGCAGCAGCACCACAACGAGCCGATGCAGTTGCCAGGAGCAACTGAGGAATAGAGTCTAAAAACTCTTGGATAGCAAGAATCGATTCTGGTAGTTTGGGAGAGTTGACAACGTTGGGTGGTTGTTTTTCAGTGACCATTTTTTGTTTACGTTGTTCAATCCATTTTGAAAGTGAGTTGTGTAGTTCGAATATACGTTGAGTACACATTTGACCATTCTCATAGACTGGACCAGTGTCATTTTTCAAGACACTCAATATCTCCAAGGAAATAGATAGTTGATCACCGATTTTACCAAATTCAAAGATATTAATGATGAGGTAGGGCAAGAGATAGTGACAGATTTTAATGTCATCCTTGATGATACCTCTACAACACATGAAAATCTTTTCAGATGGTCCAGATGAACGATACACCAAATCAGACACCCAATTGGTAATCCACTTTCTATAGGATATATTTGGTGTAAAAAAGGAAGAGGTACGTGGAGGAATTGGCTTTTTAGGTGGATCGGGTAGATGGTATTGGGAGGTTTGGTAAGGTCTAATAATTTCCTTTACCTCTGGTGAAAAGTTGTTCCATAGATCCTGTGCTTCATGTCCTTTAAACTCTTTTCCATTGATACCACAATCGTGAAGAATCTCTTGAATGGCAAAACCTGCGCGATCTTGTGGAGTAGTGTTACTGGGTGAACACACAAACCTCGATAGATACTGTACAATGAGATCTTGAGCCATTGCCAGTCTTGTTTTCTCTTGAATTGGTTCACTACGAAGTTTGATTGGGTTGTCCTTGAAACGTTCGGGGTCGACCGCACCCAACTCACCCAAACACTCTGCAAATCGAGATTGAACCAATGGATATGGATCACGACACCCAATCAATAGATGTTTCATGAGGTTTGACACCATTGGCTGTGAATCTGGTGCAAACAACTCTTGACGGTGTTCTTGGAGTAGTGTCAGCAGTCGATTGAGTGTCATCATTTTGACTTCAGTATTTTCATTGCCAAACAGTTGAATCAATTGATTGAGCTGCTCGTCAAGTGGTTGTCCGCTATGAATCAACTCGAGTTGTTGAGATATTTCACGCAGCACTGGGTATTCCTTGGGCATGAATGGAATAGACTTGAAGAAACTTTCCAATTGTGCCTTGTTGGTTACGAAAAGGTATTCAAAGATTGGGTATGCCTTTTGTTCTTGTGCGACTACAAGAGGAAGTACTGAAAATACAATTTGGTTGAGGTAGGGACCGAGAACCTTTAGGTCGAGCAATTTGATAAAAGTCTCCCAAATCTCTATTGCAATCGATTCCAAAGGTGTCTTGACAGCCAACTTTAAAAATGCCATAATCTTTGGTCGGAACATTGTCACCAACTTGCCAAGCATTTCAATAAATCGATGAAGACTTCTCATCATGTTTTCCTTTTCCGGTATACTCTTGTGTTTGGTCATGATTTCATTAAAATAATTCATTGTACCCAAAAATTCCTTCATCAAATATGCTTCCAATGATGGTGCTTGTTCCTTTTGTATATGTTGAGTTAAATTTGATAAACATTGTATTGCATTTTTTGCCTAAAAAAAAGAAAAGAAAAAAAATAAATATATTATTAATAAATAGAATAGAATTATTTTTTCTTTTGTTTGTTTTGTTTTGGTCATACTTGATCAAATTTTTGAGGATTACCAAGATTTAAAACGAAATGAATAAATACAGTGGACGGAATATCTTCAACAAGATCTTCCATTTTTGTATTTAGTACAGATACTAGGAACCCCAAACCATCGGCCAATACGAGACTGTCCTGCGTTGTCATGAAAATATGCTCAATGATAGAACCTAGGTTATCGTCTATAGTACGAACAACGTTGACATTGTGAAGTTTAAACTCGTCAATGGTTGTGGCATCCTGAGTTTTAATGAGAATGGGAAGAACATGAGGAAGCATTCCACTTAGGAATGCGTCAGTATCCATCTTGAGTATAGCTACAAATCTTTGCATCGACATGAAATGTTCTTCTTTGACCAATTCCACCAAATGAGGATATAGTTGTGGTGCAATGATTGAAGTTGGTCCAATGAGTTGGCGAGGTGTAACACCATGCTTTCTAGCAATCGTTTCAATTGTATCTGAACTACAATTGCTAATAGCCGAGTCTCTACCAAGACACTCTATCAATTTGGAGAATATAGCTACTTGATAGTCAGAGTCTTGTGGAAGAAGTGCAGACAACTTGCCAAACAGTCGAATGATGGATATAATGGTTGAACTACGGTTGAGAGCGGCTGGATTGCCGTCCATACTAGTGTCTGTATCGTCGCTTGGCAGACTGAGTGGTTTCAATTCTCTAAAAAGTAGACGGAATGCAAAGTCACCAAGTTGAGGTAGTTGGGAGAGTATAGGTATGGCAACTTTACAAACAGGACTATTTCCACTGAGCAATGGAATGATCAGTGACAATATCTTTAAAACATTTCCTTGCATGGGAGAGACATGATCGGTAATAGATTTGAATGTGTATTTGGTGTACATGTAACGTGTCAGTGTATCTCCTTGAGAGCTAGTGTCTTGACCACCAAAAAGTTTTGAAAATAGGAAACCTCCATCGGTAATATCCAAATATTTTGGTGTAAACTTGGAGTCTTGATGTTTTGCAGCTACATCGTCTCTATTTAACAAAACCTTTTTTGATTTAAAATAATGACATGCACATCTTGGTAACCATATATTGATTGGTGATGTTTCATTGTTGATTTCAATCTTTGCAGCTTGTTGTAATGTTGTTACATTTACACTGCTGCTACTTTTAATGTTGATGGTACTTGATCCACTGATTGAATTATATTTTGCTATTTGATAGACATTGTATGGTAGGGCTGGAATATTGGTGTATAAAGCCAAAAGTGATTGATCTACCAATAAATTATCAATCTCTATTCGGTTGAGTGCCAATATATTGCTATTCTTATTTACAATGATTCCACCTTCTTTGGTATGAATCTCTTCAATCACTTTTGGTTGTAAAAAACATCCCTTAGTATCAAAACATATTAAACTACCTCCAATTAACCCAATCATTTCTAATATATTTTCATTTGTTTCATTATTTTCTACTATTTCACTAGTAAAAATAAATAAAAAAAAACAAAATTAATATTTATAAATTATATTCTATTCTTCTATTATTATTTTTACATACTTTAAAGTTTGAATAGTTTCTTGATAAATGGTTGGATAATTTTCAATATTATAAAGATTGACAAGAATGATTGGGATTGCAGATATTAAACCAATTAAAGTTTTGAGTACTGATGGTTGTATTAGAGTATTTTCAATAGGAGATGATTGTTGTTTTAATTCATATAATAGTTTTAGATATTGTTCCTTTCTTTGACTGTGAAAGAATTGTGATGGCATCCAAGCCATAATATTGATTGCCAAAATAGTCATATAACTAAATTGATTTGGATGTTCCACCTTTATCGTTTCAAACAAATCCTTTCTTGTCCATAAAAGAAACACTATATTGTGTATATTATCCAATGAATATTTGTATTGACTCCCCATTATAATCTCTTCCATCTTTGAATGTGATCCTTTTACAATATCTAAACATAATTCCAACAAAATTAAATAAATTTCAAATAAATAAATATTTAATTTTTCTTTCTATTTAAAAATAAAAAAAGAGAAATGAAATGATTAATATATCGTCTTTGTTTGTTTTTTTGGTCTACTTACAGATAATAAAAAATTATAAAATTTTGAAACATTTGTTACAAAGTGTTCTAAAATTATATTATTATTTCCATAAAATTCTTTACATAATCTAAAAGTTGAACTATAACCAGTGATAAAATTGGCTAAAGCTGTAAATCGACCACTATCAATATCATCTAGTGTTGGGGTGACAACAAGAGGGATTGGTATTTTCATTGATGTCAGCAAGGTATCCATCAACTGTGATGATAACTGTTTATCAGATTGAAGTGGGTTTGGATTTGAATTTGAATTTGATTGTTGTAAGGCTTCTTTTTCCAATGAAACCTTAAATACATATCTAAAACATGATACTAAATTGTTTTGTATATCTTTATCATTTAAATATATAATCATGTTAAAGATACTATAATGTTTTGGTTCTGATATTTCTAATAATCTATAATAATATAAACATAATACATTCTAGAGAAAAAAATAAATCAATAAAAAAACATGATTAATATTTAATATACTTTTAAATTGTTTGTTTTTGTTTACACACACATACTTTTAATAAAATACTTTTTGAATAAGATAAAATAAGTGGAATTCTTTTTGAAATACAATCACTTGTACCAGCAATAAATTGATGATTTGAAATGATTGTTAAAAGTCTTGATAAAACCTCTCCAATAACATCATCCATTTGTGTCTTTGCTACTATATCCTCTGTCATATTATTATTGATAGTTGCCAATCTAAAAAGTGATTTGATAAATTGATGATGGTAATTGTTTGGACACTGAAATTTTTTTAATATTATATTTAATAATATAACTGCAGACTAAATTAATTAATTAACAAACTAATAAATAATTTGAATATATTTTGATTGTTTTCAAAACTACTACATACATTTAATAATTTGAAAGATTTTGAAAATTGAATTCTTGATGCATTTTGTAATAGTAGATTGATATGTTCAATGAGAAAGGGTATTTCAATTCCAAATGTTTTATGTTCCAACAAGTATGCAAATACATCAAATAGACTTTTGTACAACATCATCAACATATCAATTGATGGTAAGTTGATAACCAATCCTCTTAATGTAATTTCTACTTTCTTTTCATTATTTTGATTATTATTATTATTATTATTATTCTCCTCTCCATCTATTTTCATTTGTTCATCTTTTTCCTTATTATCTTGTTGTTCCTTTTCCCTTTCTTTTTCCTTATCCTTTTCTTTACCCTTATTATTATTATTATTGTTATTTGATTTATCTTTTTTATCAGAACCTTCTTTTGATGATAAAGATGATGATGCTTTAGGAGGAGATTCTAATTTCTTTTTTAATCTACGATAACTATCAATCAATATTGGATATTCAATTTGTAAATCCATCTCCATTACTTGATGTAAATCTATAAAGAAACAAAAAATGTTAATGATCATAAATATAGTTATAGTTCAAAGTATTCTTTACTCTACCTTTAAGTAAATCCATTGTATCTAAAAGAAATGCAGTTGCAGCCTTTAGATTATTTGATAGTAATGTAATCAATAGACTGATTGATCTAACTATATCTTCATGAAGTGATTCACGTTGCATATGATTGGGATTGGTAAGGATTGGTATCAATCTAAACAAGTATTGTGATATTGCATGTTTATCACCTATCCAATCTCCACTTGGTACTTTTTGTGTAACTAATCGTATAATGAGTACTGTATCATGTACATCTTTTGCACTTGCTAATTAATTAAATCAAAAAGTAGTTAATAATCACATTCATTGATCATTATAATATTGTATTATCTCTATTGATATCAATATTACTCACCAGTTGATATTAAAACACTATTTACAAGCTCAGGTAACAATGATCTAATTTGAGCATACTGAGCTACAGCCTTTTGACTTGCTTTATTACTATAGGATGATGTTGTATCTTGTTGAGCTATATCATTTATAATTGATAATAACTTTTCTTTTGTTTTTGTATTCGTTGCATCCATCTCTTCTTCTCTTTGTTATATATATATATATATATATATATAAATATATAAACCACAAATAATCTTTATTCATGAAAAGATCTAAAGTCATCATCAAAATGAAACGACGGTACACCTCTTTTCGAAGAACTTAAAAATTGCTCTTCCTCTCCCCCTTCGAAGTTCGAGTTGAGTTGGGGTTATTGTTCATTGGTACAACCATACGTTTTCATATATACATTATTTGCAGATTTATTTATTCATCCTCCTCCTCTTTATCAACTTCTACACATTTGAAATCAAAATCATCCATCTCCATCAACTGATACTTGGGGTTACATATGATGTTATTTAGAATCTCCAACTAATTAGAGGTAATTACCTTTGATTACATTTTTGTTTAGAATAGAATACACCTACGCTAAATGAATAAGCCAGACGTACACAACTGAACCTGGTTCATTATTATTATTATTCTATGTTCTGATATTAATTATCTTATCTATAATTATCTATCAAATCAATACACACATTTAGAGTAGTAACGTCTAGCTCATTCCATTTGCGTATGGTAAGATGATCACTATGCCAAAGATCCGCGAGATCACACTTGATTAATGTAAATCAATGCATTAAAAGACAGATACTCATTGATTTGGTTGTGTAAGCACAAGATCATACCTACCTTCTATGAAACCAGGCCACAAAAAACGTCACCCTTTCTAAAAATGGACAGAGAGACGTTAAAAATGTGGCATGGTTTGTTTCTGATTAATTTGCGGGTAAATTAAAAGGATTTAAATAGGAGTTATTGGCAATAGCCCAATAACTCACAGAACCATCAATTATTCGAACAAACAACACTTTTGTTTAATTAATTTTACACATAACACTTTTATTTATTTCAATCAATCTATTCTTATTCTATCTATTAATTAGTACTTTAATATATTATATTAATTAGTACTATTGTATTTTTAATATCTTTAACAACCATGTCACAACTACTTAAAATCAAGAATTCATTATTATTATCATCATCATCACCACAATCGATTAAATCATATAGAAGAAATGCACCTCCAAAACCAAATCCAAACTATATTGCTGTTCTTGATGCACCAGAACCTCGTCATTTCCCAAGACTACAAGAAGCTACACCAGTCATCGAGACCACCTCTACCTCTTCAGTTTATCTCAGAGGAACCAATCTACTCGGTCAATCATCATTGAAAGGAAGATCATCATCTTCAACTTCTTGGGCATCGTCATTGTTTGGTGAATTTGAACCAAGTCAGTTTACATCACGTCGTCGTATTTCAACAGCACCACTTACACAATTCCAAAAGGATCCATCACCGGAATACCACAGACATAGTACATCACATGCCTACTCCAAGAGAGAACATTTGGACAAGATCGAGAAAGAGTTTGTCACACCAACCAGATACGAACCAAAAACATTTGGTGATCACTTTGCCAGATATGCTGTCAAATCTTTAAGATTATTAAGTAATATGTTCTTTAAGGAAAAGTATATTCATTATGCGTATGTATCAAATTTTGATAGATAAGATGGAATATTTATATTTAGTCATTTATATTAATATTAATATTTTTGTGATTTGAAGTTGCTTACTTGAAACAGTTGCAGCAGTACCAGGTATGGCTGGTGGTATGCTTCAACATCTTCATTCACTTAGAACTTGCAAGAACATTTATGTAATCAAGACATTGTTGGACGAAGCTGAGAATGAAAGAATGCATCTCATGACATTTATTGAAATCACCAAACCAACTGTTGGTGAACGTGCCTTGATTGCATTAGCTCAAGCCGCCTATTTGGTCGATTACATGATCCTCTATCTCGTTTCACCAAAGACAGCACATAGATTCGTTGGATTTTTAGAAGAAGAAGCTGTATTGACATACACCAATATGCTTCGTGATTTGGATGCAGGATTGGTAGAAAATGTCAATGCACCAGCCATCGCCAAAGCATATTGGGGATTGCCAGAAGATGCCAAACTTCGTGATGTCATCATGGTCATCCGTCAAGATGAAGTTGAACATGCCCATGTCAACCACGACATTTCAAATACACTCGCAACCGAAAAGGTTCCATCCAAACAAACAACTCCCACTACTCCACCACCTAGCAGTAGCAGTAATACTGCCACTTTGGCCTAAACATTCAACAAAAGATTAGAAATATATTTCCATCTTCAAATCTAAATAATATTAATAATAATAATACTCTTTTTTTTTTATAAATAATAATATAATGTTATATTTTTTCTCATCCTCTAAATTCCCTTTGTTTTAAATATTAATAATTATTATTTGTTTATTCTATATTATTTTATTTTAATTTAATTTAATTTACATAATTTGACAATTCTCCTTTCCTTCACCTTTTTCTTTATTCTTTTCCTTTTTATCCTTTTTGGATCCTACACCACCACCAAGTTGTAGTCTAAGAAAGATTTTGGCAAGGTTTTCAATCTCTAGATCCTTTAGTGTTTCCGCATTGTCATCCAATCTTCTTGCTCCTCTGAATGAAAGAATTTGATTGTCGGGTGGAATACCTTCACTGTCTTGAATGGCAGTTCTTAAATCACCGACGGTAGCAGTGGGAGGTACAACTACTGCAAGGGGTCTACCCAAACCACAAATGACGATAACCAATTGTCCATCGGCCACACTGGGATTGACAAAGAGTACAGCTTCTTCATCATAGATATTGGATGCTTTAAGTGTTTGTGTCGTGTCTTCTACCTTGTCACCACTAACATATGCAATGTAATCTTTATACTTTTCTCCATGTTGAGCTACCCATTTACTCTTGAGTACATCAAGACTATCTGTTCCACAATCTATCTCTTCAATAACAAACTTTTCATATTTATCTTCTGTTTTAATTGTAACTTTTCCCATCTCTCTCTCTCTATGTTCTTCTTATTTCTACTTTGTTTGTTTAAAACTCTAAACTACTTGATTTGTTTAAAAAGAACAGCTGGCTGATCAACATTACTGTTGATGTAAAGCCACATCGAGAGACTTGTGTAGGTTGAGAAAACCCAAAAAAATCGTGCAAGTTAAAGGGCAAATCTGTGAATAGATAAAATGTGGAGAAGGATGATATCACTGAGGACATGCGTCTTATTTTATTTTCTAATAATCTTTCTTCTTTGATTAAGTGTTTTAAACTTCTTCTTCTTCTTCTTCTTCTTCTTCTTTCTCTAGTTTACAATCTTTGACATGATGACCATATAATCTTTGACAAAAGCATCGATCTTGAAACCTGCAGATGCAGCCAAATCAGTATATTCCTTTTCACAACGTTGTCTACCGTTGACAGAATGCCACAAGTCAACATCCTTCCAAGTTCTATAAGAGTAATAGTCTCTATCCTTTTCGAGGATCAAGTCATAGATGAATACCTTTCCATTTGGTTTAATTGATTTACCAATTGTTTCTAGAATGCCTTTTGCTTCTTTGGCATCCCAATCGTGAATGATCTTACTCATAGTGTAACAATCGGCAACTGGAACACTTTCAAAAAATGATCCTACCACTTCACTAAATCTTGGGTCCACCTTTGAACGATCCAACTTTTTGTTGTTATCAATAGTTTCTTGAACATCAAAATTTATTCCTTTTTCAAGATGTTTGTTTTGTTTTAAAATTTCTTGAATCATTCTAAAAAGATAAAGAATAATTAATTAAACTTTGTTTTTTTTTTATTATTTTCTTTTATGTTTTAACTTACACTCCTTGAGAACCACCCAAATCAACAACAACTTTAAACTTTGAAAAGTCAGACATGTCAAGGAAATAAGGTAACAATGGTGAAGTTAAACCAGTCATACCTCTTTCAAAGAGACCAAGTTCGGTTGGATTATCCCAAATATATTCCCAAAAGTTGGAATATCCTTTTCCGGCAGAGTGAAGAGCGACACTTGCTTTGCCAGTTTTTAGAGTTTCTCCAATATCATTCAAACCATTGTAGACACCATCACCACCTTTGAATAAGATGGCATCCCTTGTAAACTTGTCATTCAACATTCTTGAAAGATCCGATTGAGAGAATATTCTTGAAGAGACACCTTCCTCTTGATCATGGTGCTTGAATACACCAATGGTAGATAGACCACGCATAATCTTGTGCAAGGTGGTAGCATCTACTCCTCCCAACTGTTTGGCCAATTCATCGACTGAATGAGGTTTTTCATCAGCCAACAAAGAAGCAACATTGAGTTTGGTGACCAAATGAAGACAACGTGCCTTGTATGCACCTTGAGTAATTTCAATCAATCCAATTTGTCTCTTGTAATAATCCTTATCAATTGGTTGTTGATTGTTTGTATTTTCCATCATTTTTTAGTATAAACAAAAATTAAATAAATAAATTAAAAAACTAAATTATCTCTCTTCCTTTTTGAAATTAATAAAGATAATGAGTGAAAGAAAGTGTCAATATTTTTTATATTGAACTTGACCCAATTCATTAAAATAATCATTCATAATAAAAGAATATAATATATTATTTTATTATCCGCCTACTGATTTTTTTATTGTTGTGTGCATGTGTGGTAGGAAGTGACAGCAGCTATCCAATGAAGGGTTGACAGTTTTACTAGTGGTTAAGCAAGATGGTAGCAAAAAAAAACAAAAGTCACACTCAATGTGGTGGAGGTGCATCATTGGACGAAGACTAATATTATTATTCTCGGCATTATATATTATTAATAACACATACGCATACATATATATCTATATATATCTAATATACATATTGTAGTCGTATATAATGGATATAAAGAGACAAAAGAAAGAAGTTATAGTCGAAAAGGAAGGAGACGATGGAGTAGATATATTGCTCGAAAAGATCGGCAAGAACAAAGAACTTCTTAAAGTATTACAAACAATCACAGAGATTGAAGGCGAGAGGGATTTCGAGACTATTAGAATAGACAAGGATCAATATAAAAGCGCAAAGCCATTGTATGACAAGAGAAAACCACTTCTTACAAAGCTACCAAACTTTTGGTCTAATGTTGTATGTAACAATTACAATACGATAATGACAATGATATATATATATATAAGATTCTAATAATCATCTATTTATAAATTGATCACGATGTTTGTTGGATCAATAATAATAATAATAATAGTTTAAGAAATCATTTCCAGAATTTGAAGGATCAGATGATAAACCATTATATGAATACCTTACAGATTTTCTCGTTGAAGAGACTGATAAAGAGTTTACATTAAAGTTTGTATGTGTTTAAAACAATTGTGAATCAAATTTGTTTACAGAAGTCTGTAAATGATATGAAAGAAAGAAAGAAAGATGGATACTATACTGACTGACGAATCGATCGATTGTCTATTATAATGTAGACCTTTTCAAAGAACAAATTTTTATCAAATCAAGAGGTTATTGTGACCTGTCCAACTGCAACCACCAAGGAAGAGATGCTTCAAGACCTCCCAGCAACAACCAATGCAAAGGCAACACCTCTGACAGGGGAGGATGAAGATTCTTTTGACATGTTTCTTCAATTCCTCGAGCAACCAACACCCGAACAATGTATCAATATTGTTGGCGCAGTTTGGTCAACCCCACTCGATATTTTCCAAGCTGTATGTCTATCCAATCCATCAAAACTATATATATATATATATGTGTTAATATAGTTTGGGATTTCATCATTGTTATGTTATTTACTTATTTTCTTTCTTTTTGTAGGAAATGCCAGTAGAAGATGATGATGATGAAGACGATGATGAAGATGGCAAAAGTGTAGAAGTTGAAGAAGAGGCAAACGAATAAACATTCCCCAATTACAATCATTGGAGAATGATCTTACAATTATAATTATAATTATTTTTTAAAACAAAAAGAAAGAAGGGAATTTAGAGGAAGAGAAAAGATGTAATATTTTATTATTATTTATAAAAAAAGAGTATTACTTATTATTATTATCATTATTATTATTAGGCCAAAGTGGCAGTATTACTGCTACTGCTAGGTGGAGTAGTGGGAGTTGTTTGTTTGGATGGAACCTTTTCAGTTGCGAGTGTATTTGAAATGTCGTGGTTGACATGGGCATGTTCGACTTCATCTTGACGGATGACCATGATGACATCACGAAGTTTGGCATCTTCTGGCAATCCCCAATATGCTTTGGCGATAGCTGGTGCATTGACATTTTCTACCAATCCTGCATCCAAATCACGAAGCATATTGGTGTATGTCAATACAGCTTCTTCTTCTAAAAATCCAACGAATCTATGTGCTGTCTTTGGTGAAACGAGATAGAGGATTGTGTAATCGACCAAATAGGCGGCTTGAGCAAGAGCAATCAAGACACGCTCACCAAAAGTTGGTTTGGTGATTTCAATAAATGTCATGAGATGCATTCTTTCATTCTCAGCTTCGTCCAACAATGTCTTGATTACATAATTGTTTTGACATGTTCTAAGTGAATGAAGATGTTGAAGCATACCACCAGCCATACCTGGTACTGCTGCAACTGTTTCAAGTAAGCAACTACAAATACAAAAAAATATTAATATAAATTTCTACTATATATTCCATATTATCTAATTGATACATACGCATAATGAATATACTTTTCCTTAAAGAACATATTACTTAATAGTCTCAACGACTTGACAGCATATCTGGCAAAGTGATCACCAAATGTTTTTGGTTCGTATCTGGTTGGTGTGACAAACTCTTTCTCGATCTTGTCCAAATGTTCTCTCTTGGAGTAGGCATGTGATGTACTATGTCTGTGGTATTCCGGTGATGGATCCTTTTGGAATTGTGTAAGTGGTGCTGTTGAAATACGACGGCGAGATGCAAAATGGCTTGGTTCAAATTCACCAAACAATGACGATGCCGATAATCTTCCTGTCAATGATGATTGACCGAGTAGATTGGTTCCTCTGAGATAAACTGAAGAGGTAGAGGTGGTCTCGATGACTGGTAGAGGATGGTATTCTACCTTTTCAACCTTTGGAGGATAATGATGTGGTTCTGGTGCATCGAGAAAAGCAATATAGTTTGGATTTACTTTTCCTCTTCTTGTATATGATTTAATTGATTGTGGTGATATTAATGAATTCTTGATTTTAAGTAGTTGCGACATTGTTTGAAAATAAATAAAATGATAGGTTAATTTTAATAAATAAAAGTGTAAAGATATTAATTAATTAATTATAAATAAAATATAAATTTAAACCAAAATGTTGTTGTTGATAGTTATAATAAAAATTAACAAGATATTGTTGTTTATGATTGAGTTATTGGGCTATTGCCAATTGCTGCTATTTAAATCCTTTGAGTTTACCCGCAATTAATAAGAAACCGAGTTATGCAACATATTTTTCACGTCACTTAAACCTCTTCATTTTTAGAAAGGGTGACGTTTTTTGTAGCCTGGTTGCTCGGTTAGATCTTGTGCTTACACAACCAAATCAATGAGTATCTGTCTTTTAATCAATTGATTTACATTAATCAAGTGTGATCTCGCGGATCTTTGCATAGTGATCATCTTACCATACGCAAATGGAATGAGCTAGACGTTACTACTCTAAATATATGTATCGATTTGAAATAATTAATATCAGAACATAGAATAATAATAATGAACCAGGTTCAGTTGTGTACGTCTGGCTTATTCATTTAGCGTAGGTGTATTCTATTCTATCTGCTGATATCAATTTAAATGTAAAGAAGATTCTTAATTACAATTAATAGAAAAGGGTTTTTGTTTGATTAGTTTATTAATTTAATCAATCCTATATATGTTTTTTTGTTTGTTTGTTTGTTTGTTTTGATCAAATCCACAAGATCTTTTGTAAATAATAAATATAGATAAATATTATTATATTAATTCTTATCTAAAGGTTTTTTCTTGTATGGACTGACTGTGAAAGATGGGTTTGGTTGGATATCATAATTCTTCAAAACCTTTCTGAATGCTATTTGTACATTTTCACACTATAAATAGATATTATAAAAGGACCTTATTAGAATTCTATTCAAATGTTTTTGTTTTGATATTGTTTATCTGTTGCATACCTTTTCTTTAGTTTTACAAAATATTCTCACTCTTGACTCTTGGAATTGACTTGGAATAAGATGACTTGCATGTTCTTTAAGGATTTGTACCTTTGTCGAGTCATCATATCTAGTGTAAAAGTGTGTACTTTCAACAGGGTCCTTGTCTTTGAATGCATAATTTAATTTGAGATCGTGAATGATAAAGTCACTCTCTAACAAGTCGTTTCCAACCTTTGCAATCTCTTGACTAAGGGTGGGTGGAAGTTGTTTTGCAAACTGTGATCCAACCGGGATGATAACCTCATCAACAAATTTATACAAATTACGTGTTCTAATATTTCGAATGATTTGTCTTGCTTCTTTTAATTCTGGTTCTTTTGAATATTCTATTCTTTGTAATATACTATCTGTTAAATTAATAAATCTAAAATAGAAATAAAAATAGAAATAAATAAATATATTTATATAATTAATTAATTAAATTGTTATACAAACTCTTTTGGATCATCCAATTGATCAGAAATCTTCAAGTATGGATCAGCGGCACTTAAAGCATCTGAAACCATGTATTCAATTGCCTTTCCAACTTTATGAGTATAGACAATCTTGTGAAGACTATATCGTGTATGGAATAATTCATATAAATTATAAACTTCTTTACTACAAAAACATATTTCATCATCAATTACTCTACTAAATTCCATTAATCTAGAAAACAAAAGAAAATTAATAAATAAATAAATAAATATTATTTTCTTCTTTTCTTTTTCTTTTTTTTATTCAGAATACAAACCTAGTAAAATCACAAACGATAGCTCTACCCAAACAATAAGAATCACGAGCCAAATAATCAAATTTATCTACATCTACACTATTACGGTGATTGGCTACTATATCATACATGAATCTTTTTCCCGTTGTGTATGGTTCTCCAGTAATTAATGATCCAATAAATCTAACATCATCTGTACTATAATCCAATCCCTTATCATCAATTAAATAATTTAACATTTTCAATGACATTTCTTCGTGATGGAATTTTTTTCTAAAAAGAATTAAAATAAATAAATAAATAAATAAATAAATAAATAAATAAATAAATAAATAAATAAAAATTGTTCTTTTTCTTTTCTTTCTTTTCTTTTCTCTTTCATACCCAGTAGAATTTGCCCAAGATTCAAATGCATGTGAAAATGGTCCATGACCCAAATCATGACACAATCCAGCGATTCTAACAAACTTTTGATCATCTTCTGTTATTTCCAACTCTGGTTGTGTTGATTTAATCTTGTCTATAAATTTACCTGCCAAATGACTAACACCCAAACTATGTTCAAATCTAAAAAAAAGAAAAGAAGAAAGAAAGAAAGAATAAGTCAATCATTCACAATATACTTTGTTTGTTTGATTGTTTGGTTACCTACCTATGATGAGAAGCACAAGGAAAAACAAAAGAGGTAGTACCAAGTTGTTTTAAATCACGTAATCTTTGAAACTGTACAGAATCGACAAAGTCGAGTATATAATTGGGGACGTCCATGTGTCCGTGAACAACATCGTTGATCACCTTTGATGCCTTTGGTTTGAAGATGGGAGTATGTTTGAGTGTTCCTCTATTCGATCCCAACACTGATCCAAATGCATTGCCATTGGTACGAACTTTCTTGATGATTGAGAATGCAGTCTCACTGTCTGCACTCTCATTTATATTGAATGAATATTGTTCTTGTGATACACCATCAATATCATCTATACTACTCTGATCATCAAACGATGGGGATGAATCCCCTAGAAAATTGGGTTGTGACATTAATAAATAAACAAATATATTCTTTTTCTATCTCTCTATGTATATTAAATAACACAACAACAAACAATAATAATAATGAAAAGAAAGAGAAGAAAAAACAGAGATGAAAAGATTCTGAAATTCTGCAAATGAAATTAATTCATTCTCCTTTTGTTTTGATTATTCGAGAGAAACTAAACTCTCTCTTCTAATGGATTAAAAAAGTTACAATATAATTATATATATATATATTCATTTGCGATAAATTAGTATGCTACTGAATGATGACATTACACGAGTAAGCGATAGGATAGTAGTAGAACTAACTCAAAAATCGATGAACAATCGATTAGTCATGTGTATGTGTCGGTTTTATATTTTTTTAAATTTTTTCTTTTATTTGTGCAAGCAACGTTTTGTAGCTGCAGGAACTCCATCAACTCTCTCACTCTGAGAATTTCAAAAAATCATTCAATAACAACAAGTTCAAATTAGAGATATCTTTTATATTTATACTTATTTATAACATTACATATTAAAAATGGCAAGAAGAGGAGCATCATCATCACGTGTATCTGCACCAAGCAAACCAACTACTGCATCAAAGCCAGCCCCAAGCAAGGCACCAGCTACCACCTCTAAATCCTCTACACCAACCACCACCAGCAACCAACAATCACAAGCTCCACAAGTTGTCATGCAAGGACCAGGTCTCCTCTCCACCATGGCTTCTTCAATGGCTGGTGCCGTCGCTGGTAATGTTATTGGTCACGCCCTCGTCGGTGGTGTCTCTTCCATGATGGGAGGTAGCAATCAAGAAGCTGCTCCACAAATTCCACAAACCACCAACGCTGTCGATGAAAATACTTGCACTCCAATCTACAAGTGTACGTATCTCTACACAGGGACAACGAAAGATATGAATGATATCATATTGTAACAATCACGACGATCTAGAATACTAACTTAACTTTTTGATACTTGATGATTTTAGCATTCATGACATGTTTGGAAAAGAACCAAAATGACTTGGCCTCTTGCCAATGGGTCTATGACTCTTTCTTGGACTGCAAGAAGGGTGGAAATGGTGACAAGTTTTACTAAACCTTTCACTCTACATAATATATACAAAGACCAATAATAGTAATATATAAAACCAACTAATATTTAAACCCCCGAACCTAAACAACCACTACTCTCTCAAGATTGCTTCTATTCTTTTTGTTGGCCCCCTTCCCTCCCCCCGTCGTCGTCTCGATGAATAATAATAACCATCATAATTAATAATAGTTTGTTATTATTATTATCAATCAAAACAAACAACAAAACTTGTATAAACTTTAATTGAATGCATATATTCACATAGTTTATTGTACTATACATATACCTAATATCTATATATTTACGGATAGGAATGGGAAGGTCAATCAAAATTCAAGAAAGAATGTGTGATTTAATTTAATTTATTTTTATTTGTTTCATTGTCTCATCACTCGTCTTTTTGCGATTTGATATTTATTCATTTATTGACATCATGTTTGGTCGGAACCAAAGGTCTGGTGTTCTGACGAGGTTCTGTTCCATTGTATTCCGTTCTTTCAGTTTTCGTTTTACTCTTCGGTTGATATTTTTTATAAAAAGAGTTTGTGATTTTAATCAAACAAAACTATCTTTGCCCATCAACCAAAAAAGACAGACATAGATAGATTGTTTCATTCATTCATTCATTCATTTAGTTTGTATATATATACTTTTATATTTGTGTAATATATTAAGAGATGTCATCAATGTCATTAAATAGTTATGTAACAACTAAAAAGGGACTCAAACTATATGTTAGAGTAGCAGAGGAAAAGGATTGTGCTACATTGGACACTGTCATTAATTGGGCATACAGAGGAAAGGAAGGCACTCCAGACCCATGGACAACTGAAAAGGGATTGGTTGCTGGTAAACGTATCGATGAAGCTGGTCTCTTGCAAGAGCTAAAGAGAGATCCAGAGACCGCAAGAGTGATCCTAGTGGAATTGATCAAGCCTGTCGTACAAGTAGAGGATGGAGCTCAAGAAGAGACAACAAAAGAAGAACGTACTATTGTAGGCTCTATCAAGATTGATAGAGAATCTGCTACATCGACGGATGTACTCATTGGAATGTTCAGTGTTGACCCATCACTTCAATCAAATGGCATTGGTCAGATTCTTTTCAAGATTGCCGAATCATTTGCCTTGGAGCATTGGAAGTGCACCAGAGGTGTCCTTCACGTTCTCTCGGTACGTCAAGAGTTGTTAAATTGGTACTACTCGATGAACTATACTCCATCAGGTGAATTAATCCCATTCCTTCACGAAAAACATACCGATTCACCTTTAATCGATGATTTATGTTTTAGTACTCTTTACAAATCTTTAATCTAGAGAGAAAAAAAAGAAAAAAAAGAATATAAATAGTAATAAATAATAAATAATAATTGTAAAATTGGATCCAAGGAAAAGTATGTTTTATATATTGTTGTAAAATTATTTGTTTAATTTATTTATTTTCCTCTTTTTCTTTTTCTTTTAGGAATAGATTGGATCATAGTCTGAACCTTCAGGATCTAAATCACAAGTACCATCTGTATAAATTTGAACCCACATGTAGTTGCCAGATGTGGTATCGTATTTGGCAGCAAACCCAACACTTTTGAATTTCTCAGACAACATGAGTTCCACTGCACTTGGATCGTCTAGATACTTGTACATGACTTGGGCATCATTGTAGACCAATGGACCAATGAAAATGTTCATGTCTACAATGGTGACATTCTGGAGTTGATAATAAGTTGCCAGTTTTACGAGTGATTCTCCATGTCGTCCTCTCTTGGACAATTCTCGGCTCTTCATACCTGCAAGATGTGCCTTGGCCATACGAAGCAAACAAACATTTCGCTGCAAATGACTTCTGTTTGCCGCCTCTCTCTTGTTGTTTACATAGTTTGTTTGTACAAAATCATGGAAATTGATTGGAAATGGTTGAGGAAAGAATTGGGTTGGAGTGGGGGTTGGAGGATGTGGTTGATTAGTTGGAGCATAGCTTCCACGATATGGCATATACACCTGGGACCATCCAGTATTTCTTGCGAGTTCACTCATTGCTGCGGCCTCTTCTCTAGTCATGTGAGGTGAAAATATGTATTTTGGTGGTTCGTATGGTTTGGCTGTTGGATCATATCCCATCACACCAGAACTGACGGCAATGATTATTATTACAATTAAAAGTATAATAGAAAAGTGAAATTTCATTTTCCAAGAGAAAAGGAAAGTGTTGTATTATTATTGGTTAGTTGAACAATGAACAAATGATTAAATTTCGAGATTCTACAATCCAAACAATCGAGATTTATAAACTTGATAAATGTGTAAGTTTCCATATTGAAAAATAACAAAATAAATGATACAAAAAACACCTGTATGTCGCGTTCGTGTGGTAATATTCAAACACCATTGCGTTTTTAAATCACCATTGACTTGTTGTAAAAGTCACAAAAAAATTAATAAATAATTTCAAATAGAGATACTACAAGTACTTGTAGATATATTATTTAATATTTCTTTTTATTTATTTATTTGTGACAATTTCAATTTCCATTATTATTATTAGTTTTGTAATGTTTTTGTTTGTTTTGATTTAAAAAGATTCAGTAGCAACGAAAGCATTAAAATCTTCATCTTCAGATTTAACAGCAAATTCGACATCTATATTTTGACCAGATTGATCAATCATCATACGAGCACGAGCGAGAACCAACATGTTGTTGTTGGCAACTGATCTACCAGACATGTATAGAATATGTTTGTTGGCCTTTGGAGGGACGACCTCTGATTTCTCGCAAGGAGCCATACCGAGTGTACGAACGATCTCCTTGACAGCTTCGTCGATGCTCTTGATATTGAGTGAGAATCTTTGAATTGATTGAATATCCTCTGGCAACTCTTTCCATTCCTCCAAGAATTTGGGGGCTGGTTGGCCACGGATAATGTAGTCGCGTGGAACAAGAGCAATCTCTTCAATGTTGTATTGTTCGTCGTAGCTGCTGCTGTCTGCCTCGCCCGTCGATGGATCGATTTCACGGACACGGAAACGAAGGATATTATTGAAATTGATGAGAGGGGTAGAGTCTTGGATACGCAAGGCAACATAACAGTCGGCTGGGTCGTTGAAAGCCAACTTGTCGATAGGGAGATAGGTCTCAAACTTGATACGAACATTTGGTTCCATCTTTACAAACACATTCTCGAGTAATTGATCTTCAAGAGTGTTTTTGACGGTGAATTGAAAGACAATGTATCCGGCAAACATGTGTTTGACACAAGACACGACATATTCAGTCTCGGTTTCAGTCAATTCAATGATTTCGCTGCTCTTGAGCAACTTGCCATAGGCAGCAAACTGTGGAATGTTGGAGAGCTTGATAGCATAAGTCTCGCCTGCTTCCTTGCCCTTTGGTGTAGAGTCGCCGGCAGCAGAGGATGAAGAGGCCAAGGAAATAGCACCAGCCTTTGGAGTAGAGGTGGCCGATGCCTTTCCAGAGCTGAGAATGGGTGATGTTTCAACAACTGTGCTTACATTGTCAATGTTGAATGCCTCGGTGGCTGCTCTACCACTCTCCAAATATTGCTCCAAACTACGTTGAATATTAATGGCTGGTGCTGGTAAATCTTCCAACAATAATTGTGATAATAACTTTTCATTATTCTCTTTAAATAATCTAAGATATAATGTTGCTCTATCTCTAACTTCATCATCTTCATCAAATAAACATCTAAAAGGTAGAAATAAAAAAAATGTTAGATAAATGTATATATTATAATATATAATATTTTCTTTTACCTTTGAATTAATAATTCAACTTTATGTTTCATTTGTTCATTTAATAAACCAAATTTGGCCATTGAAGTGACGGCAGCAGCTCTGATGGTTCCACTGTCGAGTGAAATTCTATTGTAAATGTATCTAATATATTTTGATGGTGATGGAGTATGTGGTCCTTCTTGTCCAAGTAAATGAAGAATTTGAACTGAAAGTTCAGAATATTCACAATCTTCAATGAAATCACATAATTCATTTAATGCTAAAAAAATTAAAAAATAAAGAAATTAAAATCTATAGAATTGATTGATTGGATATATATTATTATATCTATTATAATTACCAATTTCTTTTGATTCTGGGATATGATTGACAACACTAAGGATTGCATCCAAAGTTGATTGTTTAAGTTGAAGTGAACCTTCATCACGAAGGATCTTGTTCAAAAAGATAATCAATTGTTTATACTTTTTGGGGAATTTAATGCTAAGAGCTGTAATTGATTCTACTACAACAATCTTGAATTCATCATTAATATCATCCAAAAAGTTTGAAATTTGTTTAATTAATCTTTCAACATTTGATTCATTACCAATCTAGAGTAGAATAATAAATAAATATATATTAATACGATTATTATTATGATTGTTGTTGTATTAAATTTCTATTTTTTTACCTTTAATAAAGTAGTAATAGCCAAAGTAGCAATACTTCTATTATTGTCAGTGATAAGATTTTCCATATCAAGGTTACATGGTACAACAGCAATTGGATTGACTTGAGCCAATTTATTAAGTGTACGAACGGCAGCAAAACGAAGAGTTGGTTTGGAGGAAGAGAGGAACAGTTGAAGAGTACCAACTGCAGATGTCAATTCCTTTAATGAACTATTCTTGAGTGAACAAATAGCTCTTGCTGCTTCATAAGATACCATTTCATTTCTATTTCTTAAACATGATTCAATATAATCATAGAATGCTCTATCTCTATAAAAAATAAAATATTAATATAAAACTATTGATGGGTGTTTTTTATGTTATTTAACATACTGAGTACCAGTTTCTTCGATAACTTCAACAGCACATTTAATGAGATAACATTGAGCATATGGTGAACGAAGAGAACTACGAATCATAGCACTAACGAGTTTGGTGACAGCCAAACGATCGTGTTGCTTGATACGATGGAGGAGTGCCAATGCATGGTATTGAACCATGTTTGATTTGTTGGAGATGGATTCTTGTACTTCATTGGCCCAACGTTTAACAGTGTCTGGTGACACCTTTAATAAATGAATACTCGATACCAAAGCTGCAGATGAAACATGTGGATCCTTATCAACAATACATTGTTTAATATGACGCTCAACTTGTGATAATAATTGATTCTATAAAAAATAATAATAATAAATTTAGTAATTGTTAAGTTATGTGTAAACATCATATGATGATAAGTTATTTCTTCTTTGTAACATACATCAATAATTTTACATAATACTCTAATAGAATTGGCTCTATATAATTCAATCTTGTGAGACATATCCTTGACAAGTGAACTTGTAGCAATAAGACTCATCTCTTGTGACATGATAGTACTAAACTCTTTCAACAAAAGATATGTCAATCTTCTTAATGGAATCTAGATAGATAGAAGAGATTGTTAGATATTTAGAGTACTCTAAACCAAACTTTCAATACTACTTACATCCTTTGATTGGAATAACTTTGTAGCAGCAAAGTAAACATCTGTAGCTTCTGTATTGGTAAAGGTATCACCACGAGACAACAAATAAAGGAATTCAGAGATTACAAATGAACACTTTCTAGCATTGATTTGATTCTCATTGAATACACGCTTCTCTTGAATTACTTGTCCCTTGTCTAATGATTCGAATGGGAATTCTATAATATAACAATAATACATATATATGTATTAGGATACTTTTCACCAATCATCATTTGATCATCATCGTCTTGCTCTCTTTACTTACCATTCTCATCATCATCCTTCTTTTCAAATCTATTCATTCTTTCTTTCTATCACTACTACACTATCTACTACTACTAATACTACTTTATATTACTGATAAATAGGTATATATAATAAATAATTATAGAGTGACTCTCTTTGCAAATGCCTAAGTTGCTTGATGATTCATAATGGGAGTGGGTGAAAGGTCAATTTTGAACTTTTCTTTTTTTTTTTTTTTTTAATTTTTTTTTTTCCTTGTCCAAAAACAAGATTGAGTACTATATATTAATAGTATGTTTTTAATTAATTATAATAAGTTTGTTTCTAATATTTATTTTAATAATCCACGTTTTCTAAAATGTTCTTTGGCATGATCAGATAGACCAGTTGGGGTGAATGACATCATATCTTCAGTTAGTTGATCGATACTTTCACTGTCGTCAAAGTCATCGTCACTATCGTCGCTGTCAGAGTCATCCTTGTCGAAATCGGAATAGTCTGATTCAGATTCAGAGGAACTCTTCTTTCTACCGTCGTCTTGGTCTGATTCCTCTTCGGATTCATCTTGGTCAGACTCCATGTCATCCAAGTCATTGTCGTCGTCCTCTTTGGTGACATCGCTCCACTGGACGTAGAGGTCGTCAATGTTGGAACAAGAGTTGCGAAGGAGATAGGGATCGAATGGGAAGAACGAATCAAAGGTGTTGGAGATGGTGTTGGAGTTGCTGTCGACGATACTCTTGGGAAGGACAATCTTGGAGTTGGAACGAAGAATGTTGGTGCACTTTGTAAAGATGTTGACACGAAGACAGACCGAGCAGAATTGCTTGACAACTGTCTTAAGACACACCTTGAATGGGTTGAGTTTGGACATGCTGATCTTACGGAACGCGTCGTGTAGATCCTGCCAGTACTCTCTTTGCTTGTCGTCGGTGAACCCGCGCATGTCGAGTATCAACTGGTTGCGGAAACAAAAGATGTAGTAGACGGATTGAGCGACTGAATAAAAGATTGAGTGGAGTAGTGGATTGGGTGTAGAGTCTTTGGTTTCATGACGGTCAATGTATTGGATGGCAAACGACAACAATTCTCTAAACGCCAATCGAATGACATGCGATGGGAGATAGGAAGCACGTGAAACAAAACTACCGATATAAGCAGCACTGGCTTGGCGATGAATAGAGGGGGTCCGTTCATTACTGAGCTTGCCAAAGAGGTATCTGAGGAATGACTCTCCATATTGTACTCTTGGATTGACGCCAAGAGGCAATGGATCAATATGCAAAAACGTGACTTGCTCTTTGGAGACGACGAAAAACGTAGTTTGGGTGATGTTGAGAATGGATTGGCACCAACTGCTTTTGGTGATGTTGGTTGTTTAAATGGTGATAAATATTGTGGTGATGTTGGTGTCTGTTGTTGTTGCTGCTGTTGTTGAGAATATTGCATGACAATATTGATATTATTTTGAGTTTGATTTAAAAGTGGAGTATTATAATTAAAGGCTGGGAATATATTCTTTTGTTGGTAAAGTTTACAAGTGTAAAAGATGAGGTATTGGACATATTTGGACTTGTAAGTGGGAAGGACACTATTGTCAAATGCCTTGATGAGATTGTGGAACATTTCATCTTGCAAATTCTTGATGTCACCCTCCTTTTGGTTCAGTTCAATGGCAAACATATTCTCTTTGGCTGTCTTTACGCCAAAACATGCATTCAAATACTCAAACATCAATGCCATGAGAATATCCAATTTGTGTGCCATCTGTGCTCCCTCTGATTTATTTTCCTCAATATTGAATTGTAAATCTTCATCATCTGGTATTTCATCTAATGATATTGATGACTAAAATAGTAAAATTAAAAGAGGAAATAAGAATTAGAATTTGGAAATAATTATTATTTTTGATTTAATATTTTTTGATTTTTTGACTTACATCTATATTTACAAGGGTATCAATTGAAGAAGTTAAAATACTTAGGGCAATAGTTGGACAATATCTGGTGACAAAGAGAGCATTTTTAAAATAAAAATGATGAATTTCAACTGAATGAACACGATGTGGGAAACGATGGGCAAGAGTGGATGCCAATAATGGAGTGGTTAGAGGAAAGGTGGAAATAATCTTGTTGAAAAGGAAATGAACCTTCATGGCAATCATTTCCCATTTCTTATAGTCGACGACATTGATACCGTTGGCAATGGCTTGTTTGTATGGTTCAAATGCTCCAACCAACATTTTAAAACATTCATCTGCATAGGCAGAGTTGTATGTAACCAAATTGATGATAAAATCTATAAATCTATTGACTGAAAGTTCATCCTTGGTCCAATCGAAATTGATCAATTCAGACAATGATGGTTTGTTTTTATCTTGTGTTGCTCTTTTCCAAAGTGCATGATAATCACCAGCTACTACTGTTGGTGTTGTTTGTGTTTTTACTTCCATTGGCATCTAGAAAATTAAATAGAAAATATATAAGTAATCATTATTTTAATAATATTAATGTTTTTTTTTTTTTGCCAAATCTAGAATATTGTTTTACTGTTTTCTCTAAAAGAAAGAAAGAAAAAGGAGCAATATATATTGAAGATATATAAAAACAACAAATAGATGTGGTCATCAACCAAAAAAACAAACAAAATTCCATTATTATCAAAAGATTAAAATGGTTTTAAGAAGTTTAGTTTAGGTTTTTTTGATCGCACACTTTTTGTGTTTAATAATCAACAATTCCAAATCATTGGGAGGGCAATATATAGTGGTATAGTTTTACTCTACTATATAATTCAAATCAATTGACAATTACACCATACAAAATAATAAAGAACGCGCATGCATGCATTTACATATTTAATTTTTGTTTTTTTTTTTGTTTGTTTTGTTTTTTAAACCTATTTGTTATGAAGAAAACTTACTAACTGGATGGGACGGGTCCGAGTAGTAGTTGAATATGGCAATGTCAGTACGTAAACAATGGAGGGGAATCCAACCCAACCACATCCATGTCTAAAGATTAAGCTTTTTTCCTTTTTCTTTCTTGGTCGGTAATATATATACTACCGAAACAACATTGGATTGTGTGATTGAATGTGTATAATATTATACAAATTATAAAGCGTTCACAACATTTGATATTCAATAAGAGATTAAAAGGGGTAGTGGAAACACATCACCAACCTCCTCTGGTTTCTCTAGTTGTGTGCTTTGATTTGTTTGATTTGTTTTTTTTACAACATTCACACACACAGATCCTCTGAGAACGGAGCAATATGCCGCCAGTCATCATCGTCATTGTCATTGTCATTGTCATTGGGAGGTCTGGATCTAGATTTTCTTGTTGATTCCATAACTTCAAAATACATGTTTGAAGAGAATAAATAAAAGTATGCTAGATCCAGTGTCTGACATAACATAATGACTCTGACCCTCTTGGCAAAAACAATACTCTTTACAAATGAAATGAATCAAAAATCCAAAAAAAGTGATAATGCGATAGAGAGTGATAACGGTTCACGTGACATGGTCAATGGCATATTTGTATGACAGGACCAAAAAAAAAAAGAAAGAATTGGGGGGTTTGTGTAAAGGGTCTCGTGATAATGGTGGTACTCTAGAGTATATGTACACTTTAAAACACATTATCCATTTTGTTTGACCCGTCCCAATTCAATTGTTCATTTTTTACCCGCCAAACCAATAATTAGTTTCGAACCTCCTCTACACACACGAATGATCATTTTCAAAGTGCTTGGATTTCATCTTCATCATAGTAAATGGCAATGTTGGATTAACGGAAAATAAAGAAGAAAAAAAGCTTACCTTTTTAAAAAATAGAGATAGAGATATAGAAGGATTATTATTGATTCTTAATAGTTGAATTGATTAATGAATGAGAAAGGTTGAAAGTACTAGTAGTAAATATTAAAAAAAAAAAAAACTTTGAAATTCTAATAAAATCGAAAATCTGTTTGTTTGTTATCTATTAAAGAATGTTGTTGAAGATGAGTCTTATTATGATATAATGAAATATGATATTAATTCTCGAAGTTTACTGTGCTGTTGTTTGTTGTTTATGTTGAAATACTAAGTAGTTTTTAAAAAAAGTGATGTAATGCAATACAAAACAATTTGGTTTCTATTATTATCTCTTGTTGTTGCTTTTTATTTTTAAATAAAATGTATTTGATATTTTTTGAAATTCACTAGTGATAATGAAAGTTGAAGACAAAGGTGTTGTTGAACAAAATAAATAATAATTATTTCGAATTGATGGATGGTGGAAAACAAATAAAATAAAATAAAACGAGAAAACAGCGAGAAGCGATTTCGTTTTTTTTTTTTTTTTTTTTTTTTAAATATTTTTAATTTTTTTTTTTTATTATTTTTTGTGCAATTGCAACAATGGGCTCAGAAAAATGAATTGAGATCTGGATATTTTTAGGTTTGAAGAGTTAAGTATTCTGGTTTTACGGATAGATGATGGAAATTGATTGTTGGATGTTTAGATGTATACAAAAATGATGATGATGATTGTGATTTGATTGGATTTGATTATTTTTGGTTTAAAATTTCTTAGGAACCACAACTAATACAACCTTGTTCACGACGACAAACAGCACCATCACCATAATCTTCAGTTGAGGTTGGTTGATTAGGGTTGAATCTTAGTGGACTGACAACTTGAGTGTTGGGAGAAGTTGGATTGATTCTGGTTGGTGTCTTTGTTGGTGTCTTGATGGATCCATCGGCATTGACAGTGACAGGGACAACAGTGCCATCAGCCAAGAGTTGTTGTTCGGCGGCAGCGGCGGCGTTGGCTTTGGTTTGAGTGAGCATTTGTTGATCGACGGTGAATTGGATGGCGTCGGCAGCGGCACGAGTACGGAGGTAGTACATACCAGTCTTGAGACCCTTCTTCCAGGCGTAGAAATGCATAGAGGTGAGTTTGGCAAAGTTTGGTTCGGCAATAAACACGTTGAACGACTGACTTTGGTCGATAAAGGCACCTCTGTCGGCAGCCATATCAATGAGTGTACGTTGACGAATCTCCCAAGCCGACTTGTACAGCTCTTTGAGGTCGTCGGGGATACCTTGGACGTTTTGTACCGACCCACGGTTAGCAATGATTTGGTTCTTCATTTCGGGAGTCCACAAACCAAGTGCCATGAGATCCTGGAGCAATTGCTTGTTGACGACGGTAAACTCGCCGGCCAAGACCTTGCGCGAGTAAATGTTGCTAGTGTATGGTTCAAAACACTCATTGTTGCCGAGAATCTGTGAGGTGGATGCTGTTGGCATGGGTGCGACGAGCAACGAGTTACGTAGACCGTGTTTGACGATACGTTGTTTGAGAGCGGCCCAGTCCCAACGGGCAGATGGTTGGACATCCCACATGTCAAATTGTAGGATACCTTGGGAAGCGGGCGAACCTGCAAAGGTCTCGTATGGACCGTCGCGCTCGGCCAATTGACACGATGCGTCAAGGGAAGCATAGTAGATGGTTTCGGCAATCTCCTTGTTGAGGACGGCGGCAGCTGGTGAGTCAAATGGCATACGGAGAGCGATAAAGACGTCGGCCAAACCTTGAATTCCAATGCCGGTTGGACGATGACGCATGTTGGAACGACGAGCTTCTTCGACTGGGTAGAAATTACGGTCAATGATCTTGTTGAGGTTACGTGTAATGATACGGGTGATTTCGGCGAGATGGTTATGGTCAAATGAAGCGACGGCCGATGGCGAACTACGCTTGACAAACTTTGGTAGAGCAATCGATGCAAGGTTGCAAACGGCTACTTCGTCGGCTGAAGTGTACTGGATAATCTCGGTACAGAGATTGGAGCATTGAATAGTGCCAAGGTTCTTTTGGTTGGACTTTTCATTGCAAGCGTCCTTGTAGAGGATGTATGGGGTACCAGTCTCGATTTGCGAGTCGATGATGGCAAACCAGAGGTCTTGTGCCTTGACCACCTTACGGGCTAATCCAGGAGTCTGCTCGTAGGAAAGGTAGAGATCGCGGAACTTGTCGCCGTAGCAATCGGCCAATCCAGGAGCTTCGTTTGGACAAAACAACGACCACTCGGCATTCTGTTCGACACGTTCCATAAAGAGATCGGATACCCAGAGTGCGTAAAAGAGGTCACGGGCACGCATCTCTTCTTTACCGTGGTTCTTTTTAAGGTCGAGAAACTCGAAAATGTCCGAGTGCCATGGTTCGAGGTAGACAGCAAACGCACCCTTTCTCTTGCCTCCACCTTGGTCGACATAACGGGCAGTATCGTTAAACACACGTAGCATTGGCACCAAACCGTTGCTAGTACCGTTGGTTCCACGGATATAGGATCGTGCGGCACGGATCTTGTGCACGGCGATACCAATACCACCGGCACTCTTGGAAATGAGGGCACATTGCTTGAGCGTGTCATAAATACCTTCGATCGAGTCGTCCTTCATCTGCACGAGGAAACAACTCGACATTTGAGGCGAGTTGGTGCCAGCGTTAAAGAGGGTTGGGGTGGCATGCGTAAAGTAACGGTTTGACAATTGGTCGTACGTGTCAATGGCAGCGTCAATGTCGTCACCGTGGATACCAAGTGAGACACGCATCAACAAGTGTTGGGGACGTTCGATGATCATATCATTGACACGGTGCAAATAGGAACGTTCGAGTGTCTTGAAACCGAAAAAGTCATACTCAAAGTCACGAGTATACTTTATGGCAGCCTCGATACGATCGACGTGTTTGTTGGCCAGTGCCAAAATCTCGTCGGATACTAGTGGGGCTGGTGCGCCAGTCTTGGGTGACACGTATCCGTGTTGGAGCTTGACGGTCTCTAAAAAGGATTCGTGTGTCTGTTTGTGCAAGTTGGACACTGCAATACGTGCAGCCAAGACGGCATAGTCTGGGTGCTTGGTCGACATGTAGGCAGCAGTCTCTGCAGCCAAATTGTCCAATTCAGTGGTCTTTACACCTGGGAATACTCCACTGGCCACCTTTTGTGTAATCTCGGATGGATCAATTATATTGGTATCCAATTTTGGTTCCAAATCACATAAATATTGTAATCTTGTTGTAATCTTATCATATTTTACCTAAAAAAAAAAAAAAAATAAGAATAGAAATGAAAAGAAAAGATATATAATATATTAACATCTATCTCTTTTTTATAAAAGTATAGTTGAGTTGAGGTTGGTCTATTACATACTGCTACACGAGTACCATCACGTTTGACGACAAACATTTTACCTGGTGTATTAGTAATTTCAGATTTACTATCTTTAATAGGAGATAATGGGTTCATCTAACTCTAATCTCTTTTTCTCCAATATCAGTGTTGTTTGTTATTATTATGATATCTAAAAAATGATTTCTTTTCTTCTTAATTCTGTATTTTTACAATTATGTAATGATGATGATGATGATAATGAATAGATATATAATATTTAATGTTAGTTATTATTATTCTTTCATATGTTATGTGGTTGGGGTGTGAGTATGAGAGAGAGTATAAAATTTACTAGAAAAACGAATTAATTAATTTGATTTCCTTCTGTCGGGTCGGGTAAAAGAATGAAAAGAAGAATAAAGAACAAGTAGTAATTCTTTACTTGTGCGTTGTTTGTTGGTGATTTATAAAGAAGTAGGTAAGTTGTTAAAAAAAACTTGAAATAAAGTCTGAGAGAAGAACAAAACAAGCAAAAGGTCATCCTCCCAACTCCTCAAACTGATTATCAAAATTGGCGCCAAATTCAAAAATTTCTCTTCTTCTTTCAACCAACCCACCACATTCTTTTGTGATTTTTGTTCATCGTTGGATGTATGTTGAGCCATTTCCACCTTTTGGCCGATCAGAAGATCGTATAAAGTACAACCCGGCGACGTTCTTATTTGTAACGATAACATTTTCCCATCCATCCACCGTGGATCATCCCCTATATATTTATAAATACATCAATAAATAAATAAATATTCTTATTCGAGAACGATGCGATGTGCGACATCACAAGTATACAAAATAATAAATCATGATTATGTTGAACGATATCGTCATCAGATATATATATATATATATAATCATTATCACAAAATATTATTAGTTGTTATTCTTTATATTATTTGATAGTGACATATCTTCTATGTTAATGACTATGATGATGACCAACTGATAACATTGAGGCACTGCAATGAAGCGAAAAAAAAATAAAAAAAAAAAAAGTGTAAAAAAAAAACGAGAGAGTTGCTGGAGCCTGTTGATCATTCGTTTCAAAGCACACACATACTTATTACTCTTCTTGGAGGTTGATATATTACTTTTTATATTATAATCAGCAGGTATGTAAAGAGAGAGAAGAAGAGACAGAGAGAGAGAGATGATAAAAAAAGGAAGAGGAAAAGATTAGAAAGTGTTAATAAACAAACGAAATGATTACTAATTACCAAAACTTCCTTCCTTCCTTACTCCTCTCTACTGCATATATCTTATATCTTTAAACAATATAAATACAAATATGTGGATATAAACAAACAACAACAATAATCAATAATTATCAACAACAACAACAACAACAAAAACAACAATCATTATGAATGATTAATGATCATATTCATATACAAATACAATTACATTATCATTATGTATATATATCTCGAATATATTTCTTTTTTGGAATTGGAAATATTATAATATAATATAATATTTTCTATATACAGAATGTTATCAAAGAATCTTGTACAAAACTTTGTATCAAATGGAGCTCGTTATTTCCGTACTTCATCTGTATTGATGGCTGAACCATCATCCAAGAAGAAGTTTGAGCGTACCAAGCCACATGTCAACGTTGGTACCATTGGTCACGTTGATCACGGCAAGACCACTCTTACTGCCGCCATCACCAAGACCTTGTCCGACAGAGGTTTGGCCAACTTCAAGTCGTACGCACAAATCGACAAGTCACCAGAGGAACGTTCACGTGGTATCACCATTACTGCCTCACACATTGAATACGAATCGACCAACCGTCATTATGCCCACATTGATTGCCCAGGCCATCAACATTACATCAAGAATATGATTACTGGTGCCGCTCAAATGGACGGTGCTATCCTCGTCGTCTCTGCTCCAGACGGACCACAAGAACAAACCCGTGAACACGTCATTTTGTCACGTGAAGTCGGTATCCCAGCCATCGTTGTCTTCCTCAACAAGATGGACAATGCCGACCCAGATCTCGTCGAAATTGTCGAGATGGAAGTTCGTGAACTCTTGTCCAAGTATGGTTTCGATGGTGAAGGAACCTCTTTTGTCAAGGGTGCCGCCGCCGTCGCCCTCGCTGAAGACGATGCATCTGCCACTGAATACGGTCGTCATGCTATCGACAAGTTGGTCGAAATCCTCGACACCAAGATCCCACTTCCAAACCGTGCCATCGACAAGCCATTCCTCATGCCAGTCGAAGAAGTCTTCTCCATCTCTGGTCGTGGTACCGTCGCTACCGGACGTATCGAACAAGGTGTCGTCAAGGTTGGTGATGAAGTCAGCATCATTGGTATCAAGCCAATTCCAAAGGTTTCTGTTACCGGTCTCGAAATGTTTGGCAAGATCCTCGATTTTGCCCAAGCTGGTGAAAACGTCGGTGTCCTCTTGCGTGGTTTGAAGCGTGAAGATGTCGTCCGTGGTGAAGTTATTGCCAAGCCAGGTACCATCAAATCTCATACCAAGTTTGTTGCCAAGACATATATCCTCACCGATGGTGAAGGAGGCCGTAAGAAGGGTTTCGCCACCAACTATAAGCCACAATTTTTCATCCGTACCTCCAACGTCACTGGTCGTATCGAATTGCCACCAACTACACCAATGGCAATGCCAGGTGACAATTTAGAGATCAATGTAGAGCTAATTTCACCAACTCCACTTAATGAGGGCTTGAGATTCGCGATCAGAGAAGGCCAGCTTACAGTTGGTGCTGGAATCATTCACAAAGTACTATCCGCTTAAAGACAGCAATGCAATAAATAATTAAATAGAATTAGGAAATATATATATATATATAGTTGATACATATAAAGCTTTATAATTATTTATCTCTATCCACTTTTTTTTTTTTTTTTTTTTAACCACACAATTCAAATTGAATAGTGAGAGGTGAGTTCAAACAAACAAGTAGGGAGGTAGGTATGGATATGAATGTACTCCTTCATATATACAATACATAAAAGGATAGAAAAAAATAAATATCTTGTAAAGTAAAAAAAAGAGATAATTTATTTAAATAATTAATTCCATCCAAAGAATGAGTATAGTTCTTGTAACAATTGGGTTCACCTTTATTTCTTTTGTCATTACAAAAGGTCTCCAAGTGTGAAGGATACATTGGAGTGTGTATTGCCGCCCATCTCTTTATTCATCATGTCTGTAACGACACAATAGACAGAGTGATGATGGTGAAAGACACACTCCCATGTATTCTTCACATGATGATGATAGTTTCTATTTACAATAAATAGATTGTCAGCCAAGCCAGCTTTTGGTTGAGCAATTTCAAGTCGAGTGAAGCCAATATATTTGTAAAATTTAACCATTTCTTGCATTAATTAAATTATTTTCTTTTTAAAACTTGAGTTTGTCCAACAAGTCTGGATAGATATTAATAAAGCTTTATATATATATATATATATTTATATTTCCTAATTCTATTTAATTATTTATTGCATTGCTGTCTTTAAGCGGATAGTACTTTGTGAATGATTCCAGCACCAACAGTTCTTTAGTTTGGTTTGGATTCGGAGAAAACCTGATAATCGTATAGAAAGTTGACGGGTCTGGTTGGTGTATGTACAATGTTTGATGAAGAAATTATTTTTAAAAAGAAAAAAAAAAAGGTACTCGATTTGTACTTGTATTTATTTTGTTTTTGTTTGGAAGATTAAAATGTTAAATGTTATTTTTTTTATATATATATGCACTGTTGCTCCTCTCCTACTATAGTAGCGGGAGAGGATGATTTATCTATTATTTGATATTATATTCTGGAAGCCGAGGGTACGTGGAATACTTGTTTGTCAGTGGTGGTCACCTCAAAGCGGAGTCCTCTGGGCTTTGCACAAAAGTCTACTCTTGAGATTAGGGTACCGTCGCGATCAATGCCAATGTGTTTGCGAGTGACATTGTCGTCCTCTGGCACTAGACCCGGTGGTCGCGGGTATTCAATCGAAACAACAACAACTTCGTCCTTATCAAAGGCCATGATAGAGCTGACATGGGCTGGAGGGTCAAGCACCAACACGTATTTGTTTGTGCGTCCCTTATCGTCTTTGAAGTCGTAGCCATCAATGTATAGCCGAGGAATAGAAACGTTGGGGCTAGGTACCATTCTCTCATTGACTTGCTTGCATACACCTGCTAGTTCCATGTCGCCAACGAATAGTTGTGCCCCCAATTCTTTGACTTGCACCTCTGGTATGCCAATTTTGAAATAGTAGGTAGAGAAATCCTTTTTTAAAATCTTTGATTGTACAGAGACTGGTTGTCCGGACAGATCGTTCATGAACAAGGAAAGCTTGGCAAGTTGCTGTTGTCCGTCCAGGATATCTGGACGATTGGTGATCTCTACTTTGATTTGAATGTAACTACTGTGGCTGATTACTTTGTAGGAGAGTGTGAGCGTTGTAGGACTCTGGTGGAGGTGGTGGGGGACGATGGATTTTTGGCCTCTTTGTTGTTGTGATGGAGAGGGTGAGGATGGAACAAGCGAGTAAGGGGTCAATGGAGACGACGGCAAGTGGACCCCACTGTTGTTATTATTATTATTATTATTATTATTATTCAAGTCATTCAATGATCTTTTTCTTTTGCCAACAGAGAGTGTCCAACCACCACCACCACCAGACTGGTGTTGGGTGTTCACATTATGGTTGAATGGGGATGGTGGAGCAAAGGCCATTGCATCTACTTGGCTTTGTTGACTCTCTCCACTTTGAGGTGATCGTGTTGGTAGCAGGTTGCTTGGAGTGCCTGGAAGTTGTTGTTGGCCATCTGGCGACGATTGAGAGGGTGGTGATTGTTGTAAATAGGTAGAGGGTGGTGGTGGTGGTGGGTGATATGGAAATGATAATGATTGTGTCAATAATGGGTTGATAAACTGAGGGGTGACCGGAGTTTGTTGGGATGGATGGTGAGGCGACGAGTTTGTTGGGATGGAGGGTGGCGACACTGGAGACCGGGGTGGAGAGTATGGTTCGTTCAACGCGAAAAAGGCTGCAGATGGAGAGTATGATTGATCCAACGCATGTTCGTTGTGGGGTGGTACTTGTTGAGTGTCGTCGGTGTTGTAGATGTTGTTGTTCGTTACAACATGTTGTGGAGGAGGATTGACCTGTTGTAAAGTTTCCAACCGTTTGGAAGCTCTTGGGTGTCCCGAGGCTTTCCATACAAATAGAGCACTTAGTTGTCCGGTAGCACCTGCTGGTGGTTGTCCAATCTTCTCGCTGGCTATTGTTGTGGTTGGTGGTGGTTTGGCATGCGAGTCCAATGGATTAACATTGTTATCTATTTGGTTGACAAGTAGTAGTTGGTTTGGAGTTGAAGGGCATCGTTGACTTGGTTGTGAAGTTTTCAAATGTTTGGAAGCTTTTGGATGTTTTAAAGGTTTCGATGCCGAGTGAGCACCTAGTTGTCCGGTAGCACATGGCTGTCCAATCTTCTCGACTATTGTTGTTGTCGTTGTCGTTGTTGTTGTTGTTGTTGATGGTGGTGGTTTGGCTTGCGAGTCCAATGGATTAACATTGTTATCATTATTATCATTATTGTTAGAATTAATAACATTAATACTATCATCAACAAAATTTTGAATATTGAAATCATCTGCCGTTGTTGTTGGTGTTGATTGAGAGTCCAAAAATGTATTATAATTAATATCATTGAAATCATCTGCCGTTGTTGTTGGTGTTGATTGAGAGTCCAAAAATGTATTATAATTGATATCATTGAAATCAATAGAAAAATAATCCATTGTTGTTGTTGTTGTTGTTGTTGTTTGCATGACTGATGTAGAGGGGGAGGAGGAGGAGATTGATCGATCGATCAATATATTAAAAAGGAAAAGTACAAGAATAAAACTAACTAGATTTATTCTATGTATAAAAGATAAATAAATATATAAATATATAAATATATATTCTTCTTTTTAGAGATAGAGATAAAATATATATGTATATATTAATAAATTTGATTTAGGTATTAGATATATATATATATTTATAGATATAAATAAAGTGAGGAGGAGGATAATTTGTGTATAGGGATTGATTAGCAATAAGAGAACGGGTGAGTGATGCGATGAGTGAGTTCACGATCACGACAAATTAAAAATTAATTAAATCGATCATTGCACGTGATTGTGAAATTGATGATAATAGTTGGCTTTTGTAATGGGTGAGATATTCATTGATTAATTCAACCAATCATTATTCATTTGGCTTTTTTTGTGTGGTGGGTGATATAATTCGTTGATTCAACCAGGCAACATTTCCGAGCTTGATACTACTAGTATACTATCAATTACGGGTAGATCATACAGATAGAGAGAAGGAGAAAGAGAGAGAGAGAGAGAGGAAAGAGAGAGATATGATAAATCATACAAAAGATGATGAAAAAGAGACAGTAACAAATACTGCTTATAACATCACCTCTACTACATCTACTACCACCTCTTTGTCCGCGCCATTTATTACTACTTCTGCAATCAAACGAGAGAGAAATGGTGGATCAAAGATTAAAATAGAAACAAATGATGAACAACGTGGTGATGATGATGATGATGATCAAGACAGAGAGCAGCAACAGTACAGTGAAGATGATATAAAGAAAACAAACCTACTAGAGAGATGGCATCAAAAGCTGATGAAACTAGCAGAGACACAACCCTTTATAGATCAAACATTCTACTTTTCAAAGGAATTGTTTAATCGTCATTCACTCTCTTCCTATTCATTGTTTAAACAAGAATTAATCTATATCCTAACAACAAGAGATCAAATTAAACTTGAAAATGATGGTAAAAATTAACAGATTCAAAGAGATAGTAGAGTACAATATACTAAACATAGACTCTTCTTTCCTTTTCTTTTTTAGGAGATGAAAATAGATTATTTAGAGTATCATCATTGACATTACTACAATTATTAGATAGAATCAAAGATTATTATTATGTCAATAACTTTGAACTCTACAAAGAAGATTTTCATTTGGTGTTTGCATTTGATGCTGAAACCAACCCATACTTGGACAAGAGAATAGGTGGCTATATCAACCAACTCATCTCTAGTATCAATGATCAGCTGTTGCTAGAGTTGTTTGATCTACAACAAGTGTTTAAGAAAAAGAAAGCAAGTACTGTTCGATTGGAAAGTAGTATTGTTGCAACAGACAGAAACATCCAAAAGCTAAGACAAGCACCCAAGGTTAAAAGGAAAAGACCAATCAAGACGATCAGCCATCCAAGAAACCACCATCTAAAAAGAAATTGGAAAAAGAAAACAAAGCCAAAAAGATTCAAATCAAACAAGACAATAAGAAACTATTATTCCAACAATTAGAGAAAAAGGATCAAGACAAATTTAATTTTAAACATGTTATGGAGAATTTAGAAAAACCTCTAGAATGGAGAGATTCTCCTTTACCATTCCCATATCAACATATTAATCTTGTTCAACCTGATGGAATGTTTGAAAGTAAGATAAAAAAAAAGAAAATTAAATTGAAAATGATTTATTAATTTTAATTAACTTAATTTTATTATTAGGAATGAAATTATATAATTATCAACAAAATGGATTGGCAAAAATGATTCGTAGAGAAGCATCTTTGGGTGAACCATATATAAATCCTATTTGGATAAAATTACCAATCGATCAAGAAAATAATGAAGAAGAGGAAGAAGAAGAGGAAATGGAAATAGAAGATACTGCTACTACTGCTGCTATCGAATTTGTATATAAAAATTTGATAACAAAGAAAACAGTTAAAAAAGAACCAAAAGATTATTATCTTGCAGATATCAAAGGTGGAATATTATGTGAAGAGATGGGTACTGGAAAGACTGTCATTAGTATTGCTCTCATTCTTTCAACACTTGGTAGTTTTGCAAAGGTTCCAGATAATCCTCCACCCAATTGGGAAATTATATTACCTCCAATGTCTTTGGAAACAAAAGATAAAAAAAAACAAATAATTGATTTGGATTATGAACAAATGGAAGAAAATAATAATGACAATATTGATTCATCTGTACCAACATTAATGTATTATGGAGCAAGAGAAGTAATATTAAAAGGATATCCATATAGAACATTATTTCATCAAGATATTGTAACATTGGTACAACAAATACCAAAGACTCGTGTAAATATTTATAGTGCCAAAACATTTCAACGTAGTTGTAATGTAGCTCCAATAAGAACATTGGTACTCTCTAGTACCACTCTTATTATTGTTCCACATCATATATTGCATCAATGGAACCAAGAAACAATGATGCATCGTATTATTAAAAAGTTGGTGATTGATTCCGAGGATCATATCCCATCCATTGAAGAATTGGTTGGTTACGATCTTGTTATCATGTCACACAACAAGGTCAGTAGATTGGATACAAATGACAATTCGATCGATAGCCAAGCACAGTCGTTGTTGGGTATTTATTGGCTGCGTGTCATCATTGATGAAGGACATGTCATTGGAAACTCATCGACCAAGATGACTAATCTAGTCAAAGACTTGGCTGCTGAAAGACGATGGGTTTGCTCTGGTACACCAGTATCATCATCGCTTGTCAGCAACGAATTAAGTAACCTCTATTCCATCTTGTCATTTCTTCGGGTCAACCCATACAAAGATGCCGATACTTTTAGAAAGCTCATCTCTACACCAACCACCAAATTGGATCCAAGAGGTATTGACCGTCTCGTACAAGTACTAAGTCGAATCTCTATTCGTACACCATCTGCTGTTGTTGCAAGAGATTTACAATTACCAACACTCACAGTAGACACGCACATGGTCAGTCTTTCAAAAGATGAAATCATAAAATACAATGAAATTGTATTCCAAGTGGCAACTAATCTTTTGGCATCTCAATATGAAGGTCCAGATTCTTTGTTTTCCGCTGGTAATCAAAAATATGCTATCGAAGTATTTAATCAACTTCGTAGAGCTTGTTTTTATTCTCCTGGATTGGAAGAGAATCAAAGACAAATGGCTCGTGAAGCTATTGAATCTGCCATTCAAAGAAATGACTATATTATTCCATTGGCAGATAAATTACAACTTTTAAAAATTTACAAATATTTTGAAGCTATTTCAAAACTTCAAAATCCTCAATTTACAGAATTATCATTCTTTTTTAAAGAAAAAGAAAAAGAAGAAAATGTTGATAATAATCAAGAACAAAAAGAAAAGAAAAAAGTTAGATTTATTATTCCAGATGTTGATAATTTGGAGAATAATAGTGTAGAAAATTTAAATAATAATAATAATAATAATAATGTCGTAAAGTTGGAAAAAAATGCAGAAATTTTAGATAATAATATTACTGATAATAATAATAATCAAAAAAAGAATACAGCACCAATTGGAATGGATTCATCAATATTAAATAATACAACAACAATAGCTCAACCAAAATTAATTGATTCATCAAAGTTGGATTATTTAATCAAAAGATTACAAGTATGTTTTAATTCTATAATAATAATAATATTCAAATATTTTACTTTATTAACATTTTCTTTTATTTTATTTTAATTTTAGGAACTTGAGAAAAAAGGAATTAAATGTATAATTTTTAGTCAATTTAATGATGTATTATATGATATAGTAATGGCAATGAAACATGCAAAATTAAATTTCCTTCAATACCATTCAAATATGAAACTTAAAAAGAGAGCAATGGCGATTCTCTCCTTTCAAACAGATTCACAACAACATTTTATTGTAATGAATACAGACTTGGCTGCCTATGGTATCAATCTCACTGCAGCCAATCATATCATTTTTGTTGATCAACTTACAAGCGAGGGCAAAGAAAGACAAGCAATTAAAAGAGCTCATCGTATTGGTCAATTAAATCCAGTTTCAGTTGAAAAATTAATTATTCCAAATACAATTGAACAAATGATCCTTTCAACTTTAAATCATAATCAAAATCAAAATAATCAAAATAATCAAAATAATAATAATCAAATTATAAATTTAGAAGAAGAGGATGAACAAATGGAATTTATAAATCAAGAGATTGTTCAACAAGAAGAAGAAGGATCATCGTTAATTTCTTCAAAAAATTCTTCTGAATTCTTATTTCAAGATGAAAAAAGAGAAGAACAAAGTACAAAGATTAAAAATATTCTAAGATCACTTGTACCTTTGGATTGTGAATATTTGACCAATGTTTATGAAAGTGATCTTGTTCAATTTAAATTATTTTTAAAACAAAAAGAACAACAAACAATAAATAAATAAATAAAGAAACAATAGCTACTATTTTTCTTTTATTCCTAAATGTTGATAAAGTTTCAATAGTGCAGACACATGAGGTGAAGTCATTGTAATGGTCAATAGTCGTGAGTCCAAGGACATAAAATGTTGTTGTCTTGTTTTCAAGAGGAAATTGGCGACATGACAATGAGTGCCGATATTGGCTTGAGCAGTTTCCAAGCTGATAGCAATTGCATAATTTGTGCATGTGGTCATCTTTGAATTATTATAATGTACAAATCTAATTTGATCCAATTGACCTGTTCTGCAAGGTAAATCAATACTAAATCCAAGTTTTGATTTTCCATCGATAGCATGTAAAGCTATAATTCCATCGATTGGATTCGATCCCTTGTCATATGAGTTTAGAGGGTTATTGACATTATAGTTGTATAGATTTGAGTGTCTGTGAAAGGTTGCAATCGACGATGAGGTATTGAGTGAATAGCAATAAGCATTGAGGAGATCTGACTGTCTGAATGTACGAGAACTAATCACGCCAGGTGATAAGAGATAATCAATGATGGATTTGGTGAAAATCGAACCTCCAACGACGATAGGATACAAATCGGGTTGGCTCGAGCCATTAAACTTTTTTGTTTTTTTAAGGTATTGTACCAAGTAGACTAGAAGATCGATGTTGCTGGAATCGATCACCATTCTGAGTAATGGATAGGTCATACTTTCGTCAACCTCGACTCCAACCACCTCCAAGAGGTGTTTGACAATGACGATGTTTTTATTCTCGATTGCAATCCCCAATACTTTACTCGAGGACAATAAATGTTTGGGTGTCAAATACTTTTGATGACATCCACCAATACCAAGACAAATAAAATCAAACAATTCCATGTTATTAGAGTAGGCTATTTCTTCCAAAAACCCATGACCAGGTGAGATGATACAATTCTCATCAATCCATTTGACAATTTCAATGTGACCATACCGAATGGCTGTACTCATCTCTTTTGTAAAATGTTGGTCTTTTCTTTTGTACTGTGCCAAAAAATAAAATGCATCATACCATCGTCTACCATCTTGTTTCTTGACAGTATTTTGTGGAAGTGATGGGATGGTCCAATCTTGATTATTAATTAACAAATTTGGTTGTTTTTCTTTTATATACTTTAAAAGTGGTAAGAATGTCATTGTATTGAATACATCTTTATGTTGTAAATGTTTCATTTCAATCTTTTCTTGAACCAAGTCAAATATTTCTTGGTTGCCTGAATGCATTACATATTCTAATAAATCACCTTGAATATTATAATTAACTAATAATCTTTTTAATATTGATAAATCTTCGTTTGCAATTGCATCAAGAATTGTATTTGTTTCAAATTCTGGAAAAAAAAAAAAAAAAAAAAAGATTAATTATTATTATTTAAATCTTAATTTTTAATTAATTATTAAGCTTAATACATACCAAAAGTAGAAGAATTAAATCTGATTTGATCAATTGTTGATAATTGATCAAGTAGGTAATGAGTCAGTTTATGTTGCTGGTATCTAACTGACATGTCGATTCCAACATTTAAATCAATTGGAAGTGTTGTTTGTTGGATTAGGTATTGTACAATATTAAACCCGTGACCTTTTTTACATGCTAGTCCAATTGAAGGTGGAGGGTGATTTGGGAATCTTTCAATTAAATATTTGGTCAAATACAAGTATCCATTTGTATAGGCTGTTTCTAGATAGGTGGCTAAAGATGATACTGATGGAATGGCAATAACATTCTCGATGATATAAATAACAACATTGACATGATTATTTGATACTGCCCAACCAAGTGCAATACTATTATTTCCACTTTGACAATCTATTTTAAAAGTCTCTACAAAGAGTTTAAGAGCATCAAGGTTACCATATCTTGATGCAAACTCGATTGACCTATTGATATCACTTTTATATGATCCAAAAAGCGATGATTCAAACTTTTTAATATTATCTACATCCAACAAACCAAACCAACCTGGGTAAATTACACTTGGCCAATTGTTGTCAGACGGCGACGACGAAGATTGTTCAATCTCCAAACAACGTATGATTAATTGTTGAAGTGACTGACAGTTTGGTACATTGTTCATATCATCGGATCTATTTATATACTTGTAATGAGCTTCCAATACGATTCCAACAAATAGTTGATTAAAATCCAATTCCATTAGATATCGAAAGATATCATATCGATGATAATGAAACGACCATTTGTAAATGTAATATGAAACCTCTTCTACATGACCACCATATCTTTTAAATAAATAGTCAACTATATTTATATGATTTCCTTTACATGATCTTTCAATATATCGATCTAAATAAGGTATAAATGTCTTTTTCTTTGATACGTCTTGATTTTTTGTTGTTGTTGTTGTTGTTGATGATGATGATGATTCTTTTTGACTAAACAGAGTACCAAATAACTTTTTAATTGAAGGTTTTTGTTGTTGTTGTTGTAGTTGTTGTTTTTGTATCTTTTCTTGGTATTGTTCTTCAAACCAAATATGACCACTATACTTTAGTTCTTGATCTTTAATAAACTTTTTAAATAGTTTTAAATAACCAAATCTAGCAGCCAAACATATATTATCTTTAATGTCTATCCATTTAAATGTGAGTGATTGTCTTTTTCTATCAATACATTGATCTTTATCTAATTCTTCTTGTTTTATTGAGAACAATACATCGTAGTCATACGACAAATTTGGTTCATTTAATATTAATCTATTATGAATCTCTTTTACATGTTGAAATAGTATTCTTTGTATGTATATTTGATTAATTATTATTCGGAATGTATTCATTTTAAAAAGACAAAGCGAAGAAAGTATACTTTTTCAAACCATATAATGGATATTTTTTTTATTTGAAGGTTTAATCTTAAAATTGGTCATTTTGAAGAAGGACAGCGCTTCAAGATGAGAAACACTTCTAGGATTGGGAAGAATAGAATGTTGGGGAATTGTCAGGATCAGATTTCATTGCCAATAATCCTCTATGAGCAAAGGTTGGTGTAAAGAATGTTTCAAAATTGTCTTGAGAAATGATAACAAGATAGTGGTTGGATTTGGGAGTGTTGATTGTGGCATCTCTGTTTCGTTTTGGGGTAGTTGGATTGATTTCATTCTCGTTTTTGAGTTTTTGGAAGTCTTGAACCTTTCTGTTTGTCACTATTACATAAACGACAGGTGATTCAAAATCCCTAAAATTGGCAAAGAAATCTTTGGTCATTTCTGCCACTTTTGTATCAGTGATTTGTTTGTCACCTGGGTTCAAAGAGTGTTTGGTTTGTGCATGGATTATGTAGCTTGTCTCACCAATCTTTACTACCCAACGTTGGTCAATTGCTTCTGTATTGGGACTACAAATAAATATACTGTCGGTAGTTGCGATATCTTTACCATCTACAATTATTCTTTGGTTTGAAATTGAGGGAAATTTGGAATCTTTTTCGTATTCTACCTACAAAGAGAATATATTTCGTTAATGGTCATCCATAATGAGAAAACATGTAACTTACTTTAGTAGGATAAGAAGTAAAATAACCAATTGGAAGATTTTCGACACCAAGGGCACCTCTGAACATATTTGCAAAGTTTACTTTGATACCTAGGAATTGATAGGAATCTAAAAGCGTTTGTTGGTAAAATGGATAAAGAATTTCAAAATCTGGCCACAACCATTTATGATCTTGTGTGGGAAAGAATAAAAGTTTGTTTGGTATAATAGTATCCTTCAACTTGAGGAGATAAGCCTTTAAAATGTAAAAGGGTATAAAGATATAGAAATCTCTAGGAGCTTCAACCAAAAATATTAATCCACTTCTTCTAACTTCCTCGACTGTTTTGTTTGTTTTACCAAGCTTTGTTTCAAGTGTAACTGGGTGGCGAGATAAAGCAACGGTGCAAACTCCTTTCAAGCAATCGATTGAGTCTTGATCATCTGGCATGACACACATGTCTTGAATCTTAAAGAAACAATTATCACCATATTGATGAGTAGAGTCAACACATGATACCAAAAAGAAGGATATGATTTTGGGAATGAATCCAGTGTCAGCCAGACATATTTCAAAGTTGTTAGGTTCGTCTTCTAAAAGTTGTGTGATTTTATCACCACCAGGCAATGTACTGTGGAATTGTAGAAGGTCATCACATGATTTTCGGTCAAGTGGAGACAGACCAATTGAAACCCCTCGGTATTCTGTTGGAGGAAATTTAAGATCTCGTTGTGCTGTTCCTGTGCAAATAGGAATAACAAAGCAGTCTCCATGGCTGCACATGAACTCGCCAATCGATTTAAGCATTTCCTTGAAATGTAAACGGCCTGCGTCTCTAGATTTGCCTTTTCTGTTGATATACTCATCAATGAAGATCTGAAACTCATCAAGATGAATTATTATTGCTATTGGTTGTTGTTGTTGTTGTTGTTGCTGTTGTTGTTGCTGTTGTTGTTGTTGTTGTTTTTGTTTTTGTTGTTGGAAGTGCTGTACAATGGTTTCCAATGTGTATTGAGTTGTGAAATCTTTAAGGACGTTACAATCAATCATATTTTGAATCTTGTTGATAGGTTTGTTGTTGCAATGAAATAAACCACCAGCACAGGCTATTCTAGACCCAATACGAACAGAGGGTTCACAGTCATCGAGTACAGGCTGATTTCCCAATCCATTTCCCATATTCAAGTAAATGTATATTGGATCCTTCATTGCTGCAACAAAGTCAGTGTGAGGGTGAAGACATTTCTCGAGAACAGACTGTGGAATAGTAGAGGCTTCTACACCGGCTCTAGTCTTTCCTATTCCAGAACCCCCTGCTATGAATGCAAATGAATGTAATTGCGTGGTAGAGGAACCTCTGTGATGGTAGTTGCTGTTTGACAAATCTGCGATTGTACGATAATAAGTATCTCTTCCTTCATGACTATATCTTTGTTCCCCTCGAGCTCATCTTTATATCTTTCAATAATTTTGATTGCTTCATCCATTATTGTTTTCTAATATTATTATTTACTTGCAAACTTGTAAAAGAATGCAAAGTGAAGAAGAACCTTTTTTTATCAAAGTAATTAAAAAGCTGCAACTGGCAACCAATTGATATTATTACTATTAAATAATTTATTATTTATTGATTGTATTTAAATAGCAAAAGGGAATTAAATTATTACTAATGATTGATTAATAATTCATTAATTTTTGTTTGTTTGTTGTTGATTGAGGTAGGGTATGTATAATTACTTTTTGTTATTATTATTATTGTTTGATGAATAAGAAGGTGGAGCAAAAGCTTGTGGAGTGTATTGTTGTTGTGGTTGACCGTATGGTTGAGCCATATAAGGTACACCTTGGTTGTATTGGTAATAATTGGGTGGTGGACCAACTGGTTGTTGTTGTTGGACGACATTGTAGGTTGGTTTGGCATGGTGTGATTTCTTGGCACCTCCATGTTCAGTGTCTTGAATTTGCTTATAAGAGGAGTGTGCAGACGATGAAGAGTGATGCGACTTTTTGATGAGGGCAGCAATGATACCACCGACAAAAATGACGGTCAATACACCACAGGCAATGGTGAAACCAAGAGCAACTGGGTTGTACTTGGGGATCTTAAAGAGGAGTACTTGCGATGGACTAGACTTGAGGTAGTAACAGGTGTATGGGTTACCAGCTTGTGGGAACTTGTCCAAGTATTGTTGTACCCAAGCACCGTCAGAACTGTAGAGACCTTCCGATGTACCATTGACCAAGACACCACCAAGTTCAAAGTTGACATAGTAGACACCGTGAGCACAATAGTATCCATCACCACACTCTTCCGATGAAGAGGATGATGAGGATGAAGAGAATGATGGTTCAATTGAACTACTGCTTCCATTGTTGGTTTGAGAGACGACTATTTGTTGTTGTTTTTGTTGTTGCATGATTTTGTGTTGTTGTTTCTTGCTCTTTAACTTTAATTCTTGTTCTTGTTGGTTGTGTGAACCACCAGAGGTTGAACCTGCGACGATGCCTCGCTTGAGGAGATCTCCGTCATCACCTCCACTGTCAAAACCGCCTCCGCTGTCACCTCCGCTGTCACCTCCACTGCCAGTTCCACTGTCGCTGTCGCCAGTGCTACTGCCGGTACCAGTGTCTTCGTCGTTGCTGCCGCCATCGTCGTCGCCGGTCGAGGTTGAGTCACCACTGTCATTGTAGTCGTCGCCCGAGGAGCCACCGCTTACATAGACAAAGAAATAGGACGATCCCCAAGTATCGTACCACCAAATGTCGTCATTATAACTTTGACACATATTGGATTCACAGTCATTATACAACTGTGTACCTGTAATTGAACATGATACTTGTCCATATTCATTATATTTAGCAATCTAAAAAAAAGAGGAAATAAATAAATAAATAAACAAATACAAAAGAGTAATTAAAAAACAAATATGATATTAGTATTACTAATCTATATACATCATCCCATCTTATCTCATCTCCCCTTCTCCCCAACTTTGATCCCTTTTATCTTTTGTTTTTTAAAACATACACTTGGTGCTAATGAAATCAAACCAACCAAGAGAGTTACAGTTGCAAAAGTAACAGCAAAAATAGTACAAATAATAATAATAAGTGTTGGAGTACAACAAGTAGAAGAAGATTTACGATGAGCCATCTTCTTCTTTTAATTGTTGCTCTTTAGAAAGATAGATAAATAAATAGATAAATAATATACAGATAGATAGAGAGAAATTAAAGAAAACTGTTGATTGATCAATCCCAAGTGCGCAAAGTTGGAGGTACCCACCAAGTCGGAGGTCTCATCAGCTCGTTTTACAAAAAAATTAAACCCTAAAAATCTCCTTCGCGATTCCCCTTGATTTTTAGGGGTCTAAATACTCAATATCCTCTTCTTGTGACCTGGTCAGATGAACCATTCCCATTCTTCAAAGTGATCAGTCTGATCTAATAAATAATAATTGATTGATATTTACAATTATGTATTTTGTGTGAGGGTGGGTATATATATATATTTTGTACATGTAGGGATTGATTTATTATTATTATTATTATTTACATTAATTTTGACATTACAATGAGAGATTCACCAATAAACTGGTCTACTTTAAAACCAGCAGATTTAGCCAATTCTCTCCATTCTCTAATTGTTCTACCTGAACTATTTAAACTATGCCATAAATCTAGAAAATAGGAAAATAAATAATTTAAAATAATGTTGGGGTTATTAGAACGATGATCAAATTTGAATTGAATATTGAAGGTGTTTTGTTTACTTACGAACATCAACCCAACATTTATAAGAATAATTTTGAGATTCCTTTTCCAATATACAATCATAAATATAAACCTTTCCATTTGGTTTAATGGATTGTCTGATGATTTCCAATATTTTTTTAGATGGTTCGTCGTCCATCATAATCTTTGACAATATGTAACAATCTGCTTGAGGCACTTGTTCAAAGAAACTACCTTCAATCTCTATAAATCTTGGATCAACATTTACTCTGTCCAAATGTAACCGATTATTTTCAATGGTAATTGGTAAATCAAAATTAATTCCTTTTTTTATATTTTTGTTATATTTTAATATTTCTTGAATTAATCTGAAAAAAAAAGAAAAATAAAGTAAATAAATATTGTATTCTATTCTGAAATATTATTATTATTTGTTGTTTTAACTTACACTCCTTGACAACCACCAATATCAGCAACAATATCAAATTTTGAGAAATCAGATTGTTGTAATAATTTGGGTATTCCGGGTCTTGTCATTCCAGTCATTCCTTTTTCAAAGATATTTAAATCTTTTTGGTTTTTGTGTAGTGCCCCAATAAAGGAATCAGCCCCAAAACTTTTAGGTATCGAGGATACACCAGTCTTTACAGTGTCTCCAATATTTAACCAACTCTTGTAACTAAAATCGCCGCATTCATAGAGCAACAGGTTTCTAGTATCAGTGTCTAATAACATCTTGGATATTGGTGATTGTGAGAATAGGTGAGAGTCGACTGATTCTAAACCGTCAGTGTGATGGTTGAATATACCCATCGTAGAAAGCGCCCTCATCACTTTAAACAGTGACTTGGCATCGACGCCAACCTGCTCGGCCAATTCATCACAGGAATATTTCTGACCGTCGGTCAACATTGCCGCAATATTTAACTCGGTCACCATATTTAGACATCTGGCCTTGTACATGCCTTGACATATTTCATTTAATGTTTGTTGGTATTCTTCAAATTTTTCATCTTTTCCGTGATGGTTGCTGATTGGTCCGACAACAACTGAAGAGGTTGAAGATAAAGAAGATAAAGATGGTGATGATGTAATTGAATTGATTGTTGATGAAGTTGAAGTATCCTTATCAGTGTTACAATATGACATTCTTTCATATGGTGTATTTTTTATCATATTTATAAATATATTATAAATATAAATGATATTAATGAAAATGAAAATGGGGATAGGGATGGGATTGGATACTTTAAATAATAAATAATATATTAAATGAATGATGGTAATACAATTGTAATGGTAATATTAATATTAACTGTTTGTTTTTAGAAGAGATTAAATATATTATATGTTATTATATGAGTAGTAATTAATTTAAACAACAACAACAACAATGCAAGAGATCTTCTTCTAAATACCTACCTGAAATGAAGAACATTAATTCCTCATTTAATGTTGTTAACCCAATTCATTTTAATTGTGTTGAATGAATTGTGGTTGGTGTGTGTGTGTGGTTAATTTACAACACCGCTCCTTAATTTGACATTGTTGATCTGACCAATGACTGAATACAAATTGTATTTTACAATTCAATCGTTGTTGTCTTTTACATCACAAACTCAAACTATAGTATATTCTTTAAAGTTTGAACTAACTAACTGCTAGACTGCTACTGCTAGATCGACACACATTATTTTAAAATAATAAATCTGTCACATATTTTAAAAGTGAAAACAATAACAACTGTTATTTTCAATTAACCAAAAGGAAGTGTTAATTAATTAATTAAGCAGCGTTTGGTGATAGCTCAAAGTTGGTCATGAAAAGCTGTTGTTGGTGTCCCTCTCTTTTAATTAACCGAAAAGGCAAATTCTTTGAACTTTTTTGGAGAGGAAGCTCCTGTCCTGTTGTGATGAGGAGATGAGTTTCTTGAAACCACTCAATTTTATCAAGATCGAGAGAGAAAAGGAAAAAGACACTTACTTTGCAATATCCCCACTCACAGTGTAACCATCATCAGAACCCAACAGCCTCTACTCTACTCTACTCTCTTAATTACATTCATCTCAAATTCATTTCATTCAATTCAAAACATTTAAAGTAGAGAGAGATACAACAATACATTTAGATTAGATAGTTTATAGATAGATAGAAAGTTAGTTACCGTTGGATATTGCAGACACAAACATTTTAAATGAGTAATCACCAATCTTCAGGTGAATCATCGCCGTCATACTCTTCACCTTCACCAAAAGAAAAAGAAAAAGGAGGTAGTGCATTATCATCACCAATACATACACTCAGAAAGAAAGGTATCATACCCAAACAAGGTATACGACAGAGTATTGAAGAGTTGATTTCTGCGTTGACCGATTTAAAGGACGGACATAGCAATAGCAACAAAGACATTAATAATAACCAACAAGAATCCACCACCACTTCCACCACTAACATTTCAACACCAACTCCAAGGTCTCCCACAACATCATCGGTACCCACAAATATATTCGCAAGCAATAATAACAACACCAATAATAATAATAATTGCAACAGGGTTGAAAGAGCAAGTTCAGGAGGGGCAGGAGGAGGAGGTAGCGGATTTATAGGAGGAGTAGTAGGAGGTACTTCACCTACTCAACGAATAACAATGACAAATAGAAGTCCTTCATCAACTGTAGTAGTAATGGTAAGATTAACAACAAACAACAACAACAACAACATTCCACTATCACATCACCACCCAACAAAAAGATATCTTGTATCTCCACCCAGTTCCAACAATGCCTATTTATAACCAACAACAACAATCGCACCAACAATCGATTGTTGTTTGGTGAAACTTTGATTTTTTTTTTGCTGACGGTTTAAGCTCAAAAGAAAAGGAAAAGGACATAGTTGGCTCGATACATACATACATAGATATCTATCATACAGAGAGAGGAATAACAATAATATAATAACAACAGGAAAATTAACAATCAATAGCATTACAATAACAACAATCAATAACAACAACAACAACAACAATTGCATTAACCAAAAAAGAGAGGATATATAAATTCAATTAGAATTGAATGGTGTTGATCGAGGTGTGTTAACAATTTGGTTGGTTAGTTATAATAATCTAATCTATCTTTGTCTAGTAGTAGAGTGTAGAGTGTAGCTTGGTAGAGGTGTGTTTGTTGTTGTGTGTTTGGTTTGTTTGTATAAAGGAAGGAGAGGAGGAGTAAAACTTACTTGCTTACTGACAAACATACCGAACACACAAATGGATGGATAGGATATAGCGATCTCTTTTCTTTTATGTTGTTCATTCATCATCATCATCATCATACATATTATTATTAGCATCATTATTAATATTTAATTTCTTTCTCTCTTCTTTTTTTCTTTTGATGATACTATTTTACTCTTTAAAGTCACAACAAAAGTCTTTAGCTAAATTTTATTTCCTTGCACAACAAATTGAATATGTACCACATAGCAATCGACATATAGTGATCACGTCACCGATTGAACAGGATCCAATGTTGCCGGTAGAGACGTTTTCATCGTTTCTTAAAGTGCAATGGACTACTTGTTGGACTGTTCATTTGGTGCCGACCACTACATGTCTCGAGGTTTTAAAATATATATCGCAAAAGACGAGTCGAGAGGTATGCCATCTCAAACTGGCCGACTCTGAAGGTGTCATTATGGACCATGACTTTCTTTTAATCACTCATAGATGTAAAAGATTTGTAGTCTTTGAAGATATTGAAATAGATCAACAACAACAACAACAACAAGACAATACAACTAGTAGTGGTTGTTCATCAACTTCATCTTCTTTACCATCATCACCAACTATTTCAACTTCAACATCAGATTCACATTCACCAAATAATATTAGAAAACAAGCACCTGCACCACCACCTCGGTCACCTTCAACCTATAATCCATTATTGGTTCATACAGAGTTGATATCAGAGCCAACTGGTACTACTCCTACTACACCATCATCTACCAACACTACTCCACTTATTTCTGGAGGTAAATCAACAGGTCCACCATTATCCCTTTCAAATGGAGGTAGTGGAGGTTCAAATACTGCTTCATTCCTTTCAAATTTGATTCTTAACGGTGGTGTAGGAGGAGGAGGTGGAGGTGGAAGTAATTGTGGATCAACTAATAATTCACCACCAGTATCACCACCATCATCTAGAAAGAATAGTGGTAATACTAGTCAAGCTTCGAGTAGACCGAGCAGTCCAAACACACAAAACAACCATCATATTGGTGGTTCTTCGGGCAGTCCGAGTAACAGCAGTGGTAATCTTTTGTCGTCATCGTCATCATCACCATATATATATTGTAAATTTTTAGATCGAGTGGAACCATGCGATGTCCCACCATACACGGAAAAAGGAAAGATTCTAGACAACTATTTTGCACATTATTACAAGGAACTACTCAAATATACGCAACAGAGAAGTCTCCGATACCAGCGAATATTAGAGTTTGTCAAGGAAGGTGGATTCGACGAGACTGGCACAAGAGGATGGATACAAAAACACTATGACAATGAAACAACATTCCTACGTAACAAACGTGCCGGTATGAAGTTAAAAGACTTTAAGATATTGACACAGATTGGTAAAGGTGGTTTTGGACAAGTATTTTTGGCCGTTAAAAAGGATACTGGAGATATTGTAACGTTAAAGAGAATTAAAAAGCAAGCTTATGAATGGGCCAATCAACGTACTCAGGTGTCACACGAAAAGACAGTCATGATGAGTGAAGCAGGTGGTAAATGGATAACAAAGCTTTTATACGCATTCCAAGATAACCATCATCTCTACTTGGCCATGGAGTACCATTGTGGTGGAGATTTCCGTGCCATCCTAAACAATTTGGGAATGCTCAGTGAAGAGGACGCAAGATTTTACATGGTCGAGATGATCGAAGCACTCAACTCTCTTCATTCACTCGGCTATATTCATCGTGACATTAAACCATCCAACTATGTCATTGACAAACATGGACACATTAGACTAATCGATTTTGGTCTCAGCAAGGAGGGTTATGAAAGTAGAAATGGTCTACATCGTCAATCAATGACCGATCTTCGTAGAAGTTGTATAGAAGGGAAATCATCTTGGAGAAATACTTTTACTAATCGTTCAAATAATGGAATGATTGCTTATAGAAGACCAATTGTAAGAAATCAAAATAATAATAATAATAATATTATTATTATTTATTTAATATTAATTGATTTATTTTTATTTGATTTTAGGCTCACTCAGCAGTTGGATCACCAGAATATATGGCACCTGAAATTGTACAAGATTCAGGTTACGATCTAAGTTGTGATTATTGGTCATTGGGATGTGTATTTATGGAGATGTTGTGTGGTTTTAATCCATTTTGTGCCGATACGCCAAACGATGTATTTATAAATATTATGCAATGGGACGAAATATTGGATTGGCCACTATTCACACAAGATCTATCACACGAGGCTGCAGATCTACTCAAAAAGATGTTGTGCCTACCACACGAAAGATTTAAATCACTCGAAGAGTTCAAGTCACATCCATTCTTTAACATGAATGGACTGACATGGGACTCTATACTCGGACAACAAGTGCCTCCATTCGTACCAAAGGTAGACAATGATATGGATACATCTTATTTTGAAGATGCTCTCAACAATGATCCAGCATCTTGGGAAATCAATGAAGACAATGAAAAGAGTCGTGATCCATTCAGTAATTTAAATATACCATTTTTCACTTATAGAAAATCTTCTGCTTTAAATGTTTTAATGAATAATTAAAGTAGAGAAAAATAACAATTAACAAACAAATAATAGATAATAATAATAATAGATAATAATGGATGGAAATAATCAATTTTGTTTCCATTCTTTTTTTAATATTAATTAATTAATTTTTATAAAGATCAATAATCAATAGAACCAATCTTCAAATAATAATAATAATAATAATAATAGTACAACTACCAAACCTACAACATTACCTTTTGTAAAAATACTAATAATCATAATAATAATTAATAAATCTACAATGATGAATTCACATGCGTAATATATAACGTTGTATTTCTATATAAACGTAAATCCATCCATCCATCCATTCACAATGTTGTATTTGTATTGTTTTTTACTTTTGTTGTTTTATTATTATTATTTATTATTCAATGATACATGTACTACTATTAGTTAAACTTTTCGAAAGAGTTTGTCTTGAAACACTTGAATAATTCTTCAGTCTCTTTTGTGCATTTTAATGTACGCATATTGTTTTCTTCAACGCAATGAACAGCCTTGTCTAGTTCTGGCTTGCATGTTTTAGTGATTTCTCTCATACTATATAGATATGATCAATGATGATGATTATTAGAACGATTGATGATCATTTTGATCAAAACTAGAGATGATCTGCTGCTACAGCTATGATGATGATTTGACTTACATTTTTTGAGTGCAACCAGCAACAGATACAGAGTATTTGAGACAAGCTTGTGGATCGTTACCATTGTCGATCTTGCACTTTTCAAAGGCATACATTGTTCTTTCGCAAACCGACCAAATCGAGTCTACTGAAACAATAAGTTCTGCTCTGCTATATGGTTCCATTATTCTATATATATATATATGTCTTGTAGAGAGTGAATCTAAGTGATGAACTAATACAATGTTGTTGCAACAAACTAATCTCTCTGCATGCAATCATAAAAAGGCTCCAAGAGAAGGTGTCTGTAGTTCGACAATGAATAGTTTTTTTTATTTAATTTTTTTTTTTCGTCTTCAAGCACAAGTAGAGAGACTGGTTCTACTCATTTTATGTCTTTTGAATATAACAATTATTTCTTTGCATTTTTGGTTTCATTTGATGGAGTTGAGGAAATTGGTAATACAAATGCACCAACGAGCTTGTAAGTTTGGATCAATTACAAAGTGGAGTCATCTTGGCTATATTTGGAACGTTGATGGCTAATCTTTAAACTGATTGTCGGATGGATGGTCCTGTATAACTATTGTACAATCATCTGCCTCCTCGACAATTACATGTGTTGTTTAGCTTTCAACTCAAAAATAAAGCTAAAAATAATCATAAATAATTGCAGATGAATTCTTATTAATGTAATATAGATAAATCGATAACAATCATTTTTTGTGAAAGCTTATCAACTTTGTATTATTTAATATAGATTAATTTGTTTATTTCTTTTTAATAACAGTCATTTTTTGTGAAAGTTTATCGATTCTGTATTGAATAGCATATTTATATTTGATGGCGAAGAAAATGGTAATCCCAATCACAATGGATGCTCCGACAAGAGCAACAGTTAGTCCAATGATTAGACTACGAGACACTCCTCCATCGTCGCTACTACTACATTTTTGGTTTGGTGATGTATCACTTTCCATATTCAAAATGGCTTGAAAGTTGGGATCAATGACAAAGTAGCGGTCATAGTATGGAATGTTGATGGCTAATCTTTTCACTGATTGTTTGGATGGGTCTTGCACGGTAATGGTAGTGTCGTTTGATACAGATTCTTCTAATATCTTGTTGGTTACATAGATTGTACGATCGTCTGCCTCTGCATTCTTTATGCATTGGACATAGAGTGACACGCTATCAACTCGGAGTTGGATCCAAGCAACATCATTTTCTGCGCCATTGAATGATCCAGATTCAGATGATGAACAACTGTCGGAACTAGTGTTTCTAGTAATGACCGAGTCCATGATGAGTTGAAGTGTATTGAGACGTGATGAAAAGCTATAGTTGGACATACTAATAGTATATTTGATGGTTGAATCTTGAACGGTAAAGTTGGCATCTGCAAAGTCAATCATTACATCACTAGTAGTGTTGAAATGTTCAATGGTCACATTGATAGTTGATGTTGTGTTGTCTCCTTGGCGAATAACGGTTGTGTAATTGTATAGAGTACTTGATCTATTTGAATTAAAACTACCAACATAATCCCAATCATTTAATGGATATGATTTTAATGTATCACCATCAATTGAAATCTCTCTTAGTTCAATGATTGATATAAATGTTTTTGTTTTAGCAGTTTCCTCTGACGATGATGATTCCTTATTATTGTCTTGATCTTTAATAAACATATTTAAAGATGGTTTATCTTGATTGAATTCCATTTTCAAAGAGTCGTGAGGTATTTTGACACTTGTACAACCACTTCCAGTATAACCAGTTGAACATTGACAACCAGTCTTTGTACAAACACCATTTCCACCACATATTTTGTCGTTGGAATCCTTTGGACAAGGGAATAGAGACTCTTGATAGATAAAATCTTTTGAGACGAGAATAATAGAGTTTGTCGAGATGCTAACCGATCCAAGTCCATCCGACACATAGAGTGAGAGTCTATCTGATTTTAATTGTGGTTGGGTAAATATAATTTGGTATTGATTTTCGACACCCAATTGCTTGGTGGCAAAGCTTTTAACTTGAATGGGTGTTGATCCATCCATTAGGTCAAAGTATCCAACTACTGGTAATGGTTTATCCAATGAACCAAAGTTGCATCCATTTACTGTAATTGAGTTTCCTCCAGATTGAGTAATCTTGTCGACGATATGGAGTATCTTTGGAGTCCAATCCATTTTTGGTGCTGTAATAACACCATTATTGATAATGTTTGGAAGGGCAACCAATAAATCGGCAGTATCATATCCAAGAGGGTTCAAAGCATTATCAATGATACCATAGACTCCAACGGCCAAGAATTCTCCTCCAAATCCATACATGTAGGGGACAGTAATATTACCCGAGAATTCAATTTGATCTCCAGTTGGTGAGCCGTCAAGATTAAGAGGTACCTCTAAAACTTGTCCTCTAATGTTGGTCAAGTAGATGGATGGCAAGTGGAGTTGTGATAGACCATAGGTTGGTTTGGATAGTGACAGTGTCAATTTAAATGCGATTGGTGTTGAAGTAAACGATGACAATATAGTTGGACTAAAGGTAAGATTGGCAATGGTGGGAGTACTGAGAGTACTGACAATAGTCTCTGATGGGAGACTACAAACGACATTGTATATTCTATAGTTTGTGTCTCCAAATACAGGTAGTGCAACGGACAGAGGATTGACTAAAAGACTAGCTTCCCAACGATTGTAAACATTTCTATTTCCACCCTTGTCAGTCAATGATACATATTCAAATCGAATGGAGCGTGAAGGACAGGAATAAATCTTTATAGTCTTGTTGTAGATACCTTGATTTGCATTACCAGATTGTCTATCGTTTGCCGACAATGTAAATTGATATTGAGTAAAGTCACCCTCTGATACCAATGTAACCAATCCACTATCAAATCCATTAAAACTATCAGAAATGTTGAAAGCGATAGTCAACAATACGATACGATTTGATGATCTTGATTCAGTGGTATCTGTACTGTCAATAGTGATGACATTAATAAAAGGACCAATGTTATCATCAGTGTTGCCCGATACAACTGTAACTTGTGGAACAATTGAATTGAACGTTTTCTTTGCATAGATTGACATTAGAGCACCATCCCAACCTTTGCAAAATATCTCATAATCCAAAGGTCCCTCGTAATATCCTTGAGGAACAGATATGTCAAATTCATAAAATCCATTGACCAACTTTCCGTAAAACAACTCTGCTTGTGGTACATTGTCACTTGGTAGAGGTGGAATATTGGAATACAAAGTTTGTTTGTTTTCAATATACTTGTCAATTGGTCTTTTTAATTTAAATATTGGTGACCAGTTTATATCTGGATGAGTCATCTTTACATTTAATTTGATTTTTTGAATTTGATTATTTGTAATTGTTGTTTTATCAAAATTAAATGATGTTATATTTTTAATTGTAACTAAAAAAAAAAAGAGAATAAAAAAAATTAATATATAAAGATATATTATTATTAAATCTTTTTTAGATTTACTTACAATTTAAATTAAAAGAAGGAACAATGTTGAAATCAAAATCAAAAGCATTACCAGATTTATAAATGTTTAATCTACCAGCCAAATCAAACAATGTAATTGTTAGAATGGTTGGTGGTGGTGGGACTAAAACATTATTGATTAATGCTTGATAGGTTGAATTGAATCTATCATCTTGTTGAACGATATTTGATTGATCCAATATTGATAGATTAATACCATCACTAATTTCTATTCTATGAATGGGTGATTGGGAGAGACATCCAATGATAATGGTGTATTGGTTTAGATTAATGACAGATACCTCTACTCTAGTTAGGATTGGGATGGGATTGGTTGTTGGTAGGGTTACTATTTGAGCTGTTCTAAGATTCTCTGATTGTTGAATGATGTTTTGGTTTCCCATGATAAAGGCAAAGCTATCTTGACGCATTTCAGGTAACCATGGATACGAAGCACCAACTATGACTCTTCCATCACTAATTGATTTCAATCCAAATGGATATTTTGAAATATCAAATGCCCTATTACCTTGTTGATACTTTATAAATGATGCACCTCCTTGTTCACTGGCAGTAAATGTAGCAGTATTTAATTGAGTAACATTGGCTACTTGGATGGGTCGTGGTCCAGAGAATTGAATGTTACTAAATACAGCACTCGATATTGAAATCGTTGGAGCAAAGATTGGTGTAGAAGTGGTAGGGAATGACATTGGATAGTATCTTTGACTACTCATTGGTTGCACCAAATCTACAAACCAATAGGAAACGGGACCATCGAGTCTACCAGTTGAAGGCATCATCATTTGTCTGGATTGAGCCATTTCCTCTTGATAAATACTAAGTGATCGACCAACACTAACGTTTACAGGACTTGTCATCATAAAGGTTGGTGTAATAACTTGATAATATTGTTGATTTGATGGAGTGGATTGTATTATACTATAATTACCAATATTTAAATCTGCTAAAAAAAATAGAGAGTATAATATTATTAGTAATCACAACATTTTGAATCTATTCATTTAATTTCATACCATCAGAACTAATTGGATTAGTAATAGACACTATCATTTGACTTGAAGTACTACTACTAATGGTAACATTAAATGATTGTGGTAGGATAGTTTCAGTACGTTTCTCAATGACTACACGGTAGATACTTGGTGATACTAGGTATGTAAAACATATATCACCAGAGGTCTGACCAAAGTTTAATTGACAAGTTGGATCTCTAAAACTAAAGGATACATTCTCTAGTAAAAAGGAGTAGGTTTGAAATACTCTATCATAAATAACTTGATTACTAACCAATGATCCTGTAAATGTTGGTGGTCCTATAATAAAATTAGTTAGTAAACTATTATTTGTTTTAACAAATAAATCAAATTACATACTTTGACATGTTATAGATTGAATATCAAATTCTAATGTTTGATCATTCTCTATGTATTGAATCTTTAGTAATTGAGTTTCTTCAGGACTCAACATCATATCACCACCTTGAACACTATAGAATTGATGGTTGGTGGTAGGGTCTTGAAACATCAAAGTTGCACCAGATGTTACAATTTGAATAGGTCTAGATACTACGAATTGATAGTGAATGTTTGAGCATCCATCACTACTATCCATAAATATCTTTGCGTCATTTGGTATAAAGTATTTAACTAATAGATTTGTATCTATTCAAAAAGAGAGAATGAGAATAAAAGTAAGATTTGAAAATGAATTTGGTGATGATCAAAAAATACATACTATTAGTATCTGTGCTGATTGGAATGACACCTTGAGGTTTAGTAAATTGTATAATAATAAATAATATTAAAATTAAAAAAGATAAGGAAGAAGAAGATCCCATTCTTTCTTTTCTAAAGTATAGATACTTTTTAAAAAAATAAATAAATAAATAATTATTGGTTGGAAGATATTAAGATAATTATACTAATACATTGAACAAATATTCTTCTAATAAAAAATTTATTTATATAAATATAAATAGTTGGTCAATTAATTGTAATTGTATTGTCATGTTAACTTTAACCATGACACCACCATTTTAATTTAAAGGTTAGGTTGTGATCATTTAATATTCACACACTTTACCCAAGAAGGGTGCGTGAGGGGAAGATTTGATTGATTGATTGATTGTTGATAGTTAACCACATCGACCGTCTTCTACTCTGGCTAGTCATTGAACCACCATAGCTCTATTGATCGATTGACCAGTATTTATGTGTGAGAGTGTGGAACTCAGGTCAAAAATTGTGTAATTTCAACCCAATCATTAAAAAGTGCTAGACACCAACGGACTGGTGTGTAGAACGAACCTCCTTATTTTTATTGTACTGTTTGTTGGAATAAGAGAGGGAGGTTCAACAATTATAACTAACTACTAAATGGGATTTATACATAATAATAATATTATTTATTATCAAGATTTGGGCAATATATATTTTTTTTTTGGAATTTGGTTTATTTATTTGTGATATTCACCAACCGTCTTTAATGGACATACTTGTCACGTACAACTTGGCGGGTAGTGTTTGGTGAATATATAGTTTATATTTATTTAATATACTAGTATGATGTAATGAAATATTTTTTGAGGAAAAGCCATAATAAGCACACGAACCAGCCTGGATGATTAAACGTTAGTTATTTGATTAGATATTGATGGATTGGGTGGATAGAAGGATGGAAGGTATATATATCGGAAATCATTTAGTTATTATTATAGCTGTTGTTGTTGGCAGCAGCAGAGGCAGCAATGACAACAATTGGGATAATAATGGCAATTGCGACCAAACCAATAAAGAAGAAGATAACAGAGAGGATACCAAAGAGTCTGGCAGTTCCATTCTTACTCTTTATAAACATAAATCCACCAAGCCAAAGGAGGCAAACGAACCAGCCTAGATGAATAAACGTTAGTTATTTGATTAGATATTGATGGATTGGATTAATACCCACCCAGAATAAAAATTAATAATGATGGGAAAACATCATTCTCTCCTTCATTATGATGATGATGGCTCACTGTAACTGGTGGAGGAGCAACAACGTATGTAGTTTGTGGTACATATGAGATTGGTTGTTGGTATCCTTGTGGTTGTTGGTAAGCAACTGGTTGGTAGCCTTGTGGGGCATATCCTTGTTGAGGGTATCCTTGTTGTGGCTGTTGTTGTTGTTGATACATTCCTGGTGGTGGTGGAGCGTAGTATCCTTGTTGTGGAGCTTGTTGTCCTTGTGGAGGATACATTTGTTGTTGTTGTTGTTGTGGTTCTTCTAAACCCATTGCTTTAATCTATTAATGTGTGTATGTATGTAATACGACTACTTTTACTTTACTATATATAATGTTTGAACAAATAATATACTACTGTTTAGTTCTGTTTCAATTGTTGTTTTATAAATAACGGTATTTTAATATCACAACTTTTCTTTATGGTGATGTGACCACAAAGCTGTGCAACTCCCATCTATTTTTATTTTTTTTTGAAAATTGATTTTCTTTCTTTGCGAGGAATCACCCCAAGCCATTGACCACGAGATCACCCTTTTCTTCAAGATACCAGTTAAAGATCAATTCAGCCACCCGGTTCCAAAGTAGTTGCCCTTTAACCAAAGGATATCTTTTTCTTTCTTTCAAATAGAATCATATGATCGTCACTCTTGAAATTTGTTTTATTTATTTATCTCTCTATTTATTATTGTCTTCTATCTACCAAATCAACTTTTACACAACACCCAATAAATAATTTCCTTTAAAGCCATGTGTGAGATTTGAACCTCTGCATAGAAATGGCACAGACCATTGATGGACACTTCAACTGAGAATTGTGGAAGTGGACACTATTTGTCTCTTAAATAGACAATATATCAATAGTAGAACAAATATTAAAATTTGATACCATTAAAGATATCCCAACCAAGTCTTAAGTCTACTCAAAAAAAGTAACTATTTTATTTTAAAACAATTTTCAATTCATTCTTTCTTTTACAAATTAGAAATCCAAATACATATATAATAAATATTAAACATAATCCAATTGGAATTGAAATGGCTAGAATAAATTTACATGTACTTCTATGATGTCCCATGTTTTTGGTAAAATCTTGTTGTTTAGAGGTTGTAGAAGAGGGGGATGAGTGATGTTTATGTTTGTTGTATACTTGATGTTTTGGTGATGGTTGAATAGGTTGTTCTGTTGAAGTATGTACCATAATATTTGAACTTTCATCTATATACAAATCCATTGGATTGAATTCGGTTGGTAAGTCTTCACCCATTTCAAAATTATCATGTTCGAATTCTTCTTCTGGTTCAGCACTAGAACCACCAACGATAATAGATGGTAGGAAAGGATTTACATAACAAGGAGTATAACAATTTAATACCATATCTTTATACTCTTGGAAACATCTTGATGCATCTCCACAATGAGGATATGTGGCTCTTTTACCTGTAACAAATGACATTTCATTGCATACCAAAAAGTCGACTGCTTTTTCTGTGCAAACAGTTCCAGTTGTACCATTGAATAACATACTATTAAGAACACAATTTCCATTACCACTAGAGTCATATTCACATCTTTCCAAATCCAATTTACAATCTTTATCATCATAACAATTATCTATGGACGATGGAATTGTATTAAAATCAACACAAGTATTGTTTAAAGGTGAACAATAAAGTGATTGAATACAACTTGAAATCCATGGATAGTGTGGATCATAGTAACAAGATTCTCCCATTCCAGATTGAAATAGTGGGATTGCAAAATGAGTTGGTTCACTACCCGACCACTCCAAACAACTAATATTTGTGAAATCTTCAAATGGGATAAGAAGAGGTGTATACTTGAAGAAATAATCATTGTTTGGATTTGAATATTTGTAATATGAAAGTAATGGTTGTCTTTGTACTCTTATTGTTTCATTATAGTGACATCCTCTACCAAAAGTATATGATATTATAGGTTGGGATTTTATAAAATTATTTGGATTACAATCTAATGATCCATTTTCAAATCTATAAACAATAAATATTAAAATATTAAATTAATACTTATTTATTTACTTATTTTTATTTTGGATCTTTGAAACCTTACAATTTTTTATAAATTGGATTTAAATTATCCTTGCACATATTATGTATTTCTCCATGAACATATTGAATAAAAAGAAAACTAAAGATTATAATCTTTAATATTATTATTTTTTTGTTTAACATTTTTTGATATTATCCAATAACAGATTAAACAATCAAATCAAATTAAAAACAACATGTTCAATTCACAATTCAATGATGATAATTGTTGAATTAATCAAAGAATTATTAATATATTTGATGATGGGTGGGTGGGTAATCAATGGAAATCTACACGCTCTGAATAAAATTTATATTTATTTATTTTCTCCCCCCACAATCAAAATAAATCATACCATAAATGGGGGATGTATTGTATGTACTATATTTGTTTTGAACTCACGGCTATCATGTCATCTATCTCACCCACCCACCCACCCATCAATGTGAAAGATCCCATTGTTATTCATTTATATCATGATGATATTACAAGTTTAATTAATTTACGTAATAATTATACTTGTTTTTTTTTTTTATGAAAATTTATTTAATTTTAACTCTATATTCTTTTGTTTGTTTTATTTTATTGCCATTCTGAGGCAACTTGAATCTTTGATTGAGTCTTTTAATTAAACATCTTCTAACAAGGAGAGCAGTGACAACAATGAAAATACAAACTGCACCAACAACAGAGAAAATGATTGCATAGAATACCTTGCTACTCATCTTATTGGAATGATGATCATTGTTTCTATTTGGGTTCCATCTTGAACCACCTCCACTTGGTTTACCTGATGGTTTACCTGATGGCCAAATAACCATACCAGAGTCGTATACATTTTGATGACATGGATCAGAGCAGGTAGTCATCATATTACAATATTCTTGTGGGCATCTAGCTTCTGGACAAGTAGTGTCGGTGGTGGCATTAAGGGTACCAGTAGTCTTGTTGGCAACAGAGCATGCAAAGAATTTATCGGTTGCTTCCATACACAATGACATGTTTTGAGCGTTACGTATAGGAGAGTTGGCAACACACTTGCTTCTACCATAGAGTGGAAGCATTGAGGTATTGTTTTTACATTCACATCTTTGGTATTCGGCTTGACAAACGTTAACGTTACCGGTACAGTCTACAAATTGGTTGGTTTGTTGTGGAACAGTTCTGATACACTTGAAACTGGCATGGTGACAGTGGAATCCATTGGCAACATCACAATTGGTCATCCATGGATACTTGGCATCAAAGTAACAATTGGTCTCTTTATCCTTTACTTGTTTTTCATGAAGTGGAACTGCGAAATAATCAGTGCATACTGGTTCAGTGGTAGTAGTAGTAGTAGTATTGGTATTGTTGGTGGTACTATTGGTTGTTGGTTTTGGAGTTGGAGTTGGTGTTGGTTTACAGCGGACATAAGATGAAAAGTTGCATGGAAGAACCAAGAATGGAGTTGATTCCTTGTATGCAATCTTGATAATATATTCCTTTGGCAATGCAATACCATACACACAATCAGAGTAAACTGGCATTTTGGTAATATCAAATGTATCATTCATCGTTGAATTTGAATTACATACTTGATTTGATTTTGTTAAACTAAATAAATAAAAAGAAAAAAAGAAAAATATTAATATTAATTCTAAAAATAATATTGTTGGTTGGGATCTAAATATTTAATATTATTACTTACCAAGATGTATATTGAGGACTCCAAGCACCCTTTGATGGGTCACATTTATTTAGACATTGTGGTTGATTAGATGCAATACAAAGACCAACAACACAAAACAATAATGTTATTAATATTATCTTCATCTTTTTTTTTTAATTATTTAATAATGACAGATTAAATTTTATACAACAATATTTATATATTAATAATATAATATATAATGACAATATAGTTGGTAATAAATACTGATGATTCAGAATTAAATTGTAGTAGTAGTTGTTGTTGGTGTAAAAGACAAATATTGAGGAATAATAAGAGTAATATTTTGTAACTTGCTTTATAAATAGAGTAATTTGTTGTTCCATTCTCCTCTTTTTTTTATCCATAAATAAATATATATATATTGTCAAACCAACCCTTCCATCACTCTGTTTGAACAGCATTACACCCTACCCTCACACCCCCCATGTCAGTGAGAGTGTGTGAAGGGTTTGGTTTACAAACACGAGTTATTGATTCATCAGTCATTATTTTCTCTCTCTCTCTCAACCCATCTATCAATAATAATAGTATGGTGAGGGTAAAGTGTGATGGTTCCACTTTTATTGTATTGGAATCAATTGATTAATAGAAAGATTGAATGAATGAAAAGATAGACAGATATCTTGAAGGAAGGAGTATAAAAAAACATAGGAGGTCACACGATCAACTTTGTTGGATTCTTATTTATTTTTGATTTAATCATTTGATCATAAAGCGAGAGCTAAAGAATGATGATGGTTTACAGATATTCATAATACTCTTTTCTTCTTTTGTATATATATATATATATTAAAAGAGTGTATGTTTGATGGATACAATAATACAAAGTAATAATGGTGATGATAGATTGAATCATATACTTCGATTAGTATTGATAAGAAACAAAGTGACATCAAGTATTATCTTTTACTATACACACCATATTAGTAGACAGTTGGTATTATCAATTGTATCAGTACCATTCTTTAAAAGGGATGATGTTCATTCAATACAACAAGACAGCGATGATGACAATGACAATCATGTCTCAATATTACCATTTTATAAAGGTCAACAAATCAAACAATCATTATGGTTAATGATCAAATTTAATTGGACCAATAGATTTATATCAGAATTTGATCATCTAATCAATAATAATAATAATAAGAATAATAATAAGATAATATTAAATGAAACATTTTATATTGAAGCAACTTTAAAAGCAAACCTTGAAATCCTACAAAGATTACATCTTCACAACTCTTCTTCATCCTCCTCTTCTTCATCATCATCATCTTTAAAGTTTATAGTACAACCAATTTTAATAACCAATATTATAAGGGCAGGTAGTCCAAAGACATTACAATGGGCTTTAGATAACATGCCATTCAGATTATTCCATATAGAGAAACCAATGAATGAAGAATATGAAAAACCTTCATACAAAGAATTAAAATATACTCTAAAAGATTTAGAACATTGGTTATTGGAATCTCTATCTTATTCTCCTACTACAACTTTTACAATTAATAATAATAATTATAATACAAATACAAATAATGACAATACACATAATAATAATGATAATGATGAAACCATTTCAACTAAAATGTTTAAAATGTTAACAAGAAGATTTGAAAAAGAATTGGGAATATCAAAAGGATTAAGAAAAGAGTCTGATACTAGAAATGATCGTTATCAAAGAGATAACTTTATCTATATGACATTTTACGATCAATCATCTATATCAAAGAGACCTGGAAAAGAGTTTTTCTATTGTATTTTACAACTCTACTTGTACGATTGTATTCATTCATCAACTGCTTTGCAAGTGGCAACTCTTTTTGGTGTATTTGAATTGATACCATTCATCAAAAACACAATCAATACTTTACTTTGGGAGTGGCCAGAAAAACAATTGGGAGTGGCTACTGCCCATCCTGGAATGGTAGAATACATCTTTGACTCTTACAAACAAGTAAACTTGAATGGTGACAAGAGTCATTCAATCGTCTATGAAATCTATAAAAATGCATCAAATCATGGAAATATAAAGTGTATCGAATACTTTCACAAGCTTTATCCTCGTACAGATCTCGGACTCATCCTTCCAAAAGCTCTGACTAGAGGTGAAGAAAAACTAGTTAATCTTTATTTCTCTGAACAGAAACACACAGTTGCCGGATTTATTCGTCAATTTATAGTCATAGAATCCATTCACAAGAGTCTTTTGACGGTCGAATTGATTGATCGTCTTGTTGTCATTCCAAGAATACGATTCAATTTCACAGACAAGTTTATTGCTACTCTTTATTTTGCTGGAGATGACATTAAAAAGTGTCTCGTCAAACACAAGGAATTAATTTTTATAGACTATGGATACATTTTAAAGAAATTGGCTTTGCGTGGAGACTTGGATGGAATCAAAGTATTGTTGATGGATTGTCCAATATCTCGTTTTGGATCACGTGACAAACAAATGTATCCGACAACCGTCTGCCTAGAAGATATTGAAAGTTTATTGTGGCGTGGAAAGTATGATAGCGTTAGATTACTATTCGAGATGAATGCTGTTTTACCAATGCCAGTGACCAAAAACACAGACAGCAAATTTGAAATGAAATATTTAATCGATATTATTGTCATTTGGGCACAACCAAAACAACACGCACAATCATTGGAACTGATTAAATTCTTGGTAGAATTTATAGATATGGATGACATGATTGAAAAGTTTAGAAAAGCTGCCAATGATATGGACAAACAATTTAAAACTCTATTTAATGTCGCTCCCAATTCTAGTCGTCTTTGTTCTTCCAACATTTTAAATCTAGTCATTGAAAATAATCGAAAGGATGTTTTTGACTATATCATGGGATCAACTAGTCGTTATTTCCCATTCAAACAATGTACATCCTATGCTATCATTAGTCTAATCAATAGTAACAACAACAACAACAACAATAATGATATGGAAATGATCAATGTTATTCTTGACAATTCACTTTTAGAAAAGTCATTAAACCATTACATTTTACGCATTTGTACACATGCATCGACCAAAGGCAATATTGAAATGTTTCAATTCTTTTATGATCGATTTGTGGGTAGTATCGAAAATGAAAAATGGCAGTCACAAAATCTACTTGTAGAATCACTTTCTTATGCAACCAAACAATGTAGATTTACATTTTTGTCATTCCTCTTTGACAATTATTTACGAAAAAATGATAATAGTGGTCCCACTATTCACCAAATTGACCGTCGGTCAAGTGGATTGATATATTCTATCGTTAGAGATCTATCAAACCTTTCAAGTCCATCAAAGAGATTGATGAGTTGCAATACTGTAAAATTGTTGGTGGAAAGATTCATTCGTGAACCAAAGAAATCAGGATCCACGACTATTGAAGCTCCCCATACACCACATTTTATCAATATTATCAAGAATGACCATTTCGAATTGTTCGAGTATTTGATAGAAGTATTTTATTTTAAAAATCATCTACCTAGTTTTGGTGTCGTTGATGATGATGGTGACAATACAAACAAATTGTCGTACGAACCAATCAAAAATAGATCTGGTATTTTATTCATGACAAGGATTGATTTTGAAGAAATCACCTCTATTGCCTATGAATATGGTACTCTTAGAATTATCAATTATCTCCAACAATCAAGAAAAAATAATCCTCTAATCACCAAAACTTCATTTTGTCAATTTCAATAAATATACTATAATTATTTATATAATTAATTTATTGATCAACTTGAACTTGTACTAGCAGTTGTACTGGTCAAGTTGTTTTGCTTGGTTATAGCCATTCTCTTTTTCACACAATTTTTACAAGTTCTTCTTTTAGAGTAAAACTCTGATTCTGGAAGCTCGACACTTGTACCCCACCACGCCACATGGTCTTCATCTTTGCAGGTTTTCGTTTGGCCATTGCCTGCAGCAGGGGCTGAAGTAGTAGTAGTAGTAGTAGTAGTTTTGATTTTTGGTGGTTTTAGAGGTGCTGATTTTTTCGCAATTTGCATGGGCCTTTTTGGTGGTGGTATAGGCACCAAGGATGGTTTTGAGGGGTCTTGATTGAATTGAGGTTTTGTTTGGGCTGCTGATTTGGTTGCTGGCATTTTTACTCTTCCAGTGGCAGCAGCAACCTTGGCAACGGGTGCAGCTACTTTTTCTTTTTCTTTTTTAGATTCAAAGAACAAAGTTGGAATTTCTTCACCAGTATTTTGAGACATGGTTTTAAGGGTATCAGACAATAATGTCATATCCCTATTCAAATTGATAACTTGATTGTAGAGTGCAGACTTTTTGATGTATTGTTTCGCGCCAGCTTGAAGTTGAATTGTTATTAATTTGACCTTGCTTTCAAGCAACTGGGCAATATGTAACTTGTCTTTTTCATCCAACGAGTCTGGAGTAAACTGTTGGTCTTTTGACAAGAGGAATTGATTGAATTGTGCACATCCAACAGTACCACATTCACAAACAGGGTTCTTCCATACTACTTCTTCCAACGGAGCTATACCAGTGGTTCCAATATAAATACCACTATCACTATCATCACTATCACTATCACTATCATCACTACTACTACTATCATCCTCATTTGGTTGTTCTTTTTGTTGTTGTTGTGGTGGTGGTTGATCTGATATTTTTGGTTTGGTTGCTTCTATAATTTGAATGTCTGGAATTTCGATTTCTGGTAAAGAAACTTTAGGTAGACAATGGTCATGTATAATGGTGTAAAGCGGTGATGAAGCAAAGGTGGAGAGACTTTCTTGAAGTTGAGATAGCAATTGAGAGAAAAAGTATGCAAAAGTTGGTTGGTTTGTGTTGAGAATGGGCGATGATACAATCAATTCTACCATTGGACGACATATTTGATTAAAGTGATCAGTTGCTCCAATGAATACAAAGACGGCAATATTGACAATAAGATCGATGAGTAGAGTGCAAATGGTGGGCAAACCACTTTCGAGAATGGATTTGACAGTATCTACGATCAATTTGCCGAGCGAATTGGCGACTTGGTCGTTAGTCAGTGGAAAGGCACTTAATAGTTTTTGGCGAATATTGGTGATGATGATAGAGTCATTTGGAAAGGTTGGATTGGAGATTTGAGAAGGATCTTCTTTGTAAAATTTGAGTATTTCTTCCATTCTCTCGTACACTTCCTTTTTGTCGTTGGCAGTGCGCACAGATATACTGTTTTTCGATCTAAAGATGTGGTTGGAGAGCAAATGAGCCAATACGTCATTGGTGAGATAGGGATAATGATCCTTGTGAGTTCTCATATCCGTATACAACCCATCGAGTACAAAAATGTCTTTGAATGTAAACTCTGAGAGAATGCTCGATATTTTCTGAATGACTTTTTGTTTGGTTTCAATGTCACACGGATTGATGGTTCTAAAGAGTGATTTAACATGTTCCAAATTCTCTAGGGAATGTTTTTTACAAAACTTTCTCTTGGCAGCACAACCACATATCATCCAAAAGGTAGAATTTGAAAAATAAAAATCAATCAATTGATTTCTAGCTTTTGTGATGGCAATATTGGTAGAATTTAAGGTTTCAGCCAACGCCTTGGCGAAAAACCTAGAGTTGTAAACAATGACCTTGTCATTGTCTGCAGAGATTAAAAGCCACTCTTTGAGCAATTCGATTGCATCTTCAGTCTTTGAAGCACGACGCCAAGAATTATACAACTCTTCAATACAAAATGGCGCCTCTGTCTTTTTCTTTTGAAATTGTAAAAATTGTTTGGTGTATTGTAGACCAAAACTTTTAGAGTGGAGTGAACCAAAGAAACTAAAGACACTTGCCTGTGCAGCGTCTTGTGCAGAAAAACTTGGATATTTTGTAAAGAATGTTGTAAACTCTTCACTTGGACGAATATCCATTTTAGTCTTCAATGTATCCAAAGCAGAAGACAGAGTTGTAACAGTGAAAAATTGTTCACTATTTAAACCGTCCCACAAAACATAGAATAAATCTCCAAAGTTTCTTTGAGTTGGTAATTCCTCCTGTTCCACTATTTTTAAATCACTAGAAAAATCTATACGATCATTTTGACTACTACTATCTAAAAGTGAATATTCCATTGCTCTAATTTGTCTTATTGTTCCCCTAAAATAAAAAGTATTAATATTTGTTTGTTTGTTTTGTTTGTTTTGTTTGTTTTTAAAATTTACCAAGTATAAAAATATTGAGGAAATTGTTTTGAAAGTAAAGTAAAAGTTTTTCTATATAATGGTAATAATGATTTTGTTGGTTGTAATATGATTCTATTTACATTGGTTGAGTGTTGTATTTTTCTTTTTCTGTCTGGCGCAGCAATGTCTGATGGTGTTCCATTGTTTTGTAACTTTTTCATTTCCATGATACCTTGGATACAAGTGTGTATCTTGTTTACATCAATGTAAGAGTGTATCAATTCATTGTGACTGTCGCGATTTGGTTGTGTCGTACGATAGAGATCGTATGTCAATACTAAAAGAGGACAATTTGAAGTGATATCGATGGTGCTGTCTGCGTAAAATGCCATGTATTGGAATCGAATGGGATCGATCTTATCCAAAGCAAATGGAGTCAATCCCAAACGATCCCTACCTTTGATTGAAAAGTAAGGGTCTTGTCCTCCAACAGGCTCATCCCAAATCGACCAAAAGAAGAACATCTTGCCAAACTTTCCAGGTGTCTCGTCGGCAGCCGAGGATATATCTCTATAGTTGGAAAGAGAAGCACCCGGTGACAAGACCATAATTGACGAGAACTTTTCAGTGATGCCTGGTGCACCCAACAGGTCTGACACTCTAGGCAATACATGCTTGAGACCACTCTTTTTAATGGTCACCTTCTCGCGAGGGATAGAGTTGACGAGTGGTCTTGCAGCATCTGTCTTGCCCAATGCTTTAAACTTGTTGAAATCTAGTGCAACATTAAAGAGTGAATCTAACTCTCCAAAGCTCTCGACCGAGATCTTTGGATATTTGGTAACAATCTCATGAACGTAAAAGTTACGTTGAAGAGATATGAATGCGTTGAGTTCACCTAACTTTCTATCCATCTCCGGAGATGCGGTGCGTGTGTGCGAGTGAGTGATTCTGTCTGTACTGTTGACAATGATCTATCTATTTATATTTATATAATGTTGTATGAAGCGTAATATTATTTATAATCTAAAATACTATCATTATAAGTATATGTACAAAAAAAATTAAATAATGATAATATATGATAATTTTAAATACAATGAAACTACTACTACATTGAAGAGTCGTGGGGTGGGGGTTGGCGCCTTGCTTGTTTTTTTCAATTTTTGTTTTATTTTTTATCTTTTTTAACGACTAAACTATCAATAACATTACATAAATAATTAAATAATTTAAAATTATTATGTTTTAAGGAATGAATTAACATTTTATAAATAATGTTGTTGGAATCGTTGAAACTTTTCGAGAATGGTGATCGGTCGAAACATTTGTGTTGACGATGTGATGATTTTTTAGAGATGAATAACTCCAAGATATAGATGATGGTGTCGGTCATTGTAGGGTACTTTGTCAATACGAGGAGATTGGTTGGATCCAATGAATAGGGTTTGTCATTCTTTCGATACTGTTCTTTAAATCTGTCAAATAGGAATACTATAGGTTCGATCTTGCATGAATGTGCATATGATAATTCATTGACAATAGTATCGACGAGTTGACTAGTGACAAAGAATAATGACTCTTTTGGACCAAGTTTCATCAATTCTAATATTTCAATATTGCCTCTTAAAACAGCACTAGTAAATGCAGATACCATGGTATCTCGATGGTTGATGAAATAGTAGGGATCACCATTTTCCAATTGATATTTGTATAGTACTTTAAAGTATCCAGTGTTGGATAGTGCAGCTGCATTTTTGAAATGACTCTCTTTTGCAAAGAGTGGAGGATATCTTTTTATGAAATGACCAACAATTTCAATTTGTCGGTCTGTTGATAGGATGACCATTGGCAACACCTTGGACATCCCAGCTCGATGATTTCCAATGTCAAACTGAGGCATGTTCACAAGCGTATCGAATAGTTCAAACATTTTGTCTGAAAATATTAATTCCAATCTGAGATTATTAATGTTGATTCTTGATACGCTTAAAAATAGCTTTATAAACTCTGGATCTTTAGATTCTTGAACTTGAGACGCATCCAAGTTGCTAGGTAACTCCCAACCACTGACCATATTATTTTCTAAAAATACCCTTGCCACGTCAAACCTGCCTACATGACAAAGCGCATAAAATTCGTGTGCTCCAATCACTCCCTTTTCAGCCTCTCGGCTATAAAACCAAGGGAATTGTGTAACAATCAACTTGATCGTGTTGACTGAATGTGTATTTTCAAATGCCGCTGTAACGCCTCTGTAAGGTGTGACCAAGTCAATAGATGCATATTTTGAAATGGCTTGGTTGTCTTGTCCATCGATATTGTCCCAAGACAGGGTTTGGTCAAATAAATGTGAATAATCAACTTTTGAAACGAGGTCTGGTCGAGTACTAAAGATTTGTTGTTCAATGTACTCTATCACACCAAATTCTTTGTACTTTAACGAATCATAATACAAAGCATTGATGTATATTTCCAATGGAATGTTATTAGTTTCCAACAACAACAGTTTGACCAAATCAACAGTCAATATTGTTTTATGGAATTGAATAACATCTGACCATATGTGGTCAGTAGTAGTTGGAGTCGTCATCTCTTTTAATAGATATTTGACAATACCAATATGACCTCTTCCCAAAGCTTCTGACAAACAACTTGGGTGTATCGAGACATTAGATGACGATGACGACGACGACTTGGACAAACCAATTAAATAATCAAGTGCTTCTATATTTCCATTATCACATGCTGCTCTGGTAACGTCGGAAATATCCAAAGGTGGTTTCCACAACTCGCATAGATATTTTAGTAATTTGCCAGATGACAATTTAGTTGCAATCGAGTAACTAGTCTCCAATGGCAGTACCACTCCTCCAACGTTTTTTTGAATAAACTCTATCAATGGATAATGCTCCTTTTGACATGCATGATGTAAAAGACGCTGCCATTGTTCGAATATTCTATTTTTGTGCATGATGTCTACCATCTCGACTGCATAAATACTATCCACTATTCCAAGTGCAGTTATTCTCAAAGTTGTGTACTTGCCAGCCCTTGTCCTATTAACAACTGTTTTTTTCATCGTTGGGAATGGTGGAACTGTTGTTTTTAGACCTGTGAAACAACCTGCGACTTTAGTCTTTTCCATATTATTAGCTATTGTTGGTTTCATAACTGGAGCAGCTATTGGAATGTCCACGAAACAATATTTAATCACACTATGAAACAATTCTATCGTTCCATCGTAAATTGATCTTTCTATTATTCTTAATATTGCATTGGTTGGTATACATCTATTATTATGATAATTATATATTTTTACCTAATGTATATAAAATTAAATTAAATGTTAGAGAGAAAATATTATTATTCAACTAGTGTATACATACAATACAAAGATTAAAAATATCATTGGTTATCAACTCAAAATGAGTAGTGTGAGGGATCTTTTCATCTGGGCCAAGTAATATAGCCTGAGTGTAGTGATCGGCAAGGTGTTGAGCAATTTGAAGATTTCCATAATACAAAGCTGCCAAGAATAGGTCGGTGAGTGGAATCTTGTTGATCAACATTTGCTCTCCAAATCCACATTGCTCAAAGCAATAGAAAAAGTGATTGGTCATATTGAACTTAATCATCTCTACCAATGATCCTCTTTCTATCACTTCTTTACCTTTAAGTGATCTTCTCAAATAAGATGATGGAGAGGGTGGGGAGGAGGAGGAAGAGGAAGAAGATGCAACCACATCTTGTAATTGGATTTGGTGTTTATTTAATTGACCAGTAAAGTTGAATATAATATTTGAAATGTATCTATTTATAATGATACTTTTAAATAATTTAGTCTTGTAATGATCATCATCATTATCATCATTACTATTATTATTATTAGTATTATCTATCTTTGATTGTTGTTGAACGATGGAATGATCATTCTCTTTCCATTTTGGTGGTTGATGACTCTTTCTCTTCATAGTGATAGCCTAACTTTATCATATATATTGTATGTTGTAATGAGTTGAATGAACCATGTTGTTCTTTTCAAAAAGATAATAATTTATATATTGTGTGGAAAAATTAAAGAATGAACTACCCAAAATGAATACACCCTATGAATGATCGATTTGATTTTAATATATTTATCTTTTTATAGTATAGTATAGGATTATTGGAGAGTAATAGTTACACATTGGATATATAATATGATCATGACGACACCATATTATCCAATGTCACCTGCTTCAATTGGCAATAATACTACCAGCAACAGCAGCAGTAATAACAATAGTGCATACAATACTGGTACAAGTACACCAGTATCTAATGAATATGGTACAACTATTACTAGTAGTAGTAATAGTAACAACAATAATAGCTATCATCAACGATCAAATAGTAGCAGTAACAATCATCATCATCATCAGACAAAGGGTAGTTCAATTGAAATGAACAGTTATTCATTGGAAGCACTCTTACAAGAACCAGGTGCACTGTCACATCAGAAACAAGTCACCATCAATAATATGAAACAACTAGCACTTGAACATTATCATCTATTCATTGATAACTTTAAAAAGTTTAATCAAACAAATATACAAGTATGTATAGATAGTAAAACACACAATGATCAATCAACTATACTAAATCTTGCTCTTTTTAGATGACAACAATCAATTCATCAATTGATGTATTGGTAGATCATTTACCAGCAATCAGTAAGAATTGTGAATCATTCTCTGTAATGTCACAAGCAATGACTGGTAAACGATCAGCCAACAAAACACTGCTCGACAACTTTCCAACCATACTCGATTTACTCGAAGTACCACAACTAATGGATACATGCGTTAAAAGTGCATCCTATGAAGAAGCACTTCAATTGGAAGCGTTCTCTAAAAAGATTGCAAAACAATACCCAAATATTAAGATTGTTAATGAAATTGTATGAAACATAGCTAAGCAAAGATAATATTTAGTTCGTATTGACTCATCTCGATCTATCTGATATTATTAGGTATCTGAAATAGCTACAATTACTCAAACATTAATATCAAATTTACAACAATCACTACGAAGTAATATATCATTGACTGATTCAATCAAGATTGTTGGTTTACTACGTCGATTGGGTGTTTACAAGGAAAATGAATTGAAAACTATCCTATTATATTCTCGGGATCAATGGTTAATGAATACTATTAAATTAATATCTGATCCAAATCCTGTCACTTTTGTAAGAACAAGAAGATGATCAATAATAATAGATAGATAACAACAAAATACTAACTATTATTATTTATTATATATTGTATTTAGTTGACAAAATTAACAGATTGTTGTAGAACTAATTTATTTGATATTGTTACTCAATTTAATGCTATATTTTCAGATGATTCAGATGACGATGTAAGTAAAATGATTTATTCCAATATATACTGATTACTTACTTGTTTGTTTGTTTATAGACAAATATAGATGATTTTATATTATATGGATGGATAGAATTAAAGATTTCACATTATCTAACGACACTTGAAACAACATTACCTTTAATTAAAGAAGGTAGCGGTATAGCATATATACTAGAGAATGCAATGTATTATTCATCTTCAATGTCAAGAGTAGGCGTTGATTTCCGTCCTCTACTGGCACCACTCTTTGAAAGAACTATAACCAACTTTTTAATCTCTAAATCGGCAACAGCTACACACCATTTCCTCGAATCTCTCAAATCATTTAAATTCCAACAACAACCATCTAATCCAGCATCATCATCATCGCCGTCATCTTCATCTATAGTTCAAATACCACCACCATCAATACTTAGATACCTTCCATTGGCAGTATTGACCAATTCATTCATATCGACATTTATTGAATTAAAAGAATGTATACCGGTCTCTATTGAATATCAACTCGTTTCAATACTCAAAGATACCCTACTACAAATTACAAGTGGCATTTATTCTTTTTATATTCAACAACAATCTTCTTCCTCTTCTTCCTCCTCATCTTCTACATCTTCATCATCGACAGTTATCATTGCACCATTATCAATTCCTCTTTCACAAAACCCTGTATTTCAAAATTTTTGTAAAGTATGTATAATATATTTTTATATATCCAAGGTCAAAAGATCTAGAAAACTAATGTTGGTATCTTAATTATTTAAATTAATTTAGTGTATCGTTGAAGATTTTCTACCATTTATTGTAAGATGTTTTGATTTGATAATCAATAATAAGAGTGGAACTTCATCAATAGATATTAGTGGTTTCACAACATCTTTAATTAAATTATATAATTCAAATCCAACAACTGTGGTTCCAACAGCTCCAACTGTTCCAACTGTTCCAATCACCTCAGAACCAACAACCCCAACTCTTCCAAATACTATTAATCGTTCAGTAATGAATGGTAAATTACAACCTGTAGTTGTAATACCACCTGTAACAGAACAACTCCCATCACCACCAGTACCAACAATAACAACAACAACACCAATAGTTGAATCAATCATCAATGAAAGTATTTCAGAAACTATTAAACCATCTGGATCATTACCAATGGAATCAAATTCATCGATTGTTCAAGATACTCCAATTAGTCATAGTGGAGACAATACAATTGTTTTAGAAAACAAAGAAATAATTATTCAACATCAACCACCAATTAAAGAGAACCAAGAAACAAATCCAACTGAAATTATAAAAGAAGAAGAAAAAGAAGAAGAAATAATTATTAAAACAGAACAAAAAGATAATGATGCTCAGAATAATAATATCATCTCCTCTCAACAATCAGAAGAACCTTCTAATAATAATATTATTATTGATGATGAATCCATTCAACAACCACCAACATTATAATAATAATAATAATTATAATTAATAAATCTATTCATTCAAGAGTTGGACTCTTTTTTTGAATTCATTTAACATGTACTCTACTCTCTATTCTATGTATTATTATTATTATTTTGATTCGCTATATTTCTTTATTCAAGTTTCTTTGATACTTGTTTTTCTAAACTTGAAATCAAATTTTGTTTCATTATAGAGTATATTTTATCGCAACCATCAATACATAAATCAATTCCCTAAAATTGAAAATAGAATATAGAAATATTAATAAAATGTGATATGGAATGCTTATAATATTGCTTGTTTTGTTTTGTTTTGTTGACACATACATCAATAGTATTATTATAAGATAATTCACCAGTTTGAATGATTTGAGTGATTTCATTTAAAGATGGCATCTTTGCAACGACTACACAACCCAATGAATCTTTACTCTCTTCTTCTTGAAGTGTTGGATCTAATAAAATACTTGATTGAACTTTTGGTGCAGCACCGCTGCTACCATTTCCACTGCCACTACCATTACTACCATTACTAATTGATTGATTTCTAATACAAATAGATGAACAAGCAGATACCATATCATACATTTCAACACCGGCATCAGCCAATGCCATAGAAGCAGCAGTGATAGCAGCAACCAACACACCACCATCATCATTTAAAACCATAACATAGACATCGATGACAGTCTTTGGGTATTTTTCCAATCGGATAGCACCGATAATCGATTGTCTGAGATTGATTGATAGATCCTTTTCCTTGGCACTCTCCATATAATCGATACGTTCACCTGGTCTTGCAAAACTAGCAAACTTTAACTCGCAACTAAACTTTGCCGATTCAAACAACTCTGTCTTTGGTGATGCTCTAGGTCCATGTACCGAACATATCACCTTTGTATTTTCAATCTCTATATATGCTGATCCACTAGCTTGTGATACTACTCCTGTTTTCATAACTAATAACGAAATCAAATTATTATTATTAGTTTGATTGTTAACATGTTTATCAATGATAATGATTATCATCAACGATCAACAACAACAAAGAACATACATATTTGTCTAAATTGTTCTTCTGATCTATTTGTTCTCTTTTTAATTGGTTCTGATGTTGTAGTAACTGGTACTGATATCGTTTGTTGTTGTTCATTCTGTTTTTGTTGTTCTTGTTGTTGTTTATATATCTTGTAATCTAATGGTATAGATGTAGCAATGGGATTGGTAACTCTGAAATCAATCTTCATCTTTCTTGTTTGTGTTTATATTATAAATAAATAATAATAATTGTAAAATTAATGAAAAAATGGTAAGAAACGACAGAGTTTCAAGTACAACACCCATCGCAAAATGATCATTTATATTTATTTATTTTCTTCAATTTTTTATAGTCATATATGGTTTAAGTTATAACAATCACAAGTATTGTAAATTTGTATTATAACATGTATACTTTCCATATTTATGGGCAAAGAAACAAAAATGATGACAAGAGATAGTATTACAAAAGTAAAATATAGGTACACTTGGATGTATGACCGATCGTATTAATGTTAGTTGGTATATTGCACTTGCTACTACAAACACCATAGAAAAATTCAACAATCAGCTTACAACATAAGAAGAGCTTACTTGGTCATAGTCATAAACAGATTTCATCGCTGCATAATACTATCATCTGCTTTGCTGGGTCCTCACAACTACCGACCTATGGATCCCGATACCTGACTCGAAGGAATACCTCAAACTTTTGATCAGATACAAACTTTCAAATGTTGTCTGATCAATTGAGCTATTCCATCGATTCGTTGGTTGGTTTGTCCACTACTACTACTACTAACTAGTATATTTATCTTGTATACAACGTTTGTATCACATCCACATCACATTTCCATTTCCTTGGATCTGTCTCTAACACTCACTTTTCCAGTGGTGTGATCTGGTCGATCGATCAGTACTTTATCAACCCACCATCACCACCACCATTGCATTCAACATGGTAAATTTAAATTAATAGAATACACGTACCATAAAAGTGAGTACTCTTTTGTGAGAGTTCAATATTGTTTAAACAAAAAGAGAGTTAAAAGGTAAATATGTTTATCACTATATTTATTTATATATATAATTCGACCGAGTATTCAACCATGAACCATCTTTATAAAGATGATGATGTACGGATTATCTTTTTTCCGCTACCCATTTTTCTGTTTTAGCGTCGTTTGGGATCAGAAATCTTGATCCATTGTTGGTCTATTTTTATTTATTTTATTGTTAGTGGCGATAGAGTTATCGATTGAGCTCAAAAAGTTGTTCACAATCATCATCATCATCATATAAAAGATAAATAAAGAGAGAGAGAGAGAGAGATAGATAGAGAAAAGAGAGGAAAAGACAGACAAATTGTAAATATTTTAATATCAACTTATCATCATCCATCATCATCATCATCAATCGTGTTCAAACCACCCACACTCCTTGAGGGATGATCGTATCAGCAACTGATATGATATGATATGATACGATACTACTTTTCAACGTATCTACCACCCACCCACCCACGCACCCTACCACCACTACTATAGTACTACACTACTACAAAACCCAATTACAGCAGCAAGCAAAAGGAATAGGAAGATTTTAAACTCTTGAATCTATCTAAAACAATGTGAATTGAATCCACTATTATACTACTATGCTACCCACCACATTATGAATTACCCAAAACACAACACACTGTTTTGTTTGGTTTGTTGTTGTTGTATTGAAATTTCATCTCTTCCTTTGACCCTATCCTACCTCATTCCATCCCTATTGTCGAGTGAGAAAGGAGAGAAAGGAGAGAGAGATAAGAGTGCTATTAATAAATAAGAGAGGAGTATGTAGCAGTAAGTAGCAGGAGTAGGAGAAGTAGTTAGTAATACAACAAACCAAACCAAACCAAACCAAAACAAAGAGAGAGGTGAGAGATAGATCGAGAGAGCATGAAATAAATTATTTTATTATTATTATTATTTATATTGTTGTTGTAACTACTTTACTTTGTTAGAGACGTCAACCATATAACACAACCAACCAGCCAACCAGCCAACCATTTTATAAAGAATAATCATTCTCAGTTTTTGTTATAACCTCAACCTCAACCTCACCATTCCATACATTTATTTATTATTATTCTTTCTACTTTAGATAGCTTGATCTATCCAGTTGTGTTTGTTTGGTTGGACCCTATTGGTTCCGTCATCATCATCATCATCATCATCTGACAGACAATCTATATTTCTAAAATATCCTCAGAGGTAATTATATATCATAGTATTAGTTAGTAGTTTTCAAGCAATCTCTGCGTCTATGCATAGACAAAGGACAAGGAAGGGTGTGACAATAACCATAAAAGGAAATATTGACCAATCCTTCTGTTGGGTGTGGGGGGTGATCCACATGTCCTTTTCCATACATAGATATACACACACGCAACCCAACCAATCAAATCTGTTAAATTTGCGGCACATCTATCGCCAAAGGTTCAGATCTTTCAGGTGATCGTTTTTTATGTTTTCATTTTCAGGGGACAATTTCACCCCCAATTGCCTGTGTTGACAGCTGGGATCGAGTGATGGTGACCAATCCTCTCAACGAAACAACACCTCACAATGAATTTTCTTGTTTAAAAAAGAAAAGGAAAATAGCGCACTTTCTTCACCTTTTGCTGTCTCGAGCAACAATGGCTTTTGATTTACTTTTATTAATTTAGTGCAACTCGAGACACTAATTTATAGATAGATAGATAAAGAGAGAGACTAATTGTAGTAGTCAATTTTAAAAAACAAAAAAAAAAGAATCAAAAGAACAAGACAGAAGAAGACAAAAGCGTCAATCAACAACGACATATATACGATTTAAGAGTAGTTTGATAAAAAGGTACATCAACATATTTTTACTACTCTCACTCTCAGTGTGTTTGGTCTCTTTCACTATAATATACTACACAAACATAAAATTAAAACCTATCTACCCCCCCCCTCCCCTAATCACTTGAGATATTCACCCCCCACATCTTCCTCCTCCTTCTCCTCGCTGAGCAATCCATCCCAATATTTTTAAATTATTATCATCAAACAACACAAAATACATCATCTATTCCGACAGCTTGCGCGCTTGCTAGAGTGTACCCAATAATAATATAATAATAATAATAATAATAATATTACTATTAGGTTTTAGTTGAGTTGGTTGGTTGTTAATATTTAAAAGACCTTTATCTTTCTTCTTCCCTCTTTTTGTCTTTTCATCATCATCATCATCACCAATTTTTTAATCCATTATTAATAATTTAAAATAACTCTATAATAGTCTTCCTTAAGTAAACCAATACCAATACCAATAACAAATCAAGTCTTTGGTTCAATAAAACATAATAACATATAATAATAACAATAACAATAATAATAATCAAGTCTCCTTTTTGAAACAACCCAACTTGTTGTATCTATCATCTTGATCAAGATCTATCAATCAAACATACTACAACAAATAATAGTAATAATAATAATATCATAATGTACAATGGAACCGACTACAGCTTATCAACCTCCTCCTCCTTCTTCAATACCCTCCTATCAAATGACAACACCACCTGCTGTTCTACAGCCTGGTGCGGTGGATGTCCTGGCTAAGAATATAAACCAATTTTGGAATGGACAACAACAACAAGTCCAAAATGTTGTGGCTCAACCACAACAACAACAACAACAACAACCAGTGACTAATAATACACAAAATAACAATAATAACAATAATAATTATATTCAAATGAATAGCCAACAATTACAACAAAAAATACAACAGGCAATTCGACAACAACAATTACAAAACCAACAACAAAACCAACAGCAACAACAATTGCAACAACAACAATTACAACAGCAACAACAGCTACAACAACAAAACCAACAATTACATCAACAAATCCAACAACAACAACAACAACTTCAACAACAACAACAAATCCAACAAATACAACCAATGCAACAAATTCAAATCCAACAATTACAACAACAAATTCAACAACAACAACAAATCCAACAAACTTTGAATAATAATAATAACAATAATAATAATAATAATAATGGACTTATTTCACATATTGCTAGTTTACCTCAACAAGTGTTCCAGCAACCAAAAACTAATAACACTAACAATAATAATATTATAATGAATAATAATAATAATAATAATAATTTTCAACAACCAAATAATAATAATAATAATAACACATCAATGGTACAAATGCCAAAGAACAATACACCACAACAACAACCAGGCAGTTCTCCACAAATTATTCAATTGGATCCACCCAATGTGATTAATCTAGATGGGACACCCACACCATCACCAGCAACCAATCATGGATTTTCCCAAACACCATCATCGGGTGCGCCAACACCTCCCATCAACACGGTACCCAACAACAACAACAACAACAACAACTCTTACTCTCCACCACAAAAACAACTTCAACAAGTATTGCAACAACAAGGAGGCAATCCATTGTCACCAGTTTCACCAAACCACGCAGGCTTAAACCATTCACCTTCAACATCGTATCTCGGTGGCAGTGCAAGCTCCCCGTCATCTAGTATTGACAGTAGTACTATTAATACTACTGCTACTCCTACTGCTACTACTATTACTAGTACTACGAACGGAACCACCACTTTGTCCTCGCCTCCTACTCCACCACCACATATTGTCAACTATGTAAATGGATTATCCGAGCAAGCGAGGACGGCATTGGGCGGTCTATTTGAAAAAACAAAAAAGGATTCTATCACTTTTGGATTTAGTTCCATTTGTAGAAGAGGCTTTTACGCCAATGTCAATCAACTCAATGGATCTCTTACCAAATACAACAAGGACAAAAACTGTTTTGAATGGATCAGGGTGTACGTCATTGAAGGAAACAATCAGTTTATTCAATTTGGACGTGCCTTGAGCATATTCAATACGGAAACCATGTCAAAGTTTGGTCAAAATCTCGTCCCCTGCAACTCTTTTGAAACACTCATTGACAATTTTGTCTTGCTGTTTAACTGTCTCAAACTTCTTTCACAAGATGAATATTCATCATGTATGGATAAATCTATAGCAAATTCTATAAGTTCTTATTCTTTAATGGTTCAACAACAAATTAATAATAATAATACAAATAATACACAACAACAACAAACATCAATATCGCCGTTAAATAATAATAATAATACCAATAATACCAATAGTAATACTAACACCAATCAAAACAATAATAATAATAATATTATTAATAATAATGCACATTTACAACAATTACAATTACAACAACAACAACAGCAACTACAACAACAGCTACAACAACAACAGCAACAGCTACAACAACAACAACAACAATTTAGTAATACAAATAACAATTTTATTAAAAACAATGTAAATACTGACCAACAACAACAACAAATTAACAATACCAATAATAATAATAATATAATGACAAATAATAGTAATGTAGTTAACAATGGTAATAATAATAATATAATTAATAATAATAATAATAATCCTTATATAGTAAATAATAATAACAATTCAAATGTAAATAATGTAAATAATTTGAATAATGTTGCTGCATTACAACAACAACAACAACAACAACAACAACAACAACAACAATCGAAACCACTTCAACTTTATGCAAACAATAATAACCTTGCGAATCAACAACAACAACAACAACAGCAGCAACAACAACAAAATATATTTTTAAATAACCCGAATATGATAGGCACAACCACCAACAACAATAATAATAATAATAATAATGCCAACATGAATACTTTTACCCAGCCAACATTTTATGTTCAATAAATTTTGTGTTTATCAAAACAAACCATTTTATCTTGTTTTTAAAGATAAATGCCAAAGGCTAGAAAATACTTGAAACATCATATCTTTGTTTATTTATTTTCCAAGGATCCCTCATATTTGAATACTACTTACACCGAAATGAATCCAGCCTGCTTTGGTAGTGCAACCCACTTCTTTTTGATGATGAGCCAATAGACGAGGACTCACCTATATCATGCACCTTGAGAAATGTATCTATGGTACATCATTCATCTTTTGTTGAGATTTCTCTCAAGTACTAGACTTGAAGCTAGTAGTTTCAATGCATTGTAGTTTATAGTTTTATATCTTTTTCAATTAAGTTTATAATGAATGTTGTCATCGTTTGGCATCCAAGTCTCCTTTTCCTAAGAATCGAAATGAATTTCTTTTTGTGACAGTTCTAGGGTGCAATTGGCGCCTATACCTCTCTTGGTCAAGGTCTAGGAGAAGCTGCCTGCTTTGGTAGTGCAACCCACTTCTTTTTGATGATGAGTCCAAAGACGAGGGCTCACCTATGTTATGCACCTTGAGAAACGTATCTATGGGAACAGAAAAGACGAGAAAAACGAAATAAACGAATCAGGTGACATACTTTGGTCGACTTTTAACTTTTTATCTTTGACTAATGAAATATCAATTCAATAATATAGAGAGAGAAGAGTTGTCATATTATTATTATTAGAACATTGGTTTGATGCAAGATAGCTAGCTAAAGATACAAGATCAATTGTGTTAGAAAAATGATATTGCACCGTGGTGTGTTTGGGTGGTTAAATATTATTTCTTACTACTACAAAAGGGGTACTGCTACTACTCTATTATCGATTTGTTATTATCTATTTGTTCTTAATTCTCATGAACAAATGATTTAAACTTACAATGCTCAGACACTATGGAGGAGGGCAAATCGATTTGCCTCAGCTGATCGACTGACCGACTTGATTAAAATTCTTCAGGTCAGTCGGTCTGACAACTGGGTATGGGGATCATCTTCGATGAGTGACATTTATTACTTTTATAAAGGTTAAATAAATAAATATTTTGTTTTGGAGATTCTTACTCTTACATCTTTCAAATCCGTTTGATCCATTCCAATCAAAGTATTCCACACCCTTTATAAATCTCATCAGAAGTTCCTATCCTAAAACTTTCGGTCGTTTGAAAAAAACAAAAAAAATAAAACATCCTTCGTTTTTGTGCATTTGTGAGAGAGATAGAGAGAAAGGACTTGTAATTTTATTATTATTCGTTTATTCGTTTTTTTTACATATTTATATATATATCAATCACATCTAGAAATGGCAAAGAATACAGACGATAAAAAGAGAAAGGCACAAGAAGTAGAGGCTGAGGATGATCAAGACTACTATGAAGATGAAGAGGAATACAACGAAGAGGAAGGACAAGAAGGAGAGGAAGAAGAGTACAATGAAGAAGATGCTGATGAAATGAAAGTAACTGGTGAAGATGAACAAGAAGAAGGAGAGGAAGGAGATGAAGGAGAAGAAGGAGAAGAAAAGAAAAAGAAGAAAACCAACCTACCAAAAAGACAAAGGCAGAGAAACGTGAAGAAAAGATGACCAAAAAGTCCAAGTTTGACAACAATGCTCAAATGGTCTACGATGCCAAGGTTCTTTGGGAAAAGTTAAAGTTGGTCAGTCTAAGCAAATCTGAAAGACAACCACTTGTTGATAGATTATTCAAAATGGTCGAAGGTAAAATGACCCAAGTATGTATACAACAAAAGTCATAATCCTCCTTTTTTGACGCACTATCGACTTATACCTCTGTTTTCTTTTTCTTTTTTTTTTTTAGATTGTAAAGAAACATGATGCATCACGTATTATTCAAACATTATTAAAATATGGAAACGAAAAACAAAGAGATACAATTTACAATGAATTAAAGAGCGACGTTGTTGCCATGGCTCCACATGTCTATGGTAGATTTTTGGTTGTTAAATTGTTAAAGTATTGTAGCAAGGAACAAAGAAACGAAATTCTCAAAGCATTCTATGGCAGCATTGTAAAGTTGACCCGTAATCGTGAAGCTGGTCACGTCATTGAATACATGTATGCAGAGATTGCCAATGCCGTCCAACGTGGCGCCATTCTCGAGGAATTCTATTCCGAGGAATACCGTCTCTTCAAGAGCGACAAGGCCCGTACCCTCAACGACATTATTACCGCCAGTCCACACAAAAAGGAGGCTATCATCACCGAACTCGGCAAGAAGCTCACCAAGGCCCTCAGCAACAAGGGAGAGTTATTGGTCACCTACACCTTTATCCAAAAACTCGTCATCCAATACTTTGAACACGCCACCCCAGAGAACTGTTCCGATATGGCCGAGACATTGAGTGAGATCACCCTCCCAATGGTCCACACCAAGGACGGTGCCGTCATCACCTACTACACCATCTCGTACGGCAGTGCCAAGACGAGAAAGAGTATTATCAAGGGCATGAAGGACTACTTTTGCAAGGTTGCCCTCGAACAACACGGACATTTGGCTCTTCTCAGATTGTTGGATGTTACCGATGATACCATGTTGCTCAACAAATCGGTCCTTGCCGAATTGATCACTCAACTCCCAGACCTCGCCGTCTCTCAGTATGGTCATCTCTGGATTCTCCATCTTTTAGTTCCATACAGTTCTCAAGTCTTTTCTGAACATACCATCAATAGACTTAAACCAGTTATTAAATCTACTCAAGATATTGAACATAAAGTTTCGTATGTAGAGAGAAAAAAAGTAGAGAGAAAATAGTTAAACAGTTTTATTAATCTCTTTTTAATTTAATTTTTTTAGTAAAAAGGATCATGATACAAGAAGAAAGGAATTGATGGAATTTATGGCACCAAAATTAATTGATTTATGTTCAAATCATTTGCAACAACTTTGTTGCTCACCATTTGGTGTTAAAGTGTTAACCTACACCTTGAAGGAATGTCAAGGAAACAAAATTATTTTAATGAATAGATTGATCGACCTTTTGACCACCTCTATCGATGAAGAGGAAAGTATAGTTGGAGGTAACAATACTTCAAACATTCAATTATTATTAAAAAATGATTATATTAAAACTACTGGTAAATGTCAAAAGAAAAAATCAAAATAACAAAAAGGATAATATTCTAATTTATTTTATTTAGATTTACCAAAATCAATGTTTGAAAAATTAAAGGATCGTTTGGTAGATTTAAGTTTACAAGATGAAAATATGGCATTCATTGTCAGAGATTTGATTAAATACGCATTGAGCGAGAATGCTTTACAAAAGGAAGCCATTAAAATTATTGACAAGAACCAAAAGAAATTAAATCAAGGAAATGTTGGTTGTAAATCGATGGTCAAAGTTTTATTAAATCAAAATACTACCAAGGATACCAAAAAGAAATAAATCAAATTAGCAGCAAACAATTGGACAAAAACATTTTTTAAAGAAATATAAATTTATTTAATTAATTACATTTTTGATTTTTTTTTAGAGAGAATAGATAGTAGACTACTCGACTACTATACTAATAATAAATATATTATATTTTATGATTATTATTATGATTATTCTGTTATTTTGGTGGTGAAAGTAAATCATATGCAGTTTTTGGTTCATTTGGTTGATTCATTAATTGTTTGATAAAAGAGAATTCATACTCTTTGATGAGATCCAAATACCAAGATAGACATAGGTTCTTTTTGCTATTTTCAAAGTTTCCAGTTATTTCCGATATCAACAAGGTACAGAGTTCCATTTTGATCTTTAGATTTTGTACCTCGCTCACTACTCTCTTGACCTCTTTGAGGACAAGGTGTAATAGTTGAATGTCTACTAGTTGCAACATTAAAAGGAGTAATTGAAACAAACTCTTTGATGCATTCTCCAATGATGTTTTGGATTTATCTTGTAGTTTGATTTGATTGATTGTAGCATTTGAAATGGTCATCACTGTAAATAATATAATTGGATCCGTTGGTGGATTATGTTCAACTATACTTGATATACCAGTAAATAATGATGATATTTGTGTATATTTTGGGAATGTCTAAAAACATAAAAAATAAAATAAAAGAATATGTTAATTAAATTGCAATTTCATAATTATATTAAATATTCGTTACTTTTAAAGAAGTTTGTATATATTTTGGGACCATTTGAACTGTTAGATGATAATTTGGTATTGAAAATATTCTACTTATTATAAAGTGAGTTAATTTGTTCATTTTTTCATTGGGATATTCCATATATCTAAAAAAAGAAAAGATTAATTAATAAGCCTTGATTAATTTTTGTTTGTTTGATTTTGATTTTTTTTTTTTTAAACATACTCGAATAAATTTGGAATGATAACATTAGTAATTAAACTATGTGGTACAAAAGTGACAAGAGAAACCAAAGCATTGAGATATATGATTACTTTGGCGCAAGCAATCTTATCACTCTTTGGGACGGTTAAATATACTGGCATTTTATCGATAAAACGAATAATGGCACATTCTGAAAGAGAAACATTTTTTACAAGAGAGCGGATGGCGCTATTGACGACAGGAACATCGTCATCGGTGATAAAGCTAATTTGAATGAAAAACTCGAGACCCAAGGCACTGTCAATTGGTGAGAGGATGCGAGAAATATCATTAAACATGGTAGAGAAGCAAAGAATGATCCCATTGAGTGTTGGTTTGAGGGCTCTCTGGATAGATGCCTTTGGGAATGAACTGCTAGTGTCTTTGATAAAGTTGTACCACAATTCATTCAATCTATGTCCATATTCACAGAGTTTTAACATGACTGATTTGTTTACATCATTGTCCTTTAGATGTAACATTAATTTAACAATCATGTCCACATATGCCAATAATGATAAAAATATTGGTGATGTTTGATGTCCTTCCATCTAAAAAAAATATAAAAGAAAAAAGAAAATTAAATAGAAATGATTAATAATCTAATTATATATTTATAATACTATATCAATATATACCTTTTTGATTGATAAATTATTAATTTCAATTGGTTTTTCAAGCCATTCATAGAGTTGACCATTGATACCTAAAACTTGTTCCAGTAGCGTATCAATAGTCACTTTTAATATACTTTGACATGCTTGTTTATCTTGAAAAGGTTCAGTGCCACTAAGACAATAGGCAGTGACTACACCAATTTTTTGTACAACAGTCAAGTAATTGATTTGATTGACAGATGTATAAAACATGTCGTGAATTTGGTGAACAGATTCCTTTTTTGCTTCCAATGGTATAAATTTACATCTTTTTTGTAATACATTACTTATTGATGATCCAATAAATATACTTAAATATTTTGAACCTAAAAGATAGGGTTAGTTCAAAAACCAATAGATACTTTTTTTTTGTTTTTTTGTTTACATACTTGAATTGGTATTATAAAAAGAATTATTTGATTCTTCACAAATAACTCTTGTCCAATCGAATATTGCATTTTCCATATCAGTTTGATTATTATCGAAATGTGCCAATTTAAATTTACTGTTGAAAACAGATTGAATTGTTTTGTATACCAACCAACCATTGTCCAACGATGGGAATGGAGAATTTTTGTGATGTGGATCATCCCACAAAGATGACATTATATTAATCAATTCTGTTGTTTGTTCAATCGTTTGTACACCAATTAATGCAAATCCAATTGATTTTATAACTAATGATGATTTATTATAATCACTAAAAGAAAAAGAAAAAGAAAAAAATAGTTAATATAAATTTTATAAATGAATCTATCTATCTTTTTTTTAGTTTACCTTAACATATCTGGATATTTTTTAATATATTTAATAAATAAATAATAGGAATTATTATGTTCAGTTTCATCAGATTCATCAAATAATGAAACTGAAATACCTAGCCAAACCAAACCAATCAAAAATAATTTTTCAATATCTACTTCTTCAAAGATTCTTTCAATAGTATTGACCCAACTCTTTAAAATTGGTTGTAATTTCTTTGGTTTTGTTACCCACCAACAATTATCACTTTTTTCTAAAAAATAGATACAAAACAAAAAAATGTTAGAATATATATTTGTTTTTTTTTTTTTGTTACCTTTAACTTCTTGAACACCAGAAATAATAGAAACCCAACTAAGAGATAATCTTAGACATGAATCTAAAACCATTGATAAATCTTCAGCCATTTGACTTGTCTTTTTTTCTTTGCAATATTGATCCAAATGATAGATTGTACAATTTAAAAGAATATTAACATTCTCTTCATTCCAAATTGATAGTTCAAAGGAATTTCTACGTTGAGTGAGGTATCTAATATTATAAAACACAATTTTTGCACTATCTTGTAAATAGGTTTTGATGGTTTTAAAATGATAATCCTCTGATGGATAAACAAGAGTTGGTGTTAAACTCTTTGGTAATGGTTTTTGATATGTTTGTTGTTGATTATTATTATTGTTATTTGGTTGTTGTTGTTGTTGTTGTTGTTGTTGTTGTTGTTGTTGTTGTTGTTGAGGTGGTGGTTGAGGTTTTGGGAATAATATAGATTCTCTACCAGTTAAATAAAATACTTCAAATATTTCATTAAAATATACTTCGGTTGGTAATAGTTTTAATGATATTGGATCCCAATCAATAAATCGAAGATTACATGTTAAAATATTTTGTATCAATACATCTAATGGTATATGTGGGTAATCGTATAATGGAAATAAATGTATCTAAAAAAAATAAATAAAAAAGGAAGATTATTAGTTTTTGGTATATACCAAAGAGTTGGGTTGATTGTGTGTTGTGTTTTACCTTTTGTTGACAATCCATTAAAACATTACAAATTGATTTTAATCCATCCGACTTTGTAAGACACATTTTAATATAAACTATTACCAATAGCATTGGTACAATTGGTAATGATTTTGATACAGGTATATATCTAAAAAAATGATAAGGATTAACATTTAAATTATAAATAATCATTAATTAATTATTCTACTTACGTTGGATTTAATAAAGATTCAATATTACCAGTACTCAATGCATTGAGTATAGAGTTGAATGAAAAGTTTTTGTTGAAACATTGGAAAAGATCGCTTCTTAGTCGCAATAGGTTTGGGATGTATAAATGTGGGAAACCAGATGCTCTCTTTGCATTGACCATTGGTTTGGAGGATGAGTTTATGATATAGATTTCATCGATACTATTTCCATTGTTGTTGGGTAGTCGACCAACACCACTGCTAATGATTTGAGGCATAGAGGATGATGACGGCGATGATCCTTCACCCAAATAGATGTTGTCGGCCCATTGATACAAGTATGGGTCCATTTGATCCAATATTCTCAATACTCTTTGCATGCTTTTAACATGTCCCAAACGAATATACTCTTTCAACAGCCAACACCAATAAATTCTTCCTTTTTTCATACTCTTGTCAAGTGTAGTAGTAGTAGGTGCAGGTGGAATACCTACTCCAACAACTCCTCCTGGTGGTAGTGATGGATGTGTTCCTTGATTATTATTATTATGATGATGTGATTCATTATATCCAATAACTGAATTCAAGTTGTCTGTTGTTTGTTGTTGAGGAGGAAGAGTAGTAGTAGTTGTACTCGTAGTTGTTGAATTTGTTGTTGTCAACGAAGTTGAAGAATCATTATCGTCTTGATTGGGAGTATTATTTAATTTGTTTGGTAGATTGATAATGTTATTATTTGTAGTGGTTGGCTGACTAGTCTTTATATAGCTCGCAGCTGCATTTGCATTTGCATTTGTCGAAGAGGAAGAGGAAGAAGAAGAAGAAGAAGTTGCAGCTGTGGTTGAAGTTGTCACTCCCAAGTCATATGATCTAGTCTCGACCATAATTATTATCTGTTGTTGTTAATAGTAGTAGTAGGAAGTAGTACTGTTTATGTTATACTATTGTTGTTGTTGTTGTTGTTCTTGTTAAAAAAGAAAAACAAATCTTGTTGGTTGTGATATTATTCTTATTCTGTCTAGGGCAATCTTGTTGTGATAACATGAACTACTTTGTCGTCTCTAAAGAAACAAGAGACTAACTAAAAGGGGTTCACTTTATACTGTCTGTCTGTCTATCTCTAGTTATTACTATATTCTAAATATTATTGATGGATAGATGGATTTATAAATTAAATTAAAGAATACGCATTCCTCAAAGCAATAATTATTGTCTTCTTCACTTTTGCCCAACAACAACACAATATTTGTTTATTTTTCAAAAAAAGCAATTAAAAATAAAAACGAATAAGTTCTAATTTTATAAAGGTACAACTGCGCTAGTCGACATTTATTAATTTATTAGTTTGTTTGCTTGTTATTACTATATACAGATAAATATATAATATAAAGGATATCTATTCTTTATATTTATGGTGCTGGAGTTGATGTAGAATCATCTCTATCAAAGTTATCATCGTTGAAATCCAAGACACTATCATTTGTAAAACTATGGTCGACACTGGAAAGGGTTGGACTTGAACCAGATTCAGTCGAGTCCATACGGTCGATTGAAATGGTACTACTATTATGTTTGCCTTTGAAACCATCACCAGTAGTCGTGATGAAATCATCATATCCTTCTTTATCCATGGGAGATGGGGTGATTGGATCGATGGTATGGATCTTGAAGAAACGACGGTAGAGGACTTTACAAGCTTGGTAGATCAACTCGATTGCAATGAAGAAAAAGATGATCCATCCAATCAATGAAATCAATTGTTTGCCATAGACAACAACGTGTTGGTCAGTACAAGGACCATCGACAAAACTATACATCCCCTTTTGAAGGACATAGTAACTGTGAAAGAAATCACCGAGGTAGACCCATGGAGCCATGAAATTATAGGTAGACGAGAATTCATTGTTCTCTTTGATGGAGATTCCCGAACCAACTGGATCGAATATAAAGGTGGTGTTTAGAGTTCTAAGAGCGTCCATGACAATTTCAGAGGTTAGGTATTTGGCATTAATGGTATCATTCTTGTTGTAGGGTTGAGTAATATTTGGTGAATCCAAAACAGTCCAACACATTCCACGTTGATCGAAATGATAATCGGAACCTGTTGTATACCTAATACCATTCTTTAAAGCAAATTGTAAACCTTGGTAATCCATTGTACTTTCATTGACTACCTCTAAAAAGTCGATTCCCATCTCTTTCCATTCCTCCATCGAAGGTTGATCGAGTCCTGCCCATGTCGACCAAGGGTAATGATTCAATACAACCAATCCTCCCAAACTATGAACCTTGTCAATAATCTCTTTAATCTGTGTATTTGTAGGTCTTTTAATTAATGGAACATCTTCTCTAATTCCTATTAATCCTAAATGTACTCTACAATTTGTCCATTCTCTAAAATAGAAAAGAAAAGAAAAGAAAAAAGAATAATAATTAAGTATTAATAATTAATTATATTTATATATGATTTTTACATACATTCCAGGAATGACAACAATCTTTTCTTGATATTTTTCTTTTGCCAACTTTTCAGCAGCCAATCCACCAGATACAGTATTGTGATCGGTTACAATCATAGCATTGAAACCATTTTTAATATGCCATAGGATTAGATTCTCGACACTTAATTTACCATCAGAGTAGGTGCTATGACTATGAGGATCCAAAAAGATATTTGGATTGGCAACGAGGTTGGTATCATAAATTTGTAAGTGTCTTGGATCATAATCTTCACCTTCAAACTCTATATTGGCACCATCATATTTTCTAGGTGAATTATTTGTAATGTATAATGAAATGGGAATGATGATTGCCAATATTGCACACATAACTAAAACATGTCTACAACATCTTATTCCAAATTCTTTAACTATATGTTTTCTTTTTTTTATTTGATTTCCAATTGTTTTTGTTGAATTGAAAACCATTTTTAAATTATTATTATTGGTACTATTATTATTATTATTATTACTACTAATACTACTATAAATACTGGTTGTACTATTACTTCTACTTAAAAATTGGATTGAATTATTTTGATTGGAATTAAATGTTGATGGTGATGTTGATGCTGCTGAATATGAATATGAACCTAGTTGAATAGAGGATCGATCAATGGGAATGGACTGATTAAATTTAAATAAATTACGAATATAATTTTTAACTCTATAATATTGAGATTGAATTGATGGAAATGTGAAACTATTACTACTATTATAATATTCTGGTTGTTGGGATAAATATTTAGATTTACTATTATCGTATTTATCCTCTTGATTATTATTATTATTACTATTATTATTTAAATAATCTAAATTATTATTATTTATTGTTTGGTTGTTATTATTATTGAGTGATATTAAATTATCAGATTCTTCGAATGAATGATTAGAGTAATTCGTATTATTATTATTTTCAAAATTATTATTATTATTATTATTTAGATTGTGACTGTTATTTTGGATAAATGATTGTCTTGCGATTGCCATATTTGAACACTCCTCAAAACTAATAGTTTTTCCAAAAGGATAGAAAATTAATTTGTTTTTTTTAGGTGAAAAAATAGTTTCGTACTACACTCCATTTTTAAAGGTTTGGATAAATCGAGACACTGACACTTTTAATAATATTATTATTATTATTATTATTATTATTAATATAAATATTGTTTAAACCATTATCATTGACGTACGGACAGACGGACGGATGGGAGAAGGAGGGGGTAAATGTAATTATATCCACCAATCCTATCTATCTTTGCAACATTCACTTTAGAAGTCAAGAAACTTGTGGGCGACAACAACAATATATTGTTATAAGTTATAGTCTTACGTCAAAACGTTGCACTTCTTCCCTTGACACCCCCCACCCACCCACCTACCACACAAATACTCTTCTTTACGACGTCTTTTAAAAAAATAAATATCTGTCTGTTCTAAACGCTACGACAATATTAATTTCGTGAACACACCCCCTAAATCCTATACTTCGTCCATTTTATTTCCAGAGTGAGTGGTTGTTTATAGTCAGTGAGGAGGGGGGGGGGGGGGGGGGGGGGGGGTTAACATGGTTGGTTTAAAAGTGAAGTGTTCGTGAAGGATTTCACCAATAATCGAATATACACCAAAGCTGCGATGGATTGCCTTTCACAGTGTCTCGGGTCGAGAGAGAGGGGAAGGTACCAAAAATTTCGATGAAACTTTTGTTTTTTTTTTATTACAATAATGGAGTAAGTCGCATCGATGTCACGTCAGATCTGGGTACCGCTACACACACGCACTTTGGACTAAGGGCTAGACATCATTCTTGATGAACAAAGACTTTAATTAATATTTAATATTATACCTAAATTTGGTAGGTCACATATAATATTATTATTTCATAAAAGAATAATATGATGTATATCTTAGATAAAGACATTGTTATTCAAATAATGAAATTACATAATATATTAAAATATGTCTTGATATAGTATATTAAAAGGTTCACTTCGTCTTCTTATTCTTTCAAGAATAGTATAGGTTCTTTTGTTTGTCGGTTGGTTGGGTTGGTTGGTTGGTTGGGAACTTTTACTAAAATGAGGTTTCCATACTTTCACATGACTCATTCCTCTTTCCTTTAAATTAAAGACAAATATAATAAATATTAAATATTATATATTAAATATTAAATATTAAAAATGAGATGGATATTTAAGATGAGTGAATTCACTCATCCATCCTCATTTATCTCATCCTCATCCTTCCTAAAATATAAAAGAAAATAATAATGATTTTAAAATTATTGGAACCATCTTTCGTTCGTTTTTTGTCGTTGCAATTTGTAACTGCGTAGTTTTGTTTTGCAATCTAGATTTATTATATTTATATTGTATTAATACATACATACACACACACACACACACACACAACAATGACAGAAAAGAAGATATCACTATTGGCATTGAAAAAGAAGTTGGTAGAGGAAAAGAATGTAGAAGCATCAGTACCTCCACCAAGCAAGTTAAAGTCTTTAAAACAAAATGCTGCTGCATCAACTACTAAAATAACAAAGACTGTTACATCATCACCTGTCAAAAAAGTGTTAACAAAGCAATCTACAACAACATTACCATCATCTAAACCTATTACTACAACTACTACTACTGTTACTGCACCAAAAAAGATATCAACCTCATCATCATCAACAGCAAAAACAACTACAACAAAGAAAGCTACTACTTCTACTGCTACAACCTCTAAACCTAAAAGTGATAATGATTATTTAGATCAACTATTTGAAAAGAAAAAAGAAATTAAAAAGAAACAATTAAAAGAGATGAATGAAGAACAAATACAAGAAGAGGCTCAAAGAAAACGTGACAAGAACAAATCTAAAGTCGAACATGATGATTTCTTTGATTCAAGAGGTGTTAATATTAAACGTATGTTATTTCAAATATATATTTCATATTTCATTCATTAAATACTAACTCTCTTTGTGAAATAGAACGTAAATATGTTGATGGTGTTCCAGTTTATACAGAAGAGGAATTAGGATTAAATGTTGAGGCTAAAGGTGGTGATTCTGCAGATTGTCCATTTGATTGCAATTGTTGTTTCTAAAAATGGAAATGGTATATAACCTTCAAAGTTGGTAACATAATCGATTGGATGGTAGATAATCATTTTGGTCGATTTCAACCAACATTATTTTTATTAATTATTATGGATTATTGGTTTGGTTGTTTGGTTAGGGTTCATATCAATATTCGATTCGAATCCTTTTACAACAAATTATTTAATTACATAAACATTTCATTCAAATATTTGGTTGGTTTGGTTTGGAATAATATAATATATATATTATTACTTAATTATAATTTATTCGATTGGTTGATGTGTTTGTTATTTATAATTCATCCTTTGCGGTGGTTGATTTAGTTGGTTGTTGTTTGGTTGATGAAGATGGTTTAGAAGAGATAATCTTTGGAATTGATTTTAATGGAGCAGTACCCTTTTTACCTACTAATACATCGTTGTAAAACTCTTCTGCAGAATCAAAAGAGAATGAACCCAAATAGTTGACATATCTCATACGAGAGGTATTGAGAATGATCATATTGGGGAGACCAGAGAGATGGAGTTCATCGACAAAGTTGTTTTGAAGTGCACCGTCGACGTAGAATATCTTGATACGTCCGACAAACTTTTTAGCCAATTGGTTCATAGTGTCAATGTAACGATCGTTTGATGAACGTTCGTCTTCATTTTCAAGATCCAAAAAGAATAGTGAACATAGTCCACCCTTGGCACAATGTAAATCAAATGTCTCTTGATCATTAATTAAAAGTGCGTGATCTAATGCTGGAACTTCTGGTTCCTTTGGTTTTTGTTGTTGTTGCTGTTTCTTATCATTACCACCCTTCTTTTGGAATTTGTTTGGTTTTTGATTTGATTCATTTTGGAATGGTGAAAGGAATTTAAAGATTTCTTCTTGATTTAATTTGCCAGTGTATACAACTACATCCTCTTCTGAATCACTCTTGAATAATAATAATGTTGGGAATGATTTAATTTTAAATTTGTCAACTAACAACAAAAAAAATGAAAATAGTAAAGAAATAAGTACTTTTTGTTGTTGAGATATGCATGTATATATAAATACTTTGTTACTTACGAACATCTTGTTTAGCTTTCTTTACTTCACCAAGTGGAAGAGTATGGTGGAAATCGACAGAGAGAGCTTTGTAGAGACTAGAGGTAGTTGGTTTGTCGGTAAAGAGGAGTGCTTTGGCAGTCTTGTCGGCGGCGATAAAGGCAGAGATGGACTTGGAGTCGGCATCGACCTTTTTGACAAAGGATGGGATCTTGCCAGTGATGAATTGTGACATGTCCTTGGCAGTTCTGCCGTATTGGTAGTCTTCTGGTACCTTGTGGTAGGCATCTTTACCCTCCTTTTTGTTTGGTACTAATTCAGAGGGGAAGAACTTGATCGTTGGGAACCCTTGGATACCAAAGTGACCGCACAACTCCTTTTCAACATCACAGTTGACAGCACCAATCTTGGCAATACCCTTGAGTGAAGTAGCCAACTTTTCATACTCTGGCTTCAAACTCTTGCAATGGCCACACCATGGTGCGTAAAACTCAACCAACCATACATGCTCCGTTCCAAACACGTTGTCGGCAAAGTTGTCCTTGTTCAACATTTGTACGTTTGTTTTGCCCGGTTGATAGAATCCTCCTGATGCATCACTATTATTTCCACTAACTACACCTATGATCATTACACATAGTAATGTAATCAAAGTTGACTTATTCATCATCCTTCTTCTTCTTCTTCTTCTTCTTCTTGTTTAATCGGAGATATATATATACAAATACAAATATAATACTAATATAGATAGATAGTTGATAAAGTGTTTGTTGTCATTGTTCATCATCACACCCAAAACCAAACTCTCTCTTTTTTTGTTTTTTGGTGTGAGATGACGCATCAGGGGTTTGGGTGGGAAGTTCGGAACAAAGGTCGAAAAATCAAAAGAACAACTCGAAGATCTTCTTTTTAATCAAAATTTTGAATAAAAAAACGAAATTTACTCTTTTCATGTTGCATTAATTTAATTTCTATTTTATTTGTTGTTTCATACATATAATTTTATACATATACATATATATATACTTTACAATGTTGTCAAGATCAATTAATCTTTCAAAGGTGTGTATACATACTATGCATGAAATAGTCTCTATCAAGCAATCATACAAGCAGATCAATCAATTTGATTAATCAACACGTGACAAATCAAACAACAAACAAACAGAGACATTTCAGATAGATATAGAATAGATAGAGAGAATAACATAGAGACATTAGTACTACTATAGTTTTGCTAACTTTCTTTTTTTTTTTTTTACAAACTTGCTCGTTGTTGCTTATTTCTTTCTCTTCTTCCTCCTCGGTTTGCTTCTTTTGGATTCGCCGTCTCTTCTTCTTTTGATAAATCTTATCGAATTTCAAAAAACAAAATTGCAACTGACTCTTTGTTTTATCTCTATTCCTTACTTTACCTTTAGACTGTTAGATACTTTTCAACTTCAAGTGCTACATTGAATGAAGTTGTAATTGTTGCAGTCAATAGAACACCAATTGGATCGATTGGAGGTGTATTGTCAAGTGTGACTGGACCAAAGTTACAATCGATTTCGATTGCCGATGCTTTGAACCGTGCCGGTCTCAAGCCAACCGATGTTGATGAAGCTATCATTGGTAACGTCATCTCTTCCAACCTTGGCCAAGCTCCAGCCCGTCAATGTGCTATTGGCGCCGGTCTCCCCACCAGCGTCGTCTGCACCACCGTCAACAAGGTGTGCTCGTCGGGTATGAAGGCTGTCATGTTTGGCACACAATCCATCCAACTCGGACACAGTCGTGTGGTCGTTGCCGGTGGTTTTGAGAGTATGTCCAACGTACCATACTACACTGACAAGATGAGATACGGTGCCAAGTATGGCAACGTGCAGTTGGTCGACGGTCTCGTCCGTGACGGTCTATCTGACGCTTACGACGGCTCGGCTATGGGTGTCTGCGGTGACGTCTGTGCCACCAAACACAACATCACACGTCAAGAACAAGACGCATATGCCGTCGAGTCGTACAAGCGTGCACAAGCCTCGCAAAAGGACGGTCTCTTTAAAGACGAAATCGTACCAGTCCCCATCCCACAAAAGGGTGGTGAACCACTCTTGATCAAGGATGATGAAGAGCCAACCCGTGCCAAATTCGACAAGATCCCAGGTCTCAAGCCTGCATTCACCAAGGACGGTACTATCACCGCCGCCAACGCCTCCAAGCTCAACGACGGTGCCGCCACAGTCATCCTCATGTCGGCCAGTCTCGCCAAAGAAAAGGGACTCAAGCCACTCGCCAAGATCATCGGTTATGCCGACGCTGAACAAGCCCCAGTAGACTTCCCAACCGCTCCAGCACTCGCCATCCCCAAGGCACTCAAGAATGCCAACATCTCAATCAAGGATGTCGACTATTTCGAAATCAACGAAGCTTTCTCAGTCGTCCCACTTGCCAATGCCAAGCTCCTAGACATTGACCTCAAGAAACTCAATATCCTCGGAGGTGCTGTTGCTATGGGTCATCCAATCGGTTCATCCGGTGCTCGTATCATCGCAACCCTTACCAACATCCTTCACAAGAAGGGTGGTAAATATGGTGTTGCTGCTATTTGCAATGGTGGTGGTGGTGCCAGCGCTATTGTAGTAGAAAAATGTTAAAACAAAACAAAACAAATAACATAATGAACATACATATAACCTAAACAAACAAATAATAATATTTATATATAAATCGAATCCATCATATTTTTTCCCAACCAACTAATAATAAAAGTCCAAATAGAAAAAGATTTTTCTATAATCCAATCCATCAATCCATATTTAAACATAAGATGTATATGTGGGGATTTGTTAGAGAAATGCATTGGAATCTTGCATTGGAATTGTGTGTACCAGCATGCATCGAAAATGTACTGCAGTTGGAGCAATTTTTATAAATTTCTTCTTCTTAAGATTTTACCAAAGTTTGCGACAAGATGTGATAACGACAAGCAGACAGGGCCGATCATTATTTAATCGCGTTATCGATTAGTTATTAAATTAAAGCAATCCATCTCATCGTGGTGCAAAGTAAAGACGAGTAGCAAACATTATCATTATCAACAAAAGTGTTAGCAAAGAGAATAGATAGATAGATAAAGTAATCAGCTGAGGATGAAGATTAAGACTACCAATGTAAACACCACCAATAACAATAATTGTACTACTAGTCCAACAACTCAATCACTATTTGCAGAGATTAAATATCCTGATATTAGAAAGAGATTAAATATTCGTTATAATGATGTATGTGATATAGAGATATAAAGATATAGAGATAGAGAGAGATAGAGATAGAGAGATATTATGATGGGACGTTAGTTAACCTATTCTTATTCTCTTTTTTTTTTTAAAGGAAATAACATCAATATTATTAGATCATGAAAATTTCAAAGTAACATCATTGATTAATGTATTGGCTGAAAGGTTTCAAGTAGATGTTGCTATTCGTCCATTACTTAGATTGAAAACGGTTGAAGATGGTGGCAGACGTATTATATCGTTGCAAGACAATTCAACCTACCACGATCAAATCCTCGTACTCTTTCAATCGACCATCAAAGAGTTGGAATCTGAACAATCGGAACAAGAACGTATCAGAAAACAACAAGAAATTCTAAAGGCTGAAAGATTAAAGTTTGAAGAGGAAAATACAAACTATCGTTCAGATTCCAAATTCCTTCAAGACTCTTTTCAATTGATTCAACTTTACAAAGATCATACCTCTATCTCTGATTCTTATCCATATTGTTTACAATTTTTATTAACTTTGGATACTAATATTGGTAAATATATATCCATAACCATTATTGTTATTTTAGATATCTAACATTCTATTCTCTCTCTCTCTCTTTTAGAATATGGATATATTTTCATAAATGATAATTTAAATTACCAAAACAATGGTGTTGAATTGAATGATGTTAGAGTATATTCACCAAATTGTAATGAATTTGCTGATTTGGTGAATGGATGGATCAAGGATTCAATCGATAGTGGATCAAAAGATATTTGTTCTATTATCAATCACACCTTTGAAAAGTTTAAACAACATTTTAAACCAAGTCAACCATATACATCTGTCAATGATATCAACCAAATATTCCCTTCAAATTTGAAATCTTTGGAAACTATTTCTCATGTATGAAATGATTAGAATATTAATCAAATATTAATGAGATGATACTTACTAACTTTATTCTATTCTTTCTTATAGAGCCAATTCTTATTAAATATTCAAAAGATGATTGTTAATATTAGTGATTCATTGAAATTAAATTATTCCAAGTCTTCACAGGTATTATACAAAAATCAATGGAATATGAGCAAGTTAAAGGCGTCGATTAGAGAGGGTGTGACAAAGGCAGAGGTTGAACAGAGATTGATTGATCGTACTCGATTCAAACAATTGACATTTGGTGACAATGCCGATGAAGATTGTTCGATTTGCTACTGTCCATTTGAAGATCAAAAGAGTGTGGTTCAGTTGGCCTGTGGTCACAACTTTTGTTATCAATGTATGTCATCCTATATTATTGCTAGTGTAAGCGATGGAAATGGTAGTAGTTCTCCTATTTCTTGTATGGATAGAGAGTGTAACTATGTATTGGACATGGTCACTATCTTTAATATTCTCCTCAAAGATGACATTCGTTCATTTGCTCAACTCAATACAATGATCATTAATGACGTTGCTTTATTGTCAAAGTCAAAATGGTGTCCGGGAACTGGTAACCGTACGTGCACACGTTTGTTGTTTGGCGCAGACCAACGTAACAACATTCCATTTGTAGTGTGTGCCTGTGGCGCCAATCTGTGTTTGTTGTGTGGTGCAAACGATCCACATTGGCCATCGGCCTGTGTCAAGTCGCATACACTTGATGGCGAGGTCGAAGACTTCCAATGGATCTTTCAAAACACGACTCTTTGCAGAAAGTGCACTTACCCAATCGAGCGTAGTGGTGGGTGCAACCACATGGTCTGCCAAAAGTGTCAGCACCAACTATGCTATATTTGCGGTGACGACTGGGCACCACGCCATTACGCCTGTATACCTTCCAAGGACAAAGCACTCAGATTCCGCTCTCTCCTCGAAAAGAGTGAGAGCGAGTCGTACTTTTCGACCGTCCTCTTTGCGCAACACAATATCCGTCGTTCCAACCCCTTTGGCGCACTCTTTAACAACCTCTACGGGCTCTCTTACAAGGTAGCCGACAAGGACAAAGATCTCGTACTCCGCGCAACCCGTGTCGTCATGTCAATCATCAAAAACAAGTTTGTAAACGCCTCTGAAAAGGAGGATGCTTTTGCCGACTTGAGATTGATCATTCCACACGTTTACAGGATTAAAAAGGTCAGTGACGAGTTGCGTCATGCCAAGCTCAAGGCTGCTCAAGCCAATCTCCAAAGACCAGTTGATATCATCCGGTCCCTTGTCTGCCGCATTTCACTCAACGACAAGCCAAACGAGTTGCTCGACACTATGTTTGTGCAACGCTCGTTCCCAGAGTTCCGTCGCGAGGTCATGGACATGGTCGCCGGTGCCACCCAAGGAAAAGTCGTCCTCTCTACATCGTTTAGATTGTACAATCGTTTTGGACATTTGGTCAAATCATGGAATGATATTCTCTACAATGACCATCTCTTTATCACCAAAGATGATACTGAAACATTTGTTCAACCAATCATCCAAGAACAAGTCGAAGAAGAAATCTCTCAAGAACAACTTGTCAAGAAATTAAAGGATATCAAATTAAAATCAAAAAGAGAACCAAATTCAAATCAATCCAATCAATCCAATCAATCTCCATCAACTTCACCAACCAAACAACAACAAACACAAAAGAAGATTGATCCAATGATTTTAGTTGAAGCATCACTTTTGTTTGCAGATTTATACAAATTGGATGACGAACAATCTTATGACTTGGTTTCAAATATCTATCATCAAAGTAGTATTGCCATCAAATCAGTTGATGAATTGATCAATTTGGTATTGGCTGAAAACATTGGTAAACAATTTAGCAGAAATGTATTTGCTGATCCAGAATCGGTAGAGTCAAAGGCAAAGGAAGAATTGACCAAATTAATAGTGTCTGCAGATTACACTGAATTTGTTGAAAACAATATCGGACATATCGAGCAATGTTTGATCGATTGTAATTTCGATGTTCAACTCGCTCTCCCAATGATCCTATCCGATGCCCAAGCCGATGAATGTGCTCGTCTCCAACAACATTACGATGACCAAGACGAAGATGAACTCGACGACTACTTGGAATATGTTGACGAGTTGGAAAGCAACACTAAAATCCTTTACACCAGACCAAATCGTAAAGGTGCTGCTGATTTCTGGTAAACTTTTGAATCAAATCAAATAAATTGTAATAATAATAATAATAATACTTTGTACAACAAACAACTATACAGTTTGTTTTTTTTTTTAATCAAATCATCGATTTGAATACTCATCAACGCACAAAAAGTTGCTTTCTGATCCAAGCGTTGATGAGGGGTTTGACCCCCCATAAATGCTAAAATATCTTTTTTTTTCTCTTCTTCATTGAAAAAAACAAACAAGACCCTTTGTTTGCGATTTTTCACATTAGCTTCCTCTTTTCTTTTCCGTTGGTAGGGTATCCCTCTTTGTCTTGTCCTGTATTCTCTTTGTTATATTATCTCATTGTATATTAGATTTAGTTTGTTAGAAGTAGTAGTTATTAGAGTTGTTTGTGAAGATAGAGATAGATAGAATCGATCGATGGACAATCATAGTAGCATGTCGGCAGGGTCTGATGCATCAGTCTGGAGAACAGTAGCTAATAGTGCATTCAGTCCCCCACCTATTGTATCATCACTTTCATCACCCAACTTTTCAACATCCTCATCATCTGCTTCAACCCCATCATCACCCACTGTATCATCACCAAGACATGATGGTGGTGAAGATTTCTTAGGTCAAGGGTATGAAAAATAGATTGATATAGAAAGAAGATAAAAGATATTATCGTTATCAATCGTACTAATCATCATCATCATCATCATCATCATTATTATTGCTATACTATACTTAGTGCAGTACCAACGAAAACAGTTATTATCAATATATTAAACAAGTTTTTAAAAGGAAGACCTGTGAAAGAAGATCTTGTACAATCAAGAGTTTTAAAGTCAGAGTTTCGTCCGATTGGACTTCGATACTCTGTCATTGAACTATTATGTAATCACTTGGAAAAGAATGCATTAGAGATTGAAGGTATCTTTCGTATCTCTGGTTCTGCCAATCAAATTAGAATATTTTGGTCTACTTTTGGATCAGGTAAGTCGACTATATTTATACACATACATTACAAAATATAGAGAAGCATATGACTAACAATATCTGTATCTATCTATCTATCTATAGATAATATTGAATTCCCACCTGCACCTATAAACGAACATAATATATCGGGAGCACTTAAATTGTATATTAGAGAACAAGTAGAACCACTTATACCATTTGATGTTTGGTCTGGTTTTGTTTCAAATTTAACATCTAAAAGTATGTGTCAATAATAATAATAATAATTCATATGAATATGAATTGATTGAATAACATCATACTTATTATTATTCATTTAGATTTAGAAATTGATTGTAATGCATTGATACAATTATGTAGTAGAATGACATCTGAGAATCAAAGAATATTAAAGAGAGTGGTTCGTTTGATGGTTATTTTGGTTAGACATTCATCACTCAACAAAATGAATCCATTCAATATGGGTATTGTATTTGGTCCATCTTTATTTAAATCAAAGGTAAATATGCAACATACATAATATGTGACATGTGATATATAATATTGACTTTTTGTTTGTTATTTGTTTGCTATATAGTCTGATTCACCAAATATATTTAATGAAGCAAAATATTCAAATGAGGTGGTTACAATGATCATTCAAAATTATAATAGAGTATTTCCAGATTTGGAGGTACCCATTTTAGGAACTGAAACAAATACAGAGAATGAGTCCCCCGATGACAGTAGTAGTCATATCCAACCAATTCCAACTTCAAGTATTAAAGCAGTTGTATCGGCGGTAAACGCACAGACACCTGCCCAAAACAGGAGTCATTCACCTTTGACATTGACACCAATTGGTTCGACTACACCAAATAGCTCAGCTTCAAATTTGTTAAAGGAGGCTGCAACAAGACGTGCTAGTATTAGTTCGAATAGTGGTGGTGTTAGACGTGGTAGTAGTGGAAGTACAGGTGGTGGAAGTGGAAGTAATTTAGATCTATCATCAACATCATCACCAGACATTCATCCACAACTACTGGATGCACAACATATGGTAGATGAAACTAAATCATCACCATTGGCTCACATGAAACCAACTGATTTCAGTATGGTACAACACCTTCGAAAGAAATTATCCAAAACCAAACAATTTAAAAACGAAGAGATATGGGACCACTTTTTATCGATCCGAGTACAAGGTAACTTGGTGCAAGCACAGAAACAATTCTCAACGATGATGAGTAGCAATTCAAGTGGACTATTGTCATCGACAATGATTGTAGACAAGAAAAAGAAAAAGGAAAAGAGCTCAGACCAAGCACTCAACAATGCAGCTGCCAATTCTGCAGCCATCAACTTTACACCCATCTATATATTGGTAACGTCGCGAAACATCTTTTTCTTTGACACACAAAACTATGCAATCGAATCGATTATTCCACACGAACGATTAAAAGAATTTGCTTTTGATTCTGTCAATCCAGGTCTCTTTTCATTCCTCGATTCTGCAACACATAGAATCTCTTATTTTTTGATTCCAAGATCAAAAATATTAGATTCTCTAACAAAATCTTTAGAAAGAGGTAGAGCTATTGCTAAATTATCTGTAAGTCAAAAAAATATCAAATATATTAATATAAATAAGATTGTCTATTTATTTACTTATATTTCTTTTATTTTTAATTTAGAATAAAACATTGGCACATTTACAAGCAAGAAAATTTGCAATGTTGGAGAGTTCATCAACTCAAGGATTTGGTAAATTGGCAGAATCAAGACCTGTATTTGAATCATTGGCAGCAAGTGGATTTAGTGAACTTGATGTTTGGGAAGGAACAGTCGATCTTTTAGAAGTGGTTAAAAAGTTTTCAAAGATATTGGTACCCGTCGATCCAAAGGCAGTTGTAGAATTCCTTTTACCAGGTATACCAGAGTTCAATGGCATCTATCGTAAATCATATAAATTGGATATCAACACATCGGTATTTAAGATTATTTGTTTGATTTGTGAAAAGGCCAAATTGGCTCCATCCAAATTTGTTCTACGTACACTCAAAGGCAGAACACTCTTTGACAATGGATCACTTGCTCAGTATGGTCTCGGCACACTCTTTACCACCTGGCAACTACGTCTTATCTCCCTCGATTCACCAGAAAGTACTGGTAACTTTGTCGTTGAATTCCAATTACCAGATTCACCAGAATTCAAAAATATGCAAAAGAAATCAATTAAAGTTGATGCTTATCAACCACTTAAAAGAGTAACTATAAATATATATATAAAATAATAATATGAGATAGTTTAACTAATATTTCTTTTTAAAGATTATGAAAGGATTATGTGATAAATTAAGAGTACCAAAATATCATTATTATGATTTGATTGGACCTGAAGGACAAGTATTGAGCGGTGATGATATTCTTTCTAGTATAGGATTGGGTATCAAGTTTAAAACGTGCAAGATGAAGCTTCAAAAGAAGGTATTCCCAGTTGGAAAGGGACCATCCTACGACACACCCATCTGTCGTGCCATTGTAGAGGATATTACCGACGCGGTTTGGGCAAAATTGCAGGACCGTCACCGCGAGCGTATCCGTATCTACTGCAAGCATTTGCTCGACTATATCGTCGATCAGACATTTGTCGAGATTTCCAAGGCCGAGACTGTCCCCAAGCGTGTCTCTATGCTCGGACGAAACTCACGTGCCGAGTTTTATGCATTGCTAGCACAAAAGGAAGAGGAAGATCTTATCCTCCAAAACACAGATGGTTATCGAAATATGGTGATTCGTGCTAGAATGGTCGGTGGCACAGGCATTGATATCAATCCACCAACCTATCCATCACAAAATTACCCATTATTTAAACCAACCATGGTTAAACTATTGCCAACTCATACTGGTGGCGGAGGTGGAGGATATGGTGGTGGTGGTATGGTACCACTGCCAAGAGGGTTGAATGGAGCTATCCCAACACTCCGTGATATCAAGGTGTCCAATGCCACCAATGCATTCATGAGTGAACTCAAGGATGTCCGTGACCACTTGAATCGCGGTGCTCAACAACAGGGCAATGGTGGTGCACCACTTGGTCAATCGATTTTAGCAGCCACCAACGCATTACGCCAAACCGAGAGAAAGTTTAAAACAACCATCATCAATAATAACTCGACGCAACTCAATTCCATCGTTCTCCAACTTCAAATGAAACCAGGTACTTCGAAATTGGTACAACAATTAAAGAGTAGAATGAATGAAGTTAATTTAGATTCAACCAAACAAATTAAAGAAGAAGATATTGAAGATTTAATTCCTTCTTCTTTCAAGTAAATCAAAAAAAAAAAAAACAAAGAGAAGATCAATCTTCAACAACAATATTTGTATTATTATCCACAATCCTCCTCCTCCCCTCCCCTTTACCAATTTTTAATATTATCCTTGTAGCAATAATAGATATCTATAACAATAATAATAATAACCGTAACCGTATATATATAACATATTAATAAAGTAAAAGTATTTTTTAGTATAACCAACCAATAAAATATCAAGTAACACCTATTGTACTTTTGATCAAGGTCAGACTGAGCACAGATGAAGATCAAAAAAGGTCGATACCATCCGTTACGGAAATGCATCGACACTGGGCGAGTCGTCGACCTTTGGAAATCATTCCCAAAATAGAAAACAATGATGCTTTTGGATGCAAATTTCTTTCATGAATTTTCATCTTCTTCCGCGCATTGAATGCATTGTTAACAGGCACCTGATTCTGTATTAGTTCTATAGCTATACTTTTACTCTCCATTTATTTATCTCAATTCCTCCTTGTATTATTATTATTGTGAGTATTCAAACAAACATAGACACATTGCAAAACACACATGTTCGCAATTCAATTGAAACAATAACCACGCAACACGAGTCAGATGGATAGATTGATAGAAACAGACATAGAATAAAGACAGATTGATAGATTCACTCACTCTCTCACTCCTCTTTTCATTCTTTCATTCAATTTCCATATTTACTTACTTTTTTTGCTATTGCTGTTAAATAGAACTCTATAGAGATTATTAGATTAGAAGAAGTAAATAGGAAATAAACAATACAATGTCAGCACCAACAACTACAACATCAACTACTAGTACTACTACAGCTACTACTACTACTACTAGTAACAATAATAATAATAACAATAACAATGATTCAGCACCACCATCACCAATCTTGGATCACAAGAATACATTCACTGTAACTGATAATAGAACTGGAAAGACATATACCATCCCAATCAGCCATGAGACTGTAAAGTCGGTTGATTTCAGACAAATCAAGGAATTACCTTCTGACTTTGGTACAATGTAAATATCTATCACATGACATAGAAGATATAAGATATCGATGGATGATGTATGATATATCATAGTATTTAACATCGATGTTGTATCGTTATAATTATAGGATTTATGACCCAGGATATTACAATACAGCAGTTTGTAAATCAAACATTTGTTACATCGATGGTGAAAAGGGTGTTTTGGAATATAGAGGTTATGCCATTGAAGATCTTGCCAATAACTCTAGTTTTCTTGAAGTTGCTTATCTATTGATTTATGGTGGTTTACCAAATAATGTATGTAATAGAGCGCTTGGCTAGGGTTAGATTTAATTGTGTGCAAATGTCTAATCTATCAATTATCTACTACTACTCATTCTAGGATCAATTAACATTATGGTCAACTAAAATTATGAATCATACATTTATTCACGAGAATTTGATTCAATTGATGAAATCATTCCGTTATGATGCTCATCCAATGGGTATGTTGATCAGTTCAATGAGTGCCATGTCAACCTTTTATCCAGAGGCTAATCCAGCTCTCCGTGGTGCCGATATCTACAAGAACAAAGCACTCATGAACAAACAAATATTCAGAATCCTTGGTAAATTACCAACTATTGCTGCATGTGCTTATCGTCATCGTATTGGTCGGTAAGTTGAAAACATTAAATTAAACATGTTATTGTTGATTGTCATACCTATACTTATACTTTTATCTAATGTTTTTTAGACCATACAATAATCCAATTAATACATTGTCATTTACAGAAAACTTTTTATACATGTTGGATCGTTTGAGTGAAACCAATTACAAACCACATCCAACACTTACACGTGCACTCGACAAGTTGTTTATTATCCATGCCGATCATGAATTGAATTGCTCGACTGCCACTATGCGTCAAATCTCCTCGACGTTGGTCGACCCCTACACTGCCGTCGCTGGTGCAGCCGGTGCTTTGTACGGCCCACTCCACGGTGGCGCCAACGAAGCTGTGCTTCGCATGCTCGAGCACATTGGATCTGTCGAAAACATCCCCTCCTTTTTGGAACAGGTCAAGCAAAAGAAGCAACGTCTTATGGGCTTTGGACATCGTGTCTACAAGTCTTATGACCCACGTGCCAAGATTCTCAAGGATGTAACCAACGAAGTGTTTGATTTGTTGGGTCGTAACCCTTTGATGGAGATTGCCATTGAATTGGAACGTCTTGCACTCACTGACAAGTACTTTGTCGATCGTCAACTCTACCCCAACGTAGATTTCTACTCGGGTATTATATACAAGACTATGGGGTTCCCCACCGATATGTTCCCAGTGCTCTTCTCCATCCCAAGAGCTGCTGGTTGGTTGGCCCATTGGGTCGAGTCTGTCAGCGACCCAGATCTCCGTATCTTCCGTCCACGTCAAGTCTATCTCGGCAAGCGCGGACTCAAGTACGTCCCTCTCAGCCAGAGATCAGCCACACCCCAAGATGCCCTCTCTAGTTATGCATCTGGCATGTCCTCGCGTCGTCAAGTATCCGACGGTCTCCAAGGTGTCAAATACGATGAAACCAACGCTATCCCAAAGACTGCCAACGGTTCAAAATCATCTCTTAGTCAATCTATTGAAGATTCATTTGGTTTAAATGATAAATTAAATATCAAATAATCTAATAACCAAACAAACAAACAATCTCTACTCTACTTACTTTTTTTAAAATCAAAAACACAAAAGAAAAAGAAAACAAAAAAACATATTAACAATAATAAATATTTAAATTATATTGTATAATAATAGAATAGTTTGATTGATTATATGTTAACCAAAAAATAATGATATTAGAAAGGTAGGTAGGAAGGAGGTATGCTCCCTTTATTTTAGAATTTAACAAAGATTCGATTTTTTAGCCAATGAGATTTATTACTTGTTGTTCCTCTTTTGGTTTTTTATTGATAAAAAAATATTTTTTTTTCCAGATTTAAATTAATTTATTTTAAATTAAAAGAAATTGATGAGCGTTGTTGTTCAAAATATATGGTTCATATGACAACTCAAGTCTTTTAGTCGAAAGAATAAATAGGAAGGATAAACTACCAACCAACAATCAAAAGTAAAGAGATAAATAATAAAATAGAAAAGAATAATAAAGGTAATAATGTAAATTGAAGTTCAAAAAGTTAAATTAAAAAAAATGAAAAAATCAAAAAAGTATGATAACCTTGATGACGAGGGGATAGAAATACACGATAATGACGATAATAATAATAGACAGCAATATACATCACCTCCACGTAGTGGTACCACTTCTACAGTATCAACATATCAAGCTACTACTCCACAGCAACCTTCTGCTAGACCTACAGCACATACATCTTTATTGAATCCAAATTATCAGAATTATCAGAATTTCCCTCAAATACCAATATCTGTTACTAGACCATCTTCTTCTAATAATAACAATAATAACAATAATAATAATAATAATAATGGAAGTAATTTTATTTATGATTATACAGTTCCATCTCCAAAGGTAAGTTTAAATGATATATTTTTCATTTCATTGCAATTTATACTTACTTATATATTAGGATCAAAGTCATTATCAATTAGACCCAAATGTAACACCTTTGAATCGTAGAAGAAGAAGATTATCGTCAAATAGTCAACTTGGATTAAGTGTAAATAATAATAATAATAATGGTAATTTGGCAATACCTCCTAATACCTATTTGGTAGGTGATGATGAATTGAGTGACTATGAAGAAGAGGAAGACCCAGCAAACTATCCATCCCTTATTCCTCATAGTTGGGATAATGGTGCTTGTTGTAAACATCCTCCATCTGAACACATTAACAAGGATCATATACCATCTCATCACCATCAACAACCACATCATATTTCATCACACCCTCATCAACAACAACAATCAACAAGAGAACCTTCTAATTTACGTCAGTCTTGGAGTAGAGACCAAATTGAAAAGGAAGAGGAACAAGAAGTAGAAAAGGAAAAGATTCACGAAAAGGTACGAGCTTTAGAGTTGGAGGATGAAGAGGAAGAGATTGCATGTTCGGTTGCACGATCATCTCTTATCATTCCCTTTCAATTCAGTAATCATAAACAGTCTACATCGTATTGGATCCAGAGTCTATTGGATAGACGTGTTGCACTTGTAGACGGTACAACCGTTCCTGTTTGGGAAGCTTTGAATGACCTACCCAATGAAATGGTAGAACTATCACGTCAATTTAGAAATGTGATTGGTGCTACCAATGTACCTGGAGTAGCAGCTGGCAGCGACTCTAAATCAACGTGGAGATGTAGACGTTTGCGTATGAACAAAAAAGCAAAGGACGGAGTATTCCCAAAACCAAAGTTATGGACCGTTGAAAGACGCCAAGACAAGATGAAGGATATCTACAAAGAGGTTCGTTTTGAAGATATCAATCTGTTAGTATTCCCACTAGGTGTTGGTATTTTAGTTTTTAATATCGATTGGATGACTGAACAAGCTCACGTTCATCATGACAATAGCTATACCGACCGATCTGCTCGTACCTCTACCGATCATCCAGACTTTGGTATTCCACATCACGAATCATTCCTCTTGGAAGAGTTTAGAACTTGGCTCTATATCAGTAAATTCCGTCATAAAGTTAAAAGTGTAGCTAGAGGTTGGAGTTTTGGTGATTTACCTGGATCCCAACATTCTCAACAAGACAAAGAAAAAGAAAAAGAAAAAGATAAGAAATCATCTTCATCCTCATCTCTATCATCTTCATCACCACCACAACAATCACAACAATTTCCAAATTATAGTCTATCAAATCCACATCCAAATCATCTTGATAGTTTGGGAAAGAAATTGACAAAGTCTTTGTATGGTGGTAGACCAATCTCTCTCAATAGTATTGCCAATTGGTTGATTTTGTTGGCAAGCGAGAAACCAAACTCTAATCCACCCTCTTCGGGATCATTGACATCACGTGTTGGTACTGGCGGACACGCCTACCACCACACGACCGTCATTCTCGACAAGAAACCATCCGAAGTTACTCTTCAGACGTATCTGTTCCATTTGCGTCGTGCACTTGGTCAAAAGAATCGTCCTCCTCTTCAAAACCTCGACCCTTCCTCTTCACTTGGATCGAGTACACTCGACCGAATACTTGTTCCACGCATGAACCGATACATTGGTATCTCTAGAGAGGGTATTGTGTGTTTGACATGGCCAACGGAAAAGAGCGACCGTATCGGCATCCTCAACTGGCACCGCAAGTTCCAGGGAATCTATCTAGTACTATCACTACATGCACATGGAGAGCGAGCAGTCTTGGAGGAACTCAGTACCATGGCAAGTGTGCAAGCCGAGAATATGAAGCTTGAAATTGAACGAACTAGTATCGATGAATTGGCAACATCACGTCAACAACTCAAAGAACTGGCCACTCTAGTCGCTCGATTCACCATTGGCATGTCGAGTGGTGACTGTGGTGGACAGAGCGAGTACAGTGAGTTCTTTTTAACCATGCGTCAAGTGTTTGGTATTCCCAGTCAGAGAAAAGAGTTGCGTGAAGAGTTGGAAGACACATTGGCATTGCTCGAGAATGACTATCTAGAGGAACGTCGAAAGGTCAAGTTGGACGAACAACGTGAGGAACGGTTAGACCGTGATCGTGGAAAACTGCAACGTTATAAAAAGGAAAATGCCAAATACCGTTATGAACTACTCATTACAGCATTCTCTTCCTTTACTGTACCAGCAGTATTATTGTCGTCGTTATATGGAATGGTATGTACACACACCTGACAGGAAATACAATAATTCCAGATAGATACTTTTTTTTTTTTTTTTTTGTTAGATCCAAGATATTTCATTCTGACTAATAACCGACATTCTTACTCTTTCACTCTACACTTTTCATACTTTCTAGAACCTTGATGATTTACCCATCCTACCATTTTGGGGAATTCTTCTTATAATGATTACAGCTTCCTTTATCATTTTGACAGTATTTTGGTTTGCAAAAAGAGGTATTGTTGATAAGACAGCTGACCCTGAATCACTTCGCCAACCATCTTCCTCCTCATCGCAAATGTCCTCTTCTTCATCCTATTCGCATTAAACACTAAATAAATAATAAATAAAAAAAAGTATGTTTCTATCTTATAAAATATCCAACAACAACAGCAGATGTCGATCATCACAAGTTTGTGCTGATCATTCATTCATTTGAAGAGTCACAATTTTAAAGCCGAAGTCTTCCCAGGGTCGTTGAATGAAGGTCGACTTGGGTACCGGCTCAATCCCATATGAGGATATTTTGTGTAGTTTTTTTTGAATAAAATTTTAAATTGTCAATATCCCAAATGAATGGATCATCATGCAACATTGTCAGATGATCAACTTTCATCATCTTTCAACACAATTGTAAACACACACACACACACACACACCAAACATAAGGTTATATATTTAACAACCCATAAAATTGTTTTAAAAATCGATAAAAAACTTGTAGATTAGTAATATATATATTTACAATAGTTTAATACACACAAACAAAGTACATGTAAGTAATGATAATGATCTGACCAAAAACACAGATATTACCAAACTTGGTAAATACCACATTTTATAAATGAATCCAACCCCCTTTTTTTTGTTTGTTGGGGAAGTGCTATATAAAAGGGGTGATCGATTCATGCTAACATCTTAACCAGCCAACCTGAAGCTTGTAATTTTTTTTGAATCAAATTTCTTGCTTGTTGTCTCTATTCCACTCTTCCTCTCTCTCGAGATTAATTAATTTGACTAACATTATATATTATATAACTACTACCATTACCTACTATATAACTATCTATAGAATACATAAACATAAATACATACAATATAGATAGATAAAAGAAACAAGAAAAGATAAGATGATATCATCGGATTTGTTTACTCCCAAGAGTGATTTCTCAGAGAAATGTCATATCAAATCAATGGATCAATATAGAGAGGTATGTTAATAATGTAATAGATAGATAGATAGATAGACTGATAGATAGATCTATCATAATGATTATATGTGTCTTGTTAACATGTTCCCCTCCTTCCAACTTCATTTCATATATATGTATGTATTTATTTATAGATGTATCTCGAAAGTATTAATAAACCAAAAGAGTTTTGGGATAGATATGCTAAATCTACTCTATCTTGGTTCCAACCATATGATAAGGTTATGTCAGGGTATGTTATAGATATCGACGATTGATTGATAGATAATATAATATAGTATAGTACTGACAGAGGTGCTACTTGCTTTATTTTTTTTTTAGAAACTTTATAAATGGAGATATAACATGGTTTCAAAATGGTAAATTGAATGTATCATATAATTGCATAGATAGACATTTGGAAAGTAAAAAGGACAAGGTAGCCATTATATACGAAGGAGATAGTCCAGATCATATCAGAAAGATCACATACTATGAGTTGTTGATGGAGGTTTCTAGATTGGCTAACCTCTTGAAATCGTTGGGTGTCAAAAAGGGAGACACCGTTGCCATATATATGCCAAACACTCCAGAGGCAATCTACTCGATGTTGGCGTGTGCACGTATCGGTGCCATCCATTCGGTCATTTTTGCCGGTTTTGGATTCGACTCTATCGTGTCTCGTGTGCAAGATGCAGCTTGCAAGGTGATTATAACGGCTGACGAAGGTGTCCGTGGCGGCAAGATCATCCCACTCAAGAAAAAGATTGACGAGGTTGCCATCCACTGCAACACCGTGTCCAACGTCATTGTCTTTAGAAACACGGGTAATCATGTCGACTTTCAGAGTGGACGTGATATCTGGGCCCACGAGGCTATGCCCCAGCAACGTCCATACTGTCCGTGCGAACCACTTGATTCAGAGGACGGCTTGTTTATCCTGTACACGAGTGGATCGACCGGCACGCCCAAAGGACTGCTACACACACAGGCTGGCTATCTGCTGTACGCAGCAATGACCCACCGCTTTGTGTTTGACTATCGCGAAGACGATATTTACGCATGTGTGGCCGATGTCGGCTGGATCACCGGTCACTCGTACATTGTGTACGGTCCGTTGGCCAATGGCGCCACCACGTTTATCTTTGAGGGTACGCCACTCCACCCCACACCCGCACGATACTGGGAGATGATCGAGCGCCACAAAATCACGCAGTTTTACACTGCGCCAACCGCGATCCGTTCACTCATGAAGTATCCCACCAGCTTTGTCGAAAAGTGCAACAAGCGTTCGCTGCGTGTGCTCGGCACGGTCGGCGAGCCGATCAACCCCGAGGCGTGGCGCTGGTTCTACAAGCATGTGGGCGAGGAGCGCTGCTCGATCGTCGACACGTACTGGCAGACCGAGTCGGGCGGCCATCTCGTCACACCTCTGCCCGGCGCAACCCCCACCAAGCCCGGTTCGGCCACACTCCCCTTTTTCGGCGTCAAGCTCGCTGTGCTAGACCCACACTCGGGCAAGGAACTGACCGGCAACAACGTCGAGGGTGTCTTGGCCATCGACGGTGGATGGCCCGGTATTGCACGTACAGTGTTTGGGTCGCACCAGCGATACCTGTCAGCATACATGAAGCAGTACCCAGGCTACTACTTTACAGGCGACGGCGTCAAACGTGACGAAGATGGTTACTACTGGATCCAAGGTCGTGTCGACGACGTCATCAACGTCGCCGGTCACAGACTTGGCACAGCCGAGCTTGAGAGTGCCCTCGTTGGCCACTCGTCGTGCGCAGAAGCCGCTGTCATTGGCTACCCCCACGATATCAAGGGACAAGGTATCCTAGCATTCTGCACACTCAAACAAGGGTACGACGAAAGCGACGAGATTATCGCATCGCTCAAGATCGAGGTCAGAAAGATCATCGGTCCCTTTGCCACACCCGACGTCATTATCATCACTCCATCTCTTCCCAAGACACGTAGTGGTAAGATTATGCGTCGTATCCTCCGTAAAATCGCCTGTCATGAATCTTCACCAGAACAACTAGGCGATATCTCTACTCTTGCCGAGCCAGAAGTTGTCCCTTACCTAATTGACAAGGTTGGTGCTGCTTTACCAAAACATCATTAAACTCAATCTCAACCCAAACCAAACCAAACCAAACTTAATCAAAAACAACAACCAACCATCAATCATCCGGAAAAAAAAAACAGACCTTTTTTGTGTAATTAATAATAATAATAATAACAAATAATAAATATCGTCGTTGTATATGTGCTCGACAATATTATAATCCATCTAATCTATCAACGTACATGTATAATATGTATATGTATTTCTGTCTTTGATTTAATTTAATTATTCATGTAATAAATGTTGTAATCTACTTTCATAGGATTGATTTCTTTCTTCTAAATATTTCTTGTATTCACCTTCTAGAAATGTAACCATTGCACGATTAAAAGACAAGTATGGATACCTTCTACTTCTTCTTGCATCTGATAATCCAGACTTTAAATTGTATTCTAATCCACTTGACATTATATATTTTACAACATGGATGTGACCATAATAAGCAGCCATATTGAATGAATAACTTGAATAGGATTGATTGTTATTTTTAGAGGTCTTGTGTAAATAGATAAATACCTCTAAATGTCCGTATTGGGCAGCCGCACTCATCGATCGAGAATTTATAACACTTTCCTGTCTATTTTGGTCAAGCCATTGAACCATCTCCACATCTCCATTTTCACAGGCAAATTGTATTGCTCTAAAACTACATCCTTCACTCCTATTTGAATGAAGCCATTGTATTACATCTAATCTACCGTGTTGCGCAGCAGAATCAATTGCATCTTTAGATGCTTTTTGACCTTCAATTCCATTTAAATATTTTAACATTTCCATATTTCCTTTGGATGCAGCCATATCTATTAAATGTTCCAATGGTCTATCTACTTCATCTTTAACATTGATTGAAAATACTAAATCTTCATCTTTTATAGGAAGTTCTTCTTTGTCTTGTTGTCTCTTTGGTAATGTTGAAAGAGTTGTGGTTGTAGAGATTGGTATAGTGAAACCATAATGATCTACTAGATACTTGAATATTTCAATGTTGCCACCACATGCAACATCACATAGTATCTGACTACCAATATCCATAATATCTTGAACGTTGCATTGTAAGAGATAGAGGAGAGTTGTAAGCTCTGCATTTGGGTGTTGACAGTATAACCTAATGGCATCATTCAAATGATATCGACCGTGTTTCATCAACGGTCTGAGAAAATAGTGTGACATGCCAAAGTAACCAATCACCGATTCTAGTTTCATAGCCTTTATACTTTTTCCTCTAGAATATAAATTCATTCTTCTGTGTAGATTGACCATATACACTGGTTTAAAGTCAGTCAATTGGGCACCAGAACTCTTTTCATACCCATCGGGTAGTTGAGGTCTAGAAAGTAATCCTTGGTCTTTAATAAACTTAAATATTCTTTTTTTTATGACCTTGTTTCTAATCACTTGATAGAATACATTGTTTATATTATTATCATTATTGTTATTGTTGTTGTGTTTTGTTGTTGTTGTTGTTTGTATTTGATCCATTTTATCTATCTATCTCTATCTATAGATTGTTAACTGTTTGAAATGTATAGTATAATCATGATTGTGTGTAGAGAGTACAACATAAACAAAAAAATAATGAATGGCTGCTAGAAAGTACTAAAATCTATCTTAGTAAGTTCTCAAAAAAAAAAAAAAAATAGGAAAAGGAGAACGATGCCACAAACACTCGATTGGACACCCTATCGATCGAAAGATAATGTATCGATGGTTTACCTTTATCTCTGTATTACTTCTCACCTTTTGCAAGAACAAATGGATGTTCAAATTAGTATTTTTGGATAATGTACACTATTCATACTACCATCAGAAGAAAATTAAATTGTAACGGAAATATTATTTGAAAAACAAAAAGAGCGGCAAAAGGATTAAATAAGATCTGCCTTGTTTCGTGTATGACATTTAATGTTTGATTTACACAAGTATTAATTATCACCACAACAGAAGTAGTAGTAGTAACTTAACCAACTTGCTCAGCCACTCGACTTCTTTGAAGATCTGTTTTAAACACACCAAAATTGAATGTATGTTTGAAAACTTTACTTTAGGTTGTTTTCTCCCTCTCTCTAATTCATTATTATTATTATTTATTATTATTAAGAAGAACCTTTAGACGCTTTGTAGCTAGAGTTAAACATAACATATATATATAATGGGAGCGTTTTTTTCAAAGAAAGTAGGTTTGATTAGCTACACAACAACAGCCAGACTTGAAGAGAGTGATGTTCACTCTTCTCTCCAAATTCGATTTAATTACAGCAATGTCGCTTGCAATATTGTTGACAACAAATGTGATACTAACTTGTCGTTATTATTATTATTATTAAAAGAACACGTTTGCCAAAGAGTTGGCAGATTTAGAAGAGAAAATAATACATTTGGAGGATTATGTTAGTAATGCAAGAACAACACAACACACTGTATTTGTACGAGTCATCATATACAGCATTGTGCTAGAAGTCATACTCGTCTCTTATATATACTATCAAACAAGATCGGTTGAAACTCTTTATGGAAAGCTTCTATATGCATCTTATCTTTTACTATTTCCTTTAGTGTAAGTGCATGCAATGTGTTCCTTGGTCAAGAAGAAGGTCAAACTTTGACTTTTTTTTCTTTTTCTATTTATACTTACACTTCATATCCATCTATCTATCTTTATACATACAGAATATTTATTGCAACCAAACTATTTAATGCATTATACAAGAAAATAATTTCTAGAAATGGTAAGTATTACTTATTATTCTAAATTCTTGTCAATTATTCTCTAATATTAATATTCATATTGATCAATTATAGAGAAAAAATTAGAAACACTAAAGAGTCGATTACAATCGAAAATAGATGAAAGAAAGAAAGAAACCGATTATGAAAATACACAAAAACTAATAGATAAATATGATAAACTAATGAAAAAGAATAAGGGTGGAGGAAATAATAATTTTGGAATTAATAATAATAATAATCATAACAATAATAATAATCTTGGAATAAGACAAAGAAATGTTCAAGGACAATCATCATCATCATCTAATAACACTCCTTCATCTCCAAACAGAACTGGTAATTCTTCTTCTTCTTCTTCTTCTTTATCGAATAACCAACCATATCAACCATATAATCCATATCAATATCCAACCTCTCCATCATCACCACCACAACAACAACAACAACAACCACCAACACAATATCAATCACCACAGAAACCATCGGCACCAACAAGACAGACCCCTTCTTCTTCTTCTTCTTCTTCGACGCTACATAATTATGGACAACAGGTTCAACAATCCCCAGGAGGAATGCGTAACCAAGCACACACACCTCCACAAAAACAAAATCCATCTGGTTGGTTGGATAAAGTAGTCGATTATTTAATTTCCGATGGTCCAAAGTATGGATCGCCACTTATTTGTAAAAAATGTCATAGCCACAATGGTTATGTTCCAACAGGTGAAATATCAACTGTTCGTAAGTATATCTAAAAACAAAAGAAAAAGAAAAGATGACAAGAGATTAATTTAAATTATATCATTTTAAAATGATAATAGAATTCCGTTGTAGATTTTGTCAATATTTTAATCAAAATGGGTTAGTGGAAGATCATGATGGTGATAATAATAATAATAATAATCCATCTCCATCATCCTCATTATCGAATCAACAACCTAATAATAATAACAATAATAATGAAGAGACATCTTCTTCCTCTTCCTCTTCTACACCAACTTCAACTTCACAACCAACAGCAGCAGCAGCAGTTTCAAAATCTAAAGGTGGAAATGAGGAAAAACAATCAACCCCTAACAGTAAGAAAAGATCAAACAAAACAAATTAAATCATAATCCACTAGAAATATTAATAGTACCCCAACCAACCAACCAACCAACCAACCAACCAACCAACCAACCAACCAACCAACCAACCAACCAACCAACAAATCAACTAACACCTAACAATAAGAAGAAGAAGAAAGGGTTGGATAGATAACAGATAGATAATTAATTTTACTCTTGAATAAAATAAATAATAATATAACATACAAATTAATTTTATTAATTTTCATTCTGTTCCAAACCATCCACAACACGACAACGTAGAATCAATCTTGTGTAAGGATCCATCCAAATGCATGCGGGAATGAAGCTATAAAAATGTTATTGCCAACCACAACAATTTTATTTATCTTGTAGACTCGATGAAAAAGATCAAATCTTCTTCGAGTCTACAAGATAAATAATATCGTGGAGTGACTTTACGTTGGGGTAGCTCACTGTCTCGAAAGAGTCATTTACCTTTTTTGAGAGAAGAATATCTAAATGATGATAACTTTAAAACACAATGTCCTTGTCGGGGCAGTTTCTGATTGAATAAAACAAATATGTAAGGAACATTCTCTTTCCAATACCAGGGTTACCCGTCACTAGGACCCTGGCTTGTTCTTTGATGATACAGTTGGAAATAAGTTTATCCATAACAAGGTATGATTCTCTAACAAAAATTGAAGTAAAATGGTTGGGGAAAAGAATAATTTGTTGATTAGTAAAATTGTATTTTATAACAAGGCTGGTAAACAGTCTCATACTAAACAAGTTGATGAGTTAATTGATCGATATCATTTAGAGATTGAGATTGTACTTTTTCTGACATTTTATCAAGAGACTATCTCTACAATTCATAAAATATATGTTCTGGTGTCGTTTTCAAAATGAAACTCGGAGAAAGAAATTTTTGAAACAAACAATCAATTTCCAAGAAATACATGTATATTTAATTAGGTCAAAATAATTTTTATTATTATTTATTTATAGCATACATCAAAGGCCTCTTCTTAATCTTGATGAACGGCTCTAGATCTTTTAAAATGTCAATTATTTGTACCAATAGTAGTGAGTGCTGCTAGACACCTGCAACCTCTGTCTTTAACCTTTGAGAAAAAGATGATTTGGAATTAGCTCGTTGTCAATATGGTGGGATGTAAGACCTAATGATAAATCTCTTTATTCTGGTGAATTTGATTCAAGTTGTAAAACTAATGATATAATTCTGTTTGTTTTGTTTTGTTTTGTTTGGATTGGGAAAAAATGTTTCTGTAGTTATTGATTTGCAAACTCTTGTACTTGGGTTTGTTTGAAAGGCTCAAAAAAAATGTGGATGTCGATGTATGTTTAGAGGAAGGAAAAATGATTTTGCCTGGATGAAATGTTTGTTGGTTGGTTGGTTGATAAATGAAGGGTATTTTACAATGTGTTGTTGTTGTTGTTGTTGTTATTATTATTATTATGATTGACTAGAGGTAGAGTTATTGTCATCAGAACAACTACTACTACTTCTACTACTGCTAATACTATTTTGACTATTGTTCATTAATGATTCTTTTCTCAAAATATTTTTTCTTCTTGGAGTTGAGTTGGCGCTACTACTAGTTGAGTTGTCACTTTCTGAAATGATAACTGATGTATTCAATGGTACATCCTTTTTCTCTTGTTCTGCTACTGTATTTGGTTCCGAAGAAACAACAATCGTTTCAAGTTCCACTGCAGATGATTGTTCTTGTTGTTCTTGTTGTTGTTTTTCTTGTCCACTGGTTTGATCTTTGTTTTGATTCTTTACTTCCAATGCTTTGAGTCTATCAGATTCATATTCCAAAGCTTCAGTGGCAAGATACTTGACCAAAAAACGGAGACGTTGATTTTGTTCACGGAGATAATTGAAACTGGCGACAACGATGGCAAAGATGATGAGGAAAAGGAGGTAGTTGATACTGGACGACGGTGCGAAAAGGGTCAATGCAAATGGCACAATGATAAAACTAAATGGCAGCAAGACGGCAAAGAATAGGAAGAAGAGTTGGGCCGATCCAAGTGTCAAAACACGCATGACACCACCAAAGTAGTAGAATGAACCATACAAACTGTTGGTCTGTGTGTACATGGCTACTTGGACAATCTCTAAAATGATCAATATGATGAGTGCAATAAAGTCGGCCTTGAATGGAGTTTTCTTTCTCAGTACAGACACGTACAACAAACTGCAAGTGAGTGGAATGATGACTGCGAAACGTAATGCAATATAAAAGGGTAAGGTTCCGGGCTTGCAATAGTGGATATCTTGGATGACATAGTAGATGCTGGTAATGACGGTCGAGAATACGACACCCAACTCTAGAGTGGATTCTTTGGCGTAAAACTCGTGGAATCTACTCTCGATCAGTGCATCTCTAAACTTGAGAGTGAGTCTACTCGACTGACTGATATAGAAACGGTGAAAGATATGGTAGAGTTCAATTGGTGATCGGAAAGGATCGATATTGACCAACTCGGTGAACAGACAACGTTGAGCAACCTCGATGATTCTTTGACCAAACGCTGCCGACACTTGGTACAAAAAGTAGGCACCACCCTGCGTAACAATGACATTGGCGACTGTATCATACTCTTGAGCAATACGAATGATAACAATTGAAACTATACCAATCGTCCCCGTCCAAATTGATCTAGAAAATTTCGCTGTTGGTAATGATAAATTAATCCAAATAAACATTTGATATGATGGTTCAAATGGTGGAAACTAAATAAATCATTAAATAAATATGTAAGTATTAGGTTGATATATTTGTATATTTATATATGTATATATTTTTGTACATACCCAATCTTCCCACATTAATCTAGTCATATTATTTGTTAAAAGTAGAATAAGTAGATAGACTACTTGAACTCTTGATGTAGATTTTGGGAAAAAGATGACAGTGAGTGCTGCAATGATGGTAGTGGCCAATTCAGTTGTGACAGCTGCATCACGCATAAATACATAATTTCCAAACTTTACATAAGTGGCACCAGTCAAAGCCAATTGAAGAACAATGGCAGCACATACCAAAACAACTACCTTTCGATAGGCAATCGTATTAAAGTATCTTTCATAGGAACCTTCAGTCAGCTGATCATTGATGGCTTCTTCTCTTAGTTGTTCTCCAATTGTTTTGTTGATGGTAATGTTGGAAGAGGTTGATATTGATGTCGAAATGGCCATGGCTGATCTTTTGTTTCTCTTGTTATTTTCATCACTTGCAAAACTATCTGTTGATTTTGATGTTGATAATATATTGTTTAATTCCACACTTTTATGTTTAATGTTGAAATTATTATTATTATTATTATTATCGTCGATTGATATGACACCATTACCACCTTTTTCGGTTTCATCACCAAGACTATCATGTTTGGATGATGAATTTCTGACAGAGGGATCAACAAATTGAGAGAATGAATAGATTGAATTTCTGAATCTCTCTGTCATTGTCCCCTTGTTAAAGTTGATAAAATGAAGAGTCCATACACTTATTCTCCCCCTAATAGCATCTGGATACTTTGGGGATATTTGATCATAGAGTTGGAACAGCATGGAAATAAATGTATATTTATTCCACATATTATTCTAAACCTTGGTCTTTTTCTCTTTTGTTTGTTTGTTTGGTTGTTAACAAACTATAATACTATAGAAGGAAAGGGAAGTGGATTTGATGATGATGATGATAATAGATGAACGTCTATTTTAAAAAAAAAGTTCAATGGGGGAAGGATAAATCGATAAGAGTCTAGAGTTGTCTGATGATTTAATTAAATAATTAAAATCAATTAATTGTCTATTGGTTGGTTGTGTTCTGTTCAATGGTGTTTGTGTTGGATGCTCCGATATTACGGGGGTGGGAACCGAGAGATGAGACCCTCTGATTGTCGTGTGAAAAAAAATAGGGTAGGTTGTGCAGTGGTGAGCCCCAAGATAAAGTTAACAATCTCTCTCTCTTTCGATGGTTTAAAACATAAAAAATATCTTGTCAAAAGCCACGAGAGGAATAATCGTGAAGGAATCTCGTGTGAGGAATCTGAAAAGGTGAACCGATTTTTACTATGAAAGGCAAAGAAGAGTGGTTATATAAATAAATATTGGGTCTATTAATTAATAGATAGATATATATAGATAGATAGAGAAGGAAGAAAGAATAAAGAAATTAACTAGGTTAGGTTCTAGAGGATTTATGTTGATCAAATTATATATAAAAAAAATATAACAAAACAAAAATAAATCTTTGAACCTGCGAAGGAATGGGGATCGATGGATCCTGATCATCAACAACAACCGAAGCATAAAAGTGTGGGGGATTTTTGTGGTATCCTCGATTTTCGTTGCAACACGCGCGCAAACAAACAATGTGGGTACTAAGGCCGCGTCCCTAGGCTTGTTTTTTCGACCGTGTGAATGTCCAAAAAAGGTGAAAACCTCTTTTGATGTTTTACGGGTTGATGTTTGATAGATGGGGCGCCAATGGGGATATGACACTTTTTTTTGTATGATCAACCCTTTAGCCACACTTTAGTTTGATTTTGAAGGACGGGGCTTCGATCAACTATTGTCGTTGCGGTGTCTTTTGAGCAGTGACTCTTTAGTTTTTTCAGGAGGGGGCTCCCCTCATATAGTGATGGTCACCGATTTGCCATAACACACAACAGAACTATTTAATTTTAAAACTTCAAAATGGACAAGATTAGATTAGAATCTAAGGAAGGGGTTCCAAAATTTGAAGATACGTGTTCATCCATGATTCAACACCCCTGTCCAACCATGTGTATTGATTACAACTAGAAAAGATATTTGACCAATTATCACGTGAATTCTAAAACCAAAAAACTACATTATTAAAATCTCTATTTTTCAATAGAGTAATCCTGGTTGTAAGTTTGCAGCATTACATTTGTCCATCCAATCCACCAATCCTTTCCAGTAAGATTTGTTTAATTGAATTGTCATTGTTATTATTTTGATTCATAAAGAAATATATATTTTCTATTTATTTCTTTATTTTATAAATTTTATTTTGTTTTTTTTACCTCTTTTATTCCCATTCAGTTGTACCAGGTGGTTTACTAGTTAAATCATATACTACACGTGAAATACCAGGGGTATTTGTTAAAATATCTTTGACCATTTCTTGGAGACATGCTAGTGGCATGGCGTCGGTACCTGGGACAGCAGGGACACCAGTCATAAAATCGTTGGTGATAAAGGTACGGATGGCAATGGAACGGGTTTGGTCTTGGTCAAATGAGATGGGGAAGAGGATGACTGGCACTTGAGAGAGTGCTCTGATGAGACCATACTTTAGTAAAACTTGGTTGACTGCGTGATCGGCCTTTTGCAACTGTGCGATGGTCTCTGGCACCAAACGGGTGGGTGTGATTTGTTCGATGAGGGTGGGTTCGGCGATATGCTTTCCAAAGATATAGACGACACGGTTGACATTGTGGCAAACTTTAGGGATGACCTTGGCGAGCAAAAAGAGAACTTCCCAGTCTGGCTCACCCGACTGCGAGAGTGCGGCTACATACGAGTAGGTTCTGCCGTCACCTTGGACACCGACGGTTTGGACGGGGAGGAGGATGGGGTTGATCGACGCCCCGCTGCGACGAATACGCTCAAGACAGCCCATTTCACGAAGATGTTGGTCGATCTTGTCGCCAGTGTCCACGTCGGGTGCGCCGGTTCCGCGGATGAGGTGGTGTAGGACAGAGCAGGTCAATTGGAACTTGGCGTCAATGAATGGGCGTTCAGCGCAGATGATACGGATGGCAAGACCGGGTCCGGGGAATGGCTGGCGCCAGACGAGGCTCTCTGAGAGGCCGAGCGACTTGCCGAGCTCTCTGACCTCGTCCTTGTGGAGGTCGCGCAGTGGTTCGACGACACGACCGGTTGCACGGAGCAGACGGACGAGTTCAGTGTCGTTGTGGTGGGTCTTGATGACGTCGGCAACACCCGACACTGTCTTGGAAGACGATTCAATGAGGTCTGGACGCAGAGTACCCTGTGCCAAAAACACGTGGTTTGGGTCGAGACCAAGCTTGCGTACTTCGTCCTCTGCCACACGCATAAACGTGTCACCAATGATCTTTCTCTTCTCTTCAGGGTGGACAGTGATACAGAGCTTGTCAGTGACCTTGCCAGCAATAGTCGTAGTGCCGTTGAAAAAGGCTTGGCTCGCGTCGACGACGATCAAGTGCAGACCGAGCACGCCAAGTGCAGTCTCGACATTCTTGCTCTCGTGGTGACGCATAAACCCGTTATCAATGTGCAACGCAACGACACGTTCGGCGCCAATAGCCTTGGTCAAAAGAGCAGCACAGACGGTACTGTCGACACCCCCGCTGACGAGCACAAGCACCTTGCCAGTACCGACAGTCTGCTGGATCTCCTTGATAGCAATCGACTCTCTATCCTCCAAAGTATAGCTTCCCTTGCAACCGGCAATACCAAACAAAAAGTTTTCCAAGATCTTCTTGCCATTGGTGGTCAAATCAACCTCTGGATGGAACTGCAATCCGTACATCTTTCTCTTTTCATCTTCTACACCGGCAATCACACCTCCATCAGATTTACAAATCTCTTTGAATCCTGGAGCAACCATAGTTACACTATCACCATGAGTTAACAATACCTTTTCAGATTCAGCTAAATCTTTAAATAATATTGATTCTAAAAAAAGAAAAAGAAAAAGAGAATAGAGTATGAGTATTATTTAGATTACTATTTCTATCTTTCTATATTTCTATTCTTACGTTTAATATGAACATGATGAACACCATCTTCACGATGATCATTTTTTTCAACTTTACCACCAAATATGAACATCATTAGTTGCATACCATAGCAGATACCAAGGATAGGGATATCCTTGTGAACGGTATTGGCAAGGTTGAACAAATCAGGATCATATTGGGGAGCCTTTGACGAGTATACACTTTCTGGACCACCTGAAATGATGATTGCTTTGATATTGCCTCTTGCCAACAATGGAAGTATAGGTGTATTGAATGGATGTATTTCAGAGGCTACATTCAACTCTCTGACTCTACGATCAATCACCTTGCTGTATTGTGATCCTGCGTCCAAGATCAATATGACTTCATCTGCATGAACAGTTGCAATGTCTTCAACTGCTACACTTGATATTCCTCCTTCACGTGTTGCAATTGGTGGTGTTGAAATAACTGGTGATGTCATAATTTAATAATTGATGAATGAATAATAATAATAAAATAATAGATAATAAATGAATGTATATATATATATATAAATAATGATAATTATTTGTTTGGGGTAGGGTTACCCCCCAAGAATAATGAATGAAAACGATCATCTTTATCATTGGTAGGTTGTGAGAGCACGACTCGTTCAAAGTACACCAAAATTAAAAATAAATGAAATTCGGTAAATTTGGTATAAACCGAACATCAAGAATGACAAAGATTGATAAAAAGACGAAAGTTTACCTTTGATGACACGGCCCGATTGTTATCATCATCATCAAGTTTTTTGAGTCAAACCGTAGCATCCATCCATACCAATGTCTCCCTGGTTTGGGAACTGGTCAACAGATAGTATAGTAGTCCACTGCACTATTAATATTTAATTTATAATTCTAAGGATTTATTATTTATTATTTATTTATTTTGGATTGATTATTGATGTATTCTAATGACAGAATCAGCACCACTTGATGCAAAATAACCTTTGGTTGGATGATAAGCTATAGAATGAGTAGATTCGTCGTATTTAGGTCGATGTGAATTAAGATCCTGCAAACAGGTTTTGCTTGCAATATCCCAGAAACGTACAGAGGGATCATGTGAACTACTGGCCAAGTACAGTCCTGAAGGGTCGATAGCCAGCGATGTAATGGCGTCAGAGTGTGCAACCATCGAATGGACAATCTCTCCACTGGCAGTGTCCCAAAACTCAATCTTTTTGTCTTCGGTACCGGTGATGGCCAGTGGGAGGAAGGGATGTGCGAGGACCTTGTTGATCTGCTCGTCGCCAGCGCTGGCAAATGTGTTGCCCGTCTTGTACTGACGCACAATGTGTCCGGCTTCAATATCAATCTCGCTCAATGCACTGTCGCTGTAGCCGATAAAGAGGTGGTTGGGTTCCGACTCGGACACGGATATGCTCGTGGGAACGACACCGCGTGTCTCGGTGGTGAAGCGACGTACTTCGCGGTTATTGTCCCATACACGTATAGTGCCGTCGGCCGATGCCGAGATGACACGTCCTGACCCACCAGGGGTAGTGATGACATGCCAGACAGCGTCAGTGTGACCGACAAGATCACCACGCAAGTGTGGGGACACGGTTCCATATCCGTGATAGGGGTCAGCGTCGGGTGCGGGCATTGCCCACTGCTTGATGATGCAGTCTGAGCCACCAGAGTAGATGTACTTGTCGGCCAATGCAACGGTAAACACCGGGCCTTGATGTCCACGCATCGTGCAGATTGGTTCCACCTCAACAGTCGATGCCTTTTTGGTGGTGGGTACCAACTGCTGCAGATTCCATACCTTTACCGTATGATCCTCAGACCCACTGACGAGGAGATTGTCGCTGTCAAATGAGATCGATCGCACGCCATCCAAATGTGATTTCAAAGTGTATCTGAATCTCCAGGTGCGAGAAGAGTCGGCCATACCCGTGCTAGAGCTGAAAATGCCACTGCCTCCACGCATCATACCTCCTCCACTGCCAATGCTACTATCGTCCAACTTGAGATCGCTTAAATCCTGTGCGCCAAACTGCGACAAGCTCTTGCCTGTGCGCTTGCTAAGACTGCCCACCGGTGTCAGAGTACCACCCTTTTTCTTTACAGTCGAAGATCCTCCTCCAAGTGATCCTCCTTGTGATGATGATGAATCCTCATCCATTCCAAATTTAATATTATTTAATCCCTTGATTTTCATTCTACCCTTTGAGTTTGATGAAAGTTTATTGAAAAAGTCCTGAAAAAAAAGAAAGAAGAATCAATCATTAGTTGAGTTTATCTTTGATTTAAATAATAATATTTCTACTTACCTCATTAAGTGAATCATATGATGGTTCATTATTACTTGATGTTTGATTATTATTGTTATTATTATTACTACTATGAATTACACTGTTATTATCTATTACACTATTATTATCAATTGTTGATGATGATGATTGTTGTTGATGTTCAAAAGATGATTGTTTCTTTGAAAGTAAAGAAGAGAGTGATTCATTTGAATCAACAGGTGAGGTTCCAGCTGCGTTGTTGAAACTATCGGAAGAGTCGTTGAATTGATTTCTTAGACTTTCCAATTGATCCAAAGACTCTACACTCGATCCAGCAATATCACTAGATAGAGAATCCAATGATGATGCCAAGTCTGATAATGACTCTGGTATTCCTCCTAATCCTAATCCCAATCCTCCATTGATATGTCCACCACCACCACCATTTGGACCAACTTCTTCAAGTAATTTTTGTTTTGTTGATTCTGCTTGTTGTTGTTGTTGTTGATGTAATGCTTGTAGTTTCTTTAACGCAGATACATCCATTATAGCAGTTGTTGGTCCTTCATCTTCTTCATCAACTTGTTGTTGTTGATGAGATGTATTACTATGAATTCCATTATTATACTCTATTCCATTACCAGTATTGTTGTTGGCATTACTATGAGGTTTACTAACAATAAAGTCATTGATATCCATTGATTTTAGATATTTTCTGATTCTATCTCTCGTTAGATTACTTTGTGATTGACCTATAATAACAAAAAAGTATTAGTAAAATCAAATGACATATCTTATAGCTTAGTCATACATACTCTTTAGAGTAGTTGTTAATTGTTCTGATTTTTCGATGGTTTGTTGTTGTTGCTGTTTGTTATCTTTGTATTGGTCTCGATAGGTTTGATTGTTCTTTAATCTCTCTTGATGTAGAGCATACTCTAACATTCTAACTCGTCTAAATAAATCATTCTTGATTGATTCTTGTGTCTTTCTTTCAGATTCCAACTTTGTAATTCGTGACTATTTATTATCATGTGATGTGTTGAATGATGAATGATGATGATCAGTCAGTTTCATGATATAATAATAATTCATTTATCTGTTTTGTTTAAACATACGATTAAATCAGATTTCTCACTAACCCAATGAGATCTATCTACTTCATATTTATACCATTCTGTCTGTAGATAGTCCAATATCTTTGGCATTGTGTACTCTGGTCCGTGGACCATTGGTTGTTGAAAACCATTTGAATCATTTGATGAATAATTCATTTGGTATCTCTCTCTCTCTTCTATCTATATGTATTCTCTTTCACTTTATCTATCTCTATCTCTTCTTTTGTTGTGCTTATACAATAATGATGGATGATTGATGATGATGATGGATGATTGATGATGTAAATAAACTCTTATATGATTCTCTCTCTGCTCGATTGATTGACAAAATGTATAATGCAAAAGAAGTAGATGACAAGGTCAACCCAGCCAAACCAAATCAAACCAATCTAGATAAACAAATAAATAAGTGACACTTGTATTGTAGATCCTTTGGAGAACCCAACCCGCCAAAGATAACACCAGCAGCAAATTATTTTTAAATATTTTTATTAATAATTTTGATGGGATTACTTCATCTCTGTATCCATCTATCTATCTATTCTCTATTCTTTTTATTAATTCACAACTACTAGTTTATTGTTATTGTTAGTATATACGATACATAGAGTATAGTATATAGTCATTATGGTTCATGTTTACAGAGGTTTCTTTTTAGAGTGGTATGATATATTAAACTATAGTGCTCGGACATCATCATTGTGATCATCTAATCAATCTAATCATCATCATCCCTCTCTCTATAGTGACCCACCAACAAAACAATTTGTATTATGGTTAGAGAAACAAGAACATTTCGTTGTTATATCACTCGATGATACACATCTCTTTCTACAAGGAGCTAGTGATCAGGTTATAGAAACGATCCAAAGAAAACTAGATGAACTACAAGATCAAAATACTTATTCTGTCTTTGATAATCAAAACTAATCAACGAAATCATCTTCTAATATCAACTCAACTCAACACTCTAACACTCCAACTCAACACACAACTATTATTAATAATGCATTGTATTATTTAAGTAGGAATACAATTTTAATGGTTGGTTTGATTTGGATAATAATAATAATCATTCATTTATTTATGAATAAATAATCTTTATTTCAAAAGAAAAGAAACTGTACAATGGTATACATTGCAATAATGATCATTGGCCTATATATGCGTTGGTGGAATACCGTCGTTATTCATACCACCCATATATGCTGCTGTTGTTGGTTCAATGGAACTTTCTCTTCTTACAACCATGGTTGTTTGGGTGACAGGAGAGAGAGAGAGAGAGCTACAAATCTTTTTGGTTTTATGGAATCCATTGTTTCTTTCTATCTATTAATGTCCTTTTAGAGATAAAATGTAAAGGATTAATCCTCACTAATTACACCTTGAGTTTGTACCAACATATCCTTTATCTTTGCAATATCCAATAATGATTTATATTCCCATTCTTCAATGAGATTCATAAATGTTTCCATATCCATTGTATAATCTATCTTTAATATTAATGAATCCTTTCTTTGGAATCTACAAATTTAAAAGAAGAAGAATATATATGAATATATGAGTATGAACCAAAGATTCTTTAATGTTATCCATCAAACATACTCTAATTTGAAAGATTTAATGATATACTCTAACCATTCTTGAATCAAAGCAAGAGGAGGTGTAGAGTAGGTACCACTATTGAAATCAATAGTCTTGAAATACTTTTGATCGTTTGTAAACGAACAATTCTTGATCCAATAAGATTCCATTTCATTGGCAGTGTTTTGTAGTTTGTTGATAACTTGTCTCTTTGATTCATTGTATCGAAGAATAGCACGCATTATCTCTTCTACCTTGAGTGCATGTTTTGCTTTGTTATCGACCATGATTAAACTGTCATTGTCAACGTCTCCAGATGATGATGATGATTTAGAATGATGACGATCATCATTATCATTCACATGATTGTTATTAAAATGATGAAACAATCTCTTTTCATCAACACTCATTAACAATTTGAATCGTTCTAGTACCGACGACAAACTCTTTAATAGGTTGCTACTTGATTGTTCATACATTTGCCATGTCTGTAAGTTCTGACTAATTTGTTCAAATGCCGATTGATACTTTTTGTAATGTTGAATCATCGACAACTCGACCGATGATGCATCTTTGTTCTTCGTTACAACTTCATCTTTACTATCACTATTATTACTACTAACATATCCATCTTTTAAAAAGTATGGTATATATACATCTCCATCATTATTATTACTATTACTATTATTCATTGAGAGTGTGAGAGCACTTGAAACAACTACTTTTTCGAAGAACATTTTCCCTTTTTGACAACTTGAAGTTTGAGCAGCAGAAAGTTTATTATTTTATTTATTCATTTTTCTTTAAAAGATACATACAGAGAATAGAATAGATAGAAAATGAATAAGATAACACAATCACATATTGAAAAGATGAAGAATATACGTGGGATAGATCGATCACATGTAGAGATTAAAGAAAGATTGAAACAACGATGTTTTGATAGAATACAAGAAGTTAGAAAATCATTGGTACAAAGTGAAAGAGCAAAGGGCAGTAGCAGTAGTGGTAATGGTCAAGTAGCAGTAGCACAACCAAAGCATGGTGCAATTCCTCCCAAGTCTCCACTTAAAGCAAATATCAATATTAAATCAACATTATTAAAAGAGTATGATGCAATGAAACTAGACTTTCAAATGGCAGATTCTTCCTCCTCTTCCTCCTCTAGAACCTCGTCGTCTCAACTACAACCACAATACTCCTCCTCTGAAGATGATGGTGAGCAACAAGACCCCCGTTTCTTTATGTTGAGTGAAGAAGAACAAGAACAATTACTTTTAGAGTTACAAGCCTATGTAGATATGGAGGAAATGGGTAAGTTACAACAAAAAGAATGATTTCCAATCTAATATTCGAAAAGTCATTGACATCATTATCTTCTTCTTGTTGTTGTTGTTTGACAGCTTTGTTGGAAATAGAAGAAAGAGAGAGATTAGAAAGGGAAGAAATTGAAGAAATTGCATACTATGCATCAGAATATGAACAATATATGAACGAGCAACGAAATTGGTAAAGAAAAAGAAAGTGGAGGAGGAGGGAATCCAATCCTATCCTCCAATTGTATATATATTTAACAACACCAAATAAGAAGAAGAAGAAGTTTCACAGTTTTGGAAAACATCATACATGGTTATTATTAGAAATCTAGACTGCTGGAAAGTCAGTCTTTGATGTAACACACTTGGATTTTAAACAACAACAACAACAACATATGTACATATAATATAAAACAAGAGATAATATTATAATCAAAAAAGAATATGGATGGATGGGCGAGTGGAAGGATCGATCCAACCAACCAACTTTTTACATCTTTTATTGATTAGATAATAATAATAATAATAAATCCAATGTTAACGGAAAAAGCTTGAAATGACGATATCCAATTTCCAATCCAAATCCTCTTCATTTTCTGATTTTGGCAATTCCGAAACCCATGATGCATTGACAATGTATCCATTGTTGGAAACTGATGTCTCTGAACCATCCTTTTCAGATCCATATGCAGTAAAGTCTGCATTTAATCTATAGGTTACATTGACAATGATCAAACCAGCTTCAACTGTACAATCGTAATAGACAATATCGGCAGTTTTAAAGTCAATCTGATAATCTACCCAACACCAAGTTTCAAAGACATCTCGAACAAAACATAACTGTCCCAATCCAGCCGGTGTAGTCATTTCTTTCATTCTATCGAAATCATTTTCAAATGCTGCTTCAAAACTTGTCAATAAGCCAATCACTGAATCTATAAGAAGAAAAGAAAGAACAAAAAGGGTTAATACATCATATTTATATTGTAAACATAAAGTAGATTGTTTTTCATTACATACTCGAAAGAAAATCAGATTGATTAATCCATTTGGGAAATGAGAATGTATAGATATATGGCAAAACTTTGAATACAAAGGAAGGAATACTTCTAGTAGACTGCAAGAAAGTGAATGGATCTTTGAAACCAAATTGTTTGGCTATCGATTCAAATGGTCTTATGACATTGGGTGTTGAACCAGCCTCACGTACAAGGTATACATTTGGATTGGGGTCTAGAGTGGTTCTATGTTCTCTTGGTACGTTTCTAAGTACCAAATTGATTTCATGACATTCCTCTTCTTCATTTTTCTCTTCTTCTTTTTCTTCCTCTTCTTCTTTATCCTTATCCTCTTCTTTATCCTCTTCTTTATCCTCTTTTTCTTCTTCATTTTTCTTATTATTATTATTATTTACAGATGAAGTAGAATAGAATGAATAGTAGTTTAGATTTGCATGTTTTTGTTGATATTTATATATATTATTATTATTATTATTATTATTGATTGTAGTAATACACTTTGTTGTTATCGGCAGTATTGTTGATTGTTTACTAGTAGTACATCTCAATCTTCTTGCAACCAAAGAAGGTGAAGAGGATGAGAATATTGTATTTGTTATAACCCTTTTCATAGAGAGAGATAGAGATAATTTAATTAAAATGTGTCATCTCTCTGATGATCAATGAATGGGCTCTGAGACCAGTGAGAATGAAAGTCTGAATGAAAAATGAACTTCAACCAAAAAATTATTTTGAAACAAGCAGCAGCTCAGCTTCAAGAATAAAAGGTATACTTTTTAACATAGTATGATTTGACGATTTCGTCAAAGTACTTTAATCATAAACAAACTAAAGAGTTTATAATTTAAAAATAACCAACCAAGTATGGTATATCGCATTAAATTGATTAATAATAATATTAATATTTATTTTTAAAATTTTCGTATGGGTTTGTGATTTTGCAAAGAGGTTCACCAAATTACTTTTTTTATTATGTTCAGTAATCTCTATTAAACCATTATTACCTCTTTTTGTTGTATAATAGTCATAGTTTTGTTCATCACTAGTCACCATCACACACACACCAACACCAACATCACATCACTCATCATTTATTATTATTATTATTATTATTACAAAGAACAAACAATAACTACTTAAGAATGGATATGAAAAAAAGAGAGTTTGCAGAACCAGAAGACTCTGGATTTAGCGCAACATATGATCCTTTAAATGGAGACTCATTTCATAAGAGAATGAAGCTTGAAAGAGAAGGAGGAGGTGGTGAACTTAGTTTGATTGAAAGGTATGAAAGAAAGAAAGAAAGAAAAGAAAGAGATTGAAATTTTTTTGAAAGTTGATCTTCTAGATTTTTAACACTTGTATCTATCTCTATATCGATATCTATCTTTGATGATATGATTCATCATAGTGAGGAACATATAGGGCCAAGTGCAGTTGTCCACTGCCGTGGGTTACCACAAACTACTACAGAAGGTGAAATAACTACACTCTTGTCATCATATGGAAGAGTAGAGTCAGGTATGCATACTTATTTATAAATTAATATCACCGATCATATGATCGGTACAACGTCATGAATCAATCACATATATGATCATCAGATCTTGCAATCACATGATTCATGTTTTTTTTTCTTTTGATCAAAATCCACACCAACCACGGTTTCATTAACATTCCACATTCTTATCTTCTCTATTCACAATGTGTTTCCATATCTTTCTTCTCTCTCTCTTTCTCTTTTTCTATCTATAAATATCTCTCTCTTCTCTCTCTCTCTACATACATATACATATGGACAAAACTTCTTCTTGGCATTATCCCTCCCTTCAAATATATCCAAAAACCATTCCAATCATTTGCCGTCTCATCACACAGTATGTCTTTTAAGAAAAGGTCAAGCACTCATAGAAATGGATTCTCTTCAATCATCATCGAACATCATCGCCACCAATCCTATAACATTCCAAAATCAAAAAGTAATTACCATCTTACCCCAAAACTTGCCAATCATTTTGATCATCATCATTATCATCATATGATTCTCCATCCCCAATACTCAATGAATTCATAAAGAAACCAAATACTAATTGCATTGCTTCTCTTTTCTTCTCTCGCTCTTTTATTTTTAGATATATTTCTCATATTCCAAGAGTCAACACTTGCATAGTTCAAAAAAGGGATCAGGAGCTCAGACACCAACATCCCCATCGAATATCCTTTTATGTTCAATTCTTACACCAATCTTTCCCATTTCAACATCCACTCTTTATACCATCATGTCACCATATGGACGTGTTTTGCGTATTGTCATTTTCCAAAAGAAAGGTTTACAAGCTTTTGTAGAGTATGTAGATAGTAATAGTAATAGTAATAGTAGATAGATACAACTATCATTTATTAATTAATTTTTTTTTATTTTTAGATTTGAATCACCATATTCTGCATGGGTAGCAAAGGAAGCATTAAATGGACAAGATATTTATACTGGAAGTTGTACCTTGCAAATAGATTATGCTAGAGTTGCAACCTTGAATGTAAAGCAAAATGATGATAAAACCTATGACTATACATCAGAGCATCCAGGATTTTCACTGCCAAGTTACAGTCCATTCCCCCAACCAGGTGCTCCAGGCGTTCATCCAGCACAACTGGATCCAACCTATGCCAAGCCAGCTGGCCCATACATGATGATGGGTCAACAGGCAGCCACCACAATGGGTATCCCTCCCTATGGAATGTATTCTGCCGCTCCAGGTGCCATGGGCATTGAGCCACCTTCACAAACAGTAATTATGGTTCATAGACTTGCAGACAGTGTCACATCGGACCAATTGTTCAACCTCTTTTGTCTCTATGGTAACGTCATCAAAATTAAAATGCTTCAAGGTGCCAAATCAGGAGCCATGGTTCAAATGGGCGATGGAATTCAAGCCGATACTGCCATTCATTGTTTAAATGGTGCTAGTATTTTTGGTCAAAGACTTTCTGTTTTCCATTCAAAGCATCCTGCTATTTCAGAATCTGATAAAACTAAAGGTAAAAAAAGAAAATAGATAGATAGATGTAGATTAGCTTCGTTTTTAATATATACTAAATTTTTTATTTATTTTTAGATTTTACTGATTCACCATTAAACAGATTTACAAAAGGAGGACTTGGATCTTATAAAAATATTTATAAACCATCAGCTACACTTTACTTTATAAATGTTCCAACCTCTTTTACAGAAAAAGATTTAACTCATGTAGGTTTAAACAAAAAAGGCCTGTACTACTTTCTCTCTAGAGGTCAATCAAAACTAATCCAACCTATCTATTTTTTTTTAGTTGTTTATTAATACTGGTACACATGCACCAAATACCATTAAATTCTTCCCACCATCTGGACCAAAATTAATGGGTTTGATAGAGTTTTCAGATGTAAAATGGGCAACTGAAGCATTGATGATTGTAAATAACACTCGCCTTGATGGAAATGTATTGAGATTATCGTTTACGATCAACACCATCAACAAAAATGACAAGGTTCCAAATGGAGCTACCACTGGCCAATTGTAGCTTTACCATATCACCAAACAACAACAACAACAACAACAACAACAACAACAATCACCCGGTGTATAAATGTTAATATTAAGATCAAAACGGAGGAGAACAAAAAAAACAAAACAAAAAAGAAAAAAAAGAAAAAAAAGAAAATGTGGAAATCATTATTTAAATTAATAATGAACAACTAAACTAAACCAAACAAACAATAACAAAAAAGTAGATTCAAAATATCTAGACAAATATCTACTGCTACCTACTACAACTACCACCTACACTTGCTCAAGTAATAATTAAAAATAAAAGTTTAAATACATATAAAACAAACAAGAGGTATTTATTTATCAAGTAAGATGTTGAAGTAAATTAATGAAATTGGGAGAATAGAAAGAGGCTGTTCTATCAACTACAACAAAGTGAACTGTTTCATTTTGATTTGAAGGAATATGAATTACATTTTTAGATAACATTTCAAGCAAAGTGGAGGCCATGTCACCTATTGCCTTAGACCATTCTTCTTTAACAAGGTTAATTTCTAGTTTGGATTGACATGCAAAGAAAACTCTTGGTCCATCAATCGTCCCAGTTAGTAATGATAGGAAATCAAAATCTAAAGATTCTCCTTTAAGAAATAATCTAGTATGGCCACCTAAAAATGTTTCTTTTTTAATCCCTAGGAATCTCTTGTCTATTGGTAGTACTTCTTTTCCTTTTTGATTGAATATTAGTTATTAGTAAATTGTAGATTTTAAATATATTTTGAATAATAATAAATATATTTACTTTGGTAATCCACTTGTAATAAAGTTGACTTTAATCCTCTTCCTAATCTTCAATGGTAAGAGTTGTCAGTAAACAGTTCCGCGATAGTGATTGATTCCACATTTAGATAATAAAATAATGCTAACTTGACTTGGAGCAAACGATTGCTGAATTTCTCCCAATTTAGAAAATAGTTTTCATTCTCTAATCCATGTACAAGGTCATACAAAAGACCAAAAGAGGGTTCTTCTTGGAGATCAATGGAGTTCCAATCTATAAAAAGTAGTGGAAAGCAAACACCATCATTGTATCTTGTAATCACCCCAAGTTGTTCAAACTCTTTAAATGTGGGAGAATCTGCTTCTGGGCAACTAGTTTCCCAAGACCAAACAGTTTTACATGTAATAGAATATGCCAATAAAGTGGGAAAAAAGGTGTTGTTTGCAGTGTCGAGACCTAGATGTTTTTCTAGTCGATGACGTGTCTGGGTAAGAACCTCTCGATAATCTTGGTATGTTGCATAAATTGTCGTTCCCATATCATTCATTACATTTAAAAGTGTTTCTAAAAGTCTTGGCCATCCACCGACAAACATGAGTGCATATTTGAAAGCTGGTAAATCCCAATAGTCTTTAAACTTTGTTTGGGATATAATTTGTCGAACTGGACTATTGGGTGACAAGGTTTCTAGTTGGTCAACTGGAACGCTATAGTAACGATAAGATGATGAAAACCCATGCTCAATAGATTCTGCTCCACCAATGACAGGGACAATAAAGATACTATTAATACTACATTGGAAACTCCCAAGTTGCATCTGAAGTGTTTGTAATTTTGAAAATTTCTCTTGGTGACGACTTGAATCCAAAAGTAAGTGGTGAGAGTCGTCTATTCCAATATATATTCCCAAGGGTTTGTTTTTTGAAAGATTTGTTTGAAGTGACTCTTGATATTCTATACACTCCATCGCTAGATTAGTAGAAAGAAGAATACCTGGAAATTGAGTGATCCAAAGATCCAAAAATTGAAAAAAACCAATGCTGAGGTTAAAATAGGCATACAAGACTCTGAGAGAAAATGATGTCATAATAGATATTTTCTCTGATTCAACGTTGTAATAATCGGCAAATGATAAATAGAGGCCGACACTATGTGCTACCCGATCTTTAAGTTGTTGGTGTAGAATGGATGGAAATTCAGATAGAATTCTAGTTTTTCCAATTCCAGGGGCACCTGTAACTATAAACATTGATGATCGCACCCATGCTTCAGATGAAAGACTAAAGTGTTTAATGACCTCTTTTGAGTTTTTTATAATAAACTCGATAGGTTCATCTCTACCAACAAAAGAAAAGTTTGCTCCATAAGTAGTTATGAATGGTTTTGTTGTCTCTTTTGGATTTCCATCCATTTTACGAGAACATCTGTTAGAGCAGGGGAAAGTTATTAGATCATATTGTTTAAAAAGCCCTTGCTTCTATTGAAGATAAAAACAATAGCAGGCAATGGTTTGAAACAACTTACCTCTTTTTTCTAATATTGGGTTGAATAACATTCTTTATACACAAGATTAATGATTAATGTTAAAATAAATAAACAAAAAAAAAAGAAAGAATAAACTATTGAGAAACTAAAATGAATCGATTCAAGATCAAAAGGGAATAAATAAATATTAATTTTAAATATAAATTAAAATTTAAGATAATCTTTTGTTTTAAAACATAAGAAATTGATGACGATTTTTATTTGTTTGATTGTTAAATTGAGATTTGTGTGTCATTGATCAATGACCACTGCGTGTTATATTCATATAACTTGTGTAATAGTATATTTGTTTTAAACAACTGTAATAATACTGTTATTTTTTCTCCTCTTGAAATAATAAATAATTGTTTGTTTTTTTGGAACAACAAGATAAGAAATTAATTTTAATTCCTGTTGTTTGCCATTGTTGATATTGGTGTTGTCTTTTCTTTTTTTTATAACCAAGTAAAGATTGAAAATCCAATTGGTGCAACCATAAAGAAAACAACGATTAAAGCTGTTACAACTGGTATGGCTTTATCTCCTTGATTGTTAAATACTACCTCTGATATGATTGGCGTTTGAGGTTTTTGACTCTTAAATGTAAAGGTGTGAGAACCTTGGAAAATGTCAAGCATTTGGAAGTCGAGTGTTTGGGATTGGCTAATTTGAGAGGTCTCCTTTTTACATTCTTTTATCGATATGGGAATGAGTGGATAACTTTGGAAAGTGACAGGATAAAACGATGATTGACAACTTGATTCTTGGAACATTGGGTCACAATAGTCCATTGCTATTTGGTGTGGATTATCGTGTAATCTAAATGCAAGTGTACACAATCTTTGAGCTATTGCACCGGCACATGTTTGAGCAATGATATCCAAATTTTCAACATTATTTTGGTTCCCTATCAGATCTGGATTGGTACGAGACATCCAAACAGCCTCCTTTATAAAATCATCTATATACATTCCACTATTATTACTTGGTTTGTGACAGATTTCATTTCCCTCTGGCGGCAACAAAGTTGAATAAAAGTCATCATTTACAGGTACTTTTGATTCAATCAAATGTTGATAACTAATTGACATTGAATCCATTAAATTTAAATTCTTTATCCTTTCTCCAACATTTTGATTATTAATATGGTTATTATTGTTATGATTATTATTATTATTTAATTGACAAAAGTTAAATAGATATCCATTATTTTCTATACATTTAATTTCATTGTTTTCCACTTTTAAAATACAATTTGGATACTTGGTTAATATTATTATTTCTTTTTTTTTTTTCTATTTTTTCATTATATAATCAATCTATATTCATACCTCCTCTAAATAATATTATAGCACTTATAATATATACAGATAAAAAGTAGTTTAATCTATTCATTTTCATTCCTCTATTCTTTTCTAATCTATTCTAATCTATTCTCCTTCTCTTTGTAGTTAATTTTTCAAAACACATGTGAACAACTTAAAATACAACAACAACAAGAACTAATAATATAAATAATATCGATGGATGGATGATGGCTGTAGCTATCTATCTGGCTAGGTAGTTTTTTTGTTTTTGATTTGATTTTAAAAAGATAAAGAGACCATTCCATCATCATCACCATCATCCACTGATTCAACTACTCCTACAACACTATAGTGCATGCGTGGTGGATTGGACAGATGAAAGAAATGGTGTCAATTGTTTCAAAGCAATTGCTCGCCCCCCAAATTTTTGTACCTGTAAGGAAACGATCTAAGATACCCCCCCACACAAACTGATAGATTGATTGGGTGGTGCGAAGAGTTATTTATTCACACATTCACACACTTATAAAACACCATTTTTGTTATGACCAAATTATTGATGAACAACAGATACCCACCCGATAAAGAGGGGTGTAGGTAGATTGGTGGGTAGGTTGCTCGTCAATAAGATTAAGATTTAAATAGTTTGTACCTTTTATGGTAAAACTTTAATAGCCACCTGGCTGATTGATGCATCCATCAACCAAACAAACAACAATATCATCTTTTTCTTTTAAAGTTTTGTTTGTTCAATCGCATTGCAAGCAATGCAGTCTACTACTATTTTTATTTTAATCGGTTCTATCAATAGTTGTGTAGGTGGTAGGTTGGTAGGGTCAGGCGATCCGATCAAAACTGTGTTACCAAGTTGAGTTGGTTGTGGTAGTGGTCGTGGTTGTGGTAGTTGTTGAGGTGGCTTAGATCTTATCTTGGGCTATTAATAGTAAGGGTTTTTTTGGATTGGTTGGGGTATCTTTATTTTAATTTTTTTTTGATTGGGGGGTTATTTTTTTGGAGGTAACGTACTAGGATCTATAAATCCTTTTTGAGTTTTCTTTAAGTATTTGTTGTGAGCAAACGATAACAATCCATTACCATGGTATCTTTGAATATCGGCTTTACGTACTGGGAATGCTGCAAGATCCTTGTTGTTGGCGGGTGACTCTCTGGAAAACTTGTGGAGTAGTTCGATGGGACGGTTGGCATTGCGCTGGCTGTGAACAGCACATTGAATGGCCGTACCAATCTCGTAGCAAATGTTGAGCTGCTCTTCAATGTTGGTCGAGTTGAGGCTGAGTGCTGGACGCAGTGTAATGTAGGGGACGTTGTTGTTTTTGGCAAATGGTTGGATAAATGAGGGTGGTTTGTAGGTGGCGGGATTTTCAAACCAAATCTGAATGCCTACTTGTTGGTCATAGACCTTTGAACGGAGTGACGAAGAGATGGAGCTCTTCCAGTCGGTGAACCGACCCACTTTGACCTTGTAGATGGAAGAAAGGGGGAACTTTTTGTCGTGGATGACGGCCAGGTTGACCCAGTCGTATTTGACACGATGGATAGCTTCAGTCGTGACAAGTACGATACGGTCGCTTTCATAGTCTTTAAAATTGATGCTGTACATGACCCAACCCTTGATGACACGCTCGCCACCCGGGATGTTCTTTTGCGAGTGTTGAATCGACTGCGCGACGTTGGGTGAGTAGTGGTACGACTCGGGTCGGTTCAAAAAGTCTTTCACCTCGTTGACACGGCCGCACCACGTGTCAATGTCCTTGTCACTGTCGACCAATGTCCAAAACTTGACCTCGTCGGTCAGACCCTTCATAAAGTTCTCGTGTGCCTGGATGTCTTCGACGTTGGGTGCCAACAGCTGCTGCTGCTGCTCGTCGTTCTTTTTGCCAAGCATCTCGCTGTTGATCGCGAGTACGGTGGGAGTGGATGGCGGCGAGATGATCGACGCGAGCTCTTTGATGGGGTACTTGACGCCCTGCACGACCGGTCCGCCCGTGCCGTTGGGTTGCACGATCGCCAGCGTCTGCCAGTCGTTGCCCCACACGGCGGTGACCGCCAGTCCCTGCGTCGACTCAACACGGATCGGTTTGTCAATATTGAGCCCAGTGCCAATACCCGTGTGCGGCGATCCCCATGCAAACAACGACCCCTTTTCCGTGATGGCAAAGCAGTTCTTTGAGTATGGCGAGCACTGTCTAATACGCGTGTTTCCAAAGACGTCGGCTGTCGACACCTTGACCGGTGCAGACACATAGTCTTTGTTGTTGTACGCCACCTTTTCCTTGGGGACGGGTACGATCGAGAGCAGTCCCGATTCACGCGACCCCCACATATAGAGCGATCCCGACTCGAGCGACACCGACGTCATATAGTCAGGACCGGCCGAAATTGATATAAAACGCTCCCCAATATCCTTGAGCAGGGTAGGCAGACTTGAAAACTTGTTGTTTTCTCCCAAACCAAGTTGACCCTGCAGACCTTCACCCCACGACAACATGTGGCCGCTGTCGCTGAGCATGACGGAAAAGTTGTTACCCGCGGCAACATCGATGGCGAAAAAGGTCTGGTCCTGTATCTTTTTGGGCCCCTTTTCCGACGACGAACGGTTACGGTTGCCTAGTGCTTTACCCGATCCCCACGCATAGATATTGCCACCGTCATCGACGGCCAGACAATGTGTCTGCGACATGGACACCTTGACAACCTGCGATCTGAACCCTTCGAGTAGACGAGGATGGTGCACGTCGCTCTCTGAGCCCGTTCCGTTGAGATGGTTGGTTGCTCTTCCCCATCCATACACCTTTCCATTCTCTGTGAGGACAACGCAAACATCTTCCTCTGGTGAAGCCACAATTTGAACAACCTTGACGTGATCCAAATCGTATATGCGCGATGGTTCTCTACATGCGCCATCTACACCGTGTCCCAGTGCAAACCCACTGCCCCAATCGAAAATAGATCCGTCTTGGAACGACACATAACTGCATCTATTTCCAACAGCCATACAACTTGGTCTACCCTTGCCTTGTGTGCTCTTGGTCGGACGGAAAACGGTCATTCTATCATCGGGCTCATTGTCAGTGGCAAAGATCGATCCTGAACTCCATAATTGTGCCGATGCAACTTGTTCGGCATCACTACTACTATTTACAAAACTGTCCGGTAGGTCTGGATATGCCTTTGACTTATCACCATGTATCTCGATCGTTCCTTGCGGTGTAGGTATTCTACCCTCGTCATTCTCGACCAACAAAAACAGCGAATAGTTTTCACATACTGCTATCTGATTAATCTTTAGTCCATTTGTTTCACTTGGTGACAATTGATATACTCTTTCAGGTTCCACATAATTCATTACAAACTTTGTTCCTAAACTTCCCTTGACTTGAATATTAAAAATAAATAAATTGTTGGTATCATTGTGTTTGTTTGTTTATATTGTACAATATATATATATATTGTTATTTACATACCATTATAACCCCAACTATAAACATCACCATTAACAGTAATTACAAATGATTGGAAATGATTGGCATGAAGGTAGATTACTTTTGGTAGGTTGTTGATATAGGTTGGTGTGACTTGCATGTAATCATATTGTGATTGGTTGATTCCCAACGCTCCATTCTTGTTGCTACCCCATGACAAGACACGTCCATCGGCTGTCAATGCCAACGCATGGTTGTAGCCACAGGCAACTTGTTTCAACGGACCAAATCCCCAATCCAACTCGACCAGTTCGATCTTTTTTGAATCAATCTTTTCATTGTCGGTTTCGTTGGTGGCCTTGTTGGGACCCAAACAAGTGGATGCATAGTCTCCAAACCCAAACAATTTACCGTCTTTGGTAAGGAGTAGGGTGTATCCTTCACCGGCGACCATCTGGACAACTGGATCTTGTTGATGATTGGGACACCCGACCAAATCAACTTTGGTGGGAGTAGGATAGACTTGACCTCCAAAACCGAGGGGACGACCCCAAACGTAGAATGAAAAGGTCGATGTGATGGCAATACCATGCGACACACCAACAGCGACCATTTCAACACCCGAGTCAAAGCCACCCATCATACGAATACTCTCCAAGTCAATCTCTGTGCCAACACCAGTACGAAAGTCGGATGAATTACCCAGCGAGTATAGTGCACCATTATCGGCCAAAAAGAATGTAAAGTTCTTGTCACGATGCGTGTTTGAAAAGACGGCCCGGCAACTAGTCTCTGCCGACTCGCCCGTGAACAATGAAAGTTGTTTGGGGACTGTCACCTGACTGCTTGATGACTTGACACCCAAGAACCCACTGCCCATTGCATAGACCAAGCCACGATTATCAACTAGAAACGAAGCTGTCGATGAACATGTGATCGATTTATAAACCCGTCCTAATGATTCCTTGTCATGTTGTAATGCTGCTATTGGTACTATCTGTTTCTGTTGTTGTTGTTGTTGATTACCACCAACTACTCCACTACCAATTTCTTCTCCACAACTCCATAATGACATTATTATTATTAATTATGAACTTGTTTGTTTGTTTGTTTGATGATTATAGTTGATCAAATGAGGGAATGAAGATAAGATGGATGATAGCTATGAATTGAGTTTTATATGTGTATGTATGTATAATATAACAAGATGTATAATAAAAAATAAATAATAAATAATGTTTGTGTTTGGTTTTGATGTTGTTGGGTATAGGTGTGTGTTTGTTTTAATTTCTATTTTCTGTGTACACCCACCAACAACACTGAACTGCCCCTTCTTCCTTATCTTAATTGATTTTAATTAAAAAAATATCATAAGAAACGCGTTGCACATCTGAAATCAGATCTGAGATTAGGACAAACCCAAACAACCAACCATCATAATTTGCCGTTGAAAAGTTATTCCAAGATGAATCGTCAATTTTTGTTTTTTTTGAGTATTAATCATCTAGATTATCGATTGATTGATCATGAATGTTTGTTGCTTATTTTAGATTATCTAGAGAGATCAATGGTAGTACTTAATTTATTTAAATTTTAAAGGTAAATTTAAATAATCTCTTTGAATGGTTTCTTCTAAATTGGCCAATTCAATTACTTTGTTTTTAAGTTCTTCAGTGTGTGCTTGGTATTCATTGATTTTGTTTGAACTTTCGTTTGAGAATTTACCAACATTACGAATAATCTCCATGTCGTCCAATTGGAATTGATCGTTTAATTGTACGGGTGAAACCTTTTCAGAGATGGCTTGGAATAGGTCTGGTTCATTGTACCAAATGGCACATCCCTTTTGCTCAACCAATTTAGTGTTATGACATCCTTTTCCTCTGTCTCTACATCCATGATACCAAACTTTTTCTTCAAATTTACCAACAATTGAAACTGCCACACCTAGTCTATCAGCTCTACCAACTCTACCAACTCTATGAATATAATCTTCAAATGTATCTGGTAATGTATAATCTAAAGAGAAAGGAATAGAATAAAAGTAAATAAATACAATATTTTCTAATTTTCTTTTTTCTTTTTTTTTTTTCTATTTTTTGTTTTACATACTAATTACAAAAGGTAAACCTTGAATATCAATACCTCTACTTGCAACATCGGTACAAATTAAATACTTTACATCTCCATTTTTAAATTTCTCCAAGTTTTGTTTACGAACTTGAGCTTGCTTTTCACCGTGGAGTACGACACTTGAAAACTCGCTTTCCAAACCACCAAGACCACCACCAACTGCCTGTAAATACTTTTGGAGGTTATCACAATCGACACGAGTACGTGCAAAAATGAGAGCTTGGTCCATTTTGAAGGCACGGATGACACGGACTAAAAGCTGTGGTTTCAAGTACTTGATGGCAAGTGATTTTTGTTCGGGTGTTTTCAATCGATCCAAACTCTTTACATCCATAGCATGCATTGCATCGGTTGTAAATGGAACATGCTTTTCAGAGGTTGTATCAAGTGCGTCTTTCCAAAATTCGAATTTCTCGGGATCGGCAGTGACATAGGTATGTTGAATCAACTCTGGAATATAATCTTTACCCTTGAGATCTACCCATGTTGGTTGACGTGTGATTTGTTCGGCAAAACGTACAACATCGTTGGAGTGAAGTGTAGCTGAAAAGAATAAAACTTGGAGTCCTTGTTTGGGAAGACGGTTATATATATAGTTTAGGATCGAAAGGTTGTCACGGATCAATTGGTCGGCTTCATCCAACACGAAAAACTTGATTTGCGAGACATCAATGACACCCTCACGAATGTACTTGTCCAGCACACCGGGTGTTCCAACCACAATATCTCCATTTCTATTCAAATCTTTGATATTTCTTTTGGAAGCTGAAGCATCACTACCCAAACAGAGAACAGGTTCGATCTTTGGACTAGTCAAATATTTTGAAAAGTTTAAAATGGCAGAATAAGTTTGATCTGCCAATTCTTTAACTGGTTCAATAATTAATGATAATGGTTTTCTTGGTTCCTGTGGTTGTTGTGATTGTTGTTGTTGTTGATTCTTTCCTCCTCCTTTTTTGTTATTATTATTATTATTATTTGATACTTGTGCAGAAGTTGTTGTAGTTGTAGTTGTAGTTGATGTTACGGTTGTTTGATCTTGTTCCAATTCACCTTGACACATTGGTATATAACCACCCTTTGGAAGATGCTTTAATAGCTCTGTTGAACTTTGACCAAAGTTGAACCCCATTTCAGCATTTTTAAGGAGAACTGCTGGATAAAAGACTTGACCAAGTTTGGTTGCGTCTAGTTGATAGGCTTGTCCAAAATCCTCTCCGTTCTTTGTGAATGTGATTGTACCGGCTTCAGTGTCCAACAAACATCCAATCACGTCGTTTAGGCCATACCCAACCCCAAAGTTTTCAAACTTGTTCTCGTGTGACTTCTTTCCAGTTCCACCATACCCCCAACTAAACTTATCGGTACCAATCGAACGAGTACCCTTTTTCAACGACCATCCAACACGACACAACCCTTCATCCTTGACAGTAGCTTCATAATAATATTTTCCAGCTTTTGATACACCATATGTAACACGACCACCTGCCCAATCCTTGGCACGTGATTGGCACAACAAACCATTGATTGCCAAATCCTTGTCTCTATCTTCTGTTGACCATTCAATCTTTTTTGTTGTTGTTGTTGATTCTTGTTCTTGTTCACCATTATTGTCGGTAGTAGTTGCAGGTACTGAAATCTCAGCCTTTTTGTTTATAGTTTCATATGTAATTTGTAAGATTGGTAATGCAAATGCTCCTGTTTTACCTGATCCTGTTTCTGCTGCCTAAATATATATATATAAATATAGATAATTTGTTAATCTCTCTTCATCTCTCTCTCTCTCTCTCTCTCTCTCTATCTCTATTGTTATGTTTAAACATACAGCTAGAACATCTCCACCACCTAGAATCAATGGGATTGCTTCTTGTTGTATTGGAGTTGGTAATACCCATTCCAACTCTTCAACAGCGCAAATAATCTCTGGCATAACACCTAAATCTTCAAATGCTGACTATATTTATATATGTAATACATTGTATTAATATCTACTATTTTGTTATTCAACTTGACTACTTACCATTCTTTTACTTTATTTTTGTTGTTGACTATTATTACAATACTTTTCGAAGTCGACTTTATGTGAAAGATAATAGATATATATAGATATATAGATATAGTTTGATGAGACAAACAAATAAATAAAGAATATATAGATATAGTTTGATGAGACAAACAAATAAATAAAGAAAAGAGAGTTCTGATCAGACGTCTTTTAATTAAAATGTGAAGTTGACCGATTTGAGGTCTTTTTGTGAAAATCAAAAGAAAAACTTGAGAACACTTTAGAAATAATTAATATATATTAAATTTAATTGTACATATGATTTATTATTATTTGTTTGTTTGTATTGTTTGTTTGGATTGGATTGGATTGGTTTAGATTTTGATTGATTTTAATAATTATTTGGATTTGAAAAATGTTCAACATAATCATTGGCAATGGGAGCAGTCATTAGATGATCAGGAATATTGAAAGCTTTGACAAGAGGGATGGCGTGTTCACGGACCATACCACAAACCTTGTTGATTGAGTTTTGGATGGCTTTGGCCTTGACTGGGGCAAAGTATTTGTTGGAGAGGAACCAACCCATATCTTCTTCAATCTTTGTGAGTGCAAATAATATACAGAGCAGTCTGAGGACGGGACGGATCGACTCCTCTTCGTTGGCAATCGACTCGAGGAACTTTTCAATGGTGACACGCTCGACATAGGCTGTGCCCAAATGCATGACCAAGTCCAACGACTGGTTCCATGCCTTGGCAGCTGGCATTTTGTCGGGACCGGATGTCTTTGAACGGAGACTCTTGACGAGCATACGCAACAACTTGAACTCTCTGTAGATGAATGCGTCGAGTAGCATGTCTGGATCGAGCAGATGAGCCTCTGTATGCAGTCTCTTGACAAAGAAGTTTTGGTTACGAAGAAAGATACCAATGTGTCCCTTGGAGTAGGTGTAGTTGAGCATACCCGTCAATCTCTTGCTACCTGTGAAATACGATTTAAACTCGACCAACAAGCTTTTGGCAACTGCTTGGAGTAGCACTGTGTTGTCTCCCTCGTAGGTGAGATCGACGTCGGCGTCATTACGGAGTAATCCAATCTTGTTGCTCGCGGCAAATCCCATACCTCCACATGCCTCACGACAAATCTGGAGTGTTTTGGCACGATGCCATGTAGTGACAGCTTTGAACCCGCAGGCCATCAAAAAGACATCACGTGCCTCTTTCTCCTCGTGTGCTTGGAATCGACTGATAATATGGTGTACCGAAGGTTGATAGGCATAGGTTGCAGCCAACAATGGGAAGAGACGACGTTGATGAGTTAAATAGTCAATCAAGAGGTCCTCGGTTGGAGCTCCAAATTGACGACGTTGGAATGCGTATTTGATGGCAATAGCCAAGCCCATCTTGGAGGCATTCAATGCCATTGCAGAGACGGTCACACGACCACCAATCAACGCCTCCAACATTGAGTTGAAACGAACGTTTGGATTCTTGATGGGTGTAGAGTACTCTCCCTCGGGTGTGATATCTCCAAACTTGTTGAGCAAGTTTTCATATGGCACACGTACACTGTCAAACCAGAGTCGTCCATTATCCACACCATTCAATCCCATCTTGGGTCCATTGTCAGCTGCTCTAACACCTGGCATAAGAGTTCCAGTCGATGGGTCACGAATTGGTACCAAGAATGGATGTAATCCATAATTCTCTCCCTTTACATACAAATTTGCAAATACAGTTGCCATTGTACCATGTTGTGCTGCATTACCAATCCATATTTTTTGTGCCGTAGTTGTTGGTGTTGTCATTATAAACTAAAGATAATAAAAAGGTTGGTTATTTGTACAAATAATATCCACGAATATTATATCCTTTCAATCCAGGAAATTTGATTCTTTAACACATACTTCTTTAGTTTCAGTATCATAATCAGCTCTAGTTTCAACACCACGAACATTACTACCATGACCCAACTCGGTAAGAGCAAAACAACCAAGGATTTGACCACCATCGATATCGTAAAAGTACTTTTTGTGACGATCACTACCAAGACACTTGAGCGAACCTGCAAAGAGACCCCATTGAACCGACGACTTTACAGTGAGTGACATGTCACAATAGACGAGTGATTCTTGAAAGAGAGCAAACTTTTTAAAGTTGGTAATGATCTCGTCCATCTTGAGGATACGAGCATCGGCCAATTTTTTGAGTCTTTGCAACGTCAACTCTCTCTGCTCAGGGATCGATGCATAAAGGTTTGGTTTGTAGATTGGGTCTTTGAGAATATCAAATATCTGCTTGCGAGTTGCAATCAACTCTTCACTTGGATGTCCTAATAAAAAGTCGGCCAACTTGTCAATCTTTGGTTGATCCAATACTGATTGTTTGAGAATGGCTGTTGCTGCTGCCACATCTCTTGAAGCATTTGACGACGACGAAGATGTACTGTTACTAACAGCAGCTACATTATTTGAAGTTAAATGTTGACTAATTGTTTGTATTCTATCCAATGATTTGGTATGTTGTTCTTGTTGCTGAATATCCTCCATAATTGTATTTTTTTTTATTTTTCAAAAAGAGAGAGAGAGAAATAATAATAAAATATAAAATATAAAATACTAAATATAAAATATAAAAATACTAATGATATAATATAATTTTATAATAATAAAATAAATAAAATATGAATAAAAAAAACTACTACTACTCGTGTATCGATATTGAATAGTAAGGGTGGGTGTGTATAAAGGGAATGTTCTGTGTGGGTGTGTGCGTTGTAGAGATAACACGATACAGATACAGATAGAGGTAGAGATAGTTATTGTACAAATGTTTGTTAAAGAAAAGATGAAATGAATGAAGTTATTTTTAAGTTCACGTCTCTCTGGGCAGGCTTGAAGGTTGATAGATAGATTTTCGAAAAGATAAATGTCTTGATACCACTGCACTCTGACAAAGTGTAAACCATCGCTCAGGTCGAAAAAATCATGGCTTGATGCCATTTTTGGTCGTTTTTGGCTATACCTCGATTTCTTGTTGGCAACAAACCCAGGACAAGAAATTTCAAAAATTCGTTATCTTGGAGCAAATAGAAAAGATCAACTTTGGAAGTAAAGAACTAATCATGTGCGTATAAATCATTTTTATCATTATTACTAACTACATAGCTCATATATATGAGTCACATGTGATTGTAATTATACGTTAAATCACTACCAAAATGCACATGTACGATGGAAACTCCTAAAACCTATAATATAACTACAAAATTTATAATATAACTACAAAATTTATAATATAACTACAAAATTTATTTGTCGTATAAGCTTCAACCACAATCTAGAAGGTAGATCTATACACCTGTAGGAAAAGAATAAAAAAGAACAAATTTATGAAATTGTTGATGAGGAGGCGACGGGGATGTTTGTAGAATCTTTAGATTGACACCATGATATCCGCAAGTGTCGCCAACCTCCAAATTTGGAAAAATTACTTGACAACAATCGAATTTATGTGTTTTTTTTACAAACCAACTACTCTCATCGCCAATGATGATGCTTCATGACAAGCACTCTCGTAACCTTACTTTCTTTGCCTACACACCGTTTTATCACATGCATCGAATTGCAATTAATGGGTGTTCCTGAAACAACAATTGTTGTTGGTGGGGAAACAAAACAACACCTGAGCAATCATTTTAATTAAACATACTATTTTTTAATATTTATTTATCTATCTCTTTTTATCTGTTCTGTCTCTCTCTTAACTTTTATATTTTTATTTATTTATATGTATCATTACACAAGAGAACAGCGTAGACAAGATCAGATCTTTTTATAAAAATTTAATTAAATTTGGTAAGTGGCAAATAAACACCATCACCATCCATCATCAATACGACATCAGAGAGATGGAAAAGGAAACTAGTTTTTAGAATAAAGCCCTCTTTAAAGGTGTACCCCAATGAGTGGATGTGGGCATGCTTTTTCATTGAATCGTTGCGACATCAATTATTTTCGAATTTTTTCGTCAACAAGACACATTGTGTTGTGCGTGATGCATCAACTCGGCTTGGAACCTACTTTGTAGCGCACAACAAAAGAGCGCGCATCATCCATCAATTGTCTGCGACATAGACAACAAGCAGCACTCATTTTAGTTTTAAAATTAAAAAGATAAAGATAAAGATAAAATAGTAGTAGAGATAGTAGTAGTAGAATATAGCTATATTATATTATATTATTATTGTTATTAATCGAAATATTTAAATACTTTTTACAACACTCTTGTTCATTCATTCATTCACATTTACATTTACATTCATTCCAACACTCATCTTGTTATTATTCGTCATACTATTTTTACTAATAGCGCGGATAATTAATTCAAAATAGAGAACGTGTGTGTTTGTGTTTGTGTGTTTGCTTTTTATCCTTGAAGTGTGTGTATTAAAATATTTTCATTGTTAATAGCAAGAAGCACTGTAGTCTCATTCCCTTCTTCTCTTTCCTTTTTTATTTATATTCAATTCATTTAAAATATTTATATATATTTATTATATTATCCATATTCTAATATTATCTCTATCTTTTATCTCTTTTAAATTTATAACATCCCAACATAATAATAATAATAGTAATATTAATAATAATATTATTTCAACTAGAACTTAATAATAATAGAAACGGCAGTTTACAACAAGAAGAAAAAAAAAGTAGTAGAGAATGATTGAAAACGATAATTTCTCTACAACACCAACAACAATCAATAGAAAAGAAAAAAAGAATCTTCTTCTAGACAAGAAGGAAGAAATCTTAGAGGAGGAAATACAAGAAGAACAACAACTACAAGATGTTGAGGTACAATTATATTCAGTGAGTGAAATTGCAAAACATGATAGTGTTGGCGATGCTTGGGTATCGATGGATGGCAACGTATACAATGTCACAGACTTTATGGGTGACCATCCTGGTGGATCAGAGATTGTTGAGCCATACCTCGGCAAAGACATTTCACCCGTATTTCTAGACGAACGTGTCCATGAACATGGTGACGTTGCCTATAACATGTTGCAACGATATTTCATTGGACAGGTACAAGGTTATCGCAAGACATCTCCATCGGTGCAAGAGATGATTAGATCAAAGCAAAAATTGGAATCAATCTGTTCCGACAAGAACAGTACCACCCCACTCGTATCGATGGAAGAGTTGCAATCTCGTATCGACGTCACCAAACCAATGGTCCCACAACTCGAAAAATTAGATGGCGAGAATTATATGAGATGGATTCATAGTCAAACCGGTCTCAAGCAAATCATCATATTCAATAATAGCTTCTTGGAATTATTTACTAGATGGCCTTGGTGGTATATTTTTGTTCTTGTATGTTAAAGAAAAAATAGAATAGAATAGAATAGAATAGAAAATAATTGGATAATTTATTAATTCTAAATTAATATTTTCTAAATTTAGTGGGTACCAATTATAACAATTAAATTATATAGTTCAACACAACAATCAAACTCTTCATACGCATTTTCATTTTTCATCTTTTCATTTGGTTTGTTCTCTTGGTCGTTTTTCGAGTACTTGCTTCACCGTTTTGTATTTCACATAAAGACAACCTCGTATTGGGGCAACTTTTTTCACTTTTTCATCCATGGAATTCATCATCTTACACCATACGACTCCACTAGACTCACATTCCCACCAATCTTTTCAGCCGTCATTGCAGTGGCCTTGTGGAAAGGTGTCAACGCTTTCCCAACAACCCTTGTAGAAAATGGATTTAACCAGGCTCTCTATGCCGGTATTGCTTGTGGATACATGCTCTACGACACCATCCACTATTACTTCCACCACGGTGAAATCACTTGGTTGCCTTCCAAGCTCAAAGAATTCAAAACTCATCATCTCAATCATCACTACAAGGATGACAACAAAAACTTTGGTATCACTTCAACCATTTTTGATATCATTTTTGGAACTTATTAATAAAATATAGATAGATATAATAATAATTTAGATATAGATAGATAGATTCAATGCAATGATTATTAATTAATAAATATATAATAATTAAACCATTAAATATCTGAATTATTTAAATAATTGTTGATTTTTTGAGAAAGGTAAAATGAATAGAGAAAACAGCTTGTGTTTGAGAGATATTGAAAAAAAATTCAATAAGATCATTTATAAAAGATATTGATGAGGTGATAAAACAGATATACAGACAAAGACAAATACTAGTATTTGAACAGCAACACCATCTACAATTGACTTCCAACAAGACTTTTAGACACCTTGTACCAAAAAAATTGAATAGGAGTGAATAATTGATAATAATGGTTTATTATCATCATCATTAATACTATCACTCTTTATAACCATGAAGAAGAATAATAAGAGTAAAGGTGTTTCTTCTTCACTATCTGATAATAATAATAATGATAATATTGAAAACGACGATAAAGACCAACAGAAACTATCATCTTCATTACCTTCTTCTCGGCATGACAGATCACAACCAAAAGGTCGATATGAATGGTTCTTTAACTTTGTAAGGAGATTATCAATACAAAACAATAGATCGTTGGCAACACTATTTGGGTGTATCGGAGGATTAATACTTGGTATTGTTTTGGTAGCGACCGATTCAGAATCATTTCCTCTTGTGGGTAAATCATGGTCAATGGGTTATCGTATCATTGGTATACTCTTGTCGACTGGAACTTGTGGTAATCTTGGAAGTTATATTGGAGGAAGTATAGATATCATTACCGGTGATAGAACTGTAGTAAATCTATATCATCATTTTAAAAAGAAAAGAAAAAGAAGAAGCAACAAAAACAATAACAATAACAACAACACTTCTAGGCAAAATTATAATAATAATAATAATAATAATAATAATAATAATAATAATAATAATAATAATAATAATAATAATAATAATAATCAAAATAATAATATTACAAATAATAATAATAATAATAATAATACTACTACGCAAATTGAAATACCATTAAAAGAATTTAATCAAATTGATAGATAATCAATTGGGTTATGATTTGGATGTCTGTATACAACCAATATATTATATATTTTGTAGTGGTGCGGTTTATTATTATTATTATTATTATTATTTACAAATACATATGTATATTATATGTATGACTACAAAATATCATTGGAATATGGTTTGATGAAAGCATTGTAAATCTCCGTGTCCAAACGATCGATCTGATTAAATGGAACATGGCAACTGTACAGGACATACGTTTCATAATATATGGGTGGGGATTCGCGTTGTTGTTGTTGTTGTTGTATACTGCCACTGAATCCGAGTCCACTGTGTGGGTCTTTGGCAGGTGTACTTGTAGTTTGAGCTGTTATATTGGGTAGTTTAGAATAGATGTATCGAGATTTGAAATCATTGGATGATGATGGAAGAGGTACAAGACTTGATTCCAATAGTAGTGGTGAGCTCCATAAACGATAAGAGTAGGTAAAATTACCGTCCACTACTATTTGTCTTGTTTGGCGTTTGTACAATAGTCCACTGCACACACTATACATTTTCCATATCTTGTCCTTTAAACAATCTTTAGTGTAGTGTAGAGTGGCTTTAATTTCAGGTGCTCTCATTATATGACGAGATCGATCCACCAGTATATAGTGTAATACGTATTGACCAAGATTGATAAATCGATTATCCAAAGGTAACTCTGTCCATTCAATAAGTTCTTTTAATCCCTTTCCAAATAAGTCTGTACAATAGTTTCTAATATCTTTGTAATAAACTAATTCCTCTGGAATGGTTTTTTTAAACTATAAAATATACGATATATATAATTATGATTAATAATTAAATCAATTGGATTGATAATTAGATATTTACCAATTTGTTATTTAGGATTAATAAAAAAGTATCGGTATTGTCATTTAATAATTCACAACAATAGGTACGAATGGGGATAGGTTGATTATCCGCATTTTTAAAATAGATAGTGTCAAATGCACAACTTTTACGGTTGATCATGTATTGTGACCTTGTATCAAAAGGATAATTAAATGATTTCTTTTCCATTTCCAATTCATATTCTTCTTTACTAAACCCAATATTTTCTGTTAAACAAAATAAATCATACAATTAATATATATCAGAATATAAATTAAATTAATAATTACCTCTTGGTCTTAATTGAATATAACAATATATTGATAATTGTAAGAAATCAAAATTACCCAAATATGGTGGTTCTTGCTTATTACTATGATAGAATAATAATTTATGATCTTTATAAATTAATATATGTGATTCCTTTAAATAAATAAATGTAAATGTAATAAATTAATAAATAGGAAAATATTAATAAATAAATATTATAGAGTTATGACATACAGTTGATTGAAAATCATGTTCTTCCAATAATTCAGTAAGTGATTGTTTAATAAAATTTAGATTAATTGCAATCTTTTCATGGTTTGGGTATATTTCATCAATCAATGACGATGACAAGGAGGAAGAGGAGGAGGAGGGATAAGTGGTACCACTAGGGTAAACTCTATCGCCACTAGTGAACATCAAGGAAACAATATCATCTGTTTCCTTTTCATAAAGATCGGTATACACCTTTTTAGGGAGATATTTGTGAAAAGGATGAGATAGAATGTCATATGATTGAAATATGATGTGCTGACATTCACCAAATAGTGCCATTACAGTAGATGATATTGTTTTCATTTTGGAATGCATTTCCTTGGTCGCACTATGTGATAGTGATCTTCGTTTACCATAGTTTTCCTTGTACTCTGTTATTTTGGTGCCAAGTACTGTCATGAAGCAATTACTAATCATTGTCAATAGATCTGCCATCGTAACTTCATTGTCATTATCTTCATCACTAATCAATACAAACCATATTAAATCATCCTTTTCTCCTCTACTATTGCTATAATCATTCTAAACAATCAATGACATTACATTAGTAAATAGGAATGATATATAGTTAAATGTTTACTTTTGTCTACCTACATATTGAAATGATAGTTTAAGTTTCTTGTTTGGTAATCTATTGTTGAGTGGGTTGTTTAGATCGATCTGGGAGGGTGAACATTTCAAGTAGTTGAGTCTTTGCGCAATCAGTCCATGTATGTTTGCAAGTGTTACATTATAGTATGCGCATAATCGGGTACTTTGCTCAATCGATGGTATGTTTGTAATGTGTTCTCCTGAGGGAGGGTCGAGAACCAACAGCTCTTTCATCTGTCACTAGTTGACGTCTGACAAATGAGCCGACGGATACACAGCAGTGATAGATGATCGATCGGTCGGTTCGATATCTATTATGATAATACTTTGAGGTTTCGTTCGACTGCACTCCACCTTGATCACTGACGGTAGTACTGATCAGTACTATGACATACCAGCTGTGCACAATTAATATCAGAGCATGCTCATTGTGAGCCATGGCAACCATTACATAAAAAAAAAAATCTAGAGGATTATCAGAACCTAGAATCTCAAGATGATCTCTGGGAGGGTATATAACAGGATAGATAGATCCAGTGTTCATGTCTCACCAAAACATGGGTGTTCACGTGATGTTGGGTACGTCAGCATTTTAGAGTGAGAGGGCAACATGTTTACCTAAAAAAGATGAACCGATCATTGGATGGAAGGGCTGCATCCTATCAACCAACAATGGAGACACTAATACAGAAAAGAAAGAACAGTGAGTTTATTCTTCGAGGAAGGGGTGGGGAGTGTACACGAACAACACTGCATCAATCATCTGACCAACACCCGTGTCGATTTTGATCGGTCTTGTGCAAAAAACCCAAAATCGTGTGGGATTGGCTTTGGTTGTTCAATCACGCAAATGGCCTCTCGTCCGATGATGAACTTTTTGGTTGATTTCCAAGGGTCGACAGCCATAGATAAAAGGAACCCTTTTAGATCAAACAACAGTTTAATTATCAACAAATACACAACATACACACACACAACCAAAACAATCAAAACAATGACAGTCAGACAACTCAGAACCAGAAAATCATCTAATCTTTTACCAGTTTATAATCTCTCTTTGAAATCCTTTGAATCAAAGAATACCATTGTTCTTGTTCAAAAGCCCAAGAATCTTGAATCGTCTGCCGAGAAAAGAGCTCTTGCACAATTTGCCAAAGGTGATTCGATGGACATTGACCAGAGATAATGTAACTTGTCTAGCCACACATCGGGATTAATCGCATCATCAATATATCATTATCATCATCATCATCATCAACATTATCGCCTTTTTCGTAGCCCTCTCTCTTCTCATTACACGACCACCAAATTAAGGATCTGGCCTCGCTGAATGAAACAAGCTTGCATGGATGGCACCAAAAAAAGAAAATCAGGGGTTTTTCCTCTTCTCTTTCACTTTTCTTTTTTTTTTTCTTTTTTTTTTAATTACAACTTTTGGGATATAGAATACAACTCTTCCTCTTCTCTACAATTATCACCACCAACTGTACATTTAAAAAAAAATTAAATGGATCATTTTTAAACCAAAAAACTTATACTAAGTTTTTCAACTTAAATAAAGTTATACCAAAATTCCAAAAACAAATTATTATCTTTTAATAATAATAATATTAATTAGTTATTATTTCCTTTTTGATTTATTAATAAACATTAAACTTATCAGTTGAATTGGTGAGATTAATGTAATGAATGAACAATCTTTTAAGTTCGGCCAAATCGACTACAAAGTTTGTGTTGGGTGCTGGATTGGCAATACCATCGGGTCCTTTAAATAGTTGGATTGTGTAAGAGTTTGTGCTTGTGAGTACATAGGCCATTGGTTTCTCGGCCATTATAAATGCTCCAACTGATCCAGAACATCCTTCCATATGTTTTCGTACATTTAATGGACATGTATGTAAACAACACAATTGTTTTCCACAACTTAAACAAACTGCATTCAATACATTCTTGCATTGTACACAATAATGTGTATCAGGATAAACATATTTTTTAATCATTTCCTAAAAAAAAAAGAAAAAAAAAATTAATATTTAGTTTCTTACTTTGTTTTTTCTACATACAATATATTTAGTTGGGAAATCAATAAATTTAATTGGATTGGTATAAGTTGGGGTCGGGAAATAATAGAGTGAACGAATTGGCATGAATATTTGTTCGATGATGGCTTCTTTGAGTTCACACATGGATGGAAGTGGGATATCGGCCTTTTTGGTGAGATGGGTGTAGAGGAAATCGATAGAGTCAAAGTCGTTCAAGTCGAGGCGACAATGATTGGGTGATTGGATGGAAATACGTTTTCCATTGGCGAAATTATCAAAAAATGAGTCTAAAAGATACAACTCTCTAAAGTATGGTAATAGGTATTCTCGGAATCTCTCGAGATTGGCTTGTTCGTTTGAGCCATCGATCAAACTACGAAGTGCAGAGACATCAGTTCTAAAGATATCATAGTCAGTGTCTGTGGGAGAGGAGAGTCCCTTATTTTTAAAGAAAAGGTCCATTACAATGGTAGTGTAAAAGTGTGTAGTGTTGGCGACCAAGTATTCCCTGATCTTGTTTCGCTGTAGCTCTTGAATTGGAATGGGGCATTGTACTGAGTCGGTTACATAGATGTACTTGTAGAGTCCATAGGCTACAAGGGGATCGGCTCGGTTGAGTATATGGCCCTTCAAGTCTGTATTGATTTTCTGTTGGTCTTCGTGGGTTCGTGCTCTAGCAAGACTCAGGTTTTCAAAGAGCACCGACAAGAGATAGTACTCCTTGTCAAAACCTGACTGCTGCATACAAAAGTATCCCTTTTCGTTGGGATCTTTGTTAAAGTTGGTGTAGCGACGACTCTTGATTTCGAGGGCACGAGCATTTTGAAAGACGACCTTCCAAAAGTACAACATAAAGTCGGAACTTGATATGATGGTGGTCAAGAGTTCGCTGCCCATCAACTCTTCTGCATTGGCAACGTTTTCAAAGAGGACAGTTAAATCCTTTCTAGGACACATCATATTCGAGTTGCTGTTGCACAATGGGCATTTGAACCCACTCGAGTATGTTTCATAGAGACTTTCAATGCAGTTTCGATGGCCAAAATGTCCACACGAAGTGATATAGTATTTTTGGTGGAGACGTGAGTTGAACAGAGTAATCCTGTCTGTTGTCTTGGTTTCTTGTGTCGAGACATAGGAAAGGTATTTGGCGAGTAGTGGAGCAGGCAATGTTGCATTGAGTTCCCTTTGATGGTTTTCTCTTGCCACTAATACATGTGGATGAAGTCCTAAATTTCCAATCAACATTAAATCCTCTGTTCCTCTACAATCACAAACTACACATTTTCTATCCTTGTCTTCATCTTCCTCCTCTTCTTTCTTTTCTTCTTCATTTTCTTCTTCCTCTTCTTCTTTTTCTACATTGATCATTTCCACATTTTCCACTTGTTGTGATTGATCTTGATCTTGTTGTTGTTGTTGTTGTCGTAGTAGTGGTGGTGATGATGGTGATGAAGGAGATGACTTTTCCTTTTCATCTTCATCATCTGAAAATATATTATTTTTAAATACTTGTTGTTGTAATTTCATTTTCTCCATTAATTGTTTTCTCTTGTCCGATACTGATTTCTTGTGATCTTGTAATTTCTTTTGATCTTCTTCGGCAGAAGAGTCTACGATGATACCCAATGAATCGAGATGTTGTTTGAATTGAGCGTCGATTTCAACGAGGGTGCTAAAGATGTGTTTGAGAAGAGGTATAAACTCTTGGTTGACAGTGTCCTTGGTCGACTTCCAACGACTGATCAATACATCTAAAATTGAAAAAGAGTCTGGTTCAAAGGAAGGTTCAAAACCATTTTGGTTGATGATCTTGACTTTGGATGTGATACTAAGCAGACAGTCGACACTATTATTAAAGTTTGCATGTTTTCCAGCCAATCCATTGGCGATTTCCTCTCTGAGCATTTGTCTATAGGTTTCGTTTAATTTGGGTAGTCTGTATTCTTGATAGCCTTTGAGGATGACGGCAATCAGATAGAGACAGTCGTTGATGACATAGGCGTATTCCTGTGGACGAGGATTTCTCCAGCCCTCCATGACCAAGCAGCCCTTGTGCTTTTCAACCAACAGTTGACGTACTAGATCCATAAGATGGGGGTGGTCGAGAACAGACATGATCTCGTCCAATGGAGCAACGAGCTTGGGGAGTGGTGGCGGACAACTGTCACCTCCCTCGACCAACTCGTATTTGAACTTGTGGTCTTGGTTGGCTGTCAGATGGAACGGATAGTATCGATTGAGTAAACACCAATGCTCCTTTTTCAATTGTCTCTTTTCATCCAACAAATCGTTTGTAATCACCTCGATGATCTTTGATCGCGCCGTATTCTCAAAAATAAATTCTTTAAACTTTCCTTGAAACACCATAATATCGAGACCTATACCAATACATTGTGTGAAATGGTATCTAATATCCTCCTCATTTGGTTCAAGTGTTGGTCTCAGTTGTAAAGTTGATATAATTACTTTTGATATTCTTGCTGATACTAAACCTGATTCAACTAAAATAAAAAAAAGAAATAATATTAATATATAAAAGTATCTATATTCTATCTATTTCTTTTCTTTTGACTCGTACTAAGAACAAGTGGTCTACATTCAAAAATAGTATCAATAAAAACTTTTGGACCAACTTTTAACATTAAAACTTGTAACATGAATAGAGAGAGTAGGTGTTGTTGTTCCTGGAATAGATCGGTTCCATTCTTTAGAGTACCAACATAATTGAGTTGACGAAGATGAAACATAAATATGATTCGTAGTGCATGTATCGATTGTTGCTTGTCGGCAGCTTGAATGAATCGCTGCAAGTAGTTTGGACGGTCCAATAAAAAGGTAGCAATCATCTTGTAGACTGGATAGTGTGGATAGTCATAAGAGAGACTTTCGAGTGGCACAATGGTAATATCGGCCATAGTCTGACATAGAAAAGTGAATATTCTGTCACCAATGCTTTCGTGTCCAGGTCCCCGATATTTTAAAAATTCACGAATGATTTTGCACAGTGTCTTTTCCTGATGATTGACACTAAATAGATTCTGTCCACTTGGAGTTTCGATATAGGACAGATCATGGAATCCCAACGAATGTTTAAACAATAGAGTCAATACTCTATCTTGATCATTATTCACAACAAAGCTCATAATGTTTTCACTCTCTAATAACTTTGGTACATGTGAAAGATCGGTTGGTGTCAATGACAATTCATTGGTTGATGAAAATTCATAATAAATTGGTTTCATTCTTGTTATAAATTCAATCTAAAAAAAAGTAAAAGTAAGCAATTATATTTGTTAGTTGGATCAATCCTTTCTCTTTAAAATATTATTATTAATTATTTACATTTAAACGCATGATTTCAATTAATAAATGAGTATTTGGTTTTGAAATGAATGGATTAAAATCTGACAATATTACAGCTTGTAAAAGGAATAAATCTCCTACATATTATTATTAAATATATATAAAAAAAGGAAAGTTGGAAATAAATATATATGATTATCTTTCTTTACTTTTACTTTTTCTTTTTTTTTTAACATACCAATAAAACAATTTGAGAAAATATTTACAATTCCAATGGGAGGTTTTAAGAAATGATCTATATTGGTTTGATAGTATGAACGTACTGAATAACACATTAGAGTGTATCTAAAAGGTCTGCTAGAACTTGCGAGATGGAGGAGTAAAGGGTATAGAGCAAACAACCCAAAAGAGTAGTTTGGCACAACTGCATTCATTAGATTGAGTGGCGAGTTTTTGTCAAAGTATAGTGGAAGAAAAGAGGATTGGGCAAGTGAGGGTAATGCCTTGAGTTTTCGAGCTTGGTTGATCCACTGCTCAGTGGTTTCAACAGTCGATGAAATCTTTTCGAGTGGACTGAGATCAGTGCCAATCAACTCTTCGCAAACTATACGAAGCATGTGGGATGCCTCTGATGTCATATCGATGAGGTAGTGGCAGATGGCTTCGATCGATGCTGTTTTGTTATCGTCAGCAGCCAACTTTGACTCGGTCATGCCACTGACACATATCGTGTCTTTGAGATATCGCATCAAGTGTCTGACAAACAACCGAATAGATGATTCCAAATGATCGCCCAATGGATTAACGTGTCGTGATCTCTCTGCCCTTCCCTCTATCGAATGATTCGAACAGAATCCTCCTCTACTCATTACATTTTCATTTCCACAATCGCATAGACCACCCTCACTTACATACACTGTAAAGTTATGGTCATCCAAATGTTGATGAGAATCTATAAAACATTTTAAACCTAAACAAACAATGTGTATTGATTATTAATCATGTTGTGTAATAATACCAAAAATTATACTATTATAAATACATACATAAGCAATAATTCTCAATGACAGTTAAACATTGCTCACAAAATACAAAATAAGATTGAACACTATCCTCTAAATATATAATTCAACAATAGTATAGTCGTTAGTTAGTCTATTCTATATACACAAGTTATATATATCTATATCTATTTACCTTTATGAAAATTACAATACAATGATGGAGGAGCAGGAAAGTTCTCTATGAATTTAGCTTTGGTAAATACTTGTGAATACTTTTGAAAGAGTGTATTCAATGTAAAGGCTGTCACTCTTTTGTCATCTAATGTCTTTTTAAGATCACTATAGTTTGTTCTTTGAGTTAATTTGAAACCATTGCCTTTTAAATTGGCTGCTATAGTTATACCATTGTTACTATAGTCATTTGTATTATTATTGTTATTGTTATTATTATCGGTACTATTATTATTATTATTATTATTGTTATTGTTATTATTCCCTTCCATTATTAAAACTAAAAGATTTCTAATAATATCTAGATCTAGATAGAATCTGTTTAATTAAACAACAATCTCTCTTCTCTCTCTCTCTCTCTGTTTCTCTCTCCTTTTGATATCTAATAAATAAGTTGATTGATTTAAACTAACATATATATATATAAATATAAATAAAAATATTTAAAGTTATCTGTATGTTTGGTTTAATGTCTCTTTAAAAAAAGAATCTTTGAAGAGTCAAAAACTACCAAATAATTATTCGATTTTAGGGTTTTTAGAAAATTCTCTCTTTTCTTTGTTGAATTTTTAAGTCTCACTTCTCCCTCTCTCTCACTACCTTGGAATTAATTAATTAATACATAGTATACATAGTGATGACAAGATGATTTATGATGGTGCTTTACAATCTTGATTTTATTATTTATTATATAATATATATTACAATCCCTTTTTTGTTATTATATTTGTTGTTGTTGATAAAACCAATTTCTTACTTTTTAATATTATTATTATTATTATTAATCCCTTTTTTTGTTTTTGTTTTTGTTTTTCTTTTCTATATAAACTACAGTGTTGTTTGTGTTTCTTGAAATATATTGAATACTATGGTGAATACTATTGTTATTAATTATTAATTATTATTATTGATTTGATTTGATTAATAATATAATGTGTTGAGTTGATTGATGTATTATTATCTTTATCTATCTTTTATGAGCATCATTATTTTGTAAGAAATCACTATCAGCGACAAAGGTAAAGTTTTCGAAATTCTTTTGCATGGAACTAGAGAGACGGGTATTATCAACGGACAACTTGGCAGTCTCTGCCAAAAAGCCGGCATCGATTTGGCCAGTATCGTTCTTTCCCTTGACATGAGGTATAAATGGTGGTACCAACTCCTTTCTCACACATTTATCCCAATCGATACCCTTGAAAAATGGATGTGCCTTTGCAACCTTTGCTTCTTTTAATCTCTTTGCTGGATCCCTCTCCAATAATAATGAAATAAAGTCTCTTGCTTCTGGTGAAAATTGGGGTGTAAACACTATAATAATATAAACAAACAAACAAACAAACAAAGTATTATTATTATTAGTACTTGTAAGCCAAATATATGATATCTCTCTTTTGTTTCTCTTACCTAATTTTTGATTCATAATATTACTATACATAGTTCTAACATCTTGACTATAGAATGGCGGCAATCCAGATAACATTTCATACATGAGTGTACCAAAACTCCACCAATCCACTGCTTTGCCATACTTTTCACCTTTGAGAATCTCGGGTGCCAGGTACTCGGGTGTGCCGCAAAAGGTGGCTGTGCGGTCGTCTGTGCTGAGCAGGCCCTCCTTGGAGATACCAAAATCGGTGAGACAGGCGTGTCCGTCCGACGTTAACAATATATTCTCTGGTTTGAGGTCACGATAGATGACACCGCACGCATGCAGATACTCGAGTCCGCAAACAATCTCGGCGCAGTAGAATCGCACACGTGTCTCGTCAAACTTTTCTTCATTTTGCAGATGATAAAACAATTCACCGCCATTGACAAAATCCATGATAAAGTAGAGCTTGTCTTCGGTTTGGAAACTGTAGATGAGGTTGATGAGGAAGGGGTGGACTAGTTTACGCAAGATATTACGTTCGGCACGTGTATGGTCCATTTCATTACGCTCAATGATATTCTTTTTGTTGAGTACTTTCATAGCGTAGATCATGCCCGTATCCTTTTTCCGCACTTGCATGACTTTGCCAAAACTGCCCTTCCCAATCACATTGAGCAAGTCAAAGTCTTCGACACCCACCTTTTTGTCCTTGGCCTTTTGGCCGTCGCCACCTGCCGCTTGCTGCTGCTTCATCTTTCCCAATGTCTTGTTTAGTATGTCCATCCATGATTTCATCTCGTCGGCCGATTCAGCCTTTAAAAAGAACGTACGTTCAGGTGTCGCCACCTCAAACAAATTCTTTTTCTTTCTCGAGCTTGCAACTACCGCCTGCACTCCCTTTAAACTGATGATTCCCAATTCTCCACTACTCTATAATTCGAAATAGTCAATAATGTTAGTTCTATCCAATGTCTCTCTCTCTCTCTCTCTCTAACTTTCAACAACAACAAACTTACAGGATTCTTTGAATAGTAAATCTTTCCATCCTTCAATACCATCCATCGTTTCTTCCATGTCTTTATACTTCCACCCTCCTTTGTCAAAAACCCTTGTTTATCTGCCATCTATATCTATATATATATATATTTTAATGAGGGGAATAATAATACTATAGTCTCTCAATCTACTCTACTACTACTAACTACTTTTTATATGATATTATACAACTTTCTATATATGTACAAAATGGAATGATAAATAATACAATAGGGGAGACGACTCGACTGAATGATAATATATATATATTATATAATAATAATGTGTGTATGTGTATGTACAGTGAATGAATGAATGATCAGCAAATCGAGATGGTGTGTTTAAAAAGGATGAGTTGAGCGCTTCAGCTTTTAAAAAAATCTAGGCCGTCCCAACCGAATAATAACAAAGGGTTTTTTTTTTCATTGGCCACCAGCAAGATGCACGCAGATAAAAATAATAATTAACTTACCTTCTCCTTATGCTATTAATAATACATATGCATGAGATCTCTTTGAATTAATTAATTGGATAAAGAGATAACAATTAAAATTGATTGAATCAAATATCTTTCTCTCTCCTCTCTCTCTTTTTTTGTTAAAGATGAACTGTAACAAGAACATTCGATCATTGCAGGGGTGTGACTACCGTGGTTTGGTGAAAAAGGGGGTTGTTTTTTATTTTTATCTGTGTGTTTATGTTTTCATTCTCTTTAACGTTAAGATAGACAAAACAGATAGTTATTGTCGTTCATATATATTTGCTTTATTTATTCCTTCTTTTTGCTATAGAGCAAAAACACAACAACAGCAACTCTAGAAGAGATAGATATTTAAGAAACCAAAGCTTACTCTCTCAACATATACATACCTACATACATACATAACTCTACAACCGAAAGAATAGAATAATAATAATAATAATAGCAAAAAAGGAGAAGGAAAGAAGTAGTAGACAAGAAGGAGAAGAAGGAAGTTGCTGATTTACTTTTGGTCGACCGTTCATCTTTATCTCTCCTCTCATCCCCTCTCCTCTCCTCTCATCTCCTCAACATCATTTGTATTATACAACTAACTAACAAACAAACAACTAACAACTAACAACCTAATAATACTAATAAGAATAATAAGAATAATAGAATACAATAGAATAGAATAATACTAAAAACAAATAATTGTGTAATAATAATAAACTACTAACTAAGGATGGATAGTTTAGTTGAAAAAATGATGAGAGTTGGAGCAGCGGTTGCATCACAAGTAAAAGATGTTCGAACGAATAATATAGGTGGTAGTGGAAACAACAGCAATCATCATAGTACCAACACCTCACAGAATAGTTCACCGCAGACACTGTCGCCACTATTAAATGGCAATGGCACACCGACCAAGCCAAAGCGTGTGGTGGTAGCTGCCACCCGTGCACGTCAGATGTTCTCTTTTACAGAGTTGGCTGGTACCGATCTGACACTGTTGATGGAGGAGGCGTTGTTGGTACGCGTCTTTTCCTTTTTATCGTACCCCGAGTTATTTATCGCCAAGCGTGTCTGTTCGCGTTGGAAACCACTCTGTGAGAACAAATCGTGCTACGAAGATCTCGATATGCAGGGTGTGTTTACAAGCTCGCGATATATCCCCAAGTCGATACTCATTCACTTCTTTTCAAGTCTATCGATGCAACACGAAGAAATCGATGCTCTCAAAATGGTGTGTCGCGAAATGCCAAGAGACGAAACAGTCAATCATATCAATCAATTGGAATTAAGTCAAATCCAAGAGTACATTGAACAAAATCCACATATCACAACAACCACCACAACGACAACAATAACAGCTGTTGGCGCAGCCAATCTTTTAAATTCATCTACAACATCAACATCTTCCTATTCTGAAACAAATCATCAAAATGGAAATGGAAATGGATCATCATCATCATTACAAGTCAACGGATATGGGCATAGTAGAGGAAACTCTTATGGAGAAGAATACAATTCATTGACAATGTCTGGGTCAAGTAATGGATCAACATCATTGGCTTCATCAAATGAATCACCATCTTTAACATCTAGTAATTCAACTCCAACATCTTATAGAAGTATGTATCATACATACATACATACATACATACATACATACATACATACATACATACATACATACATACATACATACATACATGCACATACACACAATTGATCAAAAATGGGAATATTAATATTAACTTTAACTTACTTTAAAGAAAATATAGCGGAAAAAGAAAAACAAAAAAAGGAGAAACAAAGAAAAGAAAGAGAAAAGAGAATGGAAGAGGCATTAAAGGTTTGGACTGAAGATATCATTCCAAACTGGGAAAAGAAAAAGTCTACTAAAAAGGTTAGAGATCTTATTTATCAAGGTATTCCTTCTCTTGCAAGAAGTAAAGTTTGGCCATTAATCATTGGCAACGATTTAAATATTACTCCTGGTATGATGATAAGCAACAAGAAGAAGAAGAAGAAGAGGAATAAGACAAATATTTCGAATTGATTACTTACCCTTTTTGTTTGTTTGTTTGTTTATTAGAATTATTTTCAATATTTGGGGCAAGAGCAGAAAGAGCAAAACAAAAAGGAGATGCATCATTGGGTAGAGAAGGAACAGTAACATTGATTCAATTGGATTTACCTAGAACCTTTCCAATGTTATCAATCTTTCAAAATGAAGGACCTTTACATCAATCTTTGGCAAATGTTTTAGAGGCATATGTTTGTTATCGTCCAGGTATGAAAAAAAGAAAGAAACTACAACAAGCAAAGAAAATTAAGTTACTTATATATATATATTTATCTCTAGACGTTGGCTATGTTCAAGGTATGTCATATTTAGCGGCACTTTTCCTTTTAATCCTTGATGAATACAATGCTTTTGTTTGTCTTGCAAATGTACTTAATAATCCATGTTATATGACTTTTTATACTATGAATATGTCTCAAGTATGTTAAAAAACAAAAGAAACAGAAAGAAATAGATAGAAATAATATATATTTATTATTTAATAACTTATTTATTCTTTTTTTTTAGATGGAAATATATATGAAAGCAATGGATAGTTTAATGTCAATTAATTTACCAAAACTACATAGACATTTATCGGGGATGGGTATTCAACCCGATGTGTTTATGATTGATTGGGTGCTGACAATATTTTCAAAGGCATTGCCATTGGATGTGGCATCACATGTTTGGGACAATCTCTTTTTAGAAGGTGAATTGTTTATTTTCCAGGCTGCGCTTGGTATCTTAAAGATGTACTCTAAAGAGTTGGAAGGTGGTGATTTCGATGCTTGTATGACGCTTCTAACACATTTACCACAAGACATTGATGACGATGAACTCTTCCAACACATCTCTTCATTTACAATTCATCCAAAACAATATTCAAAATTAATTCAAGGTTGCGATAAGTAAATAAATAAATCTAATTAAAAAGACAATTTATTTTTTTGAAACAAAAAAAAACAAAGGTGCAGTATAATACTTTTGTATACTAGTATATCTCATCCTCTTTAAAGTTTTAGTATAAAGACATTTTGTAAATAATTAAAATTGTAATAATAATAATATATATATATATATAGGTTAAGTGTGTCATGTCAACACTTTGTAATAATAATAATAATAATAATGATAATGATAATACTACAACTACAATACCACCTAAAGCTGCTACTACAATTAGAGATATAATAAGGGTTTTAACAATTAGAAAGATTATATTTCATTATATATCAACGATTAGTGCTATAGTACGATTAAAAGATAGTAGTAGTACAAATGGAGATCAAGACAATGCTTCATTACCATTTCCAATAACGACGGTTCCTATTAGTGATAGTTTGGGAAAGAGACAATTGGAGATTGCAAAGGGTCGTGAATTCAATCATGTGCAACTTTTAAAGGCTTTGCGGTTTGGTCGGACCGATCTATTCTTTAAGTACTTTGAAACTATATATCAACCAGATCAATCATATGACATCCTATTTGATGCTGCAGTTGGAACCAATAATCACTCTGTAATGCTATATTATATTGATTTCATCAAGAAACAACAACAACTGCAACAACAACAGAAACAAACATATAATTTGGATGGAGATATACAACCACAACAACAACAACAACAACAAAAATATTCCTCTTCTACTAGTGTTGGTAACCCTTTTACATTCTTGTCGGGAGCTGCTGTTATACCATCAGGATCATACAATCAAATACAAAAGAGAACAATAGATATTCTTTGTGAGAATAATATTGTCATACTCAACCAACAATTTGCTTATAATTGTTTAAAGAAATTGGTGTATTTGGTTGATGTGGATGCATTACGGGTGTTTCTTTCAATCAATCCTCATGTACATGGTCTTTCTATACCATCACAGTTTTGCCATTGGAATGAAGCATGTAGTAGCAAACACCAACGCGGACTACCAGTCATATTGGAGATACTAGAAGTTATGAAAGAGCCAGATAGTAAAACACAACAAGTCATTTGGAATGGATTGTTGGCATGTGCACTCGACAATGCTAACCTTTCACTGTTTTATGACTTGATGCAACATGTGATTGATCTCGAGCTCACAACGTTTACCATCTCACCCGTTGTACTATCCAAGACACTGAAATGGAAAGAGTTGGTCGAATACTTTTTCAATGTACCTCAACGTTTTAGATGGACCTATCAATATGCAGCGATGAATCAATTGGTGCAATACAAAAACGTAGAGGGTTTAAAATACTTTTATCAAAACCAACCATCGCGCATCTACACCAATGGATTACTGCAGAGCGCAATCAGTGCCGGCTGTATGGAGTGTATGCAGTTTGTCTTGGAGATGGATCCACCTTCCGACCTCGAGGATACATCAAACTTTAAATGGGTGGTCAATGACATTAGATTTGGAAAGGGTGAATTGCTAGACATTGAAACCATCAACTCACTCTTTTCACATCCACGTGTAGATTTTACATTTTACCATTGTTTCGAAACGGCAATTAAAAGCGAGCGAATGGATCTCTTCCACCGACTTAGCGAATTGGCGCAACAGAGATTGTCAGAGAGTAAAGCAACGCTCGATCTTGATGTTGATGTTCCCGACAAAACATACATCAATATCATGTCGGCCTATATGATTGCATTGCAAGTGTCGTTTTGGAATAGATCAGAGGCGACACGCTTTATTCTCCAAAACTACCCACCACCCAAAGTCAGCATCTACGAATCGACAAGTCAGACCTGGCGGACATCAAAATTCCAAAACTTTGACGAGAATATCGAGTACATGCACAGTCATGGTCTTCTCAACCTTTCAGCCGTTTTTAATCAAACCATCATCAACCATTCTTTCTACAAGGGAATGGTTAAACCACTCCAATACTTTGGTATTAGACGACCCAACCCCCAAATTGCCAACAAGGTACTGCATAATGCATTGTACCGTGCCAACTATGATCTATTGGTCTATATTCTGACAGACGAACCGGTCAGCGACGAAGGCCAATTGATCAATCAAAACAACTTGTATCAACCCGACAACAACTTTCAATATGTTAAAGAGATTCTTCAAATGGGAAGATTATTCTCTGAACATCGAACCAATGATCAGGCGGAAAACACAATCAAGATTGCAGAATTATTAATCAATCAATTTGAATGTCAAATAACAAGAACCGATATTGTAAATGCTTCACTTGGGTATTCTCATCAGGTATTTGGTTATGTACTGGAAAAGAGCTTCATGTTTAATATTGGTATAACAAACTCTGACATTTTTCAATACCTCAAGAATCTAATCTTTGGCAATCACCAAAAAGATGAACAAATACAAATGTTTGAAACTCTATTTGATTTTGTAGAAAGAAATAGTAAACGATATAATCATATCACTCTACCAGTTTTACATAATGAATTTATTAAATCAAATAATTGTGCTACCATTCTCTTATTGTTGGATAGATTCAAATTTAATAATCATAATTATGTAAAGGATCCTACCGTTCAAAAACATCTTCAATTACAACTGTACACTCCAATCACCGATACCTATTTAGAAGGTTTACTTTCAACCCTTCATTCATTTGGTTCAGTTTATTTAATTCAAGAAATTAATATTAGATTAAATAAAATTGGAAAAGAAATTTAATTAATATTTATATTATATTCTTATATTTATATTATATATATATTTATTTATTGTTATATGTTTTGTTTTTTAGGCAGTACTTTGAGGATTCATTCTTGATAACTTTGATTGCATAACTCTGTTGTATCTATTTGCAATAGCTTTCTTTTTTGCAAACATGGTTCCACCAATAATTAATGCTGAACCAACTACACATCCAACTACAACACCTGCCAATTTACCAGTAGTCCACCATCCTTCATTGGATGAACCACAAACCGAATCGGTGTCTGGATTTAAAAGTACACTAAAATCTGGATCAACTGTTACTGTATTTTCAAACCAAGGAACATTGATACCAATGAATAATTGAGATGCAGTTGAGGATTCACTGGCTTCTGGGTGACCTGCAAAGGTATCGTTTGGAAGGATGACATTGTTGATACGTGCCGATCTACCATCGACAATTGCATAGCGAAGGAATCTACCATAGAGTGATGCATCGTTGATTCTAAGGTTAATCCACTCTAAATTATTAATATCAGAGTCGATACCATATTGATTGTCGACACAATCTGTTTTGACCTCTTGAGAGATGGATGCCGACATGACCAATTGGAGAGTGTTTAGAGATTGTTCGAAATCATAGTGCGTAAGGTCGATGGTGTATTTGATGGACGATGGGATCATTGAGAGGGTTTGTGATCCAAATGTAATGTTTTTGGCTTGTTTAAAGTATTCAATGCCAACAATAATAGTGGTCGAACGGTCTTCACTCAACGGCGTAATGTATTGATAGGTTGTTTGGGTCATTGTACTGGTGTTGGTAAAGATCCATTTGGTGAAATTATACTTGTTGACAACTACACCATCCATATCGAGTTCTAAAAGTCCGACGACCGATGTAACTGTGTAAATGGGTGGAGCTGTTGGTGTTTCTCCTCCGCCTCCAGAGGTTGATCCTCCACCGCTTGTGGAAGAACCTCCACTATTTCCTCCTCCATTACCTGGGATTGTATTGTTGATAGTTGGTTCGGATGGATTTGGAGTTGGTTCTGGGACGACATAGATGAGTTGATTGCAATAGATACCAGTCCAATTTCCAGAACATACACATCCAGCGCTACCACAAAAACCGTGACCGTAACATGGCTCGACTGGACCACAATCGGGCTTGGGTGGAATGGTCGAGCCACCATCTGAAGATGACGCACTACCAGTGGATGAACCGTCGGGAACAGGGATGTATTTGGGTGCAAAGTCGAGTGAGATTATATTGGTCTTGATACCTTGTACATAACATTGTACTCGCAAGATATTGGTATTTGATAGTGCTGGTGCATTCAAACCAACGACAACACTTGAATTGAATAGAGATGGGACTGGCTCAAAGGTAGTGTTGGAGTAATCGACCATACATGTGGGTGGGGTTTGTCCGAGATTACGTCCACGAATGGTGAGTCTGCCACCTGTGGTTGGGTTGTACCCAGATCCCGAGATGAGGACTGGGCGTGGAACAGTAATGGTAGTGTTAAAGGTGAAGACGGCTCCGGTAGCATTGATAGCATTGCTAGTGTACCCATTAATGTTGAGATGAGCGTCGACAATACCATAGACAGATACCATAACGTATCCAGGGTTAAAACCATATGGCAATTCAGCAGAGAGAGTGCAACGTGCCTCTACATCAGAGACAAATTCGATGGATGACACTGGGAATGAAATGAGTTGACTGATCGAGTTGAAATAGACGGTTGGAGTGTGACGTCTTGACAACTTGTAATTATCGGTAATGGTGAATGAGATGTTTGCAAGTCTCGAGAGACCAGATACATCGACAATTGGCGTTTCAATCAAAAAGTTGGTCATGACTGGCAGAGTGGTATCGGGAGTGGTTGGAGTGGTATCCAAGGTAAGGTTAAACGAAGTTCTACCAGCTACATACAGTCCAGAGTAAACTGGAGTATTTGGTTTACCTGACAATACACTCGATGCCTTGTTACCAAGTCTATCGTAAAGTTCGAGATCAAGAGAGAACACTTGATCAATGGTATCACCTTGAACTTGGAAACTAACGGTATAGGTTCCTCTATTGGCACCACCACTGGTAAGATTTCTAGCATCCAATAAAAGGGTACGGTTAAGACCATCCATGTTGGAATTAATGATTGCGTAACCATAACTGAGACCTGCAGTATCAGTGACTGTGATATTCCATCCAATCGTAAGTGTTTCGGTTGGTGCGATTGGGATGACGGTCGTGTTGGTGAATGATTTCATGTCGACTACGATGGGACCCATTTCGTCGGCATAGGCACTAGTCACATTGAGATAGGCGTTTGATCCAATCAATGGATTGGATGCAACCATATCAGGTGTGATTGCAATTGGAACTGCTGTCAAATTATACTGTAACGATCTTGGGAATAGTTTGGCCTTAATGGTGATTGGAATCTTGTACATTCTGGCTTGCGTGTCGTAAGAGCCAGTGAATTTATAGGACTCATCCAAATCTTGGTAAGGGGTGTATAAAATGTAGATTTCAGGCTTTGCGTTAATATCCAAAGTGGTTGAATTAAAGTACAAATTAGTTGTAACCGGTCCATTAAAAGTATCCAAATTATTTGGTCTAAATTCAAAATGTGTAATATTATCTGAATTCAATTTCCCTAAAAATAATAAATAAAAAAGAATATATTTTAATATAATTATCAAATAATATTGTTTTTTTGAATGTTTCTTACAAAGATGAGCAGGTTCTCTAATTAATTGTGGTTCAAAATCTGGATTTAAAGCACCATTGTCATAGAAGGTTTGTCTAATTTCAGTTGGAGTATAGAACATATAAACATAAGAGACAAAAGAACCTGTCCATTTCATTTCACCTTCGTAAATACCATCCTCATAATTGCTACTGGCAAGATGACTACTGTCCAATGCTGACCCATAGACTTCCAATCGATTGAGACCAGATATTGATTTGATACGACATCTGAAAATATAGGTAAATGTTGACATTGGGATAATCTCGGGTGAATAAATAAATGGATCATCATAAAATTCTAAGGAATAAAAGAAATTAATTAGAATAAAAAGAAAAAAATTATTATTATTATTATTATTATTATTGCTTACTGTTAAATGGTACACCATCGCAAGGAGTAATTTGAGCAGCTCCGAAATAGCTAAACGTTACACTCATTGGGATTCTGTAGAAATGGGGTGACACTTGGAAAGAAATTTGGATAGACCATGGATTATTTTCGAGATACCCAGTGGTATTGGTAATGTAACCGTAGGGATAGGATAAATCGGAGAGGAAATTATAGTCATAGGAGATATAAGCATATCCTTGTGGATTGGAAAGTGGTGTAGGGAATGAGAAGAGTGTGACGATGGCACCAGTGGCTTGGTCAACAGAGGTGGTACATGTTTTGGCGACCATTGGTACTTCCTTGCCTCGGAATTGAAGATCTTTGACTTTGGAAAGATATGGATCCACCTTGTACAGAGCTGGTGGAGACGAGTAACCAGTACCAACGGTCTTGAGGAATAAATTATACTTGGCTTCAAATTGTGTACCTTCCATTGGAATGAATCTGGCAATATCAAACTCTGATGACAATATAGTGTATCTCGAAGGATTGGCCGTTAGGATTGCCAAGTTACTGAGACCTAGATTGTTGATGGGGAAAACTGACATCCAATTATTTTCGGTTGGCGTTTGGTAGAATTGGAAGCTGGCCTTTGGACTATTGGCAATGGACGGGTTGCTGACATTGGTGACTGACAATTGGAACACCTGACTATTGAATATTTTAGAGACTGAAATATTAAAGGTTTGGGGTGATGTAGCATAGTTGGTGAATGGGTAGACTGGAACTTTAAGTCTGTTGCCCGGCATGATGGTAATGAAACCTACTTTGTAGTTGGTGGCATCGATCTTTGTTACCCATCTTCCCTTTGCATATTCTCTCATTAAGGGACCATAGTAGTAATTTTCAATATCCACATAATAATAACTGTCGATTGAATGTGGTTCTGTAAATAATCTTGAAGGTGTTGCCTTGATTGGAGCGTTAAAATCTTTAAAGAAATTAAACAATTAATTAGTAATTATTCAATGAAAGGTAATGGTATTTTTGTTGTTAGTGTAATTTATACATACATGGACAAGGACAGTCAATAGACCAAGTATAACTGTTCAAAAAAGTAGATGCGTTGAAATTGACAACACCGCTCTTGCTAATATTGGTTGTAAACCGTTCCCAGAGGAGCGGGTCTGCACTTAGCCCCAACTCGTTTGATGTGTTGTACTCTGGAGCAAAATATAACGCAACATTACCTGGGATATTAAACATGACGTCGTGCCCAACCGAGCATGATTGAGCATAGTCATTGTAGTCAATAGTCAAACATTTTGTCGAATTGATGATATATGATGGAAGGGGTGGGATTACTTGTGCATTAACTAATGATAATGATACCAAAACACTTAGATATAAAAATACTGTAAATGTTGTTGTAATAACTGATGCTGATTTATAAATTTTGTTTTCCATCATCTTGCAAACCCCCAACAATCAAAATTCTTTGAGCGGGAAATGAGCTGGTGATGAAATGTGTAGGATAACCAACAAATTATTTGTTTGCTATAGTTCATATAATTATGTAAAATAGAGAGAGAATGGGAAAATGGGGAGGTGCGGGCAACAGGTGGCCTCACTTGAGATTTGTTGGTGTCCTACGAATCTTATTTTTTCGACCTGCAACGGTCATCTTTGACGATCGCCTGATTGTTTCGATACCGCAAACATTGGTTTTTACGAGCTCCGTATCTTTAGAGAGGAAACAACGAGCAATACCAATCGAAATATTTCGAGGTTTGGTAAACTCTGGCGAGTCGGTTTATTCCATCGTGATTCGGACTCATTCCATAGATGATAAGAATTGATTGATTGATGCGACTGCTCGCCAAACAAACAACTGTCTCTAGAAACTTTGTTGTAAGATGGAATGCAACGAACATATAATTCATTCTTTATCTGTAGCTACATCTAGGTAAAACTATCAGATATCTTATGAATGATGCGAATAAACCATGTATGCTGAACTTGTCTGTGTAACAATAATTAATTAACCAAGAACACGTAATTTGCCAAGTCCTATTCTTCGAAGTATTTTTTTGCTGATCTTTACACAAATCAAACCAAAGTCTCTCTTCACATTTTAATAATAATATTATTATGTTAACAATTATATACATAGATAAATCAAATATGAAACTTGAAGAATCTAACCAACAACAACAACAACAACATCAACATCAACCACAAACAGTTATTAATAACTATTATAATACATATAATTATTATTCTGGTCCTCCTCCTCCCTCTTCTTCATGTCAATTGCAATCACCTCCTATTCCTCTCCTAAAAAGTAGTGATATAAACATATTGGTACATTTAGAAAAGATAGCAGATGTAAATGGAGTTGGTGGTGAATTTGTAGGTACAAGAGGACAATGCAGAAGATTGGAAGGATTTCGACTTCAATGGAATAAACCAGTTGAAGGGTTATCATTTACGTACATGGCACATTTACAAAATATTGGAGATGTGAGTTGGGTCAATGAGGGCCAATTCATTGGCACAAGAGGAGAATGTAGAAGATTGGAAGGATTTGCAATTAAACTAACTGGTTCATTGGCAAGCCAATATAAAATTCAATATTCAGCACATCTTGAAGGACATGGTGATACTTCAACCTACAGTAATGGTGAATATTGTGGGACTAGAGGTCAAAGTAGAAGAGTCGAAGGTATTAAAGTTGAAATCATCAAGTTATGAGGTTGTTGGCTAATTAATAAAATCACATGTGATCAATCTAGAGAATAGTAGTGGTGGTAGTAGTAGTAGTAGTAGTAGATACTCCACCTTTGTTTTGTTTAATGGATACTATTTCCTTATTCCTTATCACGAACATTAGTTATCGTGACTTTTACAAAAAGTAAAAAAAGATGGTCTTTTATGCCAAATTCAGACCTTTAATTATAATAATAATTTCCTTTAAAATGTTACTCTTTGCCTCAATCAATACTAAAATCCTCATCCTCTTCTTTTACTATTTACTTTTTTAATTATTTGTTGTCATTTATAATTATAATTATATAAAATACTCTTATTTTATTTAATACTTGCCCATCAAGACATTGAGGATGGATGCAAGCAAAAGAAGACCAGAACTGACAACGACGGTAGCCCAACCGGTAGTTGGAGCATGGTAGTCAACAACACCATTCTATAAAGAAAGTTGAAAAAAAAAAAAAGATTAATATATATAAATATACTATTATGGAATGATCATAAACAACTTACATTATCTTCGTACTTGACAAAATCATAAACTCCGTTATCCTTTTGGTCGTCACATACAAAGTCACTAAGATTTTTCTTGCAATCTTGGTAGCTAGCATTACCTACTCCGATGAAGATAAACATGGCAAGGAGGGCGAAAACAAGAGCAACAATTGGAAGGAATTTGACGATCATGCCCAATGGGAGTGGGATCTTGGACAAGATGTTGGCAAGGGACAAAAAGACAAACAAAATGGTGACAGAGGTGACGATCCAAGATAACACTGTAAAAGCTAGCGAGGCATTGAAGATGTTCAAAGTGTTTTTGTTAGCCTTCTTGTATGAGGAGGGGTATGAATCGGAATCACAATCTCCATTCATATTACAAAACTTGAAGCCGTCGTGCTTTAAAAAAATAGAAAGGAAAAATTAGTCCAACCACCAGTTAACCGTACATTCTTTTTTTTTTCTATAAATACAAACTTTAAAAAGGGTATAGGAGTCACCATTATCTGTGTTGGTACCTGATTGATACCAGTATGCTATATTATATAAACCAAAAGTAATTGTAAGTGGATGGTCATCTCGCTAGCAAACATATATACTACTACTTACAAGCAAAGGCAACGATTAACAAAATCCAAGCAAGGATAAGGGTGATAAGGACGCAGATATTTGGTTTATGCATTTTTTATTATTTATATATAAAGAAAAAGGTGTATATTTCTGATTCTGATGATTGTATTGATCACGAAGGCCTTAAATTACCATCACGGAGAGACACCATCAAGGAAAAAAATAACAAAAAGTTATTTTTAATCATTTAAAAACGACCAAAGATATTTTTAAAACACTGTTTCCTTGAATCACCTGTTTGTGTTGTTGAGAGCTCCCTTTCCCAAAGCTGTGTAGAGAGCTCCCTTTCCATTTTGAAACGATCGCTTGGCTTTGCAAGGACAATCAAAATTTTTTTGTAGGGGTTCGATCACAGAGGTGCATACCCCAACATAAACACAACTGTTTAGTTTAACCTCAGTCAATAATAAGAAAAAAAGAGTTTATTCAATTGGTTGGTCAGTTAGTTTGCTGAGTGATGGTATCCAACAACAAATCTGTAGTCAATATTATTTATTATTATTCGTTATATAGTTTATTATTATTCAATGGATTTTACAAAAGAGAGTTGGTTTTTAGTTTGGAGTAAGAGCATCGTATTTGCCAGCAACAAAGTTGAGAATAGTTCCAACGATGATGAGACCGGTTGCAGCAGTGACACAACCCCAAGCAGTGGATGGACTTCTGACAAAGGTTTGATCGTTACCAAGATCCTTGTACAGGATAAAAGAGTAGTATCCATCATCCTTGTCTTGTTCACACTGGCTGTCTGTAGAGTTTGAATAATAAGAGCTGTATTTATCTTCTTCTCTCTTGCAATCACGGTAGCTGGCATCACCAAATCCTGTAAAGATTAGAACAGCCAAAAGACCAAAGATAGTGACGAGAATGGGAAGGAATTTGGCAACCTTGCCCAATGGGAGTGGGATCTTGGCCAAAATGCCAACCAAGGACAACATGACAAACAAACAAACAACAGAGGTGAAGATCCAAGCCAGTACGGTAAAAGCAAGGGAGGCTGTCATGACGGCGATTGTGTTTCTAGAGGCTTTCTTTGCAGATGAACTGAAAGAACTTGTCTCGCAGTCTCCGTTATTGCAATCCTTTACTCCATCATATTTGATATATCTAATACTGTCAATGGTACCATCATCTGAAACATAGATTTGGAACCAGTATGCTATAAAAGTACAAAGATAAAAAGAGAATAAGAAAGGGCTCTGCTAATCTTAATTATACTAGTAGGTGATAGTTACTGGAAAAACCAACAATGAGCAACACCCAAGAGATTGCAAATAAAATAAGGATACAAATATTTGGTTTATGCATTTTTTTAAATATTAAAATAGTGTAGATAATAAGGTGTCTGTACAAGAATAAGCTAGCGATGGTGATAGAATCAATGAGATGGAGTTGGTTGAAATAAAAAAAAATTTTAAAAAAGGAAAAGATATTTATAGTCGTTGTGTTGTTGAGGTGGCACCGCGGCAAAGGTTGAGGCGACTTGTCGAAATGCGTCTAATCTTCTTCATCCCTTTGGTTTCCGTTATTTTTTTTCAAAGACGATCACAAGAGATATCTTGTACTCTCGAATATCACACAGATATCTTTACAAAAATGATTAAACATGATGTCATAGGAAATATCTAGACATTTTTTGTAAGGCTGTTTTGCTATTATCTGAAGAGAATTAATAATTCAAGACTTACCAGGATTTCCTTCCATCAGATCTGATCGTCATTGGGGTTTCGGATGTCTTGCACAATGTGGTGGTTGGACAACTGAGAAGGAAGGACTTCTGCAGGGATTGGCCTTTTCCACAATGATTACGACATTGTTACAAAATAACTCTGTCTTTTTTTAGTTTGAAACAAAAGATAGAGTTAGAAGAGAGAGAGAGATTAACAAATAACTTTAATATACAGATAGAAGATATTTGTATACATACATTGGACTTGAATAAATTTGGGGAGAAGTACGTAACATCATTGGTCCACTCATTGGATACTCTCTCTCGATCAGAAACCAAACTTCTTTTGTAACACAAACATAATCTACACCATACACTAGGTTATCCTTGAGGACTGGCTCTTGGTTCTCTCCTTTGACAGTGTACAGAGATAGGTTGTTGACTGCAGAAGGAGGAGGATGATTTAATTCATCTTGGTTTTCTATAAATTGTCTCCAAGCATCTATCCATTTCTTTTCAACTACAAACCATATTTGTTGTTTGTGACCTGTAGCAATTGCAATCTCTTGATTTAAAATGATTGCTTTTTCATCTTGTCTTTTTTTTCTCATCATTATCTATAGATAGAGAAAAAGGATGGTTGGTATTAAAAAAAGATAGAATGATTAGATTGGTGTTCATGGTCCATTTACCTCTTTTATCCTATCTTGTAACTCTTTTAAATGATAGAATTGTGCTTCAAGTAAGAGTAGTCTAGCATCGATGGTTGAAGGAAGTGGATCTGGTAGCTCACCGGTACGAAGAAAGTTTAATACCACTCCAAATAGAGCAGAATCTCTGTCGATCATATAGTAGCCATCGGTATCCTTTTCCAGTTTGAAATAGGGTGATGCGTGGTCACTCATTGTATTCTTGTTCAAGTTTCGTTGGTGGTGTTGTTGAATGACCACCTGATCACTTTCAACCTTTGTATCGAGCGATGATTCTTCGTCTGTCTTTTGTGTGGCCACTGCAATGTTTTGTTCCACGTGAGGTTTACCAGACGGTGCCATCGAAAATGGTTGTCCTTTGAATAAATCAGACAATATCATTGATGTCTTTTTATCATATTGAGCTATTGAACTAAACACTGACCCTGGGTACCAAGTAAGTGTTCTTCTTCCTATAGAAAATAAAACAAAAATAAAGATAGTATTAGAAAAGAAATGAAAAGAAAAGAAAAGAAAGAATCTCTTTGTTCAACACATACTAACTATAAAAGGTTGCCCTCCCACCTTTAATTTTACCCAATGTCCTAAATGATACAATATTACATTCTTTTGTTGTTCTTGTACATGTTTATATAAATCATTTATTCTTCTAAAATTAGTTAATGCTTTGCTAAATAAAAGATGAGATGATATGACTAGTCAGTGACTTTAATTTAATAATAATTAAAATGACATACAATGTTGATGGTATCAAAGACCAAAAATTAAAAAGCATAATCTTAATCTTTTTTCTTCTTGTCTAACAATTAAATTATTTATTATAAACAAATATTAATGTGTACTAATTAGTATGTGTTCATGAATAGTGAGAAGAGTAGTGGGATAATTAATTAATAATGTTTGTGTGAAGTTCACGTTTATTATTATTTTTTTTATTTTTGATTTAATATTTAATTTCTTTGTTGTTGTTGTTGTTGTTGTTGTTGTTGTTGTTGTTGTTGTTGTTGTTGTTGTTGTTGTTGTTGACCTTTATCAGTACTTGATCTAATAGAAGATTCATTGATTTCTCTGATGAATCTATCAAATGATCTAGTCTCACTCTTTTCATAGAAATAGCTACGCCAATATCTAATCTTTCCATCTACAATTTCAATAAAAGAGTAGTCTACATCCTCACACTTTTGTCCTGTTTCTTTGTTGTTTGAACTAAACAACTAAAAAGTAATAGAAAAATAAATAAATAAATAAATAATTTGTAATTTTAACTGATTCAGTAACTATTATTTCTTTTGATATTATTTACTTGAATATAACAGGCTTGATTGGGACGAGTATAATCATAAAGGAATTCTTGAATAGAACATGAAATATGATCATATTTGTTATGAAATTGATCAAATCCTTTTAGACAATCTGATTTGTTGGTACTGAAATTCCATGGTGGTCGGACTACAATGTCGTCGTGAAGAAACTCTTGCCATTTATCAACATCTCTGTTTTCAAACGATTGGAATTTGGCTTTAATAACATCTAGAATAGTTGATTCTTTATATTGTCTAATATTCTTTGATTCTGTCCATCCTTCAACTGGCCATTCTTGATCGACCGAACTATCACAAGAAAGAAAAGAAATAAATTAATTTGAATTTAATATATATATTTATATAATTTATAATTATATTTGTTTGTTTGTTGTTTGGGTTACATACTCTATACGTTTACTATAATAAGGGTCTCTCCAAGTATACCATGTCTTGATAGTATTGTCATCTGATGGTGACAATTTAATAAACCAAGAGACAAAGCATTCAGTGGAATGATTTTCATTGTTTGCTTTTTTTCTTTTAACAAATTCACAAGAAACAAATTTCTTGTCACTATCATACAACCATCTTAATAATCTATAAGATGATGATGATGTTTTTGATTTACCTGATAAAAATTCCTAAATAGTGCAGAGTTATTAGTGTTTATAAAAGAAGGCAAAATTCTAATTCCTTTTAAAACATACTCTAATTAATTTTCTTCCAATAATTTCTTCATTTAGACGATTCATTACAGCCTTTGGTTCAAAAAAGTTGTCAAAGTCGGTAAAGTCACTCTCTGTGATAGCTCTCATTAGGTTTTGAATGAGTGCATAGATCTTTTGTCTTTGTTCCTTGTCATGAACTGCTATTTGTGAAACTAAAGGTGGAGTACTAATAGGAGGAATTTCACTCTTTAAAAAGGTTTAAATTATATTGTTAGATAAATAAATATAATGATTATATATTTTATCTATCTATCTAATTAATTACTTACACTCATTGCATGAGTACTCTTTTTCAAGAAATCTCTTAATCCACCTTCATTTTTGTGTTGTTGTTTGGTATCCATTAAATATTTAATTTACTAATTATAATTATTATTATTATTTAATTTTAAATATACTGTGATAGTATAGTATATCTATTTCTTAAATTATATAAATCAACAGACAGAGGATAGAGAGAGAGAGGAACGGGATAATATTCAAAATTTAAATAAATAAATAAATAAATAAATAAATTATGATAAAAAGAAATTATTCAAAATTTTGGAATATGGGGTTACCATAAGAGATGTACGCTACGATACGATATTCATGTCAGACAATGGATTTTCAGTGATGGTGGTGGGAGAGGTGAACAGTTTCACATTGTCAATAAAAATCTTTTTCTCTAATACTAAAAGATTAAATAGAGTTGGTCATTCAATATTAAAAATAATTTCCAATTTGGGAACACTAAAAAATAAAAAATAAACTAAATAAATTCACTGGTTGTTGTCTTGCGAATAAATAATTTAGGTTTGTTCATTTTCAAAAATTTTCTAATATTCTTACACATAAAAGAGATAATGGATTCATTTGGCAAATGAACCAACCAGGACATTCGAGTCAAATATTTGAGGAGAAGGGATGAGCGTAGTTGGTCACCTTTCCAGATGAAATTAAAGAAGAGTGTATGCAGTGGTCCACATTCAAACCCGCCACAAGTGACATGGCATGGGTTGGGCACACCCACACACAGACTTTTTGAAAAAGAATGCAGGGAGCAGCTCTTTGTGGTTGTTGATTTTGCCCATGATTTGTTTTTTTTATATCCAAGCCTCTCACAACCAACTGTTGTTTGTCACCATCAATCAATCAATCTTGTTATTTCATCTATTCTACCTATCTCTTCATATCTATCTATATCTTTATAAATACACAAAGAGAGGTCGTATTTTATAAGGCTGGGCTGAAACGCAAAAAACTACAAGATTCACACTAGCCACAACAACGAGCACGCACCTCTCCAACGAACAATCACAGAGTTATTTCGAGCAAAAAAAAAAAACAAAGACGAAAAGCTTTTTGCGCCACAAAACCAGACCAGCAAATTTACACCCTGTTATTGATATTTATTTATTATATTTATATTTATTTGCTACACTTGTTATTAATACGTTTGCTAGTAATTTATTTATTTATTTATTTATATCTAATTAATTTATTTATTTATTATTCTCGTCTACTGCGTTTGATCGCTCAATCGACCACATCCTACGCGTACATAGACTCCACACACACAGACCACATCCAACACACAGATACTTTGATCAACATCACCATCCCATTAGATTAAGCACTATTATCAATCATCATTATAGTGTACAACTCAGTCACTTTATCTTTAGCGCGCCAACAAACAAACAATATTGTTACGATAATCAATTCAATCAATACCACCACCACAGACCAACATACATAACATACACACACCACCACAATTTTACACACAATATACCCACAATTAACTTCGTCAGCAGCCGATCAAACCACCACTATTCATATCATCTAGAGCTACTGCGACTAGTGTTGACACACCCCAACTACCGCCAGTTCATCGATCAACAAAATCGTGGTAATAATAGCTATCAAAGAGAGAGAGAGAGACTACTGCTACTATCAATCAAACTACTCCATCCACCCTCCTCTTTGTGAAATTCAAAAAAGAACAAGACCCTCTTCTTATTCTGTTTTTTTAAAATTAATTAAGTGCTTGACCAACCAACCAACCACCACCACAATCAACAAACAAAATCAACATCATCATCGATTACCCCTTTGTTAAAACAACGATAACAATAATAACAATAACAACAACATAATCATATTCTTCTAGACAATTTGAAACAAAGGTTGATTCAGTAGATATATATATATATATATATTTAAAAAAAAAAAAGAGACAAGATGAATATAATATTTGGAAACAAAGAATTTGATAAAGAAGATTTAAAAATAGATTTAAGAAATCTAATTAAATTAGTTAAAGATGGAGACACTAAAAAAGTTAAAAAGATTCTATCTTCGAAAAAAGGAAAATATCTATTAAACGTACCAGATGAATTGGATCAAACGTGTATCATGGTGGCTGCACACTCTGCAAACTTGGAGATGTTTGAGACTGTATTGGGATTCTTTAAGCTCCTAAAGATTGATCTCAATCTACCAGACAAGAATGGATACACAGTACTGCATCTATTATTTTCAATGACTGATTTGGAAGCCAAATTCCTTATCCTTTTACTCGAACAACCAGATCTTCAACTCAACATTACCAACCGTGATCTCAATACACCATTCCACTACTTTTGTCAAAAATTCAGATCCAGCAGCACTGTCAAGGAGGTATTTAGTTGCCTCGTGACAAAGGGTGTCAATGTCAATGCCATCAATCGAAATGGAGAGTCACCATTACACAAGGCCATCTTTAATACCACACTCGCACCTACCATGCTCGGTCTCTTGCTAGAGGCAGGTGCCAATGTCAACGTCACCAACAAGAATGGTGAAACAGGACTTCACTATTGTGTTAGAATGGGTCGTACCGATCTCGTAACACTCCTTCTCAAATATGGAGCCGACAAGGATATCATCAAAGATGGTAAAACTCTCTATGATATTGCAATCGAAGAAAACTTTACAAAATTGGCTGATTTCTTAAAAGATGGTAGTACAACAGAAAAAAATAGTATGTTTTCATGAATTAATACAAATCAATTATTTATAATATAATATTAACAATCATTTAATTTTATTTATCTTCTAGCTGGATCAGCAACAGAATTAATAACATTATTACAAAATCCAACTTTGAGAGAGGATTTTAGACAATTTCTACGAGAGGAATTAATTTGTGAAGAAAATATATCATTTTGGTTGGATGTTGAAGCCTATAAACATTTAAAGATTGATACTGCTCTCAGACTATTCAAAGAACTCTATAGAATCTATGACAAATACATTCCAGACACTTCACCATCTGAAATCAACGTACCTTTTGGCATTAAAAAAGACATCATCTCATTTATCAAAACTATCCCAACACTTACTGAAATTGAACAACAAATGCCACCACTTACTTTGAATATTAACCACCATAGTAATAGTAATAGTAATATTAGTAACAGTGCTAGTAATAGTAATAATAGTTTAGATATTCCATCTACCAAAACCACACCAACCAATTCACCAACCCTTACCAATAATGGTGCTAGCACTGGTATGACTCCACCATCCATCACCATTCAAATCTCATCTTCTCCATCCAATTCATCCATTTCTTCTGCCAATCCAAGCAGCAATAGCAATACACCTGTCCTATCACCATCACCAACATCTTCATCCTCTTCACTCACACCTCCACCATCACCTCCAGTTTATGATTTCCAAAAGATTCAATCCGTTTACAATATTGCACAACAACATGTTTTTATGCTCATGGCCACCGATTCCCTATCAAAATATAAAAAACGTACAAGAAAGAGTAAAGGTTATCATTTGGGTTAAAACAAAATATCATGATCCCCACAAACATTCTTTCGACAAAAATAATAATAATTATAATAGTACTATTTAGTTTATCATCAAATCGTTAATCAGATCATAAGAGATTTAATTAAATTTTCCCTTCCCTTCCTTCCATCCATCCCAATAATCATTATCAATCAAATACGTAATCCAAAGATTTTTTTCCCTCCTCCTCCTCCTATTTCCACCCCTTCTTGTTGCTTTTCAAAAAAGTAACTAGCCTTTAACAACAAATCAAATATAACACCAACCAATAATTAATAATAATAACTATCAATAATAATAATAATAATAATAACTTTAGTTATTCAAAAAATAAAAAAACCCCCCTTGTATTATATTTATTTTACGAATTGTTTTAGAGTTCTTGGTTTAATTAAACCTTTATGATCGAGGTATGTTGTGAATGGTAATGTTTTAAAAACATTGATATCAATATCTGGTGAATCGATGAGTTGATAAATAATTCTTAGGTTGGTTGATTGTTTAATGACATTTCCATAAAATGCAATCAATACTTTGAAACATTCATAACTAGAATCTGATATTGCACTTTCAAATAGTTGTTCCAAACATTGAGCAATTGGTTTGTCCATGACCAAGTGATAGAGTCCAAAATCTTCTCCTTTACATCTACCTCTTTGAAATTTTCTTTCAACTAAAGGTTCCAAAGTATCATTTTCATCTGAATAACTATATCTTTGTTTTTTTCTTGATTTGTTATTGTTGTCAAATCTCTTTTGAATTCTTTTATCTTTTTCATTTTCTGTCATTACTTTTAAAAAGTAATCTAGAATCGATGATGCATCTTGCTCAAAGATACTAGAGAGCCAATAAAATCTTGAAACTAGGAAATCTGGATCTTTTCGATTTGATTCAAAAACATGTTTAATAAACTCTAGTTGATTAAATCTAATTGCATTTCTAATACAAGATACAGAAAAGTATTGTGTTTTAGAGTGTTTGATAATTTTGTCAACCAATTGTTTGTTTCCAGTTTTAGCAGCATGTGCCCAAGAACAGTATTTAAATTCTCTTGTCTCTTTAAATTCTTTTTCAAGATTGAGAGATTTTGCATACTCTTTAACCATTGCAACAATACCCATGTAACCTCTGGTGTATGCAATACAGTACATATTACACAAGGTGGCCATTGTGGGCTTATATGTTTTTTGACCTTGGAGTAACCACTCGACCATTCTATATCTCCCAAGATTGGTTGATAGTATGAGTTGTTGGTTATAGTTTTTATCTGATTGGTGTCGACTATTGTGGTAAATGTAATAGTCTTCTGTTGGCTCCTCTCGAGGACACTGATAATTAATGTTCCACTTGTCACAAAGCTTTGACATGAATAGTGCCGATACTGGAACACTGACCAACACCTCTGGATTCTCCATATCCTCTTCAACTTTTGTCGGATTGGTATATAATAGATCCAATAATTGATGATTATCTCCATTGACAGAATATGCAATTAATTCCTTTGTCCCTTCCAATGAACGACACTTTTGAGCCAACACTTTTATCATTTCCAAGTTTTGAGTTGCAATCACTTTTGCAGTAAATGCCTTCGAGTATTGAATTAGATCATTATCTGCAAGATATGATAGGGTGGCTGCATTTTGAGGTACAAATTCGATTTTAGCGCTGCGTTTCTTTGGTACGACACATTTGACTTGTTCCAATGACCCATATTCAATGATTGGTTGGTATCGATATTCTCGTACAATCGGTTCAAGAAATTCACCCAATTTCTTGATACCCTTGTATTTGTAAAGATTTTTATATCCTTGTAGCTTTGGTTGAATACCAATAAATCTCATCAAGCCAAGTACATACATTGCACATTTTGTCTTTTCATCTGATTCCTCTTTGCAAATGAATTGGTCAATGTACCAGTTTGATTGGTCATCTGCAGCTTGGTACCCTTTGGGATCTTGTAATTTGCAGACGTGTTGGAGATAATCGATTGTTGATTGATCGATATCATCACTCTCTAGACAATAATGGAGAAATGTGATAAGGGCGCTGGTCTCCATCTTGGCCAAATCCACACCAAGTCTATCCAAGAGTGAGATATCACAGAATTGGTGTATGTTGAATATATCCAACAATCGAGAGGATAATGGTTTAAATTTTGATATCAACTCTATCATACCAACCAAATCTTTCTTGTCAAGAAATGACGGTTGTATCTTGTCCAGTGCCATCTCAAATCTTGCAGTTGGATTGATACCATCTTCTAGTTTGTATGACATGCCTTTTGCAATATAGTCTGCCAACTCTACCTGTATTGATTGTACAGCAATCATCAAATTATCGTCTCTTTTGAATTCTATTGGTTTTGGTATTTTATGAGTCTCTAGTATCTTGTAGATTGTTAGATTGCCATACATTACTGCAGCCTCTATACAATCAACTGCACAAAACCACTCTGGTCGCATATTGTAAAAGTAATAAAACAGTTCCATCTGTTCTGGTGTGTCACGTATTGAACAAAGATATTTGGTTAAGTCATAGCTCCATTTCAACTGATCTCTACCAATGTTTAAATATTCTGTTGTTTCCTTGTTTTGTAATTGTTGTTGTTGTTGTTGTTTGTATTGTAAGTGGTCTCGGTCAAGTTTCTCTTTCATCGCACCAATATGTCCATGTTTCAAGTACCAAACTATATCTTTGTGTGGCAATTCATTCAATTTGTAATAGTCTGTTGGCACGGTATGATCTCTTGCCAATACAACTATCCTCTTTAACAATACTATATTACCCAATACACTTTTAATAACCTTTGTTCTATAGTCTTGACTATCTGGGTTCAAACTCTTATCACCACCACATATCTAGATATAAAATACAAAGTTAGTAAAGATATATATATATATTTATCTTTGTTTATTTTAACTATACCTATTACAAACATACACTTTCATTTATTGGTATAACAATAGGTATTGTTTTAATTGTTTTTGTCATTATTTCTATGTTAACAACAACAACAACAACAACAAAAAGTATATTTAGTATTATTAATAATGACCAATTCTAATTTCTTTCCATCTCCTCCCTTTTTTTTTCTATTAAAACAACAACTTTCCTTTTAAAAATCAATAGGTTTAGTGATGATTTGATTGGTAGAGAGTAGTCTGAATTGAGTTACTGATTGAATGAATCAGCCGAGCATATCCAACTGCATTGAGTTCGTTGGCACCAGGGGCTCGTTTCAACTTGTTAGCACAAGAGTCTCTGTCGTCCCGAAGGATGGCTTCTTTGACTAGTCATTGTGCATTTGAGTACTTGTTTCTGGTTCCCCCGACACTGGCTTGAAGCCAATTTCCCACTTAGGGATTATCGCCATCTCAGACCTTCCCATATTATGGAGTATCTAATACTTCTTCTTTTGTTTGGTTTTGTGTAGGTTGTTTAGTCCTACCGATTTGTTTCATCTAACGCCCGATTTAACCAATCATACATTCACCGCGCCCAACCAGTACCTATACTCATCGATACATATATCATCACAACGATTCACATGATCGTCTTTTATGGGTCATCGACTTCAATCAACAAAAAAAAACGAAATTCAATGATGAATTTCATCAAAACTATGGAAAATTAATTGAAACAACATCATCAAATAATAATAGATAGATAGATAATATTATCTCCTATACCAATAATTAATGGTACATGTTTGTCAAAATTTTTTTTAATTTGTTTTTTTTTTTTTTTTTTGTTTTGTTTTATTTTTTACTCTTAAATATAAACTTGATGAACATCGTTACCTGAAAAGGTTCCCATGCAAATAGGACATTTTCTTTTTCTGGTATCAATATTTGAGTATATACATTCCTTACAAAACACATGAAAACATTTGGCAATGACATAATTCTTTTGACGATCATTGCAAACTGTACATCGAAGTCTTTGATTAATATTCTTTAATTCCTCTTCAGCCTTTGATGCCGATACCGATGATGGAGCATTTGCATTTGCTTTATCTAATTTTTTCTTTAATTGTTGTTTATCCTCCTATAAATAAATAATAATAATTAGAATATTGTTTGTTTTTTTTTTATCTTTTTGTTTCCATCGTACTTCTAATCTTTTAGCTCTATCAGATTCTCTTTCTAAAGCAAAAATTGATTCATCAGCTTTTTTGTGCCATTCTTGATTTTGAAGACTAAGATGATCTACTTGAACCTTTAGTTCTTGTGAATGAGCAGCGGTTTCTCTAGTGATACGTTTAAACTTTTCGAGTTCAAATGAACAGGCTTGGAAATCATCGCTAACCTTTAGCAATTGTTTTTGAAGTTGTGAAGCCTTTTCATCCATCTTGGACAACAATTCATTTTGTTGTTTTAATTTTTCTTCGATACGTAGGGCCTTGTCCTCAGAGGCCATTTGACTCTCTCTCGAGATTCTGATGGCTTGTTGCGCCTTTATATTCTCTGCCATGAGATGTGCATGTGTATCTTCCTTGTCTGACAATTGTTTCATCAGACGTGTATTTTGTTCCGTCATTTTTTCATATTCCTTGCCCATACTGTCAATCTCCCCCATCAATGCCTCGGACTCTTGACGATGAGACTCTTCGTTGCCACGCAATTGTGCAAGCGATGCCTCTAGTTCACGCATAGTCTCTTTATGTTTTTCTTGCACCGATGCAAGTTGTTCGTTGTGACTCTTTTTAGACTCTTCAATGTCTCCAATCTCTTTCTCCAACTCTTCCACTCTATGTTTAAGTTTGTTTTCACTTATTCTAAGATCTTGTGAATCTACTTGTTCAGATGAACTCGATTTTAATAATTGAACTGATAATTGTAATTCTTTTTCTTTTTCAATTAGTTTTCTATCGTAAAAAATAAAAAGAAATTGATTAATAAATCTCTATTCTCTATTCTCTATTTTTCTATTTTCTATTTGTCTATTTTCTATTTTCTATTTTCTATTTACTTTTCTTTTTCTTTTAATTCTTCATTTAATCTTGTAGTTTCTCTTAATTTTTCCATAATTTCTTTAATTTCCAAATTCTTTACTTCTATTTGTCTATTTGCCTTTTCTTCGGCCAAGATGATTTGTTGTTTATAGTCTTTGTACTTTTCGATATTTTCCTTGAGAGTTTCTATTTCTTTTTTGATTTTGGCAATGTCTTGATCCTTTGATTCGAGAAGCATGCGAGATTCGGTAATATATTCTTGCGATGGAACGTTTGGATTCCGATGTTCAATGATTTCAATCAGTTTCTCCTTTTCCGACTTTAATTCGGTGGCCTCTGCCTCGAGTTGGTTGATTCTTCTCTCGGCCGTTTGACGACGCATGATTTCGGTGGTCTCGAGGTTCTGAAGGTCTTGACGTCTGCTGTTGGACAGTTGGATGAGATCGGCCTGCAACTTGGCACAGAGACCACTCTTTTGCTCCAACTCCTCGGTCATAAAGCCCATTCGCTTGGTGAGGATCGAGTAGCCCATGGTGTGTTGGATTCTCTCCTCGGGTATGTTGCGAATCTCGACTTGCATCTGCTGGAGGTCTTTGAGCAGGTTGGCCTTTTCCTCTCGCAATTTGCGTGCCTCTAACAATCTGGCATCCGATTGCTTTTGTAGGTCGATAAACTCTTCACTCGCTTGTATAAATGCAGAGGCGTCCTTTCCATTGACACTGTCGCTCTTTGGTGTGGTTGGGTTGCTTCCTCCAGTGCTGACGCCAAGATTCAATGTGGCGTTGGGGAGGTTTGGTGAAGACAAGCGGATCGACGGGATCTTGGGAATGTCATCCTGCAATTTGATCAATTTCTTGCGTTCCAAATGCAATTCATCAGACGATCGATAGAGCTCCTGTTGCAACTCTTTGATACTCAATTGATAGCTTGATGACTGGTCTGCCAAATGACTCGTTTGGTCATTTAGATATTTAATCTGAATTTGAAGCTTGTCATATGCATTTTGAAGAATTTGATTATGTTTTGATAATCTTTCATTTTCATCTTTTAATAATCTTTCATAATCATTTGATGTTATATCTAAAACAAAATGAAAGAGAACAAAAGATATTAGTATAGGTCTAAAGGAATAAATATAATATTCATACCTTTGGATGATTTTAATAAACGAAATACAGTATTTGATAGAGAATGTTCTTTGAGTACAGATTCAACAATCTTTGAGAATGTAGATTGTGTCTTTTTGATTCGATTTTGAAGTGATAATTCCAAACTATAATCATCATCTAATGGTGATGGTTCAGATATAAAACTTGCAAGAAAACCATATGATGATTCAATTGGTCCATTATTATTATTATTATTATTATTATTACTATTATTATTTGTTCCATTATTATTATTTGTATTGGTTCCATTCATATTTGATGTTGATGATGGTGAATCGTTATTATTATTATTATTCAAATCATGATAAGGTGAATCGATATCTAATTTTGCTGCTAAAATATTTAAACCATTGTTTAACTTACAGAATAACAATAAATGATTAATATCTAATTATCCTCATTATCTCATTTCTCTCTCTCTCTCTCTCTCTCTTTTTTTTACATACTTGATCCCAAACTCTACAAAGAGTACTCATTATCTCTTCAGATGTATGTAGTTTCGATGACATGTTCCTAATCTTGACTTCTTTATCACTAATTTCATGTTTCTGTTCCTCTACTCTGATTTTCATTGCTCGATTTTGGAATAGTAATATATTTTGATCCTAATAACAATGCAAAGATTAAAAAAAACAAATATTAGTCTCTTTCTCTATTCTCTTTCTTTCTTTCCTTCTTTCTTTTGTTGACTTACAGGAGCATTTGGACCACTAGCATTTAATGCATTGGAGCTACCCGAAAGAGCAATTGTTGAAGGTGAATCGGAAGAAGATAGTGCGCGTTTGGTTGGACGCCCAGAAGGTGTTCCATTGTCCTCTGATGGACGTTTCTTATCATCAGATGTTTGATCCATTGTTGTTGATGGTGGTGGTGATGGCGGTGGTAGTGTAGTAGAATGCACTTTTGATCTTGATTGGTTATTGATATGTCATAAATCTATATGATATATCACTAAACTATCTATCTCTCCCTGTATCTCTCTTACTACTACCCAACGACGATGACCTATATAGTTAGAACAGCCACTAAACTATAACCTTTTTTGTAAAAGGATAGAATAGAATAGAATAGATTGAAAGAAAGAGAAGACTATAGTTTCTTCCTCTTCTTCTTCTTCTTTCTATCTGTCTGTCTGTCTGTAACTAATATCACTCCTCTCTCTCTCTTCTCTACTAACTACTAATAGTCTAAAAATAAGATATATAGACAATCAATTGATTATGTGTTTGCGATGATGGTGATGTTACTTTTAATGGTCCCTCTCTCATTGTGAGTTTCAAAAAAAACAAAATTTACTTTATTTTTTATTTTTTTTTCAAAAGCTCTCTTTACCCAAATGCAATATTGCAAGAATATTAAACTCAGAAAGACATAATTATAAAGACAGATAAATATTTGTGAGAGGGAAGGATGTTTTGGTTGTTTTATTTGCGTTTTATAACATTTGTTGGAACTATTGTTATTCATTCTTCCAGTCGATTTTTTGCTTTTTTATTACTTTTTTTTTTTCTATACTTTTTTTTTTTATCTTATATATATATACAATGATTATATGTTGTGTTGTTGAAAACGATAATACTAGTTGGATGATGTTTAAGATCTTGAATCCAACTTTTTAAAAAAATAAAATTATTATTATATCTAGTTTTAGTTGTAGTAGAGGGAGACGATGGATGGATGGAGGATGATTGTAATGTAAAATTACTATTTTGTTGGTTTGGTTTGTTGAAATATCAATCTTTAGAATAATAATAAAAGAGTAGTAGAGAATTTAGAAACCATGAATCTTGATGGAATTCTTTGGAACAATTTGCTCTTCGATGAGGAACTGGGCAGTTTCCTTTCTGTGATCACCTTGGAGTTGAACAACTGTACCTATAGTTTCGTCCTCTAAAAGACTTCCATTACAACAGAATTCCTATATTTATATATATATATATAATACAAGTGCAAATTATAACTGTTAGAATCAACATGATCGCGCGTGTACTCGTCGTCTTGTTGTTGTTTGATTCGTTTCATCATACCTTTTTGAAAAACTTGAGAATCTTCTTGAAATCTACACCCTTTGGGAGACCTTCAATGGTAGTTAAAGCTTTACGTCCACTTCTTTGGAAAATACGAATGTGAATATACAATATACTAGTATCTCCACCTAAGTTTGTGTCATTGGCAAAGGGGTCGGCTGAAGTAAGATTTTGAATAGAGGTCATACGCGGAACTTGTTGAAACAACGCTTTTTGGTTGTGATGTGGTGATAATATATATAGAAACCTAAAAGAAACTAAACAAATATAACTACTAACTAAGAAGAAGAAGAAGGAGAAGATGAAAGAGACAAATAAAATATAATAATAAAAAAGTTAATAAAATAACTGTGTTTGTCGACCAACACAGACAGCAAGAAACAAAGCAAGGGTTGAAAAAAAAAATTGAAAAAAATAAAAATAAATAAACACACAAAAAATAGGGAGAGGGGTTGTGTGCGAACAGGAGGAGTAGTCGAATAATGTTACTTCGTGTACAACTACATTTGAAACAAAAGAGAGAGAAAGAGAAGAGGGAATCAACAACTATTATTAGATTATGATAAGGAGTGAGGGAGGGAGGGAGGGAGGGAGGGAGGTGGAGTTGTGTGTTACAAAGATATTGTTGTTTGTTTGTTTGATTGATCTCGATTATTGGTGAATATTATTATTATTATATATGTTTGGTTGTAGTTGTCTTGAAGATGGATGATGTAAACAAGAGGCAACAACCAAAATAAACTATAACATCTCCCTTTTTACATTCTTTTGATTTAAATGATAAAAGAAAGATATCGATATCGATATTTGCTGTTTGCCTGCATATGTTGTCTGTCTGTGTCTATGTCTATGTTCAATAATGTTGTATATATGCATAGCTAAACCTACCTTTCTTGCTTTCTTTGTTTGAATGATATAAAACAGTCAAATATAATAAATATAAAATTTTGGAGAATGAAGTCTTGAAAGGGTGTGGGTTTGGCAATTTCAAGAGACGAGAAAAGAAAATAAATAATTAAAAATATTAATAAAAATTTATATATTTTAATAATAACTGACATGACTGTTTTTCTTGTTTAGCTTCATGGAACTATTGAATCTTTCTATTTTGGACCAAATGAGGGGTCAGTTGATGAAACCTAAACTAAAATTCCGGAAACTCAAGATTAGATTATAATTATTATTATTTTATTTTATTTGAGCGAGAGAGAGTTGGTTGGGATGAGAAAAAAAATAATACACAAAGTTCTTTATTATATATATATTGGGTTATAAATTTGTATAGATTTGGGTAGTATAGTAGTAAAATAACTAATTAAAATTTGGGTGCCTTAATGATTTGTACAGAATGATGATAGATGTTTGTTATATATATATATATAAATATATGTATGTATGTTATGTATGTATGCTATGTATGTATATATGTTGGTAATGTGAAGAAAGGTATGAAAATTTGTTTGTTTGTTATTAATTAATTAAGCTGAAGGAGTTGAAGATGAAATGGATGGACTGGATAAACTATTATTATTATTATTATTGTTATTTTTATGTTGTTTCTTTTTATATGATGATTTGAAAAGATTGGTAGTCAATACTTCAATATTACAAGGTGTTGATGATAGTTTTAATAATTTCTTGTCTAGTGGTACAAGATAGGTGGTGTTGTATAACTTTACAAGGTCGTAGTGACGATAGTTGACGGCGTGTTTGATGAGACATCGGAAAAACTTGGATTTCTTAAAGGACGAGTTGGACTTGTCAATCTTGTAATTGTCCAAGAGATGGGACACTATATGGCAGTTACCATTGAAAGTGGCCGAGTTGATTAGATATTCGAGTGTTTGGTGGTCAGTCTCGAGTGAGTGTTTCGATACAAGATGTTTCAGTAAATCCAATTGTCCCCATATACAACAATCAACTGCCACCTTGTTTATAATTGCTCTAATTGGATCTTGTTGTTGTTGTTGTTGTGGTTGAGATTTAGAATTACCATTATTATTTGGTTGCGATTGTTGTTGGAGACTATTTTGATTATTTTGATTATTTTGATTATTTTGATTATTTTGATTATTTAATTTATAAATATTACTTGATCTATTATTATTTAATTTGTTTGTTGTTTTAGTGGCACCTCCAGCAGAGGTCATTTGATTAGGTGGTGCAAGAGAATTGTTGTTAGAAATGGTCGATGATGACCTTCTAGTTTGTGAAGAGTTGATTCTAGAGTGAATAGAGAGCATGGCGTCGAATAATTCAATGTCACCAATCTTGGCGACCATTTGCCAGATGGATTTGGAGACAGATACATTGTCGATGAGGTTGGTGGCGAGGATTGTGCGCAGTGCACTGTGGTCACCGTCTGTAAACGAGCGGACAAAGATCATTTGTAGCTCGGATGGGGTAAGTACTTCAGGCGACGAAATAAGCGCCAACACTGGATCAACAACAGTTGGTTTGGAGCTAGAGTTATTGTTGTTAGAGTTGGCACGAGCTTCTAGAATTTCAATGGGATATTGGGAGACTGGCCAATCGACTGGTTTACGGTAATGATAGGATGTGTCGAGTGGCAGAGACTTCAAATGCTTTTTAAAGTAGTCAATGATATCGGTATGTGCACCAAAATAGGCGATTTGGATGACTCGGCTGGTGAGCGACTCGATGTTGTTCTCCAAGAGGTAGTGTACGATACCTAGATTACCGCGTTGGCATGCCAAAGGGAGGAAACGTGATATATGGGGATTGGCAAAACTCTTGTGCGCAAAGGTGAACAACTCGACGTCGCCGAGGGCAACTGCGCTCTTGAGGATATAGTTGGACATATCATTTACAAGTTTTTGTTTGTTGAGGTATGCCCAGCGAATGTAGAGTGTGTATAGCTGCGGTCCGCTCATGTTGGCAGTGACGGGTGGGATCGTGTTACGGCTATCACGCTCAATATACTCTATAATCTTGAAATGGTCTAGTGTGATGGGGTGCTCTTGGTAGTCGAGCAGTCCTATTAAAAAGGCGTGGTACTCTTTAATCGAACCCGTTGCAAACACGAGTTTAAAAGACTCGTATATACGCTTGAAAAAGCCAAAGTCACCACAAAGACACAAATTCTTAAACATGCCATCGATGGACGATGCCAAAAAGAAGCCGATCCTGTCGAATATGAATTGAGCCACTTTAACAGCTTTGCGTTGAACAGCTAGTGTAAAGAGGTGTGGGATGGAAACAGACTGTTTTTGTAAGGGAGATGTATGTACTAGATTTACAGTTGGAATGAAATTATTTTGTGGTTGTGGAGGTGATACAGAATTTAGTTGAGGTGAGTTGAGTTGATGATTATGATTATGATGTTGTTGAATAAACATTTGGGGTTGAAGATTTGGTGACCCCATAGGTGAAGAAAATGTACAGTCGGGTGACCCCGTAGTCGAAGAGGAATAAGAGGGTGATGAAGATGAAGATGAAGCAGAATAGGGTGATGAAAGGAGTAGTTGGAAGCTGCCTGATGGGTTACCAGAGACACTACTTTGGTGGTGAATAAATTGGACAGTTTCAACATGTCCGTTACAAACGGCTAGTTCCATGCAAGCCAGGTTCAGACTCCACAGTGAGGTGGACATTAGAAACATGACAACGTCCAAGTTGCCAGTCTCACACGCCCGCTCAATGAGACCTGGGTTGAAAAAGTATTCTCTCTTTTCGCGAAACACATAGCTGAATATATTCATGTCCCGACAGTGGCCAGCGAGCAGGTCGATTGCCTTGGCTGTGAATATAAGAGGTTTGCCACATTTAATCTTGTCGACCAACAAGTGGAAATAACCATTCTTGCAGATCCATTCGGCCGAGTTTAACGACTGATATCTCTGATAGACCAATGGTTTATATGATACATTGCTTGAAAATACCGATCTACTACTCCATATATGTTTGATAATCCCCTCTCTTAGTGATTCATTTGTAAATATTTTGAAAAATAATGATGTCAAATAAATTGGTGATGGTTGAGATGGTTGAGTAGTTGTTATATTTTGTTTTGTAGATGGTTGTTGTTGTTGTTGTTGTTGTTGTTGTGGTAGTTGTAGTTGATAAACTGGTTGTTGTTGTTGTTTAGTTGACATTTTTCCAAAACAACTTCAAATCAACTTCTTTTTAGAGTTGGAATTCAAAAAAAAAAAAAAAGTAAATAATAATAATAATAATTATATTAATTATATTTATACTTTAAACTCTCTAAATTAATTGTGGATTAAATAGTTAGTAATTATATATATATAGTTGAGTATTAATTTCTTGAATATTTTAGTTTTAAGTAATTACCCAAAAAACACAAAAACAATAATAATAATAATAACAAATGAGTGTGGATGGATGAGAAGATTGGATTTAGTAAAATAGTAAAAAAAAGTGTAAAACAAAAGTTCAGCCAATAGTGGAGTGAATTTGAGTTTGAGTTGAGTTGTTTGTAGTCAGTCAGTCCAGTCGGTCAAGTCAGTCTGGTCTAGTCTGGCAGCAACAGTATATTATTATTATTAAATATGTTTTTACTACTACGATGATTGATACGATGAGATGGATGATTCAATTGATTTGCTGATATAACAAAACATGTAAGAAAATGTAGGAATGAAAGATTGATTTGATTTCAATTTGTTTGATGATTGGTTATTAAGTTTGAATTATGTTGTTGTTGTTGTTGGGTTGGAAATGGAGTGGGTTGTCAGCTGGTAGGTGGTAGTGGTGGTGGGTTGATTGGAAAAGATAGGAAGAGAAGAGAGAGAGAGAGAGAGAAGGGAGGGTACTACATAGCATAGACCTGCACCACTATAGTGATAGACAACACTACTTTGTTTGGATGGTGGGAGAGAGAGTTTATGTGTTTTGATCAACCCATACCCAACATCGAATTAGCATCGCCACCCACCTAACCACCCAATCCAATGTATTTGTTCTAGGGGTGGTGGTAGTGGGTGAATAGGTTCTTTCTGTCTGTCTGTCTCTGTCTGTCTGTCTGTTGTGAGTGTTAGTGTGAGGGTGAGGTAGGGGGTGATAAACAAAGTGGGGGCGATTGATCGATGTCGGTCAGTATGCCACTGTACTGCAGTACTACTACTTACTTACTTGAATTTCCTACTCCTCTTATCTCTCTCTCTTTTATTTAAATCTCGATTGTTATTAACCAACTAACTACTATAGCTTTGATCAGGGGTCAGATGTTTGTTTGTCTGTGTCAAGTTGTGTAAGTGTATATATTTTGTGTTGTTATTTGAATGGACTTGATATGTAAAGGAGATAGATAGATTGAAAAAGAAGCAATAAGAAAGATCAAGTAATAATATATGTAGGTAGGTAATATAGATATAAATATATTTGTTGTGGTTGATTGATTAATTGATTGATTAATTGGGTGGCCCAATGTTGGTGTCAAGTGATTATTAGAATGGCCCAAAGAGAGTCAAGGTATGGTATGAGAGTGATCAACAAAGGAAAGGTAGAGGAAAGGATAAGGATAATGAATAAGAGTGGTTGGTTGGTTGCGTACGACACGCCCCACCAGCGGATTAACCTGTCATTGGACAGAAAAAGGATCAAAAGGGGTATGATGATCAGCTGTTTGGAATTCAGCGTATCTGTGTTATGCGAAGATCGAGCCCAACAAAAACAACATTTTTCTCGATCGATACAACTCCAACACAAAGTTTGGTTGCAGAAAGTCTGTTAACCCCAACTAAAGATAGATATTTTTGAACATCACCTCCATCGTTGATTGATTGAATCGAATACCATGTTTACCTTGATTTTTAGGTCACACAAACTTTACAAGTCAGACCCACCAAAGAGTAGAAGGAAGTATTTACCTACTTGTTGAGAGATATGTTTGTTTGTTTGTTAAATGATCATATAATGAGATCTCAAAGGTAAACTAAACTAGTTTAGTTAGGTTTGGGTTGAAGTAGGTAAGGGGGGTTGGTTGCAAAATAGTGAGAGAGAAACTTTACCCAAGGAAGGAAAGAAATTAATATCGATCTGATTTTAATGGTTTTTATTAGTACACCCCCTCACACTCACCTCAACTATATCATTATATTGATGATAATAATAATAAAAACATCATACTCTTTCGAGTAGGATAGTTAAATTTCATTCTCTTTCCTTCCTTCATTATTCCTTTCAGATCTTATATAAAAATTCTATCTCTCTCTCTCTTTCATATTCTCTCTTTCAACCTTTTAACTTAACTATTTTCTTGCTTTAATTCATCTATATAGATAGAGATAGAGTATTATAATAGAATAGTTTAATAAATACAAAGAAAGAAAGCTAGAAAGGGCTTGTCCGTTTGCAACTTTGTTGGCTGGTAAGTTTTAAAGACAATCAAAGAAAATCAACAAAAATCTCGAGGCATTTATCTTGGCGACTGGTTACTTGAAATGATTTGATAAAGACACAATTGGGCCGTTTCAAACGCAGACAACATCTAATTATATTGAATGAGGTGTGGATGCGTTTAGTGGAGCCACAAGACGTAAAGTTGATCATCATCATTGCAATATTATCTCATTCGCTACCAAACAATATTGTGTTTTACCCTTTTTTCACTATCATCTTTCACTATTATTAATTAATTAATTCCATTTAGAAATAGTTTAGTGTTTGTGGATATTTGTGTTACCAATTGTTAATTATCCTCTCTCAGATCGATTCCACAACCCACTGATTTGAACAAAGATATTATATTTTTGAAAATATTGGATGGACACAACAACAATCAACAATGCTAAAAATGGCGATTTCAAACAAAACAGTTCTCAGAGTAGTAATATAGATACAGGTACAAGTACAAATACTACTCCAATATCATCACCTGTGTCTTCTTCAAAGAGTAATAACCAACAACAAGGCAATAGTAGTAGTAGTAAAGATACCAAATCATCATCTTCGAAAAAGAAGTTTCATCTATTTCACATTCATTCAAATAGTTCACCAAATCTAAAGGTATACTTGAACAATAGTAAAGATTCAACGACAAGTACTGGATCTTCACCATCAAATAGTGCTACTGGATCACCACGTGTAGCTGCTGTATCGAGTAATAGTGCAGACGCTGGTACGACGACGACGCCATCGTCATCATTGTCAATGTCAGGACAATCCCAAGTACTTACATCGTCATCGTCATCGGTTGACAACAATAGTGGGGCATCGTCGTTGAGTATGAGTAGTGGGTCGCTGCCCGCCACATCCTCGACAACGACACCCCCTTCGTCTCCCCGTGGCGATTTCGATGCTGCCGCAGCCGCTGCATCTGGTTTGTCACCTGGATCACCACAACCAAAGCAAAAGAAAAAGTTGTTGGCAGGTCTGAGAAGAAACAAGGGTGGCAGTAATACCAACAGCAAACTTCGAAAGGAGATTGCTGACCTTTCACTCAAAAGTGGATTACAACAACAATACTCTAATCTTCCATTCAATTCAACTGAAGCCGATAATAATAATAATCCACTTTCAAATTCTCAATCATCTCCAACTCTTGGAGGATCATCTTCATCTGTTACAACAACACCATCATCATCATCAAAGAGTAAAAAGAAATCAAAGGAAAGAGTAAATAATAATCATTCAAATAGTAATGGAAGAAATTCACAAAGAAAATCAAGATTTATTGAACCAATTAATAATGTAAGAAAACCAAGTACAATGATATCTACACTACACTATACTATACTTTAACAAATATTTTATATTTATAGTCAACTGAAGATTATACAGATATTCCAAGGACAATTAAATTGTCAGTTGAATTTCTATTTGAAAAGGCAACCAGAGTACCTGGACTATTTAGAGAATCTGCCAATGCATTGGAATTGCAAAGATTAAAAGCAGAGATGGAGAGCGATAAAGATATCAACCTTTCGGATTACACTGAAGCCCACAACGTTGGTGGACTATTAAAACTATACCTAAGAGAACGTCCGCAACCACTTTTCCCATACGAATTACATAAAAAGATTATTGATCTTTATGGTTTGTACAATTTAAACAAAAAAAAGAAAAAGAAAAAGAGATATTATATATTAATACTTTATCTTTTTATTTTCTCTATAGAATCAAATGAAACTAAAATTATAAATGAAGAATTTTGTATTAGTGTTAGGGAATTGATGATGAGAGAATTATCAAAAGGACAATTCCTGATACTTAGATATTTATTTGAATTATTACATGCCGTTCATTTGAATGCCGAACATAATAATATGCATTCTTACAATTTGGCAGTTTGTATTGCACCTTCTCTTATTCACTCGTTTGATTGCTCATGCATAGATGTGGTCAATCGATTGGTTGAAGATTACGAGTTTGTATTTGGTATTGAAGTCCCTGTCTTTGCACCTGCGTCACCCAGAACACCATCTCCATCCACCTCTCCATCACTTCGTAGAAAGAGTAGAGTGTTGAGTAGTTCACCAAACGGATCACCAAAATTACCAAGTAGAAGAGGTAGTACTTATTCAAATGGTAGTAGAAAATCTTTGCATGAAGAGAATGATGGAGATATCAATCAAGGAGGAGGAGAAGTATCATCACCAACATCACCACATTTGGAATCGATTGTTGTTCCAATGGATGATGAACCAATTCATCTATCCTTACCCAAATCCTCACCCAAACAACCTCGAACATCATCACAACAATCGCCTATTCAACCAAGAGCTGTCAAACAACTGATAGCAGACGATGAAGACAATAGTGGATTCAGCGCAAATTCAGAGGAAGAAGAGGAACTATTAATCTCTACAACAAAGAGAAGCAGTATGGCATTGAAACGATTATCAATAATGAGTAGAGATATTCAATATAGTGATGACAGTTCAACAAATACAAATGAAGAAGTTGATGAATTTGAAGATGACAATGAAATTAATAGTAGTAGCAGTAATAATAACAGTAATGGTAATGGTACGAATAATCTAACTAGTAGTAATAGTAGTATAGAAAGTTATAATAGTAAAAACAAGGTAGAAGAGGAAAAAAGAAAGTTTAATGTTAAAGATATGGTTAGTAATATCAATGTTACACATCCAAATTCAGCATCTATATTACCAACATACAAACAACCAATCGTACGAAATAATTCAAAATTGGGAACTTCTCATTCTTTCTCCTCTTCCAGTTCAACCAAACAAAACTTTTCTGTACCATATAATAATATCAACTATAACAGCTACAACAACTCTTCGACCGTGTCAAACACTGGAAATAATAGTGGCTATCGTAAAAAGGTATCTCCAATTATCCAAAGAAGACCAGTTCTTAGTGCTTCATCGAGATCGGTTACCTCACCATCACTTCATTTCAACAAAGCTCCATCAATGACATCTTTTTCTAAATATTCATCACCAAAACCAAGTGGTGGTCACGGAACAACAACATCTTCATCGTCATCAACAACAAGTCATGGTCATGTAGTATCATCTAATCATGATTCTGTAGCTAACCTAAAATCAATTTGGGAAGGAAAAGATAAAGAAAAAGAAAAATCAAAGAAATGATAATCATACAAACAAAAATTAATGTACTATAGTGTCTATTTATAACAACAAAAAAGAAAGCGTCCAACAACAACAACAACAACAACAATGTAACATCAAAAATTTAGATAGATAAAAAAATAAATCTATCACTTCAACTTGCTACCCCTTTATTTATTCAAATTAATTAATTTCCTTTCAAATCTTTATTATTATTATTTAATTATTTAAAGAATACATGGACAAAGAGGTGGGTAGTCTGGTCTAACAGATTGTTCAGTACCACCATACTCTGCTCTAATTAAATCTTCTGTTGGTTTGAATTGAGGTGTCATACACCAATTATTATCACCTCCAAATGCAGAGTCGGATGCCTAATTTGAATTAAAAAAGAGAGATATATAGATATTGTTAGTCATATATATATAGTTGAATATTGTTATTATAGTTTATATATTTATATATTTACCCAATTCCACCAATGAACTCCATGGAACCAATTTAAATCTGGAAAAGCCAAGAATACAGCTTCAAAATGTTCAGTTTGGAAACCAAGGTCTATACCAGGTCCAAGAGTACACTCTCCCGAGCAATAACCAATCTCTGTAAAGATCATTGGTTTGTTCCAAAAGACGGTGAGATTATAAAGACTGGTTGTCATTTGTTCGATGCCATTGTTTAGACCGACATACATGATTTCATACCACATATCAGTAAGACTTGCCAACGTTGCATTGAGAGTAGTAGGTTGATAGTAAGCATCCACCCCAATATAGTCTACAACATCCCACCAAGTTTTATTGGTCTCTTCACCACCATGATTAGCAGCATATGTAATCTTACCATCATAAACATCTCTAACTGACGCTGCTACTTGTCTCCATTGTGAATCTCTTGGTGCTATAAAAATAATAATAATAATTAATAAATGTATATATTAGAATAATAATATTACATACAAGTAGCAATGAGTTCACAACCAAGAGAGAATTGTTCAACACCAAGTTTTTGAGACATTTGAGCATAGTGAACTAGGATGGCATTATAGTTGGTAAACCATTCATCCCACTCTTGATCGTTGTAGTTTAGACCAATATCCCCTCTCCAATGTGATGGATCTTTAGTCAGATCTATATGTGGTTTTAGCATTACCATCAGACCCAAACCATGAGCATAATTAATAACATGTGTTAATTCATCATCAGTTGCTGTTAAATTGGTTGGATAGATAGTTGTTGTACTACAATAAATAAAAAAGAAAGAAAGTTTAATAAATCAAACTTCTTTGTACAAATCATAATTAATAAGGTATATATATAAATATACTCACTCTATAGAATCTTGAAAGTTTGTTACAACAATGGTAATATAATTTGCACCAGTTGATCTTAGATTAGAAACTGACAAATCAGACCTTGAATCATTAAATTTAACAAAAGGACAATCTATCGAAAAATGAATAGAATAGGCATTATTGTTAACAAGATGATGATTGATTAACTTTTAAAACAAAAAAGGGTAGGTTACAAACATTTTCCATTGGTATAGGTTATTCCTTTTTGTTGCCAATTGATTGCTAATGAATTTGATATGAGTGTTGTCAGCAATAAGACAATTAAAAGGGGTGTTCTATACATTTATCTATATCTATCTATCTAATCTATCTGTGTGTACTTAACAATAATAGTCGTAACACACATGTGTGGTTAACCATGTTTTAAGGGGGGGGGGCTTAACATCCGATTCGGAAATCAAATCATTTTGGTGGATGGGGAAATTTGGAAGGCTTTGTGTGTCGGCAATCTGATTTTTTGGTTTGTCCTCCTCTCTTTAAAAGGGACTCTATATTTGTATTTGATTATTACATTTAATTTTATTATTTAGTTTATTTGTTGGGATTATTGTGTTGGACAAACAAACCCAAGAATTTTTTTTTTTTTTTTTGATAACCATATTACCATCATCGTTCAATAGAACTGATGAGGATGTTTCATATAATAGTAAGGATAGAATAGAGAGAGGTAGAGTGGACAGTCAGAAATATAAAAAGGAAGAAACAAAAAGTTGAAAGTCTCAAAGATAATTTGTTGAAAAAACCTACAGATGGTGGTGGAGTGGTTTTTTACCAAAAGGTTAGCATGAAGAGACATGATCAACTTGTACATTCAAATAAAGCAAACAAATATTTTAGTGATTCATCACGTGATTATTTATTATTTGTGGCCCTGGTCATTAAACATTAGGACAAACAAACAAGTAAGTATCTAGTCTACTACGTTTTCCGAGTTTTTTAGGTATGTAGGAGCTCTCATTGAACTGTTTTGTCAACGATCGACCACACAATCGTGTCAATCGAGTGCTGCATCTTCTTTTTTTTTTTTTGCCTTTTTTTAATTTTTCATCAAAAAGTATCTGCTGAAATCAAAGGTTGCAACTGCCTTCCAATATTAAATAATCATCCTTCAGCTGACCTCACATCACTCTCTCTCTTTTTCATTCATTGTATTCTATTCATCGTCATTTATTTATTTGTTTGTTTGTATCATATTTATTTAATACTTTTTAATCAATAGAAGAATGAGCCAACCACCACCACAACAACCAGGAGCATACCCACCACAACAAGGAGGTTATCCACCACAACAACCAGGTGCCTATCCACCACAACAAGGAGGTTACCCACCACAACAACAAGGTGCATACCCACCACAACAAGGAGGTTATCCACCACAACAAGGTGCTCCAGGTGCTTATCCACCACAACAAGGGTACCCACCACAACAAGGATACCCACCACAACAAGGTTATCCACCCCAACAAGGTTACCCACCACAACAAGGTGCTCCAGGTGCCTATCCACCACAACAAGGTGCATACCCACCACAACAAGGAGGTTATCCACCCCAACAAGGTGCTCCAGGTGCCTACCCACCACAACAAGGGTACCCACCACAACAAGGTTATCCACCCCAACAAGGATACCCACCACAACAAGGTTATCCACCACAACAAGGATACCCACCACAACAAGGTGCCTACCCAGGTGCTCCAGGTGCCTACCCACCACAAGCAGGTGCTTACCCAGGTGCCGCTGCTGCCGTTCCAGGAGCCTACCCAGGTGCTGTTGCTGCTGTTCCAGGAGCCTATCCAGGTGCCGTTGCTCCCGTTCCAGGTGTTGTTGGAGTTGCACCAGCTGTCGCTGTTGGTATCCCATCTGCCACTCTCTTTGCCTTTTTCCAACCAATGGCCATCCTCCACGATATTGCACGTGATGCCGAACATTTGAGAAAGGCTATGAAGGGTATTGGTACAGATGAAAGAACCTTGATTGATATTCTTGGTAACCGTAACTGGGAAGAAAGAGCTGCCATTGTCATCAAGTTCCAACAAATGTATGGCAAAGACTTGGTCAAGGAAATCAAATCGGAAACATCTGGTAACTTTGAAAAGGCTTTGGTTGACTTGTGTACCGAACCATCAATCTATGATACTGAAACCCTCCATGAAGCTATGGCTGGTGCTGGTACCAATGGTAAATATATTATTAATCAACAATCAATCAAGTCACGTGTTGATCAAACTTTTTTACTCATCCATCTTTTTTTTTTCTTTTTTTTTTAGAAAATGTATTGATTGAAATCTTGGTAACTAGAAACAATGCTCAAAAGCAAAGAATCATTAGTTTGTATCATACTTTACACAAGAGATCATTGGAAAGCAGAATCGGATCAGAGGTCAGTGGTGACTTTAAACGTTTATTGGAACACTTGTTAAAGCCAAGAGATGAATCATTTGTCATTGATCCAATCCAAGCTCGTAAGGATGCTGATGACCTTTACTATGCTGGTGAAGGTAAAATTGGTACTGATGGTATGTATAAACTTAAAACTAATAAAATATATAGATATATATATAGATATATAGATAAATATAATATACATGTCATATGTGATATTCATTCTAACATTTATTATTTATTTAATTTTTACTTGGAATTTATAGAAAAGGTATTTATTAATATTTTGACATCAAGAAACTTTTACCAAATCCGTGAAATTGCTCGTATCTATCCAACTCTTCACAAGCATCATTCTTTGGAAAAGGCCATCGAGAGTGAATTCTCTGGTAGCATCAAGACTGGTTTGTTGGCCATCGTTGCCTTTGCTCAAAACTCGTTTGCCTACTTTGCTGCCATCCTCAACAAGGCTATGGCCGGTATGGGTACCAACGACAACAAGCTCATCCGTACCATCATCTACTGTATTCCATTCATGGCCGGTGTCAAGACTGCTTACCAATCATGTTTTGGAAAGAGTCTCCATCACCATATTTCAAATGATTGTAGTGGTGACTATGGTAAATTACTCAAGGAAATCGTCAAATAAATTAAAAATAACAACAACAAATCAAATAAATGTATTCTAAAAAAATATTACTTTAAACAACAAATCAAAATCATATCAAATAATAATTATTATTAATAATTATTATTAATATAATTACTTTAATTTATCTATTTTTAATTTGGTTTAGTTTATTGAGAATCTTTAACTTTTTTAAAGATATTGTAATCAGATGATGGTACAGATGAGATTGATTTGTAGAGATTGGCAGAAGATGTAAAGTTGGTGGTTAGGTAGTTTTTAATACTATCTATATGGTGAATACGGTTGGATTGTTTCAAGCCGACAAGTGGTGGCATTGGGGATGGTCCAAATTCACCAATTACTTTGTAGGCACGAAGATCTTGATCAGTAGCCGATGAGGTTTGATTGAAAGTATCCAATACAGTACTATCAATGGTAGCAAAACTACCTGGTGTTTGTTGTACCAATTTAATTGATTCCAAATGTGATCCCGATTTAATTGTATCCTTAAAATATGAATTAAAATATGTATCATCAAAAGAAGAGGAAGAAGAAGAAGTGGATGAAGTGGATGTGGAAGAAGAGGAATTACTATTACTATTACTTTTTAATTTATGTAATAATTCATGACGGAATAATTGGTATCCTGAAAATGAAGCCTTTTCATTATAAATAAATGTGAATGATTTCAAATCATTGACTAGATCAGTAATGTTGTTGATTTCTCTTTCACTGTTTACAATGATATCAGAATAATAAACTGGTTTATCATTGTATCTTGATTCTTGACGAACGGGAGCACCAACAATAGACAAGAGTGAATCGCAGGTAGAGTAGGATGCTCCACACATGAATGCATAATCTATTTTATAGAGTTCCATCAATTCTCTTGGTGACAGTGTTTCAACGTGTTCTTTGGTTGCCAACTCGTAAATATTGACCATACGAGTTTTCAAATTCAATTCTTTTCCAATACTATCAACCATCTCTTTGAATGAACCATATGCATTTGAACTTAAAAATGAAGTAAATACAATTTCTCCATATGTTCTTAATCCTCTCCAATTTACTTTATCTAAAAATAAAAAGAATATTAATAATCTAAATATTACATTATTTTTGAAAGTATAGTTATTATTATATGTACCATTTTTAAAAGAATAATATTTAGTACGAACAACTTCAAGATTAATTGCATCACCTCTTGTTGGTGATATTGGTGAATTGGTAATATAATCGGCCATGGATTGATAGGGAGTTGGTAGGGTCAAACAAAAGTTATGAATTCTAACAAAATGGTAATAGTTGGGTGAAAGGATCTCAACGGCCTCTCTGTGAGTACCAGAGTTTCTCCATTCATTGATAACATCAAATGATTCCAAGATAACAATATTACCATAGTCACGAGTGGTTGGTGATGCCAAATGAGATGTATTCAAAGGTTCATCCTTTTGCATTGTAACATAGGCAACGATACCTGGAATGGATTGTAGCAGTGAAACGAGGATTCTATCACTCTCGATAATATCATCAAGCTTTCCATTGTCTGCACTTCTAGTACCAAAGAATCCAACAACGCAATATTTGCCAAGTTCCAATGCACGTTTTCTATTATTAATAATACATCTTAGTTTCTCTTGATCATTTACATTGACTACATAACTTGTTTGTGGTTCCTCTTCATTCTCCTTTGGTGTAGTTGCAGTTGTTGGTTTATTGACAGATAAACGTCTTTGAGTATCAATAAACTCTACGAAATGATTCAACATGATTCTCATGTATTGTTTATCATCATTTGTATCTATACACACATAACATCAACCATATATATATTAGTACAAAGAAGTATATAACCATAATAACCCAACAAATTTGTATAAACATACATTCAATACCAGTTAGAGGGTGATCAGGGACTACAGTATCCTCTTGAAGATATACAACCTTGTCTAATTCAGAGGAGGAGGAGGATTGTGAACCACTAGTACCAGATACTGGACATTTGCCATTACTTGTTGCAGGCTTATGTACAGATTGAATGTGATAGGGACATCCAATAGCACCACTAGATGAAGATGATGTAGACATTATATTATCTATTCTTATCTATCTCTTTTAAAAGAAACAATTAAAACATTTGATAAACTAAAAGTCAAAGGTGGGTCTTGAGAGGATAGATCCTTGCTTTGACGAATGACCCACAAAAATACTAATAAATAAATAAATATCTTTTCAACCAACAATGACGACCTCCCTACATTTTGAGAAGAAGAAGAAGTATTCGATAGATTGTTCTTCTTACTAATCTATCTATCTATCTATCTAGATATTACAATCTATTTATATTTTTATATTTTTAGTTTATAGATTCTTATTTTTGACCTTTCTCTTTGTTATCAAACTACCCGATAAAGTATGATAGTTCCACTTCAATACTGACCTGTAGGTTGGGTTTGGTTTTTTAACTTCCCCCAAAGGGCACCATTTTTCGGTGTTGCTTTCGGCGGCAAACAGAACCGACACGCCATGGACCATGCACCATTTCTGCAATGATGCTTATAAGTGATCTCCCCTCCACAAACACTAAACAGTCCTTATTTATTTATTTATTTATATATATATTGTAAAAACAAAGTTATAACAACACACACACTTTAATATTCATTCCCTCTATACTTATTTTTGATTGCTGTTTTAAAACGGGGTTGAGTAGCTCATTTATAAACATATTACAATTAGTACAATATTAGTTAGCTAGCTTTCACATCAACATCATCATCTTTAGACCAACAACAATAATAATAATTATTATTATTATAAATCTTATTATTCTTCTTTGTGGTGGCCGATAGCTACAATACAATGGTTGTTGTTAACAACAATAATAACAACAGTGAAGAATCAAATAATAACAATACCAACAACAACAACAACAACAACAACAACAATACTAATGACAATAATAATAATAATGACAATAGAAATGAAACAGATAATAGGACAATAAGATTTAATGAAGAGAATAATCATTTAATTAATCAAAGTAGTAATAATCTAGTCTTTAATCAAAACAATAATAATAATATATTAAATCAATCAAGGAATAATGTAGCCAACTCTAGAAATAATGTAAAGTCACCACTCTTTTCAACATCGTCTAGTATGAACTTGTCGTCTGCAGGTAGTTCTCCGATCGGAGGAACACAGGGAGCAACATCTGCTGTATTGGGATGTTCAAAGATGGCATTGCTGCCTGTAGACGAACGAATGGCAAGATGCGAACACTTACTACGAGAGGATAATGACGACGACGATCAGTTGGGTCTTAGTCCGACCGGTCATCATCACACCAGCAGTGGTTTATTCTCCACACTCAACCATCAGCATCATGAAGAGTCTAATCTAACCTCTTCACCAATAAATAGCTTTGATTCTGAAAGTGACAGTGACATTAAAAATCACGTCGGCGGTCACAAAACAAGCAACGGTGGTGGCCACCATCTAAGTGGCGGAGTGGAAATGAAAACAATTAAAGAAAGTCAACACAACAACAACAAAGATGAAGAAGACAAAGACTCATCAGATGAAGAAGATGATGAAGAAAATGACTCTGATATTGAATTGGAGGATCAATTGGATGCAGAGTATCTGCAAAATGAAGAGAATCAACAAATGGAGAGACTGGCGCGTCTACGTAAATACCATCATATCTACAAGGAAGCCGATTTTTGGTTGGAACATATCAATATTCTATTGTCGGTTGTATCGGTTGGTTTATTCATTGCCATGTCCTATGTCGATGTTGATGGTAAAACTTGGTACGACCTTAATTTCATCATCTTTGGTCTTTCACTTTATTTTGTTTTTGATTTTGTTAGATTATTAGTTTTCTCTGGTGATAGGTATGTAAATATAAATATAAATAATAATAATAATAATAATAGTAAATTAAATTAAGGTAATATTAATATTAATACTTTAATACTAATAATTGTTTAATTATTATTTCTTTTATAGAATTCATTTCCTAACAAAAAGAGAAACTTTAATTGATGTAGTTTCATTATTACCTATTTTCGTTACTCTTTTACCCAATACAATAGTCAATGTTATTCCTCTTGCTTTTCTTCGTGTACTTCGTATTTTAAAAGCTCCTCGTTTATTTAAATTATATGGTGCTAATAGTATGTAAAAATGAAAGAGAAGAAAGAGAAGAAAGATACATAGAAATAATTATATTAATACTTTTGATTTTTAGCTGTTACACAAAAAACTGCACAATTGATTCTATCAATTTTAATTGTTATTTTATTATTTGCATCAATGTTTACATCTGTCGAAGGTGTACCATTCCATACATCACTTTATTTTGCCGTTGTTACATTGTCAACAGTTGGATATGGTGATGTGACACCTCAATCTATTCTTGGTCGTATGCTCACCATTACAATGATTATCTTGACTTTGGTCTATCTCCCTCTTATGACTTCTGAATTACTTCATAATTTATCAAATAATAGGCGTAAGAAAATATAATATTATATAATATAGATAATAATAATAATATTAATTAATATTTATATTTATAGCATGGCATAGAAGTTATAAAACTAAAAAGGATTTTGTTGCAATTGCAGGAAATATATCTGAAAAATCATTAACCTTATTCTCTAAAGAATACTTTTTTAATGTTTGTATTAACACCTCAAGATCCCCCCCTTAAAATAATACATATATGTTTATATTTAATTAATTAATTAATTATTCTACTTTTAGTCAAGAATAGCAAAACAAACTCCATTGGTTGTATTTTGTCCAGATGAACCACCATCCTATATAAATCAATTAAAAGCAAAGTTAAAGATATCAAAATATTTAATTTATATTAAGGGCAGTTGTGGAGTACAAGATGACATTCATAGATCAAATATTAAAAATTCACTTGGTCTATTTTTGTTTTCAAGACAATCGATTCATGGTGCCAAAGAGGAAGATGAAGATAATTTACTGCGTGTCATGGCACTTCGATCATTTGCACCAAAAATACCAATCTATGTTCAAATGATGACACCAAGATATAAACAAAAGTTTTTAGATGCTGGTGCCTCCCAAGTTATTAATATTCAAGAATTAAAATTTGTAAGAAAAAACAAACAAAACAAAAAGAAAAGAAAAGAAAATAATGATAAGCATTTATTTATTTATTTATTTTTATTTATTTATTTCTCTATAGAGTATATTAGCACAATCATGTTTATCACCAGGATTTAGTACATTGATAATGAATTTATTAAGATCAGATGGAAACAAAAAAGAAATTGATGGATATGGAGCTGGAAAGATGTATGAAATATTTACATGTAGATTTTCAAGTGCATTTGAAGGAATGACATTTAAAGAGGCGGCCAAGTTAATTTTTGAAAAACTTGGTATGATTGTATTTGGTGTAGAAATGGTGGTTCAAAAGAAACCCAAGATTAAATTGATCCCAACTAGAGACTATTTAATCAAGGAAACAGACTCTGCTATCCTATTGGCAAAGAACAAAGTTGCAAGTAGAAGAGTTAGAATTTGTACAAAAGAATTTTTACAACAACCTTCATCTCTTTATCAACAACAACAACAACAAAGTCAAAGTCAAGATGAACATGATCAACCTGCTAGTAGTCAAAATTTTAATGTATGTAAAGTAAATTAATATTATATTATATTCATTCCCCATATTAATACTTTATTTAAATTATTTATTTAGATGGACACAAAAGTAATTTGGACATATGAACCAATTACAAAAAGATATATATGTCAATTAAAGTTGACACCAAGAAAACAAAGTGAATTTAATACTAAAAAGCATAGAAAGACGTTACACAAACTAATCATCGAAAAGAAAAAGGAACTGAATCATGACATGTCGGTTCTTCAAACCATTCATCAAACTGAAGTGAGCAATACAATGCCACTCTCTCAACTTTTCCCAAGAGAATGGGAAGAGTCAAATAGTAACAATAGTAATAATAGCAACAATAGTTCAGCTGCTTCTTCAACATCTCCACTTTATCATCATCATCAAAGACAACCATCCAACGATTTACAATCAACCAATTCAACTATAAAACATGATTTTAGTTTTTATGATATTATTAATCAAGAATCAAATACTAGTAGTGCTAATAGTAGTGGAATAGTAGGTGATTCTGGTGAGAATACCGTTAGATCTGATATTCATTCAACCATGACTATTCCAGAACCACCACCACCACCTCCACCAACCAACCTAAATTCAAAAACAATGATTAAACCCAAAAGATTTTGGGCAATTCATTCTCTAGTAGATCAATTATTATCATCTGTTGAAGATATGCATAATATCAACAATCATATCATTTTGGCTGGTAATCCAACCAATGTAGAATTCTTTATACGTCCACTTCGAGAAGACTATCTTCGTAGATATGACCCAATCGTACTTTTAACACCAACACCAATCAAAGAAGAAGATTGGGCTAAAATATGTCGGTATCCAGATGTTTATGTCGTCATTGGTCGTCCATCATCTGTCACCGATGTTAAAAGAGCTGGTATTTCAAAATGTTCAAAGTTTGTAGTACTCAAAGGTGAAGTTGCTGCTCAAGAATCAATCATTACAGACAAGGAAATACTAGTTACAGTATTAGGTATTAAACCTTTAATTCAAAATAATTTAATTTATCCAATTTTTGAATTAAGTATGTAAAAAATAAGAAAATAGAAATAAGATAGAAATAATAATATATTAATAATTATTTATATTTATATTATTATTTAATTTAGTTGATCCAGCAAATATGAGATTTTTTGTTGGTAATGGAAATTGGAATCAAAATGATCCATATTATACGGCACCATCATTTGCAAGTGGAAGTGTATTCCTTAGTGAAACATTTGATTGTTTGTTGGGACAATGTTATTTAAATCGACATATTCTAACGCTGGTTGAATTATTGGTTTCAAAGGCATCGTACAATAATAATAATAGTAATAATAACGATACAGCTGGTAGTCGTACTAAAATATTTCAAGTCGAGGTACCTGAAATGTTTGTCAATCAAAGGTTTGGATACCTTTTTGAATGTTTGGTAGATTGCAATATTTTCTGTCTTGGTCTCTATCGATACGATGAGAAATCATCCAACCATTATGTACATACGAATCCACAACCTTCAACCATCTTATCACAATACGATAAATTATTTATTTTATTAAGAATGCAATAATAATTAATTATAATAAATCAGAAAAGAAGAAAGATCTTTGTGGTATCAAATAATAAATAAATTATAGAGATTGTTTCTATTTTTGAAAGTAACAACAATCCTAGTTGATGTTCAAGTGTAAGTGTCAATCCGGAATATATCCACAACACCCAATTGAATCGGGTATGCAATCAGAACACTGGGGTACCTTTCTCTAAAGATTCTGGTTTGAGAAATTTATTTTTCAAGTGTTGGGGCTGACGCGGCGTTTGGTTGTGCGCACGCACCTCAATTCTTTGTTTGAATCAGAGACCCTTTTTTATTTTTTTTTATTCATTTTTTAAAAACACACACATACGCATTAACAAAGAGAGAATTACTAAAATTCATTAAACCAATACTACATAGATTTATATATATATATATTTATATATTTAAAATAGTTAATTATCTATCGACCTAAAGAGAATAGAATAATTACTTGATTCCAAATATTTTTTAATTTTAAAAACAAGCAACGGATCAAAAAAAAAAAATAGAAAAAATTTGGAAAAACAGAAACTTCCTCTCACACCACCACATTAATAATAGTATCACCAGCTTCAGACACCTCACCTCTCTTAACCATACCTACCTTTTTAGTTTTGTATATAATTCTATTTCTATTTATTATTTATTTATTTAAAATATCATCATCATCTTCATTCATTCGAATACTACGCAGTATACATACATCAAAAACAAGATATACAACAACTTTAATCTACAACCCACAACAACAACAACCAAACGTTTAACCTTTTGTCTTCATTTTTAAAAGATAAGAGAAGAAAAGAATAAATATTAGAAAATAATAGTAATAATACAACAACAACAACAGATAATAATAATCTAATAATGGAAGAATCAAACAAACAAGAATTATTAAAGTTCTTGAATATATTTCAACATTTGGGGATGACTCATTTAAAGACATTGAATGGGTTCTTGCAACGACCTATATCTTCATTGTTGACATCGAGTATTGCCAATACAGCATCTATACCATTATTCGAGGCAGGTGCAATCGATGGAGATGAAGCAAGAAGCAATAGAAAGACTGTATATAACCTCATGCAAACATTGGACAAGGCCAATGAAGATCAAGTAGACACGATGGTCAATCTCGTCACCAAACAGTTACGTCAACAACTAGATCAATCAGATTTGCAATCAGCTGTTCAATTGGCCACCCAACTATCAATCCCACTCGAGTATATCGAAGCTATTGGCAAGTTGTACCAATCGTTCCTTTGTTTCGAGTCGGTATCGGTTCATCTTACCGAAGATCATCTCTCCAAGATTACCGACGCTCTCGTCTCTGTATTTCCACTGTCACCACTTGAAGACCCACAAACTTCACAAACTCTAATGGGTCAAAGCAATACCAACGTCGTTGCCAATAGTCCAGAATCACAACTAAAGATTCAAAACTATATTACCATCCTCCAAAAATTACAACAACTCTTTACCACTACTCGTATCGACTCTATCATGCACTTGCACCAAGAAATCAACAATGGTCACATTCAACAACAACTTCAACTTCAACAAGGTACTTCGTATCACCAATACCTCCACCAACAGATTTGTGAGACTTTGGATCTAAAAAACGACGAGTATTACCTTGCTACTGCCCTCCACTCTCTTCTTCACATTGACGAGTCTAGTCTCATCAGTCTTATTGACAGTTTCCCCAAGTTAAAGTCACTTCAACTTGCTCAACTTGCTCATCTCCCTTTTAAAAATGTCTACGAAGTTTTGGATATGCGTTCAAACCTTTGTTCTCTAACTTCTACCTATGGTTATTTTGCAAATCAACAACAAAATTCTTCACCAAATTATACTTTTCCAATTATTGATCCTACAAAGTAAGAGAAACAGAAAACAAATGTATAATATTATTTTTATGTTTACTTATTTACTTATTTCTATTTTTTAGATCAGTACAAATTAAAATAGTTGAACAACCACCAGAGAAAGCAGTTTATAAGAGAAATGTAAAACCAGCACCATCAGTAATGTTTGATGGAGATTCTAAATTATTGGATGGAAATTATTATGTAGCATGTACATTGTTGAGATGTAATACATTCCAAGAGGAACCAGGATTTTTGATTGGTAACAAGACTACACCATTTGGTAGCAGTAAAGTAGTTACCTTTAAAAAACTTAAAGTATTGGTCACATCTCATCAACAAGGTGAAACACTTTTCTGTTTTAGATTCGATCTTCGTCGTTACCGTAGTGACTATGACACTAATCCAAATGATTTTGAAGTAGTCTCTTCGATTCATTCCAATCCAATCTGTCTCTTGTCTCACTCGACCCAATTAAAACATACTGCCAATGTTGATCTCCCACAAGTTGTCGAAGCTATTCCTCTTAGTGGTACTAGTTCTGGTGGTACTAGAGTAGCTGTACTTGGAAGTAACTTTGCCGATACTCCAGCCACTCGTATCAAGTTTGACAATGCTGAAGTCGTACCAACATTCCACTCTCAGGGTACTCTGTTGTGTTACACTCCCGAACATGCCCCTGGTACTGTTCAAGTACGTGTAAGCAACTCGCCAAAGCACTGGAGCAATAATAGTGCCGTCTATACCTATGAAGATGAACGTACCATTGCTTTGAGAAACGCTAGAGAAGAGACACAGATGAATGTCCCCAAATCATCGTTGGGTATTGATTTCATGTCTACTTTTACCTCTTCGTTTATCATCAAGGGTAGTGATTCAAACATGACCAACTTGCCTAGTGGTGGTGGTGCCATGCGTACCAACTATCCCAGCTCTGGTGGCAATAGATACAATTTGCATGCAACTGATGCCCGTGGATTCGCTCTACTTCATTACCTATCAGTGTTTGCAGAGTCTGATCAAAAGTATGCTGAAATGTTTGTTCAAGTATTGCAAGAGTCATCGACTTGCGGATTATTACATGTTCTCGACAAGTTTGGAAACACTGCTTTGCATTGGGCAACCATCTTTGAGTGTGTAGCTGTAGTTCGTGCGTTACTCGCCAAAGGTGTATCTTCAAACGTACAGAATCTCGATGGTATCACTCCACTTCATTTGGCAGTTGCTGCTGGCAACATTGACATTGCCAAGATGATGTTGTCGACTGGTGCCAACGTCACACTCGGTGACATTGACGGTTCATCTGCTCTCCACTTTGCCGCTACTGCCCGTTGTAACAGTCGTGAATTAACTGCTCTCCTCTTGTCGTGTGGTGCCAATCTATATGCACGTGACGATGAAGACGAGACATCTCTTCACCACGCCGTCCGTAATGGAAGTGGAGAGGTTGTCGCATTACTCTTACAAGCTGCTCACTATTGTGAATCCATCGCTGCCAAGACTGCCTCTGTCTCTTCATATCCATACCAACTTGTTCTGCAAGACGAACCATTCCACTCGCTACAAAATGAAGATGGGGAAACACCTCTTCACATTGCCGCTGCCACCAACAATATCGTTGCCATGGAATTATTGTTGCGTTCAGGTGCTAGATCAGATATTATGGACAATGATGGTCAAACTGCATTACATTTACATATCGAATCTATCAAGAGACAAGAAAATAACAATAATACTAGTCCAATCAACAATCAAGACAATCAAATCATTTTAAATCTTTTCATTCAAAAAAATAATTTTAATCAACCTCAACCAATGATGGAAACCAACAACACCAAAGAAACTATTTATTACAACCCAACCAATCAAGTTTCAAAACAAATTTATAAATATTTGAAACAACAACAAGACAATATCCAAGAATTTAGTAAACAAAATCAATCCAGAATCGACCAACAACAATATCAAACAGTTAATAATCTTTTTCAACAACAATCAATATTTTAAAATATAAATCATAGAATATGTAAATTATCTTTTTCTCTTTTAAAAAAAATAAAAATATCAAAAAAAACAATAAATAATTAAAAAATTAAATCAAAAACAAGTAATAGTAGTTTTATTTCTTTTTCTTTTTATCTCTTTTTAATTCTTCTTCTTCTTCTTCTTCCTCGATATCTTCTTCTTCATTTTCTTCTTTATCCTTTCTTTTTTCTACTTTTTTATCTTTAACTTTTACATTGTCTTTAACTTTGTTACTTTTAATTGAATTTGCAAATAAAATGGTATGAGCCCATCCTGTATGATCACCAAATCTGTCTTTCCAAAGTACTCTTATGTCTTGGTACACCTTTTGAGTTAATGATTTATTTTTCAGTGATGGGAAATGTTTTTTGGAAATGGTCCATATATGTGTATCAATTGGAACAATATCAAATTTATCCAATGAAAATAAACAAACACAATCTGCCACTAGTAAAAATAAATAAATAAATAAGTAAATAAATACAATTATTAATATTCTATTCTATTCTATTCTATTTACCTTTTTGTCCAACACCCATTAAACTAATTAATTCTTTATGGGAATGTTCATGATTTGATGTACGAAGTGATTGTAACCATTGTAATCCACCCTTTTCTTTTACTTGTTGTGCAGCTTTTACAATAAACTTTGATCTATATCCAAATCCCAAATCGTTCAATGATGACTCTTTGATTGTTAATAATTGTTCCAAAGTTGGAAAGGAACAAAGTCGGTGTCCTTGAAACGTTGTAATATGATCACCATAGGTTTCACAAAGTGAATTGACCATTTTAGTGATACGTGTAATATTGTTATTTTGCGAACATATAAAAGAGAATAAACAATCCAACGGATATTGCCTAAGTAATCTTAGACCAATAAATGATGGTGATACTCTAATAAATTCCTTATTTAATGAATGTAATGAAGCATCTTTATCCTCTTCTTCCTCATCTTGTTCGTTTTCTTTATCCTCTTTTGATTCGTTTGTTTCTTTTGTTTCACCATTACTCCAAGTTTCAAAGAGTAAAGGTAAATGATACTTTAAATTAAAGTAATCATTGATGATTGATCTTCTTTCATCTGGTCCAATACTAGTATTATTGAAATTGATACGATTGTTTGAATCGATGAATTGATAGTCAAGGTAGGTGTCCCGTCTTTGAAGTTGAACAGCATGTTTTCCAATAACACCAAGCCATCTTTCATTGTCAGTATTGATGTCTTGATCAGCCGCTGATGCTGATGGTTTAGTTCTCCTCCAAACAAATGATTGTCCCGACAACAATGTCTTGCGAAGATTAAGTGTATTGTTTATCAACTCTATCGATTCCCATTGTTCTTGTTCTTGTTCTTTTTGGCTCATTATAAATGATACTTTTAAATGAGATGTTGTTGTTGTTGTTCTGCTGACAGTTGTTGAATAATAACGTAATGATCGATTTAAAACGTTGATCATCAATCTGTCATTACAATGGTTGTGATGATCATCATCATCACACATACGACCCAAACCAGTTTCGTTTTTCACACAACTTATTATAAATTATACTTTTTACTTGTAAATCATTAAAGTGAGTGAGGAGAGGATATTCGTATTTAGTAAATTAATCATGATATTTAAATATCAAGTTTATTTCTCCACCTCACCGCTGAGATAATTATTAAATGGTTACTGGTTTCTCTCTTTAAAGAGAGATGAAACTACTCTCTCTGCTCTATCCCAGACGGGTAGTAACATGTTAATCAACCAAACAGGAATAGATGCCCATAGGCAGGAGGCAGTGACTCCATTTCATTGCAAAACTCGACGGGAATCAAAGGGATAAAAACTTTCGTTTGAAGAAGAATTGGTCCTGGGGAGGTTAGTTAAAGTATCTCCTATGGGTGGGTTTGAAAATCGGGTCGAGATATTTCCTTTTGCGAAAAGCGATGACATCCCCACAGCTGTTGATTTTTTATTCGTTTTAATCAACATCTCTATAAATTTGCACCATCTTCTTCTTCATTTCATATCATATTATTTATTTATTTATATCTTTACAATTATGTTTAGAATTATTGTATATATTGCTTTCATATTGTCTGTCTTGTCAGCTGCTGCTTATGCTGGTTTCACATGTGCAAAGCCGTAAGTAGATTGACTTGAATCGTATATACTTTGGTATTAACATTTTATCTCTCTTTCTCTTCTCACATATCTAGATGTTATGGTAACGTAAGTATTTGTATTTAATATCAACTAGTTGATCAATAAGAGTGAAGGAGGAAGAAAGGAAAGGAAAGGAAAGGAATTAAAGAAAATGATACTAAATTTATTTTATTTATTTATTGACTTATTACTTATTTATTATCAATTGATTACCCATAATCTAATATCTGATCATGGTTAGATGTGTTGCTCAATGTATGTATTAAAGAAATTTTAATCAAAAATTGCATGTCCAGCATCCTGCTCGACCCGCCAGCATGCTGGTTCAAACACAAATTAATTAAAAGGATTATATGATTCTAATACTCTTCTTTTTCAATACAAATATAATATATATATATATAAATAGTCCAAGCAACAACCAATACTATTTAACTGATTTCTGTGGATCTACCAGTGCTTGTGGACAAGTTCCATCATGCTCTGGAACTCACTATTTCACAGCTGATGCTCAAAGATTCGGTTGTTCCAAGTACCTTAACCTCTGCAATTCATCAAAGAAATGTGTCAAGGCACAGATCTATGATAGTGGACCAGCAATGTGGGTCGAACAGGACGCTGGCCGTGCCATTATTGATGCATCCCCAACGATTTGTCAACTCCTATCTGGTCACAGCAGCTGTGGATGGTCAGACAAGATCAGTATCACTGCCACCCTCACTTCTGCTTTGGATGGCCGTCCACTTGGTCCATTCAACGTCACCAACGAAGAGTATGAAGACATGTTGGTCACTCACGAAATTCTTTTGGAACAATGTGAGGCTGATGGTGTTTGCAAGGTCCAAGAATAAATAAATAAATAAATAAATAAAATAAATAAAATATAACAATAGACATCCAATTCAAGGTATAGGTAAAATTATGATTGATAAATTTACAATCCTATAGAGGATAAACATGTTTATTAAATGAATCCAATATGTGGAGGGGAGGGGAGGGGAATGGAGGTTTTGTTTCAACACTCCTTGTCAAATCCATCAAAAAACCAACAGTATATTTGATTGATTAGTGAGTTGCTGGGGCAGCAGCAGGAGCAGCAGCTGGGGCACCAGTCTTGATAGCAGTGATTTCACCGTCAATAAACTTTAATTGAGCAGTCAAGAGTTCCTTTCTTCTTTCAAGGGCAGCCAATCTTTCAGCAGGTGGTAATCCTAACAACTAATATATTGAATAGAAAAAAAAAAAAAAAGAATAAAAGGTTTGTATTAGTATTTGGTTTCAATTGAGATTCTATATATATATATATAAATATGTGTATTAAGACTTGCTTTATCTTCAATGTATCCACTTGGGTTCTTTAATTTCTTTGCTTTCTTCTCTTCCTTGGCTTTCTTCTTGTCTTCCTTTGGGGACCTTTCCTTCCTTGCCTTCCTTGCCCTCCTTTACCTTCTTCTCCTTGCCTTCCTTGGCATCCTTATCCTTCTTGTCCTTTTTAACTTCCTTTTCTGACATGTTTAAAATTATCTGTATATATTATATGTTTGTGTATATATTTGAATACCAAATGAAGTCAGTGAGGGTATTTATAAAGAAAGTCTGAATATCCATGCTCTCATATTTAATTTAATTAAATTATCAACTTTCACAGAACCCACAAAAAATTCATCATCACCAACCCCAATTCTGTGTTCAAAAAAAATATCTGTTCAATGGTGTCTTTTAAAGTAAAGATCCTTGTACCAAGTTGCTACTTATTATTATTATTATCAAATCATCAACTTGTCGTTTAATTTATTAATAGTTTTCTTGAAACAATATTATAAGTGAACCAAAAAAGGAAAGAAAAGATAGGTCAAAGCTAGATAGATAGAAAGATAGATAATTACAAGCCAATAATTACAAATACATACAAAATGATTGACAAATAATAATTTAATTATTATTATTATTATTATTATTATGACACATCATGATGTGTATTGTGAATGAAATAGATCCAAGAGATGAAGAGAGACAAACAAAAATAATTATTATTATTTTCAACTCACGGCACAAAGTATTATTTTCTTGTTCTGCAGAAGAAGAATTTCGAACCTCGAACCGACAAATCGTCTTTAAAGTATTTCTTCTTCTTCTTTTTTGTGTAAACTATAAACAATATAGATAGATAGAAATAACATGGTGATAGATACAAGTAGATTTAATAAAGAGTCATCAAATGTATTGGGATATATAAGTAATGACTATCCACTCTATCAACAAATAGTAGATGAGATTCAACAAGCCTCAAAGTCATTCGATACAGCTCCAGTAGCCTCTAAACTATACAATGCAATCGTCATTGTCTCTGGTGGATCGGTTAATCGTGCTGCTATCGGTGGATACTTGCAATTGTTGGTTGAAGGAGGTTCAATTATGTTTTATCAATCCTCTGAAGACAACCTTACTCTTGATCTATTATGTAATGGTTTCGTTGATATTGCTTCTTCAAAGTTTAATAATCTTGTATGGAAAGAGAAAGAGAGAAAGAGAGAAGCAATAGACTAACTCATTCATTCCTATATTATATTATATTAGAATTTAACAATTGCAAGTAAACCAGATTGGAGTTCAGGTGTAACAGAATCTATTCAATTAAAATCAGGAGGATGGGGATCAGCAGGTGAAAATGATGTTATCGATGAAAATGATTTATTATCAGAACAAGATAAGAGTTTAAAACCAAAGAGTAAATATATATATATACTCTAGAACATATGACCAACCATATATTTAAGTATATATATTAATTTGGTTTATTTAATTTTTTAGCAACTTTGGATGATTGTGAAGTTGGAGCCAAAGGTAAAAAGGCTTGTAAGAATTGTACATGTGGAAGAGCTGAAATGGAAGATGCAGGAGAAGTAAAAGAAAAACCAAAATTAACAAAGGAAATGATAGAGAATCCAGGTGTTGGTAGTGATTGTGGAAGTGTATGTATAATAGAATGACTGGAAGCAACCTACCTGGTTAGTTTATTAACAATATTAACATAATTTATTTATTTAGTGTTCACTTGGTGACGCATTTAGATGTAAGGGATGTCCATATAGAGGTTTACCAGCTTTCAAGGTTGGTGAAAAGATCGTTTTACCAGACGACTTTTTAACTGACGATATTTAAACAAAGAATAGGAATAGAATAGAATAGAATAAATAGATAGGACCTTAATCCCTGTCACCCGTATTATTACATGTATCACCAAAATAGAATTGATTCTATCCCTGGTTGGCTTTTTAATCGACGTCACGAAGATATCTTTGTTTTTAAAGTCATGACGGAGATATCTTTTTTGGGTGAACAAATATTTCGCTGTTCTTTGAGATAATCAGTTTTATTCGTTTTATGATGATGACTGTGCTTATCATTGGGATAAGCAGCAAACACACCAGGCTGGTTAACGGAATGACGGAATGTGTGAGTGCGTAGCCGTCGTCGGCTCTGGTTTAATACAAGCAACCTAACCCTAACCTGGGTACTTGGTCGATCTTAAACCCCCTCCAATATTAATAATAAAAAATATCTTGATGGCACAGAAACTAATTTAAAAGGGACGATCGTCATCGTTCATCTTTCATTTCACATTCATTTACATTTATCTCTTTAATATATATATATACATATATATCTCTATCTCTCTCTCTTTAGCAAAAGAGTAGACTAGTTACACATCATCATATATATATAGAATGGGAGTTAATAAAATAACCATTTTAGGACAATTAAAAGCTATATTACTACTCAAATTTATACAAGCTATTAGAGACAAGAAGTTTATATTCTCTGGTGTATTAATTCCTGTATGAACTATTATATATATATATATCATAGATAAAGGTTAGTTAATCTATCTATATCTTTCTTTCATTCATTCTAGTTGGTTGGAGTAGGATTATCATTATTATTTAATTTCTTAAACTTTACATCTGGTAGTGATTCAACAGTCACATTTACACCAGTTAACAATGTTAATCTAACCTATAACCCAAGTACATCTCTTGGTGAGACACCAATTATCAATACGATGAAATCAATGTTTGATGTAGACTTTCTTGAAATCACTGAACAACAAATGACCAATGACATCTTTAACTATACATTAAGTGATCAAATTGGAGGTTATTCATTCAATGATACAAAGGATAACCTTACATTTACTCAAACTATTTTTTTCAATTCATCATCTATTATTCCAAATTTAAATCAAAATCTTTATATTTCTATTTGTATGTAAATTAAATTATATAATTATATATCTATATATTTATTAACTCTTTTTTTTTTTTTTTTTACTTTAGATAACTTGGTATCAAATAAAACATTAAAGATTGTAGAAACACTTACACCACTTGGTAGTGGTAATACAGGATTCCAATTATTCCCATTTATTGGTCCTATTCTCATTCAATATACATTTATCTTTTTCGTTCCCTACTTTGCAATCAATATTGTAGTTGAACGATCAAAGGGTATAAAGTATCACTTGTTTTTAAATTCACTCCGTTCAAAGGTATACTGGGGTGGTTATCTACTCGCTGATTTCATTCTTTACCTTGCACCTGCTACTATTGGTTGGTTTGCACTTACCGTTGCCAAAGTCGATGGATTCTACACCAATCCTGTTGGATCATTCTTTTTATTCTTTTGTTTTGGTCTATCTGCCATTCCATTTGGTTATATCATTCAATTTGCATTTGACAAGGAAGATACTGCCAGCAAGTGGTTATATTCATTGGCATCGATTATCAGTACCGTACCATCAACAGTTATTTCATTTGCCGCTCCAAATGGTGTACCTAGAGCTGTAACTGTTCTACTCTCATTCTTACCAGCTTGTTCATTATTTAATGGTTTATCTGATTTGGTTCGTGGTCAAGATACTATCATCACAACTATTATTGTTCAACTAGCAAGTTGTGTCTTATATTTATTTGTTATCTAGTAAGTCAAATTTAAAAATATATACAAAATACATATAATCAAATATTAATTTACTTTTCATTTCTTTTTTAGTATAATTGAAAGAATTAAAAATAGACCATCAAAAGTAACAGTTGATGATGTTGAATTGAATCAAGGAAATACAGATCAAGATGTTTTGGATGAAAGACAAAGAGTACAACAATCTACTCAACCCAATAGTGGTCATAAATATGTCATCACTGTCGATGGTATCTTTAAACATTTTGTTGAAAATCTACCAGATGATAAAAGTGGCTATGAAAAGAAAAGAGTTAAAGCTGCTGTTGATGGCATTTGGTTTGGTGTTGAATCTGGTCAATGCTTTGGTCTTCTTGGTCATAATGGGTAAATATCATGATAAAAGAAAGATGAAAAAAAGAATATTTTATTAATGGTTATTATTATTACAATATAGTGCTGGTAAAACAACATTGGTTAATATTATGACTGGTATTCTAAATTGTGACAGAGGTGATGGTTTTATTGATCGATTCAGTATTTCAAAGGAACGTGAAAGTTCATTTTCATCGGTTGGAAGTTGTCCACAAACAGACATCCTTTTTGACAATCTCACCATCCGTGAACATCTTCAACTCTTTAGTTCTATCAAGGGTGCCTCCAAAGAAGACTCTCAAGTTGAAATCAACTACTTTATCGAAAAGTTTAGAATTGCTGAACATGCCGACAAAAAATCAAAGGAACTTTCTGGTGGTACCAAACGTAAATTAAGTGTTGCTTGTTGTTTAGTTGGTAGTCCTCGTATTGTCTTCCTGTATGCCAAATATATAATTATAAATATATTTATAATTAGACATTATCCTAATTCTCTCTTTCTTTCTCTTTATCTATCTCTAGTGATGAAGCATCAAGTGGATTAGATCCATCAAGTAGACGTCATTTATGGGAAATCATTCAAGAAATGAAACCAGGTAAAGCAATCATTCTCATTTCTCATTCAATGGATGAAGTTGATTTCCTTGCCAATCGTATTGGTATCATGTGTAATGGTCGTCTCAGATGTATTGGTACACCAAGTCATCTTAAACATAAATTTGGTTCAGGTTATACATTGGATATTCAACCTCGTAATTTTTCAGATACTCCAAATATTATAAAGTAAGAAAATACATAAATATTTATAATAATAATAATAATAATTTATATTAATACAATGATTTCCATTTAGTTATATTAAAAATTCATTCCCAGAAGCAGTGTTTATTGAAAAACTTGGCATCATTACCTTTGAATTACCAACATCTGACAACTTTTCATTGGCTAAAATATTTAGAGTATGCGAAGTTGGTAAACAACAAGTTGGTATTGTTGATTTCAATGTTTCAGAGACTAGTTTGGAAAAGGTCTTTTTGAAATTGGCTGTTGAACAATCAAATGCCGAAGACCATGACAAGATCCTAGAAAAAAAGAAACACACAATTGTAGAAAAACTAACACAATGTTATTGTTAATTAGTAATATCAATATCTGTATTATTAATTAATTAAAACTAGAAATAGTTAGTTTTATCTTTTATATCTCCCCTCCCCCTCCCCTCCCCTCCCCAAATTTTAAAAATCAAATTAATTAAATAAATAAATAAATCAACAAACAATTAAACAAATAATCAATTTGATCCATTTATTTATTTATTTATTTTAAATTTTAAGAATTAATTAATCATCATATAGAGAAAGAAAAACGATCAATTCCAAGATGTTTATCAGATAATTTTAGCATCAACAACCAAAACTATAAAATAAATTAAAAAAAAGAAATCAAAAGTTCATATTTTCAATTTAGTTTCTCAAATCATATGATAAATGATCAATAGATAGATCGATATTTAGAGTTTAAAAGAAGAATTTGTAGCAATAGAAAGAATACTACATAACATATGTTTGAAAAAGGATCATCATCATTATCTCCTTTATCATCATCATCAACAACAATAGTTTATAATAATAATCATAAACATTTAATAGAGAAAGAAGAATCACAACAAGAATTTAAAAAAAGAATGAAGACTAAAGTAATACCTATTACACAAATCACAAAAGATCAACAATCATACAACCCCAAGTATTACCATAGTGTAGACTTGGAGGCTATTGACAAGGACACTAAAGAGTTTTATAATGTTGTAGTGGCCATTGGAGACAAAGATAGCACAGACACTGCAACCATTGAAATCACAAAGGTTGAGCAAAAGTTATTTCAAATACTATTGGATGTTGCCAAGGTGAACAATTGCAACACGACACTTAGAGTAGCAGGTGGATGGGTACGAGACAAGCTTCGTGGTGACAATAGTCATGATATTGATATTGCATTGGATAATATGATGGGTGAAGCATTTGCAGCACTCGTAAACAAATACCTAGAGGATCATCATCAAGAAACACATCGTATTGGTGTCATTCAATCAAATCCCGATCAATCAAAGCATCTTGAAACTGCTACTGTTAAAATTTTTGATTCTTGGGTTGATTTGGTTAATCTTCGTTCTGAAACTTATTCTTCAAATTCAAGAATCCCTGAAATTGTATGAAACCAACAAAGATAAATCAATCTAAATTTAAATATATTAATATTATCTACTTTTTAATTTTAGAAAATTGGAACACCAGAACAAGATGCGTTTAGAAGAGATTTAACAATTAATTCATTATTTTATAATGTAAATGAGAATAGAATTGAAGATTTTACTGGAAATGGTATTGTTGATTTGAAATGTGGTATTGTTAGAACTCCTCTTCCACCATTGACAACCTTTTTGGATGATCCATTACGTGTACTACGTTCAATTAGATTTGCAACAAGACTCTACTATGCAATCGATCATAAATTGGTAGAAGCTGCATCAAACCCAACAGTAAAAGAAGCTCTTAAATCAAAAGTTTCTCATGAGCGTATTGGTATTGAATTGGATGGAATGTTAAATGGTCCAAGACCTGATTTGGCAATTCAATTAATTTATGAATTTGGTTTATTTGATCATGTTATTAATATTCCAGATTCAATTGGTATGAAAAAAAAGAGAAACAAAAGACAAATTATTATATTTTACATTTTATTTATTATTATTTTTTTTTTTTAGAAATACAAGATAAAGAATATAAATATAAATCAATATTAAATGTATTAAATATGATGAGATTTATAAATTGGGGAACACAAGCAGAAGAAGCTTCAACTAGAAAGACAAGATTATTGGCAAGTTTATGTGCAAATATTTATGGATACACATTCAAGAATCCATTGAAAAAGAACAAGGATACACCCATTTTACAACACGTCTTGGTAGACTATCTCAAAGTATCAAACAAGGAATGTGATGAAATTACAAATGTTTTGGAATGTGCTAAATTATTTAGACCATTGGTCAATCAATTCTACACCAACCATGTATTTTCTCGAAAGTCTGTTGGTTTGGTAATTTACAAGGCAGGTCCATTTTGGAAAAGTTCATTGGCAATTGCTTTGATTTCAGAATTGCCAGAATTTCAACATAATCTTGTATATCCCCTTCACAAGGAAGAAATTAATAATTCTCCATCTCATGATTTTTATCTTCATCTTTCACATCCTAATCATCATCATCCTCCTTGTAAGTTGCTTAAATAATTATTAAATAATAATTAAATAATAATTTTTTTTTTTTTCCCTTTTTTATAGTATGTGATGAATCAAAGGATATTGAAATTAAATATGATCAATTTTGTGCTACAGTAGCAAACCATGATTTGGTTGGAGTTTGGAATATCAAGAAATTATTAAATGGTAAACAAGTGATGGATATGCTTCAAAGAAAACCAGGTGAATGGTTGACACCACTATTACAAGATGTATTTGAATGGCAACTAGATAATCCTCAACTTGGTGAAAAGGAATGTAAAGAATATGTATTATCAAAATTCTCTCCTAAATAGAGAATAAAAAATAATAAAAAAAATAATAAAAAAAATTAAAAAAAAATTAATTTGAGCACTTTCGTTCGTTTTTTACTAGTAATTAAAGAAGAGATACTTTTACTTTACAGTATTATCAGATAGAGTAATAAAGAATGGTTCATACATCAAAACATAAAGAAAGATCATTTGAAGAGACTAGTAGAGGTTCATTAGTTCAACATGATGGATCAAGAGAAGAAAGACATAGAATTTTAGCTAAATCATTTCCTCTTAAATTAGCAATGTGGGTATGTAATGTACATGTGTACACTGCAGCGTACACAAACCTATATATACGTCAATAACGATGATCTAACTGATTACATCTTTGTAGGATTTCGGTCAATGTGATAGTAAGAAATGTACAGGTAGAAAATTAGAAAGATTAGGTTATGTTAAATCAATCAATTTAACAAACAAGTTTAAAGGAATTGTATTAACGTATGTAAAGTAGAGAATTGCAAGTTAAAGTGTTTATATTAACTTTTTTTTGATTTAGACCATCAGGAACTCAATCAATTGCACCATGTGATAGAGAACTTGTTCAAACACTTGGCATTTCAGTGGTTGATTGTTCATGGGCAAAATTAGATACAATTCCATTTGCAAAGATGAAAGGTGGACATGATAGATTATGTATGAAATTTATTCAATTGATTTAATATTTGTTATTAACAAATACCTATACTCTCTTTTTTCTAGTACCATTTTTAATTGCAGCAAATCCAGTAAATTATGGAAAACCATTTAAATTGACATGTGTAGAGGCTGTAGCAGCTTGTTTATATATTACTGGCTTTGAAAAGGAAGGCCATCAAATTCTTGGAGGATTCAAATGGGGTCCATCTTTCTACTCGGTCAACAAGGATTTGTTTGAGAAATACTCAAAGTGCACAGATAGCAAAGAAGTGGTCACTGTTCAAAACGAGTTTATCAAAAAGTGTGAAGAAGAGGCTTTACAAAGATTAACCAACCTAAATATTGTAGACGATGAATTTGGTTTGGCTATAAATCCAAATAGAAAATTCAATCAAATTGAAGTTGAAGATGAAGAAGATGATGATTCTTCAGAAGATGATGATGAAGAAGATGAAGATGATGAAGAAGATGATGGGGAAGAGGAAGAAGAAGATGAAGAAGAGGAAGAAAATGAAGATGATGATGAAGAATCAGAAGAAGAATCAGAAGAAGAAATAGATAGTGAAGAAGAAAAAAGACAATATAGAGAAAAGAAAGAACAACAACAACAAAAAAGAGAACAAAGAACACAACAAAAAGCAGAACAAAAACAAACAGCCAAACCAGCAGCTGCAACAAATAGAAAAAAGTATGGAAAATAATAAATAAATAAATAAATTGTTTTGTGTGATTTTTGGGAATTTAAAATATTTATTTTAAAATATTATTGCGACCATATATATAAACTATAATTATATATTATAATTTTTGTTTTTTTTATGGTTCGATACGACGTGGATCTCTTGGGAATAAGGAAGTCTTTCTAATGTTACCAAGACCCATGTAAAGCATGACAACACGTTCAAGACCAACACCACCACCAGCATGTGGAGATGCACCAAACTTGAAAGCATCGATATAGGCTTGGATTGATTGAATGTTGATACCGTGATTCTTGGCAGATTCCTCCAACATGACAGCATCATGGATACGTTGAGCACCAGAGCAGATTTCTTCACCACGCATAAAGAGATCGTAGGCATTGGCCAACAAGACATTGTTTGGATCTGGCATTGTGTAGAATGGACGAGCGGTACGGTAAAACTTGTCGATAATGTAAAAATCGACGCCATACTTTTCCTTGATGATCTTGCCAAGACGCTTCTCTTGAGAGGTGTTGATGTCGTTATCTACGACTTCTTCTCCAATCTCCTTGAGGAAAGCAGCAGCTTGGTCAAAAGTGAAACGTGGGGATGGACGAGTCCACTTGAATGGTTCATAACCATATTGTTGAGAGATAATGTCAATCTCCTTTTTGAAACGGGTCTCTAAACCTTCAAAGATCGAGGTCATCAAATTGTCGAGTTCGTCCAAAACTTCGTGATAGTGTTCACGGAAAGTCATTTCAATATCCAAACCTACAAACTCGGTCAAATGACGATGGGTGAATGAGTTTTCAGCACGGAAAACTGGACCAATTTCAAAGACACGCTCCATATCGGCACAGATAGCCATTTGCTTGTAGAATTGTGGGGATTGGGCGAGGAAGGCGTGAGTGTCAAAGTAGCCCAACTTGAATACAGATGCACCAGACTCTGAAGCAGAGCTAATCATCTTTGGTGAATGGATTTCAACAAAGTCACGTCCAACCAAATATTCACGGAACAATAAACCAACGGCCGATTGAAGCTTAAAGATGGCTTGGTGGGCTGGTACTCTAAGATCCAATACTCTATTGTCTAATCTCTTGTCTTGTGATACTTCGACATACTTTGAAGCTTCTGATTTCTTCTTTTCCAATTCTTCCTTTTGTTTTTCATTAAGACTTGTATTCTTTAATTCTTCTGATAATTTTGCAATTACCTTGTCCTAAATAAATAGAAAAAAATAGAGGTTAAAATTATTTGTTCCTTTTTCTTTTTCTTCTTCTTTTTCTTCTTCTTTTCTTTCTTACTTGTTCTTCAAGAATATGAATTGGTCTTGAAAGATCTTCAAGTTGTAATGGAATAATGTGAGCTTCAGAGACTACGAAAATAGAGGTGATATGTAATTCGACATCCTTTTGAGAGCAAGATTCGATTGGCTTTGGTACCTTGGAGATGGTACCTTGGACATCGACGATGGATTCCTTGGTGATGGAACCAGCAAACTTGACCATAGACTTGGAGTTTGAAGCATTCTTGGCCAAAACACCTTGAACGGTAAAGAGGGTGTCTCTGAGGGTCAAGAAACACAAGTTGGCACCTTGGAGACGTGATCCGTGTACACGAGCTCTAATTAAAACCTTTTGAGTGTCCTTTTCGATAGTCAAGTCTTCAACACGAGTGAATACCTTTCCTTCACGTGTTTGTGATTGAACCAATGGAGCCTTACCAAAGTTGTCACCACTGGTGGCACTGTCATCCTCTTCAACCTTTTCAACCTTTTTGGCTTGTGGTTGAACTTGTTTTTCTGCCTTGAAAGCTGCCTTTTTAGCATCCTTTTCAGCCTTCTTTTGTTCCTTCTTTAATGCGCTAGAAAAAAAGAAAAGTATAATAAACAAAGTAAGTATACTATAGTAGTAGTTTTTGAAAAGAGTTATTATTTATCAAAGAACTAGAATCTATGTCGTTTGATGAATATATATCTCTATATAATATTGTAAAGAAGGGGAAACCAACCTTTTGCTCTTTTCAGCATCAGCAGCTGCATTTGTATTTTCAATAGTTGACATTCTGTTGTTGTTGTACTGTAATACTACTTGATACTATATCTAAATGTTGAGTAATTAAGGTGTCATTTGATGTTCGGGTTCAACGATCATTGAAAAAAAAACAAAAATAAAAAAAATAAATAAATTATGCTTGGGAGAGGAACAAAGTAAGAAATCAATATGTGTTTCCTTCTTTTTGGGAAACATTAAATATATAATTATGAGTTTTGTTTGTTTGTTGTTATATATCTTTATGGTTGTTGTATTTTTATATTTATTTATTGAATTGGTTTAATCTGGATAATTTTAAAATGTGATAATGAACAAATGAATTAATTATTATTAATATATATATATTATGTAGACGGATGATCAATTTGTTTAAATGTTATAATTACCTTAAAGTGTAAACCTATCAATGAAAATACAAGACATTTGATATCTTGAATCAAATAGAAAAATACCTTTAATCCTTCTGGATCTTTACTCTTTTCAACTTCCATCAATGATCCAATTTTTGTTGTCTGTTGTGAAAGAAATAAATGATATTAATATTAATATCACAATTTCTAATAATATTATTGTTGTGACAAAGGTTTCACTTACAGTAAATGAAATGTGTTCGTTATTTAATACAATTTCCAATTCTTGTTTACCAACTACATCTGGTTCAGGCCATAACTTGTCGTCTTCTTGCATGACACCTGATTCTCCAATCATCTTTATCAAAACTTCTAAAACTGCTTTGCTTACAGTGACTAATATTATCGATATATCATTGTTGTTAGCTTTAAACCATCGTACAATCGTATAATCTCTCTCTCTATCTCTATCTATTTTTGCTTACCTTCTTTTCTAATGATTTGTTCACTTTTGTATCTAGAGTTATTTGCGTATCTTAACTTTCCTCCATTACGGAATTCAAGCTCCAAGAATTCATGACCAAACTTTCCTTTATGTCCAATACTTTTGATTCATTAATTGATTGATTGATTGATTGATTGATTGTTAAAAGTTAGTATCATCATATGATTCTTTGATTCATTCTTTCTGTGTTATTTACAACACAACATTGCAATGTGATGCCTAACATACTAATATCTCATATAAAAGTCTTCTGTTGGATCTTTCTTTGGTGTATCAACAACGATAGCATCACCAGTGGTTGTTGATTGTTCAACTGTTATTTCATCTTTGTTTTCTGTTTCCATTTCTCTATCAATCTATCTGTATTTGTGAATCGTCGCGTAGTATTATATTTATCTTTCCTCTCTCTTTACAAACAATAAATAAATATGATTTAATAGAATAATATACAATGGATTGAATCAACTAAACTAAAGATAGATAGACAGATCTTAAGGGTGTTGTAGTTCTATGGCTCTTTGAATTTTCGAAAATTTTAATTTAATTTGAACACAGAGGTGCTTATTCGTTTTTCGGAGTTGCATTATCACTTCATTTCATTCTTTAATCTACACATATACATAAATATAAATAGAAAAAGTAAATAAGATCTACTTTATAGAGACTATTAAAGTATATTAACTTGTTGTTTATATATATTTCTATGTAGATGACTCAATGGTTTCCAGAACATAAACCAATTTATGATTTAAATAAGAGTTGGGAATACAATTTAGAGAATGGACCATTTGTAGAAGGGTTTGTAAAGCAAGAACGTAAATGGGCACCAAAGGAGAAGTGGATTGACTTTTTAGGTGTTTGCAAGGTTGCTTCACCGTTGGGTGTACCTGCAGGACCATTGCTCAACTCTGCTTGGATTGATTTTGCTGCACAAGCAGGTTTTGATATCCTCACCTACAAGACTATTAGATCCAACCCATATAACGGACACGCAGTCCCCAACATTGTCTATATCGACGTTGAAAAGGGTCACCAGTTTAGTGCTGCCGACTCGGGCATCACCGTCAAGACATCGCCAACCACCCCAACCGATATGGACTCGTTGTCTATCACCAACTCGTTTGGTATGCCCTCCAAAGACCGTGAATACTTGTTACAAGATATCAAGAAAGCTAATGGTTTGTTGGCAGATGGACAAGTCATGATTGTATCGGTGACAGGTACATCACACTCGGCACACGAGTTTGTTAAGGATATGGTCGATGTTGCTAGAATCGCTGTAGAGGCCGGATCAAAGGTTGTAGAGGTAAATTATAGCTGTCCAAACGTTGTGACTGGTGAAGGTCAAATCTACAACAATCCAGACCAAGTCTATGAAATCTCAAAGGCTTTGGTCTCAGAGTTACAACCACACAACATTCCACTCGTCATCAAGGTTGGTGTACTCGAAGACAAAAACAAGATGGAAAAGCTTATGCTTCAAGCACACCGTGCCGGTGTCACTGCTATTGCCGGTATCAACACCATGTCGATGAAGGTTATTGATCGTGACACCAACGAACCTGCACTCGGACCAGGCAGACTCTCAAGCGGTGTTTGTGGCGCTCCTATCCGTCAGACTGCCATCGACTGGATCTCCCAAGCCCGTCAAGTCATCGACCAACACAAACTCCCTCTTCAACTCATCGGTTGTGGTGGTATTGTCCAACCACAACACTTTGACGACTTTTTAAATGCTGGTGCCAACTTTTGTACAAGTGCTACTGGTCTCATGTGGGATCCATATCTTGCTTTGAAATGGCATAATATGAAAAATTAGAGAATGAGAGAGGCAAACATAAACATAAAAGTAAAGTAATTAAAAAAGACAAAACAGAACAACAAAAGTTTTATTTGTACATTTTTCTTTTTCTTTTTTTTTTTTTAATTGTTTAATAGATCATCATCATCACTACCAAATTCAATGATGGGAGCATCTTGAACAGATGGTAGGACTAATGGATATTGGAGACGGGTAGCAAGATTACGATAGACAAATGATTGACGGTTGGTAGGTTGATATTTGAGTCTGATAGGATTACGATTTGGACTAGAGTAGATGAACTTTTGTCCTGGTTTACACACCAAATCACCTTCAATGTCTACTGGGAGGGGAGCTACGATACAGTTGACAATGACATTGACGTTACCAATGGATACACTGATAGTGGTTGGATCTCTTGCTCTTGGTTGCAACATGAATCTAATGCCTGTCAAGTCTCCGATAATGTTGAAATTGTTTTCTTGAATTGGTTTGATTGTAGCAACATAAAAGCCGACATTGACGAGACCGGTTGTGACAATACATTGAGCCGATCCTTTAGTACCATACACTGTAACGTGGATCTTGAATGGACCACCACCACCAATAATTTGAAGAGCTTGTAGACGAATCTCTATACTTTCACTGTCTGAAACAGATGGAGTCTTTTTACCGGAACTAAAGGTCAATACTCTTGAAGATACAATATCAATTAAATCATAGGAATAGGTAGGTGCTTCCATCAATTCAATACTATCAGTCTTGTAAAACCAAAATGTCTTGGTATCTCCATTGTTTAGTTGGATGGGTGGTAATACTCCCGATCCTGCAATCGATGTTGTCCATCTCAATGATTCTGGATTTTGATAATATGGTAATATTATATAACATGTCATTGACATGTTACCAATTTGCATAAAATAATCTGGTGCTATAAATATTAAATAATAATAATTAATTAATAAATATTATTCTTTTTCATTGTTTCTATTCTAATAATTACCAGGTTGACCAGTAGTTTTTTCAATATAATAAAGATATTCAGTAATTCTCCAAAGTTGATGAATTAATCCACCACCATAAACAGCCCAAGTTTTTGGGATTAGGTCATAGATTAGACCCAATTGTGGTTCGATTGGGACTGGACGAAGATCAACTGATTGTGCCCATGAAGAAAAGGTATTCTTTCCAAACTTGTCGGGAGAGAATGCACCTGGACTACCACCTTCGGTGATGATGGTAGAGTGTTGACTGTTTGATGAGAATTCTTGACGTGATTCTTGTGATACTGAATTGTCGTAGGATCCAGATCCACTGGCACTGACCGACCCAATGGGTGCCGATGCATGGACTGATAGTGACAACTCTGCATTTGCTTGTAACTCACTTTGAGTGGTGGTCGATGCATAGTAATTGGATACAATGGATACCATCTTTAATGTTCCACCCATTACTGCACTCTTGATGTATGCAGTACCGTACTTGATCATGACTGCTTTCATCTTTTCGACAGAGTTGGCTTGAACGAGATCCCTAAGGAATAAATGGTGTAGTTTGATATCACTCTCGGTGAGGATGACTTTACTTGTCGAACATTTGACTTCTGATACGATAAACGAACCTTCTGATTCTTGTTCATGTTGTGATGCCATTTGAACGGATTGGTCTTGTGAATAGGCTGCTGAAGCTCCGACAGAGTATCCCCAGAATCCACCAGATGCAGATGCAGATAGAGATAGACCAGATTTGATTGCCATCTCTGATGCAATTGAACTTGATGTTTCGTAGAATGTCGATTGACTAGAGTAGGTACATTTTGGTGCTGGTGTACCACTCAAACCATATGGAATGGTATAGACTAGACCACGATAGAGATCGTGTACAGTAGAGAATGGTTCATCCTCGCAATACCCAAAGTTAAAGATACGAGTATCTTTACTCTTTCCAGTTAGAATATCAACACCATGTCCAAACACATCAATACCTGGTAAAGCATACAAGTATTGATTGTTTAACAATGATCCGAGTAATTCATTGGTTTTGTAGATTGGATCAATCTTGGTTGGTGGAGCCAATTCCCTACAAGTCTTTGTCAATTCCATAAAACAATCAAATGGACATGCATGTGGTGAATCTTCATTACAAGCTCCATCACCACAAGATGGATGAACGTTTTGTAAATCAAAGTTGGATAAATCGGTACTACCTCTTCCTTTATCCTTTGGACAATAAAACTTTGAATTTACATTGGCTTCATTTGAATTATAAATATTATCTCCACATTCTAAAAATAAATAAATAAATAAATAAATAAATAAATAAATAAATAAATAAATTATTAGTATGATGTTATTTAATAATAAATTAATCTTTTTGTTTTTTTTAACTTTCTTACTATTAATTGAATAAAATGATTCAAAGTTTAAATATTTGTTATTGATTTTTTGTTTGATTGAGAATGAACTGTTTGGATTAACTGGATTACAATTGAAATCAACTTGAAAGATAGAGGCGGTGGAAGTGTTGGAGATTCTAAGAAGATATTTGTAGTTTCTAGATGGACCTTCAACAATGATTAATTCCCTTTTACCATTGACAATGAGGACTATGGAGCAAGAGGTGGCTTTGATGAGCAGATGGTTCTCGTTGCTTGTTGGCTTGGCGTAAAAGATGAGGTGACCGTACTTGATGGTGGACGATGCTGGGATTTGAGCAAACTCGACCATGAGGTGTGGTCTTGTGGTGAGGGGGATGGGGGTTTGAGGTTCATAGACCAACGAGGTGTTGGGGTAGGTACACGAGCAGTCATGGGGACAAGAGAAACAATCCTCATTGATTGGATTACATATAGTGTCATTGTCACAGGCACGGTCTGTCGATGGTGGATGGATACGTTGGTAGGCTTTAAGTGCAGTCTCACCGAGAACAGCTGTCACGGCATCAGCACAATTAAACCAAATGGAAGATGGAGGTTTACGGCAATTCTCAGTAGAGGCACTACCACATTCAACAGTGACACCAGTTCCAATCGATGACAGTTGGTCAGATACCAATGAAGATGAAGGGCCATTGAGGATGATTCGGTGTGTTGGATATCCGTAGCATAGCAAATGAGTGGACTGCAAATGGAGTCTTGAAGATTGCACGTACACCATGTCACTGGTCGATTGAGAGATACTGGCATGGACCATAGATCTAGTGAGATGGGCAGTCGAGTCATCACCAAGATACAACGCAGCTCCCGTAGCAGCCTTGCAATGTGCAAAGATGGTGTTGACCGTTGTCAAAGTAGCTCCTTGTACCACCGACACACCTCCTCCAACATTTTGTTGACATTTATAGATCACAAATCCAGTAAGTTTAAACTTGGTATCAGGACCCTTCACCAAGAATGCTCTTCCACTTTCTTGACAGTTCACTACTGCCATTGTATCCATTTTACCCAAATCTTGAACATTCTCTGTCATGTGATCATCTCTTGCTGGGTTAATTGTTCTAAAGAGAGAGAGAGAAAATAAAAGGGATTAATTAATTAATATATGTCTTTGACAAATAAATTAAATTGTGTACATACGATATAGATAAAGATATTCCATTTGATATCTCTAATTCTTTATTCTTTACACCAGAATAAATACCAGGTGCTACCATAATAGTAGCAGATGTAACACCTGATTCAGTTACAGTATCAATAGCATCTTTTAAATTACTAAATGATTGTGAAGCATTTCTTCCACATGCATATAAACATTGTGATCTATAGTCTACATAGATTGTAAACTGTTGTTGTTGTTGTTGTTGTCGTGTTGTAAAACTAGCTAGATTGTTTACATCAGAGAACTGATGTGATTGTACAAGTCCAAGTTGACTAATTGATAGGACTAACAATAAAACACTGAATAGTATCATAGTGTTTGTGTTTGTCCCCATCTTTGTGAATTTTTCTCTCTCTTTTTTTTTATGTGTGTTAATTTTTTTAGGAGGAGGGGATTTTAATAAAGTGATTCAAAACCCAAGACCTTTGATCACTTTGTCAATGACCATCAAGAAAAGAGTCGGTTAATTTAATTCATTTTAATTCAATTTAAATAAATATTGGTGTTATTACAAATATCTTCCTCTTCTTCTTTTTATAACCAAAATAATAATATTAATAAGAATTATGATTTTTGGGATAGTTTGGTTTTTATGGAAATATTATTATTATTTATTTATTTTTTGTAGTTATTTGTTATTTTTATTTATTTAGAGGTCAAGATCTGAATCTTGATCATCACCACCACCACTAATAATTGGGTCATCATTATTAACACCTGGATGAATTAATTGATCAACTTTGAAACGTTGAGAAAGGTTACGATAGGATGTGGCGGTGAGACGGTTGGATGGATCATAGAGTAAAGTGATTGGTCTCATGTTGGCAAGTGCATAAATGTACTTTTGACCTGGATAACAAACCCTGTCTAGAGGATTTGTGTTGGCCAGGCAATGTTGGATGACATTGATATTATACAATGTGATTTGCATTGAATTGGGGTCTTTGGCTCTTGGTCTAATTGATAGACGGATACCTACCAAATCACCGATATTGTTGTTATTGTTTTCTTCCATTGGATTGATTTGAACGGAATAGTAGGGCGAGTTACGATGGGTACTGATGGTTTCACTGTACTGGCTAGATCCTCTAGTTCCATAGACAGTGATGTGGAATCGATAGGGTAGCGTGGGCTTTGAAGCAATCAACACGTAAAATCGGATTTCTATTTTAGCTTCGGGTGGAGTTGGTGTGAGAGCTTGTGGAGCAAATTGGAACATTCTAGAAGACACCAAATCAACGAGGTCAATTGAATATGCCGATGCCGTAAGCAACAAGATTGGTTCAGTCTTTGCAAACCAAAATGTAATAAATTGTTGAGACTTTATACGTATCGCATCGGAATGTTCCCATGGATATTGTCCCATCTTTACATAGTTGCTTTCATCCTTTGGTGAATCTGAGAATATAACATAATTGGTAACTGGATAATTAAGATTATCTCTAAGTCCCATTAAATTAATTTCTGGATCTAAAATAAAAAATTAAAAAAATAATTATTAATAAAAGATGTCGTATTATTATTCTTTGTTTTTTTTTGTTTACCTTTTAAATTTGTAACTTTGTTTAAGAAATAAATATATTCAGTAATTTTCCAAAGATCGTGGATTGTAATATTTGGATCGGTTGGGAATCTTTGATAGACTTTCCAAGTTTTTGGGATGAGATCAGAGACGAAACCAAATTGCGGGTCGATTGGGACTGGACGAAGATCGACTGTTTCAGCCCATGAAGAAAAGGTATTCTTGCCAAACTCATCGGGAGAGAATGCACCTGGACTACCACCTTCGGTGATGATGGTAGAGTGTTGACTGTTTGATGAGAATTCTTGACGTGATTCTTGTGATACTGAATTGTCGTAGGATCCAGATCCACTGGCACTGACCGACCCAATGGGTGCCGATGCATGAACAGATAGTGACAACTCTGCATTTGCTTGTAATTGACTTTCAGTGGTGGTTGATGAATATTGATTCGATACAATGGATACCATCTTTAATGTTCCACCCATTACTGCACTCTTGATGTATGCAGTACCGTACTTTTCCATAACTGCCTTCATCTTTATGATGGTAGTTGCCTTGACGAGATCCCTAAGGAATATGGGATGGAACTTGGTATCACTCTCGGTGAGGATGACTTTACTTGTCGAACATTTGACTTGGGATACGATAAACGTACCTTCTGATTCTTGTTCATGTTGTGACGCCATTTGAACGGATTGGTCTTGTGAATAGGCTGCTGAGGCGCCAACAGAGTATCCCCAAAATCCACCAGATGCAGATGCAGATACTTGTAATCCCGAACGCATTGCCATCTCTGATGCAATTGAACTTGAAGATTTGTAGAATGTCGATTGACTAGAGTAGGTACATTTTGGTGCAGGTGTACCACTCAAACCATATGGGATGGTATAGACCAGACCACGATAGAGATCGTGTACAGTAGAGAATGGTGTATCCTCGCAATACCCAAAGTGTAAGATACGAGTATCCTTACTCTTTCCAGTTAGAATATCAACACCATGTCCAAACACATCAATACCTGGTAAAGCATACAAGTATTGATTGTTTAACAATGATCCTAGTAATTCATTGGTTTTGTAGATAGAGTCAATCTTGGTTGGTGGAGCAATTTCCCTACAGGTCGTTGTCAATTCCGAGTGACAGTCATACGGACATTCTTGTGGATTATCTTCATTACACATATTGTCACCACAAACTGGTTGAATACTTTGACTTCTAGAATCAATCGCATCTTTATCTTTTGGACAAAAGAATCTTGATGCATAATATGATTCTTGATAATTATAAATTCCATCTCCACAAACTATATAGAGAAAGAGAAAATAAAAAGAAAATATAATTAGTTTATCATTTCAATACTTTTTTTTTACTTTCTTTTACGTACTATTCATTGAATAAAAAGCATCTAAATATTTATATTGATCATCTATGGGATCTCTATACTTTATAGAGAATGAACTATTTGGATTATTATCATTACAAGTAAAGTAGACACGAATCTTGGCTGGAAGTGGACTTTCAATGAGGTGAAGGTTGAATTTATAGGCTTGATAGGCACCCTCGACAATTGAGAATTCAAGTTTTCCATTCATCATGAAATCCAGTTTACAAGAGTCTGCTTCAACCATGATACGATTCTTTTGGTGCTTTTGACGAATATATGCCTCAAGATTTCCAAATTTCGGTGCTTGTGGATAGACATGTGGACGATCAATCATCTTGAATCCCTTTGGATAGGCACCTTGACTAAGTAGATACGAGTTTGGATGATTACATGAACAATCGGTTGGGCAATTAATACAATCCTCTTGTGCAATATCACATATAGCATTATGATTACATGTTGATGCAGTTGATGGTACTCTTAACATTATTGGTGATTTTAATATAATATCATTACTTATTGCTAAAAAAAGAAAAATAAAAAAGAAAAAAGAATATTAATATTTTGATTATTTGTTAATATTAATTATTTAATATTTCTAACATACTAAGAAGAGTTTCAAATGAACAATCATATGACATAACTTTTGGTATATGACAAATAGATGCGTGGCATTCAATAATACTTGATAAACCAATAGATGAAACATCATCAGTTATAAAGGAGGCGAGTTGATATGGTAAATGACCAATATAGGCACGTTGGTTTCCAGAGTTGTTTGGGTCACATGGAATATGTGATTGTAGGAAATGTACTCTGGCAGAGTCAACCTCAAAGACTGGTGATCTAACAGATGCACCATTACCAAAGAACAATGTCTTTGTAAGGTATGCAGTACTGTTACCTTGGACATACAATCCACCACCATTGACTGCCATATTATTGGCTATAATGACATTGGCTGTTGTCAAGGTGGCACCTTCGATAACCGATATACCACCACCTCGGAGATGATGACCATTGACAATGACAAACCCAGTAAGCTTTAAATGAGTTCCTTGTCCTCTAACCAAGAATGCTCTACCACTACTTTCACAATCAATAAATACCATTCCCGATATACTACCAAATTGTGTTAATGTATTTGGTTTACTATCTTGATGTCCTATTATTGTTCTTGTAAATAAAAAAAAGAAACAAAAAAGAGAGATAAGTTAGAAAAGCTAAAGAGTACTTTAGAAAGTATATATTATTATTATTATTACATACGATATTCTTAATGATAAACCATTTGATATATCCAATTCTTTATTCTTTACACCAGTGTATTGACCAGGTTCAACCATGATAGTAGCAGATGTAACACCTACTGCTTCTTTGATAGTATCAATAGCATCTTTTAAATTACTAAATGGTTGTGACACATTTCCACATGCATGTAAACATTTTGATCTATAGTCCACATATATAGTAGACCCAGATAATAATAATTGATTGGTTGTAGTAGTAAATGATGCTATAGTATTAACATTACTATTATGACTATGACTATCATCATCATCTTGACCAAATATTAAACTTGGCAATAATAAAGTGATTATTAAAAAAATAAATAAACTATGTGTGTGTAGTTGTAGTTTCATTATTATTTTTGTTAATGTTTATCTCTCTTCTACTATGGACGTACACACACACAAACATGCATGTTCTTATGTAATGTACAACTAAACTAAACTAGACTATTATTATTATTACGACGACGGAAGAATATCAACAACAAGAGAGAAACACAAAACAATTAAACGTTTGATGGTGTCATTACCGCCGTGATTTTAGCTCTTCAACGAAGGTACCCTTGACACCTGTACCACCAATCAATCATTATTATTATTATACCCGCTATGTAATATCTTTGCGGTAGTCTATTATCAGACGAAAGAACGTGTAAATAATGGGTAGGTAGTTGTGCAATCTGGCTAGCCATTTGGATGATCAAAATTATGAAACTTGGTCAGTGGGTTTGATGCAAATTGAATCGACACCCTTTTCAAGCAGTTGACGATCATGTGATGGGTTGCCGCCTTTTTAGAGCACGTCAAAGCTGCTTGACCACACAGGGAACGACAGTGTGATATTCGCATGAATGGCACGTGCATCACATTAAATGGTTCTCCAACCGACACAACTACCTTCCTACGCCCTAAATTGGCGGGTATGATCACACCATCGTTGTGTTTAAAAGATATTAACACCAAACACCATGTTCCTCACAAGAGGATACACACACAAACAAGACCAACATCATCCATCATCAACTACAATTAATATTTCTTTACAAAGAGAAAAGAGAATAGAGAGATAATAATATCAAGATGAAGCTAAGATATATACTTTTAATATGTATCTTGCAACAATTGATCTATTGTTCATATTCTACTAGTATGTGTAACAAAACATAAGAACTGATATCTATTTCTATCTTGTCTCTAACTATTATTTCTTTTTCTATTTCTATTTAGGAACATTTTATTTACAACAACCAGGATTTGAACCATGTCCATCAACAGTAACATGTGGAGAAAGAGAAGAATATCCATTTAGTAGTATATCTGAAGCACTAAGAGAAACAGCAAAATATGCAAATGAAAAGAGAGTATTTATGTTTGGCAAGGGAGAGTATACGGGTGCCGACAATTTCGATCATCACATCAATGGAGGAGATGTAGAATTTATCAATCCAACCTTTGACGTTCGTACAGTGATTATTGAATGTTCATCAGTCTATCCACCAGTGTTTACCGTGACCAATGCATCGTTTGTTTTGCGTGACATTACCATCAAGTATTGTGGAGGAGCCTTTGCCCCAGTAGTCTTTGAAAACTCTGTTGGTACACTTACCAACGTCCAATTTGACTATACCACCGGTAGTCTTGCCACATCTGTCTATGTAGGTCAGAAAAGTTCGGTACAAGTGATTGGTGGTCGTTACAATGCCGGTATCTATCCAACTCGTCCTTTCATCCGTACAAGTGGTCACTCAGAACTTGATATCCTCCAACTCAACAGTAGTATGTTGGACATGTCAGTTACCAACTATCTCCAACTCGAACAACCAATGGTCATTTGTCAAGACTCTCGTGTCACTGTAGACTCTTCATCGTTTGCTCGTTACTCTTGTCAATCTGGATGTAGTGTCATTGCCACTAGCACAGGTACCAATATTTGTCCCATCTATTACAGTGTACCAGAACCAATATTCAAGTATGAAGGTGTTGGATCTACCTATCAATGCATAGATACCAAATGTGGTGATCAGAAATGTGATCCATATGAAGTATTTTTCTGTAGTACTGATTGTCCCAACACCATCTTTGAAGGATTGACACCTGGTTTCTATACCGAGACCTTTTTCTCTACCAATTGTCGTGCCTCTATCGAAATTATTGGTGAACCAGTCATCAGCGACTTTTTAAACGCCTATCCCGAAGGTTATGCCACTCTCTTTGCCTACTTTAGAGTTCCATCATCCAAGGTCTACCAATTCACAGCAGAATCCAACGATATTGAAGCCGTCATTGAAATTGACAATGCTCAAGTCTATCATAGTTCCGAAGAATCCTCCAATGGTTCACCTGCAACCTTTGAACGTTTTATTGAAGGTCCAGTCGTCCATAGTATCAAAATTACCCTATTTACTAAACCATTTAGTAATTTACGTTCATTTTCTTTAAAATCTGATAAATCTATTAATTATTTTTATTCAAAAAATAGTAAGAAACAAATAGAAAAAATAGAAATAGAAAAAAAAAAAGATAAGATTAATATATTAATACTTTTTAATTTTAATTTTTATTTTCTATAGAATGTGGAGATGGTATTAAAGATAATGGAGAAGTATGTGTTTATGATGAAAAAGGATGGACATCACAAGCATCATGTGGTGATGGTATTTGTAATGAAGTTAATTTTGAATCATGTTTTGTAGATTGTCATGCACAATTTACTACAACATGTAGTGCTACCAATGTACCAGATAATCATTTGTCACCAGGATACACCATCAATGATGACACTTTGGGAGATATGATTTCAAATCAACAAATCTGGCATTTACCAGGTTCTGAACATTTGTCATCTGGTTTTGATATTGTAAAGGGTGAGGAAGGTGCTCTTCCAATCTTTTATTTCGACTATTGCACCAAAGAAGAAAAGAACCTCTTACAAGATGTCTATCGTCAATCCATCTATGAATTACCAGAAGAATTGACTGGTGGTGTTCATCCAAAATGTACTTTTGATACAAGTCAACAAACTCATTCAAGTATTTCTCAATTTAGAACTGAAAAGTCTCAAAGTACAAGTATGCAAGAAAAGAAAAGAAAAAGAAAAAGAAATCTAAATAATTCAAACAAATTATTAATTCTTTATTTATTTTTTAGGCTTTAATATTGATGGTAGTGCAGGAGGAGGATGGGGAGGATATAGTGCACAAGTTGCAGCATCTTATTCAAAGGATAGATCAGTTAATCAAGCCATGTCATTATCGACTAGTGCAGAGTCGACAGTCATTTCAACCAGTCTTATTTGTACAACATCATCTGTAGAGATGGTTAAATATACATTCCATCCATCGTTTTTAAAGGAATTGGCATCGGTTAAATTCTCTCGTGACATGTATGAAGTAGTCAAACGATATGGTACTCACTTTTATCAGACTGCTGTGCTTGGAGGTTCGTTGAAACAATTGACAGTGATTGATAAACAAACCTATCAATCTGAATCATCTACCTCGTGGCAAGAAAGTTCACAGCGATCATTCTCTGCATCTGCATCTGCTCCCGTCATGCAAGCAAGTGGTCGTTATGCCGACACGTCTGATTACACTGTATCTGGTGAACGTCAAGAATCAATGGAATCAAAGTCATCTAGATCAAGCGTCGAGGTGCTCGGAGGAGAACCAGGATCCTATTCACCAGACTCTCCCAACCAAGGAAACATGTTACAATCTTGGGCCAAGAGTTTGGACTTCCTTCCCGTGCCAGTAGAATACAAACTCAGTCCCATTAGAGATATTCTACCAGACGATTGGAAGAATGCCGATGGTAACAGTATCAAGGATCTATGGATGCAAGGTGAGACCCAGTACTATGAAGAGAATGCATTCTTTGGTGCCGTTGGTGTGTCTGGAGCCATCTTTATCACCATTACACCAGAGATGCCCACCGAGCAATTTACCACTCCCCAAGTCGACCCTGCCGCCTATGTTAATGTCCATTGGAAGAATGCCAAGGGTGAGCTTGTTACTACCCGTGTCGACCTCGAGGGAATCATGACCACCACCACCAAAGATGCCATTCCCATGATGATCGATTTCAGTCAGAGCGAACAGGCCCCCGACATTTATCAATGGAGTAAAAAGGCCTTTACCAACAAAACCGCTGTCTGGAACTCCCCCATCCCCAAACAACATTATCATCCAAGCATCTACACCTCTCGTATGCCATGGCGTGTCAACTTTAACCTCGCCAGCAAAGACAACTTTTTCGAATCCACTCAAAAGCCAACCATCACCCACAAACTGCCCACCCTCCCAACCACCAAACGATTCGAATTCCACTTTGTCGATTTCAAGGGAAGTCGTGGATTCAAAGTTGACAATACACAAAATGTTGTCACTTCTCAATATATTGACTTTTATCTTACTAGTTTTGGTCATTACTGGAGTGACTATCCATCGTATCTCGTCAGACCCGGTATAACAAGATGCAAGTCTGATTCTGATTCTATTGCCCAGGTTATGGAATGTCTCTACAAGACCACCAAGAAATACGATACCTTTACCATGTATCGTGGAGCTGTTAACGCTGCCAACCCACACATCTCTGTTCAATACGATTACAATGCCGTCAAGACAAGAACCATCGATTGGTGGTCCAAGGAATTCAAGGCCTACACTGGAGCCAACAAAAACACCCTTGCCTTTACAGCACAAGATTACTATGGCTCTCAGTTTAGACTTGCCTGGGTCATGGTCTTTGAATCTTCATCCTCTTGGTTGAGACCAATCGTTGGTTATACCGCCCCTAGATCCATGTCTTCATTCATCACCCCTCGTCTTTTTGCAAATGCAACCAATGCAAACACTGCCATTCCCTTGCCATCTGTTAAATTACAACCTCTTCGTCAATTGAATGATTTTGATTTCTTTACTACAAATTATGGTTTATTTGATTAAAAAAAAAAATTAATAAATAATAATTAAATCAAAAAAAATCCAAATTTAATAATGGATCAAATCATTCATTACTTTTTCTACAACAAACGAATCAATCAAATCAAACAATGGGATTAATCTTTTCAAATTGGAAAAGAATATCGTATCTTTAGATGCTGCTAGAAAGACTACACTTTTTTATCGTTTAAAACTAGGAGAGGTAGGTTGTTGTAATATACCTGCTATTGGATACAATGTTGAATCTAAAGAATACAAGTAAATTTAATCTTTAATATGGATGAATTAGTTTATTATATTATATTTTTTCTGGAAATATAAACTTTACAACTTTTGAAGTTGGAGGTCACAAAAGGATTAGACCATTGTAGAAACATTATTATTCAGGAATATTGGCTGTTATATTTGTTGTAGATGCAGCCGATAGAGAAAGAGGCAAAGAATCAATTAATGAATGCGATCAATGATGAACTTCATCATCATTGAGAGATTCAGTTTTACTCATTATGGCCAAAAAAATGGATGATCCAAATGCATTATCAGTGGCACAATTAACTGATCAATTGGGATTACACAGTCTTAAACGAAAATGGCATGTGCAACCAACAGTTGCTATTAGAGGTGATGTTTTGGATTGGTTAAATAAAACTCTTAAAAATCAAATTAAATAACCATGTTTTTCCTATGAGATTTAATGGAAATCGATGAAAATTGGATAAATGTATCCACCGATGTGGGGAACATGGAAATGACAAAACAAACTTTTTCGGGGACTACCTGAAAAAAACAATCAACTTTTTATAGGTTTTTCCTATGAGGATTCAACGGAAATGAATGAAACTTGGTTAGAAATGTAGCCACCGATGTGGAGAACATGGAAATGAAAAAAAAACCTTTTTCGGCCAACCTTAAAAAAAGAAGAAAAAATTTTTTTTTTTTACTACAAAAGTGTATTTTAGATTTATTTGATTTAATTGGTTGGCGCAAGATTTCTCTTGTCCCTGTACAGATTATTAGTTTAAATAAATGTTGTTATTATTTTTTTTTTTTTTTTTATATGTGTGTTTGTGTTGAGTTGCAATCATTTGTGTTGGAGGTTGGAGGCTTAGAGCTTGTTGTTATTGGCGTACATTATTGTCTTGTTTAATCTATTATATTGATTCCTTATTTCATCATGTGTTATCAGCTTGTGTTCATCGATGGCAGGCAAATTTTTTTTTTTACTACAAAAGTGTATTTTTGATGGCAGGCAAAAGAAGAAAAAATAACAGGAACTTTATCGACATCTGCAGGGTTCGAACCTGCGCCTCCGAAGAGAATTGATTTCTAGTCAATCGGCTTAGACCACTCACCCAAGATGCCTTGGTTGAAGCTTTTTTGCTTCTAGGCCTTTTATATGGAAAAATTTTCCCCCTTTTTTTGAATAGTAGAACTAGATGGGTAGGGGTGGGTGGTGTGCCATTTATAATAGACCAAGGTGGTTGGGGAAATGAAGAAAATAAAACCATCATTCATGTTCGATATTAATATCTTAGTTATAATTCATTTTTCGGTCGTTTCGGTTTTTTAGATGAAAACATACGGAAAGAGAGAGATACTATCTATCTATCTATCTATCTATCTATCTATCTATCTATCTATCTCTCTATCTATCTATCTATCTATATAAATTTTACATTCATTATTTAGCTCCATCCACCATCCATTCATGTGACCACAAACAACTTCAGATCATTTAAAATATTGTTGCATTCATATTTAAATATACATATATCACAATAATTGATTCAGTGTATCATGGATGTAATGAATGATATTAATAAATAATAATAAATTAAGGAACACTATTTTTTTTTAAGAGTAAAATATAATTCTTAATCTCTTTTACAATTCTTGGTTATAGCTCCATCCACCTACTATTCATCGAGGCCCATCCCCAGGGCCCACAGCAGATCCTTTTATTTTGATGGAGAATGAAAGGAGATGATAGACCAAAATTTCGTCAACCTTCCAACAGCTCCCTAAGCGCGTGGAGGATGACACCATGGACCAGGGTATTAGGATGATAAACCAAGGGCCAACGGGGTCAAAATATCTACAACATTCATGAAGCTCGCTGCTGTTATTTTATCGGGGATTGTAAAAAATCTATTTTAAAATTTATCGGGGCTTTACAAATCATTGATACAAAAATCTGCTAACTCTCTTTTTATCCACATCCTTCATCACCATCAAACCATTCATTCACTCTTATTTTCTTATTTAAATTTTATACAATTGTTTACAAAAATGAAGATAATAATAATATTAATTCTATCTATAATAGTATCAATTTATGGTACAATCAATGGACAAGCAGTAGGATGTAAAGGAACACTTAACGACTATGCATTGTGGACAGAACAACCAACACCAGTAGCAGAAGTAGCCAATGGTAAATTATTTGTTACAGGTCCAGAAAACAACACTGTCAACGTCATACATGTCTATGGTACACCCTATCAAATGGGTTATGCTCATGGTCAACTTTTAGCACCCAAGATCCAAAAGATGATTCCCTTGTTTTTCCAGTACGGTGAACTTAGTATTGCACAGTTTGTAGAAAAGTTCTCAGACAGAATCCCCAAGGTATTGCTTGAAATCATCGAGAAACTTGGTCTTGAAGCTGCTTTGGACTACATCATTGAAGAGACACGTCCATTCACACCACCCTATTTCTATGAAGAGCTAAAGGGGTTGGCCGACGGCTCTGGAGTCAGCTACACCCTTTTGCTTCAAGTCCATATGTTCCCCGAGCTTACCAAGGCTGCCTGCTCGATCATTGGAGCATGGGGAGATGCCACCGACGAAGAATTTAGACTGTTGCAACTCCGTGCCTTGGACTGGGGACTTTCTAGCCCGTTGAATGCCTACCCCATGGTCATCGTCTACCATCCACAAGCTGGCAATGGTAACCCATTTAGCGTGTTGGGTTGGACTGGTTTCATTGGTGCTTTGACAGGTTACTCTCGTAATCTAGGTATTTCACAAAAAGTTTGGCTCATGTATGACGGTGAATACAAACATGCCGGTATTCCATTCTATTTCATTCTCCGTGACATGCTCCAATACGACAACACCGTCCAAGAAGCCATCACTAGAATCCAAGATGCTCACCGTACCTGTTCCATCTTTTTGGGCATCGGATCCAACTCTACCATGACTGCCGACGTCGTCGAGTATAGTTATAGTTATGTCAATATCTTTAATGATACCACCCCATTCCCAGGCTACAAACCATCACCACCACAACATCCCATTCTCAAGGATATTGTCTATGTTGACCGTCACCCTCAACCCTCCTCGGACCCATGTCTTGCCAGTCTCTTGCAAACCTACTATGGAGCCATTTCACCGCTAAACATTATCGACACTGTTTCACAATCACAAACTGGTGATCTTCACATTGCCATCTACGACTATTACAACAACCAAATGTACGTCTCGGTTGCTGCCACCACCGTTACCGATTACCCATTCCCACCAGGTACAGTCATCTCTCCTGCCTTTGCCAATCAATTCATTCAATTAGATATGAATACATTATTAACTTTACCTTATTAAATTAATAAATTAATTAATAAATAAATCTATATATTTCCAATTTATTCCTTAATAATTCTTTTAATCTTTTTTAAAAATCGCTTTCATCTCTTTCTTCAAAATATACTCCTTCCTACAAAAATAAATTAAATTAGTTTATATATATTCTTTTTTCTTCTTCTTTCTTTTCTTTTTTCTTTTCTTTCTTACTTCAGTTTGCCATTTATTATCATTATCTTTTTTAGCAATACCACAAACTTCCATTTGACCTGGAATTGGATGTTGATATTTAGCGTTTGGATTTGCATGAAGATAAAACTTGGTGTCCAAGTGATAGAGACGAATTGGTTGACCACGCATCCAAATATCAGAACCATCAATGGTTTCAACACGCCAGTTGTCACCGCCATCACCTTGACCTTCTTCACCAAAACAACTGACTTCATTGTTCTTGGTGAGTGGAGAGACGGCAGCATGACTGTGCAAGTTCTTTTTAGTATTCAAATGAAGTAATCTAATAGTGTCACCCTTCTTTACAACCTTTCCTTGTGGTTGATTCTCTCCGTGTGCACCCTTGATTACCCATAAACTGTTTGGATCGTTACCATCGGCAAACCCAGTCACCGATTGCTGTCCACTTCCTCCATTACCACTACCATAACTAACCTTGTGTGAATGTAATCTATATTTTGAATTTGAATGTAATAATTTAATTATACTACCATATGTTACTTTTGTTACTAAAAGAAAAGAATAAAATAATAATCGAGTATATTAGTATCCATGAACCTATGTTTATATATCATATCATATCATATATATTTGTAAAACACTTACTAGCATGATCTTCATATTGATCACCTTCATTTGCAGAGATAATATTAACCAATACTAAACAACTAATAAACAATAATAACAAGTATTTAGAACTTAACATTCTCTCCTTTCTCTTTCTATCTCTCTATTTAATAATACAACAACAAACAAAATCGACTAAAATGAATATGAAAATAGATTTGCTCAAAGACGATGACGATGCAGGGGTTTTTTTTGCAAACTAGTTTTTTTTTTTGTTTATACATATTATTATTGTTACTTTTTATTAGTTTCATAATCTTTTAAAAATTCTATAGTTTCAGAACGACCATAACGAGTTGCTATAGATAGAGGAGTATCACCATCACATAGTTTGGTGTGGTCGGCACCTTTTTCGAGGAGGATACGACAGATGGCAGCTTGGCCGTGACGCGCGGCAATGTGAAGTGGGGTGGCTCCCGATTTATTGGCCTGATCAACTGATTTGGCGTTTGGGAACTTTTTAAATAACTCTTCGATGACTGTTAATCGACCGTGTTGGCAGAGTACGTGGAGGGTGGTGTTGCCATCGGTAGAGAGTGCAGCGTCGACGTTGACGTTGCTGTGTTCCAAGAGTGCGGTGACTGTGTTTTCGCGGTGACGCGCAGCTGCCACATAGAGGGCTGTGGAGCCGTCGGTGGTCAGTGCGAGGTTGGGGTCGGCGCCAGCCTGCATCAACATGTCTACAGCTTTGATGATACCATTCTGTGCGGCAATGAGAAGTGCAGTAGCACCATCTGGAGCACGGTCATTGACCTTTGCCTTGGCTTTAAGTAGTCTTGTCATAATACCAAACTTTGCAAATTGTGTAGCCACCATCAAACAACTATACCCACCACGTTTAATGTTTGGGTCGGCGTCCAAAGACAACAAGACGGTGACAACATCTTCATTGGCCGTTTCAGTGGCGACGTAGAGTGGTGTAGCACCCTCTTGATCCAATTCAATATTTACATTGAGACTGCCACGATCCACTATACGTCTGACAATCTGTGGATGGTTGTATTGACACGCTCCAACCATACCAGTGATGAGTGAGTTTGGGTCGAGACGTACACCATCGTCGTGTGCCTCGCCCAGCAGATAGTCGACTGCATCGACACTACCTTGCACACACGCCACAGCAAACGGAGTCACTCCACCTCCATTCTCTGACAGATTGACATCTGCACCCAGTTGTACCAACTGTTTCAACAACTTTCTATTACCATGATAACTTGCAAAGAAACTCGGTGTACATCCATTATCACTTCGTACATTAACATCCAATCTCAATCTTTCTCTTTCATCCAACATCTCTTCACATTTATATTTATCATTCACTTTACATCTTTCATAAAATTCTAAACTATTCTTTTGTGAATACATTGTCTACTATATATATATATATAAATATGAGTATTAAACTAAACTAAAACTAAAATACATTCTGAATCAACCGATTCTTGTCTTGAATACTAATAATATAATTAAATTATTTTTTGAATTTTTATGAATCGATTCATTTCTTATCCTGGTAAGACTTGAAGATGACTAATCATTGAATTATCATTATAAATATACATATACAAAGAAGAATCATGATAACAATTAGAAATATCATCAACAACAAGAATGTTGTACAGAAATCATTGATTTCATTAAATAATAGTAGTAGTAGACACTACACAACGACTGTATCATCATTGTCATCATCTTTTACATCATACTCTCCTACTACTAGAACTGCAGCTATTGGATCATTTCAAAGTAATAAACAACAAATATATAGTAGTAGTAGTAGTAATAGTATTAGAAATTATGTTTCACAACAACAAACAACACCAATATCAACTTCAAATGAAAGGTAAATAACAAAGACAATGAAATATATATATATATTTCTAATATTCAATCTATTTCTATTATATTTTTAGTATAACAATACATGAATATACAGATCTTGTAAATGATGAATTGGAATTATTTACAGAAAAGTTGGAATTTGTTGGACAAACTTTAGATATACAAGGATTTGATTTAGAATCTACTGATGGAGTATTGACACTAAAACTTGGTGATTTGGGTACCTATGTAATTAATAAACAAACACCAAATAAACAGATATGGTGGTCATCACCAATCAGTGGTCCAAAAAGATTTGATTACGATTGCAAATCACAACAATGGATTGATAATAGAGATTCTACACCTCTTAGACAATTATTATCAAATGAAATTAAACAATTATGTAAATATGAAATAAATCTTTAAAAGTATAAATGATGTTTATTGTTTATTTGATTTATTTTGATTTATTTGGATGGTACAGAAGTAGTTGAAGAGGATGGAGAAGATTTTGGTAATAAAGTAATACATTTGTTAATACTTTCAACCCATTGTTGTTTTTCTTGAGCAGATGTACAACTAAACATCCACCATTGAGCACCCTTGACAAGGAAACCATTGTTGATACGTGGGAAATCCTCGACGGTGGTGGATGAGGTCAACATGACCGAGTAACGGTACTTGTATTCATTTGGCTTGTTGGGATGTTTGATGGTCATCATCAACATATCAGTAAACAAAAAGACAACTGGATCCTTGTCTTTGAAGGAACCCGAACTCGAACCAAATTGAATGGTACCTTCCTTTACAAACTTTCTATGTGGTGCCAAGAAATTGTTTGGTAATTTGCCATGTAGATTTTGGTGGATTGAAATCATGGTCATTGCATCCTCTGCATCTCTCTTTCTCTCATTGACATAGGATGTTACTCCCTTGATCTTGTCCAATGCAACTACCAATGATTTATAATCTGGATGATCTTCATTTGTAGTTTTAATTAAATCTGAAAGTAACATTACATATCTTGGTAATTGTTGAACTGGTGTAATCAATACTAGAAAATAGATAGAAAAAAAAAAGAAAAAGTTAATATAAATCATTCATTTCCCAAGATATTATTTGTTTTTTGTTTGATTCTTTACAATTTTCTAATTCTTGATCACGTAATTCAGGATCAGCTTCAACTTTACGAATAAATTGAACAAATGGTACATTGTTTGCTCTACTTTCTTTGTAGGTTTTAATGGCATTGTTGTAATTGTTGATATAGGTACTGTAGACGGTCATGAAATCGGTGGTCTTGAAAAAGATATCACCAATGAGAAGATGATCCTTTTTGTTGTCGGCCAACCATCTCTTTACTCTTGATTGGAGACCGTCGGCCAACATACTGTTAAAGTTGTGGATGATTTCGACGATTGAAAAGATGGCTTTGATCTTGTCGGCTGTGAGAATGGGACGTTTAGAGGCAGCGGCCGATGTGAGTGGGTTGAGGAACTTTTTAACGATCAATCCGAGATTGCGGACATAGTTGACTTCGACTTGAACGATTTCCTGAACGATATGGGTACGCTTTTGAGCACGAGATGCTTCTTGAGCGGCCTTGGCAGCTTCTTGCGATGCCTTGTCTTGTGCTTCTTGAGCACGACGTTGTTCCTCGGCAAGACGACGTTGCTCTTCTTCCTTTTTACGACGGTGTTCTTCTTCCTCCTTTTTACGCTTGACGTCTTCTTCACGTGCAAGAATTTCCTGTTGCATCAGTTTGAGTTTGTCTTCTTCCTCTTGTTGGATACGACGTTCCTCTTCTTCGCGTGCCTTTTTGGCAGCCTCTTCTTGCTCGCGCTTCTTTCGCTCTTCCTCGTCCTTCTTTTTCTTGTCTTCCTCCTCGCGTCTCTTTTTCTCCTCGTCCTCCTTTTTCTTGCGTTCCTCGTCCTCTTTGGCGAGTCGGAGTTGGCGGTCGTGGGCCTCTTTGGTGGCGGCGGCCTTTTCCTGCTCGGCCAAGTGCTGTGCGGCGGCGACTAGGCGGTCTTCCTCCTCTTGACGCTTTCTCTCCTCCTCGAGCACCCTCTTTTTCTCTTCTTCCTCCAAACGCACGCGTTCCATGTCTTCTTGGAGTTGCTTGAGACGTTCCTCTTCTTGTTTTCTCGTCTCCTCCACCTTTCGCTCCTCCTCTTCTTTGGCGCGACGTTCCTCTTCTTGTTTTCTTCTCTGCTCGATTCTCTTGACCTCTTCCTCCATGATTCTCTTTCGCTCTTGGATTTCATTCTCGGCGGCCACACGCATCTCCTCTTCCTCTTGGATACGCTGTTGTTGTGCGGCTTCCTTGTCCTCCTCGTCTTCATCGTCGTCCTCTTCGTGTTCGTAGAACGACTGCGACACTTGGAACTCGGGCACTTCCTCCAATCCAAAGTCAAGACCCTCGTATGACTTTTCATAGGGGAACGACAAATTGCTGATTGCAACCTCGGCCTGTGTCTTGATCTCGGCCGACGACGACTGCACCAATCGTTGGACGGCTGGCACAAAGTCGGGCATACTCTCGTTGATCAGCTTTCTATTGCGACCGCTGATAGCAAGATTCGTGGCAATCTTGGTACCCTGGAGTTGCAACTCTTGGTCGGGCGATGTCAACAAACCCAACACAATCGTCAAACCACCCTTTTGACAAAATGAAATTCTTGCCTTTTCATTCAACGACAAATTCACCAACAACTTGGTTCCCAACATCTTTAAATCCTTCTCACCTTGACTAATTAATCTAATTGAATGTTCTAATCCTTTTGCTTCATAAATCATTTCTTCATTTTGTGCTAATCAAATAAATAAATAAATATTAATATATATATTTTCTCCTCCTTTAGTTTTTTTTTTACATACTATTTCTAGCAAGATTAACAAGAGCACGAGCAGCTTGTTTAACAACTTCCTTATCAGAAGATAATAATAAATCCAAACAAAGTGGAACACCACCAAGTTTACCAACTTCACCTCTTACATCATCATAGTATGGAGTAGCATTGGCCAAAGATCTAGCAGCTTCCTTTCTAATATCAACCGATTGATATTTAATCAAATCAATTAATATTTCAATAATTCCTTCATTAATTGCACTTTGTTGTACGTCCTCTATAAAGTAGAAAATAAACAAACATTAATATATATATTATATTAATTGGGTTACTTTTTTTTTGATTTGCTTACCAATTGTTACCAAACCAGAAATGATACAAGAAGATTTTAATAGAATGGATTGTTGAGTAGTATTTTGTAATGGCATTCCTTTGATGGAGGGGATGATCTTTGAGAGTATTCCAGTACGTGAAACCTCTTCAATGAGACTGTCTTCAGACACCAAATTTTGAAGAACAACCAATACTTGATCGAATATTTGTTCATTCTTGTCTAATGGGAAAAGATCTAAAATTGGTTGTAATACAGTATCTTTGTTTTGCATTACATATTCAATGGTTTGTCCTAAAATTAAAATAACATTAATATTAATACTTTGTTAAATGTATTGTTTATGTTTTGTTTGTTTATACTATTACATACTATCAACAGCCATATTTGAAATAGCTTTAAGAGCAATTAATCTAATAGCATCTTGTTGATTGAGAATAGAAACCAATGACTCCAAACCATTACATCTTCTAATAGCCTCTCTATTGGCATCGATAATGGTCATATTGTAAATCATTCTAATGGCACTATCAACAATTTGAACCTTTGATGATTTGAATAATTGCATTACTGCTTCAATACATCCTGCTACTCTTGCATTATCTTTGTTTTCCTCTAAAGATTGAAAATAAAGTAAAAAAAAAGAATTAGTCAAAGTACAAAGTACAAAGTATAAAGTACATATTAATATTTGTGATATGTGAACATACTATGAAGACAAACATTATTGACAGCAGATAAAGCCTTTTCAACGATTTGATTTTGAACATCAACCGATTCATTTTGATAGGTTAGATAGTTTTGAAGGACGATAAAGTATGGAACGGCACCCATCTTTTCTCGTATTGGTGCAAGTGAAGCCATGATAATGACAAGGTTGAGTGTATGTGATACAGTGTTGATAACATCCTCCTTTTTAACATCGGTTGCCTTTAAATAGGCTAAAAGGTATCTCAACACATCAAATATCTTTTCTAATCCTCCTGCTTGTTCAATTGCTTGTTTATTGACATCGGCTAAATGAAATGAATAGAAAATGAAAGGTTATTATTAGTATTAGTTACTATTTGTTCGTCTGTCTGACTTCTTTTTTGACTTACAATGATTAGCTAAAAACATTAAACCCATTGAAGCATGTTTAACCATTGAAACAGATTCAGCCAATGTTGGTTCAGACAAGAGACCGAGGAACACTGGAATGAGACCAGCTTCTCTGGCAGCATCCTTATTTTGTGGGAGTTGATTGGCAAATGCTAAAAAGGCAATACTGTTCTCTTTGACGGGACGTTCCTTGCTGCTGACCAATGAGATGAGCTTCTCTGCCTTGCCTGCATTTTTGTATTGTGCATCAACCAAATCATCGACATCTCCCAAGAATTGTCCGACTTGTGCATCTAAACTGGCATCAAATACTATTGACATATTGTGTGTTAGATTTAAATAAATATATTATTATTATTATTATTATTATACAAAAAGTAGTTTTAAGAGTGATTTAAATAAATAAAGTAAAGTAGTAAGTAGATAGATAGATTGTGTTGTTGATATATATATGATACAATAAAAAGACGATAATAAATAAATAAATAAAGATCTCTTTCTCTCTATCTCTCTCTACTATTAACAACAAAGTAAAACAAACAGGTACTTCTTTAAAATTGTCAAAAATAATCGCGCTGTGATCAACACCTTCTTTGTCTTCAAACTTCTTGAATGTTGTGATCTTTTTTTGTTTTTGTTTTTTTTTTCATTGAAACCAGCAGAGGTGGATGGATAGGTGGGTTTGTTTGTCTTTAAAGACTAATAGGAGGGTGACACTGAGATAAGATATCTTTTATATATTTGATTGTTGTTGTTGATGATTTATTTATATATGATCAGTACTATATTGTTTGGGAATACCTGATTGACCTTGGACAGCTTTAGTTACCTCGGTCTCACCAATTTTAGTTTGTAAACCTTTATAAGTACGTGTTTGGTAGACATCTGCTGCTGTTGTCAATACGCCACCACTACCAATGGAAAGTTGTTTGACCTTGTCATCAAGTGATACGATTTCTCCAGATGTTGACGAGGTTGCTGATTTCTTTTTTGATGAACCATATTTAACCAATTTTCCAGATGTAAAAGAGTAGTGATACTTGTTACCCTCTTCATCACTAATCTCATCATCTTTTTTGTTTTCTTCTTGTTGTTCTTCTGTCAAACCGACACTATCATTTAAACGAGGGAATAGTCTTGAAAAATCGGTAATGTATTCACCAGTCCAATCAGTATTACCCAATGCCAAATTAACTTCCCAAGGTGTAGCAATTGGTTTATAGTATTCTTTTGAATCGATGATTGTATTCTCTGCACATGCAACAATGACAAACATATCAATCTCTGAGAAATTAGCCAATTTAGGAACATTCAATCTACCAACCACAAATACATATGGTTTCTTTCCACTATTTAATATTAATTGTTTTAATTTATCTATTGTTTCTCCATATTTTTCTAAATAGATAAAATAAATTAATATTTAATATTTAGATAAATAATTATCCCTCCTTCCTTTCATTGACACATACGAACTGTTAATGTAGCAACAACGATACCAATTATATTTGCTTCTTTACATTTTTGACTAATATAATAACGTTTCATTAACCCTTGGTTTCTTGGTAATGATTCTTGATTGATTTTATATGATTCTTGATTATCAACATTACATCTATAAAACTAAATAAAAAAAGTAAGTAAATATATGTTGATTTGATTGATTCGTGGGGATATGTTGACCGACATACAGTATTCTTATTAAAATTTAATAATAAGTTTGTTAAAGTAATACAATCCTTTCCAATCCATAATATCTTGTAATTTTCAATTTCCTCTTCCAATTTAAATCCTTCCTTTAATCTTCTTCCAAATATTAATGATTTATCTGTAATTATTGTTGTTGTTGTTGTTGTATCAATTATATTATTATTATTGATTGAGCAACATGATGATGATTGTTTCTCATCATTACAACATGAAGATGATGTTGATTTCTTTTCATCATTACAACATGATGTTGTTGATGTTGATTGTTTAGTATCTCCACAACAAGATCTTGAAGATGAGGAAGATGGAGTCGAAGTTGATATTTTAGTTGGTTGTTGATTTGATAAGATATTATTATAATTATCAATTTTTGTAATGATTATATTTGGATATACTGGTAATAGGATTGATTCTAATTCATCTGCTTTGTATTGATACTCCAATTGATAAAAGATGATTATCTTTTCTTGTGTATCGGTGAATGTTGATTGAATAGATGATAGTAGTTGAGAAGTATCTAATTGATCGCTTCCAAATACATATTGAACCGGTAGTTTAGTAGCAGGTGACAAACACGAATGTCCATAGTGAATGATGAAATCGGCAGACAAGTGAGACGCAGTCACTTCATCGACACAACACGATCCATATGCAGTGTCACCAAGAATGAATACATCACATGACTCTTTGGTCATTGATTTTAAACGACTCGATATAGTAGACGATGCCCACAACATTGTATCTGGCATCTGCAAAGCCACTCGTTTAAATGTAAATCTATCGATTGTTTCAACAGACTCTTGTATCTTGAAATATCTATTAAATGCAATAACATCATTCTTTAATACGTCTTCTGTATTTGTAATAGTAGTAGTACTATCATCTGATCTTGAAGTGAAATGTTGTCCATCATCACCTGTAAAGAATGATGGTTTAACTATAGTAGTAGTACTATCACCCATCCCTCTTCTTCTTTGTATCGTCGAGTATTTCGAGTTGAGTTGAGTAGAAGATAATATCTGTTAATCGTAATCGATGAATGTAATTATGTTACACAATTTTGAGCATCTCGAGTTTGAGTATTTTCGCGTATTTCATGCAAAGTTCTTTGTTGATGCCTATTTAATCATCAACTCCGACGATCAATTTCATTATTAAATCAACATGTTCGAGATTTCGCTATCATCTGGAAGGGATGCAAAGAAGTTCTTTGAACTCTCTCTTACCCTTATATTTCTAAAATAATAATAATAGAATAGCTATTTATTTATTCATTTTATT